TCCCTTGCGATAGAATACTTGAATTGTAGACGTACTTGCGCAGTCCAGATCCCGCCGATGGGCCTACCCCGATAGTAGCCTCCTCCATGATTCACGATCAGATATAATGGGGAAAGCAGTTGGCTAATTCGTAGGGCGCACAGCACATAACAGCGGCCACTGCCAGCGGGGCCGAGATCAAAAAGAGTCGAGAGTTCCTGAAGCGTGAGAGGACGGAAAGGCCAGTTGGGGGGGGCCTTATCGCAGAGAGCACATGACCGGCTCGGACCCTTCTCCATGCAAATCTTGACCCTCCGCTACACTTGACATCCTACGTCTATTCGCTATTTTCGTATCGGATTCGCTTGAATAGTCATGTTTGTCGTGATCGCGTACTCAATGACTGCATAATTGGCGTGATAACGTTATCATTTACAATTTGGATAATCCCCAACCCTTCTGCGCCAAAAGTCGATAACTCTCCGCCTCCACACGATGATGATCCGACGCCGTATTTCCAGGCCGGTTACCAGGCCCAGGATCGTTAAACTGGTTCACAGCCCGCACGGTCTTCGACACCTCTAGGATGGTACCACCCTCGACCTGATATTGCGGCCCATTGCCGGACTGATCCCCAATAACCTCGCCCACCACTTCCTGCTGAACGAGCGCCAACATCACGGTCGCCACCTCCTCAGGCGTCACCCACGCGTCGGTGCTGTCATCGACCATTTTGATCTTCTCGGGATGGTCGGTCCATAGCGGGGTCTTGATAACGCCCGGCGCCACAGCTGTGACCCTGATCCCCAGCTTCTTGTCGAGATCCGCCAGCGCTCGGACCAGGCCGTTAATAGCATGTTTGGTCGCACAGTAAATGGGTGCTGCGAGGTTGGCATTCTGTCCGGCAATACTGGAGATGTGGACAATGTGCCTTGGGCGACCACTGCTCCGGTTCTTGAGGAAATGGGCGATGGCTAGCTGTGTCGTGCGGATCGGGTGTGTGACGTTAATATCTACCAGCGCATATCGGCCACCAGCGATCGAGTCCTTGCTCGGGTCAGCGCCGGGTGGGCGCCAGAAGTTGCTCCAGTTCTGTGTAGCTTGTAGTCAGCCTTGTGCTGTTCTGTAGGGGATTTGTTTATGTTCCTCTCTGCTCTCTTACCGGCTCGTAGACTCCAGCGCCCGGGCAAACAATATCGATCTCGCCAAACTCTTTCTCTGCAACCTCGAACATTCGCTCGAGTTGTACCCAATCCACCACGTCCGTCTGCTGGAACACAACTCGGGCTGGTCCAGAAGAGTGCTTATCAGCAAGCACCTGCGCTTCAGGGCGCAAGGCTAGGTCTGCAATGAGAACATTGCACCCATTCTCTACCAGCAACTTTGCAAAGGCAAGGTTGATTCCTACCTGCCAAGTAAGCATACAGTCTACTGTAGAACATTTGAAGAATTGAAAAACATACCGGAGCCGGCTCCAGTAATAATGGCAGTTCTTCCTTTGACTGAGAGAGCCATATTCGGGGTATTGACGATTAAAGAAGTCAAGTTACAAAAGTCCCCAACCCTCGGGGGGTTCTGCAATCCTATATACAAGCAGTGGAACTTCCTCGGGGTCCTTTGCAGCGCGTACCGTCTCCAATTTAGCCCCGCGGGCATTTAACCGTGGGAAGGTGGACCGAGGCCGGCGTAATGGCCGAGATTTCTGTGTAGTCCATGACCCTTTGGGAACTTGACGCCTATGATTCTGCATGCATCTGATCAGAGGGCCCTCTTTCCCACTTGCACTGTCTCTAGGCGCTACAGCTGGACTGCATGTCGAGTCCAATAAGTGGCACGTTGAAGCAGTTTTTCTCGCTTCCTTTGCCGTTCTTGGAGACGGTGGAACTCGCTGACTTGTCATGCAAATCGGCGTGGCTAATATTGCCATATTAGGTTATCCTGGCGAATGCCGAGATTTCTATGTGATAGCAAGACGCAGAACTACCGATTCATATGCCACCCTCATTCTCTACGCTGAACTAGGAAGACAGCCTGTTTATTTCAATATGTAATCATATCTACTGCACATGCTTCGTTAGGGCATCTCATGGCCTTGAATAGCTGGTAATTGTACTTCAGCTAAATTCCCCTTGCTTTAGAGCTAAAAAAAAAGCAAATGAGAAAGAAAGTAATGAGACAGGTTTCTTCTACAGTATATGGTAGCTACAGTGAATATAGTCCAATCAATACGTATTATTCCTCATCTAACGTGGGCTTGAACAGGCCCAATACTCCCCAGACTCTGTACTCCGCATTTTTATACAACACTAATTATAAACCTGCAGCAGATCTTCCCGCAAAACTGAGCCGGCTTGCCGAGTAATCCTGAACCGAATGAACCGAATTCATGAAAGATTCTGCAGCATTCTAACTTGCCTCATGGGGTCAAATCGTGGAAATCAATTGCTGGACTGATGTCATGTAGTCGGGTAGATCTCCTAATTGGGTATAGAAGTGGCACATCACCTCCTCCCGACAGCGGCACGACTACTGTAAAAGGAAAGCTCCCGCCACTAATGCATAGAGTGAATTCCCCCCGCGAAATATATAAACCTCAGCTTCTCACCGGGATCCTTATTCAAAATAGCAACTTCAATCATGTCGATGTCAAGAATTCTCTCAAAATCAGCCGTCCGTGCGGCCTCTACCTCGGCCCAGACCACCAAGGCCGCTGGTGATATCTCTTCAGTCTTCCCTAGTCTGAGAGCTGACTACAAGCCGGAACCTCTTCCTCCCCGCTTCGCAGAGCTCAAGGAAAGGTTCTTCAACAAGAACAAAGATGCTCTAACAAGGAGTTGGGAGCGTCTGCTTCCGAGCTTGGATGCAGAAGTGCACAAGATCAAAGCACAGGGCAGCGATGTATGTATACTTCTTCTGAGTAAACGTTATACGAGGCAGAGACTCATATTCATCAGATTATCCCCTCTGTCAACTACTCCGATGTTGTGTCTGGTCAGGTATCTGAAGCCACATTAAAAGAGATCCGCCACCGAGGCAGTGTGGTCGTCCGCAATGTGATTCCCAAGGACCAAGCCCTAGAGTACAAGGAGCGGATTCGCACTTATGTGGCCGCCAACAAAGAACGCGTCAAGGCCTTCCCAGCTGACTCTCCAGCCGTATATGAGCTGTACTGGACCCCATCGCAGGCGGAAGCCCGCGCTCACCCTGATATGCTGAACACCCAGCGCTTCATGCAACAACTATGGCACTCCTCTGATCCCGACAGCAAGATCTCTACCACAAACCCCCTCACCTATGGAGACAGACTCCGAATCCGCGACCCAGGTGACTCAAAATTCACCCTAGGCCCCCACATCGACGGTGGCTCTCTCGAGCGCTGGGAAGACCCAGAGTACAGCCAAGTCTACACCAAGATCCTCGAAGGCAACTGGGAGCAATACGACGCATGGGATGCCCGCCACCGCCTGAACGCTCAAATGGACCTGTACAACGGCGCAGGCGCCTGCTCCATGCTGCGCTTCTTCCAGGCTTGGCTGTCCATGTCCCACACCAAGCCCGGCGAGGGCTCGCTGCACGTATGCCCCATGATCAACCACAGCACCGCCTACACAATCCTGCGTCCATTCTTTGAAGGTGACAGCTCAAAGCCTCTTCTTGATAACACATTCCCCGGGTCTGTGCCGGGTGCTGCCCAGGAGTACAACCCTGTCACACACCCCCACCTCGATCTCGAGGAGACCATGGTCTCTGTGCCTGAGGTCCAGCCCGGTGACTTTGTCGCCTGGCACTGCGATGCTCTGCACTCTGTCGACAAGGAGCACCGCGGCACCCAGGACTCGAGTGTGATGTACATCCCCGCTACCCCGCTGTGCGAGATGAACATCCAGTATCTGCTGAAACAGCGCCAGGCTGCAGAGAGCCTTTCTCCTCCTTGGGACTTCCCCGGTGCTGGTGGCCCCGGTGAGGCTGGCTTCAGTGGTGCTGTTGACTGGTCTACGCTTAACCCCGAGGGTCAGCGTGCCATGGGCATGGGCAACACTCCTTGGGAGATTACCGATGCCATGAGCGAGGGCGAGAAGGCGGCCATCCGCTCAGCTAACAAGGCTTGCTTTGGCCTGTGAAAACAGTTTGTAACCATCATTATTGGTATTGTTTTTTTGATTTTCTTTTGGATCCCACAAAACTGTACATATATCTTTGCATCTACGGAATGGGTAGTTAATTTTTGCCAATCATCAGCTGTTTTGCATCACACACAACTTATTAGTGAAATATCCACGTAAACCGATCTAGATCTACCCGGAAGAAGCAACCTGCTCTGTTCTGATTGGTACATCGAATGGAGCTATATTTCCTGGTTCCGCCTAAAAATGAGGTGCTTCCAGCTTGCCTACGACTTCCAACCCTAACCTCATCTGATCTCACATGTAAAGTCAATTCGGTCAAATTGCTCTTATCATACCAAAGTAGTCCTAAATTCGTCATTTGCCACCCAGGCATACATATTTTTTTTTGTAAAAAAAAACGCCACAAGCAATAGCAGGGGGAGTTCAGCTAACTAGACCCTAGACCCTAGACCCTCGCCCCATCCAAAACAAATAGTGGCCCCGCAGAGCACAGCCGCGGGATCCGAACACGTTCACAACAAAGACATCCAAGATGCAGCTTGGGCTCAGCTAGGCGAGAGTCAGCCCATCCGCAGTGGGGGAACACTCAATCTAGGTTCGACGGAGGGGTCGATAGTGGGCAAATAAGCAAATGACTAGTCTCCAGCTGAGAGGTAGCTTCTCCGTGCTCCGATTATTGGCTCTTTGCGCTTGCCGCTATGGTGTGAGGGGTTGAGAAGATGAGGGGCAAGAGATTCTTTTTCTTTCGGTTTCGGGCTTGGGAGCTGAGGCTGGTGTCGAGGGAATGGGTATAAATATCGTGCTGGCCTCTATCTGTGGCTTGCCTCTTTTCACCATCCCTCATCTTTTCTCCTTCTGTCTATTCAGTCATCTCTTCTTGTGAATATCTTCACCATGTCTTACAACAACGACTCCGATAGCTACGGTAGCCGTAACCAGAGCTCCGGCTATGGCGGCAACGACAGCTACGGCAGCAGCAACAACAACAACGACAGCTATGGCAGCTCGAACAATGACAGCTACGGCAGTAGCAACAAGTCCAGCTCCGGCCGTGATAATGACAACAGCTATGGCAGCAGCAACAACGATAGCTACGGCAGCTCAAACAATGACAGCTATGGCAGTAGCAACAAGTCCAGCTCCGGCCGTGATAATGACAACAGCTATGGCAGCAGCAACAACGATAGCTACGGTAGCTCAAACAATGACAGCTATGGCAGTAGCAACAAGTCCATCTCTGGCCGTGACAACGACAACAGCTATGGAAGCAGCAACAACGACAGCTACGGCAGTAGCAACAAGTCCAGCTCTGGCCGTGACAACGACAACAGCTATGGAAGCAGCAACAATGACAGCTACGGCAGCTCCAACAATGATAGCTACGGCAGCAAGTCCAGCTCCGGTCGCGACAACGATAACAGCTATGGCAGCAGCAACAACGACAGCTACGGCAGCTCCAACAATGACAGCTATGGAAGCAAGTCCAGCTCCGGTCGCGACAACGATAACAGCTATGGCAGCAGCAACAACGACAGCTACGGCAGCTCAAACAACGACAGCTACGGCAGCAAGTCCAGCTCCGGTCGTGACAATGACAACAGCTACGGAAGCAGCAACAACGACAGCTACGGCAGCTCAAACAATGACAGCTATGGAAGCAAGTCCAGCTCCGGTCGTGACAATGACAACAGCTACGGAAGCAGCAACAATGACAGCTACGGCAGCTCCAACAATGATAGCTACGGCAGCAAGTCCAGCTCCGGCCGCGACAACGACAACAGCTACGGCAGTGGAAACAACAACAGCTCCTACGGCAACAATGACAACAGCTACGGAGGCAGCAGCCGTAATGACAACTACTAGACGAAGTCTAGGTATGTGGCTCATATGCACACTCCGCAATAGCTGATATGCTAACAAGTTTGTCGCTTCAGAATCATTGGCAGGAGTTATAGCTCAAACGATAATAGCACTGATGTTGAAATGTCTTGCCTATGTTTCGGGATCTGATGAGTTGCGTGGTCATTCAGGCTTGAGAGTTATGAACTTAGCTTATAAATGAAATGAATTAGCCCAGCACAGTATGATTTGTTACCAATTAAACCCATTGCTTGCACTAAGTCGAACAACGTAAAAAGACGAAACCTGTATCGTGGCATAGAAGCCGAGGGCAACGCCTCTAAAGCTTATATGCATGATAATTATCAGGAGGCCACAAGATATTAGCCGGTAAATATGCTACGAGGAGCGTGACAGGCCAGGAGAGGTAAGTAAAGAGGATGGCAGTATGAAGCATAGTGAATGCACAGGTCTACGTCGAAGTGACAGAGGAAACCGGCCCAAAAAAGATGAGTTGAAATTCACCAAACCAGCAAAGATTAAATTCGTGTCATACATTCCAGATAATGATTTATTTGTTCTGATTCTGATTGAATTAAAAGAGTTGGCATAGAGAGGCGTAGAAGTAGATAGACACGGGGAGCGATCACCGCCCGGACGCCAAGTTTGTAACAACAGCCTAAGCCATCCACCTCCCTCAATGCTTCAATAAGAGACATTCGACAAAATGCGGCTTCAGGCGGCGCTCTTCTTCGCTGCGTGCCTATCGCCCGTGGCAGCTATCTACAATGATGAGGTTAATCACATCGACTTCCACCACGCTCTCCTCGGTTCCCCCTCCCCCGACTCGACCTTCTTCCTCAAGCCATCTTCGACCTCCAATGCCTCCCTTCTATACACAATTTCCGATAAGCTACTAGTGGGTGCCATTAATCCACGCGACGGAGCTTTGTTGTGGCGCCAGAACCTCTCGCGGTCGGCGGACTTGCCGGCGCGCGGGGGTCTTCTGCGTGGACTGGATGGCAACGACGCCGTTGTTGGCGCAGCGGGTAACTACATCTCGTCGTGGAGTGCCCAGGACGGAAAGTTGGTATGGGAAAACCGATTTTCCAAAGGTGTGGTTGCGGATCTTGAGTTGTTGGAGCTTGAGGACACCACCGCGACCCCCGGAGTTCGTGATACCATTGCGGTGGTTGACAGCGAAGGCTCCGGTATCGTGAGACGCTTGGATGGCAATTCTGGAACCACGACATGGGAATACAAGGATGAAAGGTTAGTTATCTAGTTGATTGCTGTTGTTCAAGCTAATGGGTTGCTCTCTAGTGGTGACATTCCGTTCCAAGTGTCATCCTCCCCGACAGAGATCTTCTATATTTCGCTCCAGTCGGCTATGCTGAAGGGATACAAGATCAAAATTACTGTATTGGATCCAGTTACTGGAAAGCAAGTTCGCCAGCAGGTTCTTAACTCAGAAAGCGACGTGGCTACCCCGGAGTCCGTCCTTTTCGTCGGCGCCAACACTGCCTCTCCTATCATCGTTTGGTCCGACAAGTCGCAAAAGTCCCTGAAGGTTAACGTCATTGGTACCAAGGAAATCACCTCGGTCGCCATTGACAATACCTCCGGCTCGGAAGTCTCCAAGATCACAGTCCACGCTGCACACAAGATCAACGCCCTTCCCCATTTCTTGGTTCACTATACCACCGAAACTGGAGCGTGGGCTGAGGTTTTCCATGTAGACATGAAGTCCTCGAAGCTTGCTAAAGCTTACCAACTGCCTTATCTGCCTGGCCAGTCGGTGGTTGCGACGAGTGTTATTGACGCCAATGTCTTCTTCACTCGTGTTACGGATTCCGAGGTCATTGTTGTGTCTTCCGCCTCACATGGCATTCTGGACCGCTGGGCTCTGCCAAAATCTTCTGACGCTGCTCTGCACGCTGTCTCTGACCTGGTCACCAGGGGAGATTCCGTGTCTGTTCGGTCAGCCGTTTTCCGCGAGCATGGTGATTGGCAGCTTGTTCGAAATGGCCAGATTGAATGGACCCGCACCGAAGGTCTCATTGATGCTGTTGCGGCCACCTGGGCGGAAGCCGATGCCCAGGAGGACCTGGCTCATGAACTAGAGGTTGAAGGTCATGAGACAATTTACGGAGCATACATTCACCGCGTGAAGCGTCACATCCGTGACTTGCAATACTTGCAGAACTGGCTGAAGCACATTCCTGAGCGTGTCCTGAGCAGCATTCTCAGCGATGAGGTAACCAATCTCGACAGCTTTGGCCTTGCTACTCCTGTTATTGTTGCCACAAAGAACGGCCGCGTTTACGCATTGGATACCGGTAAACATGGTGCCGTTTTGTGGAGTGTTCAGGCCGTAGAGACTTCCCAGTGGGATGTTAAAGCTATCTTGACTTCGCCAGGCACCGCCACCATTTACCCCAACGATGGAAGCTCTGTGACTCTGAAAGTCTCGACAGGTGAAATTATCTCGCGTACTGCCTCCTTGGACAGTAAACTTCACTCGATTGCTGTCTTCGGCGCTCAGGAAACATCGTCATTGAACACCGTCGGTGTCCGTGAGGATGGTTCTCCAGTTAACGCATTCGACGAGGTCAGCGGGTTCTTGGTAACTACCAGTGCCAACGGCCGAGTCCTTGGTTGGATCGCAAAAGACAACAAAACTCCTGTCTGGGAATTTGTCCCTCCATCGGGGCAGAAGGTTGTCTATGCCACTTCTCGCCCTGCTCATGACCCTGTGGCATCCATCGGCAAGGTCCTTGGCGACCGTTCGGTTCTGTACAAGTACCTCAACACCAACCTGGCCCTAGTCACCGCAGTGAATGACAAGACCAGCACCGCTAGCTTCTATCTGTTGGACGGTGTCTCAGGCAAGGTCCTACACGCCACTACTCAATCAGGCGTGGACACCACACAGCCCATCGCATCCGCAATGTCTGAGAACTGGTTCGCCTTCTCATTCTGGGGCGATGTCGATGCCAATGAATCCTCAGCCAAGGGATACCAACTCGTCATCTCTGAGCTCTACGAGTCCCCCTTCCCCAACGACCGTGGCCCTCTCGACTCTGCTGGCAACTACTCCAGTCTCCACAGTAGCGTTGAGAGCCCACCGCTGCCCCATGTCATCTCGCAGGCCTTTATGATCCCCGAGCCCATCTCCCACATGACTGTCACTCAAACCCGCCAGGGAATCACCACCCGCCAGCTCCTCTGCACTCTCCCCTCCTCCAACTCTATCGTTGGAATCCCCCGTCCAGTCCTCGACCCCCGCCGCCCCGTAGACCGTGATGCTACTGCTGCCGAGACCGAAGAAGGTCTCTTCCGCTACGCTCCTTACTTCGACTTTGATGGCAAATGGTACCTCTCGCACGCCCGCGATGTCGCCGGCATCAAGCAAGTGCTTTCTCGTCCTACCCTGTTGGAGAGCACGAGTCTCATCTTCGCCTTTGGTAGCGATATCTATGGTACTCGCGCCACACCCAGCCAGGCATTTGATGTCCTCGGCAAGAGCTTCTCCAAATTGCAGCTCGTTCTTACTGTGGTGGCACTCAGTATTGGTGTCGCCATTTTGGCTCCGATGGTATGTTTCCCCAACCCTTATATGGCTTTCAAAGATATCATGGCTGACATTTTTCTTCTTTCTAGACTCGGAGAAAGCAGGTCAATGCTTTGTGGAAGGCTACATAGGCTCAGCTGTCTTAGTTGATATAACTGTTTGCTATTCTGTGTTGTAGACTAATGTACACGTTCGTTGCAAATCCTTTTAATGCAGCATGTTCTTCCATTTTCTTAAATCAACGGAGTAACCTTGATCATTAGTCCTCAAAAGGCAACCTCACTATGGTCGTCTTGAGGACTTGAATCCCCTGCTTTAAGAACGCATACTTCGTAGAGGTAAGCCGAACAACGTCTAGGAGCAAGGCTAGAACAATAGAACGCGATAGTTGAAAATTTCAGCACCCAGTCCGATAATTGTTTACGAGCCAGGATATTTACTGTAGGTAGTGAAAGAAGAACAAATCAAGTGAATGAATGACTGGTATAAATCGTTATTCAACTCGTAAAACCTAACGCCGAAAAGATGAGTTTGCAAAAAGCAACGTATGAACATGAACATAAAACTTCAATCCCACATGACATGCAAATCCTATATCTAGGATCATTTATCATTCATTCATCCCAGGCCCGACGAGCCCAAGAATGATACCCCAGAAGAGGCAGAAGGAGCAAAATAGAACCTCCCTCGACTCGCCCAAGCACAAGTAACAAAAAGCACTTTTTAGTAGTCGTCATCTTCAGGGTTGTTGCGGATCTTCTTGGCCGCCTTCTTGTTCGCCTTGAAGTGCTTCTTGGAGTTAGCGCTCCGCACCTCAGAGACATCCACGCCACGCTCTAGAGCAACCATCATACGCTCTTTGCGGCCTGTGGGTGCCTTGCGAATCTCCTGGCCCTGCTTGGTGTACTGAGACTGGAAGGGGAGAGTCATGCGACCGGCAGAAGGGCCAGTCGCTGTGCCGAAGAAACCGGAGTCGAGGTTGCGCGAGGTACGGCCGAGCTCAGGCTCCACTGTGGGCACACTAGACGGGGCGGCAAGGACATCCGCGTCAATGTCATCTTTGACCATGGCCGGTGAAGCTGGCTTGCCAATCTGGGCTTGTGAGAGCTGGTTGCGACGTCTTTCGGGGAGATGGTTAATGTCATAGAGCTCTTTGTTAAACTCGTTCACATCGATGGAAGCCTCACCCTCCGCGGTCGGGGGTGGGTGGACGTAGAGGAGTTTTCCGTTGACGTAATCCTTCAGAACGTAACGGGCAGCGCGAGACTCATCTGGCTGACCAAGACCCTGAGTAGAGAAACCACGAGCACGAGCGTATGCACGGAGAATCTCGCTGGCAGTTGGGATGCCAGTACCACCTTCTTCGATGGGGCGCATGCGCAGCTTGACACCGTACACTTGTTCGATGAAGTGCTTGGGAACACGCTTGGCAACGAGGCCGGCGGGACCGGTGAACTCACGCTGCTGATCAATGGGCAGCACACCGTTGACGACAAGCTCGGCCTTGGTAGTAGCGAAGTTGGGGAACACCAGACCAGGACAATCGCAGAGCATGATCTCGGGTGATAGGTACAAGGTCTGGAAGTGCTTGGTCTTACCAGGAGTCGCAGAGACGGAAACCTTCTTGGCACCGAGCAAGGCGTTGATTGTGCTGGACTTACCAACGTTAGGGTATCCAACGAGACCGATTGTGGTCTTATGCTTGGGCTGCTCGCCAGACTCGTCGTCTTGTGGCTTTTCAATAGCGTTGGCCAAAAATAGCTCTTCCAGTTCTTCTGTGTCCAAGATGTGAGGACCAAGCGAGCGATCTGGGTCGGCGAGCTTGGCCTTTTCTTCTTCCACTGTGTCCTCCTTGCGGTATCCATCATCCTCGCCTTCACCAACACTCATGTCCTTGATCTTGTTGGCAAGTTCCTCATTCCCCTGAGCCTCTGCTTCCGCAAGGGCAGCCTCGATCTTCTCCTTTGCGAGGTGAGCGGAGAAGAAACGGAAGTTAATGTTGTTCCGCTCAAAGTACTCGGCCCAGGCCTCTCTTTGCTTGAGAGTCAACATATCGGCCTTGTTGACCAACAGCAAATTCTTCTTTCGCGGGTCAATCTCCTTGACGTAGGTCTCCAAATCTTCGGAACGGAACTGCAGCGGGTTACGAGCATCGACAATCTGGACGACCAGATCGGATCGCTCAATAACACGCCACAACTGACGCCAGACCTCCAAGTTGCGCTCGAAGGGAGTCATAAGAAGATCATGGTACTCCTGCAACTCCGCCAGTCCTCGCCGCCAGTCCAACAGGCTTTGTTTTTCCATAGCTTCCAATTCATTGCGAGTTGTAGATTGGTCCCACTTGGGTCGTCGGGGCACGGTCAATCTACCCTTGTTCTTCTGGTGCTTCTTGACGGCGTTCTTCTCCTCGGTAGGAGTGAGGAGGAAGGGATTCTTCTGGTCGGAATGAATAATCTTAACGTTGTTGATTTTTTCAGCGGTAAAATCGGTTCCGGCGAGTTCAGCAGTGCTCAGGAATTCGTCGAGAGCGGCCTGCTCGGTGATAGAGCGCATCTTCACCCATGATGCCTCCTTGGCTTCGTTGGTAACGTAGGTCTCACCATCCATGCCCTTTCGCGCAATAGAATTGTTGTGAGAGACCTTCTTCTGGCTAGACGCTTTGCCCTTGCCAAAGCGGTCATTCATGAGACTGCTTCCCAGCCCCACATTGTTCTTGGATTTAGCCAGCACCATGATGGCAGTGACTTCAAAATGCGAAAAAGTTGTAGAGATGAAAAAAGTGTCAACCCCACCGAACTGAAGGGAATTTTGGATTATTCAGACGGATAAGATAACGCTGACTCAGCCCCCTCTATCGCGTATACTTCACTGATTTTTAGGATCTTTACAGATATATAAGTTATAAGTGGTTTTGCGCAGATGGTATGGACATTTATGGGTCGATATTTCCAATACTACATATTAGGTCTACATCAAGGAGTTCTATATACTAAGCAGGGTGTCGGTCGAGGGGATCACACAGATATTGGCCTATCACGAGCCCAATGAGTACCCAAGTCCATAAGCGAATGTGCACAGTGAAAAAGTACAATCCTATAAACACATCAGAAACCAAAATAAACTTGGCCCTTAGAATTATAATAGCGATTTTCACGAAACTTCCAAGTTCCTCGAGGACCCCGGAGAACGAGGGGCGATAAGGCTGCACGTGATCCTATCAATCCCACTTTTCTTCTTTTTTTCTGCGAAAACCAACCTTTAACCAAGCCCAACATGCCGCCCAAACAGTGGATGTACGTTTAAAGCCAAGAGTATGAATGTACCGGGACTGACGAATCTATAGTGACAAGAAGAACGCGAGCACCTTCCAGCTCTTCCACCGGTCTCAAAATGACCCGTTGATCCACGATACTGGTGCGGACGACCGCGTCCTGCACCAAATTTCTGGTCCCGTTCCCGCTCCGTCTTCATCGAGATCCGCGACGAAGCCCTTGCGCAATCTCCACGATCTTCAGTCCGAGTTTGGCGACAGTGCTCGCCAGAACGAGGGCGAGGCTGCCAATTATGGTGTCTACTACGATGATTCCAACTACGATTATATGCAGCATTTGCGCGAACTGGGACATGGTAGTGGAGATACCTACTTTGTTGAAGCCAAGCAGGAGAAGCCCAAGGGCAAAGCCAACAAGGGGTTGAAGCTGGAGGATGCGTTGCGACAGGTCTCACTGGACGAGAGAGAAGCTGATGCCCAAAGCGCTTTCGGTGGTAATAGTCTCTACGGCTCTGAATACGGCGATATGCGATCTACTGCGTCGTCATATGTTCGCCAGCCGACATACCAGGACCAGCAGAACATCCCTGATGCGATTTCTGGGTTCAAGCCCGACATGGACCCCCGCCTACGAGAGGCCCTGGAAGCGCTCGAGGATGAGGCGTTTGTGCAGGAGGGTGATGATGAAGATATCTTTGGTGAACTGACCGCAAATGCGGAGGAGATTGACCAAGGTGATTGGGAGGATTCTCTCTTTGACCATGACGACGAAGACGAAGGATGGGAGTCGGATGCCACCGAGAAGGCACCCGTGCAGAGGGATACCACAGAATTCATGGACGAGCACCTTCCAGAAGCCACTGAGGCGAGCACTCTGGAGCCCGGCGAGATGCCTGATCACGATCGGCCAGCTCCCGATATTGCCCCAACCGACCAGGGATGGATGAACGAGTTCGCCAAGTTCAAGAAAGACGCAAAGGCTGGCAAGGCTGCCGCACCCGCAGCACCCACAATTGCACCCTCGCAGACGATGGCATCGACTGTGTTCACTGCTGGTGGTACACCAATTCGTCGCAAGAAGCGCAAGGGTGCTTTGACCAACCCCTCCGCATACTCGATGACATCTTCCGCTCTGGCTCGTACTGAAGGACACCGTCTTTTGGACGACCGATTTGACAAGATGGAGGCCCTCTACGCTCTCGATGAGGAAGACGAGTATGACGACAGCATGTCGATGGTCAGTGGAATGACCGGCGCAACCGGTATGACAGATATGTCGGCCATATCCGAAGCTCCCAGCCTGATCGACGCCAGTGGAAGAGAGATTCCCAGTCACAGCAGCTTCAACAGCGTGATGGACGATTTCCTTTCTAGCTGGGACCCCAACACCAGTGCTCAGGCCAAGCGCAAGGGTGCTAAGAACAAGCGTGGCAAAAACGGTAACGAGGCCATTGGTATCAGGAACCTCGACGAGGTGCGCTCTGAACTTGGTCCTGCTCGCTTCAGAAACGGCAAGGTCCCCGGAAGAGTTTAGATGAGACTCCGCATTGCATATGAGACGACGCTCGATGGAACCCTCCCCCAGTCATGACACGGCGTTTGGCTTTTGCTTTTATTCTTTCTATTTTCATATCTGCATTCCCGTGCGTTAGGGTTGATATCTCTTCATGGCTAGACCAAAAGTTTTGTTTATGTCTTCATGTTCTATTCTATATCAATCTCCTTACTCTCCACGGACGAGTACTGTTTGTACCACAGCCCACGAATTCACCCGTAATGTATTGATATCATCCAATTGAGATTCCTGTTTTTCGTCATAGTGCACGGCCAATATTCCCTCCTCTCGTGCAGCTTGAACATCACGACGCTCATTATCACCGAAGTAAACAATGTCCCCCGAGGGTATCCCATACTTCTCCAAGACAATTCCATACATCCCATCCACTTTCGATCTGCCAATTTCATTTGTCGTAACAAGCACATCAATATACCGCCATAGCCCCAGTTCATGAACCGTCCACTCTTGTGCATCCGCTGGCCCCTCGGTAATGACAATGACCCGCTTCCCCAAGTATCTGAGAGTCTGTAAAAGCTGCAAAACACCAGGTTTCAGTGCGAGACTTTGGCGCAGAGAATCCCGATATAGATCCAACAGACGATCCAGTAGAAGGTTGCCAGGCCCGAGGAAGTGATTGAGGCCCATCAGCCCGTGTACCTGGAGAAGGCGCCCAAATCGTTCACGTCGATACTCGATTGAAGTTCTGCCATCTGTGAAGGCATTGGCAGTCGTGAGGCGCAAAATTTCACTGTATGTGGCTTTGAGGGTATCAATGCTGATCTGGGGATTTGAAGAGTGGATTGCCTCGAAGACGTGGGTTGAGGCGTGGGTTGAGGCTCGTCGGAATTCGTGAAGTGTGTCATCCAAATCAAAGCCGTACCAGCGTTTTCCTAGGACATGTTGAAGAAACATGTTTTTGCTCCCGGTTGGGTAATTATTGTGCAGGTGAGTGAAGATGGAATAAATGTATCGATGCGTTTTGATTCGAAAGATGATGTGATAAACATCAAATATCACACCAATCTATATAGTTCGCTATATTACAGAGTGTCTATTGTCCCATAGTATACAAGAAAGAAAGAAGAAAAGAAAACTTAAAAGGCACCGCCGACCTTCTCCACGATCCACATGGAGAGTCTCACGTTCCATCCGACTCGTCTCTCCGTTCTCATCAAGTCATCCCTCGAGACAGGGCTGGCGTCCTTCTGGAGTCGCTCTGTCTCCTCGCCCAGCTTCTGCTTGAGATCCGGGTCGTTGGTTACAACCAAAGCACCGGTTTCAATGTCAAGACTGTAACTGCGCTTCGTGTAGTTACTGCTACCAACGAACGTGAGACTAGGGTGTTCTTCGTTGGGAAGGGTGACCCAAAGGCCCTTGGCATGGTATGTCCAGCCTCCTGGCGTGCCGACAGTACCCTTGCGCCATTCCTTGAGCTGAATGGAACTCGTAGCCTGTGCCTCGGCAACACGGTCGAGGAATCGTGCCGAGAGGTGGGTGTAAGCGGCAGGAAGCATGCCTGAGATTCCGGGAGAGCCGTAAAATCCATTCGCCCACGGAGAGGCTGTCAAGACTGTGCCTTGTGTGGTAGAGGGATTGTGCTGGGCAGCGGAAGTACTGGAAATCAAGAGGGAGGAAAGAACGGGGTGGATATTGAAGTATCCGGCCGTGAAGAGCCAGCGGGCACCGGCGAAAGCAGACGAGCCGGACAACATACGCAGGATCGTTGTTACGGCAGGGTATTCTGTAGAGGTATCCTCGGGTTTCAGGAGCGGCGTGAACTGCGACACGGGATATACAAAAGTTTGGCTGGATTCTGATAAATCAGCGGGTTTATTGTCAGATGCCTCAATGAGCGGTTTCAAAAAGGTCGAGGAATAAGCAACGAAGTCCTGGGGACTCTCGAGAGGCGATGGTGCCTCATTTGAGCTAGGCCAATCCAAGATATAGGACTCATTCTCGGGGTCTGGCAGAACCTGGAAACTCAGACTGCAGATTGCGTGGTGAATTTGAGCATAGTATTCGGTCAGCGCCTTGGAGGCAAAGACATGATACCGATCCAAGCGACTCGTAAAGTATTCTTCAGACAGATTTGCACTGAGATATGTCAGTATTATACGCTGGCTGATCGTTCGAAGGGGACGTACCCTGAGAGAATAATCTCGTCATCGATTCCATAAAGCTTCATGTGTTGCAAGCCCCAGCCTTCATTGATTCGACGAGGAATCCATTGCTTCCTCAAGCCAGTCAAGTTGGGCGTATGGAACATCCGAACTTCAACCCGCTCCGGACCGTACTTCTCGACTAATGAACAAAGGAGTGATGCGCATGAAGGGTCCGGGGTCTCTCGTGTACCGCGCAGAGCATCCGTCAGAACAGAAACTTGCAGATCCGGGTTATCGCGAAGAGCCTGGCTCAATGTATTGATCAGGTCGAATTCCGTTTTGCCAATATATAGGGTGGAAAGGTAAACACGCCGCCGGGCTTTGAGGATTTTATCCTATGCAGTCGCGAATTAGTAAATGCGCTTCGGGGGCTAGTAGTACAGCCAACGCACCTTCAATGTTGAATAGAAACTCGTCGGAGAATCAATAATAGTAATATGCGACGCAGGCACCTCAAATCGGGGAGCAATGCGATCTAGCTCGGAGGTGATTCCTGCTAGTGGTGAAGGAGCGGATGCAGCAGTGGTAGCACTGGTACCGGACTGCGCAGAAAAGTTGCGAGCGTATAGCCTCGGGCGCGCAGCTGGGCGACGCCCCGCGCTACGAAGCGCCTGTCCTCCAATTCGGCCAAACATGTCTAAGGGACGAGAGTTGAGGGTTCTTCTGAATCGGGAAATCAGCGAAAGGGGTGCAAACAGTGCAAACAGACACACTCCGGCAACCTCAAATCACCAATCTCTCGCATCCCATTCGCTCCACATTGAACAGCAAAGATGTCGACTATTCTGAGGACGCTGCGTAACCTTCGCCGAGTTGGTCTCAAGGTTTGTCTCTTTCTGGTTCTTTCTCTAGGGAAATTCGGTCGCTAACTCTGCCACTTAGGATGCTGGACACCAGATGCAGGTATGATCGCGGACACCTCTCCCAGCGGGTTGGGACAATTGCATGCGATCGAGACTAACTTAGCTGTCTTTGCGCTGTGATTTAGTACATCGGTATGTCGATCTTCAATTGGTGCTTATGCTGCAATTGACTGACAACTCACGCTATTCCAGGTGATACCAAGGCCGGAACTCTGATCGGAACTGATCGCTTCGGAAACAAGTACTTCGAGAATATGGAGGAGGAACTGCCTCGTAAGACAACCAGCTCTTCTTGCAGGCGATTGTAACAGGGCACCCGGATTGCTAATTGTCTTTTGTTTAGTCCGTACACGATGGGTCGACTACAAGGAGGCCGAATACGACGCATCCCACATTGAGCCCGGCTGGTAAGCTCTTTTCTCGGGACACAGGGGCAACCTTTCCCATGAACAGTCAAGACTAATGCACGTTTAGGCACGCCTGGATCTCCTACCTTGTTGACGCGCCCCCACACGCCGACAAGATTATGCAGACTGGTATCCGCCCTTGGGAGCTGCGCGAGCACCGCGCCAACCCGACCCTGAGCCGTGCTGCCTTCAAGACTTACTCTACGTACGTCCGGCCCTTTATGCTTCCCTTGGATTTAACCCGTGCGTCGACTGACTTCGCTTCCAGTACCAAGCCCAAGATCGCTGCCTGGGTTCCCACAGCTGCTCCGCGGTAAATCAATTTGCAGTAGCAGAATCAATCCAACTTCCGTGCTGTTCACCTGATCCCGTTTCCTTTTGGACCCGCTGGCAACGTAGTTGTCTATGTGGGAATTGTATATAAAGACGTCTTACCAGTAGTGTTTGTTTTTTTACGAAGAGAGTCCATTCTCGAAAATCCGCTTCAATTAAAAAAAGCTCTTTGCAACCATGTAGTTCACATGCCAGTATCAACAAGATATCTTGGTTGTTGAGAATCAAATAGAAAAGCGTTGCCAGGGGGAAATGAGTTAGATACAAGAAGATATTAACACCCAAGATTTTGCTTCCTTTAAAGGACATAAAGACCGGAGCCGATGTTTGACCAGTGACGAATAGGTCGTCTGTCCTCTAGTTCAATGCACCACCACAATACTTCCTTCAGCTTCTCGACTTGCTCGCCGGCCTCATATGCCCTAGACAAAGCATACCATGCCTCAGAGCTGTCCCAGGAGCTACCGAGCTTTGTCAATGCCGAAAGGAGACCGTAGGCACGATCCCGGGCCGCAAGACGATGAAGCTGCTGAGGCTCGACATCGTGTGCGGAGGAAGGCGCCTCATCAGGTGCTGCATTCTCAGTCTCCCGAGATACCTTCAAATCATCAGTTGAGATGGCCTTGGCGGACTTAGGTTTGGGAGTCTCTGCGAGTAATGACAGACGCGAAACGTTGAGATCCACATCTACATTCAATGGCTCGGGGGAGAGAGTCTGATCCCAGATGTCTAGCAGCAAATTAGCCAGTCCAATGGTTGCCACTGGGTGGTCCTGGCAGCGTAAGAGGGCTTCCTCGTAGTGTCTGATAGCCTGATGAGGGTTCAAAGCAGCCTGTGCCAGGAGCCCCTGTTCGGCGGAAACATCGGCCCAGAGTTCTTCCGAGCTCTTTGACGACCCCCAGCCACGCTTGCTGAACGAGCGAGCTGACGATTCATGTGATGCAACAAGTGTTTCAACTCGTGCGGCTTGCTTCAAGGCTTCTTCGCAAGCTTCACGTGCATCATCTAACAGTGATGCGCGACGGTAGAGTCCGGCTATGACCAGCCAGATTCTGATAAGGAGACCCAGAGCATGCTTCTGGGATTGAACGAGGGAGAACTTTGTCACAGCACCGGTGGGAGAATCAAAGCGATGGGTGACTGGAAGCCGAATATCCTGCTGTGGCGGTTGATGCTCGTGCCCGGCAGGAAGAGGTTCTTGTTTGTAATTAGTGTTATGTGCCATTGGGGGCAGAGATTGCTTGCCCTTGGAAGGATAAGTTGCCGCCTCTGGTGACGTGTTGCCTGACATTGCAATGCCAATCATGTCTGGTGAAGTTGCACCTCCAGGAAGTGGAGGTTCCTCAACGCGTGGCCTCTCATTACGATGGAAGCTTGAGGCTCGCTTTTTAAGTCTCTTGGAGTCTGACCGTCCAATTATGGAGGTCTTTTCCTTATAGCTGTGAGCGTCTCCATCCGTGATTTGGATTGAGGGAGCTTCCGCTATGTGACCATTGGGAATAGCTGGTGTGGGTGGGATAAAGTCAGAGCCGTTAGAATTATCAGCACGTCGATCTGGTAGCTGTGACGCTCTGTGTCGACTGAAGATGCTACCACGGAAGCTTTTGGTGGTGCCAGCGGAACTTTTTGGTGGCACCAAGTGGTCTGATTTGCATTTGGATTCTTCGGTTTCGAGGTTGAGATCATGGAAAAGGGTGCCAAACAAACTCAGTAGTTGCTCGCTGTGGTTTACCGCAGCCTCTGGGCCGTCCAGCAGTTCAACAAACGCAAGCTGTGTGATGCGAGTTTGGATGATTCGTTCCTTTTCTCTGCCTGATAGACGAGTAAGAAGAGGGCGCTGTGTTTCAGAGCTGTGTGAATTTCTCGATGACCACTTTTCGCGGTGACTTTTGGAGAAAATTTCCTTTGGAAATTGTTCAAATGCTGCTTCGCACGAACGCCCGGCAATCTCGAATTCTTGCTTCGCACTCAGCAATAGTGCAAGTAAATGCCACAGAGACACCAAATCACGGTCCTTGGACAGATCTCCAGCAACTTCAAGGGATGGCCCGCTCGGTGTCAAAGCGGATTTGATGTAGTCAATTGCAGTGTCTAGATCTCTGTTCTCAGCCAAGACCAGACCCAGGGTGTAGAGAGATGAATAACTCGAGCTGTTTCCTAATTCTGGCTCAAGACTCTTCTCTAGGTAGTCGATCGCATCTGCTCGAATTTCATCACGCGATTCATTTACAGGTGTCCAACTGGCCCAACTGGCAAGTCCCACTCCCACAGCCCGATAGGACAAGGCCAACACAGACAGAGGAATACCTGATGATTTTGATGAGTTGCCATTGACTTCGCCGTTGGTAACAAGAGCATGTTTGTCAACATACTCCCGTATCATATCAGTCAAATCGCGGGCTCTTTCTGCCTCCTCAAAGGAGCCGTGGCAGGTCAGCAATGTCACTCCTTCAGATAAGGTCTGCAATAAGATTTCGTCCTTCTCCAATTCACCTGACTCGGCGGACTTTTCTGCCCTCTCTTTGGCCGCAGTAACAATCTCAATATAAGAATCAAGTGCCTTCACGGCAAGCTCAAAGTCAGCCAAAGAGGCATGGACGTGGAAAAGACGGCGGAGGATCAGGTGAGAATGATAGGTCTTCGTTGCTGCACGATACAGAATCTGATCAAAAAAAGGTGGTTAGCCAGTCTCATAGGCCACGCGTTCGCCTGAACTTACATCCAAGACATTGCGACCAACAGCATTCTGGCCACCTTCGCCAAGATCTGAGTCCTGCCATTCAGGGCCGCATAGAATTTCCCAATTGCTGATTACTTGCTCTACCCATTCTTCGACTTGATTGTTCTGGGAGCTGGCAGTGGGAAACTTAACTTCACGGAGGAGATTGCCCTCACAGATGGCTTCCACACGGCGCAATTCACTGGCAAGCTGCGGACGATCAGGTCCATCATTGGGGCCAGTGTATACAAGTCGGTCGTGTAGGACAATTGTAAGAAAGCCGTAGTAGGAAGTCCATACGGACGACCGAGAAACCGTACCGGATCCGTCGGCATTTGACGATCTGGTGGGATTTCCTTGCTTGACAAAGGGATGAGAAGCCCACAAACGCAGCAATCGCAAAGCAACATGAACCTGCTCAGGATCCGAGTATAAAGTCCTCTTGCTCGCCTCTTCACTGGCCAAAAGAGCGCCCTTGCCCAGGAGGGACTCGGACCATTCCAGGAATTGAGGGGTGGTGATCGACGTGAGCTTGTTGCTGCTCAGCCACGGGACTATAGATCCAAATGTGTCTAATGTCTCATCGATGCTGGAAACATTAGATTGTGCAATGCCTTTTTCGTGTTAGTACAGTGACATTAAAACATAGGGTAGGTAAACATACCCTTGATGTAGCATCCCTTCACAAGACAGACCTCCGTCCACGCAGTCGGAGCTTCTCCTCCACCAGCCAAATTGTCAACTGCCTCCGAAAAGCTCGCAGGAAGACGCGCCGCTGCAAGCGCAGGCTCATTCAAGACCCAATGAATCCATCCCAAACAGACCTGGGCCTGTAGTAGTTCTTGTGGTGACCCGTCGTTGTTCTCGATGGTCATTAAAAGGGCCGGAATCAGCTCGACAATATTGGGAGAAGAGGACGAGTCGTCGCCGGACGACCTTTGTTGGAGATACGATACCACGCGCAATTCGGCAGTAGCGGTCTGTATCACACCTATATTGATATCTCTGTCAGTTCAAGATCAACAAAGGCGGGGCTCAGCGTACAGGTCTTTTGCGGTGCATGTTTTGTGACTTTCCGAATCAGTTCTGGGACCTCATCCCATTTCCCTTGACTTCGCGCCTGGTCTAAGGCCGCAGTGTAGCGCTGCCCTTTCTCGGCATTTCCTCCCTAGCACGTGTTAGCGATGAATACTGGCTTGTATTGGTGGTTTTTGAAGTTGTATAGCAGAGTCACTGCTCGACAAACAGCAGGACAAGTACCTACAGCCATGGTTCAAAAGGGTAGTGAGTGGTGCAGGAAGGGAGAGGAGCATTCCAGGCCCAACACTGTCAAGTTCCACGCTGATGATCCTCCAGGGGTGGAGAGCGATTACGTACGTGACGGTAATTTACCACCGAGGCTTCATGTGGTCCGAGCGTTGGCAGAAAAAAGTTGGAGATCTTCTTCTACTTCAACTTCATTGTTCACGTTTGGGTCTTTTTTCTTTCAGGCCAATCATGACTTCTACTACCCTGCGCGCCGTGACGCATCGTCTGACGACTACTCCAGTTGATCAATTGCCACCTATTGCTTCCTTCCTTGCGACTTCGTTGACTGATTGCGCCGCATTGCTGTCTGCTCCGCAAGCCCAGAAAGGCAAATCCGAGTCCGACAATGCGGTTCAGATCCATAAGTTGAAGACTCGGCTGGCAAGTCTGCTGCAGGACCGCACTATTGAAGGAAGATGGACAGCTGTTGTGCTGGTGAAAGCTACCGTCGAGGCTGGTCAATGGGAAATCTTGCGCGGATATGAACCAATTGTTCGCGGTTTGATCAGCATTCTGGCTAAGCCTGATCCAATCTCCACGAGGAAGATGTGTGTTATTACTCTCACTCGTATCTTCCACCTCACATACCAGTACCCAACGCTCGTCCGAGAAATCACCACTCCGCAATTGCCAGGATTCATCACTGCCGTCTTGAACTTGGTTTCTGTAAATACGAAGACGTCTTCAGGTTCGACACGCAAGCCGAAGCCAAACACCCCATTCATGGAAATTGTGCTATGTGCCTTGCTGGAGTTGATCCCCAGACATGCCACCATCTTCCGTCCATTCGGCTCTCAGCTTCGAACCCTGCTCGCTGAGGTTGTCGGTACTTCCTCGCCTGCCTTTTTCCCGGAGCATGTCGTCGATTTGGCAGAGCAGGTTCTTGTCTCCCTTCACAAGTGTGCACCAAAAGACAAGGCTGGCTCCGGATGGAACGATGATTGTCGATCAACAATTCTGTCCATCCATCGGACAGCAGATCAAGTTTACCGCGCAGTGGTGGAACAATGGGAATCGGTTGACGCGAAACTAGTGTCCACCAGGTCAAATTATAGCGAAGAAATGAGCGATAAAGGACCAGATGGTCTGGGGCTTCCAGGCTGGACAGGATTGCACTCGGGCGTGGATCGGCTGGTTGCACTTCTGAGAATTCTTTCGGGCTTTATTTCTTCTCCGTCCGCGGCTGCTGTTGCTCTTCCTCTGGGATCTATTTTGGATTTGACATCCCGACTTACGTCTGTGACTGTCCCGCTAAACGGCGAGTCCCAGACCGGCATCCAATTTAACCAGGAAATTGGACGGGAAGAACGAGAGGGCCTTTGGCTGGAGCTTCCTCGTATTCACATCGCTTGTATGGGTTTGCTTTCCAAGGTTGTTGGAGTGTTGGAGACCAGCGCTACTTCAGTAACCCAGACCATTTTGGAGCAGGCCGTTTGGACTTTCCGGGGTGAGACCTTCAGCAAAGATGTGCGCTCTGCAGTCTACGCATTGCTGCGTTCCCTGGTGCCTTTGAACGGGCCCGCAATGTCTAAGCAGAGTGTGGCATCTCTGGTAAGCGTGATTCGCTCCTGCTGTCATGATCTTCTGCCGCCGACTGGAGATTCTACAGCCAACTCGGGCTCAGATCCGAAAACGAAGTCAAAGGGCGGTCAAGCTACTACAGCTAACGCCGACGCTTTCTTGAATCCTGAGCTACAGAAGTCTCGCCAGGCGCAGTCGGCTTCTCCATTTTTGAATCTTCAACAAAACGCCTCGGGCCTTTTGCAGGCTGTACTTAATTCTGTTCCCGCTGAGCTTGTTCCTCCGTCCACTCGCGCTGAGATTGACCGCACCATAATCTTGACCTCGGACAAAGATGCGATGCTCGCTAGCGTCCTCAACCCTGTGCCTGCAATCAAGGGCCGTGGAGCAAGCTCGAGCATCATTCCATTCTTGGCTCGCACTTACGCCGATCAGATGGAAGTGGAGGCGTTGGTCCGCCCCAGGATGCCTGTGTTGATGACAGCTCCTGAACTGGACGCTTATGTTGATGAGGACCAAGACGAAGACGAAGAGATGGCCGATGATGTATACACTGCTCCCCCGACTTCTGACTTCATGAAGCAGCCAGTGTCGATGCCTCTGCAAATGCCCAAGGTAGAGCAATCGAAGGCTGCCGATCCATTGCCCGCTTTCCACAAGCGCACCTTTACTGAGGAATCAACTGCTCATGGGCATGATTTCCAGAAGCAGGATACTAAGAAGGCACGATTTGAAGAAGTCACCCCGGTCCCTCAAGCGGATTCCACAATCACTCAGACTGAGGCTCCCAGAATCTCAGTTCAGGTCACCACCACCACGACCTCCGCGAATGGCTCAGCAGTGGCCTCGCAGCCTGCTGCCGCAGGAGCTGACGATGAGAGCGATGACGAATTGCCCACTCTGAACATGGACTCTGATACTGACGATGAGGATGACGATGTTACGATGGAGGGTTAGATTTTTAGTCATCGTCTCTGTGAGCTTTTAGAAATGCATTCTAGATAATGAACACCTGTCGTTCCGAATACAACCATGAGTTTAAAGAATATCGAAGTTATATTTGCAGCTTCATGCTGCTCAATTTGATCATATCACCCGGATTCCACTTCCCCAGTAAGTACCGTCGCTCCAATATCGAAACCACGGCTCTGTCCAGCACCACCATCCATGACCTTCAAGTCCGATTCCCAGCCCACGAAGAAAACTAAAAGGAACTGGCTCCATCAACCATAGTCCACCGCGCGCAAAGTCGTCCGCAACCAAAACCCCAGAATAGAACAACCAACAAAAGACGAATACAAAGTTGGCTGTCCGTTTTAGCCACCGCGGTGTACGGGCAAGAGGCAACAGCTGGGACATATATCTCTTAAACGCTTTCTCTCCCAGAATTCCAACACCCTGCAGGGAAAAGAACAAAAAGGGGCCCGATATAGGTTTCGTCTCTGTAAACTGTGTAAAGCTCCCACAAGCGTGCACAAAACCACTGACTGAGAATGCTACCACGATGAATGTAACGCGCCGGACTTGCGTTATTGATGACAGCTTGGTTGGAAGCAACGATAGGATCCAAAGCGCGGTGGCTGTAAACCCAAAACGGAAGAGCTGGTGCCACCACCGACCCCAACAGCCTGCCAGTCCATGATCAAGAATTGGCTCTAAGAAAGGCCCAAACGTATCGGCATATACCCATGCAGCCCCGAGTGGTGCAGCAGTGAGCTTCCTGGATGCATTAGGAAATGCAAGTGCTAATCCCAAGAAGAAGATCGGACTCAGGGCAGTCACAAATTCGAGGGCAGCGAAGACACCGAAAGCGCTGAGGAAGATATGGTAGAATTGAACCAGAAGTGGATGAATAGTGAGATAGGAGAATGGAAATGGTGGTGGTGAGTTCACTGAAGCGATGCCCTGGAAGTACGGATCTCGCATCATAACGACCTTTAGGAAATCCAACACAAGGTAATATTTCAAGAACGTTCGAAACGCTGCTTGGAGACGCTGCTTTCCACTGATATAAGTTGCATCATCTTGTGCTTTAACCCTGGCATACGAAAATCCTGAATGCAACTGAGTATGGACTGATTGGGGCAATGGTCCTAGATGGGGGGCTCGCCAATTCCATTCTGGCCCTCTAAGGTTGAAGAGAAGTCCAGCAGACCAGTCAAGTCGATGACCAATCTTTTCAGGGTATGACTGCCATACAAAGGTATTTGTGCAATTGTCTTTCTCGGTTTCATTCCGATCTTGAAGCTGTAGATCGACAGGCTTCCGTTCGATGCGCTTGAAATCACGCTCAAGGTCTGAAAATGCAAACAAAATAGCATTCCATATGAGCCACCATGCTGTCATCAGACCTAGCATGTAGCCATTGCCACCAATGAGAGCCCGCTGATTTCGAAAAGCTTGGATTGCGATAGCAATACATAGGACGAATACTCCTTTTCGAGCATATTGTCCACCTCTGCCACGAGGAAGAGCGAGACCTAACAATGGCAGTACATTGAACAACAAAACATGATACAAAAATACCGGTTTGTATGTTCCCTGCTTTAAGAGACCGTCTAACTCTATTTCATAGCCACGGATCAAATCCTTGTAGCCATCGGGGCTATCGGCCATGTGGGACACGGGGCAAATGCGCCTCGGCACCTAATATCGCGCTAAAGTCTCAGGGCTCCGAGACTTCGGTCCTTGTGAGTTTAGTGTCTGTCACAGGCTTGTAATGCCAAACGATCTTCAGGGATGAGATGAAATGAGGTTGGATTTGCGCATGTCACAAGCATGCATGGAAACAGGATACAGCATCATCACGTGCCGGTGGCCATCGTGGATGCCTCAGGCCGGACGCTCTTGTACTTTCAGGTCCATCCATTGGGCCTAGCAAGAAATTCATCTCTTTGGTATATAGAAATTATAGCCGTTTGTCAATAAAATTGTCAAAGAAGAAGATAATGAAGTCTCTAATTAACAATTGCAATGTGAAAATCATGAACCACTAACTTACTGGATAACATATAAACATGATCTGCTGTGCTCCATGACAATCAGGATCATTTTGTTCAACAAGAGGAATCAAAGATAGCTATCTTACCTCCACACGATCAGACATGCGTGCGTGACATTCGATTGAATCGGCAAGACTGTTGACCACAGCCTCGATAGGCTATCCAGATGTCGCTGGGCCCTTGGGAGGAGCTCCGCTAGAGCAGGACGGCGAAATTGGCACTGCACCCAAGTCTATTAACCAGCCGGAAGAGCTCTTCTTTGTCTTGACAAATCGTAGATTTCCAGATAACAATAACATCGTGCATAACTTAGCTTGGGCTTAGCTTTTGATAATCGCGAGTACCCCACGCTGGTTTACAACCCACTCAAATGGGAAAATAAAGCACCTGACCTGCGGAACCCTATACAACGCCATTCTTGGAGTGACTTTTTACTCAATTTTCTTATCATCAAAAGCGAAAATATGTCCTTCAACGAGATTAAAGGCCGTCTGGCTCTCATCACCGGCGCATCAGGAGGGTAAGTTTGGGCACAATCCCATTTTCTCAAAATAGAGCTGAGACATTGACATACAATCGTGTTGACTACAGAATTGGTGCAGCATGTGCACATCAACTTGCGCATCATGGAGTTCACCTCGCCTTGACATACTCCACCAATTTGTCATCCATGGAAGCTATTGTCACCGACATTCAATCCAAGTACACTCAGCACAAGCTGCGTATATCAATCCATCAAGTTGACGTTGGAGTTGTTGAACAAATCGAGGATATGTTTCAGCAAATTGATGCTGAACATGGCCAAAGACCCGACATCCTCATCTCGAATGCGGGATATGGGAAACGGATTCCTGACGTTTCGGAAATATCACTGGAAGAGTTTGATTACACCATGAATATTAACCTCCGCGCTTCGTTTATTATGGTCAAAGGTGTGGTGGATTATATGAAAACCCAGAAATGGGGTCGTATTATATTCATGTCATCAATCGCTGCACAAGGGGGCGGGATCAACGGATGCCGTAAGTTTTCCCTATCCAAGCACGCCTGCTTCCGCGAGAGAAAATTCTGATTTGATTTACTATATAGATTATGCAGCTTCCAAAGGTGGCCTCTCTGGTATGATGAAGAACCTCTCGACTCGCCTTGCAGAGCACAACATTAGTGTTAACGACGTTGCGCCGGCAATGATTGGTGACACTGGCATGCTCTCCAATGCTGCTGCATTCCCAGAGGTGGCGGCGAGTATTCCACTGGGGCGACTTGGAACGCCAGAGGAGACAGCGAATGTAGTCACAATGCTTGTGAAGACTGGATATATGACGGGTCAGAGTCTGCTGCTGGCTGGCGGGCTGAAATGAGTGTATTGATTTAAGCATGAATTCAAAAATAGAAACTGAATGTGTACTGTTGTTCTTAATATCTTGATACCTCAAGCTGTTTTTCAAAAAGTAGAGAATATAAAAGTCAAAGAATGCTTAGCACATTCCTGGTGTGAGGCGCATATCCACCGGCCTATATAACCAAAAACAGACATTCTAGATTCCAGCACGAGTACATTGGGTGAAGGACTGTTTTACACCCAAGGCAATATCTTCAACTAAAAGACTAATTCCCTGGTGGGACCAGGGCCGTCGACAATCAACATGCTTGATGATACAGTGCAAGAATTGAAAATTTCTTAATCAAAGTCAATTTAAATCGCTAAATAAAATTCAAACATAGCCATACGGCTTCAATATTTCAAACGCAGAGGTAAAAGAAAATCCACATGACTGTTCACACACATTGTAGTCAATCCTCTAGACAGGCAGAACAACCTTGACACCCATGTACTCCCGCTGGTGCATGATCTTACCATCAATGAGCACTTGATCAGCACCGACTCTATTGCGGACTTGGTCCGTGGGATCAGTAGCGGTAGCAATTTGGATTTCACGCCATTGCTTATTGGTAGGAACGAGTTTCCCTTGAGATGTGAGTTTCTTGAACTCTTTGTAGACACCTTGTTCTTCGATGCAGCCCTCTCGCTGGATAAGTGGCGAATCTAGGTTGAATATTTAGCTTCAATCACCCGACATATTCCCTGAAGTTAACGTACCACTTGCAGGACCCATTCGCAAGTCACCAACGGAGCTGTTGAACAGCACCAACGAGAGACGTTCCTGTTCCAGCTGATCAACAGGGGGCTTGTACACACGGTGACGAGTAGCCTTGAAGTGACCACCAGACACAATTTCAAGGGTATCTCCAATGTTGATGACAAGCGCACCGGGCTTGTAGGGCACATAATACCACTGCTCATCACGGCCCCAGATCTGAAGGCAAGAGATGGGAACGGAGAACAGGAGTGTAGTCAGACCAAAGTCAGTATGACCGTGCATACGCAGGCCCTTGGAAGCTTCCTGTGTCTTCTTCTGAACGGGACGGAAGAGTGCGTGTCGGAAGTATCCCTCGCCGGATGGGCTGCCGTGTGATTGCACATTGTCCCAGAGATAGTCATCCGGCAACTCGAGGACTCGAGAGAAGAGAGTGAGAAGACGGCGGTTGACGGACTTTGTAAGGTAGTTGGCGAACTCTTCGACCTCATCCATGAAGGGATGTAGACATGTTGGCACTCGGTTGATGTCTTGCCAGTCGGGCTTGTACCAGTTGAATTGCTCGATGCCGTCTTCGGGTCCAAGGTTGCGCTGATGAAGATTGAGTGTAAATATAGAATCTAGATAAGAGTCTCATACGAAGAGAGTTTATTCTTACCTTGAAGCCGTAAGGGTGCTTGTAACCAGACCAAACGCCTGTCTCTGGGTCGAAGAGAAGGCGCTGCTTGTCCTCCTCGCTGATGTTGTGATAAAGATATTGTGCAATAGAGAACTGGCGGTGGAGCTTTACGGCAAGAGAAAAGTCATTAATGAGTTTACTTTGATCAAGGGGATCGAGTTCTGTATTTACCTGCTCCAGAGAAACTCCATAGTTCTCAAGGAACAAGAAGCCATCATCGCGAATGGCAGTCTTGACCTGCTGAACAAGGTTGTCGACTACAGCAGGGTCATCTGAGTCCAGCAAAGAAAGATCAATGGAGCTAAGTTCGGCGAAGTTCTCCTTCTGCTGCGTGACAGGAGGCGGAACCCATGTGGGGACGAAAGGTTTGCCGGGGAGGTCGGCCGAAGGAGGGTTGAAAGGGGCCGAAGGTGCCATTGTACTATATATCAAAAGATGTTCTTGCTCTTGTGTTTGAAACTGATGATGATACTTGAAGTCAACCACTTGATTGAGTCTTATATCTTTATAATAAGGTCGTAAGATGCATGAAACCCTATGTTCTACATCCGACATCCGGGGAGCATACCCCACCGCGCTCGACTTGGTCTGGCGAGCTCCTCGAAAAGATTAGACGAGAGGAGCGCAAATTGTGAACGTGCTTTGTCCTCTATCTTTCTGCCATTAGAGCTCTCTCACTAATCACCATCCTCGATAAGTTACTTTGAGTTTTGATTTCTTATCCAGGTCCAGCTAATCACTTATCTTTGGAGAGCTGTTCTGTAATGCAGCACCCAGATAGAATATCAGCGTATCAGTGGATCTTGCTACAACCATTTAGTTGTTGACAGACATGCATGAGAGGAGTGGGAGGAGCTCCTCCCTATAGTAGTTTATTGGTGCCTTCCACTCCTCCCGGGCTTGGCATGGAGGTAACGGGATAGGGCTAGCGCGACATCTTTATCTCGATCTTGAGCTCCTCCATGTTGATCAACGGATTCGAGACTTGAAGCCAAATATCATAGTGATTGTGTAAATCAGATGAGGGGTAGCTCTTTGCCCCTCCATGCTGCATAATTTAAACACGTACAGCCCACAAAATTTCACTACCTCAAATATCTTTCATCCCTGAACACGTCCTCTTGTCTACCAATCTTCCTTTTTGAACTCTGCCAAAATGTCTCGCCAGCTTATTTCCAGCGAGAAGTTTCCTACCAAGCCTCACAACTGTGAGTACCTACTCTGAGCATGAGGTGCAAGCTATTGGAACTATTACTGATCAAACTTATTCAAGGTCCTGCCACAAAGGTCCCAGGTCTTGTTTTCTGCGCCGGTCAGACTGCCACAGGAGAGATCAAGCAGGCGACAGTGAGTCCTTTTTTGCAAATCAATGATCAACCTCTAGCATTAGCTAATTCTTAACTTTCACCCCAGAGAACGGTCCTGCAAAATTTGAAGGAAGTCCTCGAGCTCTCTGGATCCTCCTTGGAGCAAGTCGTTAAGTACAACGTCTACCTGGCCGACATGAAAGACTTCGCCGCCATGAATGAAGTGTACATCGATTTCCTCCCCCAGCCTATGCCCTCGCGCTCGTGCCTTCAGGCTGTTCCTCCCGGTGACGGCACTGTGATTGAGATTGAGTGCATTGCTCAGGCTTGAAGATTTAATGACCAAAATAAATGCAACATATAGAACAACAAATACAGTATTTCATTCACAAACCAGTCCATCACTTGGTAGTTACCTGTAATTCACGAGACTAACCATGTAGTGTGAAGAGAACCAAAGTAATTGCAAGCCAACTAAATTACAAATTGCGTTATAAGCATTGTTCATGCAACATAGACAGGCCTTGTCTTGTTCAAGTAGACGAGACGAGCTTGTCGGTAAAAACAGGCAGAACAGATCCATGGAATAAAGAAAATTAAGATTCTTGGTTCCATGGTATCCACAAATGTCTTTCGGAGATGCTCCGTGTTTAGAGCCACCAGGAGGAAGGAAATAATCTTATGAAATCTTGAACGAGGATACCATTCAGCAGCGATCCACAAACTACCATCACAAGAAGTTATCCAGCTAGGAACAAAATATCTTGAAATCCATTCGTCCAGATTCAAGTCTAAATACAGGATTCTATTAAAGGTATCATAATTTCCAAACGTCCATCTCAAGACCGAGCAATATCAAACTCTGCCATGTACCAGTTCTGAATAGCCTTGGTATCACCAGTAATAGCAACAGTATCATAGCGCTCGCGAGCCTCCTTCGCAGCAGTACCGTTGTTGACCATGCGACCAGCCCACTTGCCAGCCTTGCGAGCCGCGGCGATAATCTTATCAATAGCAGCAACGAACTCGGGCTCATCACCGCGCGCAGGGGTGTATCCAAGAAGAGACTGAGCAAGATCATTAGGGCCAATGAAGACAAGGTCAACACCGGGCACGGCGCAAATGGCCTCGACATTTTCGACACCGGCACGGGTCTCAATTTGAATCATGGTGATGATAGTCTCGTTGGCGGACTTCATATATTCGGGGGTTGTGAGACCGTGGCCAATTGCAGGAAATGCCGAGCCCTGGCCGCGGACACCCTGGGGTGGGAACTTGGAAGATGCAACGATCTGTGCGGCCTCCTCGGCGTTGTTGATCTGGGGTACCATAATGCCATGTGCACCGGTGTCGAGAGCACGCTTAAGAATATCATGGGCTGGACCACGGATGCGGATCACGGGGGATACACCGAGGGCTGAAATTGCTGCAACGGAGTTGTGCATGGCATCGTCGCCGATGTGGCCGTGTTCGCAGTCGATGATGATTCCGTCGACTCCGGTGAGAGCGACGATCTGGGCTTGACGGATGGAAGGAATGGCCATGAAGGTCATTAAGGGGAACTCGCCCGCCTTGATTTTGTTAAGAAGTCTCAACCGAGAGTTCTCGATTGTGGTTGTGAGGGCGGTAGGATAGCTCATTGTGATGGTAGTTTGTGGATAGCTGTTGAGTGCTGCCTGGTAAAGATTGAAGTTCTGGATAGGAAATGGATTCTGGTAGACATGAGACCTGCTTAAATATTTGCTGTTTATTCTTCTCTAGCGCATCAAAATGACAAAAGCACGTTGATGAGCTCTGGAGTTAGGGCTAAAAGATAAGTGGGGCTGGCTTATCGCCCCCATCGGGAGGAGCTCCCAAAATCTCCCTCCGTGACTCTTCCCTCCTCTACTCCTCCCATTTCTAGCGCATGTACCCCGGATTTCAACCAAGTGAGTTGAAGGAGTTTATCTGGGGTAATTCACTCTAATTGGGCGATTCGAGGGCGCTCCTCCCAAAGTTATCTCTCTATCAACTTATCAACCGTCTAAATCGACCGCCACCCAACCAATCAATGCCTCACGATTCCTTCAACAGGCCTGGTCATTAGTTGATCACTCGGGTATCCGTAATGTCTTCCGGCTAGTTGGGCAAGATAACGGTCTCTACTAGACTTTCGACTATATAGGTTGCCGCGGGAGGGGGAGCTCAAGGAGCATTTCGACCACAACGACTGCAACACTTTGTGTGCATCCTCATATCATTTTACTTGCAGTCTCATTCTTGGCAACGAGTCTGCCTCAATGGACATTAAGAAAGATCCCGAGTCGGCCTATGCTGAAGACAATGTTTCCTCGGCAGAAGGGCAAGTCGACCTTACGAGCGCGGCGTATAGCCGTATGCCAGAGTCGATTCGCAACCTCAGTGACGATGAGAGAGCGGTTATCAACAAAAGACTAGTCCGCAAAGTGGACTTGTTTGTTCTTCCCACCATTGGAATCTTGTACATTCTGAACTATGTTGACCGTCAAAACCTGGCGGCGGCAAAGCTCCAGGGCATCATGGAGGACCTGAACATGTCCACCGAACAGTTTGCTACCGCAGTCTCCATCCTCTTCGTTGGATACTTGCCCTTCCAAATTCCAAGCAACCTTCTCATTACGAAGATCTCGCGACCTGGCATGTACATATGTGGAGCTGTGGCGATATGGGGCTGTATTTCAGCCTGCACAGCGGTGGTCAAAACATACGGTCAACTCCTCGCAGTACGAGCCGTCCTCGGAGCCGCCGAAGCCGTATTCTTCCCCGGTGCGATCTACTATCTGTCAGCCTGGTACACAAAGATGGAACTCGGCAAGCGAATCGCCGGTCTATACATCGCCCAGCAAGTCGGCAACGCCTTCGGTGGCCTCTTCGCAGCAGCCATTCTCCAACTCGATGGCGTCCACAATATCCGCGGCTGGCAATGGCTATTCATTATCGAAGGCAGCGCAACAGTTGGCATTGGCATCATCTGTGCCTGTATCATGCCCGAGTTCCCACACAACAGCCGTATCCTGTCCCAGACCGAGCGAGAATTTGCCGTGTGGCGAATCGAGTCGGAAGCCGGTGCAGGAGAAGCCTCAGAGCAAGAGAGTGTCTGGAAGGGATTCGCAAAAGCGCTGTCCGACCCGAAGCTGATCCTTCTCATTCTTTGCAACATGCTCTCACAGACTCAGGGGTCCATCGCCAACTACTTCCCCACTCTTGTCGGCTCCCTCAACTTCTCCAGTACGATTAGTTTGCTTCTTACTGCACCACCTTACATTCTTGCCGGTATTGTATACTACTGGATCATGTTCTACTCCGACCGCAAGAACACCGTTTACCCCATAATTCTTATCTGCATCGCCATCTCCATTGTCATGTACATCATCCCTATGGCTACGCTGAATGTTGGCGCCCGCTATTTCTCAATGATGATTTTACCCTTTGCCTCTGTCGGACCGCAACTGCTCCTCTACAAGACCATTAACCTGCATCTTGCCAGACCTGTCTCGAAGCGTGCTGCTGCATCCGCTCTGGTCAATGCTATTGGTGGAACATCAAATATCTGGGCATCATATCTGTACTACGGCTCCCCGCATTTCTATGCTGCTTTCGGAACGCTGATGGGCGCTGCTGTCCTATTTGGCTTTACTATTACTGCGTACCGCTGGCTTGTGTTGCGTGAGAATAGGCGCTTGGACTCGGGTGACCCAGCGCAGATCGCTCAGGTGGTGAAGGGTGGTGTCACTGAAGAAATGATCTCGCTTAACTGGCGCTATGAAATGTATTAATGATCAGCGGTTGTTATTGTTGGAATTTTTGACTTATTTCTGGGAAGTACTTGAAGGAATCCCTCCGGTGATGTAGTATATTCATTTATTTGAAGAATAGTCTTAATAATGTATACTCATCGTTTGTTAAACAATAAGAAAGCGTGCATAGAATCATACATCGCATTGTATAACAGTAAAATGGCAGATATATAATATGATTCATTTACCCAAATCGTGCAAACATGAGAGAATCAACTTTCCAAGCTGCCATTTCTGCCTGCGCTGGAATACTCTTTTTGCCCAAACCAAGGCACTGTCTACGTCCCCATCTTGGATACCGACCGCCTCCATGGCACCGGGTATTCCCCCACGAATGAGCTGCCAAGCAATCAAGAAAGCCTTGTATGCGTAAAAAGTGACCCACGGTGCCTCGGAATTCGGACTAAGCGTTTCATCAAGGTAACGCAGGAACCAGTTGACATGAGGCTGGATGGCCTTGGCAGTATCGGGATCGCAAAGGAACTGCGAAGAAGGCGCCAAGTAGGTCGACTGTGTCAATACAGCATCTATGCTCCCCTCAATAATTCCACTGGTATGTGAGGGTGACCACATCTGCAGTTCTATCATAGCAGTTTCCCAAGTTGCGGCGCAGGATACTGCATGTTTTGTCACTGGCTCATCGGATTGTGACTTGATGAAAGGACTGAGCGCGATGAGCGATGAGCGCAGGGCGCCGAATCGCTCGATACTGAGAATTCCTGTCATAGTTGACCAGCCCGAAATTTCACGGGCACTGGAAATGAGGAATTGAGCGATGTTTATGGCACCGTATGGATCGAAAGATGGGATTGTGTTGAGATCGGGATTTGAAGAGAGGAAGCGTCGCACAGCGTCTGTGTATCGTACCGAGAGTCCAGAATCTCTCGCGACCAGCTGCCGATGAGCCCATTCCGCGGATGACGATGCCATCCACTGGTCTTCAGGGCAGGGGAGATCATGTTTGATCTCGAGATGGGAGATTGAGCGGGGGATAGAAAGGAACTGATACCACAGTGTATCGATCTGATGCACGGCAAATAGGGTTCGCTTGTGTGACTCGGCTTTCACAAATTCCCGCCATAATGATTCCAGATCTGCTGTCGCACCAGTTTTGACTGCCAGTGGCTGCGTCAATCTGCTAGCACGAGTGAGTGAAATCATGTGGGTATGCATCTTCAAACCAGAGGCTGAGTCGTCACCACAAAGATACATCATGGCACAGATCTGAAGCAGCAAATATGATTGAACTATAGAAGTGTTCTGCAATGGAGCATCTGGTCTTGTCTCATCGGAAGCAATCATTGCACGGGCTTGATGGAAACAGCGTAGAGCGAGCCTTTCGCCTGATCCTTCTCGATCGCTATATTCTGGATCCTCCCCATGTTGGTAGGCGAGGCAGAGAATGCTGAGAACCAGGTGGGAGGTCGTTTGTGTTGGATCAAAGGTGGGCTGGTGGAGAAAAGGGAGGAAGTGAGATAAATTGGCAAAGAACAGACTGCAACCTCTGTTGACCTGCAAAGGAGTTGGAAACCAATCATCCTGGAGCTGGGGTATATCGCTTGGGGACAGTCTATCAGTTATAGAGTGCGTGCGTTGATGGATGTTATAGTCAGGCAAATGTGGACTACCCAAGGTTGGCTGTAAAGTAATCATCGTGTGAGATTGAGTATCGAAAGAGTTCGTCGGCTTCAAAAATTCTGCTCCCATCAATAAATTGCGTTCAAGATCTGCGGCGCCTTGAACGATCTGATCAATTAAACTCGAATCATTGATCGAGGGGTGCGGTGGCATGGTAGCTGCAGTCAACGAAGTATCTTCCACCCCGGTTCTCGGATCCGTGGTTGCTGTAGAATGGACACGCTCTGTGTTGTAGCCAGGGTCGAACTTCTGTTGCTGGTAACCTAGAGTGTTCCACATCGTGTTATTCATCTGAATTTCGTCCCCTTCACTCGAATTCGAAGAGTTTGTTGAGTGCGGTGAGAAGCCATCTGGACTTCCTGTAGCCGAGATAGCTGTAGGCGATAACGAATCCCCCTTGTCTTGTCTAGATGTTGGTGGTTGGCGTCGAGATCTTTTTGTTATGCGTTGATGTTCATGTTCTGGATGCTTTCTCTTCATGTGTCGGTTGCGCAAGTCATTCCGGGAGAAAGTGGCGTGGCAAAAGTCGCAGGGAAGAGAGGCTTCGGCCTGAGAACGGGAATGAAGCGCAGAGTGACGCTTGAGATTCTCATGCCGGGTGAATCGACTTTGGCAGACGAGACATTGAAATGGTTGGTAGGCAGGCGTCGCCCTTGCATGTGAGACAGACATATTGAATACAGAGATGTCAGGGAGTGTTCCTGTGAAAGTGTCAGTCATGAGGCGCCATGAACCAAAATCCGGGGACTCAGACATACCCCCGCAAAACGCCGGTGCCGGTTCGAACTTCTCCGCACAGCAAACACTTCCACTTTGTCCCCTTCAGCAATGACCCGAAGAAAGAGAGAACTTCGAGGCCCAATCGTCGAACATATATGCAAAAGCAAGAAATGATAATCAGCAAAGAAATGTTATCGACATCCACGCGCAAGACAAGACCGTGTGGGGTCCTCCTGGCCAATCATCAGCCGGCTACTTATCAGCAGATTACCGTCCTCACGTGGGTCGGAGGCATGTCGGCCACTGTTGGCCTCCTTACTGGACTACGGCAGTGTGCAGTACGACGTGCCTAGTTTTTAATTTTGACTATTGCTTAGAAGGGAGGGTATATTAATATAAGATGATTCATAAGGGACTTAAAAGAAGCCAATATACTATTAGATCAATATACCTACGCGTAATTATTAATTAACTTCTAAGTGAGAATGAGATTGAAGTAGAAGATAATCAAAGAATAAGAATATAAAGAAAGAAACATCGTAGAAGAGCTTGCGAGGGAAAAGAGATTCCTATGAAAAGGTCCAGAACTATGTAAGATCATAGAAGATTTCTAGAAATATCTTCGACTTTAAGATATAAGAAAGAGTAACACTCTCTCAACTCTCACTTAAATCTCCCTCAGTTCTCTCTTAGTTCTCTCTCAGTTCTCCCTCTCAATTTTCCCGGTTTTTATATTAATGTAAATGATCATAGGTGAAAGAAGCGTAATATACGGAGTACAGAAGAAACCTTAGAAGGCGGTAAAGAAGGCGGTATAGGGGCACGGGCCTTTTAAGCTAATGGTGGCTGCACACTGCTCTACCAAACATAGGTATCAGAAAGATAGGAACGGACGGGCAGTAAAGGCGAGAATTGACGTGTCAATTCTAAAGAATTGGTAAGAGGGAATATTTTGAGCCCGAAATTCCTGTTTATATTAGGCAAAACTTGAGTTTCAGATTGCAATGGATGGAATTGAATGAGAGTCGTTCAAGATCTATAGATCGGGGAGGAAAGCTGTAGCGGCCAAAAAGAAGTAAATGTGGGTCTCAGGTCACGTCACGAAGCGACACCGCGTCGAGCAGCTGAGCAACTTATCCAGACTCTCTGCTATAATTGAATGATAGAAGGCTGGTTTGATCTAACGCTACTCTTCTATCACCTTTGACTGGTCTGTTTATCCCAAACAGTTTACTTGTTGTCACCCAATGAGCTACGCGTCATTCCTGGGATCAATTAACCAATTGAAACAGCAACAATGGCGAAGCGCAAAAGTGACGCAGTAAACGAGGAAAAGGGTTTCCCAAACAGTGGATATACACGCATATCTAAAATTCTTCGGGGTGAACCCGTGGGTGCTATTGAACCTGTCATGAGTTCCAGCATCAATAGCCCGACGACATTCTTCAGCCACAACAATACAACTACAGGCCAGAGGTTTGGCCAGTCGACAGACTTTCTACCATTGACACAAGTCGGTGATGAAGATGAAGATGAACAAGCGGCAAATGCCGTCGAGGGAGCACAAGGGGGTGATGATTCCTCCTTGGCGAGCACCGTGCTTTATGGTATGACATAGTGCTGCATGAGCTGGCACCTAAAGAGCTGTATTAACCACCTAAGATAGGCATTCTTGCTGGCAAAATTGTAGGTGTACGCTTCTACGGAGGCCGTGCTAACCCTAATGAACGAGTAATTGTCAAACGAGAGCCTACCAATAAATATGACCGAAATGCCATTCGCGTGGATAATGTCATGGGTGCGCAGATTGGTCACATTCCGCGAGCAATGGCTGCCAAACTGGCACCATATATGGTTCGTCAGGCTCATCTGATTGAACCACAAGCATGGCTGACACTATATGATATAAGGATGCACACGATCTTGTTGTTGAAGGCGAGTTAACCGGGCCCATTGGAGGTTTCACTTGTCCTGTGGCTGTGAAGCTATTCGGATCTTCCGATCCCGTTCAGCGCTCAACTCTTAAGAAGAGAATGCAAGATGACAAGCTCCCCGTGCAACAGATCACCAAGGCAGAGCGCGAGGAAGCCAAGCAGAAGAAGGAATTTGAAAAAAATGAGATGCAAGAGGCAAAGAAGGCTCGTTCAATGGCTCTTGGCCGTGCGACAGCTGAATGGCAAGCCAAGGAGAAGTCCGACTTTAGGAACCTTTCGACTCCACTGGGATTCGGCGAGGCAGAACAAGAGAATCTGGAAAACCTGATCAACCAGAGCAAGACCTTCAATCCGCGAGATATTGGCCAGGTTGTGGAAACATTTGGACAGAAAGAATCTGATCTGGCTGACATGTCCATGGTGGATTCACCGCCTGGTCTTTTTACACAGCTGCTTCCATATCAGCGACAGGGACTCGCTTGGATGATCAAGCAAGAGTCGCCCACTCTTCCAGCACGTGGATCTGAGCGCATTGTTCAATTGTGGAAGCGGGACAGCAAGGGCTTCGTCAATGTCGCAACGAATTATTCCATGTCGAAGGATCCCTCTCTGGCCCGTGGTGGTATTCTGGCAGATGACATGGGACTGGGAAAGACTATTCAGGTCATCTCATTGATAATAGCGGAAAGTGCCCCTCCAAACGCAGGCTCCTCCAAGTCCACCTTGATTGTTGCCCCTGTTGGTGTCATGAGTAACTGGCGAAACCAGATAACAGATCACGTTAAGCATGAATGTGCTCCGAGTGTTTTGATATACCACGGCTCCGGCAAGAAGGAGGCGGGAAAGCTGGCCGACTATGATGTTGTCATCACCAGCTACAATGCATTGGCTTCTGAGTTCAATAGTACTGCGAAGGAGCCTCCTGCCCAAGGGATCTTCTCACTTCAATGGCGTCGAGTTGTGCTGGATGAAGGTCATACAATCCGCAATCCCCTTTCAAAGTCTTCTTTGGCTGCTAGTGGGTTGCGTGCTGACTCTCGCTGGTCCTTAACCGGCACTCCCATTATCAACAGTCTCAAGGATTTGTATTCTCAGGTTCGCTTCCTGGGGCTTTCCGGTGGACTGGAAGATCGGGGTATATTTAACGCTGTCTTGAGCCGACCCTTGACCCAAGGAGATCCGGATGCTCGACTTCTTCTGGAAGCTCTCATGGGGACAATCTGCCTGCGTCGGAGAAAGGATATGGCTTTCATCAACTTGAAATTGCCAGAGATGACATCTCGCCTCATTAGAATCAAGTTCAAAGCTCACGAGCGGGAGAAATACAGTGCATTCCAGTACGTACCAATCGAAATCTCCTCTCTCATCACGATGCAAGACTGACCTCAAATTCAGAAACGAGGCTCAAGGCGCGTTGTTGGACTTCAAGGATAAAGATGGCAACACCAAGTACTCTCATCTATTGGAGGTTATTCTGCGTCTTCGTCAAGTCTGTAACCACTGGGCATTGTGCAAGAACCGGATCAACAAGCTTCTGACCGTGCTAGAAGAGCACAAGATCGTTCCTCTGACACCAGAGAACGTCAAGGCCCTGCAAGACATGCTGCAGCTTCAAATTGAAAGCCAAGAACCATGTCCAATCTGCCTGGACAACCTCGATCAGCCCGTCATAACAGCCTGTGCCCATGCCTACTGCCGTGGCTGCATTGAGGAGGTCATCGAACGCCAACACAAGTGTCCCCTCTGTCGCGCCGAGATCAAAGACAACAACGTGCTGGTCTCACCAGCTGCGAACTTGGGTGAAGATGACGGCATGCAAGCTGACCCCGGCAGCCCAAGTAGCAAGATTGAGACTCTCGTCAAGATCCTCACGGCCCAGGGCCAAGCACCAGGAACCAAGACCGTAGTGTTTAGTCAGTGGACCTCCTTCTTGGACTTGATTGAGCCACAGCTTCAGCAGCACGGTATCAAGTATGCCCGCGTCGACGGCAAGATGCAATCCTTGAACCGTGACAACAGCATCAACGCCTTCACCCACGACCCAGATTGCGTCGTACTGTTGGCGAGTCTGAGTGTATGCAGCGTCGGTCTCAACCTTGTTGCGGCGAACCAGGTCATCTTGGCTGACAGCTGGTGGGCACCGGCCATCGAGGACCAGGCTGTTGATCGTGTGTACCGGCTCGGACAGAAGCGAGAAACAACAGTGTGGCGTCTGGTTATGGAGGATAGCATCGAGGAGCGGGTGCTGGCGATCCAGGAACGGAAGAGGAGTCTCATGCTTGCTGCCTTTCGTGAAACGGCGAAGAAGGCTGAGGATCGGGGGACGCGTGTTGCTGACCTCGAGTCGTTGCTGCAGTAGGCCTAAGGCTATTGTTGACTGCCATGTCTGCTACTGAATACTTCTACGTGGGATATATGGGCAACAGGAGATAGATGAGAGGGGTAGTCCACTGGAACTTCAGTCTATATATGGGAATGGAAGCTTTTTCTTGATTTCTAGCGAACTTTTGAAGTGGATGAGTAGATACATGATGGGGAAACAGGGGAAAGGGAGATACAACAACCTTGGAAACGACTTCACGGGCATACCTGACTCAGTAAGTAGGGACCGCTCTCAACTTTGCAATGATGTTTTCAAAGATGCGCGAGGAAGAGCCGTCTTTTCATCATTAGGCCCAGAAGGGCTTTGTAGATGCCTCCAGGCGAGGTGACTTGGGCGGTTAGGTCCAAGACACGGGTTCATCGCTACCTGGTGCTTTCCCACATATACCTACTAGGTAGGTGGATGGGGAGTCACATCAGCCCCTCCATGATCCAGGGCCCATGATATTGAAGCCCAAGATGCAGTGCCATGTAGTCTAACAACCACCAGAACAGTAAGCACAAGCCTGTACCACCCTGATCCTGCTTTGTTCATGCACTTTCTATTCCACGACAGACTGTCTAAATGGTTCTTCCACTGGGCAGTGATTGAGCAACGCCAGCAAGCAGACCTCCCACGGCCGGCTTCCTCCTAAGGGGGGCTCACGCGCTATATCAAGCCTCGGGCTGGTTTCAATAGCGTCATTCTGCTATTTAGCTGCAAGCAATACCGGTTTTGTCTTTGACCCCCGGTGTGAAGCTGGGACTCCTGGCGTAAGGGACTTGATTTGGCGGTGATCTCACACACTCCCTTTGACCCTGCTGCAGTCCAAAGTAGCTACATTTTCTAGGTTAGGAGCTACACCTCCATCCCGTCGAGGGCCGTAGTGTAAAAATGTAGCTTCTGGCAGTTATTTCCTCGACATTATAGCTGCACAACAGTATGAAGACCGGCCTGTATGTACGTGAACTTGACTCGCCACAGGTACTTGTATTTTCTGACATGGAGCTTCAGTTTCAGGTGACTTCATCATCTGGAAGATCTCAGTTTATTGGATCAAGACAAGCTGGTGAAATAGTTTGCGCTGAGACAACATTGAGCCCCCAACTTCTCAACTTAGTCCGCCTGTAGATATCTACGCCAGGGAACCAAGACACTCAATGTCTTGGGTGCAAATTACTTGACTTCATATGATGCTTTGTGCTTACTGGATCGAGGGTATTACAATAATCGTACATTATTATTCAACATATCTTAAAGTCAAGAAGTATTGACAAAAAGCTGAGAGCGACGAAGATGCATGGATAATCGAACATAAAGTATCGGTATGCAAATTTTCTACTGGTACATTTGCCAACCTTCTTCAGACATGGGCGACACAGCCTCCGGCTTGGCTGGAGATACAGGAGGATTGTTGGGAGAAACAAGGGGAGCCACAGCCGGGAAAGGAGGGAGATTCAGTGACTGAAGAGGAGGGTCGTAGTACCAAGGGCAAGCTGGTACTTCGCAGTCTGAAGGCGAAGCATCAATTGGTACTTCAAAATCCGAGGGCAGTGAGTACGCAGATGCTTCAATGTCTGATTGCAAAGACTGAACAGGCACCCCAAGATCTGAGGGTAGTGTGTGGTCAGCTGCGTCAGTATCTGAATGCAGAGAGTGAATAGGAAGTCCAGCATGCGAAGATGAAGGATCAATGGGTACTTCGAAAGCCGAGGGCAGTGAGTATGCAGGTGCTTCAATGGCAGAATGCAAAGAGTGGGCAGGCACTTCGACATTTGAAGGCAATGAATAACCAGGAGCTTCAGGAGCTTCAGAAACTTCAGGAACCGAGGGAGCCGAGGGTAAAGAGTAGCCAGGCACGGTGAAGGTAGGCCCATAAGTCAAAGAGAAGGGAGGTCTTGGCTTGAGGGGACGTAATGGGAAGCGTGGATATTTCAATTGTCCCAACTTGAATGCGGAATTCTCATCCTTTGTGTTCAAGAGGAGTTTGGGGTGGGCTCGATTCTCCTGGCCGAGGCTCATGGTTCTCCTCGCCTCCTGTCCGTGTCGCTTCCTGCCGATGAGGCTACTATCCGGCCTCATTTGGTTCTGCCCGCGTTGCACCTTCTCTTGGGTTTGAAGTTCCAACCACCGAGCACCGCCAAGGCAGATGTTGTACACGAGGCTCAGGAAGTCCGGGAATTTATCAAACGATGTGTTTTCATAGCGCTCCAGTGCAGCCAATGCCTGTTGAATACGCTCTGGTTGAAATGACTCTTCATCTTCACATCGAAGACCATCAACCCATGAGACAAATTGCCTAGCTATGATTGTTTCATGGCTGCTTTCTGATATTGATAAACCCTTGAAAACCAAGGCTTTAGCGACAACGCCCTTCAATGCCGCTTGTATCAGCTCTCGATGTACAGCAACCCCAAATCTGCCAACGAATACAGCGAGTTTCTTGAGCTTCTTGCGGGATAAAGTGCGAATATTTTTGGCCAAGGCTGCAGGACGGTATCCAGTGCTCTCGACTATCTCCCACGGAACATATGTTTCCTCGAAAAGAACCACATACTCTTCCTTGAAGGGAAGATTGTCGTTGATTTTAGTGGTTTGAAGCGACATATCTGGTTCTGTCACGACAGGGCTGTCACCTGTGAGATCGATTACCACCGCATCATTTGGGATGACTCCCTCAAGACGTGGCTTCTTTTCAGTTGTTTTGTCTGTGTCCAGGTCAGAGTCGTCCGAATCACAAAGCTCGCCCTTTTCTTCGGAGGATTGATCAGAATCATCACTATCATCAGAAGAAGATGATGAAATGTCATAGAAGCCAGGGGAGCTAGAGAAACCATATGTAGGGAATTTGATCTGGTCATTTTGATCGCACTTTCCCTGTTGGCTCTTATCTTGGGAGATATCTAGGCTATTGAGCATTGAGAGCCGCCATTCGCAGAAAAACATGTCTTTTAGAGTTTCAAGCAGGCTGTCACAGCTCTTGATGATCAAGGCGGCGGTTGTGTGTCTGTGTCCGTAAATCGCGTCGCGAAGTGATTCGAGACGTCTTTGTAGCCTCTGAAGATCGCCTTTGGCTCTGTTTTTGATAGCGTTGCCATCACGTCCCTCTGTAAAGAGTCCGCTAGACTCGCACATTTCATTTGTAATGCTATCCATCCAAGTCTGTCGCTGTTCTGAAATCAAATTGTCCACGATTTCGTTGAACCTCGCCAGGCTGACTGGCCCTGTAGGTGTGGGAGGAACTACTCCAGGCGGCTTCTTCTCGGGAAGATCTTCGATTTCCCGTCTCTCGTCGGATTCCCAGTCGGAACTGTCAGATTCTCCGTACAAAGGCAAGGCATCTTGATCATTTTCTTCCGGTGGGTTGCGAAGTATAACTCCGTCAATGAATGCCTTGAATTCTGGGCAGAGATCATAATCTGTCGGTTGATGTGCCGATTTTGTAGCGGATTCCAGATCTGTGGCTGATCCCGGGGTTGTAGTTGATACCTGGCTTGCAACCGATGGCATATTCGTAGCCGATGTCAGTCCTGCTGGCAGGGGTGACCAGAGAGCTGGATCAGGTACACGGCCTCTAGGCACTGGTGTGAGAGGTGTTGTAAGGATATTTTCGGCACGTCGTGGCTGCTTAGTGGTCTTAGGTGACAGGGAGATATCGGTAGCAGGAGTTGTAGGCTGAACTAAGATGCTCTGCCCCAGGGTAGCACGATGATCAAAAGCGGCTGAGCGTTCTTTCAAATACCGTATGACATGCAAGATGTAGACACGCTCTCCCACTTTAGTCACACCCATGGACATCTTGAGGAGTTCGCTATTCACAGATTCAAGAAGCACCCTGCCATTAATACCTCTGGCGCGAAAGATCGGTCCTAAGAGAGCAAGATCGGGAGGGCTGATGCTGCAAGCCCATTTGTGGGGCACTTGTGGCCACAAAAACGAGACAACATCTTCAACGGACCAGTCGATGGGGTCCTTTGGGAAGGTCGAGGTAAGTTCTTTGGCCTGTTGTAGGGTTAGGGCATTGCTCAAACTTTGGGTGAGGTACGTCCGTTGGTATACAGTTTGAAACTGAGACACGCTGGATCATGGTGAGTTGACTTACCATGATGGTTGCACAACTGAAATTAATTTGGCAGGCACAAAAGAAAGTGAAAGAAAGCAGAAGCTAGCTGAGGAGACTAGCCTGACCACGAGCGGCAAATATCTGAAGAACGTGGATCGCGTTACACGAAGAACAACTTGTGGGATATGATGTCGTGTAAATGTACGAACTTTTGCAGAGAGAATGGACGAGCAAGGGAGTAAAAGAAAAGACCAGCTGAAAGATATCAGCGTAAATGGAGGATGGTGAAGATCGCAAGGACACGGACTTGCGCTGAGAATGATAAATGAGAAATGAGTGTGGGGGGAAAGAAGATAGAGGAAGGAAGAAGAGGATAAATCAAAAGAATACGATGAATTCAAGGGAGGAGAGGCAGGCGCCGACGTGACAATGTGACGCCGTTTTGGTTTCCTAATTGGGAAAATAGATATTCTGCCGGACTTATGCTTGCTTAACTAGTCGGTGAGTTATTTAGGGCCGTAATCAGGCAACGCTAGCCTAGAGGAGAAGGCGGTCATCTCTCCCTTTCTGCCTCAGGCGCCAATCACCTCGGATGCCCCGCGAATTACAAATCCCTGGATAATCCTAGAATTTCGAGGAATCTCCTTTAGAAAGAATACCGATTCCATTGCAATTCATCTAAAATAAATCAGCAATATGGCAGACTCGGTCTATTCCAGCTATCCGCCAGATTTATCGCCGGCTCAGCAAGACTTTCTTGTCACTGCTGTGAAAGATTGGGCCATCCAAAATGGTCTCGCTGTTCGACCTTCGCCAGCAATTGTACCTCCTGGTACAGACACAAACGGAGTGCTAGCTACGAATGCACCGATAACTCTGTTTCCCAGTCCTTTCCCAAGGGCCTGCTTCCAGGAGGCAACTGCATTGCAATCGATCTATAATGAGCTTTATGCCGCAATCACTTGTAATACAGAATGGCTTGGGAAGATCGTGGAGGGGTAAGTAGGGTTCTACAAGTATACTAGCAAGGCTAACTCGTGTCTCGGCTAGATTGATTGAGGTGGATGACTTCGTTGCGAACTTGTGGAAGGTTCACCTGGCTGTTCAAAAAGAAGGCTATGTGCAGAATCTGTCATTGGGACTTTTCCGGTCTGACTACATGGCTCATGTTGCGTCTACCGGTGCATCATCCCTGAAACAAGTGGAGTTTAACACAATCTCGGCATCCTTCGGAGGGCTTTCGGCCCTCGTGAGAGAATTGCACAATGATCTCCTGACTGTGCCCCCAGGATCATCTATCAATTACCCTCCTCATCATCTTTTGCAATCTAGCACACCCCCTGAGAACACGGCTGTTGAGACTCTTGCTGCTGGGCTAGCGGAGGCGCACAAGGCATATGGACCATCAAAGTCCACACCAGCCCTCCCGGTTTGTGTTCTCTTTGTGGTTCAGAAAGAAGAACGGAACGTTTTCGATCAACATGCTATTTCAAACCAACTCAAAAAGTTCCACAAAGTCCCCGTTTTCCGTGTGTCCAGCGTGGATGTTTTGGATCAAACTTCAGTCTCCAGCTCGAATCCCTCTCGGCCATTGCTTTATCAACCTCCTCACTCACCTGGCTCGACTTTCGAAGTTACCACTGTTTATCTTCGAGCTTACTATGCACCAGACGAATACAAGTCTAGCCGTGACTGGGAGGCTCGCACACACCTGGAACGTTCCGCAGCGATCAAGTGTCCTTCCGTGCTCAACCAACTGGCTGGCTGCAAAAAGGTTCAACAAGTTCTGGCGGAACCGACGGGAGTCGACCACCTTTCAAGCTTCTTGAAGGGTGCTGACGCTTCGCTTATCGAAAGAGTTCGGGAGACATTTGCCCCGCAATACGATCTATCACCCAATAGCCGCGGTCGAGAACTGGCTCTCAATCGAGACACTGCCATGAATCATGTCCTCAAGCCTCAGCGTGAAGGCGGTGGTAACAACGTCTACAAGTCTGATATTCCAGAGTTCCTGCGGTCTATGCCGGAGTCGGACTGGAGGGGCTGGGTACTCATGGAGTTGATCAATCCGGCACCGAGTGCTCAGAACGTTGCGTTACGAAATGATGGCGAGGTTCTCCGAGGACATGTCATCTCCGAGCTTGGAGTGTATGGTACCATCCTCTGGGACAACAGCGGCAAGGTTCTTCACAACGAACAAGGCGGATACCTGTTGAGAACCAAAGGAAAAGAGGTGAACGAGGGTGGCGTGGCTGCCGGATTCTCTAGCCTGGACAGTGTTCTTCTTTTCTAGAGATAGATCTATTTCATGTACTTATTGACGAAATCAAATAGAGATTCTGGCATTTATCATTTAACCTCTTTATGGTATGGGAAATTTCCTGTGGAGCACGTTATGGCTTGTCAAGAATATTGCCTTATAACAAACGCACGCATCCATCAAGTCACGCCTAGCGTGCTTCTCAGTTTGACACAATGTATCACACCCATCTCGAAAGACTGAACACTGGATACGGAGACTGATATTACTAGGAAAAGCACAGCCCCGCGACAGAGAGTTCATATGCATAATTTGCCCCGATGAACCCTTTCTTGGACCGGGGTTGGCATTGACCTTGAGGCACGTCGAGTTGGCTTCGAGGTGAGACTGACAAGGAACAGATTGAAGAGTTGTAGAAAGTAATGTTTTCAATGACTGAATGGCTTAAGCTTTACACCATCGTCGTTGCTATCATAGTTGTCTGAGAAAAGAGGCACTAGTCAATATTGTGCTCCCGAATATTCACTCCCCGACAGTCTCATATTTAATTTTTACTCCACCGAAGAAACTCAGCAAGACACAGTTGTAAGAATCGAGTGGTTTGAACCTTGCATTGGTTACCAATAGGTCCCGTGAAAGAAGCGTTTGAGCCGAGAAACATCGCACAACCTGGACAATTGGCCGAGTGGCACAGTGCACCGCTTCTACGCAGTAGGCTGCTAGAGATAGCTGAAATCTCTCGTTGGTGCTTGTACATGCCTTGAATATTTGGTTTGCTGTATCGACTATTGAACGAGGAAGGGCACAACCAGTGCTTTACCTAGTCAGAATGGACCGGATCTATTCATATGGACTTGAGTATACGAAGCTACGTATATGCTATATGGATTGGACCAATATATTGGGTATATCACGCTACTTTGATGTAGTCTAACGCCGCGATATCTCAGCCTTCGTGTCAAGTTCACACCCTCTAACGTTCCAGGTGCCTCTTCTGGTTGTACATATGATCTGAAACGTTCTGAATTCAAGACTCTATGGTTCTTCCTTCGGTATGCAAGCCTGCTCTACACGAAGCATGGCAATTCTGCCCGATCTAATGAGGACACCCAAGGTATTCAAAGTATAGAGTAACTTGAATTACCAAGATGAAGTCTTCAACTGCATGTGTAGACAGCATACCGAGGAAATATATTCTCATTTTATCTATTATTATACGCAGTGCTGATGTTGGAAGGTGGAAGTTCCTCTCTGCAAAGACCAAAGGTTCTGTCGTAGCTTACTCTCCTTTGTCTGAGGAGAGATAAGTAATATCATGGCTTGCTTTACTAAAGCTGTGACTGATTTGACTGTTTTCCCCTGTCAGCGCAGTTACTCTCACTCGCTCTTCATTCTTTTTGATTTTGCCTTCTTCAACTCTCGTGTTCTTCAACTCCCTTGTTCTTCAACCTTTGAGCCAGCTTCATTACTCAACTTCATTCCCTCATTATTGACTCTCATTCTTGTTTCTCGCTGATTTGAACATCGTGACTAAACTGGAGTTTTCAGACCCCAGGATGTCCCATCTCACTGGCCATGACATGGTTGGAGGGTATGTACTCGCGCAGTATCAAGCTATAATCTCACTACTGACAAGACTAACATGGTATTAGGATGACCAAGAATGTCACTGGAGAGTAAGTGTCGCCATATGGCCAGCTGCGCCACGAGTATAGCACTGGTACTTGCCACTGGATAGGCTAACGTATCACAGAACCAAGAACTCTCTCGCCCGGCATCCCCCATGAGAAGCTCATGGCTGATGTGAAAGTTTATGCCACCGAGTATGGTTTCCGAGACATCCTTCCAATTCTGAAGAAAGGTGCTCTGGTAGCTCAGAACCCGTCTGCCATCGAACTCATTCCTGAACTGAGTGATGATGATCGTCGCATCCTAACCGAAGAAACCACTCGACGTTGGAAGCACCCCTTTGCGTTGTACTACACTATCGTCTTGAATTCGATTCCAGCGGCTATCCAGGGCTGGGATCAGACTGGCAAATGCTCCATCCATTAAGGTATTTGTGTTGGACACTACTTGCTGCCGGTTTCTGTTTTTGGATTCCTACTGGCAGCAATGCACACATTGCAATGATTGCGTTTTTCATCTACTTGTTTGACGCATTCTTTTCGCCGGGAGAAGGACCGGTCCCGTTTACCTATTCTGCAGAGGTTTTCCCGCATTCCCACCGTGAAGTAGGAATGGCATGGACCGTCGCAACGAACAATTTCTGGGCATCAGTCTTGTCGTTGACATTTTCCTACATGCTTCGAGCACTGACTCCGCAGGGCGCCTTCGGCTTCTATACCTGCCTGAATCTTGTCGTTTTTGTTTTGATCTTCCTTTTCATGCCCGAGACAATGCAGCGTTCCCTTGAAGAACTGGACTATGTGTTTGGCGTTCCAACCCGAACTCACGCAAAGTACCAACTTACTCAAGTTCTCCCCTGGTGGATCAAACGCTACGTCTTTATGCGCAAGGGTGCAGTCTGTCCTGAACTGTATCGGGTTGCCCAAGATCCCGTTTCAGTGCCCCCGGAAAGAGTCTCAAAGGCAGCTGATAAGGAGTGTCACGCAGAGTATGTTTATGCAGATCAATCTGCTTTTCACATGTTATAAAGGATGGGGTTGTTTGCCCAACAAAATGGTTATTTGCTTCAGGTTCCCAAGCCAGCGTCAGACTTAGGGCTAACCCATGACCATCTGTCATCTTTGTTTCTTCATGAGATTTCTGCTACTCTAACTGCACACTCATTCCAAATTTTTTACCGTGCTTCCAATCCCAAAATATCTGTACAAACACCGTTTAATAATTAACCATGTCCACTCGCCCATTATCCCTCCTGCGCTTGGTCGCAAGCAAGCAACCGCGTTCCCCCACCACGTACACCCTCCATATCCCTTGCTATGTGAAGCCCAATGCCTCCGCTCGTCGCACCGGTATCACGGCCGTGGGTGTTAACAATGTCGATGTATCTGTTGCTGCCATTCCACGCGACGGAGCAGCTAATCTGGCAGTGTCGCGGGTTTTTGCTGAGGTTGGTGACTTCTCCCAGGCGTATTTTGTGGCTACTTCCGATGGATCCAACAAATTTTGAGTGTTCTGACAAATTCCTAGATCTTCAATGTTCCTAAATCGAATGTCCAAGTCATTCGTGGCGCGAAATCGAAAGATAAAACATTATCTATCGCCGATTTAGAGCTCGGAGACGAAAGCGAGGATGCATTTTTACAACGTGCGACTCAAAAACTGATTGACGCAGTTAGAACCTCCTAGATCTTACCAGCTTGGTCAATCTTAAGGACAAAATGAAGAGATGTTTGCCTCAGGAGTGAGGTGGTCTCCAGGGCCTTTCAAAGAGCTCGATTGTTCGTGGATCCCGTGACGCAAAGTTCCATGATTTTTTGGCGGAGCTCAACCCAACCACTTCAACCTCCGACCGCCAACACCGTTAAACAGAATAGAAAAAAAAATGACGGACAACATGCAGGAGGACACGATAGTGGATGAGCAATCATCTTCTCGAGATTTTGCGAAGCGCAAAGCCTCTGAGCCCAAACCAAAAACGATACATTTCACGTCCCGCAATCCACCCTGGACCTATCTCAAGCTCCAGCTGTAAGCTGCTCTCAAGTCAACCTTTTTATGTCTGTTAAACTGACTTGATGTTTAAATCCAGTGTTCCTCAGCCAGGAAACACACCTCAACCTCTCGACCCTCTCTCCGCACGCACCTACCTCTCCTCCGCACTGTCGCAATTCCTCGGCTTGACAGGAACGGCGATCCCTATCGACATACTGAAGCTTGAGCATGGACTCATTTCGACCCCAAAATCCGACGCTACATCTACAACGCAATCTGCCAAAACTCCTCGACATGACTCGGTGTGGATTCGTGTCCCGCGCGAAGACGCCGCAGCTGTTGTCGCTGCAGTGAGCTCTTGGATCGGGGGCGGAAACAATACAACAGGCTCTGCGGGTGTCGCGTGGAGGGTTAGCGCCAAGGGAAACTTTTTGGGTGCGTTGACGGCTGGGTCTGGAGCGGATCTGTTCGTTCCCTAGATTTGGCAGCTGTAGTGATGCTCACTATTACTGAGCGTCATGGGAAAACCAAAATTCTCTATCAGCACATGTGCTCGGACTATGGCTTGGTCAAGTCCGTCTTGCAGGAACCTACAATCGCGTCAATGCCAGTCGACGGGCTTTGTGCGGCTTCGCCTGAAAGGCCCAATTGACAAGCAACACAATGAGATAACGTTAAAGCTAGGCTACCGAGTATCGTTCGTCAGTGGAATGTTCTCAGTCATTCCGTCGGAGCCTCCGCAAACTTCGAGGTCTGGCGTCGTCTCGAAGTCGCTTCATCTACAAATTCCCTATACGGAATCATCTTACTTGGATCAAGCTGTTCACAAACAGGCTAGAAGAAAAAATCGAAAGCAATTTCCAATCTATATATTCAAATAACAAACAAATTGGAACTCTTCCGGGTCGATTTCGCAGTCGACAAGACCCAGATGAAACGCCATAACTCACACGCTGCTCAACACTCTCAAACCCAATTTGATGCCGCTTAGTCAAATGCAATTCACGTTCCAGAGCTCATCATCTCAGAGCTTTCAAACACCTTTCTTTTATTTTAGGCTCAAGCCCTCCATCGTTGCAGGAAGACTCAGACAGATACAGACCCAGAGGACTTGGTGCGAATATTCTCCACGATGGTAGATGAATCTGAACCCGGAGCCAAGGGGCTGACAACCACTTTTGTCCGGAGAGCACTGCGAATATCCTCCACGCTTCGCTCCTTCCAGTCAGGATATCCCATCTGGCTGAGAGGGAAGAGAACGAGGTTTTCGGCACGTTCCATGAAATCATTGACATTTGGTCGCGGCGTGGCAGTAATGATATCGATTTCCACTGCGATTTGACGACAATACGTCTCCAAGGGAAGATCGTTCACATCTTGACCAAAGGGATTTTCGATCTCGCTGCCAATTGTAGCCAATCCGAGGATAATATAAGCGGCAACTATAAACGGTGTTAACATTAACTGCTGTATTTGGGGTGTTTTGCAAAAAAGAATGCTGAACTTACCAATGGAAGCGGGGATGGTGATATACTCCAAAGCAGTGTACAGTTGGAATGGAAGCACCAGGATATAGATCCATGCGATTTGAGAGATGGCAATACAATACGCGGTTGGCAGAGGCGTGTCCAAAACACGTTCTGTGCCAGTCAAAACTTCGTTCAAGGTGGCCATCATGGTAACTATGTTCATGTCAGACTTGATTTGACTCGACAAACAAGGAGTATGGGTACTTACTAGCTTGTCCCTGGTGCAAAGCCGATACAAGGGTTCCATTGGCAACACACGAGTCGATATATGCGGACAGATGGTTGAGAATCTCCAAGGGGAGATGTCCCACCGGCTTCTTGGACCTCTTGACCAACTTGCGGGGATTCGACTCGGCAAAAGAGACACCAAGATACTCACCTGCCGACTTCCAAGTGGACTTGGCAGGGGGGTTGACAACGCTGCGGTCATGGGCATCACGGGCAAATGTGTCCAAGTGTCCAGCAAGACCAGCCAGATCCTCGTAAGCAATATCGGGCTCGAATCGAAGCTTGTGCTTCAGGGCGACGGCAAAAGCCAAAAGAAGGTTCAAGGCAGAGCTGTTTAAGACTCGTTAGCACAAATTATCCCGCCGTGCATTTCGGGTCAAGGTCATCGCACAGTTTTCGCAAAAGATCTTCCTTCCCAGCCTCGCCTTCTCTTTCGCCGGTGTTGATCCAAATTGTTCGTGAAAGGTTGCGAGATGTCTGAATAAGCTGAGACCAGTACTTGCGTCCATCGGCCCATCTGATGTCGGAAATTAGTCAATGGCTTGCGCCGCGCGTTCCACAAAAGATATATCGTACCTCTCATATGCAGTGGAACTGCGGAAGGACAGAGCCAAGCCCACCACGAAACCCAGCACGGTGAGCAGGATATTGTTGATACCAACTATTCCAGCAGTCAGCCAAAGTCTCCGTCATATCGAATAATCCACAATTCTTACGAGAGTGAACAAATCGCGAGATCAACGTAATCAAAGTCGACCAAGCAGCAACAAACAGCAATGGCAGTATCATCTTTGGCATGACACTACCATGCATTCGCATGAAGATGGGCCATTTGGAATGTTTTTCCATATTGCGAGGGCCATGCTATCACGACACAAGAACTGTCAGTACCGTGCATTAAGCCGCGCTATGAAGACACCGCAATGTTCGCATTACAAACGTACAAAATATCGATCCAATTCACTGGAATCCCGTCGGTCAAGTCGGAATTGCGCATCTCGTGAGCTGGCCAAGTTCTCCAGGAACGTTGGCCGGGGAGTTAGACGGCCCATTGAGCCGGGCTCTTTCTCATGCGATGGGGCCGTGTCATGGTGCTGAAAAGCATGGGAGCGTACATCGGCTGTTACGGGTGCGGCGGTATTGTCGGCCACTGCAGCGGCCGCTGGGGCATCAGCCACGGGAGCACTATGACCGTCGGTCATGATAGATGGATGGAAGATCAGTAGAAAAAAAAAGATAGACCAGGAAAATAATTCAGTAACAAAGAGTGAATGTAAATGGGGTCGGAGCCAGGCCGATGTATAACAACGAATGTATGAACACAAGGAAATAAGAAAGCGAAAGTGAAGTATAGACAATAAAGAAAATGGTCAAGAGGAAACTCCAGAAGAAAAGGGAGAAAAATGAAACGTGGGCTTGCCAGGGGCGTTTCATCGGGGATCTAGACCAACACGCCAATAGTGGAGTGCGGACACGTCCGCACGTTTAATTTTAGCCCAGGGGGTCTTTTTTTATATTCTCTTTGACGCTGCTTCTTCTTCTACCTAAGCTCCACGGGGTATCTCTCCCGAATAGCCTGCCCATACCGGGAAAATATGATTGGCACAGGAATAAAGGCCACCGCCACCAAGCCCAACAGCGTGTTCCCCCATCCAAGCCCTAAAGTTTGGAACATTTGTGGCCCCGCCAGAGGGAGCAGTGCGCCCACCAATGACCGGCTGGCAGTTAGCGTGGCGTTGGCTGACGCCGCATAGCCAGGGTAGCAGTCAATGACATACGTCTGAATGGGCAAGTAAATCCCCATCATGCCGAAACTAAAGGGCACCGTCCCGACGATCGGGACGATCCAATGGACATGCTTTTCGGCAGTCCAGCCATACCAGAAGAAACTAATAGGTAAGAAACAAGCGAAGAAGATCATCATCGGTAGTCGCATCTCAGGTTGGAATTGGCCTCCGTTCTGCTGTGTCAGTTTGACAACGAGCCGGTCGTTGGTGGATGCCACCAGACCCATCCCCAGAAAAAACCCAACCCCTATCCCCACAAATGCCAATCCTGACAAGCCAGTGGAGAACCCATACTGGTCCCTGAAGACGGTCGGGATTGTAGTGAAGAACAGGTACAGAAGACCATACGCGAGAGCCATATAAGTGGAGAGCAAGAATACGATGGGCGACTTGCCGAACAGGAGAATTGGTCGCGTCAAGCCGTGTCTAAGCTCAGTCACAACTGAGACATCCTCTCCATCCGGAGCATAAGCACTTCGGAGGTCGGGACGGCCTAGCTCCTTGGCCAGCCGCACAGTCTTCCATCGGATCAGAACAGAAGCATACGTCTCTCGATTGAGGGCCTCAATTCCCGTCGACACCACCGCCGAGACGAGCAACAGCACCCAAAAGACCCATCGCCAGCCAATTGTCTCCCCAATAAAGCCCCCTGCGATGGGACCCACCACCGGGCCGATCATTGGACCAGAGCTCCAAATAGCAGTCGCTAAGCCTCGCTGCTCAATGGGGAAAAGGTCTGCAATGACACCGGCGCCCAGGGTCAGGCATGCGGAGCCCCCGATGCCAGCGAAGAAGCGGAAGATGATCAAACAGGTCAGGTTTGGCGCCAGTGCACATCCGATTTGCCAGATGACAAACCACCAATTTCCACAGCTGAGGATGATTCGACGCCCGTACACCTCGCTCAAGGGTGCTAGTGCCAATGGACCGAACTATGACACGAGACTACATTAGTTCTCTGTATTCAGTCCGGAAGGCTAGCACAGGACTGAACTTACTGCATAGCCTAAGATGTAGATGCTGATGCTAAACGAGAGCAGGGTCGTATTAGTCACGCCTAGATCAACGGCGACATAGCTCACAGAGGGCGAGAACATGCTCGATGCAAGAGGGGACACAAATGTGATAGCGCTGGTCAATGCCAATAGGCCCCATTTTCGAGGAGCCGTGAAATTCTGGGGGTTGTGGGGGTCATCTTGCCCGTCCCAGCCGACGATGCCTCGGCTCAGATCGGTTTCTGGGTATCGTTTTGGGGGTGGAAGAGCATTCTCGAGGTCTTCTTTGTTATATTCAGTATCAATGGATTCTCCCGGCTGGTTCTCTTCCTTCGAGTCTGTGATGCTTTTCTCGGATAACGTCTCGGCTATGTGGGCTCCCATGGTCTTGTTACTGCGAGAAGAGCCAGCTAGTAGAGCTGGAAACTTGAGCAGAGAAAGAAGTATATCCTTTTGAATTATCTCGACTATTGAACAATACAGGAAAAGAGTGGGACTCGGAGATGAGATCCAGGGTGTGTTCCACGCGCTCTTCTTATAATCCAGAGGTGGCACAAGACTTTCACGGAAATAATGCCTTGCAAACTGAGCATACAGTAGTGCATCATATCTGCGTGCCAATCATCTCTGCGATTCCGATCAACCGTTGAGATCCCCGCATTGTTTCCATGGTTGAGCGTGCCGGCCCCACTACCTAATTGCCGGCCAATCAGATGCTCATCTTTGCCTGGATTTCATTGCGGTGCCGCATACCCGAGAGCTTTTGTCCAGCTTTATTGTCGGAGGGTCTTAATGTGTAGGCAGATATGATGGAATATTTGACATGATTCAGCTATATATCTCGGTTGGCTCAAGTTTACGAACCCCATGAAGAGAGACGCAACCATCGATATCGTAGAAATGAGCCTAGTTTAAGATCAAGGGCCTGTTCTGTAGTTTCGTATTCACATCTATTCTTATGATCACCATTCTCAAAGCTTTGATTGCAGCTGGGTGCGACAGGCCTCGAGACCAGATGGGCCATTGTAAATTTGTTGTTCTACCAGTCGGGTATTGATCTAAAGAGAGTCGTTAGTCCTAGCTTCGGTCTTACAGATCTGAAAGAGGCAGATGCAAGCTCACATGTTGCTTTCCAAGCTTATTGACATTTTGCACACCAAGAAGGCGCATGCATGTCTTAGTTTCATCTGTGAGAACTAAACCGGTCATCAGTAAATTTAGACTTCCTCGGAGGAATGGCAGGAGTTTCATACTCTGCAGTGTCCTCTTTACACCCTCCACGCCTCCAGCTCCTAGTCCCCAAAGGGCAGCTCGTCCAATGCCAACTCCTCTTGCACCTAAGCAAATAGCTTTGACGACATCTGTCCCCCTCTTGATACCTCCATCAACCCAGACGTCGATTTTGTCAAATACCTCAGGGCAGTACTTTCTAATCTCAAGTAGAGTGTGAACAGCAGGAGGAGCAGTATCAAGAGATCGACCACCGTGATTTGAAAGAATGATGCCCTTTACTTGAGGCGCATATGAAGCAGCAATATAAGCATCTTCGTGTGTCTGCACGCCTTTGAGAACAACAGGCAATGCCGTGTGTTTCCGCAACCACGCCAAAGTCTCTTTCCAGGTAAGCGTAGGATCTAGACCTATAAACGTCTGATCTTCCGTTGATTCAGCCAGCCTAGAAGAAGAGTCATTTTCATCCACTTCTTGGTAAACAGCTTCCTCCGAGCTTGACTCCACCATAGTGTTCAGGATATTGCCGCTACGCTCATCGTCCTCGCGTTTTCCGGAGACCGGAGAGTCGAGAGTCAATGCAATAAACTTGATCGCCTTTAGTTTGTTGATTCGAGCGAGCATCCGTTCGCTCTTGCTTCGGTCGTGTTGGACATACAGCTGCCACCCAAAGACTTGATCCGGGGCCGCATTTGCCACAATCTGCTCCGGGCTCATGGACGCATTGTTCGAGATGATTTGCATTGCACCAAAGCTGCGACAGGCTTCTGCGATGCCAGCTTCGCCCGAGGGGTGTCCCAGGCGGGCCATGGCTGCCGGAGATACATAAATTGGGATAGACACCTTGTTGCCTAACAGCTCAGTGTTCAAATTGCATTCTGTGCAATCTATAAAGGTTCTTGGTCTCAATTGTATAGAGCGGTAGGCCTCGGAGTTGAGGCGCTTGCTGATCTTGTCGTCGGATGCGGAGTAATAATATGCCCACGCCTTTTTGCTCACGTTTTGGGTGGCGACCTCTTCAATTTCATCTAGGTTGAGCAGGTTCTCCAGTGGGATGTTATTGGGACTCATTATGAGTGTTCAACTAGGAAGAAGAGTGACAAAGGGTGAGAGTTCCAAGGTTGGAGTCAGTTGTTGGGGTCGGGTGGTCATTCCGTTTCGGGATTAGTCTACAATGCCTCGTTTCTGAGGTTTGGTTCAAGATGGGAAGTTTCACTCGGTTGGAGTGGGTGAGATAGTTATGCAATCTGTCTATGTGATATCTCCCGTAGGTATCTTCAAGGGAGTAAAAACAGTCGGGGACCATCAACAAAGTAAAGCATCAGTCTATCAGTTCTTCCTAGTCTGAAGCAAAAGATATCTTGAATGAAATACTGTAATCCTCTATCTGAAGTCAGTACTATGACAGCTATTTTATATCTCCTTCTATAGATCCTTTAAAGGCCTAAATCAATAAATTAATAAATCCCAGACTACATAACTTTATCCTAGTCTAGTCTATAGCGCCAGTATCCCCTTCAATCCTTTTTTTTTTCCAAGACCACAACATGGGATGGATACGAGCCAATATTGGGAACTCATTCAAACATGTGATGCGACTAAATTTATTTCTGGTGCCAGACCTGTATGCGAAGTAAATCAAGTCTACCAAGCCAGATTTCAATTTCCACGTCTCAATTTTGAGGATGGATTGACGGAAAACGGGCATCACCAAAGATAGGACAAGAGCTAGATGCACCTGTAAACATTTTTTTAGTGTGATGCCTCGCAGTTACTTGACGGGGGGATGGTCCAGATTTAGAGCCATTCGGTACCTATCATCCATCGTCGCGTCAGATGGTCGCTGCGGGCAAGTTCCTTGGTCGCTTCGAGGTTATGTTCGCCAGGTTCCAAGCAACCACTGATGGGGTCAGAAGCACGGGATCAAGGATCTTACAATTGATGGCTTGGTGCACTCTTTTTCAATCGCTTTTGTCCTAGATCAGCCCTACCTGACGAGGGAATCAACCTGCTCGTTTTTGCATGATTCAAGTGAGCAAGAGTGAGCTAGCCAATTTAGAGGACCCGTTGGACCCGGGCTACGCGGTATCAACGAAAGAAATCCACCTGAAATCCAAGATGGGCATCTTTTCCGGGCAAAGATGAAGATCCTGATCGACAACAAACCCAAAGCCAAGCTCATCCGACCGGTCTGAGGTCCCGATACTGCGACATGACCAGTTTCAAGGTCCTGCATCCTGGAGCGCACTCAATTTTGGGTAGGGTCCGGATCGACGTCTGCATCACGGTAGATCCAGACCATTTCCCAGGGATTCTGTAAGCAGGATCCCATTTCAAGGGCCATGGCAGGGATTTGGGAGCAGATGCAGATCAATCGATCACTGCGGGTACAATCTGTCGAGATTTGAGCTGTGGGCGAGTCGATCCAAGCCCGACTCAGCCGGGTCCCACCGCTTAGCCCAATTGACCGGCGCAATGGGTCCGGTGGAGGGGGATCAATCTTGATGAAACTCTTGGTCTGGTCTGGTCTGAGGGGTACATTTCTTCGGGGTCAGGAAGCTGAGACCAGGGGGTTGTCTTCATGTTCTCAGGATCCCTAGCAGTGGATTGTTCGAGCAGTTGAAACAGTCGAGGGTCTCGGGCTACAAAAGGAGAGTGGAGAATTTATCCTACAGCAAGGCTTAGCTGTGCGAAGTGAGTACTCCATGTGATTGAAAAAGTCAATCTTGGAGGGGCGACAGACATTCAAATGGAAAATTCTCGGATTTGGGCCTGAGCGCGGAGACCGGGGTTAATGTTTGAGCAAAGCTTTTGCATGTGGCAGTTATATTATGGTTAGATTGCCTGCGGAGGGGCCGGCAAATAGAAATAAGCGGAAATCGAGCCAAAACCCCGACATCTCGAATGTTTTCGCTTAGATGTCGACTTGCGTACTCCGTCGAGAATGAAACCCTAACATGGTGGCGTGGTCAGCCTCGGCTGCATGGAATGGAAAATCTCCGTTCCTGCAGGGGTCGACAGCAGACAAGAGACAGAAGATACGAGACTGGCTTCTTTTCTTTTTAAGTTTCACCAATATCCCACACTGATTTGGTGACTCTGCCATCCATCCCTGGGGCAGAGGGGAACTATGGGGCTCTGGATCTGCCTATCGCCTTCGCCTCCCGCATGAGCCCTCGGTCTTGCTACTCTTTTCGATCTGGCGTAGAACAATTGTGTGGGTTGAGCCGGTGGCATCCAAGGCTGAGATGATCTAGTATGCGGCATACAATTTGCTTCTATTGCTGGGGACCACATGGTGGAAGTCTATTCATGGCCTTTCTCTTGCCTCTTGACTAGAATCATATGCGAATGTCTTTCCTCCCCGTCTCGGCCTGTCATCCCTGCACCTATTATTATAGCCCCAGTTCCCTGAAGTGATTCCATTTTTCTCTCTTTTGACAGTGCACGATGGCTGTATGAGCTGGCCCTCTTCCTCCGTCGCATTCACTATATTCACTATTATCTATATCTCTTGCCATCGGGTCATGGCTGTAACCATTGCGGACGCTTTCTAACCACCCTCTTTACTCGTACTCGTGATCCACATACATCGTCATCGTCCGGTGTCGAGATCCCCTCGCTCCTCAATCCGCCAACATCATGAAGCTGCCACCAGCGGCCGTCATGGCGGAATGGCCAACCCCAAATTATATTGATCCTCCAACGCGCGGACATGGCGTCGTCATCGTGAACATCGCGTGCATGTCCCTCGCCTTGATTGTGGTCCTGCTGCGTCTATATACTCGGGTGTGGATCACCTACAGCGCCGGCATTGACGACATCCTGATCGTGGCTGGGTTGGTCTTTGGCATTGCCATGGTGGTCGTCACCTCCATTGCCACAGAACACTATGGCATGAACCGTCATATCTGGGACATCTCGCCGTTGCACTTACCCACCGTACAGAAGATGAATCTCTGCTTCCAAATCATGTTCTCCATGGCCTCCATTATCACCAAGATCTCCCTTCTGTGGTTCTGCCGACGACTTCTGGGAAAGGGCAATTTTGTCGTCTATCAATGGGCTTTCATTGGGGCCATGGTTTTTGTCGGACTCTCCGGGGGAATGTTCACCATTATCAGCATTTTCCAGTGCAAGTAAGTCACGGTATCCCGCTGCCACAGTATCATGGCTCGTGCTAACGTTTGAGTCAGTCCTATTCGCGCATATTGGCAACTGAACCCGACAGAGCCATACCACTGCATGAACGACGGCGCCATTGTCTTCTCAGCCAGCGTGATCAACATCTTCACCGATTTCCTCGTGACCACTCTGCCCATGCCACTGATCTGGAGTCTGAAGCTCCCGGCCCGCCAACGTCTCGCCGTGATCTCCATCTTCGGTCTCGGCGTAGTGGTCAATGTAGCGGGATCGGTGCGCACAGTGTACGTCTGGAAGAGCATGGTAGTCGGCTACGACGCAACCTGGCTCGGTTGGCCGGTTCTCATCGCCGCAACCGTAGAGATCAGCCTGGGACTGGTAAGTCGTGCCCCTAAAAATGAAGAGCATCCCCCTTGAAACGCAGTGACTCACAAGACCAGATCTGCTCCTCGGCCCCAGCCCTCCGGCCTCTCATCGCAGCCTTCCTTCCCCGTCTCCTCCAGTCGACGCGGAACATTGGCTCTTCCTACAACCAACCATCCCGCTCTCACAAGCTGTGGTCATCCACCGGCCGCTCGCGCAACTCCCGACTCGTCGCGGACGATATTCGCCAGCCGGGCTACGACAGTGATCGATTTGAAATCATGCGCACTGTTGAAATGGAGAGTTGGACTGAGTCACGCCTGGCAACCCATGATAAATTGGGCCATGGCTATGGTATCACTTCGGAGAGTCATGTTCGTGCGCTCAGTCCGACGGAAAGTTTAGAGATGAAGAATGGCTTGGTTTATACCTCGGCGGCTAGTGCGAAATCCTCCGGCTCCGGGGAAGCTCAGTCGCCCTTTGGTGATCGGCCTCGCTGAGGGTCGATTTAATTGATTTTGTCTGTATAATAAAAGTTCATTATATTTAACTTATCCAGAAATGACAATTCTGAATTATAGATTTTCTGCTATTCAAAGCTCTTAGGGAAGGAAGCCTTGGAATATTTACAAATTTGACTCATGTCCCAATATGGGGTAGGAGTTGAGGTTCTAGAGGGTTGTTGAGGGAAAGATGCACTTTCTGACTTTTAAGATAGAAGCGCTAAGAGTGGCAATGGGGAAGGGAGGGATGGAAGGCTCCATATGCTGTGACTAGTGCAACATAATCTGACAGATCGATACGGAGTGTAGTAGACGATTGATTTGGTTCGACAACTTTGTATTTCCATTGGAGAGTAAACAAGAGATAATCCCGAACCAAATGACTTCATTTCAATTTAAGCCACAAAGTCGGGCAGGATATAATAAACCAAGTATAGCAAGTCCACGCTTACAGACGACTCTTAGCCTTAAACCCAGAAGCAATAAGCAAGCGGTCGGCCTCATCACGCTGCCAGTTCAACTTGGCAGTAACAGCATCCTTGCGCGACTTGTTCTCCCGCTTACCAAGCTGCTGCAAGTGAACCTCGTCAGGACCATCTGCAATACGCAGCGTCCGGATCCCAGCCCACATATAAGCCAGCGGGGTATCCTGACAGACACCAGCAGCACCATAAGCCTGGACAGCGCGGTCGATAATGGCGAGCGCAGTCTGCGGCACGAGGACCTTGGCCTGGGCGATTTCCTTCAGGGCGCCCTTGGCATCGCCCTGATCGATCTTAATAGCGGCATTGAGGACAATGAGTCTCGCAGCATCGACTTCAATGCGGGACTTGGCAATCCACTCTAAGATGACACCGTGAGCGACGAGCGGCTTGCCGAATGTCATCTTGCGCTCGTCGTTGACGCGGGCAATGAGCCATTCGAGGGCCCGCTCTGCTGCGCCGATGGCGCGCATGGCGTGGTGGATGCGGCCTGGGCCGAGACGGCCTTGGATGATTTCAAAGCCGCGGCCTTCGCCGAGAACCATGTTTGATACGGGGATGCGTACATCCTTGAATGTGATGTGGCCGTGGCCGTGGGGGGCGTCGTCGTAGCCGTAGACGTGCAGCATGCGATGCACGGTGATGCCAGGGAGACCGGCTGGCACGAGGACGACTGATTGCTGCTTGTAGGTGTCGCTGTTTTTGGCGTCTGTCTTACCCATGACTAGGTAGATGGCGCAGCGGGGGTCGCCGGCGCCTGAGGACCACCATTTCTATGGATAGTGGTTAGAGACTGAAGAGTATATGTTGTCTGATGGGGATGGCAGGGAACATACTGAGCCGTTAAGGACATATTCGTTGCCTTCGCGGCGGATGTTCAACTCGATATTGGTGGCATCGCTGGATGCGACGTCGGGCTCGGTCATCAGGAACGCAGAGCGGATCTTGCCCTGCAGCAGAGGCTCCAGCCACTGCTTCTTCTGTGCGTCATTGCCGTACTTGGCAAACACCTCCATGTTGCCAGTATCGGGGGCAGCATTGTTGGTAGCCTGTTCGTTGAAGCGTCAGCCATACATCCCACCCACGATCTTCGCGGAAATAGTAGAAGAGCTACCCACCTCGGAAGCAATCTTGCTCTTGCCGAGCAGCTCAGCCATCAAGCCGTACTCCAAATTGGAGAAGCCAGCACCCTGATTAAAGTGGTTCTTAGGCAGGAACATGTTCCACAGTCCAATCTTCTTGGCCTTCTCCTTCAATGTCTCCATGATAGCGGGGGTAGTGTTCCATCGCTGCTCGCCCTCGCCGAGCTGGGCGGTAAAGACAGCATCAGCCGGAATGCAGTCCTTCTCGACGAACTCCTCGACCTGTGAGAAACATAATAAGTCAGTATACAGCGTCCAAGGAAGAATAGACCGGGGGGTGGGCTTGGCGGGTTCTGGAGGGTAAGGTGACGTACCAGGTCGAGAGTACGCTTGGCCTTGTCGCTGACAAAGGGCTGGGCGATAGGAGGGATACGAGTTGAGGCAGACATGATTGATGAAGAATGAAAGAGTGACGGCGCAGAATATAAAGAGAAGAGGTCAGGCCATGAATTGCGGAGAAAGAGCTGAGATGTGTGGAGAAGCCGAGAGTGGCGGGTTTTGCCTCGGCCCAGGATTTTGTATGGGAAGATCAGGTTGGGGAGAGGAGATGGAGGATATGAGGCATGGACTAGAGAGACTATAGGGCTATGAGTATCTCTTGTGTTTCTTCGTCTTTGTTCTCTAATTCCTCCTCTTTCTTTCTCTCTCTCTCTCTCTCTCTCTCTCTCTATCACCCCGTCTATACCATAACCGACCCCCAACCTCGGCCAGATCCCCGAGGTCCAATACGAGCTACAAGACTCAAATAGTTCATGTCAAATTACAGAATAAAGGCAAGCCCGACAAATCCAGTCCAAGGTTCCAAGGTTGTATTGATCCAATGAGCTCCAAAGCTCCCTCCCAATTACACCCCAATCCCAACACCCGTTGATACACAAATAAAAACACAAAGAAAAAGGCATCGCGGGTCATCACAAAAGAAAAAGAACAGTAGACAACATCGACTGGAGACTCCATCCAGTCCAAACTCTCCATCGAATCATCCCTCAATATCTAACCCAGCGACCGGCGCTCTTTGGCCAGACATACCGAGGAAAGAGAGAAGAAGAGGAAGAGAGAAGAACAACATGATCAAAGTCCCCAAGTCAAAGCGGTAACCACTCAAAAAGAGCATAGTAATCAAAATAAATAGTCAATAGACTCAAGCCCGAAAGAAAAAGAAGAAAGTAGGCCAGGCCATCACAAACGTCGACTCCAATCATTCGGCATTAACCGTTCGGCCCTGTTCAGCCGACTGCTCGTAACTCTTCTTGCCGAGCTTAGCAAAGAGAGACTGCGGCTTGCCAGCACTAAGTGGGGGAAGACCAGAAAGGTTAGCAAATTGAAGGCAAACGGAGATGATGACCCATCGCGCCGAGGCAGTTCTCGGTAATGCGAGGGACCAGCTAACAACGGACAGAAACATACTTCTTAAAGCGCTTTCCCTTGATGTCACTCAATTTCTTTGTGCAGGGACTCATGATATCATCTGAGGGCGAGACATAGGAGGTAGGTTGTCTAGAAGCAGTTGCGTTAGCATCTCTTGCATCAGAATAGCGGTCAAATCCGATCGACGTGGATGGGACCGGGGTTGGGGAGACTCACTCCTCGCCTGCTACCTTCTCTTGCAGGATCTGGCGGTGGTACTCCATCGATGAGATATCGGCACCCTTCACGTCGGACTTGTCTGTGTTGGCGAGGTGGGTGTTGGTAGGGCGGTCGGCCAGAGGTTGGGGTTGAGATTGTGTGGTGTCCATTGTGGTGTGTGTGTGTGTGTGTGTGTGTGTGTGTGTGTGTGTGTGTGTGGAGGTGTGGAGGTAGAGCAGTGAACAGTCAACAGGGAAGTGAGCAGGAACGGAAGCAATCAGAAATCGCGTAACTGGAGAGAGGAGAGTGGAGGAGAGGAGAAAACAGCGGCCGATCGATCGGATAAGAGGGAAAAAACGTGTTGTTGGTGCACGAGAAAATATGGATTGTTGGCTGGGCAACGGGCTATGACGCGCCACATTGCTCTGATTCTGGTTCTTGAAAGGAGTTACACGTGAGGGGTTATGAGTGATGTTTATTGATGTCTGAGTTTGGAGAATCTAGAATTTGATCCAGAATGTATTTAACGGTGAGATTCATGTAATCGTCCAAGCATACAGTGTAGAAGTACAGTGTCGTGCACATGTAAAAGAAAACGCCAAGTGATCCCCAATGCAGAGTCATCAGAACAAGTAGACGGGCGGGTGCCATGATACGTAGAAAGAAAGAAAGGGAGAAAAGGATGAAGCCAGCTAGGCGTCCAAATCCTGGAATGCAGACAACCAAATCATAGCGCATCCGACCGTGCATCGTCACTTTGAGTGTCGGAGGCATCCAAGTCCATGTGTCCATTCAAGACCGGCGGGGTGCTATGGGGACGAAGATGCGGAATTCCAAGGGTGGGCACTGACATTGACTCCGGAGAGTCAGGCTGGTCCATTTTAAGCGGTGTTTCTTCTTCCGGCTCCGGCGAAGAATCCGATGTTGGTGTGGGTGGGACATAGGCCACTGTGGGACTAGTCGCACTCTCCTCGGATGAATCAGAGAGATTCCTGTGGTGGCCCACGTTTTGACGATACGATGAGGTTGGGCGTGTGGAACTGGGACTGGCAGAAGGCGAGGCCGAAGCAAATATAGGAGAGGAGGAGCGCAAACTGTAGGACCGAGTGACCATCCGTTGCACACCAGGGAATTCCATGTAGTTGCTGACTGAGCCCCGTGAAAATAGAACCAGGGCAAAGCAGCAGAGGACCATAATACTCTGGATGACGATGACTCGTTTCTGGAAGACTAGTTCATCCGCTAGCACACCGAGCTGGGCGCTGAGAGAGTGAAGCTCCTGGTGGTATTGCATGCGCTGATGCTCGAATTCGAGAGCAACAGATTTCCAAACAAGGTCATACTGGTCACGGAATTCCTTCAACTCAGTAAGAACTGTGGTATTAAGATTTTCGAGGAATGTAGATGTCTTTGCGAGCTGGCGTTTCTCGACTTTGTTGAATGCATCTCGTAGAATGCGAGACTGCTCTTCAATGTATAGAAGTGAGAGGGTAGAATTTGATTCGAGCATCTGTAGACGTTTATGGACGGACTTGAAGAAAGATTCTTGCGTTGTTGGGTTTGCGGATGGTGGTTGGGTAGTTGTAGGTCTGGTCGACTCTGGGGGAGGGATATTTGAGTCTTCTTTAGTGTTTGTGGTGGCTTTTCCGGCAGCTTCGGATGTCGTGTTCTGCTGAGTAGTTTCTGAGGAAGATATCGATGCTTCGGGGGTAGTCACAACGCCTTTGGCAGACTCGCCTGTCTTTCGAGTGTCTTCTGCCACCTTGGGAGGAGCGGACGATCCAGTATTATTTACAGAGGTACTCGCACCTGCAATGGCAGTAGAATTCTGCTTTGACGATACCTTTGTCTGGGCTGCCGTCGCTGGCGTTGAGGGAGTGGTGACCGGCGGACCTTCGTCGACACTACACGTCTCCGTACGAAGAAGTCTTTCAAAGAGCGCAGTCGGATCTGCGAGCGTATTGTAGCAAATTCCCTCAACTCGAGGGCGAGTGAGGACCGGAACAGCAGGCTCCTCGATCGGTACTGGGACATCGACGGGCTTGTTCTCCGATTCAGGAGGCCGATTGGCCTCAGCAGATTCCAATTCCTCAACTTCCGCCCGGTCGGAGCTCTCATCATGTTTATACTCTTCCATCATGGTAGTACCATGAACACGAATCAGACTGATCGGACAAAAGAATTCATGTCCATAATGAGTGAGGAACTCGATGCGAAGATACCGTGCCCAGATAAGCGAGTTCTCAACGGCAAATGCCTGGACCTCACGCGTGTTCCGCGCCTCGTATACACCCAGTTGCTTCCATTGGTCTGGTTTTGCAGGATATCGATCTGAGACACTGACGCGGAATGTGTGGAAAATCGAGCTGAAGAACTCGTAATTCGCAAGAACGACGGTGTCAACCAGAATATCATCGCAAAGCTCCAGGATAAGAAACTTGTTCTGTGCGCGGCACTCATTCAACATGTAACTATCCTTATTCTCAATAAGAACCGACGACGAACCCTTACACTCAGGGTTCGTCTTAAGCACCGTAGCCGCACAATCAAAAGAAGCATAATTAAATCGCTCCTTGCAAGTGGTGCCTGCATCTTTTCGGCGGGCTGCACCTCTCCGCAAGGCACCCTGCGCATAGATATCGACCCCGGCCTGGCCATCTGCACCACCTGCATGGCCCGCGTCGCGCGCCGGGATGTGCGTCCCCCACGCAGTAGGACTAGCTTCGGGCGTTTCAGCGCCGAACCCACCAAAGTCCAATTCAATCTCTGCGTCGTCACCCAGCGAGTCCAATGCATTATTGATCCCTGGCTGTCGGCGGTCCTCTTTCCCTGCTGCAGCGGCTCGTCTGCTACCGCCCACGTTTTCTGCAGATTGTCCGACCTTTGCTAGATTCTGCTTTTTCCAGTCTTCAAATGAAAGGAAACTCGCACTATCCAATAACGAATCTGTATCATGTTCCTGCTCCTGTTCCGCGCTCCGATCGGGTGGTGTGCTGCCAGTTCCTTGTGGTATCCCGCTCGACGCGGCAGCCGATTCAGAGTCAACCGCACTGGGCTCAGGGGGCGCAGCATCACCGACAAAAAGTCGTCCCGGGCCCCAGCGTGTTTCCAGACATGGCGGTAAGAGGAACAAGTCTGCCTCATTATCCCAAGAGCTCCTGGTCGGACACGTCATCGCCGGTATCGGGGTAGGGGAGGCATTCGTAGTAGACTGGGCAGTCGTGTTCCCAAGCACATTATGGCAAAGCGCAAGTAGGAGCGAGACGTGGTATAATCCAGGTACCCATGACCGGCCCGCGGTCACCATCCTGTCGGTTGGAGAGTGTGCGCTGATAAGGGCGTCAGCGAGGTAAGCGAGCAGATATAGCTTTTCTCTTTTCTCTGTCGGGCATGAGATGCCACAGGCTAGCTGTGACAATCGCAAAGATCGACAGAAGAGCGTCTCGGTGTAGTTCAAGCTAATGGGAGGACCTGCATGCTAAGGACATTGTGGTGGCTGGGATAGCGAGGAAGCGGCGCTAGGGCGACCCTAAAGATTTTTGTCGGCGTATAGAATGGCGCGATGGGCTGGGAATTGTCGCGACGGTGAAGGAACTGGAATTAGGCGACAAAGAGCGGTATCTGAGGGATTGGAGAACAAGGGACCGGCATCTCAACCGTTGAGCGCTCTGACCGCCTTTCCCGCGTGGAGAAGTATACAGTCTACTTGGTGACAGCTATGCCGTTAGGCTTCATAATGAAGCATGAGTGGACTGGGTTTACTAGGTTTACTAGGTCTACTAGATTTACTGGTGTGGTGAAGATCAAAATGTTTCTGAGCGGATGAGATCAATTTTCCCTTTTGACTGTCCCAAAATAATAACTAGTTACAAGATGCGCCAGGGACTCAGTGCTATGAATGAAGAGAAAACGGCCGCACTTTCAATCAAGTCAGGCTGCTAGGTAATCGACCTTTGCTGCAACTCATCCCATGCTTCCCTAAACCGCGCCTTCGTTTTGTCCAATGCGGAAGAAACCTTCCCATGAAAAGAAAAACATCCACCATGGCATTCCGACCCAGCCTTCTAACCTTTTTGTTGATTTTTTGTGTTCAGTGAGCTCCGCCAATCTGCACCCTCGGTCTGATATTATACAGAAAAAGAAAAAAACAGACGGGTGACCGGAGGGAGCAAGCAGCGTGTGGAGACGCTGCATTGTTGTTGAAAAGGCGGAGTCAACTGACACTCAATCCGAAAACAAAGAGACACGAGACAACAAATTGGAACCATCAGTTTATCATTGAAAATTTTTGAACTTTTTTTTTCCAACTGAATCGAAAGACGCAATGGGACTGAACGAGAGCGGGAAACGGGGCAAACATGAGAGGAAAACAGCCAAAGGGGACGACGAGCTTAGAAGTCAGTCTCGAGCCATCCGCCGACGAGGTCGAGATCGTCGTCGACCGTATCGTCGTATGAATTAGTATGATAAGGTTTGGGCCCATTGCGGCGCCAGTCCTTTTCTAGCAGCTGCCGGCGACGAGCGTCAGAAGAGGAGTCGCGCTTTGGCTGTGGTCCGTGGCGGAAACCGGAAGAGCCGTGGCCCCAGTCGTGTCGACGAATTTGGGAGGCAGTGGCTCGCTTGGGACCGAAGACCTCGCGCGACTTGGCATTACGGCGCTCGTCGGGTTTGTAGTTGCGACGAACATCGCCAAGGCGAGACCACTTATCGACAGGAGCAGGAGAACTGTGCACGGGACGCGGGGTGCTGCTGGATGTACTAGAATCGCTGTCTAGATCCAAAGAGTCTTCGCGGAGGCCACGAAGTTCCTTGGTCAGGCCGGATTCTTGAACAGGGGAGCGGTGAGTGAAGGAAGCGGAGTCCTGCTCGCGCAATCCCGGAAGGGCAGCGCCCTTGCTCTCTTGGCTCCAGCTGCGAGAGTTCTGCTCCCGACGCTGCAACATGACGATGTCTTCGCTTTCGGATTCGTCCTCCTCCCACATGTCACACCAACTTTTAGAGATCTGCTCTGAGCCCTTGTTCTTACCAAAGACCATGGCCAGAGATGGCAGAGGCTTAGTGGCATGAGAAGGTAGGGATCCAGTGATGGGGACAGGATCTGAGCGAGGGAGGGAGGGGACCTGGCGCTTGCGAAGGTTGAGCGAGCGGAATGAGTCGCTGAAGTGAGAGTCCAAAACAGAAGCCATGGATGGAGTGTCGGGATTGACCGAGAACCAGGACGTTCCTGCAACTTCAGATGGGGGGAAAAGATCCTCAGTGTAACTCTCATTGTCAGGAATGGCAGACAGCTGGCGGATAGCCTGAGGAGGGCTGGTCTGAAGTGCCTTGGCCCAGGGGAAGGAGTCTCCTTGGTTGATAAAAGGGCTCTGAATGGATGGAGTGCGGAGGGGCTCGCGGTTGGCGCTGGCGGGAACCACCTCACGATCCTCAGTGCAGAAGTCGTCAAGAGCCTCCTCATCGGTGGTGAAAGAGACAGCCCGAATGATAGCCTCGCGCAAACCTTCCAAGGAGCGCTTCTCAGGATCGATAGTCATGGCATGAGTCAGGATTTCGTAGGTATCTTGAGACATGTTGGGGAAGATGTCAAACAGAGACTGGCGATCACGCACGTAGTCCGCAAAAAGTACGTCTGACTCGGTGGGAGTAACGAATGGGTTACGAGCAAACAAGATGTTCAACAGACAGATACCCAGAGCCCAAATGTCGGCCTTTGCTGGTGAGTAGCCGGTGGTGGAGGGATCGTACTGCTCGGGGGCCATATACCGGTCACTGCCGACGCAAGCTTCGTAACACCAAGCTTCTTGAGTCGCAAGACCAAAGTCACCGAGCTTCATGGCACCATCGTGTGTCAAGAAGATATTTTCTGGCTTGATGTCACGGTGGTACAAGCCATTGGCATGCATGAATTCGACGGCGCTCAGCAGCTGCATCATGAAGTCCCGAACATGTTCGGTTTCCAATGGACCCCGGTTGAGACGAATAGCCTCGTATAGATCACCATTGGCACAGTACTCCAAAACGAGGTAGGTATGAGTATCAGTGTCGAAGGTATGAATCAAGTTCACCAGATGCGGGTGGAATCCGAATCGACGGTGACATTCAAGTTCTTCAAACTGATCCTCGGGGAGGTAGATGGCAGAGTCCACGGCAGAAGCCTTGACCAGGCGTTTGATGGCGACATCCTCGCCGGTCTTGGTATCATTGGCAAGGAACACCATCCCAAAAGACCCATGATTAAGTGGGGCGACACTGCGGAAACGGCCATCCAGAAGCTGTCCCTCCACGAAATCAGTTGTCAAGCTTTCCATGGTCGACATGTTGGCTCGGTAGTTGATCCCAAGAAGAACAGATGCAAAAGTGGTGAGGGAAGAGTAGAAAAGAGTCGGGAGAGGTAATGTTCCAACAAAGAGAAGACAAATCTATGAACCGCTCAAATCACACAAGCACGTGTCAAGAACGCGTCGAGATGTGTCAAGACAAGCAAAAGCAACCAGGCTGGTGAAGATTAAACAAGGAAGATAAGTATCAGGCGGAGTCCCAAAGGGGATGACGATGAGAAGCAGGGTGTAGAGGAGATGTTGGCTCCAAATGTGATATAAAAAATGTACTGATGAAAGGCAGGTAAATCGACAGATGAAAAGAGGAGAGAATGAGGCGCGGAGGCGCTGAATGTACCCGAGAGGGGTTGTTGACGCTAAGGAAATGTGTAAAGACCGTTATGTGCTCATTTGTATGTCGTTTTCGTGGTTAAACTGGGAAGGGCCCGGGGGAAAGGATGGACGATACGCGAGGTATCAAGTACTTTGAACAAGTTGAGAGTCGGCCTGATACCGAAAGTAAAGATGTGGTTGTTGGAAAGGTAGTTGAGAGGAAAGCGCTGCGTAATATCGTGATAAAAAAAAGTCGAAGATGTATAGGAAGAAAGAAACAAGTAATCCTATGAACACCGGGTTCAAGGGCGAGAACGGGCCTGACTCAAACGTTTGAAAATATTGATAATTATTGAGTCATGGGTGGCCAGCCAGGTGAATTTGAGTGCAATGAGACGAATCGGGCTTGATGAGGGATCCGGAAGAGTACCTTTCTAATCCAGATGGAAAAGCAGGGTACTCGATGCCAGCTAGCCCCACGGTATGGAACTCCCGAGGAAGTCTCACAGTAGATCTCGTCCAAGAAAGATATGATACCTGCAGGTGCAGGTAGAGTCTTCGTGGGTGTTGTAAAGACGAAGACTGAAAAGGGGCTCAATGGTCAACTGATTGACGAAAGGTGGATCCCTTAGTAGTTGGGGATCGTGAGTCACCAGAGCTTAGGGTCAACCCGGAAGGTCCAGGAAAAGGGGAGATCCGATGAGGGCGCGAAGACGATATACACTCTTGTGCAGAGAGAAGACCAGTTGAAGCCGATCTTAGTACTCGCAGTTTGTCGAGCAAGAGGAGGTCGTCGATGGTAATCAGGACGAAGGACAATGGAAGCTGCGATAACGCTGAAACCTTTGAGACGCGGAAGTGACGAAGAAGTGATGAGGCGAGGCGGTAGAGAGAGGGGGAGACGAAGTAGAAGAGCGAAGGAAGAGAAGCGATGAGGGGGGGGGAACGAGGATGAAGATGAAGATGAAGATGAAGGAAGAGCAAGAGGTTCAGAGTCATTAACATCTCCGGGGAATTGGAGCGGCAAAGTGGATCTCCATTGGCTGATACCGGTCATACGGTCACAAACGAGTATCTGTTGGAGTGTTGGATGTCTTCTCTCCCGAGTGATCTACATTTACCGCCTTATTTGCCTGGCGCCCGAGGTCCCTCCCGTTTCCGTCTCCTGGGTGAACAGTATTCGGTATGTTTGGTATGTAATATTTCACAGTATTGAACCAAGTTTCATGAACCTTCTAGGCATTCCTGGCCCTTGGAAGGCGTCAACGTTTGGTGATAACGTCAAATTCCATAGTTGGTTGCCCATTTGGCTGTCACAGTGGAACACCACGATTGCGTATCTTGTCGCCATTTGGCCCGATATGATATTACAGAATACAGTCTCCAGTCTACACGATGATAACATGGATTTACAGTTAACCCCCTATCTTTGAGACCAAACTCTCCTGGGGGGGGGGCCAGCAGGGGCACAGCCAAAGCCGAGGGATCAAGGTGGCGCGCTATACCCGATGCGGTGGATTGCGCAGTCCATTCTGAGACGGCTGACCAACCAGATTGCCGTATTGGGCCACTATTTCCAGGCTGCATGACGCGATGGAGTGGCATGGCGTGATCTGCCCTCATTGGTTCCCCCGGACCTGGTGGTCTTGAATAGCACCCGTGGCCTGTCTGCAACGTTATTTGGCGCGCGGGTTTATGAGACAATCCATGAGGGGGGGGCCCTTGTTTCTACGGTGCATAGTACACAGTACACAGTACACTGAGGGTATCAGGGGGACGTTGATCAGTTTCGGTTATAGATCGGAACTCCGATTGCCGCTTCACGGTACAGATAACAGCCCCCGTTAACTAAGCTCTGGGGCCAACTCAACTATCGTCATGTCAGTGTCCAACACATGTCCCGAGGACTGGACTGTACAGCATATCCAGAGTCAATTGCACGATCTAGTGGAGCGTGCTCGTAGCTGTTAGACACCCACGCAGCTGTAGCGGTGAAGGGGGATCCCTGCCTGACTCTAGCCCTACACTGGATTTGACCGCCTCCTGTGGTCTGCAAGGAAGTACAGAACAGATAGAGTTGTGGGTGTGGCACGACGACGGCATCACGCGACGCACTTTACACTTTCCAGTCTATCATGCCCCCCTCATTCTCCGGGAAACGGGAAAATGCAAAGTGTCAACCACTTTTTAAGGATCTTCCCCCCATTAGTCCCAGTTGACCCTGGATCGACATCCACATCGAACACGCAATAACTGCACAGTGCCGAAGTGTACTGCAGAAGGGCACGGCTCAGCTCTTGATCTCCCCCTCCATCGGGCTTCGCCCCATATCCATTACTTTATTTGACTGCAGGTCAAGTCTCCCCAGCCCTCCTTGGGAAGCGTGAGTTTCGTCATCGAGTGTAGCGCTTTGCATCAGCCAACCCCCTGTGCGAGATATTTCTGAATCTTATACATATGCACCAGTGAAACGTATGCTCGTTATGCGCGATTTTCCTCCGTGATTACTGTACCATCGCACCCAAGTGATAAACATGATACAAAACTGCAATGGGCGATACTGTATATGATATCTTATCTGTACGGAGTTCGACTCCGGGCGAAGTCGGCAGTGGAAGTAACCTCCGATGATAAGACCATGATTCATTAAGGCGTTTCAATAGTGTATATCCATGGTTATGGGATTCAACTCTGATAATCCGATACCCCGCACGATCGTCATGCCAAACCGATTCCCAAATGTCTCAATTTTGAAGATAGTCGTAAGAATCCCAAGAGGAGATGCCCGAGATAACCATGAGATCATCTAAAGAGGGGGGTCCAACGATACCCGGCTAAGGGCCACTTCCCCGGATTCCAGTCTGAACTGGCCTTTGTTTTTTATTGTTTTTTTTTCTTGCCATTTCATTGCTTTTGCTTTTTTTCCCCCTTCGCTTATTATGTAGTTCGATGGGATTCTAGCGCCCTCATTTTGAGACCCCGTGTCCAACTGCCACATTCAATACATGGCCATGGCGCTAGGGCTATGCGCGATCCGGCGCAGAATGGCTTGATCCAACCCCAAAACATCAAGCATCACCTCCGAGTCTACTGTATCCAATTTCAGATGGGAAGACTGTGTCAAGTAGAGTTGCACTGCATTGCCCTGTGTGACTAGGTTGTATACAGATCCAGGATCCTCAACGCATCAACGGGATGCATTTCAATGTATGGCATGACCCCAGCCTCCTGTAGGTCTCGCTTTTTCTCCGTGTGCGACCGTGCAATCAGAAAAGAACAGGCAAGGTAGAAAAAATCAAAAGGCATGAAAAAGTCAATCATGCATCGGATCGACCTGCAAGGGAGATACCCTGAGGCCTTTTTCTGACCCATCTCGAGCATTTCAAGTCGTTTGACAGGTCGAGTTTGAATCGTTAACGGTTGCCAAGTCAACATCAACATGGCGACCCCTCCTTTTCTTGTCCTTGTGCCACAACTCAGACATGGTCCAAATGCCAATATCCGGGGTGTATGTTCGTGCCTGGAGGCGTATTCTAGGTCATTCCACTGTACAGTAGGCAACCAAACATCAACAAAGACACCTGTCTAATTTGTTTGGTCTGTGATTGACTGTCTACTATACGTCAACTTCCGTAGGTTAACTGAAGTTAACTATCCTCCAAATAAACACAACACCCGCGGGAGCCGTCCTCGGCCTCCTTTGCCGGGTTTGGAAACACTCCCCCCATACCACATTCCCCCTGTCAACGTCACCTCCCCTGTCAAGTGTGTGTGTGTGTGTGTGGATTGTTACGAATATTACAGGAGAAGATGATGAACATCTTTATTGTCAGTGACGTTGTAACACGTTTCAAATTACTAACAAATTAGGTGGAGACCGGGATCTCGCTTCTATTCTTGCCAACGGAGTCATAACATGACATCAAGGCTCCGCTTTCATCCAGACCAAGTCGCGATGACAAAGTTGACAGTCGAATTTGGAGGCATCCGAAGCTATTTCGAGTTCCTTTGTTTTTTTGGTGGCGCAATACAACAGTGGCCGTGTTTCCAATAGGCAAACAGATTTGCAATTGGCCCTAGCTGGTGGTACCCTGGGTCTGGGTCTCGGGTCTGGACGTTGTTGGCTTTGACATAATCAACATGGTAGATGATTGGCGAGAGAATGTTTTGTGCTCATGGATCACGTATCTACTCGATGAATGCAGCACGAGAGCCATTCCATTGGGAGTCGAGGGCTCGTTTCAAAGTCAACTCGTCATCTCGTAGTTATGAATGATCAAGACTCTATCTTCTCTATCTATAACGAATTATATACAAGCGTCATGTTGGTAGGCTGATTATGATCGTATTCGGATTTGTCTCCATCTGGTTGGTGCCTGAAAGGCCACGGTACCGGCGGATTATATATCTGGTCACTACAGTACAATATCACGGGTTCGTCAACAAAACACCATTATGAAGTCGTTGATCTGCCATGCCGGACATCCGATTTCTCCCCCAACCATTTCCAATCAGTATAAATATCACAGGTAGTGGAAACTTGTTCCATTCGCAAATAAAATGAGGATGAATACGATGATTCATGCCAGCACCGAGCAGATGATCCCATTGGTTGAAGCCCACTGACTAAGAAAAGACCCCGCTCCTAGCTGATGTCTGTAGAATTAGGCAGAAGTAATTTCAGGCCTTATATACAAGGCCACAAGGCCACAAGGCAAATATCTGTTCCTTTAGACAGCAACAGTTTCATAATAACTTACTGCTGTCCATAATTCTTAGAGAAATAATTTAGAATGTATTTGGTGTCTATCAGAATGCTTTTTTTCTTTCAGGTCAGTCTAGCTGCAGGCAGACCACAGCCACCTTTTTCGACGCACGTAGTCACATTGTCACCCGATGTGAACCAGAGACCTCATGATCTAAATCCCGTAAACTTCATCTAAGTACTGCTAAAAGAGTATATCTAGCTTTGGGACCAAACCTATTGTATCTAGGGGCTGATGTGATAGTGATTGCAGGATTTGAACTAGAAATGTCATTTGTTTACGCTGTTCAAGGTTCAAATCCTCATGCCCGAAGACAGATTGCATCTCCCTATCTTACTTTCCATTCGCTTCTGGAAATCTGGAAATTATCAATCATGAACATGTATTTGACTCAGCTAGATATGTCCTGTTGGGCTGCTTTCTCGCTAAGAAGAACATCTCGTACGTGCATTGAGTCAAGGTAGATCCGTACAGACTCAATCTTTCCCTCTTCGGTAAATTTGCAATGCCATGAATACTGCTGATAATAGTTGATTCTTGCACATTTGGTGATAGTATTTATTAAGCGGAGCTCGACGGCAACCTTGCCGTTACTTCCACAGACAACACTCTCAAGCCCATCGGGCATAATAAAACACGGACCAGGCGGGGCGAACATCGCGCCGTGTGGTTTCCAATTCCATTGCTGAAAAGAAGACTTGGATGGGAAAGCTCTAGAGAAGGAACTATGGCCAGTTAGGGTCCATGTTGACTTTTCCAAGGCCTGGTCAAAGAAGATGGAATGGCCTTTTGGCCAATCTTCTAGATTGAGGAACAGATCGTGAATCTCTTGCTCTGATGGATAGCCCATTGCTGAGACTTGTTAGAGTCATTGCCAAGCGCTGGGCACGTAGTAAAGGCTGACCTTGCACTCTTTCCAAAAGTTTTCGCGTGGAATCGACGAGCACTCAGTGTTATTGATGCCTCAAGGAATAAGAAGGAGTGTCAAACTGTTTAGATAAATATTCAGCTTTGAAAATACAACCGAAGTTTGACGCTTGTGATAGGAGACACATATATGAGATCAAAGATGTACTTATACCTTACTAAATCATGATAGATGTCATAATCATACGCACAGCAGGTTTCTGTGGATTGCTATTGCAAGCAAAAGAAGGTGCTTTAAGATGCCGTAGGAATGACTATCATTACGAAACATGTCCAAGTAATGCTGTATATCGCTCTTTTTGGTGTTGTAGATGCATAGACGCCGCATGCGGTGGAACAGACCGTGCCCGAATCCATCTTTCGATTAGCCAATCAAGGATAAACACCAAAAATATTGAATTATAAAAATATTACCATGAGATATACCAAAATGGGTCAAAGCCTGGATGGCAGACATCGGGCTTCATGCAAAGAGGAGTTGCAGTATATCTGAAGAACTTCTGAATAGAGGCGGCGCAGTTGTACCACAAACGAGTTTCTCATTGCCCAATGTGGAAGATTAATAAAGCTGTTCCTGAATCTGAATGAATCCGAGACACAAATCAGGATTGATCCCGATGATCTCATTATGCAACGTGACAGAGTTGACAAGACCACCGATGCCACTGTGAAGTTTCGTCATGCCTACGTTTTCAATAAAATATTGGTTTGAAGTAGCAATCTTCTTTATTGAGACGAACTATCCGGGAACTATAGAAATGTGGCCACCTAGTAAGCATCCCGGGCTTCTCAGCATCGCAGATTATCTTGACGTCTATGTTTGTCGGAGATGTAAATAAGCTCTCCCATGGTCATAAGAAAAGAAGTAACATCATCAATTTCAATGATTATAGCCCCAAACAAGCCACTTTTGCGCATGTGACAAATGGAAGATCATAATCTACATACTGTAGAAGTGGGCAGAGCTGGCGGGTATTGCCATTGATTTGGTTGAAATGTCCAGATTTGGTACTTCGATCTAGTCGCCTTTAAAGCTAACTGGCAAGATTTCCATGTTCTCGAGTAGTACCAACTTACTTTTCCAATAATTACATTACCTATTTGTATCACTTTGACCATTTAGTCAATTAGTGTGGCGATATAGGCCGCAAGTATGACTAGAATCACCTGGGATATAACCCTCTCGCCTTATGTCCAAGTTAGGAAATTATATAAGAATTCTGTACCGCTTACAGTATATCGTGCAACCAATTGACAGTGCAATGCACTTTTTTTGTTCAATTTGGCAGCGCACAATGCTGTTATGACAGGGTGGTAAGTTCTGAATTGAGATTCATAGAAAGACTAGTCAACGTGAAATGCACTTGACACAATCACATACAGATCAAATTGGACACTAACTTGGGATTCGTACAGTAGAAAGAGCATAGAGTTTTAATCTCACCACTACAGTACAGCACAGTAAATGGAACTGGCGGGTTTTCGTTCCTGGCGATCTCAATCTTAGAAGCGGGATTTAGTTACGGCCACGATTGAAAAACAAAATATTTTGTTCTCTTCAATCTTGGACTTTGGCAACAATCTACAGCCTAACCCACGGAAGGGGTCCAATAGTCATGAAATGAAACGAAACTATAGATTGTAGGCCCCCATTTTTGGTCCACTTGGGGCAATCTTGTTCAGTTGCACAGGCACCAAGTGGGCCTTGTAGGGTTCACCGAATTTTCCCCTGAAAATTGACGATCTGATCAAGCATCGTCAATCGGCAATCTAGAAGTCCCGATCTATTTATGCGATGATGAAATGACCGTGTGGAAAGGAGTATTCTTGATCCGAATGCTCTACGCGAATTTGTTGAAGTAAACAGAAGATTTCAAATAGAGATAGTTAAGACGCAGAATAATCGATTTGAAAAAAACTAATTGAGTTTCGCCTGAATGAGCCAAAGAAAAAGGATGCCTGAGAAAATGTGCCAATCTTCAAGGGCTCAAGTCTGACAGTTAGGAAGGTGATTAGGTATTAGCCGCTTAAAGGGAAGCCTTGGAGGGATCAAGGGCCATAGCAGCGTCACGAATGGAGACGCGGATAGCCTGGTTATCCAAGGAGAGAGAATCCTCGCAGTATGTCAGGGACTTCTGGCCAACATCGGAGAAGAATTTCTATTGGCAATCAGTAAACAACGTGGAGAATAGATTGGCATTCAGGCAACGTACGTTAGTCTCGTCGTTAACGACCATGAGACCGTGACGGACCTGGGCACGCTCAGTCTTGTTGAAAAGGTCGGCGTGGTTAACAAAGCCAGCGTTGAGATCGATACCGCTCAGAGCCATCTACAACAGTGTCAGTTTACCTCTCTACTATAAGATTTTGCAAGAGCTGAAGACTTACGCTGTGGTAGCTCTGACAGAGAATCAACTGGGTAGTGTCAGGGATGGTGGCAGCAGCGGGCTGGGTCTTGTTGGCAAGGTCATTCGATTCTTCGGAGACAATGCTCAGGTAGGAGTTAACGACTCCCTGTTGGAAAGCAGAGCAATTAATTAGCGTCTTTCACCAGAAACGAGAGACAGTAGGCTCAAAAAGCTACTCACGCTGGATGTAAGGTTTCCAGCATTGTTAACCAGAGCGTTCAAGAAAAGACCGGTCTTCTGATAGCCAAGGTCAAGCTGGACGAGGCGCGTCTGAATAGAGGGAGCGATGTCTGTAGCGTTTTCAGAGGCAGCAACCGAGGCAGAGAGAGCCATGCAGGTGGCGAGAGCAATGTTTTTGAACTGCATTGTGATAATAATGGAAAGATTGTATAGGTGAGGTAAAGGACCGACGGAGGTTGCAAAGGTATTGTTTTGCCCAAAGTCCAGGACATACAGTCCTTTTATATGTCCCAGGAGATAAAACAAGATGATCTCAATCCACTAAACCAGTGGATCTGGCAATCAACTATGCTATGGGTCTTTAGTTATCCCAGATTGATTTGTCTATCGTAGCTATGTAAGCTTTCTCCGAGCTTCAATGCTGATCTCTCCACCTGTTTCCCGTCCTGCAATACCAAAGTGGATATAGGCGTCTTATTGGAAAGAAGTCTGGATTAAGATCGTCGCAGACTTGCTCGGGATCTACAAGTGAGATCTGGGAGATCTCGAAGAGAAGAATACTTGGTACACTCAAGGTACAAGAGAATGATGTATGGAGACAAGCAGGCATTCGTCTGACCCTAGACCTACTTCCGGCGAGTTTTATCCCAGGTAAAATAGAACATATCAAATGTTAAAATCTCAACTAATAAGCATTGTTAGCAAATAGTCGACTTAATAAGAGCAGTGCAGCATATGTCTTATCAGTAAGCGCATACAGACCCAAACACGAAAGACAAGGTAAGCTGTTGTCACACTCAGCCTGCATCTCGGTTCTACTAGGTTTTTGTATACCACTGAGAGACTCACCAAGAATCTCAAAAAAGGAAACAATGCGTATTAATCATTCTTTTCGTAAAAATTGCCAAGTCGTGAGCTACATTATCTTGCCCATATGTTCCGAACAGCATGCGGGTCGCTTGGATACTATTCACGCCGGACTGGATCATTGGCCTTGATGCAGAGAATATGATCCCACGACATATGCATCTATTGTCTACTATGAACAAGATCTTCACCGAATTCGAAAACCTCCTGAACCCCATAACTACCTTAACTGACAACAGTGATGATTCATAGCAAAACGGGCTCTGATTGGACGGACCCTGTCAAAAACCCACCCCGATAAAAAAAACGACCGCCTCAATATCAAACTCTCAGGATGCCGGGATAAACCACGAGAAGCCCATTCTCGATGATGCAAAATGAGCAAGCGGTCGCTCGAGGAGTTCAGGGGAGGTGCGCAACGATCGCCCGACCCCGAAACCAATGGCCTACTGCCTATTCATGACCTGCTCTCGCCAGGCGAGGAGGAGAACGGGCAGTCTTCCGGACCGACCAAGAAGCCTAGAAACTTCATTGCCACAGTTGTAAGTGATATGAATGTCTTAGTTGCCCCGGTTTATGGCGCGACCGAGCTCTCCGGACCTCGCTAACGCTCGTTCCAAGGCGTGTGAGACATGTCGTCTGAAGAAGACGCGATGCGATGAATCACGGCCCAGATGTGGGCTTTGTAAGTCGCTCGGCCTGGAGTGTGTTTACAATGAGCGTAAATCATCCAAGTGAGTCGTTCCAATGTTGGTTTGGACTTTCAATTGCTCATACAGCCCAGACGCGACCAATCCCTTACTATGATCATGAGTACTCTGCATCGTCTAGAAACAAAATTAGAAAATATCCCCACATCCATCTTGAGCGATATGCAGTCTTTTCGGAGCCAGAGTCGTACTCCTGCCGATGGATTGAATGCGCAAACATCGCCTGCTGTCATCGACGGCAACCAGACATCCATGCTGGCCGCCATGGGAGACAACTTCACTCCCGCCGCCGCAGGGGATAGCGATGATTTTGAATTTGAAGAAAATCAAACAAAGCCTGATGCGGCTGGTCGAATTTCTATCTCTTTCAGTCAACATGGAGTTATTCTGTGGCCCGGAGCCCGGCAAATTCTACCCAAACAATTACTTGCTGCCTATGAGCTGCTTGGGAAGAACTATGTCATTGAATTGGAATCAGCACGACCTCCACTTCCAATCTTTACAAGTCATTATCCTCTCCAGGCGGGAGAACATTGGCTAGAGGAGCTTCCACTGGCAATGATCAGAGGCCTGGCAGATGCGTTCTTTAGTGTTTTCAACCCATCCACCCCTATCATGGACAAAGGCTTCTTCTTTTCCTTTACTCTTGGCTCGGCTATTGAAAGTGGCTTCGGCTATAGTTTGGAAAGCTGTCTTGTTCTCAATGTGCTAGCACTGGGATGTCTTGCTGTACTGGCCTCTCAAGAAGGAAACTATCCTTTGCCAGGAACCCGGAGTCATCAATTTGAACCACCTGAATGGATCAATGTGGTATATGAAGAACAACCTGGACTGCGTTTCTTCAACGAGGCTCGTCGACGTATTGGTTTCTTGATGTGCGACAATGACATCCAGAGCTGTCAATTTTACCTCCTCTCCTCGTGCGTACTCACAACGAAATCTACAACAAGTACAAGCTTGATACTGACATTCAACAGCGTATATTATAGTCAAATTCCCCGTCCAATGGACTCTTGGGCAATGCTTCATCGTGCGGCTACATGCTGTCTGTCAATGCTGACCAAGTAAGCCGTTCCCATACATCTTATTCGACGATGATGATTCTAACCAGTGCATAGTCATGATGTGAATTTCGACGGATGGGAAGGTGACATGAAATCCCGCGTGTATTGGAATTGCCTGATGAACGAAACAATCCTTGTGCAAGAGCTACACCTCCCGTCAAGCGGCCTTTCGCGCCTTGAAGAACAAGTTCCGATCCCAAAATTCATCGGCTTTGAAACAACAGGCTACGCTGCTACCCGCTACAACTCTTCAAACGTGGTTGACGACTCATACTTCCAATATCACTTCCTGGCCCAGGTAGCCCACCGCATTATTCTCACCCGCATCCGCCATTCACTATACTTCTATTGTAAGCACCACAGCCCTATCCCTAAAGCCCAACATTTACTGATGCTCGAATGCCACTACCAGCCGACTCAGGATCTTTCCCTCTTCCTGCTGTAAACGCAGAACTCAATCACCAACTCGAACAATGGCGCACCAATCTCCCAACCGCAATTCAATTCTCAAATCCAGCCACAAACAACCACACAAATGCAAATACCCCCTACTCCTCACATAACACACCAGCCGACCATTCCTCCATACATCCCTCGCCCGGCTCAACGGCATCCCCAATCCCAAACCAAACCCAACTGTCCTCTCCAAGGCCCAGAGTCACCGACCCAAACCGCCCCCTCTCGCCTGCCGTAGCAGTGACAGACGCAATGCTGAAAGGCCGCTACATGATCGCCCGTTTCCATATCGGTCGGCCATATCTATACAAGGCCCTCCGGAACCCAGCTCTCCTTACAGACGAAGACTTCGAGCAGGTAAAGAGCGGTCTACTGAATGCAATGGACTGGCCCATCTCCCAGGGTATTTTCCGGAAGATGAAGAGTTGCATCCCGATTAGGTTTGCGTTTTGTTCGCAGTGAGTGTTTGTTTCCTGATTACATTCTTATGTATCTGTTAGCTCTTCTTTACTAATGCTGGTTAATCTGCTCAGGTTCTTTGGTCAGATACTTCTCTATTACTGCATTGCTCACTCGCCTAGCCCTCGTCTCCGTGATACTCTGCCTGGGGGTTGGGAACGCTGGGTTGGAGAGATGCTGGGCTTTTTGGAGGATTGTGCTGTGCATAGTCCGGCTGTTGCCCAGGACCTGGAGCTTTTGCGGTCTTTGTGGCCTGAGCATTAATTTTCCTTCTCTTTGTGTTTCTACAGGAGTAAATGGTTTTCTGTGATATAGTATCTTTTCTTTCTCCTATTGTATTTTCGGGGCTTGCCTGTTTGCCTGGAGTTGGTAATTCGGCGTTATGCTTAATGTCATTCTTACTATGTCTTACCTCTTAACGTATAGAGAATCAAGATTTGGGTTTGAATAAACTCGGTACAGCGATCCATGTCTATATACGAGGACTAAGCCTCACGTAGCAATTGCTTGCGACAGAGCAGGGTATTGCGAAAAGAACAGAAAGGAACAAAGAGTATCCCAACAAAAAGGCGTCTATCCATAGCCCCAAGAATCAGACCACAACTACTACGGGAACAGATAATATCACAGGGTCCACTCATCAGCTGTCTCAGAGTCTGCAATGAAGGGTTTATCAATCTGTTTGATGGCATGATCGCCGCAGAGAATACTGTAAATAACATGGTCAGTAAAATAGACATGAAAGTATATGGAAGGCTTAGCACATACCAAGCTTCAGCGACCAGCGAGTCTAGCTCTTTGACAATGTCCTCACGACGAGAGGAAGTGACATCGCCATTACTAAGTTGGGCCTGCAGATCCCGGATATACTTCTTCTTCCCGCCAGCACCATCCAGAACCTCCTTGCCAAGGCAGTCACTGTGGAAAGCATGTTGGCATGGGAAGACAAAGAATTGACGACTGAGGACAGGCAGCGAGCAAATCCAACATTTCTCGCCCGGCTCGACGATTGCATAGCGAGTATCTAGGCCAGCAATCTCACCCCGGATTTGACGGGCTGTTTGGGCCGAGTTGTCCATCTCCTGACGCAGGGCATCGATGTGACGGGAGTAATCTTCCAAAGCAGTGCAGATCTCATCCTTGAAGTCGTCAATGACGACAAAGTCAGGGAAGAAGGGAATCAGATCTTCAATGCGAAGAAGCTCGCATCGACGCAGGAACTCAATGGCGTCTTTGATACCTGTGCCTGGTTGTCGAATCTTCTTTTCCGCGACTAGGAGCCACAATTTTTTGCGAAGTTTGTCGTTGCCCTCTGGGCGGTCGGCGACGATTGCAGCCAATTCGATGTCATTGTGCTCCAGAGATAGTTCAACGGCCTGTAAATACTGACCCATTGTGCTGTAGATGTGGATGCATGACTGAACTCGTTGGTTTTGAATGCAGAGTCGGAGCGCAAAGTCTGCATCATAAGAAGGGGGCGAGGATGGTTGCGATTGAAGATAAGTGAGCAGACCAGCCTCGGATGCCGAGGGGCTGGACGCATGGATTGAAATGAGGGTATTGTGGACCGCTGCGGATGGGTTGGGGTGGTTGACAATGATGAAGTTCAGATAACGGACAGCCTGGTTCTGACTGAGGGAGGCGACACTGGCTGATTTGTTGTAGTTTAGCAGAGCGGGTATCAGTCTTTCAGGATCAAGGTCCGTTTGGCGCATCAAGATATCGACCAGGTCTGTAGGCTTGTGTGTCATGAGCACACTGCTGTATTTGTAGAACACATCGTTGTCACTTTGACGTTGAAGGACCTTTAAAGCTTCGAGCCATTTCTCGCGCTGAATCCAATACGATAGAACATAGTTGTAGTCACTCGTAGCGGTTGCGAAGAAGAGAAGCTCCTCCTCGCGGCCATGGCTACTAATGATATCGTATACTGTTTTCCTGTCCAAGTCGGCGCTGTGGCTGTTGACAAATCCTTGGAATTCGGCCCGGACGCTGCCAAGCTGATCCTTGATTTCTCCAGTACTTGTTCCTTCTGTCAACTCAGCCTTGGTGGCGATGTTGTCGTCAAGCGAGTTCAATTTGGACATGAACAATTCGACAAGCCAGCTCGCGACCATGATTCTTTGCATGGCAGAGGCTTTCTTGTATGTTGCCAGCTGGGAGAGGAGGTAGTTTCGCAGAGCGTCATGCTCCTTGTGATCAATCATGGTAAGACAGACCTCTTCAAAGCCTTTGCTACTCTTGCCCCATACTTTGGCAGCTTCGAAGAAGTTGCCTTTTTCTGCCAAAAAGTCACCCGAGGCAGTCATCACAGCATCGCGCTGTACAGAACCTCGGGCATACTGAAGAGCTTCGTCAAACTTCTGCTCCTTCAGGAATATCTTCCAAACATCTCGGTCTTCGTCGCCTGCCACAACCTCGAAAATGTCCTTGGTAGTGAAGAGCCAATGTGTGTTCTTCGTAAGATCAGTCAAGAGTCCCAGCGCACTTTGTCCAGGCTCCAGCACCGTCTGGTTATATACAACTTCTTGACTGAGACGGTTGACGGCGACTACTTTGCCTCCAACAAGCGCCAATACATGCCACTGTGACAGAGTCATTGCTGAAATAGGGTCTTGGATCAACTTCCGACCTCCCCGCGGTGATTCCGAGGCAGGGAAAAGCGACCGGGCAAGCATGTGGGAATCCTTAAATGGAGTTTCTGAAGAAAGTTCGCCATGGAAGATTCCTTCAGAGCTAAGCCACGCAAATTCCCTTTCTACATATCCTTCGGCCTGATGGCTTTCTGATATAGCAGGAGAAATCACTAAAGAAGATGGCGCAGAGCCGGAGGGTTTCTGAGCCTCATATATCAAAGGGGTCTCGCGCTGGAACAGCTCCGAGTACACAGAACCGCCACTGTCTCTTCCGTGTTTCGAGGCTCCTGTCCGCCCAGTGAAGTGTAATAATTTCCCATAGGTTGCGACAAGGACCCTTCTGTGATCAGGCTTAAAAAAAACCGGCTCCACCGAGATTCCAGTCACCGCGGAGGCATCTGGTGCCTGGAAGACTGGGGTGGTGTACTTCTCCTCACGTCGGTAATTGGATGGCTCGATATAAGTTTCGTAGACATTGCCATCCGTGGCACCGAGGAGAATCTCACGGGTGGATGCAGTTGGTAGAGACGGATTCCAGGCAATACTTTCAATTGATACACCTTTCAATCGTTGCAGGGGTTTCGGTTGTCGCGACGGTGACTGGGCATGAAGATAGTAATTTTCACCGAGAGTCGTGGTGATAATCAAATGCGACGCGGAAGGGTCAAGGAACATGCGCCGGATGACTCCAATTTCGGAAGATTTCTTGGGGAGATCGATGTCTGTAGTTCACGAGCACAGTTAGCTAAGCTGTTGTGGCTAGCATTTGCTGCGGGGAAGATTCGGAGGCTTACCTTCGACATCTTCAGGGGAGTCAAGATCAATTCGGAGAATGCGGTTGGTTGATAGAGCCAGCACAAGCACATTGTTCGCGACCTGCGCTGCCACAAAGTCCGCGGCGATGTTGAAGGCTAGCTGCACCCGCTCAACGTCGAACATGGGGAGGGAGGAGCTCGGTGTCTCCATTAAGTTGTTGGGAGCAACATAACTGCTGGATCCGTCCAGCGCCATGATGCGCTAGCTGTAGCAGCGCTATATCATGCCGATCGAGCAAGAGTTGAGGCAGGTCAAGGCTGCGCGTTGGTGCGAGACGGAGATAGACTTGGGGTCCGAGGAATGCGGAGGCTAGGATTGATGGCCTGAGGCCAACAATCGCTGCCCTACTTCGTCTACAACAACTGAATCTTCAACCCGACACATAGTATTACAATTCATGATGAGGCATATATTTATATTGGATCTCCAAGTGCATATTACAAACACTTCGCACAATGCATTGTGGGGTATCATCATATGTAACATGCAATAGCTGGACAGGGTATCTAGAAGAAAGGAAATCGTGACATCCCCGACCTGGCTCACATAACCATACATTCCCGGTCCGGTCTCTTGCTCTTTTCCTTGGATTTCTCCTTGGACTTGCCCTTGTTTCGTTCCCGATCTTTTGTTCGTCCTCTTCCTTGCTTCTCCTTCTCATAAGCGCCTGACCCAAGCTTCATCTCGTCCATTGCTTCGTCAATGTCCAATGCAGACTCGTCTGTTTCGCCTTCCTCGTTGAATCCATCATTGCTAATTTTGTCTCGGCTAAGACGCCCAGCAAACCGCGAGAAGGTAGCGCTGATTCTGTTTTCGCCGGTTTGACTGCCAGCGCGGCTTCCAGGATTGCTTCTAGTTGTTCGGGATCCACGACGAGAGAATGACCGCCAGTTATTTGTGCCCTCTTCTTCCATAGGTGCCAATCTAGGCGATGATGATGGAATAGAAGTCGGCTGAAGACCGTTTGGATTACTGTTTTCCGAGAACGCCACACTGGAGCGCCTTGGAGGATTGGCGAAAGTCGGGGTGCCAACTTCAGGGGGTCCAGTAACTTCAACACTTGGTCGATCGGGAGCTATGTCATCGGTGAAATCTAGTTGATCGCCCAAGGTACTGCCATCTGACGCCCGAGAGGATGGCGCAGGCGGAAGATTGACGGCGGATGGATCCTCGGAAATCGGAAGAATTTGATAAAACAAGAGATAAGGAGATTCGGTTTTCAGTGCTTGATCAATGTCAACCAGGGTCACCCGTTCTGCTGCAAGATCGTCGAAGCGCATCCAATGTTTTGAGGTCTCTGAAGGATCAGAGCCAGATGTGGCAAGGGAGTCGGAATTAGGGGAGCTAGTGCCCCGGACGATTGCGATGTAGTGCCCTGAGTCAACCGAATCGCCTCTATGGCAGACTAAAGCCTGTAGGGAAAGTTTAAAGTTGCCATATATAGGAGCATTTGCATCCAAATTATCGTCCTGGATAAAGTGAGGCAGACCAATCTCGGTAGGAATATCGATATGTGTATTGAGTCTGACGGCCTTGCCATTTGGCAAGACTGAATAGCGCTTGAGACACATTCCAAGGATGGGCCGCTTGGAAGAAAAGTGCGCTGCAACTTGCGCATCATTTGTGGGAGTATTGTCCGTGTACCATGCTAATTACCTGGTGAGTTCAAGTTTTATGTTGAGAGCACGAGGGGAATCTTACGTATCAAGCTGAAAAATTGCCATGCAGGCATCATCACTTCCTTCTTGTAGACTCCCCTGCGGGGTTGTCCTTCCGGGATGGGGGATTTCTCGTTTTCGTTATTTGTATCATCAGAATTTGTTTCTTCGCTCGATTCTGGGAAGAAGCGCTCTTGGACAATGCTAGCACGTCGACCAGGAGTTCGAGATGAGTCGAGGGCTTCAGTGAACTCAGTAAATGATGACCACGGGGTAGCCCTTTCAGGTTGCGGAGTATGAGAAGGCTGGGGTGAGAGCGTAGGTGTAGTCTCAATCTCGATCGCCTCAACATGTGTAGTGGAGCCCTTGGATATGGAAGCAGAATCCATTGATCGGATTGATGTAGCTGTGTTACGTCGTTCCATGTGTCGTTTTACTTCAATCCTATTATTGAAATAGGCTTCCAGGCAATCTTCCAAAGTAAGGGATTGCTCTCCATCAGTTGGTTCCGGTGGAATGGCAACTTCTAGAAGCCTTTCGTTGATGAATTTATGATCGTCGCTCTCGTCCTCTTTGCCGGTGTGGAAGATGTCCATCTTCAGAGTCAAGAGTGGGAGCTCAAGCTTCTCAGTGATGAATGTAAACGCTTCTGATGTATCTTGTTGACGAAGATTGGCAGCATCTTCCCATCCGCATTCTGCCAGAGCATCTTGTAAATGTTTCGTCTAAAAATCCATGTAAGTATCGACCCATACGTAGAAAAGAAAGACTACGGATCAGAATGACATACCATATCAGTTGTAATAAGCTTTCCTGATCGCAGAAGATTCACCCATAATCTCAGCAGAACTGCAAGCTTTCGACGCGGCTCATCACTAAATGATTTGTAGAGAATGGCTTCGAAACAATCAAGCCGCGCGAACATGGCGAATAACAAAGCATCCAGGTAGCATGTCACACCAGCACGATTCTCTGCTCCTAGAAGCTTTGTGTTGGGTGTGTAGGTCCTGATGATGCCTTCGATAGAATCTTCCAGCAGAAGAAGTAGACTGAATGCCTTTTCTGTATCTCCTTGAGTAGCTTGTAATGCATAACTTATATGTTCTTCCTCTAATGCAGTGATACCGAGCTGTTTAATTCGCTGGACAAGGGCTTTGACCTATTTAAAAGGTGAAGTCATTAGCTGTATGCGCGCTGACCGTTTGCGACCAAGTCATACCTTCTTGTCATGTTCCTGATTATCCTCGAGTTTGGTTTCTGACTTGAAAAAGTTCTGGAATAGTGGTCGCGAGAGAAGGTGGGACGCCTAGAAAGCCTCAGACATTAGCCGACATGTCATCGTATAGATTAAAGCTTTAAGCTGCTGTAGGCAAGTACCTCTTCTTTGTTCTGCTTGTGCAACTTGTGGTGTCGGTCGCGACGAGTCAAGAATCGATGGATCCCACTCATTATGGCTGTAGGCAGTTCAGGTTCAAGATCGCCGGCTTTCTAGATCGAATGGAAAAATGCCGAAGTGAGAGAACTGAGAGGCGACATGTGGGGGATCAAGACACCATGGAGACCGGAGACCAGGAGCTTAATCAAGGCGGCAAGATTTCTGAAATGCGCAAGAACACATCATAAGCTAAGATCTGCTGACAGGGAGGAGGCAAATGGGTCAATGGGGACTAAATCGAAGATGAAGCTCACATGGTGATCTGCGGGGCAGAGATCCAAGTGGTAATTTAAATTACGGTTGGGAACCGGAGTGTTGTATTTCCGAGTACTGTATAATTTGCAAGTTGCATGCGTCAAGCTTGAAGTCAAGTGAAGTGATGGTGAAATCTTATATGTTTAGATTTTCAGCTGGTATACTGTAGCTAAATTGTGCCCTAATTAGCACTGAGTCACTGCTCTAGGCAGATACAATACTTTTGTGCGGCCGTAAGGGTTTGTTGGAGGTCTTTTAAGGGCAGCAACTGTTGCATAACTACAATATGTTATACTTGAAAGCGCCAGTTATGGGGTTTTATGAGTATTATAACGTTAGTGGCTATACAGAAACACAGACTACATAGACACGCCACGTATGTTCATTTTGCCCGTCATGATATCGAATTGTGGCGCCTAGTAAACCAGGCGCCATACAATCGAGTCACGTGCAGGCATGCGCAAACAATTTTTGGTAGGGTCCGGGATGGTCACCAGTTCAACAACACCAATAAATCACAAAATGGCTGCCAGGGAACCATCTAGGCTCCTATCAAGGGCATTGCCCAGGGCCTCAGTACCCTCGATCCGTCCTCAGGGCTTTTTATCGCGCCGCAATGTCTCCGATGAGGCCCCGTCGCGGCGTCTGTCGGACCACTTCAGCGAGCTGGAATCAGCGTCGTCTCTGTCGACAACTGTCCCTGACAGTGCAGCACAATCATTCGATCCCGTTGCACGAGCAAAGGCTCGCAAGACTCAGCTCCCCCGTGGTCGGTACGACAACCCAACATTATCTCAAGTCATGCGCATCTGCGGACACGACAACCATATTGAATCCTGCCATAAACAAGCGGCAACTAACCTTGAATTCTTCAATCAGTTATCAATTCCGCTCCCCCAAGTACAACCGTGGTCCCCTTCACCCTCATCAACCGCCACCTGCCTCCGATCCCTCCTCCCGTCTGTTCGTCCCAGGCCCCTTCTCCGCTCCCCGAGCCGAGCAGACCTACGACTCGACCGTCGCCTCGGACATCATGAGTCTTTGTTACGTCCACACACCACCCGGCTTCACGCCTCCCCCGAAAGCACCCCGTCTCCGCGAATGGGACGACAGTTCCCCTTACCACAAGAACCGTGTGCTCCGCGGTCCCCGTGGTGGTGATGTTCTCCGCCTCCTTCGCAAGCCGATCAAGTTCAACAACATTCCCGAAATTGAGCGCATCACAATCCACAGCTACGTCAACAAGGCCGCCACTGAGAACTCGTCTTGGCTGCACGTGGCCGGTATCGCTGTCCAGGCTATCTCCAACGTTCGTGTTCAGACTTTCAAGTCCAAGACCAGCGTTGCTAACTGGGGTATTGTTCCCGGTCGTGACTCTGTTGCCGTCAAGGCTGAGCTGTACGGCGAGAACATGTACCACTTCCTGGGAAAGCTGGTTGATGTTGTCTTGCCCCGTATCAAAGACTGGGAAGGTGTCAAGGGTAGCAGCGGAGACAGCAGTGGAAACATCACGTTCGGTATGGAACCGGAAAATGTTGCCCTGTTCCCTGAGATCGAGGTCAACTATGATATGTAAGTGTAGGCCACGTTCTATATTGGTTGGTCAGAGCTAATCGTTCCTTGCAGGTACCCTCCCAAGATGATCCCAGGTTGCCACATTACCCTCCACACTACCGCCAGAACCGACAAGGATGCCCGTCTCCTCCTGAGCGCTATGGGTATTCCCTTCTACGGAAAGATCGTTAACTAAGGTAGTTTTACATCTGGCGACATCTTTTGGCTTCTTATTATATCTCCACTTGGATGCTCTTTGATATCCAGCATGTAACTTTAGAAACGACCTGCATAATGGTCATTGTGATTATCCGAAATCGTGTACTATCTATCTTCTGCCAATTTCAGTCTACATTTCCAGCGAAAACATAACACTATAATAGCGCTTGGGTTAGTCAAAAAGGGGGAAAAGCCCCAGATAAATCACATTACTATCTACTCAAGAAGAGCCTTTGGCCGAGATAAGCATTTATACCAAAAAAAAAACAAACAGGTTACCATCATGCGTAGAGTCATGTTACATACAGGTATCAATGAAAACCCGAAAGCAGAACAAGAGGAAAGAGGAAAGAAAATCGCTAAATCATGAAATAGGAGCAGACAAGAACTCGCATTTGAGCAGCTCATCGGCACTAGGCCGCTGCTCATAATCCAGATGGAAAGTCATGTCAAGGAAGTCGACAGCCTCCTGACTGACATGATCCGGAGCAGGCGGGCGAGCCTTGTTACTACCGATAGCAAAGATGGCCTGCAGCTGACTGCAGTCTGGGAAAGGATGAGCGCCGATGAACATTTCGACGACGAGACAACCCAAACTCCAGATATCGGCTTTCTTAGTGTGGGCAGTCTGCCGCACGACCTCTGGTGCCATCCAGTATACACTTCCTTGTAAAGAGGTGCGGTGGATATGGCTACCTGCGCCGCCGCCACTGGCACGGGCACCGAGGAGGTGGGATGCTTCGACGCGCTTGGAGATACCGAAATCAGAAATCTTAACGCCACCCTTGTTGTCGACAAGGATGTTAGCACCCTTGATGTCACGGTGGATGATGTCTCGGCTGTGGAGATAGGAGAGGCCGGCCAAGATTTGGCGGACGAAGTTCTTGACAAGGGGTTCTTGGAAGGTGTTGTATTGTTTCAACATGGTAGCGATAGAACCGCCAGGAACATACTCCAGGAAAATGTTCAGATATTGGTCGTCGGCGACGGTACCGAGGTACTGCACAATATTTGGGTGTGACATTCCTTGCAAAAGCTCGATTTCGTGCTTCAAGGCTGTGACCATGAGGTTCTTGCGTTGGTCGAACTCTGTGCCCTTAGTGGCTGATGGAATTTCGACCTGTTTAACGGCCATAAGTTCTCCGGTAATGGCGTGGAGAGCCAAGAAGACGCTTCCGAAGGAACCTTCACCAATCAAGGATCCCTTCATCCAGTTCTTGGGTGCAAAGTTGTTTCCAGCCAAGAAGTCGGTCAGGCCGTCATCCTCTTCTTCGCCATCCTCGGCTACAATGACGCTCATGCGGTCATTGAATGAGCCGCCATCTGTAGCAGCGACGCTGAGACTCTCATCAAAGAGACTCTGGCGGGAGGTGTTTGGCGGCTCATCAGAGCCACTCTCAAAGGAGACGTATGACTTGCGGTTCGGCTCAATGGGGGATTCTTCCTGGAGTGGCTGAAGAGAGCTTGATGCAATCGAGTCCCGATACGAGGTTTGTGGCAGGTTGAATTTTGAGACTGATATGGGTCGGGGTGCACGTACTGCCTGTGCCACCCCATTGCCCTGAAGCCACGCATCTGCGATGCTGGGGATTGGGGGGATTGGAGGCAATGGGGGTAAAGGAGGGGCATCTTTCATACTTGAAGCAACGCTGTAGTTGCTAACAACACTCATGCGACTTGCGGCACGACTCAAACGTTGAGATCTGCGCATGGTCTTTTCAATGTTTTCTCGGTCATGACTAGGGAAGAATGATTGGAGTTCGTGAATAATCATCTCGCTTGGAGGTCTCTGGCCAAAGAATGAGCGGAGCTTAGCCACGGGATTTCGTTCACCATTGGGACCCTGTTCTTCTAGGCTAGAATTGGATGGACGATGACGGGGACCCAACGGAGAGAGTGGTTGTTTGATGTTATGCCAAGATTCGCCTGTAAGTTGCTGGATCTTGTGTTTCTGGCGCTGGTTGGAGTTGCTAAGAGCATTATGATGAGTGGCCTGACTCTCATCATATGCCAACTGAGAGGCACGTCGAAGCTCGTCCATGTCCGGCTCCCCTGCATGAATCTTTCGTAGAATCAAGCGGCCTCGCTCAGACTTATTGAATCCTTCACATATCTCCATGAGTTCTGATTCAGTGAGCTTCCTGCAATTAGACAGATCTGGATCTAACCCGTCTAGAACATAGAAGCAATAGTTTCTATACTGGTGCTCCGGAAGCTGCAACTTCTTCAGCACACACAGAATGACTTCATCAGGTGTTTTGCAATTCCTGATATCCAACACCTTCGTTTGTCCGCCTGTGTATATGACGCGGATGACAGGGGAGCTCGGTGGAAGAGGACCCATTGTAAGACCGTCGAGACTAGGATTCCGAGGATGGGAGCTTCTGCCCTCATTCGGTGTGCCGGGGTTTCTGCCAGAGCTTGAACCGCCCGAAGACGGATGGTTGAGATAGTCCTTGCGCCATAGACCCCTTTCGGATTCACCAGCGGGTGGCGACGCAGACTGAGACAGCGTTTTGCTGTTAAGATAATCATCGGCCAGCTGAGATGTGCGTCGGTATGGTAGGCGGGAATGGGAATATCGGGAGGAGTTTGAGAGCGCAGTGGCTTCGAGGGCGGCTAGAGTATCCTGTTTTAATGGTAAGCAACAGCGAAATAGTACCCAATGTGCATTTGAAACCCACCATATTCTTCTGTCGTGACGAGGTGCCAGACTTGGTTCTGAGTTGCTTGATGGCGACAAATATGCGCACTCGGTCGCCGACCTTCTTGATGCCCATTTCTTGTAATATCTTTTGGTCGCATTCAAGCAGATTGTCCCCGTTGAAATTGTTGGCTGGAACCGATCAGTTCACCTGTAGCCTTCAGTTGACACAGCATAGTCCAACATACCTTTGAATAACGACTCGTAATGTCCACATTTGATACTGTGAAGCCAGGCAACTACCCGCTTTTCATCCCAGGCACTTCAGATAGTCAGGATTACTGTAGCCATTGTGCTCTATAATCGGGGCACTTACCGGACTGATGCCGGATCGTCCTGCCCCTCCGAAAGCTCCGATTTTGTCGGACTAGCAAATGCCATTCCATCCTGAACTCTAGTGGCAGTCGGGGGTCTCTGTAGCGGGTTCGCATGATATGCAGTCGGGGTCTGGGACGAGGGCACACTCAAAGGTGCCGAATATTGCTTGGGGGCCAACATGTCGAATGGGTTGCGCGAATGGCTTCAACCCCTCGTCGCTGGCTATCGATATAGATCGCAGTGTACTCTCTTCGGGCTCTCTTCGGGCTCGGGTCGATTGGGCTGGGTTGGAGGGGGGGGGGGTCCGATCAAAAATGCGACGTCAACACATCATCCCGGATCCCTGGAGTTCAGTCAGCGGCATATTCCAAGTTTGATCCCAGGAGGGACGAGCGAGTAGACAAGAGAGCACCCCAAAAGCGACACTCACCAGGATACAAGCAAGCGGATGCTCTCAGCCGGACAGGCGAGATTGAAATGAGGGACCTGACTGCAGCTTACCTGAGCTTTTTTGGGTCGAGATCGGGTCTAGTGCTTTGGATCGGCTATCAAGATTAACCCCCACTCAGGCAAGAAAGGCAGAAAATAGGAAAGCAGATCTCAGTAGTCTCAAGAGAAAGTAGTGCACTGGTGGACGGAATTGGACTGGATTTTGTTAACCTGAAACCCTAGAACCCAGTGGAACAGAGTCTCTGACTAAGTGCTTCATCTATCAAGGGGGAAACTCTAGCCCCCCCCACGCGTTTCTGTGTCTCATCGGTTTCAGAGGCTTTATATCCACCTTGCCTTGTCCACTGACTGTAGAACTCAATATTGGTCGTGGTCTATCACTTACTATTGGACTGTTCCTGGGTGAAGAGTTGGCTTCGTAGCCCCACGGATGAAACAGCGGCTCTACGGAGTGAAGCTAAAGTAGGCTTGGTGTCTTACACAGCTCCATTTATTCTATGCATCGGAGTGGCTAGTGGGATTCTATTGAACTCAATTCCAGTGCCCCCGTCCGATCTAGGAAGACTTCAACGTATCTAAAAGTAGACCATGAGATAGGTAGGTTAACGTTCAGCTATAAAGTGACCTTATACTGGGCCCTCGACACCCTCAAAAAGAAGACCAGGTCGGTTAAAAACACTCCATCTCACTCAAGATAACATTCTCTCTTATAATTGCCCAATGCTTGAACCTAAGACGTAGCGGGTTGGACATGTAGAAAAATGGCTTATGTTGATACGGAAGCCCTAAGCCGTGGTGGATGGCGATTCAGACTGCCTCTATATGGCCCTTTTTTACTGTACACAAAGCATAGACTTGAGACAGCCTAGCATAGTCTACTCCGTGTCTAGTCTCATGCTGACCATCTACGGCACATGTATACGATGTGCTTCCCACTCTCCGCACCGGTGGAGTCCCGAGCGTATGCACGTCGGGCCAGACCAGCGGCATATATGCACCCAGCCTATCTCCAACACACAGCAAACATGGAGATGCGACATTTCCCCTCCCCTCTACGGGCCACCACTCGATGTGCTGGCAGCGACGAAGATATACAAAATGGCACGTGACCGTCCCCTCACCCCACAGTCAATTTCCCCGCTCAGACCTCAGAATCTTCCCCTCTCCTTCTCCCCCAAATCCCCAAAGATGGAGGACGAGAAATCCAAGAAAAAGAAAGGTGCTGCTCACCGGAAGTCTCTGTCGTGTGAATATTGCAGTCGGTCCTTTGCTCGCTTGGAGCATCTCCAACGCCATCTCCGCACCCGTTGAGTAACCCCCTCTTCCGGATTCTTGGGCATTTCTAATGTAGGACAGATACAAAGGAGAAACCCTTCTCATGTGACATTTGCTCCAAGTCTTTTGCTCGGAGGTAAGCTTTGGACTGCGTTTATTACCCCGGTCAGTTTGGCTTATATTATTTGACAGTGATCTTCTAGTGCGACATGAGCGATTAGTCCACCCTGCCGAGTCTGCGGCTAGTCGAGAGCATCGAACGAATGGCACCGAGCCCAATCATGAAATACCAATTCAAAACAACATCATCCAACCGGCCCACCATGAGTCGCGCATGCTAGAACTGGCAGACGCTATTCCGGTACACACTCAAATACCTCCGCCTCCGCCACCCGAAGTACAAGTCCAGCCTCCTCCGATTATAGATACACCTCACTTCAATCCCTCTTGGGGATATGATTTGAATCTCCTGTCCCATGCTGCAAGTCATGTTGCCTTGGAAGGTCAACAGGAGAGCTTGGAGTCTATCAGAAAATCTTCACAATCGATCCCAACCTCACAACCACTTCCCCACGTTCAGGAAAGAACAATCAATGATAATTATGGCGTAGAGCCCTCTATTCTCGATCTTACAGATCTTGGGGATCCTGTGCAGGATTTCACGGTTTTCCTGGAAAGTGTGGGTCTGTCGTCCGATTGGGACTCGGGCGTATTCTCGTCCGTCGAGGAACCCATGATGCCGCCAAGCATGACAATTGATTCCAAACCGCCTCGTGATACCATGTCATCACGACTGGGTGAACATCTCATGAATGATTCCCGAGTCGATGATCAACCGTCGTTCTCAAATTTCGGATCGCGGCTACCTTCATTGCAACCGGAATCCCACGAAATGGATGACCGTATCGGTCTTGCTGATGATAGCACTCGACCTGCATGGGATATCTCTAACTCGGACCGCCAGGCATTTATTACGAAACTTGAGGAATTCTCATATGTCCTGCCCAAAGGGTTTGTTCCGCCGTCACGCCATGCCCTATCCCGATTCTTCGCTGGATATATCAACGGACTCAACGAGCATCTTCCATTCTTACATGTCCCGACACTTTCCGTTGCCAAGTCATCTCCGGAGCTTACCCTGGCGCTAGCAGCTGCCGGCTCCCATTACCGATTTGAAAACAGTCGAGGCATTGATTTGTTTCATGCAGCGAAGGCAATTCTGTTAGAGCGACTTCGGCGACGAGACAGTAAACAAGTACCCCAACCGACATGGAATTATATTTCACCACCCTCTGGGTTTGCCAATTCCCGCGGATCATCCATGATTTCAAATACGGCGAGCAGTCCGTTTCAACATCATCAACAAATGTCAAATGTCCCAATGAATCCATCGATCTACACACTGGATGACTCGGATGCTCATATGGAGGTGATTCGAACATTTTTACTTCTAACTGTATTCGCCTCATGGGAACGACACCCAGAACTTTTGCGGGAAATTCTCTCACTTCAAAGTACTTTGGCCAGACTTGTTCGCGAGCATGGCTTGTCTGAGCCTGCTCCTACCCCAGATCCTATCAGCTGGGAAGAGTGGGTCCGAAGAGAAGGTAACAGACGCACGAAGCTCATCGTGTATTGTTTCTTTAATCTTCACTCGATCATGTACAACATTCCTCCTCTTATTCTAAACGGGGAGTTGAAATTGAACATGCCGTGCTCCCATGATCTTTGGAAAGCAACCAATGCTCCTCAGTGGCGCCGTGTTCATCGCACCAGACAGGGCTCGGATGTCCCCTTCCAGGAGGCTTTTGCCAGACTCTTTTTCAAATCCTCTCATGCAGTCCCGTCGGCACCTATATCTCCTCTCGGGAATTACATCCTTATCCATGCCATCATTCAGCAAATTTTCTTTGCTCGACAGCTGTGCCTCTCGGCGCCTCACATGCAGGGTACCAGTCTAAGGCAGGACGATCTGAATGTTCTGGATAACTCATTGAGCGCATGGAAGGCTCTATGGAAGCGCACACCCGAATCTAGTATCGATCCCCAAAATCCTGCTGGTCCGATCGCATTTACTTCCACCGCTCTGCTCGGGCTCGCTTATATCCGTCTCCACGTTGATTTGGGTCCCTGCCGTCATCTCATCACTCAAGATCCTGCTCAAATTGCAGGAGCTCTCATCGAGTCGCCTGCAATCGCACGTAGCCCACGGTTAATAATGGCATTGCTCCATTCGGCTCATGCTCTTTCGATCCCAGTCCGTCTAGGGATTGACTTTGTGGCCAGAACCCATTCCTTCTTCTGGAGTATCCAGCACTCTCTTTGCAGTTTGGAATGCGCATTCCTACTCAGTCGCTGGCTACTTTCCATTCCGGCCTCACAGCCAGAGCAGAGGCTGTCGGAGCATGAGCGTAAACTCCTCCTGTGGATCAAGAGCATGATGGATGAAACCGAAATGGCTGTTGATCCTCTTGGGGCACCGGATATTGAGTTCATGGCTAATCCATACAAGGTGCGCCAGCTTAGTGTTGCGATTGTCCGTGTTTGGGCGCGGACTTTCAAGGGCAACACTAGTTGGGCAATTGTTGATTTAGTCGGGTCTAGCTTGGATGCTTATGCTGACCTGTTGGAAAGCTGATACCACTTCTATGGGAGTTTTGATTATTTGATTTTAATAGGATACAGATTGGGCATCATGTCCATTCGCCTACTCCTTGGGGCAAAGATATAACGTCTTTGCCAAAAGCTTTGAATGGCGTCTTTGGAAAGGCCATTCTTAATGATGCTATTGATATTACGTCTTTTCTTGATTGATGTTTCTTGGCGTTTATATATGGGAGCCGGGATATGAGGATTCTTCCAAGGTTCTGGGTTTCTTTTTGTTTGTATCATGGATCTTTATGTATTATGGATGACTTCGTCAATTGCTTAGTGCTGTCTAGTATACCCTGTTGATGTTGAGGATAATGCCATATCTTGTTCATTTGGATTTTGCTTTTGATATGCACAATGCTGGAGCTCGGGAAGTATTCGATACCCATAGTAAGTAATTAAAGGAAAATAGGATTTGGGTGGAGGATATTTTGAATGATTTATGTTCATCTGGGTCAGAATATATATTTGTGTCCCGAACATGTGCCCCAGTCTACACGATCAAGCGTTAGGTTAGTCGCAAGTCGGGTAATCCATGATATCAACATATCAACAGCAAGCTAACACTATTCCATACCGTACCAACTCAAGCGCGTATTCGTGAAAAAAAAAAGATCATAATATCATTACGAATACTACTTTCCAGGCATCTTGTTTCGGTTCCTTGCCACGCTTGTGGGCACGAACCGTAGAGCGGACATGGACTTTTCCAGTTCGTCAATTTCCATATCAGTAGATGACTTCGGTTCAGGTACTGCCGCTACCACTGGGTTCGACTGCGAAGCAGAACTCCGGCGTCGCAACCTACCCTCCAGGGCCGACGACGTTGAGATCCGACGTCGGTGACTGTTCATCGGCCGCAACATGGAGGCATGCTTATCAATACCGTCATTCACAATGAAAAAGTTGTAGGTCTGCATCATATGTGTGAGCCGATAGAATTGAATAGAAAGGTTGGAACCATACCCGAGGAAACATGTGCTTGTCGATTAAGTGCATTCTCCTTTTTTGAGGAGTTGAGCATTTCCGCTCACAGTTCTCGACAAAGCAGCCAAACTATTGAATGCTGTAAGAATCTGGGTTGACCAAATGGCGGTGGCTCCCATCGAGGTCTGTACTTACCGTCTTATCTCCCCGGGCTCGCATGGCAGCAGTCAGTGGATCATGGTTCTCTTCAATATGCAGATTGAGCAAATGACCCGTTGGAAAGTTCTTGCTGCACTCAGAGCAGCGGTTCACATGAGCTTGCAGGTAATGAACCTCGTAGTCCTCGTAGGAAGTAAACGAGAGCGTCTCGCGGTGAGGCGGTAAGGAGCAATGCATTACTTCCGGAAGGATCTTGGGACCACTGTCCAGCAATTTGTTTCGTTCTGGAGGTGGAGTCGCCAGATTCACGGTGGTTGAAGATACTGAGCCGGTCCCATCAAGAGAAGGGGACCTCGAGTGGCTTCTGGAGCGTTTCGACATGGTCTAATTCGCCTTGCATATGCCCGGTTGATAGGTCGACTTGGCGAGGGGGTAGTGGAGCACAGCATTCAAGGCCCAAGCCAGTCATTGGGCTGGAAACAACCTAATCATTCTCTCCAAGATCAATATCACGTCCAAGTTGATCGCAGTTGAGTGAGTAGAAGAGGACTCAACTGGGCAATATTACTTCCCGCCTTGGCGCCACCAATCAGCGGGAGCATTGGACCCGCGCATTTATGCATTTTCATACTCTCAGCCCTTGACCCCAACGCGCGCCTTTTTCTTCTCTTCTTACTGATGGCTTGCTCACTGCTCACTGTTCTATCAATTTGACCGGCGAGGTCGACGCTCGGGATCCCCGGGCCAACTCCCTGATGGCGCCCTCGTTCTCGGATGCCTGGAAGTCAGTGCTCTTGTTCCCCTCCTCGAAACCCACATCTAATCGGGAAACAGAACTGCGATCGAAGCTGAGAAGGAGCTCCTACAATGCTTCTCCCAAGAACGACGCACATTCGATGAATTCGAACACTTCCTATCCGAGTCCGTAACGCCGAAATGCAAGCCCCCGCGCACATGCCCGCTTATTCTGACCTCTTTTTTGTGACTTAGGTTCCGAATTTCCTGCCAAAACGCTATCCTCTTTGATTTCGATGCCGCCCGGGAAGCTGACGTGGAGAGTCGTCTATGGGATGCGCATTTGAAAGTGAACAACCGGTTTCGCAAGCAGCTTCTTCGCGTGGGTACCGCATGGACACTTCTCACTAGACCAGTTGTACTGATGTTTCTGGCCCAATTAGTTTCGCGAAGAACACGGCAAGAAGAAACCAGTGGAGAGACGAAAACTCGAACGACACTACCTTGATTTTATTAAGTCGAGCCAGCGGTTTTACCGCGGATATATCCAACATTTGTCGTCACGCTTTGGGGGGATCGTGGAATTGGAGAGAGTGGCGCGCAAGTTCAATTTCGAGAGTAAGGAACACATGAACACTGTGCGCCGGGGCTAGGAGTTAATCAGCAGTTATTCACAGATCTGTCCGGCCAACCTCCTATCAAGCCTTCCAACGAGCTACGCAAGCGCATCCTCCAGTCATGCCACGCAACACTCATCAGACTCGGAGACCTTTCCCGTTATCGCGAATCGGAACTCGTCAGCAAGGACCGAAATTGGGGCCCTGCCATCGGCTATTACGACCTGGCCTCGGTGATTAACTCTGCATCAGGAGCATCCCAGAACCAATTGGCTATTATTGCACTTGCAGATGGCAACCATCTTCGAGCGACATATCATCTCTACAGAGCTCTCTCGGCTCAAGAACCTCACCCTACGGCAAAGGGTAATTTGGAGATCGAGCTTCGAAAAATCATGAGCGCATGGGCAAAAAGAGAGTTGATACGTCCCGAAGATGCTGGTATCCCCGGTAGAGCTTTGACGCCATGGTTTCTTTACCTTCATGCCAAATGTTACAAGGGCACTGATTTTGCAGAGCATGATGAACTGGAAAGTGAAGTCCTAAGCCAACTTGCAGTTGAGATTAGGGAACGGTCGCTTGAAGGTACTCTTCAAAAGTTCTGTCTCATTAACATTGCAGCTGAAGATTTTGCGAGGGCCCGCTCTTTTGGTAAGTATATGAGATATTGTTATTGTGTATGCATGCGCTTACCCATGTTCCAGAGGAATCCGTCTCAGATGCCCGCGTCTTTTTCCAACGAATCAATGTCAAGACCTTCTTCACCTTGCTGCAAATCCTCCTGGTGGAATTGGAACGCACCGCTTCATTTGAGGATTCAATCGGCAAAGACACATTGCCTAGCCCTGACAAGGTGACAGTAGTTGCTCGCCGGATCTTGCCTGCGCTTCGACATTACAGCTCGTGGCTACTTACCAACAGCCAGTCTCTAGCCGAGCAGACGGAAGAAAAAGATTCCGCACTAGCAATCCAGATCAAAGAGTTCTGGAAAATTTATGCTGGCACATTGAGCTTACTCGCATCCTCATTCGATGTTGCGAGCCTTCCCGAAATCGACTATCTTTTGGAAGAAGACGAAGAGAGCCTTGGATTTGCGCCTCTAGATCAAAATGCTACCTCTAGGCGTTATGTTGGAGGCGGTGATCAGGCAAAGCCCCGGATGCATGACCTTGGGGTGGAAAGAAGCCATCCCAATATGGAAATGCTCTACCGGATTCGTGAGTTCGTCATTGATGGACTTGATCTGGTTGTGAGCAACCGAATCCCCGTGGCTCTTGTGGACAGCGAAGACAAGAAAACATTTATCTACCAAGAAGAGGATCTGCCGTCACAATTCTACTCCAGTCCTCATGGTAGGCAACATGCGGTTTCGTCCGCATCCATTGAGCGTGAGGATATCTCCCAGGCAACTCAAGATTCACAATCTGTGGCCGAGGCTCAAAGCTTGTTCGGTGGCTCTCAGTCTGCATCAGCATCCATGTCCGCCAACATGAACCGGATTGTTGAAGGCGTAGAGCGACTTGTCGACTCGGACACATATGAGAATGCGCCCGATGTTTCTGACCAATACGCTTTCCTCGGTCCGGTTAGAGAAATGCTGACTCCAACACATTTGTCCCCGAATACCAGTTCCTATCCATTTGGGGAAGAGAACTCACCATCGCTTGGTACCCCCATCGCTCCTCCACCTGGGCTTGGACCTCCAGTCGTCAATGCGGCAGATTCTCTTCGGGCATCATCGGCTCAGTCATATACTCCCAGACCTGCCATTCCCAGCCTTCCAAGTATTTGGACTCCACTGAGAGATCCTGCCCCTCCACGTGCTCCTCCTGGCCTTGGCCCGCAAGTCGGTCAACAAGCTCCCCTGCATCCAATGGCAGTCACAAACTCTATGAGCCCCGAGAGATCTATATCACATGAACAGCTTGCGCATGAGCTAATGCTGCGACACAATCTCGCACAGTCTCAATACTCAAACTCGCTGGATGTAGGATCAATGCCCACTCCATGGGTAACACCCAGCATGTCCAACCCGCAGCCGCGGCCTGCAGCAAACGGCTGGGACCGAGAGCCTCACGGCAGATCGACCTTTGGAGCATTCGAAATTCCAAGCCAGACACACCCGAGCAGCCTAGGACATCCCTCATGGGCCAACGAAGCCTTCATTGCCAGTAGCCTCGCTCACACAGCACCCTACAGCTCCGGAATCGGACGCAAGTCTTCTCAGCTGGGAGCAATCGGTCAAACCCCACCGTGCGGCCAAGGAGGCTGATCACATTACTCCAGCTCTCGAATCTTGAGTTCTTTAAAATGTGCAAAATGCATGTAGCACCACTAGCCGGGCAAACTTTCTGACCAAATTGTGCCACTGGATCTACAGCTTTCCTGACGTGCATACCCTGTTTGAGCATGTGCATGGGGTGCATGTACCGTGCGATACGAACTCACCCAGTCTCGTTGAATGCTACAACACAGCACCTTAGCCCACTGCCTACATCTTTGCAACGACCAGACGTGATTGTACTACAGCTCGCCAGATCACAAGTGGCAGATCCCGCGCTACTACCATACCCCTTAGTGCCGGAATTTCAACCCTGGTGACTGATGACCGATGACCGAGGAAACTGCGGATCTGCACCGATTATGAAACTTCCTAGCATTCCCCGTTTTCGCCTCGCGGTCTTTTGTCTGGACGAATGATATGCGCGTTCAACACGTGGCTTGATGAGGAGATGAATATTGGCCTTTTTTGCCTTTGGAGACGTTTGTTTCGTTCTGTTTTTTGTCTCTTTTTCTTGTTTGCTTTTTCATGCGACATGACTTGATCTTTTCCTTTCCTCACGTTAGCCTTGCCTTTTTTTTACCGTAGAGGAAATATCTGGCACAATGTACTCATCTAGTCCCTGAGACTACCTTAATAGTTTGTTCAGTGCTGTTCTGGTATCCAAGTAGCAAACTTGCACTCCAAGTGCTTTTAGCACCCAAGTTAGTGTAAAGTCTACATGCTGTACGTAGTTGGAAAACCATAAACCCCGAAAATGTTCATTGTGAGATTGTAAGAAGTGGCACAGAGTGCTTGTAAAATATAATAGTGACTAGAGAATGAGGATAGGGTTCTCAAAGAGAAATTATGGTTCATTGGACAGTTCGACGTTACGTTGAAGTCATCAGGTTTAAAGAAAAGAAAACTTGGGTATATGGGTTGAATCATCCAGAATCGAGCGGCATTGATCCAGTTGTTAGAACTGGATTATTGCACCAAATCTCCCAATAAGTTGGAAGATGTGTTGAAAAGGTTGTAATCTATGCTTTTGAGGTCCATGTTTTGACCATTTAAGAGCGGGAGTAGGTCTGCTTGGGGGAGGGGAAGCTGATGAGATGTTAGCCTCTGGCATCTTATAGAGTAAATGAGAAGGGGAACTCACGAAGGTCCAAGCTCCTGGATGCTCTTGCTGGCGAGCCACTGGCCCATGTCGATAGAGTCATCGAGGCTCTTGCCAGCGACGATACCGGCGCAGAAACCACCGGCGAAGGCATCACTACAATAGATGTTAGCAAAAGTGAATCTATATGTTCTGTAATCGAATATGGCTTACCCAGCACCGTTGGTGTCGTTGATGGCGTCCTTGGAGATCTCGTGGACCTTGAACTCCTTGACCTCAACGGAGCCGGAAGAAGAACCGATGGCGACAACAGTGGGCTCGGTGCCTTGGGTGACAATGGCAACACGGGGGCTGTTGGTGTTCTTCTTGGGGAGCAGAGCGAGCTTCTTGGCGATCTCAACAACATCCTCAGTGCCCCACTGGTGGCTCTCGGAGTAGGCACGGGCCTCGGTCTCGTTACAGAAGGTGTAGTCAGTGTAGGGCAAGACGCTGTCGAGCTGCTCCTTGAAGAACTGGGGGATGAAGGGGGCGGAGAGAGACAGCATGAAGGGCTGATATTACAATGGCATCAGCAGAGGTTTCAATGCACCAGAATGCAATTTACACACCTTGTTCTTAGCAGCGGCCTCTTCACCAAGAGCGATGATGGCGGGCACACAGACAGTCAGGTGGTATCCACCGACGTAGTAGAACTTGGCCTTCTCAACAAGAGACCAGACCTCGGGCTGCTTCAAGTGCTCGAGCTTGTACTCGTTGGCAGCAGCGAGGTGGGTGCACATGCTGCGGTTGTGGCCAGTGATAACAACACCGCACTTTCCGGTGGGCTGAGCCTCGTCGACACGGTACTCAGTGTGGACACCAGCCTCCTCGCAGGTCTTCTTGAGGATGTCACCGAACTTGTCCTTACCGATGCAACCGATGTAGACAACGGACTGCTCAGGAAGCATGTACTGGAATAATGTCAGTATCAACATTGAGGTCATTTTGGTGGTAGAATGGCATACCTGGGCACCACGAGCGGTGTTCTGGGCAGCACCACCGGGGATCAGCTTGGCATCCCGGGCGAGCAGGTCCTCGTAGATACCCATGTGCTGGTCCTCAGCGAGGATAGCATCATTCTCCTTCAAGCCGTACTTTTCGAGGAGAGCAGCATCACTAATAATGTTATTAGCATCAAATTGGGTCTCAATTACACCTGAGTTTTCCATACCCACGAGCCTGGATGTCTATAACAAGCGGTCAGCATTATTTCGAGTCTAGGGTTCGATTGAGAAAGCACATACCCAGGAGAGGGTTCTCGAGACAGAGAAGAGGGTAACCTTGAGGAGCAGCCATTTTGAATAATAGATGAAGATGGAAAGATGGAAAAGGTGGGAGAGGTGGGAGAGGAGAAGGAGATGGAGGGGTTGGCAGAAAAGAGCGGACTGGACTCTGCAAGGGCATCCCAGGATCCACCGGCTTCACGTTCCCCGTGAGTTGCTCTTTGGACTCTCTGGACTCTCTGGACACTCTACACACCTCAACAATGGCTGACCACGCAATGGAGATCCCGGAGATTATCCAATCCGCAAGCATCAATAAGAATCCAGACCCTGCTCATGACATCAACCCAGCTACTGCAGCTTCAGAAAAACAACCCGTCTACGTTGGCCCAGATTCCGATGTTGACAGTATTGCCTCCGATATTGTCGATCCAAGCCGAGTGATTCGACCGGTTCGTCGTCGTCAGAATCTTCCTCCTCTTCCAGATCTACGCTTTGAGCAGAGCTACCTGGCTAGCTTGAAGGATGCCGACACCTGGGGACGGGTGGCGTGGATCACCACCAGGGATCAAGTAAGCTTCACTACTTTGCATTGATTTTTCACGGTGGTGAGGGACGACCATGGTGATAAATAGCTAATACGTTGATCTCACTTTCAGGTCCTTCTTCCTTTGATTCAAGGAACCGTCTGGACTCTCGCCCTTTCAGGTTGGCGCTTCTGGAACCGCAATGCATCAGTTAGCGGCCACACCCTTGGCAGTCGAATCCGCAGATGGTGGTACGAAGTAAACAACTGGCGTCTACCCCAAATGGGCTCGACCAGGAATCAACGACTAGCGTCGGATGTTGAAGATGTGAGCAAATCGCCCCTATCCCTCCAAAATCCCTATCTGATTTCGGACAGAGCTGGAGAAACTGACGGTCGAGGAGTTTTTGCAGTTCTACACGGCTCAGTTCTCTAACGCGGGCTCTGACTGAGATTGAGATGAAGATTGCTAGGTGCGATCTATTGTTTTGATTCAGAGGTCCGGTGACTGGCTCTTCGTACACTGGATTTGCTTGCATTTATGGCGTTGAACCTTGGAGGCGTTCTTTTCTCTCGATCCCCATTTGCATTTCTATGTTTCCTATATCCCTGCTTCGGCATACTGCTTTATTTCTTGCCCTTGAGCCTGCGCAGGAAGGATCTTGTGATCTATTAAAGCCTGCCATAAACAGATATAATGCTTGTGTACAAACCCATATTGTAACTTACGGCACATACGCTTTTCCGTAATCTGCGTAGTAAGATATCATAGCACTGTCGAAAGTGTCATTTGGTTTTTCAAGCCCTTTGCATAAAACCCACTTTGACTTGTTGAGTCTACACACTTGAACCCTAATCCATTGATAGTTTCATAGAAAAGTACCATGCACTCGCGGCTACACATCTATTTCGCAACAAATAGTAGATATACATTATGGAGCTAGGGTTCAATCGGTGGAGAGAAACCCACCCACCCATACATTATTCAAGGCTGGTTCACCCCGTTAGGCTCTGTAGGCTGGGTTGCTTTCGTTACCTCGGGATGAGCAATTTTCGGTGCAGCTGGGATTGGAGAGACCGTGACCATAGGTCCCTGTGGCATGGCTTCTTGGGGTTTGAAGACAGGCGATGAAGCCATGACCGGCGCGGGCTGTGTTGGAATTTGAGGTATCGGAACTGTGGGAAGGGAAGACGCACCCTCCGGCGCGCGATCCTCACTTGGGTTGGTTGGAGGGGGCATTGTCGATGCTTGGTTGGATGAAGGTGCTGCTGTCTCTGTGGCATCCTCCATTAGGATATCTTTTGCAGGGGGCGGCTCATCATTCTGTTTTTCAATCCTGCCGTTGCTAGGCGCATCCCCTCTGCCATATCGAAGTTGTACAACCAGACTTTCCGGCTCCTCACTGACTTCGGAGTCCTCCTCGCTGGCTTCTTCCTCATCTTCCTCATTGTCGCCTTCCAAGTCATGTTCTTCGTCATCTTCAGGGCCTCGCCATTCGTTACCACTTTCATTTGCGCTTGAATGAATGGATGCATCTTCTAGATCTTCGACGTCATATCCAGAGTATCCATTAGGATTTCTGGATGTACGAGTCCTCTGCGGTCTGCTGACTTCTTCCTCATCATATTCCTCGTCATCGCCACCATCCAATTGTCCAGCCAGCAATGTCTCTCCGTAGACACCTCCTGCGCGAGATCGAATCTGCCGTCCACTTGCCGTAAAACGAGGCCGAGATGACTCTGTAGGAGCCGCAGCGTTGCCTCCACCACGAGTGGAGCGACGCACAGAAGTTTCATCCTCGGAGAACATGTCCTCATCATCGTATGTGTATTTCAGCTTCTTTCCACGTGTACGACCTTCATACATGGAGAAGCCTGGGTCTGGGCGAACGAACGCAGCTTTTCTTGCTAAACGATAGTCACGACGTTTCCGTTTCTAGTAATACTGTAAGCTGAATCCAAGCAAATCTTCAGATAGCAATTTACCTCTTCGGATGCCTCAAATCGAGGAATGGATGCGCGAATTTTCTCGCTCAGCTTTTTCGAATTGGTGCCTTTCTCTCCCTCAAGTTTTGCAGCAACAGACTCCAGCTCAGGAATATCTCCTGCGATACTCCACCAAGTATTATGTTTGAGAGCCGGATTGCTCTCACGATAAAGCCGGAAATGGGTGTCCTCTTGTCCCTCGATGAGCCAATAGCGACGTTTCAAGCTATCTCGGCCCCAGGACTGAACAGAAAGTGGCTGATTAAGGTCATCATCATGTCGTGATTGCTTGTATGATTCTTTAATCTTTGCCTGGACCGCTTCAGATGATCCGAGCGACCAAAGTATGAGAGCCTTCAACAATTGAATCTAAATTCAAACAGATCAGAATTGCCAATTGAAAGGTGTGGTTGATTCCGAACGTACGCGTTCCTCGGGGGTCATGGTCGCAAAGCTGCGCCCCCCATGAAGGGGATTCTTGCCTCCCCATGCCTTTGGCCACTGCGACTGGTGGGTATGGATTGCTTCTTCTAGAGGTCGTGTGAAGTGCGCACGTCTATTCGATTCATATATGAAATTAGTATAGATGTCGACAATTGGTGGCGGTAAAAGCGCGTCTACGCGAACTCTCCGCACGTATCGCGAATTGGGTGGCGAACATACTCAACATCCTTCTTGCGGTTCAAAACGAGTCCAAGCAATGCGCAAAGAAGTCTCTCGATATATTCTCCAGGGGGAGACTCCTGGACTCCATTCTCAATGTCCTGTGGACCGTAGTGTTGCAATCCTCGTGGGAACACTTCATGAAAGCGCGCGCGGAACGTGACGATGAACTAAAGATGCGACAACTCAGTAAGCGTGTCCTAGAATGAACCAAACGCGTCCTAGACAGATTGCAGGTCAAGCAATGAGCCGTTTTATAACTCTCAAGAGCTACACTCACAGCAATATCCGGGTTGTCGGCGAATACGTATTCATGCGGTGGTGACGGCTCCCGTTTCGGCGGAGGTGTTTCCGACTCCTTCTTGAAGTACTTTGTGATGCCAACTGGCTCATCGATAGCCATGGCGGCTTCATCATCTGTCGGCGGCGCAGATGATAAGGAGGAAACGTCTGAATCTGAGGGGGGCATTTTGGAGGTACTGGGGGACGATGGTGAAGGAGAGGAAGTGAGTTTCGCGCATTCGAGCGTCACGTCTGCACCGATCTTGCGCCCGAAAGGCGATTATTTAAGACATTCTCAGCGCGAATGCTTCGATCCCATACGATTTTTTTTTTACTAAAGTCTGCCATTTGTTTCTAGCAAGGTCATGATTTACAGAGATGTGAAATTCAGATATCAACAGAGTCATGCATGTAGAGTTGTATAGAATTGAGCTTGAGAGGGGTAATCGGGGTAAAGATATCTAAATTGACATGCTTTCAAATATAATGAATAGGACAGAGAGCGCTCCAGCAATCAGTAGGGATTACTTGGTAGCTAGTATGGCTTTAGATATCAGTATCCATGTCATCAGAACACCGAGATTGATCTCTCTGTGTGGAGTATATGAGTATAAGAAGTGATCGTTCCTCGCAATTGCATCATATCAAATCATCAAGTGCAAGTGCAAGTGCAAGTGCAAGTCCAGACAGGACTGCAGAGTGTTCTCATCGGCATTTGATAGTCAGGAGTCCGTCGATGATGACAATGTTTCTTGGCGGTCACGTGGGAGGTTATGTAATTGCCCTCCCCAAATCTACAGGGCTTGCTAAAAATGTTCGCTTCGCATAGGAAAAAAACGATGGGATTTGATTGGGGAAAGAGACCATCTCGTAAACTGCATCTATTGATCTTTCTCAGCCCTACATATTGGCTCTCAACCGAAAAAGCTGGAGATACAGTGTTTGCGTAGTTCCATAAGTCGAGTAAGCGACTCCGCGCTAATCCCAATCGGGCTAGGTTAGCGACCGCACCCTAAAGCCCACACAAGTCCCCGTGTCCGATGATTTCTCAACTTCTCAACGACAAGCCTATCTTCAATTCGAGGTACGACCGATTTCCCCCTCCCACACGACACTCCTGTCATTCAATATTAACACAGGATTCATTTAGACAGTCGCCATGGGTCGTGTCATCCGCAACCAGAGGAAGGGCCGTGGCTCCATTTTCAGTGAGTGCGACCGAAAATCATTCCAGCACGAAATTTGAAGCTGCGCACTCGAGCAGCGAAGAGGAGGAACAAACCTGGACTCCCTGGATTACCTGGAAACTACACACAGATTGCGAAGCAGAATGCAGTGCTGATATCGATTTTTTCTTTTTTACAGCGGCCAACACCCGTCTCAACAAGGCCCCTGCCCAGTTCCGTACCCTCGACTACGCTGAGGCCCACGGATACACCCGTGGTGTTGTCAAGGAGATCATCCACGATGCCGGCCGTGGTGCTCCCCTCGCCAAGGTCCAGTTCCGTCACCCCTACAAGTTCAAGATGATCACCGAGACCTTCATCGCCAACGAGGGCATGTACACCGGCCAGTTCATCTACGCTGGTAAGAACGCCGCTCTCACCGTCGGCAACGTTCTCCCTCTCGCCTCCATGCCCGAGGGTACCGTCATCACCAACGTCGAGGAGAAGTCTGGTGACCGTGGTGCGCTCGGCCGTACCTCCGGTAACTACGTTACCGTTATTGGCCACAACCCCGAGGATGGCAAGACCCGTGTCAAGCTCCCCTCCGGTGCCAAGAAGGTCATCAAGAACACCGCCCGTGGTATGGTTGGTATCGTCGCCGGTGGTGGCCGTACCGACAAGCCTTTGCTCAAGGCCGGTCGTGCCAAGCACAAGTTCGCTGTCAAGCGTAACTCTTGGCCCAAGACTCGTGGTGTTGCCATGAACCCCGTCGATCACGTAAGTTTTGACTGTCTACCCATCATTCTGTGGGTTTGAATTCAAGAATATATTCTGACAACTTTTCTACAGCCTCACGGTGGTGGTAACCACCAGCACATCGGTAAGGCCTCGACCATCTCCCGCTACGCCACCCAGGGTCAAAAGGCCGGTCTCATTGCCGCCCGCAGAACTGGTCTGCTCCGCGGTACCCAGAAGACCAAGGATTAAGCGGTTTATTTCTTGGAGTTTTTCTTGTGACGGGTTGAAAATGGAATTCTGCTATGAGACAAACGTACTTAGGCGACTGCGGATGAGCGTCTCATGCGCCCTTAGCGAATTAAGGTTGTGGTCACCATCCTTTTTGTCCTGCATAACCAAAGGGTGAAGAGTAGAGGTCCGGGGATGGCCTCTGTGAAGGCAGAACGGAAAATCAAAAAGGCCCTTGGGGCTGTGAAATGATACACCTTTAAACTTTTATTCCGTCCTGCCTGTCACCCTCGTAGATTGTAGTATCCTCGTAATGTACAGAGTTTTGATGGTTGAACTATTCCATGCTGCCATTCTGCACCTCACATGAACATGTCGAGGACAGTAACCCTTTACTAGACATCTGCATTCTGGAATCATTTACGTTACGGGGTAAGTGCAGATATTGGCTGGTCTGCCTCTAGTCTCAAGTGGTCAGTCACTATCTTTCACCTCGAGGTATTATACTTATTCACAGGCCGCTATATCGCAGCTTTATATATTATCTATGGAACATTATCAGAGTTTTATTTGACACACAGACTGCTTCGCAAACTGTCTAACATATTTGCGAACGCTGTGGCGCTTAGATACTGACTGACAGGGCAGGCGCTTGAGGTGATCCTGCAAATATATTTTTCTGCAATCTAAACGTGCAACTCGGTGCCTTGCTTCTATGGGAGACTATATGGAAATAATGTATAAAAGAATCAGAGACACTGTCGCTGCTATGTCGCTGTTATCTCTATATAAAAATAAAAGGTAAAGAAAAAGGTGCGGTTATATATAACGTTAATTTCTTTTAGCACAAGTGTCCAACTACATTGAGCATAAAAAATTGTCTTAATTAGAAATTTTGATATTCTTGATCGAGCAGATATCCCCAGTGATACCAAGAGCGTGATACTATGTTCAAGTTGATCTGTTTGATTTGTCTGTGTCGTCTGTTGTTTACACATACTGGGGTTAGGGTTACTACTATTCTCTGACCCCGACTTTCCAGCAACATCTGTCCCATTGAGTAACCATCAAACGTCAAGGGAGTTAGCTCCCTCATTAATTTAGGACAAATCAATCTAGCGTGGTCCTGGAACGAATAGGATGCCTTCAGCAACCGGCCCTCTGGACCATGTCCAACGAGTGAACAGGAGCTAGCTTGACGCCTACAGGCATAATGCATATCCCAATCAGACTGCGTGACTTGTGATTATATAGGGCAAATGGCACATTGTCACCCCTGTGTTGGTATCTTCAACAAATTCTAGTGGCAGTCTCATCCACGTCACAAAAAAAAAACGCTGTGTCTCATGCTTGTAATGATTTCCAGCACTGGGAAGAGTGAGCACCCTTATGAATCTGAAGGCAAGAATCGTACAGTATCAATGGCAAGACCAAATGCCATTTGGAATGGCTCTCATTACTCGAGGTAAGCGATGCTACGATCGCCTATTACCAAGACCGGATGTCTTCTAGAACCCTATGAGTAGGTTACTCACACATAATGAAAGGAAAAAAGAATGAATGCATCACTATGTCCATGATCCAGCTTAGAGATTATGCACAGCTCGGACATGGCCACATCTGCCTGAAACGGTTAAGCGATGTTAGTCTGCTAAGGTCTCGCTGTTCATGTTCTTAGAACCACAGTAGTTCATATGGGACCAGAGAAGCCCGAGTAACCCAATTAAGCTCCTAAAGTCAACTTACTTTGGTATCTGAAGAATGTGAAACAAGAGTAGTCGATCAGTGATAGAGGAAATCCGAACCCCTGCTCTATTGGCAGCTTCTGGAAAGCCAAACAAGTCCACAAGATCGATTTCCAGCCTGCACCAAGGATCTGAAAATAGTCTTTGGCTCACAGCTGTCTATTATCCAAAGCTCACGTGTGAAACGTTTATTCTTGAGCAGTTACACCAGAGACCCTCTGATTGGTCAATTTGACAACAATCAGCAATTCCTGACGTTCCGCCGCTCTGAAACCTCACACATTTCGCCATGGCCAAAGCTCATGTAGAAGGAACTACTCGTTACAAATGTCAGAGTCCTCCCAGCCCAAGATCATCCCACGGTTAAGCGCCAATGCCGTGACCGACTCCGAACGATGGAAAGCCATCACCAAGCGTGACATCACAGCCAACTCCTTCGTCTACGCCGTGATCACCACCAAAATATACTGTCGCCCTTCCTGTCCAGCCCGACTTGCCCGGCGAGCGAACGTTGAATTCTACGATACCCCCTCCCAAGCCGAGAAGGCTGGGTTCCGCGCCTGCAAGCGCTGCCGGCCGCATTCAGGACAGACCGCCACCCAAAGCAACCCCCAGGCCGCAGTAGTCGATCAGGCATGCAAGACAATTCGGCACCATCTGGTTTCAGGGGTGAAACCACGGCTCAGAGAGTTGGCTGCACAGGCAGGGCTGACACCGAGCCATTTCCATCGTGTGTTTAAGAAACTGGTGGGCGTTACGCCTGGTCAGTATGCTAGTAGCCTGGGGCAGAGTGGTTCGTCCTCGGATGCTTGGACGCCGGATAGCTTGTCGGAGGCTGAAACGCGCTGTGCACTTGATAATGGGGGGCTTGCCCTAAACCTCATTGGAGAGACGGGGTTGACTGGGATGGCGGCTAGTCTTCGGACTCCGGTCTTAATGGGTGAGGCTTGGAATGCATTTGATGCTTTGTTAGAGCAGGAAAAATGGGTGCCTGATTTAATATCTATCGATCCTCGGATTATTTTGGCACCTGAGTGAGCAAGGTGACGGGTATATAATAAGTTACAGTATATGAATTATGCAACACGCTATGAGATATAAGACATGTCTGCCTAGAACCCAAGTTCTCCTTTGGGGAATACATGTATAACTATACGAGTACGGCTACCCCACCCATAGGCGAGGTCGCGAGGTCTTTGCCACTGAAACAAGGTTGAAACCCAGCCGCTGAACAAGGGGGTGCGTAATGAGTAACAAATCTGATCAAGTTGATTTGGCTGGATCACACACAAAGGCCATTGGCGGGTCAGACCCTGTGGCAAGTGAAATTCCGGATAATTATAGTACAGTACAATGCTCTTAGACAACTTCCTTGTCTTCCAATTGGGGTTTGGCGTTCTCCACCGGCCCACCAACGCGTGTCACTTGGGTGGTTTCAATCCCCCTGTTTGGCGATGGTTATAGTGCTCATTTCCAGTACTGGTGTTTATGGGTTGAATATCATCCGTAGATAGTCACATAGCAGGGTCAGTATATAAGGCTCTCCAGCTTCGAAATCCTCCAAGCAGGAAAAATACCATACAAGTTCAGGCAAGACCCCTTCTCCACTGATTGACGAGATCGACAACTGCATGCATACACACATGCTTTGGGGATTCCAGAACGTTGTGGCCAAGATCCCCTCCCCCAAATCTTTAATTAATCTTCCTTTCCCAACCCCTCCCTTTCTCCCCAGCCCCTGTCTTTCGCTTTGGTTCTTTTTATCTTGTCTCTGTTTTCGTCCATTCTACCTTCTATTCCCACATACCCACCATGCACGTGAACAAGAGAATTGGTCGCTTCAAGCAATGGGCCGGAGAGCGCATGGGCGGCGAGGCCAAGACATGTCAGTCGGATGATTTCAAGGCCATGGAGACGGAGATGGGGGTGCGACATGAAGGTAAGAACAAACAACTCCACGAGCATCATGGAGTCAGGCTGATCACTTTCTAGGCGTTGATCGCATTCACAAGTCCATGACCGCCTATGTCAAGACCATCTCGAAGCGCAATGAGGGGGACGACAAGGAGAAGACCCTCCCGATTGCCCATCTGGGCAGCAGCATGGTCTCCCACGGCGAGGATTTCGATGTCAACTCCGAATACGGGCAGAGCCTGATCAGTACGTTGTGATTGTGAATCTGATGGGGCAAGAAAGAAGAAAGATCGCGTGACTGACGGTTTGATTAGTGTTTGGACGGACGGAGGAGCGCATCGCGCGCATCCAAGAGCAATACATCGCGCAGGCGACTTCGAGCTGGCTCGAGTCCTTGGAGCGTTCCCTGACTCAGATGAAAGACTATCAGCAAGCTCGTAAGAAGCTCGATAGCCGACGATTGGCATACGATACATCTCTCGCCAAGATGGAAAAGGCCAAGAAAGAGGACTTCCGCGTGGAGGAGGAGCTTCGCTCTCAGAAAGTGAAGTACGAAGAAGCCAACGAGGATGTGTTGCGGCGCATGCAGGACGTAAAAGAGGCCGAGGTTGATAATGTCATGGATATGGGAACCTTCCTGGATGCCCAACTGGAGTACCATGAACGGTCTCGGGAGGCGCTCCTCCAACTGAAGCAGGAATGGGTTGGGTAAGCATGTAAATTTCCCCAGTTATACGTGTGATACTAATGGCTTGCAGATCCAGCCAAACACAAACCCCAACTCGCCGCCCGACGCGTGCTCGCTCCAACACTGCACACTCATATCAGGAACGCTATGAGCCTTTACACGAAGAAGTGATCAATGCTACGGAGGCCCGACCTGCCATCAGATCAAGCAAAACTATTGCGACGCAATATGCTGACTCGCCTCCACGTGAGACCTACGCTACTTCGCGGCCTGTGCTGAGCAGGGTTTCTACCTTCGAAGGCCCGACTCAACTCCGACAAGAACCACCAGTTGCATCTCAGTGGATTGGGCAGCGGACTGCTAGTGAAAATTCCGTTGCATACGGCCGCCGAAGCAGCACTCAAGTTGGAAGTGGTCGCGTCTCTGCCGATCCTTATGCGGACTCAGAGGAGGTCAGCTCCTATGGTCGGTCTAGTCCCGAACGCATGTTCGGTGGAGGAAGATCCATCTCGCCTGCAACATCTCACGGAAGCGTGGCATCTCGGAAACCCAGCGCGACCAACATGAGTACATTGGGACTGTCCAAGAAGGCACCTCCTCCCCCTCCTCCTTCTCGTGCGAAGAAGCCCCCACCACCTCCCCCACCCATGAAGCGAACACTCGTGGCATCGACAAATGCCTAGGCTGATACGCCATGTGCGTCTGGGCATTCGAACTTGGTATTGATATTGAGCATGGGGTTCAGGAGTTAGTGTGATTATGTTCGATGACGGTCGTTATTGTTACCATTTTATAGCTTATCGAGATGTGCTAGGACTGTCGTTTTCCTTGATTTCATTTGCGGTATTGCGCGGATTGATTCCCTGGATGATCCTTGAAAAAAACTAGTATACTTTACTTTCATGCATCGATCGTCTATATTTGTCAGTGGACCAGTTGCCTACTGCCGTTGCCTTGAGCTTCCATCTCTTGAGCTTGATTCATTTGCGTACGAGATCAACGTGGGTACTTGACTAGAATAGAGACAGCTGATAATAGACCCCCAACCTGTATTTGATATAACAAAGAAAGAAAGAAAGAAAGAAATGCATAGACAGTGTACTGTATAGACTGGATATCGGTACCAAACCTACACCCGCCCGGCACAACTGATCACGGATGACTCAGCGTCAGGTGACCTTAGTCAGCCTCCCTGGAAATCTCCTCCCAAGTTGTCCTTCTGAGCACCCAGATTTCCCCGAGCCTGTCGCGCAACTCGGTCCCATCTCCATTTCCATCCATCCACTTTCAGGACGCGCCACCCAAACGCGCCCTTTTGATTTCCCTTTCCTCCCCTAACATTAGCTCGCCCATTTACTCGCTTTCTTTCAATCCCGTGAAAGTACCCGCTCCCCCCTCCCATATCCCATCGCGGGAGCTCCGACCATTGCTCCCAAACATCACGTCTCCCATCGCCAAGCATCCCATACAACCACCTTCTTGTCGCATTAACGACAAGTAAGCCCACCAACACCGTCGCTATCACCCCCTTGACTGCGCCACCCTCTCCTTGTACTTGCGCGACCTGGCAATTGGACAAGTGGAGACCATCGCCCTCGGCTCAACTGCGCGTTGATTTTTGACCCCATTACCGGCCATTCACTTCATGAATTAAAGAAATATACGCGTCAATATGGCTTCTCTGCACACGGCGCCTAACCCGACGCCTGGCACTGCTGGCCTCTCTAACCTCACCCAGCAAAATGTCCAAGACATTCTTCAAGTGAGTTTATCGCTTCCTATCACCTTAGCCTTACTATATTACACTTTTTTTATCCACCCTCTCGTACCTAACTATTGACCTGTAACTATATCTAACCCCATCGCAGAAGTACAAACAGATGCAAGAACGAGGTGTCCGCCCTGATGATCCCGAGTTCATGCAGGCCCACAACATGCTCGCTGCTATTCAGCGGCAATCAGCCTACCAAAAGCAACAGCGCATCCAAGCCCAGCAACAGCGCCAGCAACAACAGCAGCAACAGCAGCAGATGAATGGAGCCACCCCTGAGGCTGCCCCCAATGGTACTCATGGTGAGTTTTATTATCACTCTTATGTGGTCCTCATCGACCCTTCAATATATCCGGTCTAACTTCTCATAGGTCGCACCGCATCTGCTTCTTCGGCCACTGGGACCCCCCAGGACATCTCGGGCGGAGCCAAAAATGCAACAGTTGGCAGCGGGAGCTTCTCTCCAGAGCAATTGGCCACCCTTCGCAACCAGATCCTGGCTTTTAAGATGCTGTCCAAAAACCTCGCAATCCCACCCCGCGTTCAACAGCAGCTTTTCGCAAACAAGTTGTCTCAAACGCCCACCCCCACAGACACTGTTGGCACAGCCGAGAAGGTTATCGATGCGGCGGATAAGCCCTCAACGCAAGCCCCAGAAAGTGTAGAGCCTGAAGACTTTGGCCGAGACTGGTACGGAAGTTTCCAGTCTCCATACGACTCCCTCTCCGATACCATCAGCTACACAGACCACGCCAATCGCGCAAACCGTGTACGAATCCCTGCGCTCTTGCCACCAGGTATTGACCTGGAACAAGTTCGCGAGGACCGTGAAGTTTCAATCTACAACAAGATTGTGGCCCGAAAGGCAGAGCTTGCTCAGCTTCCCGCTAATCTTGGTGTGTGGGATACTAGCAAGAGCGATACCCCTTCATATGATGACTCGCTCAAGTTGAAGGCCTTGATTGAGTACAAAGCCCTCTCTCTCTTGCCTAAGCAACGCCAGTTCCGGAAGCAACTCCAGAATGAGATGTTTCACTACGATAATCTCGGCATGACTGCTAATCGTTCGAGTCATCGTCGTATGAAGAAGCAGTCTCTGCGTGAAGCTCGCATCACCGAGAAACTTGAGAAGCAGCAGCGCGATGCTCGTGAAACCCGTGAAAAGAAGAAGCAGTATGATCAGCTGCAAGCTATTCTCAACCACAGCGCCGAACTTGCCAACGCTTCCGTACAGCAACGCACTCGCTCACAGAAGCTGGGTCGCATGATGATCTCACACCACCAGCACATGGAACGCGAGGAGCAGAGACGCGTGGAGCGAACTGCTAAGCAGCGTCTCCAGGCCTTGAAGGCTAACGATGAGGAGACGTACCTCAAGCTCTTGGGACAGGCCAAGGATTCTCGTATCTCTCACCTACTCAAGCAGACCGACAACTTCCTCAAGCAGCTTGCTGCGTCCGTCAAGGAACAACAACGTAACTTGGCTCAGCGCTATGGCGAAGAACAAGACTTTGATGATGAGTCAGACCAGGAGATTCTTGATAGCGAAAATGAGGAAGAAGAGACCAGCAACGGAAAGAAAAAGGTTGACTACTATGCTGTTGCTCACCGTATAAATGAGGAGGTCACTTCACAGCCTACAATTCTTCAGGGCGGTACCCTGAAGGAGTACCAGCTGAAGGGTCTCCAATGGATGATTTCACTTTACAACAACAACCTCAACGGTATCTTGGCAGACGAGATGGGTCTTGGAAAGACCATTCAGACTATCAGTTTGATTACGCATATCATCGAAAAGAAGCAAAATAATGGCCCCTTCTTGGTCATTGTTCCGCTTTCTACCCTCACCAATTGGAACATTGAATTCGACAAGTGGGCACCAACAGTACAGAAGGTTGTCTACAAGGGTCCGCCTAATGCACGAAAGCAACAGCAGCAGCAGATCCGTTGGGGCAACTTCCAGGTATTGCTGACCACCTACGAATACATCATTAAGGATCGTCCAGTTCTCAGCAAGATCAAGTGGACGCACATGATTGTTGATGAAGGTCATCGCATGAAGAACACACAATCCAAACTGAGCAGCACCCTCTCAACCTATTATACCAGCCGTTACCGTCTCATTCTGACAGGTACCCCCTTGCAAAACAACTTGCCCGAGCTATGGGCTCTCCTCAACTTCGTCCTACCTAATATTTTCAAGTCCGTCAAGTCGTTCGACGAGTGGTTCAACACTCCATTCGCCAATACCGGTGGGCAAGACCGCATGGACCTAAGCGAAGAAGAGCAACTTCTCGTTATTCGCCGTCTTCACAAGGTTCTTCGTCCCTTCCTGCTGAGACGTCTTAAGAAGGATGTCGAGAAGGATCTGCCCGACAAGCAGGAGCGTGTCATCAAGTGTCGGTTCTCCGCCCTGCAGACCAAGTTGTACAAGCAGCTCGTCACGCACAACAAGATGGCTGTCAGCGACGGCAAAGGTGGAAAGACTGGTATGCGTGGTCTGAGCAATATGCTGATGCAATTGCGAAAGCTTTGCAACCATCCTTTCGTCTTCGAGCCTGTTGAGGATCAAATGAACCCCACTCGCATGTCAAACGATCTTCTTTGGCGTACTGCAGGAAAGTTTGAGCTTCTTGATCGTGTCCTGCCCAAGTTCCGTGCCACTGGTCACCGTGTCTTGATGTTCTTCCAGATGACACAGATTATGAATATTATGGAGGATTTCCTTCGTCTGCGTGGCTTGAAGTACCTTCGTCTTGACGGTTCCACAAAATCCGACGATCGATCGGAGCTGCTGAGACAGTTCAACGAGCCTGGGTCCGAATATTTCTGTTTCTTGCTCTCCACTCGTGCTGGTGGTCTCGGTCTGAACTTGCAGACCGCAGATACTGTCATTATTTATGATTCCGATTGGAATCCTCACCAGGATTTGCAGGCCCAGGATCGTGCTCACCGTATTGGACAGAAGAACGAAGTTCGCATTCTGCGACTGATCAGTTCCAATTCCGTCGAAGAGAAGATTCTTGAGCGTGCTCAGTTTAAGTTGGACATGGATGGCAAGGTTATCCAGGCCGGAAAGTTCGATAACAAATCCACCAACGAAGAGCGAGATGCGCTTCTGCGAACCCTTCTGGACACAGCAGAGGCAGCAGATTCTATTGGTGACCACGACGAAATGGATGATGATGATCTCAACGATATTATGGCCCGTTCCGAAGACGAAATCGGTATCTTCCAAGAAATGGACAGACAGCGAATCGCCAATGATCAATATGGTCCTGGCCACCGCTACCCTCGTCTGATGTGTGAAGCAGAGTTGCCAGAAATCTACTTGCAAGAGGACAACCCTGTCACAGAAGAGGTCGAGGTTGAGGTTACTGGCCGTGGTGCCCGTGAACGCAAGGTCACCAAGTATGATGATGGCCTTACGGAAGAGCAGTGGCTAATGGCAGTGGATGCCGACGATGACACAATCGAAGCTGCCATTGCCCGAAAACAGGCTCGCGTTGAGCGTCGCAAATCCAACAAAAATAGTCGTGGTCTGGGTGATGACGAGTCATCTCCTGAGCCCGAGCCTGAGATTGAAGAGGATGAGACTCCCAAGAAGCGTCGTCGCGGCCCTCCTCCCAAACGCAAGGCTGAAGAAATTGTCGATGAGACTCCTCAGCCCAAGCGCAAGAGAGGTCGTCAGCCCAAGGTGCCGGACACTCTCAACCCGGCTGATCGTGCAACCTTGACTACTATTCTCGACAACACTATTCAGTCCTTGCTAGAAATGGAGGCTGAGGTTCCCCCAGAAGGCTCTGACAGCGAAGAAGGACCCATAGTCCGTGCAATTCTGGACCCCTTCATGAAGCCTCCTCCTCGCTCCCTATACCCCGACTACTATATGATCATCCAGAAGCCTATTGCCATGGACGCAATCCAGAAGAAGGTCAAGCGAGGCGACTACCAAAATCTCAGAGGCTTCGTCGATGATATCCACCTGCTTTGCCAGAATGCCCGCACGTACAATGAGGACACCAGTATTTTGTTCCAAGATGCCAATGACATCGAGGTAAGTTTACTTGCCAGTTTGACTGAATATCATATACTGACTGTATAACAGGCCAAGTGTATGTCTGAACTGAAGAGACATACCGATGAACACCCTCAGTTCACCCTCTTCGACAGCCAGTCTGTTGGTGAGGGATCGACCGGGCTTGCCTCGGGCGCGGACACACCGATGACTGCCGGTACCCCCGGACAGAAGCTGAAACTCACTTTCAGCAACCCTAACCGGGACACACCCAACGGTGGTGACGAGGAATAAATCCCCCCCGCATCCATATCGTGAACTCACTTAATTAAACATCACGCGTTTCCCCTTTTTGCCTCGCGACTGCTCCTTTCCGCCGCTTGTGCTTTCTTGTCATGTGTAATCCGAAATTATTCTTTTCTCCCTTGTTCTGTGCCATCTATGGAAGGCGTTTCTCGCGAATTTTTACTTTTGAAAGGATTGGGGAAGGAAACCGGATGAAGGCGCTGTATTTGTTCCAAGCGATTGATTTTGGGTTCCTCTTGTACCGTCTTGGCTCTCTGAATAAGACTTTGCAAGACACCATGTATGTTTTGAGTATGTACTGGAAGTTAGGAACAATTCCAATTGATTCAATTGCCTATCAAGCGTGTGTAGGCCTCTCTGTAATCCATCTATGTCTGGCGAGGAACCGAGGGGAACTTGGGAGTCCGAGCGAAGAGTGCCTGCAGGTGCTCACCGATATTTGAGTCAACTACATCTAGGTAGGGATGAAGTATATTCTCTAATCAACAGAACTGTTTTTCTTCCTTCTCCACCATACACAGTGATTCTATCGAAGCCATCTAAGCAATCATGTCCAACAAACCTCTCGCCGGCAAAGTCGCCCTAAGTACCAGCAGCCACCCAGATCTATACCAGAAGCCAACCCCAAACTAATCAAACCCCACTTTTCAAAACAGTCACAGGTGCAAGCCGCGGTATAGGAGCAGCCATCTCCCTCAAGTTCGCACACCAAGGCGCCGACATAGCCCTGAACTACAAGAGCAATGCCACCGCCGCCGAACAAGTCGCAACGCAGATCCGCCAACTAGGCGTCCGCGCCATAACCCTGCAAGCGGACGTCTCACAGGAACAACAAGTCGAAACGATGTTCCAAACGGCGCAGGAATCACTCGGACGCCTCGATATCGTCGTGAGTAACTCTGGCATTGAGCATTTCGCCGCTATCCCCGATGTCAAGAGCGAGGATATCGATGCCGTGTTTGCGGTGAATGTCAAGGGGCAGTTCTTTGTTGCGCAGCAGGCGTATAAGTATATGGAGGATTTCGGGAGGGTTATGCTTACTTCGTCGATTTCGGCTGTGAAGGTTGGTTCTATTTTTTTTTTCTTTTCTTCCGTTACCCGGGAGAGGGAGAGGGCTGTAGGGTTTGGCTGATGAGAGGTTGATCTATAGGGCGTCCCTCGACATGCTATCTACGCTGCCTCCAAGGCTGCCGTGCAGGGCATGACAAAGTGTCTGGCGGTGGACTTTGGCCCGCGCAATATCACTGTCAATTGTATTGCTGCTGGCGGTGTCAAGACTGATATGTACACCGAGATGTCGGCGAAGTATATTCCCGGCGGAGACCAAATGTCTCCTCAGCAGATTGAGGAGTTGTTGAGCAAGTGGTCGCCTTTGGGTCGGGTTGGAGAGGTGGAGGATGTTGCTGGGGTGGCTGCTTTGATTGCTAGTCCTGATTCGCAGTGGTTGACTGGTCAGACTTGGCAGGTTTCAGGTGGTTCTTATATGGTTTAGTTGGGAGTCAAGGAGATTCTAGTTTTTGGCCTGTTGGCATGATCATCAAAGTCTACCGCCATATGCTTGATAATCCAGGTCGTAGTAGGTCTATACCGTTGGAATATGCCCACCATATGCAAACAAAGACTAGTCAAAACACTGGAGAGAGATCAGAATTAGGCTACTTAAATGCATAAACACCACGTTGTGCGAGGTTTCCTTGCGCATTACTTCCAATGGTTTTAGTGGTACTTCATACAAGTCCATGACCTTTGTTTTCAATAATGAAATAAGATATGACGACCCAGAATCACATCCTCTTCTCTCACTCTCATTTCTTCCAGTAAACCCGCTGGTCAACTCGACTGCACACGCTTTAGACAGACATTGACTGGAACAGCCTTGGAATGAGAGGAGCAGCTTGTCAACCCAGCATCCCTCGCTTTAGTCATAGATTGAATCTTCACGGATATCCCGAGAATTTCCGTACCTCGCCATGTGGAACGTCTCCTTTTCACCCTTGACTCCTGTTATCTGATGTGACATTAGTGCCATGTCATGGTGGACCATCCAACTAGTCCCATCCACTTTGAAGTCTGGATGCAGGGGGCGAAGAATGTGGATCGAACATGTTTGATGCAGTTTCCTATTAAATGTTAACTGTTAATTTGGGTCACCGCTACAATATGCCCTTGGGTACGTATATCTCCCGATGTTCCAGCGAGATGAAACCGAACAGCCTTCAATGACAGTGCGCAGACTATCCACATGACCAGATATCAAGGGGCCTTGGAGAGGCGAAGTTCTGCATGCCAAGCAAGAGAGGGATAAAAATTGAAGCGATCGTATCTTATTGAATACTTGATTCTGCAGTCTAGCCTTTCTTGAGTGACTACTCCGTACATGTAGCTATAGTTGCAATACGTAAGTAGTCTCATCTGCTCCGCCACATTCCAGATCTTGAGCACATATACCAATATGGGGACTACTGTAGCTACTTGAGAAAGAACTTTCTGACCCATGCGTGTATTGTTGAGCCAACAGGGCCATCAAACTTGGAAGGGTCAAGTCCTATAGCACCCTCTTGAGGCTGAAAACACATAGGCTCGTGGAGCAACCATTCCAGTCTCCTATGAAACGCTTCCATACATAAGGCTGAAAGCATGCGCCACGCGTACATTACCAAGGACCAAGAACATGACGCGGTCTCAGCCTGCCAGTGAAGTCTAAACCGGACATTAGGGCTAGAAGTGCAGATCTGCAGGAACGGGGGAGAAAGTCTTACCCGGCCCACACAAACCCACCAAACAGAGATCTCTCAGCCAATCAAACCACTGAATGGCCCTCGACCGGCTATAAAAAGTTATGCCCGAGACCCTTCGGCCGCATTAACTCTACGCGGCACCTTAATTCTATCAAGTGGAACCGCGTCCGCTGGCCTTAACTGGCGAGTTTTCTGCAGGTTTTGCTTTTATTTCAAACGTAGTTCAACTCTGCCGTGATATACGACCCAATGATTACGACGACGAGCCCCAGTGAGCCCCAGCCTTGCTCCAGGGCAAGCTTCACTGATCTATGTGGTTTCATGGTTCGATCTAGGGTAACGCGGCGGGTCTACGTATGATCTACAGCCTGAATTTCCTGAATTCGAGGGCCGTTGTTCCCATTCTTGAGCTATAAGTACTAGGTAGAGCCTGACGTTTGATGTTGTTATATTTTCATTCTCACACTCGTTTCTGCTCTTCCGTTTAGTTCTTATCATCCAACATGCGTCTCTCTCGAGGTGCATCTGTTGCGGCTTTGGCTGCATCAGCGAGTGCCGCATCGCTCTCTGATGTCTGTACCGTCTCAAACGTGAAGTCCGCCTTGCCTTCCAACGGCACTCTCCTCGGCCTCGACCTCCTCCCCTCGGCCGTGACCGCCGCCGCCGTCTACAATGCCAGTGCTGGCATGGGCAGCACCGAGACCTACACCTACTGTAATGTCACCGTCAGCTACACCCACACCGGCAAGGATGAATCGATCGTCATCAAGTATGCCTTCCCCCAGCCCTCCGACTTCAAGAAGCGCTTCTACGTTGCCGGCGGTGGTGGTTTCTCTCTGTCCAGCGATGCCACCGGTGGTCTCGAGTACGGTGCCGTCGGCGGTGCCACTAGTGCAGGCTACGACGCCTTCAACTACAGCTACGATGAAGTCGTGCTGTACGGCAACGGAACCATCAACTGGGACGCAACCTACATGTTCGGCTATCAGGCCCTCGGCGAGATGACCAAGATCGGAAAGGCCATCACCCCCGGATTCTACGGCCTTGCGTCCTCCTCCAAGGTCTACACTTACTATGAGGGCTGCTCCGACGGTGGTCGTGAGGGTATGAGCCAGATCCAGCGCTATGGCGAGGAGTACGACGGTGCTATCACCGGCGCCCCTGCCTTCCGTTTCGGCCAGCAACAGGTCCACCACGTCTTCCCTGCCGAGGTTGAGCAGACTCTCGACTACTACCCTCCTCCCTGTGAGCTGGCCAAGATTGTCAACGCCACCATTGCCGCTTGTGATCCTCTGGATGGACGAACCGACGGTGTCATCTCCCGTACCGACCTCTGCAAGCTGAACTTCAACCTGAGCTCCATCATCGGCGAGAAGTACTACTGCGCCGCGCAGACCAGCACCTCTCTCGGCTTCGGCTTCAGCAAGCGCGCCGAGGGCAGCACGTCCAGCTACCAGCCCGCCCAGAGCGGCAAGGTCACCGCCATGGGAGTCAAGGTCGCCCAAACCATCTACGACGGTCTCCACAACTCCAAGGGCGAACGCGCCTATCTCTCCTGGCAAATCGGCTCGGAGCTCAGCGACGCCGAAACCACCTGGAACAACGACACCAGCAAGTGGGAGATGGACATCCCCTCCACCGGCGGCGAGTACGTAACCAAGTTCGTGCAGCTCCTCAACATCGACAACCTCTCCGACCTCAACAACGTCACCTACGACACGCTCGTCGACTGGATGAACACCGGTATGGTGCGGTACATGGACAGCCTGCAGACTACCCTGCCCGACCTGACACCGTTCCAATCCACCGGCGGCAAACTGCTACACTACCACGGTGAATCAGACCCCAGCATCCCCACCGCGTCATCCGTGCACTACTGGCAGTCTGTCCGCTCAATCATGTACCCTCACCTGTCGTCCGCGGACAGTCTGACCAAGATGTCCGACTGGTACCAGTTCTACCTGATTCCCGGTGCGGCGCACTGCGGCACCAACACCCTGCAGCCTGGCCCCTACCCCGAGGACAACATGCAGACCATGATCAACTGGGTTGAGAACGGTGTCAAGCCGAGCCGGCTGAATGCCACTGTCTCGTCTGGTGATTATGAGGGAGAGACTCAGATGCTTTGCCAGTGGCCTACTCGGCCTCACTGGAAGAACAACAGCACTTTTGACTGTGTCAACGACAAGGCCTCGATTGATAGCTGGACTTATACCTTTGATGCTTTCAAGGTTCCTGTCTATTAGATTGGCAGTGTTGTTGTGTGTTACCATTGTGTGTTGTCTCTGCTGTGTCTTGTGAAATATCCGAATTGAGTACGACAATGGCAGCAGGCGTGGCTGGGATCACAATTCAGCCCGTTGGATTAGGGTTTCAATTTCCACGGTTACTTCTCGGAATTGGCTCTAGTGTATTAACTTATATCCTTCTTCTAACCCTCTTTACATATTTCAATATCTTTTTTATTTTCAAAAGCCACAAAGTAATGTGAAGGATATTTGCAATTTCAATTTGATATGTGAGATATTTCAAGAATTTTCCAAAGAAGTAAATGAAGAAGATACAAAAGCATTTCCAAAGAAATCATAAAGATCCAATGTAAAGAAACCAAAAAAAAAAAGATAAACAAAGAAAGAACTCCCAATCTCAAAACACCAATCTAATCCTCCCAAAAGTCAAGTCGTAACCCTATCGTAAGATAGATCAAACCCTAAGGATCCAATTTAACCCAGGGTAAGAGTGTAGGCAGCATCGATGGTGCAAGCCAAGGTGTTGACATCATCAGGGTGCTGGTAGGACTCAATGCAGTCGGAATCACCGGCGGCACAGGTGGCAGTGGTGCACGAAGAGTCGCTAATAGTGACGCCGAATCCAGCAGCCACGATAGCCGAGTCCTTGAGCAAGTTGATGGAGGAGAGATCCCAGAAGAGAACCTCGCTGGACTGGGTGTACTCGAATTGCAGGATGGACTCGCAGGCCTCGGTGGTGGACATCTTGATGGAGATACCGCCGCCGTTGGTGTTGGTCAACCAGGTGTCGGTGAAGGTCTGGCCAGTGGAGAGAGTCTGCATCTCGCCCTCGGTCTCGGTCACAACCCAGAGGTAGACGTCCTGGTCGAGGTTGTTCTTGATGGCGATGCCGGAACCAGTGGCGGTTGCGCCGCTGGAGGTGGTGCTTGCGATGGCGAGGGTGCTGCTGGTCCAGACGTCGGCGCTGCTGCTGGCGATTGGGGCCGCAGTGGTAGTGGGCACGGCGGTGGTGGTGGGCACGGCGAGAGTGGGGAGAGCGGTGGTGGTGGGAATGGGAGTGGCGGTGCTGGAGGTGGTGGGGGCAGCCTCGGTGGTCGAAGGAATGGCGATGTTCACGTTGGCGGCGACAGTGGGCTCGCTGGAGGCAGTCTGGTAGACGGTCTCGTAGACGGTTTCCCAGACGACGACCTCGGGGTTACCGGGGAGAGCGACGGGGAGCGCGGTGGCAGTAGCGGCCAAGAGGGCCAGAGTGTTGATGAAGCGCATATTGGCTGATCTGATTTGTGTGTTTTCAAAGAAAGACTGGATTGGAACCTTAAAGATAGTGTTGTCTGATCTACAGACAGTAAAGAGAGTGTACGAGGCGCAGCCTCAAAGGTATTCCAAAAGAGTGAATGATGTCAAAAAAGAGAGAGAGAGAGAGAAAGAGAGAGGGAGTCGGGGTTTTAAAATGGGGCCCAGGCACAAAACGAACAAAATGGACAAAATGGGCAAATTGGGCTAACTGGGCTAACTGGGGCTAATTTGGGCTAAAATCGATCTAGATGGCCATGTGGAGTCCAGGCTCCAATTGCGATGATCCTATTGGCTGTTTGGCGGAGGGCTCAGGAGATGAAACCTGGTCCGGCCAACCCGGTTGGACTTCCGCGTGTTCGATCCGTGGTTATGCTGGTACCTGATCCTTTCTTTGTCCACTGGGTTCATTTCTTCCCTACAATTCTTGACTGGGATGACTCGTTTGTTAGGATGAGTGGAGAGAGAGGTGTTCGATTTCTGCACAAGAGTTTTCAAACCTTCGGAATAGCGCCGGATTACGCATGTCCTACGCAAACACCCCCCCCCGGAGAACCGCCCCCCCTTTGTCACCCCCTGAATATCACTTTCTTGTTCCTGTCGAATATGTCTCTCTCCATGTTTCAGCTCCATATAAATTAATGTCAACGTCTATACTGTACTTCAACGTTAGACCTAACGGTGTCGCTTCCATACCATACAAATGATCTCCTACTAGTCAGCCAAGCCCGGCTCTAAGGGAGCTTATTCATTAGGGTGAACCGGTTAGGAAGGAGGGGAGGATCATCTCGGAAATGAGCAACAGTCATCACTCCCAGGCTGCCGATTCCCTCCAATAGTCGTGCCAAACTCTCTTCTCTAGTCAGGTACCGATGCAGGAACGCCGGAACTTTCCTAATCGTGAGGCCCACGTTGCCACGTCGGCTAGCGCTCATGTTCCTGGCCACCTTCCAGAAAACTCTACAAGTGACAGTCTTGGCTCTTGGGTGGCAATGTAATCTCACATGGATTATTGATCTCGCAAAGACATTCCATGGATGTGGCGGTACTCCCCCCCTCCCTCCTTAAGCCACGCCCCGCTGCAACCAAGTGATTCTAATGGATAGTGAGGGTATTGCAATGAAGAAAAGGGTGGCCTAGACTGTGGCACCGTATGCAACGCCGTTAGGGAGAATGTTCCGGCGTGAGGATGTGTTCGAGACGCGCCCATCGAGACTTCCGTTTGAGCGTGCGCTATTTCGTTCGCTTACAATCTCCTTACTGTGTGTCTCCAGCGCATTGAAAACATAACCGAACACTTGGCGGTCAACGTCGGAGGCCCACAAAAAGTCTAGATGCTCGTAGGTCGGGATCGCTTGGGCGCTCGTGGCATGGGGGAGACCCTGGAGCATGACGTTGATGTCGACCAGACTGTCACTGTCACCGTACAGCAGGACAATGGGGGTCTTGATGTTGCGAGTTGGGTATTTGACCGGCTTGTAAAAGCGTTCGCTGGCAACGACGCTAAAGGGCGCATAGGTTTCGTCGTCGTAAAATTGGAAGTTCTTGTTCCGGATGATTTGGAACCAATGAACGACGGACTTGGTGCTCGTAAAGGAGTACAAGTGCATATAAGCCGCGAGCTTTTGCGTGCGCTTGATGTTTTTACACTCCCAGTTAAAGAGGGCCGAAAGAGCGGTGTCAATGATACGGACGTAGATCGGTGGATAGAGTATCGTCTGCCACATGGTCGTCGATGATAGGATACTGCGTCGACCGAAAAGCAGGAACAAAAAGTCAGGAGAGGCCTTCATCAGTGAATCGACGATGCGATTGCGCAGACCGGAAGGCGCCATGGCGGGTGCCAGCGCGACGAACACGTCAATCTTCTCATTGAGCAACGGGTGGATAGCGAGGGTAGCAAACGCCTGAGCGGTGCCTTGTGAGAACCCAATGTACGACAACGATGGCTGATTGGTCACTTCGAGGATGTATTCAATGCTGTTGGGAATGTCGGAGAATGCGAACTGATCAATGGAAAAGTCCCAGAACTCATTTGACCCCGGAGAGAAACGAGTTGATTTCTTCGAGTACTTATTTCCTCGGTTGTTTCCCAGCCAGACATCGTATCCTCGTTCGACCAGCTGGAAGGGGAGACATCGCTGCTCCTCTGTCAAGGCCACCCACACCTCGCTGGACATGAGTAGTCCATGGTGGAGATACACAACCTTCTTCTTAACACCACCAGGACCTTGGTTGACACGTGTGTGCTCTTCTCCCTTTCGATAAGCTAGTCGATGCAGCCCCAGGAGATAGCCATCGTTTGTTTGCACAATGTGATCTTCGGCTTGGTATCCAAAGAGCGCGCAGATCTCCGTGAAATCTGATGCATTTGCAACTGAAAGAGCAAAGCTTTCTTCCTTCGTGCGCTTATGACGGGTTTCAGTTGGAATCAAGAGATTGAACAGCGCTTTAGATTGATCATAGCAGAAATTGATGATTGGACTTGCTGGTCAGGGGTCAGTTTTGAGGCTCGCTTTCACAAATAAGCGCGGGCTACTCACGAAGACACCAAGTGATGAGATGGATGATGGTCTCTAATGTAACAAGAATCAAAGATCCAAAGAGCGCTAGGTACTCAAACCTGGAGTTCGAAGATCAGTCACCAAGCTCGTCTGGGATGCTGGAGTCTTACCAGAACAGTCTCCCAATGAATGGAACACGCGCCATGATGAAAAACTAAGTATACATGCAGGTCTGATATGCGACCAGAAGAAGAGATAAAAGAAGCCAAAGCCAAAGCTGCGGCCAAAGGGAATTTGCACGACGTCATTTGCTGCCAGGAACATGTGATAATGCTTATCTCATCCGGGGTTTGGCCAACCAATCAGCGCCGAGCCAACTGACCAGCCCGAATTTGCCGTGTTTCACGGCTTCACTTTGCTTGTGCTTGCGCCCTACCAAGATCGCCTCAAAATGCCGAGCTCATGCAATGATATCCGTACGTCACACACTTTCGAGTCACACCAGAGCTCTAGGGAATATCACGCCCATGGCTCAGCTGGACCTCTTGCCGTAACCCTCCAATGTCATGCAACGCGAGCTGACCTCAATGCCACATCTAGGTGAGGCACTGGCCCAATGCCTCCAGGAGTCGGACTGTATCATGGTCCAAAGACACTCGCCTCGTGAATGTCTCAAATCTCCCCTCGCCGAGGAGTTGCCCATGCGGTGCCAGCAGCTGCGCAAAGGTTTCAGCGAGTGCAAGTGAGTCGAGAGCCCACCGAAGCATCCAGGCCCAGCACTAGAGAATTGTGACTAACAGTTGAACTCCTACTTGTCATAGACGCGGTATGATTGACATGCGCAAACGGTTCCGCGGCAACCAGCCCATCTCGGTCAACAAGGAAATGGAAAGCGAAAAGCCCGAATCCGGGGGACAACTATATGCAGGACAACCAGCCTACCAGTCAGTCAAGCCTATCAACGGCGACGAAGTACAGATGGACCCTGAGAAGACCCGTGGCCTGTAAAGAATATTTGGATTTGATTACATGCTGGCATGGCCCGGAGTTCTGTTACGCTTCAAACATACATCTCTTCTTCACTTATACCCGTCTCAAATTTACTGAGCCCATTCTCATCCACACTTAGTTCCATTATACTTGCGCACTTTGCAAATACACCCACCAGGCGCTCGGGCATGCTCAAGAATGGCGAATGCGATGCAGGCAGTCGGTGGGTCTGGCCGGGCCGGCATATCTTCAGCGCGAAGAATTCCTGGATGGGAGGTAACAGTGCCTGGTCCTGCTCGCAGATGATGTAGGAACAGGGTATATCCTGCCACGGTTCATAAGTGGCTTCGCCTGAAAAGACAGCGCGCGAGGTGTGTGTCACGGTGCTGTCCCACTTCTCCCGTTGTTCGAGGGTCAGATCTTGCCAGGCGATATCTCCAGCACCTTCTGCGTGGACATAGTCACCCTATTTGCCGGTTAGCATGATCTTCAGCAGGCGGGGCTTGATCATATGATGTGGTACACCAACCTCGATCTTCATCCACGGCAAAGGACTGCCTCCTAGCAACTCCAAAAGGCTCTGTCCCTTGTCCAGCGCAAATGCAGCTAGATAGACAACGCTCACAACTCCGCCACGCTTTCCATTTGCTGTGCGGGCAGGCTTGTCCAACCCTTCCACGGCAGAGGATGCCACGACACCGCCATAGGAATGACCTACTACAACGATGTCTCTCCCCTCTTCCGCCACAGCCGTCAATACACTTCGTAGAGAGGAAACATCATCATCCAGCGTCAAGGAAGGGGGCTCTGCCCCAATCGAAGGATGAGCGGGACACTCGGACGGAAACCCAAGAGCCTCCAGCCGCGTACGCACAGTATCAAAGACCGCAGGGTGCATCCAAGCACCGAGCGAGAAAATAAAAGTCGGTTTACTCATTTTCGCTTTGGAATCAGTGATATTCCAACTGCTTGAGGGGTAGGAAATCCGTATATATAGGAACAAAACATAGTACACTCTCCACCAACCCACTGGACAGCCTCAACACTAAAACCACCAGGACACTTGTCCTGCCCTCTTTTCTAGATTATCCTCTAGACCCAAACCCAAGGCATATAACGCAAATCACAGCTCCTTTCGGTCAAAGTCCGGCAAGACTCCGGCATGTCAATATCATCTCGTCCCGCGGAGGAGACACTAGACGGCCCCCTGTGGATCTCCGTGACCAACAGCCGTCCTCGACAGACGTATCCATCAATCAAAGGTGCTCGACAGTACTCCTCTCCATCGACATTAGCCCTGTTTAGGGCATTGGCGGATTCCTGGTTGTTTTACCTTGTCCTATCGGATTTCTAGCCCCCGGAAGCGAGCGGTATAACCCCTCCAGAGGGTACGTGGTGTATTGTTAGTTGCGCTTTGGGTCTGTTGCTTTACACGACCTAGCTATCTTTATACTAGGTTGCTCTTGTCTGGGTGTTGATTAGGGTGGTGCAGGTGAGATTATTGTTTGAAGTCAAGCGTTTCCTGTATGTCAGGTCCTTTTTGCTATACGTTTTAGATATCTATATCTGTCTCTCCATGTCTCCATGCATTCAAAAAAGCGGCCTACACTATACACACAGTCGATATACCTGAGAAGACCAGCTTCTCTATCTTTGTCACTTCATGGTCTGTGGATGGTCAATGGATGTGTTGTATCCACACGGACAGCAAGGTTAAACAATGATGTTCGCTAGTATGGATATAAGCTTCTCTAATCCATCACCGCTGGCCGTCCATAGATCTATGCTATACTCTTGATGCATAGATGCGTCTTTACGATCCGCCATGACTTGATAGAGAGCGAATCACACCAATCTTATCCATTCACGCGTATGGAACCCTCAGAAACATCCGATTATGAGTCTGCATTGATTGGCCGAATTCACAATAATCCAACACAGTGAGAATGTCTGTTTGTTTGTCCTCCAGACAACTCAAGTCTTTTTGGCATGCTCGGATAGACTCAGGATGATACGAAGCTCGCATGCGCGGCAATATCTTGCCTCGATTTTTAAACAGCACTCGTTTCTCGATCAACTACCACGTGCAGATTGAGAATATCGTACTTTTAAGGGCCACTACCATCATGCTGATGGGATGGTCTGTTGTTTATGTGGTCGTAGTTATTTAGCTACGGGTACTTGACTCTTTGTTGAGTTGGTTACACGCAGCGATGGAGTAGTAAGTACAATTCTACTATGATCGATCTCACTATTGGATATCAGATGATTGAAATGATCTAGAAATCAAATCGAACACGCGAGAAATCAAATTCATACAAGTAAATTCAACATCATGGACAAGCAGTGTAGTATTATGCATACAAATCTACTGTGTCTTCTTAAGCTTCTCGGCAACAGGGGCAGAGTAAAGCCAAACAACAACGAAGGCCAGGAATCCACCAATAACCGACCAAAGACCGGCGATCCAGACCCAGCCGCCACTGATGGCCCAACTACGTGGGTACTCATCGTGGGCGAAGTGGCGAACAGTGACCTCGAGCTTCTCCTCGATGTTGGTGAAGAAAGGACGCTTGTAGTTCACGCGGAAAGAGAAAATGCCGTGCTGATCGGGAGTCACGAACTTGGTGCCGAATACGGTGCCGGTTTCCGTGCGGCTGATAGGCTGGAGATTCAGACGGTGGAAAGGCGAGAGCATGGTGAACTCGAGCTGGAGCTCGTCTTCGCCGGGAACCTCAAAGGGAACCCACTTGTCGAAGACGTACTCGGAGACTTCAATGTTGTAAACCTAAAGGGAATCTTCGTTAGCTGTCACATACAGGAATTGAGTATCGGGTTCACGTACAGTCTCGTTCTTGATACGGTAGATGGAGGGGTTCAACTCGGCACCCTCCGTGGCCAGGTGGTGTTCAACCTTGTCGACCTTGAGGACACCAGTCTCCTTGAAAGCCCAGCCGGTCAACTGCTTAGCGAACTCACGGTTCACAGTGGTGGTCTTCTCGCCGCTGGGTGTCTTGACGGAGGCCGAGAACCACTTGTCCTCAAGGGCTTCCACCGAGCCGAGAACGGTGAAACGGGCCGAATTACGAGCCTGCATAGCGGAGACAATGTTCAACTGCGAACCAGTGGCCAGAATATCCTCCGCTGTGGGCATTTCCTCCTTGGGGTTGTAGCTGTAAGCGGTAGCGGGGGCCTTCAGGATGGGAGCAAGAAGGGTGCTGTCGCTTCCCAGAGTCTGAGGAGCAACCCGAGGGAGAGCCAGGACACCTTCGCCATCGAAGAATGCCTTCACATCGGAGCGGGGGGTCCAGGGCGCTGCAGCACAAGAACATCGTGCTTCTCGGGGGCCGAGAGGGTATCGTAGTTGAAGTGGTCGACAACGACTGCCGAGCGATCATTGGCGAGGTGAATGTCGAGCTCGAGAAGGAGGGAGCTGACAGCGCTGGAGGTGGAGGACTTGCCAGAGAGGGCGAGGAGGATGTTGCCATCCTTGTTCATGAAGTCGAGGATGTGCTTGGGGGTCAAAGAGGGGCCGAGGCCTGTATAAATTGCGTCAATTGACAAGGATGGAGATCAAAGAGAGCGAGATTGCTCACCTTTGGACTTGGGAGGGAGAATGAGGAGGTGGTCATAAGCTCTTTCGCCGTGCTTGAACAGGGAAAGCTGTTCACTTTTGGGGGATTCAATCGAAACATCGTAGCCACGGGCTGAAATCTGAACGTCAGCTAGTTACATCCAGATAAAGCCATCCAACTTACCTTCTAGATCAGCCCACAGCGTGGAGTACACGCTCTTCTGCTCTGTGTCTTCCAAAACCGCCAACAGACGACTGCCGGAGCTACTCAGCGCATTCACCGCAGCCAAGAAGCAGCAAACAAGTAACGCAAGGCACCACCGCATCTTGAATAAATTCCGCACAGCGGAGCGGAAGGATCAAAAAGAAAGCGAAAAGAAAGGTGGTGAAGTATGAGCACCAGAAAGGGCGACGTGTTAATGGGCAAATGCCAAGACCCGAGTGCGCTGGGTCCGCATCTCCGAACTTCGACCTCACTTCTTCCCCACGGCTTCAATTTTGCTCCTCGCTTTCACCACTTCTACACCACAACCACCCGGTGGAACCGCGCATTTTATCTACTCGATTCCCCTGATCTGTGGGCTTCGATACATCAGGCATTGACCTTCAACCTCAATCGACAGAAAATCCCCGATCGATCATCGACATTCAACTCTTCCAGCAGCCATGTCTACCCCTCAGTTCTGGTCTACTCCTCTCCGCTACATCCGCTGGGCCTCGCACGAGAAGCCTGCGATTCTCTACTCCATCATCATCGGTTCCATGGGCCCCGTCGCCCTGTTCGGTATCCCCCCGATCCGCCGCGCTCTCGGTGACGTCGACCCCGAGCCCATTCCCCTGACATATCCCAGTATGGACTACCTATTTCCTCCAGTATGGTGCAATAGCACCACAAACGCACATCAGATCTTCAAGACTAACCACAATATTCGATATACAGTTCCCCAGGGTAAGCGGGTGATCCCCCAGGGCTACGATGACGAATAAATGATATCCGAGCCATGCAAATGATAAGCTATCGGAAATTTTAAGAATCGTCGTATCTTGTTCTTGGGAGAAATAAACTCAGCGGATGGCAGGAGATGGTTTTGGCTGTTCCATCGGGCAACATGGAATGATGAACGTTGCCCGACATGAGTATGGGCAATCGCAAAGACTTGTTCCTAGCCACCTCTCTTGTGCATCGAAAATGCTTTGATACCAATATTTGTTGCGCGTATTTTGGATGTCGAGCCTGCGGCGCAGTGTATGTACTATGTTTTGTGCAATCATAACCGACATCAAGTCGTTTTCCTATGTTCGAGATTATATTTTCTAAAGGCCTTGTTCTAAGGGAACGAGCGCCTGAATAGTAGAGTTCCCAAAATTACAGCACATGACTTTCTAAGCCCATGAAGAGCTTGTCCTGTGGTTGAGGAGAATGATGCTCGCCACCTGCAGTAGTAGATTCGCTTACGCACGACTGAAACCCAACGCACAAGGTGGATATTGGAAATGTGAGCTCAATTTGAACAAAATAAGACATAATGGTCATCACGATGATGGATATAAATCAGGGAAAGAGATCATGACACAAGCAGGTTCATTAAGGCCATGGGCATGGAGCCGATTCACGATCTTGCAAAAGCAAAACATCAACCACAGAAGACGGACCAACGCCGTAAATGCTCATATCTACATATAGCTCACCAGCCTTAGTTTATCGAAGAACAACGCTCTCCTCGCAAACCAAATCAAAGGCATGAGAAACAAAAGAAGAATATGAAAAAGCCCCTTCGTCCAAAGGGGCGGACAAAACATGTTGCTAAGAAGACAAATCCTGTACACCGTTAAACCAACAACAAAGCCGCATTATTGTGGAGGTGAGTATTCCCAGAATCCACAAGACATGGGATAGAAAACAAAACGCTCGAGCCCAAGCCGCCTTTTCGCAAACTCAATCAAGACACATCACTCCTACTCCTTGCTGGCAATTGCACAAAAGCACCGGAGAAAGATCAAAAAAAAGGAGACAGGTTTCACGGGGAAGTCCAAGATGCTACTAAAGAGCAATCGGGTTGAATTGCAGTAGAAATCCGTGGTAAAAGAAGTGGAATTCACATCCGACGGAAAGTGGACTTCTCCGAACTGAGCCATTTGTGGGTTATGAGACATCACTGGCCTGGTTTGAAGATCCTGGAATAGAGACATTGTAGGGGTTGAGAGGGTGGCCGAAAAGAACAGACATGGAGATTGTCCAGGGTATTTTTTTTTTTGGTCGTGGACATCAACAGAATCCTCATGATCATTTTGAGGATATTCCAGGGAGGAAGTATCAAGTGGGGCCACATTATGAATGGATGAGAGAGAGAAATCAGGAATGAATGCAGGGAAATTGACCACTGGGGGGCCAACATTTCTGTCTACCGCCGACGATGCGTGTTGTCTCTGGTGGCTTGTGGCCTGCGCTCATACTCTGGAGTGTATCTGGGCTCCATTCCTATCCGGGGATCCGGGGCAGTGGTGGTAGGATAAGCCATCCCGGAAGTTACGGGAGAATAGTCCTGTTCGGCATCATATCCTGGCCCCGGGTATCGGGGAGCATTGCTTCGGCCATTGTCGTATCCATAGCCCGTGGGGGCGTAGGTGTACGATTGAGGGTGCATATCTGCCGCCGTCACGACGGGCTGACTGGAGCCAGAGTATGAAACCTGGGGTGGAGGGTACGGGGCCGTACCTGATGCGTATGGCGAGTGAGTAGATGTGTATGCAGGAGGAGGTTGAGTGTAGGGGGCATTCTGGGATCCACTGTAGGGACTCTGGGAATAAGGATCCATGTATGATTGCTGCGTAGGAGCGGCAGTAAATGGTGTGGGAGATGGACCCTGTTGCTGCTGTTGTTGGCGAACCTCGTGGACAGCCGAAGCAGCATAGTTCGCTGGAGAGGTGCTAGGGGGGTCTTGAATGTAACTACCTCTAGGATAGCCTAGGTCAGCCCGGCGTGAGACATCCGCCTCCCAGCGGGCGGAGTCAGCCTTCAGATCAGTTATCATCTCCTGTATCCAAGGCGTGGTTAGAATTCCATCTTCAGATGCCCGGCTAGTTGTCGTTTGTCCAAGTCGACTTACCGATGTGAGGTTCCGATAGGCACGAATGAAAAATCCCGGGCGGCCCTATAGATGGTCAGTATAAACACCCCAAATCGCAAGAGAATAGGAAACGAACACCATGGTTGCCGGGTCTCACGAGTGCATCATTTCCAAGGTAGCGACAGATATCTGCTTGAATGACTTCTCGGCTGATTCCGTCGCCGGGGATGAAATATTCATTCTGACGCTCCGGGCGCGATTCATAGCGGCCTGTCATAATGTCCGATGGAAATGTCCGGTTTAAATTTAAGTCCTCGGATCCAAAGCGGCCAGAAAGAAAGGAGAAATCCGGAAGTGGTAGATCTGAAAATCCAGGGGAAGTTGATAGAGGTGAGTCCGTTTTATTGTAGGATGTACAGTTTCTATGAGGCGACGAGTTTGTTTCAAAGTCGGCAATCACGACTTGAATTGTTTTCTCGATTCCAGGGGCAAATAGACAACGAGATATGATCCTTTGGAAGTGGCCAGAAAAGAACGTTTGATCCTGGTCGGGCAATAGCAAGTCCTTGGAGAAGTCCGGTAAATCCTTGGGGGGGTATAGTCCACGCTGAGTGTCCACTGGAGCAATTATCCTGGGAATATCGAAGTCCTTAAGTGGATGTCGAGTGAAGAGTCAAGAGCGAAGAGCGAAGAGATGACAAAGGCGTGATTAGGAGAAAGAGAACACGGGGGTAGTTGAGGCTCCAACTGTTTCTGTTCGGATGAACCAGATGTCAGGTGCCAGATGCCAGAAGAAAGGGTAGAGTGTGTATAGGTTGGCAAAAGTCCAGGGGATTGAAGAGAGTAGGAGAGAAAGAAAGAGAGAAGAAGTTGAAAGGGAAGAGGGAGGGGGGGGAACTAAAGTGGGCTACAGGCGAAGGGCGGTTGGGCCGTCTTGGGCTGGTGCCACGACTCCCCACTGAGATCAAAAGCATGCACGGTCGAATGTGGATTAGAGCATGTGTGTAGCCGCCTTGTGCCAAAGAAACCCCATGTCTGGCTTACGGATGAAAGTTACGGTTGAAAAGGTACAGCCTACGAAAGTACTACTAGTACTTCAGGGCTTGCCGAAGGTTTGGAAAGTTTGGAAACCAAGGGTCGATCCCCCCATAGATGGATCAGCTTGGATTGCCCTTTAGTCTGTGCCCCTGTTGAATATCAGGCAAAGGTACATCTCCACCAGGTAGTGGACTGTTGGGAGAACAAGAGAGCTGAAAATGAGATCATAAGAGTCAGATGCGCGAGAGTGGCCAAGGACGCATAGGAGACCTTGTGATGTACAGGTAACTGTACAGTAGTGAACACGATGACAGCAACGGCTGGTGGCAACTTTGCAGATTGCCACCTGGAAATGCTGATGTCCACCAGATGGGCGTTGGGCACGAATGCGTTTGGGCACCGGTTGCCTCCAGGTCTGTCCACTCACAGATCGGCTGTGTCAGCAGGATCGCACAGATCGGAGATCATTCAGGCTTTGATTTTTCCAAGTTCGAGACCAAAAATCCTGCGGACTGGCTTTTCCTGGGTTTCTCAGAGTCCTCAGGGGGAAATAAGCTGTCATTTAGCGGGGCCTCGCAGGGCTCGAGTTGCCGATTGCCATGTCTCAGTGCACATGTACCGTACAGTAGCTGTCAACGTGGTATCTGATTGAATAATATAATAAGTTATAACTTAAATCAAATAAGAAGAAACAAGCAAGTCAAGTGAACTCATCCCGTCCACATGTGCTTGAAGTGAGCGTCCAACGATGTCAACAACGCGAACCTGAGGAACGGGAGCACGTGCCTACGCTAGGCCATTTTGGGACATTCCACTTGGAAGAGCTCTGTCTCTCTCTCTCTCTTTCAACGACAATGGCCAGTAGCGAGCCATGACGCACTCGTGATGTCTGAACCTACGTCTGAATCTCTGAAGGCTTCTCGTTTTACCAACCGACATTTGCAAGGACTGCGCCACGGATCCACGGCGACACCTTTGCGTGTGATCGCGCACATTGATCTCGATGCCTTTTACGCGCAATGTGAGATGGTGCGCCTAGGGACACCGCGCGAAGTGCCCTTAGCAGTACGGCAGTGGGACTCTTTGATTGCCATCAATTACGCGGCACGCCCTTTCGGAATCAGTCGGTTGATCAGCGTCACAGAAGCCCGGAAACTCTGTCCAGATCTCGTCTTACAGCATGTCGCGACATTTCGAGAAGGGAGAGGGGGACGCTGGGCATATCGAGATGACTCGTTCAAGAACATTCAGACGGAGAAGGTGTCACTGGACCCATATCGCGCGCAATCCCGGAAAATCCTCCAGACGATGAAAGACGCCCTGGCTACCTGGACTACAACTGATGCGGAGGCTGAAACTCTACCTCAGGCACAAGGAGTCTCGGCTGGCCTGGAAAAAGCTAGTATAGATGAGGTCTTCATTGATCTATCTCCATTGGTCTTCAAGGTGCTCCTTGAGAGATACCCCGAGCTAAAGATGAATGCCCAAGATGAAAATCGGGATGCGCCACTACCCATCTCTCCGACCACAGCCCTGCAATGGGACACTGACTGCTTGATTGATCTGAATGAAAATGAAACAGAAGAGGATGACCCAGATTGGGATGATGTGGTTATGTTGATAGGATCTGAGATTGTAAGGTCGGTTCGGAACGCAGTGTGGGAGAAGCTCAGCTACACCTGTTCTGCAGGACTAGGCCGGAACAAAATGATTGCCAAGCTGGGAAGCGCTTGCAATAAGCCCAATCTGCAGACTATCGTAAGAAATCGGGCGGTGCAGAACTTCCTGGCCAGTTACAAGTTCACTCAGATCAGAATGCTAGGCGGTAAACTGGGTGAACAGATCACCGAGGCATTTGGGACAGAGAAAGTGAGTGACTTGCTCAATGTGTCCCTTGAGCAACTCCGTGCCAAAGTAGATGACCATACAGCATCTTGGCTCTACGGCATTATCCGAGGAGATGACCGCAGTGAGGTCAACCCTCGAACCCAGATAAAATCTATGCTATCGGCAAAGTCTTTCCGGCCGAGTATTAGCTCGGTTGAACAGGCCGAGAAGTGGCTTCGCATTTTCGCCGCTGATATTTACGGCCGGCTAGTGGAAGACGGCGTGCTTGAAAACAGACGTCGCCCGAGGGTCATCACTTTACACCACCGAACTTCTCAGCCTCAACCTCGTTCCAAACAGATTCCAATCCCAGCTTCGAGCACAATCGACGAAAATCTGCTTTTTGACCTGGCGAACAATTTGCTCCGCCAAGTCGTGGCTGAGGGACAGGCGTGGCCATGTTCCAACCTGTCTTTGAGCGTAGGGAGCTTCCAAGAAGGCGTAACCAACAACAGGGCCATTGAAGGGTTCCTACTTCGCGGCGATCAAGCAAAGGCTTTAAATCATGCCTCGAGTCCCCGTGATACCCAAATTATTCATAACGAGCCACCGACCGAGAAACGGCGAAAGCTTGACGATGGGATGATGAAAACTTTCTTTGGAAAGCCATTATCTCCGGCTTCTGCTGGTGAACGTGAGCCAGAAATACCACAACCAATTGAAGCAGAGACCGAAGCAGCGGGGATTCCCCGTTACACATGTCCACGGTGCTCCAAATCGATTATCGAGTATGAGAAAGAGGAGCACGAAGATTGGCACTTCGCCAAAGACCTTGCAAGCCAGGACCGCGAGGACGCCAGAGCTTCACAGCCGCCCCCGCCGCCCACAACGAGTAGCACACGAGGTTCTTCTGTCCGTGGAAGAGGCGGCCGGGGCGGTGGTCGTGGCAAACCCGAGAAAGGGCAGATGCGACTGGCCTTCCAGTAAATGCCATCCCGGAGATGAAATTCCAGGATGGTTGTTTACTCATGTACTTCTATGACTTGTTTCCATAATTTCTGTTTTAGCTATCATATACCCAATCTATCAACGAGATTACGCCGTCTGATCCAGGCAGCTTGATCACTTAATCCTAAACCGAGCGATCGACTTTGGGTTGGTAAGCGATTTTATGTATCAACTATTAATATAGAGGTTAATTACATTCATTAAACGACTCTCAGATGCAATCCACCAGTTGCGATTCAATTTCTTGCCCATGGTCCCCGATTCATGTTTCTTCGTGTCCATGGTGAGTGACTGATCCCAGAAATAGGCATCACGATAGATGTTTCACGCCATCTCATTTCGATAATCCGAGGAGTCAATCTGTGAATGTCGAATGATCGGAATTCTCCCATGTGCTGTTGGATTCGGGCAGTGTAGAAATGATCAAAACTCTAGCCATCAACTTTATTCCACTGGAACCAACATGGCAGTGAATGCGTTGTGGGTGGTGAACAGCTTGGTCTAGGCCTGATCGGAAGCTACCGACGAGGCAGTAGGGCGAGGCTTGATACCAACAGGAATCGGCTCTCTAGGCGTAGGAAATGTACTGCTCCATGAAACGGAAGTCGAACTTGGACCCGCGAGATCAGAAGAAGTGCCGGAACCCTCAGCAGGCAGGGCAAAAGTAGTGCCGAACAAAGCAATTGCTAGAAAACCAAGAAGATGCATGGTGGACAAATGTTCAGCGATTGAGTTTTTCTTCCTGAGTTTATTCAGCATGAGTTGTAATATTGAACTTCGGTCAGAACAAACCAGTCTGGGCCCCAGGACTGCCGAGCATACTTATAAACAGAAGCAATACCCCTGGCCCCGGGTTCCCATGAAGTGGAGAAATATGATCTCAGGTTCACACAATCAAAAATGCCTTGACAGGGATAGATTGCCTCTGTCGATCGCTCAAAGGGTGGGGGGAGCTGTACAGTACGGTGTGCACCTGCGCCCATCATACCTGTAGCTCGCATTCGAGGAATAGCTCCACCACTTAATTTCTATAACCTCGGTAGAACTGTGCGTCTTTATGTACATGTAGCTGTCCTCAATATTGGCATCTTCGGATTGTTGGGTCCTGCAAATATAATATCCCTGCGATCGGCGTTCTCAGTTCCCAAAATACAACACACCATGCTGGGGCCAGTTTCAGGTTTTGGTTGGGACCTTTGTTGCTTTTTTGTAATCGTAAAACGAGTGAATAGATTCAATTCCCCAATCAAGGCATTACATGGTATTCTGTTAACTCACTACAATGGGGATGTACAAGTTGAAGCTACCCTGTTACGATGCGGAAACAAGGCATTGTTACAACATATAAACATATGGCGTCCAATTTTTGAGAGGGGCTTTTGAGATTGGTGGACTTATTGTATAACTTTGTATCAGATTGAGAATTAGAAATCTTATATTTTGGGTCTGTTGACTCTCAGGCCAATATTGCGAATAGCTCAAGATATGCTTGTGAAGTCTTTAGCCCAGAAGAAACATGACCATACAAACGTTAGACTGATAACAAACTCTTGATTTACAGCGTCGATATCAGATGAAGAAAGAGCTACGAAGTTCATGATTTCCATGTTGACTGGCTGATATGTTTCAATATTACCCACAAAGACATTGCTCATTGCTTAGCTGTCGATCCTGACCCAACAAGGCAGAGCTTTGTCTTCTAACTTTATTGTTATAACTAACTTATAGCCAATAAGTTATGTTCTCTTAGTGCCCCCAATTTGTTTTTTTCCACAATAACACGTAATCTTATATTCAGATGCCAGCTGCAGAGCCTAACAGAATTGGGACTCAAGGTGTCTTTACCGACTGCCGGCAAATATAACTAACAGATCTTACAGTATGTTTGAAGACTGCGAGGATTTCCCAACTGAAAATTATCATGTTTCGGAGCAGATAGTCGTGTATAATATTGCAGAGTCACCACAACGTGACTGAATTCCGGTTAATTCCCTCATGCCGTAAGTCTTCTCAAACCTGAGCCACTACAAACTGATCCCACGAAGTTCTGGTAGAGTGTCGTCGATATCCACCACATATAGCACTAGAGGCTAAATCGGGGCCCGCGGGGACCGAAACTTTTGAAGTGGGCTTCTCCTTAATTCTATCCCGAAAAAAGAAGGAAAAAGGCAATATCAAGCAAGCTTGATCCGCACCATATCCGTAGCTCGTTGAAGCTCGGTCTAGAATTGTGAGACACTGGCATGGCTGCATTCGGATTGATAATACTGCCAACCTGATAACTTATATGGCTTTATCCATTTCGAGTCATGTAGCTGAATCTAGTTTCTGAAATCTTTGAGAAGATCTAAGGGCTGAGGCCAAATGAAACAGAGTTTCATGCTGAGAACTTCTCTCATCTGATAATAAGTTATGTTCCATCGGAGCATGAATAGAATGGGGGCCACGGAGCTAATGAACTAGCCAAGAAACCACGAAACCACTAAACACGAGGGCAGCCCACGAAACAGTGGAGAGAAGCTAGGATGTTACGAGAATGCTGACACAAATTGAAGCAGACTCTACCTCTTAGTGGTCCTCCCTGCTCGGCTGTTGACGCAGTCCCATAACAGTTGGCATTCAGATGGATCCCTGGCTTTAATAGCTCAATGAACCAAATTTCCTACAACAGGCACTAGTGTGTTTCCTAACATGCCAAATAATTCTCTATGAACCAGACACTTTTTCGTTGGAGACATGCAATGAAATTGATTTTATCCAGGGCTTTACTCAACTCGATCGACACCATGATCTTGACTCAAGTTGCTCGCCACAATGGGAGATTGAACAGGAATGCAGGTGCATTGATAGAATTAGCTAATGCACCCTATAGCGTACCTTGGAAAAGCTAACCTAGGCAAGTCTTAGGCAGCCATGAAACGGTAGATCCACCATGTCTTACCACGGACCCCGAGTGATGGACCCTGAAATCTGATAAGATTCAATATTGGCTAACCATGGTACACACCATCAGCTCACATCTGCGGGTTTACATCCTTAAGTTTGCTTTGATAGACTATTTTGCCAATATCAGAAGCAAATCCGTCAACAAATTCCAACTAAGAAGAAAAGCCACGAATCATGAAGCTTGTGTTCTCGGAATCGGGTGAGGCACGGAACGATGCTACGGAAAGGATTTAATCGAGCTAGAGAGCATTTGTACATTTCGGTTACAAGGAAGCCCGGTGGAACCACCAAATGTGGATGAGGCCATGATCTGGCCAAGATGTTAAAAGGGCTTGTCTTCGCACTTCAATAAATGTAAAAAAGCTTGGTCACTTTGCAGGCATTCCTTTTCATATTCCTTGCATCATGACTGCTGTCAAGCCCGCATTCACGGAAGAGGTCAATCAAGACTCAACTTCTCCGAGTCCACAAGACAAAAACGTCTCAGAAGAAGAAGATCAGCAGGATGGTGTCCGAGTTGCTGAAGCAGTCACCAAAACATGGTCGAAGAAGTACTTGATCATCGCATATGCGAGGTGAGAAAACCGACGGCCCTCTTTCAATCGGAGCTGGACTGAATAGAAAATAGTATGTGGTTGGTTTACTTTACCAATTACCTCAACAGCAGTCTGACCTCCAACCTGTCGGCCTATATCACAAGTGGTTTCGCAGAGCACTCACTGCTCTCAGTCATTTCAGTCATCACCAGCGTTATGGGTGCAGCATGCTTGATGCCAATCGCCAAGGTTCTGAATCTATGGGATCGAACAACCGGTTTCATCATCATGATCTTGATTGCTATCATGGGCTTGATTATGATGGCTGGCTGCCACAATATCGCGACTTATTGCGCTGCCCAGGTGAGATACCATGACCCAATTCCAAGTCCACACCTGTCAAGACCTAACATACCTGCAGGCATTCTATACCGTTGGATTCACTGGGGCAATTTTCTGTATTGATGTCATGACCTCTGATACTTCTTCGCTGCGTGACCGAGGTATCGCTTTCGCATTCACCTCCTCTCCTGGTATGATCACTGCGTTCTCAGGCTCGCCTCTTTCCAACCAATTCCATGAGACAAATTGGCGCTGGGCCTATGGAACAATCTGCATCGTGCTCCCTATTGTTGCGTCGCCCTTGATCGTCGTATGGCAATTGGCCAAAAGAAAGGCAGCCAAGGAGGGTACACTCCAGTACAAGCCCCGGAGCACGCGAACCTGGTTTGACAGCATCCGGTTCTATATTATTGAGTTCGACAGTGAGTCACTCACTTACCTTATCCACATCACACCCTGGCATTCCACCACCAGTCTGACCATGCCACAGTTATTGGGATTTTCCTCATGATCGGAGGTACGATTCTCTTCCTAACCTCTTTCAACATCGCCGGCAACACCCAAGGCCAATGGAAGTCCCCCAAGATCATTGCCATGATGGTAGTTGGATTCTGCGTCCTAGTAGCCTTCGCCATCTACGAGCGATGGCTAGCCCCCAAGCCCTTTGTCCCATATCACCTCCTAGTCGACCGCACAGTCATTGGCGCGTGTCTCTTAGACATCACCTACCAGGTCTCATACTACTGCTGGGCCAGCTACTTCACATCCTACCTACAAGTGGTATACAACACCAGCCTGACACAGGCCGGATACATCAGCGCCATCTTCGATTTCATGGATCCAATCTGGCTAATCGCCTGCGGTTTCTGCATCCGCGCAACAGGGCGGTTCAAGTGGCTCCTGTGCTTTGCGGTCCCACTGTACCTCCTCGCTAGCGGACTAATGATCTACTTCCGAAGTCCGGGCCATAGCGTTGGGTACCAGTGCATGTGTCAGATATTCCTTGCCGTGGGGGTGGGACACTCATCTTGATTGAGCAAATCGCCGTGATGGCTGCGTCCACGCACGAAGAGTACGCCGCCATGCTGGCGTTACTGAGCACGTTTGGAAATATCGGTGGGGCCATTGGTAGTAGTGTGTCGGGTGCTATTTGGACGAATACACTTCCTGGCAAGCTACGCGAGTTACTGCCGACCGAGTTGAAGGACCAGTGGTCTACCATCTATGAGGATTTGGAAGTGCAGCTGAGCTACCCTGTTGGGTCGCCTGCTCGCATCGCTATCCAGGATGCTTATGCGTTTAGTCAGAGGAACATGATGATTGCTGGTACTGCTATCATGGGACTTTCGCTTGCTTGGGTGGCTATTATGCGGAATATCAAAGTGCACAATGATAAGGATTTGAATAAGGTTCTTTTCTAGGATGGGGGTACAGTCGTGTGGGGATCTGCAACTAATCAGGTAACCTTATAGGTTGAGAGTATGGGCGTTGAAGGATTTTAAACAAAGTGACCCTGCGCTTGTACATAAAGAGGCCTTCTGGTGCATGTATTTTATTGATCTGTGAATTTACCTTTGGAATGAAGCTATGTTGATGAGTGGTAAGAACTGTGTCCATATATTGTTGAAGCGAGGACTCATGCAGTAAGACTACCGGGATGACCGCCTTGGGCCTACCAAGGATATCGAGCCCTAAGTCCCAAGAACAAATGAATCACACCGAAAGCGGCTGTTTGTGCCGAAGAACCATGGATCATTTAAGCTCAGCGGAACGGGTAAACCAACCTCTTTTCTATAGATCAAGTAATAAATCGGGGTTAGTTATATCGTTGCCCGTCTGCGTTATTGATCTTCACCTGGGCAGCGTTTGATAATGACATCAGCGGGCTGATCAGTGTGTTCGTCAGCGTGACACGGCCAACGTTTACATTCCACGCTCTACACGTATTCTCTCGAATTCTTCCCTTTCTTCTTTCGCTTTGAACTTTCTCCACATTTCAAAGCAGTGGCTCGAGTATAGTAAGCGCAACAGACAAACCGTCCAAGGCTTGTGTGCCCCACTATAGATTTAGCCGCCGGTCACCAGCCACCAGCCGCTCTCTCACCTTCGGGCGTTTACCTCGACAACTTCAGAGGACTCTCACGTTTATCGTGAGATCTGAAGAACTTGCGACTTTGAAACACTGTCAAGTGCGCAGTGCAAACCAGCATATTTGAGTCCATATCTCATGTGGTGATTCGTGATTCCCCGCACTGGCAGCCCACCATGTCCCGCCGCGCACCACCCCGCGATCGTTACGACGACGAGGAAATATACGAAATGGAGCGAGAACGCGAAAGAGACTACCGCCCGCGCCGACAAGATCGCGAATATGAAAATGACGTCGAATATAGGCGTCGACGCTCCGACCCACCGGTCGAGGACTTGGAGCGTTTACATCTCCGAGAACGAGAGCGCCCCCGACGCGACTTCATGGAAGAAAGCTTTGCGCACCCTAGAGAAAGAGAAGAAATGATGCTCAGACGATCCAGAGAAGAGACTGTCATTTCGTCGCCCGAGCGCCCTATGCGTCGAAGTCGCGAGGAAGCATACCCGCCACCCTCGGGGTCTCGGCGCCGACATCACCCCCGAGAAACCGGCGAAGAAGATCTTCGTTTTGAAGAACACGAGAGGCGTCGCGGAAGCAGAAGGCACCCCCGTGAAGTAGAAGAAGATCTAATTATGGAGGAGAGAGAACGACACGGTGACCGGAGCCATCGACCAGAGCGAGAAGTCGAAGAGGATCTATTTGATGAAGAGGAAGTGCGCCATGAAGGGAGACGTCGTTCGGACCGCGTGCCCGCAGAAGACTTCGTTGTCGAGGAAAGGGAACGACGTGGAGATCGGAGACGTCGTCCAAAGCCAGAATTTGAAGAAGAGAATGTTCTTGTTGAGCGGGAGAGGCGCCGAGGAAGCAGACGTCACCCTCGAGAAATTGACGAAGGTCTTATTATTGAAGAAAGAGAAAGACGCAGAGAACGGAGGCCAGCCCCGGACCCCGAATTTGAGGAAGATATCCGTTTTGAAGAAAGAGAACGACGCAGGCCAAGCAGGCGACATCCAGAAAGACGCTCTGAAGATGATCTTCTGTATGAAACTGAGAAGCGCAGAAGCAGGCGCCGCCCAGAACGCAGATCCGAGGATGATCTAATCGAGGGGAGAGAAATACGTCGGTCAAGCAGGAGACACCCCGAACGCAAATTTGAAGAAGATATGATAATCGAGGAGCAAAGAAGACACGATGAAGACAAGATACGCCGCGAGATCGAGGAAGACGAAGTGGTCATTCGACGAAGAGGAAAAGAGCCACCCATGCGCCGTGGATGGGACAGCGAACAGGATCTTCGACCTCACGACAGAAGATTTGAAATGGAGCGAGATCAAGTACAAATTCGCTCACGTCCCAGACCTCCGCCTCCTCATGCAGTGGAAGTGGAAGAGGTCATCTTGGATGAAAGACCTGCGGATCAACCTGGAGGCCCCATGAACCGCCAAGAACGAGAATTCGAAGACGACGATGTGCTCATCCGGTGGAAGGGCAAAGGTCGGCGGCCACCCATCGCAGGCGAAGATGAGGAGCTCGTCTTGCGTGAAAGACGAGAACGGCGGTCAAGCCCCCCGGTGGAAGAGCTCGAGCGTAAGCTGAGAGGGCTTCGTAAGGCTGGGAGAAGGGACGACCTTGTGGACGAGGAGATGACAACCCGCTCCACATTCGATTCTAGATCACGCCCCCGAGATATTGAAGCGGACGTGGAGCTCGATGAAGAAATTCGAATCCGAAAGACCAAGGAAAAGCTTCCTTCACGCCCACCTTCACCTTCCATGGAGTCAATTCATGTTCCTCCAATTCACCAGGATGTGTTCACACATCACAGGCACATTGATCATGGTAATAATATCATTGCATAACAATGTATGATCTTTGCTAACTGGCCAAAGGCTTTGAGAATGAGCATCTGCCTCATGCACCGAGTCCACGTCTCCGAGAGAAAGGCAGCTTCGATGAAATCGATATTCATCATCGGTGAGCCTAAAAGTTTCCCTGTACCCTGCCAGCCCTAACCCAATCAACAGGAAAAAGCAAGGTGGGCGAATGTCGGAGGAGGACATAGTTATCAAACACCGCAATAGCGAGGAATCACTTTCTCCGACAAGCCATCCATCTGTTGACTTTCATGATCCATGGGAACATGCCACGTCTGCCTCTCATCGAGCTGAACCAATCGACGATGGAATTGCATCGCTAGCAACTGCGCGGTCATTCAGCCGTAGCAGACAGGCCGCATCTAGCATTCATGACCTGGAAGATGAGATCGAAATCGACAGCACCGAGACCGAAATTCGCGCCCCCAAGGGCCTGGATGGATGGTCTGCGGTCCAGGCTCTTACCCGCGAGGAAGCAATCGAGATGACAGGGGCTCTAGACGTTGTTGAAGTCAAACCCCGACGCAGTTCCGTGGAAGAAGCCGAGTCAGGACGAGTTGCTCAGCAAATCATGGAGCCGAAGTCTGCGCGAGACGACCGATGGACTGAAATCACTAAGAAGCTGGTAGTCAGAGAGGCGATTGAAGACATGGGCTATGAGTATGAAGAGAGCCGAGGATATTATTATATCTTCTCTTACCTCAAGCCGGTAAGGATTGACTGGCCCTGTATTGATTGGTGAATGATTTTTATTCTGACATATCATCCGCACAGGAGGACATCGATGAACTTGTGGATTTGTCCGATGCTATTCGCAGTGCACGCCGCAGAAGAATCACTGAGATCCAGCGTGAACGCTCGTCGGTGGCACAACCCATGCCCCGAATGCGGCCACCCCATATGGGCCATCCTCGCATGGGAATGCCCCCACAAGCACGTATGATGGAGAAGCGTATGCGAGAGCTGAGAGACCGAGATTGGGTGGTTGATTCCAGACGGTGATGTTGACAAAACCAGAGTGACAGATTCAGCTCTGAAGTTTGGGAGGTTGTGAAGTCTACCCCGGGGTATACAACTCCTTCACGTGCCCTACGTTCCTGGCACCCGCGACTATCAACTTCTGCATCGTGCCTTCGCTATTCGGAAATTAGCTGCCATCTTTCCTCAAGATGTTCTCTTGTCCTGTTTACTGTTTATTCCTTTTGTTTTTCATCTCTTCCCTCTTCCACCTTCTCTCATCCCCGCACACTCTGTTTATCTTCATCACACAACCGTTACCATTCTCCTTAAGCTGATTCTTGATACCCCTACATCTCTTTGAACTATCCCTCACTTACTAGTTTGTGTTCTTTTGAGACCAGTCTGCGTCTTCTAGGCAGTCTGTCTTACCTTGACCAGCATACATTCCTCTGTTTAGAGGATCCAAAACTGCTTGACAATTCTTCTCTTTACCACTCCCTGGACAACAACGTCCATTATTCTGACAATCCCCAGCTGCTTCGCAACCCTTCATCTGTCTTTTGCCTGTCTACAATCCCTTCTCCTCATCTTCGTTTGTGCCTGTGCTAAATCACAGCAAGATGTCGAACACAGAGCCAGATGATTTCTTTGGTCGTCTTTCGCCGAGCAGCGACGATGGCCTAGACCTACGCCGCTCCACAACCGTCATACGCGTGAATGATGAACGCTTCAACATTCCATCCCACCAACGAAAGCTCCTTCTTAGCAAACTCAAAGAAGTATTGAAAGGCGCAAAGGTCACTGTCCCATTTTGGGCATGTGTCCAAGTTTGCGACCTGAGTAAGCTTGAGTTCACCGCACACATGGCAAACCTGTCACCTTCGATGATGGAGACTCTAACCGATCTTGTCGCCAGCCTGCCTTACAAGTGGACACAAAGATTGTCCCCTTACGATGAATTTGAAACCGAATCAACAACCTCATTCGATGATCCCAAATATGCCACTGCTCCACTCGCCAAGGACATTGCCAGAGAGCGTGATGGTTACAAATGTGTGATCACTGGTGCCGGCAAGGTCTACCAGACAGCCCGCATCTTTCCCGTTCTGGTTACCAAGTCTCCTGGGGTTGTTGCTCCAGCCTTTCCGAGCATTTGGAAGTATGTGGACTTCTTTTGGGATCACGATACCGCTGAACGTTGGAAGAAAGCCGTCTTCAACAGTTCCTTTGATCCTGAGCGTCCAGTAAATGATTGCACCAACCTTATCTGTCTTCGGAATGATTTGCGTACCGCGTGGGTGGATGGATTGTTTGCACTGCGCCCAGTCTCGGTGTCCGATGACAAGACCGAAATGGAAATTGAATTCCACTGGCAGCCACGCGTTGGCCATGCAACATCTGACATGGTCGATGTGACCAAAGAACCTCCTCCCTCGAAGGATATCAGTAGCGTCGAGAACCTCCTCGTGGTTGTGCCTGATCAAGAGAACAAGAACTCCTTTCATCCCATCCAGTCCGGTCATCGATTCAAAATTAAAACCCACAACCCCGTGGATCACCCGCTGCCTAGCTTTGACCTGCTTGATATGCAATGGAATTTTACTCGCATTGTCTCCATGTCTGCGGTCGCCGATACCTTTGATGACGGGGATGATGACGATGACGACGATGGCAGAACCACAGTACAGCACGACTACAACTACGACTACTGCAATTCCCCCAAGGAATCCGGAGACCGACTCATCGGCGATTGGCTTCGGAGTGCAGGCTCCAAGAAATTGAACTCTGACGAGGATGATTCCCTTCCCGATTCAGATTTCTACTACGACGACACCAGTGATACGATGTCGATGACCGGCCCGCTGCCTGGCAAGTTTGGCCTCCCGCTCCCCGGCAAGCGCAGCACGATCCAGGGGCCAGTGAACTATGTTGAGGACGTCCCCGAGGAGATCGCCCGGATGAGCGCCTTCCCCCGCTTTGAGCCCCGGCAGCGGACTGTGAGCATGACTTCGGTGGGCTCTGAGTTCTCCTTCGCTGATATGTCGATGGCGCTCGACAACGGGGAGGACAAGAAGGACGAGAAGGGCGAGAAGGTTGAGAAGGGTGATGGCGAGGAAGCCATCTAAATCTGAAATGCTGTGATCACTGCCATGTACGATTCTGATCGGAAATTGACTTTTCGAGGTTGAGGGCGCGAAGCATGATCTGAGCGAGAAGTGACGTTAATTTGGCCCTGCAACCTTGCCCACATGTACTGTACAGATTGGTCGGAATGTAAAACTACGACTTTTTGTTTGAATTGTCCTCTTTCATAGCCCTAACGGCTCGGCTTCGAGACGTACGTATGTGTGGCGAATGTTGCAATGATCATCACTGTACGCTTGTTTCAGACTCGACGCCATCTGCAAGCCACCAGGCACAATTGGCATGGATCCATTGGACGCCTCCCCGCCTCCCTGCACATCCACCTATGAATGCGACGAGGCGACCATGTAACATGAACCCCGGTTCCTGTGCAAAGTGCATATGCACCATCACAAATCCCCTTTGAAGATCTGGCAGTGCGACCGGGGGGAGATTAACTGGGGGATCAGGTACGGGGGGGGGGGAACCAGGATCAAGTGGATGTGTCTCAGCCAGATTAAAGCTCCCAGCACCATACCCGAATCACGAAGATCTAGAGCCTTTATTATTAGAGAAGTGGTTTTTCTTTGTAGTGTGTCACCTTTTCTCAACCCCTGACGACTGCACTGGATGCTGTACGGTTACTGATCCTATACACGACACCGTGCACTGCACAGCCGCACATAACTTATGCATAGTACTGTACTCAGTACTGTATTGTGCATACATACCCCTGAGGGTTTCAAAGTCGACAGTGAAATGGATTTCCAATCCAGATCTCCTGTACAGTCAGCGGATGATGGCCAATCAATAGAAATGAGGATATTGAAATGACTTCAATTCCGGGATCGATCGATCGGTGAGTTAAGTGCAGTGTGGAGACTCTCCACCAGCTATGGATTTGGGCGAAATTTTGAGAAAGGGGAAGTTGAAGACGAGAACAGCTGTAGACAGCACAGTCACTGTACAAATCGTATTGTCGAGATCAGAGTCTACCCTATATAACTTAGTACTGGAAGAGAGAGGGGAAGACGATATGGAACTTGCAGGTTGCAGGACTTTGTCCGGCAAATCAGAGCGCACTCTGGTCCTTAGCGTTTGCCTGCCCGGTTTTGTGAGAGCGAAATTGGATTATTTTGGGTTGTCCAGTCTAGAACGATGGTAAAACTGGGACTAGGGACTGGTCTATGACATAGGGTGGTAACGGCAGAGGGAGGATCAAGTTGACCCTCGCATACGGAGTACTGTCTACTGTCTACTGGATACTCTCGACTGTTTACTGTCTACTATCTACTGTCTACAAATAAACTAAATAGAAGCCTACCCAAATTGGGGCATTCTTGTGGCTTGTCTCTCGGTGTGGCTTGTTTCTGAGACAGAAATCGTCGATTATCCACTTCACTTACGTATGTCGGGAGTCTGTTCACTTGGCCTGTCGATGCATAGGAAGTGCCTGGATCAAATCCAGGTCGCATGCAGGATCACAATCACGGCCAACTACTGCTACCTGTTAACTGTGAATTGTTCACTGCTAACTGCTAAATGCTAACTGCTACCGGTATGAAGGAGAGGAATGTTCCATTCCCTTGGTTGTCCATACTTTGGCTCTCCAGTCGGGAAAATTTCAGTGGAGTTCGTTTAGAACAGGAAAAAAGTCAATAGACAACTGATGAGATAACTATGAATGTTACCCGAGACTAAGAATTATTGCCAATGAGAAGCTCAATGGCGTACACTGCAGATAATAGATCATAACAGGCCACAGCAGAGATAACAGTGGGTGGTTTTTTCCCCCTACTTCACCCACTGGGCTGCGGTTTCATACCTCTCGACAGGCCAATGTCTTCCCCCTGAATGGAGCCTGGCCACAAGTGTAATTCAACTGCAAATAAACAAGTAAAGGCAATAATCTCGTAGCCGTCAGAAGGAAAATCAGTATCCACCGAGCGGGTATGTCGGGAGGCTCGACATACTCCGAGAGTAACACCCGTGACTGATCGTCTCCTCTTCTCCTCTTCTCACCTTTCTCTTCCCTTTCCCACCTCTTTCAGCACGCTTGGATAGTGGGGGAACAATTGGGCCTTTCCCTTTCTTTGATCTTGATCTCCCTCCCACCGATCGTCGTGACGGTCGGCACACAACCGATTTCGCTCTCTTTCGTGACTATTTCGACCTGAATCTCGACCCTTTTGCGAACTGGCTCAGGCACCACTTCGTCGGCCACTGGTGGTTGGGTGAACAAGTGTGAGAGGACCTCCACGATGCAGGTCCTCGTGTGGGTGTCGACCTGGGCCCTCCTGGCACCCTGGGTGTCGGCCGCGTCAGACCTCACCTACTGTGCCTCTGTGAACACAGGCTCTTCTTCCTCGGCGTGTAAGTAGATGGTCTCTCGCCGACCGAGCCATGGCTGACCAGTTTTAGCTACGAGCACCTTCCAATCCAACGGACTTTGCGAGGGCACCTGTGCCGACTATGCACTGGGAATTCTCCAAGGCAAGAGTTGCTGGTGCTCCAATGTCGCACCATCCAAGAGCTCGCGATCCGATACTTCAGACTGCGACACATCCTGCCCGGGTTACCCAGACGATAGCTGTGGAAGTGCGGCCAAAGGAGTGTTTGCCTACATTGCAATTTCGGGAAACTCAGTGACTAGCACAGCGGGCGGCTCGTCGTCAACCAGCAGTACTTCCTCTTCAAGCTCGGTAAGCACTCTCCACTATTTCTCCTGCCCTGCCTATCCACATCCCCCATTCCTTGTTGAATCGACCACGTCCCCGAGCCACGTAACATCACCGGGGTTGGGGTCTTGTTCATGGTTCTGATCTCGGGGATAGGAGAGCACCACAACGACGCTGTCGCCTGAAACTGTCACTGTGACTGCTTCGGAACCACTCTCCAAGTCATCACAAACTGTATCGTGGCATCATTGATCTGTGTCTTGGACGCGCCTCGCTGACTTGGTTTATTAGTCTACTTCTACGGAATCGGAATCGAAATCGAAATCGACATCGGGTACGACTACATCCTCGGCCAGCGTCACATTCGAAACCAACTCTGGCGGCCAGGTGAAGACTATCACCGTCTCAGACTCGACCTCCACTTCTGCTGCGGGGGCTGGGGCTGACTCGGCATCGGCTGACGCCAGTGCTGCTGGCGGATCCAAGCTCAGTGGTGGATCCATTGCCGGTATTGTGATCGGTGTCCTTGGTGGACTCGCCTTGATCGGAGCACTCGTCTTTATGATCTTCTTCTACCGCAAGCGTGCTCGTTCCATCAGCCCGATCCCAAGCCAGGACATGGCCGACAACCGCGACAGCAGGGGATCCAGCTTCGGGTGGCCACAGGGCAGTGACGCTGCTGCTGGTGGCGCTGTCCCTGGACGGTCAGGTACATTCATTGACCGACGTATGAAGCCCAATGCGGTTCTCTACCCGAACGGTCCCCGTGATAGCAGTGTCTCGCTGCAAGATAACGAAGATTACTCACGGCCTGTTCTTCGTGTATGTGACCCTGTCTCATCTTCTGGTTTGGAACTCCACTAACACTATCTGCAGCTCACCAACCCCGATTAAGGATCGCCAGCTGTGCACAATTCAATTCCCTATCTCTCAGTCACTCCACCTTCAACCCTCTCAGTGCGCCTCCCACTTCATTAATAACGCGCCAAGTTCCAAAAGACACCACTGTTATGATACCCACTTGTCGCTCGACTTCTTTATTTTTTTCTTTCTATGTGTGTTACCGTGAAGGAAACGGGACTTGGTAGCACACAAAATGGTGCTCTGTTTTCCACCCAAATTGTCTCAACCACTTCCGGCAGATGGCTCATCTAAGCCATCTTACCCTGCTGGAATGGACCTTATTAGAAGGATACAGAAAACAAAGAGCCCAAGCCCTGAAATTCAATTCCGAGGATCTAAATTAGATCCCTACCCCTGTCTTTCATATTTCATCTGCGTTCACGAACACATACATTATCTTGCATACATATCTCGCGTCGTTCAGATTGGTAACACTACACTTGCATGTTTTGTTATCTGTCAACTTATCTTATTTCACTTGACCTGAGACAGGGAGTACATACCGTTACTCGCAGCATTTACAGCTCCAATATACCGGACTAGTTTATTGCTCTCTCTCTCTGCTGCATTGTCTTTTGTGCTTTCCTGCCTGTCTTCTGTTCCGGTCACTGGTTTCACTGATCCCCTTAAGCTTTAGCTCGTGGTCTTGACCTTGCTGGATTCGCCCTCTGTCCTGTACCTCCCAGCTTATTCTAATTGCTGCACCTTTTCGCTCTTGCTGTTGCTTTGCGGGACACGTCCTGGCTTGTTTAGACTGATTGATTCAATGAAAAACATTACGCTTGATTCAATGCATGACCTACAGTAGTCTCACACTAATACCGACACTACCACTAAAAACCAGCAACTAACGACTCTGTCACTTATCAAGAATCAAGACCTATTGGTTCAACTCTTCATCGTCTAGTGCAAAAGTGATCCCACTGTCTTAGACTTTGGCGTGTCCGGGTGACCTATAGTAAGACATTCTGCTTATCTTTGCTCTTTGGGCTGAGAAGCTGACCACATCTTGACCAATTAATCCGACTCTTTCCATCGCTACAACTTTCTTTCTTTTTTTAGAGGATCCCTTTGTTGTCGTCTTTTGATTGTTCTCTTTATCCTGTTGCAAGAGCCTCTCCCGACGTGTTCGAGCGGTTCATGCGGCTATCGTATACCATTGGACCCTATCTACTGTAGGCTGCGGCCTATCTGCCCACGAGGCTGATCGTCTTGTCGAGTGAGTCATTTGAGAAATTATCGTTAGCCTTTACTCAGTGGCTTTTTGGTGACATCAGAGTCTGCGCACTATGGAGTCGATCATCACAGGTATAGATTTGATATTTGTTGAGCGCGGATTTCCTGGATCTAGCAGATACTGGATACGAATGCTCGTTTCAATCCTAGAAGAAAGTCTGAAACTGCAGATAAACTATGTAGTGGAGTGCTCGGATAAGTTATAACGTTAGTTCTACTGGCTTAAGTCATGTCACAGCGTGATAATTTACCATTCGGCAACGAGGGAGCTTGGAATAGGATGTAGTTCACATTGAATCAGAAATGATGGCTACAAACGCCTTTGAGCAACAGAGAAAAAAGTATTCCGTATTCCAAAACCCTCCTACAACCAAAACCACGAAGAAACCTTGAATATCGTGGAACTTGTCAACTTCCCAGTCTACATCGTTTCAATGTCCTCCGACTCTCTCACATATCGAACTCTCCTCGGTTTTCCAGCTCTATTCCTCTAGCGCACTTTGGGGACAGATGTCAAATAATCCTTCATCTCGTGCAGCCCAAGTTCTAGAGCCAATTCGTAAGAAGCGAATTGCTCATCACCCTGGTCGTCGTCGTTGATAAACGGATGGTCGTTGACAGACTCCTCGCAGATAATTTTAACAATATCAAGACGCTTCATCTCAATAGCAATAGAGAGCGGAGTCTCCGAACAGTTTCCTCTCCGGACCTTCTGGCCCCGACGTAGAAGCAATCGAATAATGTCCACATTCCCAGCCCGTACCGCAGTATGGAGCTCGGTAAAGCCATTCGCATCCTCAATCCCAAGCTTCACATCCCACCGCTCAATGATGCTACGTGCAATGTCCCAATGGCCCCCGACCAGCGCGCGGTCAAGCGGACTATAGCCGTCCAAATCACGAGCGTTGACATCCGCGCCATGGGACATAAACGCCAACGCAAGTGCATGATGGCCCCGTTCCACGACCAGATGAAGCGGCGTCTCCTCATAAACAGACCGAGCATTGATCATCTCCGCCGAGACATGCGGCAAGAGAACTCCGAACATATCCAGATCCCCACGCACCGCCACATGGTGCATAATCGCCCACCCATTGTCCTCCTCCCAGGCAGGGTGATCCGTCCACACCAGCTGACCAAGATGAGTCAAATCCAGCCTCGGCTCCGCCTCCAGGAAAACAGCCATGATCTCCGCAGTGCACGTGTGGGCAATATAAGCCGCAAGACCGTGCTTGTTGACATCAGCGCCCAGCTCGATCAGCGCGCGGATGAGATCCGGCTGCTGGGTGTAGATGGCGTGCGCCAGGGCGCTCATACTGGTGGCGTAGTCGATGGCGTTGAGGTCGGCGCCGTAGTTGGCGAGCAGGTGGACCATGTCGGACGAGCGAGAGTGGACGGCGAGACTGAGCATGCGTGCGCCGCCGAGGCAGTGCGAGTTCGGGTCGACGCCTAGATGAAGGTATTTGTGCGCTTCATGCATGTTGCCGCTGCGCACGGCTTGAGCGAAGAGCTCGTTGTCTTCTGGCGTGACGTGCTCGAATTCTTCGAAGGTGTCGCGGTTCTCGCCGTTCACTTCGCCGTTGTCTCGCATCCAGTAGCCCTTTGGGTCTATGAAGCCGTATTCCTTGTATATCTCGTCGGATGGTAGGGCTTTGCGGAACAGGCTTGCTTTTCTCTTCGCGGTCTCTTCGAGCGTGGCTTGCATGTCCTTGCAGCTCACTGAGAGGTTTGCGGTGGATTTGGTGTCGCAATGGTCGACGATCTGAAAGACAAGTTCCCGTGGTAGGGCGTCGAAGTTGGTTTTCATTACTGATCCCATGACTTTGCTTTTTATTGACTCGAGTGTGGGAATGAGGATCGATATTGTTGATGGTGAAGAGTGATTCTCTGCGAAATGATCAGAGTTATGTATCGGTTTTCAGTCTTTCTTCTTGAAAGGGGTTATTTTTATCTACTACGTCCTCGGATTCGATCAAGAACTTGACGGAAAGCCTGTTTCGAGTCATTATGGAATATTTTCTTTGAACTATGAAACAAGGGCTGGTAGTTTCATTGCGGCTCAGGAGCCACCCGGTGAAAGGATGAAAGGACTCCATACTTTTTCGATATCCCAACCATGCGATACAGCAAGTATTTGACAAGAAAGGAAAAGCCAGATAAAAATAAGTGGAACGACTGAATGAAGACCACAGGCTTTCACAGAATGAACCTGAAAACCTCCTTGGCCGCCACAAGAAACAAAGCAACTTTGAATATAAGAGAAGGTTGAGTGATCAACCCATGAGTTGAAAACAACCAATCAAAACATTCAAAAACTCGAGAATGAAACACAATCTAAACCTCCTCTGTGACATTCAATGACAGATTCGTACATCCCATAGGCACAGTAATCCAAGCCGCGTCCGCAGCAGTATGATCACTGTAGTTGTACATGCCATTAAAGGACATGATCTGACCGACAGAAGTGCCGAACTTCTCCGCAAGATCCTTGTAAACACCATAGGTGAAATGGAACGGCGTAACAGAGCAAACACTCGGAACACACTGAGGGATCTTGAGCCACGTACCCGCCGGCAAAACCTCCGTTGTCGACGAGATCATGCCCTTCGCCTGAGCCCAGATGGTATCAACAGTAACATTCAGCTTGTAAAGCGCAATCTTCTCAATCGTGTCACCGGCGATAGTTCTGTAGTCATGGGGACCGCCCTTGACACAGGTATCTGTGGCATTCTGTCTGGTCAACAGACAGGTGCTGCTGTCGGGGTTGCAGACCTGGGCGGGAATGTTGAGTGTGAAATCGGCATAGAGGTGCTCTGCGTCAATCATGCGATTGGCACGCGCGATATCGCATGCTCCGCGATCGAATCGCTTGGCGATGCTGAAGATTGTATCTTCGGATGTGGCAGTGTACTGGAAGGTGGTGGTGTTCAGAGATGATTCATCACAAGCGCCTCGAGGGGCGTGTGGAATGGCAGATGCTGAGGTAGCAAGTGCTGCAAGGAGTGCTTTGGATGAAAAATGCATGATGAATGAGTGAATCAAGTCGGGTGTTCTGCTATTCAAGGGGCATTGTAGGCGGGGAAACCTCGACTTTATAGAGTAGAGTGCATTGGTGATGCTGTGCTTGGTCTGTCTTGCCAGGGAAATGATAAGCTCAAGCAACAACTCCGAGGTCCACTTGACCCATCCCGGGGCTCCAAGAAGCTTAAGGTTAGTACAATGTATCAAAGCGGCCGTGGTCCAGGGGTGTAAATCATTGCCTGCATATGCGTAGTTGCTCCTCGAGCTGACGAATTCGTTCAATTTGTCACCGGGATTCAAGTATACAATAGATGAAGTCAAATTGGTCTGTGATCAGGCTCAGGCTGTTTACGTATTTCTCCACTGCCCTACACAGACTGAGTACATCTTGTACGCATTATTCGATCGAAATCGGAAGGAAGCGAGGGACAAGTCGGTTCTCTGAATATTTCCAAGCAATAAGTTTTTTATGAAGCAAACAATTTACTTAAACCCGAGAGGTACCAACGATATGGAGGTTGATCGTCACTTCAATCCTCGTGGTCCAGTTTTCGCGACGTTAGCTCTAGATGTACTGTACTGTGACTGCATATGCTGTGAGTTAAACCGTGGACACACAGATGACGACGCGTGTTTCTCTTCAGGATGGGCATGGAATCCCCAGACCCCGGACAAGTAGGGCCGTAGTATTATGACTATGTCCGTATCTCAACTAAAGCACTTTGGCTTCGGCTAGAACCCATGCGAGGGGCAGTCTCCCCGCGTCATGAACTGGCTTTAAGAGAGACTAGGCATTGAAAAAGGTCCCATTGGCTTTCCGAAGCAAGAGATTTCAAGCATTGCATACGTAGTGATCTTGGCAATCTCGGGGTCGGGGTTGGATACCGAAAGAGGAAATGACCTACTCCTCGGGGGACTGTTACAACTGGGCTGCATAACACTAATGCACTGTGTGTTTCTCGTTCTATTAGATTTATTATATAGTGGAATCTGTAGCAGTAAAACATTCGCTTTCTATTAGTAAGTGGTTGTAGATAGCTGGCTAGCATTGTTTTCATCGAGTAAGATAGTCCGGGAGAGGACCGCGGAACATTTGCGGCTCTTTACTTCTACGTACCGGTGATATTGAAGGCTGAACCAATTCAAGCCGTCTGCTTGGAATAAGATCGATGTAGAGCCAGACTGCTTCTTTTTCTCCTTTTTTTTCAGAATTTAAAGTCCCTGGTGCTTGATTATGTATATTGTAACCCTAGGACAAGGAGGAATTTTGTCCTGGGTTAGTGCTCATTTTTTTTGATAAGCATGGGGATGAGAGACCGCGAATTGTTTCGTTTGACTTAAAGTAACCCTTTGTTGAAGCTTCCGGCGTATGTGTTTCTCGACACGAAACGGGGATGTGCCGCACTGGCTATAGTCCTTAAACAAGGAAACCCTGCGGATGTGGCTGGCAGGAATGTCTTCACCTCATCCTGGTCCTTAGTAGTCGATGAACGATGATTTTAGTAGTATGTGATTCTTACACGTCCTTTTATGAACGTGAGATGGTGAGATGCACGCTAACGTGTGCATGTACGCTATACTAAAATCTAAATCCCTGTCTTACATAGTTATTCTTGAAAAAGGTTTGACCGAAGTAGATTGGGTATTTACAAGGTCTAGTTACAAATGAATGAAAACCAAATCCCTCACGGTAAGCATGGGGTGAATGGAAACGAACTAAAGAAATAGGCTTTGGAGTTTAGAAGTCGGACTGCTCGTTTAACTGCAAAGACTCGCGGTCATGAAGAGACTATATCGCATATGGCATCTTTCGGAGTGAACAGGACTTATGAGGCTTCAGCTGAACAACTTCCGAGAAGAGTTTTTTTCTATGGTGAAAAGGTAAGAATCGGATATGTCGGCGTTCGGAATGCCGAGATAACGAGATCCGATCCTTGATATCCGCCGAAGCTTGTTCGGCCCGGGTGTTTTTGGATCTTCAGGCAAGTAAATTCTATGACAAAACCCCTCTATTCAAATTATAAACATAGGTTGGATCTATATCTGAAAAATTTTGATAGTACAATGAATATTTGCCCTTGCCAGATGCGCCTGTTCCGTAACATAAAACAGAAGCCTATTTAAGCCTTGAATCTAAATAGTTCCTCTGCATTTGTATTGCAGATCTTTCGTAGATCAGACGGGCCAACAACATCTCCCAACGCTCGAACAAACTCCGGTACTCTTTGAGCATCGATGTAAGGGTAATCGTTAGCAAACAGAATCCGGTCAACCCCCCACGTTTGGATTGCAATCTGTGTTGGGGGCAATGAGAAGAGTCCAGAGATGGCGATCCAAACCTGACTCCGCATGGCTTGGCCGACACTTCGCTTCAGCCCGAAGATATTCTCATCAAACATGGCATCAAAACGCTGGATCATCATAGGCAACATCTCGCCCTGGTGCCCTACCACAACCTTCAGCTTTGGGTGCCTATCCAGTGTTCCGGATATAGCGAGGCGAAGGACGTGAATTGCAACCTCATTATGCCATCCCCAGCCCATGCCAGCCAAGGTCGCCGACAATTGGGGCTTTTCCGGAAAAGTATAATAAGCATCAATGACCGCGGGAGGTGCAATTCCAGGGTGGAGATATAGCGGCACATCCAAGGCTTCGAATTCCGAAAGTAAGTCGTCAAACTCCGGGTCATCAAGAAATTTCCCCGTACATCCCACCGAGCCCGCCATCATTGCACCCACAAAGCCAAGTTCCTTCACGCAACGGCGAAGTTCTTGAATCGCCAACTTGGGCGCGTGGAAAGGCAGTTCCGCGAGAGCCTTGAAACGATCAGGATGAGAGTCAACCGCTTTCTTTAGATTATCGTTGATGTCGCGTGCTAGCGCCGCACCGGGCTCTGGCTCCATCTGCATACAGTTGACTGGTCCGGCAAGGCTCAGAATCTGCACGGCGATGCCGCCCTCGTTCATATCATGCAGGCGTTGGTCCCCCACGTCGGTGGAGCGACCGCGAGCGTAAGCCATTGCTTCATGGTTGACAAGTTGGCTGAAGACCTTTTTCGCGTGAGTTGCCAGACCTTCATCAGGGATTCGGCTGGTTAACTCCGGGAAAATGACATGTTCCTCAACTCCGATTATCTTCAGGTCGTGAAGCTCTGAGCGCAAGTAGTTCATTCCTGGCCCTGGAGTGGTGATGGGGCCGCAGTTTGAGTTTGGTGCGTTTGCCATTTTGGAGGTGATATTCGGAATGGTCTGAATAGGCGATACTATACGTGCACAAACTGTCGCGGATAACCTCCATTTATATAGTACTTGTGTTCAGCGTGTTTTCGTTGATTTTCCCGGCTGGTCCGGCCTGTCGTTGTCCCGAACGTTTTTGGTCGGACAATAGGGCCTATGAGGTCAGTCAATCCCCAGTTGGTTTGATGACGAAGGAGGTATCCATGTCCGGTCCTGACGAGCTGGAAATATCCTCCTGCCATCTATGAAGTGGACGAGAATCATCGAGTGTGGTAAACCCAGTGACATCCCATATGCCTGATGGCGACCTCAGGCAGCCATCAATGTTATTAGAAAAGCATCGTTAGAGAGCCTGTTGATCAGCTAGATATTGCAGATTGATCTCCCACTGAGTTCTATGATCTGAGAATATGCGCAGTGAGCCTCATTGCCGCCCCATGTCTGTTGCATCAGACTGCCATCGTGCCGTTCCCATTTCAATATTTCAAGTGAACGAGAGCGAATGAGAAGATGAAACGACCTCTGGAATGTAACACTTTACTCGATCAGCACATTATCTTGAGCCGGGTTATGATGATTTTACCATGAAGTATAAGCACTTGGTGTGAGGAACGAATCTATTTGATCCCCACTGCTTCTTTCCAAAGATCAATGAGGTGGAGAGAATAAGATCGAAGCATTAGGGAGAAGTAGAAAGCCGAAGTAAACGATGTCCGTTGCTGTTTTCACCAGGTTAAGGCACGTCGTTCAGGGGATAGACTCCACCTATCATATGGAGTCAGAGGCATAATCTCACTCAGGTTTGATCTAGTAAGGGATGTTATGAGTAATCCATACCTGAAGCAGCAGCTTCTATGGAAGAAGGAGCCATAGGTAAATAAACCTCAAGAGGGTCGACTACCGGAGTGTTAGCGGGAAATTCGTCCAGGATAACAGGCGTAGGTATGTTGTATTGAGAATAAAGTACGTACGTCTTAGTAGACTTGAGAATCCACTGTCTACGTTTCAACGATGTGGCTCAATTTGACACTCTCTAATTTCCACTCTTTGGGCTCGTTTATTTCTTTGTAGCGCATGTTTCAAGCTGCTGGCAGAAAGTATAACTTCAAGTAGTGCCATCGATGATGTTAACAATATAAACAAGTTCATGTTACCCTAGGTTCCTATGCAGGGTTGTTTTGAGTTTCATTGCTCGTTTTAGGTAACAATTGCGAGGATTTCCCAGGTCAGGATACCGCTAGGGCTTATGTAGGGACTGTAACCCTTGAGAATAGTTAATAAAGTGGAACGACTCCTTGACCAACGAATCCTGCGAATACAAATATCGAGAGAGAATATGCACCCAGCGTTCTCACGCAATAATGCACCAATTAAACGGTTTATGCTACCACAAACCTTCGATCAGAATGATACAGAACAGAGTAACATCCTATGTGTGCATCCAAAGCAGTGAATGCATAAAAAGAAAAGTCAAATATTCCCGCTTCAACTTCGGTCAGACCCAGGACCGACGAGGTTCATTGGTCCATTGAGACACGCGAGACCCCAATGGATAAACGTCGGAAATGGCGTCCAAACAACGGAAATTCGAGACCGGATCAGTCGGAAGCTGAGATGGGCTCGGTTCCCCGAGAAAAGTAGCCGACACTCGACTGATTCGATCCCGGAAAGTGATACGACCCTTGTAAATTACAAAATCCCCAGATTTCCATCCCCGACATTTGAATTCTCACCGGGCATCTGGAACAGGCAAAGCGAAAGAAGGGGTTAACCCCGTGGGAAAATGTAGGGCCACGCGTCCCGCGGCTCCCCGAAGTTGACGGCTGCCGAACAACTCAATGCCGGTCTTGACTGGACACTATTTTTTCCCCCTCCCAACTTAACGGTCTCGTGTACACGGCTTGGCTATTAGCTTGAAATCAGCATATCCGTGGAAATATCGGGGAGAACGCGCCTCGTGGCTTGCGCCACTCCATACTGGCGCAACATCGTGTGAGCCAGAGACAAACTATGCTAAATCAGGAGTTAGGGCTGCTAAGTCGAATTCCGAATGAGTCAACCCGATATTTGCCCGGCGCCACAGTTTCCGTTGCTTCAGGCGTCTATGCTTCTCATTGGGTGCTGGTCCAAACATGCGGGATTAGTCCACAGAAGTGTTTTGATGCCTCAAGTGGGACTTCGGGTGTTCTTTGTCTTATTTTTCTAGAAAGTTTCCACTTATTTGAGATCAGCTGATGAGCGAAAGTCTCTATTGGAGCAGACCTGGCCTGCAGCCGCGTGGGCTAACCCCAGTGGATACATGCACTTACAGTACTGTACAGTCGCTGTTCATCAGCTAAACATGGCGATAAGTCCGAGTATGCGGGGGCCATAGCTTAACTCCATGGGGGTTTTCAGTGCAGTAAGCACTAATGACCCCTCTCCCTGAGAACAGGGATTTTGATATTGGGGAAAGGGATTCAGGATTCATGCTGGAGAGAATTACGAATCACAGCAAGTCGAAGCCAAGCCATGGCGGTCTTGGCCACCGAGGCTTGTTCGATGTAACTTTCGGTTCGCAGACTGCCCAGTGAACGCCGTCGCTTGAGGCGCGGTGCTTCTTCTTGGATGGTGGCGCCCTTAGCTTCCAACAAGTATTCTCGTACTTCCGGCTCATTACTACTCCGAGTATCGGTCTAGCCTTCAAACTTGGATCTAGCGTGTTTCTAGTCGGTTTTTTACGGCACATGCCATCGAGTGATCTAGGGTTTTTCGCATGGAAATTTCTGTCTGGAGTGCAGCGTTGCGTCTCCAGTTCCGGGGAAACGTCGTCGGCCAAAGGCGCTAACCCCAGGTAGCGAGGAGAAAAAAAGGTGAGGCGCATGATGGGACCAGGACTATATAATGCGGGTGGTCTACCCGTCTTGCAGTTCTTAGTTCCCTGACTGGGTTTCATTCTTTGCTTTATCTTGTGCCCTAACTTCATACCTAAGATGGCGATCAGTCAGTCAGTGGTTGGCCGCAACAATGCGGAGAAGCCTCACGGTCTCAGGGGATTCGTGTCTAATCCTTATGTCTTCTTCACATGTTTGTTTGCCTCCTTGGGTTGTATCATGTATGGATACGATCAGGGTGTGATGGGTCCCGTCCTTGTCATGGAGAACTTTGAGAACCACTTCCCTACGTTCATGGGCTCTACCATTCAGGGTTGGTTAGTGTCTGCTCTGGAGCTCGGTGCCTGGGCCGGTGCCCTGATCAACGGTGTCCTCGCAGATCGCATCTCGCGTAAGTACGCTATGATGACTGCCGTTTTCATTTTCACCCTGGGTACCGGTCTGCAGGCTGGTGCACAGACGCCTGCATACTTCTTTGCCGGCCGAATCATCGGTGGTGTTGGTATTGGTATGTTCAGTATGGTCATCCCACTATACCAAGCTGAGATTGCTCCTCCTGAGCTGCGTGGTTCGCTGGTTTCCCTCCAGCAGCTGTCCATCACTGTGGGCACCGCGATCGCCTTCTGGCTTGACTATGGCATGCAGTTTGTTGGTAGTAATACATGCCAACCTGAGGGTATCAGCAACCCTTACCTGGCTGACGGCACATACAACGCCGCTCAAAACCATGGTCACACCTGCTTGGGCCAAAAGACCATCGCGTGGAGACTTCCTCTGGCGCTGCAGATTATCCCCGCCTGGATTCTGTTCTTCGGTCTCTTCTTCTTGCCATTCTCCCCTCGTTGGTTGATGATGAAGCACCGTGACGAAGAGGCCAAGTCTGTCATCTCTCGTCTGCGTCGTCTCCCTGAGAATGACCCTCTGGTTCAGGCTGAGTACCTTGAGATTAAGGCTGCTGTCATGTTCGACGAGGAGAGTGAGCGTGAGCTCGTCGGTACCGGCGGTGCTTTAGCTCCCTGGAAGTCTCTGTTTGCTCCCAACATGCTGAAGCGCTTGACCCTCGGTTGTGGTATCATGATCTTCCAGCAGTTTACTGGTATCAATGCTGTACTTTACTATGCGCCCCAAATTTTCTCCTCGGTATGTGATACTTCTTTTGTATGAGCGGATACCTTTCTAACTCTTTCCTTCTTATCAGTTCGGTTTCACCTCCACGAAAACAACTCTCCTCGCCACTGGTGTGACTGGTATTCTTCAGATTATCTTCACCTTCCCCTCCGTCCTTTTCCTCGACAAGTTTGGCCGCAAGACATTCCTCATTGTTGGAGCGGCTGGCATGTTCCTTTGCCACATTATTGTCGCTATCGTTGAGGGTATCTACAAGCCCAAATGGGACTTGAATGAGGGACTGGCCCAGTCCCAAGGCTGGGTGGCTATCGCCTTCATCTGGCTCTTTGCAGTCAACTTTGCCTACTCTTGGGGTATGTCACCAGCTCATCAAATATTCAAATATTAATTTTGCTAACAACGTGTAACAGGCCCCGTCTCTTGGGTTTTGGCCCAGGAAATCTTCCCCAACAGTCAGCGGTCTCGCGGTGTCTCCATCGTTGCTTCCACCAACTGGATGTTCAACTTTGTCATTGGTCTTACCACCAAAGACATGCTTAACTCGATGAAGTACGGCACCTATATCTTCTTCGCCATCTTCAGTGCTGGCGGTGGTCTCTTCGTTTGGAAGTATGCCCCTGAGACCAAGGATAAGACTCTTGAGGAACTCGATATCTTCTTTGGCGGCGCTATGGAAAGCATTGCTGAGTCTGATCGTCTTCGTATGCTCCGCATCAACGAGAGCCTTGGCCTTACTGGTGTTGAGAACTTGGAGGACCTCAAGACCGAGAAGCAAATCAACGCTGATCACGTTGAGGTTGACTCGACTACTGCTTAAATGCAATGATAATGATAAGGTCTCGGCCTTTTTTATATAATACCACCTACTTCGGTAGATAGCTTTAATTTCATCTTCAATCTGAATATGTTTTTATATCATGTCTTTCCTCGCTCGTAGCAGTCCTCGAGTTCAGCAAAAACGAGTGCGAAACCGAGCCAATCGATAGCGATAACCTTAAAATTAAGTGGGACCATGGCCCGTGCATACGCGTATTCCCGACATCAGACTGAAGTGAGGATCTTTCACAACGCTCAGATGGGTATGAGGCTATTCCTGTCATTGTGGATTTTTGGCTAGGCTGCACTGTTTATATCCGCTTTGACCTTTTGAGGTTCAAAATAAACTATTCGCATATCGGAACCAAGATTTCCGACGCCCTATTCGTCTCTCTTTCCACCTCATCTGTGGCAAAATGCCGCGAAGAACCCACAAAAAGTCACGAAATGGCTGCATTGAATGCAAACGCCGCCATATGAAGGTTCGTTTCTCAGTAAACGCGTATACATCATTACTAATCCAGCTAGTGTGATGAGCAAAGACCAGTCTGCTCCAACTGTATCAGTTCAGCGCGGGATTGCCAGTTCGTGGGGCCAGTGTCGATCCTACATTCCACACGCAGTGTCAGTCGCGAACCTGCGTCTGTATCACCGGCAGTCTTATCCTCTACTGTGGCTACACCAGATCAACAACCTGACAAGGATCCCGAATATGCACCTGTTAATATGCTTCACGTTGAACTCGTCCACAATTTCTCCACTGAAACACTGAAAGTATTCCATAAACCGAATACTGCATCATCATTTCTGTCGTTCCATGATATGTTCCAACACTGCCGTGAAGCCCCATATCTTATGAACGAACTTCTATCCCTTAGCTCTTTACATCTGAGCATTACGAGACCTGGACAACAAAAGTTCTACAGAGACCGGTCGACCGAATTACAGAATCATGCATTGAGCTCATTTAATGGGATGTCTTCACAAATCACAGATGATAACTGTGTCCCCGTCTTCCTGTTCGCCGGCGTTCTAGGATTGCACATGCTCTGTGAAACCCTAGTCTGTCGCGAAACCGACTTTGAAAGCTTTCTGGACCGCTTCGTACAATATGTAATTGTGCATCATGGAGTACGGGTAGTCACAGGACAAGGCAGATGGCAGCTTTTGCAAAACACAGCATTGAAGCCACTTTTCGAATTTGGGGAAATACTGCCCCCTCTTGAATCAAGTCTCGGGCCGGTCTGTGAGACATTGATTAATCGGATTCAGGGCCTTGGGCTGGATGATGCTATTTTCAGGAATTATGAGCAGACTGTTCGAGCCCTGCAGTCAATTATGACCATTATTGAAGACCATGATCTGAAAGCCTACAGCATAGATGCTCTCGTGGCATGGCCAGTACTTGTTTCTCGTGATTATATTCATCTCGTTGCGGAGAGAAAAGGAGAGGCTTTGGTTATCTTGGCATATTTTGGCGCCCTTCTTGATACGCAACGAGACAAGTGGGTATTTTGTGATGGGGGGAGGTTTTTGGTTGACTCGGTTAGCCATTATCTTGGATCTCAGTGGGAAGAATGGCTCGAGTGGCCTCAGCAAACCCTCGTGCATTCAACCCGCGTATAATCAATTCCATGAGTTGTTACCAAACAAAGAATGTGCTTTCACCTATTCTATCATTTATGATACTTTACTATGACGCTTACACGCAAAATGTGGTGTTGACTAAAGGGCTTTGCAGGGTCTATTAGTATGAAAGTGAAGAATCTTCCCAATTTTGCGCGGCTTTCTGGAGAATTATGGATTAAGCTCCCCTTGAACTCTCTAGCGCGAATCAGAAATGAAATTCAGGATCAATTGAAACAGAGCACACAAGGCACTGAAGTGGTTTGGCTTGCCTCGAGGCATCTAGTACACCAAATATAGCATAAAGAATGCACAGTAAATTTAAGCTTCAAATACAAGTTTGTAGACAAAGAGGGTTATTGTCTACTCTTTATTATGATCTTAAGCAGCTTTGTTCTTTGTGTCCAACCCCAGTCATGAAACATCTAATCCCTAATTTCGTCAGTTACTCGATACCCTTGGCGATCTGTCAAATAAAGAAAATTATGGTGAGTACAAAGGCGTGTCAATGCCATTTGGAAACTCGGTTCTTTTTGAGCTATTGAATGTTTCAAGATACCAATCTAATAATATTTGGACTCTATTTAGTATAGAACTCAACTTTAAAGGGTTAAGCGCACCGAAATGAATATTTAATAGCTTCGCTTCTTGCATTATTTCTCGCTCTAGAAATATCCTCCGCCATAAAATCACTTTTCTTTTCAAAAGCCACTTCTTCTATCCCTTAAAACCCCCAACGCAAATCATTCGTATCAACAACCGCCAAAATGCCGATGGGTATGCTCATTGTGAATGGCCAGAATCTCTGGGAAAGCGATCAATGGAGCCAGCTTTCCTGCTGGGTCAATGTCAAATTCGACCGATGGGAGTACACATGGGGCGATGACCAGCTGCTTGATCTTGTGATTGCTCGCATTGAGTCCGGAAAGGCTACAATCAGCTCTGAGGCCTTGCATCATAAGAAGGCCTGCACTCTCTCCTTGCGAGTTCCTTGGAATTCAAATGACACTGGTGATAGTATTGCTTTGGCTGCTATACAGCTTGCAAAAAGGTATCAGGACGAAGTTCTCGCTGGGAAGACCCGACTCGACCGAATTTATCTTTTCCGTTGGTTGAATGAACAGAGATAATAAACTAAGTAAGACAGCTCGAGTGTCTTCAAGAGCTTTTCGTTACACTGGTTCGGGGTTGGATGAAATTGCTATGGTCTTGACAAATCGCTTGCTTGTGTCTCTCATTTAGAATGTTTTCTGTGCTTGTATATTGGATACCTACGTAAAGATCGTATAGTCTTATGTATATACTATTTTTCGCATTCTGACTTTTGCTTTCTATTGAATCTCAGTGTATCGATTATCATTTTGTCCACAAACAAAGACGAGGCGAAGGAGAGTGGAAAGAAAGATAAAAAAAAAGGAGATGAAGAAGAGTAGGCCTGTTGTAGAGCAACCTTTTATGTTCAGTAAGCTGTAGCTAAACGTTCCCTATCTAGATCAAGGCGTATTAAACACATTATAATATGAACCTCTACCTGCTTAGCTACAAATTGCCATGTGTGTCAAGTTCTCTGACCACGGCTCTAACTCTAGGATTGACCAACCGTGGCTGGCCAAAAGCATTGCCTTTTGTTTGGCATTCTCATCTTCTTCATTTGCATCTTCTACATTTTCATCTTCTTTGTGATTGTAGTTCAGGGGAATCCACGTGATATGCTTCATCCCCCATTTGCCAAGCTTCGGGATAGTTTTACCCTTTCGGGCAACGCACGCTTTTCTCCCCTTCAGTGCACTTCTTCCTCGTCTTATCTTTCTTTGGCCTTGTAAATACATTCGTACCTAGTAGAATAATAGGGGCATTTGCCCCTAGCAATGTGATATATCAAAAGTCGACCTTGGAAGTTGTCGGTCAATATGTACGGTGTTTTACTATAGTTCCATAACACTCCAGATAACTTCTTAATTCAGGCGAATTGGACATTTTCTAGACACAAAGCCTATGTGTGACGCAGGAATTCCCCATCAAAGTGCTCTTATGGACTATCAAGCATATAGCAAAAACCCGAGAGCAATGCTATCCTTAGATGAGCTAGGATTCTCTCACTTAGATGCCAGGGCTACGACAGACACCATAGCGCAGAGGCCATAGCGTGGACTGGGCCTATAGACGTCTCAAGTGCTGCAAATTCCAGTTATGTAAATGAGATATAGCCCTCTGATGGTATGATAGTGTCAAGATAAGCCTATCGTTGGCATCTGTCAACAAAAACCTCTGACGTAGCAGCATTTCCTCGCCTAACACGGAAAAAACACTCGAGACAGTTGACTAAAGAAGCTATTCGATGCGCATGTCCAATCAATCTGAAAGATTACAACCTTTCCCCCGCTTCGGACTCTCATTCAAGTGCGACAATATCCGAACATGATTCTTACTTCATATCCTCGGGGAGTACTTATTCGCTTTGGTCCCCGTTCACCCATGGCTCGTTACAGAATTTTGTATAGCTTCTCCTTTGCGACTACACTGACCCAACTGCGACTCCCTCGATCCTAGCATAGTCCATTGCATCGCTACTCACCATCGACTTGCCCTAATGCACAGCATCTAAGCCAACATGAGCGCCTTACCAAGCCCGGAGCAACTATGGCGAATCGGATTGATCTTAGTAGCCGCCACTGTACTTTATGCCCTTGTCAACAAAGCATGTGGAAAACCATACTTGACCGGAATAATGCTGCGAGGTCGAAAGAACTCAACAGCAAGAACACCACCACGATCCTTCTCCCCAGAAAAGACAGCAACAAGCCCAAAACCGCCTTCCACCTATGCAACCGCTTTGCCACCCCAACGCAGAACAGCCCTAGCCGATATCAAATGTGCGAATGCGCCGTATACCGACGTCAGCGAAGACGAAGTCCATCGCAACATCCTGCCCATGAGCGCCGACTACCGGTCAAGCCCAGGTAACAAGTATACTCCAATGGGATTTTCCGTCGATGAAGTCAGAGCCCTCGGGGATTTCCCGGACTATGCGACTTTGAGTGGAGTGCCACTTCCCAGCTCATATCCCGACTTTGATATTGAGAAGGCACTGCCTCGACCTTATCGTCCTTTCAGATGGGCATATCACCAGACTATGTGTACGTTCGAGTAGGCCTCAATCTTGCATGGCGTAAGACTGACTGACTTCCACGTGCTTGTTCAAACAGCGTTAACAAAACTCGAGACTGACTGGTGGATCGAGCTCGAAAGCACATATAAGAAGCGAATTGCTCAGCGCAAAGAATTGTATGCAACAAGGGGCAAAGAAGTACTCGACTCTATGCCAGGATCTGAACTGGCCTGCAAGGAGATCATGGAAATGGTTTTGCAGTTTATTTGTTCTCGCTATCCGCAGTATTTCACTCTTGTGGATAACCGCATCCTTCATAACAAGATCCTCGGCACGGAGCAGGATGTAACAGCTAAGCCTCCGTTGGAAGTCTTGCTCGATAATGTGCCTGAAGATTTCGGCATCATGCTTCGTGATGACACGACGGGATATTACTTCCTGCGCGCAGGGTTTATTTGTTCGTCGTTGGGTTGGAATGTTGCAACTAAGGTTGGGAAACAGTTGCATGAGATTCATGAAACTATTCCAGATTATAAGGAGAAGATGCAGTTCTCCATGGACCGGTACGTTGATCGCTTCAGAACTGGGATGTAATATTTTGACGTCGAGATCCTAATTGGCATATCATCTAGGTTCTTCACCAAGATGCCAGCCGAGAAGCCAATTCAGCGAGGATCCTGGGGGCTGGAAATCGGCCAGCCACTGTATATGCCACCAGACGATCCGCATGAAAAGCTTCGTCTTTCTCAACAGCCTGATCTTGCGCTTGACGAGTGCCATCTTCGGGTAGATTGGCAGACCCTGAGACGGCTGCCCTTGTCAGGTGCTGTTGTCTTCAATTTCAAGGCCCTTTTCACTCCTGTCACGGAATTTCGCGATGAACCCGGGGTGCCGGCTTTGCTCACAAAGGTCCTTACGGAGGGAAAGAAGAATCTGATGGAATACAAGGGTGTTTGGCACGTGCAACATGTGTTGCTACCTAATTTGAAGGAGTGGGCGAAGGAGCAGGAGGAGGAAGGCTTGGTCTCAAAGGATTGGGAGGTCGCTACTCTGGATGATAGTCCGTGGTTTAAGGGGTGGCAGGAAAAATGGCATCGGCAACAAGGATTTTAGAGTTGATCTGCTTTGTTCTGTGTCTGATAATTTCATGTGTTGACTTCATTCATTTCTTGTTTCCCAGGGCAGTTTCGTGCTCGGGATACATCCCTCTGCAAATTAATTGAAATGTACATGTTTGAGATCGATGATTTGTAACATCGAAATAATGATTTTCATGGACATAATAAACTTGGCGAGCTTTTTAAGAGCTTCGGAATATGTCTCTTGCAGCAGAAGAGGGGCATCATGAGTTGTAGTGATTCCTCCAGACGCTGCCACCCAGCAGGGTTGTTTGTGGTGGCGTGGTCTTTGCACATGTGCAAGCTTTGATGGCTCGCATGCCGAGACAGACCTGTCTGCGGAGGGCTCTGTCGGTTTTTTACTGGCAGATATATCCAGATTGGGAGACCGAGTAGGAAAGAAAAGGGGTATTGTGAATCGAGGAACCGCTCAATCGTCACCTTCGGCACCCTCCTGGCTTCCGCGCGGGGAGCCTGCATCACTTCCCTGTCGGCTTCTTTCAGAATCATCTTCATTATTGTCCCGATCAAGCTCCTCGAGCTCATCCTGGAGCGGGCTGATCCGCTCATCCAACATATCCAAATCCTCCAGCTGAGCGCGCGGCGGCAACTTCCACAGACTGGTGCCGCACACACGGTCCTTGGTGAGAAGATCATCGACGAATTGATCCATGAATGTGAGCGTGAAGGTGTCGCGCACACGGCGCTTCAATTTCCGGTAATCGAGGAGCAGAGGTTCGAGGGTTTTGTAGACGTCGACCGCATCGAAAGTCAGTCGCACGTAGAATGCGGCCAATGCGCGCAAGTATTTGAAGTCACCACGATCCTTGACGACGGAATCCTCTGCATCCTCCTCCGCGTCGCTACCGGGGTCGGTGAAATTGAGCAATTCGAGGATGACGTCTCTGTCCGGTCCAAGCTGTAGAAGCTTGAAGGCGAGACAAAGAAACGGGCTTGGCTTCTCGGAAACGCCGTAGGTACCACCGATGAAGGTGAGGTCAATGGCCCGATCACACAAGGTCGCTGCGTTCAAACCGAAGCATTGTTCCTTCCAATAGTACGAGTCGGTGATGCGATCGCGCACGGCTTTCTCGAACAGCGTGACGGGGTTGACACCGCGAACCAGGGGCCCCGTATAGCCGCGGTTATCAAGGAAGGTACTGGCATCGGCACGATGGGAGGTCATTTTGGCGTTGAGGGCTGGCGGCAAGCTGGGCGGAGAGCTGAGAGCTGAAGAGAAGTGAAAAACCCAGGTGTCAATGCCAAGACTTTCCGCCTTATCGATAGTCGCGCGGCCAACCCCGTAAACAACTTGATGTCATGAAACACTCGATGAGACATTGCCTAAGTGGCTTGATGATGGGCCTTGATCGCTAAACAAATATCCGTGGTATGCATGGTTGACATTTTGATCCTGTCTATTCCTCCAAGTCCATGCAGCCTCCCTGGTCATGGTTCTCTTAACGTCCTCCACGGTCTCGGCTATCGTGTCGATGGGAGTGATCTGCATATTCACCATGCTACTATTCCTATCAGGATATGTGCTGCAACAACAGTCTGTCAAGAATATTCAATATGCCCTACGGCCTCAAGATGATACCTCAATGGGGAGACATGGGGCCCCGGACTCCGCATTCCAGAAGCCCGCTCAAAAGCGAGGGGTATCAGATCACTCGAACTCACCTGGAAATTATGCCTATCTCCAGCTCCTATCCGAGCCAGATCCCTCAGATATCTGCTCAGCCATTCTCTTCTTCAAACAGCTATCAACGAACGGAACAGCTGTCCAGGATCGTCTATTCATGTACCCGCAACAGTGGGATAGAATGTCCCCGAAAATGCTTGGGAACTCTGCGTCTGTCGCTCTTTCCATCCTACGTGCCGCCAGTACAAAGTATGACATCTGGCTACTCCCCATCGACATGTCTGCCGCCACAGCCGCGGGTTACTCAACGACAAACAGCAAACTACTCCGGCTAGGCCAAATCCAATTCATGCAGTATGATAGTGTACTGTATTTTCAAACCCCAGGGCTGGTTCTAGATACAGGCAAGCTGGATGACATGTTCCTGTCTCGGCCACTACCGCTTCGCCATGATAAAGGCCGGCAAGAATCGTTCAACAACGAAGCCTGGATTCCTATGCCGCTCCGTCCAAATCGTGATGAGCCCCTTCCTTCTACGTATCTAATCACCGTCAACAATATTGAGGGCGGCAGTGTTGAGGCCAGAACCCATATCCCCAATATTGCGTTGCCTGGATTCGGGGACCTAGTCGCTGGGCCGAAGCGTGCTGCGAGACTAGCTGAGATTGGGCAGGAGCCTGGCTATGTCTCTTTTGACAGTGATCGTGATGGACGTGTCAAGTGGGATTCCAATCCTTATTTCGGGACTTGGCGATCTCAGCAAGCTGAAGTCTGCGAGGGTGTAGATTTTGATGAAATAATTCACGACCAGCAATGATTTCTTAGGCTTCGTCGTTTCATGAGGCATGATCTTGTACATGTTGACAACACACTTCCTTGGGACTTGGGATAGCATCTGGCGTTCGGATATTTGGTTTACTTTTTTTTTCCGGGGTACATAGCTTCATGTGTGGATCATTTTCGGCTCGATCATGTTGCTTCTTCGATCAGCTCTACTTTTACCTATAGCAAATCAGGATTTACTCAGTTGGCATTCACATTCTGGGCCTGCATGTCATGATATTCGTAAATTATGGCACTATCAATTACTAATTCTTCCAACAACTACCTAGGTAGCTTGAACCAGCTTATTGAGGGACTCCAATCTCATAACCAAGGAGAACTTCAGTAGTGTTACCTTCCCAGCCACGGTTTCCACTCGTGGAGATCATGTAGCGACAAGCGTTATCAATATAGAGCTGTGAAATTGTTCCTGTCCGGTGGCCTGGAATAATGAGGAAGGGTACAGCTGAACGGGTCTGCTCATTCTGCTCGTTTTGCAGATCATAGAGTCGAAGAATATCATGAGAAGCGCTAAGAGCAAGTCAGAAAAAATGGCGATACATACGTGCAGTTATGAGTGTTTGCTTACCAAACAAGATGCCGTCCGTTCGGCATGGCCCTAAGTGCTGTGACTGGCCCACTTCCTTGGGGGAATTTAAATGTCCGCTCAGCATTTCGGAGGCCCTTATGAAGACTGTATTCCTCCACAGTGCCGTTTCGTCGTCCGGCATAAATGTAGTTTCCATCGGGGGACCAACAAGCATTCATGCACCAGGGAGGGACATTGTGAGGAGAGATTCGAGCGACTGGATCGGGCTGTCGGCGATCCCATATGCGGATTGTGCCATCAATCGATGCAGCCAGAAATGTGTTATCTGTTTGGACGCCTTGTTCCGATTGGTTGTTTTGTGAGAAGTCATTAAAATGAGAAGTCTCAAGATCCTCTGCCTTGGGGATGCCATTGGTAACAGGCTGTACTGCTCCAGTGGGGATGCTGGAATCGGTGAAATCCAATTGCTGACTTGGGGATTCTGGCTTCGGAGGTGATTGTTCGGTGGCGTTGTTTGTTTCGTTTTGAGCATTTGCATTGCTAGGGGGTGCTGCCATTTCATCGTCAATTTCACCTGGTGCATCTGCATCCGCCATAGCTCCATGGGCCATGGCTCTGCCAAATTCATCATCCTCGTCTACCCCAAACACACCCCCAGATGGGGCGCCGCCGTCGGCTCCCCCTCCACTTCCATCGCCGAACAAAGAATCTGCGCCTCCAAAAAGTGAGTCCGCTGGTGAGCCCGCCTGCGGGTTTTCGGCTTGGCCTGGCTCTCCGGCATCTTCTGTCGTATCCATGAAATTGAAACTGTCTGTGCCAGCTGCAGCATAGTTGGATGCATATGTACCATTAGATTGATGGAAATCAATCGTGTCCTTTGGTACTGGAAGAGCTGATTCCGAACGGATCTGCACTGCAGAAATTTGCCCAGCACTCCCTCCGAATGCTCGCCTAGCTTGTCCCGTGTTCAGATCCCAGTCGAATACCCGCTTGTCCCAACTTCCAGACAGTAGTGATTTCTCATCTGATGTCAAGTTCAGCGAGGACACCGCGGACGTATGTTGTTGAAGAAGAGCCACCTCCTTGCCCTCATCATGGCGCAGAGTCTGCAGTCGAATTGCACCAGACTCTAGTCCAGAAAGCAGCCATAAGCCTTCGCTCTGGGCGGCTAGAGAATATACCGGCGACAAGTGGTTCCCATCCATATTCTCCCAGTACGTCATCAGCACTCCAGCCTTCACGACACTGTCTACGAATGGATGCCGTTGTGCCACGGTCAACATGAGCTTGCTGTTAATGGATTCTGCCCAATTGAATTTACGCACAAAACCATCCGACCCTCCCGTGAAGACCCAACGCATGTCTGCAGTAGCAGTAATGGCATTGATCGATGTGGCATGCGGCGCAGCAGTTGTGGGTATGACATCGTACGTCTTGGCGGTGAGGCACTCGGGGCGTACACTGGGATGATATATAGAGAATGAGTCAAGCCTTGAGCTATCGTCTTCCGTGTTCTGTTGTGAGGCCATTCCTGCCCCATCGGAGGCCTGACTCGTGTTGGAGGGGCTATCTGCATCTTGATCCTGATCCTGATCTTGGTCTTGGTCTTGATCTTGGTCTTGGTCTTGGTCTTGATCTTGATCCTGGTCTTGGTCTTGGTCTTGGTCTTGATCTTGATCTTGATATTGATCTTGGTCTTGGTCATTGTCTCCGTCGGCGTCGTCGGCATCACGCATCGTATCATCGATGTCGTTCTCGTTGTCGGAGCTTCCATCTTGGGAACCTAGAGGTCAAGAGGTGATTAGCGCATGGTATTCGGATCGAGGAACCAGCCATTGAATGACGATAGGGCCATACCTCCCATATCACGGTCCTCCTCCTCTTCAAGGGATGCCATGATTGGTCTCGGAAAGCTAGTTTCACAGCGCCAGCTGCGCGTGGACGTCGTTTCTTTCTTGCGCGATTGAGGCAGGGATCGGATCGGAAACTGCGACCAAATGAAGAGCCTGCAAACAGAACCCGGTGGCAGGACCAAGTAATACTTTTATCCACGCCGATCTGAGTCACAAGCTCTGACGGACAGGCAGAAGAGCTGAGGTATCGCCAAACGTGCGGAGGGGAGTTGCGGCTTAACGCGACCCCGACAATCCGTGGATCCGCAGGGCCACATCTTGGCGTCTGGCCAATCAACTTCGATCCCGCTCTACCTTTTCATGCCCTAATTTGATGCATTCGCAACTCATACAGTCGGCAGTGGGAAGCATTGATCAATTGCTCAGAAAATTTATGCAAGAGGGTTTGAAAATCTTTCGGATCAGAAGAGCCGAGGATTGAAGCATTGTGCCCGTTGTATAACCTCTTATTCGTCAGCTAGGGCAAGTGGTATGCTTCACAACACATTTCGCCCGTTCGAAAAAAGTGAGCACCGAGGAATCGACTTTGATGTGTTGGAAATCAAAGTTTGTGCTGCTGTTCAGAAACAGAAAGGGCATTTTTCTATTCCCGAATGTAACTTCAGCGGCTAGACAATGCCCTTTGGGGTAGATATTTTACAATACAATGTGCGAATCCGCCAATGGAGCTGGCATTGGGCATTTTCTTCCTCTAGTCTGTTATCAGCATGGTGTCAGGATTATGATTACATGAAAGTTCATAACAAATCAAGTGTGGCGTGAGCCTTGATCATTATTTTTGATCCTTTTTTCCCCATCAGATAGAAACCCAACTGATGTTATCGTTTGCTTTTCTGTTTCTGTCCTACCTGAGCCCAAGGTGGGTCATGTATACTGTTACTTGCATTCCAAAAATTTAAACCAGTCCTAGACCTTGTGTATGCTCAATAAATCGTTGTTGAAGGTATCTAGCTCTAATCAAGTAACACATATTCATCGCCATCATAATCCGACATCCCTTGTTATATACAAAGTTCAGACATAAATTTAAGAATCAGATCATAGTCATATAACGCTCCAAACTCTGACCGAGAACATTGATAAAGGGCCATTGGGTGTTCGTGCCGAACAATCGGGCCCACAATTTCAGAACGGCCATACCCAAAGAAGCCGGTTCGAGATTCGGCGGTGCCTCGCCTTCATCTAGGTCAATAGATGAGTATGCTTCCTCGATTATACAGCGTGTCCAGCGTAAGATTCGGGACTCGTTTTCTGTGAGTACAGGATTAGAAATGAGGTTCGATACATTGACCCAAGTTCGACGAGATAGTGACGAATCGCGGGGAGTCAGGCATTGTGAAATGAACATACCACTTAGTGACTGGTCCGGTCCAGCCTCGGCAAGACTGAAGAGCCACTTGCTCAGTAACACAGCACATTCAAGGCTAGCGAGCGAATGACGCACACTCCAGAAGAAAGCCTGACTGCGAGCAATGTGATCAATTCCGAAGCGTACGGGAATACTGAGAGCATGGGCAGCGTATATAAGTGCGGGAATGAGGCGGTAGCTTCTTTCCGGGCGGGGAGAACGCCTCAGTGCTGAAGCGATGACCATTGGATCGCGAGTCTCGAGACGGCGGTAGGGTCCCAGATTTAGTGAGAGTCGGACGTAAGCCAGGCCTAAGAAAGCACTTGATGTGAATGGGATTGGGCCGTTGGCGTTGTGTGGGTCGAGACTCGACTCGGGGGCTTGTTGCCATACCGAGGTCCAGGAACGAAGAGCTCGTCTGTCAACTGTTAGGATGATTTGAAGGGGAGGGGTGGGGTTGCGATATGACTGACTCTAGTTTGTTAAGCTCTTCAGTAGGAAGAGTTGTGGAATGATTTCCATTTGGTAATGATAGCTCGCTCACGAGATGAATTCGCTGTAGAAGACCGTGGAGGAGAATATAGTTGCCTAATGGCGCCGGGATAGGATCCAAGGGCACGGCTGATCGGGACTTCTGCAGAAGAAGGGTTAATGCGTCCTGGAAGAAGAGCTGCTGAGGACCTCTTTCGCGCTGGGCGGCTTCCCATTCCTGTGGGGTGGCTGCAATCCATTCCGCGGTGGAACAGGGCAACCGTAGGTGAATCTCATTACTGCGTAGAGAGGGATATGCATTATATGCGATGCTGTGGATGTGGACAAAACAAAAGGCAATCAACTTTGTTCGTCGGCCCGACTCTTGATCGGCCCATTCGTACCAATCGAGAGGCGCTCGTGGATCAGAGCGCAAGGGGTCTTCTGTCAGCCCCGCGTCTCGAAGATGGCGAACCAGTAAACCTTGAATATGAAATGCTTCTTGTACCAGCCGAGCATTTTCCCAAGTTGCGTACCCCATTAAGATGAGTAGACAGCGGGTGACTTCAATTTGCTTCCATGAAGCATTCCGCTCCGCTGCTACTTGCGGTGGTGTAAGAGATTGATCCCCAAAATTGGAATAGGGTGGGATCCCCAGCGGTACTTGAGAAGCTGAGCTGTAGCTTTGTTTTGAAGGAAGGCGAGATTCTCGGGACATCCGTTCGAATAGAACTGCTTTAGAGACGTGGAAGATTCTTTCCGCATTGCGATGTTCAAATCGATATTGAGCGCCAATCGTCATTATGGCAAGGATGACTTCAGGCGCACGTTCATTAATGTGGAAGGTTGGTATATGCATAAATGGAAGATGAGGCTGGAATCCCTCAAAGTAGGACGTGAGATACCGCGTCAATGTATGTCGCGACGGCAGCACGAAATCTGGGATGACGTTGCGGAAGTCTTCGAGAGAAGCTGCGAGCCGGAAACGTTGGTCCTCAGTGACATTGAATCGCGATGTTCTCTTTGCTACTTGTGGTGGTTCTAGCATGATATTAGCATTGATGTGGAGGGTATGTAGATCAACGACTTACCAGAGTCAGAGAGGTTCCCTAAGCTCTGATCGCCTCGTGGTACAGATGGAAGCCAGGATCGAAATGGAGAGTCTCCCCGAGAAGAGCCCCCTGGGTTTCGTCGCTGCCTTTCCTGTTGATCTTGAGTCGGTCGGGCGGCTTCCTGGACATTTTCCAATGGAACTTCTTGGGTCTGAGATGTTTCCCCTTCGCTGGGGAGCCATTCTCCAGGGAGGCCAATCGAGTCCAAGAAATGGGTGAACTCCTGAAAATGGTTCAGATCTTCGGGTAGGTAAGGCATTGCTTGCGCTATTATAACATTAGAACAGAAAAGCAAAAATCATGGTAGCGATATAGCCCAACAGCAGTCCTATGCAAGATGGTATTACGCAATGTATAGAGACATACCTGTAGCCCGGTAGTCACCAGGGAGAAGAAGCTGCGCAGCCTGGAGCATATCTGGATCATGCACAATACCAGGATGAGCCTCCATGGTCGGGTTCGGGGCAGCCGCAGCTGCAGGGAGCATAGCAGCCGCATGGCTCTGGTCAGAATAAGGTGTACCCTGTGCAGCAGGCCATTGGTGCACAGCAGACGGACCTGCAAGGGTCCCTACCGATCGGGACGGTGTATCATATTGCGGAATAGCTGCAGGATGATGTGCAGACTGAAAATCCGACCTTGCAGTTGGCTCAGGCGGCGCACTTGGTGAGGTAAGACCATCCTGGTGGGAGATGCGAGTATGACGCTTCAGTAGATCTCTTCTAGTGAACGCTGCCCCACAGAAACAAATAAACGGCTTCTCCTTGGTGTCTGATTATGGGTCAGTACATATCGCCCCTCCGGGGTTCCTCCAATTTAGCTTACGGGTGCGAATGTGACGCTCCAAATGCTCAGTCCGCCGGAAACTCCGACCGCAGTGCACACATATGCGTGCCCTTGCTCCACGGGCCCTTTGTGACGGGGGTGATGGGGACGCCATTGAAACATTGGGGGGGGAATGGAGAACTGGATTGGAGACGAGGATACCTCGAGATGTTCCCTGGTGGAATGTGGGTGTCGAGATAGGAGATTCGACTCCAACTACTCCAACTCGGGGCTGTCCGGAACCCTTCGGCCCGTGATAAGCGATAAAGGTGGGGTGCGAAGTTGGGGTAGGTTCGATGCTATACTTCATTTCTTACTTCGTACTTGGTTGACTGGATATCTGGTCGATTCGATAGCAGATTTTGAACAGTAACTTGGATTATGTTCTGCAATATGTTTCCTGGTGTGGCGGTCATTACCGGGGCAGGTGGAACAGGTGTGTAAGACGGCCGACTACCACATGTATAGGACTAACCTTATTAAGGAATCGGTGCTGCAACAGCCAAAGCCTTTGCGGCAGCAGGATGTGAGAGAATTGCCATCACAGACCTCAATGAAGAGACTTTGCAGATGACAGCAGAGGCCGTTACTTCAACATACCCCAAGACGAAACTCCTAGTGAAAGCTGGGAATGTGGCAGATGATCAATTTGCAGACGCATTCATCCACGCAGTCGTACAGCAGTTTGGCCGAGTTGACTACGCTGTCAACTGTGCGGGTGTTCTTGGAAAGCCTCTACGGTCGGTCGAAACGACACTCGAAGAATTTGACCGTGTCAATAATATCAATTATCGAGGCTGCTGGCTGTCTTCTCGAGCAGAGCTTAGACAGATGGCGTCACAAAGTGAACTCCCAAGCCATGATCCCAGCCGTCCTGGTCAGCGTGGCTCGGTTGTGAATGTTGCTAGTCAGTTGGGAATCGTTAGCCGTCCCGGTGCTCGTAAGTGTTATGTTCTTGTCCATTGATCACGAGTGACTAATAGTTTTCTAGCTGCATACTGTGCGTCAAAATCTGCTGTAATCGGAATGACCCGGGCAGATGCTATCGATTATTCTAAGGATGGAATCCGAGTCAATTGTATCTGCCCAGGTGTGATTGAAACGCCACTCGTCATGGAAAAGCCCGAGGTTCGCGCAGCCATAACGCCGGCAGCAGAAATTGCCCCGATGAAGAGAATGGGGAAGCCAGCAGAGGTTGCCGATGCAATTCTCTTCTTGTGTTCAACACAGGCTTCTTTTGTGCAGGGTCATGCTATGGTGGTAGACGGTGGATATGTTACTGTATAAGTCAACTTAGCTTTAAGTTAAGTTACCCATGAACGCGTAATGAAGTAGATAGGAATAATTGATTGAATAATCACCATGCTAAAATGCAATACATGAATACAAAATAATCTAGTTCTGAGCCGTTGTGTACTGCATCTTCTTCCAATCATAGTTTGTCTCCCAAACATGTCCAGCCCGCAGGATCTTCTCCTCCTGCCATAGTCCACCAACAATCTGCATTCCAACAGGCAACATAATCTGACTATCATCATTTGCTGGGGCAAACCCGACCGGGATGGACATGGCCGGGTGGCCCGTCACATCGAAGATAGCGGTATTGATCGTAAGACCCATGCTGGGTTTCAACGATTCCAGTGGAAGTTGGCGCTTGCCATGCTTAGGAGCAACAACCGGTGTAGTAGGCATAACCAGCACGTCGTACTTCTCAAACAAGGTCTCGTATGTATCGGTCAGGTATCGTCCAAAATTGACCGTCTTGCCGTAAAGACCGGGGAATTGCTTCATCAGATATAATCCATTGATCATGACGTTCTTTGTGGAAGGAAAGGCGCGTTCAAAACCATCGCCAGTCCATGGAAGACGCGCTTGCTCCATTTCTGTCATGTAAAGACCTCGTCGGCCAGTGTTAAGGCCTAGCAAAGTCTGCGCTCCAGCAATACGCTGTTGAATAGTCCAGATGGCTGGTCCCTGATAGTGGTCTGGAATGGAAACCTCCTCGATAGTTGCGCCTAGATCTTTGAACTTCTGAGCTGCGGTCAAAACCAGGTTCTTGACACTAGGGTCCACTTTGTCGTGTTCAAAGCCTTCAACTAAAATTCCAACCTTGAAACCTTCGAGTCGGTCCGAGGTTTGCTGAATCGTTGCTCCAAATTTCGTGGTACCAGGTTTCTGGCTACCAATAGACTTGTCATCAATACCATCATAGCCACTGATCACGTCTAGACACTGTGCTGCCTCCAATGTGGTTCGGGTCAGAGGGCCTGCATGGTCGTTGATCGCATCGCCACTAGCAATTCCAGTGAATGGAACACGTCCATGTGTGGGCTTCAAACCAACGCCTTGTAGAAGTCAGCACATCAATCTCAGATTCATGTCATAGAAGGATATCTTACAGCCGCAAAATGAAGCAGGCACTCGTATACTCCCACCCTGGTCACCACCAATCGTGATATCCACCAAACCCGCCGAAACAAGAGCTGCTCCCCCAGAGGTACTGCCGCCCGCAGAATATCCTACAGCATGAGGGTTCTCCACAGTACCCTGAGCACTGGTATACGAGGAAGTAGAATGGCACATATTCTCACAAGTGGATGTGCCATGAATATCAGCACCAGCCTCCAACAGCCGAGTCACCACTGTCGCATCGGTATTCGGAGTCCAAGGCGGAATAATATCGCTTCCCAGAAGCTGCGGTACACCTGCTACAGCAATGACATCCTTCAAGCTGACTGATTTGCCTGCCAAAAGTCCGCCTTGCTTATTACCTCGGATCAGAAAGCGGTGTGCCCATGCCTGCCCGAAGACTTGTTCCTCAGCACTTGGTCGGCGCACATTTTCACGCGGGTATTTGGTCTGATCTGCGACTGGTTGGTAATCCGGTAGGGCAGCGACCCCTTCGGCGCAATCGTGCACTGCCGCGAGAAGGGTATGGAAATCCTGCGCCTCGGCTGGATCGATGGTCAACCCGAGCGGATCCAGTAATTTTTGAGCATCGTCTGCTTTGACGGGGTTATTCCTATAGCACTGTTGTCAGTCATCGGCTTGGGATTTGGGGAGTAAATAATGATGGTTGAAGAAATGGGAAGATATGTACTCTGAAATACTCGTGAAAAGAACCGACATGATCGCTCTGAAACACCGCTATGCTGATGATGATTTCTTCGTGAGAGAGAGTTGTAGTTTATCAACATTCGCTCTCGAGGGGGAATTTTTGAATTCCATCGGTGCTCTCCGACGCAACTGTCGATTAAACTGGGTCTGATTGCTTACGCTGTGATACTACCCCGATGACCCCAACCACATTGGAGACCAAGGTCAGCCCTTGAGATACCAATCGAACATGAGAAACGCCAATTATACACGGATTCGCATAAGAACAGTATTGGAGACGGGGGGCTATCAGTGGCCAGGGGACCGGTGAGGGGCTTATCTTCCCCGCAGTATAAAAGCCAAGTCGGCGATTTTCATCTTCACCTCATTCAATTGGGGATTTGTTCAATATTCACTATGGCACCAAAGCGAGTTCTGATTACTTATGGAGTGGATGTTGATGCTGTAGCGGGCTGGCTGGGTTCATATGGCGGAGAGGACTCTACCAACGACATCAGCAGGGGTATGTTTGGGCGACCCCAAAAAGCAAAAGGGATTATTCTAACTGACTGGTGTAGGATACTGGGCCGGAACCATTGGCACCCGGCGTCTATTGAAGATGTTTGCTAAATACGACATCAAGACAACATGGTTTATCCCCGGTCACTCCCTCGAGACCTTCCCCGAAGACATGGCCGCAGTTCGCGACGCGGGACACGAAATTGGCCTGCATGGGTATTCCCACGAGAATCCGACCGATATGTCGATAGAGCAGCAGCGTGATGTGCTTGATAAAACATACAAGATGTTGACCGATTTTGCGGGGAAACCTCCTCGGGGTAGTGTGGCACCTTGGTAAGGTTCTAGTTCACCCGAGACTGAATATGCTCTAATGCATGCTTTGATAGGTGGGAAACCAGCCAAGAGGGCGCCCAACTCCTCCTTGACTATGGCATTGAGTACGACCACAGTATGAGTCACGAAGATTGCCAGGCCTACTACCTACGAACAGGCGACACCTGGACGAATATCGACTACAAGAAGAAAGCAGAGGAATGGATGAAGCCTCTGGAGCATGGACCACAGACTGGATTGGTTGAGATTCCATCCAATTGGTACATTGACGACCTGCCCCCAATGATGTTTATCAAGAGTGCCCCGAACAGTCATGGATATGTGAACCCACGTGATGTTGAAGATATCTGGCGCGACCACTTCGACTACTTCTATCGCGAGTATGATGAGTTTATCTTCCCAATTACTATCCACCCAGATGTGTCGGGTAGACCTCATGTGCTTCTCATGCATGAAAGGTGTGTTCTGTCCCACTGTGTTCTTGGCTCGATAATAGGACTAACATTGGTCAGACTGATTGAGCATTTCAAGAAACATGAAGGGGTCGAATTTGTGACTATGGAACAAGTGTGTGACGATTTCAAGGCCAAGAACACGCCTCCACCAGGAGCATTGATGCCCGCAACGGCAGGAGCTATGCTCGAGAAGTGAATCGAGCCAGTGTGACCCTTAGTTATGACGAAATCATATTTTGTTCAAGTGTATCTCATTGGTGTCTCAACTGTATCTCAACTGTATCTCATCTTTATCTTTGGGAATGGATCCCAACCCCAAACGACCCCAAAAGATATTCAACCTACCCCAACCGATATCAAGCACAGCGACTGAGACACCATTCCATCAACTCTTGGAAACCGAGACCAAGAGAGATATGACTTGGCAATCGAATATCGATTCTAACCCAGTCAATGCTACCCCAAACCCAGGGATCTACTCCAACACGACTCCAACACGCCAACCTCACCCCTAAGATATTCAGAGCTTGTGGTTTCGTGGGGAAAGTGGACCAGCTCCATCCCGTCTTATCGCGCGTTAGTGTGCAATTGCTGTGACCAAAGTACGGTGATGCCCCGGAGGATGTCCATGGTGCCAAGCTAGACATATGCGTGAAGGAGGACATGGGAGATAAGTGCCATACGCAGCGCTTTTCTATATATACCGCCCGTGGTATCTCCCATCCAGAGCCGTATATTCCCTCTCTATATTGTCAATTGATTGGAAGCTTGCCAGAGCTTATCTTCCTTGTTCGCCATGGCATCCCATGCAGATGAGATTAAGGAAGCCCCTCCCTACACAGACGACCCCAACATCACCGACACACAAGAAGCTGAAATCGAAGACAAATTCGAAGTCTTCAAACGCGGTGATGGCCAAGTCGATTTTAGGACTGTTAGTTGGATCCGGGCTTCGGTCATCTTCCTCAAGAGTCAGTGGAATCTAGCTTCTTCTCTCCATTGTTGGTGTGACAAAAATTGACACTTTGCCATAGTTATCTTCGCAACCGGTGTCCTCTCTATCCCCTCATTGATGTACCAGCTAGGAGCGTTTCCTGGCGCCGTCAGTGTAGTCGGCTGGACTCTACTCAATACTTACTGCGCTATTGTGCAGGGCAACTTCCGCAATGCCTATCCAGGCTGCCACTCCATCGCCGATATGGCCCACTTGGTCGGTGGCCCGATCGTGAAGGAGCTTGTTGGCTTCCTGTTTACAGTCAGCTATGTGATTGTTGCAGCGTCGGGTATCATCGGCGTGTCGACTGCCCTCAATGCCCTGTCGCTGCATTCTATCTGTACCGTCTGGTTTTCGTTCATTGGAACCATCATCATTGCGATGTGTGCTAGTGTACGCAAGTTCTCCCATATCGGCTGGCTCACCTGGGTCGGATTTGGCAGTGTCTATATTGCTGTCTTCATCATTGTGTAAGTGCCATCATGCGGATCGATTCAGGCCAAGTACTAACGGCTCCAGCATCGGCGTCACGGTACGAGACCGACCGGCAGCAGCCCCCCAGACAGGCGACTATGACTTCGGCTACCATGTCATCGGAACCCCCGATTTCACCACGGGCATCACAGCCTCCGCAACGATCTTCGTCTCCAGCGCCGCGACATCCGCCTTCCTCCCCGTCATCTCAGAGATGCGCCGACCCAAAGACTACCCCAAAGCAGTCTATCTCAGCATGAGCCTGGTCACAGCCTCGTACCTCACCTTCAGCCTTGTAATCTACGCCTGGTGCGGCAAGTGGATCGCGTCTCCATCGCTCGGCAGCGCCGGCGAAACCGTCAAGCGGGTCGCCTATGGGATCGCCCTCCCAGGCCTCATCATCAGCGGCTGCCTCTACGTGCACGTTGCCGCCAAGTACATCTTTGTGCGAATCCTCCGCAACTCACGGCATTTACAGGCAAACACTGCCGTGCATTGGGGTACTTGGCTCTCGTGTACGATTGGCGTCGCGGCCATTTCATTTGTCTTGGCATGCGCCATTCCTATCTTCAACTATGTCTTGGCATTGGTGGGAAGTTTGTGTTTCGCGCCTTTGGCGATTAGTTTGCCCGGGTGGTTATGGCTGTATAGTCATCGGGGTTATTGGAGGGGGGCGTGCTGAGGATGATGATGTATGCTTTCCATGTTTTCCTTGTGCTGTTAGGGTTGTTTATGGCTGTTGGTGGCACTTATGGTGTTGTCGTGCAGATCAAGGATGCCTATGCAGACGGGGAGATCGCGTCTGCATTTTCTTGTGCGGATAATAGTTGAAAAAAGGTTTAATTGATCGTGAGCTTTATAATGATATTCATATTGATATTGATATTGATGTTGGGCTACGCGGAGTCCCTCATACCTCGTCTGGTCGGGTGGATGGCCGTGCCTGAAGTGGGTAGCGGTCGTCAGCTTGATTCCTCAGCTGTCCCGCCTCCGCCTATTTTGATCTAGACGGTAGAATCTGGTCGATAGAAAGCAGTCCAATGTATAAAAATACGCCGACGATGCCAACAAGTTGAGTTCCGCCGAGTCTTCCGCAACCGAACACGAACCCGCGCACGTGGGCCCCGTCTTGCCTCTTTCGTCTTCTTCATATCTTAAGCTCTTCTTCCTCTCTTCTTGCTCTTCCCCTCTTGATATTCTTCTTTCTTTTCCTATATAATAAGCTGTCATTGTTTTCCTGAAACCACGCCTCCAGGTCACTGGGGAGATCCAGGCCTTATCTCCGCTATCACCATCCGAAAGCCTCCGCCATGGTTTTGCGCAAGCTCACCACCCTCTTCTTGCTCGCAATCCACGCCTCAGCTGCCTCAGCGGCTGCAATCCCAATCTCACCCTCAGTCGCACCAGATATACAACAAGAAATTTCAATCCCATCCATCAAAGCCTCGCCAACGAATCAGGCCGCGTTATGGGATTCGTCGGTTCGGGACCCACCAATTGATAAGAGATCACCTTATTATTTCCCCGAGACCGTTCAAGACGACCAGGACCTCGAGAATGAAATTGCATTGCGCGAGACAGCTATGCGCGAAGCAGGCTTCGTTCTCTCCAGCTCCAGGCTTTTGCCAGAAGTCCAAAAGTCGAGCCGTCGTCCAGTTTCGGGCCTGAATGCTGGAATTGACGCGGCTTCGGGTGACAGGGCTAGCCCTGCCAGCTACAGGTTCAAAGACTCGGATTCGAAGCTCGCTGCGCAGGGTGGACTGATTGAAGAACTTACCAAGGCTGCTTACGAGGCTTCTGAGGATGAGCGCGTTCTGTTCCCGCCGTTTGGATTCCTTGTTATTGCTGCTGCTGTTGTCTGTTTGATTACTATCCTGCGAGGTACAAGGAGCAAGAAGTGAGACGGAGATATTGTTGTTAGGTTTATTTCGACTTATCTCGCTTCTTCGTTACGTCAAGCACAGCTTTTGATGATGGAGGCATTGAATGGCTCAACTACTATCGCGTCGCATCGCCAGCTCTCTTGAAGACTCCACCACAATACTTGATATCGGATCCAGGGAGTTGAGACTCACAGCGCAACTTTGAACCATTTGCTCATCCCGAAAAACCCTTGCGCATTTACTTGCGGTCAAACGGAACGAAAAAGCAACAAACAAGAACTAACGACCGACTGCCATCCGGTTCAGCAGTAAATCGGCAAAGTTCTCTGCCCCGATACACACAGATCATGCATGCCACTATGTCGACTCAGTATCGCCGCCTTGGGTCTGCTTCATGTTATGACAGACATTAGAGGTTCTATCCCGCTTCCTGAATGCCTCTGGTTCACAGAGTGCTCGAACCGGAGGTTTCATACCTTCCAAATGCAGAAACATATCTAAGTAGCTAGCTGATTAGCACCTGCTGTTTAAGGTTCCTTCAATAGGCGGGATGAACCAGACGTGCAAGATGACCAGAAGAGACATTGTTGGGGATGGTTACTGTACACTGCTCCCACAGAAGGGAAGAACTGTTTAGAAGCTGCCCTGATATGAAGATGTCCATCCAGCCTTCACGTTCCGTGGAGAGTTTATTATTCACACTACCTTCTCCCTAGTTCTCTGTATGCTCCATGGATATGCATGAAAGTGCCTACATATACTTGAGATATGTCTAGAAGAACCACGGGTCTACCATGCATAGGGGAAGAATTGTGCGAGTATTCAAGGTATAGGAACAAGGGTCTAGCAGCTTGCCATTAGCAATGGACCTGCGCTGTATATCCACTGGTTTCATCAAAGAGGATTAATATCCGCCTATTCTTCATATAGAAAAAAAAGGTAATCAGAAGACTTATTCCACTGTCCATAATTAAATATACGTACGTATTTTCTAAACACTAGATTTTCAATTGAAAGTACTGATTTAGCCGATCTACGTCTTAACGTCTTCTTACAACCAATGCTATGCTCCGTGGTCGATATTAAACTAATCCCTGATTGAGCAAAGGGACCAAACTCCTCGAATGATATGCTCTCATTGTGCGGTAAAAAGCCCTGACTACAAGGGCTAAAATCAAAGTACTAGCCAATAGACCTGGATTGTAATATATCTGTGAACAACAGCCGATAAATGTAAAATAAACAAAAAGCATGAGAGAGAAAAGCCAATGCCGCGACGCCATAGCGGTGCAAGAGACGACCGATGAGAATGAAACGGTGATAATGACAAATGATGAAAACCACCCAAATATAAGATGAAAATGACGATTACATTGACCTCTCTCTTTTTGCATCCCCGCTCCGAGGAGAATGAACGGGGAGTCAATAATAGACACAACAGGTAGACAATGGATATGTACGCGACTTCTATAGGAAAACATGGGGGAGGGAAGGAAAAGGAAAAAAGAAACAAAAAAGGTATGACCCAACAGATGGTATGGAGGGCAGCTTTTGCTTTTAAGAATCGTCCACGAGACGCTTCTGGGTCCAGGCGCGCTTGGCACCGTCAAGGAGAACTTCCATGTTGCCGCTGTTATCGCACATGCCGCGGAATAGACCGTCTTGCTCGTTAATCAGTTGCCAGGGGTGGTCGAACTCGATGACACGGCCGTGATCGAGAACCAGGACCTTGTCATAGTCGATGATTGTTTGCAGACGGTGGGCGATGGTGATGATTGTGCTGTCGCGGAGTTCACGGAGAGTCTCTTGGATCTTGGCGTCTGTGGCGTAGTCGATGGAGGCGGTTGCTTCGTCCATCATTAGAACGCGGGGACTCTTGAGCAGAGCGCGGGCGAGACAGACGAGTTGGCGCTGGCCTTGGGAAAGGTTTGAGCCGGACTCTGAGACTAGGCTGTCTAGGTTGTGGAAGATGTTCTTGTTGTCAACGACAGTGACTGCGCTACCGTTTACTCCGGTGGCCTCTGTGGCGGTGAGGGTGCTGGAGGTTGTGGGGGTTGCGGTGCCTGAGGTGCTAGACCCAATTAGGTGGACGCGGCGGAGGGCTGTGAAGATTTCCTCGTCGCTGAAGATACCGAAGGGATCGAGGTTACTGCGGAGCGTGCCGGTGAATAGGGTTGGGTCTTGAGGCACAATGGTGATTGCCTCACGCAGGTCACGCAGTCCAATGGAGCCAATGTCGACGCCGTCAATCAGGATCTGTCCCTTCTCGGCTTCAAGACCGCGGAACAGAGCCAGTGCGAGCGAACTCTTGCCGGCACCTGTGCGACCAACAATACCAACCTTCTCACCAGCCTTGACGGAGAATGAAACTTCCTTGAGGACCGGGTCCAAGTCAGGGCGATAGCGGGTGCTGTAACCGTTGAACTCGACTGCACCCTGGCTGGGCCAACCAGCAGTAGGCCGGGACTCAGGAATGACAGCGGCTGCCTCCTGCTCCACTTCCAGGTATTCTCTCACACGCTCGACGGAGTTCATGTTTTGCTGAACCTCGGAGTATAGACGAACAAGCCAGAGAACGTTCTCTGTGAATGTAACAGCATAGGTGAGCGAAAGACCAGCAGCACCGGCATCAATCTTTCCAACATTAAGCAACACGAAGGTAGCCGAGAAGAACGAGACCAAAGCACCAGTCCAGTCAACACGGAGAGCGAGCCAGCGGTTGCTAGCCCACAGGTAGATGTGTGGCCGGTTGTAGGCGTTGATGCGGCGGTGGTTGTCAATCATGAAACGAGGACCATCACCGTAGGCACGAATAGTGACAATGCCGTTGAGGGTCTCGCCAAACTGTTGATACAGGGGACTGCGCTGGACAGACTCCAAACGCTTAAGATCACGAGAAGAGTTCAGGTAGACGGCACCGAGAGCAGTGTACACCAGTGTGATAAACACACCAGCAATCAAGAACCCAGGGGTGATAACAGAGATCAAGATAACGATCATGATGACAGAAGCCAGACTGTGAAGCATGCCAATGGCAACAGGAGCGACTTCCTGATCAACAGACTCGACATCCTTGGAGAATCGATTCATGAGTTGACCAAGGGGAGTGGAATCGAAGAAACGGAACTTGGCATGCATGACAGCCTTGAGAAGGCGGTCGTGGATCTTCCAGGAGGCATGAAGAGAACCCCAAAACAGGACAGCCTCGCGAGACAGAGAGATTGCGATGTAAAGGAAGCCAAGAAGAGCGTAGACACCGAGGTAGTACAGCACATTGACTTCATTATCAGGCTCGCCCGTAGAGCTTGCACCAAACTGGGGCAAGCTCCAGCTGCTGACGCGACCAACGGTTCCAACATTAAAGCTGGGTGCTTTGAGGTGGGCGGCGGCGGCGTACTGGCCGGCATCGTTCTCAGTGCCAGCCTTGTTGGAGGTGTGGTAAGCGTTTGCCCATTGGCGAATCCAAATGTTGGTGGAAACCGAGCCCAGTTGCTGCAAGCAGAACACCAAGACAGCTCCAATCCAGTAGTACCATGGACCCATAGAGCGGAGGTACATGCTGACGGTAGACCACTTGATGCTACCAGTAGCCTTAGACTCTGTCAGCTTGGCCTTTTCGTCCTTTGCGTTTCCGTTGGCATTTCCGTTGGCCGCCGTTTCTTCATCGTCACCTTCGTGATCGGAGGGCGCACGAGATAAGCCCCGAGAGCTGGCCCGGGAAGCAGGTCGAGACTTGAGGAATTCGTCACCCAGGGCACCAGTAGCAGCAACATCATCAGGGCGACCCTGAGCGGAGACCTTGCCGTTCTCGAGGACAACGACATGGTCGGACTGAGGCACGGTCAGAGCAACGTTGTGAGTGACCAGGATGCAGGTACGGTTCAGCATCAGAGGACCAGTAAGGGCTTGGCGGAAGATGTGCTTAGCGGTGTGAGAGTCGACGGCAGAGAGACAGTCATCCAGAAGCAAGTGGCGACCACTGCTGTAGATGGCACGGGCAAGAGAAATTCTCTGCTTCTGACCACCAGACAAACTGATACCCTTTTCTCCGACAAGAGTCTGATCACCGGCATCAAGGATCTGAAGATCACGCTCGAGAGCACAGGCCTTGAGCACGGCACGGTAGCGACGCTCATCATAAGGAGAGGCGAAAATGATGTTTTCCTTCACGGTGTCGTTGACCAACCACGCTTCCTGGGCACAGTAGGCGACGCTTTCAATCAAACCAGTTTCGGGGTCAACCGGGAGATCTGCTCTGTTTGACATTCCACCAGGAAGGTGAACACGGCCATCGAGAAGTCTCATCTCTCCAAGCATAGCCATCAGAAGAGATGTCTTTCCAGAGCCAGTAGGACCGGCAATGATGTTCAATTTTCCGACAAGGAACTCAACATCAATGTTGATCAAGCGGAACGAGTCCAGGCCATCAGCGGATCCAGCTGCTTGGGGAGTGGGCTTCGAAGTGCTCCAAGTGAGTGTCGCCTTTTCAAGGCCAAGACGGGCAGGGGTACCTGCAACAGTACTATCACGCAGCTGATCATATTTGCCAGTCTCCTCCTCGTTGAGATACTTGTCCACACGGTCCAGGGAGACCTTCGACTCCTGAACGTGCGCTACCATGTCGGCCAGTTGGTCCAGGGGAACGCGAAGCAAGGAGAACATTGACAACGCAGGGAAGGCAATTGAAGGAGTCAATTGCTTCTTCTCGACAACAGTGTACAAGAAGAATGACAAGAAGGTGATAAGAATCGGTGTTCCGTACCAGACAGTTGCGGCAGAAGACCAAAGGATATAACGCTTGCGAAGCGCCTTCAATTCAGTCTTACGCTTCTCATTGACAATGTCCTGGAAACGTTGCTCCCAAGCAAAGTACTTGATGATGCGAATGTTCTGCAGTACTTCATTGGTGGAATGGATACGGGCATCGGTACCCTTCAAGATTTGGTTTTGCACCTTGTTGAACTGACGGGCGATAAAGAGATTGACGGGTAGCATGCAAACCATGATTGCGATACCAGCAAAAGAGCTGAAGCCCATGATGTAGTATAGCAGAGTGACGGCCATAGTGATCTGCACAGGCACACTAGCCCACAAAAAGTGAAGATAGGCTCCAACCTCGCTGACCTTGAAGGAATCGATCGCCATTAAGTTGATAATTGTACCGACATTAGCTTGAGTAGTATCCTCCTCGGCAGCAGGTTTGGTTCCGTTCTCTGTGTCGTTGGCATTGGCGGCCTTCTTCTTGCGACCGAAAGAGAATAGACCCTTCTTCTTCTTCTTTGCGTCGTTGATAAGAGGTTCTTCCACGGCCTTGCGGGCCGCTTCTACCGAAGCACCTGCTTTGCGTCGGAGGGCCTTGGCATAAATCTCACCAATAATAATCGCGCGAATTCTGACACCCATCTTACGACCGATGTACAGTGCTTGGCCATCAGCCACACCCTGGACCGTAGCACAACAGAAGAGCAAAATAGCGTACAACCAAGCGGCATTAGGCGTAGTGGATCGAGGGTCTTCAACATATTCAAGAATAGCCTTGAGAAGTAGACTGGGCATGAAAACGAACAAGTTGGCAAAGACAGTCCAAGCACCCTGCTTCAAGATCGTCCCAGCAAAGAAGCGAATCAGCTTCCAAGCCAGGGAACCCTTCATCTGGCGCTTGCGGAATTCGCTGAGAACGTTGGCAGCCTTTTGGGACGGGGTCAGGTTCCAGACGTCCTCAAGCTCCAGTGGTTGGCGGTAGCCCTTCAAGACAAGCGGATCGAGCCAGGAGAAGGTTGCAAGTGACAACAAGCTGGCCATGGGGTATGTCGGGGGTTCCAATCCATCTTCACGCTCGACTAGAACTGGCTTGTTTCCTCGGCGAGTAGTCAGTGCAATGAGCAGGAGCAATGTGCTCAGCGAGAACTGAACACTGCTCAGAACCAAGGCGCGCTGAGACAAGGGATGGATAATGGCGGAGCGGAAGACCATGACATTGAAGAGCCACTGAACGCCGTACAGGAAAGCTGTGTGGTTCCATAGGCTTGGGGCGGAAGAAACATCCAATGTCGATAGCAGGAATCGGACCAGCACCAAAAACAGGATGTAACCCCACGATACCAAACCCGCAACGGCGGGAAGGGTTCCATAACGACCCCAGGCTTGAGACGACAAAATCACCACATAGACTGCAATTTGGCCCACAAGCGCCGCGGTTTCGGCCAAGACGATCATAACCTCTCCACGTGGACGGTCGACCTCGGTTTCATTTTGTTCCAGCTGGACAGCCTGGAAGAGCATCGTATCGGATTCGTTTTGATGGCCATTGGGGACCTCGGAGTCCTCATTCGGGAGGACCTTGTATGTTACACCTTTTCGGGAAACCACATATCGATGGGCGAGGCGAATGAGCACCACCAGCACGGAGACGCTGCAAGCCGTGAGGGGAAGGATCACCTGAAGAACGCTATATGATGTATCTCATGATCAGCACGGAACCAACGGTCGCAGGGGCTCTCTTGACGGTACTCACTTGCGTTGAAAGCAACGAGACAAGTCGTCAATGGCCCAGACAGGGCCTTGACATTGCGGCAGCATGACTGACAGAGCGCAAAGCTCGCAGAGACTTATGCTCTCGGACCTCGCGCGCAGTGATTACGCAGCGCTCAAGCTGGCGACAATGTCAAATTCGACAATGCGACTGGATCCAAGTCAATTCTAGTTATACTGTTTCCACTTGACCGGACAAGGCTGGCATTGCAGAATCGACCAAAGTTTGCTGTGTCGGAACGGAAGAAGATTCCGAGACCGAAAGCCGTTGAGGCGAGTGAGCCAGGCTCCAATAGCACCGAGAGAAGCTGACTGAAGTAGTTCAAAGTTGAGATATCTTGTTGAGAGAAACCTTTAGGGCGGGGGAAGAAGAAGAGGAGGACAGGGATTGCGAGTCTTTCCAAAACCGGCGGTGGACGGACTCCGGGTAGAGTAACATAGGCCGCCACCACGTTTTAGGGATGCGGTCGGGGGCAGTTGACGCAGTTGAACAAAGCTATTCTTACAGAGTATATTAGAGAGATATTCATTAACTCCTATGGCCAACTCTAGGTACGAGTTGACGATTACATACTACAAGATTTTCCCCTATTAACTCCGTAGATTTGTACAGTCTTCGAGAGGTCTCTTATCGGTTCCCCACAGCGAGAAAGACATGCAAGTGACCAGGCACATCGAACCCGTTCACTAGCGACCGGAGATGCATGATCACGGCGCCTGATAGCTGATAGGTGACCACCTGGGCAGTATCACAAACCTTGAAAGGCTTTGATTACTCAGTCGCCACCGGTTTTCCCAGGGTTCCCAAAGATTACCAACTTTGTCCATCACTCTCATTTCCAACGCAACTTTCCCACCATGGCAGAACGCATACTCATGAACGAATATAAGGCTCTTCTTAAAGAGAAATGGGTCAACGTGGAGGTAAGATCCCTGAACTCCAGAAGAATCTCCGAACTAACGGTGCCAGTTACACAATGACGACATCTTCAACTGGGATGTGGCTCTGATCGTGATCAACCCGGACTCCATGTACTACGGGGGCTACTTTAAAGCCAAGATGCGCTTCCCGTCAAACTATCCTTACTCCCCTCCAGGTAAGGAGTCTCAAGAATTCCAACCTCCCAACCGCCATATGACTAACGGCGTCGTCCCTCCCCAGAATTCCGATTCCGCAAGGCCTTGCACCATCCGAACATCTACCCGGATGGCAAATTGTGCATTTCAATCCTCCACGCCCCAGGCGAAGATGCAATGTCGGGCGAACTCGCTTCCGAGCGCTGGTCCCCGGCCCAGCGCGTCGAATCCGTTCTGATCTCGATCATCTCCCTCCTCGACGACGCTGAGCCCTCCTCCCCCGCCAACGTCGATGCAGGCATTCTCCTCCGTACGGATCCAGAAGCTTATCGCCAACGAATCAAGGCCGAGGTCGAGAAATCCAAGGCCGATATCCCGGCGGGTTTCGTCATGCCGACACATGAGACCTCTATCGTGAGGGAGCCGGTCGAAAAGGAGGACCATGACTTCTGGGCGGACAGTGATGCAGACAGCGACGTTTTCGGCGGAAGCGACTCGGACGAAGGACTTCAGCAGTTCAGCGACAGCGAAGTTGACGAGCTCGACGACGCGGACGATGACTCGCTCGAGGAGGATACGAAGGACACGGCCAAGGCTTAAGGTAACTGGGCCCCCTCGGGTGCTGGAGTTAAGCGGGAGTGGGAATTGAAAGTGATCTCGTATCTCACATTCATGGCCCTGGACACATGGTTAGCATTCTCGGCGCATATTATCTATCGGGCATTTTATTTTAATTTTCTATTTGGCGTCGTGGGATCATGATTCCAGCATATGGTTATTGCATACGGGGCTTGCGATTTGCGTTGCTAGTTCATTCTACATTCCATCAGATCAATATTCTACTCAATGTCATCATTTTCTCGCATATTGCACCTCTTCCCACACTGGAACATCAGCCCTGTCGCCAATCGCCATCGCCCAGCACAAGTGGGCTTTTTTCCCCACACGATCCCGACCTTAACTCCGTATGAACCGAACTAACTCCTATATCGGAGCTTCCAGTCACTCGGCAGTCGTAGGCAGTCGAATGTATTAACATGTACAAATCTCAGGTGACAAGCTGAGCCCCTGCAATATGGATCATATCTGAAGCCACCAGCCTTTTCCAACGTTACCACATTATGACAGTCTGCGATTTCCACAGCTGGGCCAGCTGCATGGCCGTCAATAACGATCACACCGCAACAACAGCCCCCACAATTATCGGACCCCCTCACTGGGTCCCCGTTCTTCTACCTCGGCTTTGTCGCCTGGACTACAGGAGACGCCGCACGCGCAGCTCTTATCGAACGAATGGACAAGCTTCTGAATCCACACGTTGTGAGGATACAACTGACGTATATCATCACTAAGTAATAACATTCTAACTCCGGTGTTGTCCATTTTGCTTACCTCCATGGAGCACTAGGAATGCACAAGCAACTACAGTACTGCAGGAACAGAAATGATCTAAATCAAGTTGGTTGTATAGTAGACTTATAGTAGACTAGTATACTACGTTGTGAGAATGAAACAAAATAGCAAAAACCAATCTGTATAGGAGTGATACGGGGTAGACCCGTGGACTCAGCGGAATCCAACACGAAATAATAAACCCAAAGAAAATATGAAGTGCGCCTGTGTTAATCCATTCATCCAAATGCCCGAGTTGTTGAATCAGTCACTGACATGATCCGAACAAGCTTCTAATCTATGCAGAGACAGCATCCTTAATCTCGCTGTAGATAGCACCGATCTCGCGGTGGAAGGTCTTCTCGGCATGCTCAAAGGCCTCGTGGAGACGGTCCTCAACATCCTGGACGTAGTCCGCGGCGTCGGCCTTGGCCTTGTAGCCACCATCGGCGAGGATCTGGGTGTAGTTGGAAGAACCACCACCGTTCCAGGCGAGGAGCTAGATAAAGTCAGAATGAAATGACACAAGAAGGGGAGTGGTAAGGAATAACTTACGTTGGGGGTGTCAGAGGGAATGTCAGTCAGTGTGCCCTTGGTGGCAACGCTGATGAGAGCATCCTTGAGCTGCTTGGGGGTGACATCGGCAACAGCGAAGGCCGAGTCCTTGGCAGGAGCCAGGGAGACGTAGTAGGCCAGGAGACCGGCAATGTGAGGAGAGGCCATGGAGGTACCGGAGATGGTGTTGGTGGCGTACTTGCTGCCGATCCAGGTGGAAAGAATGTTCAGACCGGGGGCGAAGATGTCAGTGCACTTGCCGTAGTTGGAGAAGTAGGCACGCTCATCAGCCAGGGTGGAGGCACCGACGGTGACGGCCTTCTCGGCGGCAGCAGGGGAGTAGTTGCAAGCATCAGCGTTGTCATTACCGGCAGCGACAGCGAAGTGAATACCAGCATCGACAGCGGCGTTGACAGCGAGATCCAGAGTGCGGGAGCTGCCACCACCAAGAGACATGTTGGCAACGCTACCCTTGAACTTCTTGTCACCAGCCTTGGACTTCTTGATGTGAGCCTCAGCAGCCCACTCAACACCCTTAACGACATCGGACATGGAGCCAGAGCCGTTGGAGCGGAGGACCTTGACGGCGTAGACGTTGGCCTTCTTGGCAACACCGTACTTCTTACCGGCGATGGTACCGGAACAGTGGGTTCCGTGACCGTTTCCATCCTCATCGGCATCGCCCTGAGGGACAGTCTTGCCCCAGTTGGCACGACCCTCAAAGTCAGTGTGGTCAACGTTGGTACCAGTGTCAATCACGTAGGCATCAACACCCTCACCGCCATCCTCGGCGTAGAGGTACTTGTTGAAGGTGCCGAAGGAGAGGCTCTCACGGTGAGAGATACGGGCGAGACCCCAAGGGGCGTTCTTCTCGGTCTGAGGCCCATCCATGGTGCGGACCTCGGAGTCCTTCTCGATATACTCAACCTAAACATCGGAACAATTTGATTAGCTTTTGCAGATATGTAGTAGAAAGGGGGGGTTCTTACATCCGGATGCCGGCGGACCTGCTCGATAACATCCTCGTGGAAATGACCAGCATAACCAGTGAGACCACCAGCGATGTGGAAAGTGTGCTTGAGACCGGTGAAAGCCTCGAAATCGAAGTCAAACAAGGAGCGCTTCTTCAGCTCCATGCGACCGTTCTGGGCAGTGTGGATGTCCTGCACCCAGCTGTGGTGAGCCGAAGCAACCTTCTGGTTTACATGGTTCTTGAACACAATAATATAGGAGTCAGGAATGTCTTGTGCGGTTGATGAGGAGAGGATGGGAGCTGCGTCATTGTGGATAGAGCCCACCGATAGAGGTGAGGCAACTGCCAGCAACGGGAGCAGAGATAGGCTCAAGAAGCCTTTCATGCTGGGCAGATGGGAATCAAAAACAGATTCAAGAAAAAAAGGATAAATAGTAGGGAGTGTAGGATGAGTTGAGGATAGGATGGGGGGAAGATGAGAAGGAAAGTGAGGAGAAGACGGGGGAGGTCTCTCTTATCTGAGGTGATGATGCAAGCAACCTGTGACCTGGATTTGTCGATCATTGACCAGTCAGAGTGGAGTACGGGGAATGTACGGGTATCGCCTCTTTTGCAGTTCTGCCTATCTTAAAACTGGGACAGCGATGTATAATTAGCTTTTTTCTTACAACCTAGAGCTGCGCTATTCCCAGTATACGAGACTATTCTCATATTACAAGAAGATGATACCCTGAGACTACACTGCCTTGATTCGTGGAGACGCCAGGTACCCGGGTCCCTGCACCTTGCCGCTGAAAGGCAACTTCTCCTCCGAAGTCGCGTGCTCGGGTGACTCAACCCTGCCTTGTTCAGGGTATGGAAGACAAGCTCATTATTGGATCGCTGAACCTGTGACTGATCGGCGGAGTATAAAGGTCAGGTCTCATAGGATCTCAGCTGGTCTATCTTCCCAAGGTTCTCCACATTACACGGAGAGCTGTCTTATCGCTTATCATCTCCTATCATCCTGTAAAATTACCTGTTTTGGGAATACGTCCAGCCCCCAAGTCACCTGATATGTAACTTCCCCCTCACCTCCCAGTGTGGCTGATTTTAGTCCGATGACGACAAGCGCGAATTAGCCTTACTGTCTCCCTTGGCGCACTGTAATGCAGACTGTACCCGCAGTTTCCATATACATGGTCTCCGATGGTCACACGGAGCGGACGTGATTAAGATTTGGCCATGGCTCCGGCTTCCCTCCATCCTGCCTCCCCCGCCGGATCGACCGATCGATTGACGGATGAGCTAGCTCCCACCATTGAACAGCTCCAGAAACTCGGTGCCGGCACCGAATTTACCCTCCCACAGGCCCTGTCGACGACCGAGTCGCTGCTTCGTCTCCGTCATACCTTTATCGACGATGCTCATCCGCGGACCGCCAAAGACGCATTCCGATATCATCAGGGCTTCCAGACTCTTTTGGGACTGGCTGACAAGCTAGCCGAGCTTTACGACCCCGAAATTTTGTCCCAGGGAGAACGAAAAAGCCTACTCGGGATTTTCAAGGATGTGTTGGGCGTTCTGGCCGAGGGCCTCAAGGACCATTTTGGTAACAAGCGTTACTTTGCGCGGAGAATAGTTGGAGGCGGTATTGCTGCATTGGAGGCAACTCTGACCACGTTGGTCAAGAAGATAGATACAGCCAAAAGTGATGCACAACATCTCTACGGGGCCATTCTGGCCGCCGCTCTATGCCAGGAGACCGTGGCGGGCATCTTTGTGACTCTGGACACCAAGTTTCCCGAAAGCGACAACCACCGGTCTCCAAAAGATGTTCAAGATGCCGTTGATAGCTGCATTGGGTCAACAGAAACAGTGGAGGTACCGGAACTGCTCGGACCATTCCTTCGTGTCTGGCTGATGCACTCATCCCTTTCGTCTGGATATGATACTCTCCGCCTGGCTTTGCCTGCTTGCCTCTGCCAACTTGCCTCGCAATCACGCAGGAATGTTGTAGCCCTGCATGCCACTGATATGCTGACGTCGATTTTACCTCTCTTGTTCGACGGCGCAAGATCCGAAAGCGAAAAGACAATATATCAAGACCTTGCCAAATATCTCAGCGTTCAAGGCATGAGCAACCTGGATGATGCGGTAGCTCTATATCGTGGGGCTCACGAAAACCCGCAAGTATTGAAGGTCCTACTTGCTGCTCTCAAGTCATCGAAGGAACCTCCTTCGATACAGTTTGATATGTCCCGACATGGATATTGCTCCGTCGAGTTTGGAACCCTTGGCCGTCCTTTCCCACCTATCACTTCCGCTGGATACACTCTTTCTGCGTGGGTTCGTTTTGATGAATTTGATCCCAATACTCATACCACTGTCTTTGGAGCGTTCGATGCTAGCCAAACATGTTTCATTCTTGCATATCTTGAGAAAGACACTCGAAATTTCATCCTCCAGACGTCAATTCGTGGACCCCGACCTAGTGTTCGATTTAAGTCAGCCAAGTTCGAGCCGAAGCGCTGGTATCATATTTGTGTCGTGCACAAGAAGCCCAAGCCAATGTCTTCTGCGCGAGCATCCCTTTTTATAGACGGCGAATTCGTCGAACAATTGAAGATCGAATATCCCTCGGTTCCTACAACCCACCATCCAAGCAGACCACCTCGGATTCAGGCATTCTTTGGCACTCCCCAAGACCTTGCAATGCGCCTTGGGAAGGGTGTGTCTACTTCACGATGGTCGCTTGCCAATGGTATGCTGTTTGACGAAGCTTACAGTGATGACATGATTGCCGTTTTCTATAACCTTGGCCCTCGGTATTATGGCAACTTCCAAGATTGCCTGGGATCCTTCCAAACATACAAGGCTTCTGCAACCCTGAATCTTCGTAACGAGCATTTGCACCCGGGCAAAGAAGAGACATCAGATATTGTTACTGCCATTCGGAGGCGGGCAAGTACTTTAATTCGCGAGAGCTCAATCTTGATCAATGTTTCATCTACTGCTGTTCTGGATGATGATGACAGTAATAATGTGGACGAGTCGCAACTGATCAAATGCTTGTCAAGGCAAGCAGCGAAGAGCCTACAGCAGCTCACGAAAGCGGGGGGCAACGCTGTTGCTGTCAACGGTGCAACTCCGGCCATCAATGATGGGCTGACACAACCCCAAGGAGTAGGCATTTTAACTGGCGATCCTGTTGTCGCTGTTCCTAGAGCACTTGACGATGCCAGTTGGTGTCTAGGTGGCTGTGCCGCGGTCCACTTGAGCTTAGTCCAGGCTGCAAGCACTGCTGAAAGCACTCGCATGGCTGTGGAGGCCCTTTACGAAGCCGTTCAAGACAACTGGAGAAATAGCGAAGCTATGGAACGAGAAAACGGTTATGGTATACTTGGAGCTTTGTTGCGTGAGAAGCTTGGATTCCACATGGGTAATGTCCCAGGCGCAGCGAGAATTCATGTGGTCACCTCTGACCCTGATGAGATATCTACCCTGACGCTTGACTTATTGCGCCTGACTCTCGCATTTGTTGGTTACGACTTCAAGCAACCCAATCGATCCATCATCACAAATCCACTCGCCTATCGTATCCTGCTTGTCGACATGGACGTCTGGCGATTGGGAGAACCCGCTGTGCTTGAATTGTATTACTCGCAATTCCGCACCTTTGCTTCAGATAGTAACTATCGTCGTTTCAATGCTAGACGTCTCGGTCGTATGCGTGAGTTTTTCTGGCACTACAAGCATTTTGTTCAAGCTAATCGAAATAGGCGTTAACAAGAAATTGTTGGAGACATTGAAGAGCGGAGACTTGACTGAGGAATCCCTCCAACCTTGTCTATCAGCATTCCGCTCGTTGATGGAGAGCAGCCCGTCTCCCGATCTCCTACGCTCATTGTCGTTATCAATTACCTATGCACTCCACAGGCCAAAAACTCTCTCTAATTTACAAAGGAAGAAGAGTTTGCGGTTCGCTCCCCCTTCCTCACGACCAGCATCAGCAAAATCGGAGTCAAGTAAAGTACCCAGTATCACTTTGGGAATCGAAATGCTGCGTCTCTATGCCTCTGTGCTTTGTGATCCCAGCGACCCCGCGCCTTTGAGGAAATTCGCCAAAGCTGTCACAAACAAGTGGCTTCTTTACCTTATGTGTGAAGATGAACCTGAAATCGTAGTACTTGCTACAAAGATATTAGCCCGGCTACTCGTGGTCCACGGCAGTGGTTACAGTAAGAAGTTTGCAGAGAAAAGCGGCGGATACATCATCCTAGAACACCGTTTGAAACGATGGTGGAATGTGCCCGCTCTGTGGCCTATCTGCTTGTCCATCTTCTTCGGTCGTGACATTGCCATGATGGATCTTGCAAAACCACTTGACCAGCCTGGCCTGCTGAATCTGTTCCTGAAAGAAGAAGATCTTAATGTCATCTTCCCAGATATGCTTCCTGTGATTGTGAATATGATGAAGAGCGGGATGCGGCATATCATCATGCAAGAGGGTCAAACTAGCCCCAGCGGTGATGGTCTCGAAGAGCAGGCCTCCAAATGCGATAAGCCAAGAATGGACTCGCTCAAGCTACATGGTAAGCTTCTAGACAGATGACTATAGATTTTTTCTAACATTGAACTTTAGACTCTGCTAGCGCCGATCAGACTACACTTGGGTTCTCCATGATCAACTCGGTTGTCAAATTTTTGGCAGAAGCACGCACAAAATCCTCAAGCTTCCAAGATTTCACTACACACTCTACCTACGTACAAGAACTTCTTTCTGTGCTATATCCTGTGATTGTCGGCGCTGATACCGTTGGTCCCAACACGGAGCTGAACTCTCGCCACAGTGGACTTAGCTTTGACGATAGCAATCTGGTTCTCCGGCCACGCTCAAGTACTGCAAATGCATCTGCTGCGTTGCAGACGACCACAGTAGATGATTCCGGCAACCCCGAGGAAAGCACGGGCTCATTACGACGTGGTTCGTCTTTCATTCTGGTATCCTCTGGTAAGGCCAAGCACCAGCCGTCTTCTGCTCGCATTCGTCGTTTTGTGAACCCAACCTTTACCGGCAATGAAGCTGCAATGCAACATCCACTTGTCAAGTCCATATTTGACCTCATCCTGGCGGTCTTCAAGGCTCAATTACTGGGGCGCAAAGACTTCTCAGGTCTTGGCCTCTACCTCAAGACGCCGCCTGGCTTTTTGGAACACCAAGCGTACTTCAATTCCTGGGTCTTCAGCTCTGTGCTTTCCGCCTTACAAGATTTACCTTTGGTTCAGCCGGGTCTTCTCCATGAGCCACGGACCCTGACGAACCTTGGGCGCTTGTCAACGCATTTGACAGAGGCAGTGTATGAAGGCTGGTTCATCAATGGAGCCGCGTCTACCCTTGAATTTTCCGGGACAATCCTAGAATACCTGCAGCGCCCTGATATATCGCAACTGAAGAGCATCCGTCTGTGCAACCAGACTGTAACAAGTATTCGCTCGACCCTTTACAAAGTTGTCTTATTCCAGTTGTCAGAAGCAGATGATACACAGACTGTCCCTCTCCTGAATCGCTTGAACTACTGGCAGGTAGTCTTTCTCTCCGCGGCTGAAACCCAGTCCAAGCACTTGCACCTGCTGTGCTATCTTCTTTACACCAAGCTGATCAGTACAAACGCAACCGTCCGCTCGGCTGCTGCAAGTATATGGAGAATCATACTGGTGCAAGCACCCGATGAAATCACACTCCTTCTAAGCCATGTCCCTGCTGCCCTTCAACGTCGGTTAGCTGACGGCTTTGACGCTCTTTCGGGAATGGAAGATGAATCATTTTTGCAGTGGATCGACGAGCAGCGTGATGATCTCGATTCTTTGTTTTTCGGTATAATGTCTCGGTCATGGGAGATGTTTGTCCAAGAAGAGAATGTCAGCAGCGAAGATTCCGTCCGCACTCGTGTTTCAAAACGCAAAGACAAACTGAGACAGTGGGCTCAAATTGAAAAGTTCGATGAAGACATGGTTCGAAAGCATGATGTAACATTACCACACTGGGTCTCCAATATCGCGGCATCGGAGTTCTTGAAGTCCCAAAGATTCTTGCAAGATTTGCATGACAGTTCAACATTCATGTGGTCTGCCTTCTCGACTCTGCTGCTCGATCTCCGGCGACCGGGTGGTCTTCTAGCGGAGAACAAGGAAAGAAGATGGTGGCTTGACCAGACGGAAGGTCGCAGTCGCATGCGACTTCGGCTTGTTCCCGATGAGTCCGGCGATCGGCAAGACTACCAGCCCAAGCGGAAGGCCTCCGAACCTCCAGCAATCAAGATCGATACCCGGATACGTGCACTTTCGGAGGGAGAGAACATGAATACGCCTCATCCCCTTAACGAGGAGCGTGAAAATGTGGAGCCCGAGTCACCAGGGGGTGATGCTGAAAATCGCAGCATGTTGGAGGATAACTTTGAGATGATTGATGATCCCAAAATCGAGCTGGAAGACTACGAGGATAGGAATAGGAAGGTCATGCGATCTTTGCAACGGGGCGATCAAGTACAAAGCGTGTGCAATTTGTCGCGTATCATCGGCCTAGAAGCAGTGGAAGGAATCCTGATTATTGGAAAAGACTGCATCTACATTTTGGATAATTTCTTCCAGAGAGCGGATGGCGAAATTGTCAATGTTTGGCAGGCTCCCAACGAGGAGCGAGATCCTTATGTGCGCATGATTGCCGGTCGAGAGTCCAATGACCGCCGCTCCCAAGAGCATGATACAAGAAGCTGGAAATGGTCAGATTTGGTCAGCGTATCCAAGCGCCGCTTTTTGTTCCGTGATGTTGCTCTGGAAATCTTCTTCACGGACGGCACAAGCTATCTATTGACCCTGATGTCCGCAAAGTCACGAGATGACTTGTGCAATCAACTTGGAATTAAGGCGCCACAGATCACTGGCAGCGCCGGACACTCACGGCCAGAAGATATCTGGCGTTTTGAGACTCTCCGCAGTCAAGATGATGCACCTCAGTCCCTTGGTTCAAAGTTTGCCAGTGTATTCGGTCATCTCCCGGCAAACCCAGCAACTCGAAAATGGGTCAAGGGAGAAATCTCCAATTTCCATTATCTCATGCTGATCAACACTTTTGCCGGGCGAACCTTCAATGATTTGACCCAATACCCTGTCTTCCCGTGGGTCCTAGCAGACTATACCAGCGATGAACTTGACTTGACCAACCCAGCCACCTTCCGAGATCTATCCAAGCCTATGGGATGCCAAACGCAAGAGCGAGAAGCGGGCTTCCGAGAACGTTACAATGCTTTCGCTGAGATGGGCGATGATAATTCGCCTCCTTTCCATTACGGAACTCACTATTCCTCTGCCATGATTGTCAGCTCTTACCTTATTCGCCTCCAACCCTTTGTCAAGTCATATCTCCTCCTTCAAGGTGGCAACTTCGACCATGCAGACCGCCTCTTTTATTCCATCCGCAAAGCATGGGAGTCAGCATCTCGGGGAAACATGTCCGATGTACGAGAACTGATCCCCGAATTCTTCTATCTCCCCGAGTTTTTCGTAAACTCAAACAAATACGACTTCGGTCTTCTTCAAAATATGACTACAGCCATCGACTCGGTTGAACTGCCCCCATGGGCCAAGGGCGATCCCAAAATCTTTATCGCGAAACACCGGGAGGCCCTTGAAAGCCCCTACGTGTCTGAAAACCTGCATCACTGGATTGATCTGGTATTTGGCAGCAAGCAAAAAGGCGAGGCGGCTATTGAATCTGTCAATGTCTTCCATCATCTCTCTTACAAGGGCGCTAAGGATTTGGATGCTATCGATGATCCCATGGAACGACTTGCTACTATTGGTATTATTCACAACTTTGGACAAACACCCCATCAGATCTTCCAGAGACCACATGCACCGAGGGAAGATCAACGACATCGCATACCTCGACTGGATACGCTTGCAGAGTCGCTCACGCAGATGCCATTGTCTCTTCTTGGTAAGTCTTCTCTTTGGTGGTGCTATTTTGCTGGAACACGTTCGTTGGTGCTAACACTATGTAGATATCGAGGAGCGAGTATCCAATCTGTCCATGAAGCAGGATCGTCTTCTTTGCACTGCCGCTTTGAGGCTCAATGTTCCACCAACCTACGAGCATTATATGGAGTGGGGATTCTTCGATGGAAGTGTCCGGTTCTATTCTACTGACACTCGCAAGGTATGTATTTTTATGGGTCATCATATTGTTTTAGTTCTAATCTTTTTAGCTCCTGGGGCACTTTGAGCACCTTCACGTTGGCCAGCTCTCCTACGCCAGCTTTGCTGATTCACGCACTCTTGTTACTTGTGGTACCGACTGTACTATCTCGTTATGGACGGTGACTGCCACGTCCAAGTCGGTCGATTTGCAGCCAATTGGATCACTCTTTGGTCACCGAGCCCCGGTCACCGTGCTTGCCGTTTCACGCTCCTTCAGTACCTTATTATCTGCGTCTACTGATGGACAGATCATGCTATGGGATCTCAATCGACGATGTTTCGTGCGAGCACTGCCAACTGATGGCGCGGTTGACGTAAGTTCCTTCCCTTTTTCGGCTTCACTTCCTTTTCTAACAAATCTGTAGTGTGCCCGAATCAACGATGTCTCTGGGGACATCATGGTTTGCCGCGGCAATCGCTTGACCCTGTACACCCTCAACGGAGTAGTGCTAGTCGACCAGTCTGTCTGCGACACAAGTGATGACCACGTCTTGTCATGCGTCTTCTACGAAGGCGTGCAAAATGAATGGCTAGAACGTGAACTGGTCTTGACCGGCCATTCTCGTGGCGTAGTCAACATCTGGAGCAAAACTATCCGCGCTGGCCGGTTCGAACTGGAGTTGATCCGGCAGCTGCATCATACCGACAGCAGCCGCGACACCGGGGCGAACATTAGCGCAGGTATTAGCTGCATCCTGACCCTTCCCCACGTGGTTTATACCGGGGACGAGGCCGGCCGAGTGGTCCGTTTCCCCCTTCTCCCTCCATTGACCTGGCTAACCTGATCGTAGTATGAGTGGAATTGTATCCAGCGCCGCTAGGTGTCGGAGTGTCGACTGCCTTGTTGCCTTTGATCCGACTCTCCATGCGTCACCCCACAGCCTCTAAATCTAAGTAGACTGACATTGACGACTTTCCATTTCAGGAGAACCCTCGCGTCATCGGGGGCATTTAGCGTCCATAGCGAAATCCAAGATGGCTTTCTACCAACTATGCGCGGTATTTAACCGGGGGTCCGGTGAGCATGCAGAACCGCTGTATTAGTGGGCCGTCGCCCGGTCTACCATCCTCCGGTTGGGGATATGTCGGAGCACACTGAGCCGGATCGAGAACAAACATAGAATAGGATACCTAGAACAGGTCAGATCATAGGGATCATTTGCATTGAGTATCGCAGGAAGAATAGGAAGAATAGAAAGAACAGGTTAGGTCTAGAGATGAGCGAAGAAGAACGAAAGCAAACGGCGTCAGGCACTGTGCCTGTGTTTCTGCGTTTCTGCCCTCTTCTCTCAGCGCGTCATTTGCCCCACCACATCCCACCTTGGATGTGGCACGGGGGTACTTGGCTTCACTATGGGACTCCCCTACAAACCACAAGTACCGGGCAATTGAGCTGGTTCGAGTCCATGACACACCCCTCCATCTAAATACCGCGCCGCCGCCACTCTTCTTTCTCCTTTCCTTTCATTCTCCCATCTCATTCTCTATCTCTCATAATGTCTTCTTCTCTCGAACAACTCAAGGCCACTGGCACCGTCGTCGTTTGCGACTCTGGTAAGCAGCTCTTCTCCGCTTACTCTGGAAACATAGCTAACAGATTCTCTAGGTGACTTCGCCAGTATGTATTCCCCCGGAATTGCCTGCGATCCCTGCAATTCTTGCAATTCCAGTCTCCAATGGATGGAATAGGCCGCTAACATGAGATAGCCATTGGCAAGTACAAGCCCCAGGATGCCACCACCAACCCCTCCCTGATCCTCGCTGCTTCCAAGAAGCCCGAGTACGCCGCTCTCATCGACACTGCCGTTGCCTACGGTAAGCAGAAGGGCAGCTCCCTCGATGAGAAGGTCGAGGCCACCCTGGACCGCCTCCTCGTCCAGTTCGGCAAGGAGATCCTCAACATCATCCCCGGCAAGGTCTCTACTGAGGTCGACGCCAAGCTGTCCTTCGACACCGAGGGCTCCGTCAAGAAGGCCCTTGAGATCATCAAGGTATGTTCCAGGGTCCGCACCGCGCTGGCAATATATCCGGCTAATCCGAATCTAGCTCTACGAGGAGAACGGTATCTCCAAGGACCGTGTCCTGATCAAGATTGCCTCCACCTACGAGGGTATCAAGGCTGCCCACATCCTGCAGTCCAAGTACGGCATCAACTGCAACCTGACCCTCATGTTCTCCCTGGTCCAGGCCATCGCCGCCGCTGAGGCCGGTGCCTTCCTCATCTCTCCCTTCGTCGGCCGTATCCTTGACTGGTACAAGGCCGCTCACAAGCGCGACTACACCGCCCAGGAGGACCCCGGTGTCAAGTCCGTCCAGGACATCTTCAACTACTACAAGAAGTTCGGCTACAACACCATTGTCATGGGTGCCTCGTTCCGTAACGTCGGCGAGATCACCGAGCTGGCTGGTTGTGACTACCTGACCATTGCCCCCGCCCTCCTCGAGGACCTCTACAACTCCAGCGCTGCTGTTCCCCAGAAGCTCAACGCTGCCGATGCCCACAGCCTGGACATCCAGAAGCGCGAGTACCTCAACAACGAGGCTCTCTTCCGCTTCGACTTCAACGAGGAGGCTATGGGTGTTGAGAAGCTCCGTGAGGGTATCTCCAAGTTCGCTGCTGATGCCGAGACCCTCAAGCAGCTCCTTGCCCAGAAGATCCAGGCTTAGAGGCTATGATTTGATGTGTTTGAATTTTATGTAAATTGGCGATCCCCCAAAATTGGAATCGGTAGATACGAATTGATGAACTTCTGCTCCGGTTTTCGGTCTCCACGCTGTAAATTTTCGTACTGTCTCGTTCAGGAGCGTAGGGGTCCGGTTCAATCAGCAAATTGATCTGGCCGGGTCGGCTTATTCAGTGACCCCGCACAGGTCGGATTGCATCGGTTGCTATTCCTGATTTTTACTGTATATCCGAGAGATCAATGGCTAGCTTAGGATGAATGATAACGTGAAATGGACAACTACACCTGAGCAGTACTGTCCCCTATTACCAACCATTGAGCAGAAAGCTCTCGGAGGGGTAGGTACCGGTACTCGTGGTCCCGGCCAAACCCCCACTACGAGTCCCGTACCAGTACATAGTCTCCATTATGTCATTCCCCCTCGTTCCGACTCGCCTGAGGAGGTGGGGGATTGTTTTAGTTGGGCTGGGAAGAGGGTAGAGTCACGTCAACATCCGCTTATTCCCACCTCGTCTTTTCCCCCCCTCTTCTTCTTCTTCTTCAATATATACTCCAATTCTTTACTTTTCATCTCAAACTATATCAAAATCCATCAAAATGGTTAAGGCTGGTAAGTCCACTTTTCTTCAGCCAACAGATCCCGGCCCTTCAAGGTCCCAGGGGACCTTGAGCAAATTTGAGCACCTTGGGATCCTGAGCCCCAATTCCGAGCCTATCGGCTTCGTTCCCCTGCAACACCTAGAATCTGCCCTGTCCAGGCTGACAGCTTATTTGTCACTGGGGTTTGGTCGGTAGGGCTTGGGTGCTGGGGAGCGTGGAGTTGGGAGCGTGGAGCTTAAAGCTTGGAGCTTGGAGCTTGCTCGGGTCCAGCTTTTCTCCGCCGTCAATCGACCTGCTAGAATATGAGAATATGTTATTGATCGTGTCTGTCTGCAGTTGCTGTTCTCCGTGGTGACGCCAAGGTCGCCGGTACCGTCACCTTCGAGCAGGCTGATGAGTCCGCCCCTACCACCATCTCCTGGAACATCACCGGCAACGACGCCAACGCTGAGCGTGCTTTCCACGTTCACCAGTTCGGTGACAACACCAACGGCTGCACCTCCGCTGGTCCTCACTGTATGCTACAATCTCAGCTCTTGACTGCCGATGAAACATACTAATGACGCTAGTCAACCCCTTCGGCAAGACCCACGGTGCTCCCACCGATGCTGACCGTCACGTCGGTGACCTTGGCAACTTCAAGACCGATGCTGAGGGTAACGCCAACGGCTCCATGCAGGACAAGCTCGTCAAGCTGATTGGCGCCGAGTCCGTCCTGGGCGTAAGTTTAAGCAGGTCACAATTTGAGGGTGCAAATCACTAATGTCTTTTTTGTAGCGTACTCTCGTCGTCCACGCCGGTACTGATGACCTCGGTAAGGGTAGCAACGAGGAGTCCAAGAAGACCGGTAACGCTGGTCTCCGTCCCGCCTGTGGTGAGTGGAAATTAGGCCCCCTTTTCATCGTCAATGGACTCAATGCTAATCAATTGCTAGGTGTCATTGGTATTGCCGCTTAAATGCGCAATTCCGCTTGATGATGTTCGGACTTGATATCCCCCCTGAAATTGAACTTGGGGGTGAAAAGTTAGGGTAGTTCCTGGCTGGATACATGAATGAATGATACTTAACTTACCATAAAAACTGGAGTTGATCACACCACTCATGAAGATACACACGTAGACTCGTAGATATCGAAGGCGTAGAAGCTTCGAGCGGCCGCTGACCGCTTTCCCCCACAAGTCTAAACACCGGCCACGTTTCCCCTCAGGACTTAGCTGTTCACAACTCCTTTCTTCTGCTTTGTGTTACTTCTTTTTCCTCTTGATTTTGTCCATTTCATCTCATTTGTTCATTTGTCGGGAAGTGGTGTCTAATTTTCAGCATGCCTTTCGAAGCCCGGGTCAAGTCTGTCCTGTCCGGCGACACTGTCGTGCTGTCGCATGTCACCAATCCCTCACAAGAACGCGTCCTGAGCTTGGCCTATGTGTCTGCTCCCCGGTTAAGGAGAGAAGGTGATGAGGTGGGTAATATATCTGTGGAAAATGTGCTCAATTGCAAACAAATAACCATGTTCGGATTGATTGCGCACTTCCCATCCTGTTACTTTTTTCAGTCACCATTGACTATATAGCTCTGGACTGATGAAGGGGCAAATGAAACACAACTAACACATCTGTCAACTATAGCCATATGCGTTCCAATCCCGTGAATTCCTCCGTGAACTCCTTGTCGGCAAGGTTGTCCAGTTCCACGTTGTCTACACCATTCCCACCGGTGCCAAGCGCGAGTACGGTACCATCAAACTGCCCGGTTTCGACGCCTCATTGCCCGATATCAGTGTTCAAGAAGGCTGGACCCGTGTCCGTGAAGAGGCTGGCAAACGTAGCGATGAATCTGAGGAGACAATTGCTCTTCTTGAGCGTCTGCGTGCCCTAGAGTCACTCGCTCAGGGTGAAAGCAAGGGAACCTGGAGTGCTGACAATGGCGTTATCGAAACCAGCTATGAGTTGACTGGTGCTCGTGAATTGGTTCGGCAGAAGTCCGGTCAGCAGTTAGAGGGTATTATCGAGAAGGTCCTGAATGGTGACCGACTTGTGTTGCGTCTGCTGCTTTCTCCCACAGAGCATGTTCAGACTGTTATTGCCGTCGCTGGTGTTCGTACCCCATCTGCTAAGCGCACCACAGAGGGTAAGGAAACGGCTGCCGAGCCTTTCGGTGATGAAGCACAGCAGTTTGTGGAATCTCGTCTGTTGCAGCGTAAGGTCAAGGTTTCCCTGCTTGGTGTGACGCCGCAGGGTCAACTGGTCGCTACTGTCCTCCACCCCAATGGAAACATCTCTCGATTCCTTCTTGAGGCTGGTCTCGCCCGTTGCCAGGATCATCACTCTACCCTTCTAGGCCCTGATATGGCTCTTCTCCGCCAGGCCGAGCTTGAGGCCAAGGCTGGCCGCAAGGGCTTGTTCGTTGGACACACTGGTCCCACCACTGCGGGTGCCTCCGCCGAGGACTACCTGGTCACCCGTGTGCTGAACGCCGACACTCTCTTTATCCGGAACAAGGCTGGTAAGGAGAAGAAGATCAGTCTCGCCAGTACCCGTCAGCCCAAGCCCTCCGACCCTAAGCAGGCTCCCTTCGCCGCTGAGGCCAAGGAGTACCTTCGCAAGCGGGTTATTGCTAAGCACGTCAAGGTCACCGTGAACGGCAAGAAGCCCGCCAATGAGGGCTACGAAGAGCGCGAGGTCGCTACTGTTGTTCAGGGCAACACCAACGTTGGAATTGCTCTTGTGGAAGCTGGTTATTCCTCTGTCATCCGTCACCGCATGGATGATGCCGATCGTTCCCCCGACTACGATGCCCTGCTCGTTGCTGAGGCTGAGGCTCAAAAGGAAGGCCGTGGAATGTGGTCTTCCAAGGCTCCCAAGGCCAAGCAATACCAGGACTACTCCGAGAGCGTCCAAAAGGCCAAGTTGGAGCTTGGTATCCTGCAGCGCCAGAAGCGTGTTCCTGCTGTCGTTGACTTCGTCAAATCTGGCTCTCGCTTCACCGTTCTGGTTCCCCGTGACAACGCCAAGCTGACTCTCGTCCTCTCCGGTATCCGTGCTCCTCGCTCTGCCCGCGGCCCTAGCGACGTCGGTGAGCCTTTCGGTCAGGAGGCCCACGACCTTGCCAACCGCCGCTGCATGCAGCGTGATGTCGAGATCGATGTTGAGACCATTGACAAGGTCGGTGGTTTCATTGGAAGCTTGTACGTCAACAAGGAAAACTTCACCAAGGTCCTACTGGAGGAGGGCTTTGCCACCGTGCACGCATACTCGGCTGAGCAGTCTGGTCACGCCGCTGAGTACTTCGCTGCCGAGCAGCGTGCCAAGGATGCCCGCAAGGGTCTCTGGCACGACTACGACCCTGCTAAGGAGGCTGCTGAGGCTGAGGAAGCCGAGGCTGCCAACGGCACTGGTACTGGCACTGAGAGCGATGCTGCCCCTATTCAGCGTCGTAAGGACTACCGCGACGTGATGGTCACCTACGTCGACCCGGCCACCGCCAAGCTCAAGCTGCAGCAGATTGGCACCGGCACCAACGCCCTCACCGAGCTCATGAGCGCTTTCCGTACCTTCCACATCAACAAGGCCAACGACGCTCCTCTCCCCGGTCCTCCTAAGGCTGGCGACTGGGTCGCCGCCCAGTTCACCGAAGACGGCAACTGGTATCGTGCCAAGGTCCGCCGTAATGACCGTGAAAACGAAACCGCCGAGGTGGTATATATTGACTTCGGAAACTCCGAGTCCCTCCCCTGGGCTAAGCTCCGCCCTCTCACGCAACCCCAGTTCTCCGGCCAGACTCTCCGCCCCCAGGCCATTGACGCCGTGCTCTCCCTCACGCAGTTCCCTACTTCCGAGGACTACCTCGAGGATGCCGTCGGCTTCGTCGGCGACCAGACCTTCGATCGCCAGCTCGTCGCCAACGTTGACCACGTCGACCAGGATGGCACCCTGCACGTCACCCTCCTCGACCCCTCCGTCTCCAAGAACTTGGACAACAGCATTAACGCTGACATCATCTCCGAGGGTCTCGCCATGGTGCCTCGCAAGCTGAAGGCTTGGGAACGCGCTTCCGTCGACACTTTGTCCAACCTCCGCACACTTGAAGACGAGGCCAAGTCCGAGCGTCGCGGAATCTGGGAATACGGCGACCTGACCGAGGATTAAATTCCTGTATCTATTGACTCTTCTGTTATCCTCTTGTTTGATTTCACCGCTGTGAGGGGCGACTGTACAAAATAATTGTTGGGGTTGACCCTTCCCTTAAGTTTTAAGTTACTATCTAGCTATCCATGTAACCCATTTCCATATGTGGTTTTGTGCTAGGAATGAATGAATTGTATTGTGTGTTTGTATATTTCACGTTGCAGTACATTACAGAGCGTACAGAGTACTTTACAGGTTCGTAACTATAAATCCTTGGTTTCGATGACCGACTTGATACACTTTTCACCAGCGTTCCCTAGTTGATCCCTGCCGATTAGCTTTTCTGATCTCCGTTGATCTACGTGGTCCATGCCTGCACAACAGCCCTAAACTGAGATTAAGCCCGAGACATAGAGCAGATATTTTGGGGTACACTCGTTGAAAAGAGCTTTTTGCCTCTATGGCTTGAATCAGTGATGTGGGCTGCAAACTATAAACTATGACAGCTTACCGGGCATAGTATGTGTTGCTAGCACTATGTACTTAGATTTCTTGCTACTGCGAAGCCGTGCCAGGCGGCTCAATCAGGGGCTTTTTCCTGCGAACCCCTGGGGACTGTGCTTATCTAGATCTGTCTTAGCGTAGATGAAGCAGTAGGAGTATCGTTGGACAATTGTAAGGAAATATACGCATTGATCATTGATTCATTCCACAAGGCGCTTGCAAATAAAACGTAAATAGTATTAATATATAGTTTCGTAGCCCATCATCAAACGATATAACTCCTCAGGGTCTTAGTACATACAGTATACCTCCTACTAATGCTGATATGTCAGATTAATTTTCACCGCCTCTATTCCGCCACTGATCCCCCGTCCAAATTGACCTCCCCAACCCACCTTTGATTCATTTATATTAAGTCACAAGAAAAGCCCAGAGACAAGCAACCATGCTCTGGGGAAGCAAAGCAGCGCAGGCCTCCGAGCCCGACCTCGCGCGCACCGAGTCCGCAAAGAACGACCCCTCGGCCTCCGCCTCCCAAGCCTCCGGCACCGCATGGCTGGCCGGACACTTGCACCACCTGACCCCCGAGCAAGAGGAGAAGCTGTCGGAGTTCAAGACGCTTTGTGCCGAGCGCAAATACTACACTCCTGCTGTGGAACAGGCTGAGGGCGTCGAGGGCAAGACTGCTAGCCATGACGATGCTACTATGCTGTATGTGGCGCTGTCCCCCCTACTCTACTACCTCCATACAAAGAGAAACGGACAAGAACTGATCGGGTTTCTGGTATAGGCGGTTTTTGCGTGCTCGCAAGTTCGACGTTGAGGGTGCTTGGGGTCAATTCAAGGACACGGAGGATTGGCGCAAAGACAATTCCATTGACGCGCTGTATGAGAATATCGGCGTAGACTCTTACGAGGCTGCACGACGGATGGTGGGTACCGGGACAACGTTGATTGTTTCATAAGACCATATACTGACCTTGTTCGCTACAGTACCCCCAGTGGACTGGCCGTCGCGATCGCCGTGGAATTCCCGTCTACGTCTTTGAGATCCGCCACCTGGACAACAAGGCTGTCGCTGCTTACAACTCTACCATGACTACCGGTACGCCGGAGACACACAAGTCGTCTACTGTCCCGGCGCGCTTGTTGAATCTCTTCGCCTTGTATGAGAATCTTCTTCGCTTTGTGATGCCGCTTTGTTCGGCGTTGCAGCGGCCGAATCCTGAGACGCCTATTGTTACTTCTACCAATATTGTTGACGTCAGTGGTGTTGGATTGAAGCAGTTCTGGAATCTGAAGAGTCATATGCAGGATGCTAGTGTTTTGGCTACGGCGCATTACCCCGAGACTTTGGATCGGATTTTCGTATGTCTTTTCTGATGCGATCATCGCAGAAACGTTATTTGACTGTGATATTGGGATCTGTGACTGACTCTTTTTTTTAGATTATTGGTGCTCCGTCTTTCTTCCCCACCGTCTGGAGCTGGATCAAGCGCTGGTTCGATCCTGGTACCACCTCCAAGATCTTCATTTTGTCTGCTGCGGAGGTTCAGCCTACCCTTACTTCATTCATGGAACCATCCAGCATCCCTAAGCAGTATGGTGGTGAACTAGACTGGACCTGGGGCGAGATGCCCAACCTAGACGAGCCCGCTCGTGAGCTGCTCCAGGGCCTGGAGCAGGACCAAGTTGAGGGTGAAAAGAGAAAGGATATCCTGAAGGGACCCATTCTGTTCGAGGGTGATCACTTGGAGGTGTTGGGCACAGTCGATGGAAAGGACCGCAGAGATACGGTCCCCGTCCCAAAGTCGCATGTGTCCTCGCAGCCGGAGGCAAAGACCGACGTCGCCACTGAAGCCAAGACCGAAGACGAAAAGGCTGTCGATAATGTGGCGGTCAAGGTTAATCAGTTGTCCGTTGACGAGACTCAAGCTGTTGCTGTATAGAGCTTCTAGAAGGCAGCAAGATTTAGGGTGCTTCGGACTAGAGAGATGGGAATGGCACAACAGGATGCACATCACACTACCGAGGCTGGTCTCTCAAATATACATCTGCTTGGATTGTGTGTTGATCGTCTTGCAAATAGGAGTTGCATTTGCATTTGCATATGCATTTCCTCTTGCTATAGCGTTATGGCAAGTGAAGTGGCCTGTGGAGACACGATTCTTCTCTTCTCTCGCGTGCTTCCCAACGTTTCTATTGTCTTGTTTTCTTTGGCCGTTGCCAATATGTTCTCCATATGTGGATCTATCATGTGGAAGCGGCAGTCCCAGGCTTCCAGATTTACAGTCCTACTGTAAATGGTTGCATGGTTTGTTTCGGTACTTTTCTTTCCATTTGTTTACATTCGCATGTTGATATCCCCCATGCGCAGACAGTTGAGGCGGTTGTTGATATATAGAGCATCTTCATTTCACCTACATTGTCATAATACATTCCTGCATCCTGTTCCATACTACAGAATGAACTCTATGAAATTCGGACCCAACAGTGTCGATCGGAAATATTCTGATTGATAATCAGTTTATTCCTGTACATCTGATTTAGCCGAGCCCTTGTGAAACTCAGATACGATCATCATCTGATAATAAATCAACCGACGTGTTTGAAACCCTCATTTTTTGAGTGTTCACATCTCAACTCGTCGATTAGGGCACATCACATGATTCAGGGGCACGCTCATGCAAGCGACGTCGCACTGCATCATGACATATGTATAAAGTACAGTAGTGGATGGACCTGTTCTCTGCCCGGACTATGATATAAACAAGAGTCATAGGCAACTATTACAGTATGCACCAACCTATGATCAATCCCCCCAGAGACAGATCTTCCCCTGTCAGGGAAGCGAGTTAGCCCAAGCGTGAGCTAGCGCAGGGAAACGGTCAGATTGTTGGGGCATCTCACCCAGACGAGCAACGATCGACATCATGTTCAAATGAAGCCAAAAGTCCGAGGCTCATTTTTGCGGAGAGTGTGAAGATGTGGGTATCGTTCACATGCGCCGAAGCCCAGTCGCCGAACGACTGGGGGGGGGATCGACAGTGAACCCAAATGGTTTAAAAATCCACCTATCCCCCAATCCTGGGGGAGCGTCAACTTGGACGCTATAATAGTCATGGAACGCAATCCAAAGGACTCGATGAAGTCCACCTGGCGGCAACTCGCCCGTTCAGAGTGGACGCTATTCCACTGGTTCTATGAACTCCTTGGCATCCACCCCGAACACCTCGACAAGAACATTCCAGTCCACCTGAAGGAAGACGCAGTCCCCTATGTCCCAGACTGGTCGATGCACCGCTGGGTGCTCACACACGCCGTGATCCCACTACTCATCCACCACGCCTACGTGGTGATCACCGGCCACAACCTCAGCGCCTGGGGCGCCTTCATCCTATACAGTCTAGCCTTCAAGGGCATCGCAATCCACGAGCTCCACGTCCTCCGCCGTCTCGGCCACCAGCACGGCTTCCTAGACGGCGACAAGCACGCCCGCGATGGCGTCCCAGACGTCGGCGTCGCCAAGGTCGTCCGCTCACTCATGTCGACGTCGACCTTCCGCCCTATGTTCACCGTCTTCCTGGCCTACCGCTCAACCCACACCCCGTCAACCATGAGCTTCGCCTGGCTGCCCCTCGAAGCAGGTCTATACGGTATCATCCTCGACTTCTGGTTCTACTGGTACCACCGTCTCATGCACGATGTCGGCGCACTATGGAAGTACCACCGGACCCACCACCTCACCAAGCACCCGAACCCGCTGCTCACCCTGTACGCCGACTCCGAGCAGGAGTTCTTCGATATCCTCGGTATCCCGGTAATGACCTTCTTCACTATGAAGTTTATGGGCATGCCGATGGGTTTCTACGAGTGGTGGATCTGCCACCAGTACGTCGTGTTTGCTGAGTTGGCGGGCCACAGTGGTTTGCGTGTGCATGCCACCCCGCCTTCGACGCTGAGCTTTGTGTTGCGTTGGTTTGATGCGGAGCTTGTGATTGAAGATCATGATTTGCATCATCGGAAGGGTTGGAAGAAGAGTCATAATTATGGCAAACAGACTCGGCTTTGGGATCGGGTCTTTGGGACTTGTACTGATCGGATTGAGTCTGTTGAGCATAATGTTGATTATGTTAACTCTTCGCCTATGCCGTTGTATTGAATAGATATGATGCTGGCATTTGATCTTTATCTTGACCTTGATTTTTTGTATTTGATTTGTTTGTCTGGCGTGGAAAAAAGGATTGGGTTATATACTCTGTACTCTGTACGGTAGTGGAGGATTTGTTATACTGCTCGTTTTGTTTTTTATTATGATACCTTGGATATTTAGACTCGATGTCTATGACTGAATGAATACTATCGTTTGATGACACACTTCCAACCAAGTTAACTAGAACTGAGTCACAAATCATAAAATCCGGGGCCCCATCGGAAGTTGATCAAAATCCGCCAAGGCTGAATGGCGCCCCGTATATACCCCGTGACATCAAGGCTGGGGGCCAGCACTGCCCTCTTAAAGACTTCACTTGCCTCTGACACCTGATATCCACTGACATTGCCCAGTCTGCGGGTTATAAGAAGCCAAATCTGCCTCTCCTACATATCCCAACCAAACCTTGTCTCACAATCATCATGCTGGAGCATTCGGACAAACTAGAATACACCCACTACAACATAGCCGGTGGAAACTGGAGCTCCCAATACCAAGTTGTAACCAACGACACGCCAATCTATCATATCGAAAACGCCAGCCCAGCCGCCGACAAACCAGAACTAACCTTCTACACGGGCAACAGCACCAATGGCCCCATCGCTGCAAGCGGGAAATACGTCCGCTTCTCATCAGACGCCAAAATCACCATAGGCAATACACCCAATGCCGAGACATCAGGCTGCACCACAACTTTGAGCAAAAAGGGATTCTTCTCACCACGGCATATCTTCCAAATGGACCTCCGGGGCGAGAAACGTACTTTCACCTGGAAGAATACCGGGGCACATGAGAGTTTCGGCCCTATGGGCAGTTATAAGCTGGTTGATGAGCAGGATCAGGCTGTGGCTGTTCTTTGTCCCGGTGGGGGTCTAGTGCAGAAAGATGGATATTTCCATGTATACCCGTCTTGGGGGGACGAGTTTGATCTGATGGTTCTGGTGACTGGGCTTGTTGTTCGGGAGAAGATGCGGCGGGAGAAGGGGGAGAGGTCTTATGCTGCGGGTGGTGCTGCGTCTGTTGCATGAGGGTTTTGATGGATGGCTTACAGCTGAAATCGAAAGCAGTTTACCTCCTAGACACTCACGCTTTGTTTGTCGATATGTACCGGTAACTACTATACGCTGACCTATACTGGAATGGCGTTTAAATAAATTAATCACATTCTGAGAATAGATCCTCCTTCATTTCATAACTACCGCAATACGTATAATACCGTACTTTATAGGAAACATCTATGCACTCGTACTGTACGACAATACTGCTGAACATGATATTGAGATGTTTTGTCGGTGTTTCTAATGTCTACTTTGAGGGATTATGTGCTTGGGGATTATATGTAAATTACTTTCATTGAATATATGCAGGGCGAATTGCTAACGCATTGTCTTTGAGCGAAGGAATGGTAGCTTAAATAAACGCTGTGGTTTAAGATGTTAGGGCAACAAAGAGCACAGGAAGAACAACAGAGAACATCAGGCGGGTTTCTACAGGCAGACTCAACAATTCTTGGTTATAACAAAGAAGATCTGAACCCCCAAATATGCCTACCTACTGTCCCAGATGAATATTTAATGGTGCATATTACTTATTTCCATAGAAGTTTCAAAAAAGAAACTCAACACTTCAATTTGAGAAAAAATCTATCGACAACGCAGACAATAACAACTAACACGTAGGAAAGATACTAGCCTTGACCTGAAGAATTCGACCTAAAGAAATCTAAAACTCGTCAGTTGGGGTTAGCTCTCAACAAAAGGGAACATTCAAACATCCTCAATATCAAACCGCAAGTTAAGTTCAGTCGCTCCATCGTGAAAGAATGTGATTCGGCTGACCCGCTTAACACCTTGGCCATACGCACCTAGAATGAAATAGGCGACAACCTTACCAAGTCGGGAACCCAACAAGGCGTGGAACTCCGGGGAAGGAAACGTCCAAATCCCCTCAGGCCACTCGGCGTCGTCCATCACAGTTCGCGGATGCTCCAGCTCATGGGTCTCGCAAATCTTCCTCACACACTTCACGGTGTCCACGTTCTGAACATCGGTTATCAGAACACACCGCAGCCCACTAAGAGGGAAAAACCTCTCATAGAGCGCTTTGGTCAGCTCTGAAATCCACGGCACGCTCGACCCTAAATCCCTCATTATCACATCGATAATCATCATTCCTGGTCCAACTTTCCCGACCCACATAGCGGATTCGAGTTGGTTGGACACGAACGAAACATACCGATAGACAGATTCCTGGTTCTCTATATCTCCCTCAACAGGAAGACCAAGCTCGGCCGCCAGGCTACGCTGGTGAGGCCCGAGACATTGTCTCTTGCTGTAGGCGAAATATTGATCCGTTTCTAAATCTGCCCAAGTGACCGTGGTCCTCGGGATGGGACATCCTGGCTCACTGGCATTGGTTAGCCATTTGACCAGTTCTTCCCCCTTTGGTTCCCACAGAGAGTAGATTGGAGCCATTGAGACGATGATGATTCGCTGATGTCTCGGTGATTCGTTGGTTTATGTTGCTGGTTATTTTTGTACGGGACTTTCGTGATTAGCAAAAGGTTAATTCCAGCTGCCTTATATACATCTACAGGTGACTTTCATATGTACAATTACGTTGTGCGAACAATGGCTTGAATGAGGTACTCAACAAAGATCAATGCCAGATAAAGAGATCAAAGGGCAATGGGAGAAATGTATGGGAACAAAGGATGAAAGACTTGTTAGGGTTAAAGACTATGTAGTATGAAAGACGTCTTTGAATGAGTAGTCTAGTTCCATGACGCCTGTCACTTTCTTCATTTCTGAGTGCTTCATGCAAGCCCCGACGTTGAATTTTGAAATAGAATATCCTACTGCGCCATGGTTGATATTAGATACATAGTCAAGTACGGGATTCCAAGTCCGCTGTATCATAGCTCTTGGATGAGGCTATATACCAAGCGAAGTAGGGCCCCCCTCGACTTTGGCGTCGCTAGCACCACACTTGAACCAGCTGATCTATGAAACCAATTCGATGAATAACACCTGCGGCTGGTGCTATGCGATCCAAAAAAAAATACTAGGTTCTAAAATGTACACACCAAGGTCCCCGTCCAAACGTTTACTATACAATACATAGATCTAAAAAATAAGGGCTTCCAAGAAGAACAGGAAGCAAAAAGCAATGGACTCGCGGGGAATCGAACCCCGGACCACTCCCATGCTAAGGGAGTATTATACCACTAAACCACAAGCCCAATTGGTTGAAAGTTATCTCAGACTAGTGCACTATGAACGGATATCAAATTTTCATAGTGGAGTGGGTCTCACGAGCCAATCGCCAAGCCCGGGAGTTTATGCAGCCCTATCGTGTCAATTGGGTTGATTTGGCCATTGGTGTCAATTAAGAAGGGGGCAAGAAGGAGATAGCTTATTGGATATACTCGTGTGCAGCATTACTGACATTCTAGAGTGTCGTACTGTTTGGAGGTTGATCGCTTGGTTGTGACTGGAATATATATACAGTCGTACAGTGTGCAGTAATATAGACTTCACGTTAAACCAGGTGTTTTACAGCAGTAACAGCACATCTAACTGAATCAAAGCGCCAAGTCTATCATTATACATGTATAAAAAAACGAACGAGCCTCAAAATTGCGGTGAGAGATGTTCGCAGCCCCGGGTTATACACCTGACCTACCAGCATACCGGGGCCCAGATAGTGAGATTTAGCTTATCAGTGATCGACCGAAAGCCCGTCCTGCACACCAACACCACGCCAACAGGACACAACTACAGTTGGATAGAGCAGACCCGCGTGACTCGACCCCAATTGGGCATTGGACTGCAGAAGCGGTCGAAATGGAAACTCTTACCATATCGAATTGAAGATGAAATCCACCAGCGTAGACTTTCTCAATTCGTCGACATTCCCCATCGGATCTTCGGTGTTTCGCGGTGCAGGAAGGAATGTTATTGGTCCAAACCGCCGACTCATACGCGGGGGGAAGCTCTGAAGCTCCAGGATAAGACCGATAACGGTTGCCATATAAAGACACCCCGCGCATTTTTGTGTTCTGTCTCTTGTCACCATTTTCTGCTTTTTCCGATTCTCTATATCCCCGGAAAGCCTCATCTCCTACTTCACAATGGCCTCGGTTTTCCGTGCCAGCACCCGGCTGGGCTCTGCTGCTCGCCTCCCTGCTGCCCGCTCTCTCTCTACCACCGCCTCTCTCCGGGCCTCCGAGAAGCCCTACTTCCCCAATGAGCCTACTGCTCCCTCTGTCTCCGGCACTATCCCGGGTCCTAAGAACCAGGCCGCTGCTGCCGAGCTCGATGAGGTCTTTGACGTCCGCAGCTTGAACATGCTCACCGACTACAACCAGTCCGTTGGTAACTAGTACGACAGCCAATTCCTCCTCCATGACTTCAACTAACCTTCTCCTAGCATTGCTGATCTTGATGGCAACAAGCTGCTTGATGTGTATGCCCAAATCGCCTCTATCCCTGTTGGTTACAACAACCCTCACCTCAAGGAGGTTGCCGCCACCCCCGAGATGACCTCTGCTCTCATCAACCGCCCAGCTCTGGGTAACTTCCCCTCTTCCGAGTGGGCTCACATTCTCAAGACTGGTGTCCTCCGTGCCGCCCCCAAGGGTCTTGACCAGGTCTTCACTGCCATGGCTGGCTCTGATGCCAACGAGACTGCCTACAAGGCTGCCTTTATGTACTACCGCCAGATGCAGCGTGGTGGCCCCGAGGTTGAGTTCACCGAGGAGGAGTTGCTCTCCACCATGAACAACGCCGGCCCCGGTTCTCCCCAGCTCTCGATCCTGTCCTTCAAGTCTGCCTTCCACGGCCGTCTCTTCGGATCCCTCTCCACCACCCGCTCCAAGGCCATCCACAAGCTGGATATCCCCGCCTTTGACTGGCCCCAGGCAAGCTTCCCCCAGCTGAAGTACCCTCTGGAGGACCACGTCCAGGAGAACGCCGCCGAGGAGCAGCGCTGCCTGGCCGAGGTTGAGCGCCTCATCAAGGAGTTCCACAACCCCGTCGCCGCCGTCATGGTCGAGCCCATCCAGTCCGAGGGTGGTGACAACCACGCCTCACCCGCCTTCTTCCAGGGTCTCCGCGACATCACCAAGCGCACCAACGTTCTCTTCATCGTCGACGAGGTGCAGACCGGTGTTGGTGCTACCGGAAAGTTCTGGGCCCACGACCACTGGAACCTGTCTTCTCCCCCCGACATGGTCACCTTCTCCAAGAAGGCCCAGACTGCCGGTTACTACTACGGCAACCCTGCCCTGCGCCCCAACAAGCCTTACCGCCAGTTCAACACCTGGATGGGTGACCCGGCCCGCGCTCTGATCTTCCGTGGTATTATCAACGAGGTGGAGCGCCTTGGTCTTGTCGAGAACACCCGCACTACCGGTGACTACCTGTACGGCGGTCTCGAGCGCCTCGCTGAGAAGTACCCCCAGCACTTCCAGAACCTGCGTGGTAAGAACCAGGGTACATTCATCGCCTGGGACACCCCCAAGCGCGACCAGCTCGTTGCCAAGGCCAAGGCCTTCGGTATCAACATTGGTGGCAGTGGCGCCTCTGCTGTCCGCCTGCGCCCCATGCTGGTCTTCCAGAAGCACCACGCTGATATCCTGCTCGAGAAGCTCGAGCAGATTATCCAGGTCGTCTAAATTCAGTCCAGGCAATGTCATTTCTGAGTTATGACTTTTGGAAAATTGCCCGGGCGTTTTGAACTTGATTTTATGAGCGTTTCTTTACTATTTTGATGAACTTTTTTTTCTATATCTTTTGTTGCAACGGATGGATGCCACACAAAAAGGCCATGTACATTTCTAGACAGTTTGCTTGTCAATTGAATTATGACTCAACAGAACAATCCAGACTCGTAGTGATAATCATCTCAGTTGCGATTTATGTTTATGGTTACAGAAAAGGGAAATCGGCACTAGACTCACAAGCAGGTTGGTCCTGCCATGCCCTTGACTCCAGCAAGTAATATGAAGAAAAATAAGAAACTGTGCAATGCTCCATCCGAAACTCCTAACCAGCAAATTTGTCGAAGCCATTTCCCACCCTGATAATCGAACGGCGTGTGCTATAGGGGGTATCCGGACCAGGATCGTATGAACAAGGGTGGGAAGGTCGTTTAGTGTGTCGGACCGGTACTTCAAGCATCTTCCTCACCGGTGCTTCCATCTCGCCTGTGATAAGTAGTCAGTAAATCAGCCGAATAAAAGAGCCATATAGGCTTTGTATAAAGAGCTGGGCGCGCGTACGGGACGTATTTGATTCCGGAGTCCTCGAGACTGCTGATGATGTATTCGGGGAGCTATTGACGCGAACAGAATTAGCCAGAGTGTTCGACAGAACCGGAGACATCAATGCGAGATGAATTCCATTTCAAATCTCCCTAGACATTCCAGCTTCACTCACCGAGCCTGTGACCTTGGTCGCATATGTGCCCGGCACATAGTTATCCAACCGTTGCCAGCGAGCGACCCAGCTAGCAGCTGGATCCCGGACAGCGATCAGACCTTCAAAGACCTGCGACGTGCATTCTTGAATGGCGTCATTGTTTCCGCGGAGCTGGAGGGTATTTTCGCAGTTCGGACAGCCTTCACGCATGAATTTCTGGAGTAACCGGGGGTGATCAGAGGAAGCTGCAGAAGGAAACAGGGAGTAGCTCATACATTGTGGATTTGGACGACAGAGCAGACCATACAGGCACGCAGCGTGCGCTGCTGGTTAGGCGCGGCGTAAAAAGACATTGGGGGGAGCTGTAGAGGAAGAAGGCAAGGAGAAGTGAAAGAGATCTGAGGTCGAGTCTGGATGCCAAGCCCCGTTGCGATCGGGGAAAAAGAACATGGGAGAACCAGGAACAGATTCCTCTTCTTTTTTTTTTTTGCCTCAACACTTGCTTCTTTTTCTCTATTTTCTTATCGTCTCTCTTATTCAGGAGCTTTTCATTTGGGGTTTTGCTCTCTGTCTTTTCTTCGCTTTCCTTTTAGTCTCCCTCCGATCCCCGATCATCGCTTGTCTCGTGCCCCTCGCATTTTTCCCTCCGCCCCCCCCCCCCCCAATGGCTACCGATCAAGAAGCCGGCACCGCTCTCAAGGTCCAGGGCAACAAGGCCTTTGCTGCACATGACTGGCCGACTGCTGTCGACTTTTATAACCAAGCGATCGAGAAATATGACCAGGATCCGTCCTTCTTTTGCAACCGGGCCCAGGTGCGTTCCTGATATCCTCGGTGGAACATTCTCACGAGTGGCGTGTGCATTTCAACGGGAATGGTCTTTGCTGATTCGTTTCCTGTGACAGGCCCAATTCAAACTCGAGGCATTCGGTTTCGCTATTGCCGACGCCACAAAGGCATTGGAACTCGACTCCAACTATGTGAAGGTCCGTCGCGACATACCCTGCAGGGAAAAAAGAGCTAGACAACTGCAGATGGACATTATGCGAGAATGAACGCTGAATTTAGTTTTCGTTTAGGCTTACTGGCGCCGTGGCCTGGGCTATGCTGCCATTCTGCACTACCAGGATGCCTTGAAGGATTTCAAGGCCGTTGTGAAGCGGGAGCCTGCCAACCAGAGCGCAAAGCTCAAGACTGCCGAGTGCGAGAAGCTTGTGCGCCGGATAAACTTCGAGAAGGCCATTGAGGTTTCGGACCCGCCCTCCGCGTTTGCGGATCTGGATATTAGTGCTATCAAGGTTGAGGATGATTACGATGGAGTGCGCATCGGCGAGGAGATGACACAGGAATTCATTGACGACATGATTGAGCGGTTCAAGGATGGAAAGAAGATCCACCGCAAGTACGTCTTCCAGATTATCAAGGCTGTCAAGGATCTCGTCTACGCTGAGCCTACAATGGTTGAGGTTGGCGTCGAGTCCGGTAAGAAGTTGACAGTTTGCGGTGACACACACGGTATGTTTGGCCTACTATGATATATGCTCTAGTGGTTGCTAATTCGAACAGGTCAATATTTCGATTTGCTTGAGATCTTCAGACGAAACGGCGCTCCCTCCGATACCCACGCTTATCTCTTCAACGGTGACTTCGTCGACCGTGGCTCCTGGTCGTGCGAAATTGCCCTGCTCCTTTATGCATACAAGTGGCTGCGGCCCAACGGTCTTTTCCTTAACCGCGGAAACCACGAAACGGATGACATGAATAAGGTCTACGGATTCGAAGGCGAATGCAAGGCTAAGTATAACGAGCGCGTATTCAAGGTGTTCTCCGAGTCCTTCTCCGCCCTGCCTTTGGCCACCCTGATCGGCGACAAGTACCTTGTCCTTCACGGCGGTCTCTTCTCCGACGACAAGATTACCCTGAACGATATCCGCAAGCTCAACCGCCACAACCAAAGGCAACCCGGTCAAGCTGGTCTCATGATGGAGATGCTTTGGACCGACCCCCAGACTATGCCTGGCCGTGGCCCCAGCAAACGTGGAGTCGGCCTTCAATTCGGACCCGATGTTACCAAGCGCTTCTGCGAGAACAACGGTCTGGAGGCTATCATCCGCTCGCACGAGGTGCGGATGGGTGGTTACGAAGTTGAGCACGACGGCCGCTGCATCACTGTCTTCTCCGCGCCCAAGTACTGCGACTCGACTGAAAACAAGGGTGCCTACATTAACATTGGCCCCGAGCTCAAGCTCAACTATGAAGTGTTCGAGGCAGTCCCTCACCCAGATATCAAGCCAATGGTGAGCTTTCTTTCCTATTTATCTCGACTTGAGATCCAAGCTAACAGTCCCAGGCATACGCACAAAACTCGCCCCTTATGGGAATGTGATAGGCAATCTGATTTGCAAGCGCGGCGTTGCCAAGAGATCTAGAATTGACGTTCCTAATGTATTTATGTGCATGATTGATGTGTTCCAATGTGTTCTGTGTATTCTGTGTATTTCCAGCCTGTCGCTGTGACGTCGCCGTATACTTCACACCGCCTTTGCCCCGCGGTTTCCCCTCGATTCTGCCCTGCACTTCTTTTGCTCTCCGATCATTTAGACAAACTCCACATACAATCATGGAATTCGACCCTAAGACTCGTAGGTGGTGCTTCGATACCTGGAATTCTTGATGTACTAACCTGATCAGCTCAATACATCACTTCCGATAAGTCGAGCTTTGCCTCGATCTCGGCCAATGACCGATGGCCCGTTATTATTGTGGGCTTACCCTGGACAACTAAGGCTCGTATGCGACAATTGCTAATCAAATGTGATGTTTGTAGACTGGCGCTATTGATGACCTACATCGCACGGTTGTTGGTGTGGATGATGACGAAAAGGCCAATGAAGGCAAGAGTATCATTGCCAACATGGCTAAGCTGAAGTACGAGCTTCAGCATGACCGGAAACTTACGTGGGTATTCTCCATCTATACCCCCCAAATCCGCTTTGCCTGACCGGTTAATCAAGGGCCTTGGACGATGACGGACACCCCGATATTGCCTCTTATAACCAGGAGCTGGAGCAGCGAGGAAACCCCAATTGGCACGACGTGCCCTGGCTGTACTCCGAATGCTACCTCTGTATGCTAAGCTTCCGTGGAAACCAAAACCAAGGTATCGATGCTGACCTGGTTACAATACAGATCGCCGGATAGAAACTCTCTTTGCTTTGTCAAAGCATTGGAAGGGCTATGACGTATTCGCACGCCAGAAGATGGAGACATTCAAGTCATCTCGCCCTGCCGTATTAGAACTCGCTACAAGATATCGCGAGCTGGCACAGGAAGCAGAGTCAGGCAAGGGGGCGGAAGGAAAGTCGCCCGAACAAGTCGAACAAGCCGAGAAGCTTCTCTTCTCAGAGATGTGCGAGATCTGCCTATGGGGAAATGCTACCGATCTCTCGCTCTTGACCTCTCTCACATACGAGGATATTCAAAAGCTGCAAGGATCGCAAGCGCGCAAGGATTCCCAAAAGAACATCATCGTTAACGACCTCGACGCCGCCTTCGATGCCATGCAAAAAGCCCGCAGAGAGAAGAAAGACGGCGAGCGCCGTGTCGACATTGTACTCGATAATTCCGGCTTTGAGCTCTTCGTCGATCTGATTCTCGCCGGATACTTGCTTTCCGCGGGCCTGGCGACAACTGTCGTCCTTCACCCCAAGCGTTTCCCCTGGTTTGTGTCCGATGTCACGCCGAAGGATTTCTCCGATCTCCTCAACAGCATGGTCGACCCACAGGCTTTCTATACAGCTGCCGACAACTCGGGCAAGACCTTCCAACCACTTTCGGAGAAGGAGGTATCGGACGTGAAGTTCCTCTTCGAGCAGTGGAGCCAATTCCACCAGGATGGCAAGCTAATCCTGCGCCCGCATGCGTTCTGGACCACCCAAGGTGGATACTGGCGTATGCCACATGTTGCGCCGGAACTATTTGAGGACTTGAAAGAGAGTGAGCTTGTCTTGTTCAAGGGTGATTTGAACTACCGGAAACTGGTCAACGACGTAAGTGAACCGTTCATTCATGTGCTGGATTCAACATATACTAATGAAATACAGGCTGAATGGGATCCCACCACTCCGTTCACAGAGGCCATCGGACCCCTCGGCCCTAAGTCCGGGATTCGCGTTTTGGCCTTCCGTACTTGTAAGGCTGATACCGTTGTTGGCCTCCCCGCTGGCAAAGACGAGGAACTTCGTCAGCTGCCTGGTGGTGGTGGCTCTGAGTCTCGTAAGTGGGCTTGGAGTGGTAAGTGGGCTGTTGTCTCGCTTTCTGATGGTAAGGCTTAGACTAGAGGTCTGCTGTTTTGCTCCGCCGGGAGACTAGACGTGGTTAGACTCATTGCACGATCTGCGGCTCCCTATATATAGATATAATATGGTGAAAAGAGTACAGTTGCAATAGATAATACAGATGACGGAGTCGAGCCAGCCTTTATTTGATACTTTCACCATTTTGCAAATGATTGAAGGTCGATGATATCTACTATCCTATGATCCAGCGGCTATACCAACTGCCTCATCATAAGAAAGAGGAGACTAAGACAAGCTCATGGAACCAACCTAGTTCGATGTAGTCTACCTGCAGTTCTACTTGCTATGCCATTACTCACCACTCCCAGTCCCGGTGGAAGTCTCAGCTGTTCAGCTATTCGGCAGAGAAGTACAAACTCTATCTCGATGGACATGAATTAAATCAAAATTTGGGGAAGGGAGGGATCCCACAATTGATATTCGCTCATATGTAGATAGCAAGAATGGGGTAAGAAAGTAACGCTCATAACCCTGACGCCATTGCACGCTTCAAAAGCCACTCCGTATTTCCAAATTGGAAGAAACAAACAAATGAAAGGATAATAAAACTACACCGGCCTCACACGTTCTCCTTGCCGAGTGCTCTGGATTTATTATTGAGTTGTTTCAGTCTCAGCCGGGCTTGGGCATCGGCAATTCGTTCGGGGGAGAGGCCTCCTCGTTGAGTGTCACTTAAGCCATACCGCTTGCCAACTCGGTCACCAGCTGAGATTGTGTAGTTTGTATACCGACTGCGAGACGGAAGACCAGAAATGGAGTCGAGGGTCGATTTAATATGTGTGCGCTCTCGTGGCGCGGGCCTGGCGCTGAGCCCAGTATCTTCCGCAACGGGAAGATTGAGAGCTCGGGTCGGACGGTTTTCGCCTAGTCGTCGCTTGGAATAGGTGCGGTTAAGAGATTTGAAGGCTGAAAGGTCAGGAGGCGAGGACGGCGGAACGGCGTCGAGTTCAGCGCGGCGAGATTCGTGGCGTGGCTTTGGCAGGATCTCGTTCAAATAGTGTGTTACCTCGTCGTCATCTGCAGCCAGTTTTCGGAGATGGCGCCTTGAGCTAAATGTGCCCACAGTGGCACTGCGTAGACCAGGCCGCGATTCACGGACTTTGGATCGTGGGCTTGGGCTTGGGGGTGGCTCTATGTCGTCTGTGGGCTCTTCTTCCGGCTCTTCTGGCTCTTCTGGCCCCTCTGGCTCATCGTGTTCGATTCTCTGACCGGCAAAGTCGAACACTTGCACACCCGTAGGGTCTTTGCGAGGGCTGAAAGTTTGACGCTCAGTGACAGACAGAACTGGGAAAGGTTCGGTTGTTGTTGTGCCAAGTCTTAATTTCAGAAGCTCAATTTGTTTTTCCATCCTGCGACGCTCTGCATCCGAGGTATTCCTTAAGTTTTCCTCTGATTCACGATGCTGCTGAGTGGCAGTCTTCAGCCTGTCCCTGTATTCCTGGACCCGTAATTCCAGTCTTGACTCTCTCTGCTTCAGCTTTGTTTCTTTGTCCTTGCGTCGACCCTCGTATCGCGACATTTCCTGCTTGACGCGAGCCAAAGTCTGTTTGAGTGTGTTGTTCTCTTGCTCGAGTGTCTGTGCTTTCTTTTCCGAGCTTTGTGCGAGAGTTTGGAGCGTGCTTAGCTCCGATTGATGGCGTTGCATTTCTTCAATCTTGGTGTTGGCTTCCTTTAGCTCTTGCCGCACAACGCGAAGCTCATCCGACGGGGGTTTAGAAGATGACTCTTCCTTCTGGTTTTCTGTGATGTACGCCGCGTCACTTACTACGTCGTGCTTTTCCAAGGTACTGCGCAAAGCCGTGACTTGTTGCTTGTATTGTAGTGCAAGAGCAGTCTGCTTGGTCAGATCCTGAATTAGTTGCTCCTTGTCCACCTTGGATCCTTCCCCAACCATGGTAGAGGCAAGTCTTGAAACATGCCTCTCCATCTCTGCAACCTTCTCTTCCTCCTCCTTGAGCTTGTCGGCCAGCCGCATGGCCTCGAAGTCCTTCTTGCGAGCATATGACTTGGCAATAGACCGGTAATGAATCAACTTCTTGATCTCTTTGTTGGTCCTCAAGCGGTAGTTGTCGAATTCTGTTTTCCAATACTTGCCCGACTCAGAGTGCGGGTCCTCAAGGTTGATAGTCACGTCTTCATCTGGTATTTCTTTTGTTCGAGAGCTGACAGGTTTGACTTCGCCTCCAGTCTCTTCGGACTGGACAGAATCCACGTTCTTGGACGCGTTGTCGCGTGCATCCATCAGGGTTTGGGTAAGTCTGCTCCGTGGTTTGCCGCTACCATCCGAGGAACCGGACATCCACTGTATGCTCAGGTTACCAGTCGGGTTTGGTGGAGTTCTGGCTGGCTTGCTGGCCGAGCCAGGGCGCTTTCCCTCATTGTCAACAACACTCTCCCCAAACGATACGGTCTTGCGTCGATTAACTATCGTCCCGGGAGTGACTAAAATGCTTTTTGTAGGAGAACCCGTGGGGTTGAGCATCGCGTCTTCCCCCGCTGGGTTCGCGTCTATCGTGATCTCGGGGGTGGGAGTTTCATTGTATCACTCTTGCTTCGTTGATGGGGGGATATCGTTGGTTTCGACACGTGTTTTCCATCTTCCTCATCAGCTCCAGGTGTCCCAAAAAGGGCACTCTTGAAGGCGCGAATTGCAAAGACAGGAGCTGGAGTCTCGGGGGGTTCAAACAGCTTGGAGTCCTCTAAGTATAATCGTTAGTGGACAGACTCAGGAGACATGAATATGATAGAACAGACCCCCTTGCTCATTCCCCTTCATCCAGTCCAACATAGTGCCAAGGTAAGGAAGTGGACGGGGTTTGTTTACGTCGCGCGGTCGGAAAAAGAAGAAGCGCCGATCATCTTATCGATAGGGTTCTTGGCACTCCCGAGTCACCTCAGCAGTTGAAGTCTCCAGGACTTGACTTGGTTGACTTGGTTGACTTGATCAGGTTTGGGGTTGATCAGGTTGGGATCGATCAGGTCAGCTGAAATCAGACTTGGCTTTGAATGTGCATGTGACTTCACTCTCCCTTGCAGCAGATCCCCCGGACATCAACTCATATATAGCACCATCACCTGTCTGATCTAGGACGACAGAGTGACAACTTACCAAGATGTCTTTCTCGGCTTCAGCTGGTCTTTACATTGTTGCTTATACATTTGCGACGACTTTCATCGCATTTGGCGTCAATGCTATTCTACGTCCGGTTCAAGCACTCACCTTCTTCGAGTTCCAGCCTCCAGCCTCTGCAGTAGACAAGCAGCTGGTTGACAGTCTGATGGCAGTCTACGGTGTTCGAGACATCTTCATGGGTGTTGCCATCTATGCGGTCGCGTACTTTGGTACTCGACGAGCTCTAGGCTGGATATTGATTGCCGCCAGCTGTGTTGCATTTGCAGATGGTCTGGTTTGCTGGACGCATGGTCAGGGCGCATGGAATCACTGGGGATATGCACCAATGATTACTCTAGTTGGCAGCATGATACTCGGGTTCTTTGGCTGAGGGCCAGGTACAGGTGGAACACCGCCAACCCGCCAACCCGCCAACTCAGTGAGACAAAATTGGGATCGACTCTTGCGGTGTCTACAGTATTGCCACTGGTGAAACTCGCCAGCTCATGCAATGGAATTAGGTCCACTGTTGGGCAGGGAGAAAGGTTCTTTTGCAGGACCTACATTTGGGATATGCTCCGTAGGTAGGATGTACAGTATTCCGCTGCAATCAACGTCCATTGCCCTATGAAATACCATATTGTGAATGAAGAAAGCTTCAAACATCCACCGATGACTTAGTTATAGCCCCAAGGACCAGCAAATCACAATGTATCTCCATCCACAACCGGCGTCATGTATAGGTCCACCACTATCGATAACCCCGAAGGGCGCACCTGACCGCCTGTTCTAAGAAAAAAAGACTGCCCAATTCGCTCGACTCTAGACCTCGTCACCATTCCCACCTCAAGCCTTTATTACTAGCCTCCATGTCGTACAGTCAGGGACACATGTAGGGCTCTCGCCACGCCCCGCGATGTCTCCCAAACAGAGGAAGAAGCCCTCCCGCAAAAAGCAAACCTCCGATTCCTCCTCCGTGACGTCCCCCGTTTTACCTACAACCAATTACCGTGAAATCCACCAGACAGAGGTCGAAGCCCTGCGCTCGATCTATGGCGATGATTTCGAAGAAGTTGAGAACCGGCGGTCGGCTTGGCAGGTGGGTTGTCACTTCATGGTGGGCTGTTTGAGTCCCTCGTGCCACTAACCTAACTCGTGCACTGCAGCAAACTTCCGATGTGACCTTTAAGCTTCACTTACGATCCTCCTCAAACCCCGATGTCCTCCTTGTTTTATTAGTCGAATTACCCACCACATATCCCAAGACTGTTCCCAATCTGTCGCCCGGGAACCTAGATGGCTTCCGCGATGGAGCGCGTTCGAGAATTCAAGATATTCTCCGTAACAAACCGAAAACCCTACTCGGAAGTGAAATGATTTATGAGCTCGCGGTGTCGATTCAAGATGTTCTCGAAGATGTTGCCCAGGCGCGCCTGCAGGACAAGGATCTCCCCAGCCTGGAAGAAGAGCGAATGGAGCAAGAGGCGGCCGCTCTTCAGCGCGCAGACCTGGAAATGCAAGAGGAGCTTCGCAAACAACAAGCTGCAGCTGCAGAGGAAGAGCGCGCATTGCAAGAAATGCTCCAAGACAAGATGCGACAACGAAACAAGGCTCGCATCATGCGACGGAAAAGCCGCACTGGCGTTGATAGTGATGTCGATGACCTCGTGGAGAACACACCTGGCGCAATTTCTTTCGACCCTCCCTTACTCGTCAGTGACACCGAAGTGCAGCCGCTGATTTTCCGCGCCGTGCATGGGAAGACCCTGTTACAAAGCCAGCAGGGCAAGAAAACGTTCACCGTCAGACCTGTGGTTTCCGAAAGTCGATGCCATGTTCCGCAGCTCATTCTGAAGGAGATAGTACTCGACGAGAAGGGATCCGAGAGATTGACGTTCCGAGAGCAGATGCGGTCCAGTGAGGATAAGTTGGAGGCCCTCAAACGATTAAGACACCCGAACTTGGTTGAATTTGTAGGGTTCAAGATTAACCGCCCACTTGGCCATTTTGACTTGCCCGACAATTCCTGGACTGTCTTTATGCTTTTAGAATACGCAAACAAAGGATCCCTCGCCGAGCTTCTCGATATTGTGGGAACAGTGGCCGTCGATATGCTTCGTGGCTGGATGATCCAGCTACTCGAGGCTTTGGAGTTCTACCACCGCAATGGATTTGTCCATGGAAACATCCAATGTAGCCGAGTGTTGCTATTTCGAACCCCCTCGGGTGGGACTATCGTGAAATTGCAATCTAGCGTCGAGGATGCTTTGCCTGAACCTCCCGGCGGAAAGCCATCTTTGACTGCATCCAAGTCGCCCCTTTGGCTTCCTCCTGAGCTGACGCAGGACCATTCAACTCCTACCATGAAGACCGATGTTTGGGATCTTGGAATTGTGCTACTCCAAATGGGCTTCGGGAAAGATGTTCTCCTCAGGTACACCTCTGCTAATCAATTGATGGTGTCAATGGGACTTTCTCCTCCATTGCAGGATTTGCTCCGTGAATTCTTCCGCCCAGATCCTAGGAAGCGACCAACAGCCTTCCAATTGCAACCGTCCGAGTTCTTCCGAGTGGATGCACCTTTGAAAATGCGGGATAGAGGGTCAAACTCTGTGTCCCTGCAGAGACGGCCCCGGCTTGACTCTTTTGGGGCCATGCCCGCATTTTCACGGTACCACCAAGACTTTGACGAGGCAGGTCAGCTAGGCCGTGGTGGCTATGGGCAGGTAGTAAAAGCACGGAACAAGCTCGATGGCCGCTTGTATGCCGTTAAGAAGATATCTCAGACTTCAGCTGCGGCTTTGAAAGATACTCTTTCTGAGACCATGTTATTATCGCGACTGAACCATCCATATGTTGTGCGGTACTACACTGCCTGGCTCGAAGAAGACTTCAATCACATTGAGGAAGAGGCCATGTCCTCAACCGAAGGCGACCCATTTGCCAGTCAGGACCATCACGGATTCAGCACAGGAGGTCTCGATTTCATCAGCTCCAGCGGATATCCCAAGATTGAATTTGCTCAATCAGACAGTGATGATGACAATGAAGGAACCTTGTCCGATCATGCTCATGCCGAAACGTCTCAGATTTACCACGCCAACCATACAGAGACTGACAGTGAAGATGAAGACGCTGAGCTCAGCTATGCGAGATCTGGTTCTTATGGCCGTCCTGTTTTGACTACGCTGTACATCCAGATGGAGTACTGCGAGAAACATGTGAGTCTCCTTTCATATTACCCAGCTAAGCTTTAGAGACTAATATTCCAAAGACTTTGCGAGATTTGATCAGGAATGGATTGAACGATGACGTTGATCGCTCGTGGCGTCTCTTCCGCCAAATTCTCGATGGCCTCAGCCACATCCACAGCCATGGCATCATACATCGTGATCTAAAGCCGGATAACATCTTCATCGATGTTGCTAACAACCCTCGCATTGGTGATTTTGGCCTTGCTACAAGCGGTCAGTTCACCACCGCTGTTCGTTCATCTGCAGCGGCAGACTTCGAAGGAGATTTCACGCGTAGTCTTGGAACAACCTACTATGTCGCACCAGAGATGAAGTCGGTTGTCTCGGGACATTACAATGAGAAAGTAGATGTGAGTATTTGAACCTTTGAAAACTAAAAACATTAATGCTCACGCAGTGTAGATGTTCTCACTTGGTGTTATCTTTTTTGAGATGCTACACCCATTACCTACCGGCATGGAACGTGATCAGACTCTCAGAGAGATCAGAGAAAAGCACCACACTCTTCCGTCCACTTTCCAGCAATCTGATAAGGTGGTTCAAGGTCAAATTGTCGAATCCTTGTTAAGCCACACCCCAAGCGAACGTCCCACAGCAGCCGAGCTTCTCTCTAGCGGAAGGATCCCACTTCAGGTCGAGGAAGAGACATTCAGGCGGGCGATTGTGCACTTGCTCTCTGATCCGGATTCCCCCGACTACAAGAAGATCCTATCAGCAATTTTCTCCCAGTCACCCAAGAAATTCGAGGATATTGCTTGGGACATAGACTCGCATGCTTCACCAGCAGCCAATGAGTTGCTTGTCCAGGGTCTAGTGAAGAACAAATTGACCTCTATCTTCCGGAGACACGGCGCCATGGAGTCACAAAGGCAGATGATCTTCCCCCGATCTCAACATTACAGCACCGCCCCTGTTGCACGCCTACTGGATGCATCTGGCAATCTCTTGCAGCTACCATTCGACCTCACGGTTCCGAATGCAAGAGCGATTCCTAAGCAGGATCGCTCTTTGGAGAAGACATTTGCATTTGGCACGGTGTACAGGGAGTCAACTCATGGCAGTGAACCCCGGACTCACGGTGAAGTGGACTTCGATATTGTTTCTCACAATACCTTGGATTTGGCCTTAAAAGAGGCGGAAGTCATCAAAGTTCTGGATGAGATTATTGAAGAATTTCCACCCCTGCGTTCTTCTCAGATGTGCTTCCTTGTCAACCACTCTGATTTGCTCCAACTAATCATGGAATTCTGTCGTGTCGCGCCGTCCCAAATTCCATTAGCCAAGGAGACTATCAGCAAGCTCAATGTTGGCAAATGGACGATGCAAAAGCTTCGAAGTGAGCTTCGATCCCCGGCAATTGGTGTTGCTTCGACATCATTGGATGACCTTGCTCGGTTTGACTTTAGAGGTATGTCATTTGCTGATGCTATTGGGATAAATCCCTCTAATTTACATTGTACAGGTTCTTTGAAAGAGACCCAACGCAAACTGCAAAGTATCATGGAAGGAACTGAATACGTCGAGCGGATTGCACCGATATTCGCTCGCTTGAACGTGCTCATGACCTACCTGAAAACCTTTGGCATTAAGCGTAAGGTCTACATAAACCCTCTGAGCAGTCTTCATGATAAGTTTTACGGTGGAAGCATTCTGTTCCAGTGCGTCTTTGACAGCAAACGACGAGATGTGTTCGCTGCAGGAGGCAGATATGATAGCTTAATCCAGGAGTTTTCTCCCAGGGTCTTGTCTAGTCGTCCTCAAGCGCATGCTGTCGGATTTAACCTCAGCTCGGATCGCCTGAGCTCTTCGATGATTGACTATCTTAAGGCCAAGGCTCCGGCAAAAGAGACTGAAACGGGTGCCGAAGTGTACTGGGGGGCTCGTCGGGTAAGTGCCATAAAATATCTAGGGTCTTAGTCCTTGCTAACTGGCTTAGTGCGATGTGCTTGTTGCCAGTTTCGACGCGGATGTCCTACGTTCGACCGGAGTAAAGCTCATGGAAGAACTTTGGTCGAACGATATCAGCGCGGAACTTGCCGTTGATGCCTCGTCCCTTGAGGAATTGATGGCCATATACAAAGACTCCAACCACCGATGGATCGTAATCGCTAAGCAAGATAGCAAGGACCGTGGGTTCAAAATCCGAAATCTCATGCGCAAAGAGGAGTTTGATATTCGCACCGCCGAGCTTGTCCCATGGCTCCGATCAGAAGTCCAAGCGCGCCACCAGCGTGAGGGTACCGCTGATATACGTCAAACCCGACAATCAAGCACACAAGAAACTCTCGCATACCAAGAACGGGCAAATGATGTCCGCATCCTTACACCGCAACATCGAAGCAAGAAGACGAACAGAAGGAACATCGTTGAGCTAGGTACGTCTATGAATCGACCCGCATCAAATGCATTACACCAAACTAACACCTCCTAACACAGCCCTCCAACGTTCCCGCGAAATCGCCGAGAACGCCCGCAACGGCCCCATAGCAGCAATCGACACCCGTGATGATGTCCTTGACGCCATCCGAAACACGCGCCTCTCCGACGCCGAGAGCTGGCGCAGCGTTATCCAAAACGCGCCCCTGACTGAACGCAAATATCTCAGTCAAGTGTACGAGCTTCTCACCGACTTGGCACTTGAGAACCGCACAAATGACAGCATGGAGAGGTTCACAAACGCTTTCATCTTCAATTACCGCACCGGTTCCTGCGTGTACTACGATCTCGGCCCGAGCGAGAAATGAATTTACGAATGATTGTTTTTTAAGTGAGTTGATAAGATAAGATAGGAAAGGATTGATATGAAAGGGTGGAAATGGAAGGGAGGGAGTTTGCATTGGCCTCGTATGGAATGAGGCTGTATTGGGTGTTCAAGTTATGCATTTTGCTTTATGGATGGAATTCTTGATCTTTTTATTTGACCACACACTGTCTATCTCCTCTCAGTGTCCTGTTTAGCGAGTGCTCGGGATGATACCCTCCACCAGTTGATGTGTGTGATATGTATGTGACGCGAAGTGATGAGACGAGTGATGCGCGCAAGATTTATGAAATACCCAGCATGAAGATTGCGGAGGAAAGGGAAGGATTCTTTTGTCGGGAGGTATCGCTGTTATTGTACATGGAAAGAAATCACAAACATCATGAATTATTTGCCGAGCAGCTGGGCATAGCCAAATTAATCGCTGTCGTCGTCGCTGCCATAGGCTACCAATGGTCCACCAACGGCTTTGGGTGCTGCGGTAGTCGTCACGTTTCCATTCAGGCCGCGGAGTGCTGCCACAGCGGAGCTGGAGAAGATGCTACCACCTTGCTGCTCGTACTGTTGCGGTTCGGGAATCGCAGCGGGCTCAATCATCAGCGGCTGCTCTGGTGCTTCCAGTTGGGCGGCTTCCTGGGTTTCCAGTTGACGGGTTCTGGCGTGCCACACATCATCGGGAACGTCGTACCCCTGTAGTCCGAAACTGCCTTCGATCTTCTTGCGCTTCTTGGCTTCGGGGTCTCGGCCTTCAATCTCGGCAACAAATGCTGCCGGGAGAGCTCGGCGCACGGCCTCGGCAGCCTGTTCCTCTAAGCGGCGAGCTTCGCGCTTTTGGGCCATAGGGTTCGGGTCAACTGTTGCCCAGCGAACATTGATAATTTCCTCGCTGAAGGGCGTTTATTAGTACACGGTAAACAATGATAGGATAGAACATGTTGAAGAGTACATACTGGTCTAAGGCTTGCCGAGACATTGCTTCCTTGGCAAATTGTGCATTGGCTTCGTTTGTATCTGATGTTGTTAGTACAGATAGTCCAATTTCCGCCGTGCCAGAAGATCATGGCGGCGCGAGGACAACACTTACAGGTAACAAAGGCCACACCTCTTCCAGTCAACACACGGATGCGCTATCGATATAGTTAGCACGATGTCCGGACATCAGTTGAAGAGTTGACGTACATCGATCTGCCCCCACTCAGCGAAATGCCGGGAAGCAACTTCTTCGATATCATCTGTGACATGGATACGACCAACATAAAGCGTTCGATTTTGGCTTTGAGAAGTTAGCACCGCTAGGTAATCAACCGTTGTAAGGAGGAACATGCGACTCACCGAGAGAATGATCCAACACCAGACATGTCTTCTTTGTAATCGCTGTGACGGTCTCGGCCTAATTTCAAGTCAATATATTGCCCTCGAACATCCATGAAAAACTGATACTAACCGAAACAATCTGTGTTGGGGTTGAACTAAAAGTAAGAACAATTAGAACCAAGTCACCTTAGAAACGACCCAAGGAATCCTTACCAAATCATGAATTGTAGGCAAACGATGCAAATACTCGCACTCGGGGCCCTTAACACAAGTTCCCCAAGCAAAATGAGTGCTAAAACCCAGAATCAGCCAAAGTCCATCGCGACGCGCAAGGGGACTCAGGATCGATAAACCCACCAGAAGAATGAACCAGGCACACGATCAGCGCGCGTGTAGCCACTGTCCCTAGCAACATTGCAACGACCCGGCGCAGGCTTAGAAAGCCCGTACTTGTCATCATTATCGCTGCCACTCTTGTTGTACCAGATGTTGTAGTCACCGCCTGAAGCAGCCGCGGGTTCGGGTTTCGGGGCGGTAGACGGATCGGCCTGGACTCGGGCAGGGCGCTTCTTGCGACGAATGATCTTCTTTGTCTTTTTCACAGGCTCGAGTTGTCCGTCGGCTGGTGTCGCGTCTCCGACGTCGGTTGTTGCCACGACGATTTCTTCGGTGGTTTCCACGGGTTCCGGGTTGGTGTTTGATGCGGGCGCTGAGGGCACCTCGGCAATGGATGTGTCGGCCATGACTGTCAGAGGGTTGAATTGGAGGGAGTCGGCGGTGTTGAGCTTCGTGAGCTTCGAGAGCTTTAGAAAAGTCGACGGGCAGATGCGATTACATAAGGCTTGGCAGGTGCGGGATTTCGTTTTTGGTCGAAAAGATGCGAAGTGCCACTTTTTGATATTCTGCTCTTTGACTCGGTTCTTGCTTTGTTTGTACTGCACTAAAGCAGATTGTTCGTTGCTCTTGTACCGGGCGAGTGCCAGAGAAATTTAGAGTGAATTTGCAGGCTTCAAGCCGCAGAAACCGCCGACATGGTGAACATCACAGAGAAGATCAAGGAGTATGTTTCTCGGACTGCTGCTTGTTCCAATGATCCAGCTTGCTGATATGCCTGCTGTGCTACAGGATTGAGGATGAAATGCGTCGGACGCAGAGTGAGTGGTGAATCCCCAGATATCAACATATATCACCCCGCTAACCAATGCCCCGCAGAGAACAAGGCTACAGGTAAGATGATTTATGGCTATTCAGAGAAGACTTGACCTGACGCTGGAATCCAGAATACCATTTGGGTCTATTGAAAGGGTATAGGTTACCCCAGAAACTCCAATTTGAACCCGAACTAACACTACCACCAGAAAGCTTGCCCGTTACAGAGCCCAGCTCCTAGAGCCAGTAGGCGGTGCCGGCTCTGGCGGTGGCCTGGGATTCGATGTCAGTAAGAGTGGTGATGCGCGTGTAGCTCTTGTCGGCTTTCCCTCCGTCGGAAAGTCCACCTTCTTGTCCAAGATCACCAAGACAAAGAGTGAGGCTGCTGCCTACTCTTTCACCACATTGACTGCCATCCCCGGTGTGCTGGAGTATGGCGGTGCCGAGATCCAAATTCTGGATTTGCCTGGTATCATCGAAGGTGCCTCGGAGGGCAAGGGTCGTGGTCGACAGGTTATCTCGGCCGCGAAGGTGCGTTCAACATCGCTTCTGATAACAGCAAGATACTGACCACTTTGGTGTCACAGACTAGTGACTTGGTCCTGATGATCCTGGACGCCACAAAGCGTGCTGAGCAGCGGGCTCTGCTCGAGGCAGAGTTGGATGCTGTGGGCATCCGGCTGAACAAGGAGCCTCCGTATGCATCTAAATCGTTCTTTTAACTCGAAGCAGAATCACGGTACTAACATGACTCTAGTAATATCTACCTGAAAGCGAAAAAGGCCGGTGGCGTGAAGATCACCTTCTCAACACCCCCAAAAAGCCTAGACGAAAAGATGATTTACAATGTGCTTCGCGATTACAAGATTCTCAACTGTGAGGTGTTGGTGCGAGATGAGAATGGTATGAATACCTTACCCTGCTATGTGAAGTATATCTTCTGCTCGAATCCATACTAATATCGGAGTATAGCCACCATCGACGACTTCATCGACGTAATCATGAAAGATCACCGCAAGTACATCCGCTGGTAAGTATTAGACCAAACACTACTACCTTAAAAGCACAAATTAACAAATTCTACCAGTCTCTACGTCTACAACAAGGTCGATAGCATTGGTCTCGAATTCCTTGATGCCCTTGCTCGCGAGCCTTACACAGCAGTAATGAGTTGTGAACTAGACCTCGGCGTGCAAGATGTCGTTGAGCGAATCTGGAAAGAATTGAGACTGATGCGTCTCTACACGAAAAAGTATACACTGCCTACATTCCACATTCCACACTGAAAGTTGAAACTGACAATATTTCACCTACAGGAAGGGCGAAGAGCCAAACTTCGATGAGGCCCTCATTGTGCGCAGAGACTCCACCATTGAAGATGTGTGTGATCAAATCCATCGCACAATCAAGGACACATTCAAGTATGCTATGGTGTGGGGAGCCAGTGCGAGACATGTACCGCAGCGAGTGGGATTGGGACACATGGTTGCAGACGAGGATGTGGTTTCGATCGTGGCAAAGTAAATTTATGTTAAGCTTGAATGCTTGAAAAGCGATGATAAAAATGTTGATACGATTACAATAAAGTCGAAGGTTGCGTTGTGAATGTCATCGCACACAGTATGAGAAACCAAGTAGAGAAAAGTATCGAATATAAGTATGTTTTAACGTTATTGATTTGATATACCATAAACCTATGAACAAAATGAAATACAAGAACCTAAATGTTCACCCAAAAACAATTGAATATCCAAGCCAACTCCCTCACATGTTATGAAATCTAAACAGCACCGGCGGCGGCAGCAGCAGCGGCAGCGGCAGCAATGTTCTGCTGGCCGATGGTGGGCTGGACGCCAACACGCTCGTTGGGGAGCAAGTCGACCAACAAGGGGCTGGGACGGCTGTCACGCTGGGGGTAGAGACCGGCCTGGCTGTTCTTGTACTTCAAAACGCTGTCGAGGTAGATGTCGAAGAGGTAAGAGGAGTCGAGGGGACCGCCCTTGGCCTCGGGGTGGAACTGGGTACTGAAGATGGGGCGGGACTTGTGGATCATGCCCTCGTTGCTCTGGTCGTTCAAATTGACGAAGTAGGGCTTCCAGTCGGAAGGCAGGGTGGAAGCGTCCACAGCGTAACCGTGGTTCTGGGAGGTGATGTGGCAGCGACCAGTGCTGAGGTCCAGAGCGGGAATGTTGTGGGCCCGGTTTCCGTACTTAAGCTTGATGGTGCTGGCACCGGCGGCGAGAGCAAGGAGCTGGTGGCCCAAGCAGATACCAAAGATGGGGATCTGAGAGGTCTCCATCAGACGCTGGAGGTGGAAGACGGTGTCCTGGCAGTGGGTGGGGTCACCGGGACCGTTGGAGATGAAGACACCATCGAAGTGGTGGGCGACCTTGTGGATGGGGTAGTCGAAGGGGAAAACAGTGACACTGGAGCCACGGTTGACGAGGCTACGCAGAATGTTCTCCTTGACACCGCAATCGAGGACGGCAACGTGGGACTGGGGGTCGGCAGCGCTGATGTGGAAGGGCTGCTTGGTGCTGACCTGGCGGACCAAGTGGATTTGCTCAGGGTCAGTGAAGGCCTCATCCTCGTTGGCATCATACTCCTCGCCAACAGTGATACGGGCCAGGGAAGAACCCTGCTCACGGAGGTAGGTAACAATGGCACGGGTATCAACACCGGAGATGGCAGGAACACCCTCACGGGCACACCACTCTCCCAGAGACTCAACAGCAGTCCAGTGACTGTACTGCTCGGCCACATCGGCCACAACAACACCAGCAGCCTGGAGGTTGGGGGACTCAAAGTACTTCAACAGACCATTGGGGTCCTTCTCAGCGGAGGGGACACCGTAGTTTCCGATCAGAGGCTGGGTGAAAACCAGGATCTGACCACGGTAGGAAGGGTCGGTCAAGGACTCGGGGTATCCAACCAGCGAGGTGGTGAAGACAGCCTCGCCGGAGATGTTGGAACGAGCACCGAAAGACTTTCCGCTGAAGATAGGACCATCACGAATGGTGAAGGTGGCAGGCTCCATAGCCGCACGCTGACGCACAGTAGCCATGAAGCGAACCTGAGCAGGACGCTTCATGGCAGCGAGAGCGGAAGCCCTAGGGGGCATTGCCTTGAAGAGATTGAAGATCATTTTGTATAGTAATTGAGTGTAGAAAGCGAGGTTGAAAGCGAGAAGCTATTCAGTTGATGTTGGCTTTCCAAAGGTGGTCCGAGATGTAGTCCTGGGAGGTGAAGATCGAAGGTGCCAAACACATAGACGCGACTGAAAACTAGCAGTCAGGATATGGTAGAGAAAAATGGAGATGCTATTTAGCAAAACATGGGGAAGTTTGGAGGTGAGACTTGGGAAGTTGGAGAGGAAGAAAAGTGGAAGGAAACGAGGATTTTCACCTTTGAGTCAGCGGACACGTGCTTTCACCGACTTTGCCGGATTCAGCCAATCAGAGGCCAGCAAATTCCGCTATCGGCCTTGTTATGTAACGATCGACTGAAATCCACAATGAGATCAGAGATAGACGATGATAGGCGATGATAGACGAGGATAGTCAATGGGAGAAGTCAGAAAGAAACGGAAAAGAAAGAGATATCGAGAGAGGCGACTCGCTTTTATATGCCCACAAGCCATTGTGCGCTATCTACACCGCACTGTGGAAACTTGCAGTAGCTTATGCACTCAATTGGATCCATTGCCCTCGACAAGCTCGCAGTTTTAGACACGTTCCAGCCCTGGTTGGTAGGGTTGTGACACTCACTAGCATTTTGTGTCAGGAGTCGAAGCAACGTTGATCAAAGGCAACCCTACGGTAAATTGCTGAGATAGATGGTATATATAAAAGGGTAAGTGAGAACACCCATAATGACCCGGCAGACCTTAGCTATGATCACCTCGCGATATATCCTTTGGACCCTGGCATGCATGCCTGCAGCTACGTTTGGCCGGTCACTCTTCAGGTTGTTTGGCACTCAGACCGCTCTACACGATCAATCCAAGTGTGATGGCACAGGAATCGTCGATCCAGATGGCCATTGTAATGGCACTGGAATAGTGGACGACCCAGCCCCGCATGGACGAGAGGGCTTCAAATTTGAAAATCCCTCTTCCAAGTGCCAGTATGTGTCCCAAATGCACATCTGGGACTCCTTCAAACACCTGGAGAAGGACATGAGTAAGTTGTTTACGCTGATCCACAAAGACGTGGACTTCACCGTCGTCGGGCACCACCCGATCGCCGGCCACTACCACGACCTGCTGCACTTTTATGTCAATGCTCTGCGTCGAGTCAGTATGTTGTTTATGGACCATGCAGAATTGTTTGAGATCCACCCGCAGGGTATCTATGGCGGTTGTAACAGCGAATGGTCGGTACAGGAAATCCAATTCAAGGGCGTGATGAACTCCGGTGGGGATGGATATCCTCCGAGCTCAACCGCATTGCTGACCTGTCACAGGCGACAAATTCGACATCATCAATGTGTGGTTCACTCGGTGGGATGAAGGCCAAATGGTTGAGATTCGGACGTATATCGATGCACCGAAGATCATGGATGCGCTGCACAAGAATGAAATCTGGTGGAATGGCACGACACTGCGGGACAACCTGCTTTACATGCCGGGACCCGCGGGGATGCCTGACTTGAAAGAAATTGAACAGCTGCTGGGATATCCCAATGGCAGCAAATATGATTGAAGAAGAAGAGGAAGAAAAAAGGAAGTGAGGGGAGATAGTGTAAATTGCTTGGCGACATTAACATTAATCTTCTTCACCTTCGCAATGTTCCCCGTAGTTCAACCATGTCCGAGTCAACACCTCGTAAGCGGTCTCGTCTCGCCTGCACTTCGTGTCAGTCGCGAAAGCGCAAATGCTCAGGAGGACAGCCCTGTAGTACGTGCGCCCAAATTGGCGGAGAATGCCAGTACAATGCGCGCAAAAAACGTCTGTACCGAGCCAATCGGTCACTCGATGAGCGTCTAGATGGCTGGCCCGTTGACCTCACCAATCCCAGAGCTGTCAGCGATGCAGCTCAGACTGCTGCTTTTCATGAATCCGACGTGACCAATTCCATGGCGAACTCTGGGGCTGCGTTCGTTCGCAAACTCGGGTTACGAATTGACCCTGCGCGTGCACCGCGATTGCACTTGTTCGCATGGAATGTGGGAAAGAGGCGCACAGCTTCATCTATGTCCTCTTCGCTCCCCTCAATGAACGCCTCAGCGTCAGCGTCAGCACCAGCAACTATCACTAAGATCGTGTCACCGGAGGAGATGCGGCGGCTAGCAACAATCTACTTTGAGAAAGTCGACCCATGCTATGCCTTCTTGGATCGCAAGAAAGTCTTCATGGGAATCACTAAGCGTTGGGAGTCTCCGCAATCGTTGATCGACACAGAATATCCATACGATGCCGTTCTATGCGGTATCGCCGCCTTCGGATATCTATTCTCACGACGCGACATCATATCCCATGAGCTACAACTCATTGAAACGGCACGCAGTATCTTAGATAGAAGTGTCCTTGCTGCAGAAACACCTTCAGTCGACACAGTGACCGGTTGGGTTCTACGCGCCTCCTATCTCCGCATGACAGCTTCCCCGCACGCAGCATGGATGGCCAGCTGCACCTTGATGCATCTCATTGAAGCTGCAGGTCTACACCTGCAAACCCCAGACCCAGAAACAGCAGGTCTTCTCCCAGCATCACCAGCCGAAACACAGACCAGCTCCGATAGCACAGAAACACAATCACCCAGCGACCCAGAGACTCGTCGTCGCCTCTTCGGCATGGCTCGACATCTCAATACATGGACCTCGTTCGATCTAGGCCGCTCGCGGATTATTTTGCAAGGCGCAACAGCCATTGCCCAACTTCAAACCTCAACTCAAACATCAGCCCATCTCCATCTTCACACCCAAACCCAAGGACAAGGACCAGCAACAGTACCAGCATCAGCATCAGTACCAATTCAAACAAACCGCACTCAGCCTCGCGCCGACCTTTTCCAGCTCCTCCCCCTATCAGAAAGCCTAGACCCAACAAACACCCCAGATCTCCTCACAGCCCTAAAACAAGTCCTCTCCCTCACATACACAGAACCAAGCCTAATACTAGTACAAAGCAACCTAATGCTCTGCATCTACCGCCGCATACGCGCTCAATCAACGTCCCCCTCCCCCTCTCCATCCAACCCCCAATCCCAATCAAACACCCACGCAAACACCAATTCCACAATCCCCCCAAATCTCCTCACAAGAATCTTAAACCTAGCGTCTCGCTCCCTCCGCGCCGCACGCGAAATGGTAGCCCAAACCTGTCCCTGGCATCAAGTAGCCAACGTCCCCTTCCAAGTGGTATGCTCGCTCCTGGCCATTGATAACCGCGCCTCACTGGCGTTACTGGGTGATGCTATGCGCACGCTGAGGGAGGTTATGGGGGCGTATGACACGGCTTCGATGCGGGAGGCATATTCAACGGCTTATTTGCTTGTTGCTTTGCATCAGAGGCGGAAGGAAGATGATACTAGGGCTCTTGCGGAGGTCTTGAGGGTTAATGCTCCTGCTGTTGGGTGGGTTGGGATTGATGATGGGATCGAGGAGGGTATTGAGCATGAGTATGAGCATGAGCATGGGCAAGAGCAACAGCAAGAGCAAGAGAATGAGGGTGGAGATGGAGATGAATATGAAAATGGCAATGGAAATGAACAGCAGAGTCTACAGACTCAGGACTCAGACCAGAGCCGGAATCAGGTGCTTGATGGGTCTGTGGCGCCTGTTTCTGATGCTGAGTTCTCGTGGTTAGGGGATCTGATGATTGATATGCCCAGTTTGCAGAACTTTGATCTGGAACAATTTCTTTTGACGGATGTGCCGTGGCCAATACCCGAGATGGGGATTTGAATTGGAAATAACGTTAATTGGAATACAGATGATACAATGGTGATGTTAATGGTGTTATATGATACGGTTGGAAACTTCTATATGGAAAATTGCTACAATAACGCCCAACTCCATGTTCATAAAATGCTTGGGGAAGGAAACCGAAAGACCCTTCAAACACGAAATCAGAATGAATCAAAATCGCTAGTCCAATGTGAAACGTAATGCGACATTCATTCCTTCTTATCATGCACAGTCTTCGATGGCTTCGATGCAGTACCAGACGACCAAGCCACCCGAGCAAGGCGCCACAGTACCCAAAAGAAGCCAAGTGTGATAACCGCACAGGTTCCCAGCTCAATATTCTTGGACTTGAACAAACCTTCATCGTCAAGGTGCAAAACAGGGACCTCGATATCCTCTACAAGACGCCCTGAGCTAGGTTGAAGCTGGTAGAACATGGTTCGCGGACCGAAAAGACCATCCCAGCCTAAATTAGTGCGGTCGAAGGGATTCACGCCCATCTTAGTTCCTTCCTCTGAGGTGCATGCCCAGAATACGACTGGCCAAGGAACATGTGCGGTACGGTATCCAGTTTCTGATGGTGGGAGGTATCGGAGGTGCAGAGGGACTGTGGCTGTCCAATTCGAGGAGTCGACGGACTCCTCAAGTGGAATGGCTAGCTCGAGGAGCCAGGTTGACCCCCAGCGGTCGACGACCCAGTCTGGGGCTTCGAGGTCCATCTCGCCTGACAGGGCGCGGAGGGCTACTAGGTTGTGTGACTCGAGGAAGAGATTGTCTGTTGTTCCAAGCTGGTATTGGTCTCCGAAGATGGTAGATGGGAGGGTTAGATATGTGTGCAGTGCACAGGTTGCCTCACTTGGAGCCGGTGGTCGTTTGAGAGATGATCGGGGCATAGAGATGGACATTGTTGGATGTAGACCTGTTGGGGGAGCAAAAGAGACTGTGTAGGTGGCAGGCTCCAGTAGAGGCTGGTGTCGGGAGGGGAACGAGAACATGGTGGGTTCTGTGTGATCATTAGTCGAGCTATTTCCCTAGACGGGGAATTGACAGCCACATACTTAGCTTCTTGTCCTCTCCAACGACAGCCAAAAGGCCACCCATCTTGATCTCTTCCGGCTCAAGACCCGGCTCGGCGCCTAGGATACCGATTTCAAGCTGGCCAGTCGAAGAAGAAGGCTTATCAAGCTGCTCTACCCAGCCGCCCGGAGGTGGATTGGTCCAGAGACCAGACACAGTCAAGGCGTGAGAAATGCTATCATAGTCTACATCTACCGAGTCTGCCAACAGAAGCGAATCGGCACGAGCATGGCACTCAGTAGCATCCTTGCTCTGCACGCAAATAGAGTCTCGGATCCATTTACTCAGAGATTGTAGCGACTCCAGGCGAGTATGGTATTGGAGGGAAGCCGAGGAAGCGAATCTCGTCGAGAGAAGTGGGGGTGTAATGAACGAATCCTGAACAGCGCAATGGAGGTTAATTTCAATATATCAGAAATTTATGGCAGGAGAAGTCTTCTGGACAGAGCAAGCCCACCTTTGGCGTCGAACAATCCTTATATTGAGCACCTTCACCAGGTTCAACGATAGTGCGGAGCAGCGAGCACAATGTCTCCCTATACCCAGTAAGCAGCCACACTTTGTTCCACAATAAAGACCCAAGCTCACGGAAATTCATCTGCATTTAATGGAGTATAATGCACATGCAGACCGGGTGAAACCCGGCTGACGAAGGGTGCGACGGCATCGTAGGACCGCTCAGAGGCCCAGCGGAGGTGGAGCTCATGGGATTGCTCGAGGATGGCGCGTAGCTAGACACCACAGAAGAACAATCATGTCAGAGAATTTGCGATTATTGCGATGTCTTTGAATGAAGCAATGTGCTCTTGCTCACCTCTGTTGGCAGCTCGTCCAGTCCGACCGTGATGCGGTCCTCCCGCGCGGCGTCTAGGTTGCGGACAGACAAATGTTTGCTGGTTAAGACAGCTTGCTCAGGCTCAAATGGCGCATTGACGCGCTGGACATAGGTGATCCGTCGTTTCATGATTGAGGTTTGTAGTTGATAGCACTCTTGGAGGGAAGAGTCAACAGAGGTCACATCTCCAAGGTGTTTCTCCGCATCTTAATCGGGTTAGACTCGGTGCATTACGATTATGATCACATGTTCATTAAAGTGCAAGTATCTACAGTTCAGCTCTGTCATAAACATTCATTTCCTTGTCGTTACTCCGAAGATCACTCGCTCCATCCAACGCCAGGTATATGCTAATTCACAAACAATTTTAAGGTAAGACATCCTTGATAAGGTCTTTTTGGGATGACGTCAGGCTGGTTGGGAACTTGACGTTGACATGGACCACGAGGTCTCCGCGCTCGCTGGGATTCTTGGAGATCACCATACCGAGGCCAGGGTAGTGCTCCTCATGACCAGGCTGGGTTGGACCGGGCTTGCTGACGCGGATGGACTTGCCGTCAATGGTCTTGACGATACGCTCCCAACCAGTGAGTGCTTCCTTGAGGCTGAGATCGACAGTGGTGACAAGGTTATCACCGGAGCGTTTAAAGGTTGGGTGGTCAAGCTGTGATCAATTAGTATAGTTCGTTCACATTCATAGGGTAATGGTATCACTCACCTCCTTCACAATCAAATGCACATCTTGGCGGCCACCTTCTTCTTGGTCTCCAATGTTGCGGTACTTGATCTTAGAACCAGCACGCAGTCCAGGCTTGATGTTGGCTTCCAAAGTAACCTCCTGGGTGGTGCGTTTGCCCATCCTATCAAAGGCTTTGCTCTTCGTCTTGACTTTCTTGGAGACACCCTTGAAGATCTCCTCCAGAGTAAGCGGTAGATCCTTCTCAATGATAGTAGGCTCAGGTGTAGGAGCACGCTTAGGCTTCGCGTATCCAGCTCCCGGGCGGCTTCTGCCAAATCCGGCGCCGCCGCCACCACCACCAAGGCCTCCATTAAGCATGGAGAAAATGTCATCATCATCAAAGCCGCCCAGTCCACCTCCACCTCCACCTCCACTTCCACCACTGCTCTTGGCGAAGTTGCGGAAGATGTCGTCGGCATCACTGAATCGGAATCCGTTGGCACCTCCGCCTGTACCAGTGGAGAAATGGAATGTGCGACTTCCGCCTCCGCCGGGCATGCCACCGAAATTGAATCCTCCAGGCATGCCTCCGTCGAAGCCAGAAGCACCTCCGCCCCCACCTCCAGGAGGCGGTGGAGGGGGTCCGCCGCGCATCAGGTAGTCAAGGCCATATTGGTCGTAGACCTTGCGCTTTTCAGGGTCGGAGAGGACTTCGTATGCTTGTGAGACATCTGGTCAAATGTTAGTTGGGTATCAATGCGGGGTAGACGTGGCACATACCTTTGAATCTCTCAGCGGCATCGGGATTGTCTTTGTTCTTGTCGGGGTGGTGCTTCAGTGCAGCCTTGCGGTAGGCCTTCTTGATTTCATCTTGTGTGGCATCAGGCTTGACGCTCAAAGCATCGTATAGCTTCGTCTCGGAAACCATAGTGCGGGGTTGAATTGAGTTTTAGGATCAGGAGGCGATCCAGGGAGCGCCCGCCGTTGGAGCTGCAGTCTTAAAAGAAAAATGCGATGTCTGACAAGGAAAAAGGATCCAGAGTGAAAGAAGGTGCGGTGTACTTGTCGAATGACGTAGAAGGTTCGCGGGTATGCAGGTTGCGGGGTTGATTGGAATGCCTTAGTGCTGATATGGGGTGATCAAGTGAAATGAGAGGAAATTGAAGAGAGCTAAAATATGAATGGCGCTCTGGGAACTTGAATGTCAGGGATCAAGACTAGACTCTCTCCAAGTCAGTGACGTGTGACGTCGTCGTTGGCGGGTCGAACGTTCTCGAAGCTTCGACGCCCTACAGCAAGCCGATCAACAACATACAAGGTAGGGATCAAATGAAATTTATCTGCAGATACTATCTTTAGTCGCTTTACGGTTATTTAAACGCACCTTCAGAGGGTCTAGCTGCGGCATCAAGTAGGAAGATCCCGCGATCTATAACATCATAGCCCCACAATTATGTCAGTTGCGGCAGTACGGCAGTGTGCAGCCGCCAGCAGCTCAAAAGGCCCCAATACCACCTTGGTTATCGCTTCGAATAGTTGACTATTACCTTTCTTTCACCTTTTAGGCTATTTAGGGAAAGGATCATTTACATCAATGAGAAAACAGGGAGAATTGAGAGAGTGTGTGCTACTTCTTTGTTATATCTTAAAGTCGAAGATATTTCTAGGGATATTCTATAGCTTTACATAGTTCTGGACCTTTTCATAGAAATCTCTATTCCGTTGTAAGCTCTTCTAAGATGTCTCTTTTTATATATTCTAATTCTCTTCTTATCTTCCACTTCAATCTTATTCTCACTTAATTAATGATTACGCCTAGGTATATTGATCTAATAGTATACTGGCTTATTTTAAGCTAATTATAAACGATCATGTATCAATACCTAGGTACAACGTTATCCTACCTTCTAAGCCTTAGTAAACGTTGAAAACTAAGCCAGTCGTACGGTATATGTACAAGTAAATAGAACCATTGAGTTAAGTTACAGAGCCAGTACACTTAGATACAGTTGAGCCTCTAGGAAAGATACAGCATTAATAAAAAATTCATGACAGAAATAGGGGCACGGGCCTTTTGAGCTGATGGCGACTGGACACTGCCGTAGTCAGTGTCGTTGCTAGCCCTACCCGACTTACAGATGAAGTATGCACTGAACTCAATTCATGTGCGACGACAGCCCACGGAATCACCTTGAGGCAGCGGAGATCATAATGTAAGTATCAAGAGGAAATGTGATTTATTTGCATTATGACTCCTCGTATCTCCATGTACATTGTAGCGTTATCTAGTCTACTAGGACTTCCCACCAACAACCACCCAATCCTCAATTAGTGCGGTCCCATTTTCAACAGCCTTGATCTGCTCATCAGTGCATGTTGAACCAAGAGAAAGGATATAGCAAAGCGGCCCAGGACTCTCAGGAACATCGTTCTTGATATCCCAAGTCGACTCCGGGCCATTCGTGGCATATGAGGTATTGTGAGCAGTATTGATTTTACCCGTAGCAAGATCACGGTTGAAAAGTGAACGATGGAAAATTTCATACGCAGTTTGAGGCTGGTAAGCTGGAACTTCATGACCAGCTTCGTAGACCCGGGTGAAGGAGAAGTTTCCATGCTGACGGACTTGACCGCCAATGTAGGACGAGTTCGTGTGGAGGGGAGTGTAGCCCGCATCACGGAAATTGGCAGCTTCGGCATGCTCAACTAAAAGACTAACTTCCTCACCACCGATCCAGTTGCAGGCGTAGTCACGGTCGCCGTAGACGAGGGCAACCTTGATACCGGAGTCGAGGACGTACGCGATATCCTCGAGATAGCCGCGCACATCTGAGCGTGGGTAATCGCCCGTTGAGGAAAAGGCGTAGTAGACACCATCGTTCGATTCAGTGAAGTTGATTGGGACGCCCAGCGCGCCTTGGACCCAGTGCTGGTTCAGCCAGCCGAGGAAGTATGGTTCTGGGAAAGGGTCCGGGTTCTTGTGTGCAATGTCGTAGTAGCCACGGTCTGCGTATTCCAGGTATACTCCCTCGACGCTGTTACTGCAGAAGCTGTCGGCCTTTTGGCATGCCTTGTTGACTGTTTGATTGGTGCCGTACATTTGGGGGTCGCCCTCAGCAGCCAAGGCACGGCACTCTGTAATCAAGTCCTTGCATCCACCAGGCCGACTCCAGGCGTGCATGGCTTGATCATAGATGGTTTTGTTAATGGTTTGAATGTCGTAGGTGTTGTTGTAAGCCATCTGAACATAGGAGGGCTCCTGCACTAGAAGATCGACGCAGCCGTTGATGATACCAAGGGTATCCAAGTGGATGTAGTGCGAGTCTTCCGGGTTATGAATGCTGCCGTTGGCAATTTTCTCATTCTGCTCCTGGAAAAAAGCCGTGAACGATGGACCATAGCGACCGCCGTAGGACTCGGTCCAGATGCTAACCCTGTCATCATGAGGCTTGTATTCGGGGAACTCGCTGAACCAAGTCTGCGCGAAGTGCCAGAGAGATCGTGCCGAGTTTTCGGTACTGTTGGCTGTCGCCGTCTTCTTCTGACTGGTGGTCGTACCAACGTAGAAGGTGTTGTTCTGCTCAGGCACTCCGTGAGTCCACTCAGACAGGTTCCATCCGCCGGTGACTTGGTCGAAGGTACCGTTTGTCGGCACATCATAGCTGAAGCCAACTTGATTAGGCTGATCAATGTACAGCATGTTCACGTAGTTGTTCCACGACCAGGGGTTCAACTCTGTCGAATTAGAATCCGCGTTCACCTTGCAGGGTCCATTTTCTTGCATGAGACCAATCATAGAGGAACTTCCTGGTCCGCCATTCATCCAAATGGATAGAGGCGCGTTCTTTGGATCATGACGAGATTCAAAGAACCAGAAGAAAGTGTTGATGGGGTACTTCTGATCAACATGCACGTCGTCCAAGGACCCTGGAGGTAAATGAACGTATCCGGAGTACGATCTCACTCCTGGTGTAGTCTCACAGATTTCAGGCTGTACAGCTTGTCAGTAAATGAGAGCAATTACAGAGGGAAATGATCACAATTCTACCTCTTTGTATGAAATCTTGACACCCTTATGATGCTTCGACTCAACCACCTTCAATCCTTCGGGTGTCGGCGGAAAATACTGGGCAGCAGCAGCTGCTGCCAAAGAAGTGACGACGTAGCATGAGAATATCATTGTTGAAGCCAAGATCCATGGAGAGGGGAAGCGGACTACCTTATAAGTTCCCTCATATGTCGATCACCTGGGGCAGATGTGACGATAACGGAATCAGAGCGCCAAGACATCTTTGCCTGAAACCCCCCTACTGACTCCCAGACATCTTTATTGGTTTCACTCACTAGATCATGCATGAAGAACTGCAATATCTAATAATTGGTTCGGGCCACCGACGGAGCTAAGGACACTGTCACATTCTACTTCCTAATCATTTTCTCAATCTGAGCCCGCCTCTTCCCAGCCCCCCCCCCAACCTCCACCTCATGCCTACACCCTCACATGGAACAGATACTGCAGACGAACCTGAGCTGAATCCTTGACAACATATTCTGAGTGATGAAGCCTGGTCTCTTGTGTTTGCGTGAAGGGAACTTCCAAATCCGGAATCTGTGTTCCCACAAAGTCTTCATGAATACACCCAGCATCGCGCCATTTCGTATGAATAGTTGCTCCCATAAGGAATTGTGAAAGACCCGCATCGGAGCTGCCTAGCTCGACTTCGCACAGCGACAACAGGGCGTCCTTCCCTCCCTGGCAGTAGCCTAATGATTTAGTAGACATGTCGGCAAAATAGATTCCACTACAAAATGCCTTTCCACTGGCACTGCAGATTCCGCTATAATGCAGACCTTGGCTTAGAATCCCCGCAAAGTTGATTGTCGACGAGCCATGCCAAAGGAGTCGCCGATCTCCTGTCTTGGATGTGTTTTTCTTCTCCCACTGGATGAAGTTCTCCGCCTCACCTGGCCGCTTCACGCGAAAAAGACCAACAACCTGCTAAAGCCAAGAGTCAGAGCGAAGGTCTCAGGGAATCAAAATAGGATTTACTTTGATTTGGCACGGATGGACTTTTCTGGTCGATCCATGGAGGTACTTGCAAAGCTCCGCATATTCCACGGACGTCTCATCCACTAGAAATGTCAGGGTTGGAATTCTTGTCTGGCCAGAAAGAAGGGAGAACACCACGAAACCATCTCACCTGGGGTCAACGTTGCCAGACCAAGCGCATGCGATATTTGACTCCTTGTCAATGCCTTTGTCAAATTCTTTTGTCCCACGATGTTGCTGGCAGTGTGGAGCTTGAGTGCCAAATCGAGACTCAACAGCTCATCCTTGGTTGGCTTGAGCTGTTGGCCCACCATCATGAGGACAGAGTACAGGCTTTGTAAGTGTTTGACTTGCAGATCGTAGGATTTCAGAGCATCTCCTTCAAGCACCCTGATCTTTCTCAAAAGTGCAATCGCAGCTTGAAGAGCGTAACCATCGGAATCTTGCATGAGATACATCTTACGACCCCCGCTGCTCATTCTGTTGGAAATTTGATCCAAAAGACCATTCTCAAAGATGAGACTCAAAACCCTCTCAACGCTGTCAGCCAATTTGTGATTCTCACTGACCAGAACCAGAGGCTGCTCAAGTTGAAGTTCCACAAACACATGTTTCTTGTCATCTGTTGGAATTTGGTTTCGACATTTCCAGTCGAGACCGCTGAGTTCGCGAAATCTTTTCTTGAAATCGTCTTTGGCATGGTTTAAGTCCCGATAAACCTTTTTGTCATGGAGAACCGTATGTTTAGCTGAAGTATCCGGAATCTCACGCTTAATTTCATAAGAGATATAGTTGCAGTAATGGGATTGAGCGATAGTTTGGAGTCGAACGCAGCAATGGGACTGAGTGATGATTTGGAGTCGAACGATGGAAGTCTCCTGAGGCTTGTCTGGGTGAGCAATACTGTTGATAAGTGTTGCATCCCAAATCTCCCCAGAATTATCCATCCAGACCGACCTCGTTTTTCCTGTTTTGAAATAAACCTTAGAAAAAACACCACCTTGGTACACGAAGGACAAGATGAGTGCTTACGTGATTTGTACTTCATGACCACGGATTTATCCACCAGAGCAGTGAGCTTTGCCAGTTTGGATTGGTCCTCATCCCTGACCTTCTTCGAAGGGTGCGTGTCTTCGTCGACGGAGGTGGATTTTCGCGCACGCTTCTTGTCGGTTAAGTCAGTGACCTTAACATCTTTGCTTTGCAGCAAACTGTACTGCTGGACTTTCTCGGGACTTTTGTTCTCAATGCTCTTCAACAGCCAGTCCACGTTGACAAGGTGACAGTCTCCTGACTCTATGGCCAGACCAACTGAGAACAGAATGTATCATTAGCTACCTTATGGTTTATTGTCCAGCTCTGAATTACCTTTTGTCAATCCTTTCTTGATGCCAGCCTGTGTGGTGACAAGATGGGTGCATTTGCTTACATTCCTGTCGGTGTAAATGGCACCGCATTTCTCAACCATCTTCTGAATCTGGCCTATTAATCGTAACATTGATTGCATCAGTGGGATATTATACTTGGATTTTGTTTGAACAAGGAAGGCAGGAGGTTACTGACTATGCATTAATCCAGGAATATTGCCACTGGCCCCAATGACAAGACCCTTCATACTTTTCGTCAGCTTGTCTGTTTCTTTATCAACTTTCTTGTCAGACATTGCAAAGAGTAGCGGGACTGAGTCCCTAAGAGAACGCAAAGATTTTAAGCTTGATGAGCAGGCGAGAAGACAGAAAGATGAAGAGAAATCTAGGTCGACAAAGTATCAAGAGGTATAGAACCCTGCCGTTTCAAATAGACCATGACGATGTTTGAACAAACAAAGAACAAAGAAGTTGTCCTGGGATGCAAGTCGAAAAGATTCTTTGATGTCGAACCTTATAGGAATGAACCCAATAAGACACCCTTCAACTAATTTTGATGTAGGAGCTGTTCCATGCCATTCCATACAACAGGAAGCACAATAATTGCACGTACCCACATTCTAAACTCCATGAGAGTGACTTTGAATGCTCCAAATTGAGAGAGAGATAGACTCAAATAAAAGGCAAAAGTGCTATTAAAAAGCCATGTTGATTTTGATTTGAATACAGCAAGGTAGCACACATGGGCTGACGGTCAAATAGAAACAGAGCATGTGGACGCTCTACAAACAAGACTTAATTAAGGTAAGAAACGCCATAATACCCTGAAATTCGTGTGCCACATAATGGAGTCGACGACAATGCCCTAGTTGCTCGTGAAGTAGTTGAAAGCGACAGGGTCCCCGAGCTTGATCTTCTCGGCCCAGGCATCGAAATCATAACGAATTCGACCCATGTTACCCAGTGGCTTTCCATCAGCAGGAGCATGGTCCTTGTGGTTGAAGCCGGCAGGCTGCTCATACAGGAAGAAGATGTAGCGGTGGGGAGAGCTACCAGGAGGAGGAGCCGGGCCGATGTAGTTGGCGACAAAGGGTGCGTCAAATTCGAGCGCAGATGCGTCGCCAACCTTGACCTCGGGCTGGATCCAGTGCAGGATAGGGCCTAGGAAGGTGAGAGAGGGGAATGGCGCGTCGACATCCAGGCTCACAACCATGTAGGTGCTGGTGGGGGATGCGCCGGCGAAGGTGAGCTTGGGAGGAGCTTGAGCCTCTGTTTCAGGGTCAGTCTTGGTTCAAATGCTTCTGTGCGATGAGTTCGAGATGTGTCTTACCAGAGCGTGGGACATACTGGCCCAGCTGCACGTTCTCGTATTTTCCAACGGTCAGGCCGAGGACCTTTGTCTTGTCGGCGTCGACGAGAGACATGGCTCTCTTGAAGTGGTTGTCCGAAGGCATTTTGGCAGATGGAAGACAAGTGGAAAGTGAAAGCCTAAGCAGGGGAAGACTTGGGAATGAAGTTGAAATAAGGAAGGAAGTCAAGCAACCTTGGAAGTGTCGCGCAACCGAAATAAAGTTGCACAAGCTTTGGGGCCGGACTTAACGGAGTTAGGCGTTATACTTCTTATTTCCACGTGCTTCAACGCTTTTAGATCGAGTTTCTGGTCTTGGAGGTTATTGCGATATGATTCTGAATGACTATCTGATGTATCATGGATCTTGAGCTCGTCCCAGCAAGTGGTTTACTCCTTGACTACCCCAGTCACCATGGCACGCACAGTGGTGTTACCCTCATCAGGATACGGAGTTCCAAAGTCACGCACAAAAGCGATATGCTTCTCGCTTGTCTCAAATAGCTCCATGTCAAAGCGACGAACAAATGTTGCTAGCACAAGGAACAATTCTGCATATGCCAAACTATCATTTTTGTTAGCGAGAGTGCAGCAAGCAAGAAAAGAAATTATGCTGCATACTTCATGCCCAAACAATTCCGAGTGCCTTTTGAGAATTGGACCATGAATCTATCCAGTCGCTCTCCCTTTGCAGCAGCGCGTAGCCATCTATCTGGGTCGAAAACGTGCGGATCAGGGAAAATCTCGGGGTCTGTGAGAACGAAGTAATTGGTTTGGCTCACCCGTGTCTGTTTTCAGTCATGTTAGAGCCATGTGTAAATATCGAGTCTAATGATGGTAATTCTCTCACCCCGGGAGGTATAGTGTAATCCTTGTAGACCAGAGCTTCGGTGGGCGCGATACGTGGGGAGCGAGTGGCAATTCCAGTAGACAAGCGCAAGCTTTCCGAAACGACACCCGACTATTGACACCGGTCAGCAACCACGTCAGTTTTCCATAATATCACACGGGACCGACCAGATATGGCAGCTGTTCAAGCTGATTCCATGTTGGGCGAGAATTAGGAGTGGGCATCACCGTCCGCAGCTCCTCTCGCAACTTCTTTCTAATATTGTCATTGGATATGAGGCGGAAAGCAGCAATGGTTAGTGCCCGAGCAGTTGTCTCAGTGCCACCGAGAATGAGACTGAATCCATCATTGTTCAAGCCTTCTAATTGGCGCAGGTGCTCGGGAATATCCGAACCGGCGATGATCTCCAAGATAGGGCGAGGCTTGGAGCCTGACAGCTTGCCATCTAGAAATTCGCTCGTCTGGCGGGTAATGATCGCCTTTTGACTCACTAGCGCATGTGCAGATGCGTCAATCTTTTCAAGCCACCCCAATGGAAGCGACTTCATGATGACTTGGATGATCGGGAAGAAGTATGAGATATGGCCGAACTTGAATAGTCCATTGATTCCGTCTCGGACTTTTTCGTTGAACTCTTCGTGATCAAGGTTTCCACTGTTAATTCCATAGGCATATTTGTGAATGACATCAGATGTTAGCCCAGCGAAGCCAGCATCGAGGGTGACGGCTTTGTGGGATTCATAGGCGCGCTTGAAGTGTTCATCCAATTTGTCGATGTTCTCATGAATCAGATGTTCCATGTTAATGACGGATTGTTTTGAGAAATGCTTTTCCAGATTTGAGCGCTTCTGTCGGTGCTCTTCTGGGGTGATACTTGAAAATGCCGACCCCTTGAGGTCGAACTGAGCGACTAGGATAGCATCCTTCTCCCGTCTGCGCTTGCTAGAGGCGTATATCTCATCATAATAGTTGGAATCCTTGATATGAACCTCGTTAGGAGTGACACGAATGATGGGCCCTAATGCGCGGTTAGAGTGATGATACTCCGGAGGGCGCACGATATTTACCATATACTTTGTGCAGCCTCTCTATCTCCCAAATAAAAGATCCTCCCTTAACCACATTGAAATAGAATTCATAAATGGTTGAGATTGCGGCAAGCTTGGGACCTGGAATTTTGCTGAGAGGGTGGGAATACAGTCGATGTATGCTTTTGGCTAGGAAATAGGTGAGCAGAGCACCTATTCCCAATACCAATAGACCGGCCATAATTATTACCGATCAGCCAGACCCCAGGGTTGAAAAAATTTAAAAGGAATAGAAATATGTGGAAACCATTTTCTTTTATAAGCATAAATTAAGCGATCTATAATGGAGGGGGCGGTTTGTCCACTTTCACACTCAAGATCTTCACGCCGTTAATGCGGCCTATGTGAAACACCAAAATGGACATTGGTCAAATTGGGCTCGGCTGGACTGTCCCGGCCTTCATCCGTGTTGCTGGAGACCTTAGCGCAGAGCGATGTGGCACTAGCCTTAAGCCTCGGTTATTGACGCCAATGATAGTCCAATATCACCTTGACCGGTACTTGGCTGTATGTTGCACGAGTCAGCTGCGACCGAGACCCCTACACATCAGTCCCGCGACATGAAAATGAGGAGTCATACTTACACTGCCGGAAATGCAAGCAGATGTTCAATCTGATGCACATGGCTGCACATGACTGCACATGACTTGCATAAAGATTTTCAGTGCCATGGATGGTTCCCGCTTCCAAACCTTAAGTTTCTATACTCTCTCGCAGCTCTAACTTGTGTGTTCTACTTCCAACCTCCAATCCTATGAACCTTTGTTGACGGCCAATATAGCACAAATCTGAAAGTGAAAGAAATCTACCCGCGACAGAGCAAATTGACAATAGAAATGCAAAATGGCATGTACCTTTGATAGTCGAGAGGATAGCTTTTAGCGCATATTAGACTAAGCACTTGCATTATTACCACCACAGTAAACCACCAATCAAGAGACACCAGATAGTGAGCAATGCGCACGAGCTCGGTCCTCTATAAAGCCCGAATGAGAGGGATAGCAAAACCCAAGGTTTTCTCAATACGGGCCAGGTTCGGCTAAACTGGATAAGTTAATGCGCCCGGGCTTAGGTCAAAATATAGTTAGCCTGATAACGCCAAGGCCAACACATCCCTGCAATCAGCCAATGCCGATTTCAAGGATAAGGGTTAGGAAACGGTGCCGGAGTTGAGGAATCTGAGTACTTTTCTTACGTCATATAATCCAAGTTGGACACCAAGCAAATATTACTTCATGAGCTAGAGATCAAGCGTGCCTCGAACAAGTTTCGTTTCGGAGTGTACGCTTTACTGCCCAAGAAACATAGACCCTAATGAGTCAAGAATCACCATCTTACAGAAGCTATGCACAGCTAGTGTTACCATTACAAGTAGACCAACTTTGTGGTAGCAAAAAGTAGCATAAAATAGGAAAGAAACATGCCTGGCATAGAGGCTGAGCAAACTAGTTAACCAGCCTTCATGTAGCGTCATCCTTCAAAGCAGAATCCGTGACAGGCAAATTGCTCGTTTTCTCAGACTCGGTATTTTTAATGTTATGCAGAAGCATGAACGGGAAACACAATCGACCATTGGCAGATTCATCCTAAAGCACAATTAGAAGCAGTTCCCACGAGAACATAGTCATAAACATACCAAGCTGCCTCCATCATCCCAATACCTCCCAGGACGATATTCAAGCTTCATCAATTATCAGCAACAAGCTCGCCCAAAAAAGCAACCAACAACAAGACCTACCCGAATCCCATCCAAACGCAACCTCGGATCCGGCCGAAAACCAAGCCACCTCCGAAACAGATCTTCCGCCGTCTGCGTCGCAAACATATAAGAAAAGCGATACCAAAGAAAATCAAACCGATGGTCCCAATTCCAAATACTATCCGACCCACCATTAACATTGTCCACCTCGCCCCGATTAAACATCCTATCCATTTCCCGCGGACTCCACAACCCATCCATATACATCGGATGCGGAACATAAACAGCCTTATAGCCATACAGCAAAGCCCACGAAGGCGCCGACATCTCCGACGCAAATGCCTCCCCCCGTCGCCGCTGCGCATTATGCATCTCCAGCAACAACCTCCTAGACAGCCGCCACTGCGTGATGACCGACGCGCGGCGCGGAATATCCGCCGACACATTCCAGATCATATTAGGGAACGTCCATGATGTATTCCTCGGATCGAAGATAGGCAGGAAGGTGATCAGATCGGCCTCTTCCCCAACGCCCCATTTGAAGTTATCCTTTTCAGGCCGAGACCCGGGTGGCGGCGTTGGACCGGCTGGCTGGATCCCCTCGTGCTGGACGGGCCCCCAGATACTGTGCTTGCCGCTCATTGCGTTGGCGATTGTTTGCGAGAAGTCGGCGTAGGTGCCGTGCACGCCTGGCGTGTAGAAGTGGGCGTTTCGTTCCCAGAGGTACTTTCGTGGTTGTTTTCTGGCGAAGTCGATGGCTTGTTCGAGGAAGTGGTATGTGTGGCCGAGGACTCGGTTGTCGAATTCTAGTTGCCAATAGTAGTCGAATTCGGGGTACATCTGGGCGAAGACTTGCAGGGCTTGGAGGTGCTGGTAGATTGCGCGGTGTTCGTTTATCTTTGGGTACCATTCTGCCAGGAGGTGTTCGCTGAAGAGGACTGTCATATTGCGGAACTCGGATGGCACGATTCGTTGTTTGAGTGCTCGGACTGCGTCTTCGTCGTTTTTGAGATCGATTGATTCGTCGTGCACGTCCACCATGAAAAACACCTGGTACTCGGATCCAGTGTGGAGCGCTAGTTCCATGATCAACGAGCGGAGGTATTGGGTGTGACTGGGGGTCCATCGCATTGTTTCCGAGGCACGCAGGACAACGGCCGAGCGTGTCTTGTATGAAAGACCGGCGGGCTTGCTCGGGATGCTCATATGTTCTCCGAGAGTTGGCGGGTAGAGGGAGAGAATGTGCTGCCCGTAATGCTGGTCTGGTCGATCGGGGCGATAGCGTTCGGCGTTGCGTTCGTAGCATTGTGATTGAAGATAGCCCCAGTTGACATTTGTCCAGAGGACTCTGCTGGGCCTTTCGAATCCCGAAATCGCAGCGTCGTTGTTTTCGTCTATTCCGTAGGGACCGTAGCGAGCATAGCGATCTACACAGACATCCTGGTCTAGACCGACGGCCTTGTGAGATCCGAACATGGCAGCGGGGAATCCTGCAAGAAAAAAGAGGTGCTTAACAGATGACTGGATTTGAGGATTCTCGCCAGTAGATACCCTTCTGTGTCCCACGGTAAACAGACATCATATCCTCACTACTGCCGCGATCCAAATCCCTCCCGCGAGGCCCACGGCAAGCCTCGAAACTTCCCGCCCATGTCTTATGCCATCGAGGAGTGTTGTAAGCAGGATAGGGATCGTAAATAGCCGGCTTGGGGTGCTCGGTAGAGCCGTTCTGAGTCGTTAGAGTGAGGATTCCTCCCTGGTAGAACCTATTCTGTCTGTGACTTTATTAGAGGTGGGTGCAATAACAGATATGGCCACATACGGCAAGTCATTAAGAGTTCCCTCTCCCTCAGGCTCATCGGACGGATCGTTTGAGGATAGAACCACGTTGATATCAATGTCGGAATAAGTGGGATCGACGAATTCTCCGGGATGCAGGACGTTGGACTCCTTTGGTAAGGGCAGAGGCAGGAGATCCAATGGAGCGGGTATGTCCTTGTGTGGAGGGGGAAGTCGAAAGTAGAGGAAGAATAGAAGAGAGCTGGTAATGAGACATGGTAAGATACCAGAACGGAATCGAATCATTTCGTGCTATTTAGCTGCTGGTCATGGAAAACTTGATGCTAGCATGCTCAGTTGGGTAGTCGGCGTACTGGAGAGTCTTTGAGGGGGAACACACTCTCGATATCTGGTGCTAGATTGGCAGACTCGAGAGAGAATATATCACTCACTGGCTTTCCTCGAGATACAATACCGACTGTCATATGTGGACATGACGAGACCATTCGTCATTGAGAGGTGATTTCTACAAGGGAACTAGATTCCCCGGTCTATAATCCCAGTTGGGTTACATGCTACCGAGGGGCCTCTAATAACATTAACCTAGAGCATGGAATGATTCGGAGCTCTTGTACCCTGCGAAAAAGACATACCTACGCACAGTACATCTACTTAGGGCTAGCGATCTCCACAACAGACCCGAAAGAGGTAATTACAACCAACTAAACATTCAGATACAATGAACCGGAACAAATAGACTATAATGACCCAAAAGAGTGTATTGAGAGTACCAAACCCAGGATATAATGCAGCCGAATCAAGCCCCCCTTCGACAAACGGATCGAAGACCCCCCAACCGAGCCAAAACCCAGCCAGAAACCAAAACCGTAGAAGAACACCAAGATTCTCCCACACGCTGAAATGCAAAACGCTAAAACAAAACCCAAAACCCATGAGATGAGATAGATGAATACTAAAAAGGAGAGTATTTTTCGAAAATGAGCGCAGAATGGGACTCACGATGAGCCAGATGCGTAGAGAGGATGTACGATGGTGATGGGTATATACGAGATGAGTGTATATAAGAGATGTAAGCTGTGCAAACAAATCCAAATCCGAGTGTCAGTTGCGAATGAACAACTAAATGCCTTTACTCGGCGCGAGCATGGGGCAAGGTGCTATCGACCTTGGTGCCACCGGGTGACTCCTCAGCTTCGCCTTGGTCGGCATGAGAAACCTTGGAAGAGGTTTCGCCTTCCATGGTGTCGTACTTGGCTTCGATTTTGTCGAGAGTTTCTTCGACTTGGGGGGTATCTTCGACTGTGGCGCCAAGCTTGGAGTCAATTTCGGGTGACTTCTGGGGACCGGAAGAGGTGTTGACGCCTAGGAAGTTGTCGGACTTGTCTGTCTCCTGTTGTGAAGGAGAGACAGTATCGGTTGACTCCTTACGCTCAGTGTCTGCGATGCCCTGCTCGGCGACGTGGTCTTCGAGGGTGATGGTAGGATCCTCGAACTCGTCACCGCTGGCAGCGGGGAACTCGGCCGTATCGACAAACTCATCTTCATCGACGACGACAGGAATGGCAGTGGTGGTCTGGAGCTTCTTAGGGGAAGAATGGATTTCTCCAGACTCACCCTCGGCAATTTCGGTGGGAGAGGTGTTGAGGCTGACCTGCGAGAGAGCGGTAGGCGATGTCGAATCCCGGCTCGAACTAGAGCCCCAGACGTGCTGTGGGTGGCGAGGAGGTAAAGCAGGAGGAGTGCGAGGAGGTAAAGTAGGAGGGGTGCGAGCTGGGATGTTCACGAGACGAGCACGGGTGAAGCTGGGTGACAGACGCTTGGCCTCGTTATCACTCTGCTCTTCCGCCTTCTTGGGGGAGGACTGGAATGACTGAAGACTGTCCCGTGGAGTAACGATAGCATTATTCACTTCGTGAACCTCGAAGTCGTCATCTTCGTCAACGTCATTGTCGGCTTGAGTTTGCTCGTCGTAAGACTTGGGCTTGTGGTCCTCGCTCTTGAGTCCATCGTAGCCTCCGTTGAGCGGCACTGCATCCCAGCTGGCAGGATCATCATCCCAGTTCACTGACGGAGCAGTCGAGTCCTTGGCACTGGGTGGGGATGGTGCGCGGCTCACTGACGTAGACGCAGCTGGCGAGGCATCATTAGTCTGTGTGCCACGGTCGACACTGAGATAACTTCTGTTACTCTTATGGCTTTGGATACTAGCCCGCCAGCTGTTCCGCGGCGAGCTATCCATGCTCCGGCGCGAGAAAGTCGCGAAGATAGGGCTGCCCGGGTTCGGCCGGAACTCAAAGGTATCATGAGTGGGCCTCACCTTGGTGCCGGCCTCTCGAATAAATAGGCCCTCGGCCTCCAATGCCTTCACACCGTATGGATCCGGATCGTCTTGGGCTGGCACACCAAAGCTTGTCCCATCATCGGATATCTCGAGGTCACCAGGGGTCGCACCGGGTGGTGGCAGAGCTTCCTCATTCACATCTGTATCGCCTTGAGCTGCTTTGAGGGTCTGCATGAGCGTTTCAAGCTCGTACGGCGGATGTCGGACCTTGCCAGCAAGAATGTCGTTGACAGAAAGGCGCTGGCCGTAGAACCGTTCATTCTCATCTGTCCGCTCAATAATGATCGTGCCGTCCACAGCCACCCCCGCATATAACCCTTTGCTCTTCATATAGGTCCAAATCGGGGACTGGCGCTTGTGCACCTCGGACTCGAGAACGCCACCAGCACCAACCGGGCCAGCGGCGACACTCAACTCGCCACCCAGCGTGCAACGGAAGGTCTTGAAGCCTTCCAGAGCCTCATATGTGTTGATGATGACCACACAATCATAGATATCCACACCCGCCAGGAAGCCAATCCCGGCCGTGTGTAACATGATACCGGAGGGTGGACTCCATTCGCCAGTCTCGGGGATGCGACCGAGCAGCACGCCACTGCCACCGGAACCACTCATCCACAGACCGGTGCGCATGGTGGTGAAGATGGCGATACCCTTGGCATTGCGCAAAACCTTGGCTGGGATCTTCTTGAGCACGCGCTGTTGCTTGCCCTTGGGGCGATTGATCTTGCCATTCTCGTCGGTTCGGACGTTCGATTCGGGGGCGTAGAAGCCGTCTGTACAGAAGCTCCGTAGAATGCGCGCAGCTTTGTCGCTTTCCTTGTCGATTGTCATGGGCCAGAATGCTTCGGCGCCCAGTCGGTTTGAGAGGCGATTGACGGGGCCCCCGAGTTTGTCGACGGTATCCCATGCTTTGTCGAAGCCTTTTTTGGAATAGCTTTTCGTCTTCTCCCACCGAGTTGCAGCCATGATGGGCGGATGCGAGTGAGATAGTGCGATGACGCTATAGTGAGAGGGGGGGAACAATGACCCAAGCTAAGTAGTCTTGCGCTCGGCGCAGCAAGTTGACGTGAGAGATCTATCCACAGTAGTTGTCGACCGTACTGTTCCCAGCGCGCATTGATCTCGGTAGATTCTTAAAGCGATCTGGAATGTACTGACGGGACTATCGGATAGGGATTGTGATGAATCCGGTAGGATCCGCGTTGCGACTGAGGAATGCGCGGAGAGGTATGTGACTGCCGACCCACAGACTTCGGGTATCAAGTCTCAGGTACGCAGCGACGGCCAGAGAGTAGATGAGTATCGGTCCAGTGTATAAGTTCGAGTATGTGCACGATGTTTCAATAGAAGGCTTTCAATAGAGCGCCACCGAGGCGAAATACTTGACGCGGCGCACAGCAGTGCCGAAGTTGCAGAACAGAAGGACAGAACAGGACGTGCAGAACAGAAGCGCAGAACCGAAGCACAGAGAAGAGAGAAAAGAGAGAAGCCAAAATCAGGCAAGATTTTAAAGTCGGATCAGTCGGGTTCAAACCGAGTGGCGCAAAAAAGGTCTCGAACAGACGTTGGAAGTAATCCGCTTGTTTTTCCATGGTTGAGAGGGGCGCATGTCATCATCGCTCAGGGCCAGTCCTGACGCCCGTTCTGTATACTGTGTACACCTTGGGCTCATCTCAGCTTCAGAAATGACCAGTCCAGCTACCAGGGACACCTCTGTATTCCGTATCATCCGACTCCCATGGTCGATAGATCACACACCCCCCATTCCACCCTGTTCATGAAACGAACCAAAGCCGAGAGTACTCCGTACGCGCAAACCGCAAACTTCGGGTAGGCAATTCTCGGCAAAAATATCAATACTGTACTTTGTCCATCGGAATTGGACATTCAGTACCGTATTGACTCTGGGCGATTCATCATCGCGCATCTCCAAGGTTCGATCCGGGGTGCTTCATCTCCAAGCCTCAGTGGATCCCGATGACAGCTCAGCTGAGATCGCCCAACTAGTCGGACTTTCATCGGGGCTTCCCTGCCTGAGCTGGCATTATGGCCAGATTCATAAGTTATCTGATATCACCGCTTTCTCACTCCGCTCTAGGCCTCAGACTAAGAGTGTGGGCTATGGAGTATACTCATGCCTCAGAGAAGAATGTGATGCGATGCAGACCAGCAACCCAGGGCCTGCACGTGACTCCCAGTCTGAGTCGTGAATTGGGGCTTGAATAGTGGCATCGTCTACAGTCTGAGGGATCATAGTGGTGATTACAAAAGCCTGGACGATATTGGTATTCTGATCGACCTCCTTGATCAAGGGATCACACCAGAGCTTAGTAATATACATAGGAACCGCTTGATGAAAACTAATCATTTCCTGAACAGATGAACTTATTCGTTTCAGTAAACAGATTGAACATGGCTCTGATTACCGTTGAAGTGATGTCAAGAAAGTAGCCATCGCACCTTTCCAGACCCTTCCAGGGTCTCTCCGTAAGCACTGCTTGGTTGTGTTTGTGTACGATCGTCATGTATTCTTTTCAGCTGAGATGCCAACACATAGTTCGTGGATCCCTGAATGTGCGTGCTGAACTTAAGTTGACAGGGGCATTCTGTTATTTGTCTTGCTTGATCGCATAACTCAACTTGGAACGCATACTGTACAGTACATACTCCAACAAGCAAGTCGACACGGTGATCCTGTGCTGGGAATTCCAATCATCCGTCGCGACCAAACTCTCTCGGAAGTCTTTTTCGCAGCCCAATGGGAGAAATTGGGCTTGGATGCTGACTAGAGCGGAGGCTTGGGTTTGAATGCGAATTAGCCTGGGTTTGGCGAGATCCGATTGGTTCAGATGGGCCAAGATCGTAATATTCGCATGGGCATGGAATCGCTAGAGCCACTTTGGAGTGGATCTCTTATGATACGGTTTGACTGCCGGTTGTTTACTCGAGTTTCTGGAAATGATTCACAGCTAGATTTCCGATACCCTGGCTACTCTGACCTGTGGATCATCCTCTTTTTCTAGGGCCAAGGGGGAGATTGTGCAGACTCCTTGTTCACTGGTCTTTCTTCGGTCAACTACGATGGGTTCAGATGATCGTGGTGTTGAAGGTCCATGGATTTATCTAACCTATCGCCACCTTCACTAATTGTCGTTGTTATGGTCAGTCTTGTTGATATTTCCTTTGTCATTCTAATCGCTATTGCAAGTCGTAAGTGACCCGGGAGTTGACCAAGACCCCTTGCAATCTCCATGGCTAACCGTAAAGCTTCTCAGGCAGGAGGTCAGTCAAAGGATAACTGTACCACTTATTCCACCAGTCACTCTCAGAGACCTCGGGGTCACCTGGGATGTACCTAGTATCCTGACGATCGAGAGAGTCATCACCCCAGTCTCTGTTAGGGTTAGCCATGTCCCGAGCGTGCGCCTCGGCCTTTCTCTTGGCTTCCTTTTCAGCCTCCCTAGCCAATCTCATCTCTTCGGCCTTCTTCTTCCGTTTGGTTTCACGCTGAGCCCGACGGAATTCCTGGTGATCCTTGGGGTTCTCGCGAGCCCACTTGTTGAAACTTTCTCTTCGCAAGTGTTCCTCTCTCCTCTCGGCTTTCTGTCTGCGTGCCTCGGCCGCATCCCGATCTCTGCCCCATTCATACAAGCCAGGGTGAAGTCGCTTGAACTCGGAGATAATCTGGTTCTTCTTTTCCATGGATATCCGATACGACTCGGTGCCTTTTCGAAATCCCCGGGGCTCAGATTCCAACTTGCGCTTTAGGTTGGCAAGAGCGCGCTCAATTTCCCCCTCGGACATCTCCGCTTTGCATTTGATGACCTCATGTCTGAGAGGAAAGACAGCGGAGAATCCGATGAGCCTGCGCTGGCCAATGCGGAACCCCAGCGAACAAGGATCCTCGAGTTCTCTCAGCTTGCGGCCCTGGGCTCCGATTTCACGCACGATCAACCTGTCACCATCGCAGCGAAAGGCAACGTACTGGCGGCTCATGAATTTCGTGATTTCGCGGTCACCTTCGTAGTTGTACTCTGGGTGGACGCTGCGCAAGGATGTGTCAAAGCCAATTCGGAGTCGTCGCAATGTGGAAGAGGTCCCTGCAATGAAGAAGAAGATTTCGCGAACCAATCTCTCGTCTACTGCGATGTTGATAAACCATTCTCGGATTACCATTTCACGGCGTCGATCTCTTTCAACAAAGTTTTTGAACTCTCCGGGGTCCATGTCTGGAATTTGATCACACTGCTGCAACTTGAGGGTGAGATTGTTTAACTTGGGGAACTCCCCAAGAGCGCGGTAGAGGTCGCATTCCTCTTTTCTTCCTGCGCTACGAATGGTTGGCACACGGAGTTCTCGCAGGTTAGGACAGTGAGTTCGAATCAACTTTAAAAACTCAGGTGTGATCCTATGGTAGTCGAACTCGTCGTACAAGGTGACTGGGACAAGACAGAGCTTGCGGATAGATTCGCCATGGAGGTCGAGGATTGCCTGGAAGGTTTCCTCGGAGTATTGACCGCACAAATGAAGACTCTCCAGGGGAGGGAGGGAGCAGAAGAGCTGCCTAATCAGTTGCTCATCGATGTTACAACATGGCTGCAGGGTCAGCGAACTCAAAGCAGGATATTCACGGGAGGCTGCCATTTGAAGGGTTGTCTCGTTGGCTTGCAACAGCTCAAGGACACGGAGGTCGTTGAAATCGGCCTGCGTATTCCATGACCAAGGGTCACGACCGTAGAGGCTCAACCCCTGCAGGGGGGTTCTCTTGGTGCTTTGGGGGCGAATCAGAGGCGAAACGGTGTTCAAGCGCCGGGGCAACTCAGAGGAGACATCCGTGATATTCACTTTGGTTAAATTGGGGGCTGACTTGGTTGCAAATTCATAAAACATCGTTCTCTCCGGACAAGACAATGAGCGAGCCTTGTACTGTTGCTTCAAGGAGATGACAATGCTGGACAGGCAGGAAGAAGTCGAAAGTTGATATTCGTACCAGTCAGTGCCACGACGCTGTGCAGGCTTTTGGACAAACCGAGGTAAGTTGTAACTCAGAATATGCAGCTTGCACGCAGTCAGATCCTTCTGGTCATATTTCTTGTCAAGAACATCCAGAGGGGGAGAGGGAAACAAAGTCAGTGGGTGCCAGACAAGGTGTCTCAGACCGAGCAGGCTATCCAGAAACTCTGACAAAGCTAACCAGTCAGTGTATTCGGGATATGGTTTCCAGTGAGGTTTGCCGTTGAAGTGCTCCTCTTTGAATTCCTGGCGGTTGATCAACTTGTCGCTGCTAGCGCGGCCTTGTTCACTAGAGCATGGTTCCATTGTCGATTTCATGTGATTTTCACATTGAACTGAAGGTAGACTTCCGTGGATGGTGAGCTGCTGAACTGACGAAAAGGCGTCATTTTGTTGCAGGATTTCAGTCCAGCGGTCGAGGTCACTAGCCAGGATCTCGCGACTGACCATGGTCAGCTGTATGTCATGGAATCGGAACTTGTTTGTCTCGCTGAACAACTTGTGGTTAACCGCTGCAAGATTGAAGACGCTTGGTGGATCTTCAGCTTTGAGGATATCTGCAATCCATAGACGAATATCTGTGGGAACTCCCATCAGAGAGGGCTTTGGTCTGCTTTCGTTCATGGCTCCGATGCTGAAGGAGTGTAATAAATCACAAAGTTTTTGACTCTCAGCCCAGGAGGAGCCAACAGTACAGCGATGGGGATGAGCAAGCGCAAAAGGAATAAGGGCACAGCTCACCAGATCCTAGGTGATGAGCTAGACCCGAAGACGTAGAGTAGAGTCAGAATGGATCTCAAAAGATCGATACCAGAAGAAAGGATGCGAAGGATGGAAGGGGGAAGAGGAAGAAAAGGAAGACAAGAAATGACGGGGTTTTTATAGACGCTCGAACAGATCAAACAGTTAAACTCCTCACTTCTCTTCTCACTTTTTTTCACCATCAGGCAGCGTGATATGGATCCTAGACGCACATTGATGGAAAACAATTAAGCGTTAGATCAATGCCCATGAATAGAGTCTACAATAGGGCATTCAGTGTATAAAAGCAACCACGTTCAACACTTTACAAAGCAGACACCCAGGTCTAATGAGGCATTCACATTTCAAAATGGTATAGAAAGACAACACATTCAAGGAAATTAACTCATTTAGAGAGCACCAAGCTCCTTCAACTTGGAGACAAGGCCGTCAACATCCTCGACCTTGCCACCGCCCTTTCGTGGTGGGGGCTCTGCACAACAGAATTAGCATCATTCAACCAAGCAGCAATACTAGAAAATACATACCGATAACCTGAAGAGTCTTCAGTCTCCGTGTATCCTCAACACCGAAATCAGCCAGTGTCTTCTTCTCAAGAGGCTTCTTCTTAGCCTTCATGATGTTAGGCAGACTAGCATAGCGAGGCTCATTCAAACGCAAATCCGTAGTAATAACCATGGGAAGCTTAGCGCGAAGAGTCTCCACACCACCATCGACCTCATGGGTAACCTCAACAGTGCCAGCATCGTCCTTGATCTCGATCTTGCTAGCCTGAGTAGCCTGGGGCCAGCCTAGCAAACCAGCAAGCATCTGGCCAGTCTGGCCTTGATCACCATCAATAGCCTGCTTGCCCAACAGCACGAGGTTAACATTCTCCTTTTCGACAACGGCGCGCAGCATCTTGGCAATGGTCAGCGGCTCCGGGCCACCATCGCCCTTGTCCGGGACGTCGATGTGGAATGCGCGATCAGCGCCCATAGCCATGGCTGTGCGCAGAACATCCGGGGTCTTGGGTCCGCCGGCGGAAAGCGCGATGATATCTTCGACCTTGATGGGTCCCTTGCGCTCGCGCAGGCGGACCGCCTCTTCGATTGAGAGCTCGTCGAATGGGTTCAGGGAGTGCTTGACGCCGGTGGTTTCGACGCCTGTCTGGGCCTTGTTGATGCGAGGCTTGATCTTTTGGTGGAGAAATATGTTAGCTGGCTGAATATGTGGAGGTATGCGCCGTGGTCGAGGTACAACTGTGTGGATCGAGTGTTCGGAGCTCTGTCTGGAGGAGGAATATTCATGGGAGGGGACCGCAAACTAACCGCATAGTCAATAACCCGCTTGACGGGTACTAATATCCGGAGGCCGCTCATTGTGTAGAATTGTAAAGTGCAATTCCTGTGTTGTAGGAGAGTTGGAGTTCGGAGAGCGAAAGTGTCGACTGCGGTGACGGAGTGCCAAGAAATCAAAATCGCCGACGCGGCCCGAGTTTAACCCTCGTCGCACCACTGACCCTGCCGAGGTTAACCATGCAGCCTATTATACCGCTGATTCGATGGGTTACATGTGGTGGCTATTCCATATTCTACGAGAGGTGGCATTGAACAATCAGGAGTACTAGACCCTGAGACCTGTATACCAGCCATTAAATGAGGAAGTACAAGCACCTACAGAAAGGACAACAAGCAACGGAACTATGTCTGTATGTATTGTTGCCAATATCAACGCTGAATGTACTCATCACCACGTCTCCTGTTTATACCTTCCATTCTGCTCCATCCCAATCAAATACTCTTCAGCTTGTGCCCGAGTAAATGGCTGCCCGGGCACTGCAGCCCCTCCATGCTGGAATGCTTCAATGAGAGCCTCCCGCACAGCCTGAGGCATACGTCCTGAGGATCCACAGATATAAACAGACCCCTTCATATCATGCAGAAGACTATAGAAGAGCGGGAAGTTCTCCCGAACAGTATCCTGCACGTATACCTTGCGCTGCTGGTCACGCGAGAACGCAGTGAGGACCTGGAGTGGGATAATCTTGCAGAGTTCAGTCCAATCGTTCTCAAAAAAGAAATCTGATTCTCGGTTTCGTCCGCCGTACAGCAGAACGGTTGGCCCGATGGGAGGGTTGACGCCGGGATTTTGCTCACGGAAGGCTTGCACAAGTGCTGCCTTTTCCCAGAGCATAGAGCGCAGAGGGGCAATTCCCGTACCGGGTCCGATGAGTACAGTTGCTGATGTGAGTTGTTGTATGGAAGAATTGAGGCCGCCAGGTTGGAGTTGGACCTTGAGCGTACTGTTCGGTCGGAGCACGGAGAGGTATTTGGTGCAAACGCCCTCACGGATTCTCTTAATCACGGTCTGATATTTAACAATCGCGATGAGAAGCTCGAATTGTGTTTTTCCATCGGCGGTCCTTTTGCGACTTCCGCCACTGGCGATACTAAACTGGCGTGCGCGCATCACTGGAAGCACGGAGATCGCATGCTGCCAGGGAATTTTGACTGTGTGGAACTCATCCAGGATCTCAAGGATACTTCGCCGTGGCCGCGTAGTGTAGTCCCATAGCTCATCGAGATATTCTGGGTTCGTGAGTTCTAACAACCGTTCTTTGTGCATTTCATCGGTCGTGTAGTGTGCAATGGTAGAAAAGAAGGACCTGCGAGGAATTCCTTTGATGTCGAGGTAATCTATTAGAAGAGCACGGAGGGTAAGATGGGGATATGAGTCGAGATCGGAAATTGGAGGTGGAGATGGGATATCTCCTGTGGGAACGAGAGAAATGGGTTTGTCTGCCTGGTCGTTCCAGCCCATCAGGTCAATGAATATTTGGACATCAGATGGAGAGGTCTTCGGCGTGATTGCAATCATATCTCCGGGGACGTAGGATACGGATTCTGGAACAGTAAGGGTAATATGGCGCACATCCTGCCAATGCTTTTGCGGAGTGACTCGACGGTTTTCCGTTAATGTTGCTGTCATAGTGTGTGGGATAGGACGTAAGTCATGGTCGAGGTGATGTAGCCCCGGGTATTCATCTGATTTTGTTTGTTGTTCATTTTCGACCGGCTTGGATGCTGGGACGGAATCATTTCCTTCCTTGTCTTGCAATATCCATTTCGGCGGTAGTTGCTCGTCGTCTGGAATTGGGTGCTCTCCGTCCGGTAGAGGGTGTCTATCCAGCAACTGCTTTCGGAAATCGGTCATCCATGGTAGGAACGTAGCTTCGAGTCTGTAGTTGTATGGAACAATGTGAGCCAGGAACACATAACGAGTGGTTGAGTAGTATTTAGTACTGACCCCTCTGGATGCTGCTGATCTGCTTCGCCCGTTGGATAGATCTCATTCGCACCGAGCTGCAGCAGTCGTTTATAGAGCTTGCGAATTGCCCAATTGAACCTATAACCATCAGCCATGGGAGCTCATCTACGCATGAGAGCAAACATACTTAGGATAAGAGCTATCTCCCAATCCAAAGCAAGCAAAGTTTATACCCTTCAGAAATGTCGGAGGAAGTTTCTTCAACAAGAGCGACTTCCAGAAGGATTTTGCGTTGACCGGTAAATCGCCTTGCCCAGTAGTCGAGGCCACGAATATCGTGAGCGTGTATGAGAAAAGTGCTTGCTAGAATTCCCGCTGTCAGAGGTGATTCTTCCTTTCGGTAAGAGTGTTTGTTCTTGGCAGAAGGACGCACCGGCTTAAATCGATTCAATTCAGACACATGCGTCGCAAAACGAAGCCGCTCCGTTAGGGCACCCAATTCCTCGGCGACCTCTTGCGCATTGCCCGTTTCAGAGCCATACAGGATGAGAACAGACCGTTCTCGTGGAGCTGGCTGGCAATCGCCCATATTGCGTTCTGGTGTTGAAATGTCACTTGGATTCTGGCGCGTGTTGCCCCTCCAAAATTTGGAGTTGAGGCCGATCTCGCCGAGGGGTGGCTGACGTCATCCGCATTGGCCGAGATCGCTAAGTTAATGAAGTTAACTATACTTCACTATTCTTCAATGTCTGCACTCGTATCAACCTTGGAAGTAATGACAAGGTTACGATAGATGTTACAGGTTATGTCGAACTCTAGTGCCGTAGAAAGGACATGAAGTTTTCATTTACATTGGTTCTTTCAGCACATGCTAATGCAAAGCCATGACATCTTATAACCAAAGCATCGAGCCGCTGAAGAGCAAAATGTCAAGTTGAAATAGGAAGGGTATCTTGAGTTTGTTGTTCAGTAGGTGTCTTCGTCGCCGCCACCTCCACCACCATCGCCGAAGCCATCATCGCCCATCTCATCTCCGCCGTCGTCGAAGTACTGCTCGGCATTGTAATCACCGCCCATTTCGTCGTCATCCTCGGAGAAGTTGTCGTCCATTTCCTCTGCCTCTTGTTCGTCATCTTCGTCAAGTAGAACGTTCTCGTCCATTTCACCCTCGCCTTCCTCGTCGTCGTCATCGCCGGTGGCCTTGCGCTTGGATGGCCCACCATCTGCTTCGTCCTCTTCGTCCTCGAAGCCGCGCTTGACTCCAGTCGCTGTTTGGGCCTGGTATCCCTCAATAACAGCATCGGGTCGGAAGCTTGGCTGGAGGATTTTCCAAAGATCGCGGGGGAAGAATTTCAGAACTATAGAATGTAAGAATGCGCAATTAGCAATCTGCAACGCTGAATCACTATAAAGAATGATAAGACGCGCGAGAACTTACCATAGTCACGTCCAGCAATCTTAGGAAGAGTGCGCCGCTTGCGTTGATAGCGACCGGAGTAAGTGGGCATGCCATGGAACGGGTCGAAGTTGGCGCGTGCGGCGCTACCCTTCTTTGCAGACGAGGAAGCAGCATCGAGTACGGAGTAATAGGGTCCGTCATGGTGACTCTCGCGCAGGTGTCGGTAATAATCCACCTGCGATTGTTCTGCAGTGCTCAATTTGCGGGCGAACGGAACGGTATATTTCTGCGCAGCAAACGGATTAAAAAGAGGCAAAAGCTTGGGCGGTAGTTCAGGTGGAGGTTCAGAGGAGGATTCACAGGATGAAGACCCCGAGCAAGATCCAGGTGAATTCATAGCTGAAGAGTTGCGAGGTTCAGAGGGGGATCAAGTTGAAGACTCCGAGAAATATTCCGGTGAATTCAAGATTGAAGAGTTGGAGGTGCTAGTGGGAAGGCATGTCTGAACAGCCAGTTGAGCAAGAACGTACCGGATATAAAGGTTGGGGAGCTGTGTCTGGCTCACCACCAGGGTCAGCATCCCAAGTAAATTCTGTACCTGGCGGCTTCCTTCCTTTGGCCCCACCACCCCCACGGCGGGACATATTGGTATAGAGGAATTGTGGTGATAATAATTGAGTTGTATAGGTTGGCGGATGTCATGACTCTAGCAGAAAAATAGGTTTCTACACCGCCCACCTAAAATGGCGCTAGCGCTGGCAATTGCCCGAAGCCTTTCCCCGCGCTAAGATAACAAATGCCGATCTTTATAGATCTGGAAGTGTGTGGAATACAATTACAGGTCAGTTTCATGTCAGGTTTATGCTAGAGTAGAGGTCATGTTCATAAATTCTTCATTCATTGAATCATCTTCCAGCGGTCAGCACTTGCGCACCGCCAGATTGCACTGGGCCCATGGGTCCTTCGTTTACGCGCTGTTGCAAGGTCCGCATAATATCGTCAAATCCTTCAATCTGGCCTCCACTTTCACGCAACCGATTCAACAAAGCCACAAGAACATCATGCTTAGCTGTAGCAACTTTCCAAACAACATTCTGTGAATCTCCCGCACCACCTCCAACAAAGTCTGCGTATGAGCGGGGTGGACTGAAAAGATAAGGCAGCAGCGTTGTCAGTGCCGGTGGGGTAAGAACTGCCCATGCTCCCGACGAGGGGAAGAATCCACTGGTAGCTGGAGATAGCTGGCCTAGACTTTCTTCGGACGGTAGCTGGAACCGCGAAGAGCTGGTGTGAGAGGATGCGGGGGGGGAGGTTTTCCAGTTGGCTGTGGCAATGGCCCTCATAAAAGTGATGGCTGATAAGGCAATATCCTTCATAACTAAAATATCGGCAGTTGCTACCACAGAGGTCCAAAAGGTAGGGTGTTGGTTGAGGTAGAGGAAGTAGAGGATGCGCGCCGCGGCTGCTTCGTGGTCCCAGTCAGTTGGAGTCTGACCAGAATTGTTCAAATCCATTGAATCAGGTGTCTGGTTTCGTTGTGGTCCATGGAAAATCTTTGCTAGTACATCCAGAGCTTCAGCATTTGCAGGATCAGTGGGGATGGCTAGAACCGGGTTGGCGCCATGCTTGCCCGCCTCCACAAGAAGCACTCGAGGAAGTGAGGCTAGAACAGCCAAATGTCCAGTAGGGGTTTCGCCGTGTGCCCATTGCGTGGCAGGAATGGTGAGGGATCTGTTGATGGTTGACACAATCCCATCAAGAAGAGTAGCAGGGTTCTGCAACAAGTGGTTCGGGTACAGCTCTGCATACCGCGAGACATATGCCATGACTGGACCGGATAGATAGATCAAATCAACGGGATCAAGCTTTGAGTCATCGAGATAATAGCTTAGCACCTTGAAATGCAGCTTTTGTGCCACCAGGAAGTCGAGAGCGGGAGACGAGAAAGTTGAAGCTGAGTGCACATAGCTACGAGCGTGGAGACCTGGTGCTTCGATATCCAGAATGTCACGAAAGAAGCTGAGGAGTGTCATATGCATCAGAACATCGCTCTCTTGGATCATCTGACAAGTTGCAAAATGTAGGATGCTGGTGCTCTTGTATTTGGTCTCGATTTCTGGAACTTGTGCAGTCGAGATTATGTCCCATCGAAGCTTTCCGGCTTTTTCCAAGAGTGCAAGAAGCCTCCCCTGGGCGATAGTCCTTTCGCGCTTAGACAAATCTCCAGAGGCATCACTCTGTAGGCTGCATAGTCCAAACAATAGCCCATAGACATCCTTATCCTTGAACACTCTCCTCCACATAAGGCCCTGTCCTGCTTGGGCATGTTCGCTGGGGGATTCACGCTCCCCGGTTTCCAGATGACTGGCAGCATCAACCTCCAAGAGTGCCCATAACGTTTCAAGTGCAGCTTGCGCGACTTCAGTCGAAGAGGTGGAGAGCCATACTTCAACAAGTGAAGCTACCAGTTCAGGTTCCCCTGCAACTATGGCAGCTTCACTTGAGGATTGGCCGGCTTTGGCTAGTAAGGATAGGGCGAGAAGATTGATGGGTGGTGACGGGGCCTTGAAGCCAGCGATGAGGTTGATGGGAGGATCGACAGATTGGAGGTCAGTAAAGCTGAAGTATGTAGTGGCTTTGATACCTAGAGTGGTTAGAGGTGTAGGATCTTCTTGCAAGACAGGCAAAAGAGTTGAGATCTGGGACAAGAGAGTGGCAGGAACCGCAGGGTTGGTCGATTCAACCAGCTGCAGTTGCAACTTCTCGATGAGCGCAACATCCAACGCCGTGGACGGTGTTTGTTGTACTTGATCTAAATGCGATTTGACCGCATCAAACGTTGAAGGAATCGACATCTTGTTGAAGATATGGAAAGAAACGCGCAGCTTATTGATCACGGGCTTGTTGATCGCGGGGGGAGCTCACCGCCCGAGCCATGGCCAAACCGACCAAACATGACCGCATCCCGCTCTATCTACTACTACTCCGTCATTTACGAGCGATTCATTTGCCTGGAGTCAGATCCACCTGCAGTCATGGAGTCATCTACAATCTCACAGAAGTCATCCGATTCAGGTCTTCATATCCAGCTACACCCGCTAGTTCTCCTCACTATCTCCGATCAGATTACTCGGCATGCCGCCCGGCAGCAGCGAGGTCCTATCATTGGGGGTCTGCTCGGCCAGCAGAATGGTCGTGAGATAACACTTGAGCATGCATTTGAATGCCCCGTTACTTGCGGACTCAATAATGAGACCATTTTACCAGCAGCATGGTTCGAAGAACGTCTTCAGCAGTGTAAGTACTCCCCACCGGACTACCTAGCTGCATTTTATGGGTAGAAACTAAATACCACGATAGTCAAGGATGTGCACCCACTTCTCGACCTGGTAGGATGGTGGTCAACGGCTCCATCCACAGGACCAGTTGCAGCGCAGCTGCCTCTCCACCGACAGATCCTCCAAGTCTACAACGAATCCGCCGTCTTCCTCGCCTTCCACCCTTCCGATGTCCAAAGCGCTAACTCAAATGGTGGCAAACTTCCTCTGACCGTGTACGAGAGTGTCCACGAGGGTGATAATGCGCAAGATGCCAGCAAGGACATGCAAGTTGATGGAGAGGAGCCGGTGCTGAACATCAAATTCCGGGAACTGCCATACTCAGTGGAGACTGGGGAAGCTGAGATGATAGGCATTGATACCATTGTTCAAGGCTCCACAACTGCTTCTATGAATGTCATCCCGACCCAGGAATCAAGCACCCGGGGACAGCAAACCGAGTCCGAGGGCAAGAAGCCCAGCTCGCAGGTCGAGCTTTCACAAGAGGAAGAAGAGTGTAAGTCTCCATTTCGAGAGCACAATTGCTTGTCTGGATTCGATTGACTAATTCATACCAAATATACAGTAATCTCAAGTCTCACCACCCGTCTCAATGCAGTTCGTACCCTCGAGACCCGTATCGCCCTCATCAAATCATACATTTCGACTCTCTCAGAATCAGACTTTGCATCAGACAAGTCAAAAGACAGCACATCCACCACGAATTTATCTCACCCAATCCTGCGCCACATCAACTCCCTTCTCTCAAACCTATCTCTCCTCACTCCAGCAGATGAAAGCACCTTTGCTGCTGAGGTCCTGTCGCAAAGCAACGATGTGCTGCTAGTCTCGCTTCTAGGCCAATTAGGCGAAAATGTCAAAGCCCTACGTGAGCTGGGCCGCAAAACTGCAACCATCCAGAATTCCCGACAGGCTACTTCGGCGCATAAGAACCCATCTTCCATGATCCAGCGAGGTTACAACGAGCAGCTCTTTGCCGCCGGTGCTAATCAGGGTGTTACGGATAACGAGATGTACTCATGATAAGCCTTTTTCTTTTTCTGCTTCTTCTTGATCTATCCATGGATACTTCATACCAATGATACCTAGGCGTATGGCATAAGTTATTGGGGATCTGGGCCTTGTGTTTATTACTTACTTCCTTAGCTTGTATGGAGTTCAATTTCAGGCCTTTCTTCCCCTTCTGCTCTTCGTGCCGATTGGCAGTCTATCCTAGCTTGCCTTTCCAGTGGGTCTCCATGGAGCCTTTGTCAATTGCAAATCCCCCGGCGACGGGCGACGGGCTACGAGCTGCTTACATTTAGTCTTAATCGTAAGCATTCTACAACCGCCATCAACGCCAAAGGCCCTTGCCCTGGATTCTGCCGTCAATTGCATATCAGCACGGCGTTAAGGCCCTGGGGGGTATGGTCTTGCATGTTGTAGACTTTCATTATCCGCAGGACTCTATTCTGGAAAGAAGGTTGTAAAATCAGCTTCTGAGTAGAGTTTTATCTTACAGCCAGACTAGGATTTAGTTCAGTGATAGACGTGAACACTTCAATTATCAATCACAATGGATACTGGGATCCGGGATAAGAATACTATACAATAGATACGACGTATCCGCCATTCCAGAAAAGGAGCAATAGAACTCCAAGATCAAGAATCGAAGAATCGAAGAGAAACGAAGAAGAAGAGAAAAAAAGAACATGCCGATATACGAATATGGCGGGTATTCATATCCAAAAGAGGCACAAGTGTAGAAATGAAATGATCAGAAACGCAAAATGTGAAGGGAAGCAAAACAACACAAACGTAAGATTCTCGGGGGCATGCTCATGGGTAGCGTGAGGCTAGAACAGAAGGAGTTGCTTTGGCGAGGGATGCAAAAGCAAAGATGCAATATCACCAGCCTTCCTAGCACAAGATAAAAACCAACTCATAGATGGATCATGGATCATAAATGACGGTTATCCGGGTAGGGAGGTGGAGGCTGATAAGGGTCTGGCATGGGCATGGGGACCTGCTCACGGAGCGGACCGTTGGATGGGTAGGGGTGAATCACTCCATCAGACTGGATAGGATCATGGGTACGGAGAGCAGAGTCTTCGTATGGCGACGAGCTTTGGCCGTAGAAGCGGGCTGAGGAGTCATGGACGTGCTCGTCAAAGTCGGAGGCGTAGGGCGAGTTACCCATTAGGGCGATCTCTGGATTTGGCTGTGCGTGAGCGAGAAGCACGGCGCCTTCTTCGTCGGGTGTGTAACGGCCTCCTCGGCCTGCGGTAACTGTCGTTGTGGTGCCTTGGTATGCTGTTCCGGTTGTGAGTTCGCTGCCTGCCTGTGGGGGCTGGTCTTGAGGCTGGTAGCTCGAGTCTAGCATGCGAGTTTTGCGGCCGACAACTAGCCAGCGTGCACTGCGGCCAATGGCCTTCAAGAGGTCCAGTGGATTCATGGCGTCGATTAGAGCTTTGCCACCGTAGCGTCCGCCTTCGTAGGTAGACTTGCCGTTGCCGTAGAAGTCGGTGACTTCGCTTTGGCTATTAAGGGTGTAGGGCTTCCATGAGAATGCCCAGAGATGTAGAGTACCGAAGATGGCCATTTCGATGTTGATCATTAGTTCCGGAAGGCCAGTTTTGAGATCTGCAAGCGCAATCTGCTTGCTTTCTTTTATGGCGCCTCCGGAGACGAGAAGACTGATAAGTGTCTAGGATGTGTCAGATCCTGTTCTTTCAAAGGTTGCTCACTGATCCACTTACGGATTGCCAGAACGAAAGGAAAATGACGAGCTTGATCGACAAGATCTTCACAAACGGCCTGTGTTGTTTGATGTCTTGGCTGGTCTGGTGGTAGAATTGAATCAGGCAATACATTGCAATGGCGACAGAGATCGATTCAAAGACGAGAGTCTAGCAGTTTGGACTGTGGATTAGCGATAGGAGCCCATATAGCCAGCAACATCATTACATACCCAGATATGCGCGAAAGCAGGACTAAGAGATGCTTCGCAGTACAAGCCGAAAGCCTGCGTAGTAACCGCGACGATCGTCATCGCCACGCGAATAACGCAGTACTGGAAAACACCAGCCCAGACAATCTGTATAACAGTCAACACCCTGAGACCCCTTTTTGAGGTATCCACTCTCTTACATTGAACCAAGTCAACCCACTGCGCGGGTTCCGCCAAATGCCGCGATCACCACCACAGCACTTAGCAAACCAATTCAACGGCCAAAGCCACGGCTTCGGCTGAATCCCACGGAAATAATCCTTCTGGCTGTGTAGATCGGGAGCGATGTAGTGGCACATGAGGGAGAAGAAGGCGGAGATACAGAAAGCCTCGTAGCAATCACCCATCACTTCAAAGAAGACAGAATCATGATAAAAGTAGATGCTGAGCCATGCGACAATGGAGTAGACGGGGACCATGAACAGAATGCGGATAATGCTGTAGGCAGACACCAAAGACCATGTTAGCGATGCGATGCTCGGCTTGCGCAGGAGGCTCGGGGTTCTCGGGATGTATCTTACTGTCGTTGTTCGATCGGTTTGCTGTAGTGGAGGGCATGCTGCATGATCAAGAATATTGACACACCGCAGGCGAAGAGCGCGCAAACGCCGCCCACCACGACCGACAGGGTGTGAAATGTAAGGCCGCCATCCCAGAGCTCGACCTCCTCGACTGTCTGATCAGCATGGCGTGCGGTCTCGGGGGTCGCGAAAACATACTGTTCTGAGTCTCTAGAGTAGTGTTGCACACTGTCCAGCCCATGACTGGCGTGTATGAAGTCGACTGGGGGGTTAGTGAAGGAGGGAACCTTTTTTTTCAGGCTGATTATCTTATCCGGATCGACAGGAGAGCGCCACAATCGCCTGAGGCCCTGAGGGAAATGAAACAAAAGATTTGTTTCAATTATGTTTTTGTTTTTTTTTGGTGGTTCGGAGGCTTGGTATTTTTTGCTTTTTTTTCTTGAATTGCTTGAGTCGCCAATCGGATTGAATACCAAGGATCAACGACCCTTGGAAGTCTTGGTCTATTTATATGGCTTGGCTTAGCCTTTCACAGCCTTGTGGAGATATAGTAGTTGGACACCTGTCAATGGATTCACACCGGAATTCATGCTAAGCTCCTATGGTACATGTCTGGGACTATGGCCTAGATAATTCACTTTTGGCTGTTCTGGGTATCTTACATATTCAGGCACGCCAGGAGTCCCCACGTCCACGACCACGGCCACCACGGCCACCGCGTCCACGACCACCTCCCATGCCAGGTCGGGGGCCAGGGGCACCAAACCTTTCGGGGCCGATGTCCACAAATTTGTCGTCATCTTCAAAAGTGATGCGTCGCATCTCATCGCCGCCACGGCGGGGGAATGTGCCTTTCTCAATAAGATCATCAAACCGGTCCAGGCGCTTGTCAGCAATAGGGCGGGGAACAGGTAAGTAGTAGAGCTTGGGCTTGGCAGTAGTCGACTTGAATCTTTCGTCCAAAGGCTTAAAGCCTTGTCCGGGGCGTGCGGACGGTGCCGCAGGGGCATCAGAAGGACGGCGATCAATCTGCGGGAGACTGCTGCGCGGACCTAGGGGAGGAGTACGATTGAAGCCAGGGTCCCGTTGACTAGGAGCCGGACGCTGTTTCGCACCCGCCTCGACCAGGGAAGCTGTAGTTCCGTCATCGGTGGTTTCGTATGTCACTTCCCAGCGAGGAGCAGGGCCAGCGCGATCCCGGGATGCCTCCTCTGTCTGGATCCATTCCTTGATCTGGTCGTCTGGGATGAAGTCTGCCCAGAGGCTCTTGCGGTTGCGCTCGTTGGGCCATACGGTCCCATGGACAGCAGACCGGACCCGCGAGGCTGCGGCAACGCTGGTGAAACTGACAAAGCAATGGGTTTTGATAGAGTCGAGATAGAAATCAACGATGGAATCCGAATCCGAAGCGCCCGGGGCAGATGCAAGGCTGGCGAGGTGTTTGCGGAGCGCGACTGGCTGCAGTGGGCGCATCAAGCCTTCTATGTAGAGGGCAGCGGTAGCAGCGTGTCTTGCAGGTTCCACGTCAACATCCTCCATCTTGACGTCTTCGGAGCCAGAGGGGGGTGGAATAACGGCATCGGAAGGTGCAAATAGATCCCGGAAGCGAGCGCTTGGCTTGGTGTGGGCTGTTTGGGCCTCTGCAGAAGCCTCATTTGGTCGTTTGGTCTCACGGTCTGAGAGTGGTTTGACGTCATCACGAGAAGTTGTCTCTTGTTCTTCTTTCATCAAAACATGTGGGGTTTCCTCCAGCGCGCGAGCCTTTCGATTCGCAATCTCTTCCTGTGAGGGAGCGGGGCTTTGGCTGCGCCGTTTGCGTTTGCGTGTATCTTCCAAAGCCTCTTCAGCTGGAAGTGGGGTTGATACTCCAGTATTGGCTTCTGATGTTTGGGCAGCCGACAGGGTTGACTTTTCTTCGACTTTCGCAGAGTCTTCTTTGCTTGCGTCCTGGGGCGCCTGGGGTGGTTCGTCGACTTGCATCTGCTCAGAGGCGTCTGGGATCTCTTTTCCATGGCTGGGAGAGGCAAGCTGTTCGTTTTGGGCTTCATTTATAGGCTTTACGACATCTTCGACTTTTTGCGATTCGGCTGGGGTCTCTGGTTGTGCCGGCTCGTCTCCCTTCGTCTCTTCGTAGGCCTTGTCAGATACATCAATTGAAGCCTGTGTGTGGTTTTTCTCTGTGATTGGTTTCTCTGGTTCCTCGGGCTGTTCATGCTTTTCGAGTTGTTCGAGTTGTTCGGGTTGTTCGGGTTGTTCGGGCTGTTCGATCTGGGGTTGCTCTGTCTCGGGCTCTGGAGCTTGCGCCGCAGGTTCCGGTGCAGAAGGCTGTGCGTCGGCGGTCTCTTCCGGAGCTGCAGTCTCGCTGCTCTCGCCCTGATCTGTCTGTGAGTCAAGCTCGAGTAATTTGTCGATGAACTGCTGTTTGAGACGAAGCCCAGTTTGAGGGACGGCACGTTTCTTGAGCTCGGCCTTCAACTCAGGCACTTTCCATGATGAGTAATCAGTCATTGTGAGGAGTTTGCCGCATGCGAGTTCAATGGTGAAGAAAAAAAAGTAGCTTAGATCAAGTTGGCATTGGGCGCATTGCATGAAGGGATTGAATCTGGGGACGCGCGATGGAGCGCGATGATGTCGGGGCTAACCGTATTGGGACTAGTGAGATTATCTGCATGAACTCAACTGTATCAAGTGAAAGATTTGACGTCCGTTGAGTATTTTGCATGATGTTAAGCTAGCATCGTCGAGGTCAATTTTGAGATTTTATCAAAAGATAGAGCATTTGAAAGCCTATCGTTTTCATTTATAATTAATTTGCATCCTGAATATATATCTTCCTATGGTACTAGACCTTCTCTATAAAATTACTCCGTTGGCACCGGCCTGACTTAGGCATCAGCATAGTCAATAAAAAGTCAGATTCTACCGGGCAATCATCATTAAAAGCCAGAATGCAAACAGTGACAATCAATTTGACCATACAGTTGAGACCTGTCGAGGGTATCCGCAACACGAACAGCAAGACGCGTCTCCCCACCAAACCAAATCTGCACATGCCGCGGAATAGACGAAGTGGCAATATATACGAATTCAAATGATATTCACAGAGCCTTGACAAGCGTGAGTGTGATATTGGAACACTTCCCACCACCAACTCCCAGCTCAAAGCCAGGAGCAGAACCAACATCTTTCTTCTGTCCATTGACCTGAGCAGATTCTACAGCAAAAGGCAAAACAACAGTCCCCTTCGTTCCATGAGGCGAGCAAACTCTCAAATCAACCCTCCTCGTATCTTTTCTCACTTTCCAACTTGCCTCAATAGATCCATGAGGAGTAGGAACGCGACCCTTCGCCCAAGAAACACCCGGGGTGCGCACCGCAGGCTGGAAAGTCCATTCAGAGAGACCAGGAGCAGCGCCTTGGACACCGAGAACATACTCAGTGAAGACGAATGTCGGCGCCCCGCCCCAGGGGTGCGCATGCGAAGTATACAAATCCAGACCCGGACGACCATCAGGGAACACATACTCCCAGCTTGTGCCGGTGTAGTACTCATTGTTCGTGATCATTGCAGGCCAGAGTCCTGAGAGGAGGGCTGAGATTGCGGTGTCAGTGGCGGCCGAGGGTGCGGTGCTATTTCGGGAATGTTTCAATAGAGCTTCTAACAAGAAGCCGGAAATAAATGGGGAAAGTTCTGCACTTGATTCAGAAGTTGAGAGGGTTTTGTATCCGATTCCATTTCGGAGGGTGGATAAGGCTCTGATGGCTGATTCGGCTTTGGTTGAGTCTGCAACGTCCGCGAGAATCGCCCAGGCTGTGCCGGCGATTGAGGTCTCGTTGAGGGATGTGGTGCTGATACCATATGTGCCTAGCTTGTTGTTCCAGAGCTTCTTGTTAATGGCCTTGCTCATGCTTGCGGCGATGGATCTCCAATGTACAGATGTATCGGTCTCGCCGGCATTCTCTGCTATTTCTGCCATGTGATTGAGGGTATAGACGAAGAGGGAAGATGCTGCCGTGCCATTTGCAGCGCCGAGGAAGAATGATCCCGATGCAAGGCCTGACGAGCTATCGACTAGAGGAAGAAGAGCTGTGACTCCTGTCTTCACATGGGACCAATATTTCTCCAGGAAGTCTTGGTCCGCAAAGTCAAGGTGGTACCGGGCAAATGCATTTAATAAGAGCATTTGATAATCTTCCAGACCGACAGAGTTGTATGTTGACGTGTATTTGGAGGACTGTCCCATTGAAGGAGACATAGAGAAATATCCGGAAAACTCGCCGGATGTCATCTGTCTATCGAGTAGATAGGCAAGCGTGCCGTTGATGAAATCTTCTCGGTATGTGCTTGCAGCAATGACTCGAGAAGTATGGCTAAAGTCTCCAGACCAGACCAGTCGGTCGCGCTTTGCACCATCCAAACACACGGAATGCTGGTTCGGCATGACGCCGTATTCCTCAAGAACAGCAGTGCTGGTCATGGAATTGCGATAGAGAAGGGTGCCATTTTTGGCGTGTACTTCCACATCCTTCACATAAGACACCTGGTCTTGATAGGGTCCGAATCCCCATGTGCCGCTGTACTCATCAGCGGCCGATCCAAGGTAGTTGTATGTCGGCTGAAGAACTGATAGCGGAACATGAATTGCCGAAGAGTTGTTGATCGACACGTCATAGCCAGTCGACTTGATAGTAGTTGAGATCTGAATCCACTGTCCCTCTTTGACATCCACCGGCAGAGAGTAGTACGACACCGGACCACCCTCCAAACTGGTCTGATTCACCAGATTCCACCCATAAGCCACAGCAAGTGTATTCGCCGGCAGAAGCGTCTTGTTGGTATTGATGAATGTCGACCCAGACGCATAATCAGTCGTCAGAACGAACGAAGGACCAAAACCAAGAACACCATTCGCGATTCTCCAGCCCGTACCGCCGCGAACAATTTTGGTCATGAAAGATAGAGTATAATTCGAAAAGGTAGTTCCAAGAACCGATTGCGCCGACTGCTGTCCATGCAAGAGAACCCCATCCGGAGTAACCTCCCACGTCGAAGGCGCAGCCCCCTTCTCAATACAAGCCTGCTGCACAGTTCGCGGACCCAAAGCCCAGATCTCATTGTACAAGGAGTTCGAACTTTCAAAATAACCAGGCAAGGAATCCACTGCCGTCCGATCATTCAAAGAGCGAATCCCCGCACCGCAGATCTGGATAGTGCCCTGTTCATTCAGAAGACGTAGTTGCTGCCAGCGCAGACCTCCCTGGATGAAGTAGGATTCAATATGCCCAGGTTCGGAGACACTGAAGGTCTCTACCCGGAAGGTGTTAGAGAGACCATTGCTGAACGTCCAGGGACCGTCGCCAGATACATTTTCCAGGCCCTTTTTGGCCTCGGTGTATTTAGCTTCGATTTGCACCGGGCCTGATATAGACTTGGCTTGAAATAGGGGGAAGCCGCCGACTTCGGTGCCATAATCTAATGTCACTGTCGGATGAGATTCAGACAGGGTGAAGCATGATTGCGAGTCTTGGCTGGGTTGTGTAGAGGAAGTCTCCGCGTAAACAATTGTCCCTCTACGTTGGTCAGTCATGCTACTATGAGCTGAGATTTCCTCCCCCGGTTTTTGGGGACTATTTACCTTGGTTCTGCTGCTATGCCAAGATCTATGATGGATGAAATACCAAGTGCCCAAACAGGGGCATTTCGAGTGATCCGCATATCGGAGAGCAATTGACAGAGTCTGTCCTTCCAAGTGACGGATTTGAGCCTTTTTTTAGTTGATGGACAGGCAGTTCAATTCCCCCCATTTGCCGAGCAGATACTTCGGCAAAGAGGACCCCGACTTTCATCGGGTGAAGGAGGCGTTGCCTGCAGAACCTCTCGCTCTGCTTTACTCCGGGATCGGATTGTGGGGAAACACGGGGTAACAGACCTGACTTTATCCTTCCGAGTCACTTTGCCCACCTTGTTTTGCATCATGACCCCTTTTCTCCAGCTTGATGAAACCTAAATATCGTGATCGTTTCTTCCTTGATCAAAGTGAGGGAGAGAAGAAAAAAATAATAATACGCCAAGAAGCCAAAGGGTAATTGGATTTGCCATCTGACTATTGATCTAATCTACAATCCCCGCTGGCAAGAAAGCCACATAGTCCAATGGAGCCGATTCAACACCATCAGGCTGACCGACAATCTTCAATGTATCGCCCTTCTTCACCTTGATGCCCCGGAACTTGATGCGTGTAGCGGAATGCCCATCCAGATAGATAGAGGGGGTATGGCTAAAGACGTCCTCACTATTTCCAACCCACTCGCCCACCTTCCGGTCATTCAGGGAGATGGTCCATCGAGACTGACCACCGTAGAGATCATAGTAATTGACCGCGATATCGTACGTGCCTGAAGCAAATGGAACTTTGGTTACCGCCGTGCCAGCCGTGCTATTTGACGTGGTGACGATTGCAACAGAGCCCGAAGCGGTTTCGAAGGGAGTGACGGTATACGGCTTGTAGCCATCGAGAGTCATACTCTCCGCCTCAATGCGCCATGGGTGATGACTAACGCGCTTGGCTTCGTCAGGAATACCAGAGAGATTATGATAGAAGTCGTTGATCGCATCTCTCCAGACAATCGAATGTCCGGTTTGGTAGTCCAAGAAGCGACGGACGTGGTTGTATCGCTCTTGGTCTATCTTTCCTGCAAGTGACTCCCACTGGGTAAGGAATGTCTGCGCTGTTTCTGCCCCTGTGTAGTGGGCATCGTAAAAGTGTTGGATGACAGTCTTGCCCGAGTGTAGACGGTGAGTATAGTCGACGTGATGGAACCATAGGAGGAGGTCGTCGGGTGTTGTATCGATGTTCTCATACCGGGCTGCGATTTCATCGGGATATTGGCCGGAGTATCCGGTACCATTTTTCACAGTCCTGTCCATTCCAATGCTGGTTTGGTCTGCACGGGTCCATTGGCCCCAGCCGTTGTTGTCTTGGGAGGCGGGGTTAGGACCATAGTGAGTGTAAAGGATGTCAGTCAGAGTCTGGATTCCGAGATTGCCGCTGTATTGTTCATAGGCGGGCCAGGACTCCATCGACATGTGCGTAATCGTGTCTATGACTTTGCGATCTAGCCCGAATGTCAAGCGAATCCAGTCTTGAAGGATATCCTGGGCATCATCTGTTGGACTCCACGCCAAGCGACCGTAGGCGTAGAGGTTGGACATTGAGAGGTGACTGCCCAGCCAGGTGGTGTTGGTGCCAACGTTGACCACGGCTGCTGATCCACCCAGTTTGCGATTGAAGTGTTTGCCAGCCACAATATCACGAACAAGCGATGGCTGGTGGTCAACGCGAAGATCGAAGTCCAGAATGGTCTTCCAAAGTGGAGGCAAGTATACCAAGTGAGACTGTTGGCCAAGATATTCCTGCGTCACTTGCAATTCGATGGCCATGTTGGTATTAGGTAGATTCGCGAACAGAGGTGATACTGGCTCGCGAACTTGGAAGTCGATAGGCCCAAACTTGATCTGGATCACCACGTTGTCGTCGAATTCGCCATCTAGCTCTTTGAAGAAATTGACTGCTGCCTTTGCGCGATCTGCCGTCCAGACAGATTCGTTCAGCTGGTTGTAGACGAAGGCACGGTACATGACGATACCGCCATATGGTTCAACTTCTTTGGCAAAAAGGTTTGCTGCATCGGCGAGGGTCCTGTTGTACGTCTGTGGACCAGGCTGGCCTTCAGAGTCTGCCTTGACAAGGTAACCAGCCATGTCAGGAACACGCTTATAAATCTGGGCAGTGATATTTGACCACCACTGAATGACAGATTCATCGAGAGGATCGAAAGTGCTCAAGCCGCCATATGTTTGAGGAGAAGCGAAATTGAGAGACATGCCAATTTGGATACCATATGGCCTGAAGACATCAGCTACTCGACCAAAGCCATCGATGTTCTTAGGGTCCAACAGTGTAGCATTGGCGTTGACGTTGTTAATGACCACAGCATTGATTCTGATGGAGGCCAAGAGACGAGCGTATTCGGCGACCCGAGTCAAGTCCTGGACGATTTCTCCATTCTTGAAGAAGATAGAAGGACCACCATAGCCACGCTCGATACTTCCATCCATATTATCCCATTGATTTACCCAGCGGATGGGCTGTGCGGGATTGGATGCGTAGGCGACCTCGGAGAAATTTCCCTGAGAAATCATCGACAAGTACTCGAAAGCACCATAAAGTGCACCCCTCTCATTTTGTCCCAGAATCTGAACAGAGTTCCCTTTGGTGTTAATCCAGAAGCCGTCATCTTCCAACTCAGGTATGCTGCGTACAGTGCCGCAAGCCTTGCGATATTGATCAACCGTACCAATAATGATAGAGGAAGATGCCTTGCAGTTGTGAGAGACTTTTACATCTTTCCCGTAAACCCCCTTCAGCCCTTTGTGCAATTCCGAGCCTGCAACATAGACCGGACTTATCTCGGTTGTGTTGAGGGTGACAATGGCAGAAGGAAGGTTGGAATGGCATGATTTCGAACACGATAATGGTGCATAACGCAACCAGCCATTCAACCCATCCTCGGCTGCTACAAAGCCCAAGGAGGCCAGGAGGAAAAGTGCACGCATAGTGACTAGAAGTTCTCCGACGTAAGAGGCTACTCCGTGTCTCTCAATGCAGGTCGATTGTCCCTTTTATACAGCCCCCGCCATCGACACCAGGTCATCGGTAGAATGCCGGGTGACATACCAGAACTTCAGGCTAAAGTGTCATGCTAAATTCCATTAGTCCAGGCTATAGTATTAGACAGAATGGTAAAGGAAAATCCTCGGAAGATTCGAAAGGGTATGGTCTTCCCCGCAAATACTGCGGAGAGGCGTGGGGGTCCTGCAGCACGGACAGAGGAATGGCGTTCGTCAGGTTAAATGTTGATAGGGCGCACCAGGCGAAAAAATACAGTCTCATGGCGCTTACGCATGATGTTAAGCTTAGATTGTCACCGCGGAGTGATAAGGGGGTCTCCCTACCAGTCCAGGACAATAGGGCATATGGGTACGACATCCGAAACTCATGACAAAAGACTGCATTTGGGGTATTACATTTAGGCTATTCTATCCGATGGTTTCCACCATTGAGAATCACTGCCCGGGACGAGACGAGGTGCAGCGCAGCCAAGCATCTCGACCTTGTCTAGTATGTGCCTAGGGGAATATCATAATTCATCATTGACCGTGAGAAAATTGGTTCAAGGTTGTATTTTTTTAAGAGGTCCCAACAAGGCGAGACGCTTAAGCCTCACGGCTCAGGATGTCGGAGTCACCGGCATCGAGGATAGCCATGGCGGAGCAGCGGAAGAGCTTACCGCAAGCGGTACCGAGCTCAATCTATACGGAAGTTAGTTTCAGATTCAAGCTCTCCGGGATACCTTGCGGCAGTCCCATCGTTGAGCAACTTCACTCTCCGAAGTGGTATTTTTGACCGACTTCTTCTCTGAGTAGTGGAGCTGACTCCTAGGTGCGGCAACCAGTTTTGTTCAGGCTGCCGACCCGGGGAAGGGAGAAAAACGTACGTTGTTGCCGTTGAAGTGGTGGACGGGGGTCTTGGCGAGCATGGCGTAGTACTCGAGCTCAGACTTGCGCAGGGGAGGGCAGTTGCCGGAGATGAGGACCAGCTTGGCCTTGCCGGAGCGGAGAGTCTTCATGGTGGACTTGGTACCCATGGTAACTAGAAGAACAATTAGCATCCCATTTTGTGCGATTTGAGAAATTGAACGATGAGCTTACCCTTGCCAGACTTCATCACCAGCGCAAGGCGCGAGGCGAGAGTGTCACCGGACTTCTTAGCCTTGACCATTTTGACGGTTTTTTTTTTGGTGGGTGGTTGGTTGTTGAGTGATGGACGAATGATCAAAATCAAGACGGAAGAAAAGTTTTGTGTGGAAATGGGAGAAGCCCTAGCACGTGATATAGACACGTGATGAACCCACTCACCCACCGCCTGATTCTGCCCGCCACCCCGATGCTCGGCCCGCGGGGTTTGACTCATTTGCAGGTTTATTTCTTTTACCTTCGATTGCCCCCAACCAATTCCTTTCATCATTTCATCTTTGTTTTGTACCTTGGTCTCCTTAATTGATTGTCTGTCTTTTGATCATGGCCACTGAAACCAGCAGTGTCCCCACTGCGCGACTCCGTCAGTCTATACCCCTCATCCCTTCAAGGAACCGCTACTAAATCCCGTAGAGAGAGTCGCTTCGCAGCCTGAGAACCCCTATGCACAGCTGATTGAAGATCAATCAATTGCAATTGTTCCTTCATTCAAGCTTGAATCCGGTGTTACATTGCACAATGTTCCGGTTGCCTATACCACACGTGGAACCCTATCCCCCGCTGGTGATAATGTTTTGGTCATCTGCCACGCTCTGAGTGGTAGTGCGGATGTTGCGGACTGGTGGGGACCTCTACTCGGCGGTCCCGGTCAGGCATTTGATGTCTCGCGCTTCTTCGTGGTCTGCTTGAACAGTTTGGGCAGTCCATATGGTAGTGCCAGCGCTGTAACCTACAAGGACGGCAACCCTGAAAATGGCTACTATGGTCCTGAGTTCCCCCTGACCACTGTCCGTGATGACGTCAAGTAAGTCAATTGTTGAGTCTGTGCTACTTGAATTTGGTCTGACTTTGTTATTAGCATTCACAAGCTTGTCTTAGATGATCTTGGTGTCAAGCAGATTGCTGCTGTCGTTGGCGGTTCCATGGGTGGAATGCTCACCTTGGAATACTCCTTCTTCGGCAAGGACTATGTGCGTGCCATCGTACCAATTGCTACCTCAGCACGCCATTCTGCTTGGTGCATCAGTTGGGGTGAAGCCCAACGACAAAGCATCTACAGTGATCCCAAATACGATGACGGCTACTATCCGTTCAACGACCCTCCTTCCACCGGTCTCGGAGCTGCTCGTATGTCGGCACTTCTGACTTACCGCAGTCGCAACTCGTTTGAGTCTCGGTTCGGTCGCAATGTGCCAGACCCATCCAAGAGATTAAACATCAACGGCATTGAGAAGCAACCGACTCCCCCAACGAGCATTGGGCTATTCACAACGATGGACACCGTGGTGGTACGACGTCACGCTCTGAAAGCCGACAAGGCTCCCCAGCTCCCCAGAACGAGGTCCAGTACATGGATCCTCAGTTTTCAGGCACCAAGACCTTCGTCCCAGAGGAAGAGTCGAAGCCCAAACTTACCCCAAGTGGTCGTCCTCGCCCGCCTACGTACTTCTCCGCACAGTCATACCTCCGTTACCAGGGTGACAAGTTTGTGAAGCGATTTGACGCCAATTGTTATATTGCCATGACTCGCAAGCTTGACACTCACGATGTGTCCCGCCACCGTGCCAATCCTACCGCCGAGGATACCGTTCTGGAGTCACTGGGACGTATTGAGCAACCAGCTCTGGTTCTGGGCATCGAATCCGATGGACTCTTCACCTTCGCAGAGCAGCAAGAAGTCGCTGCTGGTATCCCCGACTCTCGCCTGGAGCGTATTGACAGTCCCGAGGGTCACGATGCCTTCCTGCTTCAGTTTGAGCAGGTTAACCGCCACATTGTTGATTTCTTCAACGAGGTTCTGCCCGATATCATGTCGAAGACAACCGATGGTGCCGCAGCCGTAGCCAGCGTCAACAAGCTGACCAAGAGCAGCACTTTTGGCGAGGCCGAGGTGGAGGATATCACTGCTTGGTAAAGCACTGGTTCCTCATTTAGTATTTCTCGGCGCAGTGTTTTCTGCAGCCATCCCATGACTCCACTCTGGGCCCCTATCCTCACCTGTCTCTCTCTTCATCAACTATGAGAGTCGATTTGGTGAGATCCGCGCCCGGGTGGATGCCATGGCACAGGGGAAGTAGGTTGCCGTTCTTTTTTCCGTTCCGCCAGTCAGGGAGATGAGCATCCAACTGTCTCTCCCGTCTCTCACTTGGGGTTTCCCTTGTCTGAGAAGACTGTCAAAGAAGCATCCAACTGCTCTCCATCCGACCCACCCTTTGGGTTAAGTTCCCCCAACCGGAGACTTTCGGGGGGTGATGGGCCATTTCGATTCGATGGCCATAGGCTATCGCGACGCATGTCGCACCATTTACAATAAAATCCGCATCGGGGAATTTTCCCACTGTATACCTTTTTCACATATTGTAGACGATGGTCGGGCGTTGGTGTTCGCCACCATACCGTGGGATTCGAGCGTACTCAACCAATGACAAGCCTCAACTCTAAATATGGGTTTGTTTTTCCCCAGAATCTGACCTACACGACTATACGAAAGCTACGATATCCGACGGGAATGTGGTGAGCTGAGGCTGGATCTGGATCGCGGTCGAAAGTGTGTCCCATGGATAGCGTAAATTTCGGGGCCACACACCATTAGGGCCGAAGCTACCGTAAACAAAGCCTAACATGGATTTCATACTCCCCTCCCAATGCAGCCCGGGCACACCGGCGCCCACAACAAAATGCGCAAGTGCTTGTTTCATGGAGTGGAGCCCGATCTGCACTCTTCATCTGGGCAGATTACAGCCATCCTTTGATTACAAGATTTGATTAACGTCTTACACTAGATTGTTTTCGGACCCGTGGCGTTCTTTGAGTCAGAGAGGCGCTAACCCAAGTCCTAGTGCTTAGACCCTGTGATCCATCCGGTATACTCGATAACGTTCCACTTCGGCAAAAAACAGATGTCTCAGAGATGCTGAGACTGCCCAACCCGGTTTTGGAAACGGGGGCCAAGAGTCTAGAGGTGGAAATTCGAACCCCATTGCTCGTGGCGTAAGCTCGATAATTGGCCTGAGATGCAGAGCGCCGATCCAGCCCTGACTTGGGAGACTCGAGTTGCGCTTATCCGAGCTAATGAGGTTAGGCGTTAGAGGTGTATCTGCCTCTATTCCAGCCTATCTTTGACCAAATGTACACGAGAATCTCCTTAAACTCCAGTTGGGATGACTTTCTCTTTCCTTCCTCACACATTCTTCAACCCCCCCCCCCCCCCCCCCCCCGCATACCAGACCGTCGGACTGACAACGGAACACTACACTATACACTATACAAGACTTGAATAGACAGCAATTATTGACATCACACATATCTCGGGAAATTAAGTGGCTCGTTGGAATCCCTGGCACTCGGAAGCATAATCAGCGTTGGCAGATCGCTCTTGTTTGTCCACTTGTCCCTTGACTGTTCTACTCTTGATCATCCGTCTACCTTGTCGAGTTGTCGATATCCATCACATCTAATTTCCGCTGTGATACATGGTCGGAGAATAAGCAAAACAAACCCAACTACTTTATATCAATATGGAGCGCAAGCTATCATCAAAGACACACAAAATGCGCCATCGTCTGACCTTCACTCGAAGCACTTCGACACGAGAGTGTGCATGCCCCATGATCCCTTCCGCGGAAGTCAGTCCCTCCAGCAGTCGGCCTCGCTCAGCAACAAACCCAGAGTCTCCAACCTACGGCGAGGACACAATGTGGGACAGCATTGATGCCAGCAGGTGCTACAACTTCACAGATGAGCCGGGGTTCTTCCGTCCTGCATCGCCATTCCTGGAGCGTCAGAAGATCGATGAAGATCTGGTACTGGATATCAAACACGCCTGTGCCCTACTATCTCACAGCATCGACCGTGGCATTCCCATCGGCCTGTCCTATCAAAGTGCCGTGCCCGACTGGACTGACAAAAAGGCTGCGGGCAAGTCTACGACCCAAGCATCCTCATCCTTCAACCTAAATGCCCTTTCATCACCAGGCAAACCCATCAAGCCAGCCACAGATACCGACGAGATGCACGATTCCGGCGTCGGGATGAGCTTCAACTCCCCCCAGCAAACAGGACGACCCTATGGCAACAGTGTCTCCTCGTCCAGATTCTATAACAAGCAAAGCTCCATCTCACCTCCCCGCAGCCCAACACCAGCCCGCTCCCGCGCAGAAAGCATAATCCAAACCCTGGCCGACAGAGGCAGCATCCAACCAGACTACCCACTAAGCTTGGCCCGCTCACGCTCACGCTCCTCCAGTCCAGTGCCATTCCCCTATAGTCCGGACCAAGCCAACGACGAATGGCACTCAGGACAAACAACGCCACCAAGCCCGAAACTCGAAAACCCCCAGATGGAAAAAGAACAATCAACGGCAACGGTAACCGTCTCTGAAACCTCACCTACCGCCTCACCCACTGCCATCTCCACACCATCTGAAACCGAGACATCGACTCCACTCAGTCTCGGCGCAGAAGGGCAGGCCTGGCTGCGCGCCAGCAAAGATCTCCAACTTCTCGCCGAGGAGGAAAAACAAAAACAGAAACAAAAGGAACAAGAACAAGAGAAAGAAAAAGCGGCCAAGAAAGAACCCTCCAATCGCTTCTACAGCTCCAACGCCAACGCCACGTCGCAGATCTTCGATTCGCGCGAGTGGCTGACGAAGAATATCTGGGAAAGTCGAGACCCAAGCCTCTATGACGAAGCGTCATTGAGCGGATACCCGAATGGAGAAGGACGCTGGGGCAGCATGTCCACCAGCGGTGATAGTGCCAGCCGCGATGGAAATCCGGGTCAGTGGTGGGCCGGTGCTGATGCCGCCTCGAGTCGGAATTTGTCTTATTCTTCGTCTTCGTATCGGGTCGATGAGTTCAAGCATCAGGAGAATGCCTATTCGGTTGTTGTTCCTAGCTTGCAGCCTCGGCGGAGGAGGGAGAGAGCGCAGCTTTTGTTGAGGAAGTTGGCTGGGTTTCGCAGGTGGAGGGACGGTCGTGTTGAGGCTTGAGCTTGATCGCTCTATTGAGTTATGAAAATTATGGGATCTGGTTTGGATTGACTGGGGGTTATTTGGTTGTTGCTATTAGCTAGGGTTGGTGGTGTTTTCTTTTTGTCTGGATAGATTGCCTGTATGCTTCATGTAGATACCCATTCTTTTCTTTATGTTTACTTATTAGTGTTTGATTAGGGTATTTGGAATATGTTTCGAATATAGGTTAGTGATATCCTAGCTCTCTCTTGTAGCGCTTGATGTTTTCTACATGCATAACATAGGTGGGACTCTTCCTAGCGCTTTCTTTCGACATGGGCGCTTATATGCAGTATAGGAGGGTTGTGTAGGCCTCAATTTAGGATCTGTGAATATCCTGATGTCGTTATTTGCCTCAGGACAAGAAAAGCCTGTGGCTTAATAGCCCCCCTCCTATTCTGGTCTCCATCCGTGTTGTCAGTGCCTTATTCCAATAATTTCCCCATAGCTACCACCCTGAGCTATCGTGGCGCGACTACTTTCTGTGTCATATGGCATATTGTATGCATTGATCAATGTCATTGGCAATTAACTCATAACTCATATAGAAAGCCTCATCAAGTCCAAGTATACCAAGCCTATGCCAATCTATCCACATCCCAAAACAACATCACCCACAGAACATTAAAACGAAATACAAACCCATCCAATGCCAACAAATTACAGACCAAGCCAGAACCTAGTCTTTCCAACCTCAACATCACCACGCAGCTCCTCAGCTCCAGTACCAGTAACCAAAACCCCATAGGAGCCCTTCTCGGAGATCCACTGACTCCGCTCCTCATCCCACCAACTAGTCGCAAGCTTCTTCTCAACAACAAGCTGGACAGTCTTTGACTCGCCAGGTTGCAGGAAAACCTTCTTGAAAGCCTTCAGCTCTCGCACTGGACGTCCGACATCCGTCTTGGGGGGTACAATCCACAACTGGACGATCTCAGCACCGGCTACGGAGCCGGTGTTTGTTACGGTCACAGAGGCAGTGATTGGTTCACCGGACTCAGTGTACTTGGATTGCTCGGGGACAGTCTCGATAGAGAGATCAGAGCGCGAGAAGGTAGTGTATGACAAACCGTGGCCGAATGCAAATCCAGGCGCCACATCGCTCTTCTCGAAGAAGCGGTAGCCGACGTAGATATCCTCACCGTAGAGGACGCGGCCGCGCTCGGAGCGGAAGTTGATGTAGGAGGGGTTATCTTGGAGGCGGCTGGGGAATGTGAGTGGGAGTTTGGCGGACGGGTTGACGTCGCCGTAGAGGACGTCTGCGATGCCATTGCCGCATTCGTTGCCGCCGAACCAGGCTTGCACGAGGGATTTGGCTTTGTGTTCCCAGGGCATGGTTACCGGTGTGCCTGATTGGAGGACGACCACGGCGTTGGGGTTGGCGTCTAGCACGCGGCTGATGAGCTCGTCGCTGCCGGGGGGTAGGTCCATGTGCTCGCGGTCGTGGCCTTCGGTTTCCCACTCTAGGGTTAGGCCGGCGAAGATGACGACCTGTTCTGCGGTCTTGGCTTGCTCGACGGCGTTGGCAATCAATTCCTCTTGGCTGACTTGGCGGCTACCACCGAAGCGGAAGCCACCTGGACCAAAGGCGACGATGCCGCGGGTGTCGAGGTCTGAGGTTGGGGCGCTACCGAATTGGAAGACGACCTTGTAGGTCTGGCCGGCCTGGAGTTCTTTGGTGCCGCGCTCTTCGATGGTGGCTGTACCGAAGAAGGCGGATCCTTGCTTTTGGTTCTTGGTGTTGTCGACGACGACTTCATCATCGATCAGGAGTTGACCTGTGCCGACGACTGTCACGCCGAAATCGTACACGCCGCTCTCTTCTGGGGTGAAGGATCCCTCCATATCGACGTAGTAGGTCATCGACTTGATCTTAGGGTTAACGTAGTCCATTAAAAAGCCGGAGGATTCGAGCAGGTGTAACTCATCGACAACCTGGCGCTCCGTGCCTGAGCTGGGATGCTCATTGTAGACCTTGAAGGTGAAGCCAGGCTTGCCATCCGCAGTCTTCAGAAGTGGGCCGAGGAGCGGCAGTTCCTTGTGAGAGTACACGCCCTGACTGAACTTGACCTCGCCCTTGCTCTTGGCGGAGACACCCTCGAAGGGAGTGACGGTATAGTATGGCGCCAAAGAAGCCGAACCGCCGCCGCAGTAGGCGGCAATTCTAGCATTAGGACCAATGACCAGCAGAGATCCGTCTTTTTTGAGAGGAAGGATGTTCTCCTCATTCTTCATCAGAACCACAGATTCGGCAGCAGCACGGCGCATAAGAGCCTGGTCTTCTGACCGATTGAGAGCCTTCTCAGACGCTCCCTCGGGGATACCCAGAGGCTCGACCCAGTTGACAAGGTTGAGAACATTGCGCACACGCTCATCAAGCTTGAACTGGGCAATCTTGTTAGAAGAAACGGCATGCGCGAGAGCCTGGCCTCGCCAGCGGGTCTTGCCCGGCATCTCAATATCCAGACCGGCATTGATAGCATCGGAGGTACTATAAGTACCAAACCTGCAGGAAATCCATGGTCAGCAAAGCCAGATTATAGAAACACAAGACACAAACTTACCAATCACTCATAACAACACCATCCCATCCCCACTCCTTGCGCAAAATATCATCGATAATCAGCTTGTTCTCACTAACATGCGTACCATTAATCTTATTGTAAGCTGTCATGACACAAGCCGTGCGACAAATCCGCATAGCAAGCTGGAACGGCATCAAATAGATCTCACGCAGCGCACGGTCAGTCAGAATACTATTAACAGCCATACGCTCATGCTCCTGATCATTGCAGACAAAATGTTTCAGCGTAGCAGCCACGCCCTTGTCCTGCATCGCCTTGCAGAAATGACCAGCCAGGGTTCCAGAGAGGACACCATCCTCAGAGAAAGACTCGAAGCCTCGTCCGCCCAGGGGCGATCGGTGGGTGTTGATTGTCGGGCCTAGCACAATGTGCACGCCCTTGGCGATCGCTTCGTCACCCATCAGCGAGCCTACTTCTGAGAGCAGCTCTGTATCCCAGGTTGCGCCTAGGGCTGTTGCGCAGGGGAAACAGGCTGCTGGGATGCCATTGAAGAAGCGTGTGCCGCGTACGCCGTTGGGTCCATCTGACATCCGTAGAGCGGGGATGTTTAGGCGTGGGATGGAGGCTGTGTGCCAGAAATCTTGGCCTGGAGATTGTCAGTATTGGTGCTGACGGATTCTCGCATAGAATGGGACTTTGGAATGTTCTTTACCAGCTGTGAGGTCGACCTTTTCCCCGAGCGTCAGCTCTTCAATGGCCTTGTCGACGTCGATGCGAGCCATGATGTAATGTGGTCTATTTGACTTGATGCCTTGGAGTCGCTGTATATGCTTGAGATTCAATTGTCCCGATCCCGTAGACTTGTTTCCACGTAATAGAGAGCTTCAATCAAAGAGATTCACACGATATGCTGCTTCCAATCTTGTTCCGGGCTATCAATAACCAGCCAACAACAGACAGCAGTGAGAGTCGAGCCTGTCCAATCTTGTAAGTCAAATCCAAAACTTGAGCGAAATGCAATACAAGTTCCGAATGCGACCTCTTATAGTGCGAGGGGCCAAGTCGTGTAATTGCATACGAAACCAGGTGGGGGGAAGGGTGGAGCTGTGCGCAGCTGCAAAGCCCAATAGAGATCGCCTTACCTGATGGAACTGGGCCAGGCAAATGACAGCCCTGCGATCTCTCAAAGAGCCACGGAGGTCCTTGCGAGTCCGAGGTTTATCCGACAGGGTCAGACCAGGGGACAAAGCTGTGGTGGGCTCGGAGGTCGGGCCGCGATGCCTATTGCGTCGGGGAGTAGCGGATATACTCGAATATCTGCCATTGACACATCCATTCAGTGGAATATGGGGACCTATGGGATTGATGCCGAACATGTCTTTTGTCACTTCAATCTCATAGTTATAACTAGTAAATATAGGGCCCAGATCACCTACCATTCTGAGGATCCAGCCTGCAGACAACACTTAGTGTCAAAGATGTACCTCGGCCATCGAAACGACATGATCCACTTACTGTGATACTCTCCCGAAGTCAGGAGCTAGTGTATGTGATAAGACATAGCAGGCTGGTTAAGCGGCGCTTATAAAACAGCGTATTAGGGCTTCAAACCCAAAAAGGCAATTCGCAGGTCTGCCGTTTACAGTGAACATTTGATATCTGGCTCTTTGAAATACATTCTAGTCAGCTTTAGAAGGAATCAAATATTAAGCAATAAATTCATCAATATTGCATTTCCGTATTACGGAGCTCATATGGTTAAGGGAAAAAAAAGTACATGTAGAGAAGTGAAGTGGATTGTCCCCAAACACCAGGCATAATGCAAGTAAGAAAACACAGAGGAAATTGGTCAGAGGGTCAAACGAAAGCGAAAATAATAGAGAAAACAGTAAAGCAAAGTGCCGTCATTCCCTTTGGGGTATCAAGGTAGAACGCACTACGCTCCTCGACGAGGGCGCTTGTTGTCTCCCATGCGCATGCCACGGGGTCCATTGTCACCAGTAGTGTCATCGGGACCCTGGCGACCGCGCTTGCGGTGTCCAGAGCCGCCGCTACCACCGCCTTCGCGGTGTTCACGGTCACGTCGATCGCCGCGGCGCTCACGTTCACGATCACGGTGCTCGGACCGGTTACCCCGGTCGCCGCCAGAGGTGTTAAACCGGCGGTCATTTCCTTCAGGCGGAGGAGGGGGTGGGGGCGGTGGGGGTGGTGGCGCCCCCATGGAGGAAGGAGGACGCAGACGACCCTCAGCCTCAGGGGCATTGCTGCTAGGAGTGGGTCCAGGTGTCTCTGAGGGCCCGTCAACTCGGTCTCGGCGGTCTCGGCGGCGCAGCTCTTCACGAGAGCTCTGCACCCGGCGCAAGTTCTCGCGGGGTTCGGCATTGCGGTCTTTCTCGTCGCGGGTTGGAGCAGCACCGACATCGCTGCGGCGGCTGCGTTCACGGTCACGACCACGACCATCACGACGGCGGCTGCTAGTGTTGGTGCTGTCCTCGCGGCGCTCAGGATCCTTGGCGCGATCAGCATCTGGTTCACGGTTACGATCGCCAGTCCGTCCAGAGCGAACGGCCTCGGGAACAGGATCATCCAGTAGATCAGCAACCCGGCCACCATTGGGTCGGATGTTAGCTTGGTCTACAGGAGGCCCTGCCGGGCTGTCAGGAGGGGGTGCGTTCATCCCACTTGACTGGCGATGTCCGCCTCGGCCTCGAACAGGCGGGGGGTTACCACCGCGATCACCCGAAGTGCCACCAGACTGCTGGAGCATGTTGTTAAGACCTGCGAAGCGTTTATCGCCACGGCTACGGTCTCCACCAAATCCTTGTCCGGAGGGACCTCGGGGTGGTTGCGGTGGGCCTGCTCCACTGCGAGGGCCTGTAGGAGTAGAACCTACAGGCTCGTTGACAAGGTTCCTGAGACGGTCTGGGTGAACACCTGCGGCATTGGTAGGGCCTGCAGGCTGAGTGCTGGATGGTTGATCTGGGGCATCACGGCCACCCTGTCGGCCAGGGCCTGTAGGGGTCGGGCGTTCTGCGTTGGGTGGTGGGACATTGTTTGAACCTGACATTGGAGGCACTTGTCCAGCAGCATTGCGACCACCACCACGTCGGTTTCGTGGACCAGCGGGGATGTCAGGTGTAGGCTCTGGCTGCCGAAGACGACCATGAGTCATGTCTGGACCTGGACCAGAGTCTTTCCCATCTCCATGTCGATCAAGTCGGGGGCCTCTGGGTAGATCATCGTGTCGGGGAGGCTGGGGGAAATTGGGACCTCTGCGTTCATCGGCTGGAATGGGTCGTTCCGGGCGGTTGGGCAAATTGGCAGACCTAGGAGGTGATTGAGGGCGAGAAGGGTATGGTCTGCGAGCGTCCTTGTCCGGTCTGGATGGGTCTCCGCGACGAGGACCATCGATCGGGCGGTCATTGTGGTCAGGCAAAAGTTCTCCTCGTCCAGGAGGGTCGCGTCCATGGAAGGAATCATTAGGTCCACGCATGCGCGACGGGCGATCCATAGGCCAGCCATTCTCCCGGGAAGGTCGACCATCGCGGGGTGGTCCACGCATGAGATCGTCTGGAGGAGGCCGGACAGGGTAATCGCGATCACGCTCATTCAAGCGCCCATGTCCTCTGTTGTCGCCATTACCAGGGCCATCAAACGTGCGGTCAGGGACAGGTCCATGTCGTGTGCGAGGGTTGAAGTCGGAATGTCTGTCTCGTCGGTCATCCACTCCCTCGGGGCGTGCAGGCAGCCTTCCATCGTGTCGAGGTGGAGGACGAGTAGGAGGGTGAACTTGGGAGCGAATATCAGGCTGACGGCCTGAATCAGGTGCCCGCGAATTGGGCCGAGAGCGCACAGGAGGTTGATCAGAAGAAGCCTCTAGGTGAGCATCGATGCCAGCCACGGAAGGTGTAGTGGATCCAGCTTGAGAGGATGTACTGGCCATCTTCGTCTCATCACTCGCCTTTGCGCCAACATCAATCATCCTTGCATCCTCAATCTCACCATCCTCAACCTCAGTCCTGCCAGGCTGGTTTGTAGCAAAGCTGTCGACAGTCAGAATCGCAAACATGTGTAAAACTTCAGAAATAATACTTACTCTGAGATCTGAGTTGGGTTAAACTCGGGGGCTGCAGCATTCAGTGCCGGCGTAGGCTGCTGCGAAGCGGCGTGGGCCTGAGCCTCGGTGGTCTTGACCATGTTGAAAGCTTGCGGCAACATCCACTTCTTCTCCCGTCGGTTCAGGTCACCAATCAATGAAGCTGCGGGAATCTTCACGTCGTCACGCTCATCGTTCTTGCTCAGGTTGTTGACACAATTGAGCATGTCACGACCGATCCAGTTGACGGCGGGGAAATGTTGAACAACTGCCTTCAGAACACTGATTGCGTTTCGGATGTGCATGTATTCACCCCCGTTAAGGCAAGACTTGAGAGCGTTGGAGAACAATCGGTGCCACTTGTACAGGAGACGGCGGAAGTCCTCAAATTCCAAGAACATAACTGGTACACCTTCGGGGTCAACGTTCTTAGCGAAACCGGGAAGGTCTCTCTTGGTACCAAAGGCCTCCTTCTCATAAACGGCCTTATCGGCATGCCATCTAGAGAGATCACGCAGAATCTCATTCAAGAAACGGCCAAGGTTGTCTGCCTCTTTGGAAGTGCACAGGAAAATGAGTGCCGTAAGCCTTTGCTCGCGGAAGAGCTGGTCGAGAAGACCAACAGTCCGGAAGTTGGGAGTTCCCGAGCTGTGTAAGAACTTCAACATCTTGAAACAGAAGAAAGCATCTAGGGGCGAGAGGAGAAGTCGAGGGATGAAGCATTGCTCTAGCAAAGCAACATTCAAAGAGTCATGCTTGAGACGCATGCCAGCGAACCAACGGTCTTTTTCCTTTTGCAGCCTGGAGCGAGTATGCCCATACGCCTTGAGGTGGTTCTTGTTCTCCTCCAAAATACGCTCCTGCAGCTGGGTGAGGTTCTTTTTCAAGGCCTCCCTTCTTGCAGCGCCTGCTGAGCTGGGGTCAGACCGGTCACTGTTAGCTGTGACCACTCGTCGTTTGAGGCGGTCGATTTCATCCTCGTAGGATTTCTGGGGGATGTGAAGATCATAGAGACCGAGCTGCCAGAAGGTTGCATAGAAGTGAGCGCCGATAGTCTCCCAGGTTTCAGCGGGCAGAGAATATTTGACGTCGTCAATCAGCTCTTGCATGACTGGGTTTGCAGCCAGGGGCTCAGCATTCAAGACAGGAGCGGGAGTAGAATCAGCACCATCGGTCGAGATTGAGTTTTCTGGCTCGTCCTTGTCGACATCCATAGTGTGGTCTGCAGAGACCTCTTCGGGCTTCGTGGGCGTTTCTTCGTCCTCGGTGGTGTCCATCTTGCCGTCGCCATTCGGCTTAGGTGTGGCATCGTCGGCGGTCAAGGCTTCCAGCTGCTTCGCTTCTTCAATGTCGGTGATCTTTCGAGAAATGCTAGTACGTCGGATCCAGAAAGCGATTTCTGGCTGGATTCCAAAGTCCTTAATGAGAGATGACAAATCAGGTACGAAAGAATCGAACTCAGAAACGGACAAGTTGCTACGAAGCAAGTCCAAGTACTGAGTGAGAATGCGATGGATCTCATCAAAGATGTTACCAAGCAGCTTAAGCTCCGACGTTGTTTCCTTATAGATGCAAGTCAACCGTTCTTGAGCGATGGCTACTAACAACTGACCAGCGAGTCTAGTGTGGGTCAGCGACTTCAGCAAACGCTTGGATGTAGTCTTCGACTCGTGACGCTTGTCCAAGAGCTGCAAAATAGTCTGGGATTGTAGAACTTCCCCACCGGCCATTGCCTGGATCTGAGCGTCATTGAAGTTGTTGTCGGTGATGATTCCAGCCATGGAGCTGATCAACTGCTCCAGCACAATAAGGTCGGTGGAGTTGTTTTGTCGAAGTTGTTCAACGACATACTGGAGAACTGGCGTGGGGTCCATAATAGAGTATCTCTTGTAGGTGCGGCCGGCGAAGGCGGATAAGGCGTTCAGCCAGCGACTAGTCAAGAGACCACTTTCTTGAACACGACTACGTCCCTTCTGACCAAGCGAGTTGACAAGTGCCCAAGAGAGGGTATCGTAGCCGAGATAGGTGAAATAGCGTGCACACTCGACGACAACTTCGATGAGGTTCTCGTAAGACTCAATTTGACCAATGGCAACGTTGATGACAATTCCGGGGTTTGCATATGCAATCTTAGCCAACGCGCGGGCCATGGGCCGAATGTTTGTCTTGCTGAGACGCTTAAGAGTGTCTTTGGTCTCTGCTTTGGCCTGATCGAAGGCCTCCTTAATGTCGGGGAATCGAGAAGTCTGTCCCGAATACCACTCTGTATACATGTTGTATCGAACCTCACGGGGAAAGAAACTGATGAGCTCGAACACCTCATTCACGACACCAGGGTTGGCCTTCGTCAAACTGACAGCGGGCAGGAGCAGACGCTTGCAAAGGTCGCGCCAACGGGACTTGTTCTGTTCTGAGCTATCTTGAATCAAGCTCCCCTTGCCGATTCGTACAAGCTTTGCCAGGAGGCATGCGTCTTGTCCGATCTTGTGACCAGAAAGATTGAGGAAGGATGAGCAGAGGGCGAAAACATCATCGACAGACTGGCAGATAGGGATATTGTCGGCCCAGTCATCCCAGTAGAATCTATAATCAGTGCCATCGTTTGTGTCCTCTTTATCCAGTTGAGCCCATCGCAAGGTTCTTCTCGGGGGTGGAGCCGCAAGCCCGATCTGGCCCTTGGTGAACCCGTTCTGGTCAGAAGTCACTTGATATTGCTGTCCTGGAAAGTCGCCATCAACGACAGAAGGCCGAAATTGAACGTATACTTTGTTCAAGGAGTGGTGTAGGATTCGATGGATGAACTCAGGTAGCTCGGGATATGCCTCCATCAACCATGGGAATTTGCTGATCACGAAAAGCGATTCTGGAATGGCTCCGATGGCGAGAAGACTTTTGAGAAGCAAAACTTTCTGGTCTGAAGGATCGGGCAAGTCGTGATCTCCTTTGGGCGTGCCTTGTTTGTCGCCTTCTTGGTCTTTGGCAGGTGTTGATAGCCGCGGTTCCGGATCGCGCAAACGGGGAGGCGGAACTGTGTCGTCCGACAGAGCACCAGCCATCATCAAAGCGTTCGTTCCACCACCAGGCCGGCTAGCCTTGACTTTTTCGGCTTTCTCCGCTAATTTCTCGGTCATCAGCGTGTCCATTGAGTCGTCAGGTCGCCATAGATGAGCATAGAGATCACGAAGTGAGATAAACCCAACCTTGATAAGCAGTGCAGCAAGGTATATCAGGTTATCGGGGAGAACGTCGGATTTGGTACGAGCCGAAGAAGAGTAGAATCGCAGCTTGAAGCCCAGCAGTTGAGCCGCAACCCGGTTGCCCTTTGGTGGCATCGTCCCTGTCTCCTCAAGCCATGATCGGGTAACATCTTCTTCGAAACTTGATCCGGTATCTGCAAGAGACTGTTGTTTTTCTGCCTCTGTAATGGGCTTGCGGCCAATCTCGAAGAAGGCTTGAATACCGACCTCTCTGACTCTGTCCCAGAACTGATGGTCGCGTTCTTCATTCGACTTCATGATAGCCACTCGCTCCTCTTCTGTTGTGACCCAACCAGATGATCCAGGGAGTGCCCAGTTGGGGATTCCGGAGTGCAAGTGGCCCTCATCGAGACTATGAAGGGTGTCCTCCTTTGGCCACCATGAGCTAGCTCGCAAGAGTTTCACAAAGAATCGGTATTGCTTGACGAGAACCGCGGCAAACACATCCAGTGTTACATCTAGCACTCGACCAACGTCCATATCAAATGCGCCGATCATCGCCTTCACTCGCTCGAACGTCTCCTCAACAACTTCGCTCGATGGGGGCTCATTGTTGCTTGTGGTGAACAGCTCAGTGAGGAGCTTTGAATATCCTTCGGACTCTTCGCGGAGAAGGTTGTAGTTTGACTGTCTGTAGAGTAGATTGGTCTGCTTGCGAATTCCCATGCGCGCAAAAGTTTCGCGAACCAATCCCAAAGACTGCAACAGCGGGGTATCAAGCTGAAGGCGCATCAACGAGGGATTGATTCCAGTCGCGAAAACAAGCGGCTTGAGGGCAGGGTTTGAAGTATCGGCATCGGTCATAATCGAAAGGGTATCAAGGAACAAAGAGCGAGGGTCAAGTTCATCAGTGGAGGGTTTTTCGATATTTCTTTCCATATCTACATCCTGTGAGGCAGTCTCTTCGCCGATAATCGCTTTGATGGTGGAACCTGCATCCGAGGGCGACACCCGGCCGTAGATAGCAGACCGAAGAAGCTCCTGGTAGACAGCTGCGAGTCGGGGTAGGTCCTGCTGCAGACGAGCTTCGGTTCCCTGCTCCACCAGATTTTGCTTGCCTGTCGTTGTCCATTCCTGGACGGCAATGTCGGTGACAAACTCGTAATCGTAGGGCGGCGGCGGGGCGGAAGGTGCGCGGGGGACGGGCTCTGAGCCAGCGCGAGATGGCGGGTTGTGATGCGCTTGGGAGGCCGGGGTATTGGGCGCGGGTGAAGGAGTAGGATGAAGCGAACTGGGCTCGCTGTTTTGCTGTGTGGACTCGGCGGTCTCCTTGGTTTGGATTGTGGGCGGAGACATGGCATTCGGTTCTTTGTGCTGTGAGTTGGAAAAATTCTGACTATCATGGGATCCGCGGCGGGAGCCAGCCCGGGTGCGATGCGATTGTCGGCGGGATCTGTCGCGCGAGTCGTTCTGCTCACGCGGAGAGGGAGACTGGTGACCAGGGTTGGGAGGGTGATGCGCCATGTTCAACGTACCAGGGCGATGGGGAGCAGGTCTCTGGTTGTCATTGTTCATAGAGTCGCCAGAGTATGAGCGTTCACCGCGCTTCCGCTTTCCACCATACCCAGGCGCCATGTTGGAATCCAGCTTAGACGCGAGGGGTTGAGACGGTGGGACGGGATGTCGGGAGGCTGCAACTCATGAGGTTGATCTTCTCAGACAGACAGGTATCAGCGATTGAAATGAATGGCAGAGACGAAAAACTGACGGCAGGGCTTGCAGAGAACGAAGCGTACCAGCAGTAGATAACTCACGGAAAAAGAGGGTGGAGGGAAGGCCAAAGGCGCGGAAGATGAAGATGAAAGTTGATGATCGAAGCTTTGGACCGAGTCCGACCAAGAGGCTCTTGTCGGCCTGAGGTCTGAGGTGTCAACCCGACTCATCTATAGCTTCAATAACTGCTATTCCATCAAGCTCTTGAGTATGGGTTGAACTAATGATTTGTTAGATATTACTTTGATCTATCTGGATTAATTGGACTTTTTTAAACTCTAACATGCTAGTATCTATGAAGATTGTTCATCGTATATTCATGAGAAATAAGAACTTACAGAGTAGATCATGAACAAATAGCACGCAGCATGTATTCTGTTCGATTACCCACGAGGCAAGTTCTTGAATTTAGAAAGGGCTCATCAATCATTCAATTTCTTTTCCTTTTCACGTAATGCTAATCACAATATCAAGACTCAAACGTCTCACAGCAGCCCAAGAGCCTTGGCCTCAGCCTCGACGATATCAGGAATGAGCTCAATCAACTTCGGCTTCTGGGGGTTCCAGCCAAACAGCTTGCGGGCACGCAGTGAGTTACCACGAGAATTAGATCCCCAAGCATAAATTCCAGCAAAGAACACCTCAGTTGTTTGAGCTCCATCTAGAGATTCAACGTCAGGGCTCGAGATAAGCTTCTTGTCAAAGGCAGCCTGCGCAACAGCCCTTTGAATATCACCCCAAACAAAGGGCCCATTCTCCGCGAGATAATAGCCCTCTTCATTCCAGGTAGCCTTACCACCACCCTCCGAGGCAGCCTCACCCAAAGCCAGGTAGACATTACTCAGGTCTTGAACGTGAACCTGATGCCAGACATTCTCGCCCTTGCCAACCAAGATGCCTTTCTGTCGCTTCAGGACAGCGGTGGTCAGTTCGTATGCTTGGATACTCCTGGTGTTGCCAGGTCCACGGCCGGGGCCGTAGATAGTTGGCGGGCAGACGACAGCGACCTTAGCACTGGCGGGGTTTTGTTGGCCGATTCCAAGGATGATCTCGTCCACGTTACGGTGGAAGGCATCCGCGGGAAGATTAAGAAGTTCACTGACACCTTCCCAGTCATTATACTGCTTAGGACGCTCGATGCCGTATGTACCGGCACGTTGATCCTCGACCGTTAAGATGCCAGTACCAGAAGTGTGAATTAACCACAATGGGCGCTCGGGGGTGTGATGCTGAGCGCCCTTGGCAATTGCCTGAGCTGCGGCAACATGGTCGCAATCTGCGAAGTCTAGAGTATACCTGTTAGCCGTTTTGAAGATCACTTTTAAATCAGGTCGACATACGGATGACAATATCGGCGTTCTTGACTTCTTCTTCAATCAAATCAGAGGAATCCAAATCACCGATCACAGGGCGAATCTGTGAGTATTTGCTAGTAACCTGAGTAGCTTTTTCCTGGCTGCGAACCAAAGCTGAGAGTTGCCAATCAGGGTGGGCGCTTGCAATGGCGAACAAACCGTCCCCGCCGATGTAGCCAGTGACGCCAGTGCTAGGTTGACTATCAGAAACAGAGCTCGGCTTTCTTTGCGAGGACTTACAGAAAGACTTTGGGGGCCATATTTGAATTGGAATGATAATGAATGGAGTGGACAAGAAGAGAAGATCAAAATGGAGAATACGCAGTACTTCACGTTACTCAGTGATTTGATGCTTTGAAATCAACCCGAGCAATTCCTGGAGCTCCGAGCTGGAAGTGGGGGAACGTGAATCATGTTCAGGATCCGGTAAGAAACCCCGAGAAATTGCAGTTCTCGGCAAAATTCCCGCATAGCAAGATCTCATGAAGTGACGGGATAGCAAGCTTTGACATCATCGACTTCTCGTATAAAGCTTTTGCCCATGTCCACGGCTCAGACAAGTACTACACATATAGTCTACATCAACCTTCCATAGTGGCATTCAGCAGCTGCCCCTGTCGTTATACTGCACTGGGTTGTTTTCCCAGATGATATCAAGTGGACCACCAAGCCAATCGAATGGCGGGCTATAAACTCTGCTACACGCAGTTTCTGTCCACGCCGTGTATTGGTTCTCACCATGAAGCTTGGCCGTGATTGGACGAGTATTGATGTGACCGCGAGCACAATGGACGAGGCGAAAAGCATACACGACAAGAGAATCAAAGCAGTTAATGTCGAGGGAAAAAAAGATATAGTTCATAGGCTTAGATAACAAAACGGGACAAGGACACGAAAAACTGAGAGGAAACAGAGAGGGGAATCACAAGTTCGTGCCCGAGATACATGTACATACTCATTGAATACTAGGGACCCGCTCAGAATGTGCTGGTGGCTAGCCGGCTAGCTGCGTTGCGCGCATCAAGACGGTCATCGTCTTCCTCTGGGATCGAGCCCACCTGACTAGGAGCACGATTGCGTCCCTTAGCAGAGCTCTGACCGTTGGTTTCATCGTCATCGTCAGCAAGAGAAGGTGCGGTAAAGCTGCCGCTCATGCTGCGACCAATGTTGTCATTGCGGCGGGGAACACCACTCCAAGAGTCACCCTTGGGGCCTTGACTAGAGGACATGTTGGCCCGACGGACTGCTGGATGAGACTCGCGACCCAGTCGACTCAAACCACCCGACGCGTCAATTGCACGTATATCAGGTCGAACACTCTCCAGAGTGGCCAGAGTGCGGCGCTCGGCCTCGATCTGGCGAAGAGTGTACTCGCGCAGACTGAATAGAAGGTCCTGGGTGGTTCGGTCAAACCAACGGCGCTTCTCCTGGAGGAGGTTGGAGGTCACGCGCTGGGTGCGCTTGGTCAAGTAGTCCTCGTGGTTTTGGGCCTCCTCCAGAGAGTTGATAGCTTCATCTACCTTGTCGGGACGAACCGACGAGCTAACCTTCAGGCGGTCAGCTGCAGCGCGTTTGCTTCGAGCATTCTGTTGGGCTTGAAGTAGCTCCCTGAGCAGAATGTGTCGGTTGGTCAGGGTCTCCTTCACAATGAAGGCATCAGAGGAATGGTAGCTCAATGGCTCTCCCAAGGTAGTTGCCTCTGCAGTGGCTTGAACAGCGTGGTAGTCGCCTACCGTCTGGACAACCTTGCCGAGCTTGCGGTAAGCTGCACCCAAGCCGGGATGGATCTCCTGCACGTGCATCTGACCAAGCTTCACGCCGAAATCGGCCTCAGCCAATCCCAAACCTTATACAGTCAGTTTCAGCCAGAACGATATACAAGACAAAAGCAGGAAGAAACATCAATTGACATACCACGGCGGGCCTTGACCACGCGATCAACCTTGTGGCTCGTGTCCATTGATCCAAGGTAGAACATCTTCGCAATAGGGCGAGCAGCCTGCAGCTCAGGTGTGTCATCTGGGGGCGGTGCAAACTGTTTCAGCATCTTGCGTCGTACACCCGTTGCAGGCTGCTTCATCCGTAGCACTGGGCTATAGCCAAAGTCGCTCTCTACGAATAGCACAACCTCGTCGTCCTGGATAAGGACTTCATTGCTCAATACGCAATTGAGCCACCTCTGAATAGCTGATTTGACTCGGATCTCATCTTCTTCAGTGCCTGCACCTGCGGGAGTTACAGGCGAGGGAACTGCCGGGACCAGAGCTTCGGGGTTGGCGGAGACCAAGTGCTCGGCGAGCTTAACGAATTCGGAGTGGGTACGGCGCACATCACGGTACTGGGTCGTGCGGAACTTGGGGATGTTGGTCTGGAATATTGGGAACCGGGAAATTAGCCATTGAAAGGGAATAAGGTGTCCATTGGGTAAACGTACGTGGACATCGAAGCGGAGAATCGGGTCCTTCTTTCCAGTCCTCTCCAGACCAGTGATTTTGCCCTGGATCTTGTAGAAGGGAGCGGGTGGTCGTGAGGTCTGTCTTGCGCCGGCCTGGTAGTGTGCGGGGGAAGGTGATTGTTGAGTATTCGGTGAGTGCGCAGCGAACGGGGAGGGTCCCTCGGCATAGTCCGGGTCTCCTAATTGTGCGCTTTGAAGCCTAGCAGAGAGGTCTGGGGATTGAGGTTCCTGGAGATCACCCCTGCCTCCATCCTCTACGGATTGCTCCTGGCCCGGCAAAGGAGAGGACGGGATGTCATTGTTGGAGGTGGGGAAGGCACCTCGCTCAGCGCGCGGCGAGCCCCAGGGTGAGCCATCGGTGGGGTGCTCGGGATCGTTGGTAATGGTGGAGTAGTCCATCGTGGTAAATAGTCGATGTAAGGAGTGTTGCTGTCTAGGGGGGAGCTACTAGTCACGGTAGGCGTCAGTATTGAATGGCTGGAGATCAGACCCCCACAGCAACGGCCAGCTAGCCTCCAGGGTAAATCAGGGATGTACCTCAAGCAGCTTAGAACGTAGAATTGAAAGGACAATGTGCTTTTAAACTAGCATAATACCGGAAGCAGAGAAACGAAAGAGACTTGGAAGAGACACGATGTTGGAGAGAGGTGGAAGTCGGAGTTACGTATAAAGGAATGCGTGCGCCAAGCCTCGAGATCTCCAGTCCGCTTTGCGCTTTGCCTTTCATTGCCCTCCTTATACCAACGAAATTCTACACTCAATGCTGTCTGCTGCCTAACTGACCTTGTCATTTCACAGTGCGCAGTTTCCTTTGGAATGGTCGTGGCTCCATTGTTGCGCTTCCCCGGGGGGATGCGCTGTATGAGCTCCAACTTGTATAAAACGCAGACCAATATTGCGAGCGGAAACACAAGCTCCTCACTCAAGGGTCTTAGGTCGAACTACACCCATCTAAGAAACTTCTCAGCAACACCTGGAACATGGCAGACGGAAGTTTTGGATCGGACCCGAAATATTGGCATCATCGCCCATATCGATGCCGGCAAGACCACCACCACTGAACGCATGTTATTCTACAGTGGCTTCACAAGGCGTATCGGAGATGTGGACGAAGGATCCACCGTGACCGATTTTCTGCCTGCTGAGCGTGCACGTGGTATCACCATCCAGTCGGCTGCCATCACCTTCCATTGGCCTCCTGGAGAGGTAGATGGCTCGACACTTAAGCAGGCTGGACCCGATGGAGCACCAATTCCACGTTCTGCTTCTCCGCATACCATTAATTTGATCGATACACCCGGTCATGCGGACTTCACTTTTGAAGTGATGCGCTCTCTACGGATTCTCGACGGCGCAGTCTGCATTTTGGATGGTGTTGCTGGTGTTGAGGCACAGACGGAAAAGGTCTGGAACCAGGCAAGCACATATAAAATTCCTCGACTCATCTATGTGAACAAGCTCGACCGTGATGGGGCCGCTTTTGGTCGCACAGTACGAGAAGTCAGCTCTCGCTTGGGTGTCTATCCGGCAGTATGCCAAATTCCGTGGTTCGAGGGCGGCAATGGTCCCTTTGTTGGAGTCGCAGATGCAATCCATCTCCAAGGAATGAGATGGAAGGAGGGAGAGGATGGCCGAGCTGTGAAGATGGTCGGTCTCCAACAGCTAGAGGCCGAGGAACCATCGTTGGCCGAAGAATTGCGGCGTGCACGCATTGCATTGGTCGAGCTGCTCAGCGAGCAAGATGAGACCATTGTTGAAAAATTCTTCGAATGCGAGGAAGACCATCTTGCAGTCTCATCCGCTGATATTATCGAGGGTCTGCGTCGCTGTGTGTTGGATCAAAGCAGCCGAATCGTTCCTCTCTTCGCAGGTGCCAGTTTCCGGAACATGGGAGTTCAGCCATTGTTGGATTCTATCGTGAACCTTCTCCCCAGTCCACCAGAAGCCCCTGATCCAGAAGTCAGCATTGGCGGTGTCAAGGGTGGCCTGCGGAGACTATTGTCTGGAGACCTGATTGTTGAGCAGAGTGAGCAGGCCGCTGCGCCATCAAAAGGCAAGCAGCACAAAAAGAAGAAATCAGCATTGCATTTAGACTCCAAAGACGCCATCTCCAAACTTCAAAGTTGCGCATTGGCATTCAAAGTGGTCAATGATCCAAAGCGCGGAGTTCTAGTCTATGTACGAGTATATTCCGGCTCATTAGACCGCAACAGCCTACTCTTCAACACAAACCTGCATATTTCTGAGCGTGCTCCGCGTCTACTCAAGATGTATGCTAACGACGCAGTGGAAGTGGACTCGATTCCCGCTGGACATATTGGAGTGGTAGTCGGACTTAAGCAAACCAGAACTGGCGACACCCTCGTATCATACGCAGGAAACAAACCCATACCCCCAGAGCCACTTACTAGTCTCCAGCTGCGACCTATTGCAGTTCCACCGCCCGTTTTCTTCTCCGGTGTTGAACCTCATAGCCTGAGCGAAGAAAAGCGTATGCACGAGTCACTTGCACTCCTCCTACGTGAAGACCCTAGTCTGCACGTCACCATAGACGAAGAATCAGGACAGACTCTCCTGAGCGGTATGGGAGAATTGCATCTCGAGATCGCTCGCGATCGACTTATCAATGACCTCAGGGCCAAGGCCTCAATGGGCCGCATCGAGATCGGATACCGCGAATCAGCACTCGGCACATCAAACCCCATAACCAAGATCTTCGACAAAGAAGTCGCAGGCCGCAAGGGTAAAGCAGGCTGCACAGCAGTAGTCGAACCACTAAGCGATGACGCCTCGCCCGCAGAAGCCGACCATGACACGCTCCTCGTCGAGACATACGATGGCAACCAGATCATCATCCGCGCCCCAGGTCTCCAAGTCGAACACACGCGTGATGAAGAAACAAGCCCATTCCTTCCACCAGGTATGGATCTCATCACTTTGCGATTATCAATTCAAAACGGAGCCATGGCAGCCCTTGCTCGGGGCCCGCAATTTATGTTCCCAATGCATAATACAAAAGTCACACTCACCATCGACCCAACCGCCCACCTCTTCGGCAATGAAACAACATCATCTGCGCTCTCCGCTGCTGCACGACAAGCCACCTCCGCCGCATTGAAGGATGTGCAATCTGGCGCCGGCACGTCGATGATGGAGCCAGTGATGAACGTCATCATTAGCGTGGATGAGGCTAGTCTCGGTTCTGTCGTGCACGATATCTCTTCTTCGCGGGGTGGGCATATTGTCTCTCTCGACGAGGAAGTTCCTCTTTCGGTGACGGATACGTCGCCGACTTCCGAATCTGCCATTGAGGAAGAGCAGTTACCTCCTATTGATCCGAAGCGTGTTTACGCACCGGCCGATCCATTCGAGACTCCTTCTGTCGGAGCTGAGATTCCTGTCTCTGCTGCTCGGCCGCGTACTATCACTGCTAAGGTGCCGCTTAAGGAGATGGTTGGGTATTTGAAGCATCTGCGTAGTTTGACTGCTGGCCGAGGTACTTTCGTCATGAGTGTCGACCGATTTGAGAACATGTCTTCTCAACGACAGAAGTCTGTTCTTGCCGAGTTGAGAGGAGGATTCTAATTCAAGCCTGTTCTTCTCTGGTCTTGGATTTTTAGCCTAGTGGTGATAAATCACCGGCTTAAGTGCCGAGTTATGGAAAATCTTGTATATTAGCATATCTCGCGGCGTTCTCATCACTGTACAATTATTTGATATGGCTACTGGCCACAATCCCTTCCACGCCGACACTTTAATTGACACCAGGCCAAGAGACTGCGTAAAATGAGTCTGCATATGGCCTCCCTTCTCTCAAAGAGGGAGATCCTAACAAGGTATATATGTATGAGGCAAGTAAAGAGTAGAGACACAAAGACAAACAAGAATAAACAACACCAGACATGACGACATGGCACTCACAAGCCGGCCCGCAAACAGAAAGAAATGCTCCTAGATACTAATCTACCAGTTATCATCCCACTCCTCCTTCCCCTTGCCGGTCGATGCAGCCGTAGTACCGTTTCCATGTTCGGCACCAGCCGAGACAGGCGTGGAGTTGGCCAGCGACGAAGCAGTGGGACCCTTTCGCATAGCAGCAGTGCCAACAACATCAGACCTTTGAGACCGTTGAGACCGCTGTGATCCACTGCGACGGTGGCCAGCCGGCTCCTCTGAGCCTAGGGTCGAGAAATCATCCCAGAAATCGCGACGGTCAGGCTCCATGCGTGTGCGTTGGTATTCACCTCGTCCATCGTCGCCCTCGACGAACTTGTTGAACTGATCAGCCGCACCGCGGACTCCAGTCTGCAGGTTCTGGCCAAAGGTCGAGGCATGAATACGCGCCTGAGCCGCAAAGTCGGATTCAGCCAACTAAACACAGAGTGTCAGCAAGCCCATACATCAGATGAAACAGCCCGTCCAGGCATCATAATATCACCACCACCACAAGAAGCACTTCACGTACCTGTTTAGCCGTAGGCTGGAGATAAGAATCATTGACCTGCTTAGCGCTCTTCCCAACAGTAGAAGCAAACCACCCAAAGCCCTTACTGAGAGTTCCCATGGGATCTTTCTGAAGATCCTCGAACTGACCACCGCCGCCACCACCACCACCACCCCATCCCCCAAACCCTCCAAACGTAGAAGACCGCTTCTCGCTAGCCGACGGCACAGGGCCACCACCGCCAAAGCCCGTAAACTTGCCACCCTGGGACGGAGGCAGATGATCCGCGCGGCTCGCATTATCAGAACCAAGCTTCGCAAAGTAAGCCTCGTTCTGTTCTTTCTTTCCAGGTGCACCCCGTCGTTCATCGGACCGGATGGACGACGCAGAGGGTGATCCAGCACGCGCACCACCAAGACTCAAAGGCGTGCTCGTGTTAGACCGGCTCGCATTGCTGCTGTTATTATTGTTCTTCTTCTCCTGGCCCAGGACGTATTCGCGACCTTCGACCTTGCATGATAGCCGCTCCTTCCATTCTTCGCCGGCGTCACCCTCGTAGCGCTCCTTGATGGTTGAGTCTTCGAAGGTGCGGCCCTCGGAGGTTGGGACGGGATGCGCGTCGTAAAAGGTCTTCCAGGGCTCGTTGCCCCCCAGTTCCATGCGCTGGATTTCGGCGTTCTTAAAGGCATCCATGGTGATTGAGCGGACGAAGGAGATGTGCACGCCCAGGCCGCGGTGAGTACCGGCACAATTGAGGCAGATGAATGTGCCAAATTTTGGGGAGGCCTGGTTGTTGCCCAGTTGGGCGCAGGGTTAGCGGGTTTGTTTTGGGAGGGGGGTTGCGGGGTGTGTGGTGGTGGGAGTTCTGGGGCTTGTTTCGTTCTTGTCTCTCTTGAGGAGATCAGAGGATTGGTTTCAATGGGGGACTGTTTCTTACCCATTGAGGCGAGGGAGCGCCGCAGTCGCAGCACCTGTCGTTGCCATTTGTCTTAGAGATCTGGAGGAGCTGTGACTTGTGTCAGTTGCCTGTGCCCTGGTGCGAGGGACCAACTTGGTTAGACGTACCTTTGTCCTCGTCTCTGGGTCAACCTCCCACATGCGAGACATTTTGGGTGAATATACAGACTCGGTCTGAAGGTGGTGCGAATGACGTGCGTTTAAACGATGACTGGAAACTCGAGATTGGAGGGTACCCCTTTTTCTCGGGTTGAGTCGCGTAGGTATTCAAGGAATGGATCAAAGAAGCAAAGACAATGCAATTGGCTCAGTGAAGAGAAATCAAGTGAATGAGACAAGTGTGAGTTGGATGTTTGTGTCTCTGATCGGCAAGGCGCCCGGGGTCACCCCGGAGGTTAGTTTCCCCCGAATGGTCCCAGGTCCCGCATACAGTACATACGACTTCTACCTCAAACCTACGATTTTATCCTCGTGCCAGGTGGCAGATCGTCATCATTTAGTAAATGTGTGCTAACATACAATACAGAAGGCAAAAAAAGTCGTTAAGGGTGGAGATCACATCAGCAAAGACGGTCTCCAGCATGGATAGTCCATGGCCCATAAAAAAGTCATAAATCCCCCGTCCCTCCAATAGCCAGCTAAGATATTCATGGTAGCCTGGACTTCAGCTCAAAATACCATGATGATATCCATACTTTCATTCGTGTGCTCCCCCGTTTCCTCCCAACACCAGTGATAAGCAAAGACCTTGATAGGTCGTTAGAAACCTCGCATTTAGGCCTCGGTGGTGGTGGTGGCAGGAGCGGCGTTCTCCTGGGCAGCGGGAGCGGACTCCTCGAAGTTCTCGGCGACAGCGTCAACGTCGTCCTCCTTACCGGGGCTGTCGATGGCGACCTTGACGGCGATGACACGGCCGTCGATGTCCTTACCATTCATCTCAGAGACGGCCTTGGCCTGGAGCTCCTCGGAAGCAAGGTTGACGAAACCGAAGCCGCGGGTCTTGCGGCGCTCGTTGCGGGCCTGGAGCTTCTTGATCATAAAGCGGGGGATGGGGCGCAGGGCAACCTTGGCAGAGACGGGCGCGTAGTCGGCAAAGATCTCCTTGAGCTATAAGGGGGTCAGCCAATGGAATATGGTCCGTAATTAATTACAGATTTTCACTCACCTTGTCCTCAGTCAGATCGTAGGGAAGGTTCGCAACCATGACCTTGGTCTTGGAGGGAATACCATCCTCGGGAGGACCACGCTGCTTCTGGGGGCGAGCAGCGCGAGCCTTCTTGTCAGCCTCGGAGCCGGCGTCGTTGTCGTTGGTGGCCTCAGCGAGAGGAGCCTCGCCAGTAGCAGGCTCAGTCTCGGTTTGAGCCTCCTGTCCCTGATACCAAGATGAGATTTTGTTCCAAAAAGATTGCGAGAGTCGGTCAGAGTCACATACAGTACGGCTACGGCCAGTACGTCCGCCACGACCGCGGGCACGGCCACGACCACGGCCACGACCGCCAGTGCGCTTGCGGCCCTCGGCACCGCTAGCACCCTCACCACCGCTAGCAGCACCCTCCTTGGCCTCAGCGGGCTCGGGCTTGCGGGCAAGCTGCACAGAAACCTTGCGCGAGAGAATCTCCTTGCCGGAGAGAGCCTCGATGGCAGCAGTAGCCTCGGTGGCAGTAGCAATGTCCACAAAAGCGTAGCCGACCGGGCGGTTGGTGCGGGGGTTCACCGGGATCGAGGTAGTCTCGCTGAAGGGTGAATGAGTCAGACGTCCATAATACAAACATGTACGCGTCCGAATGCTTGGAACATTGCGGGGGAATCATGCATGCCAGGAGGTTTTTAATACTTACATGGTGTAGTCCTTGAAGAACTGCTTGAGCTCCTCCTCGGTGGTCGCGTAGGCGAGGTTTCCGATGTAGAGACGGCGGCCCTCATCAGCGCTGGCAGCGGCCGCATCAGTTGCCTGAGCGGGGGTAGCACCGTTGGTCTCGGGCTTATCGGTCAGAGTGGTCGCAGCCACGCTGTCAGCAACTGCATCGACAGACATCTTGAAGTAAGGTTGAAGGTTGGAAGTGTCGGGGATTGACGAAATTGGCCTGAGCTGAGGAATTCTTGACGCGAGGAGTGACAGGGTAGCTTCGTGCCCTAGATACCAAGTGAAAAGAAGATGGGTTGAAAGAGTTTTGCCTTTTGGAAGAAGGAAAGAGGAGAGGTGAGAGAAGAGAAGGAGATGGAAAGGGACAGGAGAGGCGGTGTGGGACTAGCCCAGTCAGAGAGCTCCGCCCGAGGGAAGCAATCACCATGGTGATTGCGAGGCTTTTTTAGGCGGGGGCTCGCCTAAACCATGCCTAGAGCTTAGGCTGTTAATCTACCCGAGACACCCCAGCTTAGGCACTCTCAGCCCTTGACCTCCAACCCCCTCCAGGGTTGACTCAGAACAACTGGCCTGATGTCATTCTGGGTCCTCGATTCCTCCCACCTTTTCTTTTCTTTCCCCCCTGTTCTTGACTCTCTCCCGTTTCCCCCCTTAGAGCTGTTATCTGATACTTGCCCTTTTTAGTCTTCGAGATCCATACATTTTGACCGCATCCATGTGACTGCAGCTGTACAACATGTTCCATAAATAATTCTATGGGCGATCTTCCATCTCCGATAGCTCCACTTGGTGTCATCATACTCCACGCCTTCAGATTCAATCACAAAATCGGCGTTGCCTGCCATTGCTCCTTTTCACTGTACTGTACATAATATTGCCTCTAGACTGGAGTTTGAACTTCAGCTACACATGTGACACACAACCCCCTTCCGGCACGACTTTACTCCGTATTTCCGCCTGGGCCACCTATCTACATGGCCCGATGTTGTGATCCGTGAGCTATTGAGTGCAAATACATTCTTGTTTGGATTGTTTCAAGCTTTACAAAACCGGAGTCAATGTCCATTGTATCGATGTGCAATTTCTGCAGCCGTTCTCCTTGTAGAGGTTATTTTCTCTAACTTAGCAATGATCAATACTAACCTTGGAACCAGACTTACATGTTGATTACTAAATATTGATGCTTCCTAAGGTTGTTTAGTCAGGGGCCTTGGAACCTTCAATATTGTCTCTCAGGTGACTGCTGTATGATTACTTTTCAGGTATTGTCACTGGCTTGTACACGTGACTCCTTTCTCCGTTGGATTTCGCTGCTCCATCGGGACTAGGGTTGGTTTGGTGTATAGCAATTCTTCTTGATTGATGGTAGATCGTGTTCATCGATTTGCCAATCAGCTTGAGAGCTACCGACCAAAATATCTCTTTCCTTCTCAATATATCATGTGCTCCCACGAATACTGTAGAACAGAACCTCCTCCCCTGTTTTACTCCTGGCATTCTCTTCGTAGCTCACCATGTATCTCATGCCTTTTCTCATGCAGTAGCCTCTGTATAACCGCAATCACGTCATTTACGGATGTAGATCTGCTTTGCGAGGTCATGATGGTATGTAGTGTGTGAAAGCGGGGTAAGAAGATATGGGCATCAATTCTCGACTGGCGTACGGATGTCAACGCTGAGAGCGTTACAGTGGTGTAGGTGGTGTACTAAAGGGGATGACCATGTCAGATTCATGCCGTTGAAGTTCAGTTCCCCGACTTCATGTTTGCCGACCGTATGCATGGACTGGACGGCTGGAATCAATTACATCTGGAACACATTGACTTGTGCATCAGGATCTGTCAAGCCCTCAGTGGTGCCAAAGAGATAGGTGTGGGCTTTGACAGTTAGAGCCAGAAAAACACTATTATACGCTAGGCCGACACTAAGATACTAAGCTCTCAGACTGTGGTAATCGTATCATGTTTTGGCCTACATGAACATGCTGCACAGTGACCCCAATTAACTTACATTATAGTCATGGTATCAGACAATGATCTACCTTGGCGTTCTTTTCAGTAAAACCTGTTGTAGGAGACATGGATAGCCTAATACCGATCTACCTCGATCTGCATCAGAGCTTGCTATAGTGACGTCTCATTGTGGTTGTTGGGCCGTGTATGGTATCGAAAACGGGGCTTGCTCGTATCTTTACGCCTGCTTCAGGCCCAGACGTCAGATATCAACATCTCACTGCCGTTGTTTCTTCCTATTGGCTACCAGAGAGGCGTGTCCGCCACGATGACAATTGATGTTTCTGTGGCCATTTCCCTCATCGAAATCTAAGTCAACTTCTTCTGAACTTGGAAAAAAAGGAGGAATCCAAGTCTATCAAAGATCGACGGTCTAGTGCGAGCACTGACGCTGGAGGACTCCACTGTCGTCACGAAAACAAGATTCGGGAGAGCTGACTCATCAGCTTGGCTCACGGCCTGGAAGACTTATCCATCCAGATCATCTACAGGGCAGGGCTTCGGTTTTTTGCACGCTTGCTGAGACTGTGAACGGTATTTCTCCTGTTCTGTGTGTCCTGAGTTTGCCGACCTCTTCCGGCACTGAGCATGGATCGCATCGAGCCGGTTGAGGACCACACCTCTGGGGATCCCCAGGGGTCGTCTCCAGAACAATCTACACCCCCTCGGCCAGCAGGTCCTACACCGTTGCGCCCACGAGCTCCTTCACTTCGGACTCGAAGACCGAGTATCCGCCTGACCCGCCTACCGTCCATACCCTCTTTAGATAATGCCAATCAACCGACGCCAGCACAACAGGATAATGCCCCCTTGTCGTACTTTGAACGTCAACCCATTCAATCTCCTCCGCCAGCGGAGGAAGAGGAAGTATGGGCGGCAAACAGACGGCGCAGCAATTCCGAACCCCGACCGGGCCGGTGGTCATTTCCTGCAGCGCCGCTTTCAAGGGTCGCCACCGCGACTCCCGGACGGATGATGCCCGTGACTGAGGAATCGTCGCGTCCAAGCCCGACAGTCGTGTCTCCACCTGCGATATTGCCTGGTCAAGAAACCGAGCAAGACTCCCTACGCCCGGATCAGCCTGAGGCCCCACCCGCAGTAGCGCGGCCTGCAGGTCGCCTTCGACGAACCAGCCAAGCTGCGCTGAATAGGTTCTCTCGGAACCGTGCATCAACGGTCTCAGGAGAGCATCCGACCCTTACTCCTCAGGAACAGCAACGTCAAGATGAAGCGCGATTGGAGGAACAGCGCAGAAATGAGTATGGTTCTCATGTGGTCGACGTGCTAGATGTGATCGGTGAGTACTATCTGATGGCAGAAGAGCTGCACTGTACATTTCGCTAACGTTCTTCTAGATCCTGAGGTGTCTGCACTGTCTACCCTGACCAATGTTCAGAACTCACTCTTCGTGCCGAACCTGGGCGGCTTCATCAATCGTATGCCCACTTATACTATTTCGCGGCCGCAGTACTCTTCGGATGAGGACCAGGAGACTACAACAGATGAGGGGGCGTTATCCGACGAAGCTAAGCTTCAGAAGGACCAGGAGCGACCATCGGAACAACTGCGTCCCTCTGCCAGTATGTCCTCGGTGTTGGCCGGCCCTCGTTATGCCATTCTTCCTGAAACCCGTGGACTGGAAGGGTGGACCAAGGAAGACTACGCGGAACTCAACGATCATGTTCGGCATATGCTTCACTCCCGTCGTTCCAAGTTCAAACGGTCTATGAGGGGATTCGGGCAGTATGTGCGAAAGCGTAAGTTTCAATCACATCCACGAACGTCTGGTACGTTATTGACATCTGCTAGCTCTTGGATTCTGTATTACTCTCTATGCAACTTTAATTACGTTGTTTGGTCTAGCCTGGGTTCTTTTCCTCATCGGTATGTTTTCTATGATTTCTTTGCGAGTCGCCATGCTAACAATCTTTAGGTTGGATCAACATTGCAGGAAAGCAACTCTATGTCATCAACATTATAGATAACATCTTGGTGGCTCTGTTTGCTATCATGGGTGATGGATTGGCTCCTTTCCGTGCAGTCGATACGTACCATATGTGTTTCATCGCGCATTACACGCTTTTGACGTGGAAGATCCGTAGAAAGCGTGCCCTACCGGAACTCAAAGACAAAAACGATCTCCCATCAAAGCCCGAGAAGGACGCCGATGCTGATGTCGAATCTGGGGAGTTGACCAAAGAGGACGAACATGAATATTCCGTGCTCAGTCCTCGCCAACAGTTGCGATTAATGCACCATCAGCACAAATTTGCCAAGTCCCACACCTTCTACAAACCACACGAAACCTTGACACACCACGCTTTCCCTCTCCGTATCCTCATTGCCATTGTCGTTGTTCTTGACTGTCACTCTCTACTTCAGATGGCTCTTGGTGCTTGCACCTGGAGTATGGAAGACTACAACAAGCGACCTTTTGCCCTGACCACTGTCATCCTGTGCTGCTCTATTGCTTGCAACATTACAGGTGGTGTCTTGATCATGATTGGTGATCGCAGAGCCCGAAAGAAGGACGTTGTTGAACGGCTCTTCCGCCAGGAGTTGACCGCAGAAGCCATGAAGAAGATGGAGAAGAAGAAAGTCAAGGAAGAGCGCCGAAGCATGGCGATTGAGGAGCGCAGAAGCATGCAAATTGATCGTAAGAGTGCACAAATCGATCGCCCTGAGGCTCCAGGGCCGTATCATGGCACCTGATCGGATTTGCTTCTATTTTCCCTTTTACGACCGTCACGAGATGAGCTTTTGGAAGATTTGTCGAGTTCCTCTTGCTTTTACTGTACAGTTTGCTGGCTGTTAATTTTGCTGCGTTTCTGGTTCACTAATATATATCATTTGCCTTGTTTGGAGTTTGGCTCCTTTGGAAATGGCACACATTGCCATCATTTTGTGACATTTTGCTGATTTTCATTGCCTCGTCTGATACCTAGCTTAGAGAAATATTGTGTCTGGGCCGAAACAGTGCATTGGTTTTTGATTACTCCCCCCCCCCCATTTCTCAGTTCATGCTCTTATACAAAAGCAAAAAGTCATATCCAACCAGATACAGACAACCTTTCAATATATACACCCGCCAAAGGACGCAATTTGAAGTCCCAATAAATCAAAGCAATCTCAGCAAGTAATAGTAACCTTCTCCCCAACCCACTTCCTCCCACCACTCTTCACAACCTCCTCAAAAATCCACTCTCCCACCAAAGCCCTAGAAATTGTATACCCAATGGCAGGATCCCTTTCAGTCCCAACCCTAACACTACCCAGCCCGTCCCCCTTCTTCTCCCCTTTCTTCTCCCTTCCAGCGGCACCCTTTCCCCGAACAGGCACCCGATGATCTCCCGTCAAAAAGCTCGGCCGGACAACAACAACTCCAGCGCCCAAAACCCCCTTCTCCCCGAGCCCCACATCCTCTTCGAGCAACCTCTCCATCTGCAATTTATCCGCATGAGGGATAGGAAGCAAAATAGAATACATAGGGCGAAACAACAACGGCACATCCTTATTCCCCGGCAAATGTCCCGTCGTCGAAATAACAGTAAGCATAGGCGCAACCGCCCGATAAGCATCCAGACTCTCGAACCGCTCCACAGCAATTGATCTCAAGGCAGCCAGCAACGTGCGAGTCGTCTGCTCCGTGATATTCGGATTAGACAGCTCGATGTGTGGCAATGCCGGAACCCTGAATGTGGATGTTGGACACTTCGTCTCGCGCGTGCAGGACATGCTGGGTGCACCACCCAGACCGGAGATTATGCTTGTGACCAGCGTGGGAGCGTGGTTGTCTGGTGCGGAGTCTGCAATGAGGGTTTTTGTTATGCATTCCAGGTCAGTGGCGTCTCCCTGGATGATTTCTAGTTGGTTGTCTAGCATTTCTTGGGTTATGTCTGGTTGCTCCAGGAGGAGGGTTGTGAGCTTTGAGGGTGTGCGTGCGAGGGCTCGGGCCTTGTGGCCGTTTAAGAGGGTGTGTGCTAGGCAGGCGTTTGCGCAGCCACCTGTTGCTCCGAGGAAGGCGATTGTCATTTTGGTATTGTTGAAGTTGGAGCTTGAATTTGAGTTGGAGTTGGGGGTTGTAGAGCTTGGTGGTGCTTGGTTTGATATTAGATGTAGTGTTTGGATGGTGGATATTGCCTAGGGCTCAATTATTCTTTATAGGAAGACTCGGTCTATCTCATGAACCAGTCGTTGGCACTTGTGCCCGACTCAGCCCTACGAAGTATACCAAATTAGGGTTGTGTAGTCTAAATCGGAGGCTGCGGGACCCCGGTCGGTGCAACTGGTTGGCGCTAAGCCAGATACGGTTTAGTGGCGGCCGAACAACTGTCCGCGTCGGGTGAACTTGAGCTCCAATGACAGGTCATTTGGTATACAGTCGGTGCTCGTGTGGAAATCGAACCCTGTAAAGCTTGTTTGTAGGGGTTTGGTGATTGGCTTGTACAGTACAGTAATATGGGGAGTATTTTTCGTCTTGATGAACATGTAGACTCGGTCACGTTACCGCTCGTGGTATACATGTCCTTACCCTGGAACTTACTATCTGGCAGTCACTATTAGAGGGAATTATATAGACATCTCTATGGCTGGACAATTTGGCATCCCTTTCGAGGCCAGGTGAACTTCCTAAAGCGGATGCATGTTGAGTCAGCGCTCTGAGGGTCATTATAACTAACTTTATCTCGACTCGAATCATTTTATCTGGGGAGATTCGCTATTTTAATGTAAAGGGTCATGAATGTTTGTGAAAAAGCAAGCAACTGACAAGTAAAATGTAAGTTTAGGTAAGTAATCAGGTGTGATGATTTGCAAAAGATATTGTCTTCAAGGATATATATTCAAGGACAAGAGCCTGTTTTCCACCACAAACTTCCATCAATCAATTTTCGATTTTCCTGGATTAACCTTACTCTAATATTGACATACACGGAAGAAGTAGAATAGCACAAGTGAAATATCGGAAGAGATTATTGACTAGCACTATTTGTGATACATAGCTATAGACACTGTTCAACTGCAAGGTTCTTGCCACTCACCGACCACCAAAGCAAATACACAGTCACATACTCTACCCAAACTCTACATAATGCGTATTCAGGTTTATTCCAACTCAAGCTCACTGAGAATCCTTGAACCATGAATTCGACATATTCCACCAAATCCCTTTGATCTAGATCAAGCTCGACTGATAGAACTATGGTCAAGGCTCATCGTTTGCAGCTTGGATAAACACCGACATTCACTCCCTGTGAACCTTTAAATTTGCATCAAGGAGATAGTGCGCAGATCAATCTGGTTACCCATCGTAACATAGCAAGCTATGCCCGGAGCAGGGCGAGCATCGAAAGTGATCAGGATCGACATGGGTCCGGCGATCTCGAATTCCCGTGGATTGAGACAGGAGTGGAACCAAGATGACTAGGGCTTTGGACGATGAGATATTTTGAGTAGCGATCGAATGATTCCAAACGCGCTGTCATGCCCAATTTGAGGCGCATTCAGCTGCGTGGTGCCGGGCAATTCCTACCAGTAGCGTGTCCCCGAAAAACCCAAAACAACCCAAATTGGACTGACTTAACGCCACCGGTGTCACAACTGCTACGTTGAGTACGTAAACCTCTCAAGGAATTGGATTGGAGGGAAGAGCATTTCTCGGAGCAGGGCGATAGGGCGATCACACGCCCCGTACCTGAATATCGATTCTAGAAGCGCATAGCTATTGGCATCGGGGGCTCAAAACAGGGACCAGTTTACTGCGTATACTGCATCTGAGATTGCAGGGTAGAGAAATGTGACCCACGACTGGGATATGTTTGATCTCAAAATGATCCAGGGCATAGCGTAGCCTTCAAGGATGCCACTTGCAGGGCGGCATGCAGGGTTCATACACCTTGGGAAACAAGGGGGCACGTCTAATTGATGCTAAAATTCCGGAACAAGGGAAGGACCAATGGGATGATGAGGAGGTAGAGATAATCAGGGCGAGCTTGAGATCTAACCCTTGCGTAGGGCATTCCCCGAGCAAAAATGGGCGTTTTGTTTTTGACCTTTACTATGAACGAGTGTAGATCAGCTCGTGCCCAAACAGTGGGATTTTGAAGATAAAAGGAAGCATCTGAATGGTCTTCTGGTTCTTTCTTTCACACACCAGTCTTCTACTTCTCTATCTCTCTCACTCTTCTATCTTCCCAACCTTCAAACCATTTTTATATCTACAAGATTTTAATCTTTAATACCTCTACCTTCACAATGCAGTTCACTATCTCCGCTATTGTCCTCGCCTTCGCCGGCTTCGCCGCTGCTGCCCCTGCTGAGTCTCTCAACAACTCTGTCGAGGGCCACGAGGCTCCTCGCTTCAAGGTTCCCAACGGAATGACCGTCAAGGAGGCCCAGGCCAAGTGTGGTGACCAGGCTCAACTCTCTTGCTGCAACAAGGCCACCTACGCCGGCGACACCACCGATGTCAACTCCGGCATCCTCGGTGGCACTCTCAGCAACTTGATCGGTGCTGGCTCCGGTGCCGACGGTGCTGGCATCTTCGACCAGTGCTCCAAGCTCGATGTCCAGAGTAAGTTATCCTCCACTCATCAGGCAGTCATCACAATTTTAACCATCCTTAGTCCCCATCCTCATCGCCGTCCCCATCCAGGACCTCCTCAACCAGCGCTGCAAGCAGAACATTGCCTGCTGCGCCAACTCTCCCGCCGGTGCCAGCTCCGACCTTGTCGGTGCCGGTCTCCCCTGTGTTGCCCTTGGCTCCATCCTGTAAGCAGTTCGCTTCTTTGCGATCGTGCTCCTTCTGGAGGAAAAGTTCAAGACGGCCTGTGGCATACATTTCTTTTGTTTTTCTGTTTTCTTATTGTTCGGGATCAATTGCCTTATGACTCAGCATCATCAAAGTGACAATCTCTTTGCTTAATACATACCGCTCTAATTCTTCAAGATTTTATCCTCGTAAAACAAATAAACGTTACAAACATAGCAATAAACCACTATCGCCGAATGACAATTGGTGCAAGAAGCCCACACAGCTCGGCGGTTACAATCCCCCTTAGCTCGCTCCGGCTAGACTAGGCAGCCCTAGGCAGACATCCCCACAGCAAAGTTCCGCAAGTTTCAGCCTCCATATAAAACCTCTTAATAGAACTTTTTTTCACACCAAAGCGCAAAACTCTTAAGTTTGTATTTGAACAATTGCAATTCGCCATGCCTATCCAATGGGTTGACACAGCAGAGCCCAGAGTGCCCACCACACTCCCAACACTCATCAAGTCCTATATAGACCCTGAAGACCCTTCAATTGCAGCCCACAATATGCTACGCTTAGCAGGTCTCCTCTTGCTATCAAATCACCTATCAGATGCCCACAAAATTGCCTCAGGAGTGTTTCGATCGGGCAAAAATATGCTCAAAACGGACGATAACCAGGTCAATCTCCCACTATACACCCCGAATTTCCTCGAAATATTCTGGCAAGAAAATAAAGAAACTTTCCCACGACCAGAAGACGCACCAAAGCCCAATCGCGGCCCGCTTGACAAACATCTCGCAAATGAACAATGGGGCAAATACCGCGAATGCACCCGCACAGGCTGGATGCTAGATCGCTACGGGCTCGCCGAGCCAGAAGAGCCATCCATATGGCGCGATACAGATGATCCCAAGCTGATGGCAATGTGTGCTAGACTTCTAGCGAAAACGACTACACCAGGAACGTATCCGTCTCAGGATAAAATGCGGGAAGCCCTTGCCGCTGGGCAGAAGCTTTACGCTATACCTGAAATTCCTGTGTGCGATTGGCTATTGCAGAAATCTAAAAGCATACGGCAGTCTTCGCTTTTGTACCGGAGGCTCATTGCGGAAATGGCGATCCGCGTCGGAGAACCTCAGACAGCGGCGGAGGTGTTGAGTCAGGCTTTGGAGGTGGATGGATTTGTGAATGGGGGTGAATTGGAAGATTTCCTTATGATCCCTGGTATATATGATGTTTTGCCTTTGCTGGCCCAGAGTGGGAAGGAAAGCAATCCGTTTTACATCCCCAAGGCCGATGCTGAGATTATGGCGAAGGAGATTGTTGATGCTTTGGAGCTGCGGAGCAAATATGGGAGGCAATGGGCGCTGGATGAGTCTCGGGTTGGATGGAGGGAGCTTTTAGATCGGCTTGCTGAGGGTGCCTTCAAGGTGCATCCTAAGGAATATCGAGGCATGGGAGTGACAAGAGCAGAGGAGATCCTGTATGATCCTGCCACGGAGAAGGAGATTAAGGCAGCTGAGAAGAAGGTGGGAAAATTGCCGGATGACTTCAAAGAGATGATCCGAGTGGCGAACGGGTAAGTAAATATCACCCTTCCATTGTGTGAGATGATTGGGCTGGCGAGGCTAACGGCATGGCTTAGATTCAAGGGCGGATGGCATCTTTTCGGGGGAGGCATAGCTGGTATTCAATACATCGACATTGCCGACTCGGAATCGGAGAACTCTTGGGATAGCTATACCCAAGAAGACGACGAGATCTTGAATTCTAGTGATATCATTGAGCTACAGACAGGGTCAGACTGTGATGGATTCTATCATTATTACATGCGACCCAGAGCATGGAATGTGGATGAAGAGGATAAAGACAACAAGTATAGATACTGGAATTGGGCCCCTTGGAGGGGTGGCATATCTCGGTATAACTCATTCAGAGATTATGTTGCAGACTGTGTGGAAACGGTAGAGAAGATGCTTGAGCTAGGTGAGAAGGAGGATTGTGACGAGGAAGATGAAAGCGAGGTAGATGAAAGTGAGGAAGATGAAAGCGAGGAAGATGAAAGTGAGGAAGATGAAAGCGAGGGTTAGATGCAACATTAATCAACTTTTTTTCTGTCAGTTTCAAATTGCATTGTCTTCTATAAATTTAACGGGCTGATATGTAATAGCCTGTCCTGGACTCTGTCGAGTAACAACAAAGCTTACGTATATTAAAAAAAAGGTTGAAAGTGATAGGTCAGCAAAAGCGCGCTGGCTCAAGTAGAGTATCAATTAGTCAGCTGCATAATGTGTTATAACCCTGATATCTGCGTTTAAGTCACTATTTTCATACCAAATGCGGAAAACGTCGCTTGGGTCCCTTCGTCGAATAGTTGAATCACTCTTTGCCAAGAACCTGTTCTCAACAAAATGTTCTCTAGGTCGCCGGAGCCTTCTCGGAAGTCGGAAAAGAATATAAAAACGCCGGTAAAGATCGAGGCGAAACCGCCTATCAGTGGTTGGTTATTGGCGAGATAAGAATCAAACTGATAGGCACTTGGTGGCTGGCCTTGCCAAGATGCGAATAGGAGGGGTAGACATCGCTTAAGTAGATATCTGATGCGAAATCAGGAACAAGGACGCCTAGTTTGGTTTAACCCAACCATTCTGTCTATCTCATTCAGGTAATAGGCTGCTGGAGAACGAAGTCACATTCAAAATAAGCAGGTACATGCGAATTACACAGCCAAAGAACCCAGGTAGATCGATATCTACAGTATTGTAACATAATTATTTGACTTCGAGTACTTCGCCTGACAGGCAGTAAGTTGAAAATCAAGCCAGTTCAATAGCTAGAATACTACCCTTCATATTTCATGATATCAGTCACCCTATGAGATATAGTCTCCGATAGACACTCAGAAACTCTTGATATTAAGACCTTGAGATTCCTTCGTAACATCTTCTAACCATAGATTTAGCATATGGAGCGTACATAATTGCGCGTGGAAATGTGGCACGCTAATAAACTAGGGGTATAAGAAACGGTAAGTACGTCAGACTTGAGTGGATCCTGAAGGTACTCGAGGTCAAAGACTTATGTTACACTAATGTAAATTATTTCGCATCCTTTGCCTGAAATATTGTAAGACACGATCAGATCAAGGCGGTGCTTTGAGCCCCGGGGTAATGCTCTTAGGCCTCCCATGTAAGATTATAAAAGCCTGGGACCTCGCAGGTCGAATTGGCTGTGCTAGAGTTACGAAACACTTGAACTAAATCTCCCAATAAACCATGCCTGGCAGCTCTTGGTATCTTACTGTAGCACTGGGACTGGCCTCGTTGGTTGACCCGGCTGCTGGTAGACTTCATACCGACCTCCGACGACCATCTCCAAAACAAAATCATGATAGTAGAAGAGAGCTCTATCGGGGACTGGGTCAGAAGTTGAATGATCGAGATATTGTGCATGAACGCAGCTTGGCCAAAGCCGGTTCTTGTCTTGAGTCTAACTTCACCGAAATTCATGCTCCGAAGAAGAACATTTGGACAGGGCTCACAGACCCTGAGGCTGCAAGTGTCCTATCCTGGCTGTTCCAACAGTCTGATTTGAATTTGACAATTGCCAAAGATGCTGGAGACTGGGACAATACTATGTATGTCAAATATTATCACCTCTTTCTTTTGAATTGGCTAATTCCAACAGTGAGCTTGTTGAGCTCATGCAGCCAAACAAGACCAACTCGCTCAATTTCATCGACCATGGTGGTAAAGCTCCACCTCGATATGCCCATGTAGTCATTGATCACCGAGCAAGTGTTGAGCCTTATTATGCGGACATCCTTGTTGGACCTCTGCCCCTTGTGAATGGAAAGGCACAATGGGAGCCGCTCGAGTATCCATATACTCGTAAAACACAAGGAAGGGTTCGAAATGTCGAACCAGACAGTACTCTGATGTATAACACATGGTTACTGGGTATCAGTAGCTCAGTCGCTGACATCACCCTCGATCTTTGGAACGGCACTGCCCTCGGTCTGGACAATGACACGATCGGACTCTGGGGAATCGATCCTCTATCACAAGAGAACGGCCGGATCCTTCGTTGGGATCAATTTTGGCATGAGCCAACTGGTGAATTCGATTCTTCAACTTTGCTTCCTCTGGGGTTGTATGTGCATTCGGACGTTACCGGACGAGATGCATCAAAATGGAAGGTTTTAGGATGGTTATACAACGACATTTTCTACCCAACGCTTGAAGACTTCCGAAACGCCTTCTACAGTACTGGCTTTGAGAAGCTTGGGGCAAATACCGACGGCGCTTGGGCACACACTGATCAACGAGGAAAGATTCTGCCGCATGATCGATCATATCCCCCAGTTTCTGTTGCTCCCTCGGGATCAAGATTCGCGGTTGATGTGGAACAGAAGTATGTCGAATGGATGGACTTTTCCTTCTACATCAGCTTCTCTCATGACGTCGGAATGACTCTTCACGATATTCGATACAAGGGCCAGCGCATCCTGTACGAGCTGGGATTGCAGGAGGCTCTTGCCCACTACGCCGGTGAGTCGCTCTGGGATAATGCCCATCATTCCACTGAATATGGCTGACTTGAGACAGGAAATGACCCTGTGCAGTCCATGACATCTTATCTTGATACTTACTACGGTTTTGGGCCCTATGCATTCGAGTTGGCCAAGGGTTACGACTGCCCATCTTATGCAACCTATCTCAACAGTACATTTTACCAAGATGAGACAACTCACACGCACATCCATAGTATTTGTCTCTTTGAGTATGACTCCGATTATCCGATGCAACGCCATAGTAGCAGTAACTATGTGTCTATCACGAAGAACGTCTACTTCACGGTTCGCTCTGTCTCCACGGTGGGCAACTACGATTACATGTTCAGGTGGGTGATATCTTCGCATATACCAAACACTTACTAGGTTATCTAACGAAACATTGCAGTTACTCTTTCTACATGGATGGATCAATCGGCGTTGAAGTGCGCGCTTCTGGATACATCCAGTCGGCTTACTACGCCCACAACGAGGAGTTCGGCTACCATATTCACGACGCACTCTCGGGCTCGATGCATGACCATGTGCTCAACTTCAAGGCTGATTTCGATATTCTTGGACTGAACAATACGATCCAGTTGACGCATCAAGTCCCAACCACCCAGACCTTTGCGTGGTCCAATCAAACCCGCAATACGATGAAGATTAAGCACTCAAACATTGAGAGCGAGGATGAAAGCCGATTCAACTGGGCTGCAAATTCCGCGACCCAGGTAAAAGTAGTTAACCTGGACAAAACTACCCCCTATGGCGAATATCGGGGATATCGAATTTCGCCCTCGACAGGAAGCATTCACCTCACTGTTGAGAACTCGACCAATCTTCGCAATGCCGCCCAGTGGGCCGACTATGATATTCAGGTTACGAAACATCACGACACAGAGCCCCGGTCCGCCCACTCCAAAAATTCTCAAGATGTGGAAGACCCGCCTGTCAATTTCGATCAATTCTTCAACGGCGAGAATCTCACCCAGCAAGACTTGGTGGTGTGGTTGAACTTGGGCATGCACCATGTTCCACACACAGGTGATCTTCCTAATACAGTGTTCACTACCGCACATTCAGGTGTGCAGTTTATGCCGCTGAACTACTTGCTGGGTGATCCAAGTCGGGAAACGGTGAATATGGTCCGAATAGATTATGAGGATGGTAATGTGTCTGCAGTTCACACGTTCGGCCAACACGACGATCAGTGTGCATTAGATTTCACACCGGCCGAGTCCAGTTTGTGGGATTACGTTGGTGACGTTGTGGTTAGGAAGTTCCCTTATGATCCAAATGATCCTTACTATGAGACGGACAGCATATCCTAAAGAGTTCGAAATTATGAACGTCGCTACAGCTTGGGGATGATCGACTCATTCCTGGGTTGGTCAAATCATTACACATGCGTTGTCTAGCTCTGATTCACACATACGTATATCTATTGACGTTCCCTCGCGCTATAAAGATGGATTATTATCTCGGCAATGAAATTGATGCGATCTATTCATACACTGTCTCAACCATTGTATCGCCCCTTTTTCACAAGTGGACCAAGTAGATGTTTACATAAAATATAATGCGGGATAAAAAACCACACAGATAGATGTATGCGACTATCGCCGTTGCTGGTCCAAAGTCCCAAAGTGAGGGCCGAAAAGCGCCGAGATGCCCGAAAGTCGAAGGTGAATAATTCCGCTTGGGCGCCTCCCCTGGCGGGTGGCCGAGTTAGATTTTGACGTGCCGAGTTTCCGGGTGGATCTCAGCGTTCAAATACAAACCATTTCCCAGGCTCTTGACTATTCTATTCCCAGGCTACAGACTATATGGTACTTCTCGGCGAGATACGCTCTTTTTCGTGGTTGACCCTTCGCCAGTTTCCTCTTGCAGTCACTACACATTCCAACCCTATATCTGCCCTCCGTTCATTCCTATCGAGTGGGGTCTAACGCGAGGCGTGCGAACAAGCCGATCTAAATGTTCTATTGAAATTTTGACCAGATCATTGTGTAACCCCTCACTTTGGGCCCGAATGCTTTCTATGTCTCTATCTTGAATTATACTTTGCTAGCATCATGGTTGCCAACAATGAAGCCGATCCAGCAAACGCCTTAGATGCCCGGCCTCAGAAACATATCTCTTTTTGGCGTTTGCTGACCGACCAATCAATCATCACTGAGGAGGTGCTTCATCATCACTATGAAGGATCAGGAACTGACGAGGATCCTTACGTTGTGACTTGGCTGGCAAACGATCCTCGAAACCCCATGCAGTTTAGCTTGACGAGAAAAGCTGTTATCACCTTTAACACAGCGATTGCAACATTTGTTATATCGCTCTCTTCTTCTGCATATAGTGGTAGTATTGAAGGCATCGTTGATCATTTTGATATCGCCAGAGAAGTCGGCACTGTCGGTCTATCACTCTTTGTTTTTGGTTTCGCCGTGGGACCACTGCTATGGGCACCTTTAAGCGAAACTATTGGCCGACAAATCCCATTCTTCGTGTCTTTCCTCGCCCTTTCCTTGTTCTCTGCAGGGTGTGCATGTGCTCAGAATATCCACACTCTGTTGATTCTGCGATTTTTCGGAGGAGCTTTTGGCTCTGCGCCCCTCACAAATGCTGGCGGCGTTATTTCAGACATGTTCATGGCCAGACAACGCGGACTGGCAATGCTATTATTTGCATCTACTCCTTATCTAGGTAAGTCTGATTTCTAGACAGACAATGAGTCGACGCCTTGTTGAGCAGTGCTAATTTACCCGCCAGGCCCCGCTCTAGGGCCCATTATAGGCGGTTTCCTCGGCATGAATGCAGGTTGGAGATGGGTCGAGGGTTTCCTCGCTGTTATAGCGGGACTTGCTTGGATATGCATGGCCTTTTGCGTTCCTGAGACCTATGCACCGGTCCTGCTTCGAAAGCGTGCGGCTGCGTTGTCGAGCATGACAGGGAAATGTTATCAAAGCAAGCTGGATATTGACAGAGGCAATATTTCCATGGCGAATCGACTGAAAACCGCCTTCTCTATGCCCTGGGTTCTTCTCCTCCGCGAGCCCATTGTGCTTCTTCTCACCTTATACGCTGCTCTCATTTATGGTGTGCTCTACATGCTGTTTGAAGCCCTTCCAATCGTCTACCAGGAGGAAAGGGGATGGAACGCGGGTGTTGGAGGGCTTCCCTTCCTTGGTGTCATGGTTGGTGTCTTGTGCGGTGTCATTTACACCATGTGGGATAACAAGAGATTCATACGAACACAAGGGGCGCACAATGGATTTGCTCCTCCAGAGGCTCGTCTTCCGCCTTGCATGACCTCTGCCGTGACAATTCCTATTGGCCTTTTCTGGTTCGCATGGACAAACTCCCCCTCTATACACTGGATGTGTAGTGTCGCGGCGCTCGTTCCCTTTGGATTCGGGCTGCTGCTCATTTATATGGGTATTGTCAACTACCTCATCGACTCCTATACAATTTACTCAGCATCTGTCCTGGCAGGAATGTCAGTTTTTCGATATACATTCGGAGCTGTGTTTCCATTATTCAGTACATATATGTACCACGGTCTTGGTATTCATTGGGCCTCGTCTATTCCGGCATTTCTGTCGGTCTTCTGCATGCCTCTTCCATTCTTATTCTACAAATATGGTGCGCAGATCCGAACCAGGTGCAAGTATGCCGCCTTGTCACAAAAGCGTCTCGATGCCATACAACAAATAGCCGCAGCAGAAAAGGGAGTCGCATGATTGTCTACTGAAGAGCGAGACAAAAGAAGAGGCTCTTGAAAATGTTAATATTCATTCTGTTTATACCCTCATAGCCTCAATGATACCCTCCCCAACCCCAGGGGATTGATGGAAAGTGATATGTGACAATCCGACCGATTCAAGTAAATCCCTCCACTGCGCTTCAGAGCGTTCGAAAGCTGCAACTTGTACCATCATCATAACGCTTATACATGCAGTCGATAAGTCACAGCCCTTATCTGGCAGGATCGATTCATGAAGGATCAGCTTTGAAAATCCTGGCTTCATTGCTGCCACAATGTTAGTCAGGATAGCCCGACATCGCTCGTCTGACCAGTCATGAAGGATCCAATGCATGAAGTATGCCCGAGCGCCTGATATAGGTTAGCAACAGCCCACAGCTGAGTTTGGAGTTCTTACCTTTGACGGGCTGGGGCGTGAAAAAGTCATGGGCAATTAGCTTCACATCAGGTGGATTTTCGATTGCTTCTATAACATTTGGAAGATCTTGCAACACGAGTTGACCCGGAGCAATCTGAAACTTGTCTTGAAACTCGCGCAGGTATCTTCCCTCGCCGCCACCAACATCCACGAGTAGGACGTTATCGGGAGACTGGGCATCGAAATCATCAATAATGTTCTTTTCGATATCGAACCAATCCACCCAGCTAGCAGTAGCTGCCTGTTTCAAAGACATCCATTGCTGGAAGTCCTTTGCGAGCGCTGGATTCTGACCAAGCCATTCAAAATAGCCAAGGTCAGTGTTCATCCCGAGCTGGAAGGGAGTGTCTTTCGCCGATGATGGGAATTGATTCTGATTCCGACGGAAGAACTCTGGGGCCTTGGAGGTGCAGCAATTTCCAATATCAAAGCTTTTCGGTTTTAGCATTGCAAAAGCTAAACTTGAGATCTTGGTACTTACCATGCGCGTATGGTTGCCTCCATATTAGGGTCTGCCATGATCATAGTCTTGACTGAAGGCTTGAAGATTTGCGTATCTTGCTGATCTACGTATCCCGTTGCTGCGAGAAGCCGGAGGAACTGATCAACAACGATCGGACTTGCGCCAGATTGCTCTGCAATTTCTTGGGCAGTGGCTCCGTGGCCTGGGTTCTGGCTGATTTGACTGAATATGCCGAGTTGAACACCCATGCGGATAGACGCGAGAATGGGGGGACTCTGGTTGTTATGCTTAGTCCTCAAGTGTAATATTCAGAAAGAAAGGTATGTACTGCGAGAGGCCATTTTCAACTGGCTTGGGTTGAATCGAAACTCACCATCACAACATCGTGTATAATTCTTTCAACCGGTGACTCGAGGGTCTCTATCAAGGCACGAGCAGCATCCAAGGCCTGTAACCGAGTAGCTTCATTGAGTTTCTCGGATTTGACTGCCCCGGTCAGAGCATTGATTTGGCCTGCGATATCGAGTTCTTGGCTCATTCTTGTGTTCTCTGTAGGGAATTGACACTGACACCCAGGTGCAATGGTTTATTAAATGACACAATTACAACGCCTAGGAAGCCTTACTAAATTGCGTTAAACCCATTGCGTGGTCCCTGAGTCGCGATAGCACTAACAGTGGGGTCAGAACCGTCGGTGATTAATATCCCAGGGTCATTTTCAATAGCATTGGCTTCCGCGTATACACTAATACCGACTTGACTAGGCCTTGATCGGTTACGCATCTCCAAATCATAGTGCCATTGTTTCATTTGCACACATGTAGCACGCTAGTGCGCGCTAGTAATCGGGGGCCAAAGCATTTCATAAAGAGAAATTTCAACCAAGCTACGGATATGGATCATCCGCATGTGGGAGAAGTAGATTGATTTAGATTGACTATATGGGCCGCGTATAAGAACGCTGGGTCTATGGTTTCCTTGAACGAAAGCCTAGCTGGTGTGGGCCAGTCCAGATCAAGAATGGGAAATGAAGTTGCGCTTAAGATCTTTTAGATCTGCATTTGAGATACTGTGGCATCAGTGTGGCTCGTTAAATGTCGTCGCCTCGGTTCTACAATGGAGTGCGGACGTTGCTCCGTAACTGATTCGTTCGTGAACCCATGTCAAGGGCATAACATACGATGGAAACAGGAGAACGACCTAATATGAGCTTCTTGGCTAAACGCGACCCACTTGCAATACATCTCCGCATTGATCAATCTCAAATCTGAAGGGTAAAATGGTTGAGCATGTTTCGAGGGGGTGTTTTTGATTTTGATATTTGGGCATCTTATATGTTATCAACTGCAGTAACGATGACTGGGAAATGAGGACAAAATATGTCAAAATCATGGAAGATGCCCGTGACAAGGATTTACCCATTGGATATTTTCCAAGCAAGGTAATGTTAATCTATAATGCATGGTTTGGGGTACGCTTTGAATCCTTCGAACCGTGAGTTGCTAAGCCAAAGTCTGTAGACTTAAAATCATTGAATACCTCCCGATTTTCACCTTTTGAATTCCGAGACTCTCAGTTGCGAAGAGAGCGCTAGAGATGGAGCAAAGCAGTGCAATCGCTTACTGTGGTGATCAATTGATTGGAGTCTCCATCGCGATAGCAGTGCTTCAGACAATAATTGTCGCTGCGCGCTTTTATACAAGATGTTGGCAGAGGCTGGCCGTTGGACTTGATGATTACCTTATGATTCCGGCGCTGGTAAGACCATCAATTCGATTTAATAGATTGTACTGACTCTTCGGTAGCTTGCGAGCCTCGGACAGAGTGGGCTCTATATTTACTGTATGCAATTGCTGGTCTAGCTTTTCCACGCGCGGTGTATTAACAAAAACAATCAAAGTGGTCAAGCAAGGTGCAATAGGCTACCACCTTGCATATGTCATGCGAACTCCACAGAAGCTGGTTAGATTGCAAAAGGTCGGCTGTTCCCCGGTCGCCTTTCAAGTCGAAAATCTTACCGGTGCTATAGGGCCTTTTCGCAAATGAGATTCTTGATTTCCCGTTCACTGTGACTCCCGCAAAGCTATCAATCCTCATATTCTATGCCCGCATCTTCAGTGTTCGCCCGTTCAGAATTTGTGCTTACGTTGTTGGAGCGATCGTCCTGGGTCACGGAATCGGAGTCCTCTTCGCTGCCATCTTTCAGTGCTCGCCGATCGCATACACGTGGGATTCAACAATCGATGGAAGGTGTTTTGACCAGCAGGCATTTTATCGATGGGTTTCCCCTCCAAATATCTTAACTGATGTTCTCATCTTGGTGATGCCTTTGCCTTATGTCTGGAAGCTACATACTTCGTTGGGGCATAAATTAGCCTTGACAGGCGTGTTCTTATTGGGCAGTTTGTGAGTTTCTCTCTCTCATAATACCTTTCTTGATATACCTGACCTTGAATACAGAGGAACTGTGTTCAGTATATTACGCATGACAACGTTTTTCGAGGAGAGTGCGACAACAGACCCAACTTGTATGCTACTTCCAGCTGGAAGAATCAAGTAAACATTGGCTTACATACTATAGGGATCTCTGTCAAGCTTGGTATATGGACGATTCTCGAAAGTGGTATTATAATCATAGCAGCTTGTCTACCTTCAATTTGGCCGTTAATAGCCAGAATACTTCCTCAAGCGCTACTCATAACTCAATCATCAAGAAAGCAGTCACCTCGTCATAATTATTATCGGAATTCTCGCAACTCTGCTGTCGGGGAGGGATTTTCTCGACTGGGAAATGACAGCTTGGTGGTAATAAAAAACTCAAAGGATTTGGAAACGACCCGGGCAGATTCCGATCAACACATCGATGAGACGGACCTACTGCCTATGCAGAGCATTCAGGTTGAAAGACATGGAATGATATAGAATAAAGACAGCAAGGGTTTCATAGGCAGAGAGATTGTTAAATTGTAATAAAATGCTGTCTATACCGCTTTGAGGGTCTATGCAACAATGATACATATCCCTATCCTTGTTAAACATATTCGCCTTGATATCCTCCGAAGAAGGCAATCACAGTTGACCAACCATTGTATTTTGGTCTATTATTAACGAGTCCATCGAGAAGATCACACGAGCTTAGTGATCCAGTAAAAAGCCCTGTGGATGCTGGGCAAGTCGCTCAATGACATCCTGTCCAATATCGCCTCCCGCGTGCGACACGCAGGAAGCGATATCCTGGATCAAAATCGCTGAAATGGTGCGGGATAAGCGCGATGCAGAAGAATATTCTCGTATCTGAACTTACGACGCCCAAGGCCACGAACTAGCGATGATCCTCGGATCTCTCTTGCAGCATCTAGCGCAAATCCTGCTTGCAATTGCAGCCAAAGCCGAACACTGCCCCTCCCAGCGATAATCGTTACCGTATCGCGGGATTCTAATGCAAATTAAGTCTTGGGCTGCATACAGCAAAAGAGCTGAACATTAAAGACAACATGCCCACTTGCCTGGTTTTAGATTTTGTGACCCGACGCTGCTTTACTTCATCTTCCCCTGGGGATTCGCCCCATTAAATAATACTCGGGTCGGTTAAATGATTTGAACGTCTCACATTCATCATGACTTGGTCCAAGCCATTTCTGAAGCTTCGCGATCAGCGACCGTGGTTGTTACCGCTGAGGTCGTCGCAGTCGTTTATCGTTACGGCGGTTTCATTGTCGATGTTTACGGTACGTCCATCGACTTAGATCGAAACAGGCTGAATGATATCGTGAAATAGCTAACATCTAATTGCCCAGGACCTCTTTCTATATGCCATGGTACCCATGCTCCAAGCAAGACCGAGACCTGCGATCCCCACCTGACTGGCTGCAGATCGTCCCCGTAATGCCAAGCGCCTTAGTATCCAGAGCTGGAGTGGCCTTTGAAGATAGTATGTGGTCTTTATGGGGATGAGAAACAGATATATTAACGAAATGTGGTTCAATAGGGGAATACTGGAATAGCATCCTCCTCGTTTCGGAAGCCATCACAGCACTGGTATGCAGTCCACTGTTCGGATACATACTCGAGACATCGGGGACACGCCAGGGTCCGTACATCTCTGGACTCGTGCTGTTGTTTGCATCAATGGTGATTTTCATGGCCTCGCACTCCGTGGCATGGTATATCGTCGCACGAGTACTCCAAGGTGCAGCGACGGCGATGGTATCGGTTGCTGGGCTTTCGATAGTGACGGATACAATTAATAAAGCCAGTCTTGGGCAGATGATTGGATACATTGGTGCTGCAATGACACTGGGATTCATTGCTGGCCCGTTGCTCGGTGGACTGGTGTTCGAGATTGGAGGATTCTATGCGGTCTTCGGTATGGCTGTTGGAATAGTCGCTCTTGATTTCTTTTTGAGACTTGCTGTTGTCGAGAAGAGAGTGGCTGAGCGTTGGTTTCGCATTGCTGATAATGAACGGCCGACTGAAGAGAATGGTTATGTCTCTGAGCAGCCGCCATATGGGACTATCAGAAACCGGACTCCTTCATTCACGGTTGTATCGAAGGGCACCTTTGCTTTGAGAAGGCTCTTGGGCCAGCCACGGATTCTGATCAGTTTGTGGGCTATGATTGTTGGGGCTCTTGTGGTATCGGCATTTGATGCGGTTCGTGATCGCTTTGCTCTGCGTGGCATTCAAATAACTTTGGCTGATACTTCATACAGACTCTGCCAATATTTGTCGAGAATACATTTCATTGGAATGTTTTAGGTGCCGGGATGATCTTCCTGCCAGGTGCCTCAGCTGCGATCTTTCTACCATTTTTCGGTGCGTTTTCATACCATCTGTCTCTGTCCGCAACATAAGCTCATTCTCATCCACTTCACAGGATCTTTGTCTGGCCGCCTCGGGTCCAGAATTGCTGCATTTACAAGCTTCGCAGCTTTGGCTCCAACGCTGATCTGCCTTCGTTTTGTAGAAGACAACTCAGCACCGCACAAAGCTCTACTCTGCGTGATTCTAGTTTTCGTGGGTATGTGCATCGATCTCAGCAAGCCGACTCTCATAGTTGAGATGCAGTGTGTTCTGGATGATATGGAAGCTGCAGATCCCGAAATATTTGGCGACACTGGCGCCATAGCTCAAGCTTTCAGTCTAGAAAACATGGCTCACTTTGGAGGACTTGCTCTGGGTCCGATGGTTGGCGGGATAGTTGAATATCGATATGGCTGGAAGGTGATGACACTTGCACTGGGGATTCTCTCCGCGGTAACCTCTGTTCCTATGCTATTTCTCAGTGGTGCTGTTGTAGAAGATACTTGGACAGAGTCTGCTGACGATGACTTGGAACGGGAACCCTTGCTGGCGGAGTAAGTTTGCATTGGGCTGTATATAGTAACACAAAAGTAAAAATTCTGTTTCATTGAAGAATAGGCCCGAAATTTGCAAAGATGAGAGTGAGACTGAGTTGAAATGCTGAGTATCGAGGTGATTTGGTTCCTTGATCGTAACGAGGATGTTCCCGATTTGTACATGGATGTTGAGGCAAGGCTTGCATGTTCTGATGTGATTGAGTTCACATCATTGCGCTCGACCTATGACACGAGCTGTCTGTCGAGATTCGTGAGGTTCTGGACCGTGAGATAGACGCTAAGGCGCTCGCAGGTCCACAGTATTGGGGGGACCCACGAGGCTTGATGTCTGATCACGATGAGCTGTCGCTACACTATGTGAACTTGTATGTTGCGAATGTCGTCTCATTATCCCAAAGTTCGATGACAGAAAGAAGAATCAAAATTCACTTGAAATTCCGTAGGCTTTGCTTCCCCGGGTGATCAGGTAGGTGTACGGAGTATGTAAGTGCAATTTCCCTTACTGGTGGAGTGCTGCACTGCGTCACTCAGCAGGTTCCAATAGTAAACCCCGCCCAATGAGTAAACAAATGTGATGCTGTGAGCGAATTATTGGCTTGTTAGCTACGTCGTACACAGGTTGAAACCTTTGTGCATTCACCCTAAGGGTGCCCTAGAATGCCCCAAACCGAGGTAATTATTGGGAGTTGACAGCTATGTAAATTGCTGCCATAAACCCTGCTACAACGTATGTGTTGATTTCTTGGAAATAAAAGGTCATTCGTTTGCCGACCCTAAGTGGAACTGGGTAAACCTCCAACACAGTGAAAGCACATGTGTGGAGTACAGGAGTGTCGATGCTAAGTTACCCAGAAAAGTCGAAAAGTCCAGAGTCCAAGGCCGGAAATTGCGTTGTTTTCCCCACAGGTCAGATCTGCAAGTATTTCAGTGTCTAGTACAGTAGGATTTCAGCTGTTGAAAAAGCAAAGACAAAGCAATGCAAACCCCAGGGTCCCTTTTAGTGGCGCATCTGATCGCAGTATAACAATTGGTCTATAAGCCCGACCGGGCCAACATATGTGCATGCACTTAGGACAGAAAATTCTGAAACGAAAGGATGCTGTACTTCACTTACCTAGTGGGGGGGGTTAGTTTTCGTGGCCTTTTCCTGTTGGGCTTCAGTCGCACCCACTGGAATCGGCGCCTCACATCAAGATTCAACTCTCAGGGTTCCTGCATGTTAGCATGATTTTGATTTCTATGACACAATAATATTCAATTAGACCGCCACTACTGCATGTATAGGATCTCAATGCCTTAGTTTCTTGGAGCATTACCCGAGATTTACCAGCCCTTTTGTTTTGAGTCTCAACTAAGTCTACTTCCCTATACTGCGCGTAGATTAAGAACAATAATATTGAAAATTGCATATTTTAGTCTAAGTAGGGACTTTTAACTGTATGATGATGTATTCACCTGGATTTTCGCCATACTGTACATGTACAGCTCGCCATTCTCACTCATTAGGACTCCACACTCAATCCACCAGCAACTACCAATGACCGCATCACATTCGGCATAATCCTCATCTGTGCAGAAATGCCTCAATCCGCTGATCGTATTCCACGATGCAGCTCCATGCCTCCATGACCCGTGCTGCACATACTATACGCGAAGCCTCAAAGGACTCGTCGACTAGACCTCGATGCAACTGCCATTGGCTCTCTCACAGCTTAATTGGGTCTGGTCAGAAGCACTTGACTTAGTACAGACCATGAATTATTCCGTCCGGGGGAGCTAAACGTAATGAAGAATTGTAATTGCGTGCAAACCTGCTTTTTTAATGTCTTTTTGCTTTTGTTTGCGAGCCAGGGAGCCGCAGCTATCAAAGCTCTATAAACTAGCGTTGTGCCCTGTACATGAGATCTTAGATCAAACACCACTTGAGATACCTTCATACATTTGGTAACATAGTACTTTTTGTCACTTGATCTCTTGTTATGTTGTTTCAAAGTTACAATTTTCAATTTCCCCATACTATACTCGACCGATTCATCTCCACCGTCATGGCTCTGATTTCCAGTCCTCGTGAGACTATCCTTCCTAAAAAAGTCCTACACATTCCCCATAATGTTGAATATCGGGAATCTTCCCCAGGCGAGCTAGTCGATCTCGCAATTGAAGGCAACATTGCGCGTATAGCAAAACACTCTCTTGTCGGTGGTGATGAATCGTTCTTCGTTGCCGACTTAGGACAAGTCATTCGACAGCATCGTCGTTGGATGCAGAGTCTACCAGAGATCCGCCCGTACTATGGTATTAGATCTTTCTCTTTCCATTCCCAAACTACAAAGATGGGACACCCACATCTCTATGATTCTCTCAATGTCTTTTTCTCAAGTTAACATAATTTTAGCCGTCAAGTGCAATTGCGATCCAACATTTCTCAAGGTCCTTGCTGACCTAGGGACAAACTTCGACTGCGCATCCATAGAAGAAATACGCACAATTCTCAATCTCGGTGTAGATCCTGCCCGGATTCTATTTGCAAATCCTTGCAAAGCACCTGCAGCCATTGCATTCGCACGCGAAGTTGGCGTGCTACGCACGACATTCGACAACATCGACGAACTAGACACTATAAAAGCACACATGCCCGAAGCCCAACTGCTACTTCGAGTCTATGCCAACGATGATAGTGCTTTCATCTGCTTAGGTGAGAAGTTCGGCGCACAGCTGGACACAACGGAAGAATTATTGTCACGAGCGTGGAAACTGGGCCTGAATGTTATTGGTGTTAGCTTCCATGTTGGTAAGGCATTCGCGTATTGAAGAACACAGCTTATCGAACTTGCTAACGCGGTCCAGGAACCGGAGCCACAAACACAGAATCCTTCTGCAAAGCAATCAAAGATGCACGGGTGGCATTTTCACAAGCAGAACGTATAGGATTCACTCCCTATCTTCTTGATATTGGAGGCGGGTTTCAGGACGATTGTTTCGAGACCCTAGCCCCATCTCTTCGAGATACAATTCGGTCTGAATTCCCTGCTGGTATCACAACTATCGCGGAGCCAGGTCGATTCTTTGCCCGTAGTGTTTATACCCTGGTTTGTCGAGTGATTTCACGTCGGCGTCAGCTTGGAAATGCAGCTACTGCTGGGATTCCGGATATGCTCTATCAAAATGATGGTGTTTATGGGAATTTCATGAATGTGATCATGGAAAAAGAGATAATGGTTCCTTATTTGGTTCAAACCAAGAAAAGCATTACTTCACATAAGACCAAGACCAATGGCAAAAGTGAAAAGCCTGATGAATATCGATATTCGGTTTGGGGGCCTACGTGTGATAGCACTGATTGTGTTGTACGTGATGTGACTCTTAAATCGGAGGTCAAGATTGGTGATTGGCTTAAGTATAAGAATATGGGAGGTGAGTCTTCTGGTTATATTCAGTGCCTATGAAGCAAGCTAACCTCTTCACAGCGTATACCACTACTACGGCAACCGAATTCAATGGGTTCAGTAGTAAATACGATATATTTTACGTCAACAGTGAGAGAATGCATTCTTACTAGGCTGTGGATTTTATAATATGTGTTTCGGTTTTCATGATGTTATTAGGGGGATTTCAAGAATGGAAGAATGTCTATTCCAAAAAGAGCTTCGATTCAAATTTGTTGTGACTCTGAAGGCTTTCATATATATACATCGGGAGTAAATGATGGGTTTCAAGGCAGGAATGATACACTGGTCTGGTTCATGGGAGCAAATAATGCACAGAAGATGGGTAGCTGAAATACATTGCCATGGGATGGATAGATCATAACGATACTTCCAAAACAGCAATTGGAAAGAATTAACAAAAACCCGAGGCAGCCATATCAGGCTTTGGAATAAGAGTGCAACGTGGGAAATGCAAATTGAAATACTTTTAGACCGATGAATAGCCTGAATTCAGTGAGCTTGAGCCAGCAATCTCTTGCGTATATCTATTTCAAAAATCACAAAGACCATGACCATAATAGAGGATGGCCCAGCTCGTCCCAAATGAAACAAGCACCGCATTAACCAAAAAAAAAAAAACACCATAGGCTCATTTCCGAGAGGTCCTATCAATAGAAAATAACAAAACAGTGATAATAACAAAAGAGGATATCAATCATGAAAGACACATCACAGAACATAAGGTCAGAACCAAAGAGAGAGATAGAGAGAGTATAGACGAGTAAGTAAAGATGTAAGAAAATGAAACAAGAAACGAGAGTTAAGAGTAAAGCAAACTCTTGGTTAAGATTAAGCCTTCTCCATACCAGACATCTGAACATCTTCCCCCTGAGCAGTCTCAGACAGGACAGGTTGCTTGATGTCCATGCCGTAAGGTTGGGTATCAGGAGTAGCAGCGGATTCACCCTGCTTCTCCGGCATATCGGACCCCGGTCGGTTCTCGGGTCGTTTCCGACCCAGGCGCTCACACCAATGCTCAGCACTGACCAATGTATCATTGACGACACCACTGACTTGGGCCATCATGTCGAGACCTTCATTGGCCAGGACAAGGATACGATGGGCGCTTACTGTTGCATCGGAGGAAGCGGCTGGAGAGTCCGGTGGTGGCTGCGAGGTCGATGCAACCTGGAAGCGGTGCGGTAAAGAGGTGAGGTGTCGACGCACCAAATGGCGAGCGTTCTCGGGCAGGGCACCACCGGCGTACTTGGACACCACGTCGACTACCTGCTTGAGTGTCGAAAGGACATCTGCCTTGACGGCTTGAATGCGCTGGATCAGGAGAGAGGCGTTATCCTGACGACTACCCCCAGCTTCAACATCCTGTGATTGACCTGGGTGACGAGCCTTTTGGTTTTCCCACTCGGTCACGGCGCTCTGCAGAGCTATAATCGCTTTGCCGAGTCGTCCGTTGGCCCATCGAAGCCAGGTCAGGCAGTATTGGAGACTGCGCAGAGATTCGTCGCTCATAGCAACACCGAGACCAGATGTTGAAATAACTAGTCGGCTCTGCCATGTCGGCGAAGAACGCCGTCCTTGCTTCTCTTCATAGTGGGGTGACCTGATTTCGTCATACGGGGGTAGTGACTCGGACATGGACAGGTCTGATGAGCTCCGCGGTCGTGATGGATTTGCTGAACTGTCCTGGCCTTTCTCAACATCCACCGTTCTTGGCGACACGTTTTCGTCCATCTTGCGTCGTTTTTTGGCGTGCTTAAAGTCCGAGGTTGTGGAATCTCGTCGCTGGAGTGCCCAACGAAGACCACTCTCGACACCCGTCTTGCGACCAACTGTGCCGACAGTATTTGCGACGGGCGAGCCGATGTTTCGCTCAATAAATTCGGCACCGGACTTGAAACGCGGCGAGTACGACTTTGAGGTTGCGTACGCAGACACGGAGCCGTTGATCGCAGAGGATATCAGGGGATGAGAGGAGGTCAACAGTGACAGTAGTGGCTCTGGTGGTGGTGGGTCCGGCGAAGCGATGGGAAGGGATTGTCGTGATGCTCGAGGAGACTGGCCGAAGTCTGCGATACGTTAGTTGAGTTGTTTGTCGTACAGCGGCCTCCACCCAGAGCTGGGCTCGGCATATCATACCGGAACGCAGTCCCTCCAAGGCCTGCGCAGCCTCGATATCATCCATAGATAGTACACTGGCAGCTCGACGTGAGCGATCCTCTTCCATCATGGAGGAATGGACATGGTGAAAGGGAGAGAACGAATTGGAGGTCAGAGGGCCTGTGGCGTTCTTTCTAGGGATTTTCGGGGCATCCATGGCGGGTCCTTACAGAGGGGAGAGTCCAAGAGATTCGGAGTTTCATCTTCACGTGAAGATGTCACTTGAGCCCCTAGTCCCGATTGGGAAGGTTAGTAAGGATCACATTCATGGTACCTCTGTCGTCATACAGTTTACTATGGGCCCCCAAGTACCTCTCACATGCAAACTCCCAACACTTCCTCCCAGCCTAGGTTGATATCCTTTCCCCATATCGAGATTACCGAAAACCTTTAGCCAGAATATGGACTGCTCGCCTTTTTTATGATTTGTCCCCGGGTTGGGCCAGTCTGACATCCCAATACTGGTGGGAGAATCTTTACCCAAAGTATACAGTCTCACCTTGAACTGTCTGTCCTACAATCCAAGAGCCACCGCTATGAACCCATGCTAGTTGATCACTACTAGATTTTCAGCTTGCCATCCCTACCAATGTGACTCGATTAAGTTAGAACCGTTCATGTACCCCAACATACGCTAGGATATGATTGTACCACCTAATATGCCCCCTCTTGAATCTGTAGGATTGTCTGTATCATGATGAAATTTGGAATAACATTATACGTTAATGATAGCAGATAAAAAAAAACTGACATATCATGTAAAAACAAAAAGTAGATCGACAGCTATGTGATTCGAACACACGCGGGCGAACCCACTCGCTTAGCAGGCGAGCGCCTTAACCACTCGGCCAAACTGTCATTGGTGTGGCAAATTTGCCTTTCTAGCAAGTTATAACCTTGAAAGTGTTCAAAGGGAGAAATATTGTGAGAGCATACTCTAATGCGGGTGTGATACAGTATAGAACGAAACTGCCTTCGTCTATCCGCTTCATAAATAAAATTGATACTGCAAATCATATAAGCCAAAGTTCACTTTGCAATCAAGATAATTTTTGCCAATGCCAAAAACCCGAGATTGTTAAAAGTAAAGCATGGTGGGACTCGCTTGGGAGAAGAAAAGCTGGAATGCACCTAAACCGCTTTCATTGGGTAGAGGTCTTTGCAAATCAACTTTTTAAAGACTTTTTATTTGTTCCCTGGTTTTAACTTTTCTTTTTTTTGGGGTAAAATTGCTTTGTCCTTTCTTGTTTTCTATCTACAAAGCAAACGTTGCCAACAAAATATCTTGGACACCCAGAGCATCAATATTGTTCTATCTCCTCTTCAGAATCATTTGATTACAAGTTTGCTACATGAATTCAACTTTGCAAGCGATCACCATAACACGTGACAGTTTGGCCGAGTGGTTAAGGCGCTCGCCTGCTAAGCGAGTGGGTTCGCCCGCGTGTGTTCGAATCACATAGCTGTCGTATTTCTTTTTGTCCTTGACAGATATTTTTGTGTTTCTCATGTGCTCATTGTCATGAGAGACTGGCTGTGCCTTCTCCTGAAACTTGATAGACTACAAAGTCTCACTTAAGGATAATAGTTGGTGACTATATCAACCAAAGCTTGGATTGTTAATTCTGTACGGAACGGTCTTGGATCAAGTACCGCGTATAGCAGACATGACAGAACGGCAAGTCTTTAGAACAATTATATCAGTTGACTGGTTAGGGACGAAATAGGGAGGTTCACCATGAGATCTATGTATACTTGCAACGCATCTCCCAGACACAAAAGTAGTGTGATCGAAAATACTACAGTAGGCACAAGAAAAACTTAAAAATCGACTTGATAGTGGTTTCTATAGGAGCCTAACTAGGAAAGCCCTTCTAAACAGCATTGAGCTGGTGGCTAGATCTACATTTAGATGTTTTTGTTTGTCTGTTTAACGTTAAAATGTAGTCTCAATAAGTAGCGTAGAAGAGACAACTTTCTTCAATGACGACAGTTTGGCCGAGTGGTTAAGGCGCTCGCCTGCTAAGCGAGTGGGTTCGCCCGCGTGTGTTCGAATCACATAGCTGTCGATTTCATTTTTGCCATTTTATTTTAGAATATTGAAAGCGATTATTTCACAAACTACAAAGTATTGTTAATTTACAGGGCGCAGTGGTTCTGATTTTCCTTCTATGTACATGCGTCCACACGGATACGTCAACCCTTAGTCTGGTATTTGTAACCTATCTATAGAAACAGCAGTATGAAGTCGACAACATTCCTTCGCCAGCCACAATCTACTCAATATGGCCTCACCGAAATCCTCACTCTCAGTCACATATGAAATGCATTTATTTCCATCACTCGGAATACGGTCCTCCGCCCTATCACATGTAGCGGTGAAAGCCAATTAGCCGTAGCAATTTACCCAAACGAGAACGAAGCCAATTTCCCCAACGCCAAGGTGTACAAAACGTACATTTGTATGACTAGGCAGTTGAAGTCGGCATTTAACTGTGACTACGGTTCTTGTAGGCTCACAGTCTCACCAATGCAGGAGCCGTCCGTTCCGTTCGGCTTGATGTCTGTGGAGAGTTCTGTACTTGTGAAGTACTTGATCGTTCTTACGGCTACCTATTCAAGTCTGCTGTAAATGTTTGAATTGTATCTTGGATCTGTGAGTTTTGATGTTTGTTAGAGTAAATCAAAGCTTTCTATGTACACAGTATATCAACATGTGATGTGTCCGAGGTCCATCCACTCCTCACATACACAACAAACGTATTGACTTATGTTGTACTACGGTGTATGGCAAATATGATCATCACAAGGGACTATCCCTCGCTTTCAGATGAAAAGAGGGAAAAAGGAAAAAAAAAATCACATGCATGGTCATCATAGGTAATTCATTACTCGTGTCTCATTCGACGGACATTCCATCATCCCAATTATGGGAATAACCAACCGGGGCACCTTGATCAACGGCGATCAAACCCTCGATGGCTTCTGTGCCTTCATATTCATCCCCAAAAGTATCGTTATTGCCGGGCAAGTCATTGACTGTAAGATGGGAGACCATCTTCTGGTTGACTCTGTAACAAGCAAGGACCTCATTGGTAATAAGGCGAGAAGCCGAGCAAGACGCTTTGATCTGACACAATGTTTCGCCAAAAGCGTGCATGACGAATCCTGAGCGCGGATTTCGGTGATATGCATACGATGCGAGCACCTGTAGCCACTCACTCCGACTGTTCTGCCAGGTGTGAATAAGGGGATGTGTGCCCTCCGGGAGAGACAGGGCACAAGCGCTCTCAGCAGCTTGGCGGGAAATGGCGGAAAAGCTTGCTGCACTTGAGGCTCTGTGGCCCTGGCTCCATAGCTTAAACAAGTTGTCGACTGATAATTGAATCTCGCGGATTGTTTCTTGTAGGTCGTGGGATCCTGGAAGGCTATTTCGGGTCATTTTGACGACTGAGTCCCATGGATGCAGGAGGTCTTCGTCTTTGTTATCGAAGATCTCGCTCTCGGGGAATGCATCGTTCAACTTTGACAGGATCATGCGTAGCTCACGATTTGCGACTTCAAACTTCAGGTAGTCGACGATGTTTGATATTTTGGGCTTGCGGTCCCCGTTTCGATATGCAGGGAGTGCACATTGTTTGGGACTTATTGTTTTGCGATACGCCTGCCAGGCCTGCTCTGAGAGGTGAACTCCACCTTTACGGCCATCAACAAGATGGCTCAGTAGACATGCTAGCTCTTTGGCTTTAGGAGAGTCAATTGATTCATCATATGCCAAGTTCTCATGTTCAACCGTGCATCGACCCAGATTGGACATGGTAAGATTGAAAGCGAACGCACTTTCTAAAAATTCTTCTGTCGATTCCAATTCAGCCATTTGAACCGACTCTTTAGACAGTCCATAGTGCTCTACAGGAAGATCCTGCGAAGGCATAGGGGAATTATGAAAGTTCTGAACGATCATCGGATCCCAACAAACCCATGGCGTATCACCGTCGTAATCCCCACCAGACAACATATGAGCCAGCGGTATATCACCCTTTGTGGGAAATACAATGACGTCTTTGAAATGACGGAGCTCATGCTTCCACACAGCTCGGCACCGTTGAATATCCGATGGATAATGAGCAGGGAGTCGACCAACAAGAACATCCACGCCATCAATCAGATTGTCTTCAAATTGGCCTTGTGGATCTCGCCAGTTGTTTGAGAATCCAAAATGAACCTCGCCAGCATTCAAGACACCGTAAGGGTCTGCAATGCAGTATGCATATGTAGACAAAGGCACATGGATCTTGAGCTCCTCGAGTTGTCGCTCCAGAAGCCATGTCAGATACTTGCGGAGCTTGACTCGCAATGGATAAAAGCTCTGAGGCTCGAAGCCAGCCTCCGAGAGCCGGATAATAGTCTCTGCATCATTCATCATCCACTGCTCCAAGCCCCGCGACTTAATAGTTGTATTTTTGCCCGACGGTCTAAGCTTCTGCAGGAGAGCTCGACAGACAACAGGGCTGTTAGATTGTAGCACTTGAAAGAAATCGTTGTAGAGAGCCTGTACACTATCGCGCGTAAGCTTGGCAACGTGTTCTCTGACATGCCCTCCATACTCAAGGATCGAAAGGAGCTGGATATTCAAATCAACAGGGTGGAGTGGCTTGGCCCAATTAACAACCTCAAAGGTCAGCTTCTCGTCGTCAACAGCACCCACCCAGTCCTCGGGATGCGGATGGATTTTCAACTGAGAATCGGAGATCTGGATCCAGATGTCGTTGTTTTTCATGCTTGTGATGCTGGATTGGTGTCGATCGACCATCCAGAGACCCTTTGCTCCTGCGATTCGGCCCTGGAAGCAACTGGGCGTGGCGGAGGTTATTCCTAACCGATCGCAGATTTGATTTGCAAGAGTTCTTGACATCAATGCGCATCCATCATTCATAACGGTGCTGTTCGGGTAATCTCGCAAGCGAAGAACTTGTGTTGTTTTCAATGTGACTGTCACAAAGGTCTTTGATAGACCCAGCGATAGCCGCTGGAAGAGTTTCCAGTTGGTCTGGTTGTTATTTGCTATTTTGGGCATATGCCATTCCAGTAATGCATCGATACCCATTGGGGTATGTTGGTCACTCAGTTGTCGAGGAGGGCTTATCTGAGGCGGTAGTTCACATCCATGATCGAAATCTTCACCGTCGACAGCAAAGAATTCCACACGAAATCGGGGCTCGCTCTTAGATTTCCGTTTGTTCTTTACTTCTTCAACATAGAATGCCCTCCACGTCCGACCCAGACATTGGTGGTCATTCCTAGTAAGCCAAGCAGCGATACTCTCGCGAAGCAGTGAAGGATGCGAATCTCGCCGCTGATGCTTAGGAGGCCGAGTGAGTGCTGGAACAGTCAGAGACAAAAATCTATCCGAGCCAAATCGTCTATGGAAGCGGCATGTTCGCTCTGGCTTGAGTGGATTCAGATTTAGTTTGAGGATTCCCGGCTCGGATTCTTCACACTATTCCATGTCTCCAGATAACACTACAACTTCAGAGTGTTCATTTGTCTTGAAATAGCCAAGGGCAGACTCCCAAGCCCGGCCAGATGATCGCTCCGGGAGTGGACGGTCACCACGTTGACTGTGTCCACTCATCCATGACCAGAATCCATCTTGGCTGCTGGATGGAAGACGATCACCAACAAGCATTTTGTTGAGGGGAACACCCCATGCGCGTCCTACGCGTTCCAGCTCATATCTGAAACGCAGAGGAATTGTGCCTGGAATGGAATGTTCCATGGCAAATGGCCCATTAGACAAAAGTTCATCGATCAGCTCTTTTCCCAGCAGGTATTTTGTCTCAGCAGGGTCATGATTGACCATCATGGAGGTAGCAGCGGCATCCATGCTTCTATTCATTTCGTCGCTGATCATATACCCAACTACGGAGTCGGCGTAGGTTGATTGCGTGTCTGTTGGCTCTGTGATTTCCGTCATGACTGTATCAAATGACTGGTCCATGCTGGTATTCCGAGAATTCAACATTGATGAGTCCGTAGTTGAGAAGGTGGTATTGACAGACTGGATGTTATCTCGGGGTTGTTTATCGGATGCCGCAGTAAGCCTTTCAAGCAATGAAGGTTTCTTGAATTCGCTATCATCCTGGGCTGGACGGCCGTCACTGACAAGTTTGCTTGTACCAAAACCAAACGATCTTAAATCCATTTGTTTCATTGGCGATTGAGATGGTGATTTGGCCGCTTTTGGACTTTTGGTCGGAGCTTTTGTCAGATTCTTTGTCGGAGCTTTTGTCGGAAACTGTGGAGAGCCTGTGATTTGTGTCGGTGAATGAAAGCTCACAGACCTAGTTGATGGCGGCTGAACAACATTCGAGTCTCCTATTGGCTGAGTGACTGTCGTTTTTGCCGGCGATTGAGCAGTCCGGTTGTGTTTCGTGAAAGATGTAAAGCTCGCTGAACTCTGCGCCAGAGATTGGAAGCTCCCTTGATTCATCAATGGTGACTGTCCAGCCGCATTGCTCTTAGCCTGCGATTTCAAGCCGCCTTTATCGTTGAGAGGCGATGTCAAGCTAGCCGATCTCTGCACAAACGACTGAGCACTGTGATTCCTCGATGGTGGCTGAACCGAATTGGTCTCTGTCGGAGACTGGAACACCCCCTGTGCCTGAACAGGCGAAGTAAAACTTAAAGCCCTCCTCACAGGTGACTGTCCAAAATTTGCATGTCCAGGCGACTGGAAACTAGCCGAACCACTCGAAGATTCAACAGCGCCATCCCCATTCTTCCCCAAAGACGACTGCCTAACAGGAACAAAGGGCAAATCCTGGACAGGTGAACTAGACGGCGTATGAAAGAGCTCCTCGTCCTGATCCAGATCTTGATCCTCAAAGTCGTGATCCCCACGGGGATGATCATGATCAATGGAAAACCTTCGTTTTTTCTTTGGTGATAAGCGCACAGAAGTCATCGGGAGATTCTCTGCTAACCTTTTCTAGCCCACATGTTGCCGAACATGACTTCGAGCATACTCCAGGCTCTGATTTGGACTCTGATGCTGGTTGGCGTGTTTGTGACCAGTCGTTGAAGTCGAAGTCGAAGTCGAAGTCGAAGTTAAGAAATTCCGCGTAGATGTCGTCTCAACACGCCCATTCGTAACCATGTACTCCTCATCTTCGATCAACTTAAGCAAATATCGCATGCGATCGGCTCTGGCCGATTCAGAAACACTCAAAGTCCGACTCAAGGATCGCGGGAGATCAGACGGTTCAACAATCCGGGAATTTGCGGGTGTCATCACAGGATAGCTTCTCGCAGCTGAACACGGAATCCTCCCACTCTCACTCACTCGGTTTATTGGTGCTGGTGGTTGAGCTTGACCAACAACCCATTCCCTCAAATCCACCACCAAGCCATTTGCGCAACCCTTGTAGAAAAGCGGACGGAGTCGCTTGTAGATTTGCCATGGGGGTGATGTATTTCCTTCGCGAGATGAGGGAGATTCAATGCCTGGCACTGGTATCTCGAGGGAGAACTCTCTGTTTAGGGCTTTTATGTAATCTGAGAAGGACTGTTTTTGGCGTTGCGGGGTTGTTGGGGTTTGGGCCATGGCGGGCGGGTTGGGGTTTGGCCCATTGGAATAGGCGAAAGGCTGCATTGGAGGATATGGGGAGGCATGAAGAAACTAGGGAGTCGGGACTTGGATCTGGCTATGCTGCTTCGTTTTGTTACTTCCAGTGGACTGCCAAGGGGGGGGGATGTAAGCAAACAAGGGGATGCATTGAGACTAGGATTACTGGCTGATGCGTTTGGACATATGAAGGACAGAGAAATGAAGTTAAGATGCAGATAATGATTACGAGTCAAAAAGCAAACAGGTACTTTTCTTCGAGTGGTTGTCCTGTCAATGTTTAGCCGCCTGCTGTCTCCGTAGTGGGGTATCAATGGGACAGTCTGAATGTACAAGATCTTGTTTGCTACTAGAGGAGTCGGAGATGCGTGTACCCGTTTGCCATTTCCGGGGACCAAAAAATAATATACACGTTTGATGGAGAGCAGTTATAAAACCCTCATGCTCCATGTCTATAATGCTCAATTCCCTTCGCCCTCATGTTCAGGCTCGTTCTTGTCGGTCCACAGATCAGCTTCCATGGGGAGAACACGCTTACTGTTGACAACAGCCACCTTATAACCGATAAGCAGCATGATATAGAAAGGAATGCTGATGTAGGATGCAATGAATGACCCGACATCAAATTTTCGGGCACCGGCCTCGTAGCTGAAGGCATCAATGACGATGGTGACAGCAATGAAAAGGCACAAGACGAGAGCTAGACAAGTACCCGGTAGACCAAAGCGAGCTCTGAAAGCAAGATCCTTATCAGGAATTCCTTGGGCCCTTCGGGCACGCACGAATGATATGTGGGTAATCAAGATCGAAATCCATGTCAGAAGGCCAAGCATGGTGACCATGTCTACGAAATATCCGAACACGACGGTCGAGTCCTGGCGGACATTGAGATAAGCAAGCGTTGCCATTGAAGAACACACTCCTAATGAGTAGATCGGAACGCCGCGACTGTTGGTACGTGATAGGAATGCAGGAGCACGGCGCTTAAGTGACAGATCGCACATCGCTTTGGTAGCCAAGTAAAGATCGTAGTCAGCAATAGACAAAACGAATAACAAAATACATGCATTTAGCAAATCAGGCAGCACCGAAATCCCAGCCAAATATAGAGCAGCGACGAAAGCCGACGCCGCAGCTTCATGATTGGCTTCGCTGTTGAAAGCCACGGACACCGAGTCTTGCGGAACAATCATCCCGAGAAGGGTGATTGCGAGAAGATGGAACACCATGATCCGGTAAAAGGTATTTTTAATCGCCCGCGATGTGGCCTTTTGAACATTCGGAAAGTGACAGATACCCGATCTCTCACTGCCAATGTACGCAAACGTAGCCGAAGACATAGTCGAACAAGTGATATAGAACTTTTCAAGCAAACCATGCGGATGATGGTGATGAGAGCCAAAGGGACCAGGATTCGACCAATACCGAAACCCTCTGCGGTCGTGATCTGGCCCTCCACCCAGCGCAATAACCGTAGACAGGATCATGAGTCCAATCATGACTACCAGTTTGAACGAGGAGACATAGAACTCAATCCGACTGGGAAACTTGTGGCTGATACAGTTCGTTGTCACGATAATAGAGAGAAAGATCGTAATCCACGCTCCAGGATTGACTCGTTCAGCATCGACCCAGTAAGAGACGACAAGTGCCGCAGCAGTCAGCTGATTTGGCGTAACGAGAGCGTATTTCAACCAAAAGCTGCAAGTGCATCAGTAACCAAGACTAGTTCGATGACGTTCTATGCGCCGAGGACTTACATCCAGCCCAAGCTGAACCCAAGAGCTGGATCACAGAATCGAACAGCCTGGTCGGCTACTGTATATGGCTTCGGCAGCCATGAAGCGACCTCGCCCAATGCAGAGAGAACAAGAAAAACGGCGAATCCGACGATGGTATATGAGATAATTATGGCTGCGGGCTGTGTCGCATAAATATCTCTGTTTATATCTTTGGAGGGTATGTAACACTTACTCCGCTCCTAACTGATGTCAGTTTACCTTCCACTGGACTTATCTCGGGGCGAGAGAGCTTACATGGACAAAGCTCTCTCCCGTTCCGACCATCAACCCAGTTCCAATGGCCGATCCGATGGCTGAGAGCTGTCAGTATAAGTACCTTGAAGGGGAACGTGAATCTCCAGACTGATGATGCTAATCTGCCGAGGTGTCAATGACCCGTAGATATCGGCGAAACCAGTTGCTGGTTCATTTTGATGAGCTTCGGGGGATCCAACAGACTCGTCCTTATCGGGCGGGTGACTGGTTCAGTGGTGGTAGGGATGGGCTGAGATGGTGTCGGCCGGCGGCGCGCAAAGATCATACATAAGCTCCGCATGATCGAAATCTAATGGAAATATCGAGAAAGCGTCGGAGAGGAGAGGAAATGGGAAGAGAAACCATGACTGTAGATCAGGTAGTAGCCAAATTGGAAAGAACGAAGGACACTTGATGGGATCACGGATCATTGGGATATATTTTCTATATGCAAAAAGTCCATCGAGACCACTGAATAGCATATGAAACAAATAAAAGGAATTCCCAGGCATTCCAGCAATTCTAATTGCCGTCAGCCCATCGCACCAAAAAAAAAAGAAAAGGTGGCATCTATAGTCCAAAAGCCACAAAATCACGAACGCCCAAAATTGTCACCCAAAAAGCACCAGTCAGGCGGCATACTGAATTTCCATGTCCCCCGCGGGGGCCAGAGGGGAAGCAGAGATATCATAAAGTCTTTGTCAAATTACCAGATGGAAGACGGTTCTCGGGAACGGCGTTGTCTGAGACGGTCGCTTCCCCGAAGAGGTGAAGGGAGTGGAGGTTTACGTCGAAACACGTGGAGGGGAGAGGTTGTTAATCGTCAATTCATCGCGACATGAGCGAGTCACTGGATTCGGTCCTGGGGAAGATGCGCGTGTAAAGGGAATCGCTGGACTCGGTACGGGGGAAGTGCCGTTGGTGCTTGCGGGAGATCACACGGTCGGTGTAGACACCCTTAGCCGCGCCGCGGATGACCTGCTCAAGATACTCGCAGAAGTCTGTGGGCTGGAACTCCGGGTACAGATCCTGTGTCGTGTGGTAGCCAAGGTACTTGGCGTATTCGGGGTTGTTGTCACCGCGGATTCCCCACGAAAGCTGATATTCGGCCAAGTACCGCGGGATGAACTTGATCGGGTCGAATGGGTAGGTTTCACTGGCCTGTCGGGCGGCCACGACTCTGCTGATAATGGTCTCCTCGGGCACCTGTACGTCGGAAAGGACATGGTCAGTAACTTGCTGCATTCCGGGCCGATAAGGTCTGTGCGACATACGTAGTTCCGATCAATCTTCTCCTCACTGAGCTGCTCCATGAGTTCGTAGATCTTGTTTTGTGTGGAAACCAAGTTGTAGGCAAGGATCTTCTTGTTCAAGGTGCGGGGGTCGGAGATGATCATAGCCATGTAGCGACCGATATCGCGCAAGTCGGTCAGAGCTGTGGGCATATTTCCGTCGCCGATAATCTCATCGTTTCCAGATGTCATGGCGTAATCGACCCGGCCGGAGGGGAGACGGGGGTAGGCCAACTGGTACCACCAGCCGACATCGACGATGGTGTAGGGAACCCAAAGCTGGCGAATCTGGTTGTACACAATTTCTTTCTGTAACGCAATATCTGGTCAGCCCACTGGATCTGTAAGTACCACGCCACAGCACTCATACCTCGTCACGCAACCACATGACACCACCTGGTGGGCAGACAGTGATGAAACCGCAAGGCACAAATCGCTTGACACCGGTCTTCTTGGCAGCTTTGGCGAGAGGAATCTGGTCCTGTTGTTCGGCGGGACCGACGCAGCTGATGACCACATCGATTCCAGCCAGAGCTTCGATGAGCTCCTCCTCGGGGGCCTTCAAATCGCATTTCCGAATCTGAATACCCCGATCCTCGAGACGTGTGATGGCAGGCTTCTGGGCCGAGATAGGACGGACAAGAGCGAAGACCTCCTAAAAAGAGCGAATCAAACCGAGATCATTAGCCTGGGTAATCAATTGATGGGGGGGAGGGGAGGGTGGGTTGCGTACAAAGTCACCGGTGTCCATCAAACCGTTGGCAATAGAGCCTCCGGTTTCACCCGCTGCGCCAACGAGCAAAACGTTGGTCTTCGACATGGTAAATAATAGATAAAGAGATGAAGGGGAGGGGGAGTAGCTTTAGGAGGGGAGGGGTGGGAAAGGTGAAAGAATAGAAAGGGATTGGGTAACAGGTTTAGGACCTGACAACGTTATAAATTCCCAAGGCTAACCCACTTTCCCTCCAGTGGGTCGGTGGATGTTCGTTCCCCTCAAAACGAGGGGATGATTTTTCCCATGATGTCAGGCTACTGGCATTTTGTACATATCTCGATCTGTCGGATATGCTGCTTGCTGTCTACTATGGAATAGATGGAATACAACAGAAAATTGGCTCTGACTCTGACTTCTGTTCTCGTTTTCTTCGACCTTAGGGTATACGGGACCGGGTTCGGGATGGGTTACGTCACTTCACGGCTTCCCGGGCTTGGATAATGATGATGTTTGCGGCTAACATAGATACATATCAGAAAAGAGTCAATAGTCGCTCCGAGAGTGTCAACTGATTCAATCTTCTCAAGTCAACCCAGTACAGCACGCTTGTCACTTGCAGAATCTCCCACGTCACAGATCTCGCCAGGTTTCAGAGTGGCTGAGTCATCTGGTGGCGCTGACCGAAAGATGGAGAGCCACAGCCAATCAGAACCGATCACAGCCTGGCTAGTTGCCTACGAGGACGATAGTAAGCAATAGCACGGTTCTCTAAAATTGCTTGTGATCACAATAAGGCCAAAATCCTGGTCAGGAGGAAAGGATAATAAGTAATAGGGGGCGCCACAGCCGCGGGAGATCTGTGCCGTTATTCTGCAAATCCGGTGCCCTCTGCTAACACCCTCAACTCTCTCTCTCTCTCTCTCTTGCTCGGTTCTGAACTTTGGGTAGCCTCTCGGTGGGGTAGGATCGAGTGTCTCGCTTTGGGTTCTGTTCTTGATTTGGTAGGTGAGGGTGGCGATCTCGGGGTCTTCGCGGGGAATGCATAAGAAGGCCCAAGCCAAAGTGATGGTGAAAGGATCACCAGCTAGAAAGATCTGCGGGGGACATGAAGCTGGGGAAAAGTGAATTGGATACATGTGATGCAAAGTGAATTCGTGATAGCTTCGCATTAGGTTTCCGCCAGTCCAATAATCGTGGGAAGAGGTGAAGCCCAACTTGGGCTCAGACTGCTTCCATCCCAGCTGCATAGTCCAGCCTTGACTGCGCCTTGACATCTGACTGTATTGACAAGGCAAAAGTCCTAGGATACCTGATTTCGGTTCGGTCGTCTATTGGTGTGGTTTCCTGCGCCTTGGATATGAATATCAGGGGGCAACATGCGAAACACAATGTGATCCGCCAACTATGTGGTCATGAATTATTACTCATAGATTGTATGGCGTTCTCTGATTTCTCATCGATAGGGGTATAAACCTGGAAGTTGTAATTCATCCTAACGGATTTCATCTTTGTTACACCAACCCTAGCTTCGGTATCATCCACACTCTGCACGCTCATCTTCAAACGGAAAAGGTCAAGCACGCACCCAGAGGATGTAATAATGCCTGCATAACTTATTGAAAGTACTACTTACTGTACATGTACTGTAAGCTGAAGTAAGGGGCGGGTGCATTCTCCTTGTAGGGATCAAGAACGCGGGATGTCCCGTGCTGTATAACATCATAAATGCCGCACTCTTTCTGTTCCTAGTACCAACCCATATATTCCCTTCCTGATGCATTTGATTGAAACTACTCTCACATGTTAGAAAAGTACCTGCATCGTTCCTGGCATGCCTACGCACAGAGCCATAGGCCTCTCTCTCTATTCTGTGTGCTAGCAATGAATACGGGTAAGGTGTGGTCAAGTCAAAGTGTAGGAGCGTATCAGTATAAGCCTCCTGCTCCCCTCTATAAGATTGAGCTCTGATCGTACTAGTAGCTGTCGAATTTACTCAATGCCACTTATTTGCCGCAGTCTGCACAATTTGTTAGAGCTAGAGCTTGCAAAGATAACCAAGAATCATTATGCAAACAAGTCCAACAGTACTACAAGAGTTTCGGTGTTTGATTTAAGATTCTCCTGTATATATGAATATACGAGAAACCTAGGCTCCGTCAGACAACCATGTCAAACCTCATAGACCAGCCTTTCGATAATTCTAGTCTTCAACCCCAAGGGTTCAGATACGAGGCACCTATATCGTCGATCATCTAGAAAAGAAAAATGATGAATTATGAGAAGCTCGTTCTTGTATCTTTACAATGAGTTGAGTCTTCTGCACACTTATACAATCAATAGTCTGATTTCATGCTAGAACCCGCAACAAGGTCATCATCATCGTGCCCACCAGTTGGGCGGTCATTTCAGACGGACATTATGGTCTTATTATAGATGTCTTCTGAACATGAATACTAGTAAAAGTCAAAATATGATATAGAGAAACCGAGTTGCAGGCTTGGATAACTTAATATAGACTTGCTCACGCTAGAGGGTATGTGCAACGAAAAGATTCCAAACAGAGAAATTGTACATTATTGCGGGTTTATAAAGAAATCCGGGTCATCCTCAGAAAAGCATTCACTCATCTCACTTGCCGGAGAACTAAAAGAATCCCCCAGCATACTGAGGTAGCGTCTAGCCTCGTACTGAAGCTGTTGACGAACGCGTGAGGTATCTTTGGCAACATCGATAGTTCGTAGAAGGCGCGGACCCAAATAAAATCGGAATGTCTGGATGTCCGCATCAGTATTGATCTTTCGGCGCCTCTGCATTCCCCTCAATTTCTGGATATAGGCCCAACGTGCTCTCGCGGTCGCGACCTGCTTTTCTCGCTCCAGTCCTCTCTCTTCCCAGAACTCAGTTTGCTGCTCGAAGCCGTGGTTGTAGTCATTGACCCATCCATCTCGCCATTTCAGACCTTTTGCCTTCATCTCTTGTTTCAATTCTCCATTGGCTGCTGCGATTGACCATTGGAAGCTTTGCATTTGTCGGAGATCGTCTTCGTCGCGGCATAGGGTTAAGCAGCTTCGGTGACGCAAATAATGTTGCTGAATGTGGTAGTCCATTTGATAGTGGGCGAGGCGGACAACCTCGTCTTCATCAAGGTGACCAATTTTCTTCTCATTTAGTTTGGCGCCTTTCTTGTTATATCTTCCAATGATGAGTTCAAGCTTCTTGTAGTAGCGCTGTCGTAAAGACAACGAAATATCATCCCAGAAAGTTGGGATCTCTTCGGATGGAGGTTCAGTACTCAACGGGCAGACACGGATATCCTCGCTCCTCGTCACCTTGTTGATGAAATGATACGGATAGCTGGATGTATGGTATGTCTTTAATACTTTCTCATCTATCAACATCATTGAGTGTGAGACATTGTCGGCGTATTCGCAGCCTGGGCAGTCAAGTGCTTCTTGTAGAGCTGCAAGCTGTGGGGAACTATTTCCTTGGATAGGCTCTTGGCGGTTCTTTCGTGAACGTAAGCGAGATTTGGATTTGGAAAGGTCTGCTCTAATGATCTTCCACTGGAACGACGGCGAGTTCTGGTCCTTGGCTCTTGTTGACTTGGACGATGGGCTCTTTTTGGATTGACGTGGGGCCATGCTGTATTTGGATCAGAAGATAGACAGACTTGATACAGTTGGAATGAAGTTGGAGTCAAATTAGAGTATGCTGTGCAAAATGGAACTAGAAGTGCAGATGCGGATTCATTTATCTGTTGGTCAAGCACGTTGTATGGGATTGTTCAACAAAACAACAAAGAGTGTCAGGTTGTTTCAGATATCAAAGATATAAAAAAAGAACAAGCAGGAATTTTTAGATTGACTTATTTCAAGTTGAACAAAGAGGACGGAAGCATTCTCGGTTTATCAATGAATAAATGCCCGTGATATCCTCTCATTTGGTATGATATGGCATTCATTTATGTCTACAGGCAGGCGTAAACCCATCTGCCTCCAATTATCCTTGGTGAAGCACTTAGCTTAGGTTTGTTGCGTATATACTAACCCTAGGAAGCAGCTCTAACTGCTATAAGCAGACATTCCAATCTTGGAAGGCTGGAATCCTACCTTAACCTTGGAAGGTATCCTCGTCTGATGACTAAATCTTGAAAGGGCTGCCAGCCATTTCACCAGTGACGTAACCCTTAAGATTCCCAAATAGGAAAGCACCACCTAGCGAGGAAATGAGGCACGTGTCCAGGCCATGCTGTGAAAAGTGTCGCCTACTGGACTGTCACGCACGTGCTCAAAGTCATGATTGTTTACTTTTACGACGCTTTCCATTCTCTTGTGTCTCTTCACCTTCGCAACATCGACGGTGACTTTCTCCGAAACAGCTTCGAAACCATCCATACATCATGTCAGCCCTACTTCATACGTCTACCATGGTCGAGATCTTGCCGTTCATCAGCATCGCAGTCTTGTGTCTCTGCACCATTGGCTTCATTGGGATCTGGATCATAAACGCTCGAGACATCGCTCAGAGTGACGCTCCCGTTTACCAGGATACTCGTCAACTCATGAGCTACAGATGGCCTGCCTTTGACAACCATGTGCTTATTCCCTGGGCTCCATCAGCGTCTTTCTATGACTTTCTTACCGGAAGGCTCGATTCCCACAATTTCAACATTCCACTGGCCACACCTCTGATGATACACTCTCCATCCTTGCCAATGTATCATTTTTCACAGTCAGATATGTACGCTGCACAACGCACCGAGTCATTGCGCCGGGCACACGGCCCTGCTCCGAACTACGTTCAATCCTTTTCTCGCAACTTCCAGTCCGAGGAACGCCCCATCACCACGCAGATTGAAGATATCAGCATGCCACTCTACCATGTCATTCCGGTTGACATCAATATCCCGATTGAAGACGGAACCATCTCGGTTAAGGAAATCATCATCCCGGTTGAGGACAGTATCATTCTGGTTGAGGAGATCATCGTCCCGGATGAGATTCATCCAACGTGGAATCCTGCCACTGGCATTTTCCGCTGGCCATAAGGGCTGCAATTAATTCCTTCGATAAGCCCATTGAAAGGTTCGCCGAGTTGGATTTCATGTTTCTTGGTTCGCATCGTGCACACCTTGAACAATGATGATCTCTGACGATGTAACTTTGTACCCCGACATACCACAATGGACTTTGCAAGTTCGGTCAAATGTTGGTGCTTGAACCAATTGTATTGTTATGCTCTGTATCTGGTCCGGGAGAGTAAGGTGTGAGGGACCGCTATGGATACCTGTTGAATGAGGGCTAACGCCTATGGATGGTCGATTTTCCGGAGCTTTGATGTATGTAAAGATTATTAAAATCGACATCCAACCTCCATTTATTTGATCGTTCCTCTTCATGCATGACCAACCAATAGAGATATGTCTCATATTGCACCCCCTTGATGTAGAAGGCGTCAATTCAAAGCAGTTATTGGCCCGGTTGATCGAGACTGGAGCGCCACGCATGGGTTTTGGCAGGGATTAGTGGCTCAGACTCTCGGGAATCGCGCACATGCTGAAAATTGATGTGCGCTTCCTAAAGGTTCTGGGGAGAAATTACTTCCTCATTGAGGGGTAAAAACTGCAGGCCAAGATCGTGAGAGGGGATTTATCTTCAACTACATTATATTGTTCACGTTTGTATGATTGTGTTGGGTTTGCACAAGATTTGATTCAGAACTAGCCCGTCTGGCTTTTCTTTATCGTTCCGATCGTCTATTGTCTCATGTAGAAGATCAAAGAAATTCATCCACACTGTGCCTGAAGATGCCCACAGTCAAAAATAGAGATCTAGCTTCTGATTCGAAATTATCTCAAATATTTCAAGTACTCATGGCGCACAGTAGCCACCGTCGACAATCAGATCGGCACCAGTGGTGTATGTCGAGGCATCGGAGGCCAGGTAGAGGTATGCACCCTTCAGCTCATGGGCCTGACCTTCACGGCCCATGGGAATCTTGTCACGCCAAATGTTCTTGGTGTCTTCAGGTACGAAGCTCGAAATCTCGGTGGCGATATAGCCCGGGGAAATGGTGTTGGCACGAGCGAAGCGTACCCACTCAACCGAGAGAGACTTGCCTGTGGGATGTTAGAGAATCAACTGGCTTGATGAGAACAGCAACTTACAAAGGTGAATGACACCAGTTTTGGCCGCGTTGTAGGCGGCTTGCATCTGAGGAAAGTTGACAATGTGACCGGACATGGAGGCTGTGGCGACGAAGCTACCGTAGGTGAAATTGGTGAGCTTGTTGCCATTGGCATCAGTGCCCTCTTCCTTCTGACGGCGCCAGTGGTCCGCTGCGTATTTGGCACAGTAGAATGTACCGTCCAGATCGATGGCGACTACATCCCGGTAGTGCTCGAGGGGACCGTCGACCATCGGACCTTGGGTCCAAGGAACGCCGGCATTAGCGATAAAGACATCAAGGCGGCCATTGAAGTCCTTGACGACCTCATTGATTGTTTTCTCGACGGCCTTCGCATCCGTGACCTCGACTTGGTACGCCTTGGCTGTAGGGGAGACACGGTTAGTGTTGATAAGGAATGTGACCACACCCAGGGCTAGGCTATTGCGTACTCTGAACACCATACTGCTGGGCAATCTCGGAAGCACGCTCAGGGCACTTTGTGTTGCTCTTATACCACAGAGCCACATTTGCACCGGCCTCTGCTAGACCCTGAGCGACAGCCAACCCGATACCAGCACCAGCACCAGTGACAATGGCGGTCTTGCCCTTGAGGGAGAACATGCTCATGAGACTAGGGTGCTCAGGAGCCAGGGTATTATTGTGGACAAAGAGTCCATTCTTAGTAATGGGAGTGGCAGCCATGACGATCAGATAGAACAGGAAATGAGAACAAAAAGCAGCCAAAGAGCAAGCTCCAGACCGAGGGGAGATTCTCTTAAATACCTCGCTTCAGTAGGCAGGACTGATAGACGGTGAGAGATGCGCTGGCGGGGGAAACCGGACTAGGCCATAGAGCTGTTTTGCCTGTGAAACTGACGCTATGTGCCCCAGAATAGCCTGGGGGTGGGTCGAGGGCCGATCTGATATATCACATCTTGCCGCAGCTCACGGCATGGGAGACCAACGGTAACCAGTGGAGATTTACAGGATTTGTTCTCAGTAGAAAGGCATGCATTGTCTAATAGTGGCCCTTCCAAGCTAAGCGGTGAGGGTTGGGAACAAGAAGAGTTGTGAGGTGTGTTGGGAAGGGTTGAGTTGGGTTGAAGACTGTGAGTTGAGTCTGGGGAAGATGCGAGGATCAGCTCCCCACAAAACCAAGGCCCACATGGTGAAGGGTTTCTTCACGAGAACTGCAAACTCATGCCTGGTAGGAGAAATCGGACACTCCCTTCGAGAGCTTCGCAAAAGAAAAAAAAAAACTAACGTGAATACATCATGACGCTGTGAACTGATCCATCACCCCTTGTTATATCGCACTATGGGAGGCCAGGGATGCCGAGATCCCAACGTGGCCCCGAACAGACACCACATCCTATGTCCCGACACCAGGGCGCGATGCGACAGTCAAGTTGGACTTTAAACAATTAAAGGAAGGCTGGGGTTTTTGAGTGTCGCAATTCGGCGTTAGTGGCATCCAATCGGGTTGAAAGTATGCGCCCTCGTTGAAGCCACAACTATACGGAACAGACATTCATCACGGTTCACGATTGCACGTTTCAAGCATCAGTCTCTACAGACTCAATCAATTTCCAGTAGCTCCCAAAACACTATTCGTTCAGGAAGAATTGAATCGATTCAGTCGTTGTCCAGGGCGCACACTGACTTGTTGATCGCAATAACATCGGGTATAAACCGGTGCCGACTAGAGCATTCAACGATCATTCCATCCTCATTAAATTGGCTCTCTGACGTGCCAATGGCTCTTTTCAGCCATCCTATTCGTGGAAGATGCCCTGCTCGAACCCAAGTGGAAGGGGGTAGTGTGGCAGCCAGCATTCCTGACACACGGGTGATGATGAAGCAGCATTCTTTGGTGGACATCATTGTTCCCATAACAAATGAAGGCGTTTGAGAGGAATGCCAGAAATGCTGCACCTGATTCATTCCTGCTGCTACGACAGGGCTTGTTGTGAGCCGGATGAATATTCCTGTTCTGTCAAGCTTCACTCTTGCCGTTCGATAGAGGAAACATATTGAACGGTTGCTGTGCATGAACCACTCATTTTCTGGATGAGGGATTGAGCTGATACTCTCTGCTCAGTGCATTCACTTTGTCTTGGAATCAGCCCGGTGACGCGCCAGGGAGGTGACCATGCTGGGGCTGAGTGCTGTCGTCGCCATCGCCGCGTCTGGTGCGGCCATCTTCGTCGTTATCTCGGTGGTCAGTATAGTTGTCTGGGTCAGATATCGCAAAGAACGCCATGCATTGGCGCTGCTCGGTTTTAAACAGGGGAGACATACGAAGGGATTACAGTCGTTCCCAGTGGATACTATGACAGAGTTGAGTCAGGCGGAGGGAAGTGTTCTGAGGACTCACGGTCAGCTTCCATATGGGAAACCAAGTGAATGGGGGCAATTGACCTCCAGAGAAAATTTACTGCGACCGAAGAACAGCTCTGAATCGTCCTTCCCTCTGACCGAGAAAGCTCGTTCCCTCCGCCACTCCTTGTCTCGTTCTCGGTCGAAACGCCTTTCAAAGTCTTCACATAAACGAATGAGTTCTTTGGCTACTCTGGATGAAACAAGTAATATTCCCAGTCCTCCTCCAAAAGCGTCGATTTCTAAGGAAGATGTTCCCCTCTCGGCTGTTGAGGGAATTCTTGAGCTTCCAGCAGAGAGAACGCCTAGGCAAACACCAGATCCAAACGAGGACGACACGGGATTTCATCTTGGGATGCGGCCAGTATCTCCTGGGTGGGCGTTTCCATGGCCAAAGGAAAGATCAGGGCTCTTCCCTGTGATGGAAGATCACAATTCTCCTCAGGGCTTCGATCCACCATCTATGGTCTTCGATGAATCTCCTCAGCGCTTACGAGGTGGAAGTATCACCAGTCAAACGGCTGGTATGGTACCACGTCAATCTATCCCTCCGCCACCAGCAGCAGCATATCCCCCAGACAGATTTAGTTACGCTCGCAATGATTCCATCTCGCGTATGTCTTCTATGAGTCTGGATACCACAAACAGCTCAATCTTGGACGACGGCAGAAATGGACCCAGGTCGGCCGATACTGATTTGACCTCGCCAATCTTCCCATCAGACGGCACATTCTTCCCCTTCAGTGCAGCTGACGTTGGAGTCAAGGATGGCCGTCGGAGCTTTGTTGCAACAAACACTTCGATTCCCCCAATGCGCAATTTCCCTGTGCGCTCTTCTTCGACCAGTGAAAGTCGCCACAAAACTGCGTCCATCTCACCCCGGCGCAGCATGACAACCATTCGGTATTCCAATGTATCTGGTAGTCAATTTAGTGGAGCTCCTCGTCGAACTGATTCACGCTCGTCGGTCAACCCTCCATCGAGACATGCATCCCTTCGATATGCTGGAGCACCTCGTCGAACTGACTCTCTCTCGTCGTCCAACCCTCCGTCGAGACATGCATCCCTTCGATATGCTGGAGCACCTCGTCGAACTGACTCTCTCTCGTCGTCCAACCCTCCGTCGAGACATGCATCCCTTCGATATGCTGGAGCTCCTCGTCGAACTGACTCTCTCACGTCGTCCAACCCTCCGTCGAGACATGCATCCCTGAGATCCGGGACACCAGTTGGCAACTCAGGTTATCGCAACTCCTCAAACAGCTGGCGTTTTTCCGGCTCGCAGATGTCTTTCGTGCCACACTTCAGCCAGTTCCAAAACAATCCTGTCTATGAGCAAGAGCAAATGAACAACGACCCCTTTTACGTTGGCTCACCTGGTGGCGGGACTTTGTTCCACCCTGTTGGATCGCCGAGTAATTCAACCAAGAGCCACCAGCCACCGAGCCCAAGGCAACGCTCGAGTCACTCTCTCAAGTCTCCTCTTCCATCAGCACTGAAGGGAGGAAACTCCCAACGCAAGGGTCACCGCCGTCAAAACTGTGTCCGAATTTCAATCCACCCGCCGTTGACATTTGGTTCTTCGACATTCGCTTCCACACTGGAAGAAGAGCCAGAGGATTTTGATAACATGGAGGAGCTGGATCTCCGCGAAAGTACGATGAATAGCCCGGCTAAGCCTTTGCCCTCATTGCCACCATCCTCAATGTCGTCGCCGGTTGGTTCCCGACGCAGCAAGTACGGTAGCAGACGAGGCAAGCCAACACTTGGCTCACTTGGGCCTTTAGCCGAGGAGCCTCAGCTTTCAACTATCAACGCCAAAGTCGACCACAGTCTCGACAACAAAACAAAAAACGACCCATTCTTATCCACTGGAAAGAAGCACCTGGGCCGAAATGACCACTCTCTTCCCGATCTCTTCACCTCTATCCCTCCTTCCGACGGCACCTGCCTATCTCACACCCCCTCGCCTGAACGTGTACCTCCAGTTTGGGAAGTACCCGATGTCCCATCTCCATCTTACGAAAGCTCATCTCCAGGCACTGGCAGCCCTCGACGCTCCGGAGTCAAGGGACCACGCCATCAGCCCCAGTCTCGAGGTACAGCAACCCGCAGCCAATCTGCGCGTGTATCGCGGTCATTCGACCAGATAGAATCAAGTCCCCTTGGATCCCCGAGTCGTCTCCCTCTCGTTATGAGTATCACCGGTACAGAAGGCAGCGACTGGCGCCGTTCCACAGACTCCATTCAGCGCACACGAACCGACGCAGCAGACCGTACCTACCGCCGAAACCGTGACTCAATGGGCAGCATGGAGGGCGGTCTTGGGCCAATCGGTGCTTCTTCGCCAATATATAACACGCGCCGGTCATCAGTAGTCAAAGATCGTGTTCATATTTTCGAAGACGTCAACCGTACCCAGTCCAGGTATAAATCGCCGTCCAAATCGACTGGTGTTCAACCGATTGGAACTCTCACTACCCCTGAATCCTCTCCTACTCGGGCTAAGAACAGCACTCCCCGTTCTATGCCCAGCTATCAACAATATAATCCGTCTGGTCCTCCTGGTCAACATGCAACCCCTCCTCCTGCTTCCGCTCGACGGGGTATGAGTACTCCCATCGGCAAGGGTCTTGGTCTTAAAATTGGAACTACTACCCCAGGCAGTCTATATGATGGTGACGGGTTCTTGCGTGAATAAGTCTATATTTTTGGAGTTTGGAGTCGGGCAGCGAGCTTTCATTTTTATGGGAATGTGTGGGTGTGATGTTGGGTGAAAAGCCTCAGCGTTCTTTTTCTGCTTCCTTCTTTTTGTCTTGTTGACTATTTTGCTTCTTCCCTTTTCTTCTCTTCTCTTCTCTTTCATTTGTTTGCTTCTTATCTCGGCGATACTCCCCCTTTTCTTCTATGTTTATGTGTGATGTGTGTTTGATATCCAAGGTCTAAGTAATTGTTGGAAGTAGAAATTTAATCAATTATCCATAATACTGGACAAGACTTAGCACAATTGCATATACACACGTAGTCGGCCTCTAGCATATCCATCCTAAATCTTGTCTGTATGACCTCTGACCTCTCCAAGTGGATATTTACTCGGTCCTCCTCCACTTCGCCTCATCATCCTCACCTTCCCCATTTTCATCAACGCCATTCTCCTCATCTCTAGCCCTCACAGTCCCAGCTCCAGGCCCAAGCGGGAAAGAAGGCGGCTCACCACCAGCAATCCAATTCCCATCCTCGTCAAAGAACTCCCCCATATTTTCAGCAGTGATCCACCCAGAGCTCCCATCAACAGGAGGCGGCAAATTCCCACCCCCAAGCTGAACAACACCATCCGCATCCTCCGCCGAGAACCACTTATTGCCCTCGTCATCATCTTCCTCGTCACCAGGCTCAACAGGATCAGGGTGCAGATTCGAGCAGGCAGAGACGGAGTTGTAGAAGATCTGGGTGGGCGTCTCAGTCTCACCGGATCCATCACTCGCCTCTTGTGTTGGTGCATCGGCCGGCAGGACAATTGTCATTGTAATGCATTCTTCCACGTCATCTGCGGAGGGTGCGTTGGGTGTTGCGATTTGCATGTACAGGCCTTGGACTTCTGGGGAATCGGTGCCGGGTACGCGTAGGCGTTGGAGGGCGTGCAGGGAGATAGAGGGGTAGGGAATTGAGACACCTGCTGAAGCGGTGGGTGAGAAAAGGATGAGTTTGCTATAATTGAATTGTTAGTTCAGGGTTTCGGGGCTTAGTTTTGCGCTGGAAAGAATGAAATCCTTGGAGTAAGAGCACTCACTCTGATGTCACCCAGGTCTCGATGCCCTCAATGGCGACTTCTTTCTCGTCATCTTGTTCGCTGGATGCGGCAGCACTCTGGCCGCTCAGAGCGCTCAGTGCTGGGGTGGCAGCCAGCTCGCGCTCGAGGATGACAATCTTGCATCGCTCGCTGTGGTAGTGAAGTACTGGTGGCCCTTCGTAGAAGGAGCTTGGCGTGCGCGATTGATGTTCGGCGAGCGGCACGAAAGCGGAAGCTTCGGGAGCGTTGCGTAGGACCTCCATTTTGTTGAAGGGGTAGTTGTGTAGATGTGGGATGTGGTATTCGCGGTGCTGAAGAAGTGGTGGTTGCGAAAGCTTCGGCGAGGAGCTTTTCCGTTTGGTTGCGGTTTATGGGTGGGTTTCCCCCGCGATAAGCTTGAGCTATAACGTTAAGCGGCGATAAGCGACCATTTTCGAACTGGATGTATGGCGTTGGACATTATAATTGTACATAATGTCATCACAGTGCTGGAGTTTCATGGATTGTCATCATGGCACATTTTGATTCCCGTTGGCAGAGGTACGAAATGGATATTGATGTAGGTTATATATAAAACAGAGCTTCATTGTAAAAGGTAAAAATATACATGAGTTAGGCCACAAAAATCCAAGTACTTTGACATTGAAATGAAGGAAACGATCTTAGGGAAAAGACTTTTAGTACACATGAGGTTTACTATATATTGATAAACCTCTAGACTTCATTAACTCGATTTCTTCCACTAACATTCATCCATCGTATAGATCATTTATTCATCATTCCCCACTAAGACATCATATTTTTCAACATAGTCTAGTTGCCACATAATCTAACATCAATTTGGTGCAACTAATTCAATATCCTCGGGATCATTGATCTGTTGCGTTGGTAGCTAATGTAGGGTTGCTGCATTCTTGGAGCTTTGTCCGAGGGGTGACCTCACATATTGGAGCTTATCCGCAACCCTGGCCATCCTCTAGTATCATGATATCAGTAACTTTGAATTGCACCAGTCGGTCCTCCAAGCTGGGTGTTGATATGATCCCAGAATCAGAGGCAAAGGCCAAGCCCGAAAATTCCCATTCAAATGTAGCGCCAGCGCAACCATAGGCCAGGAATCATGAAAACCCATATTATTTAACCTGCGAATTTCTTTCAAGGTTCAGAGACAGCCCAGTGCAGCGAAAACCCGACGCAAAAGTCCATGTATTTCATTTTCCAGACATGCTTCGGGAGACCTCGGTCAAAAAAAAAACGGAATAATGCAAGCCGAGGAATGTGTTCAAAGTACTCCACAGCGAGGAGGGATTGAAACAGCAATCTTGCAATACTACCCTGAATCATTTCACACCCAAGCCGCCAAACGCTCTATCCAGCTCCTCTCCCCCATCATGTGGCACCATGGTCGGCATCTGAGAAGACCCCTGGTCAGAGGTAGAGCTATCGAGCAGGCTCGGCTGAGCCTCACCTGGAATACCGAGGGAGGCACTGGCGCGACTAGGTTGAAGCAATTTCTCCTCGCGATCAAGCCACCCTGGTGCAACGCGTCTCTTCTCGGCCAATTCACGCTGCTGAATTGACTCCTTCCACGCTTTGATGGCTTCGTCGGCATCCGTGCGCGTCTTGTTTAGGTGTTGTTCAAGAGATTGACACGCGGCTAGAATGTCATCTGGGTGGGCTGCATGCTCGCCGCTAGAGGAGACGACATAGCGCGCTTGGCTATTGGGGTTACTTGGGTCGACGGTAACTGATGGTGGGAGGATTGAGGAGACGGATTTGTAGGTGTATGGGAGTGTGACGGAGGTGGGGAGGTTGATGAAGGGTGAGACGGTCAAAGGAACCTGGGCGAGGAGAGGGTGGGGACCTGTGTCTTGTTAGATATTGCGAGGTGTGCATTTTCATAGAGACTTACGGTAGGAGTCATACATACTGCCTAGTTGTCAAAATGGAAGTTGGAGATGCGGAGTAGCGGAGATGGCCCGGAGATTGTGCTCAGGTGGGGTGCAACGTAAGCAACGGGTTTCTCCAGAGCTCCAAGGCAACCCCAATAACCCTAAGTTCTTAGGCTCAACGTGCGGGTGAATATAAACGCCCAAATAACAGAGATAATCACGACTCTACAAAAATCCTCATCGTTGTGACGAAATTACTGAATTGAAACGGGTCCTGGCCAAAAGCCCCTACTATTTGGTGCGTTGATATGGAGGGGAAAGATCAACGCAGTGAACATATTGAGGATAGGTTGATATTCATGCTTTCGTTCTGCGCTTCTCGCCAGATTTCCTCAATTAAAGATTACGGAGTTAGACTGAGGAGATGATATTGTAATCAAGCTCTTCAATTTGCCTCAGTGGTAATGTGGAGGTGGAAGGAAAGCATGTGTTTTCAAGTATACGGCAGATCGTCAGCATATTCAGACATCCACTAGACTCACAGTCTCATTGCCAGTGCCTCTTTACTTTACTCACGGGAAAACACATACCTAGCGATGTTGAGTTGACCGAAAGCGTCGAAACATGCAAAAAAAAAAAAAAACAAAACAAAACAATTGGAATAAACAACTGTCAACGACCTGGTTTCTTCCCCAGGGCCGGCGATTGACTGGCGCTGTAATACAAGAGAACCAAGGCTTTGTACCGGTTTGGCCGATATTAAAGGCTCTTTTCTCATAGCGCCCATAATCTTTTCTGGCAAGATGCATCCAAAATGGCATGTTCGGTGATCTGATGATCCCCGCAGAATTGCCAACTGGTCAGTTTTAGCTCGGGAGCCCTTGTCAGTTACACAAAACGCTACCCCTTGTGTCGGGCTACAAACGATATCGGTACCCGATTAGTAAGAGGGTTAGATTAGATATTGCAAGTGGAGGTCCGAAAAGGCTGTGCCCTTTGCCTTCCGCAATTAATGCTTTAGTCCCACCAGTTCGGTGACAGGCAGCCAAACACCGAGGACTAACCTCTCCCAAAGCATGTTGCCCCATTTAGCCATGATAAGGTTACGCAAGAAGTAAATGGGCTGTGGAGGCATGATGAACGCAAGCTGTGGGCAATCTTCCAAATGTCACATATCGGCCGGGGCTCATTGCGGGGCATAGTTGTACAGGCGCTTGCAATACCATAGGAAAGTATCCTTGAAGCACTTGTGCCGCGATTTGATTTTGTTTGGTACTGTCGAATCAAAGCAAGGGTTTCGTCCCCGTGGAGGTATAGAGTGATATGCCTCGGTACGATACCTCACCGTCCAGGTGAAGGGTAGCTATCAGGCAGTAGATATCTTGCTTACGTCTAGGCTTGTAGATTGTGGATATTCTCGCGATTCATAGTTCTAATAGAAGAAATTTGCCCATACGAGATAGGATGGCTTTTCCGCGGGGGGGGGGGGGGGGGGGGGGGGGGGACGATATCGCAGTCGAAAAATCTACTCCAATATCTAAAAGTAGCTCTACATGATATTTCCGGTACGAGAAAAGTGAAAAACAAAACTGGCTCTAGGTCAATGTCCTTTCTCATATTGATACTAGCCCCATAGTCGAGGACAATTGGAATGAGAATATCCTTGGTGGATGTTCATGTTTATCGATTTCCCATTGAGTAACAGCCTTGTAGGTCGGTGTCTCGTGGTCCAAAAATTGAATATCGGCGTCAAATTTCACGATCAGTTCAGGCATTATGATTCTGGATGATTTTTGTCTGAGCTGCAACCTTTTCTAGAGGACTTCCGAGGTTTATTGAGTGAAGGTTGACATTTGCCGCATGATCGCGAGAACCTTTAACGATATTCAAGTGCTCGTCGCACATTGCTTATTGCTCGTAGCCAGATATAGTACGCTTTCTGAAGAGTCCGGAAATATCCCTGACTCCAGCTGAATTTGGATCAACCTTCAGTGTCAGTGAGTTCAAACCAACCTCTAACAACAGCGTGCATTCAAATGCAGCTTCACCTCTATCTCCGTCACATGAGCAAAACATTTGGTCTGGTGATTTGAGATCGGTGTTGTGAAGATATTTGATTAGAAGGGTATGCAAGCGGTGATTTGTTCTGATAGGCGCCCAGACATAGCATCCTTGATCTAGTTGCTGTTCCACTAGATCTTTAGTTCGATTATCCTAGTCTATACTACAGTTTCTTTACAATTTCGCTTAAGTATCGACGACTCCAAGGTGTTTCTTATTGCTTCAAGGGAGCGCGGGAGCCATTCCAATCATTCAATATCAGTATAACACAATACGAGGCTTAAAGCAACGTCTTGCCACTAAGCCAAGTTCAAGGATCTTTGCCGGTAAATCAGGCCATGAATTGCTGTCTGGGGATATCAGAAGGACGTCATGCTAAAATTATACCCCGCGCAACAAATTATTGAGTTCGAACGGGCTGTACGACGCCGAGATGTGTTGGCCCAATGGAGAAATATCCGGGTTGGTGTCACAGCCCTTACTATTGAGTGTATAGGCTCTTCTAGACATACCATTGTTAAGCTTACATTGAACCTAGTTCTCCTTTGGGCCCCATTAGAACAAAAGTGACGATCGTCTGTCGGCTAGTCGGTGTTTGGGTTGATTGAACTTTGTGTCTCTTTGGGAGCCATATGAAGGACCAGGCGTTAACCTTAAAAGGAGGGTTACTACCAGTTCATGCCAAGGTGAATCTCTTATCGAATCAATACCAGTTCGGGGGTGACATGAGACTTAACGTATCGTTCAATCCACTTCAATCTCCTGATTCTCAGGGGTATCTTTGGAATGGATACCGAAAGCCTAAACAAAAAGAAGATGAAGCTGGAGCCATCATGTTCATGAAGTGAGTTGAATCATATAAATAGGCCTGTTCTCGCCGAGAACAGCTATTCCTTCTTCTTCCCAGGACATTCTGCTATCAAAAACCATTCCAATCAATCCAAAAGCCTTTCAGTCCATCAATATGCTGTCCCAAATCACCATTGCCCTAAGCCTCGTCCTGGCCGGAGCGTCTGCTCAACAAGCAGCCAACTGCGCGTACCAGTCACTGAAGTGTGGCTCTGTGCTTCTTGCTGCTCCATTCTGTAAGCAATATTTGATATCACAGAAAGGCTAGATAGACTAACCAAAATAATATGAATAGCCTACACCGAGGCCCAGCTCACTGCTGCCGTCAACGACACCGCTTCCATCCCCGTATTGAGCAGTACCCAGATCTCCCAGACTCTCTTCCACTGCACCGACATCCTGGGTACCGTCACTGGAAATGCTTATTGCTTCGCTGGCTGTGATACGAAGCCTGGTGTCCGCAATGATCAATGTATCCTCTAAGTGTAACGTCATGCGCTCTTCGCGTCTGTGACGAAAGAGATTTGTTGAGCTGCACTTGGCTGCAATCAACCTGAAAGGTGAAATGGGGATGGCATGAAATCTGGAGGATGAATTCTGTTATTTGCTTGTGTTATAATTTCGGCCTAGCACATACTCCCTGACTGACCTGTGTATAAGTATGAGCTGTTGGGCTCCTCGGCTTATTAAGGCTTTCAGGCATTCATTCGCTGCTAGTTACATTCTGTCTTGAGTCAAGCTATTGATGGTCAAACATATAGCTCTTTAACGTAGCTCTCACAATCACACTGCGTTTTCTACACTTTTTTCATATTGATAGTAAAGTTTGGTTTATACTTCATAGTGGATATGGAGACTGACGAGTGTTACTGAATGTTATTGTGACTATAATCTTTTTCCACTTCATTTCTTCTTGTCTCCATCTCACAAGAATTCATTTGATGATTGAGTTTGAGGCAGACATTGCATAGAAACGAGTAGTTGATACGGTCACTAAAAGGTTTGATGCCAGTGGATTTAAACGAGTGACATGATGGCGTCTCAACAACAGGACCAAATGCCGAATAACGACTTGCAGATGAAACTGAGACATGACGGGCCATTCAAAGTGGAGTTTGCTCAAGGAGAACACGAATTCATTAAATAAGCACCCGTAGATTGAGCCATATATAGTCTCGTCCTTGCTCAGAATTTCAAAAGCGGAGTCATACTCGGCGCGTGTATCATCGTATTCATACAAGTTGAACAACTGCCGCCGAAACAAACAGTCTGACATTGCTTGTAGCAAGAAACTGCAGCCGCAGTGGTAACCGTAACGGTAGTGGTAGCCTCGGACAGCTGGCATTGATCATCACGAGTGGGATTGTTTGCCGGGATACATCCATCGATGCACAAACTGTTACCCACAATGCCCCCATAGATATCCTCACATCGGTAGATGACCTGGAAAAGCTGGGCCAGAGAGATCTGTGGGATTGAGGATGTCTGATTGACAGCGGCAATCAACTCAGACACAGAGTAACCTATCCATAGTGGTCAGTTGATTGGCAATGGCTTAGGATGTCTGGGATTCCCATTTTGACGCAAAAGATCCACGTACCATACAACGTCGCCAGGGTGCTGCCACATTTATCAGACTGATAGATACAAGGGCTGGTGTACGCGTTGACCCCAAGACTCAATGAAGCCAGGTGCAGTGCTGCCCATGAGATTTTGCCCATTTTGACCTCGTGGTGATGCTAATACTATCAAGATGTGAATTTCTTTTGGTCAGAAGAGCTGACAGAGTATATAGTCTGCATTGGCCAATGTATAGTATCCATTAGACTACGAAGTCCCTTTCTCGATTGGTTGTTTCTTCCACTTAGTATATCCTTGAGGTAGTGACGGAGCCGCCACCTCGAGAGAATGCAACCCCAGAATATGATTTGGTGATAGTGGTGTTATTGTGTTCCCCGAATATCCCCATTTGACCCCGGCGATCCTGGAGAGAAAAAGTGGGGGGTTCGTCTGGGCAGCTCCATCGGGGAACCAGGCCATTAATACGGACAGGGGGCGTGTTCCATTCTCGGGCATGGGAGACGTATGGGGGCAGGGAAGTTGAGTTGACCTAGCCCCAATCCAGACACCAGTTGGTGCGAATTTCCAAGTCGCTGGTACTCAGGTATTGGGTACTTGGTGAGTATCCTCTCTTTTGAACCTAAGCTTGTGCCCGAACTGGAGATGGAAGATTGGTATACTCCGAGATACCAACATGATTGAAATATGGCCTATATATGTAGAGCGATAGCTGCAGGCATGAAGATTTTTCGCTGCATGCAGATGATCAATCCTGCATACCTGAGTCACCTAGGCATATGAGGCCTACAATGTCACTCGACTGCTTGAGAAACCAACCTTGATGCTTAAAGGAAATCCTAGTGGACTAGAGAACCCATCTGGCAGTCCAAACAGAGGCGATGTCTTGGAAATCGGATGAAGCTGATGGCCCGTGGGGAACGGCCATCACGCAACTAAGGGACTGCAGCCTCAGGCACCCCATCTGACATTGAGGCTCCAAGATTCAGCTGACTTGAGTTTCCAACTTCAATCCAGCTTTTACCTTCTCAGTGGCCAACATCCAAAGACTTGACAAGAACAATCGGATTTTATACATCGACCGATCGTTGGTGGTCCACTAAGTTAGCAGCGGTCCAGAAGCCGCTTATCCAATTTGTTTCTCTTTTTCCCTTCACACTTCCCCCAAAACACACCCTTTTCCCACTGTGGGCTCTTCTTTTCCTCAACATCCTGCACCTTTTCCCCTCCGACTCTACTGAATCCGATAATCCTTCTACCCCGTGGGAGCTTCATCCCGCTCTGAAATCAACCCCCCCGCCACATCTCCGCGCCGGTTTAACCCCCCCCCCCCCCCTCCCCCTACTCGAAACCCCCAGATATTCAAGCACACGACAATACCAGCCAAAATGGACAAGGCCATTGCACGCGCGGTGAACGAAAAGAAGCCGGTCCCGGAGATCGACTTCACGTTGCACACCATGGAGGACAGCACGCAGGTCTCCACAATGGAGCGAGTCGTTAAAGGTAAAGCGGTCTCGGTCGCTTCAAGATATCCCAAGCTTGCAACGTGATCACTGACGGTAATTTTTGGCCCTCAGAGGTTCAAGCGCCCGCCTTAAGCACGCCTCCAGATGATATGTTTTGGTCCCCCGAGGATCCCTCCAAGCCCAACCTGCAGTACCTCAAGCAGCATCTCTACCGTGAAGGTCGTCTCTCCGAAGAACAGGCGCTATGGATCATTCACGCCGGTACCCAGGTCTTGCGAGCAGAGCCCAACCTGCTCGAAATGGATGCGCCCATTACAGTGTGTGGCGATGTTCACGGCCAATACTACGATCTGATGAAGCTGTTCGAGGTCGGCGGTGACCCTTCGGAGACAAGATATCTGTTTTTGGGTGATTATGTCGATCGTGGATATTTCAGTATCGAGGTACGTTATCTGATGCCCTATCGGAGCCAAGGGGATTCTGACATTCGTAGTGTGTTCTGTACCTTTGGGCTTTGAAGATCTGGTATCCCGACTCGCTCTGGCTGCTGCGGGGTAACCATGAATGTCGTCACCTTACGGATTACTTCACTTTCAAATTGGAGTGCAAGCACAAGTATAGCGAGCGGATTTATGAGGCGTGCATTGAGTCCTTCTGTTCGCTGCCGCTGGCGGCTGTTATGAACAAGCAATTCCTCTGTATCCACGGTGGTCTCAGTCCGGAGCTCCACACTCTCGAGGACATCAAAGCCGTTAGTATTCTCATATTTGCATACAAAGGATGGGAACTAAAGTCAACTACAGATCGATCGATTCCGGGAACCCCCGACCCACGGACTTATGTGTGATATTCTCTGGGCCGATCCTTTGGAGGAATTCGGCCAAGAAAAGACTGGCGATTTCTTTATCCACAACAGTGTTCGTGGATGCTCTTACTTCTTCTCTTACCCAGCTGCATGTGCGTTTTTGGAAAAGAACAACCTACTTTCCATTATCAGAGCACACGAGGCCCAGGATGCTGGATACCGCATGTACCGGAAGACACGCACCACTGGCTTCCCCAGTGTTATGACTATCTTCAGTGCTCCTAACTACTTGGACGTTTACAACAACAAGGCTGCTGTTCTCAAATATGAAAACAACGTGATGAACATCCGCCAATTCAACTGCACCCCTCACCCATACTGGCTTCCTAACTTCATGGATGTTTTCACCTGGTCTTTGCCTTTCGTTGGTGAGAAGATTACCGACATGCTTATTGCCATTCTCAACACCTGCTCGAAGGAGGAATTGGAGGACGACACTCCCACCTCTGAAGTGTCTCCCGTGTCTGTCCCCGAGGAAAGCACGCCGATCACCTCTCCGGCATCAACCGACCCCGAATCCAGCGAGTTCAAGAGACGTGCTATCAAAAACAAGATTCTTGCTATTGGTCGTCTCTCTCGTGTTTTCCAAGTCCTCCGTGAACAATCCGAGAGTGTCACTGAGCTGAAGACGGCGGCTGGCGGTCGTCTTCCCGCTGGAACTCTCATGCTTGGCGCGGAAGGTATCAAGCAGGCTATCCACAACTTTGAGGATGCCCGTAAGGTTGATATTCAGAACGAGCACTTGCCTCCTAGTCAGGAAGAAGTCATCCAGAAAAGTGAGGAGAGCCGTCGTGTGGCTTTGGAGCGTGCTGAGCACGAGGCTGCCAACGATGCTGGACTGGCTACTGTCGCCCGGCGGATCAGCATGTAAGTTTTGAACGACTGACTAGTAATTATGCACAAGCTAATGATTTGCAGGTCTGCTGGCTCCCGTCCTAGTCGACGCCAGCGGGATCCTCCCAAGGATGCCTGAGAAGGCCCTGGATTTGATTGAGTTGATATTATGATATGATCTATGCATTTCTTCTTCCTGTCCTCCAGCGCACACGCCTTTCTGCTCCGACACGATCGATACGATACCCTGTCTATCTGTTTGATCCTACCTCTTTCCAGGCGATCAAACCGTGAATCACAATACTAGCGACCATAAAGGACAGTTCAGTTAAACATGTATGCTTTTTCTTGTTTGATCTTGGGGTTCGTAGGAAATGTAGATGTGAATACTTGTACGGCAAATTATATTAGTTTCATATGAGCCATCAATTGTGGAATATTGAAATATGAACGTGTAAATAAACAGGCAAATGAAGGGTTCCAAGGATAACGGATGATAACGCCAAGCCTCGATCCCGCGTCCACTTCCGCTCGAGTTCATCCATCGAGCTTCAGAATTGCCCGCTCATAACACGCCTCAATGGCCCCCAGAATGCGCAGTGCGCTCACAAAGAGCCTTTCGCGCTCACTAGACAGTAGCTCTATCTTCTATTGTCCATCGTGCGCGATCTGGCGCCGCACATTGTCAACACGCGCCAGCAATCGCAGCCTCGAGAAAACCGACACATTGCGACGAAGCAGTCAACCCCAGAGCAGAATTACAGCATCGACCCATCGGCCATTCAACACATCGTCTGTTATCACTGCCAAGTCTGTTCCGCCCCGGTTGAAGGAGCTCTACACTGCCCTGGAAGGAGTCAAGGATGCGGCGCTTGAGCAGGTGAATCTTAGCAGACTGCAGTTTGCGCTACGGGGTCTGGAGTCCGAGACGCCTCTTATTCGTGTGGCTGGTGAGTTTTTATTATCTTTTGGAGTCTTGAACAGCTGCTGTTCCTCTAAAGAGCCTGGCACTAATCTAATATCTATCAAAATTTTAGTCCTCGGATTGAACGATGCGACCTCTGCCCGCAAACTCGTTAGACTACTACTTGCCGACCCATTGACACCGCGGGAGACTTGGGAAGACATTCTGGAGTCTTATGATGCCGACTCATCGAGAGGGCTGCTGATTAGGTATGGATGAATTCTGCTTGCCGTATGTCCGGTATAGGCCCATACTAACTCGTCATGTGCTTGTAGATACGGCGAAATCTCAGAATCCATTCCCAATGACTTGCTACCGACGATATCAGTGCCCTCGCCCATCCTTAGAGATGGAAACCTGGAAATCCTTGTTAGCACGATCGGCTCCGAGCCTGACCCCAATGCTGCCACACTCCACGCCGATACGTTCCTGGTTCCCACTGTGACTATTCAGACATCGCATTCCGGTCGGCATAACCTTGTTCGGTATCCTGTGCACCGCAGTATAGTCTGCGGAAGTGGTGTGGATGGTCTACTGGCTTACAGCACAATGATGGGCCGATCAGACCTAAAGCATGAGATCGCCTCCGTGCGCGGTGCTATTGAACTCTCCGTTGCTGATCAGGAGTCCCAAAACGAGCAGATTTCTCTGGTGGACATTGAACGTGCCAGCACAGCCCTGGACAAGTTTCGGGAATCCGTCCAAAACGCCGGTGACTACGGACGTGGATGGAACGGCAGTGGTGTGCAGCCACTCATCAACTGGCTTACACAATCCTCTGAGGCATCAACTCCAGAGACATTGAACCCAGCCTTGGTTCCCCTGGTGGAGTCAATCCTCGACTCCGCCGAGGCTAGCGTGCTCATTCGCGATGCCAAGGCGCTCCAAGACCAGACCGCCGGCATAGCCCCTGAGGAGCTCCGCTCCCAACTCGACCAAGGCGTCACAGTCTGGGCGGAGCGCGCTCACTCCGAGCTCCGTAGCTCGCTGGAAGCCGGTCTGGCTAGTCCGCGCTGGCGGGGCCTCGCATGGTGGAAGCTCTTCTGGCGCGTCGACGATGTGGGCATGGTCACCTCCGAGATCCTCGAGAAGCAGTTCCTCCGCCGCGCTGAGCGGGAAGTCATCTGGACCGCAGGCAAATACCAGCAGGCCGGCCTGCTGGACGAACCGACTTCTACCCCCAAGTCGGCCGCAGCCCTCGGTCCTGCTGAGCCTATCTCGCCTCCCTGGCCAACTCAAATCCCAGACCTCCGCACTAAACTCCTCACGACTACAGTCCCCTCCCTTCAATCCCTTGCCCAGAGTTTGGTTCTCTTCAGTGTCTCCACTACCACTCTGACCTCCGCTCTGTCCGCTCTTACCTATGTGGCTGTGCCGTCGGCCTCCGTATACGAGTCATGCACCCTTGGCGCAATTGGTTTGATCTACTCTATGCGTCGCCAGCAGAAGAGATGGGATGATGCCCGTACCTACTGGGAGGAGGAGGTCCGCGAAGAAGGACGTTCTTCTCTGCGGGAGACTGAGGGTGCTCTCCGCGAGATTGTGCGGGATGGTGGTAAGTCTGTTCAAGATATGACGGATACTCGTGCACGAGACAGTGTTGCCCGCGCGAAGAAGGCCTTGGAAGATGTGAAGGCTTGATCGGGTCCGTACGGTGTACTGTATGTATATGTAATGGCCTTAAAGAATAGACACTGAGAGCTACAATCTACTCTGCTATGTATTATACGGTTGAGTTTGGTGGTCCATTCGGCCTGACTGCTCAATATTTCTAATCTCCAAAATTCGCTTCATAGAGTGACGGTCAATATTTTCACCACACTGAACACCTCCTGTTCTATAAGTAGAACCCAAAGGACTTGTCTGATTGACCCTGAAACAATCAGCCAAGATGAAATCCGCTTCTCCACACGATAGTTCGACCAAACCCCAAAGGAAGAAACAAAACGAATCAAGTATTTCTGAACCCCGAGCTCCACGTCTATTTTGATTAAAGGTCCACATGAGATCCTATACAGACTAAGTGCCGGAAAGTTAGATGGTGTCAAGCTTCGCAATTCCGACATGGTCGTTTCACTGCGGACCTGTATGCAAGATCTGAGACATCGGGCTGGGACATACGATCGGACCATTGCAGAAACAGGTAAGATATCCCAGACTCAAACGACTAATGTCTGGACTAGTGAAGATTCTGTTTGGCAGGTCAGGGCTCCCAGTATAAATACGTTCTCTGTCTAATGTTACCTTTAGAGGTGGACTATACACTACTTATCGGTAAATAGATTGATCACTCTAATAAAATAAACCAGTAATCTCGCCTGCGCAAATATCAGAAGACTCATTATCAGACAGGGGTCAGGTTAATCTATGGAGCCGTTTCATGATGCGCTGGGCGGTCCACTCCCGCGAGTCAGCGTGGACGAGACGATGGACGTTGTGCTAATAAATTAGCCCCGTTAGCCCTAGCCTCTGCTAGTTCAGGAACGCGCCGTTCGTTTCATATCATTTCGCCCCGTAATTATCCACTTTCGTGGGTAGAGTCTCCTATTCACTCTGAATTACACAGTGTATACACTGCTCATTTTAATTTCGGATGAACACCCAATCGTTATAGGTTTGGCCATGGGTGCTCGGGCGTATTGAACTGGCGGATACGGGTAGGAGAGTCTATCCAATATCCAGAATATCGAGGGATTGGCCAAGTCCTTACAATCAGGCCCCTCTCTTATGAACAAGGCTCAACTTAAGGGGGGGGCCACTGGATTATAGTATTTGATCCCCCCTCCTCCGCCTGGTGGCTGTTAGCCCTTTTCTTCTGGTTGACTTTGGCCTCTTCTATCTCTTGCCCTATCTCAGGGTCTGTCACTCGTTCAGTTCGATCTTTTGTCTGTTTACAGACTGTGTCATTCTTTAGAATATTTACTTTCATTCGGGGAATTTTGTCACCAATAGTGAGTTGATCGGAAAATAGCAAGTATGAATGACATCGACATGATACTGACCCCCTCTAGGGCTATAAGGAGTAACATCCCAACCAAGGCTTCAAACGACGATCCTGTTTGTTTGTTGACGTCAAGGACAACGCGCTCAATCGGTAAGCTACATGCTTTAGGGCTTTTCTTTCGCGCCACTTCCATCCCTATGGAAGAAAGGGACAGCAAGCAAGGGACCATTCCTTCGCGGGAAGGGAGCATCCCCATCGATCTCCCCCGAATAATTTCGTTTCAATGACGAGTGATTGGCCACCTGGAATCTCCTGTCTGCGACAAGAGAGGGACCTGCGCTTGCTGTGGCTCCTAAAAAACAACGCGCGCCCGGGTGGGACTCTTTTCGAACTGACATATTGCTTAGCATCCGACGACAACACTCCGACTGTTCTCTCCTTTTTTCTACGCCTGACCGATTGATTCGGTGCTCCTGGCGAGTCATTCTTTTGGAACTAAAGCCCTGAGATTGATTCATTCGCTCCTTTCTCTTTGTTGAGCCCGTAGACGCGGCTCTTTCTTTCGCATCATGCAGGACATCCGATTGTCAGCCATCTTGATGGCTTGCTTCACTCTTTTCCCCTCTTATGCTACGGCCTTTTGGCGTCTTCCTTGCCGTGGACGAACTGGTGTCGCGCGGCTGGACCCTATTGTCGACCCTGGGAAGGTTTCTTCCCATGTGCACTCGGTTCACGGTGGTGGCAGTAAGTATAGTGAAATGTCGAGGGCGTGATACAGAATGTTAATGGTATATAGGCTTTGGAATGAGCTCTACCGAGGACTCTCTCTTGGAATCTAGCTGCACGTCTTGCGCTGTGACGCAGGATAAGTCGGCATACTGGACCCCGGCGCTATACTTCATGCACACCAATGGCAGTGCCGAGCTGGTTGAGGAGGTTGGAGGCATGCTTGCGTGAGTCTGATTTGCATTCTGTATGAGCCTGGCTAATGTATGACCAGCTACTACCTTCTGTACGGAGAGAACGTCACGGCGTTCCCAACTGATTTCCGCATGTTGGCAGGTGATCCCTTCCAGCGTAACTTCACTTGGCCAGTTCCCGATCCTCCCAAGTCTTCTTGGTCTGGCGCTCAGTCCTCGCAAGCTGCATTGCGCCAGAAGGCTCTTGGATTCAACTGCTTGAACTACCAAACCACCGCTGAAGCATCCCTCTACCGTCACTTCATGCCGAACAAGACCTACCTCGACGAGCACTGCACCGACGGTGTTCGCTTTGAGTTGATGTTCCCATCCTGCTGGAACGGTAAGGATGTTGACTCGGAGGACCACAAGTCTCACGTCGCGTATCCATCTTTGGTTATGGACGGTACCTGCCCCGAGGGATACGAAACCCGACTTGTATCACTCTTCTACGAGACAATTTGGAACACATATGCCTTCAAGGACGTCGACGGGTACTTTGCCCTGGCCAACGGTGACCCCACTGGATACGGATACCACGGTGATTTCATCCAGGCCTGGGACGACGGCGTGCTGCAGGAGGCTGTTGATACTTGCACAAGCGAGTCCGGCCTGGTTGACGACTGTGAGATTTTTGACATTCAGACAGAGACTAAGCAGCGCCAGTGCGAATTTGAAATTCCCTCTGCGCTGAAGAATGAGGACGTTTACATGTACGCCGATGGATTGCCAGGTTCTATGGGTATTTCATGGGGACCAGGGTACGCTTCCATGGATATGGACACTTCGACTACCACGACTGCTGCGGCCATTCTGCCATCTCTGTCGGTGCCTTCTATCCCCTCGATTTCTCTGGGTCTCTCGATTGATTCTGGTGCTTTGCTCGGCAATCTCAATGTTGCCAATACCGCCGAAGCCCCAGCAATTACTTCGACTTCTACTTCCACGTCGACCCCCACGCCCACTCCAACTCCCACTACGTCTATCGTTCTCGACCCTATCACCGAAGAGATTATTTATCTCCAACGTGATATCATTGTCTTGATCGACGAGAATGGCGCGCCATATGCGACAACCACAGGCAGCACCCGCACCTTGTCCACTGCGATCACGACCGTCACTGAGACCTCCACAGCTGTCTCTTATGTGAAGCGAGATACTGTAGTAGTGGACTCTGTTGTAGAGCAGGAACAGCCTGCAACCCACGCACGCAGACATCTCCACCGTCATGGTCATCTGCACAACAAGTTCTAAGAAACACGTTGTTCAAAACATGTTGAGAAAAGGACGCAGCGCGTGATTTTACCCTGCTACTTTGACCAACTGGATATACCTGCTTCTTTACCATATTGGACCTCGTACTTGCTGGACTGTACCCAGGAGCTTTGATTCGTGTATATGATTTTCCGATTGGACGTCCTCCGGTCAGGCGGGGAGGGTGTGCTATGGCCATACTGTTATTTCTCGTGATACAAAATTTAAATAAGCCCTGGTGCGCAACTGGGCTGCATTCGTCGATATAACCATGCCTACCTAGAAGATACAAACTTCTGTCAAGCACAAGTAGCAGTTTTATCGCTTTTTCTGTTTCTCGGCAATTCCCCATCCTCTAATTTACCTCAGATTGACCAAAGTGATACTGAGGGCAACCTCAATCCAATGTATGTCTCAGCCAAGCACTCTACCCATCACCTTCATTGAAACATGATCAAATGTTTCATCCATATCCACCCTCAACGGAATTGTCTCAGCGAACATGCATACAATAACAAACATACATCTCGCCATGTTTGTTCCGTGCACGAAAATCTAAAGTTGCGTATCTTCGTTACGTGCGACATGTGCAACAAACCCCGTAGGACCGATGAGACCCAAACAAGACTCAACAAACCGCCAGAAAACAACAATATCCAAAACAGAGCGAGTCAAAGGAAGATCCAGATGAGAACAGAGCTTGGCAGCATATCATGCTATCTACTTCATACCTGGAACAGTCAACATCCAGCGTCGCAGTCCACCCATGACCTGTCTCGTATCTGGTTCTATTGCAGTGTAGTACATTCATCTCTACTGCGCAACATACGCAACATACGAGCTAGATCTTTGGTCCAACCCTGTTTCTGTCTTCGAGCACCTTGCACCACTACGCGAGTCTTGTTCACGAGTGACAAGCCACCGAACTGGAATGGTCATGGTTGATTAACTAAATATGCTACACACCAGCGTATACTATTCTTGGGCGCCGAGGTTCCTGATAAGAATTCCTTGTATTGGAACTGTGCCTGGGACACGATGTTTGCATGGTAATCTTTGGCTAGACTTAAGTTATTGTGGCGCATTCGAACAAACGTGATGACCTTGATGATCCTTTTATCAGATGGTTACATAGGTTCTCGACCGCGAGGTGGTATGAGCTGGGTTATCAGTGTTTCTGATGTGCTTGGAGGCTTATCAGCAAGCTGTTGCTTCATTGTTACCAGGAGGGTGTCGACTCTGGCTTACGCTGACAAGGCTGATATCTTTTGAACTTTATTGGGTTCGAAAGGACTAATTAGGTTGTGCTAGAGCTTGAGTTGGACTGAAGGTGATATAAGAATTGACTCAATCGCAGCTTACTGCTGTGAGAATAGCTTTTGAACTATATCACAGTCATTGCATCGACCTTGGACTTGCCACCTTGTGTACATGATTTTATCTAAGACACAAATAGGTTTGTCTGATACAATGCATATTCACTTCCAACCCTTCGTTTTCTTCCTCCTCATTGCGTCTACTGCAAAATCATTCCCCCAACAGACCGGCACCATCACAGCAGACGCAACTCCAGCAATCATAACACCAGCCGCAAGACTCCATTGCACAGGGGGACAAATCGAGATCCATACAACAGACTGCACACTAGGAACATCGGTTTCGTACTGCTCCAAGCCAGAATCCCCAATCCAATGCCCACAGGGATTTTATCCATCAGTATGGCATCCCGACCACTGCATGCAGCAATCAACCTGTTTCCCTCTTGATGCTTCATGGATCACGACAGAGTGTTCGAACGGGGCGCTTGCCTATGACACTTCGACTCTTTATGCTGGGACACTTGCAGACGGACAGTCAACCATCATCAGTGGTTCGTATCACCGACCTTTCATGTCATTTCCTCTCTTTTCAAAATGACATATCTAACAATGTTACACTATCAAGCTGTTTCCTGCTCCTGTGCCGAAGATCAATGGTATAGCATGACTCTCCTTGAAGGCTCGACTACCTACGATACCTTCTGCATGCCCTCCAGCTACTGTCCACCTGGCATGACGACCTCGGTTTCTATTAATGGTTATTGTGTCACTGCCCCTGCAAGCATGTGCTCTGACGTTCCTATGGAGACTAATTTCTGTAAATGTGCCTATGCGGGACAGACGCCTGTTTATCCTGAGTATCCCGGCGCTGTTCCAACTGGATGTGAGTTTTGAAGGCTGGAGTAATCGTAATGAGGTCTGGTGATGCTTTATTAAGCAGATAACTTAATGAGCTGTATTTTATATTTAAGTTCTCTTCGATTCAAGTTGACGTTCTGAGAATGCAGTGTACATTTTGTTTCCCAACAAGATTGCTTTCGGGACAGGTGCAATTGTAAATGCAATATCTCAATCTGAGCTCAGGTATTTGACTTGGACCATACATACCATGAATCAAAGATTCTGGATAGGGTGTTGCATCCTTTTGTTCCAGTTTTGGTTTTGTTCTTTCGGTATTCGGTACTGGCACTCCCATTTCAAGGTTAGGGCATACACACGTGACCCCACAGCCCTTACCTCGAATGACGCGGGACCGTGCATATGTCAGTAGTGTTATGCATGGAGCTGGAGTCTGAAGTATGAAGCATAGAGCATGCAGTCTATAAATTGGACCCAGGTGCATTTTAGAATCGGTACATAGCCACACCACACTGTGACATTGACCACAGCTATCACATCATGCCATGCATCCGACCTTTATTGGTCCTGCGAGCGAAAAGGAATTGCTAATTCCCTCAGCATTTGCAGCAATTGGGACCCTTTGACGCGGAACCCCCACGTGGCCCTATGTTACATCTGCCTGCCGCAAACCAAACCAGTCCGAGTCCAGCATTGCCCACAGCTTCCGCGATTAACCTGAACCGCGTCATGCCCCATAAAACTGGCGCCACCAAGGCCCAAGCCCACCTTCGGCGTCCCAAAACGGGAAAATGGGGTGCAGAAAGGGCCGAATGCCGTCTTAACCCCGGAGCCCCGCATCGGCCCGTGTGTGCCTGGCCATAAAAAGGGTCTTCCCCCGCATACTCTCCTCACTACTATCCTTTTCTCTTACCATGTCGGACACTCTTCCTGAAATGCAATACCGCTTCCTCGGCCGCACTGGGCTGAAGGTCTCGGTCATCTCACTGGGTAGCTGGCTGACGTATGGCGGACATGTCGGAAATGGTATGTACCGGGTTCCAATCTTGACCGTCGATTGAGAGACTGATCAATCCCAGAAACCGCCCTCGAGTGCATGAAGGTTGCCTACGACGCTGGCATCAACTTCTTTGATACGGCCGAAGTATACTCCGGCGGCCAGTCCGAGATTGTCCTCGGCCAGGCGATCAAGCAGTTCGGCTGGAAGCAGAATGACCTCGTAATCTCCACTAAGGTAAAGACTAAATGCCAATGCCCCTCTCCGTATGAAAACAGAACACAGCCACTCACACACCACAGATCTACTGGGGCAAGGCCAACAGCGCCAACCCCGACAAACCCCTCAACAACAACGGTCTCTCCCGCAAACACATAATCGAAGGCATGAACCTCTCCCTGCAAAGGTTGGATCTGCCCTACGTAGATGTCGTCTATGCGCACCGCCCAGACCGCGACACCCCCATGGAAGAGATCGTCCGCGGCTTCAACTACCTCATCAACAACGGCAAAGCCTTCTACTGGGGTACGTCGGAGTGGTCTGCTAGCGAGATCTCGGACGCCTGGCGCATCGCCGATAGACTAGGTCTTATCGGACCCGTTGTTGAACAGCCGCAGTACAACCTTCTGGTGCGCGAGCGCGTCGAAAAAGAATACCGCTGGCTGTATGATGCGCATGGACTTGGATTGACTGTCTTCTCGCCGTTGAAGGGGGGTATCTTGACCGGCAAGTATAATGATGCTGCTGCGCTGCCGGAGGGGTCGCGACTGGCTGAGTCTAAAGATGGGTATGTGCAAAATTTGAAGAAGACGGTTGGGGATGAGACTTGGCAGAGGCAGCTTGATCAGGTTGCGGCGCTGAAGCCTGTTGCGGAGGAGTTGGGCATTTCGACGGCGCAGTTGGCTCTGGCTTGGATTCTGAAGAACCCCAATATCTCGTCTATGATAACTGGTGCTTCGCGGCCACAACAGGTTCTTGATAATATTCGGGCTTTGGGTGTGGTGGACTTGTTGACGGAGGATATTGTGGAGAAGATTGAGACTGCTGTTGGAAACAAGCCTGTTCTTGAGACGAGACGGTTCTAGACTGTCTACTTGAACGTTGACATCAAAAGCCGGATGTAACTTATCTATTTTATGGACATAAAAGGGACTATTTTAACTCATTCAATTTCTTTCGTATATCATTTTGATGTAATCATCAAATCATAGTTCCATTCCTCGAAGAATGCGAATCCTCTTCTCTTGTTTTTGTAGTCTTTCTCCTCTCTCCTACTTCCTTTTTTAGTCCCTCTTACACCCTCACTTGGTTAGTTCACCGACCAGAATAACTCAAAGCTAATACACCTGGAAACAAGCATAAAAATCATGAACAATAAGAAAACGAAGCAAACCCAAAATAAAACCCAAAGCAAGGCAAAAACAAAACAATGAACTTTCATAAAATTATCCTCTCAACTCTGTGTACTCCACATCTTGGTCAATATCAGCCTTGGTGCGTTGCACAACCTGGCTAGGGTGGAAGATAGCGAAGATGACCATGACCAAAAACACCAGAGCAGTGTCAAAGATATAGGCAAAGTACTCATGGCTCTGCAGAGTTCCCTTCTGTCCTTGAATATACTCCGCCACACGATAGATGCACCGCACCATAATCAAGAAACTGGCAGTATAAAGCACCATGAGATACACCCTCCAGTTGACCTTTGTGCTTAATGCTGCCGTAGTGGGATATCCTGACATCCTAGTGTGAAAGATGACGGAAACGATGACGAAGAATCCGAAGAAGAGAATTTGGACAACCAGACCGACGATGATGACATCCTCTCCAAGCTTGAGATTCTTGGATGACTTTGCTCCGGATAGCATTGCTCCACCTAGAAGACGATTTCGTGTTAGCAAACGCCGATGTGTAGAAGGAATTCGGGATTAACATACCACCAGCCTGAATAAGGAAAGCTAGTACATCTCCACACACGAAAATCTTGGTCATTCTCTTCGCTTTGATCAGAGATCTAGAGTCGCCCTCTGTCAAGGTGACGATCCGGCCTAAGATCATATAGATAGAGGCGGCGAAGAGTGATGGCGAAATCAAAATGAAAAGACTCTGGAGAGCATATGGCATCGTGGAATAATCTGGCGCTTGCTTAGCACTGATTGCTCGTGCCACATATCCGACTGTCTCGAGTATTCCACCAATAATGAAGGCAATGAGGAATCTCAGTCGATGTTTGAACGCGAGGAAGATGTGAACTATTGTTGCGAGGCTGAAGAGAACGATTGCTGCAATTGCAGCTCCCACTGAGGGCGTATAGTTGTAGAGGACATATCCATTAGACATGATGGAGAGGAGAAATTGGAAGAAACAGAATGAGAGTAGTAAGAAAAGCAAGTAAGTAGAATAAGAGAATGAATTGAGAAATGAAAAGAAGAAGTGTGATTGTCATATACCTTTACTCTCTTTATATCGGTGGACCCAGCCCCATGTTGAACAGAATATTCAACCAATTACAAACACAGCCGTCGACACAAGCATAGCCATAGCGCTACGAGACATCTATTTTGGACTGAGACGCACAATAGGCTCCTTGATAAAAATCTGCGATATCAACACCGCCGATCCTGCAAGCAAGAGTGGGTCCTCGGCTTCGTATTCAACGGATTTCTTTAGGGTTGGCAACGGCACGCGCCGAAAGATCTTTATCAGTCTCCCTCGAGTTTACTAGGCAAGCATATTTTCTCAGGCTTAGGCTGTGATTCAGCCACGGTTAGACTAAGGTTAGACTGTAGCTAGACTATTTATGGTATCTTGGTCCGATTTCCTGCCTGGGGTCTAGATGTCGACACCCGAACCCTCGTTTTCAACCCCGGGAAAAGTCTTAGATTTAGGAACCAATGTTTGAGTATTAGGAGCAATGACAATGAATAGACCATCTTAATTATTATCTCTTGGGTAGAATTGACTTACAACTTTTCTATTGATATCTATCCCTAATCCAAAATGGCTATCTTTCTACAAAGGCACCTCACTTTGTAATGATCTAAATAAATGAAACTTCATATAACCATACTATTCATCAATCGTTTTAAGTGGTAATAACATCATAAGAGCGCAAACATTCACAACAAAGCACCTCGCCTCTACTTCCGGGCCCTATCACGGGATCTGCCTTGACTCCGAGTACGTCTCACTTTCTGCTCTTCCAGTTGAACTTCAGTCCGACGGCTACTAGAGCGACGGGGGGCAACCCGACTCAGAACAACAGATGGATGCATCACGTTCATGATGAACATAACCAAGAACATCATAGCGGCATCGAAGACGTACAAAAACACCTCATGACTCATAACATAGCCATCATTGCCTTGAGCGAACTCAATCAGACGATAGATCGATCGGATCAAGATGAGCATGCTAACTGCATAGCAGGCAAACAACAGACCCCTCCAGTCACGCGGCAAAACGCAGGAACGCAGTTCCAGCGTTTCTTCGGATTCAGGTGTTGGGTGTCGGAGGAGCTTGACATTGAAGACAAGAGCCGTGAAGACAAATGCGCCGAAGAACACAAGCTGGACACCGAGACCGCCGACAATGACCCATTTGCCAATTGTCAGGGCGTTCTGGCTTTTACTTGACATGATGCCACCACCTAGATCAAAAGGGTCAGAGAGTCCAAGAAGAAGGCACTTTTGGTGGGTTGGGCTACTTACCGGCTGCTTGAAGAATGAAGGATAGAACATCACCGGCAACGAAGATCTTCGTCATCAATCGCACGGGGATGAAGCTTAGGTGCTCGCCCTGGACGTACGTGATGATTCTTCCCAGAACCATATAGATTGATGCCGCATATAGAGTTGGAGCCAGTAGTAGAAAGAGGTTCTGTATGGCATAAAGTATAGTGGATGTCTCATGAAAATGAGTTAGCGCCCGCGCAACATAGCCAATGATCTGGACTGTGAAAAGTGTCAGTGGATTTGGATCCAGTATGGTACCATTTGTAGTCGCATGAGATACTGACAGATCCCTCCAACAATAAAAGGGTTGAAGTATTTTGTGTGAGTGCGGATTCTCTGGTATAGATGGAATGCAGTGGTGAGGGAGAAGAGAGCCGCGAACAGCACTGCACACACTAGATTGGGAGTATAGTGGTAAAGCACAAATGTAGAAGCCATATTTGGTAGAGATGAATAGTAAAATGTTCTTGAAATGCAGGGGCCCGGTTGGAATCAAAGTTAAAGAGGCCAGGGACAAAAGGTTATTATATAGTAAGTAGCTTATATTATACTATACCATACAGTTCTCCAGCCTTGGGCTTATCACCATGGGTCTGCATGTCTTTCCGGCAACATATGGCAAATATGGCTAATATTTCAAAGTCGTCAATCAAAACTTACTAGTATTTCGCGTAGACCCACATCCAAACCGAAACCGAAGCCGAAGGGGGCTATTCTAACAACTTAACAACCATAGATTTCCCATGCCTAAAGTGCTAGGCAACTAGAATTAAAAGACTATCTTCGACAAATGCGAGAAGAGTATTGGGTCGTACGTTTTGTGATGTTAGGCACCTCCATTAATCGGTGAAAGGCGTTTTCGCGAAACAGATCCGAACGCGAACCCGAGTCCAGCCCCTCGGAACCGATCAAGGTTTGCTAGGCCGAAATAGCTTCTTTTGGCTATGGAAACCCCACTTACTGCGACCCTTAAAACTAGTTTTTGCCGGGTTACTATTGAAGTATTCTTGGTTCAAGTTGCTATTTGGGTCTTTTGGAAGATCCCTTTGCCACGGGCTTCCTTATATATATATACCTTGTCTCTTCAGTCTAGGAGCTTGGAACTACAACTACTTTACACTGACCTTATTTTCAACCTTCTAAAGTACCCTTAAGCCAACACCATGGAGAAGAAAGAAAAAGTTGATCTGCCCGAAGACGAGTATAAGTCTGACAGCGATTCGATATTCCAAGAGCCACCTCCGACCTATGATTCAGTCTGCAGTGACTTTTCGTTGGAACCGCCGCCATTCACAGATGAAAAGGCCTCTTTGGCATCTGTCGAAGGTAAGAATTTCGGTATTGGTTGATAACATCCGAAATACTAAACTAGCAAACACAGAAAATGGCCGATTCAGTATCAATCTGAGCGCAGGGCCCCGGACATCGGCTATCATTCAAGAGCTATATCGACCAATGCAGCGGCCAAGGCTTGTAAATGTTGCCCCAACAGAGACCGATATTCCTGAAAAGTCAGAGCCGGAGCATGTTGAAAGCACAACAGAAATAAGTGTCATCTCTATGGATATCGTGCTGATGCTCGTTGGTAGTAGAGGTAAAGAACATAATTCGCGCGGCTTCGATCTTTTACTGACCAAAGCTTTACGACAAAACAGATGAGATCAAGGCATGCGCCGTAATTGGCCAGAGATTACGCGAACAAGGCCATCGAGTGCGGGTTGTAACGCACTCAATCTTCAAGTCACTTGTCATGAAACTCGGCTTGGAGTTCTTTTCCTGCAGTAGCAGTGCTGAACATCCCATTGCGGTTAGTATCCAGATATCAGTTGATCCCCGAAATTATTGCTAACCGAGATAATTATATCAGAAGCAAGACTCGGGTCTCATGCCTGGGTTGAGGAGCTCAAAGAGGCAAGAGGTTTTGAGAAGCAACAAGCTCCTTCTAGAGACGTTGAAAGGATGTTGGACTGCTTGCACACATCCAGGCTGGTGGAAAGACAGGCCATTCCTTGCAGATGCGATCATCGCGACGCGACTGGCGCATGCGCACATACATTGTGCTGAGCGACTAAACATTCCGCTACATATCATGTCTACTTCTCCATGGACTCACACTCGGCACTTCGCCCATCCTTTGGCTCATTTCAATGCTCCGAATGAAGTGGAACAGGAAGTCCAGAACTACCTTTCTTATACTCTAATCGAAGAGTCTGTTTGGCAAGAGTGGGTGACTTGGATGAAATACCCCTTACTTGGGCATTACTGACCTTGATATAGATGCTATCATGTCGTTGATCATTTCCGTCGAGCTATTCTAGGACTGCCTGGACTGCCTAGTAATGGCGGAGGCGCAGTTTTGAGGGAGTTTAATGTTCCTCATACTTACCTTTGGTCCTCGGCCCTGTTACCTGCGCCGCAGGATTGGGAAAGTGAAATCAGTAAGTACATATGTGCACTGTATGTAAGTACTGCAACCGATGGCTAATAAAAGGGCAGATATTGCCGGTTATATACCGACCATCACGCATGATATCCCGTACAATCCGCCAAATGATTTGGTGCAGTTCCTTGAGTCTACACCGGCACCCATCTTTGTATCGCTAGACATCACGCTTCTGAAGAACTCGGAGAGATTCGTTCGTTGCTTGAAAGAGACTTCAGAGAAATTCGGCCTCGCATTTCTTTTGCCGAGTACATTCCACCCCCTGAGTGGGATCACGGAAGACTCCAAGCTTTTTGTCCTCCATGACGTTCCAATGGGTATGTTATTTTCCGATGTTTAACTTTGTTCTCGTGAAACTGATTTGGATCGTCCAGAGTGGCTCATGTCAAAGGTTTCTGTGGCCTTCACGCATGGAGATTCTCGTACGATATCGATGGGACTTCGACACGGCGTACCTATGATTTCAGTCCCGCTTCTAAGAGAGTGAGTATTTAACTATCTTTCCTGATTAAACATGTCACTTATATCATCTCAGTCAACCCTTCTGGTCAACAGCGATATCGAAAGCAGGCCTGGGCCCACTGCCTCTCTACGAGAAAGACTTTTCCTGTGAATCACTGGTCTCAGCCATTCGTCATTGTCTTACACCAGAAGTACGAGAGACTGCGCAAGATATTGCAAACAAGATCGAGAAAGAAGATGGAGTTACATCAGCCGTGGCATCATTCCATCGCCAATTGGACTGGAATGCCATGCAATGCAATTTCTCCAAAGATGATCTGGCTACTTTCAGGATTCGTGAAAATCCCAAAGTGCAATTATCGTCAGTTGCGGCGGCTATCCTTCTGAATGCCAAAGGAGTACGATGGTCGGAATTAGAGCTGTAAGTTCATCCTTCTCAAGGTGGCGAGCTGTGGAGCTTACAAGTACACTTGCAGAATCGACCGACATCCATACCACACCTACGAGGAGCCAGCTGAAACGGAAGCCCCAAAGAGTGAGGCTTCTCGTTCGGCAGCCACTATAACAGTTGGAAAAGACTTGATCAAAGCCATCGCCAAACCGACATTCTCGCATATTGCAGATGCGTACAACGGAATCGAGGTATGGGACTCCAGAAAATATCACGTTGAACTTTCGCTAATCTGCCATTTGCCCTCTCTTAGAACTATAGCCAAACAGGATCTACCGAAAGATCTAAAAAGAATATGGCCGTGGGTGTGGCCAAGAATGTTAGTTTCGGGTCGGCTGTTTTCCTTGGAAAGATTGCCATGTTGCCATTCAAAAGTGAGTGAAGCCACGTCAACGTCCAACTTGTGGCATATTTGACGGGCATTTGCTTATTACTTTACGAACAGCTGTGTACTATATGGGCGAGAGTGCGTCCTACGGCGTCAGAAGCCTCCAGGGAACCAATTCACGACAGCAGGCGAAAGGAAAAGAAAGTCAACAATGGGATTCTGACTCGGAAGGTACTGATCCGCTTGTTCAAAATTGGTCAAGACAAAAGCTAATCTCAAATACAGAATCCACTTCAAGACCTGCTTCAAGGCCTGCTTCAAGGCCTTCGTCTCAGAGGACCAACTCTGATGAAACGATCAGCAGACATCACGTTGAAATCATCATCAAGCTGCAAATAGAACGGGGCAGGAGAGACAAGAGGCTCCAAGATCCCAGCTTTGTTGCTATGGTGATCTCTTCTTTTGAAGCTCGTTCTAAAAAGGCTTCGGTGTAAACTGGGTTGTTTATGTGATACAAATATGTGTTTAAGCTTGCCATGTTCCCTGCAGATGTAAATAGCTGAATCATTTCTCTTTCCAAACTTTTCATGTCCACAGACCGGTTTACTTAGAACTCCAAGTAGATCATGGGGAAAATACGGGGCTTGCTATTGGCACAGTGGGTTGACAGTAGGGTATGAAAATCCACACCAGGCTGACAATCGACATTAGTTCACTTGCTTAATCCAGTTTCAAGAGATCGACATGGAGATCGACAGTCATGCCAAAGTCCGAGTCTCGGATCTTGGATATAGATGCAGGTGCGACGGAATTTGACTGTCCGCTAAGCCTCCCGTAAAGCGGGGTCTGAGCCGAGAAAGAGAGCGATGAAATGAGCGTATCAGCGTATAGGCGTATGTAGTATTTGCTGTCAACGCCAAGGGTCTTGCGCTAGCTGATCTTACGGCGCCCAACCTTCCATATGCTCAACCTCGGGGATTTGGTTGGCCACCGTTCGCTACACTCGAAGCCAGCTTACGAGGCTGACATAGGAATCTCGTATAGCTCTGTTTATAAAGGAAGCCAATCTCCCAGAGTTGGAAGGTTCATGCACTGAAGACAAAACGATAAGCCTTCAATACGACTTGCTAACACTGCTAGCATTGCCACCAATATTCAACATGACCGATACTAGATCAACGCCCTATGATCTAGAGGGTTTCCTCCAAGTCAAATCGATAAAGTATATCCTCAACTCCTGGGTTGAAAGTACTCAAGCCCGCAAGGTCTTCAACGCAAGCCGCCCCGACAAACCCCTGGCATTCCTGTATCCTGAAACTGCGGACCAGATCTCAGCTGTGATAAAATATGCCAAAGCCAATTGCATCCCATTCACGTTGCGCACAGGAGGTCACAACCTAGAAGGCCGGACGCTAGTCGAGGACGCCCTTGTCATCGACCTGCGAGCCTTAAACAAAATCTCCATATCCGAGGATCGACAATCGGCAATCATCCAAGGCGGAAGTCTCCAGGGAGAAGTCGGCAACTATCTCTGGGCTGAAGGTCTCGGCACACCCCTCGGCTCAGTCCCATCAGTTGGCTACGTCGGATGGGCTACGTACGGTGGATACGGACCATTCTCCTCGCACTGGGGTCTAGGCGTAGACCAGATTCTCGGCGCAACGATCATTAATCCAGATGGGGAGGTAGTCACAGCAGACGAGACCATTCTACGGGGTATTCGAGGTGCAGGGGGCCTGTTTGGTGTCATCCTTGACCTGACGGTTAAGATCTATCCCTTGGACAATTTCCTGGCCGGTGCTATCTTCTTTGATCCAAGCAATATCGAGAAGATATTTGTAGACTTCAATGCTGCTTACCACTCACTTCTTGCTACCGAGGGTTTACCTCCACAATTGACGCTACAGCAAATGATTGTCAACGCCCCTCCTGGTCGCATGTACGGCGTTGGTTTCGTTTGGAGTGGAGCTGACATGGAAGAGGGCCTGCGGTGGAGCGAAAAGATAGCGGCTCTGGCTCCTCTGATGATGAATACGGTTGCTCCTATGACGATGGCGGAATGGTTTGCTGGGAATCAACGCATGATCCCTGAGACGGTATTTGGCTTTGGCACCTTCACACACAGTGTGCATTCCATCTCGCCCGCTCTGGCTGGAGTGATTGGACGCCATCTGCGGGATATGCCAGATAATCCGGGGTGTATGCTATCGATTCATCAATTGAGGGGACCTTCAGCTCAGCCTCCGGGTCAGCCTTCTGTTTTTGCTGCTAGAGAGCCGCATTTCATGTTGGAGATTCTGGGATTTTCCATAACTGAAGAGCAGAAGTTTGAGGGGGAAAGTTGGGCGGAGGGGGCTTTCCGTGAGATTGAGACTGTCGAGCCTGAGAATTTGTTGGCTACGTCGTATATCTCTTTATTTAATACTCGGAACCAGGACGTGAATAACGTGCTCGAGAAAGTTTATGGGCCTATGGCGACTGTGGTAAGGGATCTCAAAAATGGCTTCGATGGCGATAATGTGTTTAGTTTGACTGTACCTGCATTGCAATAGTCACGCCGGTTAAAGTGTGCGAAGCCTTGTGACATTTGTCTTGAAATAAGGACGTTCAACCATTTGACTAAAAAGGCAACGCTGCTTAAAGGTGACAGGCTTATATCTCAACAATTTTATCGCTATATGATTCTGCACAGCTATGTGAATGCTTCTGTCCAGTGCATCAATGAATTTGTGCACTAGATAGTTCAAATCAAAGAAGTTCCTGATGAAGCTGATATATGAATCAAGCATCAAAAATGTCCTTTTTATGGATACATCAAACAAAGTTAACGGTAACTCGTCGACTTACAACCCTCAGGTAAAATCACTATAACCTTTAGGTTGGTTACTCTTATTCTAAATGCTTTCTGCCTGAATGCTAATCCACCAAGTTGAATGATACTACAATATCCACATCACATTCAGGAGCAACAGCCTTTGGAGCAGGCAGACTGCGAGCCAGAGATACACAAAAGATCGACACTGAGTCCGAGCTCCTCAAAGCAGTTGCACTGGCCAAGCAGATCGATCTAGTCATTCTGTGCGCTAGACTGAACAGTAATAGGAAAGGGAAGGGTACGACTGCCACACCATGGACCTGCTAGAGACAGGCAAACCAATCGCTGCAGTGATAGCGACGAACTCAAAGCCAGCTGTGAGTATACAGTCTGACACGCCTGTGACTATGGCTTAGATGATGTTTCAGCTTTAATGCATGCCTGATACCGCAAAGAGGCCGGTTCTGCTATCGCGGAAGCCGTCGGTGTTGCAACCCCCAATGGCAATGCAGATAATGCTGCCTTTTGAACTTCCAGAGTGAGCGCGATAGCACGAGATATGGCGAAGGTGTCGATGTCGAATAACGTTACCACATCTATAAAAACCATGCAAAACATACACAACAAAGAAACCCTAACCCGCAAGTCTCCTCGAACGACTCACACAACTGTCTCACAACTGTCACACAACTGTCACACAACTGTCACACAAAGAGCCCTCGACTTTCTCGCAGAGAAAAGAACATAATCACCACTGCGTGATTGCATCACTGCCAGAAAAAGAAAGATCTCCCTGCTCGGCAGCCACTAGAAACAGCCCAACATGCACGACTCTGCAGAACAGTGTAGATCCCCACCGTACACCTACAGCCCCAAGCAGCCCCCTCCCAAATGAATACAATCTGCACCGACGAGCAAATTGGGTAGCAGTACATGTGATGCACGTCCAGAGCCAGCCCCCAGTCTTTGCCTCTGCAGTCCATTCGGCGCTATCCAGGCCGAGCAGGACCGAGTCATCTGATAGGGCCATTCCGACTCTGCGAGGAGGGGAAAGTCACAGCCAAAGCATATGGGAACTGCATGTGATCTGAAGCTGTTATATAATGCAGTGATCCTGTGTTTATTTCTCTTTCTTTCGTGTTCTGAGTTGTGTGGTCTTAATCGTGTACCGTCCTCAACTTGCGCATCCATATCTATTCCAGGTCTATACCAGGTCTATACCAGCCCTAAACCCAGATCTTAGCACAGATCCCAGCCTCGTGGCCACATCCTCAATAAAATATATCGCAACGTCTGCCCTCTTTAATGCCGCTCGACTCTCAACCCCACAACCTCAATACCCTTCCAACCCCCACGTCACCAACCATGCAACCTACCGCACCGCAGTCAAATAATGGCTGGTTTCAAAATGTCCTAGCGTCTCTTGGGACTATTTTCCACGGTCCAAAGTCATACTCTGAGTCTGAATCCGAGTCTGATGCTGTCTCAGGGTGGGTGGGGACGAGGAGAGGTGGGAGGTGTCGATCCGTTGGGGAGGCTCGTTGACATCAACGCATATTGATCGTGATTCCACTGGAGCTTCAATCTGAAGGTCATTGTCGCGGTCCGGGATCGACTTGGATTTGGGGTACTTTTCTCGGGGAATTGATTGCTTGTGAGCAAGGTTATGTGTAATGTTGGCTCTTTGCTGGGCTTGATGAGCTGATGACCGGGTTGGTTACTCCTGCATTTTGTTCTGTTGTTCTTTCGCATGTTGTTTTTGGCCAGGCGTTGGGTATTGTGCTTTTGTTCGGATTTCGGGATTGATTAGCTTTCGGACGATTGTCTTAACAGAACAAATCAATATTTACTCATTATGACAGGTGGGATAAAATGATGACTGCATACGTAGACACAGCAGAGTCAAAGGACTTGGTATAGATACATAGCGATTAGACAACCCATCATACAAAGTGTATGCATACAATAAAAGTACAAAAGCCCGACACAGCCGGGGCGATGCTCAAAAACAGAGGAAGAAGTATACAATCGGAAGCTAACAAATCACCCATTCAAGCGTCAACACGAGTCGGGATCTTGACAGCGCCACGAGTACGGTCCTCATGCGGGACACCATAGCGACGACCAACAGCCCAAGGGGCACGGCCATTGGCACCAGTGGTCGCCTTAGTGAACTTGGTATCCTGGATGCGGTAATCGAAACGCGAGTCAGCCGGAGACACAGTCTTCTGGCTTGCCTCGCGACGTTCCTGGACACGCTGGCGAGCCTCCTGCTCGAGGGACTCCTGGCGGGAGAGACGCTCAGAATGGCGGCGTTGAACGGTCTGGCGTTCATTCGGGAACTCAAGACGGTCGCGTTCGAGACCGATCATGTGTGGGTGGGGGATACGTGCGTCGGCGGGCTGAAGGATCTGGCGAGCCTTTTCACCCTTGCCGATCCAGCCAATTGCGTTGGGGTCTTCAATCACCTTCTGGGCTAGGTCGTAGGGGTGTTGGATCTCAGCGGCTTCTTCTTGGGTTAAGGCTGGAGCACCGGAGAAGACGCGGCCAGCTTCGACTCGATTGAAGGAACGCGATTCAGGAACTGGGTAAAAGATTTGGGATCCTGTGAGGGGGTGGGCGGGGAGGTCGTTGATGGATTCGTGATATGTTTGGCGCTCGCCTCTGTCGGCGAGGTGAGTGACGGGAACCATTTCGTGGACTGCCCGTGCGTAAGGAAGTGCCAAAGGTTTGCCCTAATTTGGTTTGTTAGTGATGGTCCGGGCCAAGAGTAACAAATATCCAAAAGTAAAGGTGTGGTGCAATTCAGTTCAAAAAGGTAAGTTTTAACCATGTGGGTGTCTTCAAGACTAATCGAATTTTTTGACTCATCATATGCGAGGGAAAGCGTCCAGAAAGAAAGGAGGGAAAAGAGGAGAAAAGGATGTTCTTACCTGTGCGCGCTGTCTCTTCTCCAGTTCAACCAATCTCACGACGGCAGCGATACGCTTCATATCGATTCCAAGCTCCACACTGAGAGCACGAAGACTCTGCTTCTTGGTCACGACGCGTTTATAGATTTCTTCGCGGAGCTCCTCACTGAGGATGCTCTCACTGATGAAATTGGGGTTGTTAGGAAAAGGTCGATTTGCCTCATCAGAACCTGTCGCTTTTGACCGGGATAGATAGTTGGTCTGTCCGGGAACATGGTTCTTCAGTCCAGCACCGGCTGTGCTGAGCCATTCAAACATCTGCCGACGAAGCCTTGTTTGAGAAGCTGTCGTAGCAGAGAACTGACGAAGGCATTGTGAGGATGAAGGGATAGAGGAAGATGTGGAAGATGTGGAGGTGAGGTAGGGAAGGAGGGTGTTGGACACACGCCCGGTCTGTACCCGGGGTGGCATCTTTGAGGAATTGAGAGAGAATATAGGAGTATGTGAAAAAGGGAATCAAGGGGGAGAATAGTAAACGCTGTTAAACAAAAAGAAAAAAACACAGTTGCAATTGAATGCAATTCGAAAGAAGGGAAGTCGGACAGCCCCGGGAGTGTTTGGTGAGAAGAAACTTTTCGGTAGTGCTATCACGTGACCAACCCCAGGCGAAGCTCCTATCAACATCCTATCAACAGTACTGAGTGCGGGTTCCTACTCATGCTAGTAGATTTCTAATTTGGATTCTTGTTTATTGTCGGTGGAATCAGTTCATTGTATGAAGTACATCAAAGCAAATGTATCAGTATCATACCACCAAGCAAGACGAGGAAATAAAACATAGACAAGACGGCAGTCCATATCTGTATATCCCTAGCATAGGTAAAAAGCGAATGACTGTGCGAGAGCCGTCAAAAATGCATTTAAAGATAAAGATCAAGATCAACGTAAGCAAGACATCCACCGCCAGCAAAAGAATCGCACAGAAATAACAAAATCAACGCCGGGGACAGTATGTAGTCAGCTAAGCCGGTGACACGTCTTTCCATAGCTCATGCCATTGAGTAGAGAGATATTAGAAAGAGAAGCTAAAGAAAGCCACATAAGACCCTTCTTTTTCAGACTTGGGGTAAAATAGACAGGCGCATTGCAGGGTAAATTAGCAAAATCCATTCCGATCCTCGCAAGACGATGCATCGAAAAGACCCAGAGATAGATGAAAACAAAACAGGGGGAATCACGTCAAATAAAATAGATAACAGCTCGGAGAGATCTTGGTCAGAGAGATCCATCCCAAGATGAGCGAGAGAAAGACAAATTCAGCAAGAAAACTAGGGTATGGTGTGGACGAAACGAAAGGGGCAGAAACAAACGCGCTACTCGAGCGCCTCGCACCGACCAAATAAGAATACAAGTGTGGCAATGACCTGAAATGCAATCCTCCCAATGAAATGAAGACAAATAAGGAATGTAAGAGCGCCCGGGTTTCCATGCAATAAAAAGAGCAAAAGTCAGAAAAGGGGGGAAATCAGAAAAGAGAAGAAGAAGAAATTAGAAAGCAAATCCGAAACAATACTCCCGAGAGTTATGCAGCCGCCGAATGCTGATCTAGCTCACGAAATGAAAGGAATCACCAATGCGCCAGATACCCCAATTCGTTCAAACATGCCGGACATTATCTCAATATAATGCTTTGGTCTCAACGACCCATCATGTAATCGGGGTAGAAGGAATTATATCCATTCAGATTCGGCCCGTTGTTACCGCCAGCGCTCCCAGGAGGTGGTGGGGACATCATCATGGAATTGCCACCGTTTCGGATTCCCAGACCCGAGTTGGGGTTATATGAACCGTTGTTCATCAACCCAGCGTGTGGATTCGGATTGTGCATGTTGTTTCCATTGCGCATAGGCGGGGGCGTGGGCAAGCCCATACCGAGGCCCGGAGGGGCTGCAAGGCCAGGGGGAGGCCCATTGACAGCCGAAAACATGTTGTTATGCATGCCGCCCAAGCTGTTGCCCCCAGAAGATGCACCCTGTCCAGAGATTGAGTTGGAAGAGCTCATGCTGCCCGGCTGTCCAGAGCGCACACCCAATGGGTTCTTGGAGAAACTGAGACGAATGCCAGTCTTGACGCTGTTTGACAGCTTGTAACCGTACAATTCATTAAGAGCCTTGCTGGCCATGGCGACCTCGTCAAATTCAACAAAGCACATGGGGCCATTCTGCTTGTTTCTGAAACAGAGTCGCTTGTATCCACGTTGCTTCGAAAAGAGCGCCTTGAGCTCTTCCTCCGAAGTGTCCGGGGGCAAATTGCCCACGTACAGCGTGTTACAGGGAGGGTTGAGATCGTTAGGGTTGGCAGCAGGGAGGCTGTGTCGTGGTGTGTGCTGGGCGCTGTATGGGAAACCATGGCCTTGGTTTGGGTAGGCGGATGCTGACGATCCACTACCCATTCGCTGTCCCACACCCCCGGAGTAATTCGGCAGAGGAGGAGACGACATGTTGGTTGAAAGAGACAAGTTGGAAAAGCGACCGGTCGGAATTTGAGGGTTGGTAGAACGACGGGGAGGACCAACGGAGTGTCCATTCTCCGCGTACCCCACTGGATCCTTTAACAGCTCACCAGTCTCCTCATCTGGATCCTCATCAATCATAGACTTCCCAGTTATACGTGGGAGGTTATCGATGCCGTTTCCGATCGGAGAATGTGGAGAGAAGATGCTATGCATGCGCGAACCCGATTCCGAGGTCTGAGGAAGCCCCTCGCCGATGACTTGGTTCGGGTTCGCGGCTGAAATCCTTTCCAAACTCTGGAAGGTGTTGTTGAAACGCGAAGACTGACGCGCCAGGGGTCCATTTGAAGGAACACCCCCCAGCAATGCACGGCTCGCGGTGTGGTCGATCGTATTGCGACGCGCGTTTGACATTGCGGATCCCATGGGACCGCCCGGGTACATCTCGACAATCATGTTGGCGTCGTTCTTGGAGTTGGGTTTGCCATCGAGCAAGGCTCTGGCTTCCTCAGCGGCAGGCAAAGTGTGGAACCGCGCGATCGCGGTTAAGAAGCCGTCGTCCTCCGGGAGATCCAGAGTCACAAAGTCGGCATCCACTAGTTCCTTGGCGAACAAAAGCATGCTGCGCAAGGCTTCGCGACTGGTGTTTCGGGGCAATTTGCGCATCAAAATCGCGCCTCCGCTGCGACCCAGGCCGCTCAGGCCCTGAAGGTTACGGTCGGTATCACCCAGGCGCATGTTGTTATCGAACGAAGCCGAGGTACCGATCGGAGAGAAGGGGTAGGAGAAAGAGTTGTTTAGAGAGGGCGCTTGCGACGCATTCGGGCTATACACGTCGGTCGACATCGCATGCTGAGCCGTCGAGGGCGCCGAGGAGAGAGACTGCTGGGGGGGCGAAGAACCAGACGACACGGACTCTGTCAGCTGTGTGGTTCCAAAAGAGCCTGGACTCGTACGAGTGGACTGGCTAGAGCTGCCGCTCATCCCTCCACGAGTATTAAAGTGCTGAATTTTTTTTCGCCTTTGTCGCGATCCCAGGTGAGATAGATCAGGGATCGGAAGTCGGAGGGGGGAGAAGTCGTCGCGAGTCGGAAATGTCGCGATGAGTCGCGCAAGATAATGCGATTAGGAAAGATGCAGATGGATCGAAGAATCCGATCCAGAATTGTAATGCGACAGGCGACAGAGAATAAAGATGGATGGAGAATGCAAGAGGGAGGGGGGAGAGGGCAGGGGGGAGAAGAGAAGGGGGGGGGGGAGAAAAGAGTCCGGAACGGTCGAGTGCAGTCCACAAGTGCCAGATCCATGGATCTGCTCTCACGACGCGACTCATCGGGAAAACAGGTATGTAACACAGGGGGTACATGGGGTACCCGGTAATTCCCCATACTTGGGGAAGTACCTCAAAGTAGATGACAATACTTGGTCACTGTTTTACACAGTGACCCTAGAACTTGTCCGCATGCAGAGATCCAAGTGCGTGTCCATAATGCATTCTTTCTTACTAACCGTGCTTAACTTGCTGCACTGGCTTCACTGGCTTCCTAAGTGGAACATGGGTTAAGTTCGTTCATGTTGATAGTGGACCTTAACATCTTTTCTGGATGCATGTTTGAATGTTCCATGTGGCTCAGCGGTTGGGGCTCTATTCGTGATATACTGTACAGGGGTATTTACCGGGAACAAAGCAGGCATAGCCTCTCTGTATCTGACATCCTCATGAGGGAAGCCTGTGAGGAAAGCCTATAATGAAGCCTACACTGAAGCCTACCATGAAAGTCTACTGTATATACAGGCCTATAGCAAGCATTCAGACAATAAACTTGCATTTCCCGTGCAAACCAGAATCTACAAGTCAGGTCCAAAGAAAGTCAAAAGTCGACGATCCTCCACAATGAACCAATTGCCACGGGGGAACCCTGGCTGCACATGGGATTGGCTGCCACGGGGAAATGACTCGACCTTATCGAGGGGGCGCTGGGGAGTATGGTTGGGCCGTGGAGAGAAGACATCGCTTGGCTGATCTTAGTGCCTGGAGCGGTCATAAGCGCGTCAACAGAGCGAGTGTCTTGATGGCTTGAACACCGCATTTTAAACCTTGGTCTACGCGTTACTTGAGGCTTATTACTCCAGTCAGCCTCTACGAGATTCCCAAATAGGGATTCGGTCGGCCCTGCCTCGCTCATGCACCTGATCTAATGAGTACTGTAGATACCGAGGTAGGGACGGGTTCGCTCCCGTGCATGTTACCACATTCCGGACACTCAAGTCGTAGATATTCATGCCCGTTCCAGAGCCAACGCAGCTAGGCTGCCATAATATACAGAGATGTTCCCAGGCAGCTCAATAAACGCCGAAAATGCCAACACAAATAATACAGACGGCCTGGTCACCACCGGTCCCCTGAGTCCTCCCACGGAACGTTTGCCTCAGGGCAAACGGCCCCGCTCGGCCGAAGCCCTAAGAATGCGAGAAAGCTAGATTTGACTCGAACAACGAGTAAGAGTCAGGGTTATAACTGTGGTACACAGTCACCGCCTTGAAAGTCCACACAGAGTCGATGATCACGCCTTGTGGAAGGTCGTAGGTTTAGGAACCACGAGGCCGCCCTGTAGACACATTCAGTTAGCACCAACACTTCAGAATGACCCTATGATCGGGTAGGCCGGTACATGTAGAGAATAATAGAACGCAATCCATGTGTTGTCATCATTCTAGAATACATATCACCGCTTGAAAGAGTGGAATTTGGCTTACCATGCTTAACAGCTTCCACACGGGGTCGCTTGGCTGCGCACCCACTCCGAGCCAGTACTGTGCGCGTGAACGATCGAGGGCTACCTCCTTGTATGGGCGAGGATTGGCATCCTCATTGTACAAGTTGGCGGGACGCTTCGGGATGGGGTTGTAGGTGCCGATGACTTCGAGGGGCTTCGCGCCACGAGCGGAGCTATTCAAATAAGAGTCAATTACAATTCTTGACAGTGTGTTTGTCGTATGTTGGGGTGATATTCCATCCGACCATGCTGCAGTCTTGTGCTGGCGTCGTGGATCGGGAGACTCGGCCGTTGACAGAGGAAGATATGGGGACGTACCGGGCTTGTGCGACGATAATGTTGTAGAAAGGGTTGTGCTTGTTGCCAAAGCGGGCAAGTCTGATCCGAAGAACCATGTTGGATGTGTGTTTTGCAATTGGTGAGGGCGCGAGACTGGTCTGTTGGTCGCGATGTCCTCCGCAAAAGTTCTGGAAGTTCCGGCAGAACTGTTGTTCCGGACTACCTAACAGGGATTAGCGTGGTGATGTAATGTGAGGACCTGTAGATCTACTTGGGAGGTGATGCATGCTCTCTCTTTCCTTTTCTATTCCACTTAAATTGAATACTGACTCCCTTACTACCATCATTGTATGTTCCACTTCACATTCAAGCGTACCCGTCTTTCTACTCCCATTCGACGCTTCAGTAAATCAGCAACTATGTCATTGAAGGTGCAGTCATTTGATAGACCTGCAATTAAGACATCAACACTCACAATTGCATTTTAAACCAGGCAATCTCCTCTAAAGATGCTGCCGCCTTGGACAAGGACCTGATGGAGGTTGGTGGCTGGTCCCTAGATCAGTTGATGGAACTAGCAGGACTCTCTGTCGCGCAAGCTGGTAAGCTCCAAGTTCCAAGCTCCAAGCACATCAGGCAAGGTATTAATCTACGAGGTGACAGTATGGAAAGTTCACCCCCTTAGCGCAGGCAAAAACATTCTGGTCGTCTGCGGCCCAGGTAACAATGGTAAGACAAGCGCTACACAACCCTAACGTCTGATATCAAATCCATAATCCACAATCTAATACTCCCCGCAGGAGGAGATGGACTCGTAGCAGCACGCCACCTAGCACACTTTGGCTACAACCCCTCAGTATACTACCCAAAACAAGGCAAAAACGAACTCTACCAAGTATGTCCAACCCACACGAACCTAAAAGCTCACTCCAAATTAACAAAAACCACCCTAGCGCCTTCGCATCCAACTTGACAACCTGTCTGTGCAATTCATAACCGACTTCCCAGCAGCCCTGAAGCAAACCAATTTCCTAGTCGACTCAATCTTTGGGTTTTCCTTCGGAGGGCCACTCCGCGATCCCTTTGGTGACATAGTCTCGCAAATTGAAACGGCAAATGTGCCTGTACTGAGCGTTGATGCGCCTAGTTCATGGGATATTCAGAGCGGGCCACCAAAGGAAGGACCTGGTGCGAAATTTATGCCTAGTTCACTCATTAGTTTGACAGCGCCGAAGCCTTGTGTGCAGTTTTATCGGGGACGGCATTTCATTGGGGGGAGGTTTTTGACTAAGGGTATTGCGGAGAAGTATGGACTTGATTTGCCTGCTTATCAGGGTGTTGAGCAGGTCTTGGAGGTTCAAGTTGATGCCGAGGGGAAGTTGTGATTGTGTTGTGATGGTTATGACTACTCGAAGGCTTAAGGGCTACTGAGAGTGAAACAGACAGAACTGAATGGAATAAAACATGATGATTGATTTCCTGGGGAATTTGCGTTGTCGTCGTTAGGAAGTAATAAATCTCTTATCTATGCACACATACGCTGAATGCTGAATGTTGAATGCTGAATGTTTGCAAAGTATCCTGCTCTTAGAGTGCCTCCCGAATCTCGCCAATGATACCCTTGATACGGGGTTCCCTTCCCGGACCTGATGCCGAGAGTCTGGCAAGCACACCTTCGATCTCGTAAACTTCCTTGGCGGCAGTCTTAACCTCCTCTCCGAGAGAGAAGATGAGTGTACCAAGCGAAACGAGTGCTCGGTAGACCGCTTCAGAATCCTTTTCTCCGGCAAAGATCTTATTCAATTCCTCGAGGAGGACGAGACCGCGTTCAGCCGATTCTGGGGTCTGGTTCCTGTCCTCGGAGACAAGGTAGACTGCAAAATTAATGTACAGCGTCGTGATAGCGATGATAAGATTCCGGTTTGGTGAGGCTCCGCTGTTAGCCAGGGCAGACTGGACTCCAGCCAGGATCTGGTCAAACGAGCTCATGGCCAGTTCGCGGCCAGCAGGGGTCTCAAACAGGTTTGCGAAGGTACGCATGGCAAGCATAGCGTTGTTGACATTGAGAGGAGATTCAAATACACCGCTAGAGATGACCCCTGACACAACATTCTCGTCTGCGTACTCTGCCGCTGCTGTGAGGGGCGAAGCGGCTGCTAGGAGACGGAGAATATCAAGACCAGGGAGTCGGTTCTCGGCAGGCCAGGAAGTGACAATCTTGAGAATCAATGGTATTCCAGATTTGACCTCAGGTGAGTCCTTGAGCTGCTGAGAGGATTCCATTTGGCCACACATGGCAACAATGGTTTCCACCTCTGAAGGGCTCAAGGCCGTGTCCTTTGATCCATCTGAAACAAGTCTATCGTTCAACTCCTGCAACTTCTTCGTAATTACTTTGAGGTTTGCCGAGCGGATTGAGAGGTAGGTTTTCTGAGGAAGCACCGCAGGCCGCGGCTCCGGAGCAGGAGGTTGGGACTCTTCAGCAGCTGATGCGTCACCAGGACGGTATCGTCGGTCTGACCCCCAGGGGTCAGAACCCTCTGGCTCTTGGGATGACTGTCCAATTGTGGCGCCTTGGGTATTCTGAGTGATGAAACTTGCAACCTGGTCGAGATACGTCATAGGAAGCTCGTTGTCTCCGATAAACTTGGTGGCAGCTTCGTATGGGTTCTGTGAGGCGTTGTAAGGTAGCTTTAGTGGCGGCTTTCCATCTTCGATATCAACATCAAAGACGTAGTCATAATCCTGTCCATGGTATTCGGTCTTCCGGCCACTGCTTCCAGCTGAGTCCACCACCGTACCAACAGCGATCCACTCTTGTGACGCGGATGACCAGGTATGGGCCGTAACACTGCCATCATTCTCTCGAATCATCTGAACCTGACCTTCCTTAGTGCCAGACTTTTCTTTCAGGAACTCTGGACCAGGTAGTTCTTCCTTATTGATCTGGCCAACCTGCTGCGCCGGAATAGAAGACTCTTTAACAGCCTGGTCAAAGAGATTCAAGGCATCTGGGGCTGCGTGGCGGTCTGGGCTTCGGCTGAAAACACGGGCAATACGGTCACTGGCACCGGTGACAATATCGCCTGTGTCATTACAAGCTGCGACACTCCACACCGAGATCGCAGGATGAGTAATGGTTTGCACGCACTGAGTGCCACGCCAGATCTTCACGGTACGGTCTTCACTTGAGCTCACCAGCTCACCAGATGGGAGCGCAGCAAGCGAATAAATGAAACTCTCATGACCGTGAAGAGATGCGACGAGTTGACCTTGCAGTGTGTAAAGACGAATTATACCATCGTTGCTGGCTGATGCAAACTGGGCACCTGTGGGGTTCGATGCAGGAATCTTGCACAAGGCGCGAACAACGTCGTTGGAGTTCTGCACGCTCCCGAGGAGAGCTCCTGATGTATTGAATATCCGGATCATTTTGTCGGCGCAACCTATACAATATCAGTTTTAAGTCTTGCATCAGGTTATTCGGTGATAAGTCCATACCTGTTATGATGGTGTTGTCGTCGTAGGCCAGCACAGCCCAGACACTTGCCTCATGTCCTTCCAGCACAGCTTCACATTCCCACTTGCCAACCTTCCAGAGACGAGCAGTTGAGTCCCAGCTACCACTGACAACCCAGCTACCGTCTGGGGAAATATCCAATGCACAAACATTATGGCCGTGGCCTAGCAACATAGCGTCCGCATCGTCCGCCGCGCTCTTGCTCGGCTGTCTGGCTTCAATTATTGAATCTTGTCCAGCAGACAGGACAAGGCCTTCGGGATATTGAGAGGTTGGAGGGACATAGGCTAAGCTGTTGATAAAGGCTGTCCCATGTGCAGCGATCGAGTAGTCGTAAACGGGGGGAGGAGTCGCGACGAGCTTCCAGAGCCGAACTGTGGCATCTCGAGAAGCGGAAAGAACGACATTGGGGTTTGGGAAGACCACGGCGCGAACCTATATTGAAATCAAATGAATGTGAGAACTCTGCGTGAATTGGATGCGCGACCAATGTCGTATGGAGATGCCGGGATCAGGAGCCTTACATCATCGCCGTGGCCCTCAAGGGTTGCTGAGAGCTTGAAGTCAGGCATACATGTAACTTGGGGAGAGGAGATGGGGAAAGAAGGAGAAATTCCAGTCGAAATTAGGTGGGAATATCACAGAATCAGCAGTCAACTAAGCTCCCCGATGTTGTCCTTTAGTCGTTCTGGGGCGATCCCCGCCAAAGCATCATATCACGTGGGCGGTAACGGCGTTGGAACCGAACCTGCTAGAACGCCGAGCTTATCAACCTTGGAAGTTAGCATGGAGATTATTAATAGCGTGTTTGGATGGATCCCTTTGTCTATGTAGGCTGGTTCATACAGTAGTGAGTCACTTGGCTCGAAACTAGCTTGAGATTCGTCCAGTGGCCTAATCCAGGGCCCATCTACTCGAATCCACTACGCCAGAACAGTCGGTCTGGCTCCTTACCCATGGTTCTGCCCAATGCAAGTGATGCAGCGATGGCTTGCAATTCATCACCAATCCAGATCGCATGTACGTCTCAGCCCGTAGCATTTCCCTTGGACGCTCCGAGATCAAGTCGAGTCGTCCAACTATACACCTCACGTGTTACTTCAATTATACCCGACTGGGACTAGCGCCTTACCTAATGGGGATCGCCCGTTATTGTTGGAAATTGAAATTCGATATCCCATCTACATCTACCAAGCTGTTTGTGCTATTTCCCAGGGCCTGCTCTCCTTTTGAGGTGTCTGGAAGCCTCATATATCGCTCCTCTCACCCTTCTTCGATCCTTTTGGCAATTTGATCCCACGTCTGATGACTTGACGAACGTGACGAATCTCTTATGTACTTTCCTTAAGACATATCCAACCTCTGGTCTTCTTCCTGGACTTGTACTTGACTTCAGTCACTCGGATTTCGAAGCTCACGCGTATCGTGAATCGGATCTGCGATTGGCCCTCTAATACCTAGCATCAAACCCAACTGAAACCTACGGAGATCTGTCTCCACACCAACGAGATGACTTCCGGTGAGTGATGCCCGTTGATAATATCAGCATTGACCACCTCATATGTGTACTGATTGTCTGCCACAGACATTCCCAAAGTAGTCCCTCTGACTTGCCACGGACACTCTCGTCCAGTGACGCATTTGAGCTTTTCTTCAACTGTCGAAGATGAACAGTACTATTTTATCTCCTCATGCAAAGGTATGGAACATGTCCAAATGCCACCAACTGCCACCATAACTAACCTATATCAGATAATAACCCCATGCTCCGGGATGGTATCACCGGCGACTGGTACGCTAACGCTATATGATCCCTCTAACATCCCAAGCCCCACTAATCAAAACCCAGGATTGGAACTTTTCTCGGCCACAAAGGCGCAGTATGGCAAGCCAGGCTCTCAGCCGACGCAGCCATCTCCGCCACAGCAGCAGCCGATTTCTCAGCGTAAGCCACTCCAAAACTCCCCTCAAAGCATAACATCACCATATACTAACTCACCCACCCCCCAAACCAGCAAGGTATGGGACACCTACACAGGCGAATGCCTGCACACACTGCAACACGCACACATCGTGCGAGCAGTAGCATTCCCCATTCAAGCCAACCCACAAGTCCTTGCAACAGGCGGCGCAGAGAAAAAGCTCCGCATCTTCGATCTAACACGCGGCGGCGGCAGCGGCACACGCAGCAACGCCTCAACGCCGCCCCTCCCATCCGCAGGCTCAGGCTCTAACCCAACCGAGAGCGGAGGCGTAGCAAGCTACGAAATCGGCGCAGGCGTGCACGGCGGCACGATCAAGTCCATCGTCTGGAACCAGGACTACAACGTCGTCACCACAGCCGCGGAAGATCGCAAGATCCGCTGGTGGGATTTGCGATCCCGTCATCCTGTCATTGAGTATGCGGTTGATGGGCCGATTGGGACCTGCGAGTTGAATAGTCTTGCGACGCGGCCTAATGATTCGGGGATTTTGACTGTCGCTGCTGGGAAGAGTGTTTATTTGTTTGATGGGGTGCAACCCGGACGGTTGCTTAAAAAAGTGGATTTCGGGTATGATGTTGCTAGTGCTGCTGTTAACAGTGAGTCTGGACGACTTGTTACTGGTAGTGCGAATGATACCTGGGCTCGGGTTTATGATTTGAACACGGATGAGGAGCTTGGTATGCATTTCCCCTCCCCCTTGAGAATTCGGATTTGTATTAATCTTGGTTACTTTTGCAGAGGTTCAAAAGGGTCACCACGGTCCTATTTGGTCAGTTAGCTTTTCCCCTGATGGAAAGCTCTACGGAACTGGTAGCGAAGATGGTACCGTCAAGCTTTGGAAAGCATGCCGCGAGCCTTATGGCTTGTGGAGGTGATGCGAGAAGTTCCCATCTTCTTTGTTACAGTGTACAGAAATCATGGCAGCACATGTCTTCCCTAGCCATTTGTGGCTTCTTTATTCATAATTGGCGGCGGCTTTAGTCTACTTTGCTTTTATCGATATGTACCGATCAATTTCCCCAGTCTTCACACTCTATGCAAACTAAATCCATGTTTCGAGGTACACGTGGAAATGTACAAATGTAGCTAAATGCAGGTTGCATGTCTGGTACCGAGAGAAAGATAGCAATGTGCATTCTGGTCTCCAACGGAGAGATAGCCATAAAGTATTTGAGTCCTCCCATTTCGCCCGCGCATGGGATAGAAAGGAACAAGCAAGAAAAAGAAAAAGAACAGACACTGGATGGAGCCGGATGCGCGAAGGAGCCCAAATTACAATTTCGTGGTTGAGTAAAGTACAGAATTCTAGACGGGATCCGTACGAACATTGACGGCGGAAGGAAGAGTGGAAACGACGTCAAGTCGGCTCGAATATCTTCAGAAAATATGGCATGTTGGTGATAAGAGCTGAGAGGAATGAGTCGGTAGACAAGAGCCACATGGTATGGTAAGTTGAAATGATCACATTTACTCAATCATGTCGATATCGGCGTCAGTGATAGGTGCACTGGTAGCCGGAGCAGCCTGCTGAGGGGCAGAATCCTGAACAGGGGCAGCCTCTTGGTCGCCGCCACCGGCAGTACCCCAGTAATCCTCCATCTCTTGGTCAAGTTCTTCCTGTGTCTTGCGAGGGCGAGCGTTCGAGCGATGGGATCCATCAGCGGGTTGAGCGCGGGGCTCACGTCCATTGCGTCTGCCTCCTCCGTTACGGCGAGGAGAGCGTCCAGAGCGTCCAGATCGCTCAGAGCGCTCACCGGGGACGTAGCGATCAATGTGTTCGGGGGCAGGCTTGGTAACGTCGCTGCGTTGACGGCCACCACCACGACGGCGGCGACCACCCTCGTCGTCGGATCGGGGGCTCAAGCTGCGGCCATCACGGGGACGCTCCACGCGGTCGATGAGGCTGGACTTGGGGTGCTGCACACTGTCGAATGGGTTGCGCTCCCGGCGGCCGGGAATGAGAGAAAGGCGAATGGGTTGACCCTTGGCATTAGCACCATCAAACTCTTGGATTGAAGTGTGTGCGTCCTTCAGACGGGCGTATGTGATGTGAGCGACGCCCTCAGAGCGTCCAGCGCGGTCGTATGAAAGAGAGAGGTCGGAAACAGGTCCAATGCGGCCAAAGAGATCCTATGCGAGTCACTTGTCAGAAATGTCTTAATTGCGGGACAGATAACGGCAAAGACTGACCTCAAGATCGGCCTGTGTGATGTCGTAGTGGAGATTTTCCACCCGAACTTTGGTCAATGCGGATGTGCTACTCATTGAATCAGTATAGTCAAGCAACTTTCGTTGAAAAGTTTCCGTACCGGTCAGAGCCGGGTCCATCACGGCCTCTTCGGGAGACATGGGAAGGGCGGGCTAGAAAAGGTGTTAGATAATGTCCCATGACATGGAGAACAAATAACATACAGCGGTCATCGTCAAACTTGTCATGAACCCAGTCGCTAGATACAGACGCGTCAGTATTTGTTGCATCTCACCATCCAGGGAGGTATAATCACAGGTTCAAGTCAACGCGGTCTTGTGTGTATGGCTGTTGTTATTCGAAAGACGGAATGTTAGCTCCAAGTCAGAAGAGGTACCGTGCAAGTTCAATTTCATGTTTTTTGCCGTCGAGTGTTCGCGAACAAGTCTCTGACAATCCAGGACTGGCCACGGTTTCACGGGGCAAGAGGAGAATTCGCAGGAGGAAGAGGAGGGCGGACCTAGATATCAATTAAGTCAGTATGGTTGTCGTCGGGGCAGAGCCGCAATGTCAGGTCAAGTACCTTTCTAACGCCATCACGGTCACGGCGACGGCCCGGGTTGTTGTTACGGCGGCCACCAGAGGGGCGACCAGTGTTGCGCTGCAATAATGGCTATTAGCATAGATTCGGAGACAATGCCTGGTTGATGCACTGCTGCTGCCTTACCGTATCTTCAGCGATGATCTCGTCGAGGCTGCGGTCCATCTTGAGATATTTTGCAGGAAGCGCAATAGATCAGTTAACAAATGATATTAGACCGGAAGAAGTAAAACAATTCAGTCCTGGTCGCGTAGGTTAAGAATTGAAAGGAGATGTGGCGGATAGAGAGATCACTCTCATTAGCACCGATGATCCGATCTGGGGACGCCAGGCACGTGACATGCAATTTACTTACGGCGACGGGGGACCTTGTAGATCTTGAAAGAGACACAACTGGACAATGGGCAGAATGGGGCTAATTTTGAATGACAATAATATACTCACGGGACCATGGCTGCTTGGAGATCAAAGTTCGCACACGATGAGCCCAAGATTGACCGGTCTTCTGCTGTCACTTAACTTCTACGGGCAACTGGAACAGGTCTGTTCTACTGGAAATAAACTTGACATGTCAAAATCATCATATGGTATCCTGAGCATTACAGAAAAGCATACACGAGCGGAATATGCAAGAACAATCACCTAACCCCAGGATGCATGACACAAAAAAAAAACAAGAGGAAGCCGGATCGAAGACACGCAGGAATCCTCCCTGAAACACCAGAAACACAGCAACACCGAGTCAGTGCAATTCCCCTAGAATGACCCCCAGAATCACCGGCAATGCTGTGCGAAGAACCATGACAAAATCGTTACTGTTCGCTCCCATTCTTTTTCCTACTTCTCTCATCTTCTCCATGAAACTAATGTAGTCGTACTTGGCCAACTCCCTGTCTTCGAGGAGATCAGGTCCATCATGCGTTGGCATTGTCTTGACCAAATGCTCAATAACCTCATCTGGGATGAGTGAGTGGCGGAGATCGAGTTCAGTAACATAAGGCTAAAATGACTGTTAGTAACAAAATAGAGCATTTCTGGATAGTTACGTACCTTGCCATCGGCTACTTCCCTGAAACTCTGGAAGACCTGCTCGGCAGTGTTCTGATCCTCTGTCACGCTGACCATGAAGCGAATGAACTGTTCGAAGCTCACTCCGGCATTTTGTGAGAGGCGATTGGCCCCACAGACCTCAACGTAGACCTGGTGCATCTCTTCTTCGTCGTAAACCAGACCCAGACTGGCCAATGCTGCAGAAAATTCGAGTTCCTGGAGCGTGTTGGAGGAATCGCGGTCGAAATGACGGAATACGGACTCGAACTCTTCCAGCTGAATGGGTGTCAAATTGGTCATGTTACGGGCGACCATCTGGTTGTCTAGGAAAGCCAGCTTCTTTGAAATGCTGGACCTGACCAGGCTGAGCTCATATGCCAGCTCATCCAGAGTGTATGTAGTGAAATCGTTTTCTTCAATGTTGGCCTCGGCGCACTGTTGATCCAGCTCTGCGATGGTGTCAAGGAAGGCGTCAAGGGGTGGCAGGTTGTCGTTTAACCTCTTGACATGATCTAGCTGGTCTTCAACGTCACCATCGAGTCCAGAAATAGCCAGTGACAGGGTCTTCAAAGTCAATGCAAAGTCATTTGCTTTGTCGGCGAAAGAGCGGCGAAGCTTATTCTTGATATCACGAATTGTCTCGTTGATAAGTTGGCTACGTTCATGCTCGTCGCGAGTAAGAATCTCCCACTCCCTGTCGCAGTTTTCTGGACTCAACTCTTGAGGTGGGTCATAAGGGCGCAATCGATATGTGCCTAGTTTGGTTTTGATGTTGCCCAGCAAGGCTGCCAGGTCGGATTTTTCGGCGACCCATTGTCGCTTCTCGCTCCTCTTGTACAACGAGAATTGGTGTGCCTGTTCCTTGGCATCTTTGTATGTCCCCTCAAAGGAGGCAGTCTTCCAGTGCTCACGCTGGCCACGGATCAATCGCAATAATTCCTTCACGCGGCGCTCATACGAGTTCTGCATGTCCCATGCACCGTGCATATTGTTGACAAACTTCTCCACTCGTCGCCCAGCGTTCTCGACTCTCTCCAGCTGCGAAAAGGCGTGGAACCAGTAGGCGATGTAGGTCATGAGGGAGCGTTCATCGGGTCGGGGCACGTCGCACACATCGTCCACATCGAGCAGGTCCGGAATACCGATTTCGTTGGATGCGATCTCGAAGGCCAGCTTCATATTCCCACGGTGGTCGCTCTTGTCTAACGAGTCGTAGTCGATCAGGTCCGGTCGGTGGATATCGAGGAGTGCGCAGAAAGCCAAGCCGTTGTTCCAGCTGGATGAGAAGTCTCGAACCTCCACATCGTCGTAGCAAGCCGTTTTTCGTTGACACCATAGCAGCAAACCCTCCTTGGCGGTCATGCCCTCTTCGTTGATATCACTGATGGTGAATCGCAAAATGAGGGTCCAGATCAAACCCAGAATGATCTTCTGGTTCCCATCCACAATATCCTCCGCTCCGATGTTCGTCATCTGAATCCTCCTGCCCTTGATAAAATCCAGACTCTTGTTCACATTTTCGAATCGTTGTACGCGCAATTTGGGTTTGGATGCATAGCGACCTAATGACTCCCCTCCGAGGATCTCGAGGAGGTGAATGAGAATGACCTAGAAGTTATGCGATCAGTGACTTGGATTCGAGAAGGGGGGGGAGGGGAGGGACTCGAAGCACATACACCATCGGAAAGGTCAGTGACCAAGTCATCAATAGCCAGGAGTCGTGCCTTCAGCTTATCATTCAGCCTAATCCGGGTCAGCCTTGCATGACAGGGACATGAGGGGTTCCCAGGTTATTACCATTTGGTGAAGGTCTTCTGCTGCACATTAATCCACTGCTTCTCGACCGTCAACATCTTTCACGAGACATTCAGGGCCGAATGGCAATCAGTGGGGGGTTTTGGTAGGTGACAGCGATCAGGGTTGAGAGGACGATCAGGCTTTCCGATTCGGGCTGGAGATCAGATGGAGCACAAAGGGGGGGTAAATGTCGGGGTGGGGGTCGTGTTTTCCGCTCGGAGCTGAAGAGTCACCCTAGCAACGCTTTTGGATCTTTTAAACTCGAGTTAAGTTGGAGTGGAAGTTGAAGATGAACTTGAACTCCAGGGAAATGTTGGACTTGACAAGATTGGAATATTTGAAGATGCACCCCCCTTGCGACCCACTTTTCTGTGGCTGCTAAGTATAGACGTCTATAATTATTCCCCTACTTATCTATTTGCCTCTCCTTTTCTCTCCTTTTTGTTGTGATCTGAAAAGCCGAGGGAGTCGACAAAGAACCTATGGGATCGGGTATCTCCGTACAGGGGGATGGTCTGCGACAGCCACTAAACCCCAGGGCTAAGCACAGGCTTGAGATCTCACGAGATATGATCTCATCAGTCAAGTAAGGAGGTTCACAATAGGGCTTGGACCTAGGGATTCCGAAAAGCATGGCCAAGGGTCTATAAATTATGGATACATCGGAGTGGTATGCAGTACGAAGGGATTGCAGGGAACGGGCCTATCAACAGACTGCTCTTGGTCATTGCAAGATTCCAGATAACTGAAGGTTAAGAATTGTCTCTATTGAGAAAGTATAGCACATGGGGTCTACTCCAAGGTCGCTCAGGCTTGGTTGGGCACGAAGAAGGGTCGAGATGTTCATATCTGCACGGTAATTAGCCTGACACCTAAACTAAACGCAGTATACAAATACTGTATAGTTCTACCGTAGTGTGGGTATGGTTCGATTTGCCTACCAAGGTTCTTCTCTATCAACCCACACGTCCTCCGTGGCATCCATGGAAAAGGGATATTGGCGCCGGAAGAGTCTTTTGATTTATTCCTACTGGTTGTTTCCTGGGAACTCTGGACTTCAGCTCAAGAGAAATGTATAGTATCGTGGCATTGAAGCATAGTATCTATGAAGTTCGGTAGTGTCTAGTGAAGGTGGGCTCGTAACGAGGGAGCGCTAAAATGTATAAAGATCAGGCGACCACGGGAGTGACTCAAAGCCGACATAGAAGACAAATCCAACAGAAAGGACTAGAAAACTCCACTGAGCAAAAGTCCAACTCCCACTAGAAGAAGTCCCAGAGCAAAGCCCTAAAATGGCGCAATAGTTCAAAAAAGTCGACGCGATGTTCAGAGATCTTTAGTCATCCCAGATGACCTCATTTCGCAAAGCGGGGCGATGAAGATTCCCTTCTCTTCTCAGCTCTCTTCTCTCTCTTCTCTTTCGCAACTCACCTGAAACATGTCGGCCTCCTTCAAGATCACCGATACGCTCCGCCTCCCCAATACCAATGTGCGCATTCCCCGCCTCGGCTTCGGCGTCTACCGCTCGCCAACCGACGTTTGCGTGAATTCGTGTCTGAAGGCATTGGAAGCCGGATACCGACACATTGACACAGCGCAATTCTACGCTAACGAGGCTGAAGTTGGAGAGGCGTTGCGCATTTCCGGCGTGCCCCGGGAAGAGGTTTTCCTCACCACCAAGATTCTCAGCCCCGCGGCCTCGGTTGAAGCTACCTACGATAAGCTGCTTGCTTCTGTGCACAAAATTAGCGGCGCAGATGGATATGTTGATCTGTTCTTGATCCACTCTTCGAGCTCGGGATCGGCTGGCCGCAAGTTGTTGTGGCAAGCACTTGAGAAGCTGTTGCAAGAGGGCAAGACCAAGAGCATTGGTGTGAGCAACTTTGGTGTTGGACACATTGAAGAAATGCGGTCATATGCACAGGTTTGGCCGCCACATGTGAATCAGATTGAGGTGCGTACATTCGACAGCTGTCTAGAGCTTTTTATAGCTGTTGCTAATTTTGGCACTTGTGCAGCTCCACCCGTGGTCCCAGCAGCGTACCATTGTTGATTACTGCCACAAGAATGGGATTATTATCGAGGCATACTCGCCCATTGTGCGAAACTACAAGGCAAACGACCCCACCCTCGTGGATATCGCAAAGACATACAACCGGCCAACTCAGCAAATTTTGATCCGCTATGCGCTGCAGAAAGGATGGGTTCCCCTGCCCAAGACCGACAATCCGGAGCGAATTGTAGCCAACGCGAATGTATTCGACTTTGATATCAGCGAAGCCGACATGTTCACACTGGATGCCCTGGACCAGGGCAGTGCAGGTGCTATCGTGGAGGCTGTTGACAATGAATGAGCAAGCTCCGAAGTACGCCCATTGACAACCCAAGCGCCCCTGCCGACCGGACAGGACCAATCGGCGCCATGGAAAGTCCCATGGTTTCCTGTTCAATAGTCCGGTGGCTGCATCAAGACATCAGAAATGCATTCACAGACTGAAGCGTGGCTCGAGACGGATTCACGTCGTGTTTCGACGACACGAGCCAAGCGAAACGCTGTCGGATGAACTGCTTGCCTATCGCGCGCTTGCTCATCGAGGCATCAAAGCCACCTATGAAGAAATGTAGTTAGCTGTTTATTCCCCTTCCATCTAGCGCCTGAATTGAAACGCCGGGATATCACCCGGCCCATTGCATACATACCATCATCGTTGAAGAACAGGCAAATAATCGCCAGCAGTGTCCCCGCCGAAAGATCCTTCCCAGTCTCACAGACAACCAACAACGAAAGCGATGCTTCGACTCCAAGTTTCGCCCCAACAAACTCACGCACTTTCTCCAAAGACCTGCGTAGATCGCGACTCCCCAACTTCCCAGACGCACATCCAAGATTGAGCCTCTTTCCGTTCCCTTCCACATCCAAAGCAGGATCTCCATTACAATCAATAATAAGATCGAAGTTTCCATTCGCAGCCCCAACCTCCCCAATAAACAAATTCGCCGTAGGCTTAATGACAGTAACATCAGCACTACCATTCCCAACCTTGAATTCCCCAATCAAACGTCCGATTAACTCAGGCAAATCCTCCTCAGAGGTGGCCTTCAACAAATCATGATTTGCCCAGAAAACCGGCGGCGTCAATCCATGTGCCCAACCCTCACTGTCATCGCCAGCTCCTTGGATATATCCGCCTTCGGACATCTCGGCACCGTGTACACGTCTCGAGGCCGAACATAGTACAAGGAGATTGTAGTCATCACATTTGGTGAGGTCCGAGGGGTGATAGTAGGATCTATTAGCCCATGCAATGCGAATTGGTTTAGTGAGTTGGGTGCGGAGAGCATCAAGGTCGAGTTTCAGGGACTGGAATTGGTCAGTCTCAGTAGTTTTAATCTCAATCTTGTCATTGAAATTTGGCAATTTTACATGTACATACAAGTACAGTACAGTACATACCTTCAAAGAATCCACAAACCCCCCAATCCGACCCTCGATCTGCGCTTCTTCCGAGGCACCCAGATAATTTGGCGGCAGTGACACGGCATGGTACGCAGTCTCGGACGGGAACAGGGCCCGGTTCAGGACGGCGCTCCAGATTGGGATTGTTTTCGATAGAGCATCGGGCATTACTGGATCGAATCATCGGCATTAGAATCATAATTGGGCCTTGCATGATGTATGTATATGCACTGCATGGTGAGCATAGGTGGGGGCAAAGGGAGTCGTTTTTGGTAGGTGGTTTCTTTTACTTTTGCTCCGAGGTTTGCAGTGCAGTGCAGGGATCGGGTGGGATGAATGTAGGGATGTAGTACTTACGTTTTCCTCGGCGGGTTGAGTCGACTATTACACAGCTGTGTGGTTGTGCGATTTCGTCAGCTCGTTGATCTTAGACGGGTCTTGTGTAGGGTTTGGTGTGGGTATAGTTCATAGCATTGATATAAACCATGGATGGCGCCATGAACAGCATACAAACTCTCCATATCAAAAGGCATAGGACAAATACTAACCCCCCATGATCTCTAGCAAGAGGCAGTAGCTGTAGATTCAGCCTACGCAAGCTAAAATCCCACTCCCCAGTGTGTCCATCAGTGCTTTTAAAGTAGGCACTGCCAACCTTTGAGTCGGGCGGAATATACCAGCTTCCACAGCGTTCATTGGCAACAAGGGGAAGACCATAATGCTCGGCAACTTCATGTACAAAAGCGCCATCGTCTTCAATAGACTGAAGTCTATTTGAAACGGACAGCGCCGATCGACGCAGTGACGAGAGTGTCTGGGAGATGGACATCTGCGCCGACGGGAAATGCAGCGACTCCAATGTCGGAAGTGCGTCCGAGGACCCCATGTTTGTCCGCGGCTGTGCTAGTATTGCACTTGGTGCACGGATGATGTCCAAGTATATGGGATTGGGATCCAAATGGCTCCGTGATTGTACCCCGAGCGTTTCAGCTTGGTGGAATGCCGTGTGCAAATGTTAAATTTTTGCCAAGGCGTAAATATTACCGGCTGTATTTGCCTTCGCTTTGCTGATGGGGTTGGGGGTTTTCTGAATCAATTGTGGAAATGGTTGCGGTTGTGCTTCGGGTCGTACGGCAGTCTACAACCGCCATCGGCTCAAAAGGCCCGTGCCCTATATTCTGCCGGCCTTTTAGCCCTAGAGGTCTTGCATGTTGAAGACAATTGCTTTGTTCAGGGGACTCTTTTCTTGAAAGGGTGCTCTGGTATCTACTTCTCAGTGGAGTTTTATCTTACAGCTAGACTGTGATTTGGCGGACATTATTTTCTAATATTTTGACGTATTTTTGATATCTTTCTTGATATCTTTCTTGACATCTTTTTTCTAACAATGATTCGAGTATAGAATAGAATTCAAATAACTTCCGCTGAGAGGGTGCCCTCGAGTGCTTGAATATATAGATAGCATAGAAAGCGATAAGAAATGTCTCAAAACCAGTGTGCTACATAGGCCTTTTGAGCTGATGGCAGTTATCAACTACTGTAGCATCAGGCCAATCACGGTGGATTAGAAGTGGATCCAAATTGTATGCAATCCATGGCCTCTTTGAATCTGTTCGTATGCTGGTCTGTCAGTTTCAGTACATATATTGCATATTGTAGAGTGGGATGTTTCTCATGTTGGGATCGGTAGTTTTCGGCTTGTGTGTACTCCCCGCACCTCCGACATAGAACTGATCCCTGGCAATGAATCACTCTATGGATTGGTTATTTTGATCCATGGGCCCTGGTCTCTCTCCTTTGGTTTCATGCTAAAATTTGGCCTATAATACAACTTCGGGACTCTGTAGTCCTTGCCAAGCATCCTGAGAACGTCCAAGTGCATACTTGACGTTATCTGACTGTGCCAGCTTGATGGGCAGATGGGCCCACGGCGGAATATCGGGCCTTTACAGATATGCCTCTCCTATATGCCTCATATCTCATGCCCATTGTGTCCGGGCTTAAGGAATTGGTGTTCTAAGTCCCCGCAAGTCAGAATGGAGACATGACCGTGCAGCCCGAGTTTGGGCCCAGTGGGCTCTATGTCCAATGATACTGGCCAGGTCCGGTCCGTGGCCTACATGATGTTCACAGGTATTGCTAGGCAAGAAGGTCTGCTCCGACAAAGGATGCTTCCATATCACGAGACCTTAGTTAGGACACTTGGAAACAATTTGATGCTCTCTATAGAAACTCATAGAAAATTCCGAGACAAAGAGGGAAAACCAGAAACGAGGAATCCAGCTAAACACTATTTGGACTAGTGGCCGAGTTTACAATCGAATCCCCAGACTCCATGTAGCCGGTACTCACTTGTGTATGGCGTAATGCACTAGCCAGCAAGTCCCGGGTACTCACGTCACCCCTCCCGCTCTAGCCCGGTTTCCCTCCATCGTCATGGGCGCTTGCCCTCTGGCCCTCTTGCCTTGGCTTAAATACCGAGTGCCAATTCCCTGAGCCTTTTACCCTCTGCATTCGACTGTTGACTTCATTGCGCACCCTGCCCCTTCTCATCGTATCCTCTACCCCCCCCCCCACTTTTCATCATGGCCAAGGTACGATGATCGCGCCTGTCAAGACCCACCGACGCTAACCGGACTACAGATTACCGAGCTCTTCTTCGATTGCGACAACACCTTGGTCCTCTCCGAGGAGTTGGCCTTTGAGGCTTGCGCTGACCTGGCTAATGAGATTCTCGAGGAGTACAACATCCCCGATCGCTACACCGGCGATGAGCTCATCAAGGACTTTGTCGGCCAAAACTTCCGCGGCATGATGGGGTCCTTGCAGACCAAGTTTGGGTTCAGCATCGAACCTACAAAGCTGGAGGCATACGTCAAGAAGGAGGAGGACAAGGTCATCGCCAAATTGGAGGCCAAGGCCAAGCCTTGTGTGGGTGCTACGGAGGAGTTGGAGAAGCTGTTCGCCTCGAAGAAGTATGGTCTCGCGGTTGTCTCTTCGTCCGCGCTGCGTCGCGTGCGCGCTTCCATCGAAAAGGTCGATCAAGCCAAGTTCTTTGAACATGACAAGGTCTTCAGCGCCGCAACCTCTCTTGAGAAGCCGACTTCCAAGCCTGACCCCGCGATTTACTTGCATGCCCTGGAGAAGGTTGGCAAGACTGCTGCCGAGACTATCGCCATTGAGGATAGCAAGTCCGGTGCTCTCTCAGCCATTCGTGCTGGTATTGCCGTCATTGCTTATGTCGGGAGCTACAATGGCGAAGAGACACAGAAGGAAATGGCCGAGAAGCTGACTGAACTTGGCGCAAAGAATGTCATGTGGCACTGGTCTGAATTCGAAGACCGTGTAAAGGAGATTGAGACTGGGTCTACTGAGGTTCACTCGAGCCTTTGATTGTCATACTGACACTTTTCCCATGACCATGATTATAATAGCAAGCGTATGGTCGTTAAGGAGCTTTTGTTTATTTGTGCTAGCCTTCACGTATATGCTGGGTTTATGGGTCTTTTTATCCAAACTTTCAGGAGTATAGGTTCAATCCCCAGCACGAAGCCCGGGCCCAATATTTTTTTCCGCATGGTGAATCTTTTTAGCTTTGAATTGCATAAACAGCCTTGGTGCGCAATGATATTGAGGTTTCAAGTATTTACTGCCAGTTACCATAGGTCCGTAGCTGATACATCAAAGCTGACCGAAACCGAGTCGACTCTATTTTGAACATCCACTGACTGGATATGTATTTCTAGTATACAAATATCACAATATCAAACGGTCCGATCAATCAACAAAGATATTCCAGGAGTGCAGCATCGTTGGGAAGCAATGCATACATACCGATAAGAACGATAAGGGCTCCAACCCCACCATCCCCTCTTCGACTCCGTGTAAACATCAAAGCATAGCATTGGACGAATACACCTTCAGTCTCACCATTTCTGCTCATTGAATCATCATGTCAGCCCCTTTACAAGCCGCATCTCATCACATCTCCAGCGGTCCATTGGTAAGTTACCGTTCTTCCGAACCACTCCGACATCACCCCGAGTATACCTATCCAATCTACATCCAGAGATAACCCCTACTCGATCACCTAAAGCGTGTCAAGACGTGTTTTCCTTATTTTAAACTTTACTGATTCCCTTTCCAGGATCCCAGCGAAGCCCGCTGGACCCGAATGGTCAAGATAACATATAGCGATCCCTTGGGCGTTAAACGAACATGGGAATCAGCTGAGCGTACGGTAAGATTCAGTTTTATCCGGACTTGTTTGCTTTCCGTTCTCCGTTCTTTGTTCATTTTGCGTTTCCCGTTGTTTGCCGTGACCAAGGCCTGAACATGCATGCATGAGACCCGGGGCAGGGTATGCAATGTCTCCACCTTTCGAGGCTGCCATGATATTTGTTTGCATGGCCCATCCAAACCCGGAAATTACACTACCCCAGACACAGTTACATAAACTATACACTGTTGCTTTTATTGGCCAGCACTGAAGCGCCTTTGAATTTGCACGTGCGTGCACCCGGGCGTTACTCGGGACCATCACAACTGAGCGTATTGGCTGCTTGATCATGTGAAAATGTGCATCAGCGAGGCCATTTACTTCAGCTACCAAATTTGAAGACTAATATCAAGGCAACCAATCAGAGTTACACACACTACCGCCAATTTCACAACAATATGGCTGGATCTAATGCTAACTACATTTCAGACCCGCCCAGCTGGCGTAGAGCTCGATGGTGTCGGCATCGTCACAATCCTGAATAAAGAGTCAGGCTCGGAAATACTCTTGCAGAAGCAATATCGACCGCCGATCGACAAGGTCGTCATTGAAGTTCCGGCTGGCCTTATTGACGCAGGCGAGACGCCTGAGCAGTGTGCTGTTCGGGAGCTCCGCGAGGAGACGGGGTATGTCGGCGTGGCGGAGCAGATCAGTCCTGTGATGTATAATGGTATTTTACTCCCTTCGTCTCTGGATTATAGTACCTTGTTATGATATTGACATCCTCCTAGACCCCGGACTGTGCAACACAAACTTGCATATGGTCCATGTCAGTGTCGACATGTCTCTTCCCGAAAACCAAAACCCCAAGCCTCAACTGGAAGAGAATGAGTTTATTGAGTGCTTTACTGTTCCGCTCAGCTCGTTGTTTGATGAGATGAAGAAGCTTGAAAAGGAGGGATATGCTATTGATGCTCGGATTGGAACACTCGCCGAGGGAATTGAATTGGCGAAGAAGTGGAAGCTGTAGAGTGATAGGTTCATGATTTCTTGATCTCAAATTGACCAGCCGTCACCATGCTACGCCTCAATTAGATACAATCCACATGCATATCTACAGACCAAAACCTTTGACCAAAACCAGATTAAATCTTGCCCTCTCCCTTCAACCCCAAATAAAGCGCCCAAGCAGCCAAAGTCTTCCCATCCCTAATGCCCTCCTTCCACAAATCTCCAAGCTCAACAAGCTTGAGCGTGATTTTCTCCCCCTCCTCTCGCAGCCCACTCAACTTTCCCTGCAAAGCCTCAATCTCCGACCTCGGCATACGTTTCTGACACAAAAACAACGGAATGAACTCATCACTACCTCCAGCAGAGGGATAAACAGCACGCTGCAGCTGTTCCCCAGAATCAGGTTCCTGGCCCGCTTGTAAAGCAAGCGCTGTCATATCGATTAGCTCGCTCTGCTCGACAAGCAGACCAGTTTCCTCTTGGATTTCTTTGGCAGCGGTGCCAGCAAAGGTCCCACTGTCGTCTAGCATTCCTGCTGGGATTTCAGGGAACGCGAGAGATCCTGCCGGGATTCGGGGTTGAATTGTTAGGATGGCTTTCTTGTCTTTCTCTGAGTCTTTGGGAAGGTCGTTTGGCTGGAGGATTAACTATCGATAGGGTTAGAAAAATTATATATATATATATCAATATCAGTTGATCTTGGTGGACGGGATTGATCATGGATGAGTGTGTGTATGGGGTTAACTCACCAACATGCCAACACTCCCACCCCGCAAAAATACGCTGCCGGGCAAAGTCTCTCCGTGACCATTTGATACATCGGCCTTTAATTTGACAAAGCCTAGCCTGTTCCCGCCAAAGCGATCGACGGCTTGGATGCTGATTTTACGGAGCACATATGGGTCGTTGTGGAATTCATGCGAGGGGTGTTGTTGCCGGGCTAGTGATTGTTGTAGTGTCGCGATCCAGACCTTGAAGGCTGGGAAAGAGAGAAGGTCTTTCTGGGTTAAGTCTGGGATGCTCTTGACCTCTAGATCAGTGTCTGGGATTGTGAATGTTGACATGGCTTTGGTTGGGCTTCTTAGGCGTAGGCTGGGGCTGAGGTTGAATTGAGACCTGCGGGTGGGGCTGAGCTGGGTTGGTTTCAGGCACAGGTATGTATTTTTAAATCGCTTCATCAATTGCTTTCTTGGACTTTTGTGTTCTTGGGTGTTGGGTGTTCACTTGGGAGGAGGTGTTGCACTTGAAAGTTCATTGTTGGGTCCCCCAGCCTATGACGTCGTTCAGCTAATAACACTACATTCCAGTCTACGGTCAACAGGACTTTTTATCTTTCTCCTTCGAGATACGTCGAGAATAAATTAACTTTCAGCATTGTAACCCGGTCCTGAGTTTTGTCATTTCACAATACTGTAAAGTAGGTCAGCTTGAATAGTGCTGTTCATATAGGGAAAGGGACACCAAATTCTTCATGCCACGTTCACATCATACCAATCATGCCTTCTTTTATGTGATCCTATTGATCAAATACACCGATATGGTTGATATTCTCATCTTCATTGGTCAAGAAGCCAGATCGAAATCAATACGTCTGGACAAAGTTCACCATGGTCAAAATGGCGCATGAGACAATTTCAACAGCTCTCGTAGAACGAAATAGCCTGTCCACAACTACTTTGCATACAAAAAAACCCAATGTTGAAATTGGGAATATGACGCCTGTGTAGGATGTCTTTGATTGAATATGCTTTCGATCCTTCAAACTTAAAGAGACTTTTGGTTCACTGATGGTGATATGTCGCGGGGAAGGACTCAAAAGTCTCAAGGTGGGCTATTTATTAGCGTTTCCAATATCAGTGTGACGATCATGGCTACCTCACCATATCTACTTTCTGTGGATTAACGAAGATTTGACGACGAGGTGAAAGTAGAAACCATCCAAGGACGGGATTTACTCACTTCCGGCTTTCGTATTAAAGCTATTGAACCTCAAGGCATTGTGTACAGTACACAAATGCACCTATATTGTATACCTTTTATTGCGCCGTGGTCAGACCTGAGTATTATAGGAAAAGAAAATCAAGAGTGCAAATTGAAAGATGAGTTGGGAGTCAAAGGAACCCCCTTATCAAAATGGTCGTCTCATACTCCTCCCAAGGTCACATTGATCATTCTCCAACCATCCCCGTTGAGCTAAGAGCATGCAGCAACCCACAATCAGATCCATACATGTACAGTCGGCACACCACCAATCATGGTCGGGAAAAGCCCCTAGGGCAAACCCAATCAGGGAGAAAAAGGGCCGTGAAGACTTTTTGCCCGGGTGAAAGGGCGTCAACCCGCGTTCCCCGCCGCGACAATCTGCAGGCTTATATATTACCTTGACATCGGGTCTTTTCTAGATGCCTACTTTACTGCCTAGCATCCGCCTCAGCCGACTCTGGAGGGAGTAGATTGATAATTTGTTTCACCCGGGTAAGTGAGAATCACTCTCCTCCACTTGTGGCGCTTCAATATCACCTCATCACTCCTTGCAGTACGGCAGAGGCGTTGCTCCGAGTGGGGAGTTGCCTCGTTTCTGAAATGCGACCTGGGGGAACTGGCCCCAGGCTTTGTTCTTTTGTTTCTTGGTTTGTAATTTTCTTTTTAGTTTTCGGTGTGAGGCCAGTTGACCTGGGGATCCTTGCTCTGTTTATCCGGTTAGCTACTGAAACATTACGGGCGCTGATCTGTCATAGACTATATCCAATGTCATGGCATAGTCCGTTTGCCGTTGATATTGTATGTTTTCTATAGCCTATCCTGAGTCAGTACTGGCGTCCATCTTTGTAATAGGCTAGTACTTTACGAGTGCCAAAAGGGGCTACTGCTAAAACTTGAATTAGGATACCGAGGAAGTATAGGGGTCAGGTTGTGGGAATAACAGAATACATAGCCCGGGAAACCTACAGTAAGTCGGAGGAATCGTTCGAGCCCGGTACTCCGCCTGGCCATGTGGTTCAACGCTCGTGGATTTTACCCCTTGGTAATCCCAGTACACTGGCCTGGGCCCAGTTGCATATAAATCATGAGGCACGTCACCGGATGGTCTGGAATGACATCGACTGGCAAAGTTACTGATAGTGATTGTGTTCAGCCCCTTGACACCAATGAAACCCTTTCATTAGCCCATACTTGCCTCGATTTGGAAGCCGGCAAAAAAGAAAAGAAAAGAAAAGAAAAAGCCATGCTATCTAGTGTTGTCAATGCAAAGTAGACTCAACCCAACTCCGCACAAAGCTCTTTGGTTGAAGTCGCCATATCCCCCGGTCAAGGCCGTCAAAGCTTGCCAGAAAAAAATGATCGGTGAAGTCGAGGACGGAGGTCAAGGCCAAAGAGCGGTGACCACACTCAAAAAATGGCTTCCCTTGCGCGCGCTAGGACGGACTCCCTGGCCTATCCAGATCGGGTCGCATGTTTGATTCTGTATGAGGATTTGGAATGGCTGGTCATTGTTGGGTAGCCGGGTGGGTTTCTTTTACACGTTGGGCAGAGTGAAAAGGATTGGATCAGCCATTTCAAATAGATCATACCGAGAGTCGTATTGTCATAATTCAGATCTTGGATCTATCAAACAACAGTAGCCACCAAGAAGTGAGGCTGTTTGGGGGGGGGGAGGGGTGTATAGTCCTGTTATAGATCAGAAAACCAGTCGGAGCGGCTATAACAGCGCCAACTTTTCCGAGGCGCCGACCACTGACATTCTCTACGGAGTACAGTATCATCGAGACAGGGGCCGGAGAAGGGGATCGGTTCGTATATTAGAAGCAGGCGTCCATGTCGATCGTCATCCTTGGAGACACCCGGGTACTGGTTTGCAGCCAGCCGCCTGACCCATTTCTTTTTTTCTCATATTTATACACTTCACCTTCCCAGTTAGCAATACCTCAATTAAAACTTAGGTTCCACTTTTGGGTAGCTATATTGCGGAGGTCTTCGAGGCTCAAATGTGTTGAAAAATGGACAATACGCCACCGTGCAAGGAGAGGCGTTGGTCTCGGGCTGCCAAGACCAGGTTCTCCGAAGTTGTTCACACGTCACCCAGGTAAAATGGTAATCTTCCTCTCTTCCACTTCCTCTCAGCTCACTCTTGTAGATCAACCAAGAGGATTTATCCAGAATTAGAGTCAATGACCAATCGGAGCTGCTGTTCAGATAGTCCTTCCCGACCGAGGGACAAGCGCGAAACATTTGCTGCCAGGCAAGCTGTCAAAGGCTCAACGCGCGCCAGTGTAGCTCTCTCGTCCAAATCACGGCGAGATAGCTTTCGCATTGTCAAAGAGCGGCAGCGCTTGTCAGGCTCGGCGTCTCCAATAAACAGATTGGTGCCACAATATAGACAAGAAGCAAAGATTGATCAAAACAATCAACCAAAACAAGACTTAACTCGCAACCATGCATCACGTCCCGAACTGGAAAGGTCTCAATCGGGTCCTATTGTTGCCCGCATAATGCCTGTGTATGACCGTCGTGATATACCACTGCAGCAAGCCCAGATAGCTCTTGAGCGTCGCATGAGCAAGTTTTTTCTGGAAGACCACAACTCATACCCTGGCCATCCCGAAGTTGCACAGGACGCAAGTTCGCAGATGATCAAACAGTTGCATACCAACCCTATCACTGAAGAACATCTCACTCATGAGGTGAGATCAATCTATGACGGGCTGGTCAAAGTGGAGAAAAAATGCATCGAGGTGATCAACTGTTTTTCGCAGTTGAGCCCGGAAACAGAATTGTCTCGGGATCAGTGGAGTACAGTGATCTCGGTGCACCGAATGCTTCTCCATGAACATCACGATTTTTTCCTTGCCTCGCAGCATCCTTCTGCCAGTTCAGCCGTGAAGCATCTCGCGGAAAAATATGCTATGCCTGCGCGCATGTGGCGCTATGGAATTCATTCTCCATTGGAATTTTTGCGCAAAAGATTGCCTATCGCGCTAGATCACATGGTAGCATTTATATACCTCTCGTATTCGATGATGACCCTTCTTCTGGAAAGTGTCCCATATTTCAGGGGGACCTGGATCGAGTGCTTAGGGGATCTAGCTAGGTACCGGATGGCAGTGGAGACCACAGATGTGACAGATCGTGATATCTGGGCACGGGTCTCGAAGTATTGGTATAACCAAGATACCGACAAATGTCCTGAGACCGGTCGAATACAGCATCACCTTGCAGTGCTCTCTCGCCCGGATGCTCTGCAGCAGCTCTTCTACTACACGAAAGCGTTGATCAGTGTGCGCCCATTTGCAAACGCGCGAGTAAGCATGGCTCAGTTGTTCAACCCTATCTTGAGTGCACCGACTACCGAATTATTCACTCCGGTCATTTCCTTTGTGGCTGCTCATGGTGCTCTTTTCATGCGCATGCCAAATGAGAATTTTGTTGCCCGGTCCAAGCTTTTCCTTTCTAATCTACGCCAGGAGGTGAGCCAGCTAGGCCGAGAGGGACAGCAAGGCGTCTATATCACATCCTGTAATATCGCTGCGATTTTTCAGTATGGAGATAATGATGGAGCCTTGGCTACGGAGTTCACGTTTGACGAAAAAACCAGAGAGAATGCCTATGTCATTTCACGACAGTGGGCGTCTACGAGAGCGCCAATCAACCCAAATAACCACCATTATACCGATATTGCATCTCAATATGCATTCAGCGCAAGCTCACTCACGTTTCACACTTTGATCATCATTCTAGGTCAAGTCGGTGACTCTGGCCTACAACCATCCGTACATGCCTCAATGGCATTTGTGTGGTGCCTCACACTCAACCCAGCAGCTATTCAACGACTGGAGCCGCTGGTTCCATGGACGACCCTCGCAAATTACTTAAACACTTTACTGCTGCCCGACACCAACATTGAAAAAATCGAAAGTAAATCTTTCCCCCGAATTGAAGGATTTTCTTCGCAACAGCTACCGGAGGACTTTTTGATTAGAGGGCAGACATGGAGTCGGATTTATTACCCAGCACAATTCTTTGACGAGACGGATATAGAGGACGACAGACCATTGATTGGGGAGCAATCGATAATGCTCCCCAGAAGACACAGATGTTTGTGGTTAGGAGTGCGGATCGCAAGTGTCTGTTTTGACTTGGCATGTTTTATATTACATCTTTCGCTGACCAGATCAATGTCTAGTTCTCTCGTTGGATGACATATGACCATACTCGCCGGTTCACACCTACCAGACTCGCGTACGAATATTCGCCTATTGCTCAGTCTACCGATCACCTCAGTGGCAACATTTACTTGGCTTCTGGTCCCTTCGACCAAGATATGGAGGGGGCTTGAAGTATGGTCGGGGTGACCACCGGCTTTTTTTATATAGTTGAGTTCCGCTGGGTGTGTGAGCGTGTATGACAAAAAACATGCACTCGGTGGGTATGACTGGCTGATGGATTCCTGGTGTTTTCTTTCCCCTTTCGGGATCGGTGTTCAAGATGCCATCTTGAGCGCGGACTCTTCCCTCAGGCCCTTTCCGTATACGACCCCCGAGAGTGGACCTTGTTTTGTTTTTCGTTTCTTCGTTCAGGCAGGAATATTCAGTCCCCGTGACTACCCGACAAATATCAGATCACAAATGCCAGATCTTCGGCTGTTCTCTCGGACACATGCCACTGCCTGGACCCTTCTTCCGACTGGACTTCCGACATGGGCTCTCGATCTCCAAGGACTGATTCATTTTCCCTTTGGCCTTGGGTCTATGATGTTAGGGTTTCATACCGCCAATTGCCACTTTGTGTTTCATTATGGCCTCAGGGATCTTCCTATGGATCGAAATACAAACTTACAGGGACATTGGAACTGCCACACCGGAATGACAAGGACATTAGCAATAACTCATCCCGTTTGGGTTACTGCACAATGTGAAAAACCTGGAACACCTTTTTTTCTGGACGACCAGACAGATCACCCCTGGAAATTCGCAATGAAGTCAGCCTTGACTTTGTACAAGAATAAGCAGATGCGTTGACAGAGAAGGTCAATTTCAAGGATAAGGAAGACTAGCTCTACAAGCTCCAGATGAGCGGGAAGACGCTAGAAGAAAAGAGAGGAAACACGTGGGTGGGGAGGTGTTTATAGTGATTCAGGACTGTATTTTATAGCTTTTGGCTGGCTTTTCCCTTGCTGACCAGTGAAAGAATCTAGAGTTGAATTGCAGAATTATGCATAGCCATCCATGCTCTTGAGTATTGTGTACTCGCATTCGCTGGCATGATTGGCGACATCTTCCCCGAGTTGCATCGTCACTCATGTAACATGAACCTTGGATGGTTTCGCATAGCTCTAGGACCTTTATAATCCCACCCCATGAAGATCAGTTTTCGGTTTTTGTTTCACGTTGAAGGTCATTCCTTGCCTGAAGTGATGACCGATCTATGTATATGCATGCGGAGTAGACAACCAACAACCAGCACAGCAAATGACAAACAAACATGAAAAGCAAAACACCATGAAATATCCACGAATAGGCATCTTCAAAACCCAGCTAAATCCTACTAACAAACGTAGCTCCTCCCGGCAGTGGAGCGCAGGTTATTTCGGGTGCAGCTTGCGCGTTGCCGGTAAAAGGCCAAGCTGGCGATTACCTGCAACATTTATTCCTCCCCCTCTCCCCCTCATCCCCAAAGTTCCTCCATTTTACATATTCTTCCTATGAATTGAACATTTTTCTTTTGGCTGAAGTGAATGCCACTTCCTAGGCATCACCTAAGTCTCCAGTCTATCCCTCTGTTCCTCGTCTAGCTCTAGCTCACCATGGTGACAGCTTGGGGCGAGGTCTGTCGCCAATGCGTCAGTAGGGTCGCAGAAGTCCCAATTCAAATCCTGCTGGTCACAATATCAGCTACTCTCCTAGGTCTATTTGTCCTGGTAAGTACAGTTCCAATACACCAATCCCTCTGTCCAAAGTGTTGTACCAGCGCGCGTCGCGCAGTACGGTATCCAGTCCAGACATGCCCGCGCCAAACCGGACCAAACCAGCCCCAATTGCAAAAACAAACATCTAACATAGCATTTTAATCTCCCAGTTCTCCCTCTTCATATACCTCGTCGCGCCATCCCCCCGCCTCCCCCTCTCAGAAGAAAAGAAGTATAGAACTCTAGCCAAAGATGGCTCCGTCACAGAGCCCCAACAACTTCCCTGCTGGCTCGACAGCCTAGAAAAGCAGCTCCAAAACGGCGAGTCCCAAGCCAAAAGCATATCCGCGCCGTCTCTCGAACCGGCAGACCTCTTCATGTCCGTCGTCGTACCAGCCTACAATGAAAAAGACCGGTTAAACGGCATGCTGGAAGAAGCAGTCAACTACCTCGAGCGCATGTACGGCACAGCAACAAAACTCGTAAACAACAGCAGCGAGACAGAGACAAGCATAATCGAGACCCGGTCAATGCGGAAACGCAAACCCGTGCCCGACACCACCACCACCACCACCACCACCACCAACGGCAACGCGAATGGACACATCACAGCGCCAGACCGCGGCTGGGAAATCATTCTCGTCTCAGATGGATCAACAGACCGCACGGAAGAAGTCGCGTTCCGCTTTGCGCGCGATCACCAGCTCTCTCTCCATCCCAAGGGCAATGCTGGACCATGGACGCCTCAGGTTTCCGAGGGTGTGCATATCCCGCCTGGAACAATTCGGGTTGTGAGCTTGACTGAGAACCGGGGGAAGGGGGGTGCTGTTACGCATGGCATGCGCCATGTTCGCGGGCAGTATGTTGTCTTCGCGGATGCGGATGGCGCGAGTAAATTTGATGACCTGGGTAAGCTTGTTGGGGCGTGTCGGGATGTCGAGGATGCGCGTGGGCGTGGTGTGGCTGTTGGTTCGCGCGCGCATATGGTTGGGAGCGAGGCTGTTGTTAAGGTATGTTGCATCCTTGTTGGGATTTTTGTTGGTACTAATGGTTGGTTTATAGCGCTCTAAGCTACGCAATTTCCTTATGCATTCCTTCCACTTGATCTTGTGGTTGATGACGCCTCCTAAGACTGCTACGGTGAAGGATACGCAGTGTGGGTTCAAGCTGTTCTCGCGTCCTGCGTTGCCCTTTATTGTGCCGTATATGCACTCCGAAGGCTGGATCTTCGATGTCGAGATGCTTATGTTGGCTGAGTTTGCACACATCCCCGTGGCTGAGGTACCCATTGGCTGGAGGGAAGTCAAGGGGAGCAAGTTGAATGTTCTTCGTGATAGCATTGGCATGGCTTGGGGTCTGGCTGTCCTGCGGGCGGCTTGGTCTCTTGGTGTGTATAGACAGCGCTGAGGTCGGAATTTGATGATTCTGGCTATTTTCTTTTTTTTGGCTTCCATTGGCGTTTAAAGAGAATACATTGCGTCTTGGGCTTTGACCTAGTTTACTTTTGTGTCTTGATCGGGCGTGGTGAATTTTGTCGGCGAGTACGGCCTGCGCAACAATAACATGTGGATATCCAACATATAGTCCATGCTGTTTGTTTATCTCCCATGGAAACCAAAGAAAGCAACTTGCATCTGAAACCTTTTCAAAGTCCAACCATGATTCTTGACAGAGTGTAGTATAGATGAACATTGTCGGCGAGTACGGTCTGCGCAACAAGCATGAGGTGTGGCACAGGCGTATAGTATCAACCTATCCAAGACAGCTCAGCTCCGCCCTACCTCTCACTATGTCAGTCTCTACATGTACACCGAGCGATCGGACCAGCACGATGAGAACATGTCATCGCCACTCTGCGAGTTTAGACCACGCCCGATAAGCTTGATCGTAGCCGCTTATTAGTACATCTAAATGCAAGAACAGAACCCTGCATGATCAGGTTGGACATGATGTATTCCGCTTGTTTTTGTCGTCATTGGGGTTGGACGTGTTGTGAACAGCCTGTATCAAGCACGTAGCCGAAAGGGGAAATCGAAGCTGCTATGCACCTCCTTCTGCATGTGACCACACTGTATACAGTATATGACGTTAATATGTTTCTGGAGAACTTGGCTCCGTCAAGTGTTTGGATCGGCTTCTTATCTACTTTGGCGATTACTGTAGGGAGTAGTGGACGTAGTAGCATTTAATACGGCTTTTTTTTCAGACCATTACTCTGCTCAGAATAGTGTTGGGATAACGTCTATTTCACTTGGGCGTCACTATCCAATTCAAGCCAAACGATGTATCCCAAGTGGCATACGGAGATAGACTGTGTCTAACGATCTCGTAGTGGGTATTCCACGTGTGAACTCTGTGGGTCAGGAAACGCTAGAACGGACTATCAAACTCCCCTGACTCTGGCCAAGGACTCAAAGACGCTGTGTAGCATGTAGTGTAACCACATTGGAATGGCGCACAAACATAACTGCCCGGTTGTCTCTGATTTGTCTGTCTCAGATCATGGCCATTTGATTGGCACAAAGTTCTTGCAATCTTCCTGACTCTCTGGATGTACATGCCATGTCGATCTCAAGCCATGCCAGTACAGCAGTAAGAGGACCCAATATCGGAGTCATTATCCGCCTCTCCCGGTCCGATTCGCGAAAGCTTCTCATCCTCTGTGAACCCCCTTCCCGCATAACATCACTGTGGATAGACTAGTCCCTTGCCGGGTACTCGGGCGATTGGTGGAGACCAGATACCGATTCGACTGTCGAATTGGCCGACCTTCCAGGACGTAATCCCGCCTCGGCGAAAAGTGAGCTGATGTCGTGGGCGGCCACGGCGATGCCGATCAAAGGTTTCCGTATAAGTGCCGTAGTCTGCCGGGTGGCATTGTCTGATACTTGCATCTTGGACTCTGGATCACATCGTGCGATACCCTAAAAGTGGGAAGTCTTACATTATAACCCCCTTTCTAGAACCACTTCGACTTTGAACTTTGATTTATGGATCTATCAATCTATTCAGGAACAAAGCATTGATCTCCAATTGAACCTTTCTCGGGACCTGAACGTTCTCATTTTCGAGTCTGAAAAAAAAAATTCTGACGGTGGCGACAAAGATCGATATATACTTCCGAGCGGGTCGACCGAATTTCGGAGCATCGCCAGGGACAATCTACAATTTCAATCTTTTCACTTGCTCCTGCAAGCCAATACTGGAGAGATGGGATCATTCAAAATATGCAATCCGTCATCATTGACATCACATCTCCTCCGATTACCAGCAGAACTCCGTCTCAAAATCTATGAATATGCTCTGGCAGTACCAAACGAGTACATGAACAAGCCCTTGATCGTGGTCGATGACCGCGGAAAAGCATTCACAGCCCGTGGCCAATATCGAGCTCTTGCAATGAGCCCCAGCTGGGTCGGCGAAGACGGCACAGCGCGCAAGCTGCTTGCTGTCAACCATCAGATCCACGACGAGGCGGAAGATTTCCTATATTCACAGCACACGCTTTTCTTCCGCAACTCGTTCGACCTAGATCGGCTGGGTGATTTCCTTGATACACTCAGTGCCACTGCCCGCTCGCGCATTCGCAGCGTCGGCTTTGAGATCTTCTTCTTCGTTCACACGCAGATTGGCGTGCCGAAGCGGACGATCAAGCAGTATGAGCGCGCGGCCAGGCTGCTGTCTGAAAAGCTACCAGAGTGGCGCAGTGTGTTGTTCTATCTGGATCCGCGCTTTTATTATCCCTCTGCTAATGTTGGAGGGAGGGATCTCACGGCGAGGGGAGTGTTGGATCTTGCCATGCGCTTTAGGTCTTGTCGGGACATCAGTTTCTTCCCGTTGCCGAATGGTGATCAGCGGCTGTTGGAAGAGGCTCAGCAGTTTGTTTGGAGGAGTCGGTCACCGCCCAGGTCACCTACGTTTTGTTCGCTGTCGAGGAAGTATTCGGACTTTTCCAAGTCTTTGCCAAATCACTGGTCCGCATCATCTGTTTTCTGAGGGTCTCTTGTGCCTTTTTTGCATCTTGTGTGTTTGGAGTGTTTGGAGTGTTTGTTTTCTAGCCTGCTTTTTCTGTGATTTGGTTTGTGGTGGGTGGTCTCGTGGTTTGACAGGTGCTAAGTTTATGCACTATGACGTCCATTGAGAAGGGCATATATCATTGGTATCATTGGGGGAGGGGGTGTTCATCTCTGGCGCAATTTGCGGTTATGCTGTAGGTGCTTACTTGTTTTCAAGGGAGTGTTTTGCTAAGGAATAGGTTATATATAATATAGATGAGTGATGAAAGATTTGGTGCCTGACTGGGGAGGCATATATATCCCTTGACGTCATATCCTCCTGTTCACGGCATTCAACTTGCTCGTTTTCCCCGCGTGGAGACAATTTCCCCATATTTAAAGTCTGTATCTGTCTCCTATTCTGCACAGGATATACACTACTACCCTACGACCCTACTACGTACGACTCTACTACCCTGCTCGACTTACCCCGACCTGGGCTACCTATGCTACCTGACCTTAGCTCCATACCCAAGCCTGCCCAACAAACTGTCACATGCAGACCCTCATAGTCGGCCCGTGTTAGCAAAGCCGAACCATCGTGATTGACCGCTTCTTTGAACTAGACAGCGAAGCTGTGAGGTGGCCGATATCCACTCAGTATATGATATATCGCCCTTATCGCACTTCTCCTCGGAAAAACAATCTCGCCGCTATGAAGACATCAAAGTTACCAGACGGCCACGGGAGTCTCTACAAAGAAGTGCGCTTCTCCCCGACCGATACCCCTATTCGTCGCACAAGGTCGGTTTCCGCCACTTTTCATACACATCACAGTCAAGCCGCTCGGTCGGTCCAAGGAACCCCGTTCACTATGGATACGGCCTACATCGACCAATCGCGAGCGCTTCTCGAGAGTCAACGAGTGCACTTTGAGGGTGAACGATCAATCTTTGCGCAGGAAAGAAGGTTGTGGGATAAGGAACGGTCCTTGTTACGATCGAGAATCGCCGAGTTAGAGTCATCCCTCAAGGGCCAAGGAAACAAAAATCATGAATTGGGACCAGATGCCGCCAGACTAGTGTTGCACGCATCGCAGATGAACGGCAACCACTTCACAGCACAGGTGTGGGAGGGGTCAAGTCCGGGGAGTCGGCCAACAAGGGTATTTCGCGATCACTCCCCAGAGCAAAGTCACCTGTTGCCGATCTCCGAAGGGAACGGGATGAGTCCGCCGTCCCTTGATCAGGCCCTTTCACCCCAATCGCGGGTCGACGCACCGAGTCAACCCGTGCCAATTGAGAAGCTTGACAGCACGTTGGATGGCATCACGCTCAAATCCACTGCGTTGCCACCTGGGGTCGTCGCTCGAGTGATCACCCCGCCGTCACCGTCGCCCCTGGTTACCTCCCCTGGAGGAACCGCCCCTTCAACGGCTGCAAGGCCCGGGATGGAACATCGAAACAGTCTCAAACTGAAGCTGTCAGAACTCGGCCGGCCCAATGAGAATTTACTCCGCGACGCAGGTCACACCCCGATGGCGATCATCGAATTGGATGAGAGCCGGCAGTCTACCAAGGAGGGGTCTCCCCTCGAGGTTCCTTTGGAAAACGAGGAGAACCCTCTCGCGCCCGTGGCAACCAATGTGCAGCAGCCTGCTGAGAATAAGGTCTCCTACTTTCCAGATGTACCGGACGATCCAGCTCTCAAGGGGCCCCTCGGTCTCATTAACGAGGAAGAACATGACTCTAATTTCTTGAGTGAATTAGATCAAAAACTCCTAGATCAGGCAAAGAATATTATAGGCAGCTCGGTCGAATCGGCCGATCCTAACGAGTCGGACACTGAACAGACTGAGCAAAACGGGAGCGAGCCTACGATCAAGTTCAAGAAGTCTACCAACTTTGGTACGGCATTTGGAATATCCAATGCCGGTCCGATCTAAGAGCAATTTCCCCATCATCTGTGCTTTAATTGTTTTGTGATCTATCTTCCTGCTTCTGTGGATCTGTTGTGCATGGTTTCATTTCTTGTCATCTCGGTGCATGCATGTCCACTTCATCCTGTTACCAAACATCTTGTTACCAATTTCTTTTCTTCTTTTGGCGAAAACATCTCATGAGATAATGATCTATGTCGATATGTGCAATACATGTTTCTGATTCCTTCCAAATTTGTTCCTGTTTCCTGGGCTACCCCATGATGTCTTACCTTTGACTGGCACAGATGGCCCTAGCAAGTTGCATTTGGATTCCCCTGGGTTGATACTGGAGTTCCTTGCGTGTGATATGTATACAATTGACTTGAATTTGATGTCCTGATTGGTCCCTTCGAAAGTGCTCCTGTGGAGGGAAACTTGGGGTCTTTGCTAGTGTGCCCTAATCCCAGGACCCCTTGCTGGAACTCTGCAACCTTTGTCTATTCGACTCCACGTGTTTGTGCTGCTCTCCAGATTGCCCACGCTATTCGACAGCGACAATCCTGCAAATCCTCTCCTAGCTGAGGTAAAGCTCGGGCTCATGCATAAGCTTCACCAAAATTTAGGTCTTGCTTTGGCTTCGAAAGCTACACCTCCCTTCCGACGAATCAGCTTAATTCATTGATCTTAGTTACCTTCTCCCTGGGCCGGAGTTCGATGTCTCTCATGGTTCCTGGCTCGGTAACTGCCGTTGCCCTTGGGTGCCTTACTGATCGCCGCCCTTGTGGCTTCTTTTAGGGAGTGCCACCAAATGACTATAGTTCGTACCTTGCAGAACTCCTCCTGTCTGTTTCTATCGGATCCTGTCTAGCCCTTGGCTCTCCCCACGATGCCCTTCAGTATAGGGTTTGCATGGGCGTCGAAAAACTACATAAGGACCATACTTCACGCCTCATCTTGAATTTCCCATCCTCATCCAAACAATCATTCTCTCGACAGTCATTCGTTCTTCTGTCTCTTGACTTCAATCACTCTTTCAAATCAATCTACAAGCTTTCCAATCGTTTACTTCGGACTCATTCCTTCGAGATCTATCTCTCTATAATTACAATCTCTATCAAATCAACCAACCAACACAGCTGCAACAATGGTCTCTTCCACTATCAACTTCTCCGGCCTCATGTGCCTCGTCCTGGCTCTCGCCCCCTCAACCGTCCTCTCTGCTCCTCAGATCCCCGGACTCCCAGTCCCCGATCTGTTCAACCAACCCGCTACTACCACTGACGATGGTCACGGTAACAGCGAGTCCGGAGCTGGCAGCGGCGTCCACGTCGGCATCCCCGGCGGTCCCTTTGTGAACGCCGGTGCCGGTTACCACGACAGCCACCGCGGTCCCTGTGGCCCAACTTCAGGTGACGACCACCACGCCGGTGCCGGCGTCGATGTTGGCATCCCCGGAGGTCCCTCCGTCAACGTCGGCAACGGCGAGTACAGCCACCATGGCGGTTACCCATGCCCTGAACCCCCAGTGGTTCCGGCTCCCGTTGCTCCTGCTCCTGTCGTCCCTGCTCCTGTTGTTCCCGCTCCGGCTCCTGTTGTCCCTGCTCCCGCCCCAGTCGTTCCGGTCATGGCTCCCGCTCCCGCTCCTACTGCTCCCACCAGCATTCCAGCTCCGGCCTTCCTCCCTCCCACCTTCACTACTCCCATCTCTATCCCCACTACCACACCCGCTCCTGTCTGGGCTCCCGCTGTCCCCATCGTTCAGCACTCCACCCCGCTGATCCCTCGCCCTGCTGCCTCTGCTTCTCCCGCAGCATCCGCTATGCCCGTCTACAACGGTGCTGCCTCCATGGCGCCAGGCTCCTCCGTGCTAGCTGTGGCTCTTCCTCTCGTCCTCGCTTTCTTCTACTAGATCTTTCCATTAGAAGCATAGCCGGTCCACCGGAACGCAGCCACGCTACCCAAGACGAAGACGACATAAAACACGCGGATGACACAAGTATCTCCCGGCTGTTTCGTTCTCCACTGTCGGTGACATGGAGTGCTTACAGACGGGATAACCTTGTGCATGCTTTTCTCACGATTGATCGTCTTGATGATTGATCGCCGACATTTTGTAACCTTTCTCCTCCCTCCTACCTTTCTATTCCTGTTTACTCTTTCTGTGCATCCCGATTATCGCTTATAATGTCTTGCTCTTTGTTGTTATCTCCTCCGGCTGGTGTACTCACCCTCAGATTTGCTTGTATCTCCTGTGCTCGGTTCGCCGAGAGCCACTCCTTGACTTATTACTTATTACCTAGTTACTTATCTGACCCACTACTATCCTTTGGAACATTTCCTTTTCTCTATCTGTTTATTTGTGGAGCTATGCTGTCGATTCATATCATGCGCTCGGGCCTGCGTTCGCACTATTCGGTGTTCTTGTTTGAGCTTCGGTTGGTTTATTGTTTTTGTTTTTACCGAGTTCAAATATATTACTCTTGATAACTTATAATTTCTGGTTCATTTGTAGATTCATAGTAGTACTCTTCTTGTAGTGCAATGGGATAGCGGTTAGAGTTGACAGTGCAACCGAGATAGACCAAAAATAAATGAAGTCTTTATAGTATGGCGTGTGTATGTGCCCTCTATGTTCTCTGCCGAGGGCACTATATGTGGACCCGATGATCTCCCTTGGCTGAACGCCAAATCTCGGGGTTGACGCCAGGGGTTACATCTGTAACCTCAGAATGTGATGTGTCTACATTCACGGAAACTTTGATAGAGAACAGACTACAATACTTGGAATGAGCTATTGCGCAAACCCACTAGCGTCGATACGTTAGAGCACTAAGATCAAAGGAAACGGCTCATGTGCCCAGAAGTAGATCAACGCCCAAACTCATGTCATGTCATGCAAATCGTATCTCGGAACTGAAAAGAGCAAATCAGCGGGTCTGAACCCACCACCTCAGATCCAGGCAGTCGCATCCTGTCTAGTGTGGATTAAAGTTGCCTGGAAGCAAGGACCGACGCAATAGCCAAGTCATCTAGACTTGGGACTTTATACCCCCATTGTGAAATCATGCTCAATGCCCGGCGTCACGCTAGCGATGAACTTCAGGAACACAACCAGGTACTGATCCACCCGAATGGCAACTTGCTCATCCTCATCATGCTGGAGCATCTCCCACTCATCCCCGCCGGGTTGTGCTTGGTGCTCCCCGAGCGATAGGCCCTGTGTCTCATCCACCAGGCCTTCCAGCCCGCTGTTCCCGCCGGCTCTTAGAACACGATTTGCTTCCTCGCGTGACTGGGTCTGCTTTATCTTCTCGCGGCGCAGCTTTAGTGCTGCGTCGGCGCGATCGAGGAGCGTCTTCATCACGGAAGCGTGGCGGCACGGGTGCACACTGGCCATCTTGACACTACCCTCGAACCAAGGGAAGTCTTCTAGTGTCACCGTCTTGTCTTTATAATCGCCGACGATATCTTCCATCATGAGATGAGGTGGAAGTGGTTCTGATGGTGACAGGTAACCAGAGAGGTATAGACGTGGTGTGCGGTAGAAGTTGGAGTATGTAATGTAGAGTGTATAGGTGCGGAGAGAACTGTCAAAATGTCAGAATAACGGGCACACAAAAACGGTATACATATATATATACTCACTGTGTAGTCCCAGCCTGTCCAACCGGCTCTCGAATAATAGCCTCCTCGTCATCGTCGTCATCCTCCATATCTGGAATCTCATCATCCTCCTCCTGCTCCCCCAGATTCCCAGACTCATCGACCGTCCGCACGTCTCGGATCCGAGCTTCCTGCTTATCCTGGTCGGCAACAGTATCGCGACCCCCTCCCGTGCGCAGCCAACCATCCTCGCCGTCCGCAGCACTTTCACCGCCGTCACCGCCAGACAGGAAATCCCTCACGATCTCATCTTCAAGCCCCGCATCGCCGGCGAAGTTATCGTTCAGTCGTCGGTGACAGGGTACACCGCGGGTGACGAGGAACTGCTTGCCAGCTGGTAGGTACGAGACTCGCTTTGCTGGAGTTGATGCGTCACCCCAGGACCATGTGGGGAACTTATAGACAAGATAGTCGCCTGCGAGAACGAACTCCTCTGGGGTGATTTGGCCGGTGTTTCGAAAGGTTGAGGTTCGCGATACTGGCGCTAGGCGATCCCGCCAGGTTGATAGTGTTGAGTGTAAGATATTCATGGTTTCTTTGGAGTATGTGAAAAGGTGTAAAGGTCTGGATGGGAGGGGGAGAGATGATAAGCGGTGGAGCACATGATCCGCCCCGCGTGAGCTTCGTCATTCCGACAACTTTTCCTTTCTCGCTCGTGGACTTGACTGCGGACTTGGTTTCGGGGTGAGCTTTCAGTAGGCACGTTGGAATGCTCAGATTCTATGCTGCTGGTTTGATATATCCCACTCTTCTCAAGAAGCTCTGAACCTCAAGTATCTCCAAGTTAACGTTATACATCAAAGATTAGATACTAACTTATAGATCAAGAAACACCTATCTGACTTTCGATACGAACGCCCCATAGTAGAACGTGATTTCATAGCCACGGATATATTGTTAAGCGTAAGATATATAAATCTATGGCTACGTGACAGTCATTAGCTTTGATCCCATTTTAATGATCCTATCTACCAGAAAAATACTCGTTATTGCAAATGTAAGTCCATATCCCTTGGTCATCCAAAGCTCATTTCGATATGGACGATCCATGATGATTACAGACTGTATGTAGCATGAATAGTATGGTTAATCTCAAAGATTACGTCTTATGGTCAAACATCGGGAGATCTACAATGGTAGTAGATCTTAGCTCAATTTCGATGTCGGTGGAATAAGACCTATGTAATATTGTTCTCTGTTGCTAGCCATAGAGGGCTATATATTGAACAATACGTCCTAGCGAGCCTGACATAGTGTATCGCTGAGTCAAAGTAAGTCCCGAGTACGCAAGACATCGACTGCCAGTGTCAATCTGGCATCGAAGCAAATTACAGTAACTGCTGTAGCCGATATAACCCATTCATCAGATAGTACTGCACATGCAGCGACATCTGCGGCTGATATATTAGACATATCGTGCCTCGATAGACGGTTCAGACCTCATGCGCATGTAATAGGCCACAGCAAGAATGATTTCTGCCAGTAAGTCTGGGCCTCACAGACACAGAACCGACTTGACGAGGATGAATCATGAAATTTCAGTGTTGCATCCGTTGATGCACTGATAGCTCATAGCCAATATAAGAGCTCGGATCCAACATAGCCTTGGGTTGCGGATATATATTTTCCAACCGTATAAAAATGCGGGTTCACTCGCCTTCCTGCATCATTCGACGTCGTTCAATCTCCGCTTCGACCTCATCTGGGACCATAGGAATGAGTTTATTCTTCCATTGGTCGGCCTCGGCTCGCATAAACCCTGCGGTGCTTTGCATGCCCACGACCAAAAAACCAAGTTCTTCACGATCAACGTCAAAGACTTCCCACCAGTCTCCGTCAACAAGCTTGACACCCACTTCGCGTGCAGCGAGGTAGATTGCAGCGACGGCTAGGGCATTGGGCTGATGTGTGACGTATAGCAGTTGAGGCGAGAACAGTGCAGCGTTGAGGTGCTGTACAACACGTTGAGCAACAGTAGGCTTCGACACACCCAGAGTTTGGAGGTAAGTCAGTGCAATGGTGTGTGGTAGGGCGACGTGTGTATCGAAGCCGAGGGTGCGGAGAATGACCGATTCAATGCGAAGAAGCACCAACCGGGCTGATTGATACCCGCCCTCCGTCAGGATGTAAGTCTCCGGAGCTGGAGGGGTCTGGGGTGCACCGTTTGGGTTCACGAACCACAAGGGCGAGGCATCCCGTGACAGAAGAAGGGCGTACACATTGAGCACCGAGCGCGGGGAGGTGGGTAGGAAAGAAAGCTTGGCTGCTAGGTAGAGAGCTGCGGCTGACACGTCCTGCTCCGGTTAGCGGACAAGAACCGCGTTTTGAAGGATGATTGGAGCTATGTATACCTTGACTGCGTAAATTCGCAGGCTACCGCCGTCGGCTCCGAGCCAAAAACGGGTGAAAAGCACAACGGCCTGGGAAATGATATCTTGCGACAAGTGCAGGAGAACGCCAGCGGCTTGGGTGAGCTGCGCACCTGCACAGAGGACCGAAGATTCAAGACCGGCTGACACCCCATCGATGGAGGACGAGGAGTTTGAGAGCTGGTCGGGAGTCGCTAGCGCGTTGGACAGGTGCTTCAGCCCGGGATTGGCGGGCGCCATAATGAGGTGCAGAGAACGTGCAGTGACGCAGATCTTCCGGACGCCCTGTAAATAGAAAGAAATGACGACAACAATCCGCAGCAACGTGGCGAGAAATGGCTCTGCGATCCGATTGCAAAGGGAAGAGTTAGTGGATCGTGGAGGTGGAGAGAGCTGTTCAGCCACCGCTATTTCGTTGCCCCAGCCTCTCTGTTTTCCTGCACGTCAATGGTGGAAAAGCGAGTCCAGGCAATTAAAACTGTGAAACTGGTGTCATTTTGAGTGATTACTTCTTCGACTTTGATTGCCGTCAAGAGGAGTTTCAAGGTTGCCTCCTCCGAGTCTCGAACAATACTATACAGGACCCTAGCCCCTAAGTCTAGACGCACTCAGACTCGAGGCTTTGACTAGACATTTCCAATCCCAGGTCCCTTTCCACTTGCATTCGCGTTTCACTTTCACCTGCGCTGGCATGGCTTCCCCTCAGACCTTGTCCGATCCCTCTCACACGTCCCTACATTCCGATGCCAAGCACGAGACCGTTACGTCCAGATCGACAGCTCCTTTACTCTCACGGAACAACACCCGCACTCTGCCTCGACACCGTCGGGCCAACACTGAATACATTGCCCAACCCCCACTCTTGGAAGAAGGTCTCGACACAGTATCAGACCGCCCGCGAAACACCCCTTGGAACGACACCTTCCCCAAGAAGAAGTTCGAAGCAAGAGCCAGAGTTCTGTCAGACTGGTTCCAGGGCAAATCAGACCTGGACTCGAGAGTCAAAATGGGACCTAACGGTGCCTCAGAGGGCGCGGGGATGGATACCCGTCCAGCTTCAACATCCATGACACATTCGCGAAAGAACTCGGCCCCAGTGACGAATCGGTTTAACTTCTTCGGCCTACGGCGACAAGAAGCCAAACCTGTCTTTCCCGAACCAGCCGACGACGAGTTCCTCAACCTCGATATAACTGCTGCTCTATCATTACCTGACTCGGACACCAGCGACAACGAGGCGCTGGATGTCCTCCGAGACCAGGCCGACCAGGTGCTTCGACGAATGCAAGAGGCCTACAAACAGCGCACGTTTGCCATGCATCAGGCGCTGGCCGATAAGAACGAGAAGCAAGAGGAGTTGGAAGAGACTCGTGCCAGAGTCGATCATTTAAAGATCCAGCTCGATGGCATGGCGGCCAAGGTGCTTGACCAGGAGAAAGCCATGCAGGCCATGGCCGACGAGCTGGAGCAAGAAAGGAACCTCCGGAAGGAGGAATCTCACAGCCGCAGTCTCACTATGCGCGCAGTACACGAAGATGACGATGTTCCGTCCATGGCACTCCAGACTCCCCGTCGCGGTGGCAAGCGTGCCAGCCATAGCACCTTCACTAGCGACTCCGGGTTTGAGTCGGGTGATGAGAGTGTTGCCGATAGCATCTTCTCGCAGCGCGAAGGTGTTGAGTCTCCCAACTCCACCCTTGCAGCACCTTCTCCGAATATGTCTCAAATCGCCTTGTCTACGCCAACTGCCCCAACTCCCACTCCCACAATCCAGAAGAATCTGGTCGCGGCTACTGGTGCACCGCCACCTGCTCGTTCCTCGGCGTATGATCGCGTTTTGAAGGGGCTTGCTTCAACGCGGTTAGGTAGCTCTTTCGGCGGTAACTCTTCGAATTGCACCAACTGCCATGGTGTACCAGCCTCAGAGGCTTGGAGCGTGATGGGTGTTCTGAAAGATGAGAACCGGGGTCTGAAGACTCGCCTGGGTGAGCTCGAATTGGTTATTGATGACTGTTTGGGTCTCGTTGGCCCTTGAAGCTGGATTTCCTACATGCAATACGTTGACTATACGAGACCAGGTGTCCGGACACAACGTTGATTTACAGGGAGTTAAATATGATTGGAGCTTGATTCCGAGTAAATTAGTACAACAGAGAACTTCCAGCCATTTTGATATATTTGGATACCCCGTAGACCCTGAACTGTTCATAGTACCGTGGCCTCTTAAAGTGTGGGGAATAGCTCCCTGTGTTTTTGGGGGCGCACAACACGTCGGACTTGGGGTGTGATAGGATCAAAAGCTCCGTATAATTAAGTTGAACATATTTGACCACCTAGATCTCAAATTCAAGTTGCTATGTCCTGTGTTGAGTCACTGTCAAGGTGGTTGCGGCGAAGACCAAGTGGCCTTAATTAGCGCGGAAGCGAAAAGTGGCCAGCGAACCTCTTCTGTCCTCTTCTTCCCTCCTCCCCCCATCTCCCTCCGACCTCTTCTCTTCCCCTTTTCTTTTTCTTTATTCCTCTTAATTGTTTAACACACTCCTTTAGCTGGTTTTCGACTCCAGCTTGCTCTTATTCTATTTGACGGATTGGGAGAACGTTAGCCACCATGAGCGGCCGTGAGTCCCCCCGAACCCTCGCCTTGCACGCGATCGCGACAAACCGTCTCGAATCAACTCAATGGATCACCGAATGCTGATGGAGGATTCTAGTACGCTTCCTTGACTTGATCAAGCCCTTCACGCCCCTCCTCCCGGAGGTGGCAGCTCCTGAGACGAAGGTGCCCTTCAACCAGAAGTTGATGTGGACTGGTGTACGTCGCCTCGAATCTGCTTCAGCGCAACATTTGGATTCTAATCAATTCGCTACAGTTGACTCTTATGATTTTCCTGGTCATGAGTCAGATGCCTCTTTACGGTATCGTCTCTTCCGACACCTCAGACCCCCTGTACTGGCTCCGTATGATGCTGGCCAGTAACCGTGGTACTCTGATGGAGTTGGGTATCACCCCCATCATCTCCTCCGGCATGGTCTTCCAGGTATGCGACATCAATCGGTTCAGTGGGTCAATTATACTAATGCCTGATGTTGTAGCTCCTCGCCGGTACCCACCTCATCGATGTCAACCTTGACCTCAAGACCGACCGCGAGCTCTACCAGACTGCCCAGAAGCTGTTCGCCATCATCCTTTCCTTCGGTCAGGCTTGTGTTTACGTCCTGACTGGTCTCTACGGCCAGCCCAGTGACCTCGGCGCCGGTATCTGTGTTCTCCTGATTGTCCAGCTTGTTGTTGCTGGTCTCGTTGTCATTCTGCTGGATGAGCTCCTCCAGAAGGGCTACGGTCTGGGCAGCGGTATCTCTCTGTTCATTGCCACCAACATTTGCGAGTCCATCGTCTGGAAGGCCTTCTCCCCCACGACCATCAACACCGGCCGTGGCCCCGAGTTTGAGGGTGCCATCATCGCTCTCTTCCACCTTCTCCTGACCTGGCCCGATAAGCAGCGTGCCTTGTACGAGGCCTTCTACCGCCAGAACCTGCCCAATGTTATGAACCTCTTGGCTACTCTCCTCGTTTTCGCCGCTGTCATCTACCTGCAGGGCTTCCGTGTTGAGATCCCCGTCAAGTCTTCCCGCCAGCGTGGCATGCGCGGTTCTTACCCCGTCCGCCTCTTCTACACCTCCAACATGCCCATCATGCTGCAGTCCGCTCTGTGCTCCAACATCTTCCTGATCAGTCAGATGCTGTACTCTCGCTTCTCTGACAACATCCTTGTCAAGCTCCTCGGAGTCTGGGAGCCCCGTGAGGGATCCGCCCAGCTCTACGCTGCCTCCGGTATCGCTTACTATATGTCTCCTCCTCTGAACTTCAAGGAGGCTCTTCTCGATCCCATCCACACTGCTGTCTACATTACCTTCATGCTCGTCGCCTGTGCCCTCTTCTCCAAGACCTGGATTGAGGTTTCCGGATCCGCTCCCCGTGACGTTGCCAAGCAGCTCAAGGACCAGGGTCTCGTCATGTCTGGTCACCGTGAGCAGAGCATGTACAAGGAGCTCAAGCGTGTTATTCCCACTGCTGCCGCCTTTGGCGGTGCCTGCATTGGTGGTCTGTCCGTCGCCTCCGACCTCCTCGGTGCCCTCGGCAGCGGTACCGGTATCCTTCTTGCCGTTACGTAAGTTTTCTTGGCTCCCATTGTAATCTACCTAAGCTAACATTATCCCAGCATCATCTACGGCTACTTCGAAATTGCCGCCCGTGAGGGTGACATTGGCGCTGGCCTCAAGGGCCTCGTCCCCGGCAGCTAAGCGGACTGTCCGTCCTTTTACGAGCAGCATGACTTGGGATCATATTAGTGTTCCTTTGCAACTCTCTGTTTAGTTTTTGTCACTTTTGTTCGTTATTTTGTTATACTTTTTGGGTGAATGTATTGGCATTGCCTGTTGTGGCTGGATTGAAGCCATGTCCGTCTGATCATAGCAGACAGTGGCCAGTGAAAAGTGCTCGACTTGAGCCTTGTAACCATATTTTCTAGAAAAACCAAAACCATATATTCGATTGCCTTGAATTGTTTCCATCAACATACTTCAATAGTACAAGTATTGAGAGTCTTGAGGTTTAGATCAATGTTGTCGTCATCTGTCTAAACTTGAAAGAATTGCTTTTGTGTATAAGTTATAAGCTGAACAATGCTTAAACCTCCCGTCCTTCAAGTCCGGTAATCACCGTTGATGGTAACATACTCGTGACTGAAATCACAGAACCAGTAAACAGCATCCTCACCACCACGGCCAGCATCGCCCTTCTCACCACCACCAAGATCAACAACGATCTCGAGATCCTCATTCTGAAGAATAACACTGGCACGCTCCTCATCCACAGACTCAGGCTCACCATTAACAAGCAGCTTCAACACTTCACTGCCATCCACAGGCCGGAAACTAACAGAAGTCCGCTCGGGAACAACAGTTCCGTCCACAACACCCTGCGTATAACCAACAGCACAGAGAATGCGGCCCCAGTTCGCATCACGCCCATACAAGGCCGTCTTGACCAGCGGCGAGCGCGCAATGGTCGAGGCAATCTGGCGCGCAGACTCATAGTCAGGCGAGTTAGTCACGCGAACAGTTACAAACTTGGTTGCGCCCTCGCCGTCACGGACGACAAGCTGCGACAGTTCCTGCGCGAAGTCTGTCAGGACGCTTTGCAGGGCTGTGTAGTCTGCGCTGGGGGTGGAGGCCGAAGAAGGGGCGCGGACGGTCTCGCCGCCTGCGGCGCCGTTGGCGAGCACGGCGATGGTGTCGTTTGTGCTTGTGTCGCCGTCAATGGAAATTGAGTTGAAGGAGCGGGAGACGGCGTGCTTGAGGAGGGGCTGCAGGGCTGCGGCTTCGACGGGGGCGTCTGTGCACAGGACTCCCAGTAGGGTTGCCATGTTGGGGTGGATCATGCCTGCGCCTTTGGTCATGCCTGCTAGGCGGTAGGTCAGGTTGGGCGAGGAGGGGAGGGTGAAGGTCCGCGAGATGAGCTTGGGGAAGGTATCTGTGGTGCAGATTGCCCGGGCTGTGGTGAGCCAGGCTTCGTGGGTGGAGGCCAGGGTTGAGTAGGCTGTTGGGATGCGGTCGAGGATCTTGGTGATGGGGAGACTATGCGGTTGTCAGTACTGTGGGATGTGAATTTGGTCACAGTAGACCTACCGTTGTCCAATGACACCGGTACTCATGACCAGCGAGCTATCATTCTCGACGCCATTGCACTCATCGACCTTGCGGCCCATCTGCACGGCATCTTCCAGACCACCCTTGCCAGTCACGGCATTGGCACATCCGGAGTTGATCACAACGGCCCGGATACCCTCTCCCTTACGACTCTGCAGTGTCTTCTTGCTGACCTGCACTGGCGCCGCCTGGAACTTGTTGGTGGTGAAGACTGCGGCAGCCGAGCACGGTGTGTCCGAGGCAATCAGGGCCAGATCTGGGAATCTGGTGTTGGAGGCCTTGACACCAACGTGAGTGCCAGATACCTGGAAGCCCTGGGGGTAGGAGCCATTGGTGGGGATGTAGCGTTGCTTGGAGGCGGGAATGGCCATGTCCAGCGGTGCGGAGTAGCATCGCACCTGGCCCTTGACCATGCGGGCAAAGGATGCCATTGTGGGTTGAGTGGTTGGAACCATCTCTGTTGAATGTGTGTGAGAGTCCTACTTGCTGGGCTCTCTCCACTATATAAAGCTGGAGAAGATAAGATGGTTGAGTCACGGGAAAAAAAGAAGCCGGTCTCGGCGCTCGCTCGGCTTCCTCTGCGCGGAATGAGCCCACCTTTGGCAAGATACGATCTCTTGTATGAGTGGAGTAGAGAGCAATTGGATGCTATGTTCAATTCTGTTACAGCTGACGTGGATTCCAATTTCCAGCTTTATGTATCTCCGTCAAACTGAGCGATTATTCAGGGCCAAAAAGCCCTGGATTCAAGCGTATTAGCTGAAAATCGGAAACTGGCAGCCTTGAAAGAAGTTTTAAACGCAATTTTCCATCTGTAAGCTCTATAAACCACTATTAGCTCAAAAACCAAGCTGGTGTAGTTCGGAGTGTACTACAGTTGGCGAAACGGCGAGTCGGAGAAACCCATCCGCTTTCTCCAATATTCCAGACTCAAGATTCCATTCCTCGACTTCCAGTTAAGCCCTTCATTCCGGTGTCAGACCTGCAGCTCCCTGCAAGCTCAGCAAAAGAGCGTCCATTATCACCCCCAGCCCAGGCCACCCCTTGCGTCCCCCGTCCCTGTGCACATTCTCCGGATCTGATGGTATTGTTGACTCCCTTCCCTTCGCGTCCATCGACTCCATTCTGACCCGTCCACCATGAAGCGCAAGCTTTCAGACGCCGGCGAGACGCCGGCAGTATCAACCCCGAAAAGACGGCGCACAGCCCTAGAACAAGCCAATGGCGCTCTGAACGGCCACGCGCCCACGCATCCACCCCCGAACGACGATGTCCCCTACGAGCTGCCTCCTTCACAGGGCCAATCAACACCGAAAAAGGCCAACGGCATCTCCGCAACGCCGCTGAAAGAATCAGGTCTCAAGACCCCAACGCATAAATCCAAAGCTCGTGGTCTATTCGCTACGCCAACCAAGCCCAAATCTGCAACTGCGGCCACGCCATCTCGAGTCAAGAATGCCGATCGGTCTGCAAGGAAAAAGAGCGCGCGTGTGCTATTTGAACAGGACGAAGATGCAGCCTGGGACGGATCGGAGCAGCTAGCGGAGGAAATTCTACAAGGCGACGAGGCGGATACAGAGAAGGCGGCTCCGCCGCTGGCGGATAGCATTGAAGCTGATCCTGAAGAGGCAGCGGAGAAGGGTGCGAAACAGCCGAAGCGCCGTGCGGGACGACCCAAGGGTGCGAGGAACAAGCGCTCGCCAACGCCGGAGGGTGAACTCCCTGCGCATGAACGGTATTTCTTCCAGAACCGCGCTGGTCCTGTTAAAACGTCGAATGCCAATCTTAACAAAGTGTCGTTGTTGACGCATGAGGAGTATTTCGAGAAATTGGGTCAGTATGAAGATCCTTGCAGGGACGAGAAGGAATATCTACTTTCTTTGCACCACCGGTCTTTCCCACAATGGGCATTCGAGTTCGATGAAGGGTTCAATATCTGCATATTTGGGTATGGGTCGAAGCGCAAGCTCGTCGAGCAGTTTGCCGATTGGACATATCATCACAGCCCATCGACCACTGCGCCTCCATCTATTATCATTGTCAATGGGTACACCCCGGGTATTTCTATCCGATCAATCTTCGCTACCATCGTCACAGCGGTGATGGGCGATGAAGCGCCCTCCAAGCTCGGTGCGCAGCCAACAGAAGTTCTAGAGTTACTTCAATCCGTGCTCAAGTCTCGCGGAGAGACCGAGGAGCCCGTCACAGTCTTGATCAACTCGATCGACGCCCCTCCTCTTCGCCGTGCCGCAAATCAGGCCCTCCTTGCCCGTCTGGCTGCTACCCCGCGCATTCGCCTGCTGGTCACGGCGGATACGCCCAACTTCCCCGTGATGTGGGATATCAGTCTCCGCGACCAGCTCAACCTCGTCTTCCACGACTGCACCACTTTCCTCCCCTTTTCGGCCGAGGCAGATGTCGTTGAAGAAGTCCACTCTCTCCTGGGCCGGAAGGGCCGTCGCGTTGGCGGCAAGGAAGGTGTTGGCTTTGTGCTGAAGAGTCTTCCCGAGAATGCACGCAACCTCTACCGGCTCTTATTGACTGAGCTGATCACTACCATGGAGGATGGTGGCGATCAGTCCGATGATGAAGCACCGGTTGATAGCGGCAAGGCGGATGAAACGGGCATTGAATTCCGCCAGCTTTACCAAAAGGCTACGGAGGAGTTTGTCGCTTCCTCTGAGATGATGTTCCGGACGCTGTTAAAGGAATTCCACGATCACCAAATGATTACGTCCCGCATGGATGCTAGTGGTGGTGAAATTCTCGGAGTCCCTCTGTCCCGCGACGAGATGGAGGGTGTATTGGAGGATCTAGTGCTGGGGTAGGTGTAGATTCCTCTCATGTAGATGTGGAATAGATCAAGACTCATGATACCCCCCTGTACGAATGAACCGTTTACAAATTCGCGAGCTGGACAAGTCGAAGCAGTAGATCCGACCAGGGCCAAGTCGGATTTCCCAGAAAGGTGCTTCATCCTAAGACGAGATGTTTGTACAGGCTTTTCTCTCTTTCAACATTGGAATACAGCCCCTAGAACTGCGCAAAAGCCGCCAGCGCCATCATAGCCCCGAAACTCATCTTAAACGGCCGCTTCTCACTCATAGCGCGCTTGAGGTCGACATTCTTAACATATTTCTGCATGCGATGGAGGGGAAGGATATTGTAGCCCTTGGAAGCAGCGAACTAGATCCCAGAAAGAATGGTCAGCATATAAGTTACCATCCATAGGCCTCCCCAAAACAACCACCCCCCTTCCCCCCCGGGACCACCGTCATCAGTTGACCTGAGCTATACTATACATACCTCCACAAGAACAACCCCCATACCGAAAATCACAACCAAGGCCTTTGAAAAAGCCCTCAGCCCCACCCCGGCCACCAGACCAAGTACACAGCCGAGACTAACCTGCCTCATACTTTCGGCATTGAGAAACCCCTGCTTTGGTTTCTGCGCGATGGACTCCGACGTGCCGCTGTCAATTGCCCATCCTGATCCGGTCTTCTGGTTAAAGACGGCGTCACTGGCACTGGGTCCGGTGGCGTATTGACATTGTAAGGGCGCGGCGCGGAAGGGTGAGGTTGAGTGTAGGGATGCGGCGCCTAGGCCGATGCTTAGGCTTAGACCTAGGCGGAGGAGGGTGTGGGGGGTATGGGTGAAGAGTTTGAAGGACATGTTTTATTTTATTTGGATGGGTTGGTGGCGAGGAGAGGTGATTGATGTAGATGTTCACTGTAGCAAGATGGTCGAGCTAACTTAGAGCTCCCTTGTTTGGGGTCGATAGATGATGTCATAGGCTGGGGAGTTCGGATCGGGTTTGACCTTGGGACTTGGAATGCTATTTGATCTGGATTTTGGATGACTACTAGGTTGATTTTGATCTGTTCAATATTTGCATCTGCCAAGGATCTCTGTGTGTCTCTGCAGAGTTGCAACCTTGGAAGACCGTTTGTCCAGACGTTCAGTTAGCCCACTTGGGGTTAGTCATTCTTGGCTGGTCTGGGCGCCTTCTATAGACATGCAACGTACATGAACCGGAATCATCCTGCATTCGTCCTGTCGACTGACGCGGAGGGGTCTATGTAGCAACCCTACCTGTATGTCTCCCAAGCCCTCTTGTGCCTGGATCGCCCAGTTTAAGTTTTCGAGAAATGCCCTAAAGTGCTCAGGCGGGTCTCTTGTGGCCTCAGATAGGCTGCAGCCATAAAGTGTGAAGGCTTGGAACTGTCCGCAGAGAGCAGGCGGTCAATCGTCTCCTCGGGAAACGATCCTCGGAGCTTCGAGGGGCATTCCGGTGGGCCTGCGAAAGGTAAACTGTATCGCTTTTGACTCATTTCCGTTTTCCTTTCTCACTTCTTCTCACTTCTCACTTTTCTTCTCTCTTCTTCCTTTCTTCTCTACTCCTCTCTTTTCCATATCCTTTACATTTACTCTTCACAATGGCTACTACAAACGGTACCTCCAGCAATGACTTCGTTGTCAAGGCTGGTCTCGCCCAGATGTTGAAGGGTGGTGTGATCATGGACGTCGTGAATGCTGAGCAGGTAGGAGCCAATTGACCTCAATGGACATAATGAATCCGCTGACATGTTCAATCAACAGGCCCGCATCGCCGAGGAGGCCGGTGCCGCGGCCGTCATGGCCCTCGAGCGTGTCCCCGCCGATATCCGTGTTGAGGGCGGCGTCGCTCGCATGTCTGACCCCAGCATGATCAAGGAAATCATGGAAGCCGTCACCATTCCGGTGATGGCCAAGGCCCGCATTGGCCACTTTGTCGAATGCCAGGTATGTGACTATCACCCCGATCATTTATGCGGGGGAGGGGCGAATGGGGTAGAAAAAAACGGGAGTGGCGGTGGAGGCAAAAATAGAAGAAAAAGACCCCCCCCGCGCCGTTGCGAACTAGTGGAAGAGCGTCAACGCTAACAATGGAATCCCATGACAGATCCTGGAGGCCATTGGCGTCGACTACATCGATGAGTCCGAAGTCCTCACCCCCGCCGACGATGTCTACCACGTCACCAAGCACGGCTACAAGGTCCCCTTCGTCTGCGGCTGCCGCAACCTGGGCGAGGCGCTGCGCCGTATCTCCGAGGGCGCGGCCATGATTCGCACCAAGGGTGAAGCCGGCACTGGCGATGTCGTCGAGGCCGTCAAGCACATGCGCACGGTCAACGCGCAGATCAGCCGTGCCCGCGGTATCCTTCTTGCCAGTGCGGACGCGGAGCCCGAGCTGCGCGCTTTCGCTCGCGAGATCGAGGCCCCCTATGAGCTTGTTCGTCAGGCTGCGGAGCTGGGCCGTTTGCCGGTTGTCAACTTTGCTGCGGGAGGTGTTGCTACGCCTGCCGATGCCGCGCTTATGATGCAGCTGGGCTGTGACGGTGTCTTTGTTGGCTCTGGTATCTTCAAGTCCGGCGACGCTAAGAAGCGTGCTCGTGCCATTGTCCAGGCCGTCACTCACTTCAAGGATCCCAAGATGCTGGCTGAAGTTAGCCAGGGTCTCGGTGAGGCTATGGTTGGTATCAATGTGAAGCAGATGCCCGAGGCTGATAAGCTTGCCGGTCGTGGCTGGTAGATGTGCTTCCTGTCTCTTTGTTTCCCTTGTTCTCCCTTTTTTTTATTTTATTTTCAGCCTTATCACTGTTGTACCTAAAAGATCTGTACATGAGCCACGAGCAGATGTCTTGATGACATACATACCAAATCTATCAGACTAGACCTTGACGTTGCATTTGATATCTCTATCCCCATCTCGTTGTAATAATACCGTTTGAAACAGACTCATGTAAAACAGATCTATGGAAAACAAAAGCCAAGCAACCCATATCGAGATCTCCGGAGAATTAATGATACACGAGATCCGCCCCCTGATAGGCCCTCGTCACCGAACCACCGATCGCCTCCGGAACGGCCAAGATGTACCAATCCAATTGCTGGTTTCTGCCCGCGATCAGACAACGGCCGGATGGATCTACGCGTGACACTTAGTCTAAACGAAGTTCGTTCTCCGGGATCCCGATCACTCCGACGTTCCGGGGTCTCGGGGTATGCTAATATTTGGTTCGAAGCCCTAATTTAAATTGTCTGGTTTTGGGTGAGTTTAGTTGTATGATTGTACTCGGTAAAATACTACAGTAGAGCCTCGTTATTTCATTAGTGCATAAAAAATTTAAACCCGAAAGGAGTGATAATGGTGAGACGGTTGGATTGTCTCCGTAGGAACCTGACTTCACATAAGTTAAGTTATGCCATAACGATATGCCAGGTTCTAAGCGGTAGATTAATATCAACACCAGCTAGTCCCAGGAACTAATTCCCAAAACCAAAGTCTAAAATGGCATTGTATCTGATGTCAAACGCGAAAATACGTCGCTATACTACACAGAACCAAGATACAAGCCAAATCACAGACATCAAACAGACTCCCCCCAAGAAACCCACCTCCTAACACAATCATCAACTCTCTTCAGAGCCTCCTTCTCAGCCTCAACCTCAAACCACTCCCGATGCTCCTTCCCACAGTCAGGACACTTTCCCAAATCCTTCACGCGCAGACTAGCCAGCTCAAGATGAATCAGCCGCTCGACACGATGGACATGCGGAACCTTCCGACCAGGCGCTAGCGTGTCTTTCGCACTTTTTTCCTTCCTTCTAGCTGGCGACGAAGAAGAAGAAGATGACGAAGACGATGTGTATGGATAGTACCGAATAAGCGTCAAGTCATGTGAGCACTGCTTAGACCACTCATTCAACCGTCTGTGCACGTTGCTCGTCCGACCAATCTTAAGTCTGATCGTGCCGGGAGATGTGGAGGTCGGGTTTGAGGACAGGGCGTTGAGATCCCCTGCCGCGCGGAGTGCGTCGCTTACGCTGCGAGACTGGGTTGGAGGTCTGAGATGCGTGCTGTCGGTTGGGGCTGTTGGTGGGATTAGGGATGCTGCTAGATCTCTGGATGGGGGTTCTTGGGTTTGGGGCGGGTCGCCTTTGGCGTTGGTGGTTATTTGGGGCGTGACCCAGAACATGTAGATGTAGCCTTCATCGTCGGCTGAGGAAATTGGTTTGGCTAGTTCTGTGAGGAGGATTGAGGTCGTTTGGGGGGAGATTGTTGGGGGGATCCAGGATAGTAGGGATTGGGTTTGGGAGGATGTTGATGAGTGTCTTTCTTTCTGGGCTTGGGGTCTGGTTTGGCCTTGGCTTTGACCATAGGTGGACTGTGCTGGGACTCGCCCATTTTGAGGAGGTCGAGTTGAACTCGGCTTTGGGGTTCTTTGATACGGCGTTTGGCTTGACGATGACCCAGTTGGACGTTGTTGCATGGGTTTCTGGATAGGCTTTGAAGGTGCACCGCCGTCGCTTTCCTCGTCGATTGTAAAGCAACAGAACGTGCTTTTTCTTTTTGGTCGACGTTTTTCATAAAGACCCGTATTGCTTGGACGTTGGGTCTGCTTCCGCTGCTTTTTGTGAGGTGCAGGTTCATCATTGATCTCGAGTACTCCGAGGCGATCCATTAAGGTATCGATGCTCGTGCGAGGATCTCCCTCTGGGATCGAACTGACGCATGGCGTAGTTGCTACTGCTTGGTCTTTATGTTGCCAACAGTACAGTGATTCCAAATTTGTCGTTTGGTAATTGGTGCCCTGTTTCGGGGTCACTGAGGGCGAGGAGCCCTGTGAAGATGCCAAGGCTCGGCGACAAGGCCGGCCATTCGCGGTAATGCCTTTACATGTTGTTGCCGGGTTCCGAGAGTCTGCGCGAGCAAGCAGTGATTCGGGCGTGTTAGGGATATGAGGCATAAGATCACGAAGGAAAGTAAGGATAAGATAGTTTACAGAGATGTCAGCCTGAAAATGTCAATGCAATGCGGTGAGGAATGCAAAAATAGCTGTCTACCACCTGATCTCCACTCGACACTAGTTCGACCTGTGGCGCAGTATCAACATGGGGCGGTGCATCCCTGTCTACTTGACGAATCCAATGAAACAAATGGTGTTGCATATTTTAATCAAATGATTTTGCACCGCATACTATGCAAATGGATATCTAAACAAACATACCGAAGTTACACGTCCCATCAACTCCTCATCATGTCATGTTGGCCGCTCTCATCACTGAGCATAATCGAAATTCATTCCGCGGCACTTCAACCAAAAGGCACGCACAATATCAAGTGACTGTTTCTGGGCACCCCGAGCAATAGCGAGGGACTCCAGGAATCGAGATTTGTCGTGCGCTGAGAGAAGAGGCACTTGCTGCCCGCTCGGGTCTGTGACCTGCGCGTTTAAAGCGTCGAGTGCAGCTTTTAGAGCCGGGCGAGCCAGTACCATTTTCTTGAAAATAGTACGTCGGAGGGCATCATTCAATGAAACCAGATCTGATCTTGCGCACTGGCCTGCAATTTGTTGGACGATGGTGTAGCACAGGCGCGGGATGAATTCTTGGTGGACTGCTTCGATGATAGAGGTTTGGTCTTGGGTATTGCCGCGGAGATCAATGAATGCAATCCAAAATAGCGAGGCGGATCGGAGAGGAAGGGGCTCGGGTCGTGTTAATGCGTGAAGTGTGAAATGGAGTAGCACAACGAGAGGGGATTCCGGGCTGAGCTCTGGTCCGGAAGTAAACAGAATTGGATAGTACTTGGGAAGTAGACGTGCCAGGAAGTCAATACCGGCGTTTGCAGTTTCTGGATCGTAGAGATCCGGGTTCTGGAGCATCGAAGAAAACAGTTGGGCAACATGGTCGATCAGGGCTGCGGCTTCACTACGAATGTTCATCGCATGGGAGGCGTGCGATGCCAAGAATGATGAGGCCGTCGCCATAATAACATCTGTTCCCGAGATACCAAGAGGGAAGCTCTTGATGAAATCAACCGTCATCGAAGGCGGAAAGACGAAAAGTCCTGCGGTTTCTGTGTATCCGGCTTTCAAGATATCGCAGGCTGCTTCAATTATGCTGTTATCCACGGGAAAGTCAACAATGAGAAGTCGCATAGCCTCCATGATTAATCTTTGGGCTTCGGCACCCGGTCCAGCGTTCCAGAAAGACGGAGGGTAAGGATTGCCGTCCGCTTGGCTGTCGATATTGATGGGTTCATCATTTTCAGAACGAAGGCCTCTTCCAATACTGGCAATACAGCTCAATACAAGGTGGCCCCGTGCACGACCAGACTCATATTCAGGGCCGGTAACCTCAGCGCGCGCTGTGTTGGCTTCCTGAACAAAGAAGCCGAGAATTCTCTCTAGGGTTTGCACTTTCTCTTCATCGGTTTGTAGGTTCTGAATGATAGTCGCAATGCCTTCCAGGACCTTCGGCATCGTAGATACAGTCGCCGTCGGCTTGCTTCTGAACTGGTCCAGCTGATCTAAGAATGCTGGAAGATCCGGTGTCAACACCCGGGCACAGGACTTCGATAGAGTCAAGATAGATCTTGAAGCAGCTTGAGCACACAGTTCGTAATTGAGAGAGTCAAACAAGATGTTCAGAACACCAGCAAGTAATGCGCTATGGCGTTCGAAGTACGACTGATATTTCCCGAACGAATCCACCAAGGTCTGACGAGCCTTAAGTGGAATGTTTGTCTCACCACCAGCGCAAAGCCGGGCAAAGGAGTCACTTCCGAAAATAGCATCCAGGCATTGGTCGGCGTGACCATTTTCGTCGACAGCCTCTGAGAGTTGAGCGATGCAGAATATGGCAGTCTCGAAGTTGCGCCAGTCCCGGGCCTCCAAGTAAGATGTCGCACTTCTCTGGAAAACAGTCACCAATTCAACACCAAGGACTGGGTACGCCGACAGGAGGTAGTCACAAGCATCATGGCGGAAAGCGCCAAATTCGCTCCGCTCTTCATCGGTCCAATCTTCCAGATCTTCGGGGCTAGGGTACAACAATTTACCGGAAAGTCTCAGCACAACTTGAGCTATATGGGACTTCACCAGCTGATACCTCGAGCTGCCTTCTTCCAGTTCATCGGGAAGGCTCTCCGCGATCTCATTCCAAAACTCCAATACCCGTGGGGTACCGAGATCATCAATGGCAGCATATCCAGGTGTCTCAAATATGCTATGCACAAGGGCCAGAATCGCTGTATTTTGTGGGGTAATTGGGTCACTAAAGACACCCAAGTGCAAGTGCGAGACGTAGGCAATCAAAAGATCGACAAACGACATGCTCTCATTGCCCTCTTCTCCACTTCTCACAGCAGCGATGCGCGCTGTGACGAATGAATCAGCAAGAATCTCGGACAACAGCCAGATTGAGCTATCGTCAAAAGCCCACCGCCGGGTTTCGAAGGCCTGGGTCAGAATAGAAGCTGCGCTCTCACTCAAGCTAGGAACCCTGAGTGTTTCGATGATAGTATGGCCACAGCTTACAGCCAAGGCATTGACATCTTCGGCCGAAGAGCGCTGACGGTTTCCATGTACTCCTAGCCACGTCTTTCATGGGATCAGCCATGGGGTAAATAAGAATGCATTCGAAGGACTTACCTTCCAAGAGCTCATAGCTTCAGCCCCCAACGCTCCATCAACAACATCATCTCCAGCTACCTTTGAATGATGTGCCATCTCTCGTAGCACATACTGGGCTAGAAGTAGTCCGTCCTTGATGTTCAAGATGGCGCGCTGGATAGCAGGTTTGTCTCCAGCCCCATCCTGGGGTTCCGAGTCCAGCCTATAAGCCTCCTCAGCAAGCGCCGTTGAGAAAAATAACAATGCACCTGATCCGTTCTTGCCCAATGCCGGCAGTATGCGCCCCTGGAAATCCACCGCTTGTGATTCCTCCTCCGATATGTGCCCACCGTGCGCGAGGCATGCAGCAAGCTGCCACACAGCTTGCTTCCACGGTGTCACTGGGTGTCTAAAAATGGCAACTAGGCTTGAAGCGAGCTTCCTCACGACCATTGCTTGTTCACCTTTGTTGACCAAAGCAACAAAGCGATTGATGAGGTGTTGCATTATCTCTGTGGCTGCGTTCTCGTTGATCTCATTCCTAAAAGGGGTTAGTCACATAACTTTAAAAAAGGAGCTGAGACGATGAAACAAAGATTATTCAGTGTGCTTAAAACATACCAGGAGACATTGATCTTCACTGTGAAGGTGAGTGCTCCCATGAAGCGATGTTGGGGGGAATTCTCGCTTTGCAGGAGAGAATCAGCTATTGCCCACGCATGTTCAGTCTTTTGAAGTTGTTGAAGTCGTGTCTGGATCTCGTTGATCCTGGCGGGGTCTCGTTGGTTTGCAGGGTTGTAGAGCTCCGTGACTAGCTAATAAATTGTTAGCTGGAGCTCAAAGATGGGATTGGCAGTCCTACCATATGGGTTTCAGAGATTGACTCTCTGGCCCCAAGGCCCTCGTCGGACATCCAGGTTGCCATGTTGTCCGAGAAGCGCGTGGTTGCGAAAGTGAAAAAGAGAAGTGTATACAAGCACGGGGACTAAATGCTGGCAGAAACCAATGTTTGCATCATTGGTCCAATCAAATAGAGGGGCGGTATGAAAGGCGGTGAATGTGGGGGGTTTTGAAGTGTATGAAGATAACTTGGCACTTATTTCCTCCTTTATTTATATCCTGTTAAAAAGGTAACTTATATCGGTTTTCATCTAGAAGAAACAACTAGCTCATCTGAAATGCTTCGTATGTTGAATTTTGTTCTGATTGGGCATATTTTCTTGCATCAGAGAGCTAGGATACTGATCATCAGACTAACACCTTGTCTTCTGTTCCTTTTTTTGGTCTTGAATCGATAAGCTCAGAATATGTAAAAAGTTTATGGGTTTCGTCGGTTTGATCTGTTTATATAGAGCCCTCAATTATCTATTATACAGAACGTCCATGTACTCGCCTCAATACTTCCTAGTCTGACAACGGCTTCGTGTGTTACATCTAGAAGAAATGATGCTATATAGATATAGCCAAGTCATTCAGCAAAGACTTTGTCTACTCTATCTACTATAAAAACGATATAAAACCGAAGAAAATGCCAGTCACATATAGTTTGCACACATGAAAAGTGGAGCTGTCCGGAGATCCAACTCTCCACCTGCAAAGGCCACTCACACGACAGGCCCCTAGCTCGTCATCGCACTTGTACTCTTTGGCTTTCGGGACGATTTCACTCCATGCTCCTCTCCTCAATTCGCTTCTCATCTTTCCGATCGCTTAGGTCTCCTCTTCGCCCGAGATTCTTCTCTGTGTTCGGCCCGCGTTACACAGTCGACATGGGCACCGTCGATACTGCCGAGCGGCTCTCGAAGCTTCGGCAATTGATGCAGCAGCACAAGGTGGACGTTTACAGTATGCAACCACATAAACTATTTGGACTGTTCGAGGATGAACCTGTGCTAATCCGTCATGTACAGTTGTGCCCTCCGAAGATAGCCATCAGTCCGAATACATTGCGCCTTGCGATGCCCGCCGAGGTTAGATACCGATGCCTGCCGCAAATACCCTCGCAACCACATCTAACAACTGCATAGAATTTATCTCCGGATTCTCTGGCTCCGCCGGTACTGCTATCATCTCTCTCAGCAAAGCCGCTCTGTCCACCGATGGACGATACTTCAATCAAGCCGCCAAACAGCTGGATAACAACTGGGAGCTCTTGAAGCGTGGGGTCGAGGGTGTGCCCACATGGCAGGAATGGTACGCAGCGACGATTCCTTGGGGTAATCTACAATTTATACTGAACATTTGGTTAGGACTACCGAGGAGGCCCAAGGAGGCAAGGCTGTTGGTGTTGACCCTTCTCTGATTACAGCAGGTAAGTTTGCATACCTGGGTTGATGGAGATAGTCAAACTCATCTCAATAGCTGGCGCACGGAAACTGGCAGAGACGCTCGAGAAGAGCGGCTCATCTCTCGTCGGAGTGTCTGAAAACTTGATCGACTTGGTCTGGGGCAAGGAGCGCCCAGCTCGTCCCAGTGAGAAGGTGCGCGTACACCCCGAAAAGTACGCTGGCAAGACCTTCCAGGAGAAGGTTACAGAGCTTCGCAAGGACCTTGAGTCCAGAAAGAAGGCCGGTTTCATCATCTGTAAGAGTACTCCGCGCAAGGAAAGCCTTTAACGTGACTAATTGATGGCAGCCATGCTTGATGAAATTGCCTGGCTATTCAACCTGAGAGGAACCGAGTAAGAGGGTACTCTATATACCACAAAATCCGCCCACTGACTTTGTCCAGTATCCCCTACAACCCTGTGTTCTTCTCCTATGCCATCATCACACCAACCACAGCTGAGCTCTATGTCGAAGACGACAAGTTGACCCCCGAGGTCAAGGCTCATCTGGGAAAGGACGTCGTTGTCAAGCCCTACGACTCTATCTTCGCTGATGCTCGAGCGCTAAGCACCCGCGGCCAATCTGCGGGTGAAGCCGCATCAAAATTCTTGCTTTCCAACAGAGCTTCTTGGGCGCTCAGCACTAGTCTTGGTGGTGAGGGGAAGGTCGAGGAGACTCGCAGTCCTATCGCTGATGCAAAGGCCATCAAAAACGAGACTGAACTCGAGGGTATGCGGGCCTGTCACATTCGTGATGGTGCTGCCTTGACCGAATACTTTGCTTGGCTGGAGAATGAGCTCGTCAACAAGAAGACTGTTCTCGATGAGGTTGATGGAGCCGACAAGCTCGAGCAGATCCGCTCCAAGCACGAGCTATTTGCTGGTCTTTCATTCGATACTATTTCCTCGACTGGCCCTAATGGTGCTGTAATCCATTACAAGCCCGAGAAGGGAAGCTGCGCTATCATCGATCCCAACGCCATTTATCTTTGCGACTCTGGTTGCCAGTACTTTGATGGAACGACTGACACCACGAGAACCTTCCACTTCGGTACTCCCACCGAGTTTGAGAAGCGCGCTTTCACCCTGGTGCTCAAGGGTACTATTGGGATTGATATGGCCGTGTTTCCTAAGGGAACCAGCGGCTTTGCAATTGATGTCTTGGCCCGTCAGCACCTGTGGAAGGAAGGTCTTGACTTCCTCCACGGAACAGGCCACGGTGTTGGCTCATACTTGGTGAGATTCCTCGTTCGACTTTATGCTTTGCGCCACTAATTCCAAGTAGAACGTCCACGAGGGTCCTATTGGCATTGGAACTCGCGTCCAGTACACCGAAGTCCCCATTGCTGCCGGCAACGTCATCTCAGATGGTGAGTACACCTTTTTACTGTTGCCACAGCCTCCAGCTAATCACTCCATATAGAACCCGGATACTATGAGGATGGCAAGTTTGGCATCCGAATTGAGAGTGAGTCTATCATTGAAGAAAACAAATGGAACCATCCTAATCACATACTTTACAGATATCGTCATGGCTCGCGAGGTTAAGACCCCCAATAACTTCGGTGACAAGCAGTGGCTCGGCTTCGAGCATGTTACCATGACCCCGATTGGTCGCAACCTGATTGAGCCGTCCCTGTTGAGTGATGCCGAGCTGAAGTGGATAAATGACTACCACGCTGAGATCTGGGCGAAGACAGAGCACTTCTTCCAGGCAGACGACTTGACTCGTTCTTGGCTCGAGCGTGAAACTCAGCCTATCTCCAAGTAAGGCGTTGAAAGACATGCGCCTGGCAGTATAATCATACCATTATTTGCATGCATACCAATACAACTTGTTAGATCTGCACCTATTATGAGCTAGAACCTAAGCTAGAAATGCGAACAAGAAAAGATCAGAGAGTATTGCGTGGATCAGAGATCCTTGGCTCCGTACGGAGACAACTGGCCGGAATGCGGGAAGCTCCAGTGGAGCTGGCAACTCCGCCCTGCCTCCATCACCAACTTCCTTCCCTACGACAAAGAATGCCCATTGCCCATTGTCTACAGTCGCGCGCAAGCCAAACCTAAACCTGTCACATCTCGCCAGCTGCGGCCCCACCAACCTCTTGACGCAGCCCACCAGCGCTTTTAGACCGAACCGGGCCACCCCGTGCTCAGCGGACATCATTTGGGATGAGCGGCCAAAACGGCTATGGAAACGGACACGGCTACTCCGGCGCCGGCCGCTACGACACGAATGACCCCGGATATGCTGGTACCAATAATAACCTCGGTGTGAACGGATACAGTGGAAGGGGAACCGGAGCATCACCAGGCGGAGGTGGACGGTCAGATCTTCGCCCGGGAGGCTACGGTGGTTTCTACCCTGAGGCAAATTCGGGTCCCCAGTCGCAGTCGCAGTCGCCGTCACCCATGTCGCAGAGCCAGTCTCCTGAGCGCCGGCGCGATCGAGCGAATCGGGATTACCAGCAGCCCTCGCAGTCCACTTCCACTTCGCGGTCGAGAACAAGGAATCAGGATGCTGATAGGCGATACCGGGAGGATCGGTCTCGAGATGCTAGTCGGCATGCGGATACTAGGGGCCAGGGAAGAAATCCGTCGCCTGTTGTTAGGAGAGGGACTACTTCTGGAGAGTCGCAGGCCATTGAAGGTTTGTATTTGTCTTGAGGCTTTCCTAGTAGCAGGTATTAATGGGCATACTTTCTGCAGCTGTGCTTCAATCTATCCAGCGCGATTGGGACTTCATGACTGATAGCGAATGTGTGCCGGTACACGTTGCTTTGAGCTTGATGGATACAAGTACATTGGGCAAGGCAGACCGCGAAGATGACTTCCTGCATATGTACAATGATATCCAGAAGACTCTGAAGGCAATTGTGAATGGTAGATACTTTTTCACATGACTAAAGCGAAATATTGCTAATCTTGCACGACAGAACACCACCAAGGCTTCAACAGTTCCATTGGTACTTATCACAAAATCCAGTCGAACATCGGTTCGGCCCAAAGTCGAGTGCGCAACCTGAGACACGCCCTCGACCAAGCGAAATCAGGATTAATCTCAACAAAACCTGAGCTCAAGGGACTGGCAACGTCTTCACAGAATTACGATGATATCGTTCAGCTGTTCACTCAAATTGAAGAAGTCCAATCTCTGCCCGAAAAACTTGAATCTCAGATTTCGGACAAGCGTTTCCTTGCGGCGGTGGATGTTCTTCACACTGGTCTTCGACTCCTACGGCGATCAGAATTGGAAGACATCGGCGCCTTGTCTGATATCCGTGCTTATTTCCTTAACCAGGAAACCTCGCTTACAGACATCTTGATCGAAGAGTTGCACGATCACCTGTATCTCAAGTCACCATATTGCTCTGATCGGTGGAAAGCACCAACTACCGAGGGAGACGTGAATACATCTAGCTGGACCGGCAATCGATCATGGGAGCGACCTATTTTCAGCTTCCTTGCCAAGTTTGATCCATTAACACCCATGGTTGAAGATGCTTCCCGAAACCCCGAGGCAGATACATTCTCTTATATTCAACTGTTGATAGAAGCACTCAACAAGATGGGCCATCTTGATATTGCAGTTCATCGAATTGAGCAGCGTCTTCCTGTCGAGTTGTTTGCTGTGGTGGACAAGACCAATGCTGATGTTGACACTCGCTACCCCACGCCAACGAAAAGCTTCTCGGCCCAGGAAAATACTTACACCAAGTCCAACCTTCCTACTGAGATTATCGAGAAACGGGGCCATGTACTCTCTGAGTTCTTGTGGGCACTCTATGCCAAGTTTGAGGCTATTGCAGAGGGCCATCGGATCCTTCACGATGTCGTTTCGGCTATTGTGGAGCGAGAAGGTCTCATCAAAAGTGAGACGCTTTCTGGTGGATTTAAAGAGTTGTGGAAGCTCCTGCAAAGCGAGGTAAGAGCAGGGTGGTGGAAATACTGTGCAAGGGCTATTTGCTAATTTCTTTTGCTAGATACGTTCCCTCATGCACGACTATCTTGCTACGGACGGAGATTCCTCTGTCCGTTCTAGAGGTGATGAGGCTGATTCTCGACGCAATCAATACTCAGGTAATCGTGACAAGAACAAGGTAAGAAAAAAAGCTTCGATCATAGATTCACTGAGCTGATCGGCTTTTAATTGCAGAAAATGTTCAAGCTCTCCGACACCGAGCATAACTCAGAGATGAAAGCCGAACAAGATGAGCTGGACGAAATTCTCAAATCCTCTGTTCCAGGACTTGTTTCTAAATCAAGGCAAAAAGTCGCTACAAATGACACTTCACAGTCCAATAAGGGGAATTCAGGAACTGGCCACAAGATTTTACTTGAGCCTAGTGTCTTCAATATGGGTCTCCTCCTACCACCTTCCCTCTCCTTCATCCGGCGTCTGAAGGACATAGTGCCTGTCGATGCTGATATCTCCATGGGCACGCTGACTTCCTTCTTGGATGACTTTATGGTTAATGTTTTCCTGCCTCAACTCGATGAAACTGTGACGGATCTCTGCACGCTCAGCTTTATTGCCGCCGATTCATTTACAGAAGACCCTCAGTGGTCCAAGGTTTCTCCTCGGCCTATTTTCAAAGTAAACTTCCTTCCCATAGGAAACGTCTTATCGTGATGCTAATATACTTCATTTTGTAGGGAACAGTCAAGTTCATGACTATTGTTCGAGAATTTAGCAAGATGCTGTCAAGTATCCCACACGATCAGGCATTTACCCAACTTCTCATCGACCAGATCGTGACCTATTATGACAAGTGCTGTGGATGGTACAAAGGTCAGTCAACTTGAAAGGTCCATTTGCGAATTTAAGCTGATATCGTGTGAAGCCATGGTTACGAGAGTGTCTGCACGCAATCATGGCGGTGGAGTTCGGTTGAAAGCTGCGGCATCCTATGCTGAAACAGGCGACATCCGTGATACAGTGGATGAGCTGTGGAAAGGACCCGGGGCTAAGAAGCACACACTCATTGATACGGTATGCAAAGCTGTGGCCACTCACGAAAATCGTTGCTAACGGACGCAGGAAATCGACTTGCTTCTCAAGCGAACCAACGAAGTGCCTCTGGAGCCATACGACATCATATCTGATCCCAAGACTGTGGTCTCTCTTTCTCTATTGTATAACAGCATGGTACGTGATGCTAGCTTTTAATTTTGTTTATTTCGAGCTAAACATCCTTCTAGCAATGGCTTGCAAGCCACCTCGCCAAGATTCGCCTCGTTGTCGAGCACACATCTGACGCCGAGTCATCCAGTTTGACTGCAACTGGGCGGCCTTCGCGCAGATGGACTCTGTTTGGCGCCACGAAACCCAAGCGAGATAGTATCAACAATCCGGTACATCTACCACTCAACCATGAGACTGTAGTGGCCTTTGATGGGACTCTCGAATCCCTGCATGGCCTTGGTACTACTGCGCTTTTGACAATGCATGTGGATATCCGCTGTGGAATTATTCACATGTTGACGAAGACCATGTCCGGGCCAAACCCTCCTACATTGCGCAACTCCGAGCCCGTAACCCCATCCCCAAATACGCAAGACAACTGGTGGCACATCATCATGAACCAGCCAACAGCAGCATCACCCACTATTCTCACGTTGAACAATGATCTTATAGAATTTGATACCAACATCTCCACATATCTCGGGTCTGTCGAACGCTGGTTCATCACATCCGGTCTAGCACGGTTCATTGACCGTGTCTTTGTCGCCTGTACCCGTTACATCGGGGCAATGAACGAAAACGGGGCCTTGCGGTTGCAACTCGATGTGCTCGTGCTGCAGCAGAACCTGAAGAATATTATCATTGATCCAGCCAGTGATGCCCCTGCCTCGGCAACAGATTTGCACCAACAGGCCTCTCAGGAGGTCGTTGCCTTACCCCGAAGCGCCAAATTCCTGGACTGGTTCCTTGAAGGCGCCGAAAGGTCCTTAGATTACGCCAAGGATGAAAAGGAGGCGTTTGCATCACAAGGTGCCAAGGCCTTGGCTGCTGGAAATGGAGAGCCCTTCACATATGACGAGTTATGTGTCCTTGTCGACTTATGCTTCTCAGAAATCCTCCGTGGCCCTCGTGGGGCAGAGAGCCGCGAGGACTTCATGTCAGCCAAGAAGGCCAGTGCAGATGCGTTACTCAGGCTGAACGAAATTATGTGGGACGCCCGGTAGGGAACCTGTTCATACTATTGCACTTAGTTCGACTTGGCAATTTAATTTGTGTGGATTTTCAGAGTTCTTTTGAACATCCAATCTGACTTGTTCTCACTTTTTTTCTCACTTGTTCCAGAGTCATTTCCTCTTTTAATATAAGCACTCCTCCGCTAGCCCTAACTCGGTCTAGCACTCTGGGCCACACTCTCTTTTCGGCTACTCCCGCGCATCGATACTGGCCGTTGCTGATCCACGTCGTTTCAGATCAGATTGTTACTGGAGTCGCTAATTACAGGGTTTCGAGGAGGCATTCTAGACTTAATAGACATGTCGTCTCTCATCTTTCTCCCTTCTTTCTTTTTCATACCTTCTTTTCACCTGTCTGGCACAGAACAGTCTTTACAATCTGGATTCTTAACTCCAGACCTCCATTCCTTCTATAGTGCAACCAGCACGTCCGATCATTTCCAAAGGAAGCGACAATTTGTCCCTTCTGATCTCAATATACTGTAGTCCGCCGACTTCGATTCTTTCATTCTACATTACACAATTAAGCGCTAGACGCGAAACTATCCACAATGAAGTACTTCAGCCTTGCCTCCGTCGCCCTCCTGGGTGCTGCTACGGTCTCCGCTGGCCCTCTCGCTTTCCGCGAGGATATCGGTCAATGTCCCAAGGGATATACTATGAGCGTCATCTACAAGACCATCTACCCCGAATCGACTGCATCCGCTACTCTTGAGTCAACGGTCGCCCCGTCGTCTACCGCCGCTCTCGTTGCGTCTGTGAGCCCTGTCGCTGCAGTTGAAGTCTCTACTTCGACTTCTTCGACAACTACTTCTTCGGCAACAACTTCTTCAACTCCTGTTGCTGAGACCACCACTGCTGAGCCTACTGTCGTCAAGACTACTGCCGCCGAAACCACCACTGCCCAAGCCTCTCCTGTCGAGTCCGCTGCAATTATTAATCTCATCTCTCCCTCTACGGTCGAGACTACCGCTGCTGCTGAGACCACCGCTGCTCCCATTGTTGCTGAGGTTCCTACCTCCACGGTTGAGGCCACGACCGCTCCTGAGACTACTGCTGCCGCCGAGACCACCGCCGCTGCAGTCATTGCCCAAATCCCCACCACCTCGGCCGAAACTGTTGCCGCCGAGACTACTGAGGCAGCCGCCACCACTACTGCTCAAGCTGCTGTCAAGGCCGCCAGTACCTCCACTTCGACTACTTCCTCGTCCAGCTCCCAGGAAAACGACGGCTCAGCCACCTTCTACGGCGGCAATGTGTCCGGCGGAACATGCTCGTTCTCTAGCTACTCCTTGCCAAGCACCCTCTTCGGCACAGCTCTTTCCGCCGACCGATGGGACGACGCCGCCAACTGCGGTGCTTGTGTCTCAGTCACCGGACCCAACGGTAAAACCATCAAGGCCATGGTAAGTCCAACCCCGAGACCCAAATATTCCAACCGCCCAATTTTCAATACTAACAATCCACTTCTCGAATAGGTCGTCGACCAATGCCCCGAATGTGAAAGCAACCACCTGGACCTCTTCCAGTCCGCCTTCGCCGAACTCTCTGATATTTCCGCCGGCGTGATCGACATCGACTGGTCCTACGTTTCCTGCGACCTTGACGGTCCCGTCAAGCTCAAGAACAAGGAGGGCACATCCGCCTACTGGTTCTCCATGCAGGTCATCAATGCCAACGAGGCCGTTACCAAGCTCGAGGTCAGCACTGATGGCGGTAGCTCATGGCAGAGCACCACCCGTACATACTACAACTACTTCGAGAACTCTTCCGGATTTGGTACCGACACTGTTGATGTGCGTGTCACCGGATCTAGTGGCAAGACTGTTGTTGTGAAGGATGTTGGCTGTGCCTCTGGTTCTGAGGTTACTGCTTCGTCGAACCTTGCCTAAGAAAGCTGAATTTCATCGAGGATAGTATTTACGAGATAGGGGTCGTTTTTTTTTTCTTCTGGTATATTTTATTGTGTTGCGGAAGGGGCATCAGAGTACTTCACCTTCATACAGTACATGTGTTGGACTTGATTCTCCTCCCACAGCTATCTTCAACTTTAACGTTATTTTCACTTTCAACTCATTCTTCTTTTCTGCAGACACTAATTGAATAAAAGCTATCGATGCCTGTTCAATTCTACGGTCGTCTTTCGAGTTGGTTTAAGCTTAATCTCGCATGGTAAAATCTTCAAGCGTTTATCACATTAGCGCGTAAATTTCACCAGAAGCACCTTCAATATCGAGAGTCGAACCTTGTGCGTATACTTCAATCTCAACCAACTCTTCAAGAACAAGGCCTAGTGAGATGGCTATCAGCCTGTTGCCGAGCATCTAAAGTGAAATAAAACATGACGTCACTCAACTGGAATAGATGCAGCCCTACATATCACAGCGCATACAAACATACAAATCAAACGATGCAGGAATCAGCATACTGTGCACAATTCAGCTGTTATATAGATCCAATAGACGATAGCCGAGACACATTAACAGAAATGAAAATTTCCAACCAGCTCACCCATCCCACCTCGATATCCACGCTCCAAATTACACCGTCGCATACTCCGAGTTTCTCTCGATGCGGGCAATAAGAGGGTGTTTATAGAAGGGCTTGATAATATCCTCATCGTAGTCAAAAGTAATGCTATGAAAATATCAGTGTTTCCGTCCGTAATATCGGAAAATGCCTCGTGTGCGTCTGAGACGTCTTACCAAATACCACCGGTCAAGGAGTCCTCGGGCCCGAGTCTGCCACCCGTGTCAAGGACATCTTGTCTGATTCTGCGTGGTGCCTGTCAGTAACTGCGGACGGGCGAGACTGTAGATTTTAGCTATGCTGTGGCTACAATACGTACTTCTGCACCTGTTCTTCGGTGGCTTTGCGTTTGGGATAGATCTATTTGATATCGAGATTGTGAGTTTGAGCCTCCAGTGCTTCTGTCATGGACCAATAAATCAGGTAGCTTACGACGTAGTTGGGCATGATGTCGACCGAGTTCACGTTCTGGATGTAACTTAGTGCTCCGAGGGGCTCGGTGATTAAATACGGAGGGAAAGGGACGGAGGACCCGCCGCGCTCCGCTACGATCTTATAGGCTGATCTACGTCCATCGTCTTCCTGCATGCACAGCACTCTACTGTATACAGGATGCAGAACAGGGGTCATTTATAACGTGATTTCGTGTTCGATGTGCTCATATATACATCCCGTAAAGATCTAACAGCCAAGATCTAACATGGCGATATCTGGTCGGAACTGGTGTCCCCAAATTACTGCGTCTTGACCTCGCTATCTGCCTCGACGTTCTCAACGTGAGGGTGCGACTCGAGGGTGTTGACGGCATCGTCGTCGAAGGAAACACTGCCGGTCGTAGAGTCAGCGCTGGTGTCTTGGGAGCATCGAGAGTGCTATGGGCATCCAGTAGGTAGTAAAGGGAGACTTACGCGAAGCCCTTGATCAAGCTGTACTCGTGACCGATCTTTCCTCCCTGGTCGATGGCATGCTGCTTGGCGCTAAAGGAGATATCAGTGTCTAGTCTCAGGTCTCGTGTAGGGGTTGTGATCCATACTCCTGCACCTCCGCGTCGGAGGCATCCTTTTTGCATGTAACCTGTATTGGTTAGCCGGGGGAGTTCCATGCGAAGACGACGAAACTCACGATATAAGAAGGCATGGTGTTCAAGTAAATAGTAGATCTGGATCAGGATAGTTCGAGGGAAGGGCAGGGACTAAATAGTCGCGAGGGATGTTTACATCATAGAGGGGTAGGCTTATCTCCGCACGCTAATATACATTGGGAAGCCTATTTACCCTCCTCTCACCTACGTAGTGGTTACCGGTGGCGTAGCATGACACCATACCCAGATTGAAGAATAACTCATATTGTACCCGCAGCTCCATTCCCAAGGGATCCCCATCCCATCCGTAGAATTCGCCAGCCCATCCATTAAAGATGAAAAAAAAAAAATAAGAAGAAATGAAATGAGAAAAATAAAAGAAAATCCCCACAAATAGCGTACAAACACAACTTTGTGGGAGAAGGGGAGTCGAAAAATCAAAACAACAAAACACCGCGAAAGAGCCGCAAAGCTAAAAGGGGGCAAAAAGAAGTAACACTCAGACTGCCGAGGGCAGCATGTTTCCCGAGAACACGGGAGTAAAGGATAGGCCCGTGGTGAGAACACATCGATTGGTAGAAAGACAAACAGATCCGAGGAGAGGAGAACAAAAGATCGAAAAACAAAGAGAAAATGAGGGTATGTTCAAGTCTTAACCTCCTAGCAGGCAATAGTCGTAGCACGTGAAGATGGAACAGGGACTGCCTACTCCATATCCAGTGTCTCTAGCTCTTTTGAGTCCTCGTAGTCATCAAAATCTAAGCCGGCATCGCGGCATCGTTGCAGCCACTTCAGAGCAAGGTTGTTGCGTCGGCCGACCTCGCCCTTCAGCTTGGAGTTGGAGTTGCTGATTTCGGCGATGGCATGGTTGGCAGTGAGACTGTGCTTTTCAAACTGCTCCTCGGTGTTCTTCTTCTCTTCTTGTAGTTGAAGGATGTATTCAATGGCGCGTTGGAGTATGGCGCCCTTGTTCTTGTCACAGTTGGGAACGAGACGGGCAATCTGGTTGATGCCTTCGTTGATGGCTTCGCGGCGGCGACGTTCAACTGTTTTGACACTGGTAAGCATGGATATATGCGACGAACATTCAACCGGTCCTTACCTTCTTTGTGGTTGTTCTTGCGGATTTGGTGCCATTCCGGAGAGCCGACGGTGGGCTTCTGGTTCATGCTCTGGGCCTCACGCGCGGCGTAGACCGCAGCAGCAGTCGAGTTGTGGTTGTGGGCGCCACCCATAGGGGTCTGATTCATCTCATCGAACGACAAGCCCTGGGTAAGATTACTCGCATCGAAACCAGCATCGGGAGGAGGGGGATATTTGTGTTGAGGGGTGTGTGCAGCGAGAGCGGCTTTGGCATTGGCCGTTAGCGCGTTATCATCAGAGAGACCATTCTGCGGGCCAACGTGTTGAAGGATCTGCTGGTCAATGTTGAGCTCAGCTCCGGTGTTGGGTAGGCCATGGTCATAGTTGCCAAGTCCGCTGTGGCCAAAGTTATGCTGGTTGTCTCCCATGCTGCCGTTGCTGCCGTGGGAAGAGCGGTTTAGACGTTGGGGATCAGGTCCTAGATCTTCTGAGCCGTCTCTCTTGCGCTTGTGCGATCCATTGTCAGGGCTATTCATGGTGGGATCAGACATACTGAGCCTAAAAGGCGATAGTCTGAGCAAAGTGTTAGTCAGGGGTCGCCAACATGCAAGTGAAACAGTCTCGGACAATAAGTGAAGGTAATGATAGGGGTTGTCAATGTCCATGCAGCCTCCAAGTTCGATGCATAGGCCAAGCCACTCGGGGGGCAGATCAGTGGGCACCCCGCGAAGTAAACAGACGCGTAGACCAGACGCGCTCGGCATCTCAAGGAGGCCGGTCGGTCATGTCAAAACTCTGCCACCGCCAGCGATGCTATGCATCGGTTGGCCATGCAAATGTGATTCTACGGGGAAGTGACTCAGTGCAGTACCATATTCGACGCGATATCTCGCGACCCCCGTGAGGGTCGAGGATATCAGCAACGCGTCGTGCTGGTCTGCAGGCGGCGAACGTCACACAAGGGGTGGGGATAGCATCGCGAAGAGCACTCGCGACGAGCATCTCATCGCGATGTATGCGATAGCATAGGGGAAACTAGATGGAAATGGGGTTTGATGGAGCCGTACCTTGGGATGATCCTCTTTTATCACCTGACAGAAAGTCACCTGCCAACAACAAGACGCAGGTCACGTTGTCTGTGAAACCCCGAATCTCGAAAATTGAGGCCCGGAAATTGGAAAGTTCGGAAATTGATGGATGGAATAGCCAGCGGTGAGATCGAATTGACCATGTATCGAAACACGGCAAATTTACTTCCAGGAGAGGGGGGGATTCCTCGAGATGTAGAGTAGGCAAGTCAAGACGGAACTCACGTGGCGAGGAGATGTGGTTGCGAAGGGGGTCCGCCCGGGCAGAACGACCAATTGTGCAGGATAGTCACCTGATATCCCGGTATTAGGTAATCACGCGTTCCTCTCCAGGGCTCCAGCTCTTTGGCAACCAAAGAGAACCGGGGAAGTTCAGGAACAAATCGAGCTGAAGATAACATTGAAATGCCTCGCTCTCCCTCTGCAAGTCATGTGCAGCGATCCCGTGCCCCTCCGCTGCACACCCTCAGTTCCGCGATCTGATTGGTCATCGGATGCCGGGGGGCACTCCCGGATCACGTGCCCGCATACCCCATGGCCACTCACGGGTCTTACTGCGAGGGGTCGGACCGTTCACAGAGCCTACTTTTACATCGATGGTCTAGATCAAGGGCATTCTCCCGATGCAGGGCACTGGGAACAAAGTGGGATGACCTAGTTCAAATCGTGATATAGAAGTTCACTTTCCAATTCACCCGACGTTTCAAGGTTACTCCTTTTTCTATGCTCTACATCTGATCCCCCTCATTCCTAAGGAGGGGGGAAGAGAGGAGGAGAATCACATGTTTCAGAGACATTGAGATTCACCCCCTCCTAAATCCTCTGCACACCATCTCCAAAGGGTTGCATTAGATAGAAAAAAGGGACTTCACTAGTCACTAGTGCTCTTTATGAATATCTAGTGATCATGAGACTGTCGTTGCAGGATCTCTGAGCGTTTGCATGAAGATGTTGACGATCTCGATGATCTTCGTCTTAAGGTCATAGTTAGGTTCCCTGTCACATGGATCATTCGCACATGATATGACTGCGGTAATCAGTCAGCCCTAAGGTCGCCATGACGCTGAGTAATTATACAAGATGTATCAGTCTTCCGAGGGGACGTATCACAGGAAACCCAGTGAGATGTTATTTCGGGAGTCAACTTGGCCTTGACTCTGTTCATAGAATGTTCATTATCTGGAGGAGAAAGAAAGAGAGAGAGAGAGAGAGTCTGACGCGTTCAGTGCGTCTCATCACTCGGATGTCCGCTTCAAGGCAAATACCATTTTTGGATCTGCCGTAGTATCCGCGAAACAAATACCTTCCTCCCTCGCGCCTAGCATATCCCAGCACAGTATCTTCACGTCGAATGGGAGGTCATCCTCTGTCTCACTTTCTGAGGCACCTGACCCTGTATCTTTCTCCGGTTGTTGCGTAATGGCGATGATGGTGCTAGACCCCACATATTGCACCGGTGGCTTAGTCTCGTCTGCTGGTGGATCCTCTCCCGACCGGTTTGCAAAGACAATGATGATCCTCTTTGGGGAACCCGGCGCCTCTCCATCTAGGTCCACTTGATGTTGCATTTTCCGCTTTATCAGGGGCCAGAACCGCTGCAGCCAATAGTTGAAGTTCTCCATATCAGGCTTGTCTTTCAACTGTTCGAGTTCCTCGGCGCTCATCATGCTGGTCCACGCCATAGACAGGATAACGAGTTGAGATTTGGAGTCGAGGACCCGGGTTGCAAATTCCCATTTATCAAATGGCGCCTCGAACTTGTATGGGTTGATATCCATGCAAATACCAAAGGATGTTGCAATCTGTGTATCTTTCGTTTCGGATACTAGCTGACTCGTGTCGACGATAGATGCCTTTTGTGTCGGGAATCTGAGCTCGCGGAAACTTCGCTCGACATCGCCTTCGGCCGCCCACGGCTCATCGCTCATATACAAGAAGCTTTTGCGATAGTTATGGATAAAATCACCATTCTTGTCAACAACAAGAAGGGCATTATAGCACGTCTTTTTTTCGGGATTTCGAGGATCTTTCTCGACCTCTGGATATCCGACACACACCGTACATTGCAGGAGCTTGGCAGTCTCACGCGCCCACGAAGAAGATGGACCGTCACCAAATGTTTCAAGATATGGTGTTATTGCTTCCAAGGAGGGGAAGTTGTAGCCTGGTAATGAATGTCAGTCAAAGCTATTTGGATTGCCGGTTCGCGATAAAGGGATCGAAGCGTTCCGAGGTTATCCAAACACGAACCTGTCAAGGCCATTTCAGGCAGCACCAGAACATCGGGCTTCAAAAGGTCTACACCGAGGCCGATCCCGAGCTGCTTTCCATCTACAGAGATGATCTTGCCTTTCTTTAGCAATGTATTGGCTCTCTCAATGTTGCCGTTGACATCGCCCAGCTTCGGGGCGAATTGAAGCGTAGCGATCCTCATATCGAGGGAATGTGAACTTGAGAAAGTTCTTCTGAATGACAGCTTCTGACTTGCGATGGGATCTTTGGTGGCCCTTGAAAGGTATGCGCGTAAGATCAATGATACTCTAGGTGCGGTTGAGGTATGAAGTCCGTGTGTTATGGCCCCAACGCGGACGCAGCCGGGCAGAATGATGGCCAGAATGAGGGTGATTGGGTCAGTTTTGATGACACCCGAAAAATGATTCAATTGGTTAGATTGGATCAGTCCCTGGACCACAGCAAAGATTACTGTACTTCCAAAACTCGGAGTCACCGCCTACGCTATTCCTCGAATCCAAGTGCCAAGACACGCCAAACTACTTTTGGAATCACTGACACTTTCTTGGCATCATAGTATCAGTCGATGGGCATAGAACTACGCATGCTGGCTATTGCCATGTAAATCAAGTAGGGCTGGAGTAATGTAAGTTTAGACAAGTGAACTATCGATGGCAGGAAGTATACTTCGAATAAAAATAGACATAAGGCTTTACAGAATGAGAGGCCTCCAGCTAGCTGGGAATGGCAGGGTGTAATTACTCAAGCCAAGGAAAGATTGAAATAGACACAAGAATAACATTTCTCCTATGGATATTCGATAAAGAATAAATCGACCTCAAAGCGCCTTCAGAGTATGCAAACATGAACCGCCTGGATAAGATGAACGTTCCGACAAATGCGCAAGTAAACAATGTTCAATGGAATCGAAAAAGACACAAAATGACTCCAACATATCATGATGGAAATGAAGAGGGTGTATTAGAATCAGTCCAAACACACCACATCGTCATTATCCTCGACAGAAACCACGGGTTTCTCTTTCTTCGGCTTCTTCTCCTCTCTGGCCTTGTACTTCTCGGTATCCTTTCTCCTTCTTTCGGCCTGATTCCTCTCGTCCCTCTCACGTCTGTAGCGTTCAAGTCCTAGTGAGACAGGATTCGATCCGTGGGGAGCGGTGCGTCGGAATCTGGCATTGACGCGGGGATGCGTGGGATGTGCGGAGCGATCAGGGGTCAACGATGCGCGGAAAGAGGACTCCGGGGCATGGTTGAATAGGTATTGGTGAGTAGAAGGCTGTATCCGAAGAGGCGGGGGAATCAGTATTAGTTATATAGGACAGGACATGAGCTCGCGAACCTTTTCGAATAAAGCAGATCGACGATAGTTGACTGGGGGATCCACCGAGGGAGAGTATGGGAGGTCCTTTGGAATATCAAAGATTCCTGGTCCGTTCTTCAGCTCGTGAGCCAAAATCCGTGCACGTGATAGCATAATTTCGTCTTCCTGGACCTGGCGCTCTCGAATCCGCTTTTGCTCATCAAGCCATTTTTGTTCTTCGTCAGTGAGTTTTCTGGGCTCAACCAATGCCTTTGTCTCTGCGAGTTTTCTTTCAAGTCGCTCCAGGATTGGAAGCTTTGGCATGGGTTCGCTCAAAACCTTGGATAAGGAGAATCTGGGGTAGAGAGGCTCCTGTGAGGCGGGAGGGTCCGAACCCTTGGTCAACTTGGTATCTGGGCCATTGACCAAATTAGTCGTGGTTGAATCATCCAGCGATCTCTTCTTTTGCACGCTTGTCATCTGGCCGCGCGAACGCCTCGAGGACATATTGGCCGTTGGCTCTTGTGCTAGAATTAACAGTCAATAAAACATCAAAAAAAGTTAGTAGGCGACATACCACCGGATTGAGATAGCTCCGAAAGACTCATTCGCATGTCCTGGAGTTGCTGAGAAGAAGGCGCTTCGAAATGCACGGATCGTTTGAAAAGGCCATCTGAAGATGCACCCATAGACTGGCGTTTCAGAGAAGAGCGCCTGCGAGACTTGATAGAGTCATCATTCTCATGAGGCCGCTTCAGCGAGGGTTGCTGTACCGAAGATCCTGATGCAATCGAACCTTGGAACAAAGGCTTCGATGACTCGGTCGTAGTACTCAAAGGGCTGTACGTAGACGACTTGGCATCGAAGAGCTTGGATGTTTGCTCGGATTTTGAAGAAGGCGACTGGCTAGTAGACGAATTTCTGGCTTGAGGGCCCGAAGCGAGGGTGCCTGTGTAGTTGAATAGAGAAGACAGGACTTGCTCGGGGGTAGGACATTGTTCCCACGCAAGAGAGCGCTTTTTCGCTGGTTGGCTATCATTCTGCTTGGGCGAAGTTGAGGGGAGATTTTCGGGTACAGAAGGAGGAGATGTGGGTGGCGTAGATGATTGAGCCGCAGAAGCTTCAACATTCCCATTTGGCTGTGGTGCTGAGGTTGCGAATGAAGGCTCCACCCCAGTCGACAATTGTGGCGCGGCATTCGTACTACCATTTGAAACCCCGAAGACAGGCTTCGCAGTGGTTGACGCCGTGCTTGATTCCTTAGCCTTGTCGTCGATTTTTGATTGCTGTGAAAAGGAGAAAGCAGGAGCCTTGGGGGCCAAAGAGGCGAAAGGGTTGTTAAAAGCAGTTGATGACTCCTCAGAAGTGCCGCGTGGGGCAAATATTGAAGCTGGGGCACAAGTTGATGTTTCCACGGGTATGGCCGCCTTTTGACTCGATTCCGGTGCAGTTGGGAATGTGAACGGAGATGCAGCGGTAGGAGCGGCGGTGGAGGACGGCACTGAGTTTGAAGATTTTGCAAATGAGAAGTCTGCAGTCAATGACACCGGCGGCGAAGTGCTGGGTTTGAATATCGAAGAAGGTGCAGCAGCAGTCACCGCGGGCGTCTCGGAGACCTGGGCTGCATCTGAGGGCTTGAACGCAGATAGAGATGCCGCGAAAGGATTTGTGGTTGATGATGGCTGAGATGTGTCGAAGCCCAGAGACGCGAATGGATTTTTCGGCGAAGAAGACTCGGAGGGGCTACTAGAAGGCTTGAACGCAGACAAAGATGCAGCAAAAGGGTTCGGCTTGGAAGATGGTTGGGGTGTGTCGGAAGTCAAAGATTCGAAAGGGTTTTTCGGCGCAGAAGTTTCCGATGGACTGCTAGTATTGAAGAGTAAGGATGTCTTGGAGGTAGTTGCGGCAGAGGTATCAAAATTCTGGTTGACGTCTGCCTGTCTTGGGGGTGGGAATATGGAAGACGACACAGGGGCAAAGGCGGATGGCTTAGCAGGCGCATCCGTTTTCTCAGCTGGCTTCGTAAAAGAGAATGGAGATGATGAGGAAGCAAATGGAGATGGGGCGGCAGGTGCCTCCGCCTTCTGGGCAGTTTCAGCGGGCTTGGGGAAAGAGAAAGGAGAAGCAGTAGTCACAGCAGAAGGATCAATGTTCTGAGCTGGTTCAACCGGCTTCGAGAAGGATAATGGAGAAGGGGCAGCAGACGTAGAAGCCTGTGAAAAGGGATTCGGCAACTGGGGAGCAGCTGTGAACGGCGATTGAGAAGAAGCAGACGGGGTGACAGAAGGGAACTGCACACCCTCAGAAGCAGTTCGTAGATCAGATGCGGACGTGTTATCAAACATCCCGTTGGGCTCAATCACTGGCGCTGGGGTCTGATTCTCGTCATCACTCACGAAAAGACCTCTGCTGTCGTCTGACATGTCAGCCGTTCCATCCATCCGCTGAGCCAAAGAAGATCGATCAAGCATCCCCATTCTTGCCGCTTCTGGGATGGTCATTCCAAGAACGACGGCAACCAGAGAGCGGCCTGCACGCTTCGACTCCACGTATGTTTCAGAGTACGAATGGTCGGATGAAGGTGAGAAGCCTGTGAAGTGTTAGTGGGTTACAAAACAAGATGGCGAAGTGTGGGAAGGTGTTCGGGGAGGAGGGGGGAAAGTAAACGAGAGTACGTGTTTGGGGGTTGAGACGTGTTTGCGATGAAAGACCACGTACCGATTGAGTCAACCGGGCGAGAACCCCAATTCAGATACAGTGCACCATCAGCACTCTGAGCAAATTGCAAATCTTGTTCTTCGCAGAATTGGATCGTTTGCTCGTGCTCGTCAAAGTGCAGTACCCTGGTCAATTCCTCTACAGTCCATTCCTCATTCTTAGCTTGTTGCGAAACCGGAGACCGGCAGTACGCTTTCCAGATTGCACGAATCGCTGTCTGACGAATATGGTTGAAGTAAACCTCTGCCACACAAGCCATCAGATACGACACGCTCGGAGAATTGATGATGTTGAAAAAGCGAGTGTGAAGTCCCTGAGCGATGGCATTCGGCCGACGAGCGTCGAGCGCACCTTGATATTCCCAGGTGTTTCCAGCAGCAGCGAAGAGATCAAGGGCCACTTGAATTCGAGGAGAGGCAAGTAGATCCGCTGGCCACTTCTGGACACGGGCTTCGAGGTCAGGTCGCTGGTCATGAATCGAGAACAAGATATAATAGGCACGAAATTCATCCTCCCTTGGAAAGAAAATGCGTCCACGGTTGTCGTCATAATAGTACATCAGCGAAAGCATAGTGTTGTTGAGCTGCTCTCGTTCCTGATGGCGATCGAATTGTTCTTCATTGGTTGGATTCGAAAGGAGATGGAGAGACACAATATGGAAGCGTGCAATCCTCTCCAAGCACATCACTGCCGTTTTCACATCCTCCTCTTGCGTAAGTTGCTGAACGGAGAAATCATTGCGGATTGAACGTGTTCGATCCCAGACGAACTTGTGAATGATGGCTAATGGCTCACTGCCACCGAGGACATAGCGAATGAGATAGTTCATACTCTGCAACAGAGTCCCTGGCGTCCGGATATCCGAGGGCAATTGCTCATCATAGCCAGCAGCTGAGCGTCGAAATCGCTTCAGCATCTTGGATTCTCCAATTTCTAGCTGGTTGGTGGCCGGATCAAAGTACTGAGGAGGGTGAGTGGGATTCAACAACTGACTGGCAAGAGCTTACCTTCTCGCACTTATCCATCATTTTTTGCACGACTCGTTCAACACGCTCGAATTGGGGGCACATATCTGTACATGTTCCCACGGGGGTGATTGCCTGTTTCAATGATGTTGGCTGGTTCGGATCCGCCATTTGGCCATCTTTGATCGCTCGCTGGCGCTCTTTGGCTCGATCGAGTTTCAACTGCGATTCTTGTTAGATATGGACCATGTCGGAATGACTCTGCACATTTACCTGGTCATAGCGATCTTGGAAACTACCTGAGCTATTTCCAGAGGGTCTATCAAATCCATTGCGAGCAGAAGACGCGGACGATTGACGGGTCATGTTTGACGCAGGTTTCGCGAATGGGTTGTTCGAAGAGTTGGAAGCCGGGGTGCCTTTTTGAAGGCCAGAGAACGGAGATTGCTGGACGGGCTGCACGCCAAATGGTGATGCGGAAGTATTCTGCTGATTTGATTGTGTGAAAGGCGAGGCGGTAGCACTGGTGTTGCCTGCTTGGGTTGTGCCATTTACATTGTGATTGTTCGCAGCGCTGGCGCCACGACCACGACCTCGACCTCGACCTCTTCCGCGCCCACGATCTTTTCCATCGCCCCGTGCATTATTCCCTTGGAATGGGGTCGCAGCAAACCCGGGGCTTCCTCCTCTTCCTCTGCTAACGGAGCCCTGTGCGCCTCGTCCTCCCCTCTGACCAGTTCCTGCGGCAGCGCCAAAAGGATTGAACGGGCCAGCCATCCTGTCCGCTGGTCGCGGAAGACTTTGGATAGGCCGTCTCCTTGTTCAATGTCTCCAGATTCGATTCTTCTTTCGGAGCGATCTCAGTTATCGATCGGTTTGTGCTTACTTTTGAACAAAATCCGAAACGATCGGAGGTTGAAGAGTTCAATGGAGCCGTTCGTGTCTTTTTTTAAATGTCTCCAGGCTTGATTCTTTCTTCCAACTGATCTCAGTTATCGGTCGGTTTAGATGTACTTGCTCGATAAGATGCGAACCGATCGAATGTTGAGGAGTCTAAAGGATCTGTTCGCCGGAGACGGTGACCGCCGAGGCGACGAAGACAAAGTCAGCTCATGTTACTATAATGTACTGCGATAGCCCGATCGATGATCCAGAGTGTCGCGGCGCACGCGCAACGAGTGGCGGGCACAAAGACAAAGGGGAGAAAAAAGTGGACTCGGATGTGGTCAGACACAGGGGATTCACGATACCTGTGCAAGGAAATTGGCCCGTCAGTATCTGATAATTGGGCTGCAAGGCATCAGCAGCCTCGCTAGCTGCTCGACTGTCGCGATGTGAGTTCGACCTGGTGATGCGTGCGCGTCGAACTTTGCGGCTGGCGGAGTTATCGAAGGAGCTGCGTTCACTGGAAGTTATCAGGTAAGGTCGAATCTATCGAGTGGCTTTAAAAAAACAAAGCAGGCACTCCTCAAGTCGCCAACAGGACTGAAAGAGTCGAAGAAGATCCGCAACTCTCACGGAGCTTCCAAGGCGGAGAGAGCCCTCCCGCTCCTCCGCCGTGACTGGTCGGTCCGGACCCGCATGCTTGGCGTTCAATTGGCTCAACTATACAAGAACGCATTCAATGGGAGATTCTATTCAGGAACATGAATACCCTACATGCTTCGGTTGGGGCAGTGATCAACTCAGAATTCTACCAGTTATCTCTCACACTGACAGTCACCATTTTCTACTGTACAAAGGCAAAGACTCGAGAGTTTAGTAGAAGTATGGTAGAAAGCTAGTGAGTCACATAGGCCAACGTTGGAATCTTGAAAGACAAAGAAGTACGGTAGGAATGAGATAATAATAGACATCAGAGTGATATTATAAACAGCAAAGAGCTTCCCAGTATCTACCAAATCTCGTTTATCAACAAAGAGCCCGAATATCCAAATCCGCGACCAAAAAAAGAAAAGAGAGCCATGTACAAAGCAAATATAAAAGAGATAACCAGGGCATCACCAACGAGGTGAAAACAAGACCCAAAGAAAAAAGAAACCAAAAGCCAAAGTCCGGAATATGACACGACCAATACAAGATCAAACCCAAAGTATTTTCAGAAAGAACAAAAAAAAAAAAGAAACAAGAAACCAGAAAAGAGAAACAGAGCCCATTTTTCCAGCACCATCTTATAAACGACACTCCCCCAAATTTTTCAATCCACCGAAGATGAACCAAAATGACAGATAAAGACAATAACTCCCCTGACGAGGCCTTATGACAAAGCCTTATGACAAAGCGCTAAGTACAGAGCCATCAGTCATGTATAATTCGTTAAACCACCCAAATTCCATAAGCAGAGGAGGATGATGCATCCTCCACATCAACATGAATCGTGATACCAACAACCAAGAAATCAATCAATCGGGACCAGCCCGGCCATTGAACCCCTCTAGACGGCGTGAGAAAGAGGCAGGCCATTAGGGTGAGGGTGGCCTAGCGAGCCGGTGCGGAAAGGCAGGGAGCGCTGGTCGATATGAGATTGCGACATGTCATGCATGTGAGGGGCCATGGGCATGTGGTAGCTCATTGATGGCTGGGACATGGGCTGGCTAGTGGGTGCGGAATTGTACTCGACTGTCCCGAAGATATTCTGGCGGAAGGTTGGGGTCGGAGCCCAGGGGTCATAGTGGCCAGCGCGGGACTGGTCCAGGGCGTTATGGGATGAGTAGTCGAAGACGGAGACGTCGTGGGGGCTGATCATCTCTGCTGTTACGGGTGTGTTGATCATTGGCTGTGAGGAGAAGGTGTCTGTGTATTGAGGTGGTGTGGCATAGTAGGGGCGGTCGTGACGGGGTCCTTCGAAGCTGATGGACTCGGGCATGGAGAAGCTGCCTGGGAGGGAGCGGGCGGGGGGGAGGGTATCAATTGGTGTGGTGAGAGCGGCGCTGATGTGCTCGACGGAGGAGATGGGGGTCATGAGGCCTTGCACGCTGTGCTCGGATTCCTCGATTGTCACTGAAGGAGCGTCGTTGGATTCTTCTTCTTCGTCGCCCTTGGGGCTGGGTCCGCGGTTCATGGTGTACACGATCATATTGGCGTCGACTTCGCCGCGCTCAAGGCGCTCTTCCATCTTGCGGACGCGGAGGATCTCGTAGATGATCTCGACGTGGGATGGGTGCTTCAAGCTTCGCTTTGTATCCCCAGCGACTTCCTTGAGCTTGTCTGCAGTAATACCGTAGCCACCAAGGTGACGGATGATGTGAAGGAGAAGCTCAATGCGGTCTGTCTCTTGATTAGAAAGATGTCTCTTGTAATTGACTGGATATAACATACACTCTTTACGTAAGTGGTCAGGCTCCTTGTGCATGACACCTGGGGGCCACCACTCGGGCTTGGTCTTTTCTGGATCACCGGTGGTACCGGGGGCAGATCCCGGTGGAGGCTTACCACCATTGTAAGGATGTCTGACCTGTTTGCGCGGCTCGATGAATTTGATGAATGCCTTGGCAACCATACGGCAGTTGAGTTGTTGGAAGTGCTTAAGAGCACTCTCATAGTAAGACATAACCTTTTGGGTGTCTCCAATGCGGAGAGGAACCATTTCGGTAGATCCGTTGGAGAAGTCTTCGCTGTCAGAAGCCTGCTCGGAGAGACGGTCCTCGGAGATCGAGGGACCATTGCCTTTGCGTCGTCTCACCCGTCTGGGGGATGCATCTGCGGTCTCTGTTGCTGTGTTAGTTAAGTATTGGTTGAGTGGTGAGGATTAGATCACATACGGCGAATGGGGGCGTGGTAGCCAATGCGTTCGCCGAGGATCTCAAGGAAGTTCTGGCGGACTTCAGGGTTGAACACGGTTGCGTTGTGTTCTTGAATGGACGAGGACTCGTCAACCTTGAGCTTGCCATCTTGGTCTAGATAGATCATGGCGTAGTGAGTATAAGGAGGGCGAAATGATGAGCGAGAATGGGTCATCATAGGCTGCAAAGGTCAGTAAAAGAGTCATGATAACATGATCATTGGCAACATACAGGAGCAACATCCCATCCCGGAGGTCCTTCGAGGGCTGAAGCAGACCGCTTCATGGCGCCAGTTGTGGGGATTGGTCTATTGTAGACCATTGTATAGATATGAACTGAATTGATCAACCGTGGTGTTGATACGGTAGTAAGGACGTAGTCGTCTTGGGTAGTAGAATCTTAGCTCAAATAGCACATCAAGATACTAAACGAAGCGTGAAGGTGTGATGTATCAATAGGCTGATGGCGTATAATGATCCGGCGAGTGAAGTGCTCTTTATAGAGGCTTCTTTTTTTCTTCTCTCTCGAGTCGGAAGTTGCAATTGCGTCTTGACCAAAGACTTGACACTAAATCTGTCGATTCGCGTCAGTCTACTGCTTGCCACTGTTTTAGGACGCCAGGCTGGGCTAGATATGAATATCCCAACGGCTGGAAAGCCCTCCCCGCTCCCGCGCGGGAACTGGTAGGACAAACGCATGCCTCATAACGGGAATCAAGCTCTTGTAGACAGGACCATGGACATATAGAATGATAGGCACTGGGGTATACTCACACACTCTAGCAATGCGCCAGTGTCTCAATGGAGGCAAACGGATGAGTGCAGACTGTTAGCAACCGGGATGCAGGAGCGAGAGGAAGCCACTGTGTTCCCGCAAGTAAACGATGGTGACACAGGCCGGGTTGGGACAGTTGAGAATAAAATATTCGTAGAAGAGAAAGGTGGGTCAAGTGGGATGTTAAATAAATCTCCAGGTGTAGAGTGAAATGTATACTCTGTACTGAATAAAAAAAAAAAAGAGAGAGAACAGATGGGGACCTGCACGCCTATTTCAGTTTCCAGAGAAGTTCCAGGCGATTGTGAAAAAGTGACAAAAGGACGACTCCAAACCAGAGCACTACACAGCATGGATGATCCTAGGAAGCCCGGGGGATCCCTCATCGTATGCATGCAGCGAGATTGGCGCACTTCAAAGCGACATGCAGGTGAGTGTTAGGCCCAGTCCCGATCCAGCATCCCTGTCCTACACTATTTGTAGATCGCATTAATTGATTTTATTTGAATTTTTAAGGTCCTTTTTTTTCTTTTCTTTTTTCTTTTATTTAAATAAGTTCGAAAATGCTTTTTTATTATTATTCTTTTAGTGTCAAGTCGGGACCAAACCCAAGTGGCGCTGGATTATCGATCAGACCCCCACAAGGGAACTGGGGGATGCTCTTCCGGGGCGCCATGGCTTCTGTCAGTTCCCAATGGTGATCAGATCCCTGGCTATCCTATTGGTATACGAGAAGACCCATAGTAAGAAAGCTCTGGTCTCTACTGGTAAGCATTTAGTGTTCTTTCTTTGTGTGTGTTTTTCGTGGGTTGGTGGGAAGCTCCCCCCCCCCCCCCCCAAAAATTAATACGTTGGGGGATTAGCCCTAATTACTAGAATCGACTGCCAGGCACACATGTACTGGGACCGCACAGGTGCAGTTCGGAGGTTCCGTCAGAGTTTGATTTGCCGCCCCCTTCATGGATCTGGGGAAAAGTACCGTTTAGAAATATAAGTTAGATATATATGAAATATTATCTGTAACATTTGTGTCTCTCGATCGGATCTTGGTCCTTGGGCCCCCGGCACGCTAGTTGCTGTGACCCCTCGACCACTCAGCGAATGAGCCTGCCGATTCTAATTCACTCTTACCCTATCAAGATGCGGCGTATGCATGGCCCAACATCCCGGATCCTGGGATGGAGATGACTCGCCGATAAAGTGACATTCTTCTTGGTGTGATCCCGATGTCGATCTCCGTTCACTGACAGGAACTCATGAGGCGATGGGGTCCCATGGTGGCCACTTCAGCTGTCATGTCCAAAATGCCCCTGAGATCAGACCTCAAATCTCGTCAAATCAAAGACACAGTAATTTGCGTAGGCAGAATGAGAAGAAAGTACTGTATAGGCCGCCATTAGCTAGTACGACTCTCGCTCTCGCGTACAGTTTACTCCCGTTCTAGCCGCGGGCGATGAAAGAACGAATAAATCAAATAAATAATCCCAAACCAGACGCTCTAGGACAGATCGAGAGAGAGCGAGAGAGAGAGAGAGAGAGAAAGGGTACTTAGTAAACAGTTTGACATTCGAATGCCACAGCGTGATCTCCCCTCCGGGGAAGAAACCGGTCGCAAAATGGTTCGAGTATCTATCCCACGGCGGGTTTGGCGCGGTACTTTTGGTGTCAGACGTCTTTGTGAGTGCCCAATCAGGGGCCCACAAAGCTCCCCATTTCCTGCCCCCTGGGCCTGTGCTAATAAAGAGCCCAGGGGAAAGGGACTACCCAAGCTGCTGTCAACGCGTCCATCTCCCGCCCCGGTGGGTTCAGTTGGGCGTAGAGGTTTGGAGATTGGATGACAGGGGATGATATAGTCAGACGTCAAAATCCACCTTGGAACAAAGACGTCAACGGCTAAATGGCTCGTTATATGATACCCAAAAAAGAGACAGGCGCGATCCTCTTGCATTACTTTCGTCCCACTACTGTATACTATACTGTACTTGACTATCTTGACATTACAAAGGGGGATCACATTCTGCCCCGGTTCCACCATCTACGCTAGATCGGGGATGCAAGCAGAGTTTTCTGATACAAGCAGTGCTCTATTCCGATCAGATTGTGTACTTTGATACTCGAAGATCTGATCTATCTGATGAGTCTCGGTGGGATTCTGGCTATACTACTGTAACCTCGGTAACATTTACACAATTGCCGTCCCGCCTATACAGAGAGTACTAACGGCGTCGGCTGCAAATCATTGCTCTGTAGTGGGATGCAAAGCAACCTACGCGAAACTGTTGCCTGCCCCACGGACAAATTAGTTTTTATTTTTGTTTTTTATTATTATCAGAGTCTCTCAAAGGCATTTGAATAAAGCAGTGTATTCGAGCTAAAGGCCTAGGGCCGCACTATAGTATTTGTCACTCCTTTATTTGCATTGCGCAGTCAACGTTTCCACTCCAAAAGTCAACGGTCTCAACGCTATCTCGCATCACGGTCCTGTTGTTAGCGACGACCTTGAATTTCTTTGTTACCAGCAGTCCCCACTTCCCCCTCCTGTTGTTTGTCAAGTTCTGCTGAGACGGGGTTGTTTGCTTTGGTTTTAGGCGCTGTTACCTTTTTAGCGTGGCAATCAAGAACTATCTGGAGAGTCGGATGGGAATCAAGAATACGGTATGCAAGCCAAAGTCCCAGTTACATTTGAAATGACGGATTACTCCGAGCGTACCAGATCTCAGCATTTCAACAAGGTCTAGACTTGAGACAACCCCCTATTTTTGATGACCAGGGTCCTGACACCTGCCACCTGCCAATGAAAGCTTCTGGGGCCAGTCGATCCCCGTGCCACAACGTGGCTGTGTGCTATTTTGGACTCTAGCACCGCCACAGCTGAGCGAGGAACAGCTGCACGCATTCAGGTCACTTAACGTTCACTAGATTCATGCTCAAGCATGCGGCATGGGTGTTCCCTGGGTGATTCTTTTTTTTTTTGCCCTCTGCTGTTTCTTCCACTTTCTGCAGATGCTGAATATGTTTTTAGTTTGACAGCTTGGCAGTTCTCGTATGTACATGTAGTTTCAAGCAAACATCCATGAGTTCCCCACTCGTGACAGGGCTAGGTAATTAATCTGAACACCGCCTTTGCCGCTAAGATCGGGCAAGAAATCTCACGGAGCTGTTCGGTGATGCAATCACCCTGAAACTATCAGAATGAGGCGTTAACTCGGCGGACTCGGCGGATATGTGACAGCGGGTGTGCGCGCTGACAGGAGTGGAGAGAGGGGGCTGAAGGGGGGGTATGGGGATAACTGCAAGACAGACTCGATTTGGTGAAGGAAGATATGGATCTACAGTTGGAGTCTCAATTCTGGAAAGAAAGAAAAAGGTCCCATTTGGGTTCCGTTCACCGCTACGGAGTAAAAAGAAAGTGTGTCAAGCGCAGGGAAGGCAGTTTCGTACTTCTGGAAATTACTTCAACTTCATAGTTTGCTGGAGAAATCGATTGTGCCACTATTAGACGGGCGTTCGTATCGATCGAGATGGTCATTGAGCATGTGGACAATAGGGGAGGGGGGTGTACAGAGAGAATGAGTCTGTTCGCAGAGTATATCGAGACAATCGTTGTTTCTAGAGCTGCATATCTGTGGGAGCAAAGGTACAGGCAACTGAATAGAGTGTACGCCGAGTTGAGAGAGAAGCAGAGAGAGAGAGGTGTCAAGGGCTATCATTTCCATACTCTATTTGAATCTTCGGGACATACAAAGAGCAGGCAGACCAACAAGGCACACGGGTGCATGCGGGTTGTGCAGAGCCGATGGGCCGCAAGCCCGATCGATCAATGATGCACCCCGATCGAACACTGATCGGACCGATAAAGATGGACATTGCGTCATATAGCGTCCTCTTTGTTCGGGGCGTTTTTGGGGAGCACCAGAGCCCTCCGAGTGGTAGCTTTATTCTTGGGGTTGGGTCATCTGGAAGGGTTATTCTGCGCTTGTACTTGTGTTCTGAGCCAGTAGAATTGCTCCGATGAAACCTTGACCTTTTGCCTCGCTAAGAGACGGTCCAGACTCTCCTCCCCTGTAAGCCACTGCGGGTCGGGGATGGCGGTCCGGAGGCACTAAAGCTGTCAAACGCCAACTTGGGCTTAGTTAGGCCCACGGGGGTCCCAAGGGAAAGGTCAAAGTTGGCAATCATTGAGTCGGTTATTCTTCAGTGCCAGTGAGCTGGAACTCCCAATCTATCTGACTTGAATCTGACTAGATTAGTAGCTAGAGGTTTCAAGAAGCGACCCTGATGCCTGCTTTCTCCCTAAATAGGAGATCAGCTTACTTTGGCAAAAGTCGGCCTCATGGGCCATACGATATGGGCCATATGTGCCATGACAATAGTTATGCTGATCGCAACACTAAGTTCTTCGCCAAACCTCATCGAGATGGCATTCGTGTTGCCTCCTATTTTCTTGACGTGTATGGGATGTACCCCGGTCTGTAGACGTAGCATTCCAAATTCCAAATATACCGGTGGCTTTCAATGATATCCGGCACTGTAAATCAATATGCACCTCTCTTATCGAAAGATATCAACGCCCCAAAAGCAATGTGAAACTGCAGGAAATTATTTCTCCATTGTGGACCGGCCCGCGGGACCCAAAGTGGTTCCTACAGGAGCAGCCGTACGGTACTCCATATGGTCGCTATCGAGGAACCACTGCATCGATCGGTCATGATATGCAAACAATGCCTTGTTTGGACTTGATATATCAGTATACTCTATGTTACTCGGCAAGATATTGAGTCCGAACGAAATGTAATCTAAATCTGCAATCTCGCTACTACACACCCCCACTCATCCCGACAACACAATTTACCCTGGCGGGAAAGGCTGACGGAAGTCTTGTACGCACAGAGCCCAGCGTCGTGACAGCTGGCCCTTGCACAGTTCGCGTTTTTGTTTTTTTTTTCTTTTCCAGCGCACTGTTCGCGATCCACTTGTTCTGGGCCAGGCCGATAGTCGGGGGGGCTCCCTTGCTGCGGAGTCTTTATCCTTCTACGTTTCAGGTGGAAAACGTGGACATTGTCTGCATCAAAGTTGATATCACAATCAAAAAAGGGGGCAAAATATCACAGAGAATCTCCTGGACAGTCGGATCTACACCACGTAGAATACAAACCCGAGGAAATCGGTGTGGGAAATTAGGGTTACGGTAGAGCTCTCCCCAGAGACCCCCAACAGTCTCCAGAATCAGAATTGCATCATAAAGTCCCAACTACCTGGATATGCTGAGGGGTTAGCTTGACGAAAATGTTGGTCCTTGCATTCCTCTTGGGCCAATCAACTCCTTCACATTGCATAAGAAATTCTGGGATAGTGCAAACTCTCTTGAGGAACTAACAACTTCCCCGGCCCCTCTTCCTCCAAAGCTTCCTCGAATCCACCACAGCGGATCATGATACTCGCGATCGCATGCATGCCACGCCTTTTCTTTTTTCACTTGGGTCACATTCCCCTCTCCACGGACCATCTCCCGTTCCCAGCAGCTCAGCTTGCCCGCCAGCCTAGTCTCTAGTGTCCGTCCATCCCTGAGCCCCGGACCAATGTGCTGGCCGCCAGACCCTATGGAGAAATGCAACGACGGACAAATTTCCCGAAAAGGCGTCCTGAGATCATCTTTGAGGATCTGTGCTGGGTCCCGATCGAGTGGTGTGGCTGAAAGAGGCCTTTCCATCTGGCGCCAGCTTGGACACCAGCACTCTGGACTGTGGGTTCCGAGGCCCGGTGCAAAGGATAAGAACTATTCTGTCACAGGAGGTAACGAGAACCCCTCAAGATCAAGGTCTGTTCTCCCCCAAGACCAGGGATTGGGGATTCCTGTCATGCCTCGGGTAGTCCACGCGAGATCAGCAGTGGCTGGGGAATATATGCGTGACAAATACAGAACTCATATCATATTGACATCCACGGCCCACAAAGCACCAGTGCAGCAGCTATTCCCTTCCCCTATGCACAGTGCAGAGTCTACAGTACTGTATAGTATGGATAACCTCCCCACAATGCCCCGGCACCAGAAAGCCGATGCGGAAAAAGCCCAGCATACTAGTAACATGTCGGTTATTATAATTTCAAACATGAAGCCACTATCCAGGGGGAACCGAACTCCATCCGATTAACTCAACGACGCAAGGCACGGCTCCTCTGTACATATCTCCGGCCCAAATCAAAATTCGATTATCAACTCACAATACAGATGAACGGAGCACTATCTCTTGCTGTTCCAGCGGATCCCATTTCCGAATGACCCAGTTTTCAACAGCTTGTTGCTGCCCCATATGGCATTGATCATGACGGCCCTAGACCTACTTCATGCTCTTGTGCCGCGGGTCTAAGCGTTTCGGACGAGCGATCCTATTCCCGCCACATTGGTACTGCTGCATTGTGCATGAGAGTGTGGGTTTACACTTTGTCTTGTGGACGGGGTTGTCTGCGCAGTGTTCCACTTTCCTCGGTTCGTTCAGGGCCCCCGTCAGAGTTCCTGTAGATCTGATCAACTCCAATGTTGTACTGTAGAGCTGAGTTATCCATCCAGCGAGAGTTCGCACCGTTCCAGCAAATCCCGACGGGTTTTGCTACCATGGATCTGGAGCTGATCATCCACGGCCTCGGTAAAGAATTGAGAATCCCAGGAAGCAAAAAGAAAAAGAAAAATATAACGGAAAAAGAAAAGCCCTAACCAGACTTGGTATGCAGTATGGTACTTTATCTCGGTCATCTGCTTCAGCCCGACACATCACCAATCCAGGAATAGCCTCGATCTTCTCTAGACTGTCACGACGCAATCTAAAGAGGGGCAACATACAGGCACTACGCACATATACATGAGAACTAAAGAAATGAATGACTCGAGAGAAAAGAAAAATTAATAATCATAATAATTCAATTCAATTAACAAAAAAAAAAGAGGCTGGGCTATTCTCAGTCCAGGTACAATCTCGATTCTCTCGATTGACACCCACTTCGCAACCGGGTGCTCTCAGTTGCAGGAGCCGCTTGGTGTCTGTGGCGTGCAGGGTGGAAGGTGGAGAGAGAGATTCCTATCCATTCGGAAACGTCGCTTACTCAAGGATTGCCATTTCTATCCACTGATATACATTGCCTCTCTGCACACACTGCGACGCTGCATGGGCTTACATTTACTGTACAGCCCACATGTACTGTATGTGCAATGTACGATGCGAGGAATCGACGAGATCTTGTGTTACCGGGTATGTTCGGTATATTTAATATTCTCGGTAGAGAGAAAAAGCACAGGCAGAGGAAGATGGCAGATTCAGTGGACTTGGGGGGCGATGGGGAATGTGGGTATTGTCTGCAGTCCGGGTACTGCAGTAACGTATGACTGTGCATGAGAGAAAACGCACACAGACATGGATATGGAGACTCGACCTGGGAATAGGGAAAAGAGATCGCACCTATGACAAAGGATCAAAACAGGAAATTGACATTTCCCCGGGGATCCAGTCCATGTCTGTGGGAAAGATGAGATATGCAAGTTGGTCCATTCTTCTTCATGACGGTCTCTGATTACTGCTTTGGTCGAGGTACTTCATATCCGAGAGTCTATTCTGGCCTTTTGGCTGTGATTTCCTGTTTGGCTTTTCAGATCTGAAGATCTGATGCTGGCCAGATGATTGGTGCATCGAGGGTTGCTGGTCCAGTGAACAAGATTAAGGAAGTAACTTCCGCTGGCTGTCCATCTTCATGGTGCATATGTCCCTTGCCTTGGATCTTGATAGCTGAAACGAATTCTGAACGCAGGTCCGCGGCCAATGGTGAGGGCATGCACAGCCCGAAGTCCAGAGGGAACGAGAGACGGCGTCGGAGATGGCGAGAGCCGGATTTTTCCCGAAATGCGATGGTGTTTCGAAGTGAATATCGTTACTCGAATGGATTCTCCAGCATGTTCTATTTCTAACACACATGCCATGGCCGGTACTCAGACGTTATGGACGGCCCCTCATTTGGCTTGGTCAGGGAAAGGTATATGCTCTCTCTCTGCATCTGCACCTGCACCATCTCAGCCATCGCAGCCATCAGCCATCAATCGTAATCTGGTGTCTTTATGGCACATTCGCCTCTTTTCCCGCCTCTTTTCCCCCCTTATCCGTACAGTTCGCAAGTTTAATGCATGTGCATGAACTCCAATGCTCCCGCGTGGACAATCTGTTTCGCATCTCAGCAAGGAGGTCGCCTCGTAAACCTTGCCACTATTGACTACTCACTACTCCCGCTCGTCAAATTTCCCCGGAGGGGGGGGCGAGGCCAATATACCTTGATGTGACCGTCGAACCAGAGAGCAGAGACCCGTGGCGGGTGAGGGTCTCGCTGCGTGGTAATATATATGTATGATGTCAAGTGCCCAAAAACAAAAAAACAAGATACTTCTAGATGCCAGCATTAGCACCAGAACTACTGCACTATCTAGGATAGTATTCGTTTTGATATCGGTGGTTTACTTGTTGCGAAAGTGGCGGGACAACTGGCAAGTTGGAGGCCCGCTCACCGCTACAATGAATAAGCCTGTAGATGAGATTGTCAAGATGTCACCGCCACGTTTGGGACTCGGCGCTACTGCAAATAATCACGATATGAATGGCTTAGGATTGTCTAGGAGATTGTCTGTTCACTTGGGTTGATGCAGAGTTACGTTGGGTGTTGGGTCTAGACACGGATGTGCTTGAGGGATCTAGCTATGTCCAGAGACTGTATTATTCACAGATAAACAAGAACGACGCAGTGTACGGCCACAATTTGATCACAGTTGACAGGATAAGAAAAGAAATATGATGTTTTTTTTTTCGCTTTAGTTTTGGCTTAGCTCAATCCAATCATATGTTCAAGGTCACCCCAAAGCAAACCCCGATTCCCAACATGAAACACGAAACACCATGGGAAGAGGCTCGAGAACTGGGCTCTGAATGTGCAGGGAAAAAAAAAAAAACATTTTGTACGCTCTATCTTGGTGGCCCCCTGTCAGGGGCTCTCTGGGGGCAATGAAAAACTTTTCACTCCAGTCCATGTACATGCAGGATGCACAGACGGCCGAGCCACATCACCAAGCGCAGGAGAACGGTCAGCACAGATGAAGAGACATGATCCATGCAAGCAGCACTCAAACGAACAAAGAGGCCTGTGATCGGCCCGAGGCAACAGAGTAAATCCGGCCTCTCCGAGCCATTTAGACTGCATGAGGCTGGTTCAATCGATCTCAGCCATCTGGGGCTGGCGAGCTGAGCCATCTTGGTCAAGAAAATGCGGGGGACTGGGGGACCATGGCGATCGATTGGCTTCTACGCGGCTTGAGAGGCAATGGCACCGTCGTTGTCAAGCAGGCCGGCCTCCTTAGCGAGTTCGTAGAATTTGCCGCCACGCTTGATCAACTCAGCGGGTGTGTCGAACTCAGCCACACGGCCCTTGTCTAGAACGACAATGCGATCGGAGTCGATGATCGTGTTGATACGGTGCGCGATCGTGATGATGGTTCGGTCCTGGAAGATGCTGCTGCGCAGGGTGCGTTGCAGGTGTGCATCAGTCTCCACGTCAACCGCGGCCTATCGCTGCTGTTAGCTGAATCTGTCGCTCGAAGGCAAGAGGGTTGATATCATACGGTTGCCTCGTCCAGAACAAGGATGTTGCTGGGGGTTAACAGTGCGCGTGCGAGAGACACCAGCTGGCGCTGGCCTTGACTCAAGTTGGAGCCTGTCTTATGGTTAAATTATGCCTGAGGGTTCAGGTCAGAATGGTAACTTACCTCCTTCCTGGATCTGGGTATCCAGCTGTCCCTCCATTCCAGAGACATGATCCTTTAGTCTTGCGTGATCTAGATCAATGTCAGTCACTGGGGGAAAAACCGAGGAATAGATAAGCTGTTAAGACGTACCTAAAACACTCCAGAGCTCAGTATCATCATGGACATGACGAGGATCCAAATTGTCGCGCAGGGTGCCTTCGAACATGGCAGGATCCTGAGGAATGATAGCAAGACGACCACGAAGGTCGAACAGACCAATTGTAGAGACATCAAGACCATCAATGCTGATATTGCCGTTGACACCTTCAATGATACGGAAGAGTGCCAGTGTAAGCGAACTCTTTCCAGCACCAGTACGGCCAACGACACCGATCTTCTCATGCGGCTTGATATCGAGGTTGATATCCTTGAGCACAAGGTCGAGCCCGGGGCGGTAGCGGGTGCTGTAGTCATTGAATGAAACAGCACCTTGAGCCGGCCAGCCGATAGCAGGACGGCGCTTGAAGATCACCTCGGGTGCCTCACTGGGGAGATTGGCATACTCGAGCACACGCTCGACAGAGACAATGTTAGTCTCAACCTCAACGGTCTGGCGAACAATCCAGTTCAGCGACTGCGTGATTTGGAGAGCATATGACATGGCCAGACCGACCATACCAGAGGAAAGCAGGCTGCCACTGGCAACGGACGTGATGGCAAGTCCAGCAGATGCCAGAATAATGATCGAGCCGATGAACTCCAGACGAACGGCGAGCCAGCGATTAGCACTGATGGACGGGAAATAAGCCCGTAGGTTAGCGTCCATACGCCATTCATTTTCAAGAGTAAACCGGTTTTCTTGGCGATAGGCACGAATGGTGGAAATGCCGCCCAGGGACTCCTGGAAGTGTGCGAAGATTGGGCTTCGAGTAACACTATCGAGACGCTTCAACTCGCGCGAAGTTCTCAAATAGTACTTCTGGTAGCTGAGATAGATGTAGCTCAGAGGAATGACAAACAACAAGAAAGCAGGGGTTCCGGTGGAAATGACGACCATGGTGAAGATAGCACGAGCAGAGTTGGCGAACAGCATGTTGAAGGTACGGGCGAGTACTTCATCGACACGGTAGATATCACTTGAGAAGCGGTTGAGAATACGGCCAGACGGTGTGGTTTCAAAGAAGCTCATGGGAGAGCGGAAGATGGCAAATGCCATGCGCTCATGAAGTTTGCGAGACGCTTCAATTGAACAGAAAATCCACAGGATCAAGTTTTGGAAAATGACCAGAAGAGACGAGCCCAAACCGAGCGCCAAGTAGACACCGATGAACTTGCCAACTTGGGCATTGCTTCCATGCTTCTCATTCCACTCAGTCCAGTACTTCAACCAGTAGTTGCCGACGACCTGAGCAGTCTGGGCAGCCAACATGGCGAACAAGTAGAATCCGACAGCGACGATGTTGCTGTCCTTCGCGTATTGGCCGTAAACACTCCATTTTACCTTGCCTTGCTCGGAAGTTTCCTGTGTTTGCTTGCTCTTGAGAACATTCTCTTCGTCTCCTAGCTTGCGCCGGGGACCTTGCCAGCTCACAGTGCTTGCGCGGCGCAATGTTACTGTGCTAGTGCGTCGCCGGGCTTCGCCAGCTGCCTTGATAGGGACGAGATCACCGGGTTGCTCTGTCTCCTCGGCATCAGAGTCGCCGCCAGTTTGAATGATAGCAGTCTCGACTGAGCTCTCGACGCTGGTAAGATCATCAGAGCCGCTGGCAGTGCCTTCGTCATCCGAGTCCACCATGTTTGTACGTACGAGGTTAGAAATCTCGCCTTTCATAGCCATGAGTTGATCGTATGTTCCCTTTTCAATAATGGTCTTATCACGGAGCAAGCCAATGAAATCTGCCTCCTTGAGGACAGTAATCGCATTGGTAGCAAGAATTCTCGTCTTGCCACTGAGGAGACCAGTCTTTCCGAGAACCTTGTTGATGATGTGACGTCCAACATGCTGATCAACTGCGGATAGAACATCGTCCAGAAGATAAATATCGGCACGGGCATACACTGCTCGGGCGAGTGTCAGACGTGCTTTTTGTCCTCCGGAAAGCGAAATTCCACGCTCTCCGACTTCCGTCTGATCACCATCGGGCAAGTTCTTGAAATCATCAAGGAGAGCGCATGCTTCCACGGTCATGTCATAGAAAGCTGGATCCCAACGATGCCCGAACACAATGTTTTCCCGGACGCTAGCATTCATGACCCAAGGAGCTTGGGCGACGTATGCGATGCGACCACGTACCACTACTTCACCCTGCGTCTTCCAGAGATCACCTAACAGCGACTGGAGGAGAGAAGACTTTCCAGCGCCGACTCGCCCAACGATACAGCTGAGCTCACCCTTGCGCGCACTGAAGTCGATGTTGTCCAGCACGGTGGAACCACTATGGCGGTTCCAGGTAAACGAGGCATCACGGACACGAATAGACTCGTCACCCATGTGTGCCACGGGGTCTTGGAAGGAGACAGCATCGGTCTGCAGCTCCTCCGCAGTAAAGTAGTCCATCAGTCGCTTCACGGCGACGGATGATTCAATAATAGATGTAATCACCATGGGAAGGATAGAGAGCGGGAAGGTGAGCAAGTTGAAGAGGGTCAAAGCTGGGAACACAATCTCAGTAGTCAAAGGCTTGTCGCTTGTCAAGACGAAAACAGTGAATGTGGAGCATGAGACGAGGAAAGGAGTAGATTGCCAGGTGAAGTTTGCAACAGATTGTGTGGCTCCGATCTTGCGCAGGGTGTTAAGCTCGAGGTCATTCCGAATATGGCTGAGCTTGTTCATAAACGCCGTGTTCCAGGCGTACAACTTGATGCTCTTGATATTGTTCAGAATCTCAGTCATGAGTCGGGTTCTCGAATCCTTGTTCTTCATTTGAACAATCTGCAGCTTCTTCATCATGCGCGCAATGACACCATTCAGAGGAATCATCAAAATCATTACTCCGACACCGGCAAACATGCTAGGTCCAACGAGCTGGTACAGAGATAGCATGCAAAGCGTAATTTGGAAAGGCGCAGACAACAGTTGTGTACCAAATTGTGTCAAGTCCGAAAGGCGCTGTTGATCAACAGCCATGTGGTTGACAATGTCACCAGTTGTCTTTGTCAGCCGGCCTTCGTTTGATAGTTTCAAGGACTTTGCATAGATCATAGCGGTCAAGGCCGATTTGACTCTCATACCAGTATCAAAGGCACGTTGGAAGTACTGATGCAGGCAGCTGGTCTGGCAAACAGAAACGACAAACATGGTCAAGGCGATGGCGACACCCCTAATGACCGGCTGAGGGTCAGGGTAACGATAGGAGTCAACGAAGGAAATGAGAAGTCGCAAGAGTTGCGGCTGGACAAAAGCAAGGCAGTCACTTCCGGATTTGATGATCGCACCGCGGAAGTAAGGTCCACCGAAGGCCTTGAACAATGCCATCCACAAGGATGGGTTCTTGCTTTGAAGCTCTTGATCCCATGCCTCCTTCAGAGCATCGCCCGTGACTCGGGTGGTATCGCGACTGCGGAGATTCCACAAATCATCTTGGGTCAGGTAATTCTTGTATCCATATTTCATCATTGGAGTCATCCAGCTGAAGGTGAGGACCGAGAAAATATCAGCATAGTTGTAAGGACACTCATCCTCGTCTCCCAGAGCATCATATGCACTCTGCTTCTTGGGCACGAAGTATTCCAGCACCAACTCAAGCAGTGCCAGGCCCAAGCTCACATTGATGCAAACAAAGTATGGGAGTTGATCGATAAAGGCTTCGCGCGCGACCAGAGAGCGCAGCTTAACGGCATATGCGATAATGAAGAAGAGCCAGTAGAACAGAACAACTCCGTTGGGCTGTCTGCTCCGCCAATGCTCAATGTATTGTACAGAAGTAATCACTCCTAGCGAGACGATGGTTAAGATCGAGGACCAGAACTGGAAGTCGGCCCAGAAGGCGTTTGGTTGCGTTTCAACCTGGATCGCAGCTTGAAGGGCGGTCACAAAGACAAGGGCAGCAAGTACAACCTATAGAAACACAGAAGCAGTCAGCGACCATTCACCATGTGCGCGATCCAGCAAGGGTATTCGTTATCAGTATGACTAACCAACTTGGTGTAGAAATGCCAGTTCTTTGCTACCGGCTGCGGAATCCGCTTCCTCAGCAAAAACCACAAGGCACCTAGTCCGCTCAGCGTACCCCAGACAGCCACTACCGCCACAATCACGTCAAGGAAGCATGGCGTCAGGTCGAATCTCGATGAGCTGATGGGGCCCCAGCCCTCGATATCAGTGCAAAAGGGCTGTCGCTTGCGGGAATTGATTGCCGATCCGAGGGAATGCAAGAGGTTCCCTTGGGGTCCTTCTAGGACCACCTGGGATTGGCCATCCAGCATTTTTCGAAGCGACTGCGTCCCGATAAACCTATCTGTGCACAGGCAAGTAGAAAACTCCAAGACTTGGGAAGGTTGACGGGGGTTAGGAAAGCTAAGTTGCTTACTAAAAGCAAATGGCGGCTCCGCTTTTTTTGGGGATGTCGGGGCTGCTTACCGGATGCCGTTGGAACCTATGAACTCGGACTTATTACATATCAATCGATGGCTTTCGGTGTGGTTCTGGTGCTCTGAGTAGTATTTCTGCCAGCATTGAGTTTGAACACCCTCACTTGAAGCATGAAGTAAGGCCCTGGGAAATCGTCGACTTTTCACGTGACGTGGGATACGACGTAATCACCGGGGATAAGCCGCGACTAAGACCGATGCGGCTTGCTTGGCACTTCTAGAATTCTGTTATTGTTCGATCTAATGCATCCCATGGGTTTGTTCGTTTGAGTCTCATGGACCTTTCAGTCTGCTGTGTATTCATTTGCCAATGGGATAATTCTATCTCTTACAAGTTCAAGGTCTCATTAGCTCCATGCAACATTGAAAGTCACTAACGAATAAGATATATATCTCCTTCCAGCAGCATATCAAGAGCAATACAAGTTCCTTTGATACCTATGGATCCCGTTTGTCTTGAAGCCAGTTTGTCATATGCGTGCTATTGTCTTGAATGTGTCTGTGTTATAAGATAAATAGATAAATAAATTGTTGGAATGCCTACACCAAGTCACTAGACAGTCCAAGTGATGCTATTCAGACTTAACGTTGCATTACGACAAAGATATTACAAGGATAGTAACGACAAATCAAATATCTGCCCTATTCTTAACAAGCAAAACTGTTCATACTGCTAAATCTATATTACACAAGTTAATTGACACAGATACCCACGCATAATAGGTGATTTTCTAACCTTGATACACACTAACTTTGCTCAACAAACCCCTCAATCATACAGATCATATTTTCATCCCCAAGAGCACGTGCACGCTCAACTGCACTGCCATAAGCGCCTCTCACATTTGGGTCTGCCCCATGTTCCAACAACCACCTCACCCGCTCCTCTGCGCCGGCCATGACTGCCTTTACAATTGCATACTGCGGCGTCATATGTCGCGACTCCTCTTTTTTATTTACGTCCGCGCCATGCTCTATCAGTAGAGCCATCACTGGAATTCTGCTCGTATCGAACTCAAAGCTTGGTTTCACTCGCGTAGCGTGTGGGGGTTGACCTGGAGGACATACTCCTGCAGCACAGTGCAATGGCAACCCATTTTCAACCCGGGCGCCCGCCTGGAGAATCAAGCGGACGGCCTCCACAGTGCCATGAGCTGCAGCTGCCTCGAGAGCAATACATGAATCTGTGTCGGGTCCACCGCGGCGGTCACGGTTGTCCTTCTGTGCGCCAAGGTTTGGATCAGCTCCGTGGTTAAGACACCAGCGCAGAAGAGGAAGGTTGGTAATGATTCTCGGGAGCAAGACAGCACCATAGAATCCTGGGGTATTTGGAGTCCAGCCATGGTGAAGGAGGAGCTCGCAAAGACCAACTTGTCGGTCTGGAGGGGCTGATAAGACATTGCGCGGAGTTTCGCGAACGATTGGTGCCCCATTCGAGAGGAGCCAACTTGCAGCATCAATATTACCAGAGCTCAGGGCAAGTGTCAGGCCATGATGAAGGAATGCCGGCGTAAGTTGCTGCTCAGAGACAGTAGATTGGATGATAGAGAGTGGGCCGTGTTGGCAGGCAGATGCAAAGGGATGAAAAAAGGGAGGGGGTTGACCACAAAATGAAGGATGTCCATTGGTAAATTCAATATCGCTAGGACTATTGATTGGAAGATCATCATATGTTGAGCCCATTGCTTGGGATTGTGGTTGCATTTGTTGTCGTGAAGCTGTAGGGTTGTTTGTGATTCTTTGTTGCATCGCCATCATTTGCATTTGCTGTTGGCGTGCCTTCATCATACGTTGCTGCTGCATTTGCTGCTGAGAGAGCATATTGGTTGTGTTAATGACGAGCGACCGATTGCTGAATCTTTGAATAAGGATGTCCGCTGCCCCAGGGTGGTGTTGGTTGCGCTGCAAGTCCCCAGATGTTTCCTCAACCCAGTCATGTGACAGCCCCCACGATTTACTTTCATCAAATGAACAATCTGGAAAGTATGAGGTTGATCATAGCTAGTGCTTACTGGGTGGAGGTTATTCAGCCCCATTGAAACAGCCCAAGCCCTTGACATTGACGGAAGTGGAGTTGCAAGGCATTGCAGATTGGGGGCTAATTGTAACAGCCTTGCAGAATGTTGACATAGTGCTGACAAGAGTTCTCTACTTCATTTCTTCACTATATACAGTATATGTCTGAATTCACAACAGAACTTCAATCCGTGTTGTTTCGAGGCTGCAAGTCATGTTCATTCTCATCATCAAATGACTTGTGGTTCAAAATGGGTAACAATTTGATACTTCAGGCAAAGAAAGCGAAGAAGCCTTGGTAGTTCGATAGCAAACTGCAACTCATATGGATTGATTTGGATTGGCAGTGAATTCAATATACCTCGAATCCTAAACCAGTGTACTGTAATGTAGCTGATCGACGGCCTACAGCCAAAACACAGGGACCACTGTTTCTATTTGCTACCTATTTTTATCTTCCTTGTCGGGATGAAACTCGATGTAGATCATAATCAATGCATGTTTGACATTGAATGGGTTGAAATATTTAGTGCTTACCGGTTTAGCCCCCAACAGCACTATATGATCCCTACAGCGGTTCATTTGGCCCCAGAGGTATTACATCGAACTATAATTCGTGGGTTCCTGAAGCAGTATCCGAATGTATCATGATATTAACGGGGCAAGCTCTCATCTACTTAAGAGAGGTCCTATGGTATACGATCCGTAGATACCTCATAGTATTTTCCCTTTAACTTATACGCTTTGTGTCTAGCTTAACGCAGAGTGGAACAATGCGGCTTGCGGAAGACTGGTTTTTATCCACTGGAAGGGCCTTGCTGGTTCTGTCCTCAATTATAAAGTTTACTTCTGGAGCTGCCATAGGAAGCTCTGCCGTTAATAGCTCCTCGATTTACAAATCTTCTTCATCGAAATCCTTTAGGTATGGAGATTGACTTTTGGAGAACTTACCTTGAGCGAAAAAGAAACTGACTTGGTGACCATACTTAGCATTAGGACCAGCAGTGAGCAAAGCACAAGCTCCATTGACCCATCTTCAAGCAGTCTCTCTTCATCTACCGCCAAGCATCCTACTGTCATTGTCTCCAGTAGCAGTGTTCCGTATGGCTTTGGATCCAGCTCATCCAACGTGGTGTCTACGTCAAGCTCCAAGTCCTTAATTGGCACTGGAAACATTGCGCAAAGCACGGATAGCTCGGTGTCTTCGACTGTGCCAGTTACTTCCCAACCTACAAGCACCCCATCTTCTCGTTCAAATGCAGTATCCTCTGTCTCAAGCACCAGCCAGCCCTCAAGCATTGAGAGCGCTCCAAATACTGGAAGCTCCATTCAAAGTAGCAGCCACACTCGCTCTTTGATTTCCAGTGCTTCATCTACAGTAACCTCAGGTACTGGCCTCGATGTCTCATCAATTCCGCCTTCAAGCAGTGGTAGTAGCAAGAGCCTCTCTCCGCTAGGTACCAACTCCGGCGGGCCTTCCATTATATCGTCTACGATTGTTGAGTCAGGTAGCACAATTGCAGTCCCAATTATCACTGGTGGCACATACTCGGCCCCAATCACTCTTCCACCTGCTACATCGACCATCCAAAGCTCTGAAGCATCATCAAGTGCATCATTACTATCCTCAGATATTGTTGGTTTGATCCCAATTATCAGTTCATGGAAAAAGAACCCAGATCCTCTCAAAACGGAGGCTCTTGATCATGTCAAAGAGATACAGGGCAAAGTTGAGGGACTTATTTCTGATCTTGGTTCCCCATCTTCCTCTTCTGGGTGTGGCTCAAAGAAGAAGAAGAGAGGGTTGTTTGATTCAATTGGCAATCTCGTTAATTCATTGTCATGCATTGATGAGGATCTAAACAAGGTCAAAGACGATATCAGTACAAATAATGTTGATTCACTGGATGCCACGATAGATGAGCTCACACAGAATAACGACAACCTTACTGAGAATGACAATGAAGACAACAGCGAGAGCAATTCCAACTCTGATTCATCAACCACCACCTCATCCTCATGCACAGATTTATCGACAGCATTCAAGGTGACCATCAAGTGTGTACCTACTTCTTTCATTACAGGAAGTTCCACTCTGCCTACAACAACTTGTACACCTTCAACAACTGTCACTACTGTTGGATGTTCAGTGACCGGATTGACAACCACCATTTCGACCTCTGCTTCAGCCACTGGTACCCAAATCCCATGTGCTTCTGACACATGCGGCAACGCATGTCCGATGAACAAAGGTCCTTTGAGTGGTGCTAGCATGGGTGTGATAGCAACAACAGAAAACTGCGCATTGATTTCAACAAGTACAACTGCTACCTTGCCCACTGGTAGCTATGGTGTTGCTGGGAGCATTGGAGTTACAGCCCCAACACAGTCTAGCTCTGCATCCAAGAGGAGCCCTTCTAACAGCGATGATAATCATCTCGTGGATCGCTCATTGGTTGAACGTGCTCTTTCCGACGTTTCACCTCCATATGCCGACTATATCAGGTCTCTAACGCCGGTCTGGGTTAGTCAATTGGGCGATGCATCAGGACAGTGGTTTGACTTCCCAGCATTTGGTCACTCGGCTGCGGGTGTAAATGGTATCTACGGTTGTACAGCGGTGATTATCACATCTGAGAAAGGCGTTTACATTTCCCACATTTGGGAAGTGCCAGTCTTCATTCATGAAGACTACAGTCCAACCGACGATGGTTACTTTGTGACCGCAGCTTTCAATTCCCTACGGGATGGTACATCATTTGCACAAAGTGTGACTGGTCTAATCGGAACTGATCAAAACCCCGGCGTTCTGAATGCCATATACGCTCCCAAAGTGTTTGTTCTCACACCTTACACCACCGAATTTGATCGACAAATGTTTGGAATCTCGACCAAGCTGAGGTATCAAGACCGGGCCAACGACCTTGCGCAACGATTAGCAAACGCCATCCCCGGCTCTGGGGCTCAAGGAACTGTCATGGGATACACACGCACGAGTCAACAGGCATCTACCCAGGAGCCAGGTGTTGCAGGTAGAGCTATTTTGGAGGTTGATCCCTTTCAAACATGGCTTACCTCAGAAAATGATCCAAACTCTGCGGGTCTTCAAGTTGGTCGCTGGCGCCTGTGGGTAGAAGATCAGTTGATCACTTACCAAGACTTCTGGCTTCCCCATGCTGAAGTTTCTGCAGGAACATTGCAGAAACGAGATGGTGGGTATGCCAACCCCTGTGGCAGCTATGCCAACTCTTCCCGCACGAGCTCTATTAGCCCCGGATTCAGAACTTCTCCAGTCTTGAGTGCAACCACTTTGCGAAGCTCAATCTCCATTTCCAGATCATCGTCTTCTGAAAGCTCCTCATCGCTGTCAATATCCACATCAGCACCAGCTTCAGTCTCTGGAAGTATATCATCTTCGGGAATAGCTTCGTCGTCGTCCATGGGCTCATCTTTCACGCCATCTTCAGAAGCGAGCTTCTCATCCACGCCAAGATCGTCATCTTCATTCAGTTCTTCGGCATCAGCATCATCCACAGGATTAACTTCGTCGTCATCCATAGGCTCATCTTTCACGCCATCTTCAGAAGCGAGCTTCTCATCCACGCCAAGCTCGTCATCTTCATTCAGTTCTTCGGCATCAGCATCATCCACAGGATTAGCTTCCTCGGCAGAACCAGCCTCATCTTCAGGAATAACCTCGGCGCCAGTCACATCTGCACCAAGCCCAAGTTCAACTCCACATACTCAAAGTTCGTATGTATGTTTCAATCAAGGTGGCCGTATGATTGCAACGCCATACTGTCAATGTACAACAACATATAATGGAGAGGGCTACTATGCAACCGCTCCTCTGATTTCCGATCACTGCACAGATTATACTACATTCCCATCAAGCATCACACCGAAGTCAAGTGCAACTCAAGCGCCGACGACCGCGACTCCTGAGCCTATCGTCAAAACCGAAGATGGAAACATTATCTCCTACCCCTCGCGGACCATTGAATACGGGGAAGTATACGGCAAGCAATACACATTCACCAATGGCGCAGGCTCACCGGTGACCTTGGAGACGGCTGCTCCAACCCAGACAGATGTCAACAACAAAGGCTCGAGTCAATGCTCCAGTGTTGATGATGCTTGTCAGCGTGCTTATGAGCAATTTGAGGATGATACTGTCTACAGCGACTTTGCATCATATACTGCCAAGATCCAGAGTGGTATGGTCATGGTAGCCTCCTTTGGCCAAGCCGGTTGTGTTGCCCAGTATAAGTGTGATGACTACGGATTTGGAATGACCGGTCGACAGATCAAGGATGCGTAAGTTCGATCTTGTCTCTATTAATTATGGATGTCTAACTGACTTTCTTCAACAGGGTTGAATATATGAAGGATAATGATGGCATCAAAAAGTGTGGCACTACCTATCTTTCCAACTCGTGCCATGTCACACTGAATTACTGTACCAGTTGCAAGGCGCAACACTAATGGTTATCCAGATTGGCACTGTGATTCTTTACTTTATAAAGTGTATACTAAGTAAATGAGTTAGTGATTCAATTTTGAGCCGTGAACAGTGGCATTCAACGCAGGAGTCATAGATGGTCTTTCAAACATTGCAAACAATATGACGTAGTATGGGGGTCTCGAAATAAAGGTCACGTGAAGTGTATAGAGCAAAGAAGTTTAAGCTCACTTAAGACGTACGCTAGATAGTCATTCCTGTCAGAGAATATGAAAAACTTCGAAATGTCAAATCAAGATCGGAGAAGATGACCGCAGCACATGAGTCAAATTCCCCAAACGGGAGCCCGACTGGTTAGCTCCGCATGTACAAGCACAGCCCAGATACTTCCAACTGATTATTAATGCGAACAAACCCAGCAGGGCTGAGCAAGGCATTTTGCAAGTGACTCAACCGTCATTGTCTCAATTGCAGAGAACAGGACATAAAAGCAAGCAAAGAAGCATATAGTGCCCACATTCCTGAGGCGGTAACTCGAAGAATCCACTTATCAGCGTCATTGGAGGGGCACTGCGAATTCGATACACATTCTTTGCCCACAACATGGCGGATACGAGTAGAATGGAGGAGCTCCTGAAAAGGCCTCTATATGGTAAGTTTCCAAGTTTCTGAGTCCTCACTTGGTCATTGCTAATCATCTCAGTGTACGACCTCCCGCCGGAACTTCTTGCGACTCTCACTGCCAAAACCACGAACCCGGTCACCGAGGAAGAGCCCGAGGTAAATTCGGAGGAAGTTGAGCTTGCAGCACAGGATTCTGCGATCGCAACCTCCACCCTTTGCTCCCTCTGCAAGGTTTCCTACAACAACGTTCAGGAACAGCGCGGCCATGTCCGGTCCGACCATCACCGTTACAACATCAAAGCCCAGTTGCGCGGAAATGCGCCTCTAGAGGAAATTGAGTTCGCGAAAGCGATCGGTGAGCTGGATGAATCAATTTCGGGATCGGAGTCTTCAGAGACCGAAGAGGAGGAGGCAGACACGGGCGCGAACACGACACTGTCAGCTCTGCTGAAAAAGCAGGCCAAGCTGTCGCAAGCCAATGAAGATACAGAGACCGCCGTGGCCAGCACTCCGAGACATCCTCTTTTCTGGCTGGCTAGTTCGGGGTTGCCGTCGAATAAGTCCCTAGGTGTCTACAGGGCTATTTTCTCGAATGCCGAACAGGACGAGCCCGGTCATCTGGTCGAGACACTACAGCGCAAGCAATTGGAGCCTATCAAGGCGCGCACAAATAATTCGAGCAAGGGGCCAGCTCCATCCGCTGCTGGTCCTCACTTTTTCATGTGCATGATCGGTGGTGGCCACTTTGCCGCCATGCTTGTGTCTTTGGCACCGGAAATCCACCGAAGACAAGGCGGCATTGAAGATAGACAGCCGCGAGTTATTGCGCATAAGACTTTCCACAGATACACGACACGACGAAAGCAGGGTGGTTCGCAATCTGCGAGCGATGCCTCTCGTGGCGCTGCTCATTCGGCGGGTTCCAGTCTGCGTCGCTACAACGAAGCTGCTCTTGAAAAAGATATTCGGGACCTGCTGTCAGATTGGCGCAAGGAGATTGACAGCGCTGAGCTGTTATTTGTCCGTGCAACAGGAAAGACAAACCGCAAGATTCTTTTCGATCAATATGATGGAAATGTTCTCAAGCAGAAAGACCCAAGGATACGAGGATTCCCCTTCAACACACGCCGCGCGACCCAAGGAGAACTTTTACGATGCTTCAAAGAACTCACTCGCGTGAAAGTCAGTGAAGTCGATGAAGTGGCAGTAGCAGCAGCGGAAGCCAAAAAGCGCGAGGAAGACTCTAAACCAGCTACGCCTCGCCCGCAACCGCAACCACAGAAACCCAAGATATCTAAAGAAGAAGAGGCTGCCCTGCTACACACATCCCAAATCCAGGCATTTATCCGCCGCTCAAAGGTGCCCGCTCTCATGTCCTACCTCACGAACAACTCCATCTCCCCGAACTTCACCTTCACGCCCGCCACCCAACCCCAAAACTTCCGCTGTCCGACACCCCTTCACCTAGCTGCGAGCCTCAACGTCCCAGTAGTGGTCACAGCCCTCCTCACAAAAGCCAATGCAGACCCGACAGCAACCAACAACGAAGGCAGAACGCCATTTGAGCTAACAGGCGGCCGAGCCACACGCGATGCCTTTCGCATCGCCCGCCACGACCTCGGCGAGTCAAAATGGGACTGGGAGGCCGCAAAGGTGCCGTCGGCAGTCTCAAAAACAGACGCAGACAGCCGCGCCGAGAAGGAGCGAATGGCTGCCGATGAGGAGGAATCGACCAGGCGAAAAGCTGGTCTTGATCGTTTGAAGCGTGAAGATGCGGAGAGAGCTGCTGCTGAGCACAAGGCTTTGTTGAGAGGTGGAAGGACTGTTGGGGCGGTTGTTGAGAAGACTATTGCGGAGAAGCGAGATGAGGAGACCAGGGGGATGACGCCTGAGATGAAAATGCGATTGGAGAGGGAGCGCAGGGCTAGAGCTGCGGAGGAGCGATTTAAGAGGATGCAAGGGAACTAGACTTTGGATATACTTGAGCTTTGGATGCCCTTCTCTGTTCTGATTGACATTTTTAGATACACTTTTGCATATGGATGACATATTAATACCATATGTTTATTTGCATCCTTATTATTGCTGGTATCATTGACTGAACATGTAGTCTGAAGTGTCTGCTCAGGAGTACAAGATAACGTATATTATGGTATCATGTGATTAGGGTTTGGGAAAGCATCTCTATGATCACGGGCAGGGATAGCGATGTCGAGCGCCACTATACCTGGTTGCAATGGGGGGGGGGGGGGGGGGGGGGGAACTCGCTGCTAGGCTCAAGAAAATGCACGAGTCTCTTACCTGAAGGGTGGGGAGGCGAACGTGACACGGCCGCCGTACTGTGTAGAGCCAGGGCAGGCCGGAGGCCGAGTGGGACAGGGAAGGGAGGCGAAAGAGAGCGGGGTCCAGAGGGGAAGTAGGCGTGTTGATCTTTGTTCGGCCCATGTAGTATGTTTCAGTTCGGGCTTTTTGGTGAGTGATGAGGCTTAGAGCTCTGTAGTTATCTGGTTCAGGTGCTAGTAACTGATAGCATAGTTGGCTTTGCGGCTGAGAAGTAGGTCCAGTCTGAGTTACAATATGTCGAATTAGATAGTATTCTATCTTGTCTGAGTGACAGTCCTGGATGTACGGTCATTATGATTCCGTCGAGGCCATGCAGAGCTAGGAGAGATTCTATTGGGTTTGTGTTAGAAGGTTTCTGTATGTTCTGAATCGGGTTGATATTTTTTAGTTTAAGATCCAATCATATCTACCCATAGGCAATAATCAGCTGCGCCTTGCCCACTTGAAGGAGACAAAGCAATACCATAACCAATGATGATCAACAAAGCCACGAAAAGGAATGTGAATAGACCTATTCGGTAAGTAAATGCAAGACAAAGTGGCAACGGCAGAGCAGCCACAGCCAAAAGCAAAAGAGGAAAAAAAAAAGCAAAAAGGCCGGTCAAGGACCCTATTCAGAATAATGTCTGAGTTCTTCAAGGCATATGTGAGACCATCACTACTCACCTCCCTATGAAGGGACGAAGCTCTAATGGGGCATGGTTAGAGGGCGACCAGGACACCCCAGCCACAGCGGCACATGAAGGACGATCAAGTTTGTGGAGATGATCTGCATTAGCGCCCGCTGTGGGAAAGGGATGATGTCTTGCATTGAGCTTGCAGGGACGTGCAGGCTGAGGGTCCTGTCCTCGAGGACGAAAAACCCCGAAAATAGGAAATTGGAATTTCAGTCCTGGCGTTTTGGGCGGTTTGAGAAGCACATATTGATGTTTTGCATTGCGTCTCGTGCTCTAATTCCCTGAAGGCTCACTTTGCTGTAGCCTATGGGTATCTTTGGATAAGATAACCTCCATGGAGGGTCTTGATACCCCTTGCTTGAGATCGCATATCGATAAGGGGTTAGGGACTCGTGGGTCTGGAATTGGTATGCTACCGTGTCCTAAACGAGCGGTTCAGTCCCCTGTGTAGAGGACTGGGTCAGGTGGAGGGACACCCTTTGATCCTTCAGGCTGGGACTAAGGTGAGCAAGCCCCTTTTGGTCGGTGCATCATATACAGCAGTACATGGATAATCTCAGTTCGAGGTGTGGTGGCATCTTCTTTGTTGGTATAATTGCTATAGATCAGAGCTATGGGTGGTCGGCCCGTTGCGTGCAGCAAGTATGCACAGTCGGCTGCACCCCAGTGATGCAGTCGAGCTCTGCAAGATAATGCACTTCATGATCTGCGCACGAGTTATCCAGGTGATCTGTGCAAGTAAGGGTTGTTGGTGTATTGAAGAGTGTTAGAAAAACCCCCGATGTCAATGCAGGTTTATGTAAGTTGAGATCCAAGGGGGCCTAGGACCCCTCAGTGCCCTATTGATAGGGTATTTCCTTGATTATACTATACACTCTATGGTCTCTTACTGTGTAGTGTATAGTATGTTAGGGTGTAGTCTAACGTGAAGGTTTCCCCGTGTAAATTACCCGTGTATTGTAATGTATCGCGTCGCGTCGCGCACGCGGTACGCGCCAAACGCGTTTCCGCGCGTTCCCGCGTTTCTCAATGAAAAGTTGGACTCGCCAGTCAGGAACAGGCTGAAAGGCATTTGGGTCAAAGAACAGGAAGCAGGATATCCTACAATCCTTAGGGCCTAGAGGGTTAGTATGGCAGGGAAACCAACCCTCCTAGGCTGGTGAAGGGCAGCGGAATGGCAGGAGAGAAACCTCCTCGTTTTAGAAGACTATTAAACAGACATTCGCCCAGGATCAGAAATTTCCCCAGGTATCAAACGTTACGAGGCTATTGGGATCAACACGCCTTGGTGATGCAAGCCCAAGCCATTGACGCAGCCCTAAGCTTGGACGTACAATACATGCAATACACTTCTTACACTTCTGACACTGCGCGCGCATTACAACAGACACAGTTCAATGCCAAAGGGTCCGAATGAGGCAATCCAACGGTGATCCCTGTCATGTCTCAGGGGTTCCTCGTGCCTGTTCTCCTCTGTTGAGCCTTGCATGAAATCCCTGCCCTTTTCAAGGTGCTCGACTGTTTCACTGGGCGCTGAATCATAGTATAGTAGAATAGTCTAGTATTATAAGGGTAGAAGAGGATACTATAATAGACCAGACCATCATTCCAGTTCTCTCCAGTCATTCCAGTCCAGTCCAAACACACCCTCCAGCCACTCGTTATCATTTGAGCAGTCGCTCTGACATTGTTATCTATTTTCAAACACTCTCTTCCATTTGATCTATTTCTTTGATTCCATTCTTCAGGAATAGAAACATCTCAAACACTTTCTTTCAAACGTATAACAAAGAGTGGAGGCTCGGGAGATATTCGCTTGACCGTTTGCGGCCCAATTTTCTTTTATCGCTCGGACGCCCCCCGCCAACTCTTCTCTCCCTGACAACACATTCGCTCGTATACAACAACACCACTTTCCCACCGTCGCAACTCCCGGAACAGGTGGAAAGTGAAGCGCATTTCAACCAGATCATTAGTCGTTCTTTTTGACCACCCCAACTCCGTTGTCGCGCATCGCAACCGCCTCCGGCGCAATCGCGCAGCCCACAAATCGCGACCGCGACTCACTTCTTCTTGACACATTCAACCAGTCTTCCAATCGCTCAAATACCACCTTTCTCTTTCTACAACCATGTTGCTTCCATCTGCTCTCCCATGCGATGTGCGCCGGTCGTCTCGCTTCACCCCTACCCGCCTCTTCTCAACTCCTCCTCCGTCCGACGGTTTCACATCTGGCAACGGTCTTCTCGGCACCTGTCGCGCCCTCCAATCTCTCCTCAATGGATCTCCATCGCCTCCATCGCGCCGCTCAAAAGCCCCGCGCCTCCAAAGTCCCCTCCCACTCAGCACACCGCGTCGCTCGCCGCGATCGCACAAAGCCGCTCGCCCTGTCTCTCCCAGACAAACACCCCCTCCCCGAACCGCCGCTCTCACACCCCCACCCGCGCCTTGCGCACCATCGCGCGGCGCAAACAAGCGCCGTCGCGACGTCTTCGAAGATGAAGATAGCGACGTGGAAATGAGCCGCGGGCGCAACCGTCTCACAACCCCCAAACGCATCCGCCACGCTCCCTACAACATCCCTCTCGGTCTCTCCTCAACCGATTTCTACTCTCTCCACTCTCCACCAGTCACTCAATCTCCTCCCTCTCCCCCGCGCCGCCAGATGAACCCACGCATCTTGGCTGGTCCCCGCATCGACCCGGATGCGCCTCTTCCCTCCATTGAGGTCGCAGAGGATGCTCCTTCTAGTCCAGTGGTTCAATCCAACATCTGGACTCAACAACAAGACCAACGCCTTCTCGAGCTGGTTCTCGAGAAGTGTCGCCTCTCCCAACAAGAATGGGATGAGTGCGCGCGTCAAATGGGTCGCGACAATCTTGCTGATAGATGGCACTCTCTTGTCGGTGATGGCCGTGTTGGCTTGCGCCCTCGTCGCCGTTAACCACCTCACCATACCCTATTGCACAACGCAATTTCCTTGTTTCATTATGTATTATATGACCTCTACCCTTGTACCACCCTACTTGTGATTTGACCTTGGCCAGCCTGTGTTATTGGCTTTGAAATTTTTTGCGAACAAAAAGCAACCCCTGTACTATTATCTGTTTGAATTCTTTTGCTTTTGTGAGACGAGTCTGTCTCTGGTTTTGTCAGTCCCGTTGTTCTCGGGCTATGTGAATATGCTTTTGTTGTCTTTATTTGGTCAAGACGCCCTTACCTGGGCTTGCTCATATGTTGTCATTACTTGGTTGATTTTGTACCGCTGTACATCTCTTGGTTTGCGCTCGTTTGGAATTTGTACTACTATCTACATCTACTATCTAAACTTGACTGTATTCTTATTACTACATTGATTCATTCCACCATCTAATTTTGATGCCCTGTTAAGGCTCTTCACTGTAAATCCACATTTCTTCTAGCACCCATCGGTTTTTCTCTCACAATGGATTACAACTGTCAACGGCTTACGGCAGTCAGCGATGGAGCTGGATATGAGTCAAAGAACTAACTGCGGGGTCTCCACATTGTCTGGATTTCTCCGTAAATGAGAGTCAAGCCGCAGTCTTTGCGGAGACCACGAATATCCGACCACTCTATAGCCCTAGTGCTTGGACCTGTAAGCCAAATGAGTCATGATTTCTTGGAGTCCCCATTGAATCATACCATCTACATAAATAGTCAAACATACCATCTGTACAATTAGTCCTCCCAACAAGCATCTTGATCCAAGCCCTAATTCACTCGACTCGACTCGACTCGACTCTACCACACAACCCTCCCTCCAAAATGGCCACCTCAACCACCAACCAGGACCTCAAAGAAAACATCAAAAACGCATACGATGACATCGCCGACAAATACCTGACCTGGACCGAACATTCCCACAAAGTCCGCCTCACCTACGTCAACAACCTCCTTCAAAGCCTCCCCCCAGCAACTCCAACAACAGTCCTCGAACTAGGCTGCGGCGCCGGCGTCCCAGTAACCCAACTCCTCTCTTCCAACCCATCTTTCCAAGTAACCGCAAACGACATCTCCTCGGCCCAAATCGCCCTGGCAAAACAATCCCTCCCGGACACCGTAGCCCTGATAGAAGGCGACATGATGGGCTTGGAGTTCCAGCCCGAATCCTTCCATGCCGTCTTGGCTATGTACTCTATTTTCCACCTCCCGCGCGATGAGCAGGTGACGATTCTGGCCAGGATCTTTGACTGGCTGAAGCCTGGCGGGTGGATCCTGGCTAACTTCCCCGTCAAGGAGTTTGATAGTCAGTTCAATGAGGCTTGGTTGGGGGGCCAGAAGGGGGTGATGCATTGGAGTGGATGGGGAAGGGAGAAGATCGGGGCTATTCTCAAGGATACGGGCTTTTCGGTCGTCGTTGATGAGGTTGTTGTCGATTCGGAGGAGGCTGATCATGATGTTGCGTTTCAGTGGGTTTTGGCAAAGAAGGGGGTTTAGATGGTTCTGGTTCTTTGCTTTGCTTTCCTGTTGTTTGCTTCGGGGAGATCGATCCTTGAATTCATCGCAATTTCTAATCAGAGCTAAGAAAAAGTTCTATATACTAGATCGTTGCTTCATGTACAGTGCTTATTTCGTCTCACCACGCTCCTGGATTGTAGCAGCCAAATGCACCCCAATATTCGACTCCAGACTGTTGAACCCATAATGCCAGTTTCGCAGAGAAGTGACAAATGACCCATCTGATGCGACAGATACCGAGGTGTATCCTGTTCCGACGAGTCATAGTAGATAATAGCTTTACCTTGAACCTGCGCAGTGGCATAGTTCCACGTTGGCATGGCCTTTCCAGTGACCTATTTAGGAGGCATGGCTGGACTGTAAGAGGGAATTTGAGGGTGACTGGATGGCTGTTGTAAGGACCCCCAGGAGCGTCCTCTTTTATGAAGTCAAAAATGCTTGGATGGATGATTCAGCGTGGATATTTTGGAGATATATGGTATAGTTTAGTGACTTCGATAAAGACTGAAGATGTTGCAGTGATTTCTCAATTGGTTCCAGAAATCCTTTTATGCTTATAATCGAGTCATTTTCCATGGGCTTATACTTGATGTCACTTCCATTGGCTCAGTTGACCGGACCGCCCCTTGGGTTGCGGAGGGAAATTGGCCAAAATAGGAAGTTGTGTCGGGAACGAGCCCTAAGGTATGGACAACAACACTGATATAATGTCGTCAATTGGGTACGATCTGATAAACAGTTCAATTAGGGATATTTATGAGATACTTCCGCATCATTGTGTCTGACTATATTTTCTGTTTTCGTATTCTGTAACTCATGCAGGCCTGGAGTTCTTCACTCTAATTCTTTTTATTGCGCGAATGATAGCTTACTGCTGATGGCATCGCTCTCTTCCAGGCCTGTTCTCATGCATAGATATTAAGATTTAAAAGTTAACCGTTATATGAGTTATCGGGTGAAAGATTCTATCTACAATGTAAGCCATGAAGAGAAATGCTGAAGAGGAATGAAATCCAATATGTATGAAGGTATGTATGGTCCATCCAACGCCAAGCACCCAGCCTTGTGCAAATGAATAATAAGAAAAGAAGAATGACACAAGGTAGTTGATATTAACACATTCGAACGGCAACAACGATCAGAAACTAAACAATCAAATTAGCACAAACACCATCAAGTCAGATGTGTATATGTAACCACTTACCGAATCTCATAACTCCCTGCGCGAGTCATATACCGCACCCACTTAACAGAAGAATAGTTATTCTTCTCAAAGACCTTAAGATACCGCACAAGCAAACCAGAAGAAGTAAACATGAGCAACGAGAATGAAAGACTAAGCGGCGGCCGACTCCAAGCCTTCTGATGCGTCATGGACGTAAGAGTAGCCTCGGCATTGAGCACAAACTCACTCTGCCCCGAGAACCGCGCAATCTTCCAAACGATATTATTCTGCTCAGGCTCATACTTCGCGCGGCCCTGACTCGTCCGCTCAGTAGTCTTGGCGGTATTAAGCGGCGTGGGGATACGAATGACAACATTCGTCGCAAACAGCTTTGAGCTGTAGTTCGCCTTGATAGCCACACTATACTCAACCTTCGTGGTACCGATCTCCCGCACAATCGGGTGTACCTTGAACGGCAAATTGACATTCTCCGTCGCGCGGTACCGCATCAGCTCGAACTCGCCGTCCGGCGGCACGAAAGAGATAATCCGGTCTGCGTCGAATCGGCCGAGCTTCACGCACTGGTGGAATTGGCAGTCTTCCAGAGTGACCGAGCCTGCTGCCGCGCGTGTTGCCTTTGATGTTCCGATGCCGCCGCTGCCGCCGCCGCGGCTGCTGCTGGGGCCGGAGGATTCGCCCGGGTCCAGGAGTAGGCGATCGTTAAGCCCGAATTTGCATTCTGGGGTACCGGATAAGTAGGCGCGCATGACGATTTGGCCGTTGACGTCGGCGCGGAGGACCGTGCCTGTTGCGGACATTAGGAGGTTCACATCTTCGATTACATCGACGAAGGCCTCGTTTTTGCGGTATTTGATGTCGTTGCGGCGCCATGAGATGGCTCCTGTTGCTTGCTGCGTAATTCTGGAGGAGTCGGTGGGGTTGTTGGTGATGGCGGATTTCACGCCTTCGGTTGTGATGTACATTTTCAGGGTGTCAGGGTCAGTGTTTTGGGGATAGCCAAAGTCGAGGATTTCTGTAAAGCGAAAGAGATAATTGTAAGAGATTGCTTTGGTTGAGTCGTTTCAATAAAGCTGGATTGGCTTACCATCGAGCAGCTCGTAGATTAGGACAAAATTGTTCTTGACGGCCTCCTCGTCGAATTTCCCGAAGTAGCTCTTGCCCAGCATAATCAGCCGGTAGAGGAATTCAAACACTAGCGCGGCATTGGCATTGCTCTTGGTCACTGCTACCAAGTAGATATTCTCGTGCTTGACGTGGCTGAATGTCGTCGAGCCCAGGGTCAAGATCGGGGAGCGGACCTGCGGGTTGGAGATGACCTGGATGCGGAAGATGTCGGCCAGGCGCGGGCGACAATCGCTGCGGAAGGCGCGAAAGATGAGGTTCTCACCCTTCTGATTGAATATGAGAATCCCAGAGAGCATGGTGGGCGTGTGTGGTGGTGAGGTCTGAAAGTTGGAGCTCAGGGAACAGGAGTGGGGGGTGGATCGACACCGCCTGGAGTATAACCCTGGAAAGGAGGTGACCTTATTTAGATTGGGATATTCATGGATTCCCAAACTTATGGCTTTATTTTGTAATAAATTTATATTTGGAACCTACTATAGTATTTCCACAACATACTTTATCTGTATGCAAGAAAAAGAAAGAATAAAAAACAACCAGAGAATAGGTATTACAGATCTAAAACACCATCAAGACTCACTTCACTCAATTCCCTGGAGGCACCTTTCTTTCACCGGAGTCAGTTGGCCTCAAGTGGTGCATACTGGCACAGAGCTACCTGGGACAAGGGTTACTTGAGCGGACTAGAATGTGGGAAGTGTTTGCTTATGAAGCAATGAATTTTAAGGGTTCAACTTAAAGCCCTCGAAAATTGACAATTAATTAAAGAACAATCGGGTATGTTTTCCGGGAGATGAGCAACTCCAGCATGTGAAGACCCGGTGTATCGGCCAGATATGGACAAGGCCAGATCAAATGACATAGAAAACGGGGGCAAGGGAGGCACATGAAGTGATATGTAGACAAAGAAAATATAGGGAAGATCCCCAAGGTATCAAAACAAAAAGAATTAGAAAATATCAAGCCCAAAGATGTAAAGAAGAAGGGTAAGGGTCCGTGAAAGGAACTCTGCTGGGTGTGGATATCATGCAGAGCTTCGTGGAAAAGGAACAAATTCCAAACATGTACAATCAACAACAGAGAGGAGAAAGGCAAGAGCCCGGGTGCAAAGGTTCAAAGGTAGCACACTCTCAAACCCCAGCGATACCAGTGCTCGGCCTGGTATTAGGAGCAGAGGGAGCCTCACTGGGCACAATGCCAACCTTGGGATCAGGGATCTGGATATCGAGCGACATATAAGCCGTCCGGCGTAAACTCCAGATATACACTCCATCTTTAGCCCCAACCTCTTGGTTCCACTTCTCTAGCCAAGATTCAACATGCTGTAGTTGACTCTTAGCCCCAGGGGCATTGAGATCATCCCAAACCCACCCAGTCAACAAGCCCATTGCGCCGTCAAACCAATTCCGGAAACTGAACGGATCAAATGCTTTGATGATACCATCGTTGACAGTGGCAATCACCCTGCGGAACTCCTGCTCAGAAAGTAACGGGTCCAGAATCTCAGGGTAAAGATTCGAAAACGTCGGCGCCAGATCGCCCTTGATCATCCAATCTCGTCGAATCCGAATCACACGCGTGATCGCATGCTCATGCGACCCGATTGGGACATGTGGGTTGAAATGGGGGAAACAGGGGTGCGAAACACCCCATGCTAGCTCCTCGGCGACATCGGCAGGGGGAGTTGGCCCGTATGTGAAGGCACAGAGGCAATCTGTGATTGAGAGCGTAGCGAGGTTGTTGACTGGGCGTGACGGGGGGAAAGATCATCGCGGCGACGGCTTCCATCCTGCGTTAGGTGAACGGCTTCGGGTGGTCGCAGATTCTCCGTCTCCATTGCGGCGCTGCCTGCGAATGCGGCTGCCATATCGGTCGGGGAGAAATGTGCACTGCGACGATGTCGGGGTGGTAGAGCGATGCTTGTTCGGCCGCTTTCCGTCTCGCCTTGGCTGCGCTCGACGAGCAAGCTGCTTGGGGATGGTGTTAAGCGGCTGCGCCGCCGCTCGGGGACGCTGAGGAGGGGAAAAGCGTCTCTTGTGATGCCGTGTGATAGGGGGAGACTTTCGTCGGATTGGTATGCTGGGACGGTTATTGGAGTTATTCGTGGGACGTGATTGACTGGGTTTGCAAGGCGGACGGCCGATGGGCGGAGGATGAGCGACGGCGGGCCAGAAATTGGAACGCACTGTCGCCGCTGCGCGCGAGCGATTGACGGAGTTGCCTCCACGGGGGCGCGATTAGAGGAACGGATGGCTGAGGATTGATCAATCGCCCTCGATCGAGATCTCTGGTGGGATGAGAATGACGCCGTTTTGAGGGGAGAAAGGAGAAAGGCGGAGGTCAAGGTTGGGAAAAGCCACCAACATACGGATCAGCAAGTGTCAAGAAACGAGGAACGATTAGAAACAAGCTATGTTGGAATAGGAATATTTGCAGAGAAAAAGGGTGTAATGTTCTAGGGCTTCAATTTTGAGGCCAAGGCGAAATCCTTCGAGTATAGAGCCGAGCTCTTAAGGGATGAACACTCCCCGGTTTCACTGTGATTAATCCACCGGAATCCCTTGTTTCACCCTCAGTCTCCATTGGGTAGTATGCAGGCAAACGCTAACAGCTGCAGTAGAGATCTTATTGGATTTCAGCCTGAGTCTCGGGACTCAAGACTTGCCCAAAGCTACCTGTTTACTGCCTAATGGGATCCTGGCTAACTTATAGAACGATTGGAAGACTATAATGTTATACACCAATTGACTTTATATACGTTAGCCGCTGTGGCACAAGCACTAGTTTAATCAATAACTACACCTAGCGGAAACCAACTGCACTTATATAACCTTAAAAGCACATAGATCGCTTGTTTGCCAAAAGCGACTCATCCAAAGTATCGATATCGAATAGGAGCTGGAGAGCCTCCCAATGCTAATTTCTGCTTCCAAGCTCCGGTCGTATATCAATTCACAAGAGAGTAAATGTAGCGTGTTACCAATAGCAATAGTATTATGTAGAATTGTCTGACCTATGAGTATAATTAGAGAATTATATTATATACTTAAAACCCCGAGAAAAGAGTCAAATGACTGATGACCCAGGGCTATACATGTATGTGAGTAGATCATGACGTCAAGTCGTATAAGACAACATAAAAACCGCAGCAACGCCGAAAGAAACCAAAAAAAAGGTATCAGGGTATCAAATCAAGAAAAGAAGCAGAAGACCATCACCAAGCTACAGCTTTTTATTAGCAGAAGCCTGCATACGACGCATAGCCTGACGATGTAAATCGGTCATACTGCCGCGCTGCATGCCATTGGCAACGGCATTGTCAAGCTGGTTTGATGAGGCATCCCGCATCTGCTGCACAGAGCCCCAGAGACTACTATGCGGTCGATCGGGGCTCACTGCACCACCAGGAGGCGGGGACTGGGGAGGAAGAGCGAGGGGATCACGCTTGTTGGTGATCTCATCGCGGACGGACTGGCGCCATGCTGCCATTCTTGACGCAGATCGATTGAGCTCTGCACCTGGAGGTGGTGATTGCGCTGGAGATGGAGCTTCGAGGCTGTGGACGCTGGTTGCGTATGGGGATTGTATGGTTTGGCGTTGCAGCATGGTGCGCCGTTTGGAGAGCGGGATGTCGTCTTCGTCGCGGGGTGGGCCTTGCTCGTGGTCCTCCTCTCTTTCTTCGGGAACTGAGAGGGGCGGGGAGATGGGGGAGATTTCATTATAGGACTGGCGGGTTTGGTTGCGAGATGCCCAGGGATCGTAGCGGAGGGAGGTAGACGACATGCGGTTTCGGACCATGTCCTCGCGGACGGCGAGGAGGGGAGGTGGTCCGTTCCATTTTGGTGTTTGTTCTGCTTCCTTGTTTTCAGGTGCGGTGATTGTTAAAAATGGTGTTGAGGCGCTGCGCAATCCTGCTTGTCCTTCTTGGGGATGTGCTGGTTGGGCACTGGATGACCGTAGCATGTTTACCGAGCCGGTCGAGGCGTTACGGGAGAGTGGATTATGCATGGCCTTGCTAAGACTGTTCCTCAGCTTGGATCGAGACGTTTCGGGTGAAGACACCAATGGAATGACCGCAGGTTGAATAGCTTCCACCTCATAGGACTCAGTCCTGTTCACAGCTGGAGGTGGTTGAGCATTAAGAGGTGTCTGAAGAAGACCGTCGACGTCGACAAAGGCTGGAGCCTCGTGCACTTCATCAGTGCCTTCTACTTCAGGCACAATATCGAATTCAATGGGCTCCATCTCAGGGGTGTCGGCGTCCGCCAGATGTTTGGCCCATTCATTTGTGCGGTAAGAATGGATGATTCTGGACGTTTGCTCAGGCAACGCCTTGACAGTTGAAGCGTCCAATTTCTTGATGACCTTCTCTTTCTTGACCTTCTCGACTGGTTTCGGAGAAGGCAGGGGAATGACCTCCTCCTCCTTCTTCTCCTGGTCGATTGTGGGTGGAGTCTCTTTCTCTTTCACACTCTCAGCCTGGCCATCTTGTTGAGATGGTTGCTCCAAGGCCACTGTCTCCTCCTGCTGGCTCTTTGGTGAATCGGTGATATCAGGCTGAATATCTGTTGCAGGAGTATCTGGAGACTGAAGCTGCTCAGACATGACTGACATTCCCGTCCTATCTAGAGGACTCGCGATGGTGCTCTCAATGGGAGTCTGAGCGACAGGTTCAGCAGTGTTGGTTGGCTGAGTAGACTTGTTTGCAGCAGCTTCATAGGAGACCACTTTACGGGCAACGTTCTGCATGGCTGCGCCTGTGATAACGCCAAGTCCAGCTTCCTTGGAAACTTGAGGAACAACCTTGCTGGGAACAGGGTCTGGGGTAATGTCTTTCTGTTCATCATGATGCTCTGTCGCGACTGTGTCCACTGTAGGCTTCTTTGCTTCTGGGGTGGTGTTCTCATGGACAACCTGCGAGCCAGCATTTGACTTTGTGTCCATTTCAACACTACGCTTCTCTGGCAGGTTCTCTGGCACAATAACTTCTTGTATCGGGCCTTTCTGAACACGCTCCTCGAGGTCTGATGCGATACTCGGGCAACCTTCGCTCACCTCCTGGAGATCGTCCGCATCATCCGCCACGCCATACACAGATGAAGAGGCGTCGTTGTGAACGACCAAAGCCTCCTGGGACTGGGAAGTGACCTTCATATCAGTGCTGTTTCGCCAGGAGAGTCGGTTCAACAGCTCTCTGCCAGACATGCGTTTTGAACGTGGTGTACCAGCCTCCGAGCCAATGACTGCTCCGTTCTCAGAAGAATTGTCATTGTCCTGGCCGAGGACATGAGTAACGACAGGCGTTTCAGGTCTGGCCTTGGAATCGGCGTTTTCCTGCTCAGCTCCTTGCTCCTTTTCCTGCTCGGTCAATTCCCGAGCATCCTCCTCCTGCACTGGCTCGAGTTCTCGAGCTTCGTCATTTTTCTCACTGCTAGCTCCGGCCTCGGGGGTCTGCATGTCTTTCATCTCAATGTCACCATCCTTGTCGTTTGAAGATGTGAAACCATCCGAGCCACGTCGCGAATCTTCTCCAACCGCCGTTTCAGAGACGGAAGCGGTCTTGCTCTTGCTGTCTTGGCCATTACCGTAAGTCATTTCCCATTCGGCACGTTCTTGGTTGTTCTTCTCTTCCAATTGTCGGCCGGCTTCGGCATCCTCTTCTTCAATCTTCCGCTCGTGCTCTCTCCGTGCATCTTCTTCCTTGGCTCTGCGCTCTTTGATGACCTTCCACAGCCTGATCTGGGAAATTACGCCTAGAACACTGACAATGATCGTCACAGCGAGCTCAACACGGATATTGCGAGTGACCGGGTAAGTATTAGTCTTGAGCGGGAAGATATTTTGGTTCAATCCTGGAACAAGTCAGCAAATCAGTCGCCTTCAATCCTCAACAACGCATAAACTTACCCCAGATGTACAGCCAGAATTCTTTCAGTCCAGCTCTGCTGAAGCAGTCGATGCCCAAAACCAATGCCGTTGCACCCGAAAAAGACGAGCATCCGATTAAACCATACGGACGTGTATAATGACTGAACGACAGACAATAAAACCCAACCGAGAACGCAATGATCATTCCGGTCCTAGGGCCACTTTCAGTCAGAAGGCCACCAGACTTCAAGGCGAGGAACCACATGCTCAGACAGAATCCGCCGAGAAGACAGCCCAATCCTTCGCAGATTTCTTTGAAGACCATGGAGAGACCACCAAAGACGGCTCCCGTGAAAAAGACGGCTACCACATAGCCACCTTGGACAGCATTACTCACGGGTGGACTCATCACATATACGATGAGGACGGTGACACCTAGCGCAGTGAGGAAGGCGGTTGAGAGGAAGATTTGGACCCATTGTTTACGGACGCCAATAAAGGCGAGGACGGCTCCCAAGGCCAAAAGAATGAAACCGCCCACTCCCAGCGCCGGAGTAATGACCGGTTTGATAGGAAGTCCCCCGGAGTATGTTGGCCTTGCTGAATCGGCCGCTTCTTGCTGAGAGGCAGCAGTGGCTCCATCGAGAGAGGGGACGGTCGAGGTAGCTTCAGCGGCCGTGGCAGTCGTCGATTTGGCATTTGTCGTGGTCGCAGTACCCGTGCCGGTGGTAGCTGATGATTTAGATGTTGATGATGTCGACGTTGCTGTTGCTGTCGATTCCGATATCGTCGTTGACGCATTCGTTTGTGTTGCCGACGCCTCGCTAGTTGTACTCTCCGCGGGCTTGTCGGATTCGGCTTCCTGTTCCTGCCTTGCCTCTATCTCGCGTCCCAGGTTCTGAGCTGGTGCAGCCAATGTCCCTGCCACACATAGCAGGGACAGGACCAATGCGAAGAACACTGACCACCGCATGTTTACTGAAGTAGGCGGGAACGCGAATTGCTCGGAGATGAGTCGCACAGGTGTTATAGGGACAGACGCATATCCACGCGACAGAAGTAGCAATGGAGGAATTAGAGAATAATTGGGAAGTATAGGCCGCGTCGAAGCAGGAAAAGCAATAAAACGCCCGCCCTAACCATTCTGCGCGGGGCCTCTATTTGGCTTGCATATTTGAGTTTTATTTTACAATAAAAAGGGAATTTTCCTAGATAATCCACGCGAGTTGACTAGTTTTCTTTTCTATATTAGCCCCACCGATCGCGAATGTGGCCGATCTAGCAGGGATTGGCGTCCCTCGCAGTCAAATGAGATTGCACGCTGGAGCGAAGATTTTCCCTACGAGTGGAGGACGAGTGGATCAAGTGGTCTTTGCTCGGCGAATATTCCTGTTTCAGGGGTGCGATACTGTTAGCGCTCTGTACGGAGTACAGTATACGGAGTACAGACAGGGGAGGTGGGTGTATAGTTGTATTGGATATTGGATATCGGACCTCGGAATGAAAGAAGTAAAAAAAAAAGTGATCTTTCCATTCCACTGGAAGGGAATTGATCTGTCAGAACCCATTCAGCATCAGAATGGACTCACCGTCAGTTCCCAGCTTGGGAGACTCAGGAACAGGCCCTCGAGCTCGGGTGGCGCCGTAACTAGGGAGTTCGCCAATCGATCTATCCAATTTCACGCCAATACTCGCACTCCGTATAGCCTTTGTCCTGCACGCCCTTTAGCTAGGCCTTGCCCCTGCTAAGCCATTGTTGACGCCCTGCAGCTTGACGTGGTCGGGCCGCTAATTGGCTTCTGAAGACAAGCAAGGAGCCATTCATGCATCTGAGACAACAGCTATCTTAATCTCTTTCGTTCAATCAGCGTGCGCTGTTGCAACATCTGTTGCTGCTTTAGGATAGCGTTGGTTGATCCGCCTATCGGTTACTTCTTCCAGCATGGTGTATGCACAATTCGACATGGACAGTTGTCGGGGCGGGATATTGTGATGGGTGGAAGTCATTGGGTGTTACTGTCCTGTTGATGCTCTCGAGTCGAGGTCGAGACTGTGCTGGCTGTGCTGGCCGCGCTAGCTGTGCCGTTGGCAGCTGCATTGGTGACTTTCGGGATTCCAATCAGGTCGCCATTAGACTTCACGTTTGTTTTTGGCTTTGCCGAGTTCACAATGTTGCTGTCATTTCCCGAGCCCCCGGACTAGCACACTGCTGTACATGAAAACATACCCAGTGCTGCAGCACCGAGGCAAATCCCAATTCCAATTCCAATTCTAATTCTAATTCCAATTCCACTTCTAAGTCCAATCCAATCCAATTCAATGCTAAGCACAAACAAATAAAATGAAACCAAACGCCAACCTGACAATACTTCCATATAATTTACAGTAACCCCAAATAGTCTCACGCGTAAAGGGGCCCGTCACATGACCCGTCGCGAACATCGCGTCCCAACCTCATCACCAAATCCATCCACAGCCAACCACCAATCCACTCCAACACAATGTCGTCATTCCTCAACTCCCTCCGCCCTGGCCTGCGCATGGCCCAGAGGGCCACCCAGACCGCCCGTGCCTTCAGCTCCTCGCCCGCCAACGCCTTTGCTCGTCTCACCGTCACCGGCCGTCTCGCCGCCGAGCCCGAGCTGCAGGCTACTGCCTCCGGCAAGGAAGTCGTCAAGTACGTTGTTGGCACTTCCCACGGTCGTCGGGAGGACCGGTCCACCAGCTGGTTCCGCGTCACTAGCTTTGTTCCCGAGGGTTCCCAGCGGGACTTTATCCTGTCTTTGACTAAGGGGTAAGTGAATATATACTATCAGAATCAGAATGGTGTGTCGGGAGCGAATTGCAGAATATGGAAGGATCTCTTCCTAGGGTTGGGTCGGCTTGCATGCGCTGCTTGGTTCCTGTGCATGGAAATAGAGCTAGAGCTAGAGCTTGAGCTTGGGTGGCCGTGCATGGAGCATATACCATGCTCCATGCACGGACAAACCTTTCAATGCATGAACCTATACATACCAGCCCGCTTGCATACGAGCAAACGACCCTGCCGACCCTTCCTCCCTAGCCTTCAGTTCTACGGTGTAGACGAGGTTGGGGGGAGGTTGGAATTGGAGAGATGTGGACATATCGAATCCCATCCCCGCACACACCCAGCCCAGCTCACCGCCATACCTCCCACAGAGACCAAGCTAGACCAGAGCAGAATAGCTAACCCGCCTTGCTCATGCAGAACACTCGTTCTCGTTGAGGGTGACGCCAGCCTCCGCAACTGGGAAGACAGCGAAGGCAAGAGCCGTACCACCTTGAACTTCGTGCAGCGTGAGTCTCCTTTCCGTTTTATATCTCATCTGTGTTCGGGTCTGATTCCTTCTCACGGCAGGTAATCTTGAGGTCCTTAAGCGCCAGCAAAACGAAGAGGAATCTCAGCAGTAGATACAGTGTATCTAGACAATGTTTTCATCTAGGTTTCTGTTGCTCTAGAATGGACTTTGGCTGGACAGACTTCTTGAGGATAACGTGGGTGGGTTTCAATGTGTTATGGCACATTCCGATGTAGCATGTCCGTGCTAGCGATAGGCCATTTCTGGTCTTGGTGTTTTAAGCTTAAGCTGGCTGGTTGATTCATTTTGTTTGGCTTTGTGACTATCTTGTACTTGTATATTGTCAATGCACTTCTTTCTGCAGTCTTTGATTACGTGTAGCGGGGAAATGAAATGTTGGGGCTTCTTTTTGGAAGAACCTACATAAAACTGCCATGATAAAGAGACGATGATCTTGCCGTCTGTCGTGGACTTGAGACATGGGCGCTTTATCCGGCGCAACAGTAACAACATAGATGCTGATGGGTAGAAAGCCTCTGGATCGTTAGGGCTAACTACTATCCTACAAACCCAAGGGCTAAAGTCATCAGAAGCAAAGTACAATTAGAAGTCATTCAATCCCCATGTTTTACACCAGATTAACATAGAATTAATTCCAGGAAACAGCCGAATCGGATGTGTAATTAGAAAAAAGACAAGCCGTAGAACCAACCCTCCATCCTTCTAACGGATGCCCAGCTTAACTGCTCTCAAACTTGAATCTCACTCTGCTGGCTGATAACCTGCTTTACATGAATGAAAGTCTGCTGAGGGGGCGATGAAGAAGCAGGCGAAGGACCAACCGAGTAATCCCGACTATCACGCGTACTTCCAGCCCAAGCATTTGATGAGATGGTGCGCGAGTGCGAAGGAACGGAGAGGTCATCCAGCAATGTCGCATCGGATTCGTGACGCGCAGATTGACGGCGGAATAGAGACAAGGGGAATCTATCCCAGATAGTCTTCTTGGCTGGTTCATGGAGATTGCGTGTACTCGGGGAAGATGTCAGATGAGATGGTCGAGCGGTGCCCTTTTCGAGATCATTGTATGTAGCGCGTGTTGAAGTGAATGTACCCATATGCTGTCGGTGCGAGATTGGGCGCTGTTGGTCTTGCTGTTGCATGTACATGCTCCTCGGTCTGGAGAAGAACGACTTTGCCTTGAAGCTGATTGTCTCGACTAGGGTTGCCGATGTAGAGATGTGGCCGTGGGGATGGGGTTGCATGGGGGTGTCGTTTGAGTCTGCTGGCGCGGTAATGCTGGGGAAACAGTAGCCCAGTCCAACATACCAGCAGGCGGTGCGATACATGCGGGTTGCGTCGCGGCCGAAGCCGAAGAAGATGAAAATCATGAAGCCTGATGCAATGGGGGTCCAGCGGTCGAAGAAGACGACGCCGTGGGTGGGGACTCTGTAGATTGTGGACCAGTTTCCGTTGTGAAGCTTGCTCCAGGAGAAGGGGTGCCATGGTAATGAGAGGCGAATGTCTGCGTAGACTATATAGGCTTGCAGGGGGAGGATGGCGACTAGCATGGAGAGGGCTAGGAAGAAGAGGCGGAGGAAGCGTGATTTGCTGAGGTTACTGCTGGAGGCACGGATAATGTTTGCAAAGTCGCTTCGATATTTATGGATGCGGAAAAGAACCAGGCCTTAGATTTTGGTCTCGTGATTAATTGTGATGAACTGAGGATGTGGGAGGAATAGATCGTATGAATGGGTTGCTTACAACAGTAGTAGGCTGCTGCCAGGCAGATAACCGGTGGCCATATAAATGCCAATACGAGACTGACCCAGCTCTCATCAAAGTTGTTTACACATCCTGAAATGGAGTATAGTAGGTATCGGCTCTTCTGCCAGACGATGTGGGTGATCATGGCAATGACTGGGACTACCACGCAGAACAAGAGGTTCATGAATTGACTGCGCCAGCGTTGACTCCTGCTTGGGACCAAAGCCGCTCGATCAGTGTCTAGCACGTTTGCGAGAGAACGAAAAATGCACATTAGGGCTCCTGGGACGCCGACATAGCCGGCAACCATGAGCTTGATTTCGATATCGCAAAGACCGGCACCATCCCACCAGGAATCCACATCGTCATTTGGCCAAGTCAAGGCATTGATTATGTTGAACAGGTTGAGGAGAATTGACCAGGATACCAGACTTGTTGCAGGGAAATTGCGATTCTTTGCATGTAGAAGCAATGGCGGTATTCCGAGGAGGATCGAGAAAGATGACAGAATTGGAATGCCCACGGCTAATGTATAGCGCCTGGTCGGATCCATGTCATTTGATAGAGAAGAAATTGGGGTTTGTAACACTTCCAGCCTCATTAATAACCACGATTTCCTAGTAATTGGGCGAGAAAAGGTAATGGAAAGGAAAGAGAAAGATGGATGCGTTCATCCCATCCTCGAAGCTATAATATACCTGACCAAGACCCAATTGAGACTCTGAATTTTGATTGAGAGTCTACTCGCGAGAATCAGAATCAGGAGACTTGATTCAGAGGGATGATGGAGGTCAAGACACGAGGGTGAGCTGAGGAATGTATGGGTTGCAAGGCAAAAGACATCCTTTCGAGACGACTTTTGCGACATAAAGAAGAACATGACCATTGAACGACTCAGCAGGTCAATAAAGAAGATATCACAGTTGAATAAAGAAAGAAGATGAGTTGATGCCCATGGCACCAGTCCGCATTTGGGGCTCAATAGAGCCGGAGCTCTATTCACATTCCGCCACTCGTTCTCTGCATCGTGAGAGGTCGACTCAGTATCGACAGGTCATTTGTACCCGCTTGAAGTTCTAGCCCATGAGCTGGTAATGGCGATTGGAAGGAGGGCGAATGGTTGATAGTTGGTCGATAGTTGGTTGAGAGTTGGTGGTGGGTAGTCTAGCCTCAACCGCAATACCTAGTAACCTCCTTTTTAAGTCTCTACAACTCCACGAGAAATGTATGAAAAGGGCTCTAATCAAGCTGTGATGGTTGGATCGAGTCTTGGAGATGGTTGCACACTTTAAGTTGACCAGTCTTTTCTTTTTGGCCCTACAGCTTAACTTAACCTATGGTGTGAACACTTGATGCCTGTTTTCTCAGGCTGCAATGTCTGCCCTAACATGAACGTGAAGAGAACTACCACCGAATCAGATATAAGTTTACTTAACTCAACTTATAAGTGAATCTGAACTTGTAGACTCATTTTTCCCAACTTGCTCTCTTTCTCTCACCTTCTGCCAACGAAACCTGATACACGATCCTCGGCATGACGTAGTGTGGGGATGAATATCAGTTTGGGAGCTGCTGTTTAACCACCGACAGGGAGTACAGCATATTGCAAACCTGATGTGCGATTGACCCTGGGAAAGTAGAACAAGTGTACAGTATTAACGCACCTGCGAACCGGTTTAGTCCTTTTGCGGCTGAGAAAAAAAAAGCAATTCTACTCTTCTGCCTCGACAAACCTCGACAAATACTCCATTTCTCTTCCTCTTCCCAAATGCCATGGCTGACCCCCCATCCCCCTTAAATCGCGCTCAGGCCGAATGGCGACGAAACTCGACATTGTCCGACACTCTCTCTGAAGCCCATCACTCGATCCGTTCGTCCACGGACGGTCTCTTTCTCCCGCGTGTAACCGAAGAACAGCTGGAGGAATCGAATTGGCATTCAGCACCCCTCGGGCTCGCCTTGCTGCCAGCGATCGCGGGCATCTTTTTCCAGAATGGCAGTTCTTTCGTGACTGATGTGACCTTGCTGGTGTTGGCGGCCATCTTCCTCAACTGGTCGGTGAGGTTGCCTTGGTAGTTTTTCCCCCTGTGCTCCCCGCATACCATCCCCATATGCAAAGAACAAAAACTTACAACAAACAGGGATTGGTATCGCTCAACTCAAGCAATTCGCAAAGAAAGCAATTTCTCCGATCCTACATTCGACGATGAAGAGGTCAAATCCGCGGATTCTCCAAATCAGCCGCACCAAACCCAACAGCATCAAAAATGTGCATCTGCAGCAAGCAAAGAACTCCAAATCCACGAACTAGCCGCTCTAGCCTCCTGCTTCATCTTCCCAGTAGTAGGAACGTGGCTCCTCCACGGCATCCGTTCAAGCCTCTCCCGCCCCTCGGAAGGCCTAGTATCAAACTACAACCTAACAATCTTCCTCCTGGCCTCCGAAGTCCGCCCAGTCGCGCACTTCCTAAGACTAGTGCAATCACGCACCCTCCACCTACAGAGAATAGTCTCCGAAGCCGAAGCCAACCCTCACAATATCACCATAGACCCAAGCACGGTCCAAGATCTAACAAAACGTCTTGAAGAGCTAGAAGCCCACATCGCCGAGACAGCAGCCCTGCGTCTCCAGCCTCGATCTCAAAAGGCCGGGATCGGGCCTGGCACTGGCAATGGAAGCGGCAATGGGACTGGGAACCTCTCTCCAAAACAACAACCAGACTCCCCTTCCCTCCTCACCCAATGCATAACCGAAACCCGTCGCAGTATCCAGCCAGACATCGACGCTCTGAACCGTGCAGTGCGCAGATATGAGAAGCGCACGGCACTTTCAACACTGCAGACTGATCAGCGCTTACTGGCGCTCGAGACGAAGACCCGCGATGCGGTTTCGTTGGCGGCGGCTGCGCAGAGGGCTAGTGCGTCGCGCCGGGCTGGATATGCTGTTATTTTGCTTGATACTGTTTGTGCTTGTGTTGTTATTCCCATGCAGGGTTTCTTGTCGCTTGTTGCTTTGCCTGGAAGGGTTGTTTCTGGTTGTTTGGATCGTGTTAGGGGGATTTTTGGGTTCAAGAAGAGTGGATCTAGGAAAGGGAGAGACAGGGAGAGAGAGAAGACGAGGGGAAAGGAGAAGGGTAGGATTGTTGGGGGGCAGGTTGAGCTGCAGCAACAGACTGTTTCTGGTGTTCAGAGGAGATCTGGGAAGGTCAATGGGTCTGGGGTTGGGGATGGGGTGTGACATGGATTTTATGGGTTGGTGTCTCTCTTTGGGGGCTGGGATGGATGGCGTTTGTATATCTTAGGAACTGAGTGATCATATCTTTTGAATATGAGATGCGCATGGTTTGTAGTAGGGGAAAAACTACATGCTTCATTGAATTCACTTGATCTATCAGCCTCTATAGAGGGATACATGATGAAAATAACATTTATACAACGTTGTACACAGAAAGAAATGGCAAGTCTGCTGGAAAGGTGGAATCAAGAGTTAGAAGCAGTCTAAGGGATAGGATCGTTCAAGAGTGACGAGAGATCAACGACCCCCCGATGGACCCCGATCATCCACTCCAATCATTTTCAAGAAGGGTTCGATGATTGCCCGTCTGCGATCCTCAGATACACGGCGTTCTTTCTCCTTAGCTGGCAGCGGGGCGGTAGCAGAAACAAGTACGCGTGCAAAAATGGATGAAAGGGCCGTCTCTACTAATTGTCTGCGCGCCGCAGCAGGGTTGGAGATCAACGGGTCAGGGCTGGCAGTCGTGGAGGTGCTGGTAGAGCGGTTCTTGCGACGGAATGTGCCGCCAGTGATGAAACCAGAAGCAGAAGCAGGCGTGGGAGATTGTAGCTCCGCTAATTCGGATTCTTTCGCTGCTGGATCTTTAGATGCATGCTCTGTCTTTCCGTGTTTAGACGAAGAAGAAACTGGTCTCGCGGTAATCGATGGCACGGGGGCTACCTCATTGGCGATACGAGCAAGCATAAAGGTGACAAATGTGAATGAGACGCTGTGTGCGGGGGAGTATGCTAGGTTTTCGAGTACCCAAGCCTGAGTTTCTTCCCAGTTCAAAGGCGGTGCCTTTGATTTCTCGCGTGCGATCATTTGTTGTTCCATATCTTGCCATACTGGCGCAGTGACGATGCCATCTTTAAGTGAGTTGAGGAAGGTAAGAAGGGTTTCGGAGAGGATTTCCAAGCGGTGGAGAGATGAAATCTCCGGGGCAAAGACAGAAGTGAGAGAACCATTGGTGTCCAGGGCTTCGTGAACCAAGGCCTGCTGCGCAGCACGCTCCTGTGGGTCCTTGAAAGTCCATGTATCTGGCTGGAAAGGCCATGCTGTGCCTGAGGGTTCTCTTGTCCAAGGTGCTTTATGCTCCTCGGTTTCACCATTGGTCATGCTCCATTCCGCCACGGCGCGTTCTGTCAGCTCAGAAATTGCTTCTGTCAACCGGAACAGCTCTCGGGGTGCTGATAAGCGGACTTCGGGGGCTTTGTCTGTGCTGGATGGATGGGGCTTGTCTGTTTTGACCAAAGTACGAGCACCTTCTTCTGGCATACAGGTCAATTCGTCAATCGTGCAGCCAAAGCTAGTAGGCAGCCACTTCCCGATTACAGAAATGAAATGATCGCGGCCACTATCCACGTGGAGAACTAGAATCTCCTCTAGCTTGACCTTTTTGATGTTGAGCAGCCTGACATGCTCGATATCATGGACGTGGGCTGTGATATCAACATTTGCCACTTCCCCGGGGTGCAGAGTATGGCTTCCAGCTGAAGAAGCAATGGCTTTACCCTCGTGACAGGTGCTTTCGGATGATCTTGTCACATGGATGTCAAGCCAATCAGGCCTCTCGGTATCAGTATGCTGCTCTGCGAACGAAAATGTGGCCGAGGTACCGCTTGTGTTGGCAATGGTCAGGGATCGGTGAACAGGGTGATGAAAGGCGACTTCCCCGAGGTCGACAGCATTCTCATCTTGTTCCCCGTGTTTCTCGCTGCCATATTTGTCCACCACAACAGTAAGACCCGGTCGCGCCTCATTCTCGGCCTTATCCAACTCGCGCGCTACCTCTTGATGTACCTTGGCCTTGAGTTGCGAGTTCACCGCATCGAAAGTCATAGTGAAGATCCCATCTAGCGGCTTGTGGTCCGATGAGAGGATACCCTGGTGGGATATATATTGATCTAGACGAATTGGATCTTGCGATTCATGCGACGCAACCGAAACAGCATCATCGTCGCCTTGGTCCTCGTCCGAGACGTACTCGTCACCGCTCTGCGCACCGTCGGTGTCAGGGTCATATTCAAACAAAACATTGTCGTCAGCGGCAGCCTTGTCCAGCCCACGCGCCTTCATCTCCTCGTCCCTCTTCCGAGATTCTTCGGCTTCTTGATCTAGCTGCTCATGTTTCAGCTTGTCCCGGCGAGTACGATATAGGATACGATCACACCAGCTAGGCCCACGATGCTTTTCGCTAGAGTCAAACGTGGCCACGCTTCCAACGTCATACTTGTACGTCGGTAGGAAGGAAATATGGCCTTCCCGCCATCCTTTGTGGAAAGCTGTTCCCTTTCTTTGTTGGAGTCGCAGTTGATCGTGCGGAAGCAGAGAAGATATTGTAGTTTGAAGAGAAGCCGGGTCATTGTGAGGATCGATATCTTCATCGGTGACAGGATTCATGGCCTCTTCTTCGAGATGAGATGAAGGCGGCTGATCTTCAGAATCGCTGGTCGAGGCTGAGGCTGAGTCTTGATCTGGAGCTGCAGCCTGTTTCGCCTGGCGCGCTTGATCGTATGCATTAACAGTGTGACGGGCGAGCACTTGACGCACATCTTCACCAGGAATATCATCGAGGCGATAATTGAGGTCACCAAACCAGAAAATGAAATCTTCATCGCCGATAGTATCACCCGACTCATCAGATGCACCGATATCGGACTCAATTGGCTCAAACCGAGTGCGCTGCACAATCTGTGAAGAATCCCAGTTGCGACGCTCAAGACTATTTTTGTCGGATCCCGCTGCCAGATGGGAATTCACAAAGACCAAACGGGTAGTCTCGCCCAGCACCAGGCGTGTTGCCACGGCACCCTTGTTGCCCATGTAACCCATCAATCCTGTGCCAACCGAAGTGCTGCTGACAGACGAGATGCTCTCGTCAATTGCAGGCGATGCATAGATAAGAAGTAAGAGTCCAATCAGCTGAATCTCAGAGACTAGCTTATATCCCTGGGGCAGTGTACTTTGTACCGCTTCCTTCCATCTCTTAGATGGTGCCGAATCCGTATAGGGGCGTAATGCTTCTGTTGGGGAGGAGATATCGACAACTTCTTGCAGCCCTAGAACGTAAAGATCGATCTCCTCAGGGCTGCAATGAAAGGGGCCTGACTTGTCACTCTCTGTAGCCCTTTCATTTCTGCTGTCGGTTGAGTCTAGGCTTTCTCCTTGGGCAGACTTCGACCCAGAGAGCTTCTCGCACACCCCTTCGCCTTTGACGAACCACTTCCCAATGTCCTTTTCGGTGCCGGAGATCGAGGCAACGTTCCAAGTGCCGATTTTAACTCGAATGCTCTGTTTCCGCGTGTATTCGGCTCTTCGTTTTCTCACAGCGCGCGAAAGGGATAGGACATCGAGTCCTGGCTGTTCAATATCTTCCGCAACTTCCGACTCGTGGCTCCGGTGCTCTGACCCCGTCGGCGATGTCTGCTGTGAATTTGCGCTCATGGTGTAAATGTAATTCGGTCAGATCAGAGAAGGGCGAAATGTATCTGCATGTATTGAAAGTACTCGAGTATCTATCAGCGTATATAAGTGGTCTGATTGTGTGTATAGGCTGATGTATTGGCTTGCGGTTCTTAGCTCCGGCGGGGAAAATTAAGCTAAAAAGTTCGTCGCAAGTATCGAACAAGTCAACTGTAACTTTTTTTTAGGTGATTCGAGAGGGATGAGAGGGTCCGTGGTGGGTTGCGACAAGAAATCGATCATCGCATCGAGGTCAAGAGATTCTCGGGACTCGTGGCGTCATCACATGAAAGCTCGAGAATGTGAGCGTCAAAGAGGCCGTATAGACGGTTTCTATTGCCAACTCAGCAACAAAGCGAATCTCCGAGGTGCGAGTTGCAATGGGAGAGATGGCGGGGAGCTCAGGCCGGAAAGGCGGGAGCTCAGACGATGACGATATGCCGCTCACCTCAGCGCCTTCCACACAACATACTCTCAGCACGCCGAAATGACTTCTCGCAAACCCCGACGTCAGAACAACCATACTACAACTGATTATGAATCAGACACAGCATACTATTCAGACATGCCGCAAGCTGCACCGCCGCTGCGTTCCAACGAGGAGCTGAACCTCTCAGTGATCCGCCGCCACAAGCCCTCCGTGACCTCAATCCTCTCTCTCGCCCCTTACGCAGTCGTGTACATCTTCAGCCCAACAACAAAACAATGGGAAAAGAACGGCATTGAAGGAACACTATTCGTTTGCCAGCAAACCCAGGGCGACCTAGGCGAAGAACGCTACACCGCATTCGTGCTCAACAGGCGCGGACTCAACAACTTCGATCTCCCTCTCACGGACGGCGAAAACGTGGAAATTACTGAAGAATACGTGATCCTTAAGGCAGACGAGAGTGATGAAGGTGAAACAGGCCAGAACGGCATCGCGGACCCCTTGCACCCACAGAACATCGCCAGCAACACCCAAAGCGGCAACAATGTTCGCATCTACGGTCTCTGGATCTATTCAGAGCCACCACCCAACTCGACCGCCGAATCTCGCACTATCAATGCCCAGATGATCCAAGAGTGCGCCACCCACGCTGGGCAGAGTATGAAACTCGCCCGTGAGCGTCTTGAGGCTCTGCGCCAGTCCAATATGCATGTTGCTGCCGCTGCCGCTTCGACACAGCCCGCTCCGTTGGAAGAGGTTCAGGCTAGTGTGCCTATGGGACGACAGGTTTCATTGAAGGAATTGTTTGGTCAGCAGCGTGCTCAGGATGATGGGTGGAGTGTGCGTGCGCACCACCTTAGTCCCGAGCAGTTGGCTCAACAGGCTGCTTATCAGAACATGATGTCTCAACAGATGGGTGCTCCTCCTCATCCGCCGCCGCAATCGCAGGCACCACCACAGCCGCAGGCAGATGTGCTAGGTGATTTGTTCCGGAGGGCAGGATTAGCATATCAAGGAAACGGACAGGGTTATTAAGACTTCGGTTTCTGGTTTCATTGCTCGTGGTCATTTCTTTACAGGGCGTTTTGCCTATGTTTGATTCCTGTTGCTTTTGTATTACTTATTCATCTACCATCTGGGAATGGGCGTAGCTATTCTGGAGATACCCATTACGAATTGTACCGACGGCGAATTCATGGTCCTCAAATCTCCTTACTATCAAGTAGATGCGTAGGTCCCGTGTCATGCATTCAATCCTCGTCCACCTTTATTGGTTCTCATCCCATAATCTCTGTAATCATCCCCGCCGTCTTACGGGCCATAGTATCACTGTGTTCTACAAAAGTCAGCTCAGCCAAACATCAGAAAAGAAAGAAAACAAAAGCAAAACTCACTCAAACAAAAAGCATGCGGTAGGTCCTCTTCACAAACCAACATAGTCGGTCCACGTCCTTCCTCGCATCCCCGAACAGCAATAATCTCATCCCTCGTCTGATCAGCAACCCAATGATCCTTTCGACCAAAGTAGAAGAACAATTTGTTCAGAGGCTCATGCGCCGTTGCAACACCCCAAACATCGTCGTTCCATTTATCAGACGTGATAGTGCGCATTTCATCAGCGGCCATATGTCTTTAGATATAGACAGTCAGCATGCAATATCCACACCACCAGGACAAAACAATAGAAGGAAAACATACAAAGCCTGCCTCACCCCACCACTACTTTCTAGGAATGAACAAGTCGCATCCAATGCATGAACTGGGGGATTATTCATCACAAAGCGCACCAAGGCACGCAGAATAGATGTCGGGAGCAGCAACGTGAGTAATCTTGCGAAGAAACCAATGACAGCGGCGAACCGAGGGATGATTGATAAGAGAGTCTAGATGTGATCTCCGAATTAGCTTATGCTGTTCTGTATCATCCACAAAGCAAGTGTGTCAAAGCATACCGTCAATTTCCGTCCAGAGGATGAAGCTGCAATATCAACCACAGTAGGGAAAAGCATTGCACCACCGATGATATCGAATTCTTCTCTGTCTTCATCTTGAGGGTCGGAACTAGCTGTAGCCTCGCGGTGCCGGCGTAAGATTTCCATGGCGATATATGCACCAACAGAGTGTCCGATTAGAATGACCTTCCGCTTTTTCCCAACTGAGCTGAAATTGGGCTGTTCTTCCATAAGGGCAGTGAGTTTCTCCTGCATGAAACGGATCTGATCTTCAAGGTCTAAATCTGACACATTGGGTTGACATTTTGTCTTTGTCTTTGTATCATTGATTTCAAACCCGCCGAGAGAACAGCCGTAGATCCGGAATGAGGGATGTGTACCTCCATTTTCACTTTCAGCGATGTTCTCTGATGTGAGATATCTTGACAATAGGGATAAAAATGGGTGGTAGTAGCCGATCAACCCCGGGTTTCCGGAGATGAAGAAGATGGTTGTCTCAGGGGCTTGGATTGTGTTTGGGTTGGACCCTATAGTGGTGAAGAATTTGTTTGCTGTTATTTCCAATGACATCTTCTTGGGTTTCTAGGTAACGCGTTGGACGTGGATGGTTGTTGCTGATATTGGGAGGGTATTGATGGTTCTTGGCTTTGTTAGGGGGGATCCGCATCGAGTAGAGATCAGCTTCAGGCTTTACAGTGTATGGCATGTGGCTTGATCATTGGTCATTGATGATTGATTGGGCTGGAAATCATTTGTCTTGGGATTCGGTCTGTTTGAGATGGAGTTGAGGTCGAGCTCGGTTAGTGGATCCATGTGAACTTTGATGTTAGATCTAGTTACGCCTTGGGGCACAACAAAGACTTGGAAGATAGTTGAAAAAGAGGTCCGCAATTTATATATACTGCAGAGTCCTAGGTATTACATTTGCGTAAAGTTTTCATACAGCCTGGGAGTGACACCTAAGGCCTCCTGCCTTCCAGTGTATTGGAAGGCATACTACGAGCACCAAGCAAGAGAGAGCAAGAAGATTGCAGGATAAATTGCCACGCGATCCGACTCACCTGGTCATGATCTAAGCCCAACCAGAAAAAAAAAGAACAAATATAGGTACCACAAGGCCAGGTCCAATGCATTGCCCAGAGACGCCACGTACATCAACCATTCAATCCCGCTAATTCGGGCCACGAACGAAAAACCACATACAGCCAGGCGAGGAAGAGAAAAAAAGAAGAGCAGCCTTCGAAGAAGAAAGAAAAAAGATATCGCCGGAAGAACAGCAGCAAGAGATAACAATGGGGAAACCCCGCAACTGTATCTGGTATCTAGGTCATGGGAAGCAAAACATGAAAGGCTGCTTAATTCAGGGAAACAAAAAAGCCCGGCTGATGGGTATTAACTATCCACCTTCATTACCTTGACTCTCGTCGCGGTTCTCCTTTTCATTAGTCTGGCTTGTGATGTCTGTGCAATTGTCGCCTTCTGATGTGGAGGATTTGGTTGTTGATCCAATGTTGATGGCGATTCTCTTGGGCGGAGCGGTAACACTGCTTAGGATTGGTGTGGCACCTTTGTCTGCCATTGGTCCGATAGACATGGTCTTTTTCCGATTCAATATCCCTGCGCCGGAATGGCTGCTTGTGGAGCTTCTGCGTTTCGGTACAGCGGAGAGCTTGATAAGCTCGTCGTCGTCCTCTTCTTCGCGTCGGCGCTTTTCTGCTAGTCGTTCCGGTGGAGGTGTTTGAGCTATCGGTGATACCGCTGGAATCTCTGTGGAGGCCTCTTGGCCAGCCGCTGGCTGGTCCTGGGCAGATTGCTCTAAACTTTCGGTTTTTGTGTCCATGATATCTTCGTCGTCGTCGTCCGGGTAGTCGACCAACGACTTGACAGCCGGAGAGGCAGATCCGTTTGGGGGTCCAACAGCAATGGTTCCACGATCCTGAGACCACTGTTTCTTGTCAGTTTCTGGGCTGTCTATGTGATTCAAGAGTTGCGTACCTCGTCTTCGTCATCAGACGTGTTGAAGTATTCGTCTTCGGCAGCGTCCATCTCTCTTACGCCCTGCCAACGCTGGCCGTTCAGGGGAATTCGTCGAGGGGTACTACTTTCGTCCTGACTGAACAGTGTCGAATCAGCCTCAGCGCCATATTCCTGTCCTTGCATTTGGTCATATCGAAGAATTAAGCTCTGGAAAGTATCGACATAGGTGATGCTTTCGAGCTTTTCACGATATTTCTCGACCACGTGAGTGATGAATGGCTTGATGTTTTCCTTCTTGATGAACTCAAACAGTTCAAGACAGGCCGAGTTGAGCAGGTTGTCACGGGGCATTGTTTCATAAACAATGTCAAGGATCAATCCAAAAGTGTTGTTGTGTGTCATGAGAGCTTGGTAGAAGGTGTCTTGAAGACTGATCAAGGTGCGGAAAAATTTGAGGGCAACTTCATCAATGTCAGTATAAGGGCCCAATCCTGGATTGAAAGAGGTACTGACTCAGCTTCAAGTGTTTCTGGGGTACCCGCAGGAGCTGCGCAACCTGAGGTGCGAGAGATTCGCTCTGGATAGAGTTACGCGTGCGGAAGAGATGCTGGCGAACGAAAAAGGTGAGGATATCAACAAGATGTGAGTAGAGGGTAACCTCTTGGAATGTCAAATCATTAACTGAAGATGTTAGCAAATTTCATGCGGTCAGCCATTGAGGTTACTTACGGGTTGCGCGATTGGCAAGCTGTTTAAGGGGTTGGAACAGCCGCTTAGAAGACTCATCAAAATGCTGTTGGACAAATGCATCGGAAAGAAGGTTGTTAGTGCGGACTTTGAAGTAATCGGGACCAGCCCGACCAAGCGGGTCCTGCAAGGGAATCTGGGGATCAAGGAGAACCTTGATAGCATCTGCAATTTGGTTTTTGACACCGAGGTCCGTTTCCACGTGCAGAAGATCAATCAAGGTGTCTGTGAGAGGGGTTTTCTTCTCATTCACGGCCTTCAACATGTACCCTCTCATCATGACAGGGTCGTGATCGAGCAAGGCGACAAGAATATCAATGCCTGTTGTGCGCATGGCCGCATTCACGTGCTTCACGGCAAAAGCGATCACAGCGAACAGGCCATGGCTGATGAAGTTGGCAAACAATTGGGCCCGTGACTGAACCTGCAAGTTCTTCGCAATGCCAGCGCACTGATGAAGGAACTGCACTGCATCATCCTTGCGCCTCGCGTCCATGTTCCTCGGGTCAAAGACAGAGAACAATTCTCGCAGAAATGGGCCATTTCCTTGTATGTGATTCACAATTTCCATCTGATTGAAAAAGATCAACGAGTTGAGCACTGAGAATGTCGGGTCGTCGAGAATCCGAGCTAGCACCACGTCTTTGAGATACTGTAGTCTCCAAGTATTGCGAATCTTGCGGCGAATTATCGCGTCCTTGATCGGCACAACTTCCTTGTATCGTGACTTGTCGGCGAGATACTGTCGGTGGTTCGCCTTGTGCGTGGGGAATTCGGGGTCGTATTCCAGAGCTCCCACCACCCCCAGGATGACATGATCGGCGACAACGGTTTCGATGATGGTATTGTCATTCAAGAGGATAAGAGACTTCATGATGTTGCAAAGACGGTGTAGGTCGATCAAGCTTTCCAGATCCTCGGCCATTTCTACTAACGGAACCAACTTCGAGATGTATTCGTCGCGAATGATGTATTTGGATAGCGCGTCTCGGCCACTCTGGGTCATGCTCGCGGCTCGTACGATTTGTTCGATATCGGGGAGATGGCCCAACTCGGGGGCTGGTAACACGATCGATTGATAGCTTTCGAGATCGTCGGACAAGGCATCATCTAAGGCGAGTTAGGGACTATCAGGTTCGAACGCGCAACACACTTACCGGCAGGTAAATTGAGAAGACTTTGTTGGACGGCATTGACAAATTCCCTGTGCGAGGTCAGCTCGTGCGCGTGAAGATTTTATCCGGCTTTCTCACCAAATGATAGCACAACCCTCCGCCTCCTGAAAACTCAGCGCCATATCCGTGCCATTCGGCTCTGTCCATACAATCAAGGTCTCTGGTCGCGTGATACCCACGTTAGCCAAAACACATTCTTCCGGGCGGAGATGGCGGGATAGAAACCTTGCTGTTTTTGGTAGCCTTCATCCTTGCCTATTTTGGTTTGCAGCAAGACGCGATTGGGTTGATCTTCGGATTCGACGAATATGCGAGGCTCCTCCTAGATGGGTTGCGATCAGTGAGTGTTGATGGCGATGGCGCATCAGCGCTCCGGGGAGGGGAGGTCGCGCGATGAAACATCAGTGCGCGCAACGCGCCAACTCACCCCCATGATCTGACCGACGCAGAAACCAGTTCCGCGGTCGAACCAGTCATTATCCCTCAACTCATAGACCTTGACTCGTTTGCGACCGTCGGGCGGCTGTACTTCCAGCGCCATGATCCGGAAACAGGGAGAGGCGTCTCGTCACTCCGGGCCACAGCTGAGAGTGTACCCGAGAGGAGAGCCAGAGGGAATGGTAAAGGGAAATAATAAAAGAGAGAATAGCCTGGGTGTGTTGAAAGGTGGAAATGAAGAAGGGAGGTGGAGATCCCAAAGGATGATGAAAGAGTCTGCGGAGGGGATGACGATCGGGAAACTCAGGTCCACCTGACGGCCTCGGCAGGTTCAAGCAAAGTCAAGATTTTGGCCCTGGGAAAAGGAAGAAGTGAACACGGAAGCAGAGTGGGCACATCCGGAACTTCTAGAACTTCTGCCCTTCTGAACTTCTGATCTGCTGATCTTCTGATCTCCAGAGCTGTTTGATGAAGTTATCTAAGTTAAAACGTATAGGCAGACATGGACAACTCTCTAAGCTATTACTGATCACGGAGCACTCAAGCTACCACACAATACGAAGATGCCAGTATATGCCAGTTCGCAAGCCTGAATTCTCTCTGTCCTCGTATACTCCCAAATTTAGCCTGGGCTTCCGTGATCGGCGAAGGGGGAAGCTTCTCAGGGGGTTCGGAATGGGCGTCTACACGCTTACCTGCATGTACTCCAGACTCCAGACTCCAAACTCTGTACAATGACATCTTCAATGGACCTCAATGTTTAATTTGAACGATTGGTCGGTCAATTGCTAAATCGATCAATATTCCCCTTCTCCACCCCCCCAAACCTAACAAAGACTCTCTGGTAAGTTACGGGATGATGGTACCTGCAGAGTACCTCCCCTTCCGGCAGCTCTTCGGCCTGGATCAAGTCACTGCCCCGTACCGTGGGCTTCCAAGCCTTCCAGATGCTGACCTAAGCACCCGGATGAGGCACAGACCCTTACCGCCTCCACTCACTCGACGCTGATTGGTTCGTGGTATCATCATGGCAGATTCTTATCGAGATGGCCCGATTAGGCAAGGCTCCAGGCCTCGGCGCGCTGTTCTAGTCTTAAGAGATTTTTTCTTCCCGTTCGGACTTCTCTCTGTGACGGTATTGACTATCCTAGATTACGAGCGACTTAGGGAGTTTTGCGCTCGTTCGTCTTTCATAAAGCTCCCCCTTCAGCAGTATAGATTGCCCTAAACTGCGGTCTGCAATTATCGCAACCCCGCTTTTACGATTTTACGGTCACCATGTCGGAGTCGAAAGATAAAGTCACCGTACAGGCATCGAGTGTGGACTATGATGCTCGCGCCAGCTCCTCTGCGCAATCACTGCCCAAGGATGCGGCGGTGGCAGTTGTGCAGAGTCCTTCTCGAGAGGAAGAGACTGAACGCTCCGAGCAGCCAGCGGACCAGGTTGATGGACAGAAGAAGAGCCGTCTGGCCTACTTCAAGACCAAAGAGTTTTACATTGTCCTTGTCCTAGGGTAAGTTGGATCCAAACTCCACAGCCTCGGAACTTGGTGCCTAACGTGTCTACAGCCAAATCCTTGCCATTGCCAACACTGCGACGGGTACCTTTACTACCCTCCTCGGTGAAGAGGACTGGGCAATTACCGCGTTCCAGACATTCTTGAACTATGTCTTGTTAAACGCAATCTTCACTCCCTACACGATATACCGTTACGGCTTCAAGGGCTGGCTCCAATTGATTTGGCGTGACGGCTGGAAATGTGAGTCCTCTTAGTTCCCCGCGACAGTTCTCAACTAACAGAAGCAGACATCATCCTTGCATTCTGCGACGTGGAAGGCAACTACTTTATTGTGCTGGCATATAATTATACAACCATGCTGAGCGCACAACTCATCAACTTCTGGGCCATTGTCGTGGTCGTGATCCTCTCGTTCCTCTTCTTGAAGGTCCGATACCACATCTCTCAAATTCTGGGTATCCTCATCTGTATCGGAGGCATGGGTATTCTCATCGGCTCTGATCACCTCACCGGCACGAACGGCGGAGACGTGTCCCACGGCCACCAGATCAAGGGCGACCTGTTCGCACTTCTCGGCGCAACCTTCTACGGCTTCACCAACACTGGCGAAGAATACTTCGTCAGCACGCGTCCTGTCTACGAGGTCCTCGGACAGATGTCCTTCTTTGGTATGATCATCAACGGTGTCCAAGCTGGAATCTTCGACCGCCACTCTTTCGCTACGGCCCACTGGGACGGCAAGGTCGGCGGTTACCTGACTGGTTATACTCTCTGTCTGAGTATGTTCTACATGCTCGCCCCGCTGCTCTTCCGTCTCTCGTCGGCGGCCTTCTTCAACATCTCCATGCTCACTATGAACTTCTGGGGTGTGATCATCGGTGTTGAGGTCTTCCACTACCACATCCACTGGATGTATCCTATCGCCTTTGTTCTGATCATCGTTGGACAACTCATCTACTTCATTGGTCGTCAGGCCCTTGCTGAGGCGCGTAAGCCTTGGCTCGGTGCGACCCAGGAGCGTGGTGTTGTCGGTCTCTTCACTGCGAAGAGGAAGATTGAACATGAAGATCCTGCTGCTGCGGGCTCTGATGATCATGTCCAGACTCCGGCGGCTAATACTAGCTCTGTCTGATTTTGTTGGGCATGTTGCAAAGAATACGAACGAGACAAAACTGATACACGAACAATATCTTTTGATTTTTAGGGCTAGTTACACGTTTTGTGTAACGTGTGACAAGGGCCATTGAAGCTGATGAGTGCTCAAGACATGTTATAATGCTTAATCTAAATGATACCTTGGTTAGAGCTTCTTCCTCTTCTTATTATATCGATGTTGTTCATAGTAGTCGAACATTCAAGAATCTTACGGCTTAGATGGCTTCTTTTAAGTTTGTTGACACCACCAACTTTCCTAACCTTGGAAAACCTAAAACTTTATCGAATAAACCAACGACATTCGATTGCTTAATCTCATTACTCAACCCAATCAGACCGACTTGAAACATTGCCAGCTTATAACTCCCACAAAGATCTAACCTAGTCGAACTGTTTACTGTGTATATCACGAGTAAAAGATCAACAAGAACACATCAGATTGCAAGAGTCAAGCTTCCTAGCAGACTTTCGCTATGCAATCTTCAAAGCTAGTTTCTACTTCACTCAAACCCGAGACAATACTATACAACTGTTTGATATACACCTCAACTCTCCCCCTGAATACGTACATCTCCAAACAGCAAACCCACAACAAAACACATCTCCATAAGACAATACGCATCTACCTATGTCTCATACACCCCCTCTAAAACTTAGGCAACAAGCTAGCATGGTGTCCACGGTGTCCGTGGTGAGTGTGGTGCCCAAGGTTTCCATGGTGGGACGAATGACCGAGGTTACCGTGATGCTTGGGAGCACCAGTGCAAGCAGCAAATCCAGGTTCATCGGATGCATCAGCCGCAGGGAAATCGGTGGGCACGGGCATGGCGGAAGGGGCTCCAGAAGCAAAGCCAGAGGGGAAGCCAACGGGGATGCTGGACGGAGTACCGACAGGCAAGACAGGAGCAACTTCAGAGGGATTGGCAGACGAAGCGGTCGACTCTAAGCCTGTATCGGTGCCCACAGAGACAGCTGAGGCAGCTGGGGCAGCGGAAATGGTAGCGGAGGCTGCTGCAGAAACCTCGGGAGAAGCGTCCGAAGCTTCAGATGAGGCGACGGCAGCGACAGCGGAGGAAACTTCGGATGAGGCGTCCGAGGAAGCACCCAGAGTAGCAGTGGAGGCCGCAGGAGCGGCAGATGAGGCAACAGAAGCCACGACGGAAGCGACCTCGGTAGACGCACTGGACGAGGCGTCAGAGGCCTCAGTAGCGACGTTTGAAGAAGCATCGACGGAGGCAGTGGTGGCGGCAGCGGTGGAAGTAGAAGCAGTAGAGGCGGCGGCAGTAGCAGCAACAGTGGCAGATGAGGTAGATGAAGCAGACGAAGCAGATGAAACAGCAGAAGCGGCAACATCCCCAAGACTCAAACAAGCAATGCTCATCTTCTTGGTGGTGGACCCAGAAGCAGAATCATCAACAGCCTGCGACAAATCCCAAGTCATACTAACATAAGGCCAGCATACACGGCCATCAGACATCGTAACCATATCACCAGCAACGTAAACATCCTCACTAGAAATAGCCTCACCAACCTTCGCACCGGTGGAATCAACCTGCTGGAAGAAAGTACCAGCAAAAGTACCTCGACAACCCATAGCAATGAAATCACAGGTCGGGTTAGAAATCTCCTCCCAGGAAACAACAGCATTGGCACTACCAAAGGTAGCAGCATGAGCATTCGAGCAATCATTCGATCCACTCGTCACCCAGTTAACCTGGCTATCACCATCCTCAGTGCCGACAACAGAAGTCGCCTGCGCACCAACCTTGGTATACTTATCAGAGAACAACGAGATCGCAACATTGCGCCCATTAGTGCGGTTCTGCACATTCGTATATCCAGTGCCCATCCACGCGTTCTCCGTCACATCCATAGCACCGCGCGAAACCCACGCGAAGATATAGTTGGTCGTCTCGGCGAAGCGCGCAAGAGCACTGTAACTACCAGACATGCCACCCATAGCCTCACCACCGGCGCCGTTGGTGGTGTTCTCGTTGGAAATCTTGACTCCGTCGTTCATCATACCCTGAGTCTTGGTATTGAGCCAGATGGCACCCTGGTCCTCGGCACAGATACTGGCGAAGGGGGCCGCGTCGGCGGCTTCAAAGGCGATGCCGGTATTGTGGCTGCATCCCCACGAGCTGGATGCTCCCGCGATCGTCACTAGGGTTCCGTTGGTGGAGACGTATTCGATGCTGTCGCCGAAGTGGCCGGAGGCATCGCCGGAGTAGTCGGTTACTACGAAGTAGGCGCCGTAGAGGCCTGCTTCTTCTGAGTAGACGAGGTCGCCGTTCATGTCTGGTGAGGCGGAAAGACCGTCCGCAGCGTGGACGTCTGGTCCACCCAGCCAGGTCTTGAAGGTTTGCTTGCCGCTGGTGTAGCGGTACAGGACGGGGACTGGGGTGTCGCTTGGTGGGGCGTTGGTTGTTCCTGAGGGCATGGCCTCGTTGGTTAGGAGGGCGAAGCCATCGTTATGGGCGACGAGACCGCCGGCTTGGGTGGTGTTAGTTGGTGTGCTTTTCGGGGGGGGGGGGGGGGGGGGGGTTGAGTTAGGGCTAATGCTGCATACCTTCCTTTCCGCCGCTGACAGTGACGGTGGTGCCGGTGGCTGCAAAGGTCTCAGGGTCTAATTGTTGAACGTGGACATCGGTAGCACTGGAATCGAGGTAGGCGATGTATGCGGATTTTCCGTCTGGCGAGACGGAGAATGGGGTACGGCGGTGATGGGGGTACCCGGTCCAGTAGGATGCCTTGACGGGGTTGAAGGAATAATCGAGTGCCAGCACATCGACATTAGACTTGAGGTTGGACGTGAGGAGCGAAGCTGAAGCGCCCAGCGCTGAAAGCAGAGAAAGAACGAAAGTCCCACGCATTTTAGGGTTAGAGTCGGTGGCGCTGCCTGTCGATTTCCTGACTGTTGGTGGGATCTGCAGCCCTTTATATCGCTATAGCTCTATTCAAGAATACACATACGGGGATCAACTCTACTACGCTAGCCGTCACAACACCGGCGGCAGGTGTATACATGGACGGTGTAATTGTCTGGTGTATAGTAAAAGCGGATGGAAAGGGTGCATCATCCGTGCCTAGTGAAACATTGTTTCAACGCCATTAATATGGAACACCCTATTGCTCCACAACTTGGCTAGAATTGGGTGAGACTACCCCTATAAAACCCCCAATTGTCCCTGGTTTTGCTCATTTCGGTGTCTTTTCGGAAGAAAGTGAATAGCAGCGTTCCAATGACGGGGTCTTGTACCGCAGCCCTACATGTAAGCGCAATCAAAGATGAAACCGGAGAATTAGCACCGAATGCCACAGGGTCTTTCATTCTAAGCTCTTGTTTAGAATGCGCTGGAATTAGCCTCGGATCGACCCATTTTAGCTGTTAATATAGAGATAATTAAAGTTAAGGCTTATATCCATATGACCATGGAGCTGGACCTTCTCAGCAGTCATCGAACACTCAAATCTAGAAGATGAATGACAGGCCATGGCGTTCATTAGCCATTGAATATCTCTGCCCCGTTCCAAGGTACTAGAATCTTCATCAGAATGACTTGCCAAGCATCTTAATATGCCCCAGGATGAATTTTCGTACTCCCAACGAGGCCGAGGCCACTTGTAACGTTGATTTGAGACCTAATGAAGCTGGGCTAATATAACCAGACCGCCGACATCTCACGCAACTTATTCAAAACATAGGGGACCAGATTGTATGCCAGACTGAATACAATATGAGCAATTACAAATCAATATCATATATCAGGTTCAAACCAAGTACCGGTCACCAAGGCCAAGTATAAGAAAGCAGGTAGAGACAAGAGGGGGAAAAAAGCAAAACAGCCGTCCAAGTCCGCATCTCAGTACAACCCCAATCGATATCTAAGCAGCGCCAGAACGAGGTCGGAATATAGTCCAGTGTCCTAGTCAGGTATAATAGCAGACCCCTTTCCTTTTTACATCTGCAATGGCATTATATCGTTACCGAATCTCAGCAGCCAAAGGAAGACATATGAAACAAGAAAATTAAATCACCATCCAAATCAAATATCCGTTTTGGGCTCGATTCGCCTCCCTCTCCATGGAGATTGTAAAACAGGCAGACCAATGTCCAAAAAAACAAGTTCAATGTGCAGATCCCGAACCGACCCCCCAAGAAGAAAAGAAGAAAGAAACCTTTGCATATCCGACATGAAAAACACCGAGAAATGACCCACGAGCTTGGAAAATAAGCGCCATTATTCCGACCATTCCACACGGGCACCGGAGCAAAAAAGAAAACAAAGAAGAAAAGAAATGAAAAACCACAAGATGCTGACCCGAGATACGAGGAAAGACATGATATGATTCCCAATCCACAAGCGGACACCATCCGCAAGACACCATACGAGGGAACCCCCAAAACAGCACCCCAGTCCTTTCCCAGAAAACAACCCGAAAACCAAAACACAGAAAGCAAAAACCGGGCCGAGCGCACCTAAAAAAGAACCAGCATCCTTCTGCTGAATGATATGTACCAGACTCGAAATCGAATCCGTATGTCAAATTTCGAAGCAATGAAAGACTTCCGCTTTTGTTCTCACAACGCCACAAGCAAGAAAAATGCCAAGTGCAAAATTGTCAATGCTCACTCGGAAGGCAGGATCGGCTTAACCCCAGACTGACGCCTGGACACCGAGTCCGCTCTTCGAGCCCCAGACTCCGCTGCCGTTGCTCCAGCCAAGGCTGACACCACCAGCCGGGTCCTTGGCTCCGGGTCCAACCGCTGAAGGGACAACCGGGACGGGACCGGCGGACGAGGTACGCTCGGCTGCAGGGCCAGTGGCTGGCTCAGCAGAGGTGAAACCCAGACCTAGCGGAGAAGGAAGCGGGGTAGTCGAACGCTTGTTCAAGGCTGGATTTGGGGGAGGAGCGGTGGTTTGACCGGGGACAGGACGAGAACCGATGGGGCCGACAGAGCCGATGGGGCCCGCAACGGGCTTCGATGGGGCCTGGCGGGAGGAAGACGAGTCGGCCCCAGGCGACGAGGTCGAGGTTACGGGCTGGTCGCCGAAGCCGGCATTGATGGCGGAACTAGGCGAGGAAGTGCTGTTGGCGCGGGAGGGCGACTGCAGAGTTGTGTCAGCGCTAGCGGCGCCAGCCTGGCTCAGGCCGAATGGGTCCACGCCGCGGGGGGATGCGCCGCGTACGCCGGAGGACGGGGTGGCACCACCGGCCTGGCTATCGGGGCGTGCGTTATCATCGGAGAAGGCACCAGGCGGGAAGAAGGCTGGGCTTTCGTTGCCGTACAAGGCGCGGTGCTGGCGGGCGAGGAGCTCACGGCGGCTGTCTTCGCTCCCGGCAGCTGGGCTGGTGGACCGATCGGATTTGCTTGCGGACATTTCGGCGAGGAGGCCTTGAAAGGAAGAAGAAAACGTATTAAAACCCCGTGTTCACAAGAGACAACAAAAAGCCAAACCAAATATATTACACAAGGCCGACAAGATATAGACGAATATGAAAAGAGAAAGCCGACGGGGGAATATAACGAGGCTCAGAGAGAAAAAAAAAGGAGAGAAAATCAGACGCTACCACGTACTTCGGTTGTACTGTTGTTCCTGGTGATAGTTGCGGAGTTCCCTCTCACGCTGTGCTGCCATCCGACGCTTCGCCTGCATCATTTGTTCCACCTCGTTGGGACGACCCTGGTACCGCTGCGAGGCGTAGAAGCCCTGGGCATTGCCGGACGGGGGCATCCGCGAGCCATCGAACTCGCTGATCGAATGGTGTCGCTGGGGGCCACCACCCATGCGAGGGTCTGTCAAAGGACAAGTCAGAAACGCGTTCTGCGTGCCATTTGTACCCGCAACATACCGTAGTCAGGGTAGGGCCGGCCCATCATCATGGGCATTGAGTCCCGTCGAGGAGCATTCCACAGCTTCCCACTCTTGACGAGATTGTCGATCGCCCGATCGACCTCTGTTCCAACGTCAGCCATTGTCCATGATCCAGTCTGGTTTCTGTCGGATTCCGATTCGCACGGTCTCGGGTTCAACCAGATCCAATCAAGAGTGTGTCCATACCATCAAACTGAGACGAAAAGGCCGGGGAATCCTCGCGCTGAGAGACCGAGCTGGATCCTGCGAAACGTTAGTGTGTGTGCCTCTTTTTTTTTTCGACCGCCGAGTTTCACTCCATACCTGACCGGGAGGGAGGCGCCGGTTGCTCCCACGAGACCTGGCGCGCAGCAGGTGCTTGCCAGCCCTGAGGTTCGTAGTACGAAGACATTGTTTCGAGAGAGTCCGTGGAAGGTGTTCAGGGGCAGAACGGGCGCGGAGGCGATCTGTCGAGACGAAAAAATGTGAGTTCCGATCCACAACACGTTTTCCACCCAATGTCCACGTCGAAGAGAGAGACACTGAAGGAAGTTTGGGAGGGGGGAAATCCAGCCAGTTATTGAGAGTGGGAAAAAAAAAAGGCCCGAACTGGACAGACTTTTTCTAATGCGAATCTCTCCAAAACAAAGTCCAGACAAGCATAGATTATCAGGAGTTCAAACTTACTAGGGAAGATGGGGGGGGAGGACCTCTTGAAATTCTACCAGTCAACGAGGCAAAAGAAAGAAGAGAAAAGGAGAGAGGGTCCCTATGGGGGTGGTATTACCTTATAGAGAGGGGAGGAGGGGGTGTGTTTTTTTTTTTTTGAACGATTTTTCTTCTTCTTTTGTTCTAACGAAAAGGAGTCTACATTTTTACTTAAATGTACCACATTGCTTAAGGAGAATTCGTCGTTTTCAGTTGCAATCTTCTGAGGCCTACCAGTGTCACCTTAACGTGTCTATTTGTATTCCTTTTCTTCCTTGTCTTTTCTCGCGGCAATTCCCGGCAGCCCCAAGCAATTTCATTCGTCTAAACGGGCCCCCGGTCACCGGAGATTGGAGTGTCTAAGCGTACGCCCTAACACTTCCATGACTATTCTATTCTTATTCTCTTATTCTCTGATTCTCTGCTCTTCTATTCGGTGTCTGGCTCAATGCAAGGACGCTGCTCCACTTTATTGTGGACATTGGCATTGTGCTGCAGTTGGATATACAGTACATGTACCTAGGTAGTAAGTAATGTTCCGGATAGTCAGCCTCTGGCAGAGAAGACTTAGGTACACATCTGGAATCGGATGACACATTCTAGATCGGATCCAACACGAGCTCTCAACCCCCTCAGAACCGGATCGTGTCTAGCCACTACTGTACGATGATGCTAAACGGCAATAACTCCTGCACGATGCAGTCAGCCTGCCAAGAGTCTCCTCTGGGCGAGGCGAGTATAGTCGCATCGGGGTTGTGATCTGCAAGTAGCATGTACAATCTGGACAAACGCATGAAATCAGTCTACATGGAGCATGCAGGAGCAATAGACGGAAAGCAAGTAATCAGGTAGATCAGGTAGACCAGGTAGACCCGGTAGACCCCCAACCATTCCAACCCACGAATCCTTCAACCTGAGCAATGCAATAGTAACATCCCAGAAATACAGTTCGAAGCGCTATGACCAACCCATCTCGGTCAATTCAGGAGAGGTGGGGGGGTCGTCACTGTATATTATGTCCGCAAGGTCCGCAGCCCTCTGAACAGGATTGGCCACGAAATCCATGTGCATCGCCGGCTGAACAGGCCAGTAAGCAAATGGCACCCCGCAAAGATGTCAAGATGTCCAGATATGGGGGTGGTCGGAGTGAATATGGACAAGGCATCCAAGTAGATCAAGAAGTGGAGGGATATATAGTCAAATCATCGACTCCCCAGCTTCCCCAGTCACCGCGGTCACGGTTCACCAGCACAAAACCCTCCGGGAAATGCGTCGCTAACACGATCCCGAGCTGGCGTCTGGATTTTCTGCGTTACCCTGGGGGTCTCGAGCGTGACAAAGATTCTCCCCCTCGTCATACTGTACTGGTACATGGGACTGGGCTCGGTCCAATCCAATCCCAGTCCTGGTGGCCCTTCCCCACGCGTGCGTGAATCAAAGGCAGTGAGGTCAAGTTTGATCTCCCAGTCACAGGCCATAGCTTTATCACCTTTGCTCGCCTAATGCTTCTCGCTTGAACGTTACAAAGAAGTATGAGAAAGCCTCGTTCGAATGGAGCAACGGCCAATATCCATGAACAAAGGCTCCCAATACCCGAACATGTATGGCTAGACTGGGGAGGCTCATAGACTCTACCTCACAAGGTTCTTGAGTCCCTCGGCTAAAGGGGGATCACATATAACTCATCAGTCAACTTATACGAAGGTTCAACAAAGATCACAAAGGACGAGATAGTGCCTCAGGCCACATTCTGGATTAGGTTATAGTTGGGCACGTGCAAGGACCAGACGATCGCGGGGAGTTGAAGAAAAGGAGAAAGGCAGACAAGAGTTTCATACAACTCTGCCATGACTGATTGGCCACTCCAATAGCAACCGGCTACATGTGTACATGTTGTTTGAATCTTCTCATTTTCGATTCCTTTTCTTCCTCTCAAGTCGGTGTTATCGATAACTCCGTTATGGTACCTGCATGAATGCATAGCTGCAGATATTTAAGTTAAGGAGATAGATAAATATGAGAGACTCAAACAAAGGAAATGAAGCCCCTGAAATACTTTGCATTCAATAGAAAGAGGGAGCTATTCCCCAATAGTGATTCTACTCCGCGACGTTGACCCTATAATGAGCTGGGGATTCTTCGCTGATCTCTGTACGATCCTCTGATCCTCTGATCTCTATGAATTCTACGTTTCCTATCATCCCTATGGTCCTTTGATCTTCGACTTTATTAAATATACTCGATTTATATGTTTGGGTGGCCTTGAGGTGGACGGTCGGCAGTGTCTTTACCGCCGACAGGGGCTGACCTTTGATCATCTTCAACTCTCGAATTCCCCTCCTGGCAACTTCACTTCTCACAGAAGGCTGGTTCCTACACTTTCGCCTACCTGTACACGATTCGGTCGCATTCGCATACGCCTCGCTTGCTCTTGGTCTTTTTTTGGGGGTTCAATTCAAGAAATCTCTCTCACTTTGACGTGACCTTTTTTTCTCTCTTGTCTGATTCTCATCTCCTGGTCGAGGCATTTCCTTTGCTTTTTCTACTTTACGTTACTCGTTCCTTGTTTCGCCTGTTCCGGTCGAGTGCCGAATTCGAGTCGTCTTGCGACGGGGTCGAGATTGATTATCCCGTTGTCTCACACATCCCACGAAATCCCTCGTGTCAAACCACGTACCTCCTCGCCTTGTCCCCGAAACAAAAACGAGCCCTCACTGAATTCAGATACTGGTGACAGGGGTCAACCGAGTCAGCGTGAACAGCGAGGGGTTTATATTGTGCGAGTTGGTGTGCGGGTGTGGACACTCTCTTATCGATTTGCCGAGCCCGAACAGAAGGAACGCAACGCACAAGGACCGGCGAGGCTAGCTTTGGGGGGAATTACTTTATGGTCGCACACATCGATGGGAATGCGAATCGTTCCCACCACGGTGACGTCCCACCGATAACGGGTCAGCCCTCCACGATGTCATGGACGTCGCAAACCAACGGGCCTGAGATTGAAGCCGCTCGCCCTCCGTTGACTTCGCACCAATCGAACTCCCTTCCCTCTACCCCATATCAACATGCGCGCAAACTCACCTTACACTCTCGGTCGCCGTCCCCCGTCCGCGGAAGCACCTCCCCTCGATCCACACACTCCGAAGCAACACATCTACCCCTCTCTGCGCGGCAACCCCTCGGCCGATGTAAATATGAGACTGCCATGTCTGCATATCGACGACGGATGCCGTATAGTCTGGGTGCAGATGTATTACCAGAGCAGAAGGAAGGGTTGAAGGAACGCTTGGAGCCGAAGGAGGAGAAAAAATTGACCACAGATATTATGGACCTCTACGATCGATTATTACCTTCTGCCGAGAGTGATGACCGAAGGCGACAACTAGTTCGGAAGTTGGAGAAGCTTTTCAATGAGCAGTGGCCTGGTCATGAGATCAAGGCAAATATTTTTGGCTCGTCCGGGAACAAACTCTGTTCTAGTGACTCGGATGGTAGGTGTGGGACTCGAACTTGGAAGAAAAAACATACTAATTTGCGCAGTGGATATTTGTATCACGACGAATTTCAAGGCTCTGGACCAGGTGTGTCTGCTGGCGGCAGTGTTGGCCGATCGTAAGAGCCCCATTGACATCTGACTATCCCGTGCATAGACTGACTTGGATAGACGGAATGGAACGTGTTGTCTGTGTGTCACATGCAAAGGTCCCTATTGTCAAAATTTGGGATCCTGAGCTGCGGCTGGCCTGTGACATGAATGTGAATAATACCCTTGCGCTAGAAAACACTCGCATGATTCGAACATACGTCGAAGTGGATGATCGAGTACGGCCATTGGCAATGTGTGTGAAATATTGGACGAAACGACGAGTTCTCAATGATGCTGGTGAGTAGTGTGCAGCTACCGCTCTGGGATGTTGACCTTGATACTAACTGCGTGTAGGACTCGGCGGCACCTTGAGCTCATACACCTGGATCTGTTTGATCATTAACTTTTTACAAACACGAGAGCCTCCAATTCTCCCAAGTTTGCAAGCTCGTCCTCACAATAAGAAAATCACGCCTGATGGGTTACTGTGTTCCTTTGATGACAATCTCGACATACTGTCTCAATTTGGTCGGAAGAATCACCAATCCGTTGGAGAGTTACTGTTTGAATTCTTCCGATATTATGGGCATGAATTGGACTTTGAAACTAACGTCATCTCCGTGCGAGAAGGCAAATTGGTTAATAAGGATGCCAAAAATTGGCACATAGGCATGAACAACCGTCTCTGCGTGGAGGAACCCTTCAACACGTCAAGAAACCTGGGCAATACCGCCGACGATACATCGTTCCGTGGACTACACTTGGAATTACGCCGGGCTTTCAAATCTGTTGCCAAGGGGGATCTGGCAGAGTGCTGTGAGCAGTTCGAGTTTCCACAAGAAGAGGAGCGGACATGGGAACGACCACCACCTCAACCTCGGCCAACTCTTACTCCTTCACTCCCGTCACGAGGTGGGCGAGGTGGTAGTCGTGGCGGCAGATTCGGCAATCAGACCTCGAGAGGTGGACTTGGTGGACGTCGGACGTCAAACACCGGGAACAAGGCAAACTTCCGGCAACCCAACACCGGCAATGTGCCAGATATCTCACTTCAAGCACAACAGCAGGCCCAATATCTTTTGCATGATCAACTTTATCAGCAAATCCAGCTTCTGCAGGCGCAGGAGCAGGAATTGCGGATGCAGCTACACAACCAAGCATTGGTCACCGGAAGGCCGCCACCAGTATTCATTCGACAGCCTTTCATTCAGTTCCCAGTGCCACAACAGCAAGAGTTTGGCGATGATAGCACACGGTCACGCTCAGGGACAGGGACGGCTAGTCAATCAACACTTAGCCCAACGCAACGACAACAAACATTCTACAGCCCTAGCTATGCTGCAGTTGGTGCCGCTGGCACACAAGGCAGCACCACAAACCCTCCCTCGCCGTCGGCTGCTTCTGCTCTGCCTGATCTTGGTCGTAACACTCGTCGTGAATCTGTTGTCAATGGATCCCCAAAGTCTCTTCGAGCCCATTCGCAGCCTGCACGCCCTCAAAACTCACCCTCGCTTCCCACCTACGTCCCAGTCTATACCATCCCACAACCAGTGGAGGGCTGGCCTAAGCACCAGCCGGCTCCTGAATCATCAGAGGGCGGGGAAGGCAGCGGAGATGAGCACGCTATTCGATCAAATAGCCTTGCCAGCAATGGATCGCGTTCAGATTCGGTTGATGAGAACCGACAGCAAGAAGTTTTGAGTTATTACATGACTCCTCAACAACTGCAAGCATACCAGCAAGGTTCCATGATGTCACCGATTTCCGCGCAAATGGGCTTGCAGATCCCCAATGGCTATTCCTATGTTCCTGTTCAGCAAGAGTACCGGCAAGGGTCGTTCTCATCAGGTACTGCTCGTTCTGACCAGAACTCGGCCCCAAAGTCTTCATCGCAGCCGGCCAAGTCTCCTTCGCGGCCGATTGTTGCCGGTCCATTGATTGTCGATGGCTCAGTCCCTCCAAGCGAATCCCGCTCATCATATGCGTCGGAATTTGTTGATCCCTATTCTGCTATCAGCCACTACACTTCAACCTCAGATGACCACAACATGAACACTCCTGCCAGTTTTTCAGACTCCTTGTCTCAGGATTATCAGGATTCGGGGTCGTTTGATGATATAGAGCATTCTACCGTTCTCAACCGGCCGTCCATTGAGACCCAGCAGGTGAACGGTGTGAACGGCGTGAACGGCGTGAACGGCGTGAATGGAGTCAATGGCGTGAACGGCGAAAGGACAGACACAAATGGTCGGCCTGAGCTTCTCTCCGATCGGTTGCAGAACTACTATTCGTCAGCCGCCAAGCTGTCTCAACAGACTGCAAAGACAAGTCCGGAGAGACCAAAGAATGGCACAGCACAGAGTACAAGCAAGGACTCTCAGCCTCGCAACACAGGCTCGGGTGACAAACCTGCCTCTGGATCAAATGAAAACCGGCATCAAACACCCAACTCAAAGCGTCGAACGAATGGCGACACATCTGACAAGACAAACGGCGTCAATGGTAAAACCAAGCCCAAAGGCCGTCACGATGCGCCTCATCACAACCCCCAGGGTTCGAAGGACCGACACGGGGATCACCCTCCCCGAAAGACTGGCGGCCATACCAACGGCACGAACGACACGAACCACGGCGGCTGGCAAACCACTAAGAAGAAAAACCGCAAAAACACCAAATCAACTAGCGACTCTCGACATGGGATCCACGGGGGTCCAGAGTCCCTTCCAGCAGACGAATCCCTGCGAAAAGGCGGCTGAACTGCAGAGCCTGCTATGTACGATTCCTTGCTCGTTCCGTTACCCTATACCCAAACCAAACACAAAACACAAATCCCATCAACAGCAGGTAGCAAGTCAACCATCCGGTCTACTTGCCCAACTTGCTATCCCCCCCACCAGCATACCATCTCGGCAGATCGATTGACAAATTGACCCTCAATCTCTCCGAAAATACAGAAACGTTCCATCCCTCTCCTTCCCAATTGAAGGACTGTACCAAAGTAACAAGGGGGAAATACCATATGCATGCATTCATCATTGTCATCGCAATTGTCATTTTTCATCATCATCATCGTCATCAGGGAGAAAGAAAAAGAAAAAGAGGGTGGCCGGTACGCCTCATATGCATCGCGACGAATTACTTCATTTTCCCAAGCTGTTTGGAGTTTTCTTTTTTGTGTTTTATTAGGTTAGGTTAGATCCAGGGCTTCTTTTTGTGTGTGCGTCAGTCTGTTTGCTTGTCTGTGTCTGTGTCTGTCTGTCTCTGTGTGTCTGATTGTGTTGCCATTTCTTCCCTTTTCTTTTTTTTTTTTTTTTTTCGGTCCTGGTTCTGTATAAAAGAGATTAACTGCCCTTGTTGCCAATGAAGAAAACAAACCAAAATTTTCGAAATCTTGCTTCCTTTCTCTCTGCTGTTTGCTTTGTCTTTTGACGTTTGGATGGGGGTTGTTCCAAGTTAGTAGGTACGTAGAACGTATATTGGGGGGAGAGGGGGATAGCACATTCTCTTTATAACCCTCTCATTCCCGCGTATTTGCTCCCTTTCTTTTGTCCGTTATTGCGCCATGCAGATGATCGTTGCCGTCATGGCTTTTCCCTTGCCGGCTCGTGTGACGGTTGGGTTGGTTTGTGTTTGGGATTGTGCATTTTACATGCAGGCTGCATTCTTGGGTTGCTTTGAGGGCTTTTTTTACTGCCTAGGTTGGTTTGTATGTGCATATCCGATGAGCGGGTGTCTACAGTACAATAGGGGTTCTAGGGTCTCTTGGGTTGGTCTGATACGAGGGTGGTAGGTTATGCTTGGGGAGGTTTACTGCGTCTTTTTCAATGGTAATACTGGGATCAAAGGGTTGATCGAGAGAGTCTGTTCGGAATATATTGATATTGCACCATCTATTATTAAGATGACGGTGTGTGTGTGGCATATATGGTGATATAGTACAGAGTATGCAGGTGTGTCAAGTGTAGCACAGGTCTCGCAGTGTATCAGAAGTTAAAATACAAAGATTAAATCACGTAAATGCGTTTGTCGAAGAGGGCTGGAAGAGGGCTGGAAGATGAAGACGAAGACCCAATCCCAGGAAGAATCAACAAATATGTTCATCAGAAAGGGAACGAAGCAAAACAAAGAAAGGGGAGAGAGAAGAAAAAGCTGGGAAAGGGCCTCCTATGCAACGCTTTTAGGACAACAAAGTAAGGTCAATACCAAATTTCAGTCCAGATGTATGGGAAAATCACGATGCAGGCCGTGTACAAGATCATAAAAGCGTTGTATGGGAATAGGACGATCTGGGTCAAAGGGGTTTCAGTCAAGAGGACCCAAATGGAGAGGAACGCAACGGAGAAGAAGTGGGAGACGAGGATGAGAGGCTTTTTGATGAGACCTGCCAATAGCCCGACGGGACCTCCAACAGGCCCAACCTGGAAGTAGCGGAAACAGCCACGCTGAAGAGCTCTCAAGCTTGGATCATCGGCAGCGAAGAGCGAGTATAAGGCCTGTGCGAGGATATTGATGACAGAGGAAGACTTCTTTCGTGCATAATGGAATTTGGCAAGTTGCTTGAGAACGAGATCTGTATCGGAAAAGCTGGGCACCTTCTCTGGGCTCAGCAACTCGCGAATGACACAGACATCGTTGAATGCTACTGTCATTCCTCCTCCCGTCAATGGGTGCCGCATATTAAGTGCATCACCCAGAATCATCAATCCAGGTGTTTTGTTCGTCGACGCGGGTAGGAACGAGTTCGGCATTGACCGTAGCTGGCCGGTCTCTAACGCATCCGAAAACGACGCCTGCGTGCCCTCTGGAAGCCTAGGCAAAATGGTGTTCTTCATATAGCCCTTAACACCACCATTCTTCACCGACGCACCAGGGTGATTATCCGGGACATCCACAAGGATTCGAGTTTCGCGTGTGCCAATCTGGTACATGAGCACAGGCGGGCTATCGCTGAGAAGGACGTGACCGGTATTAGGCGCGGGAAGCTTAGTATCAATAAGCTCCAGCCCGTAGAATTTCGAACGACGCTTGGGCGTGTATTTGTGGTGCGTTTTGCGGAAATCGGAGTTGTAGCCGTCGGCGGCCACGGTGAGCTGGCCAAAGTAGCAATCCTTCAGGTCCTTGGTAACACACTCCACACCCAGAACCTCGTTTGTATGCGAAGATGTAACTAGTCCGGTCACCTTGGTTTCGACAACAGTGACATTTGGACAGCTCATGGCCGCCTGTCGGAGCTTCATCACGAATCGTCCATGGTGGAAAGCCCGTCCCAGCGGTGCCGGTGCTGACGCTGTGGACTTGGGATACTCGATCATAACCGGTTCGCCAAAGTATGAGATCCAGTATCCCTTCACGTCGATTCCGTCAATGTCGTCGAGGCAGTCGCGTAACCCTAGTTTGTCCAATGCTTGAACGCCTCCCGGTTGGAGCAGTTCACCCACAATGCGATTGGGCTCTTCCAAGGATTTTTCGAGTAGAATAACACTTCGGCCTTGCTTTCCTAGTGCGAAAGCTAGTGCGCAACCAAGAATTCCGGCACCGACGATCACAACGTCGGCTTCATGGTGTTCGATGCGGCGTTGAGCGGCTTGGGAGTGGACGGCATGGCCGTTGAGAGATGTCATGGTGGAGGAGAAAGAGGTAGAATGGTCAGAACGAGAACTGCAAGACCATTCTCAACCGGAACAATTAATTATAGAAGAGTATTGGTTATGGTCTGATGTTGAGAAAGGGGAAGGGTGGCGTGACATGTGAAAGTCTGCTCTCTCCGCCTTCTGAATTCTACGCTGCACGAGACATCACGGGAACTGTATAGATCTCGTTGCTTCATGCTGGATTGTCTTCTTTACTATGCTTGATATGATACATGTATTTGTACAGCTATATTATATATATACATCACTTCCCTGGCACGTAATATCGATCCCAGGTTTCGGCTTTGTAGGCAGGGTAGTCATGCTCTTCCGCTGCCATAGAATGACAATTGGAGAGGTTGTGCTCCGCCCACCACTTGGTCTGCTCGGCAGTAGTAAAATTCTTGCGTTTCAGTAGCAAGTCCAGCTCCCACTCTTCGTCAAATTCCACGATCAGATCCTTGAGAGGGAGAGTAGGCAGGGAAGGATCTTCCTTCTTGGGCGGAGTGCGCCGGGAGCGCCTTGCCTTTTTCGACGTTGAGTCAACGCTGAGGTTTACCCACTGCGCGTCACCGCAAGACTTGGATTTGAGAGCCTGAACGGCGTCCTTGATTGTACGGAGTTGCATCTTGGTACTCCCAGGAGCATCGGCCAGGGCCGCATCCAATGAAATCATCTGGGACAGAGCTTCAGCGACAAATTCAGACTTGATCGCCTCTTGTCGTGAAAGGACTGTTAATATACACCACCAGACCCCCTTAAGGTTGCCCAGTCTGGCATAAGCTCGTAGGAGTAGCTTCAGCAGCACCTGGTCAAACCCATGAGAAATCCTCCAGCGAGATTGGTAAATGGTTGTGAGAAGGTCGACAACAATTTCTGGTGCTCCAACTTTCAGGAGGTAATGACTGTAAGAAGCTGCACATAAGTGCTTTACAGTCATACCTGGGGTATTGTTGCAAATTGTGTAATATTCGAAAATGGCCATCTTGATCAATCCCGCTTGTCCCATAGCGCCTGGGTCAACACGCGAAATGCGCTGGAAGAATATCGGGAGCCATGGTGTGAAGCGCTTGTTGTGACGAAGTGTTGGAACCTGCTTCCAGTAAACCCATTCGGACGTTATCATGTCTCGCGCGTTGTTGACGCCATTTCTGCGGTCAGCGAGAATTGAGGCAATCACGGCTAAAGTTATATGGTGAGGTCTGACAACGTGACCACCATCGGTGGCTTTTTGATACACCTCCAATGCATCAGAGGGCCGGCCAACGTTGAGATAGTGCTCCATGTGCTTGTGGAGCGGAACGTGCCAACTGGCATTTTTGGAGTTCGCCATTTTTTTCAATGTCTCAGAATAGGTTTCCTCAGCGGGTGCGTGAATTGGCAATATCTTTTCTCCTCGCACTGCCCAGGCTTCAGAGCTATCACCAAGGATGCGTCGAGAAGAAGACGAAGCCGCTTGTCGATCCTTGGCTGCTTGAATCATTCGCCAAATTCCTACCGGGCTATTGGTCATTGCGACCCTTCTCGTTTTTAGAATCTCGAGAATCTGTTTATCACCAATGCCGGTGTTCCATTGACGCTGGGTGGCCATCTCCACGATGGCTTCGAGCATTTCTTGACTGCCTTTCTCGACAACTGCTTCAATGATGTGCCGATGAAGGACCCGGTCAGGTACAATTTCGAATTCATTGATGCATGAGACGAGCAAGTCAAACGTTTGTTTGCCTGTGTGAGTTGGATAGTATTCAAGCAAGACACGGTCAAAGACGAGAGCAAAGTCCTTCTTTTGCTTTGTAAATCCTGCATCGTGCATGGCATGGAGCCCATCCATAACTCGATCCCAATTACAATCGAGCGCCCTGCTATAGATGATCAAACCAATGGTACGGGACCCAGGTTGCACGTCATACGTGGATGGCATATCTTTGACCATTGCCTCGGCCATTTCAGAACGACCCGATTCGACCAGGGCTTTGACCATCGGGTTGAACAGCTTTTCGGTCGGCTTTCGCCCAAGGCCTCGAAGACTGTCGAGGATCCTGGTGAATTCCCCGTTGAGTAATTCAATACTCCTAGTCTTCCTCCATAGTCCATCGAGGTAGGCTCCGCACAAGCCGCAGTTATAGTCATCTTTGAAACGCAGGTGAAATAGGTGTTTGGCCTCATCCAATCGCTTGGACTCAATTAGGCACCGGAGAATGACCTCCAGCAAATGAGTAGGAACAACAAATTTGGAACAAAATTTCTCATAGAGTACACCGACAGAATCGATATGGCCCTCTTTCGCGAGTAAATGCATCAAGGTGGCCCACATCTCTTCGGAGACAATACTGATATCATTGAGTCGATTGAAGATAGTTCGGGCAATGAATATATTTCCTTTCATGCAGTTTGCGGTAAAGATGTGACACGCAAGTTGTCTCCGCTCCCATGAGATGTCATTCGGGGGAGTGACGGCCGCCAAAAACAAGTTCGCGGCAGTAATCTCCCGATCCTCATTCAGCAATCGACGAAGCTCGGCATCCAAAGGAGGTTTGCCTTTTAACATAGATTGTTCCGCTTGGAGAGCCTCAATGGCCAGAATTTCGAGATTCCGAGCTAAGCTGGGTCCTTCCAGCTTCCTTTTGCTTTGGAACATGGCCGGGTCATCACTCCACCACTTTTTCTGGCGAATATGTGATTTCTCCAATGTAATCAAAGGCTTGGGTTTGGGATATGGATCGCGTTTTGTTGGGGAAGTGTTCGATTTTGGGTCTTCGGGACCGCGGGTAGGTTTCTGTTTGTTGGTCTTGAGGGATTCAATTCCCATGAATTCTCCTGCTTCTGCAGCTTCTACCATCACTGCAAGACGTCTTGCGGCAGAGGTTGCATCGTAATTAGGTGCGGTTGTGTGTAATGTTCGTTTGTTTTCCACAATTTTCTCGGCGATGCGGACTCGGCGATGCACATCGTACGTCAAGACTGCTACAGCGCAGAAGCCGCCGACTGTTGAACCGGCCAATGCCAATTGGCGTAGAACTCGAAGGGCATTTCGAGAGGGCACGAGAGCAGAGGGTTTGGAGTGAGGAAGCATAGTGAGAATGCTGGGCGCGGGTTGCGCGCATAGATCAACAGCGGTGCATGGGCGGACTTCGAAAACTGTAGTCAAAGAAATAATAGCGGAAGAGGTAGAGCCCAAAACAACCAAAAGGAAGCACGATGGTGGTTGGGGCAATTGAAGCTGAGTGAACGACAGGGTAAAGTCGGAGCTGCTGCTTTTTTCCGCAACCCAACTTGCGCTTCAAGTCTTTACCGCCCGCCGGAGTCTCATCGTACGATCTATAAGTTACAACCACGGTGTTTTATGAAAGGATTGCTTGATGTTGAATATTTCCGATTGATTTTTTACGCTGGGTTTATATTTAGTGAAAATCTCCTTCTGCGTCTATTCGAAATTATACCGCAATATTATACTCTACCTCAAAAGAGCGTCGTCTTCGTCATCACCGTCTTCATTTGCTTCAGCTCTTATATCTGCGGTGTCAAAGTCGGGTTTGTCGAGAGTGACTAGTAACTCATTTAGCTTTTATCCTTTTTCAATAAGAGAATCAACATACCATGGGGCCTGACAAACAGACTTGCGATAAGCGCGACTCCGAAAATGCCCGCAAGGAGCACGAAGACTGCCTGGGGCATCGTTGCGACAGTCACGCTGTAGATTAGATTAAAAATAGTCGGCGCAACAATGCGAGCAAGGGCATGCAGGAGGCCAGTAGCACCAAGCATTTGTCCAATCCGTTCATGGGGCACGTGCTTGGTGAGCGATGATTGCAGAATGGCTGATCCCATGCCACCAAGCGAGGCGACTACACCAGAGAGGATCATTACGGATGGATGTTTGGACAGGGCAAACCCAACAAAGCCCAACACGTCGAACACAACTGAAATGCGGATGAGAACAACGTCCAGCATATCAGAGCCTCGGATACTCCCGTCATTCTTGACTGGAGTGCGGAAGAAACGCGAAACCAACGGGAGCACCACGAACAGGTTGATCACACGCGAAGCGTTGATGATCGCAATAAAGATACTGGATTCCACGTTGCCCCAGTTGAACATGTACTCGGCATAGATAATGATGATTTGAGCAATGCCCATTGCGATTCCGAAAATGATAGTGTCGATTACTGCCAACAACACAATGTTTCGCCGCAGGGCCGGGCTAGCCCCTCGTCGATTGGTAAACAAGGCACTCGGTCGTCCGACTGCCGGTAGAAGGATGGCAAGAGGCGTGATCAAGTTCATCGGGTTCCAGATACGCCACGAGTACCACCTCGGGGCATCAACATCCACCGGTTTCAGTCGATGCTTTTCGCGAGCCGCGAGCTGTCGCTCCTGAGACAAGGATTCAGGAACGACAAATAGGACTGATACGCAGAACAAAGCATGTAACGCAAGTGCAATGTAGAATATGGGCGTAACTCCGGCATATTTGATGATAAACGCAGCAGCACCAGGTCCAATCGCGATTCCAAAGAACAAAGTGCCGTGGAAGAAACCAAATGCAACGCTTCGCTTCTCGACTGGCGTACAATCCGAGGCATAAGAATGGCACAAAGCCTGGGCGGTTGTAAATGAGCCGCCGAAACCATCCAGCATGGCTCCAACGAGAAGCCAGTTGACTGACATCTGCTCAGGCCAGGTAGCCACAATCGCAGTGATAACTTCATTAAGCACCGCTCCCATAGCACCTATCGCGATCATCTTGGTTCTTCCATATCGATCGGATAGATGGCCGAATCTGGGACTGGCTAATGCTGATAGTATACCCGCGACGAGGTTGAGATACAGCTGGAATTGCGCAACTAGTGATTGAACTTGCGGGATATGACATTGGCGATTGTCCTCGCCAAATACTACAGGGAGGAAAGTAAATCCAGGGTCCTGGTTTGACTTTTCTGCCAAGTAATCTCGACAAATCAGCGACATGATCAGGTTTATTCTGGGCACGGCCATTCCGCCCAGGCCCAGCGTGAACAGTAGGCTGAATGGGAGCAGCCACCAAATCTGCCGTCACTTTGATCAGACTAATGCACTCAAGGATTTAGGGATTTTCGTAACTACTTACGCTGGGTCTCCTCCATCGAGGTCGTTCATCTTGGATGTGTTCTGGTGAGGATTCCCCGGGCGCCGAGGACGATAAGAGCGCGTCTGTCTCTGGCGGAGTCGTATGAGCTGCCCGCGCATCAAGCTCGGGCTCACTCGCAAAGAGCTGCTCGTTCTCCATGCTCAAGGTGAGATGAAAGGATAAGAACCAAGTTCCCAACTGAGGAAGTTCCAGGATACCCTAGGTAGGGTGTCTGGAATGATTGGTAATCTTGGGAGAGGGGAAACAGGGCTTTTCCAGCGTTATCAATTACGACAGACAGACCAACACCTTCGTCAATGGTGCCGAAATTCCCCCAAACCATACAGCAGTCGACTAAAATCAGCCACAAAACATAAGGAGACACGGGTCAGTTAGTCAACAATTGTCATATTTTGAAGAAATATAGAGCTAGAAATACATTATGCTGTACAGTATAACCGAAATGTTGTCACCAAACAACGCCTCCCAAAACCTAGTGTGTATACACATGCACCTGAAATACACCTCAATTTAACCCACGAGTTGAGATGATGCAGAAGGCCCCGCTTACAACACCATACTAGCGTTGTCCTTGCCAGCGAAGAATTGCTTCTGGCCTAGGCAGCGCTCGCTCTTGCAGCCCTGGCAACGAAGAGTCATCTGGCGAGAACAAGGCTCTCCCTTTTTAAGATGTTCGTGGGCAATATCAGCAAGTGCCTGGATAAAGACCGGGTTACCATTCAAGCTTTCTGCGCGCTTGACGCCGGGGCTGTTGGCTTCGTGGATAACCTCCAAATCCAATTCGTACAAAGTTTCGATGTGGTCACTAGTGAACGCAATAGGGACCAGAACCAAATCAGTAATTCCCTTCTTCACGTATTCTTGCACGGTATCACTCGTCTGGGCTCCCAGCCAGGCCGAGGGGCCGACCTGGGACTGCCAGCACAGGCGGTAAGGGTTGCTGAAGTTGAGTCGTTGCATAACAGCGTGGACTGTCGCGGCAACCTCGGCAGGATACGGATCACCTATAAGACTTAGCATAATTCTCTTGAAAGTGAGGAGTTGTCTTACCTCGGTTAACAACACTCATAGGCAAGCTGTGGGCCGAGAATAGCAACACAACCTTGTCACGCTTCTCTTCTGGGTATGTAGCAAGTTGAGCCTCAATGTTCTGCGCAAAAGCCTCGACGAGACCCGAGTGAGAAGGCCAGCGGTCAATTACACTCCACTCAATTGCGCCGGCGGGGTCGGCTTCTCCGTTTGCGCGCTTGCCCTCCAGGCGATTGCGCCACTTCCACAATTCATTGAGCGAGCTGCCTGTCGTCGAACAAGAATACTGGGGGTATTGTGTAAAAGCGACAGCACGTCCTCCTTTTCCGTTTCCAAATCCATCGGCAAACAGTTGTTCGTACATCGTCTCGGTTAATGGAGCGGCATAGCGGAATGCCACGTAGGGCTTGTGCGGTGCGGTTTCCGGAGAAATCTTATCCAAAATCTTGCACATCTCTGCGCACTGGTACTCGGACCATTTGCGAATGGGCGAGCCGCCGCCGATGTCCGCGTACTGCTTTTGGATCTTTGGGGTTCTCCGGCGGGCGATGAGAGGTCCGATATACGACTGGAGCCTTCCGAGGGGAATTAAGTCTCCATCGGCCTGGACAAAAATTGTGTTAGTAATTGAACCAGATGTCAACAGCGCAGGTAGTCCTCGGTACATACGAATAGTCTGCTCAAGAAGTCCTCCACCTCGTTTGTTGTTGAGGGTCCACCCATGTTCATGAACACCATCGCAGTCGGGCCCTTAGATCCAGTTGCATCCTGTGTGACAGGCGGGACCACTGTTGCAAGTCCTCGCTGCTTGGCCAAACATGACAATCGACTGGCAATGGCTGGCCGCGGTCCGACTGAGGTGACATTCGACAATAACCGTCGGGGCGTCGCGAAGGGGGCTCGGAACGCCATGGCTGGATCGGAGCTGATTAAATAAGATAAAGACTTTCAACGCTATACACGTTGGGTAGAAATTGAGGGAATGAACACAGTCGACCGATCGATCGATGCCTCGGAGCTAATGTTCCCGGTTTGATTAAGTTTCCCATCGGCCAATCATTGCCCGCGGGACGTCAGCAGCTCCAGGCAGCTCCAGGCATCAGCATCACATGACCTTCGTGTTCATAGAGCGCGTCTCGAGAGATATTGAACGTGATATTTGACACCTTTTCATTCTTCTGCTGCTTCATTCGGAATCATGGCAAGCGAGAATTACACGCGTGAGGAGGAGGATTTTGAGGATGAGGAGCTTGATGAAACTGTGAGTACTCAAGTCGAAGATATAGTGGCCTTCTATTTACGTTACGTGACCAGAGCTTCAAATCAGTCAAAGATGCTGTTCTCTTTGTCATAGACATCAGTAGCTCAATGCTAAAACCTCGAGAATCTTCTGATGCTAAGAAACCCGTCAAGGAATCACCAGCATCTGCCGCCTTGAAGTGTGCATACCATCTGATGCAACAGCGCATTCTCTCCAACCCTCATGATATGATCGGCGTCTTACTTTATGGCACACAGTCATCCAAATTCTATCATGAAGATGAAGATAGTCGTGGAGATCTCTCATATCCACACTGTTATCTCTACACGGACCTGGATGTCCCATCAGCCCAAGAAGTCAAGGAACTACGATCTCTAGCCGAGAAGGACGAGGCAGCAGTAGGAATATTGAAGCCATCAAGTGAGCCGGTCTCGATGGCCAATGTGCTTTTCTGCGCGAATCAAATCTTTACTTCCAAGGCTCCAAACTTCCTGTCTCGGCGATTGTTTGTCGTGACCGACAATGATAATCCACATGCAGACAATAAAGCACTGCGATCAGCTGCAACTGTTCGAGCGAGAGACTTGTATGACCTGGGTGTTAACATTGAGCTTTTCCCCATCTCTCAACCAGATCACGAATTCGACACCTCTAAGTTCTACGATGTATGTTGGTCAGCCCATTCATCTGGTATTCTACTAACAAATGGAAGGACATTATTTACAAAACTTCTCCAAATGATGGCGATGCTCCGATATACTTGAAACCGGATACCAACGAGTCTACGGCCAAAGGTGACGGACTTTCACTGCTCAATTCTCTCTTATCCAGCATCAATTCGAGATCGGTTCCCCGGCGTTCTCTGTTTTCAAACGTGCCACTGGAGCTCGGTCCTGATCTTCAAATATCAGTTAATGGATACCTGCTTCTCAAAAAGCAGGAGCCCGCACGGAATTGTTTCGTTTGGCAGGGTGGCGAGACTCCTCAAATCGCCAAAGGAGTCACCACTCTGATGGCCGATGACACAGCACACACGGTCGAGAAAGAGGACATCAGAAAGGCCTACAAGTTCGGCGGCGAACAAGTCTCATTCACAACCGAAGAACAGCAAGCATTGAAACACTTCGGTAACCCCGTAATCCGAATTATTGGCTTCAAGTCACTGTCCGCGCTGCCAATCTGGGCTAACGTCAAGCACCCCTCGTTCATCTATCCCTCGGAAGAAGACTACGTAGGCTCAACTCGAGTCTTCTCTGCATTACAGCAAAAACTCTTGGAGGCCGAGAAAATGGCATTGGTCTGGTTCATTCCTCGCAGGAATGCGTCGCCAGTCTTGGCTGCCATGGTAGCTGGAGTTGAGAAAATCGATGAGAATGGAGTGCAGAAAATCCCACCGGGCATGTGGATTATCCCTCTTCCCTTTGCGGACGATGTTCGCGAAAATCCGGAGGCGACCCTGAACAAGGCACCGGATACACTGATTGATTCCATGCGGGAAGTGATTCAGCAACTGCAGCTTCCAAAGGCTGTGTATGATCCTTCAAAGTACCCCAATCCTTGTAAGTTATGTCATATCCCTCTCCTATACTCAAAGATGAGTCTGACTCGGAGAAGCACTTCAATGGCATTATCGCATTCTACAAGCTCTTGCCTTGGAAGAAGACATGCCCGAAAGCGCAGAAGATAAGACCATTCCCAAGTATCGACAGATAAACAAGGTAAGTCGTCTCAAATTAGCAATCTCGAACCATACCAATTATGTATCTTCTTCACAGCGCGCTGGCGAGTATGTCCTTGCATGGGCCGAGGAACTGAAGGCCCAATCAGCCAAAATATTTGGTGGGACCGCAGCTACAAAAACCACTCTTGTGAAACGAGGCGCAAAGGAAGAAAACGCCGAGAGCCATCCCTCAAAACGGGTAAAGGTCGAGAGTGGTGCTATTGATGTGGACGGCGATGTCAAACGAGCCTCGGAAAAGGGCGCTGTATCCAAGGTGAGTGATATAACCGAACGAGCAGGATTTCAATGTGGCTGACATGTTTACAGTTGACCGTGGCTACGCTGAAGGAGTTCTTGAATGCTCACGGCCGTGCTACAGCTGGCAAGAAGGCAGATCTGGTGGAGCGGGTTGAGCAGTACTTTGAACAGAAGTCCTAATCATTAGCTGTCTTTCTGATGGGAGGTAGCTGAGTTTAATGCATTATGACTGTATCCTACTTTTTTTTTACGATTCTCATTGTAGTCCCTTTTCGGTCAGTTCCTTTGTATCATGGAGGATCCAATGTCAGATTTCTCTTCAGAGGCACCTGTATGGTCCTCTTTTGTCAAAATTATTCACATTGCATCTCTATAGGAATAAAAGAACAGCGGTCTCTAGCGATGAGAAGCACACTTTCTATCGTATAGGGGGACTTGCCCTCGGCGCTGAAACGCAAATGAATCTCTAACCCAAGCAACACAAACTCCAAAATGTATACAACAAAACGAGCGAACGAACTCCAAGCCATGGGACAGCTGTGCTGTCAGCAAATGCATATCGAAAAAGGGCATGTACAAGCCGCGCGACATGAAACGTATCGGCACGGTTCCCAGAATATGTTCAACGTAGCCCAGTCATGAGGCTGAGGCTGCAGTAAATGGTCAGACCAAATGAGCGAGTTAACACCTCCCGTAGACCTGGCATTGGCATAGCTGTTCATCGGGGCAACTGTAGAGCGTTAGCGATTGGCTCCATAACATGAAATAATGCTCGTGCTACTTACTAGACGCTTTCCATGCCAAAGATAATATGCCACAAGAACTCCATCACCCTACCCGAGGATGCATCATTCAATTCCGTGTCGAGAATCCATTGCCGGATCTTGACATAGTCATTCAGCGGTCGCTTCTGCACCTGGTCGCGGGAAACGGCAAACTGCGCACAGCATGCCGCACCAATCTCATCAGGCTTGCGAATGTATTTCTGACCACTGTATTCCATTTCTGAAGGCGAGGACATGTTCAACGGAGGCGTACTCGTTCCCTCAAAAATATCCCACCAGATTTGCTCGGTGACATGCTTGTTGGAGCGGTGGGCGTCCTTGCAGCCGGGATTCCAATTGCAGCGCAGGTTGACGTAGCCGTTTCGCTGGACGAAGGGAAGTTGGAGGTTTCGCATACCGATGACATTGTCGTGGAGTGGCGCATCCACGTGCCAAGCCATTAGGAAGCCTGAACGGTGCGCATGAAGGAAGGCAATTGTTGAGGGGAGGTTGTTGTAGTTGTCAACTATGTAGGTAAGGTAGGCCATGGCTTCGTGACCTTTGTTATTTGGTGTAGTCAGGGCATTGGCATCGGCTCGAGTTTCTTGGGAGGGGTTGACGATGTAGATTGCGCGTTGCCAACTGAGGAAGATAGAGGATTAGTATCGGGTTAGGGAATCGAGATAGGATCGCGAGCACTCACTCTGGTAGTCCTTGTTCTACCCAATCGGTGTTCTCCTCTTCCAGCTTGGCCATCACTATTACTTTGTCCCCCACGGAGATGTCGCCGACTGCCGGGATTGAAGCGGCGCCATTGCGATCTAACCAGTTGATCAAGTATGCGCCAGCGCGATATTGATTGCAGAGGTCTTGAAGATGCGCCTCCAGGAGGTACAGTGAAAAAAGGAGCAAAGAAGAGACACAAATCACTGCGAGGCGTGTTCCACCCCGCATGATGATGAAGTTCAAAAAACCAGGGGCTGTTAGAGAGGGAAGCCTGTGGTTGTGAATTTCAGGACGCAAAGGATCGCATTTATGCCATTGATGATTGATTCCCTGCAGGAGGGGGTGACTTTTTGGCAATATGGGAAAGGGGAGTGATTTGCGGATTAGGAGCGTTAATAGTCGTCCCAAAGTAGCAAGGCGGCCGGAGACAGGTTCGAGAAGGGGCGAGGGGCGAGGGGCGAGACTCAGTCTGGACTAGGTCAGGCGGTAGACGGCAGTCAGAACTCGAAATGAGAAAAGGAGTGAGGTTTCAAGGAAGACAATCGGATTAACACAACAAGAAGATTCAGGGACACAAAGATAAAAGAGCGAGAGGGGGAAGGCTTCGGTTTTGCCCCCAGAACAGAAGTCAGAATGTCATTCTTGCGGCATATCATTGGCCACCTGGGTCATAGACTCAGGGGAGCTGCCTTAGTTTGAAGCCGGGGTCAAAGTTAGGGGCCCTTGGCACTGAAAGCTTGGCTTTGGAGCGCGCCTAACCTCTTTGATGGGTAAAGTTTGCGCTTGAGCCACGGTCGGCCAAGTGGGAAGGCTTAAGGTGCCGCGGGTGGACATGAGCCCCAGCCAATCTGTCGACTGTTCGACTTTGCTGTGTCCACTGACACGCGTGTGCTGAGTACCACGGAATGGACTCCGTACGTGGCGTTGGCCTCAAACAACCGATTCTTAACGTGGAGGTCAAGGAACACTGGCGTTTTTTTCTCCACCGGGCTAAACCGGTAGTCTCGCAGTGGAGTGGGGCGGTGTCGCTAAACTGCAAATAACCCTTGAGACAATGGTCTGTTCGTTGAGATCTTCCAAATTCACACAGCCTCGCCCCCCCCCCCAACGATCGCCCTTGCCAGCCAGTATTGGTTCGGCTGCATCGTGAACCAAACGGTTGAACGCATTCAGGGCCCCGGGGGTTTTCTAGGATTCCCTCACGGCTGTCTATGACCGCACTGGGCCCACAAGCCGATCCCTTAGCTGGGAAGTACTGCAGTCAAGGCGGGATGATGTAGCTCGGTCTCCGAGAGATAATCACTTATGGTACCGGATTCCAGATATTGAAGTTGCAGTTCTGCACAGCCCTGATGACGATGGAAAGGAGGGGTCGGCAAAACCCGGGCAATTGGTCGAGCGGAGACGCAACCAAGTGCCTTCAAGTTGTCACCTTGGCATTTCAAGGTGGTGATCAACATTTCACCGTGCAGGTGTACATGTAAGTTAATCAATGTTGCTTCCTGCGGTTTCGGCGGTAATATGTCCTGCATCCCGCCATCAGAGATTGACTAGCCTAAACTGCAAAGAAGCTAGCTCTGTGCGCAATCTGCCGCGTGGCTATCGAGATGTCTTGGCTTGTCTCGTGAAATGCAGGTCTTGTAACGATTGATTAACACATGTACTGTAGAGTTGACGGATGTCTTGGCTTGTTAGAGTGTAGTCGAGGTCGGAATGCGTTAGGCAATGTTCCAAGCACATGTGATCTGGGCGCTGCATCAGTACGTAGAACAGCATATGCTGGTACAGTAGAACAATTAACGTCCCATCTGAAATGCCTCTGCTACAAATGCCACCCATAAACGGAGGATGGACGATGTTTCTGCCTAGTCTCCATAGGTACCTATATTTCAATGGTTACAATCAAGTTCTTGATTTGCAGTCCAGCTGCTGATTATATTCATTATATGTTACAGCCATATCTTTCCGCCTATTCACTATCCTTCTCCCCTTCTTCTTCGTCATCGCTAACTTCCTCTCCATTGGCAAGCGCCTCTTCGCGCAACTTGCGTGCACGCTCTCGCTTCTTGTCCAGCAAGGTGCTAAGCTTCTTTGCAACATTGAACACGCCACCAGTCCCTGCACCGCAGGCTGCACAGGTCGGGTTCTTCCGGTATCGCTGCAAAGCACAGGACTCACAGAAATAGTGGCCGCACTTGGTGATGATAGGGTCCTTGTAGGGCTTGCGGCAAATGATGCATGCGAAGGGAATATTCTCCAGCATGTCGTCCTCGTCGTCTTCGTCCTCCTCGGCTGCTTTCCCTGCGCCCTTGCGTTGCGAGACCACTTTCCCATCTAGCTTCTTGCCCTTGGTGTTGACCTCCCAGTCGCGATCCAGTTCCCAGCCTGCCTTGTAATCCTCACGCATGTGGAGGTACTTGCAAGAGTCTCCGTAGCCACAGAATCCAGTTTGTTTCCAATCTTTACACACATCCGGGGCAAAATCGGTGACCGTAATTGTTCGGACGTTGGTTGGCGCTTTAACAGGACCAAACTTCGCCGGTGCATCTGGATTTTTCTGGATGAAGTTTTGGTAGTTGGCTGCGCCTTTGTAGGTGCCGTCAGGATCTGAGGTAGAGGCAGTTGCTAGAGCTTGCCCAGGTCGCACTCTTGTTGTGCCGAGGAGATTCTTCGCATCAAGGTCTTCGTCGTACCAGTTGGAAGATTTGGTTGCGTCATTGCTCGAGGTCAATGGGAGAGGAACGGCGGTTGTAGGTTCGTCGTCGGGTTTTCTCGTCACATTCACCGTAGATGACGCTGTCACAGCTGCGTTCTTACGCCGTCTCTTGATTCGCTTGCCCTCATCATCATCGGACGAGGTGAAATCGGAGTCAGAAGCTGGAGGTGGCGTTGCGGGCTTCTTGCGGAAGTTGGCCTTGCCCTTGGAGCGCTTTTTGAAAGCAACCTGAGGTACGGCATCTGCGACTGTGTCTTCGGCCATGATGTGCGTCTGAGAACTAACTGTGGCGAAGAGAAAGATAGCTTTCCAGGGAAGTTCTTCAGTCGCAACCTCGAGATATCGAAGGCGGTAGAAGCAGTGACTAAGCAGATATAGCAAACATGACAAACATGACAAACATTAACCCGTGGATGTTCTCATTATGGGACGCGTTCCAAGGTTTGGAGGAGAAGAGACACAAACTGAAGTATAAACGTTGTTATTTATTGCCTGTCAACATCGTTATAGAGTCAACAACCACCGACCTCGTGTCTGTAGCCCGATCGTAGTTCCGGGGTAGCCCACTTCATCTCAAATCTCAAACACCGGTGCCATTTGGCAATAACACCACCTTCGCTCACTCTTCTCTTCTCTTTTCTTTCCCCGCCGAAGCCAAACTCGACCTGTCTTATCAACTGCCTCTCCTTTTTTCCTTTTCGTTTTGTTACTAATTCACTCTATTCTTTCCTTTGTTTTCATTTTATCTAAGAGCTGGTCAGTTTGCGGCGACACCTGCAGATCCCACCACTTTGTTATGGTTGGTTGACTCCTACGCGCGTATGTCTGGCCAAAGTCAAGGGTCCGAATCTCACTGCTAATTCGCCCAAAGGTCCTCGGTGTTTGTTGTGGTATTCTTTCGACCTTCCCCTCCTTTAACTTCCATACACCTCCCCGACGGTGTGCCTCGTACCCCATCGCATCGGTGCGCGGTAATAATTGAAACATCTGGTCGCTGGTCGGCTCAGCCATTGGCTCAGAACATCCGCGACTAGTCTTCAACCGTGTCTTTGGATGATGCTCGCCGTTTAAATTTAAATTACTAAAGATCGACGCGCGAATCCCTGACCTCTCATCGGCAACTGCATTCTCGTTAACGAGAGGTGTCAGATGCCGTTTGAGGCCCCCGAATATCGGAATATGACAGCACCCAACCCTGAGGGCACCATCTCCTTTTCATCAATGGAAGACCCCTTCGTTTCGAATGGCAGACGGCCGGCTCCACGCGACACCCCCCGATATTCTTCATTCGATACACAGCTATTCAGCCTTAATGCATCTTCGCCAGCCCAAGCCAAACGGGCCCTTGAGGCTCATCTGGCGGAAACAGAACGTCGATTAGAGGAAGCCTCGAAGCTGGGTACGGCCCTCATCGAGCAGCAGCAGCAGCTATCGGAGCAGTTGAAGGAGGTCGAGCTACAGCAGGATGAAGGGGAGATGGGCCCAGAATTGCGACGTAAACTCGCAGACCTGGAGAAGGAGTATAATGACATTGGTCGTGAGTCGGCACGGGCATCTTTGGCGCCCAAACGCCTGGCAGGTGGAGAGGAGGCCCAACTTGGAACGCCGTCTTTTGATCAAAAGGTACAACCTGCGTTGCATGCTTTGCACTTCCATTAGCTCCTTCGGCTTGTCGACTGGACTAACATTGAATTTTGAATAGTCACCTCTAAGCCCAGCTTTGTTCGCCAGTCAAGCCACGAATTCTCCTAGCAAAGTCAGTGTTCCGTCTCGAAAGCAGCGCAATCAACAGTCAAATCGTGTCCACGATATAGAATTTGCGACTGAGATCTCCACCTCCCTATTGGCACAAGTCCGGCAGCTACAAGCTCTTCTCGCGGAACGAGAAGAGACGCTCAAGTCTGTTAATCTTGAAAAGTCCCGACTTGAGTTGGAGGCCGAGGGATATGGGCAACGGATCCGGGCACTTGATGACAGCGAGCAGCGCTACAAAGATGAGAATTGGGCGTTGGAAACTCAAGCGCATGAATTGATGGCGGCTGCTAGAGAAGCTGCAGAACGCGAGGGTCGACTCAATACTTCTCTGACTGCCTCAACTTCGGAAAAGAACACCATCGAGAGGGAGTTGGAGGAGCTGCGGCAGGCCAACTCAAGGCTGCTTGAGGACCAGAACTTGATGCAAAAGGCTAACGACGCAGAAATTCACCTTCTGCGCCGGAATTTGAATTCTGGCGAGCTGGAGAAATCTGCTTTGCACAAGAAGCTCGCGGAAATGACATCGCAGAACCAAGAGCTTGCAAAGGCTGTTGCCATGCGTCTACGACAGCACGAAACTCAAGGCAGTCGGGACATTGCTTATAACGATGATGGTGATGAGCCAGAGCAATTGACACCGGAAAGTTCTCCGCCTCCCTCCCCCAACAAGTTCACTCCTCGACATGGCCACCTGGAATCTGAAACTCTGAAGAGCTCGCTTGGTCACGCTCACCGCATGATCCAAAATCTGAAGAGCACCATTCATCGTGAGAAGACCGAGAAGATCGAACTTAAGCGCATGCTACAGGATGCCCGTGACGAGGTTGAGACACGTCGCCGTGAGTCCGCTGTACCAAATGGGTCAACAAAGCGCCAGAAGACCAAGACGGATTCCTCCCGAAAGCCTCCTCGGCCAGATCTTCTGGGCGCCGGCCGCAAGGAGAAGTCCTTTGTTGAACTTCACGACACCGATTGGGAAGATAATGCCGGTCAAGTCAGTCCTACTCAGAAGCCTGCCATGACCAGATCGATGGGTCGTCCCGGTGCAGAATCTCCCGATGAGCCGAGTGACATTTATCAGACAGCCACTGAAGCTGAAGACGGGTTTGAGACTGCAAATGAGCGCGCAACCGCAACCGAGAGTGAAGCGTTCCAAACCGGCGTGGAAAGCATGGCGGATGACAGCAGTGACTCGGCAGACCTTACTGAGACCGAGGGCAATGTTCAAACCACTCCACGTAGCCGAGTTCCCTCTTCACTGATGATGTCCAAGACTCGCGATCGCGATTCGTATCACAGCACGGCGTCCGCCTCGAGCGATGACGAAGACTATGATTCAGGATTCCCCTCCCCAAGTCAAAGACATATCACACGTCCCCGGGTCAAGTCTAAGCGAAGCATGTCAAGGCGCATTCGTCCATCCGGAGAAGCACCATTTGCCTCGACTAGTAGGCCCTCAAGCTCACGCGAATCACCGGCACCTATCTTTGAACAAACACCAGCATCTCAAGAGGGCCAGAGCCTCTTTGCTGAACTTGCAGAGCTTGGAAGTGGTGACGAAGATGAGCAAACTTCTCAGGCTTCCACGCCGCGCATGGAAGCTACAGCAGGCTCACGTCGACCTTCTGATGCTATGTTGGACGCACCGCCTAAGCCTATCATGGTCGACTCTGGTATGATGACCGAGGCCTGGGAGCCTATGCTTCCCATCGGTGTCAATGTTGCAGCTGAAACCGCTCTCTCAAGCACCCCCCATCAACCAACAGCAGACCGAGGAATCGCCGCGGACGCCCAAGCAACCCCAAGTCTGGTCAGTGCAGGAACACAATGGACACCGCACAAGCCTTTGACTGAGGATGGTGATCATTTGGCTAATGTTCCTACGCCGCCGAAGATGCTCTGGGATGAGCGTTCAGTTCAAGGAGTAAACACGCAAGCTGAATTGCCAGAAATGGGAATTGCGGACATTTTATCTGAGCAAACCACGCCTCAAGCCCCCAAACACCCTGAGCTGAGTGTTTCCTATATCAATGGCGGCATCACAGCTCCTGTGAAGCATGAGTTCCCTGCCCCAGTGATCCCAGAACTGAGTGTATCTTCAGTTTCATCCCAGACTACCAGTCCTGTTCTGGCCAAGCTCCACGTGTCTGAGCCGATAATCAAGCATGTCGACGTCATTAAGTACATTGAACGCGAGCCAGAGGTACCTGAGCTGTCCTTCTCCTCAATCACCACCCAGACCACGGCGCCTATCAATGCAACTCTTGCTGTACCTGAGCCCGTCATCAAATATGTGGATGTAATTAAACACGTCGAGAAGGAGCGTGAGGTGCCCGAGTTGAGCTTCTCGTCTATCGGTACTCAATTGACTGTGCCCGTTGTGCCTGTTCAGGCGACTGTTCCTGAACCTGAGCCAGTGATTAAGTACGTTGATGTCATTAAGCATGTTGAGCGTGAGCGTGAGATTCCCGAGTTGAGTTTCTCGTCTATCAACACACAATCTACATCGCCCGTCAAGGCAACGCCAGCGGAGCCAGAACGTGTGGTCGAATACGTCGATGTTGTAAAGCATGTTGAGCGTGAACCTGAGATGCCCGACCTGACGTTCTCGTCCATCACGACCCAGTCTACATCGCCTGTTGAGGCTACACCTGCTAAGCCAGAGCGTATTATCGAATACGTCGATGTCATCAAGCACGTTGAGGTTGAGCGTGAGCGTGAGTTGCCAGAACTGACGTTCTCCTCTGTCACAACCCAAGTTACAGCTCCCGTCAGCGCTACACCTGCCGAGCCAGAGCGTGTTATTGAATACGTCGATGTCATCAAGCATGTTGAGGTTGAGCGTGAGCGTGAGCTGCCTGAACTGACGTTCTCCTCCATCACAACTCAAGTTACAGCTCCCGTCAACGCTACACCTGCCGAGCCAGAGCGCGTTATTGAATATGTTGATGTCATCAAGCATGTGGAGCGTGAGCCTGAAGTGCCTCAATTGACCTTCTCGTCTATTACGACTCAAACAACCGCACCTATACGAGCAACTATCTCTCAACCGGAGCCTGTGATCCAATACGTCGATGTCATCAAGCACGTTGAGCGTGAGCGTGAAGTTCCCCGCTTGGCTTTCTCTACAATCAATGCAGAGTCTACCGCGCCTATCAAGGTCACTGTTCCCGAACCAGTCATCCCCGGTTTCACAATTTCTTCCATTGACCCGACCTACACGGAACCCACCGTTCCAAAGCCTCGGGCCATTCCTGCACCGCCCGCCCTGTCCTTCTCTTCTGTGCGCTCCGTAGAAACTCAACCTAGGCAGTCTCTATCACCTGTTATGCCTATGGTGGCACACCTGTCTACTCAAACTGAGCCAGCAGAAGACTCGAAGGCCGCGATGCTTGTTCATGAGGATTCTCCAGAGACTACTCGCGACCTTGTGAATACCAATCACGATGAAGAGCTTGCTGGTGCTGGGCTGGCTCTGAACGACATCTCAGGCAATGCTCTTGCTCGCTCCGCCAGGAGACAGTCTAGCTTTGTCACCATGGATCATGGCGCGCAGACAATCCTGTCTTCAAAGCAGATCGACCAAATTCTCATGGAGCGTGGCTCTGTGCGCCCACATACTTCAGACAGTCAACTCACAGGGCAATCGAGGGAGTCTGCTGTGGTCGGCGCAGCCGCTGCAGCATCTTTCGTGACACCCAAGCCTCAGTCTAGGCCTCGTCTTTCACAGATTCAATCTGTTAGGTCGACGCCCAGTTCTCGTCGGCCTCAGAGCGCTACAAGCCAGGCATCTGGTCTCAGCGCTCACCCACCCCTACCTCACGATCACAGAGAGGCAATTTTGGCTGCCGAGAAGAAGTCTGTCGACGCAGCACCACCATCACCCACCAGTGCCATGGGACCTCCTTTGGCACCCGCCTCTGCCTATCGCATGAACACCCAGCGACCGCTCACGCCAAACGAACAGGCAACACGATCTGGCTCTGCGAGAACCGTTTCATCCCAGGCCAGAATGAGGAGAGGCAGTCAGAGTCAGATGTCGCGACGATCCTCGGTTTCTTCCTTTGCTTCCGAGATCGAGGAGCGTTTCAACATGAACCCCCATGCTGGTCCTATGCCCCAGGGATATGGACCTAACACTGATCCTCGCATGATTCAGGCCATAACTCAGACCATGATCGGTGAATTCCTTTGGAAATACACTCGCAAGACCGGTTCGTCAGAAATGTCTTCAACAAGGCACCGAAGATATTTCTGGGTCCACCCCTACACTCGTACACTGTATTGGAGCACGCATGACCCGCAAACCGCTGGAAAGAGCGAGCTTCGTACGAAGAGTGTGCCCATCGAGGCAGTGCGAGTCGTCGCGGATGATAATCCCTACCCACCAGGTCTCCACTGCAGGAGCTTGGAGGTTGTCAGCCCTGGCCGACGAGTTCGGTTCACAGCTACGACCAGCCAGAGACACGAGACTTGGTTCAACGCTTTGTCCTATCTCCTTATGAGGGAGACTGATGACAACAATGAAGACCACAACAGCGTGACTCTCGATGACATTGACGAGTTCAATCCTAGCTTCCGATCTAGTTCTCGCCAGGGAACAAGGATGTCATTCTCTTCTTACAACAGTCGCACCGCTCGTAACGGACCCAAGCAACGAGCAGCATCGGCTATGTCGATGCGGTCTGGCGGAGGTCGAGCATCCCCGGCGCTCAGTACACCGGCGCCAAACTCATTGCAAGTCCCCGATGACGCCCACCAACGCTCTTCATCCCGGTTGAGCACGATCTCCAGCTCAATCCGTGGCTCAATCGCGAGTATGAAGGGACGGCACGGCGCTCAGTCGCCCAGCATGCTTGATGAAAGCATCCGTGGCCAAGACAGCGTTGATGACCTGAGACATGCTCATGACACACATGACTTGGATCGACTTGAAAATGTCCGTGCTTGCTGTGATGGCAAGCACGACGTGGGTTCTCTCTCACGTACTAGTCGGTACAGCCCGAGAGTCGATCGCATTCAATCCCCCCACCCGCATTGAACATCGCCTCGTGAGATTGGGATTTGTTCGTAGGGTTTGTGGGCAGGTCCTCCACCCTGACAACTTGCGTCACTTATAAAGACAATGACCACGAGTTCTCTTTCTTCTGTCTCTCAACAACCAACCACGCATTTTAATACCTCCTTCGACTCTGACTTTCATGCATATGCGCGTGGAATTTCTCGCACGCAATCCCGGATATCTGGATTTGGACTCTTTCAACTTGGATGGTTACTGTTCGTTGCTCTAGAATGCTTTCTGGACAGCCTCACCTACACATCTTCTTCCTTGGCCTACAATCGTTCTCTTTTCTTGGTCTCTACAGATCTTAACTCTCCTACTCTCTCTGTCCTTCATTCATTCGAGTTGGCGTCCTGCTGGATCGTTTCTCCCAGTCTGATCTGCTCTTTCTCTATATTTTCTCTTTTATGTCAATAATTCCACTGGTCACCACGTACCATCATTATGTCCACTCTTTCAACTGTGTGACCATCTTCTTTTGGGTATTTTGCAACCGGTGTGCAACAGAACAAGCTATTAGACTTTAGTCTGTTCTCAATATGCTGACCTATGCCTTTCATAGGTGTAAGTCAGACACTGTAGAATTTCTTTTACCTCTTCTTGATTATCTAGGCAGAGGTCTTATTACAATAGTCGGTCTATATTATTACTACTTTATCAGACTACCAACATGGCACGTAGTCACGTTTGCATGGGTGCGTAGTCTGCCGTCCATCGATTGGCTGACTCATTTTCAAACGCCGAACTCGCACGTCACGGGTTTGCCTGCCGGCCCTAACTTCTTCCTTCTCTATATCACTTTCTCTTTTGTGGATTATTCTTCTTTTCACGCAGAATTGAATCTTTTGCCAAAATTATGTCGTCCGAAGCACCACCACCGTTTACCCAACGGATGCTTGGCTTGCTAGAACCAGCACAGCTCATGGCTTGGGCAATGTCCCGTAAGTACAGACGCCGAACAGATGCCGAAAGATATGGATATTGCAATTGTATACAATTCTCGATATTGAGGTCTTTCTCGCAAATTTCTTCCTCTTCGACCTATTATGTAACTCTTGAGGCCCGCACTTACAGAAATACAGACTATTTCCGAGCCTGCTCTGAAGCCGTCAAAGACGGCCAGATCCTCGCACCAATCACACAAACCCGCAGATTGCGCGATGAAGCATTCGGTAGATTCTGGGTTGAATTCAGCTGTAAGTTCCTAAAAGATCGCCACCAAATGTCCCAGTATGTCTTCACAGCAAAGAAGGAGAGCAAAAAGATCCTTACAATATATCCCCCACCAACACAACGGTCCACAAATCCCTAACAAAATCAGCTCAGCCCAGTCGCCAAACAACCCGAGACCCAATAACGAATGAACTACCCCAGCCAGTGGGTAGCAGTGCTCTAATCCCACCACTCCTAAAAACAGCCAATGGAACCGTCCTAGACGTAGGCCCAGGAACAGGAACCCAAATGCCCCTCCTAACATCCCCACATATCACATCCCTCTATGGCGCCGAGCCCTGCGCGGGTTTGCATAAAGAACTGCAGGCCCGTGCAGTCGCCGAAGGTATCTCTGACAAATACCACATCCTGCACTGCGGCGCCGCAGCAGCGGAGCTTATCCCCGCGCTGAAAGCGACAGGCACGGGTGTCGTTGATGGGTTTGAAGGTGATGCGAGGGCTGGCGTTTTCGATACGATATTGTGTGTTCGAGTTCTTTGTTCTGTGCCGAACATGGAACGCACAATTGCCGAGTTGTATGGGCTTTTGAAGCCTGGGGGAAAGTTGCTTGTCACTGAGCATGTTGTTAATCCGTGGGGGAGGGCCAAGGGGTCTATTTTGGCGAGGATTGCGCAGGCTGTTTATCAGTTCTTTGGGTGGAGTTGGTTTATTGGGGATTGTTGTATGACTCGGGATGTTGAGGGCGCGGTTAGGGGGGCTGCTGATTGTGATGGGGGTTGGGAGATGGTGGAGTTGGAGAGGTCTTTCGAGTGGTCTGCTATGCCTTATATTTCTGGAACTTTGGTCAAGAAGGGGATTTAGTGGTTTGCTTTTGGTGGCATTGAGTGCTGCTTGTCAGGAAAATGGAAAGGCTTTCTTATCAATGCAATTGGGTATCGTTTTTCTCTATCATATGTGTTATATCAATGTGCGTGGGTATGCTAGGTAATTCTTGGTATCATGGGTTCATCAAGTTGGTTTGTGGCGTCCAGCAGGCCAGAAATCAAACAGATCCAAAGCTTCTGACGTCCACGGTCCTTCTTCTTTGGGCTGATTTTCCTGGTCTGCTGCAGTCGAGGAGCTTCTAGTGAGGTTTGAACGGGCCTGGTGGCCTTTTCGTGAAATCAATGTTGTTGGATCCGATAATGATTTGCGCAACGGCGAATCAAGGGATCTTCTTCCCGTTACATTTCGAATTGCCGAAGGTGGTTTGAAGCCTGAGCCATCTAGCATTTCGTCAAAGATAAATTGTGTTGACTGTGATGGCATAAAATCTTCATTCGCAGTCCCTAGGTTCTCAGTCGATGGAACGACTGGTCTTGTAAATCTAAGCAGATGTTAGAGTTGTAATCCTGACTATCGGATGGGCACATACTAACTGCAGCTCTTGGGATGTTGAGGCAGTCTCACGTGGTTTGGGGTCGGGGGGAGTTCTCGTTGGTGGAGACGACGATTTTTGTAAGATATCACCTGGCAGTAGTGCACTGTACATCAGCTTCCTGCGAGGTTTCGCGGTGCCCATCCGTAAAGAGGTCGTTGGTTTTTGAGCTGACACTCCTGGGGATGGACGTGAAGGAGGTGGCATTTCCTTGGATGCTGGTTCATTTGTAGGCTTCGGAGGTTCTGTATTCTTGTTGTTTGTGTGGACAGATCCAATCGGTAGAGAACGAGTGGTAAGAGGTTTGGATGTAGCTAGAGGGGGTTGCCGCGAGGCTGTCAGAGGGCCCGATCCTGGCTGCATAGGGTTTGACACATTGTTCGGTCTATCTGTGGCCCTTGTAACGGGTTCATCCGTTGTCGTTCTTTCCTGGGCTAAAGAAATTTCTGGTCTCGTTGGAGCAGAAGGTCTGGAAAGTTCTGTGCGGTTGAGTCTCTGGGGCTGTGGCAGACCTTGGGCCAGATTGTTCACAGGTGTGGCGGATTGCACAGCTTTGGGTGTTGTGAGAGGAATTTGCCCGGATGTTGGTCGACTATTGCTCATTTCGGGTGCAGTGACTGGAACTCTTGTGGCAACCGGATCAGATCTTTGAGACTGCATAGGCTGCGGTGTATTTTGATGTATATCGTTCGATGCGGCAGGTCTTGTAGCCTTGGGTGCTGTATGAGGTGGTACCATTTGTTGTGGTCTATTTCTCGTCATTTGAGGCGCATCAACCACCGGGCTTCTTGTGGCAGTAGGAGGATTGGGTCTCTGGGGCAATGTTGGCTTTGGTGCAACTGTCCTTGTCGCTGCACGAACTGTCGGGTATGCATTGGCCTCCGGGAAACCTCCAGAGCTAGGAGGCTCTATTTCTGTCTGTTTTTCTGTCTCCTGTCTCAGGGGAACTGCCGGGTTCAGCTCGGTCAAATCAATAACTTGACTGTGAAGGCGTGAAGTTCTCCCGGGATTTGCGGGCACCGCCGTAGTTGTCTTTTGACGTTTCGCCGGTCTTATGGGCTCTTGTGTATTTTGCATCTTCTGTGGCGGATTCCGCTGCTCATATGGAGAGAGGTGTCCAATCGGTGGCTTTTTAATATTCAACAGGTCGTTTAGCGACCGAAAAGACTGGGAGCCAGAGGAACGGATAGACGCCGCGGGGCGAGGAGCTTGGGACATTGGTGCTTTTATCTGTGGTGAGCCTTGACTAGACTTTCGCTTCTCGTATAGGTTGGTAATATCGGTTTCACTCGTCCCGGTGCATTCGGTAACCTGGATGAGAACACCCTTGTCCAGCTCGAGTTCATCGCCATCTTGAACCTCGTCATTAGATCGCCAGTGGTGGTCACCGATGAAGTTTCCATGATCGTCATAGACCATGATCCGCTTGTTGAACTTGTGATACCGTAGATAGCCATCTTGCCATCGTTTCGACTTGCGCCGCAGATCGTGGGTGTAAAGGCAGTGGAATTTGACGACCGACGCGGTGACCTGGGGCGAAGTCGCGGTGGCACTTCGCGCAGTCGAAGACGGAGTTGACATCATGTCAGGCCATCTAGCTCATGGCAGCAGATGCATGAAGGTTCAATGGTTCGCGGTTCCAGGATACGATAAGCCGGATAAGGGAAAAGGTAAACGCGGTGGGCCTCAGGCACGAAAGTCATACTTCTACTTTGCTCACTTCTTTTCTCTTCTCTACTCTGTCCACTTTGCTATGCTTTTCATTCTAGTTGCTTTGGCTGTTTTCTGATTCCTGTGTTGTGAAATGCATTGAAGCCAATGGCATGGCCCCCACCCTACCTGCAACCCCCTGTCAATAACACGACTCCGAGGGCCAGCATCCAGCCCCCACACGGAATCAAATATAGAACCGCAAACAGGGTTCCCTACTTTGTGTTGAAATCAATTCTTGGCCTAATTAGCCTGGGTGGAGTTGGGGTCCACAGGACTGAGTGGTCAACTCCAACAAGACCATAGAAACGAGACAATTGATCGACACTGTCCAAAGATGGAGGGGACCAGAGAGCCGCATGAGAGGCTGAAACACTTTGGGGCCAAGCCATGTGTCATGCTTCCCCTCCCTTTTTTCCAGTTTTCGACTTCTGTCAACCTTCACTCCTCGGACTTGGATCTCATTGTGTGCTAAGTGAACTGGTCTTGGTAGTGCTACAATACTACAATCCGAGACTACTCCAACTCCAATCTCTCCCCGCTTCTAACCCGTTTCCCCACTCGGTACTTTGACTTGGAAGCTCCCCTTCAAAATGCAGAACATGCAAAGGCGCCTGGGGCGCATGACAAACAAGCAATCAGCCGATGACAGCCAGATTGCTGTGCTCTTAAAGGACTTTGATGATGCGGATATGCTGCTGGGCAAGGTGAGCATCCATTTTACGTGGACGCGCGTTCGCATATTCTAACCCTCACTACTTGATTAGATAGTCGACTCCACCACAGCCTGGCGCGATGCTTGGATTTCCATCGCAACATACCAGAGTCGAATGGTCGATGAGTTCGATGGCCTCTACGGTCCTATTATGGGCTCCTCGGAGACCCCATCCAACCACAACCCGGTGGAAACAGACCCAGTCAGACTAGCTCGGACAAATCGACTACGCAGGGAATACGATGAGCTGCGGACTGATTTGCTGGAGGAGCTCAATGCTGTCGAGAATCGCATGACGCGACCAGCTGCAAATGCCAAGGAATCATTGCTTCCTATGAAGAAGACAATCAAGAAGCGCAATGACAAAAAGGTGGGTCATGGTCCTGTGCTAAGCTAGACTGTGAATGCTAACTTCTCGACTCAATAGTCGGACTTCGAACGCTCCCAGGGCCGTGTCGATGGGCTCACGAAGAAGCCCAAACGCTCCGATCGCGATAATGTGAACTTAGCCAAAGCAGAGACGGAGCTTGCCACTGCGAAAGAGGTATGCAGATTAAAGCCTCGGATTAATAGCATGAAATATACTAACCGTATTCCAGCTATACAAAGCTGCCGACGATGACCTCCGCCAGCGCCTCCCAACCCTGATCTCCCTGGTCTTCTCGTTGACCCCATACCTGCTAGAAGCCCAAGTCGAGATTCAAAATCGCATTTTGGCACACTACTATACAGTGCTACATACTTACTGTGAAGAAGAGGGATTCTCATCCCCACCTCCATCGATGGAGCAGATTGTCCAAGACTGGGAATACGCCTACAACCCCATCCAGTCCCAAATCGAAAGCTTCGGCTGCCTCCAACAAGGCAAAGCTCTGCGCAAAGCATCAGTTGACCAGTCAAATGGTAAACGACCCTCAATAGGTGATCGCAGGGAAAGCGCCGCCTCCTCAATCTCCAACCTCTCAGTGCGCAGCCGACCAACAGCTCCAGCTCCAAACTTCGGGCCCAACTCCTGCGTCGCTGAAGACTCACCCTCACCTCCTCTGTCCACAACAACCCATCACAACGTAACAGTCTCCAGCTCCGGTGCCACAACCCCCCTCTCCACGGGCGGTGGCTCCTTCATGCCTACCCCGCCAGCATCCATGCCAGCAAAACCCCTAGCGCAAGGCGTAATGCAGTTCGCCCCCGCTGGCCCAAACATAGATTACTTCCAGTCTTCGACGACTGCGTCTGCCTCGCCAAGGGGCGGTACACCCATGGATACGGCGACTGCAATTGCCGCAAAGAAGAAGCGTCCTCCCCCACCCCCACCCAAACGTGCCGCGTCGTTCGTAACAGCTCTATATGATTTCAGCGGGCAGGGTGGTGATGATTTGGTTTTCCGTGAGGGTGATCAAATTCGCATTGTTCAGAAATCTAATAGTACGGATGATTGGTGGGAAGGTGAGCTCAGGGGGCGGAAGGGATTTTTCCCTGCGAACTATGTGGAGTGATGTGAAGATACCTTGGGCTTGGGATGTATGCTTGCAAAATGGTCTGACCAAATGTCTTTTTTTTCAATCCCTTTTCTCTTATGCGTTATGGTGGGCGAATACATATATACATATCATACCCATTTATCAAAATATGCCATCGATGCAATTTACGGTTTTCTTTTCCTTTCTCTTTTCTTTTGAATCGGTACTCGCTGGGCTGGTGGAATTCGATGCCGTGGGTTATGGGTTCCATACAACAACGTTCATATGTGTGTCTACGGTAAAAAAAATCAATGCTTCATGCAATCACTGTATTTTATGAGTCTAACAATAAACAGGGTACATATACGTCCCTTTCGACCTGCTGACCCCATATAAAGCTCGCCTTGCTGCAGGTTAGGGCACAGACAAGAGATATATATCTCTACATATTTCAGACGTGGACAGCGATCCTCTTTAAAGAAACAGAATCGTCAAATAGTATACATATTATAAAACTTGCCACTATAGTCAATCAACACATATTTCGCGAAGATATTGTCAATAAAATGTTAAAAGAAAAAGTCGCAATGAAGGTTGTAAGTACAATATAAATCGCATGAACATAATGTCAAAGATGGCCGAATATTCCATCAACCAGCCAAGTGGTCGAGCAGTAACTCGGTCATTCAATCTTCCTTGGTCTAGTGGTGATGATTTCCGCTTGTCATTAATACCGATAAGCGCGGGAGACCGGGGTTCGATTCCCCGAGGGAGAGTTTCTTTTTGGCTTTTTTTTTAAAATTTAAAAAACTCACCTGCAACCCTGTAGAATACTCGGATTGCAGTAAGTATTATGTTCTTTGATTGTAAACCGGAAGAAAGGCTCATTCATAGTATAATAATATCTGATTCATGCGGGAATATACCTATCTCAAGTAAAGGACCAAGAGTCAAAGACTCGGTATACAGAACAGGAAGGATATAACAAATGAACTCAAACAAAACTGCTGAACGTTAATCAAATACCATGCTGCTTGACTGACTCATGCTTAAATGAAAGCTTCGGTTGCTGTCTTATTATCAGAAGGTTCACCCATTTGTTGGCGTCGACTGTCCAAAAACATCTCCACCATGCGCTTGCTTGAGATGGTAGAGTGGATATCCTGGAGATGATAGTTTTCCATCATGTCATTGAACTCATGTTGATATTTAATATTCTCACCATCAACACGAGCATCTCGTTGGTTGCGCATGGACCGGAATTGACCAGGCTTACCATCCTGCGCAGCTAGTGGACGTCTAGCGGAGTACCGTCGGTGTTGCTCCTGCGCCCAAGACCGCTTGGCTGCAATCCTCTTGGGAGTTGGGGATTCTGGGGGCTGCATGTTGCTGGACCTAATCCGAATTGGGGACGACATCTCACACTGAGCGATTTGACCAGAATTTGGCAATGCGTTCTCGTTGGATAAGGTGGCTGGGGTGCTCGACTGATCCTGTGCCACCGGTGCCGGGTTTTGCAACTTCAGGATCGTTGTCTTGCTGGAAGCCTGACTGAAAGGACGGGAGAAATTGTTTTGTGATGGAACTCTGACTTCACGGGAAGATTTGTGTTCGATATAGCTCTGACTAGTTGGAGTGTTTAGCAAACTTGTCGAGACTGGTGTAGGATTGGGGACTGCTTGGGCCAACTGGGTAAAGTACTCGTCATCATCTTGGAATTGCGCATCTTCCCTGACATGTTCCCTCGTGGGGCTTGCCTGCTCAATTCTGTCAATTTGGGAGCTCATCCATTGCTGCCAATCAGCACTAGGTTTAACATGAGTCCTAAAAGAGGCGATGCGAGCAAGACGCTTGGGTGAGCTGTAAGCAGTTCGCTGTGGCGCAAATATTGTTGCCGTACCAGGTTCGTCGTGCAGATCTAGCGTGGGCAGTAAATCGGTGTTGTCAGTATTTGTCGGTGTATTCCCACTGGTGGATCGAGAATAAACACTTGGAGACACCACATCTCTTCTCGAAATTCCGAATCGATCAATGATGATGCTGCCGTTTTCATCCTCGGATTCCTCACCTGGAGCGCACAGTGAATGCGGAGATTTGTCTGGGACATGTTGGCTTGTCGCATGGAGAGACATGCCCCGAGAGGGAACAAAAGACCGGCTTCGATGGAGTTGATACCTACGTGGACTTGGCTGATCACCACCGCGTGCTGTAGAGTATGATTTGGGAGAGGCCGAGGATCCATCGCTTGGGACATGGCGGATAGTGTGTTTACCACATTGAGAGTACACAGAAGTGGTCCGCTCTGGAATGACAGAATGCTCTGGGACAGACCCGAAACTTATCTCACCACTTGGATTAGGTAGGACATTCCGACCCATCTGTTCCATCAAAGCAGAGTACAGGTCATGGCTGTTCACAACTCCCATTTGACGGAAACCTGTTCTCATATCCAAAGAAAACCGATTTTCAGAATGTCCCATATCGTCCGTGGACATCCTCTGATCTAAGCCTTCGTCTTCTCCGATGAAGGAGAGTGATTGACGATGCCCAGATTTCCTGGCCGTAACAGTTTCTGCCATGCTGGAGTCGGCCCAACTAGTGACTCGAGACTTGCCAGTGTAAACACTATCACAGCGGGGGGTATGGGGCATATCCAGGGAAGGACTGGGACCGGTATAGCGCGTTGTGTCTTCACTTTCACGACGACAGCGATCCTGTGACGTTCTCTCAACGAGGGTTGTTTTCAAAGGCTCACCATGCTTCGTGTCGCTCTGTAAGTCTGATTGTGCTGGCATCTTTGAAAAACCAAACACCCGTTTGAACTTGCTTTTGATGGACCCCGAGATATTTCGAGACTTCCTGCTAGACCCAGTGTCTTGGTCAGTACCACCCTCACTTGTGGCACGGAAGGTCTTTCGAAACGGCCTGTGCTCCCTCTTACGCCTGAGAAAAAAAGACGACCGACGAGTCGGGATCCCAACGTCTTTGGATTCTAGATTGAATTGGCTTCGAGCCAGACGAAGAGATTCATCATGCATCTTGGCGTCCTGATCCTTTTGTGACTGACCACTTCCGTGCAGGAATGACATCGTGCGCCTCATTGTTCGGGGCAAGTGAAAACCAGGGCTCCGTTCAGGATCGCAGGGGTCACCACATGGTAGTGGTGGCACTCCATACGGGGTCTGTGAAGTTCGTTGTCTGGTCGAGAACATGGACTTGGCTTTGCGCAGTCGACGATATGACGAGGGAACAGAGCTGTTCCGCCCATCAAGACCATTGAACTCTGTGACCGACGGAAGAACAGCAGAATCCTCGCCCCGTACAGCTTGGCTTGCCCCCCGGCTTTTGTCTGTGGATTGATGTGGAGTTTCAAATGCTGGGAAGCTTCCTTGGTTCCCGTATTCTGCATACCGCAAGCCTGATCCGGGACGTCTTCGAGGGACAGCAACGTTTAAAGGACCACCCAGACGGTCGTAGAGGGTCTTTGAATCTTGCGAAGACCTATCACTTCCACGCATTGCCCGCGATGCTGCGGCTGTTGCTTGAAGCATGGCGACATCATGGCTCATGATGGGCTCTGGGACCCTCCGTGTTTTGCGAATTGAGCGGGTTGACATAGACCTTCGCAGTCGATCCCGTGTAATGGATGAAGGAAACATGTTTCAAAAGTCTGTAGAGTATATATTCGGATGTGGGGGATGTAAAGAGAAGAATGCAAGCAGAAGCCAGGAACAAGGCAAGGCCAGAGAGTGGGAAGGAGCCATTGTCAATGGCAGGTACGACTTGATCAATTTGTTGACACTTGAGACTTCACAGTTCACACTCCAAACACACCCAGAAGCCCTTAGTGAAATTGCAAAGCTTAGCGCCGTTAAGCGCCGTGAGTCACGCCAAGACATGCATCTTTGACACATTCTGACTCAAGCTGAGGCTTCGAACCTTGGGATATTCACGATGACCCCTAATGACCTCGTCAGAAAAGCCCTGGAGCCATTCAATAAATACATAATAGTAGGACAATAGCGTCAGGACCCTAGGATATACAACTGCAGCCGAGTCTCTCAAAATGCCACAACCTCTGACTACCAATTTGAACGGTCGAACTCTAGAAGGAGGTGGTCAGCTGGTCCGCATTGCCCTCGCATTGTCGACATTAACCAGTCGACCAGTCAGTATCGATCATGTTCGTGGAAATCGACAGGGAAAGAAAGGATTAAAAGGATCCCACGTCGCAGCCGTGAAGTTGCTAGGCGAGATCAGCGACAGCAAAGTGTCGGGCAATGAGATCGGGTCCGAGACCTTGAAATTCATCCCAGAGCATCAAAAATCAAGTCAGGGCCCGTTGGTGGATTTAGCACAAGTCGAGGTGCAGTCTGAATACGACATCCACCTCCCGACAGCAGGTGCCATCTTCCTTGTCTTCCAAGCTCTTTATCCATACCTACTTCATGTGGGATCGAAGGCAGCTGCTCCGTTCATTACCGTTACCATCACAGGCGGAACCAATGCGTCTTTCTCGCCTTCCTACGACTATGCCTCACAGGTCCTTGTACCCAATTTTGCAAAACTTGGACTACCTCCTCTTTTCATTTTGCTCCACAAGCGTGGCTGGTCATCAGGGCCCGTTGAGCTCGGGTCAATACAATTCCTCATTCATCCATTTGTGCACCAAGATGCACCAGATGCAGGACAGAGAGCCAAGTCACAAGTTGCAGGATCCGGGTTTCCATGGATCAATCTCACGGACCACAAGCGTGGGGGAATCACCAAGATCGACATCACAATTCTAGCACCAGATTCACCAATCATCAATGCAGGAGGGAGTGGAATGACTGCCCGTCAATACATAGAGCAAGTTACCGAAAAGACCATGCGCCGAACACTAAAGAAGTTGGAATCGTCCACGTTTTCCGATGGGTCGAACGCTGGGCTAAAAAAGGACGACCTTGATCAAGGTTTTGCCGACGACACCCCCGTCCCGATTGAGATACACACGTCGGAAGCCACAAGCCACCGCAGTCATGTATACATTCTCCTTGTGGCCCATACCTCCTCAGGGTTCAGGATAGGACATGACGCTCTGGGCAGTCTACCCAAAGACCCATTCGATCAACGAAGAAAGCCAAGACACAAAGGGAAGCAAAAGCTACCGTCAAAGTCTCGATCTCGAGCAGAAGCTGATGCCTACGGGATCAAGAGCCTGGTCGGCCGCTGTGTGGACGGATTCATTGAAGAGATCTCGAATCAGAGACCCAATTCAGACGACTCCAGTCCGCCTTGGACTGCGCCGTGCTTAGACCGCCACATGCGAGACCAGATTGTCATTTTTGAGGAACTAGGAAAGGCTTGCCACCCCGAGATGGAGACAACCAGCGACGCCCTAGACGACAGGCGAGACTGGACCCTGCATACGAAGACAGCGGAGTGGGTATGTCGGCAGATGCTGGGAAATGGGTGACACTCTACCCTATCCACGCAAGCGCCAAAACAGAAATCTAGCCTTCAATGGCAAAAGCCAAATTGAATCACGAGGATACTCAAAAATCACCCAAAACAAGAGCCCAATCTTGGTCCCTTCAATAGACCGACCTAGCCGTAAGCCTCAAACACCACTCGACTAACTTAAAATTGAAAGAAAAAAAAAACAATCGACAAAAAATCAACCCAAAGAATACGCCAGATCGATCCAGCACTGACCAGCCTCACTGTGAGGATTCCAGATCCAATCCTAGCCTCTCTACTGTATCTACCCAACTGGATCTGCATAACATACCCAAGACACATTCCTGTCCAGCACCCAACACCAAACCCCAAGTGCCGCGCAACACGCAATCCGCCGAACCCCCGAAATTACAGGATCTCCGCCACGATCCGAACCAGAAACATGCGATCCAAACTCCCGGACACGAACACGGACACACCGGGACTCAAGTGAAAGCCGTTTTGCGCTTCCACCCGCCAGGAACAGGATCGCGTTCCAGACTCGGTTGGATCGGATATTCGGAAGAGTTGGTGATGGTGACTGTGATTGGATTAGATTGCATTGGATTGGATTGGATCGGTTCGGCTATCTGGCACATTGCAGAGTACTGTACGGAGTAATTGCTGTTGCACTCTGTTTGACACTTGTGTCAGATCTAGGTTCATGCGCTGATCAATGGTCGGTTCTGTTGAGGAGGCCGGTTTGCGTTAGAGGGTTAGGTTCAGAATTAGGTTGTTCCTGGTCGTATTTTTGGCTTTTGGCCCTTTTTTTAGTCAGATGTTGCAATTATCCCCCATTGCTGTTCCTATTCCTGTTGCTGTTCTTGTTCGCTGTGTATGCCGGATCGGAGAGATTTCATCCTATGGGAGCCCTGGTCGGGCGGTTCGGCAGCTTGACAGGGATAGTCCACTCCCGTGCAGTAGCTGTCTCGCTGCATACTGTATGCGGCACAGGCTCAGTGAATTGGATATGAGATAATCTAATGTACAGTACACAGCAATCTAGGATTAATCAAAGTCATTTCGGTTAACTTATTCCATTCTCTCCTCACATGTGCCCCTCCCTCTCTCTCCGTATGATACAGTATATCCGCCCGGGGCATATTTCGCCTGTCAATCAAACGTCCCTGGAACTGTCACCTGCCGTGTAATACCAATACGAGACAAACCAGCCACAGTTCCTCGTGCAAGGCTTCTAGAAGAGCAGAAACGGGAGAGACATCCCGTAGTGGAGGCGTGGCAACATCCCCACAAGTTTCTACCCTGAAACAACGGACGATCGATGCTGTGGCTGACACAAAGCAGGCAAGAAATACCGAAGACCCAACGGAAAAGGGGCTGGGTTTCATTTTCGATTATTCATTGGCATAATTCACATACAGCAATAGCACAGAAGCTCGGCGGAATCCGCTAGAAGACACACTAGACACTAGAGGCATCTAGTCTGGTCCACCGGGCGTGTTTTACATCTCATCTGTCAGAGCAGTGGAATGTCTCTCACGAATCTCCACTTTTCCTGTTAGTTTAGTTTAGTTCTTTTTTTTTTTTTTCTTTCTGTCTCTCTCTTTTGTCTCGTTACTGTATTGGGGGCTGGCAGCATTGGGCTCTGAGGTCGATAATCTTGCGCGTTCAGGCAGCCATGGTGGATTCCCTGTCTTTTCCATGATCACAATAATCCGCACAATAGTTTCAGAGGTGGACATCAATGGCAGGTGGATACACAGAGAGGGACTGTAATCAGTGAACTGGAACGATGTTTAAGTTACTGTATGTGTTGGTGAAACAAGTGATCGACACCCTTTGGCCTCTTTTTTCCCATCCTGTTCTTCCCCCTTTTTTGGGAGAGACCCCGTTTGCTTTTTCGGATACTGGCGCACCAGTTACTCCGTCCTCCGTCCAGGTGTCCATGTCACAACTCCGGTGTGTGCTCGTTAATTCTCCGAATACGAAAGCCCCGGGGAGGGGTCTGGATGTTCGATTCCCGGCCATGTGACCCGGTAGATCCTGCACCGTGCGGATCCATGGCCATTGTGCAGCCGTATATCCGGATTGAGGATAGTCGACAGCCTGGGAAGAGGCAGTGTAAGGGTCAGCCCAAGCCCAAGCCCAAGCCTCCAGCACGCCGAGCGGTGAGGAAATCGGCGTGGATTAGGCACAAGCCAAGACAAAGCCAAGCGAAACTCAAGACATCCCAGGCATCCAAATACAGCCCGAACAGGCAAGAGCGTTGAGAAAAGATCGACGGGCTCAGAAAGACCGATACTATATAGACTGAAATACAGCACTGAGCAACAAGCGGATCTAGATTCGGGGGGCGGAATCTCTCTGCCTAACCCGTGTGCGACATGACCAACCACAAGAGTCAAGAGAGCGAGTTCAGCTCAAGCCATGGTCCGGCGGGGATAGAACCAGGACCAGGACCAGGACCAGGGACAGGGTATAACTGACATCCCGATCCAGTGCGAGCGTGGACCCAGGATCTACAGTACAGGAGCATCCCAAACAAACAAGCGCAGCTAGCGTGCTGGATAGATGGGACTGGCGAGAACGAGGCTGAGGCTCGGGGGCTGGTGAACATGTACAGCATACCAGGGTGAAACGCCTTGCCGATGGGACTGCCACGGGCAATGGCGGGGGCGTGCACGGAGTTTCTATGGACCGTTTCATGCGGCTGAAGTTTATAGAAATAGAAATCGAACTCGAATTCACTCGAAACCAAACCCGAAACATGTCGGCATTGGGGGCCAAGAGGATCACAGCCCCATTTGTTCTGGTGCTGGCTTTGGGGGCTGGAAACCAAAGTAGCTTTCACAACGGCGTGAGATCTGCAGGGCTGAGCCTCACTCGATTAGTCTGGACTTTTAGTGGAAACTACCTGTAGGTCGGTCTGCATAACACATCATTGGGAGGAGTGAAATGATAGAAGGATCGAGGTTGTCAGGGAGAATGTGGTGAAAAAAAAGACAATAAAATGGTAATAAGGTATCTAGCACTAGAAGAACTAACAATGATATGACATGAGCGCAATAAGGTAATTTCAATACAAAAAACCAAACGACAGGGGTGGGTATGGGCATCACAAAGAAAGAAAGAAGAAGAGAACAAAGGAAAGAAAAGCAAGGAAATAGGACATGACCAAAAAAACGAAGAACCAGAACCAAGCAAACATCAACACACAAGCACACGTATGCGCAAGGAAATAGTCAATAACAATAAGAAGAGGGATGGGAGGCAACAATCCCCCACGCCTACACCTGTGAGGGAGGGCAGGAGAGCTGGACACCATCCGCATCAGCGCCACTGCCCACCAGTGGCAGATTCCATGTGTTCCGTAGTATCCATGCAAAAATGCGATCTATATATCCTCCATGCAAAAAAAAAAAAAAGAAAAGGCAGATAGTGCCGGTCTTTGTCCCCCGAAAACAACCCAAATGAGCGAGATAGGAAAATGGCGACTCATAGTTCATGCCGGAATTTCCAAGGAGAGAAATGGGAAAACCGAATCGCGCAATAAACGGGGTTCCACTCCGAGCCGGCGGATATGGTGAAAATCCCATGCGCGAGTAAAGAGCTGAGGATCAAGTAGGAAGGAGGGGGGGCAAATCAAGAAATCATGGCAAAGATGGCCGCCGTCGTTAGATGAGACAAAGAAACTCCCGGCGATGCATATGAGAGATGTGGAGAGGGAGGGGGTAGAGAGAGAGAGAGAGAGCCAAGAGCCCAGAGTCAAAGTAGAGAAATAGACAAAGAACGGCCGGAGATCATCGATCAGGTCCTAGCCAGCAGAACGAAATCACATCTGCTCCAAGGCGAGGTGGGAGGTTTTTTTTCCAGACCGTCTCGGATTGCGCGGTTCTGTTTACACTCGGGGCTCGGGCGCCTTGCTTGAGGATTCGCCAAAGAGCTCTGAAGGCAGCATGCGCTTGTACTCGCGCGGTTGGGCGAATGGAGAAGCTGAGGCTGGGCGGCGCAAGTTGAGAGACTGGATCTTGTTAGCTATATGGACTAGAGAACCATGGGATATATGCCGGTGAACATACCACACAGTCCGAACACTTGGAGCCTTGTCTGTTGACGCGGCCTCGGCATCCGCGGGGGTAGTTGGCGCATGAGTACATGGTGTGAGGTATTATCTTGATCTGTGTCGGGTGAAGAGTCGGATTTTATCGTCGAGGAGTGTAGAGCAGGACCAAAAACTGAGGCGATGACGTCGAAGGGGGATGGAGAAAGCAAGAATTAGAGGTCAAGGCGGAGGAAGAGACGGGGTTTATATCAGAGGCTCAAAAAGATGGCTTAGACCTGTAGAAATTTTAGGGTTTATTTCTTTTTTTTCTTTTCTTTTCTTTAATCTTTCTCTTACTTCCAGATCTCCCCTTCCCGGAGATGCGGGTTTGATCGGCTCTTTAACCCATGCCTTTTCCAGCATGACATCTATATCTCTCTTGATCTCTCTGGCTATTTCCTGAGATTGCCTGCTCCCTGCTCCCTGATCCCGTCTGACCTCTGCCCTCAATCTTGTTACCGTAATTTTAGGCAGTTTCGAGTTAAGGCCTCGGGCCTCTTGTTCTGGAAACATCCCCACAACTCAGGGGAGATTCTTCGATTGTCCCCTTTAGGCCTGTTTGGCAATCTAGGAACATTCTGATCTTCTCCTGATCAGCCCTGTCACTGTACATGTGCATGCATCAAGACCGGTCATCTGTACTGGTCTCTGTTCACCGTGAATCAGTGTGCCTAGTGAAGCAGGAGGGGGAACACGACCAGGCCGAGCGGGATGACCCCTATTACCATGGCCAATTCCAATGAAACCGACAAACAATCCAATTCATCCCTTTGACGTGGCCATTCCAGATTTGCTCTGGATTTCTCCCTTTCATCCTCTTATCCCTGTGGAGGCAGTGGATCCCACGCTGTGTTTTTTTTTTTTTTTTTTTTTTTTTTTCCTTCGTTTTTTCTTCTTTTTTTCCTTGTATTTTTGGTATTATTTTCTCTCTTTTTTTTTGGCCGAATTTATTTTGGATTTCCAAATTGTTTCTGTTTCTTTTCCCTTTTCGATCCCGTTGCCCATAGATCTAGAAGCTTGACTATTGACACCTCTACTGAAACGCTGGCTTGGCAGAGTCGTACTGCGTTTCGGTGCGAGGTCGACGTGGTCAATGTTTAAAGCTGCGTCACTTGAATGCGCTCATGTGCTCATCTGCTCCTGATGTGCTCCTGATGTGCTCCTGCTAACTTACGGGCCTGTCTCCACTGTGCAGGAACATGTTCCAGAAGTTTTGTACTGGACTTCTGCAGACTAGAGCTGCATAGAGCGTTACTATGTGGTCTCAGCCATGTCATTAAGCGATATTCGGAGGGCTTAAGCCGGTGACCTCATCCATCTTACTTGCATTCTGCATCCTGCATCCAGACCGTTTCGGATCGGCTCGGTTCATGTGACCCTGGGGGCTTGCGGGCTTGCAGCTGTGCGGGCTTGCTGGCTTGCTAAACGAAGAAGACTCATTGGGCTGTTCCAGCCGATAGCCGGTTTTCTGCGGTTATCTGATTAGTTCCTCGTCACAGGACTAACAATTCGAAACTGGGAACCTTGACGCTGACACTGATGCAACATTACAAAGAGCCGAGGTGATCAGCATTGCATGATCTTCTATCTTCCGAACACACCTAACCTTCCCCCCCTACCTGGTTAACCAGAAATCAAATCTCCATAGATCGAAGAAGCATCCAAGCGCCAAAGATACCCCCCACCAACACAAACAATAATCGGTTCCCTTCCCAGGTCAGTCCCAGATACGCAGCAGCACCCACCACAATCTCCTTCCGACGCGCCATGTCCCGCCTCGCCTGCCAGTTCGGATCAATGGAAAACGGAGCCACAGCTCGCATTTCCGGTCTTGTGTGATTCTCGCCCAAAGGTCTCAGCGGCACCGAAGCTACGAGCGCAACGGGGCGGTGATCTGACTGTGCAAAGAGGGGCAGTGCCTCGTATGCAAATGTTTGTACTTTCCCCCCTCGCCCACCCACGAGGGCGTGTCCAGGTAGAGGATTCGATCACACCAGCTGGGCCAGCGGTGGCTGGACCATTTCCATTCCTGGTCCGTGTTCCATCCTTGTCGTGCTGCTTCGCGTGCTGCGTCGGAGTATTTGTATGTCGGGGGGAAGTCAATCGGCGCTTCTGTTAGCCCATGGAAGCATCGGCCGGATTGCATCTCGCGCGTGAGCTGGTCGTTCTTCAGAAGCTGTGTGTAGTGCGATGGGTCGTCCAGGCCAGCGTTGCGGCGTGGGAAATGTACGATTTCCTTGAGCGACGGTCCGGTGTTGGAGGTGCGGTAGTTGAGGTCTCCAGCGACAAAGAGGTAGGCGTTTGGCGCGAAGAGGTCGCGACGACTGTGATCCGAGTGTGCGAAGGCTGCGTCGTTCAGGAGGCCGGTGTGTTCGGTCGCCTCCAACTCTGGTGGCCCGTCTGAGTAGCGGGTGAACACAAGGCGCTCGACAATACTCTTCCAATCCATATTCCTCTGCTCAAAGGAATCCTCCATGGGGGCCAGATGCGCCGCAACAAAAGTGAGATCAACAGTCCTGGTCGGGTTCGCTTCCACTACATATCCCAGGCGAGCCCCGACAGCACCCTTGTTTCCCATTTCCGAAACACCGAAACCAACATGTGCCGTGTCCTTCCAGGCGATCTGTTCGAGGGTATCGTGGCGTGCGAACAGCATCAGCCCGGTCATGCCTGTATTGTCGCTCAGGAAATTCTCGTAGTGGTGGTCCCAACGATGTGCGGCCGCTTTGCTGACTGCACGTCGGAATCCATCGAAATAGGGATGGAGGTAAGATCCTCCTAGGAATGAGTAGGCGATAGGTGCGATTTCTTGTAGAGAGAGGAATATCAGATCTGGTGCGGAGCTCCCCGCACCCGACGCGGGGAGTGCATCAAAGAAATGTTGCGCAAAGTTGTCGACATCGACAAGGTTCCTTGCACAGTTGAAGGTCAAGCTGTAGATATCAAGGGTGTCCATTTTGAATTCCTCTGGAGTCTGGACAGAAGAGAGAACGAGAAATGGAAGTTGGAATAAGTGGGTGACGTCACTTGACTTGACCGCCGCGAACAAGTACTGTAAACACTGTCTTCAATTGATAAGTTATTGTGCTTTTTCCCACTAGGATTGTGTTTATTTGACAAGAAACAAGTAACTAACTGTATTGTAGTTTGCACACAAATAACCTCATCATGAGCAAAACAAACAAAAAACAAAAAAAGATGTGCATCATCCGTGAATCGAACACGGGCCTCGTCGATGGCAACGACGAATTCTACCACTAGACCAATGATGCTGAGACATCAAACAGCTGGAATTGCTGATTGGCTGCTGATATTTGTTGATTCCTAGTTGGAATGATGAGGGGACTTGAGCGTTCTATGCATCTCCTCAACAATAATTAACCCTATAACTTCCCTCTTACTTCTACATGGCCACCACTCGGCTCCAATTCAACTAACAACATCCCCTCTGCAACATCTTCCTCCTCATCCTCCATTTCATAAACCCATTTCACCCGTCCAGCACGAGGGCTGCGTACCTCCAGCTCCATCTTCATCTGCTTGACGAAAGCAAGAACCTGGTTCTCGGCAACATCTTCGCCCTCTGCCACGAGGATCTCGATCAATTTGCCAGAGAGCGGGAGGACGATATGCTGGGGATTTTTGACATCGCCTCGTCGCGAGGAGGAGACTAACGCTGACGCAGCTGTTGAGGTTGTTTCGAGTTTCATCCGGTAGGGGATGGCCGTTCGGGATGTAGGTGTAGTATACTCGATCTCAGCGGCGAGAGAGGTGGGGAACTCGTTGCGCAGTACCCGGGACAGGAGCAGATGGTGAGATACTGGGTCTGCTTGTTGGCCGCCCTTTGAAAGTGGCTCTAATGTGATGGACCATGCATCTCCCTTTCGGAATAATAAATTAGATGCCGGCAGTGTGTTCCGTGTCATGGCCTGCGAAGGGGCGGTAGATCCCTCTTGCGTCTGTAAAAGGTTCGATATGGTCTCCCCGTACTGCAGGGCCGACTCAAGATTCAGTCCGAGCCATTGTGTATCGACTCTGCCGGACATGAAGTCGGGATGGGCCACGATTCCCCGAAGAAGGCCGATATTGGTTTTCACCCCGTCTATCCGGGAGTCAGCCAACACCCGCTGGGCTTTTCTCACTGTTGCTTCCCAGGTTGCTGCCGTGACGATGATCTTCGCTAATAGGTTGTCGAAATTGGATCCCACGATCAACGAGGAACCGCTGAGGTTCACGTTTGTATCAACTCGTACTCCGTTTCCGCTTGGAACATCGAACCGAGTCACCTTGCCGATACTCAAAGCGAAATTGTTGCTGGGGTCCTCAGCACATATTCTGAGCTGAATCGAGAAGGACTTGGGTGGAGCGTCGAATGCGTGGGTTGCATCGCCGAGACTCAACTGCTCAAACGTGTAACCCTGCGCTAACAAAAGCTGTGTCTGCACCAGATCTATCCCACTGATAGATTCTGTGATGGTATGCTCAACCTGAAGACGAGGATTGACCTCCAAGAAATAGAACTCGCCATGTAATTCACTGACCAAAAACTCAAACGTCCCAAGCGACTTATAGCGAATGTGACTTGCCATTTTCATCGCGGCGTCAATCACCCTCCCAACCAACCCCCGATCCATCAAAGCAGGGGCACACTCAACAACCTTCTGAAACCGCCGTTGAGCACTACAGTCCCGCTCCCACAGATGCCTCACCTGCCCCGTCCCATCACCAACAATCTGAATCTCAACATGATGAAATCCATCAACAGCAGCCTTCTCAACAAACACTGTACGCGACGGCGACTCCCCAATGGCACGATGAATGGCATTTCCCAACTCAGCCTCTTCACGCACAAGTCGAATGCCCCTACCGCCACCCCCATCAACGGCTTTAATCATAACAGGAAACCCAACAGTGCGAGCAAAAGTGCCAGCTTCCTCGACGCTAGCGGTGGCCCGCGCCATAGCTTCTAGAACGGGAACACCGCATTGTTGTGCAAGCTGCTTTGCTTGAAGCTTGTCGCCTGTTCGGGCGAGGTTCTCCCACCCTGGTCCTATGACGATTGCGCCGGCTTCGTGCCACATCCGCTCGGCGAACTCGGCGCTTTCACCGAGGAAGCCATAGCCTGGGTGTATGGCGTCGATGGAATGCTTGCGCGCTAGATCTACTAGGTGGGCTATGTCGAGGTAGGTGGCTGCTGAGGGGATTTGGATTGCTTGTCGAGGACGGCCTAGATCACAGTGTGTTTTGTCGTCGGCTGTGTAGAGTGCGTATGTCTCTACTTGGTTGGGTAATTCCCTTGCCGCCTGTAGGATCCGAACGGCGATCTCTCCTCTATGTTCTTGTTCAGAAAAGACTTGTGGAATGGGTCGGTTAATGAATTCATACCTGTTGGCGACCAACAGTCGCTTGATTGGTGAGTGCGGGGAAGACATGGGGAGGGAACAAGATTTCAAGGGGATGTATCAGCACGCGCGATGTTTGACAGTGACACAGTTGAATAGAATTGAATCGTAATATCTGGGGCTAGAATTATTCACCAGTTGCAATTGCACCGAACACTGCCAGATATCCTTATACCCCAAAAGCGACCTCGGCCCTCGGAAAGGGCCACCCCCTCACCCCCCGTCAAGGACCTTAAATCTCCAAATCTACAAACAATAGAACCCCAAAGTAATCAAGCATATACTCAAAATGACAAAGAGAGACGAATCATCAACAAGCGCGCCGAAAGAGCAAGCAACCAACCGTCTAAACCAACTCTCATCCCATCTATCGCCGAAACAAAAAACCGCCAACCTCCCAGCAGACCACTCAGACGTCCTAGGACAAATCAAAGAGCTACGCAACATAGCCGCAACCCCAGACCAGAAAAACAGAGGCTACATTCGCCAAAAACAAGCAGGAAAACTATGGGTACGCGAGCGAATCGAAGCCCTGCTAGACAGCAACAGCTTTGCAGAGATCGGCTCAGTATCGGGCACAGTAACATGGGCAAAGACAGCGCCTCGCCGCGAGAAACCCATAGCATTCATACCGAGCAACAACGTGCAAGGCGCGGGCCTCCTGCGCGGCCGGAAGGTTCTCCTGACAGCTGATGATTTCAGTATCCGGTCCGGTCATGCCGATGGTGCGAGTACCGGCAAGACGGTGTACGTTGAGAAACTTGCAATTGCGCTGCGCATCCCTGTGATCAAGCTTGTTGATGGGAGTTCCGGGGGTGGGAGTGTGACTACTATCAAGAAGGAGGGGTGGAGTTATTTGCCCCATGTTGCGTCTTTTCCGTTTGTTGTGCAGCAGTTGAATATGGGGATCCCGAATTTGGGGGCTGTTGTTGGTCCTGCGGTTGGTTTTATCTTTCTTTTTGGGGGTTCATAACAATGGATTTACTAATGTTTGCAGATTGGACTCGGTGCTGCGAGAGTTGTGTCTTGTCATTTCTCTGTGATGGCTGCTGATATCGGTGCTCTATTCAATGCCGGACCTAAAGTCGTCGAGGGCGCGACCTTTGAGGAAGGTCTGGATTTCCAAGATCTTGGTGGGCCAATGGTCCATTGTATGAATGGTACCATTGACAACCTCGCTGCCAACGAGGCAGAATGCTATGAGCAATTACGGATCGTCTTGGGCTATCTCCCTAACTCGGGTAGCGAGGCACCTCCAGTCATTCCCTGCACAGATCCAGAAGACCGGGAGGATATTGCACTGCGGAGTATCATCCCCCGACGTCAAGCTCGCATGTACAATGCCCGGTCGATCATCACATCGGTCGTTGATCAAGGTTCTTGGTTCGAGATCGGCGCGCTCTGGGGCCGGACTGCCATTGGCGGACTTGCACGTCTGGGCGGACGTCCTGTGGGCATTATCTCGCTGAACTGTGAAGTTAATGGTGGTGCATTGGATGCGGCAGGGAGCCAGAAGCTCACTCGGCTGCTTAAGCTGTGTGATGTGATGAACTTGCCTATTTTGCAGTTCCTTGATGTCCGTAAGTGGAACTTTACACCCCATCCCCTTTCTGACTTTGAATTTGATGATTGGAACTGACCTTGTTCCTGCAAAGCTGGATACGCTATTGGGACTGTTGCAGAGCGTACGGCCACTATGCGCTGGGGCGTTGAACTCGCCAAGGCGTATTTCAGCACTACTGTACCGGTATTCAATGTGGTTACGCGACGTGTGTTTGGTGTTGCTGGCGGTGTTATGCTTGGATGTCGCGATCCTGTCATGCAAGTTGCGTGGCCCTCTGGGCAGTGGGGTTCGTTGCCACTGGATGGTGGTATTGAGGTTGGCCATAGACATGAATTGAGAGAAGCCGAGAAAGTCGGCAAGAAGGAAGAACGATACAATGAGTTGGAAGAGGAGTATCTGCGCCTTATGAACCCTGTGCGCACGGCGAATGCATTTGGGATTGAAGAGATTATTGATCCGAAAGACACGCGCAAGGTCTGTTGTTCCTGGGCAGAGCATGTCTATGATGTGCTTCTTCGAGAGAGATTGGGAGATCGGGCTTCTGGGAAGATTTCACCTACATTTGCTTGATTTGGTGGGAATGGTGAGCTAGAGGTAGACAGTAGGGCTGATATGCAGATGTGCAGTTACACCCTTTACACTTCACCATCTCTTCTCTCTAGTCGAAACTACAAACCCTCCAATACAATCCCAACCTCAAAAACTTCCAAACAGTTCCACCTAAAACCCAACTCCCCACAATTCCCCAAATAAGCATTCTACGCGACCCAGAACTACGCAGATTACATAACCAGTATAAATCCCCGAGGTCGACTCCGATATCGAAACCAATCCCCCACTTCACCTCACCACAAATCCAATTCCTTCAAAAAAATGGCAACAATCAAAATCCTAGATGGAGGCCTTGGAACCTCCCTAGGAGACCAATACAACATAAAATTCGACAGTGCAACAACCCCCCTCTGGGCCAGCCATCTACTAGTCAGCGACCCAGACACACTGGAAGCGTGCCAACGAGACTTTGGCAACGCAGGAGTAGACATCCTGCTAACAGCAACCTACCAAGTCTCGACCAAGGGATTTGCACTCACCAAAACACCCACGCATCCAGACGGCATCCCGGCCAGCGCAGTGGGGCCCTACCTAACGCGCTCGGTGGATATCGCCGAAGCAGCCAAGGTGCGGGATGCTGCGGCCGTTGCGCTGAGTCTGGGGCCGTATGGCGCTTGTATGATTCCCGGCCAGGAGTATAGTGGGGCCTATGACGCTGAGCATGACAGCGAGGAGGCGTTGTATGCTTGGCATTTGGAGAGATTGAGGATGTTTGTTGAGGCTGATGGGGGCAGCTTGGTGGAACGCTTGCAGTATGTTGCTTTTGAGACGCTGCCGCGGCTGGATGAGATTCGGGCTGTGAGGAGGGCGATTCGCGATTCGGGCCTTGCCGCGCCTTATTGGGTTGCTTGTGTTTTCCCTGGGGATGAGGGGGTTTTGCCGGATGGCAGTGATATTGATGCTGTTGTGCGGGCGGCTCTTGGCCCTGTGGAGGGCGGAAGTGTGCCTTGGGGCATTGGAATGAATTGTACTAAGATTCATAAGCTTCCTGGGCTTGTGGAGAAATTTGGGGTTGCTGTTGATGCGGCTGTCAAGGATGCGGTTGTTGATGCTGCTCCTTATTTGGTTTTGTATCCTGATGGGACCAATGGGGAGGTTTATAATACCACTACGCAGGTTTGGGAGAAGCCTGATGGAATGGGTGATAATGTGAGAGATTCTGTGAGTCCGGGATTGGGCCTATTCTTAGATGTTATGTGTGATTGGTTTGCTGACTTTAGTTCTAGGAGCCTTGGGAGAAACAACTGGCTAAGGTGGTCAATGATGCTTATGACCAGGGCCATTTCAAGGACTTCCTTGTCGGTGGATGCTGCAAAGCTTCTCACCAGGATATCAGAAAGCTCAAAGAGCAATTTAAAATCAAGTAATCGGTTTATTTGGCAGAAGATGAAATAAATAATTACAATGTATTGGAAACCAAATCTAGGTTGAAAAGTAAATCAATTGAAAAATCGCTCATGTGGAATCGCTCATGTTGAATGGCCTGCACTGCATGGCATGCAATATAATACATCGTTAAGTCATTTTAAAACAGCCAATCGACGAAATTTCTCCACGCACTGTTATGCGGGTTTTCGTGAGGCGTAATTTCCCCATCTTGAAGACGTCCCGACCACAGGTCGATATTGGCAGCACGCTCAAACTTGGTGCCGTGCCAGAGCTTCCAGCAAATGATGGGGACGATAAAGATGGGGATACCGATATACGAAGCAACGAAATCGGAAGTGTTCCAGTTGCCCTTCAAGAACACGGGGAAACCGGCCACCAAAGTAATAATGGTTGAACCAATGAATCCCACCCATGCGGCATAAGGTTGAAAAGGTGCCTTCCATGGGAGTGTGTCTCGAGGAACGTTCTGCTTCTTCATAGCGGCATAGAACCGAATGTAGCAGAAGCAGAGGGTAGCCCAGGCAATTAAACCTGCGACAGTACTCAGGTTCAGAAGCCAGGTGAAAGCCTGAGCGGCACCGCCGGTGCCAAGACTCAGGTATGCTAAAGGACCGAAAAGCCAAGCAGTGATGGTAGCCACATATGGCACACCGTGCTTGTCGACACGTCCGAAGAATTGAGGGAGTTGATGGTCGGTGGTCATGGCGACGATCATGCGCGATCCAACCCAGCAGTACGAGTTACCGGCGGACCAAGCGGCAATCAGAATGCACGCGTTGACGATGGAAGGGAGTGCCTTGATGCCGGCGTTGGAAATGGCAATGACGAAAGGCGAGCTGTTGGCGTTGTCGGAGCCGGAAGTCAAGCCAGAGCTTCTGGGATCCACAATCAGGCCGATGAGGAAAGCACCGAGAATGTAGAAGAAGGCAATACGGTAGGTGACTCGGCGGGCAGCCTTGGGAATCGCACGGTGAGGATCAACCGATTCGGATGCGGTGATGACCACAGTCTCGACACCAATGAAACTGAACGAGGCGTTGACGAACGAGGACAGGAAACCAAGGAAATGGCCTGAAGGGCCAGTGATCCCATTGTAGTTTGTCCACGGTCCAGGGTTGTTCCAGTAACGGAAGCCGATAGCATCGCCGTTAGGACCGCCACCAGCAGTAATGACGATCGAGACGATCACCAAGCCCAGGAAGCAGAGCACCTTCACGGCACCTCCAAAGACTTCAGATTCACCATAAAATCGCACACTCAGCAGGTTGATAGCCAGAATCAGCACCAAGCCAACCGTAATCACGACTGCAGGTGTTATATCCGACCAAAACGACACAATGACCGCCGCAGCAGAAACTTCCGAGGCGATAGCGATGGTGTAACAATATCCGTATGAAATAGCGAGCGAGAATCCGACCGCCGGGTCAACAAATCGAGTTGCCCAGTGAGGGAATGATCCCGCAGTCGGGAACAGCGTTGCGAGCTCGGCGATGCTCTGCATCACACACCACAACACACCTCCGACAATAATATAAGCGAGTAGCAAACCAGCGGGACCAGCTTTGGCGTATGCCGAACCTGTTCCGATGAACAGACCAGTACCGATTCCACTGCAGAATCCGATCATGGTGACCTGGTAGTTCCGCAGGCGACGCTGCAACGCGCCGCGACCGCCTACGTTGAGCTCGAATTCGGCCTTGGGATTCACATCATAATCATCAAAGCCTGCATCGGGCGCAGGCTGGACCTTGTCGTCCGTGAATCCTGACTTTTCCATGATGTGTGTCAAGTCCTATTCCCCGGGAAGCTTGAAGAGAAAATAGGACCAGACGGGGGAGGAACGTTTCCTTTTGTTCCGAGCTAATCGCGGAGCACGACATCCGGTCCGTCTTCGCAGTTGATTATTCTCCACAGAGTGTATCGCTAGATCCAGGCTCATTGGATTGTATGGCCGCTCGCTCCACTTTTGGGGCGACTGACTAACTTTTTCATGTTCGCCATAATCATGATTGAAGGCAAATCGGTGGCTTTCGGTTGTTTCATCTTACATGCCAGATAATGTCCATGTTATTACTAGTGGGTTGACAATGGTGGACGCTTGCGGTTGGAGTGTCGCATTGCAAGCGCACACAAGCAAATTTTGAGTTGAGGTTGCCTGAGGCACTCAACCTTATTTCCGATTGTGTAGCCGATTGGATCGGAGATCATGAGAGGTCCGACCCAGATTTTGTCTGTTACAGTTGATATGCAATTATTGGGTTTTCTTCTACGAGACAAGCAGGCGGGTGTCCAAGTCCTTGAATTTGTGTGGGATTTGACAAACGAAGTGGCCGTAGAAATAGGAGGCCCCACGTGATCAACTTGGAGAGGTCTTACTAACTTATACAAACAGTATGAGTAATGAATCCGACAAGGAACTGTAATGTTAGCTGTGAAGAAATATCGACTTTATATGGAGATGCATAAGTCTTATTCTCTATAGTGCGCTAGCCTCCGTCTTCAACCCCGCACGTAAACCGCACTAACTTTAAGCCATGCATTGGTCTTGGTGCTGCTTATTCGAACAGGACCGGTGGAACGAAAAGGCCGTGAGATGCTCACATCAAAATATTGCTCTGTATTCGTATTGACAAGACTCGGCCACGCCATTCACTCAACGTGGAACAAATCGGAAGGCTGTTATATGAGGGACCAAAAAAAGACCCCAGAGTTGAGGATGCATACCCTTTCTAGATACAAGTGTGTTTCGTAATGAGAAGGGAGAGAACTGATGAGAAATAGTCATTTTCTCTACAGCATCTACCTTCGAAGTTCTATTTTGAATTTCCGCCAGGGGTAGACCTTCGGGGGCGAGGACCCTCAGGGACCGTTAGCGATGACATAAGGAATGCCATGCCAAACGCGTGATATCGTTTGCGGAAATGGATCGTGTCTGAACCCTCCAGACCACATGGTTGATTCCACACTTCCGTATCCTAATGAATATCTGGATTGGAGATCATCGTGGAGAAGTAAAAGGGAAGGATGCTATAGTCGCACACCTATAAGATAATACAAGCTTGAGTACACAAATTTCGCTTTGAACCAAGCAAATAGACCCCCGAGGCGTTCAATAGTGCACGATCCAGACATTCTAGGTCATTTGCAACCCTGAACCCTGAGACAAGTCCCATCGCCAAGAAATTATGTTGGCACGATGTCCCAATACACGCGTTGCCAAGCTTAATTTCCACGCGTTGTGCGCCAGCATAACATGTTATGCACAGCTAACGTCCCGAGGCAAGACAATAGGGTAAACTAAAGGACGATCAGCGGGTGAAGCCATCATTGTCAAGTCGATAGCCAAATTAAATACTGTCAATAGCGCCGATCGGGTTCCGTGTGCGTGTTCCAAGTTTGAAGGTGGGAGAGTTTGAAAGTCAGGGCCCAAAAATCTTAATCCTTTCTCTAACCCTTTTAATTGCCAGGAATGCCCACATCCCTTCTCTCCAACTGCTTCTGAGCTGATTTGCCCGGGTGCACTGTTCAGGTTATGACTGAATCCACTTCCCAGCCTACGCCTTCGCGCGATGCCCGGCTGGACTCCCCGCTGACGGACGGAGAGGGGTCAGAGTCGGAGAAAGCAGCACCACCCAAGACAGGCAAAAAGCTGCCAGGATGGCTGGATCATTTCAATGCACGCGATCTCAAAGTACTGCTTCGGTGCTCGATTGCAGCATGGGTCGCGTCGCTATTGATCTTCATCACGCCGTCGCTAAGCAGCATTGGAACCGCGACCTTTTTCGCAACGTGAGAGCTATTCTATAGATCGTCGGAACTCGATTGTTAACACGTTTTATCTAGTTTGGTGCTGTTCATGGTACCTCCGACTGGCATTGTCTTTATCTTCCTCTTGGGAGCTCTCACTCTCATTCTGGGTATGGCTATGGGCTGGGCCTGGGGTGTGATCGCCATGAAGGCTGCCATTGCCGCAAGGCCAGCCGCTGAGACTCAAGCCCGGCTCCAGGCCCTTGGTCAATTGGCGTATAGCCAAGCCAATGCCACTGGACAAAGTCTCGCTGCTGTTGAGCAGGTGCTTGTCTATTCTGGATTCATGCTTGATGCTCGTGTTACCGCCGTTTACTATTGTTTGATCTGTCTGTTTATCTATTTATTGGTAAGGTCTTCATGCTGGGATACACCGATGAATATACTGACCCCTTTATACAGGCCCGTCTTCGGGCAAAGAACCCTAAATTCATCCTGTTGCAGATTTTTGGAACCATCATTGTTGATGTTACTTTGACTATTGGTCCATTGCTTCCATCTTTCCAAGGCACAATCCCCAAGGTCTTGGTTGAACCAGCTGCTATCGGAATTGGTCTGGGACTCGTCTCTCATTTCATCTTCTTCCCTCAATCAACCTCTCACACTGTGCTATACGGGATGGAAGGCTTGGTGCGACTGCTCAAAGGCCCACTGAATGCCACAGAAACCAGCCTGCTGAAGGGAGAAGATTTGATACCGAAAGATTTGCATAAAATCAAAACGAAATCAATTGCAGCTTACAAAGCTATTGAGCCGGCAATCGCCTTCTTGCCTTTGGATTTCTCTGTTGGCTGGTGGGGTGCTGACGATGTCAAAAGCTTGAAGCAACCGCTGCGCCAAGCGCTGATAGCTAATCTCTCTTTGCTAGAAGTCCATATTGCACGCCTTGGGGGAGAAGCGAAGCTGGAGAAATTGCGCCAATTGACTGTGAGCCAGGGATCGGACACCGAATCGGAAGCCAATGGCGACGAAAAGAAACGCCCACGCGAAATCGGGTTGCGCCAGCTGATGCAGAGTGTCAACTTGGTACAAGCACTGCGAAGTCCAGAACATGAATCCCTTCGGTCAGAAACCATCGAAGCATTGAAGGAGTCCAGTAAAGAGATATTGCCAGCTTGCCAGGAGGCCGCCGAGGTCATTGCCGAATGTATCCACAAAGTCAACACAACTCGTTGGTTTGGCCGAGCATCTAAGGAACACCTCGCCGAGTTGCACGATCGCAGTCAGGCAGCGCTGACGAACATTCAAGCTCTCCGCGCATCATTCGCAGATGAAACCACTGAGCGGCTGATTGAAACGCATTCCTCGATCTTCAACGAGAAAGGCGAGCTCACAGCCCTCGATGAGTCTTCAGTGAATAGAGTCAGAGGCATCGTCATTGGAATGATTTTCGAGGAACAGCTCCTTGGAGTCGCCGACAGCTGGGAGCAAGTCCTAGGGCAATTGACCGCTCTCCTAAGAGAACGCCAAAAGGTTCGCCTGTGGCTTCCCAGGGGTTTGCGGTACGCGGTCAACTGGGTTCTTCGAAAGGATGCCGTGGCGCCTGTCATTGTGGCTCAAAACCCGACTACCGACCCCGATGTTGCAGAGACACAATCCAAAGCAGCACAACAGCATCTTCGCATCAGTAGAGGCTACCGTGTGAACCGACCCAGTGGCCTTGGACGTGTCATTATTGGTACATACCACTGGTTCATCAGCACAGAAGGCATGTATGCTTTGCGTATGGTGGCCGTCACTATCGCACTCGCCATTCCTGCAGCACTACCTAGTTCCGCCGGCTTCTATTACCGCGAAAAGGGTCTCTGGGCTCTTATCATGGGCCAAACTACGTTAGTCATTTACATGGCCGACTTCACATTCTCCCTCATTTGTCGAGCTATTGGTACTATCATTGGAGGTGCCTTGGGCTTGGTTGCGTGGTATATTGGCTCGGGCCATGGTGAAGGAAACCCATACGGTCTTGCTGCCATCATGGCAGCCGTGATCATCCTTCTCATGTGGGGACGTATCTTCGCTCCCCCAGCCATGCTGCAGGCAATGATGATGGCTGGCGCAACTTGTATACTGGTCATCGGGTACAGCTACGACGACACGTAAGTGATGATCTTTAACGCGACAACTCCCTCAGCTAACAATGGCTTCCTATCCAGACACATCCCCTCTTACGGCAATCCCGGATTCGGATATAACGTCTTCTGGCGCCGACTGACTCTCGTCCTGATTGGATCCGCAGGCGCCTTGATCGTCCAACTATTCCCTCGTCCCCCGTCAGCCTCCCGCCACATCTGCAAATCCCTCTCAAACGTCATCCGTGAATTGTCGGACCACTACGCCCTCCTCTTGACCTGCTGGGGGCAGGGCCGAGACGAAGGCCTGGCAGCAGAGCAACTAGCCCTCGACCTCGCCAACAGCCTAACCTCACTGGAAGGACCAATCGCCCTCCTCCGATTCGAATTCTCCAGCTCCCCCTTCGACAGTGACCGTCTAGGCCAAGTAAAATCCCTCTGTCAGGACCTAAATCAAAACCTCGGCCGTCTCCTCTACCTTTCTGCTTCACTGCCGGAACACCTCCAGACCCGTCTAGCCCGCCAAGCGGGTCTCCTCGACCACCGCAATATCGGTGATGTCATGGCCGTCCTGGCTGTCATTGAGCAATCGCTTAAGACCGGTGATCCGTTGCCTGAAGTCTTGCCTACGCCACTGCTCAAGCGTTGCCATGATTTCTGGAATACGCGACATGTCGAGATCACGTTGAGTAAGGAGCTTATCCGGGATCAGAACTATCGCCGCTTCTGCGTGGCTGTCAGTGCTTATCTCAAGTTCCTTGCTGCTGTTGATGATCTTGTGCTTGTTATGAAGGGTACGCTTGGTGAGTCTCATATTGTCGATCGAGAACTTGTCCACAACTGGGAGGGAAATGTATAGTCTATCGTTGGATACGCATATTAAGTCATAATAGAAGACTTTTTTAACTGCATAACTATGTGCTACTACTTAGGTATGCAAGTGAGTGTTGATCTTGTCTTTGCTGTCAACGTATAAAGCCTGAGTTGTAGGGCGAATAACTATGTGTCATAGAAACCGTGTGGTATGAAAAATGGTAATTTGGTAATTTATCCCCCCATATCCCCACTGTATTCAGCGCTAATCCAATTAAACTCGCCAAATTCAGCGTCAATACCCGCCCCTGTTATCCAAATACATCGTAACGGCCATCATCTCCAACTTTTTCTCCAATTATTTTTTCTTTCGCCCCCTCACGCCCCGGAACTAGCGCGGACTTCAGCTCTTTAAGATCGCCTTGTTTCCCTTGAGCCGTTGAGCTTAACTCTAATACTTTTCATTTCTATACCTATAGCCGCTGAGCGGTCCTCCAACATGGCCCCTTCGCGTCTCGCCCGTCTACCTACGTGGATCAGCCACTGGCTAGGCTATCGTGCAGGCCCCGTGAAGCCACTCAATACATATCTCGTCGCCGCATGGTCTTTTATGACTGCATTCTGCGGTCTCTCCGTCATCCAGGCAATCTTCAACTACTCCGATTACTTCACAGAACGCAACGTGCCGGGGATAATTGCTTCATATGTAAGTAGACAGCCCAGACAAATAAAGATCTCCTGCTAACATGTATGAAAAACAAGGGTGCATCCGCAGTCCTAGTCTTCGGCGCAATCGAAAGCCCCTTGGCCCAACCACGCGCCCTAATCTTCGGCCACTTCTTCAGCGCTCTCACAGGTCTCTGCGTGACAAAGCTGTTCAGCCTGATGCCCGACCAAGAACGTTTCGAGTCCCTTCGCTGGCTGGCAGCTTCGCTTTCCACCGCTATTGCCATTGTTGTGATGCAGTTGACCGGCACTACACATCCACCTGCTGGTGCGACTGCCCTGCTGCCGGCTACTAATGATGAGATCTGGAATCTCTCTTGGTATTACTTGCCCATTGTTTTGTTGTCTTCGGCGCTGTTGTTAGCTTGTGCTCTGCTGCTGAATAACGTCCAGCGGAGGTATCCTGTCTTTTGGATTTCTCCTGCTCCGCCGGCTGCGCCGGTGCAGCCGGTCAAATCTGCTGCGCCTGCGGATGCTGATTCGTTGGATGGGGGGAAGTCAGAAAAGAGTGCTGTCTGACTGTAGATATATATCCTGGACCGAGAGTGTAGCTGTGCACTGCATTGTATACGCTGCCCTCGAAACATCTCGTCACTAAGAGCAACCCATGAACATACTGCTCTAAAATATACAGCTGTTAATAAAATATGTTAATGTTAATGCAAAGTTCTACCCTTATCCCTACACATGTTCCGCGTAATTCAACATTAATCCTTTAATGACTCAAAAGAAGCAAAGCCCCCACTTACTTGTACTCACCAGCCAGTGACTCCCAACGCATATCCACAGCGCAAAAAAATAAATGCCCTCGTCCAGGTTCGAACTGGAGACCTTCGGATGTCAATCTTGTTACCAAGAATGTCATAAGAAAGGATATATGAGACCGACGTCATAACCAACTAGACCACGAAGGCTGAATAAGCAAAGTGTCAAAACATTGTCTACAAGACTCCGCTGAAAGATTATATTGACAGGCAAGAACGTGTAAGTTATGGCGAAGTTATTCATTGCGCGTTAATGTCATACATGAGCCCACCCATACTGATGCAGAATCTGCATCTCATCGATGATACAAAGCTGCCCCAGCTCCTCATTCTTAGGACTGAGAGCCTCCCAACTATTCAACCGCCGTCGAACGACTTCTTCTTTAAACCAAGAGTTAAGACTCCACCGGCGTACTCGATTAACCCACAATCCCTGCAGAATCCTCTTAGTGGTCAGCCAGTTCGATATGGGATTTACGGCTGCGTATGCTTGACCAGTATAACCAACCCGAACTCTAGGGTTGAGGTAGACACCCTTTTCCTTCGATAGAGGGTTATCCGCATGAATGAGACAGCATTCAGAGCCTTCGAGATGATATTCCGCCAGTGAATCCGGGATTCCTCGGAACCGAAGTGGTGATTTGCCCAGGAATGGACTCGCAGGCATTGCCACTATACCCAAGTCAGTTTACCTGGATATCTCCTGAACGAATCAAGCCTTATACATACCAATGCCATTCCAGCAGCTAGCAACCGGAACCGGCGAAAGACTTCTCATTGCATGCCGCGACTTCGCAGCTCGGAAGTAAGGCCAAGTCGACATGACAGCCTCATGGCCCTTGATATCGCGAAGCGCAAAGGTATCATAATAATGGGGCGGCCTGGAGAAATCCAAGGAACAAGCCGCGCCATATTCACCACCATTGGTGCCGAGAAGCTCGAAGACATCCTCGGGCTGATAACTCCGAGCTCATAGTCAGCAACTATTTAAGCCCCCAGAGAGCCTTGGATACGAGTACCAAACTCACCGTGAAAACAACATCATTCAGAAACAGTATCTTGTCAAACGAAATCCCTTGCCGTGCAAGATCATACAATGGCAACAATCCCAGATTCCGCACCCGCGCCAGATAGGGAACCCGCCTTAGCTGCTTTGCACCGCCGGCAGTTGTCCTCACCCAGCCTTCTCCGCGCGCAGGTGCCGCCATCTCGTCTTGGTGCGTTACAGGCGAAAGGGTGATATTCCGCGGAACGCGCAGCCGATCGAGTTCCCAGTCTAGTTCTCTCAGTGCTCCTTTTGTATTATCGTAGCTGCCGCTTTCGTATATGCTGATGAAAATGTTTTCTGGGCCTAGTTGAGTGGATAGCTCTATGAGGGCGCGGGACCAGTGGCTGCGGAGGATTGCTTCGTTGTTCCAATTCACGCTTGCTATGTATATGCGTTCTTTTGGGTTGGTCTTGGGGCTGTGGGGGTTGGCATGTTTGGGGGTCGTGATTTGATGTTGGATTAGGTGGAGCTCTGTTAGATTCCATATTATGAAGAGTATTATGAAGACTCGGGTTAGGCGGTTTCGGAGAGCTCTTCTTGTAAGGGGGCGTCTATGAGTCGAGAGGAGCGTCATGGGGGTTTCGATGCTGCGGTTCTATGGCTGGTTGGGGTTGTCGGTATATTATTGTAGTTGGATTGCTCTGACATGGTGGATTGGAGATTTCCAGAAAAATACCAATTTGCTGCAGTGAACTCGGGCATTTTTGGGAAAGACAGGTGGTGAATCAAGGGGTTGTGGTATAACACGAGGGCGCATACTTCCAAGCTGCATGCTCGATCTGCGTTCCCGATGAAGAGAGATCAGTGAATATCAATAATGCCGAACTGAGTTTTTGAAAACCCCAGCATGGCCTAGAGTCCTCATGAAATAATTGCGACAATTCAGTGCTGAGAGATAGCTCTTCTTGGAGGAAAAGGGTCTCCGTATTAAGTTCAAGACAATAACAAATAGTAGTATACAAGGGATGGTATCCAGGAACTATTCACTCCTTAGAACAAGAAATGCAGAATCGCCGTCACCGCAATGGCAATGCCGGCCATCCTCCTAGAGCCGGCATGAGAGCGAATACCCATACCTGTCTGTGTAGGCGATGCGCTCGATTCTGTCGTACTCACTCCCTCCACCCACGGCTGCCCAGGCAGGGAATCGGAACTCTCATTAATCTCCGCCACGCTCAAAACCTCATTTTCCAATAACGCGCAGTCAATCCGCTCATCACTCTGGCTGATGGCGTTTGTCACCGAAATGGGCAATTGAAACACGGTGTAGTAGTCGGTTTCGTTCCAGCGGAAGGACTGATGCAGGGAGATATTGTATGCGCCGCGATCTGAGTTGTTTTCTGAATCGGAGCCAGTACCAACGAGACACTTCGGCCAGATCCAGTTCACGTGTTTGACGGTCGATGATGGCTCGAGGTCTAGTACAGGTCCGACATAGCTTGTGTTTGTGGATGGTGTTGTGCCATTTGATATGGTGAAGTTGTGCGAGAGTGACTCGGAGGTCAGAAACAGTCTAATGTCGTGAAACTGGGTCGCTGAGTCTGGGTCAGACGATGGTGGCCATGGCAGCTGGCCATTTCCTGACACGTCGATTGCGACTTGGAGGTTGTCTAGGATGCTGGTTAGTTACGGAGCCTTGAAGGTCATCGGCCTGACTTACCTCCACCGAGGGGTGTATTTGGCTGTGGTGCAGCAATAATTGCCAGACCTGGCGTATAGACTTCGCCGTTCACGATGGTGAAGTTGACCATGACGATTATTTTAGTCGACTTTGAATGTGATGTTCCTCTCGCTTTATTTAACTGGCGCCAAGGGCCTCATTTCCGAAGGATCCGCCGTTGTCCTTAGCGTGCGATTAATCAATATAGTCTCTTGATTCATTGGCTCAGACACAGGGCTCATTTCAGGGTCTTAGTTGGGTGGCTTGAAGCGATATTAAGGATCCAATTAGGCAGATAGGGGAAGATGGGGACTGAGGTTGCGTGAAACGCGATCGTACTCGCATCCAGCGTAGCAGCATGACATCGAGTCGATGCTAATAGAAGTCGTCGACGGGTGCATCCCACCATTCTGACACATCCAAGAAACATCCAAGCAACTGGGCTGAACTGGGGATTTCCCCCGCACTTCGGCTCCACCCCCTGGTCGAACTTGACCTTGTCAAAAGCCTCAACGAGTAACATGGAATGGTGTTGTGAGGTATGCTTTACGACGTTTAGTCGACCAGAGCACTTGAAGCGCCACTCAGCATCCCGTATGTCTCTCCCTCGAATGAATGCTCAAGTACTAACATGTTCTAGACGATACCGCCCGACCGCATGTCTGTCCATGTGGAAACTCTTTCAAACGCAGGTAAATACAAAGATACAGTCCATGGAGTCCAGTAAGCTCATTCTTGGTCCTAAGTGATGCATTGCGTCGCCATGAGCGGACATGCAGGTCTCGTGGCTCTGGCTCCGTCAAGGCCGAGAGCCACTCCGAGCATCAGGAATATGTGAACCCAGAGGAAATACCCCAGCCCAAAAGAGTGTGTCTCGCAGCAGATTTAGTACCAATAGCGGATATTACTCAGGTTTCTCACTCTGCTCTGGCTCCGTTCGACATCGCAGCAGCCTCGAATACCCTATCTGGAGAACGAGAATGCAACATATCACCTTACCCACATGTACAGAACGACAAAAGTGTCTCACACCATACCAGTGACGATTCATCCTTCTCAGACCCTTTTCTTGATCCGGCACATCTATTGCAAAACATGCCGTCACCTCTCGATTTTTCGGCTCTGGATCTTCTCTTCTCCTCCCAGATAACGTCAGATATTATCCTAGCCGAGAGACTAGAGCATCTCGCATACTTCACTAGCTCAACGGGCATGTCCACATTCACGGACCGTGAATCATTTCGATGGAGACAGAATCTAGTTGCCAATGCTTATGAGGATAAGGTCACACCAGTTGGGCGACAAACCCACCCAGGACCACAGGACTTGGCTCCAATACCAGTGTGTGACCCTCTGGTCCCCAAGTCCCTGGAGATACTGCAAAATCTACGAAATGTTACTTGCAACAAGAGGAACCATGACATTATCACCTTTGACTGGTCCTCGGAAACACACGATCAATGCCAAATATTTTTCTCAACCCCAAACATCCGCCGTTTCCTAGAGTATTTTTGGTCCCTTTGGTACCCGAACTGCCCTATTATCCACAAGCCGCTGTTCAACCCTCGCACAGCGATTCCTGCATTGATATCCGTGATGGTAGTCATTGGAGCATGTCTATCTCCCTACGAAGAAGACGCCAAAGCAGCTAGAAAATGGCTTGATAGCATCGAGGAATTCATATTCTCGGATGAGTGCTTCCGGGATAATCCGCCACCTAGCGGCAATGATCTGAAATGGAAAAAGAAACGATTGCAGATCATCCAGGCTGGATATCTGGTCTGCTCACTTCAAAAGAGGGAGGGTCCCAAGGACGCACAGGCCAGAATTAGACGGTATCGCCATGCATCAATGGTCACCGTGAGTTGAAACTTGTCTATTATGCTGATGCCCTGACTAATGTGAGTTTGAAATAGCTAGCAAGACAGATCGGAATTGGAAGTGCCTTCCATAGAAATCTGAAGACCCATGACGGATCGCAAATGTGGTGGCAACAATTTGTGGAAGAAGAAGAAATGAAACGGTATGATCAATCAAATACTCTACTGTCGGTCAAGTAATGCGATGCTAATCATACCAGAACAATCACATTCGTTTTTCTTATCGATGCAGCACAGGTTATATTCCACAATTCACCACCTCGAATAATGGTCTCCGAATTGAAGATGGATGTCTCGTGCCCGGAAGCATGTTTCCAAGCTGAATCTGCAGGCGAATGCCTAGCACTGTTCGAGGAATGGACCAAGACCCGCTTCTGGCGAAGAAAGGTTTCAATTGTATCAGCCGTACGACAAATTTGTCAGGCTGAGATTGATGACGACTTAGTTCAAGAGTTCTCTGCTATTGGGACTTTGAATCTATTCACAATGGTTCAGGCAATTCATTCTCTCATGTTCCATCTACAAAATTCTCTCATTTTCAAGACAACCTTCGCCCCAGTACAGACCGGTCTTGATAACTGGAGACGAATTTGGGATAAGAGGATACCAGAAGACAACGATATCCCTGTGACAGCCGAGAATGCATGGAAACTCATTGGATTCCTCCGCCATGCATCGGAATTCTGGCACTTGGCACGCATCAAAACCGCCAAGATTGTTTCGATGGCGGATGACGACCAGACTGAAGATGAAGATACATATGAGACATCAAGATACGACCATACGGATATGGGAGAGGTCAATGGATTGATCATGGAATATCGAAGAATGAACTTGGGGATGATTTGATGATGACTATTTAGTATCAAATGGCACATACGGATGCTCTCTCATAACACTTGTTGTAAACTCAATTCACAGTACCTGACCGCGGACCCTTCGCTGCACTTTCACTTCAAAATCAACAGGCTTAACAAACCAGAAGTTCTCCGTCCGCCACGTCTTCCTAAGTGGCGTAAAATCAAAGTCCTGTACAAGTTTCGGGATAAGCTTCGACATCTCCAGAATAGATATATGCTTCCCAAGACATGTCCTCGAACCAAGACCAAACTAAAACAGACAGAGTCAGTCAATCAAGCTCACAGCCCCCAAATCTCCAAAAGACTTACCGGCATATACATCTGATTCATAACCCTCAACCTCTCAGGGTCATCCTCAGCCTCAATCCACCTCTCAGGCCTAAAAGTCCCTGCCTCGTCAAAAATACTTTCATCATAGTGCGCAACCCAAGTATTAACCCCAACGACACTCCCGCCCGGAAAGAAACGACCTCCGATCTCTGCCCCTCCATCAGGAACAGTCCTCCACATGGGAAGACCGGTAGCAGCATGCATCCGCAGCGCCTCTTTCATAACAGCCTGGAAATAGGGCATCTCCTGACTTTGCTTAAAGGTCATCGGCGAACTGCACAATCCCCGAGCAGTAAATTCATCGATCTCCTCCCGCAGCGTTTGAAGTACGTCTGGATAGCGCATTAAATGCCACATTATCGTCGACAAACTTATGGCTGTTGTGTCACTCCCAGCTGTCACGTTTGATTGACCCATTATGAAGAGGTGGTAGTCGGTCACTTTTTCTGGGTCCTTTTGGCGGGCTTGCATGAGTTTATCGACAAAGTCCTGGGGTTGTTCGGGTTGGGGCTCGTTTTTCTGAAGATCTGAGGCTTGGGCTTGGGCTTTTTGGTCGTGCGCACTGATCTTGTCTTGCACGAATTTGCTAATGTATGCTCGACCGCCGGCGCCGGACCATTTGAGTTTGCTGAGGGGACTGAAGAGGCGTGGATGCCATTCTGGGAAGACGCCCACGAGGGTGCTGTACATGATTACTTTTTGGAGGGCGGCGATTGTGCCGTCGATGTCATGGCCTCGGTCTAGGAAGCCTGTGTTGGCGTTAGTATGTTGTGTCCATAGTGATGTAGATGGCGCATTACTTACCGAAGCGTTCTCCGAAGGTGATGTTGCCGATCACATCGAAGGCGTAGCATTGAAACCAATGGCCGAGGTTCAGTGTCTCGCCGTTATCAGCGAACTCGTTCAAGCGAGCCATGAACAGCTCTGCGCAGTGATCCACGAATGGTTCGTAGTTGACCAGTGAGCTCATGGAGTACAGACCAGTGAAACGTTTTCTAGTGTCGGCTACAGTTACATAGAACATGGATTTCAGCATCACGTCTCAGAAACACCTAAAGAAATAGACAAGCATACCGTGTCTCTTAATATCCCGATCTGCAAAAACAGTCCACTGAGCCGGGTGTTTCCATCCATCGTACCACGCCGACTTCGCAAACTTCGAGCCAGTACCGTAGACAGTCTTGATGGAAGCCGGGTCACTAATACTATAGTGGTTCGGCCCCACCCTCACTATTGGACCGTATCGCTTATGCAGCTTGATATTGTCATGCTCGAATTGACCATGACGGAGGCGGTTGAAGTACCATAGGTTGCTGAACCGCGCCCAGAATGGTCCTGGTACATTCTTAAGAGGGGATGTGAGGGACTTGGTGACGCGAAGGAGGATTTGAAATGCTAGTAGCAAGAGGGGAAGGAGGAGGAGTTGGGTGTGCATAGTAACGGTTTAATCTTCGGGTGTTTGTTCATGGAGCAGAGAGGAAAGGTGAATAGACTCTGGACGTCTTCGGCCTCTTTTATGGGGATCTCACCAACTGTGTGACCCCAGGTCGATCCTGATCCTGATCCACCCCCACCCCCACCGCCACATCCCCATACTTCTGAGCTTCACTTTGGGCGAATCGATTGGCTGTGAGAGGTGTATAGCATGTGTACCATTTACAGTATACCTCGGGAATTCCGGATTTACGGGGGTTCAGTCTACGACACGTCATCTCTCCCACACCAGATTAAGGCATATCAAAGACTCAAAGTGGATTTCATCATGTACAGGAAATCAGAGCATATAAGAAGGCTGGGAAAGTATCCATTCCTTTCGTCAAGACCAGAGGGACATTATCTCCCAAAAAAAAAAAAACATTAGACAAGAAAAAGGCAAGAAGATAACAACCAGTGTATCCCTCACCCACGAAACCCCATATTATGTTGATAAAATAGACCCCAGAAAGAAGATGGAAACCCCATCTTACTTCCGGTCTCCCCAGAGTCCAACAATACCAATGGAAAGCGCAATACCAGACAACCAAGCACGCGCCCGGTGCAGACGGCGTTCGCGCTCCATCTCCCGCTGAACAGTTTCACCATTCAGGTCACTTTCAACCTCAACAACAACAAGATCCTCGTCCTTCTTGGGGGCCAAGTCGCGGACCAATGAGAAATGCGAGACGTCGCGGATGACAGCGGAGACCCAGTTCTTGAAGCCCAGGTGGCGGTTGAACCAGAAGTCAACGCCGTGAGCGGCAACAGCGGAGAATGTGCATAGCCAGATCATGTATGGGTGTCGGCGACGTGGTGATGAGAGGCACCATGCGAAGCAGAAGCAGCTGTTCGCGAGGAAGGAGAGGCGGAGCGCGTAGCGGCGGCTTAGGCGCTTGACTTCATTGAGGGAGGCGGCCGCACTTGTTGCTGTTGGGAGGAGCTGGAGGGCTGGAATTGTGATTGAGGACGTGGAGTAGGAGAGGCCCTGTGGTTGTTAGCGAGATGGTGTATGGTTGGAGAGTTGGCGTACGGTAAGCAAACCGAGGGAGACGGTGCCGACAAATTTGGTGACGCTGATAGGGCACGCCATGATGAGATTGCAAGCAGACTTATCACCAAGGATGAAAAAAGGAGTCTGTGGCGGGAATACGGAGAGTCAAGTAGAGAAAGAAGTTATTTTTCGGTGACGTCGCGGTCAGCTTACGCGCCAGCCAATCAGCGTTGCGATGTTCTTCATCCCGCTGAGGGGACTTCGGAGTGTTTTGTATAACTGGTTCAAGTATGTTGGAGAGGCTGAGTGAGACTGATTGTGTATTCGCGATTAGTTTGAATAGTGGAAAAAAAGACGTTGGAATTGGGGAGTAGTACAGCAGTCTGTTCAGGCCTTGAGCTATCTACTTTCAAGGTATTCAATGATATTCAATGATTCTATCCATATACCTGTTATGACCCACTAGGAGAGCTTAGTAGGTTGCACACCGAACCCAGAGATTACTATGACTGCCCAACGGCAGTCATGCTCTCCCACCATATCAAGTAGCGCACTCCGTTAGGCAACACGTGACCGTGGCCACCTATGTACCGTTCGGCGTACGTAGTCTCTATTAAACTGTGCTAGTTCTGACAATTGCTATTAATCTTGTTTCTATTCATCTTATTCTATTCATCTTATTCTATTCATCTTGTTTCTGTTAATCTTATTTCTATTCATTTGAACCTTATTTCTATTCATCTTGTTTCTGTTAATCTTATTCTGTTAATAATTATACATATATTGATAAAACGACCCTCGGGGATTGAGAATCCATGTGATTTTAAGGCTGGTTCGGGGGTAGAAGAGGGAATGTTATGTACGACATGGGGATAGATGTACTCCGTAAGTTAACCTAGAAGGTATAAGGCGGTGACAGCGGCGGTGAAACAGGCGGTGGATTAGGCGGTAAATCTTCACTATGGGCAAAATTTGTTTGGAGCCTGAGGCCTTAACAGACTGCCGTAGAACAGGCTATCTGCTATCGGTTGATCTACAGTCCGGAGTAACTTACTGACATGCAAGAGTGGCATATTCCCGATCTGTCCTGAAACACCAAGCGAATCAATCCTGCACAAGTTGACAAGCCCATCGACATAGCCTTGGAGAAATCTCCAGATCCGCCGCATAACCCCCGGATTTGGTGTATCACTAATCCCTGGCCTAACTGGGCACAAGCCGAGGTCCGACTGTGGGGAAAAAAGGCCCTTGGATCAACAACCTCCTTTATATTCACTGCCTCCCCCTCCACATTCTCTGATCGGTCATCCAACACTCACGATGCCGCTGCCTAAAGAAGAATATCTGAGCAACTCCTGGAAGGATGGGATCTTTGGTGGGTAGACCAGACCCTGGTCCGAAATCCACGCTAACAGACGCAGCAAACAAAGTGGTGTTCTGCACCGGGGGTGCCGGCACCATCTGCAGCGCCCAAGTCCGGGCTCTAGTCCATCTCGGCGCCAACGCCTGCATCATCGGTCGCAATGTTGAGAAGACTGAGCGTGTCGCGAAGGATATTGCGACTGCCCGGCCTGGTGCCAAGGTTATTGGCATTGGTTCTGTGGACGTACGCAAGCTCGACACCTTACAACAAGCAGTCGAGCGCTGTGTAAAGGAACTTGGAGGCATTGATTTTGTCATGTACGCCAACTCAAAAGCTGAAATGCTGTTTCGATTTGCATGCTAATAACACCGGACAGCGCTGGAGCGGCGGGCAACTTCCTCGCCTCCATCGAGCAACTATCAGCCAACGCTTTCAAGTCTGTCATGGATATTGATATCTTGGGATCTTATAACACTCTCAAGGCCACCCTGCCACACTTGAAGGAGTCCGGAAACAAGCATAGAATGGACTCCAAGTCTCGTGAGTGAATCGTTGCACTACTGAATTTGAATTTCTTGAATCTTGCACTAACAACCCTCCAGTCAAGCCTTCGCCGATTGGCACCGGCGGAAGAATTATTTTCGTCAGTGCTACGATTCACTACCGGGGAATGCCCTTCCAGACCCACGTGTCGGTCGCCAAGGCCGGCATCGACGCCTTGTCCCACAGCATCGCCATCGAGTATGGTCCTCGTGGCATGACCTCTAATATTATTGCACCCGGGCCTATTGCTCAAACCGAGGTAACTAACGACATAGCCCTCAGTCCCAAGCCCTTCAACTAATCGTTCTCCTAGGGCCTGGAACGTCTCCTCCCTTCAGATGCCATGGAAGCTTACACCAAGGCCCAACCACTCGGTCGCTTTGGCCACGTTCGCGACATCGCTGACGCTACCGTGTATCTGTTCTCCGACACAGGCAGCTACGTTACTGGACAAACACTTGTTGGTGGGTTAAGACAATACAATATAACATGCTTGGGAACTAGTGCTAATACATCTACAGTCGATGGCGCAAACTGGCGCATGTCAGCGGGCGGTGCCTCTGGTGGTAAGTTGTCGTACCCAGACTTCTTGCTTTCTGGTGATGAGGTACCCAATGTTACTGGTAAGAAGGGTTCCAAGCTTTAAATGTGTGCAAGGGAATATTATAGGATCACAGAATGAGGCCTTTTGGGCTTGCTCGTTGAATCTAAAATGGCCTGCAAATACTATAGGAGTATTCTGATGTAATTTTCCCTGTATTCATGAAGCATACTTTGACAGCGGCACGGAAATTTATTCTTGCTGTGAGTGAGGTATGAAAGCATAGTCTGATCCATTTGACACCGAGCTCTCCCTGCTCCTAGTCACAAGCGTAGGCTACATAAATATAATTCAGTGATCCAAGACCTGCTAGCATGTCTATGGATTCCGACCTGTCACCGGTTATATCAGCAATAATCCAATAAGCCAATGCAACAATATCTCCAACTGGGCAGTATCTCGATCTACTGTGACTATGTTTGGCAAGTAATCTTGCGAAGTGTAATAATCCACTCACAGCTCTTGTCCCAAAACCCGTTTATTATGCAAATGACTGACTACATGCCATAGCAGTGATCCGAGCTCGAACTGTACTTATACATAGGGGAGATACTGCAATATACTCGCTCAACCTGACCAACGCTCTGCTTTCTTTTGAGTCGAAGTCTCGCCCCGGCTGGAATAGTGCCTCCAACATGTCTGACTTGAACATCTTGGTCTTACTGGATTGCTACGGAGCCCAGAAGCTTCCCTTGAGACAAACTAAAACTCCAGCACTGCCTCCTGGCGCAGATTCGCATTCAAATCAGCGGCGCTAACAGCAATTAAAATTGGAACACAGGTCGCTCTCACATCAATGACACATTTTGCTTACCTTGCTTGATTGCAGGACACGCCATTTACCAAGACATCCAGCCGATCAATCCTTCCCTACCTACCAGACCGTCGATTGAGATAGTCCCATGCCAGGACATCCATGACTTACAAAAAGAGGCAGAACAATGCGAGAGCAGGAAGCTGGAATACAGAGGACAGCCAGGACCATGATTTGTCTTTTCTGGGACTTATACGAAAGATCTGCCTGAGAATGGCACTCAATGCTATCTAATGGTGGCACCTTGTCCAAGAGAGAGGATCTGGATATCCACCTTACCCCCTGGCTCTGTTTGATTAGCATAAGCGACGGTACTGCTGAAAAGATGCTGCAAAAGCCGCTTTCGTCTGAACGTGCCTCAAACCGTGCAAATCAATGCCCAAAGCTCCCATTGATTTCGTTCAAAGACACTATACAGAACACAGGATGTACTCAGGACTGGCGTTAGGAGTCCATGTCCAACCTGGGATGACCCAGGCCTAGACACAGGACTGTGTTCTCCACTCTAGCTCTTCCCGATACAAGGTAGCGCAATTAGATCAATGGAATCTTCCTGGGAAAAAAATACGATGAATCTGAAGATATTTTATTGGCTACGCTTCCGCTCAACTCCCTGTAGACATGTCGATCGCAAGTTCATGATCTCGACGTCCTGGCCTTCACATTTGACAGGGAAACGAATTCAGACGGATCCTTTCGTACAACAAACAGTTACCCATAGATATTGTGTAAATCTATGAATGACCCAAAGGAAGCGCTGGTCCGATCCTTAGGCACTGCATCGTGGCCTTTCACCACAGCTTCTCGAAGGGCTCGGCCCATGCGAGACCAGAGCACTGCCGCAAAGGCCTGGGAATGAGCTGACACAGCTTGATGCAGTAGAAAAGCCGTAAAATGATGAAGTACTCGCTCTTCAAACTGCCTCGACGTCTTTGTTCGCTACACAAAGCGTTGAGACCCCGCTTGATGCTGCTTCTTTGTCTTCTTTGTTCTTCGAGGCTGACGGTAGTCTGCCGCAGCAGATAAAGATAGTGGGCCCGTTTGGAATAATGAACAGAGTTTGAGGGTGCTTTAAAACACACCTGCAAGGGAGATTTGTCTCGATTCCAGCTAGTGTGCCATGTCGGGTATGATCCTCCCAAGTCTCAAGGTGCGATCGCGGTTCGAGGCATGCCAGTCCGAGGCATCATGCCTGTAGATGAATGGATGAAAATCACTAGAATAATACTTTTGATTAGCAATGAAATGATCGGTATAGGGGCGTAGCAGCTTAGTGTTCTCTCGGTCGGCTGTGGCTGCGGTCGGGAAATTGACTTCGAAGGGCCCAGGCTGAGTAACCTCGATAGCCATCCATCCAGCTCTCTTCATCCAGGTGTGTTTTTTGAGACGAAATGACATTCTGGGTTGTAGACATTAGACAGACCATGACGTAGAGCCGTGGCTCAAGACCGGAGAATTTACGCGGCTTGGCATGTGGGATGGGATGCCAAGACGGGTACTACGGATCTACCCGCCCCCCCCCACACGAGTCTATTTAAACGTTAATTTTAGCTACAGGTCTTCAGTTCAATTAGAGAAATTTTTGATTGTCTCGAATGAGACCATGGTAAAAAAAATATGAAGGCCTGAACTTCAATGAGGATATGGACCAATATGACTTCAGGACTACATGGCTGCATGGCCGAACAAGAAATGAATAGAGGCATCTTGAGTGTTTATCTTGTATTACTACTGTTTGTTCAGTCTATATAAAGTAGGAGCGACCCGGCTCAATAGAACTGCCATGGTGAAAAGAATGACTCAATTACTGTTGTTTCATGCCTTTGTTCACATGTGATCAATGGGGATTGTTTAATTAGACAATACAAAGGGTAAACGAACAAAGACATCGAGGGTGCAAGTTTGATTGGACAATATGGAGGGTAAATGAGCAAATAAATCGAGTGAGAAAGTTTAATTGGACAATATAAAAGGTTAATGAGCAAACAAATTGAGAGGAAGGTTTAATTAAAAGCAAACGCTGCTATGCGCATGACCTGCGCCGTTGCCTGGTTTCCCAGAAGGGTCGAGGGTTGACTATTTATTCGCTCTCTTCTCCTTTTCCTTTCTTCCTTTCTCCCACAACGTTTGTTTACCTTCTTCTCCTGCCACCCACAACTTGTTTACCTTCTTCTCCCATCACCCACAACATTTGTATTCCTTCTTCTCCCACCATCCAAGAAACATTTGTTGTTCCACAAGTGACTGTATCAACCTCATCTTGCTTCATCAATAGTAATGGACAGGCGTATCTCTCGCAGCACGGCCGGTGATGATGGTATGTCCATCGATCCGGCCCCGCTTGACCCTGCACCTTTTGATCCGATGACTGCTCCTGCCTCTTCCCCCTACCCATCTTTCCACCCTCCCTCCTCCGAATCCTTCAACTACACTCCTCCGCAAGGGAGTGGGGTGTTCCAGAACCTACTGGCCACCGAGGCTTCTCAACCTCAGCCTCGTCGTCGAAAGGTAAGTTTTCAACACGCACTCATGCAGGCTGCTGTGTCTCAGGCACAAGTAGCAATCAAGAGCACGGACGCTAACTTTTACCATCCCAAGACGCCACGGTCTGCTGAAGAAACTCATGAAGATGAGTTTGAAGAGACCAAGTATCGCAGGCGGCGCTCCATCAGACGGAGCACCGACAAAAAGCGTTTCACCGCGGTAGATGCCGCTGAGATAATGAGGCGCCAAGAACTTCATGAAACGCTCATGGTCGAACAGGACCTAGCCAAGAAAAGGGTAAGACTCCAACAAGCACTCATACAGGATGCTGTGTCTCAGGCACAAGAAGCAATCAAGAAAGCAGATGCTAATTCTTATCAGTTCAAGAGACGACACGATACCCAAGAAGATCAGCTGAATGAGTCTGAAGCGGTCATTGACCGCCAGAAGCGCACCATCATCCAAAGCACCGATAGATCGAAGCGTCGCAGCACTGCAGATAACAAAAGGTCGCAAGAGCTTGAAGCCCGCGAAGAGCATATCTCCCTGGCGGAGATGCGACTAGCCGAGGCAAATGCAGAGAACGCTCGAATCACTGTCCTCGCTCAAAAAGACAAATCTTCATACAGCAAGCAGCTGAAAGACATGGAAGCACGGATCATGTTTCTAGAAGGAGAAATTGAAGATCCCGGTGCAGATTTGCGATTTGCCAAGTCACAGGCCAAGGCCGAGAAGGCTGACTGGCGCCTTCTCTATGAGGCGATGAAGAGCACCGAGGGCCGCCGGTCTGAATGCTTTGTTCGCATGGATGAAGCTGCTCGGCATCTTGACGAGATGATCTCCGTTATTTCAGACAAGTTGAAAGGTATTGACCGAATCATGGTCAACCGTTACCCGCCAGATCCGCCTGATCCACCCCCTCCTGATGATTGTCCCGGTCTCGTGTCCAGGGCTCCCAAGTCCAGGGCTCGCAAGTTCACTGATCGCCTGTCTCCCGCTGACGAGTCCACTACTCGCAATCCCCCTCCCCCAAAACACCGCAAGAGTGTGCCTGTATCGCATACCTTCGGAATCCAGAATCTGAATCTTGACTGCAACTACCCCGTTCCGACAACAGAAGACACTACCGGCAACACATCGTTTGCAGCAGATGATGAATTACAGACCTTCGGTCTGCAGGGTTTGACTCTTGATTGCGACAACGACAATCCCCGTTCTACAGCAAAGGACACTACCACCAACTCTCCCCCTGCAGATCGTCGCAGGCGTCGCCGCTTATTCTCGTTGCCTGAATACCGCAGACGTGGCTATCGCACACGATCACCTGAGCCACTCAAGCATGGTCGTCGCTCACGATCCCCTGCACAAAGCAAGCGTGGTTGTCGCTCACCCATCTTGGGTGTTGAGAAGTCAAGACTTCCTGGCGACAACCCTCGTCATGCAGCAGATAATGTATTGCAAACTTTCGGTCTGCAGAGTCTAAGTCTGGGAGGTAGCGACCCCCAGCCAGCAGCGAAGAAGAACAACAACCCCCCTTCTACCAACCCCCCTTCTACATCAGAGGATGTATTGCAAACTTTCGGTCTGCAGAGTCTAAGTCTGGGAGGTAACGACCCCCAGCCAGCAGAGAAGAAGAATGGAGACAACCCCTCTTCTACATCCGAGGATGTATCGCAGACTTTCGGTTTTCAGCGTCTACGCCTGGGAGGCAACGACCCCCAACCAGCAGCGAAAAACAACAACCCCAACCCCCCTTCTACATCCGAGGATGTATCGCAGACTTTCGGTTTGCAAGGACTCAGCCTGGGAGGCAACGACCCCCAGCCAGCAGCAAAGACTGCTGATGCCAAGTCCCATTCTGCAGCTCGTCGTCGCAAGCGCGGCGGTTTATCCTCATTGCCTGAAGAACGAAAGCGTCGCTATAGCTCACGATCCCCTGAGCTACGTAAGCGTCAGCGCATAGGCTACGAGTTGTTTGGTGAGCGATCAAGACGACTTTCTGACGACTACCCACCGTCTACATCAGAAGATTTGTCGGGGACTTTCGGTCCTGGGCGTCTCATTCTTGATGGCAGCATCCCCCGTCCTACAGCAGAGATTACTACCAACAACCCCCCATCTGCAGCAGGAAATGCCACCATCGAGACGCAATCAGCAGGACAGTCTGCTTTGAATAGCAGCACTTTATCTGAGACTCAGCCCCCAGTCAAGCAGGAGGATGCCAACATCGAGCCCCCCTGTGCAGGACAGTCTGCTGTGAACAGCAACATTCCATCTGAGACTCAGCCTCCAATCAAGCAGGAGGCAATCAAACAAGAGGAGGCCACCATTGAGCCCTCCCATGCAGGACAGTTTGCTTTGAATAGCAACGCTGCATCTGCGACAGATCGCACAATTAAGCAGGAGGATGCTATCATCGAGCCCTCCCATGCAGGACAGTTTGCTTTGAATAGCAACGTTCCATCTGCGACAGATCGCCCAATCAAGCAGGAGGATGCCATCATCGAGCCCTTTCCCGCGAGACGGTCTGCTTCGAATAACAACACTCAATCCGCGGCTCAGCCCACGGTCAGGGAGGAGGATGCCACAATTGAGCCCCCTTCCGCAGGACGGTCTGCTTTGAACAACAACACTCCATCCGCGGCTCAGCCCACGGTCAGGGAGGAAGCAGCAGACAGACTAGCCAAAAACATTCAGCCATCCCCAACACCTTCTTCGTCCTCAGATTTCGGAGTTGGCAGTCGTGCATATGAATTAGAAATCGCAAGCAATAATATGCGCAGAGAGGACTGGTTTGAAAAACGTGGTATCCCCTATGATGAGGACCGCGACCTGAACTTGCATCTGAAAGAAGTCAACATGCCTGACGCCTCAGAAAGTGGCGAGCAATTCAACGCGGAGACAACCAGTGCCCCAGTTGATTTGGCCGCTGGCTCAGCCCTAGCGACTCTTCCTCAAGAATTACTTGCAAGTATCGATGAAGCACTCAGAGATGAGGAACAGCGACAACAACGCCCCTCCACAATTCCTGAGTCTGGTAACGCACCACCAACCTTTCACCAACCGAGCGAAACTCCCATTATTGATACCCCGATGCCCGATGCCTCCGACCTCTTCCCCTCTGCTCCTCGTCTTGCATGGGACAGAGTCCTAGACTCTGCTGGCACTGCGCCCTGCGCCCCAGAGAGAAAACGGAGTCGGCCAGTGTATGGGTTTTGGGAAGCCGACAATCGTTCCGCGAAGTCATGGGATGGGAACCTCTACGTCAAGCGGCTCAAGCTTAGCCTACCCGTCAGTCGCCCTCGTTACCTCAATGCGAGAAAGCGCTGGGTCAAGGCCGTTAAGCCCCGCGGACGTGCCCCAATCCCGGCAACGCCAGCGTGGGTTATGCCTGCAGTTGTGAGCTCGTCAGCCATTCGTGGCCCAGTTCCAGCTCAGGTTGACCCCACAATGGTTGAGCCAACTGATCCAATTGTGGTGTCAGCTCCCGTCATTGAGCAGCCCACAGTTGCGTCAGTTTTGACTGAGCAAGCGACGGCGGAGGAAGCTGAGAGTGTGCAGCCTCGCGGCCCACCCCCTCGAATCCAACGTCCGGCTCGATACACCGACACCGTGTACCGGTCTAGCTCGGTGCTTGGCCAAGGCGCCCGTGACCTTTTCCCACGACATCAGTCGTCCCAGCAAATGGGGATTGCTAGGGACTTCTTGCCGAGTCGTTGGGATCAGCGTCAGCCAGGTCGTCTTGGTCAGGCTCAGTCAGTCAATTCAAGTGTTTCCGGACGCTTCGGATTGCAGGATGCCCGTGTTAGCTCCCAGAGGGCCAACGGATCGCAGGTTGAGCAACCACGTGCGGAGAAAGTGAGCGGTCGTCAGGTGGCGGAATCTGGGCTTCCAACCCCAGTTTCTGCCCCAGCCGTTCCTGATCCAATCGTGGTCGAGCTCGACCTTCCGAAGGTCACTTTCATGGGGACTATCAGCAATTCGATGTCGCAGCTATACCTGTTCCTGTCGACCGTCTTTGGCTTCATGGCCATCCTCGGCGGGTTCTTGGTGGCGGGCATCGACATCCTGATGGCTGTGATTATCCCTGCGATCATCAGATTGGCGTTGTCCATTCTCAATGTCGTGCAGGCCATTTGGCAGGAGACTCATACCGCGGATTGGGGCCCGGTGTCTTCCTTGTCGTCGAGATTTGTTCGGCGTCACTGCCCCAGCCGTCTGCCTCTTATTCTGGCCCTCCTGGTCGTCATTGGGTACCTTGTGTACTCATTCCAGTTGCAGGGCAATGAGGGGCAGTACATCAGTCATCTGGACCACCTACGCTACGGTCGTTTTCGCGAATGGCCGTGGCTGGAAAAGATCGACTTCTGGGTGACGAGGTGGCTCGCCAATGATCGTGAGTTACTGGGATAATCTGGTGAAAGGTTGGGGGGAGCGAGAGAGTGGCAATTGAGGTTTCCTCATTGCCTGAATACTACCAAAACGCCGCCGGCAACGTCCCCGGATCATGGGATTGTCATACCCCGTCCCGGGTCACCGCGCCAAAACCACGCAGCAACAAGGCCGTTCAGACGCATTCGGCGCAGAGACTTCTGTATCACGGCAGCCAGGAGGGTTCTCGGTTGCAAGCTCGGCTTCGGTCGAGTCTTGTGGCCCCCCCTTCTCGGGATTCACATGGCACACTGTGTGCTATGTGTTTCGAGTCTATGTCGGTGTATCTTTTCGTGCTGAGTTGTTGCTTTCGCACAGCGACGAGGCCAGTTGGGCGCATTCGGCGCAGAGACTTCTGCACAGTGGCAGTCAGGAGGGCGTTTCGGTTGCATGCTCGGCTTCGGTCGAGTCTTGTGACCATCCCACCTGGGATTCACATGGCACATTGTGTGCTATGTGTTTCGAGTCTATGTCGGTGTACCTGGCTGTGTTGAGTTGTTGCCATATAACGGGCATGGGATGTTCTGGATGCATTCGGCGCAGAGGCTTCTGTATAGCGGCAGGCAGGAGGGCGTTTCGGTTGCATGCTCGGCTTCGGTCGAGTTTTGTGGCCATCCCACCTGGGATTCACATGGCACCTTGTGTGCTATGTGTTTCGAGTCTATGTCGGTGTATCTGGTCGTTCCTTGTTCGTTTCTTTGCGGAGGAGTGGGGGATTTCCTTTGTTTTTGTTTTTTTTTTTGTATGAGTATGGCGTTTTGTAATTTCTTTTGTTTTTGCTGCGTTTTATCATTTTTTGTTTGATTCTTGCGTTTTGTAAATAGATTTTGTTTGAGTCGTGTTAAATTCACGTCTTGTTTGATTCATTTCTTCCTCGGTATACAGTAGCCTCTCGTAATTATTTGCCCTTGGGTATGTAAATTGTTCGGTTGAACGTGTAAGTTACCTGGTCATCTTTCTGGTATAGATACAGTATACAGCTGGAAATCTCCAACTCTTGTATATCTCATGGCTATAAATCTGGTGTTCAGATCACAGGGTTGATAAGCACTCTCAACCATATAACGTTAACTTATAACAGAGCGTACATGTATAGACAACTATTTTTATCGAGGGTTGCGTGGACTTCATGGATGGCGCCAGTGTCCAGTCAGCAAATGTGTTCACCGCCCAATGGGAACACGCGCCACGCAGAGGCTGGCGTCACCTTCTCCACTGCTTACCGAAAGGAGCCTAGACTTATCTCCTCGCCCCTCAAGATATGTAACTTATCTTCTCTCTACTCTCAACATCTTACAGCCTGCTTCCGACCTCTTGTTTTGAGCAGCTTTCACTATGTTCGTCCGCTCTGTTCTACTGGGCGCTGTCGCTTTGGGGGCCAGCGCTGTGCTGGTGGTCCCCGAGATGGAATCCGTCGACGACGGATTCGTGAATATTCACCCAATGCTCCTGGAGGATGTTCACCATGTGGCTGTAGATTTGCCGTGCACCGAGTGCCCTTTCCGTGAAACCAAGGAAGGTTCCGTCAGCTGGACTGACGATAAACCATCACACCTGGTAAGTCCGCCATGGCTCCGTTGAGTATTTCGAGAATACTAATCAACTCATCTTTGTAGATGTTGGACTTTTCCGTTGAAGACAACCGCTTGCTTGCCAACGGCCGCCAAATTTTCCCTCCCGCTCCCCCAAGCCCCATTCATGCCATTCAGCAAAGCGACGAAGGCGAAGACTCCGAGCCTATGTCTGTTGGTTATGCTCTGGAGGTCATGCCGATGGCTACTCCATCCGACGAGCCTGACTACGAACTACTGGATATTCGTTTCACCGTTCTCGACCTGGAGACTCACCCTGTTCCGGTCGACACTGTCACAGTCACCGTTCTCGAAGACCCCAATGGCGAGCTGTTCATTGTCAAGATGGAGATTGAGAAGACCACACCCGCCTCGGACCGCATCTCCTGGAAGGAGTGCCATGGAAAAGCCAAGTGCTTGCAAGAACTTCTGGTTGCCCGCATTCGTGGCCTCTTAGATGGTGCCAAAACCCGTGTCATGGGCATGGCCAAGGCTGACCGCAAGGGCTGCCACGGCAAACATGAGCCCAAGAAGTTGGGACACCCGGGTCCGCACGGCCACCACGAAGAGGGCCCTGACAGCATGCCATTCCCACCACCACCTCCCTTCGGCGAAGAAGACTTCCAAGTGGAGGAGCTTGGTCCAGCTGGCCCTCACAGCCATCACGGCCACCACGGCTTTGGTTCCGATGCCGACCGCCCGCCTCGTCCTCACCACCACCGCCCTCACCACGGTGCCTTTACCCGCACCTTCTCCCGCGTTGTCCACTTCATTGTTGTTCCTGCTGTCCTCGGTGTTCTGGCTGGATTGACCGCTAGCGCTGTCGGTATGTTGGTTGGCCAGGCTGTGGTCTTCCTCTGGCAACGTTACCGCGGCACCAACTCTTCTGAGCACAAGGCTGCCTGGGAGCAAGGCGAAGCATGCGAAAAACAGGGCCTCATGGCCGAGTCACGCGGCTCCGAAGAGATTCTCCCGGAATACAAAGAGCCATCCGAGACCTGAGCACACCTCAACACTAACTGAACCCACGGCTTGTGGTTTTCTGTGACTCGACCTGCTGCTCCCTTGAGCAAGGGACACCGCCCGTCTGGACGGGTTCAAATCATTCTTTTCAAAACCAATGTCCAAAACGGGCATTTCTTTTCATTTCTTATTCGGTCAAATGACCTTTTTGTGTTGAGTTACTTTGTTCTATCAAGCTTGTACAGTGATTTCCCTTGTATCACCTTATCAATCAAATGTCTGTGTTCAAATGTTCTCTCAATGTAACCGGCAGCCCTCCACCGTAGCCCTTAGATGAGATTTAACTTATCAGTATGCAACTTACCTGAATGGGAGCTTCAACCTCAACTGCTCGGGACTGCTAACACTTGATTCTGAACATGCCAAGCTGTGTATATGCCCGGTCACGTGAAGTCGTCATCACGGCCTCCCCCTCTTGTCGATCCGACAACATCACCCGTCCTAGTCCTGTTGTCATGCAGGCTCAGTCCTCAGTGACGGATTATTCGGCTGGTACAATGCTACTGAAGCTTCAATTACAACCACACATGGGCTTTCTTTCATATTCCTAGCCAGGACCTCGATCTCCTGCACAAGTGCCTAGCTGTAGCTTCGACCTCGATATCATCGGATATCAGCTTCAGGACAATCTGATCCAAGTCCTCTCGTTTTTTTCTCACAATGCTACAGTGGACATCTTTCGTTCAGAAGGCCCAGAGCCTGATTGATCCCGCCAATTTCAACATTCCCACCCTATCCACGACCGACCATAATCCCTCGAAGGCCTCGCTGTTTCGCCAACAATTCCGCCTCCCCGATTCACAGAACCCACTCCAAGAGATTACCGCTGATCTTATTCTGCCTCTACCGAACTCATCGGCGACCCAAGGCGAGGGCCCACGCAAGGCCGACCGAGCTGGGAACCGATACACGGGGCGCCTTCATCTGAGTGAGCGGTTCATTTGCTTCTCCACCCAACCGACAAGCTTTGTCTCCTCTGCTACGGCAAGCGCCTCAACTACTTGGACCGGTCAGACTCATGGAACTGGTCCGTCGGGCAATGGTTTCATCCTCCCTCTATCGTGTATCCGACGAGTTGAGCGTCTCCATAGCGCCAGCCATGTATTCTCCCTGGCGCTCACAACATGGAATGGTCTGCTCAACAAACAACAAGAAGCCAACTTTGCACCTCAGCGCCTCATTTTGGAACTTGTCGGTAGCAGACAGGCTTGCGAACGGTTCTGCGACACCTTGAAAAAAGGTCTACGGGAAGCAATGAAAGAGGTTGAAAGCCTTCGGACCGTTGTCAACGATTGCTACTCTGAATACCTTTTGTCGGGCGCAAAGACAAAGGGCCAGGAAGGGGCTGATGCGGACGCCCGTCAACCGCCAGATGCGGGACTCGGCTTGATTTTCCGCTATCCTGGCGATGCACGCAAGCTACGTGATCGGAGTAAGATGAGATTGTGGGGTGAATATTTCAGAGGTAAGGACATCTATCAATTGGCCATGGCTCGCGGACCACCAACTAATTGTCTATAGAGAATGGCCGCAATGCTACGCTGGTTCGCCAACCAACTTTCCACAAGCTCATTAGAGTCGGTTTGCCCAATCGCTTGCGTGGAGAAATATGGGAGCTTACATCTGGCTCTCTTTTCCTTCGTCTGCGGTCTCCCAAATTATATCAGGAAACGCTGGTCAAATTTGAAGGACAGGAGTCCCTTGCCATCGACGAGATCGAGAAAGACCTGAACCGCAGTCTGCCGGAATATCCTGGTTTTCAGAGTGAAGAGGGTATCGGTCGCTTGAGACGTGTTCTGACGGCTTATAGCTGGACCAATGCAGAAATTGGATATTGCCAAGCCATGAACATTGTGGTTGCTGCCTTGTTAATGTACGTTCAGATTCCTAGGTCCAAGAGTGAGTGCTAACTTGACCAGATATATGTCAGAGGCCCAGGCGTTCTTCCTTCTCTCTGTACTGTGTGACCGTCTGTTACCCGGTTATTATTCAACGACCATGTATGGCACACTTTTGGATCAAAAGGTGTTCGAATCTTTAGTTGAGAAAACAATGCCGGTTCTCTGGGAGCACTTGACCAAGTCTGACGTCCAACTCTCCGTGGTTTCCTTGCCTTGGTTCCTGTCTCTCTACATCAATTCTATGCCCCTTGTCTTTGCTTTCCGTGTTCTGGATGTTTTCTTCTTGGAAGGCCCTAAAGTTCTCTTTCAGGTTGGTCTTGCCATTCTTCGAGTCAATGGCGAAGAACTCCTGGAAACCCAGGACGATGGGTCTTTCATTTCCGTCTTGAAGTCATATTTCTCACGTTTGGATGAGTCCGCTCACCCGAGATCAGAGAATCCCAAGCTTCGGGCAATCACCCGCTTCCAGGAACTGATGGTGGTAGCTTTCAAGGAATTCTCAGGCATCACACACAGCACCATCACTGAAACACGTGAAAAACACAAAGGTGCTGTGTTGGAAAACATTGAGACCTTTGCCAAACGTACTTCTATTCGCAACCTTGGCCCAGAAAGCAAGCGCTTAAGCACAGATGACCTCGGCACAATCTACGACCGCTTTTACGAAACGCTCTATCAATGGGAACAGCACCAGAGAGTTATTGAGGAAGAACAACGGCGGCAACAGAGAAAGAAATCCGAACGACTCTCGATGCTTGCCCCTCCATCGGACACACAAGTCGGCCGTGTTGGTCTTGGGCCCAGTCCATCACACATGGACTATGATGCTTTCCGAGAGTTTTTGGCTGCTACTTCCAAGTGGGCTGTGGCTGATTCACCCGGGCCATCGAGAAAGGCATCTTCATCTGGAAAGTCAGCATTGTGGGCGAACCGCCGACAGCCGGCTGATCATGAATTCATGCAGCGACTCTATCGCAAGTGGGCTACTGAACCCGAAGAAGGGTTGAACCTGCAGAATGTCGTGAACGGTCTAGCACGTCTCAAGGGATCACCTGACATTATGAATAACATCAACTATTTCTTCGACTTGTATGATGACAATGGAAACGGCCAAGTTGATCGTGAAGGGATCCTCAAAATTTCCGAAGCGCTTTTGTTCCTTTCTCGGCGAGGATTTGAGGGCACTATCACTGCAACTCAGTCCGTTGAGGACCTGAATTCGCCCAGAGATCGCGAACTTGCCGAAAATTCACTCACTACCGACGAGAAATTCCTTGGTAGTGTCAGTGCATTCATCCGCCGCTGCTTTGAATACGCGGATCCCAGTCATCCAGAAAACCAGAGGGGTACTCAGCAAGATGCCACAGAAGAGACAACAGAGAAGCTTGACTCATTTGCTATCGGTGACGATGACGAGGAAGAGGACCTGATTGATATCGACGATATCGAGTCCAAGTCCAACATGTCCCCAACACCAAACGCAATGCCCCAACCGGCACAGTCCCGAACTGAGGAGTCAGTCAGCCATGACCACACCCGCTCAACATCTGAATCTGCCAATCCAGCTCTGGACCCCAACAACCCCCTACACATTACCCTCCCCACTTTCCGAATGGTCATCCTGGCCGATGAGTTACTAGAAAAATTCTTCGAGTCCTATTTCCCTCAATCCTTCCATCTATCTGACCATCCCCACCCAGCTGCTCTCGCAGCCTCTTCCTCCCTCTCTGCCAACCTCACCACTTTCTCTAACCTCGGTAGCATCCGATCTTCCGGAGCCGGCTCCGCATCGGCCCCAGTGGCCGGTGCCTCAGGCGGTATTGTACCCCCAGGCAAAGGCCTTCGTGGTGTACTGGACAACATTGTCACAGATGGAATCCGCATGGCAGCCGAAGTCAAAAAGAGAATGGACGATGCCCAGCGCGAATTGGAGCGCAACGCTCTCGGCCGTGAAGAAGAGGACGACGAAGAGGATGATGATGACTATCCCCGCCGTGAGAGCAGCGCTGCAGCCATGGCCGGCGGAATCTCCAGTTGGGGTGCGGGCGCATATGGCGCAGGGTCCGAACGTCGCAGTGTCGTCCGCGATGCTGACCGTGACCTTCTTGAAGGTGCCGAAGTTCTCAGCGTTCGCGGGAAGGAGGAAAGCACATCCCTCTTGGACGGCAAAGAAGATACAGATTCTGGTTCCAGAAAGGCCCCCAATAATGCTGCCGGATCCAAGAGCCATGGTTCGCCTGCTGATCGTGATGGCGAAGTCATTAGCAAGATTGTTGAGTTCGAGTCATGATCTTTCTACATCCCATCTCTTTTCTCTATCAGCCATGTATGGTTTGGCTGGTTACCATCTCCGAATTTTTTTGTGTGTTACCCTTGGTCTGTTGGATCGGCTTTTTCATGCAATGCAATTATGTACTACAATACAATATTTGGTTTGGATGCGTGTCTGAGACTTTTTCCTGCATGGGCTGAGCCCACATCTTTTAGATACCACATCAGTCTTAGAAGAAAGAACCTATTTTGGACCAGTGGGCATGGAATCATTCTTTTATGTAGCAAAGTTTCGTCCTTAATTTCCTAGATACTCCAACGAGACATGAAGAATCGCAGTAAGTCACGCCAAGAGAGAAATGTTTTCCAGAAAAAAGTAAGAGATTCGTAAAGCTCAAGAACACTAACACAAGAAGTACTTGAACTCAGAGAATCGTCCAATCATAAGATGCAACGAAGTGCTCTATGTACAGCATTATCATCAAAGAAAGCATATCCAAATATGAGATCAGGCACGACGTAATGGACGCAATCAGTCATCACCGAACTTCAAAACGTAGAAGTAGAAGGGTATAGGTGATGACGAAAAGCAGAAGAAGAAAAAAGGGTATAAGAGGTTAAAAAAGGGGAATGCATAGATGAGGGAAATGCACCATCGAGAACCAAAAGTCCTCAATGTTGTAGGGTTTGAGGAAACTGGTTCACTCGCGCGATAGTCAGAAAAGTAACAGTAGGGCAAGATGCAAATGCAAAGCCAAGAAAATTACAAAAATCAAGGTAAATGTCAAGGACAGACATGGCCGTGGAATGACCAACGGACATAAAAGAAAAGGAGTTCAACCAAATTCCCAGGCGGCAACTTAGTCTTTTTGGCCCTCGTTCTCAACCAACTCGAGGACAATCTGGCTCCGCTCGTACTCTGGATGTTGCATGCAGATTTTCACCGTGTTACCAACAGAACCCGACGAAACCCCGTCAGTAGCACCGGAGAAACCGCTACCAAGTCTCATCGAACCACCAGTATTTGCCTGTGCATTTCCATCCAGCGAGCCAGGCATCTTGCTTCCGTCATCGAGACAGACAACATTGTGACCGGGAATTACCTGGCGCAAGCGACCATTCATTGCGTTGCGGACTTCAACAAAATCCTCATTAAAGAGTATCAAGAAACGTCCATATAGGCAGGCAGTGTGCGCACAGCCAACGAACTCCATGACCACGCTGCGAGAAACATCGCCGTGTTTGTTGACGTAGACGGCGCACTCTTGATAAGCAACAAGGAACTCGCTGTCGCTAAGGCGGAACATGCCCAATGGCTTGAGGTCTCTGATGCGATTGGCGATGCTGTGGAGGGTGTCCTGAGCATCCGAGACCTCGTTAGTGCGGAAGTCTGGTACAGACCATGAATGTTTCTTGTCGAGGGTGAGAACCTCGATGCCCTTTTGAGTGGAAATGGCGAGTGATGAGTGGAACATGTTGATTCTGTAGGTCTCGGCGGGGATATAAAACTCGTCGTACTCGCGGAAAAATTCCGTTTGTGATCGACGCGAGGTGAAAAGGCGGCTTTTGTTTGTTGCTGATTTTTGCAGAACGGGTTCGAGGACCTTGAAAAAGAATCAGTACAAATTGAATTACCTGGGGTCTCAAGTATACACACCTTGAAGGTAGACGAAAGACCATCCCGCTTCTTGTACAATACCAAGTACCGGTCCTTGAGACGACCAGCAGCAAAGAAGCCGACTTCGCGGTTTCCCGACAGTTTCTGCGGAGCTCGTCGAGCAGAATCCTGAGACGACTGCGTGGTAGACCCACTGGCGGGGCATACCACGTCAAGGTGATATGCGATCAGAGAACGATCAGAAATGAGCAGTAGAAGATTGAATTCCTCGAAGACAGCAACTTGAGTAACCCGCATGATTGGAATAGCTCTGTACCACCCGCGGGGGTTGTTAAGCTCAGACATGTAGACACCGTATTCAGTGCCAATTGCACACATAATTCGCCCGGGAGGCTGTTGAAACACCGTGGCACAGGTGACAGAAGTTTTGCATACTGGGGTTGGTCTAGGCCCAGAGCTTTCATATTGTTTTTCAACCTCCTTGATTGCACGATGTAATGGTGTGCCAGTGATGGTGACACTTTTCGAGCCAGGAGACTGGTCAGAGTATGCAAATGCAGTATCTGCAAGCACACGTAGTCTGAATGGTTCTGCATTCTGTGAAAATAGTGCAGCCGCATGTTTCGTCTTAGCTTCGATAATCTTTTGGCACCATTCCATGCGGTTCTGAGCGGAGTAAGCATAGAGAGTGTAGGTTCCTTCTTTGCCAAGGTGCTTGATCTTGAAGGGGTAGAGAATTTTGTCATCTCTTGAGTTATCCACGACGGTAATGCCTGAAGAGGAGGGACCAGTATGGGTCAGGGGACTGACAACACCTTGGGATGGAGTGACCGTCGAAACACCACGAACTGAGGATTTAACAACTGGGTCGTCGTTGGTGCTTTCAAGGCCTAGAAGATCCATCGGAATGGGTAATTTTGAGACGTCATATCGTTCGTATTTGACTGCCCGATCCCGCATGGTGAATGTCTTTGCTAAAACCAGGTAATGATCAAAGAGTATCGCGTGCGTTTCCACGAGGAACCTTGTGCGAGTTCCAGGGCGTTGAAGATCACCCCGATGAATGATCTGTCGACCAAGGTGCTCAAGGTTGAGTTCAACTTCCTTCTTCATATCAGGTCGCAATTGAAGTTTGGCTGCTAGTTCCATCAAATTGGCCTTCTTGTTCATTTCTCCAACCTTATTATCACACTCCAGAGCAACGATCTTGATCTCTTCGATAGCCTGAGCAACATTCGTCTTTTCTTCGGAATCCTTCACCATGTTCTTGTGCACAGTTGCCAAGAGAAGCGTGTAACGCTGAATTCGGGTAATGGGAGCCTTGAGAAAGGTATCCCAACTGAGCCGGTTCGATAATTTATGTTCTCGTACCTGATTCAAGAACTGTTTGAAATGCGGGTTACGCTCGGCCTCTTTCCGCACAAGGTAATTGGCAGTAGGGAAGGTTGCGGCATAATCAATGTAAACGGTCTTCGCCTTGCGGATCCATTCCCTGAAAATGTCACTGAAACCAGTAATGAAGGGGCCCTGCTCCTTTTGACGGTATTTGAGCTGTGCCAAGAGATAGTCCTCATTGACCTTCTTCACTGCATCAACCTTGCCGAAGACATCCAACAGAAACTTCGGCAGTCGCTTGGTAGGGATGATTGATGGGTTCATGCCAGCCAGTTGATCACGATAAAGTTCTCGCAGAACATCCAGTTGCCCAATATATGAGTCTTCTGTGGTGACAATCTCGTGCAAATTGTTCTGTCGATCAACTTCTTTCCTGGGATGAGACTCCCATACCTCTTTCGGTACCTTGTAGAAGGTCACCCAATCCTCGATTTTCTTTTGCGGTGCCATCGTCTGTGCCTTAAGATTGACCTTCTTCAGCGTTCGCATGCAATGATGCGAGTAGCATCGACCAAAGCTATCGGTATCTTCGATGTGCATCTCCTGCAGATGGAGCCTGGCAGAGTAACATCCGGTTCCAGTGATCTGGAACAGGACACCAGAGAGACTACCGGAGCCGAACTTTACCCATTCCTCTTCCTTGACTAGTGCCCCTTCTTCAAGCATACCGTTGACAATACGAGAAGCCAAAGTTTCGGCATCAGCAATGTTCATGGTAGGCACCTTGTGAGTAAACAAAGCTACAATTGCGTCGGCAATTGCTTGCTCTTTGAGATCAGTTTCATCCTCGGATAAATCGCGAATCCAGGACAAAATAGAGCTCAAAGCCCACGGCTCGTGACACTTTTTGAAATGTTCCGAGGATAGCTTTGCAGGGTAGAACCTCTTGCGGCGACCAGCCGGGATGCTTGGTAGATCCAATGTGACAGCAGCTGCCGCCGCTTCAGCCGGATCTATATGAGGGAGTTCTTTATGTCGGAGTTGCAACATAAGCTCATGCTGCTGCTGCCTATATCTGACTCGATCTGCATCGGTTTTTGACCTGATGGGCGGATCGGAACGAGGTCCAATGGGTGTCGACAAAGACGATGAACGTGGAACTTGGGACGGGCTGAGCAGAGCATCGCCGTATGAATCCGCAGAAACTGGCAAAGAAGAGTTGGCGTGATATTGGGAATAGTTATTCAAGTCCTCTTGCTCATGGTGACTGTATGTACCTGCAGGCACCAAATAAGAGACGAGATCAGTATTGCCAGCCGGTTCGACAGGTGCGGGTGGAAGTGGACGCATCCCGGGGTGGAAAAAGAGGTCTTCATGGGCGGCTCGGTGAGGACTGTCATCCTCTGATTGATATGCAGAATGAGGCTGGTCATATGGCGATTCTCCTTCATCGCCATAGTCGAAGCTCATACGACGACCATAGGCGTCGGGTGCAGATAGGCCTCCCGTGCCACCTGCATCCACCCTAGCGTCCGGGTTAGGAGGCAGATGATGGAGGCGGTTAGCATACTCATATGCAATGGGGGGATGTTCGTAGTCATCATAATACTCCCCGCGCTCATCAGGGGAGACGTTGGAGCTTCTAAACGAACCAGATGTGCCCGTGAATCTAGCATCACCGGCGATATCCGAGTACTCCTCAGCAGTGTAAACAGGTTCTTCGCCGTAGTGCAAGTTTCCCGAATAGCCCCCCTCATACAATGCAAGATCATGGCCAGTGTACTCCTGATCTTGATGATGATCGGAAAGTGGTGAAGGTCCTCTCGGAGAAATGTTGGAGCCACGAGAGCTGAGAACCGATGCATTGGTCTCACGTCGAATCCGCCCTTCAATACGCTCACGGCCACGCTCCTCGCGTGCTCTTTCTTCCTCGTCTGCCATTTGCATCATAGCTAGTCCAGCTGCAGCCTCGGCATCACTTTCGTCACTGTAGGCATCGTAATTGACATAGTTCCCCGTACCTGTGTCCATGTTTCCGTTTGTGTGCGTATGCTGTTCATCGGGCGACAAGCGAGGGCGCGAACCAGCAGTTTGATGGGATGCCCGTGAACTGTGACGCCGGGCAAAATTCTGGGGGTCTACTGCTGCTTCAACCTCTTTCATAAGATCTTCATATGCCACAGGTGGGTCGGAAGGTAAGTGATTGCCGTTTATTTCAGTCTCTGCGTCAACTGGTGGCCCAGGAAGAGGTCGCGACTGAGGATGGCGAGTCAAGGTGTCGGTTCGTCTCGGCGGAATTTGAGGCAAGTCAGGCTGCATCGGAGGGGTGGGTAGGGTCCGCCCAGCTCCAGCCTGAGATACACTCGGCCGTTTGCTATACAGACCGGTTCCTTGGCTCTGATGAGCTGGCGGCTCCGGGGGAAGATCATCAAAAGAGGCGCCGATATTCAATGCTGTATACTGAGGGGACTGTGAATCATACGCAGATCCTTGTGTAGCATAGTAGGGCCGAGACGAATTTGGAGGCATGGTCATTGTGCCTGGCGAATTCGATGGCACATATGAAGGCGAAGGAATAGGTGACATGGCTTGATATGCTGAAGGACGTCCTCCATACGGGTGATCCGGCCCCCTTGGCGGTGGCAGAGGTGGTTGCTGTGAGGGAAAGCTGTAGGAGTGTGGGGTTGGTGGTGTCTGTCCGTAGTGCGATGCTATGCTCTGACTCCTTGGCAGAACTGGAGAGCTCAATCCCGAGACTGCGGCAGACTGATATGCTGCAGGGTTGTACGGTTGGTGACCTGAAGCTGGAGTCGCATAGGAGACATTGTTTGAGCCGTTGTAGTTCAGTGGGTTGTAAGCGAGGGCTGGCTGGGATTGCGTGTGGGGGAGGCCGTATTGCTGGGGATTATAAGCAGGTTGGTTCGTTGACGTTCCGGAGTACTGGTATTGGTAAGACATGGTGGAGGTTTGTGAAGAAGCGCGACTGGGAGACATGCGCGACATGGCATCTGACGAAGCGCGTGAATATCTGGAGCCCCTGTCGTCATCAAAACCACCCTGCGCGGCATTGTAACTGCCTTGTGCGGCATACTGTGCGTTTCCTTCTGCCGCTCGTGCATTCTGGGCTTGGGCCGAGTTGAAGAACCCTGAATCATCCCCAGCATTGTAACTTGGCATCCTGCGAGGCAGATGTTGGTTTGGCGCGGGGTTTTGTTGAGCTGCGTAGCTCTCATAGCGACCTACTGTTGGCTGAGCGGGTGCTTGGGCATTCGTGGGCTGGCCATAGTATGCCTGCTGACCATTTGGATATTGTGCCATGGCTTCGGAGGCCTGGCACCGACTCGGCGTTTATTCGGCTGAGCGCGAGACGTTCAGGACTGCGATAGAGGCTCTGTTGCGAAATTCGTATGCCTCAGTCGATCTTGGGGCGAGTGACTGGAAAAACGAGCGACTGGGGGAGGGTGACTGAGTCGAATGAGGGGGACTACGCAGGCAGGTGACAAGAGGGGAGCTGGCTCTGGGCATCCCCACACGGTAGTAAACCGCGAAGCGTAATCTGTTGTATAAGAAGCCAAGGCCAGCACAAGTGTGGGGGGTTGGAGACAATGTTACGATAGGATTCAGCCGCGCCCACACTAGTCGGGGGTTCAGGGACTCGTGGTTCCCCACCGCCAACGGCAGAACGGAAGTGAAGTGTTGGCGGCCAACCTGGAGGTGCTATGGTATACTTGTATTTGTTTAAGCCGTCTCTCATGGCGCCTCTCATTCTGATCGAAGCTCATGAGACAAATCTTAGGCAGAATGAAATGTCAGTCCCCTGTCAGTCTATCGAAATATATCAACAAAAATGTACGAATGATGTTCAAGGCCCTCTTTGCTAGCAATTTCGATGCCAATCACAGTGCTCTCTATCTAGTGATGAATTGAGACATATCGAGTAAAATATCTACAGCATGTGGCACTCAACGAGGCTCCAAAATCATCAGAATAGGAGGTACGTGGTGAATACTAAGGTGCTTCAGGAAAGGCGGTAAGAAGAGCGGTGAGACATCTAAACAGTCCACGGGTGGGAACTAACTTATGCCGTAGCCACACCAGTTGGGGGGATTCAGTCATTGCAAGTCAAACTTTGCCTCATCAAGATAGATAGATAGTGCTATTGATTGCGCCTATGAAAACCGTGACACTATTTGAAATTGCTGATATTTCCAGCCAGTCAGTGTGAGTAGCCTCTCCTACCTGGGGCGGATTGAGCCTCGCCCACAATGCAAGCCAATACCTCACGAGGCATTTCTACTGCCTTTTTCTTACCTACAGGCATAGAGTAGGATGTGGCCATCCACAAGAAAGGCTTAAACTTTGTTTTTCGCAGTTGTAAAATATCTAGGTTTATTTTCATGCCACCTGGAGCTTCCTAGGTCATTACCGACCGTTGCAAAGCTGGCCCTTGATATTATTCCTACTAGTTGTAAAGTCTGGGGAACATCCTAAGCTTCTGCAGCATATATGAGACTTGCTTTCACTAGTCTTGTTGCATTTGCCACCGTTGATTGCGTTTTACTTCCCAGCCCTCATCCTCAGCTGTTGGCGCTAGAAAGAGATCTTGGAATTTCGATTCACTGACTGATGTGGTGGCTAATGGCTGCTCTGATACACCAGTGAGGCTTGAATTGAGGAAGCCCTCAATACAGCCGGGAGATACTCGAGGATGTGAAACTTAGCATTAGGGATCGAGTGGCTGTTCTCAATGTCATGAGACATGGATGCGGAAATGCAGCACGAAAAAAGATTAATGATAATTTTCCAGATTTAGCTGGGGTTTCCAGCATCCTCATCCTCTGGTTGAAATATTTACCTCCGACGACCGCAAGGATTCCCCGCATGATCTGCAATCACCTCGTAGACACGTTTTGCATATCAACGACGATCGCTCGATCGATGACATGAAACTGAGCTTGGATTCTCTGACGCATAAGAGCGTTTTTACTTCTGAACGTCTTCAGTGAGCATGGTATATGATGTGCAAAGACCGAATTTACCCTCAGCATACCCCTCCCTTTACTAATGATACACAAGGCAACGTACATCGATGTAGCCTTGGCGCAGTCAAACGGCCCGGCCCGTGCCGCCTGACCCATGGTCCCACAAACGTCTCTTGTGCATATACAGCGGTCTGTTAAGTTAACAGCATACCATAGTCAGAGCTGTAGGCCATGGTCACATAATGCAGCTTAAAGTCTACATAAAGTGAGCGAAAACAAGGACCACAGGTCTTTGACATCCCTACAATTTTGACCCAACATTCTTCAGCAACTTTGATCTGGGTTATTTTCTAATAAGCAAAAAAGATACAAGAAAAGAGAACCAACAAAGGGGAGGGGGGGATCGATCAACAGTGCAGTTAACTTGAGACTGTTGTATAGACTCTGTTCAATCCCTCATAGCACTATCCACACACTGGAGACCACGTATGGTAGCTGTCCAAAAATCCAAGATATCATTTCCTTCTTGAGACTGGTGATTGAAGTGCAGCATTCAAATATGACGATTGGAAAGTTTGCCATCTTGAAGTGTCTTTTGAGCGAGAATTTCTTCCCTCCATCCCCAACCTAGGGCAAATGCTGCACCTGGACCGAGAGTGATAGTAGCACCAATCAAAGCGCATACCGACTTCCACCATGATGGACCATCCTGTTTCATCTCCAGGAACCGAAGCCCGAGCCAGAAATATCCAGACGCCATAGAGATCAGCTCATCGTACTGAAGGAACGTTGCAATCCCAGCGGCAAATGAGGGAACAGGCTCGGTGTGCCCACACAGACTGGGAAAGAAGATAGAGACAAAAGATGTGCCACGAGGAGCTGAAATTCGGGCATAAAGGAAAGTCAATCCTGAGATTGCGGCCATAGTGCCGTATGCACAACGGACATAGAATATATTATTCTTGCTGCGTCTTTGTCTCTCGGTAGAATTGGGTTGAGAGTTTTGGTTTCCACAGAAATAGAAGGGGAGCTGGAAGAGAGGTACAATTATGGGAAACAGCTGCCAGAAAGCATTGTACGATCGGCGAGACTGAAGGGTGGAGGCAAAGAAGTTACCGAAAGTTGGCAAATAGTATCCTGCGAGCATGGCTGGCAAAAAGGACTTCAATGCGGTGACCTTGATATTGCGATTTTCTCCTTGAGTGAGACTGGAAAGAGGGGAGTGGATGTACTCAATCGCGTAGTATAAGGGGGCAATTTTGCCGATTCCCTTCAGCTGAAACGCGATCCCCATCACGGTTGGTCTAATGAAAGAATTAGCCTTCTCACAAAAACCTAAGACCACACAAGGAAATCATTCCATATTTCTGAGACTTACAGCAATACTTCAAAGCTGGATTTTCCTTTCCGATAACTTTCAAGTAGCCAGATCCCGTAAATCGGGCCAATGTCAGCCATGAATGAGATCATTTGTGCGTATGATCTCGGATCTGAGCCGCTTATAGAAGGCAAGAAGCAACAAATAAGAGGCATAAAGGTCTTGTCAAGGAAAGAAATGTTATAGATAGGCCTGAACAGATTCAAACTTTCTCCGTTGCTTGCGGTCCAAGAGCCCTGGCGAAGTATGGACCCCAAAAAGGGCCTCAACTTGTGTAAAATCGCCCCCATAGTAATTTTAGAAACATAGTGACATCCGATCAGGGGTGCAGTCCATAAAGCCCGTCTCCAAGCCGTGTGTTCATGATCGGGGTTCAATTGAGAGTGAAGTGGCATGGAGCATTGAGATGCTCGTGGATTGAGTGGGACATTGTCGAGCTTTTCTGCCCCAAAAAGCGTTTGAGACATCTTGTCAATGAGTAGATGACTCATGAAAGGCAGCAGATACTGAGCGATCAACTTGTCTTTGATTGTTGCTCCAGCTTCAAGTCGTGTCAAGCCGTTTGCCTTGGTCCAGACCTCTTTTGCCCGTGGCTGTCGTGCTGTTTGCCAGTTATATAAGCCAGCCTGAATTCTTGTGAGAGGAATGTAGTTGCTTGAGGACTCTTTGCTCAAAGCAGCGAGATGATTAGCTAGCGCAGCAGCACTCTCAATAGCACTGTTACCGCCTTGACCCATATTAGGAGTCATCTGTAAGTACTTCGCATTAGAAAATCTTCCAATGATCAAAGCAAAACACTTACTTTGTGAGCCGAGTCACCAATGCAAACAAATCGGTCTATGCACCAACGCGTGTAGAAAGCTTCCTCCAAAGCAAGGAAATTCTTGGACACAACATTTTGATAAACAGCAGAGAGGGTCACACTGTCCGTGATTGAAACATGAGCGTGTTTGTTGATATGCTCTCCGAGGTCTTCCTTGTCGAATCTGGGGATTTCTGAAGCAGAGTAGACACGATCCATCTTGGTAAATAAAAACCAGAAAACACGCCCTTCCTTGCCCACAACTACCAAGGTCGAGTAGCCATCTGCAAAAGTACGATGACTTTGTCCGGGCACTAGTCCTGGAGTTGCAGTCGATATTCCAAAGACGCAGGAATACTCAGATGACATGCCTATAGCGATTAGAATATGTTCAAAAACTGTGGGTGTAGACTCACGAGCTTGTTCTTCTATTGATTGTTTTTCCAAATCGATAGAGCTCATGTATTTCCACATCTCTCGTCTCACTGTACTCCTCACACCATCGGCTCCAACGACTATGTCACCCTCGAAAACAGAATGGTCTGTACAGTGAACCCGCACTTTCTCCGAAAGGTGCTCGACTCTGGTAACCCTCTTATTGGTATGTACGCAACGATCTCCATCTTTCAAGTTTTTGTATAAGACCTCCAGCAAGATCTGGCGATCGAGAAAGGTAATTGGATATCCATGCCTATGAAATTGTTGGGGCTTAATCCCGCACACTTAGAAACGATTGAACTTGCATACCTTTCATGAATGATCTGAGGGGCATTCGTCTTTGATATCATCTTGCCTGCTGCGGACCAGGTACAGCCGTGTTGTAGAGGCTCCGTTGCGTCAAGGATATCATCGAAAATGCCCAATTGGTCTAAAATGCGACCACCATTGGGAAGAATTCCAATTGACGCACCTACCTGAGGTGCAATTTCGCAATTTGATTCGAGGATAACAAAATCGATGTTGTTTTTGAGCAAGCAGTGAGCCAGAGTCAAACCAGCAACCGATCCGCCGACTATAATCACGCGAAACTTTTCGTGCTTGGTTGCCATACTGATAAGGCAAGAAAAAAAAACAAAACGGAGAAGAGAGCACGACTTGTTTGAGTTGAACTCTTTTTCAAATGGGAACAGGTTAAGTCTATATAATCCTTTGAAACAATTGTGGCTGTCAGGAGCGGGCCGATATGGATACGAACATACCATTTTATGATTCATTTTGTGCAAATAAATCCTCAGTCCTTGATTCCGGCCCAGTCACTGTCAACAATAAGGACGGAGCACGTATGTCTAGTGTGAATGAGTTGCAAATAGCGAATCAGCTTAGGTTTCAGATCATTCAATGCGGCAGCTCCAACTAGATCTTCAGCAAGACTTCCAATTCCATGCATAGCACTATACCTTACCGCCCCACTGTCGTGCGTATTTATACATCCTTGACTTGGCTAGAAAGCCCGATTGGATAAAATCGCCCCTGAATAGACCCACTGATGAAAAATTACAAGAAACCCGTGAAACAAGAAATCCGTGAAATTTGAGAAATCCGACTGTCGGTGGACTTCATGTGAGATCGATTTATTGCACAATTCTGTGAAGGCGGAGCCACCAGATTTGACACTTTGAGTCTTTATGAGCTCTTGTCGCGCGTCGAACTCCATGTTGAGGCAAGGAACCCCTTTATTTGATCGGAAACGAAGAAATCAGAAGCCCCGAGTGCTACAGTCATGTACTTGGTGTCGCCAAAAGAAGTAAGTATACTGCCGAAACCTTTTCTTCAGTCGCGCTTTGGAGTGTGGCCAGGCTCGGCACAATATAGTCTACTATTTCCTCGTACTTATGTATCTTATACAGGCTGAAGTGCAATCGCCAGATTCCGTGCGATCAGTGCACAAAGAGAAATTGCCAAGATTCTTGTCATTATCTTGCAGCTCAATCAGTTCAAAAAGTCAAGATATCAACTTCTACTTCTGAAGCATGGACAACACCTATTACAGAGCACATGAGAAAGGATACACCAGGTTTTGAATCCATTCCTGGGATGTTGAAAGCTAAAGATCTGCTGTTACCTGAGCCAAATGGAACAAGATATCTGGCTTCCGCTCATTGGAAGGCAATTATGAACGCTGTGAGTAGATTCGTATTTACTCTGCTGGTTGCATAAGCTGATCAATCAGAAAGACTAGGAAGCTCAAAGAAGGACACACCCATACAAATGCTGCCGAAAGTACAGATGTGTCTGATCGAATTTCGCAAGGGCCATTCTTGCTTTTGGGATTGTCAACAAAAATCAGTACCACAGACCTCCTTGCAGAATTACCGAGTCGCCAGACTATTGATGTGCTCATATCGAGATATTTCAACTCAAGAGAGCCATCACTAAGTATGCAAACGTTCATATTGTTCTGATCCAGGTTTAATATCTAACTCCATTGACAGTTTTTATCCATGGCCCGGCCTTCAGAGACGAGGTAAGTTATAGAACACACACACTATATGAAGGATATGAAAACCGATTAAAATAAAATCCGAATCAGTGCAATGAATTCTGGAAGATGCCAACAAAAGTCTCTCCAGCCTGGTTGGCGCTTCTCTACGGCGTCATTTCGTGTGCGGTATGGATCGGCCACATCACCGACATGAGTACTTCAGGGATAAATTCCCAGGAACCTGAGCTTTTTAGACTGTACCGCAAGCAATGTGCTTTATGTCTCACTGCCTCAAACTACACAGTTCCAGGCCGTTACAAAGTGGAGGGACTTGCTCTCTACTTTGGGCTTGAATATCTCACCAGCAGCAACTTGAAGACAAGCGTTTCTATCCTGCTAGCAATTTGTATTCGACTGGCAATCATGATGGGCTACCACCATGATGCCCAGTCCTATTCACACATCACGGTATTTGATGCGGAAATGCGCCGACGAGTTTGGTTATTCCTGCAGTCAACCGACTCTATCGTGTCATGGCAAACTGGGCTCCCTCGAGTTCTTTTCAGCAAGTTGGGCGACACTTGTTTCCCTCGGAATCTCTTAGATGAGGATTTCGGGCCAAACACTGCAGAGCTACCACACCCACGACCTGAAATAGATCTGACTAGCGGAGTCGTCTATATGGTAGCTACTGAGCAGGTTCTGTCGGTCACCAGCGAGATCACAGACAAAATATCAACCGGCACACTATCCCATGGGGAAACTGTTCGTCTCAGTCAAAAACTCGAATCCACAAAAGCTCGAATCCCATATCCATTGCGGCTATCACAGATCACAGCTAGTAAAACATGGATCGATAACGGCCTCAAGCTTCAACAATATACACTTGAAATAACAATCCAACGAGCCACGTGCATTCTTCACCGACAATACCTCTTATCCAATCGCTATGATGAAAAATACGCATATCTTCGCAATAATTGCGTGGATTCTGCGCGGAGAATACTCAGCTGCCAAGCAGATTTGTTCCAAGGTGCTTTTGATCAAGCCTGGCGACATTCAAGAGTCTGGTTTGGCGCTTCAATATCAATCAGCAATTGTCTCACAGCCGCCATGGTCATTTGCTTTGAGATAATTTACGTATCGCAAGCGGAGATGATTCCTAATGACACATACCGTGCTGGTTTGATTGACCTCCTCCGAAGTTCATATGATACTTGGAAAGTCTTTCCCAGGACATCATTTGAAATATCTATGGCTGCAGATGCTATAGCCACCATGCTCAAACTTGTGGACTCATATGATACCAAAGATACACCTTTCACATCCGTTTCTTCGGTAACCACTGGATCCCAGAAGGACTATGAGAATGCCGAGAACATTTCCATTGACCGAGCGGAAGCTGTTACGCTCGGTCCATTTTCTGATATGCCAAACGGCGACTCGGAGTTTGCAATGTTCGATTGGGTAAGGCATCTGTTGAGTTCTTTTGACACAAATCAACCCACATTAATCAAAACAGTTGAACCAAGTTACTAATGATAGACAGGGCCTTTGGGATCGTGAAATGTTGGAGATTAATAATGTCATTGCAAACCACATTTCTTTTTGAAGATAAATTCAAAAAGAATTGATACCTACTTGAGCTAATACAAGGTGAAGCCAAATACAGATCAAAATTGGCTTAGGCATTGCTTTTGAGAACGCCAGGACCACCTCCAAATGTCACTGTAGACAAATATAAATCGAAGATCATGAAACGTTGAAATGGGCCTCCTGCGAGAACATTTCTGACTCAAACCATTCTAGTGATAGCTGGCTATTGAACAGTTGCCACATCAACTCATCGTCCGAAGGATAGTTTCCACCAGTTGGAAGCTGCAGCTGAGGAGTTGGGTCAATAACGGACTCCGTGCAAGAGGACCCATCCGCAAAGGTGTGTAGAGGATTAAGTTGACCTCCTCGTGCTTCACTCATCGAGGGATATAAAGCAGCTACTTTAGCTTTTGATCCTAAACGCTCCTTTGCTTGAATCAAGGGCGTGCAGACATTCTGCAAGGTGTCCAGCAGCTTATGTAGCTTTCCAATGTAAGGACTTGAAGCAAATTGAGATAGGCTCTGAGTGATCTCTTGTATGAGACTGTAGTCACCTGTATCGAGCTCTCCAATGATGTTGCAGAAGAGGACGAAGAAAGGGCTCAGAGGGTATAGCAGAACAGTCCTAAGGGGTCATCTATCAGCTGGGTAGCACTGAAGTTGAGTGGATAATGGGTAACAAACCAAGAGAGAAAAGAGGGATATGGGTCGGAAAAGCCTGGAGTATCTGCGAGGTTCTTCTGTAAGTGATGCAATGCTCTCAGAGACCTGCGTGAATATGACAGACACTCCCTGTGGGTCAAAGGGGAGAAAGCAAATTTTAGTCGCGATCGTAATATATCGACTAGAATGGCATAGTAGCAAAAATCACCGGCGATCCAATCGGATGATATCAAACCAGGTGCCGAGTCTCGACTCTAAGTGGAAAAGTCAGCTAGAGACCAATAACATACTCGAGAGCTTAGACTAACAAGTTGTAAGTTCGAATGTATCACTTCCATTCTGTCCTGAAGCTTTGAATGGTTGGCAATTATTTGGCGGGTGTCGGCATTTTTGTGGCAACTTAATAGCTCCCCTTGAACTTGAGCCAAGTCAAGCAAGATTCGAACCAACGGAATGTGTGGCAAAGATGGGCGTGCACTTATCATCTTCGCCGGGGGCATTTGAGGCTCTGGTAAAGATAAGGGTCGATACAGGAGTGTGCTCAATGTGCGGTCAAGATAATAACACCAGATCACAGAGCTGCTGATCTCTTCATCTAGCCCTGAGTTTTCATGCAAGTCACCAATTTCGTGATAGCCTAAAGCGGCAATCAAACGAGCAGCATACGAGTTCAAGATCCAACACTGACTCATGCTACCAAGATATTGCATCAAAAATGCCTGAATCAGGGTCAATTTGTATACTTCCGCAGAAGGAAGGGCATGAACGTACAGCTGATACCAATGATTGAATGAAGGGAAGACTGGGAGGATTAAGAAAATTGAGATGGTGAAGAGCATATAATGCAGAAGCTTCATATGCTTTTGTTGACTTCAAGAATTGGTCATTGATGCGCGGGTTCTTATACGCTCTCGGCTTGGGATAAAGATGAAAGATGGCTTTCACATAAATGCATAGGGAATACTGATAGAAGAGTTGATCTTGGTGGTCGCTTCCAAGAATCGTTGCCGCCATTTTTTCAAGCGTTTTGTCGGAGATGTGATCGGGCCATTGTATGAAATTAGAACTCCTGGCCACAACGGTCGGTTCTGTGATTTTATTAGTGTATGCCAGAGAAAGATCGAGCTACTTACCTTGAAGAAGCATATAAAGCAGCTCCGGGGATGGAGGTATCAACTCAGTCACGTTCTGGTGACCACGAGAAACTTCCGGTATAGTCTCGTCGGACTTTGAAGCCCTGGCTTGGGTCATGGAACTCACAAAATCCAAAGCAGATCTTAGAATCCATTGCCGTTCACGGTCCATGCTCTGGTTTCCATCAAGTTCTCCTTGTATTACGGCTCTGGCCTGCTCTGCGTGGTGAGTAGAGTCCTCTGGGGTGAGAGTTATAGGACGAGTCCCACAAGGAGACCGAGAAGCGCCTATCGTGGAGGCAGCATCTAGTCGTGGTTTCTTCAATGGAGGATCATCATGTCCCCGAAATTTAGAGTGGAGCGAACTGGGACTTTCGAGGGTACTGCAATGAAGATCGTTAAACCAGGCAGCGAGGCGATACGAAGTCCCTTCAGCATACTCATTTGGCTGGGAAACTGCCGGTTCCAAAATCAATACCCCTTCACCGGGTGTGGAATCCCTAAATGAAATAGTCAGTATAAACACCTATCGGTACCAATCAAAGTCTTTACTGACGATAACTCTGGGCGAGCTGGGCGCTTGGCTCGTGAACGACGACATTCAAGGCTGGCATCATTGCAGTTTGCGCACTGTAGCTGTCTATCACAGCGTACCTTTAATTTCCAGCCAATTAGCGGATTGATATAAAAAAAAATGATGGATTATTACCAACCTTTCTCGAGTGGCAGAAGTCACACTAGATCGCGAGGATTAGCCCCATGTAGAAGTGTGAGATGTGGCACTTACCGCACACAACGCGTCACCCCTCATCGGACCGGTCGGAAACAAGCTAGCTGACGCTAAAATTAAGAACAGAAGGGTTGGACTCTTAGTAAATTCCGTGGAGATGCTTGACTTGCTCATAAGAAAATCCTGAGGAGGTCAGGATACCGCTCGGAACGCGACTGAGTCCGATCGATCTGGGCTTCATAGGGCCATGGTTAGCGGCCATTACTCTAAATCATTAGACCCGAACTGATGCTAACAGGCCTATTGATTTCCATATTGATCAAATGTGCCCAATGATATAGTCTTAGTTAGATATCAAAGGTGCATTGTTTCATCTAAGAGCGAGGCTCAATAAATTCGTACTGGAACAAATGTCCAACCAATGTTAACGTATCCGCTGGAATGTTGGTTCAAACATGTATTCCATATTCCACAGAACATAACTCCAGGCACATAAATATAATTGTGATCCCCTCAAATATTGAGTATCAGGTCAAGTCTCAGCTTAAGTGAGCCGAGTTCGATATGCAACGAGCGAAAGATGGCGGAAGGGGGAGCTGTCATTCTGGCCACTAAAACATGCTGTACCCAGCTCAACGAAGCACCGCTTATTAATCAATACGCAGGCGTATCATTTTCCTCATTCAGTCGGAGCCGACCTGATTCGGAAGAAAATGCGCAAACCAAATCAACTTGAGCAAAGCTTGATAATTAAGCAATTTATATAGAAATCACAACTTGCCTTTTTCTTACGCAGGATAGACCGTCAATATGTCACTAATTCGGGCCCTTTCCCTGGGACTTCCTACCAGTGGATTGCTCGCTTTTGGTACATTCTTCTATACAACCCGTCACGTCGAGGCCGTTCAACTCTCTCCTTCCGACCCAATTTTCCATTCCATATACCACCAGAAGTATAATCCAAACCAAAACCCTACAATCCATGATTTGCATATCCGAACAATTCCAATTTCGGAGATTGACCTTGTGCTGTTGCAAGATGAAGAGAGTCTGATCCAAAGATTTACTGGCGGAGTATGGGCAGGATTTGGTAAGTGAGATATCACCTGCCATATATTTTGATTCGTGAGAGAAGATTTCCGTACTGATTGCATCAACATGTAGGTTTCAAAATCCAGCGAATTCTTCTTACATGGTTCTACAAAAACGAAACCACGTCATATCATCTCTGGCATCCATCCGAAATACTGAAATCGAAGTTTAACCCCGGAACAACAATCACCGACGAGCTGGTTGTCTTGGAAAAATCGAAAGACTCGGTACTCATCCGAGGAGGTGATAAAGTGTCCATTGACGGCCTACGTCCACTGGACGCGTTGATGGAACTGAGTGTGCGCGCAAATCCAGAAGAACAGTCCATTCAGTTTGGCTTCAAGTCATTGTTCTTTCAAGGACTTGATAAGACCAACAAGCTCCCTATGCCGGCGCTTGTAGTATGGCTACATGAATTGTATGCAAAGGCATTGTTAGAGTCCGGGGTTCGACATGTTCTCCGAGGTTCTGATTCAAGTAAGAAGTAAAGCGGAGGTCTAGGTCCTCTACAAGAGTCTGTAGAATTTTCTCACAACTCTTTTTTGTATCATATCCATAAAATTGTTCAGAATCTCAAACTATCTTTCAATGTGCGAATTTTGAGAGCAAAAAATGCGTTTTATAAGACAAATATCCTCGTTGCGATAGGTTTAAATTTGCTTGTGAAAAAACCGTTTCAAGATACATGGTATCAAACCTGACGAAATGCACGTTGACCATTGCTCAGAACCAACACAGCACGCACATAATAGATTTGACCCATATAAAAAAAGAATTTAGTTTGATATGGTGTATAGGGGAAACACCCAGTGGCGCCATATGATGAAAAACCTCAATCAGCAAGATCCGCAAAGCATAAGATCAGCATAACAAAATTTATGAAGCAATAGGGTATATAGCGAAGAGCAAAATCATGCTTGGTTATTTTAAAGCAACCCCACACGAAAAAAGAGCAAATCACCCAGTAGCGATGGGTTAGAGGCAACCCGTGCCGAATTTATATAGTTGTAATGGGTAACGCATTAACAAGCGAGTTCAAAGAAAGGGGAACTTGACCGGATGTTGAGTTCAACAAGATGGCATCACTGTCCATCATAGATCTGCTCAGGGGTCAAAGAAAATTCGCCTTTGATGTACTCTCGAGGATCGACATGTTCGGGCTTGACATATCTTGCTGTGAGAGCAAATCGCAGCTTGTTCTCGGGTGCCACAGAATGCTAGAGGGATTGTATTAACATTGACCAAAATAAGAGCAGTATCAGTAACAAACCTCGTAATATTTTTGAAGCTTTTCTCCATGCATGACGACTAGATCCCCATGGTGAAGCTCCATCTTGATTGTGGTTGGTGCTTCTTTACCCTTGCGTCCTTTTGAGAGAGCGCGACGAGAACTATCGTACTCATCTTGTGAGATTTCCCCATCGTGGAGGTCTTGTTTGAGGGCCTTTCGCTCATTTTCAAACATGCAGTCTTTCAGAACAGGATCATCTTGCAAAAGGGCCCCAACTGATTTTGAATCGGCTTTTCGAGTAGATCCATTGAAGTATTTGTACTTCATGCGAATCAACATGGTTGCCTTCGCCCCGAGTGAGAGGGTGGCAATGCTTGGACCCAATGAAGATTCTCCGTCGTCATGAAACTCAAAAAAGTATTAGTGGATATGATAGCAACTCCATGCAATAAGACTCACTCCTATCTTCATCTCTTCAAAATAACCGAGTGTTAATAACTCATTCGGAGGTAGGTAGTTATCTCCTGCAGAAGTGACAGCGTTCTCTGTTGCCCAGGACAAGCGACCTAGAGCTCGCAGCATGTCCTCCGGTGCTTCATCGAAGCCCTTGGAGTCAACAGACACGACGTATTTGTAGGGCATTCCCTGTACCCATTCAATTATTTCAAATTAAAAAAACTCTTGTGTTCGCAAAATCGCAACTCACATAGTTAACTGCAAAATGAGACGTCAGTGTACCAGCAACTGGACCAAAGTTAATAAACCCCACAGAAAGTCTTGTATGCATTGTCACCATACCTAAGCTTGACTGAAGCTGGAAACGCTTCAATCCTATATCACCACGTTGAAGATTGACAAAAAGATCATCTGGCCCATTCTTCCGGCTGTTGATAGCTCTGTTGGAAACATAGTGAGTGATAGAGCCGACACCCTCGATTTTGTAAGTAAGTTTGCGATACGGAAAGATGGAACTGTCATCAATGGTTGGAAGGCTGAATCTTTTGTCGAAAAGAATTGCCCGTTTGATTGGAGCCAGCTCAAAATGATCGAGGACGACTCGAAGCGAGACCGGGCTCATGTTCATGAATTTTTGGAAAGAGCATTTTTTGTCACATTCCTGAGAATTGGTGAGATCATCATCACATTTCCAGCCCCGCCAGAAAGTTCGGCGGATGCATTTGAAACATTCGGGACATACAATTCCCTTCCATGCAATGCGAGAAGTACTGATGTCCGATGCATTCTCATCTAGTGTGGACAGGAGATCTGGTACGAGACTGTAATGAGGCTGCACTGCGGGATCTGGTCGATGGCGAAAAAACAAGAATTCAGGAGTGAAAGTGAGCTCAACAGGAGGAGGAACGTTATCGATCTTCCAGAAATCGACACACTCAGGATTCAAACACATCCATCCCTCGTTGTACAGCAGATCACTTTCCTTGGAACAGTTTTTGCACTCAAAAGACGCCGGAGTTGTTTCGAAATCTCGCACGGCAAGAGATGTGGGAGCAGGAGAGTCTTTCAATGCCCACCAGCTCTTCTCACAGAGACTCAACTTTTCAAATCGGACCTTGGCGCCATATTTTTGACCTATTTTCTCAAACCAGACATTGGTAACACGGAACCAGTCCATGACATTATACCGATGGGGAAGCTCTCGGTTGAGAATCTTGTTTTTGCTTCCTATGATGATAATCAGCGGCAGAACAGTACTCGTAGTGGTAGCATTTGATAATCTACCAATGACAAGGCCAACAGCAAGCTTTGAACTCATGCTACCGATGATACTTTGCACAATAGCACTGTCCGGCTCTTGATTTTTTTCAAGTGTAAGGTTTCCTTCCGAGTCCTTGGTGCAGCATCCACCTCTAGTATATTGATCAGTGAGAATGTTGTTTCAAGAAAAGAGCAAACAGAAGTTGTCTTACATCCTTGTGATAATGATCTCATCATCAATATAGGTACGGGATCCGCAGTCCGCATCAATCAGAAACCCGTAACAAAATCCTTCGCTGTGGTACATGGCACCTTGTGTGCAGCGAAACCACGGGATTGCATCGCAAAGCTGTTGGCGACCCTATCAGAAAGTAAGAATTTTGTTTCAATCAGGGAAATGAGATATTCAAACCTCTGACCATGCAGGAGGAACACCATGAATTGGCTGAAGCAAGTTGGCGCTGACAGCATCTTCCAATCGGTCAAGAGAAACTGAAACTATGTCAAGTTAGTGAAGACCTTCCAAAACGAAGAGGATTCGGATAGCTATAGAAGAGAAATACACTATGCCTACCTTTGACTTGCTCGTCTTTTTTCGATCTCGTTATGCGCCCTACTCGTACAGGTCTTTCGGCTGTACGGGCCCGACTAGCCGCACGACGAGGAGCCATTCGAAATGGTCTGTTGCTGAATAATCAATACAAGCTCCAGTATTCAAATTCGATGGTTTCGTGTTCCAAAAAGAAAAAGACCCTGAGGGTGGCACCATTGGGGTGCGCTGGTATACTTACAGTAGGGGAGGGTCCTCAGCAACACGAGCGCTGTAACAGATTCTAGAAAGCGCCTTGAAGGTCTAATGGTTTGATACAGGGGGCTCGAATATAATTAATTGCAAGAATTGATTCTAAATCATCCGAAATGGTTGGGATGAAATGGATGAAAGGATGAAAGAAGGTTGAATGGGGAGACGTAAATATATTGCCAGAGCGGCGGCCAGGTCAGTGACGTTCTCAGTAAACATTAATTCGACGACACCCTACATGGTAGTATAAGCCTGAGCTCTTACTGAGTCTCATGTTGGATAAAATACAATAGATTAAGGCACGATCTGCATGCGCAACTTCAATGATAAATATGAAAGAGGTTCTAGGTCATATGCCCTACCTCTATACGAGAGTCACCAAAACACACCTTAAGCAAGAAAAGAACATTATGGGACTTGAGATTTTATCCAAAATGACCTGCTGTTGTTATTTACAAATGTATGTATTATGTTAGAAATTCAATGCGTTGAATATTTCGGCACTGGGATGCTAAGCTTTAAATCTGCAAATTTTGAAAAAGGTAGAGACTGAGCTAAATTGACAATGACTGGCATATATTTACCCTGTCTTTCCAATTCTGCTGTCTATAATCTGGGAGAATTTGGGTACACGACATGGTGGTAGGGGGATAAGTTCAGCATTAACGTTAACTAAGCAAAAAAGACGTAACGTTAGTCGGAGATAGTTCGGTAAAATACCCGGTTAGCCGGGAAAACGGTGATGATGTGCATGCCAAGAACACCTTAATTCTGAGCAGTCTCGCATCATTAGCATACAGGGGGAAGACATTGCGTACATGTAAAATCTCACCCCCTCAGATCAACAGTTCAGGAGATAAAACACCATGACTTTGTTAGAATCGGCTGTCTGCTTTCAGAATCCGGAAATGGTGTCACAACTCTGCGTCCTGCCTCGAAATCACGGTTACCTGCATAGCAGCTGCAATAGAAGTCTAGAGCGTAATGCATATCATAGTATATCGTAGATCAGCGCATTCCTACAAAAAGCAAAGAGAGAGCCAAGGATATTATGTACGGTTCGCTCGGGGAAAGAGCTGCGTAATCGCCAATCCTTCGGATATGTTGGAGATGCCGCCGAAATACCGAGGCATCTCTGGTCTTGGCAGTCTCAACGAGCTCGGAATCGTCGTCAATATCCACCGAGTTGGCCAATTGCCCACTTATTCGATCACCGGTAACCCAAACTCGGCCCAAACTAACGATAAGCGGTATGCCAGCGGTATATCCCAGGAGGTTTGCCATACCAACTCGCTGAGCTTGCCGAGTTCCCCGCACGGTTCCTCCACACTTCCCCATAAATTGTTCCTGTCGGCCGATTTTTGTTCAAAACAAAACTGCCCCTTTCTTCAACCATGTAAGTGGGACTCCTCGAACTACGTTGTCTTGGACATTGCTCACTGCAGTTATACTACAGTCCACATTGTTGCTCTGTCTGAACGACTGGCTCTCTTAATCACCAACTTTACGTCCGATTTACAATCACATTGAAGCTTTAAATATGGTCTTCTTGCCTTCGAAAGAGGTCGGTGAGCTAGGGACGGTTCCCGACAGTATTCCGATCTGTGATTTCATTCTCAACGAAAAATATGGACGAGTGGCACACAATAGTTCTCGGGATCCATACACATGCGGCCTGACCGGAAAATCATATTCGTCGCATGAGGTCGTGGACCGCGTGGATCATTTGGCTCGGGGCCTCTCCAAAGAATTTGGCTGGGCACCGAATGAGGGTTCGGAATGGGATAAGACGCTGGCCGTCTTCACGCTGAATACGGTAAGTAAATGAGCAGTTCCCAAGTTATACAACCTAAAAATCTTACACTGCTTCTCATCAGATCGATTCGGTACCCCTTTTCTGGGCCGTTCATAGATTAGGCGGCGTTCTATCTCCAGCGAATGCATCCTATTCCGCCGCCGAGTTGACACATCAAATCCTCGACTCAAAGGCGAAAGCGTTGGTCACCTGCGTTCCTCTCCTGGCGATCTCTCTTGAGGCTGCAGCCAAGGCTGGTCTCCCAAGAAACCGGATATATCTCCTAGATTTGCCCAAGCAACTCTTCGGCAACGCGAAGGTCCCAACAGAGTTCAAAACTGTTACAGAAATCGCCGAGGCTGGCAGGTTATTGCCTCCAGTTGAGGAATTACAATGGAGTGCGGGAGAGGGTGCTCGGAGAACAGCGTTTCTGTGCTACTCGAGTGGAACTTCTGGTTTGCCGGTAAGTAGTGTTCGTCAACTATGTTAGGTGTCGCTGACTGACATTTAACTTACAGAAAGGAGTTATGATCTCGCACCGCAATGTAATCGCCAACGTACTGCAGATAGATGCATTTGAAAAGAATTATCGGAAAAAGAAAGCGCCACCGGGAGGCATTTACACTGCCGTGTCGTTGGGACTTCTTCCCCAAAGCCACATCTATGCCCTTGTGGTCATTTGCCATGCTGGTGCATACCGGGGAGATCAGACAATTGTTCTTCCTAAGTTTGAACTGAAATCATACCTTTCCTCGATTGTGAAATTTAAAATTTCCTCGCTCTTCTTGGTAGGGCTTCCCCATTCAGGTGATAAAATTCTTAAACATTTGCTGACTTTGAATTAGGTTCCTCCAATTATCATACACATGCTAGGTGCCAAGGAGGAGTGCTCCAAGTATGATCTTAGCTGTGTGCAGAGCTTGTTCACTGGTGCCGCACCATTGGGACCAGAGACTGCAGCAGATTTCCTCAAAGTGTGGCCGAATGTTCTTATTCGGCAGGGTTATGGTACGGATTACCAATTCCTGGAATTGACAGCATGCTGACTCTCTTGTGTTTAGGCTTAACAGAAACGTGCACAGTGGTTAGCTCTACTCATCCTGACGATATCTTCCTTGGTTCCTCCGGCACCCTAGTTCCAGGATTTGAGGCTAGAATTATGACACCAGAAGGCCAAGAAATCACAGAGTACGATACACCAGGCGAGCTCGTTGTCAGAGGCCCAAGTGTTGTCTTGGGCTATTTGAACAACGAAAAGGCTACCAAAGAAACATTTGAAGATGGCTGGATGCGCACCGGGGACGAGGCAGTCGTACGACTCGGTCCCAAACACACAGAGCACATATTCATTGTCGATCGCATCAAGGAATTGATTAAGGTCAAGGTTCGTGATACAAGTCAACTCTGAGATGCTTCAAATTCGAAACAAAAAAACTAATGAACGACGTCTTTAGGGTCTCCAAGTTGCCCCGGCTGAACTCGAAGCCCACCTTCTGGCCCACCCGGATGTTTCAGATTGCGCTGTTGTCGCCATCCCTGATGACCGCGCTGGGGAGGTTCCTAAGGCCATTGTGGTGAAGGCACCTTCGGCAGGCTCGGACGACTCCGTCTCTGAAAAGCTGATCAAATATGTCGAGGACCACAAAGCTCGTCACAAGTGGTTGAAGGGGGGCATCAGATTTGTTGATGCTATTCCTAAGAGCCCTAGTGGTAAGATTCTTCGCCGATTAATCCGTGACCAAGAGAAGGAGGCACGAAGAAAGGCTGGTACCAAGCTTTAGTGCAGATTTCAAAAACCAATGAAGTCGGGAGTGAATTAGATGCACTACGTATATCACTTCGTACACAAAGTGTCCTACATTTATTCAATACAGTAGAACGTCGACCACCTCTACACGTTAATAGGTCGGCATATTAACTGGCCCAAAAGAAGGTCATTTGTCGTCCTGGCTAACCAAAACCGAACAAATCTATCGATATATTTCCATTTAGAATTCACGTCGCAGTCAACGAAATTGAAAGACGGAGCACTTTCAAAACGAGTGGTACAATAACATACGAGGACGATCTCATAGTTCACCAACTAAGCAGCATTGTGGGGGCTACACGCCCCCTCAGTAGCAAGGAGATGTGTCTGTGTAGAGCTTTATGATATTGCTCATGTTCTTTGTCATGTCATTGTTGTTATACAAGTACGTTCTCGATGGGAGATGACTGCTTGTGGGAATATTGTACCGAACGAGATGTGCTCGCACCTCTCAGCCACACCAAAGCAAGATATGATACTTTATGTTAGTAAGGTTGTTTGCAAAATATCTATGGAAGCTGCTTTATTATGCAGGCAAGGTCGAAATAGTCAAAAGAATCAGATTTCCTATACACAAGACACAGGTCCGAATCTAGCCACAGAAAGCAAAGAGAACGCGACCTAGATGACAATAACGAAAGGCACGAGGCCATGATAAAGCCTGTCAACGCCTCGGAAATGGAATCAAATACCATTCAAAATACCCAGCCAAATCAAACGCCAGGCACCTTCCTGCCCAACACCGTCGTCCAGCCCCACAACCTGGCACAGGTATCGAGCCTATGCAAGCAATAGGCGCGAAGACAATGCCGAAGATCGAAGGAAAATAGCACGAGAACTATCGCGCGTATGTACATGCATCATATCGTATCAACCCAAAGGTTCTCCAGGCTTATGCTCGACCCATCTGGAAAGGTCCGGGGGTCGTGTTATAACCAGCTCCGTGATGTTGAGGGGTGTGGGCGCCGGTTCCGTGAGACCCTGTGTTGGGAGTACTAGGGGTGCCGCCAGAGTAGATAGTGGCGCCGTTCAAGTTCGGGGTTTGCTGAGCCATGTTGTAGGCCATTGCGGGCATCTGTCCGTTGAGACCCCAGATTTGGCCAGAATATTTGCTGTCATCGATCGAGCCGCCGAAAATGAGTTGGCGGGTCTTCCAGTAGATCTCGCCAGTCACAAGAGAGTCGGACCCAGCCTGGTGAGCGATTCCGACGCGCTTGACGCCCAGTTCGTCGGCAATATCTTGCAGACCGGATTTCTGCCCGAGGTTGGTGAGGATTTGTGCCGCAGCCGGTGTGAGGGGAGAGCCGTTGACTGCTTGATTACGTCCAGCGTGCTTCATGAGGTATTTGATGTCGTAGAGTGAGGGGAAGAAGATGGTGAGCAGCTTGTGGAATTCCTCCTCGTTCTCGGGAAGCTGGGAGCATAGCATAATCTTCATCAAATAACCAAAGTCGTATCCAGAGTGGAAAGAAACCCAGTGAACATCGTCCAGAAGCACCAGCCCAGAGCTTATCAACAAGGCGCCGAATTCAAAAGGATCGATACCGTTCTTTTCATGCATCGGGAAATCAATTCCGGACTTTGCGAGCATTGCTGTTGATTCTTGAGCGTACATGTCTCCTTCTAGTGAGAACCGGAAGTTGAACTGCCATGTGCAAGGTGCGGGCATCATTGCGTTTCCGTAAGGTTGTCCATTGGCATCTGTGCCAGAGGCTGGCGGTACCTCGCCTTCATCATTGAACAAAGTAATTCCAAGCTGTATCATCTTCAAAAGGTCGACATTGCATCGGAGGGTCTGGTAATGGTAGTCTGCTTTATTCGAGAACGAGCCGATGGGTCGTGCAACGATTCCGGGAAACTCAGTATCCTGTAAAAAAACCCAGTCAGTCGCAGTCCAATATCAAGGCGATCTTCGCTCGCCAATCACAATTATTGAGTCCTTACCATGCTGATGTATGGATACTTATCAACCAACTGTCTCAACACTGCCATCTCGTGTGCCAAGTTGTGTTTCCAGACATCTCTTATTCTGGACTTCACTGCACCAGCCTTGTTCTCGAGTGCTAACCGGCCATCGTGGCCCTGATGTAATTGCTGCTGTTGCATTTGCGCACCGCGCGCGAATCCCATCTGTGCTGCGTGGCTGGCAAGACCGGTTCCCCCACCATCACTCGCACCAGCTCCTGGGAAGCCACCCACGGCCATACCGTTTGCAATCCCAGCGCCAGACAGAGTAAAAGGGTTGATGTTGGTGTTGGGGTTGCCCGCGAAGCCTGGATGCCCAAGCGAAGGGGGTGGTAGGCTATTGGCTGACTGTGCGTGTGCGGGGTGCTGAGATTGAAGGTGAGCTTGCTGTAGCGTGTAGGGAGTAGCTAGGCCAGATGGCCCGTATCTGCCGACGGGAGGTGGCATTGTGTGATTCGAGGTTGCGCATAGATGAAGTGACAGATTCGTCCCTCAAAGGCGGGAAAGCTATGGGTGGTCCGTAAGCGGTTAGCGTGAGTGCTTTCTGCCAAGCACACCTCTTTTCCTCACATCCGGCTCCTCACAGCGTCACTTGTGGTCGATCGCGGATTACGGGACAACTTTCACGCACTTTCTACTCTACTTTTCTCTTCCTTCCAACTTCTCATCCCATTTGTCTGACAATTCGCAATATGCCCGCCCCCAACCCCACCGGTTTCGACCTCGCCCAATTCAAGGCCGCGGCCTCCCCGTCTTCAGTCTGGGCCAAGCGGGACCCATGGGCTCGCAAGTACGTCAAACATACAAGGGAACGTTCCAATTGCATCTGTGCTAACTCTCTGCAGTGAGACCTGGCGCTACACCGGCCCCTTCAGCCGTTTCAACCGCTTCAAGGGTCTCTTCCCCGGCCTCGGTATCGCAACTGTCGCTTTCACTGCCTACTGCGCATACGAGCACTTCTTCATGAAGGATGACCACCACCACGGTGATTCCCACCATGGCGAGGCTCACCACTAAACTGTTGTTGGAGACCAATTGAGAAAACCGCCGGCCGACGGATCATCGAGTAGAGGACGTATACCCCAGACGACGAAAAATAGTCGACTCGCCTCCGTGAGATCCTCCATCAGGCGTGGACAGAAGCCAAGGCTTCGTTCAACCCAGGAGCGTTCGTCGTGTCCAGGCGGAGATGCGGCTTTTCATGCCTCATGAGAAGCTAAGCTTCCAGATGGCGCTTTGGGTCTGTTGATTTGTCGAATGTACATAGCTTTTGTTTCACCACCACAACGATATATTTCATTACTGTTCTGTCATTGAGTGCACCGGGGAATATGTGATAGTCAACAAGCTGAGACTGCCTTGATCTCTTCTATAAACACGTAATATCATTATCGACATAAGCCCCCACTATGCAAGTTTGGGAACATCTAAATCTACTTATTTTTCCAGCTTATTCCTCGAAAACAAGCGAGATGCCATCGTCACCTGCAGTGACAATACGCTTTCCATCAAGACCCTGTACGAAGGCCATGATGCCACCAGCTTGCTCGCCATCCTCGTTCTCAGTAAGTCCCATGTGACCCTTCCACTCCTGCATCAGACCCTGGGCAGCAGCAGCAGTACCACCGCGTGCATCCCATCGTCGAACAATACCGTCCAATCCGACGGAGGTGAGCATCCAAGACCGGCTCTGGCTCGCCGCGGGGGCAGAAGCGAGAGGACCGGAGACAGGAGCTGCCAGAGAGGAGCGACTAGGCAGGAACTCAGCCTTCACAACGGCAGCACCGTCGTGAGCTTCCTTGATATGGCGACGAACGGCGAACCGATGGGCAGCATCAAATAGCGCAATAGAGCCATCAACGGATCCAGCAGCAAGGAGGGTGAATGGAGGCTGGGAGAAAGAGAGGGTCTCGATGTTATCTGACTGAGCCTGCAGCGCAGCCATGATGGTTCCTGCAGCGGTAGCACCGGCTGCCTGTGGGAGAGGGCCTCTGCCCTTCGCTGCCGGTGCGGCAGCTGCGATGCGAGGAAGACCAACGATTCGAATATGACCCTCGCCACCACCAACAGCTGCAATACCACCGCTTGGGGAGATTGCAATGGCATATAGACCGCCCTCAACAGCGAAACGCTGGTCATCCGGAGTCATGCTCAGGACAGCGTTGGTACCTGGTGAGTAAGAGATACCAGCAGCGGCAGCGGCTCCAAAGACATCGTACACATAGAAGCTACCATCCTCGGAGACGGTAGCCAGCAGGTTTCCATCTGGTGTCCATGCACCGGCAGTACAGGATGCGGTGTGCGAGAAGAAGGTCTGGATGATAGAAATGGGCTGAGCGGGATCGGTGTGATCAACACGGAAAACCCAAGCGCTACCGTCATTGGCGCCGATGGCAATGACATTTTGCTTTCCATCATCACCCTGCTTGTGAGGGCAGACCGCCATCCAGTTAATCTCCTCAACCTCTTGGGCCTCGCCAAAGAATTCCCATGCGTATCCAGTCTTCTGGGGAGTGGTATCCCTCCAAGCGCGGAGCTTGCCATCCATGCCTGCGGTCACGACGTACTCGCCTGCGGGCTCAGTGAACGTAACGGCATTGACGGTGTCACTGTGTCCCTCCATCTTGACAATGGGCTGCAGCGACTCACGCTCTCTGGGCTGGGGGGTGGTTTCATAGCTCGAGGGCAGCACAGGTCGCTCTTGGGGTGTCGAATCAAAAATATAGGCGGTATCATCACCTGCACCAGTAATGACAATGTTGTTGTGGATAGGGTGCTGCGCAACACAGAAAACAGAGTCTGAGTGCGAGTCGAAGTGTGCCGCAGAGTCATTCTGGAAATGGATCTCGTCTTCGATAGTCATGTTCTGGTCGGCCTCATCCTCTCCTTCGAAGTCCATATCATGATCTTCATCGCGGTCAAAGACCTCCTCGGCGTCGTCTGCCTGCATGTAGGCATCCTCCTCAGTCTGACGGTGCTCGTTGGAAGACATTTTTTGATGTCAATTAAGACAATGTTCTTATTTCGGGGTGGGTAAAAATGGGTAGAAGCTGAGTAGATGTTCTCAGCTTATTAAAGCTTGCTTCCAAGAATGAAACAAGAAATATGACCGTTGGTGAGGCAAGGTAGAATGCGCTCGATCTTTTTTTCCTACTCCCCGCTTAGAAATCCACACCCCCGCGGCAGATGATGTCTGATATTCACCGCTTTGGTGACCGCCTAGGAAACTAGCCAAGCCTTATCGGATTTGGGTACAGTGAACCTACTAGTATGGGTTATGAATATAGGGTTGAGGTCATGTCTGACTTTCCTTTGAATCTAAATCTTGTATTCAAATAGACAGGTGTACAAACACGCTGTGGTTTCCCAGCGTGTGAAATGTAAATTCCAGAGAGACGATAGGTACATATAATCCTGTATTCTACTGCATAACTTGATATCCCCTCATTATGCTTCTTGTTTTCTAATTCTTGTTTCTTATTTTGACTTCTTCTTCATCCTTGGTACTGGGCATTTACTTCTTGTTGCGACAACTCTCCCAACCGCGGTTAATAACAAAACACATCTCGTGGTTCATGAATCGTGATCATACAGAGAAGCAGTTTATCCATATAACTATCAAGCGACCATTCAGAAAACAACGTTGTTGATGACCTGTGTAGATTTCTTTCATTCGAAGTATCTTTTTCCTGGTGACATTGTTTGTATTTTCTATGTCAATCCCACCTTATAACCAGACCCTATCCCAGGATCTTGGCATTGGAAATTCATATGCTGTAGGCGTTCAAGCTAGCTAGATATGATCAGCACAGAAATAACTAAGCGTCATAGGCCCATTAAGCCGACCAAGCTTGATTGCTGTCAAGAACTAGGGCTGCATACTGTATGTACCTGTTTCTGCCACCGCCTTTCATATCAGTCGGTTTATGGACAGCTTGCCTTCTGGTCACCCTGGAGAGACATTCACAACCACGAGTCGCAAGTTCAAAGAGAACATTTTTTGATTGACTAGCCTTGCCAATAATATCAAAAACACCAAGTATGAACCGACATCCCCCATCTTCTACACACCATTCCTGGCACCCTCGGAGCACATTTCAAGTCACCGCAGCGGATATACTAACAAATCCTAGAACCATACCTACCCACGAAATCCAGTCCACGACCTGAGCAGGTCACTCAACCTTCAAAATGGCCAGTGAAATCGACATCTTCAATGAATACCCACTGCACATGGACCCAGCCACCAAAGCACTCTCCCTCCTCGCCACATCCGCCCAAACACCAGCACAAAAAGCCGCAATCAGCGCCGAGCTGGAAGAATTAAACCAACTCCACCGCTCCCTCCAAACTCTCGACCCCCCAAACATCCCCCCGGCGCCCCTCCCAATCAATCCCAAGCGTGGCGCGCAAATCAACAAGCTCCGCGACACCGCCAACGCAGCATACCGCAAGGGAAACTACGACGAGGCCATTCGGCTGTACAAATATGCCATCGAGATGGGTCTTGCCCGGCCAGGTTGGGAGCCTGTTACACTTGCGCGCGAGGAACTGTCCGGTCTTTATGCGAACCGCGCACAGGCACATATGGCCAAGCAGGCTTGGCCCGAGGGTCTCATTGATGGCAAGTCCAGCGTGGATTCCAAGCCCGTCGCCAATGTTAAGGCTTGGTGGCGGATTGCTAAGTGCTTGGCTGAGATGGGCCGGTACGAGGAGTCTAAGAAGTTCTTGGCTAAGGGTCTTGAGATCGAAGGGAGGGAGTCTGACGGCGGGAAGGAGTTGATTGGGCTGCTTGAGGATATTGACAAGGCTTTGTTGCGCAGTGCTCCTGCTTAGACGAATCTCAGTGCTTGATCCTGTTTTGCGCTTGTTATGTGGCATTTTATGCATGTTGGCCAGGCAGTTCAACTTTTTTTGGTCTTCTTTATGTGATTTGTTTCTGGTTTTGACTCGGACTGTATTATTCCCTCTCTGTCTGAATTCTAATTGGCGTTTATGGGCAATCGAATCGGGTTATCTCGGACATTTATAATATGTGTCTTTGTCTCCAAGCATGCGATCGATTGCGAGATCTGAAGATAGTGTAAACCTTATTCGATCAAACCTCACCAGGCCCAACCGCAACTGTAATGGCTAAATATGGGTAACTCCTGCTGACACTGGACATAGGAGTATGTGTTTTGCAGGAATTGGTTAGAAGACAGCGCAAAGGACCACAAGAGAAGCACAATTTTGCCGATTCAATCATAATCAATCATATTGTGTTGTTTGTCAGAGGAAAAACGAAATCAGAAACCAAAGCCCCAGGCCATTTACATAAATCATGTACTCTATGAGAGAAAGAAAGAAAGAAGCAACAGCATTATGTACACAAATCGCACGCTATAATAATCAGAATCCCATGATCATATCAAACTAAAACACTAGAGCCATCACTCTTCTTGCAACCGCATGAAGTCGCCCCAGCAGCTACCTGCGTCGGGGTACGGGCAAAGCTAGGCGGCACATCAAGGACCGGGTTGCGGTCGAAAAAGTTGCGCGGACGAAGAAGCAGTGTCATCGGCTCAGCAGGCATGATAGGGTAGTCCTCGGGTGCAGGGAAATGGGTCAGACCGAAGGTATGCCAGAGAACGACATCAGTGTTATCGATAGAACAATTAGGACCAGCGGCTTCAATCCAAGCTGGGAGACCTTCTGACGGCTCGCCAGAAGTTTGAGGCACATGGCGACCAGCTGGGTGGATTTGTTCGTCGTCATCTGGATGGATATATTAGAAAAGATGCAGCAAGGTAGGACTTAGAGGGATACTTACACTTAGTGACATGAACTGCATGGCGTGCGAATCCAGCTCGCTTCCAGACAAGCCCGCCCTCCTTGGGCAGCAAGGGAGGCACCTCTCGGCTAACGAGCTTATAACAGACAGGCTTCTTGCTGTATGGATTGAGCTTGTTAGTGTTGGCCATTTCCCATGTACGGCTAGTGAATCCGTTATAGTCGGACATCGACTCGCGTGGAGTGTTGAACTTGGTCTTCTTGGCGTAGAAGGCATTGCCATACTTGTTCTCGGCGCTGCCTACTTCGCCCTCGCCGCGAACGGCATCAACTTGGAAGACGGTGTTATCCGGCCCATCGATATTCGGGTCAACTCGGAGACAGAACAAGTGCTGGTGGTTGTGGGCGTTGACGCCGGGGTAGACCTCAGTCCCCCAACCGTGGGTGTCTTCACCGGGGTTCATAGCGTAGGTGTTGAGGATACCAGTCAGCTTAACCTCGAGCTGGACGGTACCGTCCTGGTGGAATATCCAGTACACGCAGTACTCATAGTTCGCAGCAGTGAAGATATGCGAGATGATTAGTTTGCGGCCACGGGTGACAATCATAGAATCGTCGCGGAAGTCAGTATGCTTGTAAAGAATGCCAGCATCTTCTTCATGGATGCAGATAGCGTTCTTGATGACCGTGCTGGCACCGGCTCGGTTGACAAATGCTGCATCCATGTAGTGGATTGCGCCCTTGCAGTCACACCCGAGGGAAAGGCTGTTGGTCATGTACCCACCACCGTATTCACCTAAGTCAAAGGCGTGCTTGCGTTGATGAGGATGTTCGGGGTTGCCGTAGGGTACGACCATCTCTGCCAAAGACAGACGCCAGAAAACAGGTCTGACATTGCCCTTGTCGTTGAATGTGATGTTGTTTAGGACAATGCCTTCGCGGTAGTTGAAACCAACATGAACGCTCCAATTCTGCCATTCGATGGTCCGCCCCTTGACCTGGAATGACACGCCATCTGGCTGGGTGATGTGAATTGGCTTGATGTCAGTGCGGTATCCGCCTTCTTTCTCGATGGCAGCTGGATGATAGTTGTTTGGTGATGCCTTGTTGACCGGCCTCCGTACCGGTGGCACATCAATGTGAATGATCTGCTTGGTCTCCGCATTATATATGGGACAGAAATCCAAAGGATATGTGTATTGAGAGTCATCCGGATGAGGCCGGTAGTACATTAGAGCTTGCTGCAGTCGGACGCCAGTTCCAAAGCGCTCATCATATCCAATAGTCCAGGCTAAATCAAATGATTAGATTGGATCTATACCAAACAAGACGGAAGAACTCACGGTCACAGTAGACTTTGTGCATGTCCTCCTTGGGGATTCCAATAATTCCACATTGCTCAATGACTTTGGGGTCTTTGCGAACGACGTGCTCAACCTCTTGCAGATCCTCCATTGTGATCAGAGGCTGGACATTGGGCGTATGCTGCCATTGAATGATCTTCTTCTGATTCAGATCAACAACTCCATCGTAGATTTTACCGCCCGGTGCAATGGCAACTATATCCGCAGCTCGGATGGGACGAGGAGCCTTCTCGGGATCTGCAATCCACGCCATCATCTGGGCCTTGCGGGGCTCGTATAATGTAACGGCGTTGAAATTGAGAGGGCCATGCTCCTTGCGAATGATCTCAACGGCAGCATCGATCTCTGATGTAGACAAAGGATCAAGAGGGTGAGGAGCAGGCGCTGTGGCGCTGACCTGGTGGGTCAATTGCTGTAATCTGTCAAGGACCATCTTGTGCGGAGGTCTTGAGACTTTGAATAGGCGAAGAAGGATGACCTCGATGATGAAGCCGAGTCTCGTAAGAAGAAAAAGAAGAAGATATCGTCGTCACAAACCCGCGGCTCTGGCAGACTATTTAACCTTGGAAGTGAACTGGCTCATGTTCCTACGTTATCGTATACTTCGTGGAGGCCGGATCCGCTGTCCAAATCAGGATTAGCGTGATATCCCCGCTCCCAAAATGGCAAAGAAATGCGTTCATGCAGCTTCATGATCTTATTCATAATCGCCTATTTGGATGTTACTAATGTCTATTCGATTGTTCCTAAGGGTCTTGCGTTATTGATTTCGTGTGTCAATTTTAGCGAAGCAAATGTGCAGTATTTCGTGTTTCTGGTTCATTCCAAGGAGTAGGCGTTCACCTTGCAATTACCAAAAAACTTGAGCTCCTTTGACCCATGACAAGACAGATGGTTGCCAGACTGCCAAAGTATAGAGGGGCCACTTGACAAAATTTGATGCGATTGATAAACACGGTGAAAGGGTAGAAACATGGTCCATTCGGAACAACTTGGACTACAAAATTGTATCACGGCGCGAGACTTCCTGTCTCAGTTGATATGCTCCCATACTTGGTTGTGAATCTTGCTATAACTTATCATGAATGTCTAACACAGATGTGGTGATGAGTCCTTGATTCCTACATGGAGTAGAACAGTCACTTTCAAGGTTTTATATCGAAAGTGTCCGATGCTTTACCAGAGGCACTGGTCGCTAACCTACATACCTTCTGTTGTATGAAATAGCATTAAATCGAGAGTATGATATAGATGGCATATATCTCCGGCATTAGGGCTCTTCAAGGGGACTCTGACGCACTTTTGAGCAGAGACCCTCGTCATGCCAAGCCACTAGTCCGAAAAGGGGTTTCTGTTACCACACGCAAAACGATGAGTGGAAGACGAGGGCAAAACACTGGAAAGCCTCAATAAAGGTATATTCCGAGTCCGCGGAGAAGGTGTGATATTGCGTGTTAGGCGGTACATATTGGGTATTGATCAATTACCGATGGAGGTGTCTTCGTTGCAAATATCCAAGGCTGATGGCTCAGATATCTTGGGCTTTGCGCAGGCATATACTACAAATGAACAGAGGACCTCGATGAACACAGATATCTTCAAGGGAAACTACTATGACACCGTCTCCGCACGAATCAGTGACTTGGTCTGACCCGTCCACCTGGCACTTTGATATTGACCGGTACATAAACCCGTTCGTCCCAGTGCCGCGATGGCATCGTGCCCCAAAGCCGGTGGCTCGTATGCTGGGGTATCGAGAGGAATCTCCCAGGCCTCTGGGGAATATTTTGATCGCTGGGTGGTCGTTGATCGGCGCATTTTGCGGTGTTGCATTGGTCTCATCTGTCTCAAAACGAGTACCCTCGTTCCAGGCCCATGATGCACCGGCCATTATTGGCAGTTTCGTGAGTAATGATATGACCAGAATGACAAGAGACAGATGCAAAGGAGACACTTGGGCTGACAGTCATACTTTGAATAGGGTGCCGCTGCCGTCATTCAATTCTGCGCCATCGACTCACCCTTTGCCCAGCCCCGTAATGCGATATTAAGTCAAATTCTTGCATGCATCGTCGGTGTCGGTATTTCGAAATTGTTCGCCTTGAATCCTCATGCCGAAAGGTATACCGAACTCGGAGGAGCGCTTGCATGTGGGATTACCATAGCCGCCATGGTCCTCACCGATACTATACACCCACCGGCGGGTGCGACTGCCCTGTTGGCGGTAACAAATCCTCAGACGGTTGGATTGGGCTGGTTTTTAATCCCAGTGATGTTGTTGGGCATCACACTCATGCTGGCCGCGGCTGTGTTGATCAACAATGTACAGCGGCGATATCCGCTCTACTGGTGGACATCACATCCATTGGCTACCCCTAGGCTGGACCTGGAGGAGATTCGACATGAGAAACCAGCCAGTTTCCCTGGGAATTACGAGGACAGTCTGACCGATGTTCCTCGAAGGCTAGTGATGGAGCGGGGTGATATCTCAGTGCCAGATGGGGTGACACTGTCCGCTGAAGAGACAGCAGTATTGGAAAAGATCAGTGAAAGACTCTAAATGCAGAATATAAGCCTATCTCCATATAAATCTCGAGCGCAACAGAGTACTCCGAGCATGTACTTTGTTATCGGGTGGCAAATGGACACCTCAGGCCTCACTGCGGTGACGTCTCTCCCAATCAGAGTCGACGTATGTAGCCCACTGAGGATTTTTTTTTTGGATTCTTATTTCGCAAATCTTCTACGGACAGAACTCAGATTCTTCACATATTCACCACTCTCCATCTTCTGAGGTATTGGAGTCCAGTCTCTGGTAGTCAAACTTTTCACTGACGTCGACGCAGAATTCTATCGATAAGGGCAAACCAGGCACTCCACTGCTTCGCGCCCCTCCATTTGTCTCCGCCCCGCCAGGCGATCCACTCAGCCTTTTTGCATTTCTCTTCAATCTCTTTTCACTGGTGTCCTTTCTTCTCTTTCCCACCCGCCTTACCCTTCCCCTTCTCTTTCCCATTTTTTATACCCTCGTCACACCGCCAACATGGTTTCCGCCTCGAAGGCTGCCCGTATGGCCAAGCGTGCCGATGAGAAGAAGCCCAAGAAGGGCGGCAAGGAAGAGCCTCAGCTCGATGCCAACGGAAAGCCCATTGTCTCTGACGCCCCTGCCACCACCGATCAGCAGGCCGTCGACAAGCTCACAGCCCAGATGGACAAGCACGGTCTCTCTGACCGTGTTACCACCGGTGTGCTTTCATCTCTGCCCGCCTCTCGCGATGTTAAGATCACCTCAACCTCCCTCGTGTTCCACGGAAAGGTTCTCGTCACCGACTCCACCCTTGAACTGACCTACGGTCGTCGTTACGGTCTCCTGGGTGAGAACGGTTGCGGAAAGTCTACCATGCTCAAGTCCATTGCTGCTCGCGAGTTCCCCGTCCCCGACCACATCGATATCTACCTCCTGAACGAGGGTGCCCCTCCCACTGACCTCGGTGCCCTTGAGTGGGTTGTCCGTGAGGCTGAGCGCCAACTCGACGCCATGGAGAAGAAGGCCGAGGATATCCTCGAGTCTGAAGGCCCTGACAGCCCCATCCTTGAGGATCTTTATGATGTACGTTCTCACCGATTTTTCTTTTCTCGATTGAACTCCCGACTGACTCGTTGCCATAGAACATTGACAAGATGGATCCTTCCACTTTCCACGTCCGTGCCTCTCTCATTTTGACTGGTCTCGGTTTCAACAAGGTCACCATCAACAAGAAGACCAAGGATATGTCCGGTGGATGGCGTATGCGTGTGGCCCTCGCCAAGGCCCTGTTCGTCAAGCCCTCTTTGCTCCTGCTCGATGACCCCACTGCCCATTTGGATTTGGAGGCCTGTGTGTGGCTTGAGGAGTACCTCAAGAAGTGGGACCGTACCCTGATCCTGGTCTCTCACTCCATGGATTTCCTCAACGGTGTGTGCACCACCATGCTGGACATGCGTGGTCAGAAGCTCCTCTACTACGGTGGTAACTACGACTCTTACCACAAGACCCGTAGTGAGCAGGAGACCAACCAGGCCAAGGCCTACACCAAGCAGCAGGAAGAAATCCAGCACATCAAGAAGTTCATTGCTTCCGCTGGTACCTACGCCAACTTGGTCCGTCAGGCCAAGTCCCGCCAGAAGATTCTCGACAAGATGGAGGCCGATGGTTTCATCCAGCCCGTCCTTGCTGACCGTGTCTTCACCTTCCGCTTCGCCGATGTCGACAAGCTTCCTCCCCCGGTTCTGTCCTTCGACGATGTCAGCTTCTCTTACTCCGGTGAATGGGATGATACCCTCTATGAGCACCTCGACTTCGGTGTGGACATGGACTCCCGTACCGCCCTGGTCGGCCCCAACGGTGTCGGCAAGTCTACCCTGCTCCGCCTGATGACCGGCAAGCTCAGCCCCATCGGTGGTCGTGTCAGCCGTCACACTCACTTGAAGCTCGGCATGTACTCTCAGCACTCCGCTGATCAGCTTGACCTCACCAAGTCCTCTCTGGAGTTCGTCCGTGACAAGTTCCCCGAGAAGTCCCAGGACTACCAGTACTGGCGCCAGCAGCTCGGCCGTTACGGTCTGAGTGGTGAGGGCCAGACCGCCCTCATGGGTACCCTTTCCGAGGGTCAGAAGTCTCGTATCGTCTTCGCTCTGCTCGCCATCGAGTCCCCCAACATGATTCTGCTGGACGAGCCTACCAACGGTCTCGATATCCCCACCATCGACTCCCTCGCCGATGCCATCAACGCCTACAGCGGTGGTGTCGTCGTCGTCTCTCACGATTTCCGTCTCCTCGACAAGATCGCCAAGGACATCATGGTCTGCGAGCACAAGACCGTTCGCCGCTGGGATGGCTCCATCGGAGAGTACAAGAACCACCTCCGTAACAAGATGTTGTCTGCCGGCGCTGTCTAAGGCGGCTGTCTTGTTTTCGCTTCTCCTTGCTCCATTTTTTCATGCTTCCCTTTTTTCATTGATGACGACGAAATGCTAGACGAGAACTGAAGGAATACAATGCCCCATTTGTGGCGCTAAAAGTTTGGCTCCCCACTGGGAGACGTTCCAATACAAAAAGTTCCTTGGTTTTGGGATGGGTTTCATTTTATTTTCCTTTTGTCTGTTAGATCGTTTGTCCTTGCTGCCATACCCTAGATGAGGTGTTTCTGGTCGCTCGGACTTTCTGCGTTGGTTGTCATGCTCGAATTACCCCGATTGGGACAGGCGTGATCCGTCTGTCTGAGTTTTTCCCTGTCTTATTTTGCATCCTCGATAGAGTGTTTGGTCCTCTCTTCCGAGGAGAATATAAGTGATGCCAATTACATGATCCCTATTCAGAGAAGTAAGAAGTAATAGAAGTAGGGAGCAGCGTAAGGGACTGCGTCACTGATGCAAGGACATCTAAGCTCTTCTGCTTCTGTCTATGCTAACTTATCTGATGCAGTTTGATTCAGGTGTACGGACAAACTTCCGCCTAGAAATATTTACTTGCTGTCCTTGAGTGTACGATGGTGTGGATGTTTACACTACTAACGCGTTCAAAGCCACTCTGACATCTACATAGCCGTTCCTGTCTTTATCAAGTGCAGGGTAGTATTTACCACCTTTATGATCCAAGCCTATTACCAATGACTCCAATTTCCCAGGGCTGATGAGATCTTCAGATCTCCAGAACCCCAAGTTGCTGCCTAAGTCTACCTTACGAGGCTACAGCCCCCAAACTCAAGGCCCCGCAATGAAGCAGTAGCTCCAGTATAAAACATGCACAGCTCCTTGTTTCACTGTCACATGGTACAAGCGGCCTGAGCATTTGAGTCTCTGATTTCATGCGAATCTCAGCTTGTGGCACGCCCCTGACGGAAATCATATACTCTCCTGATCTATTCCGACAATGGACGTCAAGCTCTTACCGGACTTCCTCATGCTGCCATATCCAGCGCTCAGCCCTAAAGACCAACTCGACAATGAGATCACAGTCAAGAAAGCCTCCTCATGGACCTACTGCGGACCCCTCCTATGTCTGAATGCAGAAACTCTCCCAAGCTCCTTCAACACCTGGAGTGAAGCATCCATAACCGGCTCAATCCTCCCACCACTCTTCTCATTCCTGACATACGTCCACGAATTCCTCTCCAAAAACAACCAGTCCAATTACTGGCTTACCATCCGAGCAAGTAAAGAAACACATGACTTTGATATTCCGCGTTGGCATACGGATGATCTATTCTTCTCCTCGCCGTTAACAACCACTACACTTCCAACTCCAGCGTCAACAGTAAAGCGCACACGCCTTTCCACACTATATAATATTCTCAAAAAACAGCCCAAATCCCAACCCCAAGCACCAAAATCAACAACACCAACACCCAACGCCCTAAATTGGAAACTCACAACAACCCTCCTAGGCCCAGGAACCCTCTTCATCCCCACAACGTCCAGCCCACAAGCCCGCACAGCCCAAAAGAACGCAAAACAAGCCGCTCGCGCCCAGAACCCCAACCACACGTGCCTTTCCATCCGCTGCGTCGGCTGCGCAATGGCCGCGGAATCCGTCCGAGAAACACTAGCAGCGGAACTGGGGCATGGGAATTGTGGTACGAACCATGGCGAGATCCCAGGTGACGGCGAGGACGGGATCGTGCAGGCCCAGCGTGGGCAGTGTGTGTTTTTCCGGGTTGGGGAGGAAGAAGGCGCTGTTCATTCTGAGCCTGTGTCGCACTCTGATCGGGTCTTTGTTAATGTTGTTCCTGGTTCGAGGGAGGATCTGGAGGTGCTTATGGGGAGGTGGGGGATGGAGTTTCCTAGGGCTTGGTATTTTGGGTTGGATTTTGGGGATTTGGGGGGTTAAGTTGGGGGTTTGGTTCGTTTGTTTGGGCTTGATGGTTGTGTCACTGTTCAGCAGGGCTAAGTTGGGGGGTATATGCAGTATGTCTGCCTCTCGTGGGTCCTTGGCAGATGGGCATGCTTATGGACTATGCCTTGGCATTGTATAAACGGCTTTTGAGACGTAGCAGAGGCTCATACATAATATTAAGAAGAAGAATCAATTCACAAATAGAAAATTCATTTTATATACTCTTTAGCAGATCATAATCATCGTTGCATTTTAAAACCCCAAGCTTAAACATCAAGCTTAAACATCAAGGGTACGGCCAGTGCGCGAGGACTCACGGGCCAACTCGATCAAGTGGATGACATCGCGAGCTTCAGCACCGCTAGCAGGCAGGGCACCCTCACCACCAAGAGCACGGACAAGCTTGCGGTAGTACTCAGTGTAGGTAGGGGGCTCGACAGTAGGAACAACCTCCTTGACGGGCTTGTCGCCCTGCATGGTGGTCAGAGTACCATAGCGCTCGCTGGGCTCACTGCCAAATCCGCTTTCGGCCGGCAAGATACCAGCCTTGAGCTGGTCTTCTTGGATGTCGAGGTGGAACTAAAACCGTCAGTTAATAAACAGTCGGAGGACGAGATTTGGGATCAATTGGATTTCTTACCTTCTTGAAGCTACCGTTGTTGCCGCGCACCCAGAAGCGCAGCTGCTCGTCCTCGGGGCTGACGACGGTGGCCTTGGCGGTCACCATGGTGCCATTGGCGTAGTGAAGAAGCACAGTGAAGGCATCCTCGAAGCCGGAGGAGTTGACCTCACGGGCAGAGCCGATGAAGCCAGTCACGCGCTGGGGCAGACCGAAGAGGCAGTAGGCCTGGTCCAGCAGGTGGGCGCCGAGGTCGTAGATGGCAGAACCACCGGGGATGACCTTGTTCTTCCACTTGTGGCTATCGGCGGCGGGCTCCTCGGGGCGGTGGCGATCGAAGTGAGTCTCGAACTCGGAGATGCGGCCGAGGGATCCGTTCTTGATCAGCTTGGAGAGGGTCACGAAGTCGGCATCGAAGCGACGGTCTGTAGGTAAAATTGTGAGTCTGTGTGTCCCTGCAATTGGGTCGATTTCAGCTCGTAGACGTACTCTGGAACACGGCAAGTTGCTTGTTGTTCTTCTTTGCGATGGCAACGAGCTCATCCGCTTCCTGGGTGGTGGGGGTGAAGGGCTTCTCGCAGACAACTATGACGCGCATAGTGGGTTAGCTGGGTGTTGGCTTATCCGGGACCTGCGGATACGTACCATGCTTGCCAGCCTCCAACGCCAGCTTGGAGAGCGCAAAGTGGGAGTCGGGGGCGGTGGTAATGATCACAATGTCAATCGCAGAGTCCTGGACCATCTCCTCGGTGGTGCGGAAGGACTTCACGCCGGGGTGGTCCTTCTCGGCATCGTCACCAGCCTTGGGGGTGCGCTGCACCACGGCATAGAGCTTGAGCTCGGGAACCTCATTCACAAAGGGAATGTGGAAGATCTTTGCACTGAAGCCGTAGCCAACAATGCCAACATTATAAGACTTGGAAGACATGATGAGAGTGTGTGTATAGTTTTAATTAGAGAGAGAGAGAGAGGAAGAAAGGAAGTTATATATAAGTCCCCGGAAACCACTACGCGGGGAGACCAGGGAAGGTCCTGGCGACGGCAACGTTTGGGTCTGGTGGGGTCAAAAGCCGACTCGGTCTTTTTTGTTACGGGCCGAGTTGGCATGTTTGGGGGAGATTTTGTAGGATTGATGCACTCGGAGTACTGTCTCCCTGATTGTTAATCCGCTTCTCCATCCTCTCCATCCTCTCCATACTGTACTGTACTCCCATCTCGGCCCTGAAACACCCCCACTTGCGTCATGCCATGCTATTCCTCCACTCCAACACATCTCGTGACCTCAAGGGCGTCCTATGAATGGTTAGTAAAAATCAAAAACCAAAAGAGCAGAGTCTTCACCTTTAATCCCTCCGGTTGACACAATTTGCTCTGGTACACCAAATTCGGGTTCCCGACAAAGTCGAAAGTGGGCACGTCGTCTTTACCCACGAATGACAGCACCGTGCGCTCACTCATACCGGTGGTATCATAGCCCGTGGAAGGTCCAGCCTTGGCCTTCTCGCGCTTCTGTGCCACAGTGCTGCGAACAAATTCCAGATATGGAGGGTTCCCCGGGTAAAGGACATTGTCGGCGGCGAGCACTGATCCGGGCACAATTGCTCCGAAATGCTCGCATAGTTTGACGTCGGTGGTGTATGCCGGTTTATAGTGGTCGAGGAAGAGCAATTCAATCTTCTTGACGTCACCCGAGCTAAGCAACTTGTGGAGGGATACATCGCTACGACCGACGATCACGCTCACAAACTCGCGCAAGCCGGCCAGTTCGATGAGCATGTTGGCAATGGCTGCGAACTCCGGATTGAGCTCTAGACTCAGGTAGCGTTCGCCACCGTTGCGACGGACCGCGTCACCGAATACGATTGCTGAGTAGCCCACGTAGCAGCCAAGCTCAATCATGGTCTTGGGCTTGAGTTCGTCTATAAGCTGGATGACAATTTCGGCCTTCTCAGGCCCGACGTTGATCAAGTGGTATTCTTCCTCAAACTTGTGGATCAGATCGATCACCTTTTGCGGGTGGCCGCGGATTTCATCCAGGTTGGGTTGGCCATAGATGAAGTGCAGAAGCTTCAACTCTCTGCCTGGCTCACGCTGGGCTACGTCAGTAACAACTTATGTTCATAGGGAAAGCAGAACCTACGGAACGTTCTCCGGCCTTGGGATGAGCCTGTTGATTTGTCGCCATTCTGAACAAGTCGAGATATGTCTGAGTTTGAAGAAAGATCAAGGTAAGATGCGGTTAAGAACGCGGAGCATGGCGAAGTCATCGGATTTGAGACGCCTTCAACTTATAGTCGAGCATCTCGGGAATAGATAGCTCGGACATAACACATCGCAAGTCCGAGTTCTCTCGCAGTTGCCTTAAATAGCTTAAATAGCTTATGAGAGGGGATTGGAATTCATCAGATTGCATCGAATGGCGTCTTGAGATAATGACGGTTTCATCAAGAAACAAAAATTCACTTAGGAAGTCTTGTCCGAGATTGATAAAGTGCGGAAACCTGATCCCAGGCAGCTCGGGGATAACAACCGTACAGTAACTTACAGAGTAAGCCAATCACTGAATTCTCTCATGAGATCGAACGTGAAATCTAGAAATGCCGAAAGATCGAGCAGTTTGCAGGTGTCTCGTCACACCGAACTAGATCTGCACCTCAGCCAAGCCCCCCCTCACCAGCCTCCTCGCATCTTCAGCATTCCACAATGTCCTAACTTCAACCTCAAACCTTTCGAGGTCCTTGGACCTGCCTCAAAATCCATCCAGGAATGAATCGGGTCATGATCCCCTCACCGGTGGTGAAACAAAGACTCAAAATGACCATCGAATCCAAAGGTTCGGGTTCAACAGGGACAGCAATCCGCGTCTTCTGGCACCTTCTTCGCATCTGTCTTTCATTTTCGCTATTATTCCTTCATAACATCCTCCTCGTCATCGCGAGTTGCCTAGCCTATCTCCGGTTCGCAGCCAGCCGTCGCAGAACCCGCCGAAATGTTCGCTTCTATCCAAAGACAGTGCTGATCACAGGCGTGGGAGCCCCTCATGCGTTGGCACTTGCACGAGCATGGGCCGCAGAAGGCCATTGCGTGGTCGGGGCCGATGTGACAGATCTAGATCTTCCCGTCCGATCTGGCGCCAGCATGTCCAAAGCCCTGCAGGCATTCTACCGCATTCCCAAAGACCATTACATTTCTAGACTCCTGGATGTGATTCACCGCGAGAAAGTCGACATTTGGATCCCATGTTCCCCCAAGGCAACTCCCTGTGAGGACGCGACAGCGCGACAGGTTATTGAGAGCCGGACCAGCTGCAAATGTATTACTTTTGATGCCGAGCTGGCGACGTGTTTCAGTCACTCTGATACCTTTCGACAGTATGTCACGGAGAGAGGTCTGCCAGTGTTGGAGTATCATAAGGTTTTGTCGCGCGACTCTGTGCATAAGATCTTGCATCGGTCGCCGTCGAAATCATACCAGATGATGCGCGCTAGTGCATCGGCGAGCGAGAAGGCCATGCATCTGCCTAAACGGACAGCGAGCAAGACTTATACCAGTATCAGTGAGATTCAGATCTCCAAGGATAAACCTTGGATTCTGCAGCAACATTCACGGCTGGGGGAGCTGTTTGCCGATATCCTCGTTGTCCGCGGTCAAGTTCAAGCGATCAATGTTCGATTGTCTGATGCCCATTCTTCGCCGTGGGGGACCTCACGCTTGGACGAAGCGTTGGCTGTTGCGATTCACCAGCTCATGCAAAACTTCGCCTTGAAAGTTGGTCCTCGCTTGACTGGACATCTCTCTGTTAGACTTATGGTGGATGAGGAGTTCGATGTACATTCTGTTCGACATGCTGTTTACATTGCCGGCTGCATCCCCGGTGCGAAAGCAGTCGAGCGCCTTTTGCAGGACACTTCCTCACCAACCGCAGGGTATCTATCCGTCTTCCCTTCCGATCCCGTTGATGTCTCCTCCAAAACCACTCCGACACTCTCATCCTCGCGTGCGACGTCGACCTCCAAATTCTCTACCGCGGGTCATGTCTTTGCCCTGCTCTTACAATTCTCTTTCTTCCGGTATGCAATCCTGATGATCGCATTGTCCAAGGAAGAATTTGGACGGCTGTTATTCTGGAAAGATCCACTCTTTTCTTTCCAAGATCCGCTTCCTTGGTGGTGGCAGTTTCATGTCTACCAACCACTCCGAGAGATTTGGGTATTGGTGAAGCAGACTCGAGAAGCTGGGTTGTAAAACTTGATGATACATATGAGCCATGAGCAATGTAACTATGAATGAATTGATTAAGGCAACATGATTCTCGTCCAAGTTGTCCAGTATACAACGATGCCAAGCCTCCTAAAATAGATTCACGGGCTGTCGCCTGGGCGATGATCACATACGTAGCCGAAGCAGACTCGACCTATTCAACCCCAAATCCTGAGCTTCTAACTTCCTCTCCTCCTTGTCCATTTTCGCAATCAGATTGACATTGAAGTTGCGCATTGCCATTTCGCAGTCCGAAACAACAAACAAAAACAGAACATCGCCCCCGAACTTCAAAACACAGCCTCCGCCCGACCCTCCGCTGTCACTATTTTACCTTGCCTCACCTCACCTTGCAGAAATTCCACTCTCACACATTCCTCCCCCGGTCAATGAAATAACGATCCTCATTGCATTTATCCCTTGAATCGAAAAAAACTCCCGTACATGGTTGAAACACCGCACCCTTGTACAACATGAAGTTCCAAATGCCGCGCCCATCAGGCGGAAGCCTAGGACGCACGAAGAACTACCTGCATTTCACTCAGGCCTTCATTATCTTCATTGCGTGGGCACTTACTATCGCAATCTGGACTAAGGGCGATGGTATCGACGGGCGCACGGGGTGGTATTGGGCGCTGGTGAGTTGTGCAAACCCCCAAGAGTCTCGAGTCTTGCGCAGCAGGACCCAGAGGCATCTTGAGAAGTGAAGACCGCTGACATATTCTCTCTTCTTGACAGTGTTGGCTCAGTATCCCCGGCCTTGTCTACCTAGTCGCGGTTCCGATGTGGCCGCGCGCCCGCCGCTTCGGAAACGTTTACGCCTTTGCCTGTGTCGATGTCCTCTACGCTATTCTCTGGGCTAGTGCTTGGATTTGTGTTGCGTCCTATGTTGCTGTTGGCAAGTCGAAGGGATCGTCTTCATCTGATAGCAGCAGCAAGGATTCAAAGTCCACAACGAAGAGGGCTACCGATACTGACAAGAGTTCTTCCAAGTCTGGCTGTGATAACTGGGCTTACGGATCCGCTGCTAAGTGTAAGCTGAGCGAAGCGACCACCATTATCGGTGTTTTTATCTTGTACGTACGATTCCGATGCGGCTCTCGCGAGCAGTGGCTATCACGCAGTGACCAAATAAGCTAACAGGCTCCCTTCCAAACAGTATCCTATTCGCAATCACCGCGTGGATGTCCTTCCGCAACGTCATGCACTTCCGCCGCACAGGAACCCTCCCGGACGCAGTCTCAGACCCAACTTTCGCAGCCCAGAGCAAGGCTGCCTTCTCCTCGAACCCAGCCCACGACTTCGAAGAAGACGAGGATGACTTCCGCTCTGGTCGGGGTGGTGGCGTGGCTGCCTCCTCCCGCGGTGATCAGGATGAGGATTATGCCCTGCTCCAGCAGAGCGAGGTCGACGACCTGGGCAACGCACACGGCCGGTCCGCGATGCAAGGCTCATATGACCCCACGGCTCCGGCGCCTGGCGGCGTTCTACATGATTACAACGCGAGCACTGGCTATGGTGGCGCTCATGGACAGCACTACACAGCACCCGGTGATCAGTTTGCGCCCACTGAGTTCGGAGGCTCGACTGAATACGGCGGATCCTCTCTTGGCTATGGCGGCTCTTCTGTCAGTGGGTATGGGCGTTGAAAAGACGTTGGGATCGAAGGGATGTAGGATGTGGATAGGCTTTGGATTCCCGTGAAATACCCGGAGGATTTGACATGTCCTGCTTGTTTGTTACTTGTGTTATTTGCGTCTGTCTCGGATATGACCCATGGAAGCGGTGTTTGGCGCTTCACAGTCTTTTTTTTTTTGGAAAGGGTCTAGCGCCCTAGTGTTCTTTACTCATGCTTCTCTTGTGCTTTCAGGCCTTGAGATTACGATTGTATGTCCTGCTCTGGATTCATTGAATATTTAAAGAATATAGAGATATTTTATAAGACAAGTTTCTGTCGCAGTTTGTAGATGTAAAATATATATCATAGTTGGGTTGGCACTATTGCTGTTCATAAAAGTATGAGCCATGAATGAGCCTAGCGAGATACTTTGAATGGTGAATCTGAATAGGTCTATTAGATGTCCTTGCCATTAGTCTCGATTGCCTCTTCCCGCATAACCTTTCCGTTAGGGTCCTTGAATTGATTGAAGATATTGTTCGATGTTGCAAAGACATTGTCAATATCCTCAAGCACACGCCCCTGCAGAGAGAGTAGTATGTTAGCTTCCCTCCGTTGGAGTAAATAGTACATAACTCACCTTGGTTTCCGGAAGGAAGAAAAACGTAAACACCAAGGCTAAAACCGAAATGCTACCAAACACCCACCCAAGTTGAAAGTGAAGATCGGCAATCATGTACGGAATCGCAAAGTTGGTGACAAAGGCCCATAGAACATTCCATGAGGTGCCTATAGCCTGTGTCTTTTCGCGAAGAGCCGCGTTGGGCAATTCAGTGCCGAGCAGGTAAGGTATAGAGGCACCGCCCATCTATGAGGAGAGAATAAAATTAGTGGGTTGCTCATTGTGAATGACAAGGCCGAGTGAGTACTGACATTGTAACTAAACCCGAAGAGCATAAAAGCAGCGACGACAAAATTCTTCTCTGTGGGAGTCTTGTGGCTTAATTCACCGATTCCGGCTAGTAAGTACATCCATAGGCCCTGCAGGAAGAATGAGATCATCAGACATGATCGTCGTCTGGATAGATGAGCCGTTAGCTATGCTGCCATGAACAAATTTCATGCTTCCACTCACCCAAGCTTGTCCACCATATACATTGCTGGGAGTACCCCAACAAGCGCGATACAGCCGCTAATGACGGGATAAGTGAATGCATGATCTGCATATCCATTCGTCTTGTAGAATACTGTTTGATATGTTGAGGCGAATGCTTGCCCAGTAGCCTGTACAACGAAGTTAGAAATGTGGTCAACTCTGTACTGGTTTCCACTGACCTGTTGGAAGAAGTAGTAGATCATGACAATGATTGTTCGGTGGAAATTGCTACTGCGTACAACGTCCAACCAAGGGGCTTTGTGGACATGGCTGTGAAGTGCTTCTCTGATGGCGCTTATCTCAGCCTGGCAGTTTCCATTTGTTGCATCAGCCTTGGATCTGAGACGACGAAGAGCGACGATAGCTTCTTCTTCACGGTCCTTTGACAAAAGCCAGCGAGGCGAACTGGGTATAAATATGGTGAAAAAGACAATCACTGCAGAGTGAAATGAGAACAGGATCCCATGGAGGCAACAAGGAGTCCTTACAAACTGGAAATATGAACTGGATTCCTGTAACTGTTTTCCATCCCTTTGCGGTGGTACTGGTGGAAAATGCTTTGTTGACACCGGTGGCGAGGACTCCGCCTACATTGAGAAAGAGTTGCAGAGAGACAATGACAAGACCTCGGAGAGACGCCGGAACGATTTCGGATTGGTAGGTTCTGCAGAAACAGTATTAGAGCCAGTTTCACATCGCCAAATTGAACAATCACTCACGTCACGTTGACTTCCACAAGACCAACAGAGATGTACACGATGATCCGACCAACAATAAACTGAACAAATCGACCAGTGCCAGGTCCAGTATCAGCTGCGGTGATTTCGACTGGATGAAACATGCAGCCTTTAGCAAAGTCTCCTGATGGTAATAGTCCCAGTGGAATATCCTACTTACGGATGATGCCGATGACTGAGATGACCGAGAGAGCAAAGAACACAACACGATGCCCGGATCTCTCAATCCAGGGACCAGCAAGCAAACACCCCAGAAATTTCCCAATAAAGGGAAGGGATGTAAGAAGCGAAGTATGAAGGGAACTAAAGCCCCAAGCCTGAGTCACCGAGCTATATGCGCCGAATTGCCTCACAAAGCCCTAAGTATGAAATCAGAGTATGCGCATCAGCCAAGAGGGAGCCGATACGTACAGGGTTCCCTAAAATACCCCCAAAGCTTCCAGTATCGAATCCAAAGAGCATATCACCCACAAGTAGACAGAAGCATGAAAAGAATAGCATGGGGCTCATCATGCCCGGAGCAGAGCGTGGGCCTTCCATTATATTCAATTCTCCAACGGCTGTCAATTCGTGGTAGATGGAGATGAGGTAGAAATCAGTTCTTTCAATGCCGTCTTTCCATCTTTATATCCAAGTCAGGAGGTCCTGCTATATACGTCGACCACCAGGTGTCATCGAATATTCCATAAGGTTTCGCCATCAACCCGGAGAGAAAGGCGCTTGTGCAGCTGAGAGAGCCAGACGCATACTCCACACTCTAGGGTACATCATTTTAGCGTCAAAGCACGAAATCAAAATTCCAGTTAAGTCTGAATATTGTTGCTGGGGCGCACCTCGCTCGGAGCAATTAGCGTTCAACGTCCAACATTTCCGAGCGAGATGGTCCACTCTCGCTCTGTTCCGAACTGGCATTCCGTGGCACCCCAGCATGATTTGCCTTGGAATAAATAAAAAAAGTGCTGCGGAGAAGGGGACTTTTAGTAGATTAGTGAACTGATTATTTGAAAGCGGGACAAGGACGCCCATTCTTTTTGCGCAGTTTATAACTTCTTGGAACCGCTCCGTCTCTTTCAATCGCATGTCTAGATATTCTGATATTCTATTTAACAGATATCTTTCCGTTCAAACTTGCACGAATAAATCAAGCTTCAGATATGGCTTCAAAACGCCCCAACTTTCTTTTTATTCTCGCCGATGATCTGGCAAGTTCATTGTCCCAATCTCTCTACCACGATTTCGGGCTAACATCATGATTCTAGGGTTTCTCCGACATAGGCTGCTATGGAAGCGAGATCAAAACGCCCAATATCGATAGCTTGGCTACCGAGGGCATTCGTATGCTCAATCATCATACCGCAGCAGCCTGTTCCCCCACCCGCGCAATGCTCCTCAGCGGCACAGATGCCCATCTCGGCGGCCTGGGTGTCCTGATAGAGTATAAACAAAGCGAGCAGGGAGCAAAGCGATGGGCTGGCAAAGCGGGATATGAAGGTCATTTGAACAATGATGTGGCAACTATCCCTGAGATTCTAGGAGACAATGGATACTTTACGGCAATGTCGGGAAAGGTAGATTCCCTGCTCTGGTCTCAATTGATTCTGTACGAGCTAACAGATTTAGTGGCATTTGGGCTTACGCGCGAGCCAAGGACCATGGGAGCGTGGGTTTCAGAAGGCATTGGCTATGCTCCCCGGTTGCTGCAATCACTATGGTTGGGAGCCAGTGCAGGAGCGATTCCCAGTTGGTGGCTCTCCGATTCATGCTGAGAACGGCGTAAGAGTGGATATGTGAGTTGCAAGTTTCCTGATCCCGTTGCAGGATTAATGAGCATGTGCTGAAGGTGGTTCCTATGTCTAGTTCGGCCAACACGACAGAAGACTCGAATGGGTTCTATTCTACGGATTATTATACCGACCAGTTGATTGAATACCTCGATGATCGCTCCGAAGAGGATCACGAGAAGCCATTCTTTGGCTTCCTGCCGTATACAGCTCCCCATTGGCCGCTGCAATGCTCGAAAGCACAACGTGATAAGTGAGGCAACTTCAGCGCTTGAAGGGATGATTCTCAACTAACAGTATGACAGATATAAAGGAGTCTATGATGAAGGGCCATACGCGCTACGAGAGAAACGATTGAAAAGTTTGGTTGAAATCGGCATGATCGACGAGTCTGTCGTACCGCACGAGGTCGAGACAAGCACACTAAGATATGAAGAATGGGATGAAATGACACCCGAAGAGAAAAAGCTCTCTAGCCGCGCAATGGAAACCTACGCAGGCATGGTGGATTCAATTGACGTGAACGTCGGCAAAGTCATCGAGTACTTGAAGAAAACAGGGGAATATGATAATACCTTTATCGTTTTCATGAGTGACAATGGAGCAGAGGGTGCTGCGTGAGTACCACCCTTAAATTTACCGAGGAACTTTTAACTGATCATATTTCTACCATCTTAGATACGAGGCTATTCGTAAGTCCCAAAAGTGCAAATGATTCAATCTATGATACCGAAGCTAACTACGGCCATGAAGCGGTAATGGGAGAGAACATTATGCGAGCAATTCACCAGTACTTTGACAACAGCTATGATAATATCGGCTCCTGGAACTCATTCACATGGTAACTTTTGTCCTGTTCCACTGTTTCCCAAAGAATATGCTAACTTCTAGATTTCAGGCTTGGACCACTCTGGGCGCAGGCATCCACCGCTCCTTCGAGGCTGTTCAAGGGCTTCCCTACTCAAGGAGGCATTCTGGTTCCCTGCGTTTTCAAACCACCCGCAAACACTTTCCTCCCTTCCTTTGAGCCAGGATCGCTTAATCGCTCTTTCACGACTGTCATGGACTTCCTTCCTACTTTTCTAGACATGGCCGGAGTGAGTCTTCCTCCAGCTTTTGAAAAGGGATTTGATACCTTCACTGGTGGAAAAGAGCAAGCTACTCGCCAAATGATCAAGTTCCGAGGGAAAGATGTACACGCAATCCGCGGGAAGTCATGGTTGCCGCTCTTCTCCCAAGGAAAGAAGGTGGAAAATAATGAGATCTGGCACATCCATTCGTCTGATGAGCCTATCGGCTGGGAGCTATTTGCTCGAGGTGCCCTACGAAAAGGTGATTGGAAAATTGTCCACTTCTCCAAAGCCCAAGGAGGAGCTGGCGAAGCAGACGACGGTTGGGAGCTTTTCAATGTGGTGGAGGATCCAGGTGAGACAAATGACCTAGCTCTTGCTAGACCAGAAAGGTTGGCTGAGCTCCTGCAATGCTGGGAAGCCTATGTAGTTGAATGTGGTATTGTTTGGGGGGAAGGCGCGATGGCCCCGGGGTTAGGCATGGATGAAGCCCCCGAACTGTGGGAGGATGAAGTAGAGTTGCAGAAGTCGTGGATGGGTGCGGGTGCGAGAGAATGTCCGGTTGATTGTTCATAAGACGATTTGCTTGGATTGGGTAATTGATGAACTATAGAATCCCAGAAATTATTAATTTGGGAACTTATTACCTTAGCGCTCATGTTGTCTTGGATTTGGTTCTGACATTCCCAATAACCAGCATCTAGCCTTGTGTCTAATTGAACTTTGAAGTATTCCGAACGATCCGTTAGTAAATTAGGGCTACACGTCTCGTGACTTTTCAAAACCCAACACTCTTCGCAGTGAGCTCCCATCGAGTGCACCAGAATCTCGCCTTAGCAGGAAATGGTGGAGATTCCGACAACAGTGGGGCGTATTGCGAACCCAGGTTTCCACGTCTCCCTAGATTGACATGCAATCTCCGTTCCAGGTGAGCTCTGGGTTCAAATCATCCTTTGGTCGGCCAGGGAACTTGGAAAATGGAAGCTTCAGATATGAGGTCTCCAAACTGTTCCAATACAGCGACATACGTTTCCCCGCAAAGGGGTGCAAACCCCAGGACCCGCATGACGATCAACCGATCTCGCACAGGATGTCAGACATGCAGGTCGAGAAAGGTGAGTAACCATATATCTCTCCCAGTCCTAAGGAACTTGGAATTGCTGCATGTGAAGTAGAGCCTGCTAATATCTGGAGCAGGTAAAATGCGACGAAAAGAAACCCGTTTGTTCGTCCTGTGCCAAGGGCGAGAGGAACTGTAATTGGTCCGGGCTAAAAAGGCGAGCAAGAGGATTTAGAAGACCAAATGCTACTGCATGCGATTTCTGTAAAGAAAAGAAGGTAAATTTTTACTTTGATCCTCGTTGCCAGTTTGTCTATCCGGTATGTATGGCTGACATATTTTATAGCTGAAATGTGTCGGAGATATCCAGCGGTCATGTGAGAAGTGTCAAAGCATGGGGGTCGAATGTGTGCGATCTCAGTTTGAAGCCGAATTAGAATCGCTGTCAGCCTATCAGCCTGTTCTGGACCATGAGGTTACAACACCCACTCACTTGCACTTGCATGGAAGCAACGCGAATACCAGTGACTCGCAATCTTTTCAAGTTGCAGACGATACCAGTGGAATACCATTGACGGACAGTTCTTCCAAATCACAGTTAAATCTGTTATCAGACCTACCAACTAGCCAAGAGCTTCATGGTTTGATAGATTTATATTTCGAATCTGTGCACCGTAATCCGCCCTGCTCGACATCAGATATGCGATGAAGAGGCTGCAAGCTGACTGCACTTAAGATTTCGGGTTTCTGTCATTCATTCATCAGCTCCACTTCAATCGTCTTCTTGTTGATGGCAAGGCCCCACGTGAATTAACTCTTATAATGATTGCCAGTGCGATGCGGTAGGACTGAGAAAAAAAAACCCCTCGAAAATGGAGTGAGCTCTGACTGATGATGCCTGAAAAGGTTCGCTGGCCCGGTTTCTGAACAAAACTTTGCAAAAGCAGATGCATGGGCAGATGCCTCGATTGGGATCTTGCTTCCACGTATCTACCAAGGATTTGGAGCATTGCAGCTTATGGTGGGTAGCCAACTTCTGTTGAACTTTCAAGTTAAAGCACACAGCTCATTATTCTGGTAGACTCTACTAATAGCCCAACACTACGATGTCAATAGAGGCAAATTCACATCTGCCTGGCTGCTGGGGGCTAATTGTACACGGCGAGTATATGGATAATGTTGAAACAAGATTGAATCTCTTTGCAGAACTGACCATCTCTCTAGAATGATGCAGATGATGTCCTTGCACTCATTCGACCGTACGTTTTCAGCAGGGATTTCCTCCAACTTACATCTTTCTCCTCTTGTCTCTTGTGAAGCTCTCCGTCGGCTTGCTTGGAGCACTTTCTACGCCGACAGTATAACCGATGGTGGTCGGTATGGCTTCCATACCATTGATGAGAACTCATTTCGTCTACAGCTTCCTTGTGATCAAGCTAGCTTCCTAGGCAACGAGAGAGTCACCACGGAACCTCTGTTCCCCTGTCCAAACGATTCGCAAAACATTGCCAGTAAAAACACTTATCATGCGTCCCTCGACATGTCGGCATATCTTCTTCGAACTGCAGCTGCGCGTCGCAGAGCCCTGCATTTTGCCTTTCGCGCTTCGCACGAGGAAGGGGCCATTGAAACGATGACGGCGGAGCTTTCAACTCTCGAGGCAGATATTGAATCAGTCATCAAAGGTCTTCCGAAACGATTCCACTTCAACACTGACAATGTGTGTATCCACCGAGATCGACTGACAATGTTTATTCTCATGCATATTCTGCGTCACAACCTTTTCATTGCTCTGGGCCGAGCTGCTCTCCTTATTCATCAACGAGATCCAGCTAGATCGGATCTCATGATTCAAGTACGACGCAAAAGAATCTTGCACGCCCTGCCGATCGCAGGGTTGGTCTCAGAAGGGCTCAGGGCAGGTATTGCTTTTGATCCCCATATTGGTGTACATGCATATGTTGCCCTGGAAAGTAAGTGTTCATTAACAACTAACTCACGAGCTGATCACGTAAATATATTAATCCCTCTGGCAATAGTTCTTCTTTTTGAGCCACGCCGCTTGGCGGAGACTGATTCGCATGTTAAACTCAAAGCACCCGAAATAACAGAAGCCATTCCTCATTTGTTAATGGTTATTAGAGAGCTTGCAAGCCGCTCTGACATCATGAATCATTTGGTACGTCTCTGACCAACACCATAGTGGCAGCTACTCACACCCCAAGAAGCACATCGAGGCAGTTCATCGGCTTCTCCGCTGTGATTACAAGCATCTTGTCAATCAAACCGATATCAATGCATTTCGAAGGTAAGTCAATATGAATCTAAATATGGAAGATATTCCTTGATTGATATATTTCCTAGTGAGTATCGCATAGTTGGTCAAGATGCTGCGGAGTATGATTTTCGTGACTTCCGCTGGGCCAGGTTAGAAAGAATACTCCGAGGCGCTCAGCCATCTGCCAATTATAATGGCGATGAAGTGTTACTCGAGTACAGAACAGGTGCAGAGGCGGTTGTCCCCTCGACAGCCCCGTCTCCACAACTTGATGCCATGGATGTTAATAGCTCCCTTTCCTCGTCTTGTACAGCAACACATCCGCCAGAATCAGATGTATGGAGTACCCCTGCTCTTCAATACGTCAACGAAAGTGGCACAGACCAACATCTAGTGTCAGACTGGGGAGCAGGAGATTCTGAGGCTCAAAGGTATCCTCATTCTGATCTTTCGCTTGATTGGCCCTGGCTGCTGGAGGAGTCGGGACACTTGGGGTATCAAACTGGAGATCCTACAATCTTTTGGAGTCAATTGGAGCGTATTTGAGGTGCTATATTAAGCCATCAAGGCCAACAGAAAGACGGAAAGGCAAGATTGTACTCACTACATGTCACTCAAGTGGCTGATGAATTCACGCGAGGCTACCCCCGTGCAGGAGATGTCCACCAGTTTGAAACTCAAATAATCTATCAACCGCTTTACGTCTGTTATTGGCTCACTAAAAACGCATAGAGATTTATGTGCCTGAGTCTACGACATCGTGTCCTGTGATTGATACCACAATTATCCCATTGTATATCACTGCGTTTGTTTGAAGAAAGGCCGGTTGGGCATACTTTGATTCTTCTTTGTTCGAACGCAGCAAATATAACGCGAGTGTAAAATTCATGAAAGGACAAAGAAACCTGCTCCATGACTCTTATGACTCGACTCTTTATCTTGAAAACCAAGAGATTCACAAAACAAACATTTCATTCTTCTATCGAGACTTTATAAGGCGCCATCTTCCTATTCCTCATACCTCCATCAAACCCAGAGATACTGTCAGTCCACCACAAGCTTGAAGGACTCTACCAATATTTTACCAAACACTGCGACACTCAAGAAAGCTCAAGGTAAGCCCTCCTGTGACTTTAAACTATTCACCTTCTACTAACAGTGCGCATCGAATCCTCTGAAACCAAATAGAATGGATCGCCCTACAATTTACGACTACCCGCCCGACTTCAACGAAACATATCAAAACCTTTGTCAGACGTTTGCAGAGAGGCTAGACCAGCAAATTGCTGTTCTCCATAGCCCGCAGCCCGACCGACTTAATGTTATCTTGGAGTTGAGGGACCTTGCCACACTTGCAGGACAAATTGGATATATTGGAGGGGTTGGTGGCTTGGAAATCACTGATCGCCGGCATGTTCTCCGCAAATATGGATATAAATCTCTGAAAGATATCTGTACTGCAATCAGCAGCAGCTTAGATCAGCTAGCGGTAATGCTTGCTGTTGACAATAGAAACGATGTTGTCGTTGCGAACGAGTTGGAGGAAATTATGAACAGCTTGCCCTTCGGAAGGGCAGGGGCATGAGAATTTCAATAGTTTGGGATCTAACTAATCGACAACAATAGCTGATTCTTTTGCTCCCTTTTCGATTTTTCTATTGTTGAATTGAATGACATGATCAGTGTAATAAGATATCCATGGGAGAATATAATGTTTCAACCAGTATGTTACAGGACGAGGGCTCGCAGGGCTCGCACTGCAGCAAACCTTGGAGAGTATCTGCGAAGAACAACTTCCACCACCTATCACTGAGGTAAAACTATACCTTTTGTAACTTTTGTGTTACAAGTTCAATCAAGGAGGGTTCACATGGAACAAATCTCTGCCTACAGTAGCTTGGCTTCCTGCAGATCTACAAACCAGTGACCGACAGACCGGTACACCGCCAATTTAATTGAAGATCTGCTCCTGTATAGTTGAACTCTCTCCGCATTATTCAAAGCTTAGTGAATATAAAGACTCGTGAACTACTGTAGTTATATTGCCAGCATATGTATCTGCCTCACGTGAGGACCCTACAAACCAGACAAATGATCGATAAGAATCTAAGACACTCCAGATTTGATTCGATCTGATATAGCTCTAGAAAATTATTCCAGCAACCTCAACAAATCATCCTTATCAGAATGGGTGGCACCTTGCGCCAGGTTACACTGTGTGTCTACGGTGCATGGTAAATGAAGAGAACAAGCAATCAAAAGGTGAACCGCCGATTCCACCAAAATAATAGGCGTCATATTCTTTCAGCTGCCAATAGGGGTCCTTGACACCGTGCACATGTACATGTGCTGGAATATGCATGCGGACTTCTTAGGCGCTATGCATGCATAGTTCGAGGAACCCATCACATCATAATGCCAGTTCGGTCAAATGGGCCTTAGCGATGGAACTTCTGACTGTGTAACCTCCTTAACTCAGTGAGACCAAAGATATCTCATCTATCGGCGATCTTTATGTCTTGAAATCCTGATCCCAAGAGATCAACCACAACATGAGGGTCTTGCGTAACCTGACGGTAAGACGCAGCTGTACCTTTGGACTGCATATCGTACTATATTCAGCTTATTTGGGCTTGTCGGCTCTGCACACCTTCGCAGATGACAACTCGTGAGGTGTTAGATAGGATGGCTTGCGCATGAAGTTTACCTGAGACGTACTTCTTAAGGGCCCGCTTGGTCCAACCTTCCTTTTCTCGTTTTTCTCTCAACTAAATTTTTATCATTCAGCCTGGTCTTGTCCTCTATTATCACCATGAACTTGAGGGATTTTGAAAAGGGACCCGATAGTTCTAGTCAGATTCTGCCCCAACTTGTGGATGATATAGCTCAATCTGAACCCGACAGATTGTTCTGCATCCATCCAGTTTTCCAGGATAGAACTGATGAGTGGCGGCATATCACGTTCAAGGATCTTTCCAAAGCCATAAATCATGTTGCCTGGTGGATTGATGCGAGACTCAGCATCAAGAATTTAGGAAAACAGCAAGTCCTCGCATATGTAGGAACAAATGACCTCCGATACGCGGTATTTGTCCTGGCATGTATGAAGACAGGGAATATGGTAAGTACCATCTGATCTGTCCCTATTCATGTTAGCTAATCTTCTGAAGGCCTTGCTTGTTTCCACTAGAAACTCATTGCTAGCTAATCAGCATCTCTTCGAAGCTACCAATTGTTCGGTGTTGGTTGATGGTAGTGAGAAGGCTCAACTTCGCAATACATTGGACGAACTCGCAACTCACCAACCGGAAAGTTTCGAAAGATGGCCGATGGCTTCGGTTTGGGATATTTTCAATGACAGCCCGACAGAGCTATATCCCTACAGTGAGGAGCTCTCTGAAATCGAGGATCAACCCGCCATGATACTCCACAGCTCTGGCACCACGGGTCTTCCAAAGCCGGTGAGCTTGACGTATGGATTTTGGGCCACAACGGACAATTTCAGGAGGCTATCACTGCCGCCTGGACGTGAACATGGACAGTTGTTTTTGAGGAACGAGGGAAAGTTGCGCTTCTTCAGCTCACCAATGTTTCATATCATGGGGATCTTCTGTTTGTCTGAATGCATCTATTACCGCTCGCCATTTCTTCTCTATCCTGACCGACCACTCACGGCAGACTCTCTTTTGCAAATCATGAGAAGCGAGAATCCCCCTAAATGGGGTTTGTTCTCCGCGTACAATTTGCAAAATCTATGTTCAACTGAGACAGGGCGTGTAGCCCTGTCATGTTTCGAAATCTTGGGCTACGGGGGAGCCCCATTGTCACCATCCACTGGGAAGGTGTTGTCTAAGCTTGTCCGCTTGCAAACCACCCTGGGCAGCACTGAGACATCATATACCCCAACGCTTCTTTGTGAGGATCCTGATGACTGGGCATACCTCGAGTGGAATCCGGCCTTTGGAGTGCGCATGGAAGATGTCGGAGGCGACCTTTGGGAGCTGGTTATCCCGAGACTAGAGTCGCGTCAACACCATGGCATTTTCCATACCTATCCTGAGTTAACCGAGTATCGCACTGGGGACCTCTTTCGCCCTCATCCATCCAAGCCCGGTCTGTGGCACTATGAAGGCCGAGGTGACGACATCATCGTTCTATCTAATGGCGAAAAGTTTAATCCCATCGACGCGGAGAATACTTTGGAGTCTCATCCTCTTGTTAACGGTGCCGCTGTCTTTGGAAAAGGTAGATTCCAAGCTTCAGTCCTCATTGAACCTCGATGGGACCTTTTGCCCCAAGATTGGACACCAGAATGGTTGCAAAGGTCTATTTGGCCCACTGTGAACCAAGCAAATGCTGTCCTCCCTGCCCATGGGCAGATTCTGGCGACTCATGTTGCATTTACATCTAGTGACATGCCATTCGCTCGTACTGCAAAGGGTTCGATACGTCGTCGGGATGTCGCCACGGCTTATGAAGCAGTGCTTGATGAAATTTACTCGCCTGGCCACGAGGAGAACCAGCTGGAATCTAGCACTCAAGCCCCTGAAAGTTCCAGTCAGGATGCTATACAGAAGTGGCTCCAAGCACTTGTAGCCGAGATAATCAAATTGCCCAACACTTTCAGTCTTGATGATGACTTGGTCACGCTGGGAATCGATTCGCTGCAAGTGATCCAGTTGGGTCGCTCTGTTCAGGGTGCATCTAAGCAGATGCACCCATCAGGTGAACAGCTCTCCTGGACAAGTGCAAAGATATATGAGTTGAAAACAGTTCGTTCTCTGGCCAACGCCTTTTTCCAGCACGTTGGTGGCGATGAGAGCACCGACGACAGCGAAGATGCCCCGTGGACACGTTCGGAACTACTGACGCGTTCGATCTGGAGTCAGGCTAGATTGTTCGGGAAAGGTGGGCTAACCGTTGTTCTAACGGGATCGACTGGAGAGCTGGGTAGCTATCTGCTCTATGAGCTACTTCAAGACCCGTCCATAGCCCAAATTTACTGCTTCAACCGCTCTTCGGACGCGATGTCCCGACAAATTGCCAGTTTCAAGGCGAAACAGCTTTCCGCATCTTGGCTTTCGGAGCAATCTCGTGTTCATTTCTGGCAGACGTCTCTGAGTGACGAGTTCTTCGGGCTGACTCCGCATGAATATCAATCGGTACAAGGCAGTGTCGATGCTGTGATTCATAACGCCTGGACAGTAAACTTCAACCAGCCGTTGTCTGCCTTTGAATCGCATATCACTGGAGTGCGAAGGCTGTTGAAATTTACAGAGGAATCCTCGGCCCAGTTTCACTACATTTCGTCCATCTCGACGGTGGGTGGCTGGCGGGCGGAGCAAGGTATCTCAATCCCAGAGGCCCTTCATAGCGAGTCTGTGGCACTCCATCAAGGTTATGCAGAGTCCAAATATGTGAGTGAGTCTCTTTGTGGAATAGCCGCTCAGCGCTGTGGCATCCCGATCAGTATCCATCGCGTTGGCCAGCTGGGTGGTGCATCGTCGCTAGATGGCGCCATGTGGAATCCCCGGGACTGGTTCCCATCACTGGTCAAATCATCCTTGACCTTGGGCAAATTGCCGGATAGCTTGGGGGCAATGAATGTAGATTGGGTGCCAATCGTAAGTCGAGCAGTCTCCATGCCCTAACAATAAATGAGTGGAATTGACAAGAGCAAATAGGACACGGCTGCGCAGGCAGTTACTCAGATTGTCAAATCCCAGTCTCAAAAACGCAAGCCACAACTTGAGGTTTTCCATATCGTAAACCCTCAAGCAACGGAGTGGGAATCTCTGGTGCATACTGTTGCCCAGGCATGTGGTGCGAAGGTCTTGCCGCTGGAAGAATGGGTGGCCATTTTGCAAAATATTTCACAGGGAACAACTGGCGACGAGAGCCATGAGAACCTACAGAATATCCCGGCTGTTCAGCTGCTGGATTTCTTTGGGGGTCTGGTCTTGCTCCAAGGTCAAAGGGGCCAAGGACGCCCACGCGTCGAAGTTTCAAATGCTCAAAGCCATAGTTCTGCTATGCGCACCATGAACCCAATCGACGAGAGATTGATGGACATTTGGTTACAGCAGTGGAAGAATCAGTGGATGTCAGAGTTGCAGATATAGGTTCACCTGCTCCAGCTACTACTAGATCTCGGGCTTCACTTATGAGTTATAAAATCCCAAAGACACAATCCATGGATGTCATGGCAAATTATTACTCATAGTTCCCATCATTGCAGGGGTAGGCAAGAGAACAATATGACCAACACCGTGCCATAAGATGCGACATAGGTTTCTTATTTCATTGATAGACTTCAGATATTAATTGAAATAAATGATTATTACTGCTCTTTCGTCCGTTGAGTGACCAGCTCTGGACCGAAGACATCATTGCTCTCGCGAGACTTTTGTTCCTGTTCCAACTTCCGCTTCTTCGCCAGACGTTCTGATTCACTCTCGGAATTGGCCATCCCAGATTCGCTAGGCACAGCAGTAGATGGTTGTGCCGATTCGCGTTTCTGAGCCGCCAAATTTGCCTTTTCGGGGTTTTGGCAATGGTATAGTTTCTTTGCGATGCGCTTTAGACTCTTCATTTGAGCTGGATCAGAGGACAGTGTTGTATAAGACTGAAGGAAAGCAGTGCATTCAGTCAGGACGCGATGGAGCTTGCACCGGATCTCATACAAAGGATTTTGAAGACCATTTTGGCTTGTATCAGGAGTAGCTGTTGCGGGTGTGACGGGCCCACCGAGTTTGACGTCCAGAAGAAATTCAGCCAAGGGACGATCGGCGATGAGAAAAGCGGAAAGCCAGATTTGAGACGGCGTGTAGAGAAAGTATACATCAGTCATTTGTGCCGCGGTTTTCAGCAGCTCACGAGTTGTGCCGTGGGCTCGGGCGATGCGATCGGACATCGATGATGATGGGACAGGAGGAGGTGCAATGGACATTAAACCCTGTTGCAGGTCTTCCGAAGTCTCATGCGGTAGATGAGGGGCGGCTTGACCTTGACCATGTGCAATAGCCTGAAGTTCCATGATGCCGCCCTCGAGTCCTCGGAACGGATGCCGCACATCAAAGGTGAACCGGAGTCCCTGCATGAGCAGAAACTCTGGCGTAATAACATCATCTGTCGTGGTATCCCCTGGAATACCATCTGCAAATTGCCGAAGCGACATATAGTAGTTATCGGTTTTGGTCGCAAGGAACAGCGCACACGCCATGATTGACTTTGGGTGGTATGTCATGGGCGAGTTTGTTAAGTAGAAGCGGCGGAGGTATTGGATTGCGGTAGCCTAGACGGAAAGAGAATGAATGTTAGCTTCCAAATTCCCTTCCCTGTAGATAGCAACAATAGCATAGTCTGCACACGTACTCGAACCATTGTTGGGAGCGGTGGCTTGTATGTCTCTCCGAGCTCCAGCGTCTTCTCACAATAATACCGCACTAGTACTAGCTCTTCCTCTGGTGTCAGACACTCAATGGGCTTTTCATCACTGCTTTTGCCATCTGCATCACTGCCCGGCTGCGGTGTGCCAGCTGCAGAGGACACGGCCGATGGATGAGTCTCCCGTGTCCTACGCAGGGCCGCTCGCACACGCTCACTGGCTGCAGCATTCGTGGTGGCCCGAAGTGATTGTAAGGAGGAATTGGTGTAAGACCAGAGTCGATACTGAGACGAAGTACGGTAGATATCGTCTTCAATCATGGCGCCCGCCGTGTTTTTTTAACTTTTTAATGTTCTGACGCGAATGATTGAAGATGATCGTGATATCTAGCGGCAGTATTGGAATGAACTAGATGCGCAAAGTTTAGTTCAGCAGTTTGGCAGAAAGCTGAAACAGGCTGGTTTTGAAGGTAAATATCAAAAAAGTATACGGGCGAGCAACGGTGAACGTGAAAGTTGGAGAGAGCTGGGCGGTCCTGGGAGGTCCTTATCGATAAGGATCCTGAGATCGCGGCCGACTTGCGCGCTTCTCCGAACCTTAGCCTGAAGCCAACCAAGACTTTCTTTTTGCCTATGAGAATTATACGAGATTCTGTTTTTTTTTTTGGATTGAAAGAGCAATCGAGGATGACACACGAGCCACTTTATGTAGTGTGTCCCCCTATGTGCTATACCTAACTTATTTCATTTCGGACATTAGACTATACATCACTCACCAAGAAGTCGAGCAGTAATATCTGCCATGCGACCTTCATCCAATTCATAGTCCTGGCCATCTCTTCGAGGGGCACCGACAAAACGGAAAGCAGCTACAACCTGTTCCACATCAAATCCCATACTGCAAAATCGATCGATCAAATCCTTGTTGTATCCATCATATCTGTAAGTATAAGTCAGCAGGCACGTTCAAACTATTAAGGGAAAAAAAACAATACTTCGCTGTGTTGTCAACACCAGCACCTTGCTGCTCCTCCTCTGAACTGGTTCCAGTTCCGTTTCCCGTGTTGCTCATCGGGGCACCGGCGTAGAGAACTGCCCATTCACGAGCTACACGGTCAAATTCCTTTGGTGTCCTGAGGAGCATGTTGGCTACCTCAGCATCTTGCGGGTCCTTGGGCTCCGGGGTGCTGAGCAAAGATTGCAATGACAGCAAGGCAGACTTGATGGTGAGTACCGGTGACCAGGCACTAGATAATGTATCAAGACAAATTGCACCCTGGACATTGAAAATGAGCACTGAAGTTTCTTTTAAAATGATAACGGTATGAAGTAATACTGACTGTCTGGCTGCTGACATTCGGATGCCACACTTTCGTCTCAAACCTCATCGTAGGTGGTCGGAAAGGATAGTCGGTAGGGATTTTGATATCAATCGTATAAGTTCCACCTTCATATGGAGTTCCGGGCGGCCCTGGAAACGACCCACGAAGGTGTGTTACATCGTCCAAGTCTCCAAAGGGCTCAGCCTTGATCTGGGAATGTGTGTCGGCATGGATGTCGGCAATTTCTTTGCCAATACGACGAGTACGGTTGCTAGCCATGGCGATTCGAAGATCCAAGGCAGTCAAGATAAAGTAGAAGAGTCCTTTCTTGAATATCGTGCGAGTATATATGGTGCTGTCAAATCGATAGCGGTGCAATGGTAGGGTTCCCGCGGATATGATTTTGGAGATATGCGCACGTGTGATGGGACTAATTTGAAGACAGACATGTTAGCAAAGCTTGAAATTGAATGCACAATGCGATAAGTATGGCGTGAAGAGGCCTTGAATCCACGATAAGCGAGAAACTCGAGAGAGAGACAAGAATCGCACTAAATGGAGGGGAACTATGTCGGGGAATGAGGTCTATTGATAACTTCAAATAGGGCTTGATTTGATCGGCCCAGATTTCAGGCGAGATTATACCTTTGGAGATCAGCCGCGGTATACTAATACCAGTATATCGTTCAGTCGGAATGCGAATATCCTCGATTGCGCGAGTGTTCAAGCTGCGAAGTGCCGAGTGGGTTCAGGCATCGAGGCAGAGATGACGCAGTGGTGGCCTGAGGCCGCGATATCATGTGATGGGTGACAACAGCTGGAAGCTCGCCGAGCATCTGACCCCGAGCGACACCAACCACACCTGCATTCATAACCCATCCCTTTCACTTTGTATTTCCCATCATATCCAACTCATTGGAGCTCGGGAATTACACAACCGTTTTATCTGTTGTTATACCACTGGGCTTTTGATTGTATCCCTCCAGGTGGCTGACAAACATGGTGAGCGCCCCATCCTTCTATCGCCTTCGGTCAGCCATGGAAATGAATTGACATTCGAGATCAGGGTCAACAACAATCTAACATGGGCGGAGGCCCGGGTGGTGATGGACGTGATGACAAGGACAAGAAGGTATGACCTGACTCGTTTCTCTTGGATCGTGAATGGCGCTAAAACCGCGTTGCATCAGAAGGACAAGCCTAGATACGAACCTCCCCCACCCCCTACCACTCGCATCGGAAAGAAGAAGCGCAAGGCTGCTGGTCCCAGCACTGCCTCTAAGCTCCCAGATATCTACCCTACCTCCCGATGCAAGCTACGTTATCTTCGCATGCAGCGGGTCCACGACCACCTGTTGTTAGAAGAGGAGTATGTTGAGAACATGGAACGCATGCGCAAAACCAAAGCTCAGGCTTCCCAGGAGCCTGGTAGCCGAGGTGACTTGGACGACCGCAACGCTGATGAGCGGAGTCGAGTCGACGACATGCGAGGCAGCCCCATGGGCGTCGGCAACCTGGAAGAGTTGATCGACGATGACCACGCTATTGTCTCCAGTGCGACTGGTCCCGAGTACTACGTTTCTATCATGTCCTTCGTTGATAAAGACCTCCTTGAGCCGGGTGCTAGTATTTTGCTACACCACAAGTCGGTTTCCGTTGTCGGTGTATTGACCGAGGAATCCGATCCCCTTGTGTCAGTGATGAAGCTTGACAAAGCTCCCACGGAGTCATATGCCGACATTGGTGGTTTAGAATCACAAATCCAGGAGGTTCGTGAGTCCGTGGAGTTGCCATTACTACACCCAGAGCTTTACGAGGAGATGGGTATCAAGCCTCCCAAAGGTGTTATTCTCTACGGTGCCCCCGGTACCGGCAAGACGTTGCTTGCCAAGGCTGTTGCAAACCAGACAAGCGCTACCTTCCTCCGCATCGTTGGTAGTGAGTTGATCCAGAAGTATCTGGGTGATGGTCCTCGCCTGGTTCGCCAGATTTTCTCGGTTGCTGCTGAACACGCCCCCTCCATCGTGTTCATTGACGAGATTGATGCCATTGGTACTAAGCGTTACGAATCGCAATCCGGCGGTGAACGTGAAATCCAGCGTACCATGCTGGAGCTTCTCAACCAGCTGGATGGTTTCGATGATCGTGGCGATGTCAAGGTCATCATGGCTACAAACAAGATCGAGACTCTGGATCCAGCTTTGATCCGACCCGGTCGTATTGATCGTAAGATTCTTTTCGAGAACCCAGACCGTAAGTGTCATCCTAATGGACCGTGCTTTGTTTCACTTCACTAATAGCTTCCAGAAAACACCAAGAAGAAGATCTTCACTCTTCACACGTCAAAGATGTCCCTCGGTGACGATGTTGACCTCGAGGAGTTCATTAACCAGAAGGACGATCTCTCTGGAGCTGACATTCGTGCCATTTGCACCGAAGCTGGTCTGATGGCCCTGAGAGAGCGCCGGATGAGAGTGCAGATGGACGATTTCCGCGCTGCCCGGGAGCGTATTATGAAGACGAAGCAGGACGGTGGCCCTGTGGAGGGTCTGTACCTGTAAGCCTCGGCAACTGGTTGTCTCGATCAAGTGCCGGAATGCTTGCGTGGGTGACTCAACTAGGTCATTTGTGTATTGTAATAATCGGATGAAATTAAACGGCTGAATGGGCAATTCTATAAAGTATTCTGTGCATGTAGAAAAGGAAGGCTGTAGAATCCTGTGAAACAAAATCCTTCGGCTTCGGGCTGTACAATGAAATAATGGCCTGGAGTTTAATGTGCAGGCGACTTTGATACCTGCCGCCCTGGCCCAAGATTGTCACCTTATCGATCGTGCAAACAGTGCAAACAAAGCTCGCTATCAGCTCGCATCTTCTTGTCTATCGCAAGTCTCCTCACATACTCAACAATGGACGGATTTGACGAGGAAGCATTTAATAAATTCTTCCCTTCTAGCTTCGGTAAGCAAGAGAAGTCTGTCGATGTTGACTCGCAGATCAACCGCTCCAAGCGCACCGAGGTTTCGGCTCAACCCACATTCGAAGGCAATGAACCAAGCACTTCCACGAGCGCCCTTGCAGCGCAGTTAAAAGGCAGCGGAGACGAGGAAAAGGATGATGAAGATGAAAGTGACAGCAGCGATGAAGACTCGGAGGACGATGAGGATGAATTTCCCGTATCGCATGAACTTGTTCTCAAGACCCATGAGCGTGCTGTCACAACTATGACCGTGGACCCTTCAGGCGCACGACTAATCACAGGCTCGACCGATTGTACGTTGAAGTTCCATGATTTTGCCTCAATGACGCCGTCAACAATTCGCGCCTTCAAGTCTGTCGACCCGTCCCTCAAGAAACAATCGGCAGCGCAGGACACCCACGCCGTTCACTATGCCGCTTTCAATCCGCTTTCGCCAAGTCATGTACTTATTGTGACCGCAACAGCACAGCCCCGGATTCTAGACCGTGATGGTGAAACCCTTACCGAGTTTGCAAAGGGAGATATGTACCTGCGCGATCTACACCATACCAAAGGTCATGTCTCTGAAGTGACGTGCGGTGCCTGGAGCCCCTCGAATCTCAACTTGTGTGCAACTGCTGGAAGTGACAGTACCATTCGAATCTGGGATGCGAATGTGGGCCGCTCGCAGAGGGAGGTTATTATGCACAAGTCGCGGGCAGCAGGCTCCGCTGGCCGAACCAAGATGACTGCTATCGCATGGGGCACTCCGAAACAGGGAGGGTCCGACATCCTAGTAGGGGCAGCTCTTGATGGTAGCCTGGCCATGTGGAGTGGGAATGGACCCTACACAAGGCCTAGCGCCGAAATTCGTGATGCCCATGTCAAAGATACATGGACAAGCGGTGTTGATATTAGCGCCGATGGAAGACTTGTTATCACCCGAGGTGGCGATGATACCATCAAGCTATGGGACACCCGAAAGTTCAAAGCACCGGTTACTACCATCGAGCACAAATCGACATCCTCACGCTATCCGACCTCAAATATCAAGTTCTCTCCCTCATCTGCAAATGTGCTCGTGGGATCGGAGACCGGTCACCTACACATTCTCAACCCAGCCACGCTGAAACCAGAGATGGTGACCCCTGTCACACCGGGTTCGCCTCTAATTACTGTGCTCTGGCATGAGAAGCTCAATCAGATCCTGACGGGCTCTGCGAATGCTGAAACGCATGTCCTTTATAACCCCACAACATCTTTCAAGGGTGCCGCGACGGTCATGTCTAAGGCACCAAAACGCCGCCACGTCGATGACAATGTCACTCTGACTTCGGACTTGACTCAAGGGCTGGCAGGAGATTCCGTTGTTGTTGGCTCCAACGGTGTCCCACACTATAGCTCGGCTACCTGGTCTGCCCGACACCCCAATGTTGGACTGACAGCTTCTGGTCGCTCTCGAGACCCTCGCCGGCCACATTTGCCTCTGCAAACACCGTTTGCCCAGTCTACGCCAGATGAGAAACACATTCGTGAAAATATTCCCCTCAGTTCTATGCGAGATGAGGACCCGCGGGAGGCACTGTTAAAGTATGCTGAGAAGGCCGAGAAGGACCCAATATTTACCAAGGCATACAAGGAGACACAGCCCGATGCCATCTATGCAGAGCTGAGTGATGACGAAGAGAAAGGACCTGAAAAGAAGAAGGCTAGACGATGATTGCGAACTCTCGCTTGGTTTCCGAACATGTATAATATCTGTCACCGTTCACTAATCGCGAACCACAACAAAGATGAGACTGCTATTGCAAGCCCTGACGTACTCGTAATCACAGACTAAGCTTTTAAACGATGAATGAAACTTCCACGCGTTTAACCTGCTCCTTACATTCTTTCCGGGATGTCCCCCTCTTCCGGTACTAACGTTATATGACGTCCCCAAGAGCCCGCCGATCCCAAGCATTCCACCCGCCAATGGCAGCTATGGGAACACCGGTATGAGCTCAGGCCTCACGCAGTCCTCGCATTTGGCGCGTTTGGATTCATACGTAATGCGCTGTTGACCATTAAACGACAACGCAGAGGGGAATTTTCGAAGAAGGTCTGAGGTTGTGTTGCTGACATGAGCAATTTTTCTCCGCTCCAGCGCCTCCGTGCATTGCCGCCTGCCTAACCTCTTCCCAATCACTTCGGATGTTGTTTCTACAGTGATTACTTCTAGCGCGAGAACATCGGCTTCCTCGGACCAGCATGCAGCCTTTTGCGACTTGAGCTTGAATGTTTACTGTTGATTCTGGGAGTTCGTTGTAATCGGCCGCGCCTGCCGGTGAGCTGGGGGTATAAGGGGTGTGATACAAACAAAGTGTGAAAGCGCATTACTTGAGATGGCTTTCTCACAAGCCTCGCTGGTAGCTAACCTGCTGCCTAATATCCTTTCTTCGACTATTTCTCCTTCCACATCCGTCTCATACGCCTCTTCGTCTGTCAACGACTTCCTCACCACAGCCTCGAATCTGACCTCGGACGCTCCGCATAACCATGATGGAAAAAGCGGAGGAAGCATGCATGAATGGTCATCTTTGATCGGTATCGTGACCGCTCTTTGTGGAAATGTCCTGATCTCCTTGGCTCTGAACATCCAACGTTACGCGCATATCCGGATCGCAAGGGAATGGGAGCAGGATAAGAGTCAGAAGGAAGCCGACTGGAGACGTATGCAATCTGAATCAGATACTGAGAACGTGAATGGAGCTACAGGAAGCAATGGAGCGCGCGACCATTCGCGGGGGCGATCCCGGGAACAATACCGAGATACTGAGGATAACTTTGAGCCATACCGTGACGATAATACCCAAGTCCAGAGCAGCAATTCAAGCTCGCGAGACAGTAATTATCCCGGGGATAGTGGGAACCGCAAGTCTTACCTTAAGTCGCCCTATTGGTGGGTTGGGATCGTCCTCATGGTTGTGGGCGAGATGGGCAATTTCATGGCCTATGGTTTTGCGCCCGCTTCGATCGTGTCCCCGCTGGGAGTTGTGGCTTTGATCTCGAACTGCATTATTGCGCCATGCTTGCTCAAAGAGAAGTTCCGCAAACGCGATTTATGGGGTGTGCTGATCTCTGTTGCTGGGGCTGTCGTTGTCGTTCTCAGTGCCAAATCATCAGAAGAGCAAATCGGACCACATGAAATTTGGATGATGATCACCCGTTGGGAATTCGAACTGTACCTCGGATTGACTATTTCTCTGATCATCGGCCTGATGTGGGCAAGTCACCAATATGGCTCTCGCTCTATCCTCATTGATGTAGGACTTGTGGCACTATTTGGTGAGTTTCAACTACCGTTCTATGGCACTCAATTTTATGAATCGCATACTAACTATGAGTAGGTGGATATACTGCCTTATCTACCAAGGGCGTCTCTTCACTCCTGTCTGGCTCTTTGTGGCATATTATCACTTTCCCAATCACCTATGTCCTTGTTTTCGTCCTCATTTCGAGCGCTTTGATGCAGATTCGCTACATAAATCGGGCCTTGCAGCGTTTCGATTCTACCCAGGTAATTCCGACGCAGTTTGTACTCTTCACCCTCGCTGTGATCATTGGAAGTGCGGTTCTTTACCGAGATTTCGAATCAATAACAGCAACTCGTGCTACGAAGTTTGTCGGTGGTTGCTTATTGACATTCCTTGGCGTATATTTTATTACCAGTGGCAGAGTTCGCGCTGATGACGAGTCATCCTTTTCATCTGAAGATGAGGAGGGATCGATTGGTTTGTTGAACGGCGAGAGATATCATGATAGGATTGATTTGTCTCCTCCCGGTCATCAACTGCCGAAGGTTTCGCATCTTAACACAAACGGCCAAGCCGGCGCCGTCCAGTCACCTTCGGGATCTTTATTGAGCCAAGGCATTGAAGGGGTCGACGATGACGAATTGACTCCTAGAGGCGTCCTTTCTACTGCGTCTTCTCCGCGGGGATCTCTCATCCCAGATTCACCTATATCTCCCCCGTCCTTCGACCATACTTCGCCTTTGCGACCCCCGTCTCGTATGTCCAACCCCTGGGCAGACATTCAGGAAGTGGCCGTTGTGACTCCCGAATCCGATGACAACCAATTTTATCGCCCTTCTACTCCAACGCAGCATGATAGTGATTCAGCACAAGCTTCCACGGTTCTGCTTCGATTCCCGCCTGCACCTGGCCTGGAAGAAGCGTCGGGACACAACGGCGACGCTGGAACTGTGCGACGTGCTTCGACTCCTACCTTGCTAAATCAAGAAAACCGAATTGGACTCCCTGAGACACCTTTGGAAACACCTTCGCGGCGTGCTTTGCGCGGCTCCGTCTCACACCGCTTCTCGCCTGGACCTCTTCTTCCCACACTATCCGGTGGTTTCAGTGCCGTCGTGGTTGACTCGATTCGACGTGGAGACGGCAGCCCCCTCAAGGATCGTACCAAGCGCAAATTAGGACGTCGCCGTCAACTTGACGGTACTTTCACCGATCCCACTCTCCTAGTTGACGGGCCAGAGTCCTCACTCTCGGTTGCCACTGCTCGTCTCCAGTCCGCCACGAACTTTGCCGATGCACCTGCAGAGGCTGGCCGTTCTAATCCTGCCCTTGCAACAGAAATTCACCCCACGCATGACCCAAACTCTACCCAAGATGTGACCCGTCTTCGCAGTTTCAGTGACTCGTGGAACGGTGGACTTGCATGGCTGGGCGGTGCTCTGCGCAAAAACAGCAACCGAGCCGTTGATGAGGCTGCACCGCAAGCAGCGCCTAATCCCCGCGATGAAGAGGCACCGCTCGGTCCAAGCAATGAGCCACGAAATAATATCGGCTTTGAAAGCGAAACTCGGCGATAATAACCACAATAAACGTGTCGGCCTAAACCTTCAAGGCCAGATACATGACAGTGGCTGGGTCACTGGAACTGTACATACTATTTCAACTTTCCTCGCCATTTTTCTGGACAATGGTCTTTCTGCGATATTACTTGGCGGTATATTATTCATTTTTAATTGTTATTGCATTGTCCGGGTACATGTTAGGCATTTCATAAAGCACTCTTCTCTCTGTTGCAACTTTTTCTCTCATGTATTGTAAGCCAACAGCGAGCAGGCGGGTGTTGAACATCCATCTCACTGGACTATTATGTACAATTAAGTTCATATTCTCAATTATTCCAAAGAAAACTTCCGACCACCGAGCCTTTGGCCCTCTAGCATGATATGATGCATCTCCGCTCCCCGCCGGGCGAAACACAAAGCCCTAATAGGTGGAAAATGCACACAGCAAACACCGCCCTGCAGGGGTTACACCCCATTACCCCAGATGGCTTGATTGTCCTTCATTTAGCAAGTCAATTTAGCCGGGAAAAGATGCCCCTCAACTCCATTTCACCTTCTAATGCGGAGGCGGGGGTGTCACTCCGTCTCATGAAAGTCCTAGCTCGCATCTAAAGACGCCAAGTGATGGACTACTGCAGTCATATTAACCAGTTTGGTCTGATCTGGTACTGAAGACGGCTTCATTTCCGTTAGATGATCGTACTATGTCTATGCAAGCTAGTCATTTCACTCAATTTACTTCGATTTGCGGGATCGATCAACCTCGTGCCGCGATGCGATTGGTATCTTGGTCAATTCTCGATGTCTCCACCGTGCAAGGGAGCTTCTCTGCACGAGCGTGCATATATGCGGGATGTTTCCTCCTGGGCATTGTAATTTTTTTTTCTTTTCTTTCTTGTTCCAATTTGTGTATCTGTTAGCTGGCACGCCAGTTCTCATTCATTGAGCTTGGGACAGAAGTTGACGTCTCGCTATCGTTGCAATGGTAGCCAATATCCTTGCTCATGGGCTTTTGCTCGTGCAGCTTTTTGCAGCCTTAGCTCTTGGAAAGGACTCGACGCCAATTTACAAGGATGCTAATGCCCCGGTGGACAAGAGAGTCAAGGACCTGTTGGGTCGGATGACGATTGAGGACAAGATGTCTCAATTGATTCAAGGTGTGTTTCGAATACACGTCTGATATACAACCAGACATCTGCCAGTTGATTCTCCAAATGAGTAACCACTAATACGGTCATTTTCAGGTGACATTACGAATTGGATGAACTCCACCTCAGGAGAATTCAACTACACTGGACTGGTGGCCAACATGGAGATGAAGGCAGGCATGTTCTATGGTATGCGTCTTTGGGCACCCCAAAACACTGTCAATTCGTCTGTATAGGCTCATTGCTGATGATTTACCAGTTGGATATCCCGTGGCATGGGACTGGATTGCGGATAACATCAAGAGAGGCCAGGACTATCTCCTTCAAAACACCACCCTTGGAATTCCAGCCATCGTTCAGACTGAAGGTATGTTAAAGGAGTGTTGTCTAGCCCAGAGATATCCCATTTCTAATTTTCTCGTGTTTGCTACAGGTATTCACGGATTTCTGATTGGCAATGCTACAATTTTCAACTCGCCCATTGCATATGGATGTTCTTGGAACAGGGATGTATGTGTCCCAGTATCCCAGTCTAGAGAGCGATCTGATACAGTAATCTAACAGCCCCATTTTCTAGCTCATTGAAAAGATGGGCAATATCATTGGCCAAGAAGCCAAAGCCCTCGGAGTCAATCAACTATTTGCTCCTGTTGTTGACCTCGCTCGCGAGCTTCGATACGGCCGTGTAGGTTTTACCGACTTCAAAAATTGTCGATTTAGCTGACATTCTCTACAAAAGGTCGAAGAAACATTCTCCGAAGATCCCTTCCTCGCAGGCGAAGTCGGCTACAGCTATGTCAAAGGTGTACAAAACAAGAAGGTCTCTTCCATGGTGAAGCATTTTGCAGGCTTCAGTATGCCCGAGCAAGGACTGAACACTGGCCCGGTACACGGTGGAGAGAGAGAATTACGTACAACGTATGTCAGACCTCACAAAAGCAAAGGCGTTGCTAACGACTGTTTAGATGGTTGCCTTCCTTCAAGCGCGCCATTATTGATGCAGGTGCCTGGTCTATCATGGCTGCATACCACTCGTACGTTACGTATCGGTTCCAATCATCTACACAGATCTAACATGATATCCTAGATATGATGGAATTCCTGCCGTCTCGGATTATCACACTCTCACCGAGATTTTGAGAGAAGAATGGGGCTACGAATATTTTGTCATGACCGATGCAGGTGGCAGCGACAGAATTTGCAGCTATTTCAAGCTCTGTGAAAGTAAACCCATTGACATGGAGTCCGTCACCACGCAGCTGTTGACTGCGGGAACTGACGTTGAAATGGGAGGTGGTTCATTGTAAGCTGCTTCCTCTCTGATTATATTACTCAACGAATGCTAACAACTAGATAGCAATTTCCAGAAGATTCCTGACCTCGTCAAGTCTGGCGATCTCGACGTCTCGTTTGTCAACAATGCCGTTTCTCGAGTGCTCAAAGTCAAGTTTGAGATGGGTCTCTTTGAGAACCCATATCCTGCTGCACCCGAAACCCAATGGAAGAAGCTTATCAATAGCCCTGAGGCTGTGAAGCTTGCTAGGGACTTGGATAAGGAGTCCATTGTACTGTTGGAGAACCATAACACGACTTTGCCTTTGAAGAAGTCTGGTAGTATTGCAGTTATTGGACCTATGGCTCATGGCTTTATGAACGTGAGTGAAACCACAATTATTGGGGTGATGAAGCAATAATCTATCCATGAAGCTGACCAAAGTTCTAGTACGGTGACTATGTTGTTTATAAGAGTCAGTACCGGGGCGTCACTCCCCTTGACGGTATTAAGGCCGCTGTTGGCAACAAGGCCCAGATCAACTATGCTCAGGGCTGTGAGCGATGGAGCAATGACCAATCAGGCTTTGATGCTGCCATCGAGGCTGCTAAGAAGTCTGATGTGGCTGTTGTCGTCGTTGGAACTTGGTCGCGCGATCAAATGGAACTCTGGCAAGGACTAAACGCAACGTAAGTCTCTCAAATCTGCTCTGCAGTAGTCTTCAAACTACCTCAAACGAAAGCTCAAGTCTGACTGAATTGAAGAACCGGTGAACATGTCGACGTGGACGACCTCTCTCTTGTCGGCGCCCAAGCGCCTCTAATAAAGGCCATTGTCGACACGGGAGTCCCAACAGTCGTTGTTCTCTCAAGTGGCAAGCCTATCACAGAAACATGGCTATCAAATGGCACATCTGCTCTAGTTCAACAATTCTACCCAGGTGAGCAGGGTGGTAACGCCCTCGCCGATGTCCTCTTCGGCGACTACAACCCATCCGGCAAGCTTTCAGTCAGTTTCCCACGCTACGTCGGTGACCTGCCGATATTTTACGACTACTTGAACTCCGGCCGCTCAATTGGCGACCAGGGCTACGTCGAAGCCAACGGTACTTTGGTCTTCGGTCACCAGTACGTCCTTGGAAACCCACTGCCATGGTACCCCTTCGGTTATGGCAAGAGTTATTCTACCTTCAAGTATGGAACTGTGAAGTTAGACAAGAGCAAGATCTCTGCATCCGATAGCACTGTCACAGTCAGTGTCGATGTGACTAACACTGCCACCCGTGATGGAACAGAGGTCGTGCAGGTTTATATCTCGGATGACATTGCTTCTGTTGTTGTTCCTAACCGTTCCCTGAAGGGCTTTGATAAGGTTGTTATTCCTGCTGGAAAAACAAAGACTGTCAAGATTCCTATCAAGGTTGAGGATCTTGGTGTGTGGAATTCTCGCATGAAGTACGTGGTTGAGCCTGGTACCTTCACCGTTCTGGTTGGCAGCAGCTCCGAGGATATTCGGGGAAACACGACAATCACTGTTCGGTGAATCCTAGAAGATCGCTCAAGGATACGATGAGCAGTGCGGGTATCTGAACCATGTTTTTGATCTATCGTTCTAAATAACTTGTGCTTTGCTCATCTTTCCAAGCCAATCATGAATAACGCCGCTTGATGCCTGCATTCCTTCGTCATTGTTGGACATGGAATAGAATTTGAGGCTTGAATTCCAACACTTTGAGCAGTGATTTCCTCTTCGTTTTGCTTTCATGAATAATGTATAGGAGGCCTGAAAAGCCGAGGTGCGTTTAGAAGGATACAGAGTAAAGTATATAAGCATGAACTTATCCTTAGAAGGCATAATGAAGGTTTAATTTTAGTCTAAAGGAAGCGATAGAAACAATTCCCTGGTTGACCATTCTGAAAAACACACATCAAACCCAAGCCCAAGCACCCATAATGCCCCATTCAATCGTTAATAATGCTCATTGTAATCGTGTTGAACCTTCAGTCCTTAGTGTTCAGGAAAGGCTCGTAGACGGGCCCTGTCCGGTGACCGGAGAAGCCGGAATATCACTCGGCGATTGGGCTGATTGGGTATCGCCAGTGCGAGCCTCTGCTCTACGCGTTTTGGCGCCCTCTTTGAGTTTCTCCCAGCGATCCCTGTATCGCCGAAGAACGTCTTTCAGCTTGTCATTCTCCTGAGAAGCAGTAGCTAATTTCGTCTCATGGTCTCGAATGAGATCTTCTAGTTCTTTGACGCGTGGATCAGGTGCAGTTGCAGCCGGCGCTGCAGTCATGGTAGCTACCGGAGAGGTAGCACCTGATGGAGCATGGTGCATCATCTTCAAAGATTGCTGGAGCGCCATAGTAGAAGATTGCGCATTGACTTCCCACATATGCAGCCGGGTCGAAAGTGTGTCAGTCAAGGTCCTCAAAGCTTCATTCTCCATCTGCATTTCTTCCACTGTTTTAGTATTTGGGGCGCTGGCAAGCTGATCGGGGACATCTCGGCGTCCTCGCCATATGCGAGAGCCACTACCACTGTGACGCATTTCTGGCGACGAAGGTGTTTCTCGCGCATCCACAAAGTCGTCTTCGCCATCTTCGAGACTGTTTCTGCGTGCTTCCTTTTCGGCTCGAGTAAGAATACCTGCGTATGACATGGTTCCGCCAGTAGTTGGCACTACGTAGAATGACTCGGCAGGATTTCCCATCGTCACCCCAGTACTATCGCGAACTGACTTGAGAGCTGCTCGAGAGAATATCTTGTTCACATTAGGCTCTCCCGCAGTGGTCGATCTGTCCAAGGTAGCATGATCACGGTCTAATTTCACTTCGGCCGAGGATTTGCGATTCTGTCCAGCTTGTGTTGGATTGGCATTTCCCATTTGAAGTCCTGCAAGCGCCAAAGGCACAGAAACTTTGGCGACTAGTCCGCCAAAGGCCGAGTAGAAACGCTGCAAGGGCTCTTCGGCAGCTGGGGGCATATCTGTGGGCGGTCCATATTCAGACGTGCTGGTAGGTGCAACTTGCTGTGTTGTTAACTGTGCGGAAGTAGATGTTGGAGGAGACCACGGTTGCCGGGGGGTAGACATGCGGCTTTGTCGACTTTTGTTTGGCACGCCCCGCAGTCTGGATTCGCCGGATGTAGTTTTGGGTGGAGGGTCAGTCATCTTTGCTGCAGCTTGTTGAGAAGACAGCGTTGGTGATGCCGGCGACCCACGGCGAGGTTGGGATGGAATCCCTCGAGCAGATGCGAGGTTGCTGGCGATAGAGGATTTGTCCCGACTCGGAATTCGACCGGTTCCCACCAGTCTTGGTGGTAAATTGTGAGCATCCTGGGTCGACGTGGCAGTTTTAACGTTGGATAGATCGGCCGCAGCTTGCTGAACTGATAAATTTGGAGAGGTGGTGGCGGATGTCACTTCGGTAGGGGCAGTGGAGGGATGCTCGTGTTGGAATCTGAGGAGCTCCGCCAGCTTCTTGTGGTGAGTTTCAAGTAGGCGCAGCGTTCGTAGGGCCTTGATTCTATGGGTCAGCCTGGACTAAGACAAAATATATCCGTGAGCATGTGATTATGTGAGTAGTTAGACTCACTTCTTGATCAGAGCTGTTCTGCGCAGCTGTCGCGAACTCACCAGCAGCTAGATCATGCTCCTCACTCGCAGCGACCGGATTGGCCTTGCGAGTCTCGAGGACTGCATTCCGAGCATGAGTATGAGCCTACTTTCATGTCAGATCAGGTCCGATGGCGAAGGATAGAGTACTCACCAGTGTCAAAGGAGCTATCTCCATGGTGATATCACAGTGGGTGAGAGGAGTCTGGGGAAGCGGAGAGATCTGGACCCGGTCTGAAGAAAAAGGATTGGGCACACAGCCTTCCACTTCTGCCCAACAGTCCTTCAAAGCTGGAGATTGTACGGAATTTGCACAAAGTAAATGGCTGAAAGCAGCACATGTCACACTGGCATTCTGAACGGTGGAGATGCGGAGTGGCAGGGCTGGATTTCTGCGCTTTTGTATGGCCACGCCTGGTGCCAGGACTGTGCTAGTTGCTACCTTAACACTTAGCTTGACAATTAGCTTGACATTGAGCGTGTCAAACCTAGGAAACAAATGGCAGAAAACAAAAACCTCCGATCTCAGATAAAGTCCATTGTGCACTGTAACCGTAGGGAGATTCTGACTAAGTTGCGGAGCTGGAGATCCCCTCCAGAGCCTCCCAGGGGATGTCAACCTTCACACTCCTTTGGTCTCCTTTACACCCCCAATACACAGCTATTCAGCACTTCTTTCCTCGCTCCATGCTGGGTGACTCTCATAGTCTTTGAGGACCGGTCCGAGTTCTGGCCCGTATCCCCAATCCCCCTCCCGGTCCCCGAGCTATTACCTCCACATCCTCCACATCCTCCGGAACTCCTTCAATAATGGCTGAATCTTCTTCTTCAAGCCTCAAAGGGGACCGAAGATCACATCGCTCCTGGACAATCTCAGCAGAGTCCAGTGCAATCGAGAGCAATGGTCGGTCATCCGTGGATTCCAACACGGAGAGACCGAAGACACAAGGTGGAGAACCAGCAGATACCAACCGGGCTGGTCCCAGTGGGTTTTCAAAGCTGCTCGAAGCACGTCGGAGGCGAAAGAAGAATAAGAATAAAAAAGACGAGGAGCCGCCAGTGCCCAGTGTTCCCCTGGACCACGATCTACAAGCAAGCAGATCCAACGAATCTCGCGATGGAACCTCTGCAGGCAGCTCATCTGTTGCTGGAAGTGCCGCGGTACCAGTAGTGGAAGATATCAATCTCTTAACAGATGACTCCGAGCCGGACAGGTAAGCCAGATAAATACCCAGGTTGCTTGCATTTTGTGGTATTCCTGACTGACTTATCTTTGCTTTTCCTATAGGACTCCGCCGCTCACCTCCCATAGCTCGCACACCGGATTTTACACGTCGTCCTCCCCATTAATCAAGACTTCATCGGTAGATGCTGCCGATACTGAAGGTTCTCAAGCCGATGTTGAGTCGGCAGTTAGCGGTCCCAGTGCTACTGGGTCGGACTCAAACCAGGGCGAAGGGAGATCTAGGCGCCCGACACAAACTAGCCTAACGTTGGATGTCCCCGGCGATTCTAATAGCAAGCGACGGAGTGCATCTTCTGGGAGACGTTTAAAGGATGCTTTCACCTCAGACAAAAAGGCACCTACCGATGATCCCGAGACTTCGTCAGCTAAGTCTGGAGGAAATAAAAGCGGACGGAGTATATTTGGGGGCAGCCGGCGAAGCAGTCTCTCATCTAAACGAGCTCAAGCAGCTTCTGATGAAGTTCCTCCAATGCCAGCACCAATTCGCACCGATCTGACAGATGACAAGCCTCGTTCGCTCCAAGCGAGCCCCATGCCAAATACCCCTCCGCATACCGCCATTCCGGCTCCAGCTACAACAGTGACTCCTCCCACCCCCACTGAACACCGCCCTCTAAACCCGCAAATTTTGTCCGACGATGTGACCGATTCACCGGAGTCTATCAAGTCTAGAAATTCCATATCCTCCGGAACTGGAGTCACTACCGTCAGTCCTTCTGGGAACATGATATCTCATCGACGCGTACGATCGGCTTCCGCAGCCCATGGCCCAAGCAAATTGTCTAATTCGGTCTCGGCGCTGACGCCTCTCGACGAAAAGACACCGGGCGCAAAGACCCCCAACCCACAGCAAAGCGGCTTTTTCTCTTCTGTCTTTTCGGTCGCCCAAAATGCGGCTTCTTCGCTAAGCAACAGTCTGAATAGCCAGCAGAGGAATCGCCCCAGCTCTCAACCTACTGCGGCTGATGTCGATCAGACCCAGATTGATGGTCCTTCGGACGAGGGGGAACAGACTTCTGAAAATGGAAGCAAGGGCGAAGAAAGCAAGCCTTCTGCTATCGAGACTCTTGGCGCCGGAGACCTCAACTTCGGTCACCTTGAGTTCGACGCACAGCCAGGTCAGGTACTTTCAACCACCGACGGAGTGGTGATCACGAAACCCGGCAGTCCGATTGAGAAGCGCAAGAACACTGCTGTCTTTCAGCGGGATGAGGCGGCCTCCAAGCTTGAAGATCAGCGCGCGGCGCGTGCTGTTCAAGTGGCTTATGAACGGCCCTCCGATCTGTCGTTGACAGGTCCGCCAGTTGACGAAGCCCTGGAACTTCAATCCACAAGTTCGCTCCCAAGAGATCAAGCAATTATGGGTGATCAAACTCCCCCGGGTGGAAGTATCCTGGATGGGGATCTCACTGGTGGTATTAAACGAAGCGGAAGTGTGCGCAGCAGACTTGCCCGGCGTCATCGGGGCTCATCTGGAGCAACAACTTCTACCATTGGAGCAGCAGCCGCTAACGCAATCGCATTGGGTGCCCCTGGTGCTAATTCGAGTGTACCTCGATTGACTGGCTTCGCGGTTGCAAGCAAAAAGCGCAACAGGGACTTCCACCAGCTGTTCCGAAGCGTGCCTGAAGACGACTATCTGATTGAAGATTATAGCTGTGCGCTGCAGCGTGAAATCATCCTTGCTGGTCGTATCTACATCTCAGAAGGCCACATTTGCTTCTCTAGTAATATTCTCGGTTGGGTGACGACTCTTGTGATCAGTTTCGATGAAGTTGTTGCAATTGAAAAAGAGAATACAGCCATGGTCTTCCCCAATGCAATTGCCATTCAAACTTTGCACGCTCGCCACACGTTCCGAAGCCTGCTTAGTCGTGAATCAACATATGATCTCATGGTCAATATCTGGAAGATAAACCATCCGTCCCTCAAGAGCTCTGTGAATGGAACCCGCGTCACTGGCACTGGTGATAAGACAGAGAAAGTTGAGGACGATGGGAGTGATTCTGAGAGCGAAGTGTCCGATGAAGATGAAATATACGATGAGGACGAGGAAGGGGACAATGCCGACAGCTTCTTTGAAGCCGGTGGAAGTGCGAACGCCAGCGCAACATCTTTGCCGGTGAGAGCTGGTTTAAGTCGCAAGGCATCTAGCCTTTCTGCCAATGCAGCAATGCCTGCGTTCGGGCCAGCTAACGCTAGCACTGCAAAGAACGGCGATAAGAGTGCTTCTAAAGACGCGCCGCCTGACTTCCCTGGTCCCGTCACCCATGCACCTACTGAATATGTCGATCCTAATGGACAATATGAAAAGGTCATCAAAGACGAGATCATCGCAGCACCCCTTGGCAAGGTCTACTCTTTAGTTTTCGGTCCAGCATCTGGCGAGTTCATGACCAAGTTCCTCGTTGAGAACCAAAAATCTGGGGAGCTGCAGTTTGAGAGTACGGCGAAGGGACTGACGAGCGAAAGTCCTATCCGGAAGTATTCGTACATCAAGCCTCTGTATGGTGCCATTGGCCCGAAACAGACCAAATGTATCAGTACCGAGAATTTGGACCTTTTGGATTTGGAAAAGGCCGTTCTTGTCACACTGAGTACTCAAACACCTGACGTCCCCAGCGGAAATGTTTTTGCTACCAAGACGAAGTATCTTTTCACTTGGGCTGCAGACAATAAAACTCGCTTCCTCATGACTTGTACCATTGAGTGGACAGGTAAAAGTTGGTTGAAAGGTAAATTGAACATCGTATATAGTGCTACCTTTTGCACTATTGATCACTAACTGTTATCAGGTCCGATTGAGAAAGGCGCAATCGATGGCCAAACAGCATTCGGCAACGACCTAGTCAGGTCTCTCAACGCAGGGGTTGTTCCTCGCGGACGTTCGAACGGCGCTGGACGCGGCAAAGGCCGCCGCAAGAAGGGCGATAGTGCAGGCCGAGAGTCCACCGCAGCTACGTCGTCGAAGGCCACCATGGACTCGAACGTCGGAAAGGGCGACTCTTGGGGACTGTTCGAACCGATTCGCCCCTTACTAGACCCCTTCACGAGTCTTCTCAGTCCGCTATGGAGTGGGAACGTTGCTATCATTCTCATCGGCATTTTGCTCTATTTGGCCTTTTTCAGATCATCGTCGTCGTCTATGCTCGCAAATGAAGTTGGCTGTCCCGGTTACAGCTTACCTCAGAGGCTGGCTGCTTATGAGGAGATGTGGCGTCGTGAAGAAACTGAACTTTGGAACTGGCTGGAAGACCGTGTCGGCATGGATGGAATGGTTTTTCCCAACACATACCGTGCGCCCGAACCACACCCGCCTCGCAGGTCATCTGGCGGCAATGCAGCTGATGAGCGTGAGCTAGCCTCGAGGCTTCGTGAAGAGAAGGTCTCGGACCGTGAAATGGATCATGCTATCCGCACCACGCGTCAACGCCTCGACGTTTTGGAGGAAATGATGAACAAGCGCAACACCCAATTAGAGGTTGACGATCCAATTCGGACATCTGAATTGTGATTGCCATTCCTCAAAAGGTTCATCAAATCCTCTTCCTCTTCGTGTGTATTTTATGTAATCTCATCCTCCAACGTTCCTTTCCCGATGAGGTCTATTTTCGACCCTTCTCTTCACTGCACATTTTCTTTCCCTCCTGATATTACAAATTTCCTTACTCTCAGACATTATCTGGGTCGCCCTTTGCTGTCACGGCACGAAGCAGAGCTGTACCTGACTGTTGACAGTCGTCCATCCCGAACGTTCCCCAGAACCCCACAATCTTTAACCGACAGCCCAGCTTTGCCTTGCAACCTACGGGCAGGCTTTTCCTTACATGTACATGAGTGCCAACTGTCTTGTCTCTACTGGCCCCCGCGCCGCCGACTTTCATTTCTTTACAATTTTCTTTTTTGATTGTTTATCTGAGCGTATTGCTTACTTCCGTCTTGCTCTGTGGGCAGTACTGTATCTTCTCTGAAAAATATTCCACACAAGCGTGTTCGTGCTTTTCCCAGGGGGTTCTTCGGACCGTTGCTACTTACCCATTTCTGACTTTGTCCGCTTGGGCGTTTTTCTTGTGAATATCTTAGCCAATACCAGCTGGTTTACATATGATTTTGCTCGTGTTGGTATGTCTGCTGTAGTACGTACGCCCCTGTTTGGTAAACAATTCCCATCTTGTTTATTCATTGCCTCGCGTATGTTGAAAAGCATGCAATACGTACAAAATTCTCGAATCTCGAAAGCAGGCAAAGTCAGAAGATCGAGTTCTGACGTGGGGCGTAAGCAAATGATTTGGATGTGCGACAGCTCTTTCTCTAGGGCGAATAGTGTTTTGCGTGGGCATCCAGCGACCCTGAGGGGCCTCATTGCATATTATTGTCCTTGTCCCTCTCTCCGGAGGCTTTGCCTCCAACCGCGGTATGAGACATCTCTTCCACTGCTCGATCCTCCACTTGTACCACTTCCTCTCCGACTTCCACTTCCCCCACCGCCACCTCCAGAATAACTGCTGTTTGAAGGAGTCCCAGCACCACGGCCGTCAGATCGGCGCGACTCGGTGATCAAAATCCGGCAGTAATAGGTAAAAAGTTGATAATCAATGTCCCGTCCCAAGTTCTCAACTTCATCCAGGATAAAGGAAACGCTGATTATTTCACTGGACAACGCCTGAAGGAGACCTCGGAGGGCAACAGCACATGTAGGCTCATGACCTTCCATCTTCAGCCGATTGAACTGATTTTGGTATGCCAAGATGAAGTCTGCAGCAGTCGAGTATTTGTCACGTCGCAAATCTTCCCATTTCTTCAACTCGCTTGCGAGATATGATGCATGTTCCGGTAGATTAATTGTCCGGATCGATCTGAAAACCTCATCCGCGTAGGTTGGTTGAGGCACGTGGTCTCGGACTTTCAATTGTATTGAAGTCTCGACTTGGTCGAAAAGCCACCTGGAAACGACCGCGGTCCAGTATTTCCATTTCCTGTAGTCTTCGTGGTGTTGTTGTGGTCGTGGGAGACTTGAGTCCAAGAGGGTTTCTAGCTTGAAGGGTCGGAGGACATGGATGATTTCGTTACCCCATCGTGTGGTGCTGGATTGTGGAGTGAGCTCTGAGACGTTCAGTAAGGTCACTGGTGATTCTTTTGGCAGATGCGTGGCTTGGGTGAGAGGAGAGGATCGGCTCATGCTGGCGGCTTGGTGACGAGCCCCAGATGAGCAAGAACCGGAAGTCATAGTGTTTGAGATTGGAGATGGCTGAGATCCGAGTGAGGAGATGTTCTTGGTCAATGGAACGTTTCAAATGAGCCAATGTGCTGTCCTCGAGAGCAGTGTTGTAGTCCCAGCTGTAAACAGGACCAGTGAACCTTTCGGGTAATTGTTTACTTAATATGTGCATCAGAATAAAAATATTATAAACAGCAAGTCTTAGATGAAAAATTGAACATCGTGAACATTCCTGACGCTTATTAAGTTCGAGTGATAAGGCCGAGGAGCACGGCTAGAGACGATTTTTCAAAGTCACGACGCCTAGCCGTTAGACATATGTACATTTCAATAGCTCACACTTTCAATCCTCAGCTCCTTGGGTCATGATCACTATAATCATAGTCAAATATATCGTGTGACTATATCAACTGTTCATCAGGCCTCCCGAGTTAGGGCCAAATGATCACGTGTGAGCCAGTTGGTCCGGCTGGTCAGTCCGTTGTGTGATACTGGAGTTTGTACTGTGGCATTTGAATAGAAGAATATGTGATTAATGACAAGATGGTAAGTTACATTGTACTATTCGCTGGGAGACTTCCTCCCTGTGTGATATATGCAGCCGCAATCGCCTCTCTCAGACCTTGACAGCTCCACGTGCCGCACCTTGTGTCTTGGAGGAAGCCAAAGACTTGTTCTTCAGCACTGATGTTCTCCATGCTTTGATCCCAGAGTTAAATTGATCGTCAATTTGCTCAAGTGTCAAGCAAGCAGTCTCCGGTACCAGCAGGAAGGTAATCACGGCTATGGAGATGGTAACTCCAGCATAGAAGTAACCGACATTGGGACCCATGTCTCCATAGTAGGGGCTGAGCATATAAGGGGTCCAAAATGTTGCACCAAATGTGAATATACCATAAATAATTGTTGTGCTTGCTTGCCCGTAGGTGCGAAGAGAGACGCTATGCATTTCAACGGCGGACAAGTTTGCACTTGCTGCAATGGTTCCCCCGAATACAAAAGCCCACAGGCATAGTAGAACAACAACCACAATTTGTGCAATGTCGCTCATGCCAAGGGCCGTATTGACGGAAGAAAGGACAAGCATACAGGTTGCCATAACTATGTAACCTGATATACTGGCAACTCTTCTTCCTCCGTATTCGACAATAAAAGGGCCAAGGAATGATCCTCCTAAAATGCACAGACCAATAATAACATTGATCAGATATGGGTTTCTGATACCAACGCCTTTCAAGAATAATGCAGCGTATGGCTGCACAAACTGAATGCCAGAGATGGTCAGGCCAACCATAATGAACGCGGAGGTCAGAGTTCGACGGAGGTGCTTTTTGTTGTAAATATCCAAACAGGAGACTGTTTTGGCGTTTTCGCGCTCTTGTGCAATATTTGCTTTGATGTTATCAATCTGAGCAGTAATTCCGGGCGAGTATGGGTTTTGACGAAGAAGAACACCGAATGATTGGCGTGCCTCTTCTTCTCGGTCATGACCCATGAACCAGCGTGGAGATTCAGGAAACATTAAAATACCAGTACCGAGAATGAGACCAAGTGGAATCTGGCACAGAATAGGTGTTTTCCACTGCCAATCATTATGCGGCTCCAGTTGGGAAGAGCCAGCACAGACTGCGGAAGATGCTATATTTCCCATGGCAAGTCCAACATTATAGAGTCCCAAGGAAATCCCACGTTTACTGGCAACAATGCATTCCGAGCTATATGTGACACTGGATGCCATGATCTGACCAACGCCCACTGCGCTGATGCATTTGCACACCATGTATTGAAGAAAGCCGCCTCTTGTACCAAGCATTCCAGCGGCTCCAATGATGGCGAGCATGCATCCAATCTGGATTGCACCGCGGCGCCCATAGCGATGGCTAGTCAAAGCAGAGATCCCGCCACCAACAGCAATGAACAAATAGCTCAGACTGATCAATGACTGCTGTAGTGGCGTCAGCGAGCAACTTTCGACTTTGGTGTATGTGGTTGTATCAAGTATTTGCTCGCAAGTTCCAAATGCTCGCTTGTAAGATGGCATGATCAGGACGATCCCCGAATATGCGTTGTCGAAATTCGCGATCCACGCGGCAAATGCGGCCCACAATGATACACGCAGCATAGAGCCAGTCGTGTCTGGAGCTTTCTCTTGTGTAGCGTTTGTAGCATCTGCAAGGGTTTCGTGAGAGCTGTCCATGGACTCGACGTGCAATCTGGAGAGTTGAGCCCCCATGGTGGGAGAGGCTAATTGTAATATGAAAGGCAAGATGAGGGGCTTGGGCTGTCAATAGGACAACTGATCGACGAAGATCCGCGGCATATAAACTCGTTGATAAGCGTTTGGCTTAGCAGAGGCTCACTGCATCCCCCTTGCATACCAGATTTGCAACATACGTACACAATTTGTCATGGAGAATGCCAATAAACAGAACCACCAATCATAGACTGAACTGAGAAAAAGTGGCTTATCACGTATCCTTTGGACCTTGTCGTATCTCAGAACCAGTACCCTTGATGATATCACTATCAGAGACGGAGAAAGCTGAAGGTGTTCCAGTAACCCCAGAATTGCCTTCTTCCCGAATCAAGTTTTGGTACGAGACTCCTGGGCAAGCAAGATATATATTCTTGGATTTGAATACAATGTGGCGTAAAATTCTAACGACAAGGCTCAAGTGCTGTGGGACATTATTAAGTAATGGCAGGCCAATTGGTTTGGTTGAGGACTCCGTTATGATATCCTTTCTATGGACATCGAGGATATGGCAATATTTGGTTACTTGCCAGTTTCACTTTCTTGAGGATTCTTTCAGTGTTTGCGTTGATTATCTGGGGTATCTGATGTCTTCGATGCATTTATCGGACGACTTTTGCGGAAGATTGACAGGGTCATCAGTGGGTCTTGTTGAGCTTAAAGTCTCGAATTAGGTTTGTCCCGGACCGACACGTTGCAGGTTCCACATGTTAATCGTCAAACTATGGGAATCATTACTGTAGAGACTAAATTTGCGTGGCTCCTAATTTAGATTTACGAATTTCAGATAGTACCGGTTGATTGGTCTGTTAACAAGTGCAAAAAAACCCCCTTAGTTGGAGATATCAGCAGAACTAACCAAATATTAGAACGAAGGAGGCCTGACTCTCAATAGCATGATCAATAGATGAAGCCCCCTCCTCTGAATCTATCCTACTGTAGGGATGCAGCGCGGTGACAATTTGTACGGGACTCATACCATATTGACGCGTCACAGGCTTTTATTAAGATATTGTAGCATAGTATGTCAACCAAGACAGTAGATAGGACAGTGCTATACTACAGTATACCCGCAATCTTAAGCAGGTTTCACATCCACTTCTGCGAGGAACATTCCGGCTGGGAAGAATGCACGTGGGATTCTTGATAAGCACGCGGGAATGACTCGTAGTGATGCAATTTCATCGCATATTACTTATACAGCTGGTATCTAGATAGGCTTGGTTTTATAACTGGGCGCAAGCGAATCAGGACCCAGCCTCGGTATTAGATATATATCTTGCATGTTGAGATATAAGTGTCACGGAATGCGTCCGCGATAAAAATGTATGTTGAGTATTACATGGAATTGTACAACAAATAACTCATTGGGATCGTGTCGGTCATGACTGTTGAAAACTGAATATTTGAATAAAGACAATGATACTGCTGAGAAGCATTGAAAGTGAAAAACCAAGATGACTTAAAAGCCTGGCCTTTTTCAAATGTGTGGTTAATACATTATATCATGGAATTTTCGTGATTTAGCTCTAAGCTGTTTACAAATGCTTAGATGATGATTATAGGGCATAGTTAGTGTCACGTGCCGACCAACCCAAGACGACGACTCCACTCCAACTTGCTACAGAAAAGCGAAAGATGGAGCTCAAAACGATTCTGATCCTTACCGCGATCTACATTGGTAAGAAAATACTCTACTGTCTACCTTATTCACTCCCTATGATCATAGGCTTGGGGTAGCATCGCAACAAAAACACCGAAACCTGAACTGACCCCTCATAGCCGTCCGCATATTCCTCAAGACCCGAAACTCTTCAGCACCCATCATGTCTCACGGAAAGGTTACCGAGGTTGACAAGTAAGAAGAAATATCCGCGCTCACATCCAGTTCTAACCCGCGCCCAATAGTGTCGTCATCTTCAAGGCTCTCACCTCCTCCGGACCTGTCGTCGTCGACTTCTTCGCTACGTGGTGTGGACCCTGCAAGGCTGTTGCCCCCGTCGTCGGCAAACTCAGCGAACAATACCAGAACGTTCGCTTTATCCAGGTGGACGTTGACAAGCTGCAGTCCGTCGCGAAGGAGCTCAGCGTGAATGCCATGCCCACCTTTGTGGTGTTCAAGGATGGCAAGGAGGTTGACCGTGTTGTTGGTGGAGATATGAAGAAGCTCGAGGCCCAGATCAAGGCAATCACTGCATAGTCGCTTTTCAATGATCAACAAGATGGGGTGTCATATCAAGAATCCCGGAAATCCCTCGGCTCATACCATCGGGAAATGCCTAGCCCTTTCTATGCAGAAATCATGAATCACGAAGAGAACTTGTCACACGCACACCCATTCACACACAGACCTTAAATGTGCGCGTGCACCTTAAAGTATAATGTACATTGGTCGGTTAAATGCTGCGTATAACTCCTATCAGAATTGGTTCAGATGGAAATGTGGGGCTGCGTACATTCAATCAGGTACCTGTACATATATACTGTAAAGTCCAGTCTACGGTGACAGGTATGCTGGCTGGCGATTGGTGGCCCACCTCCGAGTATGCAGTGTTCAATGCCGCAGTTTGGTGGTTGGACCATTCCGCAAAGCATGCAATTATTGTTTCGGTCAGGAATGATGCGTAAAATTGCATGAGTCTATACTGCTGTACGAGCTATCGATATCTAGGCTCCCACGTTTTCAGGATCAACTAGTTCTTATCACTCTTTGTGTCGGAAATTATATACAATTCACCTCCAAATTAGGGCCGAGGATATCCCGATAGGCTAACCGCATCGGTCCAGGCGCAACGGCTCTCCAAAGCAACAAATTGCCGTTTGATCCGACTGATAAATTTGTGTCTTTCTTTTCTAATGTGGAATACAACCCCAGGTAAAATCAAACTACTATAAGGTTTGGTGTGCTGGAGAACGATGTGGGACTAGCGGTAGGGGTTCAAGTCGCTCTATACATCTTCGACATATGGGTCATTACTCTTCGATTAACAGGATATCATCAGGGGATATCCTTGCTCTCCATGTTCAGTATATCTTGGGCTTTCCACCCCCAGAATGTGGCAAAGATGCTAATTGGTCCCCCGTCTCAACCCCAGATATACCTCGGAAGCAACTCCGTAGGAAACCACGCTCTAGAACCAACCGTTCTCAGCCATCAGGTAAAATTTGTAATCCAGTCCGCAGGCATTACGAGTCAACATGACTCGAATTGACTGGGCTTTGGCTTGGGCTTTAAACCCTTTTCGGACCCCGTCTGCTTGGCAACTGCGAATAGGGTCACTCCACCGCGGAACAAGCCGTCCGTGGCCACTCCCCCACCTCCGCTTGCCATCGGATTTTGTCCTGCATACGCATGGCAGCCATGTTTTTGACGGAAATAAATGACCTCCGACTCGGTGACTCACCTGCTGATCTTTCCCACAACCACTCTTTCGTGGGGACCCCTGTATGATTCAAGTTCCAGGGACTTGCGAGATGCTTGGTGGAGCCGAGTGGGCACTCAGTAGAGTTGGTGTTAGCGGACTTAAGACAAGTGCAGCTCGGGCTTGGCTTCCTTATCTTTTTTTTTTTTGAAGAACCAGTTTTTTTTTCTTCTTCAGCGAAGACATCGTTTCAGGGGAACTTGTGGCAATTTTCAAAATTTGTCTTCTCCAATTTTCCTCGTTGGTTCCAACCCATTATCGAATTGCCATTTTCGAGCCCGTAGAGGCGTGATATCCGAGGGGTAGTGATCTCCCCCGGAGAGTGAAAGAGTTGGCAACCTAAGTTTAGCTGGTCAATCAAGCCCCAAACAAGAAGACTGAATTTCGCCAGCAAATCTGCGAATCAAATCGCAGAGTAGGTAGCACACGCCCAAATCCTGGCGTAGAAAACGCCTAACATACTCGATGTCATCACTACCACACGCCGATGCCGTTGATGAAAAGCTGTCGATGAAGACAAGTAGCGACTCAGACTTGAATGAGTCTGAGACACATAGCTATGGACGACAGCTCGAAGAAGCCCGCATTGCCCACACCCAAGCCAACACGCCTCTGCAGACTGGTGTCAATGTTGAACAGGCCGAGCAAGATTTCTTGGAGCTGAACAGACAATTCTCCAGCTCGCATCAAGCCCGCAGATTATCGCAACAAGTATCTCGTGTTTCCAAATCTGGTGCTACTGCAGATGTTGAAAAGGCTGCGAGTTCGACCGAAACAAATGAGTCCTGGGACCTGGAGACTGCACTGCATGGCCAGCATGCCGCCGAAGAAGAAGCTGGAATTAAAGACAAGCATATTGGTGGGTGCTTTTGAATTTGACTTGAGACATATTGCTGACTTTGTGTAGGTGTAATCTGGGATAACCTCTCTGTCCGCGGAATTGGTGGCGTCAAGACAATCATCAAGACGTTCCCAGATGCCATCATTGACTTTCTGAATGTCCCGGCCATGGTTATGGATCTTTTCGGGTGGGGAAAAAAAGGACAAGAAGTAAACATCCTGGAAGGCTTCCGGGGTCTCACACGACCTGGCGAAATGGTGCTGGTCCTTGGACGTCCTGGCTCAGGCTGTACGTCTTTTCTGAAAGTCATCTCCAACCAGCGAGTCGGATATACTGCGATCGATGGAGAAGTTCTTTATGGTCCGTATGAACACGACGAGTTCGCCAAAAGGTTCCGTGGAGAATCTGTGTACAACCAAGAGGATGATATCCACCAGCCTACCTTGACAGTTAAGCAAACCCTCGGTTTTGCTCTGGACACAAAAACCCCTGGGAAACGACCATTTGGAGTTTCGAAGGCTGAGTTCAAGGAAAGAGTCATCAACATGTTGCTGAAGATGTTCAACATTGAGCATACGGCGAATACTGTGATCGGTAACATGTTCATTCGCGGTGTTTCTGGAGGTGAGTCCTAAATCTATTCATACCGAGAACGGCATCTGATTGAAATAGGTGAAAGACGTCGAGTCTCAATTGCAGAGATGATGATCACCTCAGGAACAGTCTTGGCCTGGGATAACAGCACTCGCGGACTGGATGCTTCGACCGCCCTTGATTTTGCCAAATCACTTCGCATCTTGACCAACATCTACAAAACCACCACCTTCGTGTCGCTCTATCAAGCATCCGAGAACATATACAAGCAGTTCGACAAAGTTCTTGTGATTGACAGCGGCCGTCAAGTATTCTTCGGCCCAACAGCGGAAGCAAGAGCCTACTTCGAAGGCCTCGGGTTCCGCGAAAAGCCTCGTCAAACTACCCCTGATTACCTGACAGGAACTACCGATCCCTTTGAAAGAGAATTCAAGGATGGCAGAAGCGCCGAAAATGTACCTTCGACGCCGGATGCGTTGGCCAAGGCCTTTAACACATCCGTGTATAGCGAAAGACTAGACCAGGACATGAAGTCTTACCGTGCTCAAATTGCACACCAGAAGCAAATTCATGACGATTTTGAGATCGCCAACAAGGAAGCAAAGCGAAAGTTTACCCCAAACTCATCGGTGTACTCAATTCCCTTCCATATTCAAATTTGGGCCTTGATGCAACGACAGTTTCTTCTCAAATGGCAGGACAAGTTTGCCATGACCGTTTCTTGGATCACCTCTATTGGTATTGCTATCATATTAGGTACTGTGTGGCTCAACTCCCCAACGACCAGTGCTGGTGCTTTTACCAGAGGTGGTCTATTGTTCATCAGTCTGCTCTTCAATGGATTCCAAGCGTTCTCCGAGCTTGCATCGACCATGATGGGTCGCTCAATCGTCAATAAACACCGGTCTTTCGCCTTTTACAGACCTAGCGCACTTTTCATCGCACAGATCATTGTTGACACAACGTTTGCGATCGCAAGAATTCTCGTATTCAGCATAATAGTGTACTTCATGTGTGGATTGGTCCGCGATGCTGGAGCTTTCTTCACGTTTGTTTTAATCATTCTCGAGGGTTATGTGACAATGACGGTATTCTTCCGAACCGTGGGCTGTCTTTGTCCCGACTTTGATTCCGCTATCAAATTTGCCTCGGTCATTATCACTCTGTTTGTCTTGACCTCTGGATATCTCATTCAGTGGTCTGGCGCCCAGGTATGGCTGCGGTGGATTTACTATATCAATCCCTTCGGTCTTGGATTTGCATCTTTGATGGTGAATGAGTTCAAACGATTGACTATGACGTGCACGAAAGAATCCCTCGTTCCCACCGGTCCTGGCTATGATGACATTGCTCACCAAGTCTGTACTTTAGCTGGAGGCGAGCCTGGATCCGCAATCATCCCAGGAGCCAACTATGTCGCACAGACGTTCAGCTATTTAAAAGGTGATTTATGGCGGAATTTTGGTATTATGATTGCCCTTATCATCGGCTTCCTTGGAACAAATCTGTACTTTGGAGAAATTCTTCAGTTTGAGGCAGGTGGAAAGACTATCACCTTCTATCAAAAGGAGAATGCCGAGCGAAAAGCGCTCAATGAGGATCTGATGGCGAAGAAGGCCAACCGGCAATCCAAGACTCTCGATATGGGATCAAACTTGGATATCAGCTCGAAATCCGTGTTCACATGGGAAGATGTTTCTTACGAAGTGCCTGTTCCCTCGGGTACTCGACGTCTGCTAAACTCTGTCTATGGCTATGTCCAACCCGGAAAGTTGACAGCACTCATGGGTGCCTCCGGTGCAGGAAAGACGACACTGCTTGATGTTTTGGCCGCAAGAAAGAACATTGGTGTTGTCAGAGGAGACATCCTTGTCGACGGCAAGCCTCCTGGCACCTCATTCCAGCGAGGAACATCCTACGCCGAGCAGCTTGATGTCCATGAAGCTATGCAGACTGTGCGAGAAGCGCTGCGATTTTCTGCAGATCTACGCCAACCATTTGAAACCCCACAATCCGAGAAATACGCTTATGTTGAGGAAATTCTTAATCTTTTGGAATTAGAGAATCTGGCAGATGCAATCATTGGAACTCCTGATACCGGTCTTTCGGTAGAAGAGAGAAAGCGCGTTACCATCGGCGTCGAATTGGCCGCGAAGCCTGAGCTTCTGCTCTTCTTGGACGAACCCACCTCCGGTCTGGACGGTCAATCTGCTTGGAATATTGTACGTTTCCTTCGCAAGCTTTCAGCAGCAGGCCAGGCCATTCTTTGTACGATTCACCAGCCGAACTCTGCACTTTTTGAGAATTTTGATCGTCTTTTGCTGCTTCAGCGAGGGGGCGAAACTATCTACTGCGGTGACATTGGTCATGACTCTCATATCTTGTTGGACTACTTCCGCCGTAATGGTGCAGACTGCCCTGCAGATGCCAACCCTGCCGAGTGGATGCTTGATGCCATCGGTGCTGGTCAAACACGTCGGATTGGAGACCGTGACTGGGGTGACATCTGGCGAACTTCTCCAGAATTAGAGAATCTCAAGCAAGAGATCGTCCAAATCAAAGCCAACCGTGCTCAGTTTGTTCAAAACAACAAAGATGACGCCGAAGTGGAAAAGGAGTATGCCTCACCTCTTTGGCATCAGATTAAGGTCGTTGGTCGACGAACCCATCTCGTCTTCTGGCGCTCCAAGAACTACGGATTTACTCGGCTTTACACCCATGTTGTCATTGCTATCATCACTGGTCTTGCTTTCCTTAACCTGGATGACTCCAGATCCTCGCTTCAATATCGCATCTTCGTCATCTTCAACGTGACTGTCCTCCCCGCTATCATCCTCCAGATGGTCCAGCCACGATATGATATGTCGCGTTTGATTTTCTACCGCGAGTCAGCATCGAAGACGTACAGTCAGTTTGCGTTTTCTCTCTCAATGGTCATCGCCGAAATGCCTTACAGCATTCTGTGTGCTGTCTGTTTCTTCGTCCCGCTATACTATATCCCCGGTTTCCAGTCCGACTCGAGCCGAGCCGGGTACCAATTCTTCATAATCTTAATCACCGAGGTCTTTTCCGTGACTTTGGGCCAGATGATCTCGGCCCTGACACCCAACAGCCTGATTGCCTCCCAGATGAATCCGCCAATCACCATCATCTTCTCTCTTTTCTGTGGTGTAGCGATCCCCAAACCGCAGATGCCAGGGTTCTGGCGCGCGTGGCTGTATCAACTCGACCCGTTTACTCGCTTGATTGGAGGAATGGTTGTCACTGAACTACACGGGCGTGATGTTGTCTGTTCGGCAGCTGAACTGAATCATTTCACGGCTCCCTCAAATCTCACCTGTGGTGAATACATGAAACCTTTCTTTGATCGTGGTGGCAACGGCTATCTTGTTGATGAGGCCACACAGGCTTGCAAGTACTGTGCATACAAGGTTGGTGATCAGTTTTATGCGGCATTTAGCATGTACTTTGATCACCGATGGAGGGATCTGGGCATCTTTGCTGCGTTCATCGGGTCCAACTTGATCATCTTATTCCTGGCGGTAAGAGACCTATCCATCGTTTCGATTTACCTTGAAGGGCAATGCTAATATGGTTCTTACAGTCTCGTTTCCTGAATTTCAACCGTCGTTAGTGCCAAAATTGCGACCCCGATCCATGTAGGGGAAAAGAGAAGAGACATACAAAATAATTTTGTTCACAAAAATTTCGAATATAGGAGTTGCAGAAGGTCCAAATCCCAATACAAAAGTTTTTTCTCTCTCCTTGATTCGAGAACCTGGGGGATCTTCCTCTCCGCATCCCCCCGGATTCTCGACCCCCACGCACTCTAGCTCTGATTGGCAGGTCAAGTGCAATCAGCGCCATCCTCGGCATAACTCAGTTCGTATTTAATGTTCGGCTATTGTGTAAACCGACATAACATACTCGGATCTCGAACAGCAACCCAACGGCAAGTCTCCGAGTCCTCGGACTTCCACCGATGATGAAACGCAGCAAGTATACTTCACGACAGGCAAACCTTGAACCTCATGCTTTTAAGCCCTGACATGTCCAATCACTCACTTATGCTGCATGAATCGCGGCGCAGTGCCGACTGCGCTACTCGTCAGCCAAGACTAAGGGAGTCGATTGATCAGCGCGCGATACGACTTTCCCTGGCGTGGGGAGTATGCCGTAAAGTTTCCCCGCATATTGGCATTCTTGAATTTCACAGAAGCTTTGAACGCGGGGGAAGAGAGCTGGTTATCCTTTGACTTTGAAGATGTCAAGCAGGGGGCTTTCTTTGTTATAGATCTCCGTATCCCTGCCTTTTATCTCCCATTCGGTCCCTCCATTTGTACAAATCTGATACGTTTTGGTATTCTCAATTTTATTGAAATCATCTATATTCCACACCTATACTAGAAACCAACTCCACCATGGCGGACAATGTCCCCTCCGAGCCAACGTCCCATTCCAAGGCCCATATTGCCGAAGCTCCCAGTTTCGTGCACGCTGAGAGTAACCAAGAACAAAGCAAGTTCAAAAATGCCAAAAATGCCGACGGCGATACAGCCATGGCGTTGTTTGACGACCCGTCCGAGCTCCACGAAGAGGTTGATCCTGCAGAAGCCAGGAAATTGCTGTGGAAGATTGATCTTATGATTCTTCCTTATCTGGCTGTTTGCTATGCTTTTTTCTACATTGATAAGGTTGGTTTCTTTCGTTGGTGGCTTGAAAGTTGGCTGGGAAATTGATCCAAGGTGCTAATTTGTCTCCCCGTGGGAACAGACAACCCTAAGCTACGCAGCCATCTTTGGAATTCGGGACGACCTTAATCTCCATGGCACTCAATACAGTTGGCTGAGTAGTATCTTCTACTTTGGGTTTCTGGCTTGGGCATTTCCGACCAATTTCTTGATGCAGCGTCTTCCAATTGGCAAGCTTTTACTCTGTTCATTGAAAATAAATCTCTGACCGGTTCTAGGAAAATATCTGGGGGTGAATATCTTCATGTGGTATTTTGAACCAGATCAATCCGATTGTGTCATATACTAATTGGTCTTATAAGGGGTGTTTTCCTGATGATCCAAGCTGCCTGCAACAGCTTCGAAACCCTCGCCGTCCTTCGAGCCCTTGGCGGTGCCGCAGAAGCCTGCTCAGATCCCGCCTTTATGCTCATTACCAGTATGTGGTATACACGACGTGAGCAGCCCGTACGTCTGGGACTCTGGTATACAGCCAACGGACTCGGGATTGCACTTGGTGGGCTGTTGGGCTACGGAATCGGTCATATTCGCGGTGCGCTGCCATCCTGGAAATACGAGTTTATCATAATGTGAGATTATACCCGGCTCTGGATGCATTCCCACGCTAATCAGATTCAGTGGCGCTCTCTGCGCTTCCTGGGGGATTATCATGTTTATCTTCCTACCAGACTCCCCTGTCACCGCTCGCGGCCTAAGCAAGAGAGAGCGCCGTATGGCTGTTGAACGGTTAAGGGAGAATCAGACGGGTGTTGAGAACAAACATCTCAAGCCATATCAGATCCTTGAGGCTTTCAAGGATTACAAGCTCTACATGTTCTTCATTCTGGGGGTTGTTTGCAATGTCCCCAATGGTGGGATTTCGAATTTTGGCACTATCATCATCCACGGATTTGGCTTTTCGACTCTAGTGACGACTCTCATGCAGGTAAGCATCTATTCATCGTGGATTTCCTTGTTATGTCGCTTGAATCAGTGCTAACAAAGTTCGTCTCGAGTAGATTCCTTATGGATTCATCATCGCAATCTCAATCCTCGCATGCGTCTATTTGAACGACCGCTTTGAAAATCGACGATGCGTGTTTGTTCTCATCTTCTTGATTCCAAACTTGGCTGGCTCTTTTGGCCTTCGATTCGTTCCTGTTCAGCACAGTGTGGGCCGATTGATTTGCTACTATCTAACAGGACCGTATAACGCTGCCTTTGTGCTCGTCCTTAGTATGCAAATTGCCAATACAGCTGGTAAGTTTGATATGCGCAGTCTCGACAGTATTCATTTTGCTAACGAGTCTAGGTCATACCAAAAAGGTTGTCACCAACGCCGTTCTGTTCCTGGGTTATTGTACAGGAAATATTGCCGGCCCATTCTTTTATAAGTCTGAACAATCGTACGTTCTATCTTGTGGAACAGCCTTGGCTAGGCCTGATGAAGAATGAATCTGACTTGAATCTTAGGCCAACTTATGAGCTTGGAATTTGGTCCATGATTGTCTCACATCTCATTGAAGCTGTCCTGATCAGTATTCTTGGCCTACTACTCCGCTGGGAGAACCAGAAGCGGGATCGCCTTCAGTCCCAAATGGAGGGTGGACTTGAGGGAAGAGATCTGGATGCAACTGCGTTCTTAGATTTGACTGATCGTGAAAACATGAAGTATGCACCGCCCCATAACGTTCTATTTACTTCCCTTTGACATCTAGCTGACGATACTTCCGATAGCTTCCGATATATCTATTAGATGAAGATCTAGATTGATCGCATATTTTGAATTGAGGAATACATTCTATGAAGTGATGATCCTGTTGATTATATTGTAGATCTAGGCCTACCTGTTTCATTTGCTCCCCGAATTCTCCTCCTCAATATTATGCTTGCCAACAATAGTTAGGAAGACCTGATCAAGACTAGTTTGGCTGACAGAATAATACTGAACACCCAATGAGTCCTTGTTTGCCTCTAGACACGAGAACAAATTACCAACACCGCCGCTTCCTCTCTTGGTCACAGTCGAGGTCTGAGACTTTTGACCATCGCGTCCAAGATCAACATGAATCTCATCTTCAATAACAGATTCAAATCTATCCTGTGAAGGAATATCAGAGGATATATCCGTAGGTACACTGAACCGTAGCTGGCCATGATAAGTTTTCTGCTCAATAACAGCACCAGGGAAAGTGTCATGCACCCAAGTACGCATGCGTTCCATATCATAGTCAGACGTATGAGGAGCTTGAGAGTGAACAAGGTGAACATGATACATGTTTCCATACTTGGAGCGGAGATAGTCTGTCGTGCCAAGAGCGAGCATGCGCTTTGCCATGATACCAGCGCGATTTGCGAGAGCGTCTGCCTCTTCCATGGAATGTGTGGTCAGAATAATAGAGCGGCCTGGCGCAACGGCCGCTAATGTTTTCCACATGACTCGTTTTGAGGCGGCATCCATACCCGAAGATGGTTCGTCGAGGAGGAGCACGGCAGGATTGCCCATGAGGGCTATTCCGAGGGAGAGCTTGCGCTTGTTACCGCCAGAAAGCTTCATTGCCATGCGATGTTTGAATGAAGTAAGTCCCACGGCTTTGATAACCTGTCTAACGTTGTGGTCGACATCCGAAATGCCGCGGATCTGAGCGTAGAACCTGAGGTGCTCGATGACGGTCATTTGGTCCATTGCGTCAAACTGAGGGCAGACGCCCAGGCTAGAACGAGCGATTGCACGGTTTTTGATTACGGAGACGTTTTCAACAAAGATATCGCCTCCTCGTCCGGACGGCTGAATATCGCCTCGAATGAGACTGATTGTCGTTGTTTTTCCGGCACCGTTTGGACCGAGGAGAGCGAAGACTTCGCCTCTGCCGACTCCAAAAGTGACATCTTCGACCGCCACAAACTTTTTGAAAGATTTCGTCAGGTGCAACACACGAAGGCCATCTTGTGAATCTGTGACTCTGGATAGTTCGTTGGCGACATCTTCGTCCATCTCCTTTTCTTCGATGTCTTCGGACTTCGATTTTGATTTGAAAGCCATCACTGCATTACCACCCCCGTCAAACCATAAAAGCAGAGCAAATAATATGAGAGACTGGACAGCCAAATACAAAATAGGACCACCGTATACAGTGATATCACCGGGATAGGAAGCGAGCTTCTGTCCCCTGCACAAGATCGAGAAGATGTTCAGTGCAGCAAACATCGCCCGCGATAGACTCCCAATCGGCATGATAACAGACAAGGTGAAATGCACAATGGAGAGGTAAGAATCAATCTTGGAAGTCGGGGCGTATGTGAGAACAGACATGTAGCCGATGAAATAAACAAGAAAGAAAACGCATTGCATACCAGCAGCAAATGCAAATGCTGCAAGCTGGGACTTGGCCACGAGGGAGATCAAATATGACAGGATAGTTGAGCAGAGACCATAGAGAAAGAAGACCACAAAGAGATATTCCGCGTGATACCATACATCCGAAGCGGCTCGAAAGATGATGATTCCCAAAACACTGGCTAGGAGCACAACGCAGAAGTCAAAGCAAAGGTATGCAAGCCATAGCGGGAGTGGCCGTACACCGTTGCTATAGTGCAAGGCGCGCACATTTCGTAAACGCTCCATGGTTGGATAGAGAGCGAACAATGCAGGGTACACAGCCGAGGCAAGACCAAAGTATACCAGCAGCTGAAGCATTTTTCCCACGTCAGACTGCCATGGAATATCGAATGATTGGTATTGGAAGCTAATCGATGTGTTTGATAAGAAATTGTTCATAGCGTTTTGCGTAAGTGCCGCGAGCAAGATGTTATTGTTGTCGCCCTTCCATGCGAAGGTAGGTTTGGAGGATGAATCCCCAAGCCAGATTCCACCGGGTGTGACATTTGCCTGGTGAGTTTCAATGTATCTCGTGAAATTTGGGTAACTGTCAACAAATTTGAAGTAGCTGGACAAGTTGCTGCTTTGCGAGCTTCCTAAGCCAGATACTGAATTGATGTAGCTGCTAAAAGCAGATGAAAATTGACTCTGTGGACCAACTACTACGTCAATGTCTTTATATGAGCTCAATGATTTCGGATCTGGGCTCGTGAAAAGACCATCTCCAGAACATTTGGGCGCAGTTGCATCCTTAAGAAACAGCGTCACGAGACCTGCAGCAATCACGGGAATAAAAAAGGCAGCAAGGTATGGAATGTAGTTGCGGCGCAGAATAGTCAGACGTTTCAGATACAAGAACCATGTCTGGCGCACCATTCCGATACGCTTTCCTGTCAAGAGTTCTGGGGTGTCTTCGTGGGTTTTCTTTGTTGAACCCTCGGAATCCAATTTTCCTTTCACATGAATCTGTTCGGGTTGCTCAGAGTCTTGGGATAGTTCCTGGGCGACTTTGAGGAAAACATCTTCGATTGTCGGACCACTGATACGGTACTCAGTGATATTTTCTCTTTCAAGGAGGGCAACCATTCTGGACACAAGAGCAGAGTCTTGCACAGTATACACCGTTTCATCAAACTGGGTCTCCTTTTGAGTTCCTTCAAGATGCAAGTCGATTGTGGAAGTAGATCCAGGGGAATGATGAACATGGACTCGGTAACCAGATCCCAAACGGTGCTTGAGCTCGACCGTGGATCCTTGTGCTTCCAGACAACCCTTTGATAATATTGCGATATGGTCTGCGAGAAGCTCTGCTTCGTCCAGAAAGTGGGTGGTGAACAAAAGCGTTCTGCGTCCTCTCTCAGCTAGCAAAATGTCCCAGATCTTTCTTCGCGAGATCGGATCGAGACCAGAAGAGACCTCGTCAACACAGCAAACGGTTGAACCACCCGTGAACATCATCGCCAATTGAAGCTTGCGTTTTTGACCACCAGAAAGTGTTCTCGATTGTGCGTTGGACTTGTTTTGCAAATCACAGTCGGCAATAAGTTTCATCAGAACATCCTGACTGTCCCGTTTATGAACTGTTTTGAGGCCATTGAAGATATTGACATGCTCCTTGACGGTCAAGTTGTACCAAAGAACGTTTTTCTGAGGACATAGTCCAAAGCCACCTTGGTTGTTGCCATAGTCAATATTGATTTCTCCCGATGAGATCTTTGTGAGGCCTGATATAGCATCAAGTGTAGTAGACTTTCCAGAGCCATTGGCGCCCAGAAGAACCATGATCTCTCCCTTGACAACGTCTAAGCTAAGACTTTTGACCGCAAAAACATTCTGTCGCTTCGAACCGAATCTTTTGCCAATGTGTCGATGGAACCAGCTTGGCTTGTATTCTTTTGAGAAACCGTCAATAACAAGGGCGGAGGATTTCCCAAGTGCAGTAGCTTCACGTTTGGATGAAGCAGTTCCATAAAGCATCCGCTCTACTAGCGCAGCGAGAATGGGATAGGCAAAGATCTGTACAATCAGCAGTACCCAAAGCGCAATGCCCGGGATTGTCCAAGGATTTTCCGGGGCCGCATGAACCAGATTTGTTGGCTGATTCTGTCTTTCCCATCTAGCCATAAAGACTGAAAGGAACACATAATTCATAGATGGAAACAAAAGACTTAGAACAACGACTGCGCCGTTAGTCTTGATGCCAGCGACTTGTGCGACAACTCCGAGCAATAGATTGGCTATCACCACAGAAATACCGCTCAATTGTGCCTTCCTGAAGAAAGAAGCACCAAAGATCGAGAATGATGAGAGTGCCAACCCGGTAAGAAGGTGATTCACAACGGTGATGCCAGCCGATGTTTTGCTGAACACGCCATACTTCAGGATTATACCGGTGATGATCCAGCCCGGTCCGTAGATAAGATCTAAAGCAAGATGAGCTGCAATAAATCGAACTGCTTGCGCTTTCCATTGGGATGAACCGGGCAACATGCAATCAATCAATTGGCTCATGCCAAGTTCTCGTTCCATTGCAATCAGGCCAGTGAGCTGATATGTAACACCAACCATTCCGATGAACAAAGCAATACTGATGATGTTAATAATCGCGCTCATATAGCGCACCCGAATCTGATCTTGTCGTTGCTTTTGTGTCAGTGAGGTGTAAGGGAACTCCATGACCTGTTGGTATCAATCAGCATAAGTCGCAAAGAAATGACGAATCACAAAGACAGACCTCATCAGGGATACTCTTGTCAGTTACAGATCTCTCAACTGAGATGATCGTACGATCGATAGAGTGCTGAAGGGGGAGAAGGTAGATCTCCTGGGCGTTGGTGGTCTTTCTAACATTGATGCGATCACCCAATGAGCCATCAGCGCGAATCGAGTAGTTCCATATTCCATCTGGACCTTCATTTGGTGACGAGTAGAAGACAGCCGCAGCTATACACGACGATGTACCCCTGAGCGTGGTCCGACAAGTATTTCTGAGATCACTCTCGGAAGTCAAGGTCACAACATGGTCTCCATTTAATCGGGCAGGCTCTGCTACTTGGTCGATCACCCGCTGGATATCACCATCGGTGAATCCATTATTGACAAAGACCAATTTGTCTCTCCCTCCACCCACAGAACCGAAGGCGCTGTTCAGAGACCGAACTGGCGTTGGATCGCCGATTCCATAGATAGATGGGGGAACAAAGAAGTTGCGCGCGTAGGAACTGATTCGTTAATATTCATCGATTGCTTCAAAGTGACCGGCAGTCTTTGACATACATGACGGCAATGAATACGACAGGCAAAACCAAAGCCCTCAGGGTAGTAGTTGCACTAGGGCGCACGAAGGTAATGAGCAGGTTCTTGACGGTTAGAGTCCAAACCTGCCTCCAAAAGAGGCTGAACATCTCTTATCGTGTCACAGTCGACCTTGAAGGAGAACAGAGTGGACAGTGAGAAGGTCGCCGAACCCTGGAGCTAGCACAGACTGATAGTAACCCTGTTGACGGGGAGTGGCTTAGCAGGGACCGGGGTCATCGTTAAATTCCCCGACTTTAGCGAGGCATGGCATATCGCATCGCTTACACGCCGAGGCAGAGCCGTGCGAGAGCGCCCAGATCCTTGGTGAGGCATGGCACCCCACAGCGGGCGCCATTTCCCTGATGTTGTCCCGATCCAGGTCCCGATTGGGCATCGCCAAGTGCCAAGCGCGGAGTTTTACATCTCTCTTTCTAGCAATGATATGGAAAAAATGAGATTAATGTAGGGGAACCAGGATACATCCTATGTCCAATTATGGGCCATGGGTGTATGAAGCTTTTGGGCTGTTGGTGATTGCCCTGGTTCGGAGAAAGCTCCTTGCGTGCCCTATCTCGTTCGGTATAAAACAGTAGTCAGACAAGGCCTTGCCCATTGTGGTTCTGTGCTAGCGGGAAACAGTGAACAGCTTTGAACAAGCAAGAAAACACCCAACAATGCCATATTCCACGAAGCAAATGCTCAAGGCGACAAATGTACGGCGTTTTTGGGTGGCTTGCCATGCTCATCCTCGTTCATCTTGAGATGAAATCAAACTGGCATGAATCGCATCATTAATGATTGAGCTATCATGCACTAGAGGATCAAACTGTAACAAGCCACGAGGTTAGCCCTACTACCCCTACGAGTCTCCGGAGAAGCCAACACGCCATCGAGTAAGAAAGCCGGTGAAAACGGATGTAATAGGTTCTGGCTTGGTTCAGCCGACAAACAACGATACGATGTTAGATGGTATGGACGGTGAGTAAAAAGGCTCAAAGGTGTATTTGATGTCGCAATTTATGAACACAAATGAAGTACAAGATGTTAAATAGTAATACAGCCATAGTTATGCAAACGGGTGTCACGCCAGACTCCCTCTAAATCGATCACCGACGTCGACCACCCTGGCCTCCACGACCACCACCCAAGAAGGCCTTCTTCTGGCGGACGTAGCTGGCCACAACGTTCTCGACACTGCGGCGATCGTGCTTGCGGTCCCTGTTAAGCATAAAATATTAGCAAACAATTATGAAAAGACGAAACGAACAAAACATATGGGGAGCACGAACCTCATGTAATACAATCTCGCTCTTCTGCGCTTCTTCTCCGAGCGTTGGACAATCTCCACACTCTGAACATTAGGACTGAAGACCTTGACGGACATTTCAACAGCAACACGAGTGAGCTCGTTGCGCAGGAGGAACGAAGTCTCAATTCCGCGCAGCTTGATGCTCAGAACAACTCCGTTGAATGGATCGCCGTTCTTGAAGACAACACGCACGATATCACCGGGTTTCACGCTGCGCTTATTGCGACGGTAGTCGAACAAAGCCTGTCGCTCACCCTTGGGGTCAAGCTCGGCCAATTGTGATGCGGTGACTGCTGCGACAGGGTCCGGGCATGCTTTGCGGGCAGATGGCGGAGCAGGGTAAACCTTGACGGGCTCCTTGGCTACACAAAATGTCAGTCAGATAGGCTCAAAAGAGGCAACTGGATCGGTGCTAGCACGTACTAGGGTCCGGGCGGTAGTGAAGAGGGATCTGAGAGAGGAATTGCTCCGGGATGTTCTGAGGAAGAGGGATGCGTTGAGGCCTCTTGCTATAGGCTGTCGAAATGAATCGGTGGTTGATGAGGGGTGTGATTGACTCCGATGGCCTCATCAGGGACCTCAGGCAGCCTAGCGGCCGCATTGCTGGTAACGCTGCCATGATTGTGATGAGGTTGTCAAGTCAAGAAAGTCGGAGTCGAGTTTTGGCTGGGCCGGACCGGCAGAATTTCCGCCAAGCCTCAAGTTTGCCCGTTCGGGTTGCAGACAGCGCGATTCTTTTTTCCCGTCCACATACTTCTCGTTCGACCTCCTTTGTCTATTGCTTACTGCGAGGAATCGAACCAGAAGTCTTTTCTCCATTCCACCTCACTGCATCATTCTGAACAGCATTTGGTGCTGATCTACAATGGCGCAAACCGCCGTGGGCAGGCTCTTCCGTCAGAGCACTACCAGCTCGATAAGCCAATCCGTGCTGAGACCATCTCAGGTTCGCAGCTTTGGTAACAAAGCAGGTATGCAATTATGGTTCGTGTGGTGGTATTCAATTTCTCACAAGCGACCATTGGCACAGCAATCCCAACTTTCACTCCAACAGCTATCCCTAAATTAGACCAGGCTCTCGACCGCTTCCGACAAGATCTTTTCATTCCCCTTGGACTTCCTAAGCGACAGAGAAAGAGTGTTTTCAAGCCGAAATACGCCCAGGCATTGGAACACGACCCGATCACCGTGAAGATAAGCGAAAATGAAGAATTCACCCTAACGCCGAAGAACAAGCACGAATTGCCTTCTAAGAAGGATGCTATGGAAGTCCTCCACATGATGGTTGAAACAAGGGACTTCAGCAACCTTTTCCCATTCATCAGCGGTCTCCGTATGTCGAACTACACCATCAGCACCGACCGTTGGGAGTACATCATCCGCAAAGCCGCCAGAACTGGTAATCTCGCAGCCGTCATCGAGTGCGCCAACCAGTACTCCCGCACTGGCCTAAGCCTGGGCAACATGAACATCGCTCGCCGTCTATTCTACGAGCTTCATCATAACGCATCACGTCGTCACTTCCAGGATAGGACAACCGTCAATGCTTTGAAACTGGCGGAAAGGGCGGCCAGTTTGATGGAACGCCCGGAACACTCTGTCCGAGGCGACAGTGCCAATGACCCGAAGCAGCAGCCTTTCGTTATTGGTACACTTTTGGAACTCAGCGTCGCGTGTAACGTTGATGATACTTCCCTAACGACCAAGGTTGTCAACTATAGCAAGGCACTCAAGGCTAATTGGGGTCTCGGCAAGTTCGAAGATGAATACACCACACCCGCCGAAAAGCAGTTCCGGGCTGAGGAGAACCTTGCTATTGTTAATGCCGTTAGGATGGGCAATCTGGTTTCCAGGCCAAACCCCTCGCTTGTCTCCCTCATGCCGCGCGCGGAGGCTCTTGAGGCTGTATTGGCTGAGCAGTTGAAGAGTGTTAAGAACAAGCAGGTTCTTGCTGACACGGTGGCCCAGCAGCTCATGTCTGTGAAGGAATAGTCTGCTAAATTGCATGTCTTTTTATTCTGTTTGTTTTGGTCCTGATCGAGCCATATCTACATGTATATTACATCTTTCCTCCCAGACCTTTCGGAGCTGGCGCTTGTATTTCTTAGAATGGATAGTTTCCTATCATTTTTCGCTCATGCTAGCCGCTGGTTCAGGTGCAATGTATTGAAAACAAATTTACTAAAAATGCCGAAAGGAAAGAATCAAGTTGAGTCTAACATTGCTCACGTGTCCCCAACGTGATGACGCTTAAGAGCACAATTCCAAAGTGTTGTCGGTACCGATGCGTGCTCTTACGGAAAGAGAAGTGGTGCCATCGATAACAGCAGGGCCAGATACAGTAAGCTGTCCCTCCTCCACGCCGTCAGGGGAGCCCTCGGGGACGTTCTTCAAAGTAATCTCAGTGCTGCTCAATGGGGCCCCAAAGTGGCTGGTACCCGTGAGGCGTCTGTAGTCGAAGGCGTTGGTCTGGGCGATAGCACCCGCAACTCCGGGTCCGGTCAAGGCATAAACCACCCGAGCGCCAGTGAAAATTCGAAGCTCGGCCAGCTGCTCGGAGCTAAGACGAGAAATAGAGCTGCCATCAACACGGTGAGAAATGCAAAGAAGCCGCAAATTGTCCAGAGAAAGCTCGGCGGTGGGACCGATGCGAGCCAGCTGGCTAAAGAAGTTGTGACTAGGCATGTTTCCTGCATCGAGGGTTCTTGCTTGAAGCCAGCGACCAATAGACGAGATGAGGCCAGTGTGTGGGCGCATGATCTTCTCGTGGTAATCACTCATAGTCTGCGACGATGCAATAATGATTGTGGGTGACACACCAGCAGTAGCCAAAGCAAAGTCCACCTTTTCGCCCGCAACGGAATTGAGGGCAATAGAAGAGTTTGCAAACAGGGCACCCATAGTCTGACATAGTGGGTAAGACCGAGAAAGGGAGTCAATGGACAAGACAATATCGGCTGGAGTGAAGCGCTGGGTACGAGGCAATGATGAGTTCAATGCGCCAATAGCTGCAACAAGATTCTAGAATTGCTTGTCAGTGGTTTTGTTATCAAAAAAACATGGTTAATCTCACCTCCGGCTGGAACTCGATAAATTGAACTGATTGAGAAGAAGAGGGCCAAACAGTGCTGACAGAGGGCGTCGTTGTTTTAGGGTCATACTCTGGAACATCAAAGCCAGCAATATCCTTGTGCTCCTCAACCAGATCATGCCAAACTGCCACACTCAAGCTACTCTCGACGTCCTCGGGAACCACGTTCCAGTCCATGTGACGGTTGCCATACTTGGCGACCCAGAGAGCGAGGGAGAGCTGTTTGTTATCCTTCGAGATAACAGAGAGATCAATAGATCCAGCTTCAGCAATGAGCACATCTGCCTTTGCTTGCTGCAAATGAACAGATAGTGTCTCTGCTGGGAGGTTATGGGGCACAATAACAACCTTGAAACCGTAGAAAGCACCCGCTGAATGATAAAATTAGCAATCAAGCTCAAGAAATGGAGTATAACTGCATACCGAATATCGCAGCCAGCAGTTCGATGGAGTCTGTGAGGCAAATAGCAACAATCTTCGCATCGGCGCTGCGCAGATGACTGCCAATAACGTTGATCTCTTGAGTGATCTGGCCCAACGAGTGCTCAATGGCCTTTTTCCCCAGTACAGTATAGATTTTTCCCTGCTTTCCAGATTTGGTGCCATCGTCGTTCAGAGCTCCACGCACAGCGGTCTTCCAAATATCACGCAGGTCACCGCGGCGGCCACCGGTCCATTTTGGCGCACCGGGATCCTTGACATTGAGACCAAATCGTAGGGGCAAGCCATGTGGAGTTTCCAGGCATCTGTATGTTGCAGATTCGCCCTGTTGGCGGATAGGGGATGCAGTCGATTGACGAGCAAGAAGGAACGGATGGACATCAGGGTCTTGAGACGAAACAACGGAGTACACAGCGAAGGCAACAACAACACCGGCAACAATGGTAGTGTAGATATTCCAGTCAGCTAGAACATCAGCCACTAGAGTGTCCAGCCTTTCCACGATGGAAGCAGACATTTTGATCAGATTGATGAAGTGTCAACAGAGGGACTATGACGTTGAGGGGCAGAGCTGATAAGATGGTCATCTGATTGGCTGAGCTCAGCTGCTCGGGTCAACCAAAAGCCCGCGAAACTCCTAATCCTCCAGCCATCTGAACGTCAACATCAACATAACACAACATGGCTTTTTAATTGCCCGGCTATGTGCATACCTGACTACTAACCCACAGTTTCTCATTCACTTCTCACCCTAGGTAAGTACTGGCAAAGTTCTTTGAAAACTGTGAGTTCTCTCCCTGTCGAAAAAAAAAACACAAGGAATTAGCAGCTGATCCCAAGCTACAGTCAACCTTCCATTCTGCCTTTCCTCTCTGTCCGTGTATTTTCTTCCCCGGCGCGACAAATGGCGACTTCATCTCTACCTGCTACTCCTAAAGCAGCGACTTCGCTGGCTCCTGCTTCCGAGGGCACTGGGACCCCGGGCAAATGGCGACACCCTATGCTGGCTGAAATAGTCAGACGCCAGAATGCAGCCACATTTGGTGAAAAGAACGTGAAAAGGCTGGTCTCGAATGGCGCAGTTCTCATAATGACATATGCTCTCGGGGGAACTGCCAAAGCATAGTGAGTGGGAGAGACCCCCGGATCTTGCGCATCGCGTGTTAACAGCCTCTGTTGCAGTTCAAGTAAAATCCTCGATACCGGCGATGCTTTCCGCGACTTCGCGATGGTTATTTGCCAACTCTTCCTCTTTGCCAATATTATCATGGCGCTCTATCCTCTCTTCCGGCCGAAGGATGACCTCTCGGACATTCCTCTTACTCCCACTCAACGAAAGCTCCTTGGGTTGGACCCTTCTGCGACCCCGCCTGCAACTCCAGGGACCACCTTTGCCACTCCCCCTAGATATCGCCTCTCGACTTCGCGCAAGCCTAGTCCCGCAAGCAGGCCATCCTCCCCAATGTCTGCAAATGCAAGCTTTTCAGAGCGAAGACCCTCGGCAGGTACTCCTTACTCTCCAGTCTCGAGCCCCTTGCTTTACAAAGCTGTTTCCAATGGAGGTTTAGATTCTGGTCGACGACAGAGCTTTGGCTCGTCCTCATTCGGGGCATCCTCGTTCGGGGCATCCTCCTTCGGAGCATCGTCATTTGGAGAGTCGAGTCTCGGTCCAAGTACACCTTCTCCGCTTGCTGGTAAGCGCGCTAGCTTGGGGGTGAAGAATAAGTGGTTGTATGAGAGAAGCCGACGGCTTTCCGCAAGCAATGGTGCACTTTGATTCTCTAGGGTTTTGAACAATATTCTCAAATGGGCGCTCGGGTCATGGGCATGGTCATGGTGTCATAGCGATTCATTTTTAATGTACTACGAGTATAACAACTTCTTTTAAGATTATTAAGTTCTGGAAGAATCGACGTTCTAAATATGCGCCTAGCTGTGTAAATTGTGGGCACTCTGCAGATCAGCTCCCCCGTGTTCTCAGGCCAAATCCCGCGCCCGCAAGATTAGGACCGCCAACCACCAGCACTTGGCAACACATCCGGCAACCTTTCCTGGCAAATCACCACCTCGACTTTTGTTGCGCTTCACTCTGCATGAAGCCCACGACGGCATAAGTAGCTCTTGTCTTACGTCATGGGGGCTTCGGAGTCCAAGCTTGTGTTCAAACAGGGCATCTTCCGCCTCTCTGAGGAACAGGAGATCCCCGCAGACGACCCCTACTGGGCAAGAGTATGTGCAACATAACTTGAAGCCTTCTCCAGGGGCATGAGAGCTAACTGTTCAAACAGTTTTGGGAGCTTCCCGAATCAACTGAAGACGTCTTCAGCCTCTTTACACCAGCCGACATACGGCGAACTCGCGATCATGCCTTGACCAACTTTGAAACGCTCTTGCTCGCCGTCACGTCGCGATTAAACGTCTTGAGAAACCATCCTTCGTTCCCCGACCCCGACCTTGCACCAGAACGGGATGCCCTCAACTGCATCCGTGTCCTCACTCGCCTCCTCCCCTATGTTTACGAGGCTGAGCATCTGGAAGAATGGGAAGATAAGTTTTTCTGGGCACGCCGAAAGCGAATGACCCGACAAGCGCAGATTTCTGGCGAGGTCCTCTTTGATGACGCACAGCCTGAGGACGAACAAGATCAGACGTCACCACGCGCCGCGGACTATGAAGACACGAAGCCTCTCGCGGAGGAGTTGATAGACACATTAGTGGACTTACTCTTCTTTGCCGATTTTACCATTCCCCGGCTTCCGACTGCCAAGGGCAAGGTATCATATTCAATCTGGCAGAGTGGTGTGGGCTGCAACACGGCAATGAGCTCCAACAAACAATTGGAAAGCAACCGATGCGAGATCCTTCGACTCATGCTTACACTCACTGGAAAGGCCATGTACTTACCATCAAGTAAGTCTGACCAGTATGTATGAAAACCTTTCAGCTTTTGTTAACTGTTCTAGGTACATTGCCCGTGCAAGGCGTCAAGGCCATTACCTACATCACAACTTGCCAGGATAAACAGGCTGTGTTGACTGTTCTTTGTTCACTTTTGAACACGGTATGTCAGCTTCCCTTGATACATTGAACGCTACTTATTCGACAAATAGGCCATGAAATATAATCCTGCATCATGGAGAGTCCCATATGATCACGTTGTCTGGAAGGATCCCAGGCAAATCTTGGTGATATATTGCGTGCAATTGCTCCTTGTTCTCTTGCTCTATCCCATTCCTGAGGATGGCCGTGGTGTACCCCCGAAGAACTATTATCGCCATTACTTTGGTCGACTACATAGACCTCAAGACTTCCAATTCCTTGTGGACGGCATGACAAGAATCTTGAACCAACCTGTAATTATCTCCTCGGTTCCCTCGTTCTGTCCAATATATTGACTAACCTATTAACAAAGATGCAAGCCACTGCCTCGTATCTTCCTGGGAGTCAAAAGTCAGTAAAATGGGCACCGGAAATGTTAGTCCTTTTCTGGGAAACACTTCAGTGCAACAAGAGGTTCCGGTCTTTTATCATCGATTCCAATCGCTCTCATGACTTCCTGGTCCTGTGCATATTCTATGCAATGGAGTATAGAATTGATCCTGCCAAGCAAGGTGTCGTTCGGATGTGCATTTTTATTCTTCAGACAATGAGCGCAGAGCCAACATTTGGCAAGAGTCTCAACAACAAGTTTGACGCACAAGAAACTCTACCACAATCAATTCGGTTGATGAAATTCTGCGGCTCATACGCCGACTTTTTGATCATGGTACGTCTTGCAGTAAAAAAGCAAACTAACAAAGCTAACTGCAGCAGTCCATTCATACCCTGATAACGACGAGCAAAGGCAACCTAGATACTGTCTACCCTGCTTTGCTGATTATTCTTAACAATATCGCTCCTTACGTTGAACACATTTCCCCCAGTGCTTGCTCGAAGGTCATTCAACTATTTTCATCTATGTCTGCGCCAAGCTTCTTATTAGCAAATGAGACAAACCATACTCTTCTTGCGTCGTTGCTCGATTTTATCAGCATCATGCTTGAGCATAAATTCACAGGTCCGTTTTCTCCCATCTTTATCCAAAGCACGGAGCCCTTGTTGACATTTGCAGACAACCCATACCTAGTCTACGCGATCTTGAAGTACAGGCAACGATTTGAAGCCGCGCGTGCTTTCACACTTGAAAGTGGCCAACAAGAAATTGAGCGCCAGCATGAAAGGAGGAAGGCTTCCACTTCTGATGCACCTGTTAGCCCAACCCTTTCACAGTCGGAGGAGGATCTTCACACTCCATCTGGTGCCCGGTCACCCTTGACTCGGATTCCCGAGGAGCACAGCCCCTTTTCTATCGGTGATGATGACTCTGATGATGAGGGAGAGGAACACACTCCTTCTCAGACGCCATCAGCTCAGACTTCGCGGAGGGCCTCGATGGCCTCCACCATCGACGAGACTGGAGCACAGCAAGTACGAGGCATGTCTGAGAAAGCACGCGGAAAGAAGCCTGCTGGAAAGCCTTCCTTTTCTCGTCAAAACAGCATGACGAGCCAGACCAGTATTTCTGCTTTATTCCCTGCCTCTGCCAGTGGCTTTACTCCTACTGTTCATTGGGTAAGTTAAAGCCAACAGATTTCCTCCCTAAGCAGTACGAGATATTGTTATTAACATGGCTTCCTAGCTCGAATCTTGGCTGCCCGAGCTGCCTCTGCACACGGTCCTCACTATCATCTCCGCAATCGCACCTCATATTCCTGATTCGGCTCTTCAAAGCACAGCTAGCCCCGAGGCACGTACGCTAATTCACAACCTCCCATCATTTGCCGAGGAACCCGAGGTCAAGGGCATCATCTCTGAACCTACCCCCGTCCGCGTACAATCATTTGAGTGGTCTGCCCTTTCAATGGGCTGGTATGAATCACTGCTCTGGGGCTTCATTTTCTCCAGCGAGATGGTGGTTGGTTCTGCTGGTGGTGGAACACCAGGAAGTGTGGGTGTCTGGAACGGCACGGGAATCAGACTTTTCCGAGTTCAAGAAGCCGCCGCCCAAGGCCCTACCTTGCTCGCACCCAAGGGGGCAGTTGATGCGGTTGGCAGCAATCTCGTTCAGCGCATAGGAAATCTGAGTCTTCGGGGTCGTAACTCCATCTCTCAGGAGTCTGGAAGTGCCTCTTCACCGAGTGTGCGAGAGATTTAAGGTCATACACTCATGACGTACATAGCCATCATTCTCACGATATGACTTTGCATCGATAATCCCGGGCTTCGACATGCATTCCTTAGATGCGTGACTCGTCCGTGGTTTCCATGTCTTTTGAGCACCCATTTTAGCCATCGCGTTCAAATACCATGTGTTTTTCCTATTGACTAAGCTCTTCCTGTAAGGAATATCAAATATCAAATACGCAATATCAAATATCGAATAGAATTGAAGTCGCTGGCTCCTGTTGCGTGGTGAGCAACCAAGACCTCCTTGACGAACACGTGCACGAGATCCGCGTTCCGATCGTCGCAAGAACTCCATCCTCAACTACCCTTCAACTGGCATCGCGGTCCTTTCGCGTCTCTAATTTAAATTGGTTGCGAAAAGTTATGTTCTCTGTCTTCATGCTGTTCATTACCGGTATTGTTGTGGCTCTGTTCGCGGGGCCGGTTCCTGCTTTTGGGGCGATCACCTCCAGCCTGCAGAGCATATTGAAGAACACCCACGGTAGCAAAGAATATGGATATCCGACCGATATAACCCGGGATCTTTTACCCGTGAGTATACATTCTTGGTTGGCTCTTTCTTAGCCAATCTTCTTCTTGTGGAAAATCATTGTTATTGACCTAAGGGCGGATGGCTAGATTCCTGTTCATTCTCATAAGTACGAAAATCCCAAACATCCAATAAATCAAATACTAACCCAAAAACAGCGATTACTGGCGCGATGAGCCATTTTATACTGGTGGGTAACTTGTGTGGCTCAATTGTGCTGGCTCTTAACTCATCGCTTTACAGGTCTGTCTCATGGCTGTACGTCCACTGAAGCGGACGTCTGGCTTTATAATGGCACCCTTTATGTATGCAATTTGAATTACTCTTCTGCATTATTACGCTAACTGGACCAGGTTGGACACGCTCAATCTGCCTTGACAAAGGAGCGAACTCTTGAATCTCTGTACATTAATCCTATCCTGGATGTTCTGGAACGCCAGAACCCAGAGAGCCCATTCGTGACATCACCAACCAAGAAGTAGGTCACTTTCTTTCAGTTCTATATTTGACGCTTATACTGTGTTTACATAGTGGCGTTTGGGACACTGTTTCCGATCAAACACTTTATTTCTTTATTGATGTGAAGACCTCTGGCGCCGAGACCTTCAAAGCAGTTATCGCTGCTCTGGAGCCTCTGCGAGCCAAGGGGTATCTGACCACTGTCAAAGATGGAAAGGCTGTTACCAATGGAGCCGTCACTGTCATCGGCACTGGAGAGACACCGCTGGATATGGTTGCACCAGTGAATGACCGAGACTATTTCTTCGATGCACCTCTGGCAGACTTGAACGACCCCAAATATGCCAATATCACTGGAGTTGTCTCGCCAGTCGCTTCGACCGACTTCAACAAGGCCGTCGGCAAGATCACTGTCGACACAGATCCTATCCTATCAGAAGACCAGCTCCAAACCCTCCGAGCCCAAATCGCCACTGCGAATGAGCGCGGGATTGGTGCTAGGTACTGGAACACGCCTGGGTTCCCAATCCGGACGCGCAACCTTGTATGGAGAACTCTACTACGTGAGGGGGGTTATCCTGCTCAACGCCGATGACCTAGACGCTGTGACGGCCTTTTTCTAAACGGCAGGCTTGAATGACATCAGAATCTGCTGTAACATCTTACACTACATCCCACGTGGCATTTACTTGTCTTATTTAGGTTTATGGCGCTGGTCAGAAATAAATACATAGAGTGAATTTGCCATGGCATATCGAATCAAGGTCGAATCATGGCCTTTCCATAAAGTGTTATCCATCTGCGGGCTCCTCCTTTCTTATTGCACTGTGCTAGGAAGATGTCTCGCTCAAGAGTGATTACTTATGCACTTCGCAGGCAGGAGCGGCACTTGTGAGGAGAGGCTTTGCCTTTGCCATCAGCATGCACAACCTGGCGTCCAGGGCAACGCTCATCCTCGGAGTACATGTGTCGACGACATTTGATAAACTCGCCTCCGGTGGAGTGGCCACAGGTGTAGCGGATCTGCATCTGAGTGCAGCAGGCCAAATTGTTGGCTTCAGGGACTAGCATGTATAAGCGGCAAGTCTATAGGGCAATATTTAGGGGTTCACACTGGGGAGGTCTCGGTAGACTCTTTTGAATGGCATCGGCACCGGCATCTTGGAGGTGTAAGGTCACGCTGCTCAAGCCTTTGTGCCACCTTCTATCAGTAAACTTGAAGCATTTTCATGTGAGATCATGTCTTGGTGCGAGACTTGATCTGGCAGGTGGTTATCTGCTTACTCTGTGATGATCTTGGCGGGTGTATGTGTAAATGTGAAAACTTATGAGAAGTTGGGCCGTGGCAGGATTATGAATGAGAATAAAGAAGAGATTTCAGAGTCGACAAGATGTTTGCTGGCAATGAGTGTAAAAGGAATTTGCCTTATATGCTGGCATGGGGTGAATATACCCTATTCAGGATGACTGCAATGACCTCCATGTTTGTTCACAAAGCTTGCATGGCTCAGATGTAAGTCTGCAAGTATACCTAGTACTCTTCCTTCAGTCATAAAAGCTTATAACTGCCACCGACCTCATTGCATCACACAGAATCAACAGCAAAGTACGCTGTAACTTATATAGTCACTGGCACGTGATCTTCACAGGGCGTTCAGTCGACGGCTCCGCAGTTCTCCTCCTCTCACCACCAATTCAACGGTTCTCATTGGATGAACAAGAATGGTATTAGATCTGGCAGATCTCTTGGCTGAGGTGCTCCCCACCGGGGTTGAGATCACTGTTCGCCATGTCTCCTCAACACCAACCCCATGCGAAGCTCTCTTTGCAGCTGCCCCGGGTCAGCCGTCCGAGCCAACATTTTGCGAAAACCACTTCCTCTCAGTGTCAATTGACTCCAAAAATGAAGGAGAGATTATCGTTTTTGGTATAGAGGTGATGGTATATAACACGGCCCACTTGACCGTCATTTTTGTTTCAAAGGCCGATTCCACGGGCCTCCTGCATCAGCTCAAACTGCCACCCAAGGTCTCGATTTTGAGACTGGTTTCAAAAACTTTCCTCTCGTATCTAGCACAAACGCGACAGCGGCCCGGCGTGCGTCTAGTTGTGTCCTTGTTTGCCCGCGCCCAGAACCAGTACTTGTTCCCGGGCAGTATTGAAAATCCCGAAAAACACGTCCTGGATGACCGAGGCTTGATCAAATGGTGGTGTCGCGCTGTAGATCCCATCTTGCGCAAGCATGAGCCTGAGTCTGCTATTCAGGAAACAACGTCAATGGACCAAGCTGTCGAGGCGGCCACGGCTTCTGCTACCGCGTACTTGATAGTTCCAAGCTGTGATCGCTTTGAGACGCGTAACTTTTTTCCACCTACGGCTAAGTCCGACGCCTCGGATCGACCGCGGTGGCTCAATAGTTATCCGTTGAAACAGCTGTACCACGATCCCTCGGCTCCTCCTCGATGTTTGGTTCCCCGTTTCCCGGACGATCCCAAGACACGCTTCCTTGTTGATCTTGATGGCGAGCTTCCTGAGCAAGAGGAGGGTCAACCTGCTCCTCCTAATGACGGGAGATGGCGAAGTGTCCGATCCCTGGATCAGTTCTGGGAGATGATGTCTTTCCGCCAGGAATGCTCTGCCGGTCGTCTGGTTGGCTTCTTGTGGCTTGTTATCAATCCTCCTGGTCTGATGAATTCGACCTCAATGGAAAGCCGTACCCGTGCCGCTGAGCCAGGTCAGACCCAGAATGGACCAGAGGTGTCTGCAGTGACTATGGAAAACAAATCGCAGGTCGAACCCAGCGAACCCGAAAACACGGAAACATCGGCATCGACAGTAGATGTGCAACCTACTGCGACCTCTATTGAGCTTCCTCGAGACGATACATCAAACGATCTCAACCCCTTCGACTGGCCAGAAGCCGGGCGTGGACATGTCGTCCTCCACGAGGCAGACTACAAGAAGATGATGGACTCCGTTCTAGATCATTTCTATGACGAGAAAGAAGTTGTCGCTAGTACAAGAATATATGTCGACCAGGTTGCTTCGCTTGCAGATGAGCTTACCTGGGGAAAAAGGTTGTAGGCAGCAGGACCGCTAGCAGTGATGCACCTCGGCCTGCAGACGACAACACTAGCACCAACACCAACAATGTGCTCGACCTTGGATTGATCCGCAAGCGCAAGAAGTCTGAGGGTGAAGGAAACACATCTGCTGTGGGTAGCCAAAAGCCCATTGGATCAAGCGACACGTTCCAGCTCCCTCGCAACCAACTCCAGTGAATGTGCTTCAACCCAGCTTGGTTCGCAAGAAGAAGAAAACGTGATACGCGAGCTTGTTTCTACTGGGATGTGACTTTGGAGTTTTGGGAGGAGTATAGCCTTTTTCTTATTCTTATTTCGGGTCTTCGGTACTTTGCATGAATATTAGTAGCGACAATCGCTAGTTGCCTGGACATGCTTATTTCCGGGGCATCCGCGTACGCGATGCATTTTGGCCTTTGGAGGGCGTAAGCCAATTTTCGGCAGCTTTGTGTAAATTAGGTTCACGGGTTGCCCTGTGAAGCTCTCTAGGAGCTGCAATTCTCCATTGAGATCTTCGAAATCCCTAAGAATGAATAGCAAAATAAATCCAACATACGATGCGTACAGTATGCGAGGGTCGTCAGCTGGGGCGGGAGCCCAATCCACCGCCAAAAATGAAATCCACCTGCACCTCTGGCACTTCCTGCGTTTCTTACTTCTTTTCTTCGGGAATGTCCTGCCTATGTTGTCGCCTTCAATCCCATGCTAGAGTCTACCACCTTGTCCTTCTTCTCCCGGTTCGCTGATGGCGCTCTATCGGTGCCCGTCGCAGCCAGCTGGTTTGCTCTGATCTGGTACACAGTCGTGCAACTAGTATGCGCCTTGGGATATTTCCAGATGTACAATTCAACCAGATCCCCACGATCAGCAGAACCAGGCCACTAAACTAACTTCTTCGCCCGCTAGATGGAAATATTTCTCGCGACAGCCACGCCGGTCCCGTCTAGCAAACGCCGCCGACGCACCGCACGTCACCGCCATCCGACCAGTCAAAGGTCTCGAACCACACCTCTATGACTGCCTCGCTGCTACCTTCCGCCAGGAATATCCGCGCGACAAGCTAACCATTTGTCTCTGCGTGTCGACACGAGACGATCCCGCCTACCCCACACTGTGCAGGCTCATCGCCGACTTCCCGGATGTCGACGCGCGCGTTTTCGTTGAAGAGGAAGATCCGCTGTTGCAGCAAGATGGAACGAGTACCTACGCGCTAGGCCCGAATCCTAAGATCCGAAATATGAGCCGTGCCTACCGCGAAGCGAAGGGTGACATCATTTGGATCATCGACTGTAATGTCTGGGTTGGAAAGGGTGTTTGCAGCCGCATGGTGGATCGACTGTGCGGCACTGGAGCGACGCCGGGCAAGAAATACAAGTTCGTGCATCACCTGCCTGTGGCTGTGGATGTGACGGGGGAAAGCAACTTGCTTGAAGAGCGCCAGGCGCTTTTGGATAACGATCCCCAGCCTTCGAATGCAGATGCAAATATTGCCGCGGCAGCCATGTCCTCTGTTCGTCCGGAGGATGGCCCGGCGGCTATGATTTCGACCGGAGGCGGTCGACTGGAAGAGCTGTTTCTGTCCTCTGCCCATGCAAAGATGTATACGGCTATCAATACCGTTCTCGTTGCGCCTTGTATTGTGGGTAAATCTAACATGTTCCGCCGATCTCATCTCGACTATCTCACTGCTCCGTCGTGTTCAAATCCCCAGGCATACCATGCCGGTATCGACTTCTTCTCGGAAAACATATGCGAGGACCATCTGATCGGTGATCTTCTCTGGAGGAAGAAGGTACGGGAAGAGAAAGAGCTTGGGGAACGTTGGGGCAAACATGCCATGGTCTTTGGCGACTTGGCTATACAGCCTGTTGCAAACATGAGTGTGCCGGCATATATTGCACGCCGAGTCCGCTGGCTACGGGTCCGCAAGTTCACCGTTCTCCTCGCGACACTTGTCGAGCCTGGCACCGAGTCATTTCTCTGCAGTATCTACGGCGCTTGGGGCGTTACAGCAGCACTGGCACCGCATCTTGAGCAGAAAGGTGTGCAGTGGGCATCCAGCCTGGGAACTTGGATGGCATTTTTAGTTTGCTTCATCTTGAGTATGACTTCTTGGATACTGGTTGACTGGACGCTGTACATCAAGCTTCACTCCGCAAAGGCCATTGAGATGGATGAAAGTACTCCGGCCTTCACGCGCCCCCAACGTTACCGATCATCCCAGACTACACGACGCTCCTTCATGCAATGGTTTGCCGCTTGGCTTGGTCGTGAAATGCTGGCCCTCCCCATTTGGATCATGGCTGTGTACGGCGGCGTGACAGTCGTATGGCGAGACCGCCGCTTCAAGGTCGGCTTTGACGCAAGAGTCCGCGAGATCGACCCTGCTCCGCCGATGCTTTCGTCCAGTGCAGCCAACGCGGGTTCTGTCCCAGCCCAGCGTCCCAACAGCAAAGCGGGCAAAGTTCGAAGCGATTGATGTGTATACGAGCCCATATGAACATTATGTATACTAGACTAGCATTTCAAGCCCTGCATAGCCTTGCAATGTGATATTACGACGGTTGGAGATGAAAAAAAAAACACCCATATTAAATCATGAATGAATATTGACAATAACAAAAGAATTCCACAAGAAGTACCCGAATCTCCAAATCTATGCTAACTTTTCCCCGTCATTTCGAATCATTTCAAAGAAAAAGACCAAACTCAAGCAGATGCACCCTCACCAGAGCCAGAAGCGGAACCCTCAGTAGCCCCCTTCTCCAGACTAGCAGCAACATCCGAAGCAAGCAACCACTCAACAACCTGTCTGCCCGCAGACATCTCGCCAACATCCTTAGCCTCGCCCTCGCCCTCACCTTCACCACCAATAGTGATCTCGATCTCCTGATCCTGGTCTTGGCCCTCGCCTTCACCCTCACCCTCCTGAGCATCCTTCTCAAGAGCCTCCCAGGCCTTACGCTCAGCAAGGAAGACAGCATCGTGACCGGCATCATTCTTAACAGTAAGGTCAGCACCAGCTCCAACAAGAGCCTTGACACATTCCAAGTGCGTGTTCAGCGCAGCCCAGTGCAGAGGCGTGTTGCCAGAGTAGTTGCGGTGGTTAATAAGAGCCGAGCGCTGAGCAGCATCTGCAGCAGAGAGTTTCTGGAGAAGGGCGTTGAGGATTTCTAGGGCGAATGTTAGAATGCATTTGAGACAGGGTGGTTGTCGGTATCACACTCACCGATGTTTCCATTGGCAGCGGGGAAATGCAGCACACAAGACCCTGAGCCACCCTCGCTCTGGTCTGCGAGGTCGATGGCGGAGGCCACGATCTGGGCCTCGTTGCAGCTGTGCTGGCTGGCTAGGTTGGCTACATCCTCGTTCAGGGCTTCAAGGTCGCCGGCGCGGGCGTCGTAGATGAGATCGTCGATTGCCTCGGCTGAGAGGGTGATTGGCACTGAGGTGGACATGTTGTGTGCTTTGGGGTTTTTCTTCTTTGCTTTGGTGGGGGTGTTTGTTTTTTTTATATTCCGCTTTTTTGTATGATTAACTTCGATTTTTTCTCTCAAGGACGAATTTTGTCTTCTAACCTCTTGCAAGTTCTGTTCTAAGAACCGGTAGGTGACTTTGGCAGGGTCTGCTTTGGTGATAGGTGCAGATATATGTAGCTAGTGGGGTGTCAGTATGGGACTTTTTCACAATTTCAAGACCAAAGAGCCCATTCGAGTAGGATGCGATTTTGCATAACAACAGTATCAGACGATCTCATGGCCCCCAGGCTGCATGATATTCTCCCCGCAAGATCTTCATGCAATTTCTCCCTCTTGATAAGGGCATCAATCTCTAGCGGGACAAATTCAAGCCACAAAATTGCATCAAGAATTCAAGGATCTATCTGTTCCCCCACAAATTTGCAAGCGACGAGAATACGGAATGTTCAATCTCACCTTTGCTTCTTTGTTTGCTTTTGATGTGGTCTATGCCGCAAATGAAGTGCTGCAAAAAAAAAAAAGAATTGATATCGGGTCATGTGACTGATAGTGGGGACCACGAGTATAAGACGAGGTTCTCTTCAAGGTCAAGAGGGTTAAGAGGGTTGAGTGTTGAGAGTGTCAAGAGCAATCGTCTCAATTAGAGATATTCATAATCATACAGAGTACATTGTACAGAATTGCTCAATCGTGGGGTCCAGACGAGGTGCCTCTATCCCACATGCAAGGCAAAACGCCTAGGTAAAACATAAACAAAGGTAAGCTCAAACGCCCCGAGTCTCACATCTAGTGAGAAGGTATCAAAAAAGCTCCGAAACGGAAATATGCGACAAGCAGCAATGAGAAGGTACAGCAAACCCCACCATAATCAAACAATAAGTCGAAAGCCTCTAATCCCTCAACCAGGCACGGCGTTTCTCTTCCTTCTTTTCGCGACGCTTTTCCTTGAACTGCTTCAGCTCTGCCTTGGTCAACTTCCTAGCGCTGCGCTCTGCCCGTAGGCTGCGGCCGTCGTGGCTGTTTGCAGCAGCGTCCACATCAAAGAAAGCATTCATCTGCCGCCGGGACTTGTTCTCATCATTGTGGTTTTCGGGGTTGATCTCTTCCGCTTGCCATCTACCAGTAAAGCGATTGAAGGTGCCGGTAGCGGCATATGCGGCGGCCGCGTCCTGGCCTGCCGTGCTCGACTCGGCCTCCTGTTCTTCATATTGCTGCGCGTATGCTGCGGTTGGATCGTAGTCGCCGTGAATGGCGGGATTGTAGCCACCAAGTACTGGTGCTTTGCGGGGTGCTTCTTCCTGGCTGGGTTCTTCTGTACCTGGTGCCGCGGGGACCGAGGCCTGGGGCACACGGGGGTTTTCCCACTGCGAAACCCCAGTGAAGCGGTTGTAGAAATAATAACTTTGCGCGGCAGGATCCCATGAGGGTTCCCATCCATCATCTTCGGCTTTTGCTGGCGGGGCCTCGTCAGGCAGTGGTGGAGGGACTTCATCGGGCAATGGCGGCGCAGCTGCATCGTCGGCTGCTGCTGTTTCGCTTATGTCTGGTTTTTCGACTTGTGGTTCTGACTGTTCTTTCGCGGATTGCAGATCATCATTCTCCTCCTCTTGCTTGCTTTGGTTGGTGTCATGTTTGTCCTCTGTCGAAGCCTGCGGCGAGGCAGGTGCGGGGGAGGATCCTGTACGCTGTGGGCTAGCTGACGCGCGACCTTCCGGGGGGGGAAGACGGGGCAGACATGGTGGTTAGCACAGGGCTTGACTTGTACGCAATTGGGTGCAACGATGAAGATGAAGATGAAGCAATACATCCAATTCGCGCATTTTGCCTGTCGGTGGGGTCCGTGCGCCATAATTTACCTCACCGCCTCGATACGGTCGCCTCAGCGGCCATGTTGTGCAGTTTGCGGGCCCCCGCGTCGATGGTTCGAGGCATCTTCTCGTCGTACAAGCTGACCAACTGCGCCTTACCTTATAACTAGATAGTTACTGAAGATTCGTTTAACGGTCATATCTCATACGACTACCTGTGCTTCCCGCGCGCAATCCTCCAATCAACCACTTATCGTACAGTTAATGTCAAATTGACCCAGACTACTGTATGCTACAGGTGTTTTTCTCAAATTTTAGATCTCCTAGAGAATGACATTGGCTACAGGATCATTCTAGTTCAATTCTTCTATTGAAGCTTTATCATCTGAGTTGTAGTTCAAATTCAGTATGCCACAATTGAGATACTAACAGCGAAGACAAATCACTTTTTGCACTTGCATCTTAGAACTTAATGGCAAGGAGAACAATTGTAACCATGAGCCTTAGCAGTATGATGATTATGATGTAGGCAGGGGCAAATAGTCCCAGATATCCCTTCTTCGTTCTTCGTAGGATGCAAACTGGTGTAAACAGGAGTTGTACTTCCTATTTGGGGTCATGCAACAGATATTCTCGCTACAGTCGATACACAGCGATGTTGTTTGATAGTGTCAGATTGATGTAGTATACATATATATAGACTAATGTGCTGAACGGACACTCTAGGTCAAAATCATGAAGTTGTGGTTTTTTTCTTTGTTAAAATCGGAACTATGTATCAAGCATTTCCACAATATATAACGCCCACCAACAATGTTTACTCACCAAGATACAAATTTAATTCTAAGATAGTACATCGATTTTACACTGCCATATGCCACTATTTCTTAATTAGAACAACAAATGTCGTATTTCTGGTCTTTACAATTGCTCATGACGAAGCACCGGTACCTTATTTCGGACATACTAACTCACCATGAAAGGAGAACATACAGACTAAATGTAGAGTTTGTTACTATGTCGGCCTGAAAAATTAGTATCTACTTCAGAACATTCAAATGGTATGCAATTTGCTTCAGCTGTATGAGCTCATCTCTATACTGCCCACAGATATTCTTCCTCGAATTAGCCCCAAATCAGGGGTACATCGTAAGACATTCTTAATTAATTATCTTAGCGTCAGAAATTTAGCAACACAAGGTTAGAGCGTTGCAGCAAGAATTACGAAATGCTGTTGCGAGGATGAAATGACGGTGCAAAGAATCTACAATGAAGGGCCAATAGAGGACTAAGATTGTGATGTACATTTGAATTCTGTAGAATCCGAGTCATACCATTTCAAATCAAGAAGAGGTCGATCTGATAAAAAAAGTCCAGATTGAATGTACAAGCAAACATACGACGTAGTAGAGCCCAAGGGGCACGGGACAGGGACTGCGGACTGGGACAAACCCCGTGAGACGCCAGGGATGATTTGGCTGTAACCACCGACGCCATCATCGGAGAATACAGCCATTCCCCAATCGGAGAGGGCACATGAAGCCAAGAGTGTGTACCGTTACGATGCCTAATTCTTTGTAGCCAAAAGGCCTCCCAAACAATAAGGGGAATGCCTCAACTCTCCTTGTGTACGGGCTAAGTGCCCGAGGTGCAGCGGGCGCCCTTGCAGATAGAGGCCATACTCCACAAATTGAAAGGGAATCCTAGTGGTCCCTAGAGCAGGATCAGGTGTTGGCCATGAGCAAAGGATGCGGAGCATGCCTTAGTGCCCGAGCAGGCGTAAAGAAGCCAACCAAGGAGGTCGAAGAAAGCCCCTGCGTGGCTGGGAAATGAGACTCAGGTACGAGGACTCCATGACCCACAGAGCTTAAGCTTACTTTGGCCAATATTGTGTGGTATGGATGCTTCAGAGCATACTGCTATGAATGATGCTTGTTTCCCAGGTCTATACCCACAAGTATCATTGGGAAATGGATCAGCAAACAACAAATGAAACGAATTGTGGGCACTCTACGAGCCTGGGCCGACTGAGCAAATGAACTAGGGCCAAAGAATGCCAGGGTCAACCTGTGGTCGCGTGAAGTGAGGTTCTACACTGGGGCAGATCCATACCAGGAGGCTCGCAGGGACCACTTGATGGCCTACAAGCCCTACTCAGTGGAGTGATCAACACCTCCCTTTCCTTCCTAGTGGCATTCCACAGACATACTGGACAGGACTCTAACCAAGGCAGTAACAATTTGGCCCTGGAATAGAGGGAGAGAGGGACTCACAGACCCTCGATCCAAATCTATAAAGACAAGCTCATTCTGCGTCCTCAGTTTCTTCTTCATCCATCCGCATCACTCTCTTTCAAACTTTCCTTCTCTCGAAGCAGTCTTCTCTTGCCTTCAATCTTTTACTCCGAGTCATCTCTCGTTTAAATCCAAATCCACCTTCACAATGCAGTTCACTATCTCCGCTGTTCTGGCTCTCGCCGCCACTGTCGCTGCCCTTCCCCCCGTCGGCCCCTCCGCCGGTGGTGAGGGTAACGCCAACGGCGTTGCCAACAAGGGAAACACCAACGTCCGCTTCCCTGTTCCTGACAACATGACTGTCAAGCAGGCTCAGGCCAAGTGTGGTGACCAGGCTCAGCTCTCTTGCTGCAACAAGGCCACCTACGCCGGTGACACCACCGATGTCAACTCTGGCATGCTCGGCGGCACCCTCAGCAACTTGATCGGCTCCGGCTCCGGTGCTGATGGTCTCGGTCTCTTCGACCAGTGCTCCAAGCTCGACCTCCAGATCCCCATTCTCATTGCCATCCCTATCCAGGATCTCATCAACCAGAAGTGCAAGCAGAACATTGCCTGCTGCCAGAACTCCCCCAGCAGCGCCGTGAGTATTCCACAACCGACCTCAATTATTACACAGCTAATCAGTCATCCAGAACTCCGACCTCGTCGGCCTCGGCCTGCCCTGCGTTGCCCTTGGCTCCATCATCTAAGCGCTTTCCTGTGCTTTCTCGCATCATGCAAGATGCGCTGGTCACCTTGCCAGCTCTCTGGGCTTTCAGCTCTTGGAGTTCGGCATGAGCGAAGATGTGAACTGCTATAGATCTCGGGGATGGAAATCAGGTTTTTAGCTTTTTATCATTTAGTTAGATTCCTGTTTATTGCGCCGTCCGTGTATCATTAATCGTGTCGTGTGGCACCTCTCGGAGAAGAAAGACTGCTTTTGCTTTATCGCTCTTGTTTTGGCATGGTTATTTCGCTTCTTGCTTTTGTGCTTTGGAATCATTTCGAGCTGCTGCCTCGATCTGTCATCTTTCGCATATATAGTTTTAATTTATTAGACTCGGTTGAAACATTTGACTGGAGAACCTCTTGTAGCCTTGTAGTTCCTCTCAAACCATACTTGATCTCGCTTGCCTCTCTCATTGCGTTCTTTCCGTTCTCACTCGCCTTCTAGTAAACTGTGTTTGTGCCCCATGTTTTGAATCACAATTCATACGTATATCATTATGTTTTGCTTGCGCGGCTTTCTAACTCCAATCATTTTACGAAAAGCAATATTGTATTACCCACCCTTCCTATCTGGTAGAACAACGTAACTTATCTATCCTACTTTTAGTCTTTCATTTTCGAATCCTGAGTGACTATGCATACAACTGTCAACAGAGAACTTTTATTGTTTTCTCACAAACTACAAGCTCATATCATTACCAAATCCACAAACCAAAACAAAGCCAACGCTATACAAATAACCCTAACTCACCCAACCCCAAAGGTAGAAAACAAAAAACCTCACAAAGGCCTCCCTAATGCACTCCCACCCCAAACCGCATTTCTCCTTCCCCTCGACCCTAAATGAGCCTCCAACCACTTCTCATCCTTGACCTCCACAAACCCTTTGTCCCCATCCTCCCCAACACCCGCCGAATCCAACCACTTGGGCGAAGCCGACGCAGAACTCTTCCTTGTTTTGAGCGAAAGTGACGAGCGTGGAATATTCAACCCACAATGCTTCATGAGTAAATCCTTCATCGACCTCCTCCTTCTCTTCTCTTTAACACTGACATCAACATCAACACCACCACCGTCCCTTTTCCTCGAAGAAACCACATTAACACCCTTGTCACCATCTGTCAAAGACCTAGCTATGCCTCGACCCTCACCAATCCTCCTCGTATGAAGGATCTTCTTCTTCGGACCCGTCTCTAAAGGCCCAGCCAGTTTCCGCGGCTCAAATGGTGCCTGACACATATCCAATTTGAAAACCGGGTATTCCGGCCGTGACAGTGCCCTCATGGCGCGGTTGTCTGTCGGCGAGATAGGCGTGGTCTGAGAGGAAGTCTCGAATAGCGTGCTTGTATTGAGATGATCTGTTCGAATGGCCATCCTATTTGCTGGGGGGTCGGAGGGAAGCACCGGTTCATGCAATGAATGGTGCACCATTGTTGATGTGGATGCTACACTTTCAGCGCGCAGCGAGGTTGTTTCCGAGAATGGTTTTATCAGGTCATTTTTGTCGTCGTCGGGGATTTTGGTGGATTGGGATGAGAGACGGTGGGAGAGTCTGTTGTTGCGCATGTGGCGGGTTATTGTTGCTATGAGACCCATTTTGGCTATTGAGTGAGGGGTTCTTTTTTTGGGGGGTGGTTTGAAAGCTGGCGAATTGATGGAGAGGCAGGATATCTGTAGAGATTGTATTTGTATGTGTGTGTATGTGCTGTTGGGATGAAGGGCTATACAATGATAATAGCAGTATGGTATAGATTGCGACTGATGCAAATGAGGGGATTTAGACAAGCCAATATCCTAAAATCAAAGATTGGGGACAAGGGAGAGAGACAAGGACCTAAAATGGGCTGCATTCGATTCTGGGCTGGGAAATCTCGGAGCCAGGTATGCGTCGCTATCTAGATCATCATGGGATGCTGGTCGACTGCTGCAGTACGAGGGTAGAAACCTGTGTCACGGATTGGCAAGTGTGAGTGTACTTTGCAACTTAGTTGTGCATGTACAGGTAAGCTAGAGTTTCTGTATGTCTATGGTAAGGTTTCTTTGAGATGAATAGCATAGCGGTGAACTAGAAGGTTTGGTATAGAAGAGCTTCTGTCTCCACACGATGCTGCAAGCAAGTCGAGCTTGATAGGTTGTAAGGGCTGGGTTGCCTGGAGACCAATCATCATTTCTGCGCTGGAAACAGCGACATGATATGAGGATCGCCCGGGAATTAACGGTGGGGTTGACACTTGTCCAATCGCTTCTGTTGGAAGAGGAGCTGTCTCGAGAATTCACCACAGGATCTGCTGCATGCAAGGATCTCTCCACATCCCTTTCTACTTCGCATAGTCGGACATAGAGCTCTGGGAATCGGTAGTCATTTATTTAGCCTACTTGAAACACAATGAGTCTGATGGCGTGTATATTCATTGCTGGAGAGAGCTGTTCGAAATTGAACCATCAATCTTAAAGGAATGCCAGCGAGTATCTGAGCGTGGATCTACGTGCTTGCAGATCCTTGCTGCGCATCTCACGGACCCTCGGGAATGCATGAACCGCCTGCCCCTTTGGAAATTTGGCGTCTTTACCAGCACAAGGCGGATGACGTTGAACTTGAAGATCCGAGTATCTCGAAGAGGGGAAACGTAGATGTAATTCATAATATATGAGACAAAATCCCAGCTAGTCGATTCTATTGGATCTTCGCATGGTAAAACAAAAGCAAACTAGATCAATGAGGTCTGCGAGTGCATATGGAATGAGACAACTTCAAAGCTTGCTAGTGGGAGCATCGCTAAACATAGACCTGGTCCGGCTCATGGCCTCCAGGGCCTCCTTCTCGATCCGGGTGAGCAGGACATCGCAGGTCGGGATATCGTGAATCAGACCAATGACTTGACCAGCAGTCCACACCTGTGCACAAAATTAGAAAAGACCTCAAATATAGAGTGCAGAGAAGGTTCGACTTACACCGTAATCCGGGTCGCCGTTCAAAAAGACCTGGCGACCACGCTTGCCGCTAACATAGGGTCCAATCTCGCTAAAGTCACCGGTCTTGCTCTCCGTTTCAATCTTCAGTGCATCCTGAGTCACCTTGTTGGCAAACAGACGGGAAGTGTTCTTCCACCGACGAAGGACAAGAGCGGTATCAGTCTCTTGTGCATTGACGATAGCCTCCTTGATCTTCTGGTGAATAGGAGCCTCGACAGTGCTCATGAACCGCGTACCCATATTGATACCCTCGGCACCGAGAGCGAGGGCAGCAGCAAGACCCTGGCCATCGGCAAATCCACCAGAGGCAATGAAGGGCACGCCAAGCTCCTGGCGAGCACGGCTCAACAGAATCAAGTTTGTGATGTCATGCTCACCAACGTGTCCGGCACATTCAAATCCATCAATAGAGAGGAAGTCCACGCCGAGCTTAACGGCGGACTTCGCGTGGCGGATGGTCGTGCACTTGTGCAGAATGATAGTACCAGCCTTCTTCAGCTGGGCAATGACCGGGCCCGGGTTGTTACCGGCAGTCTCGACAATCTTAATACCCTCGTCAATGATGACTTGCGCGTAGGCGGCATAGTCGGGGGGAACCATGGCGGGGAGAAGGGTCAGGTTGACTCCGAAGGGGTACTTGGTCATGGTACGACATCTCCTGATCTCTTTGCGTAGGTCTTCGGGGGTTGGTTGAGTGAGAGCAGTGAGCTATAGACAGTCAGAGCCTGCGCTTTATTTTGGCCTTGCGCTTCTGCAACATACAAGTCCCAGTCCGCCTGCGTTGCTAACGGCCGAGGCCAGCTCGGCGTATCCCACCCATTGCATACCACCCTGCACCACGGGCACTGTAGATAATGTCAACGCCTGAGCATGTACGGGAGAATATCAACAATATGACTCACCTCGAATACCGAGCTTTCGCGTCAAGGCTGTGTTGAAAGGCATGTTGAACGATGTGGTCGGGGTATCGGTTTATAATCTGAATTACTGGAGAAGCTCGAGTCAGTACAAACGCAACACGACTAGAGACGGAACACCGACATGAATCTGATCGCGTCTTGAATATAAAAGTTGAAGCGAGTGTATAATATAGTCACAAAGCAAAAGAGAATGACCAGATAATAAACCGACGACAGCCGCGGACTGCTGTGGGGAAAGGTCCGAGATGCCGAGGTTGGCACAATTTCTGGATTACCTACCGGGTTTGGTATAAAAAGCTGATCTTGCGTGTTTATGCTGATCAATAATCGACTATCATCATCTTAGGGTACCTAGGTATGAAGCTAGAAAGCAGATAGTACGTAGTATAGAGTAAATTGGTTCTGAAGAAGAAATTATGCATTTCACCCTTCCACACTCCATTTCCAAGCTTGACCCATGATTGCATGTGATGGGAACCCGTGACTGACAAGACCACTCAGTACCTGGCAAATGTCCAAGTGTATCGTGACAGGTTCTGAGTAAGCATTGGAGGCGTCCGAATGCCCAGTCTGCTGTGTCCTGGTCTAGATATAATCATATAGATGAGTCTGGACCGGACTAACATCTCCTGATATTCGCCGTGTGCGCCGCTGACTTTCCTTCCTGAGTATTCGAAAAGTTATTCAAATAGGAGAGATCCAGTAGGGGCAGTCGAGGCTTTACTCTTCTACAATAAGATAGTGTTTACAGTATGTGACCCTGATATGAAACCCCTTCTGCTCATAGAAAGAGGAGAACGGGCGATTAACGACGGGAGTCCTTCTGAGAGCCTCAAGATCCCTCGGCGATCACGACAGAAAGCCGCAATCAGTGAGGGAAAGCTAAACACGACGACATCATCCCAGAGAGGTAGACGACGAGAGCCGAGACTCTTGGAGAAGAAAGAAAAGAGAGCGCGCAAATTCGCGAGAAAGTGGGAAAACAGGCGAGAGTCACGTGGTCTGCGTAGTCTGTGGGAAGAACAATCTTCCGGCTGGTAATGGACGGCCGCTGATTGGCCGAACAAGTCCCGGGAGCTAGTCCCGTGACTTGCACTCCGGTACCCGAGGTCGTCCGCGATTCCGAACGTTCGCGAGGCACTTGGGATTTCTTGTTCTGATCATCGAGAGCATATTCAACTCCATACGCTTCAAAATGTTCTCTCAGAAGGTTGCCCAGCAGTCGCTGCGACGGCGTATGTCTCAATCCCCCAATGCCGCCCTTGTCGAATTTGCGATCTAACTTGTCCCGGGTTCTCAGTTGCCGTCCAGCAGCCGTTCGCTATGCGGTCCTCCCTGATGCGCGCCTCCCCCGCCGCCGTTGCCCTTGGCCAGAACATCCAGACGAGGTCAGTCAACTAGCTTCATTACGACGAATTCCTCCTCGCCTACCCCCCGGATCAAATCCCCACGGAATCCTACGTCATCTACAAAGACACAAGTCGAGAACTAACCCAAGAATCGTGATCTATAGACAAGTTACCTCGTCTCCCAACACCGAGGACCCTAACCAGATCCTCGTGAAGCAGCGTCTTCTGCGCCCCATCGCCCCCCATCTTTCTATCTACAAGCCCCAGATTGGCTGGATTGGTTCTTCTCTGCACCGTGTCACTGGTGTCGCCCTCTCCGGTACCCTTTACCTCTGGGCCACCGCTTACCTCGTCTCCCCCACTCTCGGATGGCACCTCGAGTCGGCCACCATGGTCGCTTCTATGGGCGCCATGCCCATCCTGGCCAAGGTCGCCCTCAAGACCACTCTCGCTCTTCCCTTCACCTACCACTGCATGAACGGTTTGCGCCACTTGATGTGGGATCTTGGTCGTGGTCTTACCAACCCCGTTATCATCAAGACCGGCTGGGCTGTCGTTGGCCTCAGTGTTGCCAGTGCTCTTGGTCTTGCTTTGCTTTAAATGTTTCCATACCTCATACCTCCGAGTTTCCTTATGTGTTATTAAAGTGATTTCTTTGACAAATATACACGAATCGGGTCGATTGGCGCAAGCCCTAAGGCACAGGTTCTTTCCTTTCTGTTCTATCTGATCTCTGCTGGGGATTGTCTGGCCCAAAATGAACGAATGACTTTTATGGATTCAATCTATAGGTCATAAATCTCTCACTAAAGTCTTTATAATGATCATTATTATTCTTCCTTGGTATAGGCTTCTTTTGTCATACTGACATCAAATTTCCTGTTGAACTTGTTCCGAAATACAGCTCTGTTGGTGTGGTGATCTATCATTAAGCTACTATTTGACTGGACGACATTTGAAAAAGAGAGCTTTCAAACAAAGTAACCTGTCAATTAATACCAAAGCTATCTGTGCTGAGACTTGTGTGCCACTTAATCACCTAGCGGTTTCCAACATGGTTATGATATCCACGTTCCCACCCCCATGTGTTATTCCAACGACGATACACATAATGTTCTCCCACTCGCCCTCAATGCATGACTCCATTATGGGGCCCGAAGATGAGATGCCCTGGTATGATCTAGCAAGTAGCTCATGCTTGTGAACTGTTGGTTGATATCCCCCGATACATATATTTTGAGTCGTTAGACCCCCGGATAGACTCACCAGTTGAACCTGGTTCCCGCAACGCCAAAGAAATAGAAAACCAACAAATTGCCTAAGCAGGACTCGGAGGTGGGTTGGGAGGAAAAGG